AAACCTCTAAACCCTAAACCCTAAACCCTAAACCCTAAACCCTAAACCCTAAACCCTAAACCCTAAACCCTAAACCCTAAACCCTAAACCCTAAACCCTAAACCCTAAACCCTAAACCCTAAACCCTAAACCCTAAACCCTAAACCCTAAACCCTAAACCCTAAACCCTAAACCCTAAACCCTAAACCCTAAACCCTAAACCCTAAACCCTAAACCCGAAAACCCTAAGGGTTGCGTAGGGGAGTTCCGGTTTTATCTAGGTTTTTTTAGGGGAGTTCCGGATTTTGAAGTAGTAGCTAGGTAACTAGTTTGTAATATATCGGTACATATGCAAGTCTTGTGAAGTAGAATGGAATGATTATCGTGACTGAGTGATGCGTGTTCATCATGTGATTGAAGTTTGAAGTTTGTGTGGCGAAACTACTACATACTTAAATCTTCGATTTTTAAAAAGTCATGCTCTCTCCTTGCTTCGTTGAGCATAACGTTTCCTAAGTCCTTTTCTGCCATCTTCCAGTAATTCTTGACAACCTTGATGTTTCTCTCGCACTCTTGAACCGGATCTTCGTTCATCGGGAACGTGTCGAAGTAAATAACACCATCGTAATTGAATTTTCTCAAAACTCGAATGAACTCATACGCGCCGCGAGGATTTACGCTTCCAAACGATAGCCCGTCTTCTGCGCCTAGTTTTGATTGCACGGCATCGTTCAAGTGCACACCAAACAATTTTTCTCCTTTCATAAAAGCCATGGTTGCAGATTGCGAGGGATTCTCTGCGGCGGTTAAAACGTGCGCATAATCGAGCGTCAAGCCAAAGTTGGGCAAATTTACTTCATCGACTAACAATTAAAGACGCAAACGTATTCGGTATCAGCGAAGATCGACTGAGTGCATCCGTCGGTTTGAACTCGTACGATATCTTTCTAATCTTTGCGCAAGTCTTCGAATCACCAACAGCTGCCGTGTACCCGCTCACCAAATGCATCCACGACTCGGAAAAATCAACTTGCCCATCCTAATCATACCCATCAAATTGAAAGACACACAACCACGCGTTGAACTTTATCTCCCAATAACAAAGCAACTTCGCACGCATCTTTCAAGAACTGAACGGCTTTCTTACGAACTTCTTCGCTTGGGTTGGTGAACGCACCGTTTCTGAAAAGCTCTTTCGGGAAGCGCACGTTCAATCCCGAAACCTTCAAATGTAAACGCTCGACGATTTTCGCAATATTCTTAAGAGAACTTTTGGTGACGTGCTCTGGGAAATTCAATTCGACCAACGAAACACCTTCTATTGTCGCGTACCGTTCTAAAAGCGCCTTTGTTTCGAATTTCGTGACTTTTGGAACTAAATCCTTCCTCTCTTTCATCGAGTTTAATCGGCACACAAACCTATCTATCGTATCTATTTTCGGGTTGCTAAAACTATCTCCAAGAGGAGATGATACTTTCGTTCTCAGGCGGCCGTTCTTCTCTAAAAATTCTTCAATACTAGCTCTATTTGGCAATGAAGGTGCTGCACCCATCTTTTGAACTGCTAACGCACCACTCGCGGAAGCAATCTCCATTGAGCGCGTTATCGTATTTCCTTCCGCAACTGCAACGGCAAACGAGCTACGGAACGAGTAGCCGGCTGCAGTACAATCGACGACAAGTTCTGGATCCAACGACGCTAGCGGTTTTACAAATACAAACTCTTCATCTTTATCTGTGACGTAAAACGATCCTCTGTGACCCAAAGTAACTAGAAGTGCTTGCTTACCATTGCCTCTAGATTTCAATACGCCTTTGGCTGCTCGAATCGCGTCGTCATCGTTCTCGAAATTATATATGTTTACACCATAATCCGGAATCGATGTTGCGACTAGAGTTTCAAGCTCGCTCAAGTTTGGAGAAATAATGTCTACGCTTTGGAAGAGCGCATCTGAGACGCGAGACTGAGAGCCGCCGAGATCCAAAAGCACGATACGAGGATTCAAATCCCCTTTTTCTTTGAAAACCTTACTCGCTGCTTCACTCACGGCATCTGGAATCTCACGTTGTAGTAAAAGAACAGTTTTTGTGGAAGAAATAGAGTCACCATACTCTCTTTCATCATTTGCTAAGCACGTGCGATCTTCAGTCGAGATATCTGATGATGAGAAGACGTCCGCGAAGAAGTTTGGCAGAGCGCTTTTCGCCTCCCATTCGGCATTTGCGCCAGGGACAACGACGGAAGACGCGACGCCCTCCTTCGATAATAAAACAAAACCAGTTCCACTAGAAACGTTACGGATAGATTCAGAGTGTTTCAAATTGACGGAATACTCTTCAGAGAGCGTATTAAACAACCATTTTCCCTCTTCATCATCTCCAAACTTACCTACAAAGTAAACGACGGAATCTTGAGGACGCAGCAAACTCATCTTCGCGCCGACTGCTTGATTTGCGCCTTTCCCACCGAGCGCTCGATGGATGTTTGAATTGTACGCTCGCATAGTTTCCTCAGATTTAGGAAGTTCTGTGTGCACCGTAACATCGAAATTGACGCTGCCGACGACGAAGATTGCCGGTACGTTATTTATCAACCGCCTCGACGAACATGCGCTCTGCACTTCAGAAGACGCAGAAACGATACCAAGGAGTATAGAAGATGCAATCAATGCAATCATAGAGAATATCAAGCCATCATATTTTGTACCCTTTTGATTCAATTTCTGCATGATATTGATGGAAAGTTATTTTCTGTACGAGTAGAGAGCGCAGGTATGTTCTGTCGCTTTCAAAAGGTGATTTCGAGAGAAAGTTAGTTATCTTTTGGATTCTTGTAAATTTAACATTTCGAAACACTCTCCTCAGTTTTGGGATACAAGAACTTGCGCGTGTCTTCTCTAAACCATGGCTTACTACTGACAGGATTAAGAAGGAGGTGGCAACGAGAAAACCAAGCTCGCGTTCGTGCCGCCAAATCCAAACGAATTACTCATCGCCGCGTATCTCTTTGCCTCCGCCGAGAAGGAAATATCTTGAAGCTCTCCCGACGCGCAGCCGAGCAAAATGTCCGACAACGGTCGCGATAAACCAACCGTGGCGGGAGCTACGCCACTTCTTAACGCCAAAATTGTGAAAATGGCTTCGATTGCACCACTCGCACCGAGACAATGACCAGTGCTCGACTTTGTGGCGGAGATGCGCACGTTTCCCTTTCTCAAATGTTCTTCGCCAAAGAGCGAGAGGATGGCTTTAAACTCGGCTTCGTCGCCGATAGGCGTTCCGGTAGCGTGGAGATTAACGTGGGCAATATTTGTAGCAGCTAACCCAGAGTCAACTAAAGCATTTACCATGGCTAAACGCGCTCCTCTTCCATCCTCCGGAGGTTTTGTCGCGTGAAACGCGTCGTTTGAAGTGCCGTAGCCTCGCAATTCGGCATAAATCGTAGCCTTTCGTTTCTTCGCAGATTCGTAACTTTCTAAGACTAACATCCCTGCACCTTCCCCGATAACAAATCCAGACCGATTTTTATCTAAAGGTAAACACGCCGTCGAGATATCGTGAGCCATAGTGAGCGCTCTTACCGTGCGAAAACCCAGAATACTCACCGCATCTAAACAGGACTCCGCACCGCCAGCGAGCATCAAATCCGCGTCGCCTCTTTGAATCGTTCTAAAAGCATCCCCGATCGCGTGCGCTCCCGCGGCGCAGGCGGTAGATGAGCAGTGCGTCGGGCCGCGTAAGTTCCACGCAGACGCTAAATTGCCACTCGCGGCGGAGGCGAGCACTTTTGGTACGAAGTGCGGTGAAAGTTTCTTCTTCGGGCTCTCGTACAGTTGTCTCCCGGCGTTGGAAATATCCGAGACGCCGCCCATTCCGACGCCTATGGACGTACCAAATCGATCAATATTTATACTATCTCTACTACTACTACTACTACTACTACTACCGTCGGTCATGGCATGATAAATATTACCATCATTATCGATGATATTCGCATCTCGTAAGGCTTGAAACGCCGCGTCTCGGCTAAACGCGACAAAAGGGGCGACGCGATTTGCGTCGTCGTGCCATTTACTATCATCGAACATGTTTTCACCGGCATCCTTCTTGTTACCATTTTCGCTATCTTCTTTTATACTCCTTTTCCTTGGGACGTTGGCAACTACTTTAATGCCGCCTACGCTCGTCAAGTCTTGTTCGTGGATGTATTTCTTTTCAACAGTTCTGATGCCAGTTTTTCTTGCTTGGATTTCATTCCAATTGTGTTCCACGCCGCAACCTAACGGCGTTACTAAACCTAAACCAGTAACTACGACTCTGTGGTGTGCTCTGTGCGGTGGCGGGTCGTCAAATCCTTCCTTCAAGTGAGCGGTAGCAGAGTGAAAAAGTCTCTTCTTGAACGAGATTTTTGCGCAACTTTTATTATCCAAAATCGAAATGTTCACGGCAACAAAACACGACGACGACGACGACGACGACGACGACGTAACAGAGGACAAAGAATTACGCGAAGAAGAAGAAGAGCACGCGAGATTGTGACTGATCCTTCTGTTCGCGAGTGCCGCGAGTAGTGCCCTCTTTGTCCTCATGCCAGCGAGCGAAATGGCGAAATGTGTGTTTGGGGGTTCGTTTCTTTTTGTTGTTTTGTTGCCCTTTTGTTCCTTCCTCTACCTCTCACCGTCTCCCAAAAAAATTATTCAAAATCAACTCAACTCACACACACACCACAAAAAAGCATTCTTTGTTACGTGACGACACGACTCATTTCATTCGTCGAGAGACCATGAGCAACGATGGAAGCACCAACGCGTCCTTGTTCTTCGTGGCTGGATCGTGTGTCGGAATGCTGGTGCGTCGGTCGTTTTTTTTTATCTTGTTTGAATTAAATTAAATCACAACGAGAATAATAAATTCGTTCGTTCTCGTTCTCTCGTTGTTTGTTATTATTGTTTTTACTGACATCACGACGTACTCTTCTTCTTCTTCTTCTTCTTTTTACAAACGTTCTGGTTCAGGTTGCGGGAGCATCTGCGTACTATTACGCCAGTGCGATCAGCGCTTTGGAAGATAGACGACGAGAAATCGACAAAGCGGAAATGAGTTTACAGTTGAAAACTTTGTCAACCCCTAGCAGCTCACAACAACAACAGCAGACGACGCCATTACCGAGCGAGCCATCCACGCCAACTCAGAACAAACATCACCATCACGGTAGCAGCAGCGCACGAAAGCGCAAACCGTTTTCTCGGCTCGGAAGTGGTGGTGGGTCTGGAAGTAAAACAGGTGGATATAACGATTCCTCTTCCTCCTCTTCCTCGGACGAAGAAGATTCAAAGAAGCACGCCGATGAAAGTAACAGAAAAGAAGCTAAATCACGCGCGCCTCCACCATCGCCTCAACAGTTTAATTCTAGATTGGCTTCGCGATTAGCAAAAAACGAAAGCGATTTGAGAATCTTACGGTCGAATTCCGCGCTCGAACACAAAGTCGTCTTCAACGACGTGACCGATACGGAAACGGAGGATCAAAGTTTTAAAGACAACGACGATAGCATGTTACAAGATGATATGCTGTTATCGGAACAAGAACGACGCAAAGACTTGGAAGAAAATCAATTAGCTATAAACAGCGATAGTAGTAGTAGTAGCAGCAGCAGAGGAAGAGGAGGAGGAGAAGAAGACGAACGAGAGGATAACGTAAAGAAGGACAACGCCGGGAACGTTTTGCAGAAGAAGAATAAAAAAGATGCGCTAGGAAGAGACTCCTATGCGGAATCTTCGGATGGGAATTCTGACGCGCATTCGACCAGAGTAACGATAAGAACTGCTAAAGTGGGGACACCAAACGTTCCAATCATGATTAAAGATTCCAAGAAGGACGGGAGCGTGCACGGAGGGAAGATCAAAGTAGGGGAATTGGCAAAGCTTCGCGACATAACCGGAAGCTATACAAAAGTGCTTAGCCCAAGACGCGCGTCTATGAGCGACACGCGCAACTATTTCGGTAGTTCGGATAAAGTGCCATCGGAAGCTTCATCGCCTACAACCGCAGGCAGCGCTGAGAAGAGCGATGCATTAGATGCCGTAGGACAACAACAACAACAAAACGCAGGCACGCCTCCATCGCAAAGAATTGAGATCTTCGCGCAGTCAAAGTCTCCTTTATCCGTAGATATGAAGCCACAATCATCCGCGACTAGTAGTATTCTGAATATTGATGATGCGAGTGCTGGCCCGTCGACGACGCCATCGTATAAGAATATGCGAATGCGAACGCAACAGCTGCGAGAAGGAACAGCGCCTCCGTCACCATTTGGTTACGATACGGTAACGCTGCGCGAATCGAGCGAAGGTCAAACGATAACGGATGAATGCGAGGAAACGTGTTTAATGATAGAATATTGCATTGGATTGAGAGAGAAATATTTGTTCGAGCCGACTCTTTCGAAGGTTGGATCTCCGGTGATGGGATCGGTTGAAATCGAATCGAAAGAAGCGCTCGCTGCTTTGAAAACCGATCAAAAATTCAAAATGGTAGACGGTGTGGTGCGAGTCTTTTCAAAAGATGACGAACTGTTGCACGAACCACCGGCATCGGCGACGGCGTTCTTTCACGACTTGCACGCGTTAATGATAATTCAATCCGCAGGCCCGGCGAAATCGTTCTGTCATAAACGCCTCATGCTCACCGAGCAAAAATTTTCTTTGCACGTCATGTTGAATTCAGATGCCGAGTTTCTCGCGCAAAAGCGAGCGCCACATCGTGATTTCTATAACGTGCGTAAGGTTGATACGCACGTCCATCATTCGGCATGCATGAACCAGAAGCATCTTTTACGATTTATTAAATCAAAGCTGAAAAAAGAGCCGAACGAACTCGTCATTTATCGGGATGGTAAATATTTAAACTTAAAAGAGGTATTCGAGAGTATTGGCATGACGTCGCACGAGTTGAACATCGATACGTTGGATATGCGCGCGGATAAAAACACGTTTCATCGATTCGATCGATTTAATTTGAAGTACAATCCATGCGGTCAGTCGCGTTTAAGAGAGATTTTCATCAAGAGCGACAACTTGATTCGCGGGCGTTTTCTCGCGGAATTGACGAAAGAAGTGCTGACTGATTTAGAAGCAAATAAATACACCATGGCGGAGTATCGTTTGAGCATATATGGACGTCGCAAAGCGGAGTGGGATTCTTTAGCCGCGTGGGTACTCAATCACGGTTTGTTCTCGAAAAACATCGTTTGGATGATTCAGTTACCGAGACTGTTTAATATTTATAAAGCGCAAGGCACGATGAAAAATTTCCAGCAAATGCTTGATAATATTTTCATACCTTTGTTTGAAGTGACGATTGATCCTTCGTCGCATCCTGAGTTGCACCATTTTCTGAAAACTGTCGTTGGATTCGATATGGTTGACGACGAATCCAAACCCGAGAGACGACCGAACAAGCACATGCGCGTCCCGGAAGATTGGAACGTTAACCATAATCCAGCCTATTCCTATTACGCTTATTACGTTTATGCGAATTTGTATACTCTGAACAAGTTAAGAGAATCGAAAGGCATGAATATCATTACTTTTAGACCACACGCGGGCGAGGCTGGAGATATCGACCATTTGGCGACGACTTTCATGTTGGCGGAAAATATCGCGCACGGAATCAATTTGCGTAAATCGCCGGTTTTACAATATTTGTACTACCTGACGCAAATCGGTTTGAACATGTCGCCGCTTTCAAATAACTCGCTGTTTGTCGACTACCATCGGAATCCGTTTCCGTTGTTCTTTGCGAGAGGTTTAGCAGTAACCCTTAGTACCGATGATCCGCTCCAGATTCACATGACGAAGGAGCCATTAGTTGAGGAGTATTCGGTCGCGGCTCAAGTTTGGAAATTGAGCGCAGCGGATCTGTGCGAGATTGCCAGAAACTCTGTTTTGAATTCCGGATTTCCTCGAGAAGCTAAGAAACACTGGATTTCAGACAATATATTCAAATCATCCTCATCAAACGGTTTAGCTTCATCAAACGAAGGCGGCGGCGGAGGCGGCGGCGAGGACGAGGAGTTGGTGCTTCACGCGTTGGAGGCGAACGATATTGAAAAGACGAACGTTCCAGATTTACGTGTACAGTTCCGATACGATGTCTTAGAGGCGGAGAAGGGTTTGGTACGACGCGCGTGTGCTCAGGCTCGGGAGAAAGGCCGTGTTGTAAAAGTTCGTTAGTACTTTCGCCGCCGGTGAAATTTTTTTTACAACAACACCACGTCACCAACGACAAAATAAAAAGAATCAAATATACTTTTACGAATCAAAGTGCTCGGCTTTGTACTTCATCGCCGCTTCTCTGACGTTGTCAACGATAAAGAACGCGCCGCAAATTCTCGCTGTTCTAGCCGCACCACCTCTATAAAGCCCCCCAATACCGTGTTCGCTGTAGACTTGACCCAACGCGCTTCGGGCGTTTCGGTACGTCGTGGACGCCATGTCTCCTTGCATGCACGTCTTCGCCGTATCCACCGGGTGCGTCATCACCGCCGCCATGGTACCCGCAAAGCACGATCCCGCGATACGCGCGGCTTGTTCGTTCTCGCTAAAAAATGGGTGCATGGTTTTGATATGTTGCGTCGCGACTGGACCGACGCCCAAGTAGCCCGCGGTGTAAATCGACTCTCGCACCGCGCACGACGTGAAGCCGCGGAAGAGAGCCGCCATACCATGCTCCTTCGTCACGGCCGATAACGCTCCACCAATAGACGTCGCCAACTTTTGCTGTTGGATGACAACCAAATCCAACGGGGAATACAAGATGGAGCTGATTGCGCCAGCACCCATCGCTGCACCAATCTTCTCGTGCGCTTGCAACTCTCTCGAGGTATCGCCGGCTAAAATAAGTCTCTCTAAGCCACCGTTCACGGCCATTTGAAACGCAGTAATCGGCGCCACTGCACCTGCGTTAGCAACCACGCCTCTGTACCAACCTTGAATGTTCTTAGGCATCGGTCGACCATCTTGCGAAGTGATCTTATACGTGATTAAAGGCACTGTATTTTTAATATTTAAAGGAATATTTTGGAAATTTTTTGTCGTCAGCAATATAAACAAACCCGAGGCTGAAAAAGAGAGAAAAGCAAAAGTGATGATGTGTCTCCCCCTATCACACTCTTCTTCTTCTTCTTCTTCGTATGAAAAAGGAGATGTGATGAACTCGAGCGACATCAATCAGTCAGTCAGTAAACAATCATCCACCAATCAAAACGAAAACGTACTCTGTATGCCAGTTTCGAGGATACCACCGAGGGCACCGACGGCGAGATTCTCCGTGTCCGACAGCGTCGCTTTCTTCGTCGCCATGTTTTTGTTCTACGCGAGAGTAGATATTGGTGGATTACTCTTTTGTAACAAACAAGAAAAACAAACAAACTCTTTTTGCTTGCGTGTGCGTTTTAGTCGAGCGTCGATTTCGAATTTTGCAAATTACAAAGATATATGCAGAGAGTGTGTTTGTGAATAAACGGGCTCTCGAACGCGTAAGAGTGCGTCGCGACTGTGACGACGTCGCGCGAATGAGAAATTTGGTTTCTTTTTTCTCATCGAAATCAAAAACAAAAACAACCAACGCCACAAAAAGTGAAAAAAGTGAAAAAACAAGCCTCCGTGGCCGATTTTGAGGCCAGAAGCAAAAAGAAGAGATGAGACGAGAGAGATGAAAGAAGAGAGAACAAAAAGTCGTTACAGAAAAACAACGAATAATAAAACGGATAAAAACAACAGAAAGCATGTTGAAGAAAGTTGACGTGAGTACCCGCATCGCACCAGTTTTATCATCCTTTTAGAATACATAACTCTCTCTCTCTTTCACTCGCGCTTTTTAAACTAATCATCCACTCTCTTTTCCTGATAACGAACGACAGATACTCGTGGTAAACGACGACGGCATCGATGCGAATGGCATCAAAACGCTAATTCGAACGCTCGCGAAAGAAAAAGAGTTTAACGTGTGCGTCGTCGCGCCAGAGCGCGAGCGATCGGCGAGCGGACACTGCATCACAGTACACGAACCAATAGGAGTTAAACGATTATCGGATTACTATCACGACGACGCCTACAACGATGATGATGAAAACGAAAACGAACAAGCGAACGAAAGAAAAGAAGAAGAAGAAGATGATGAAAAAGTGAGATGTAAAAGTTATTCAATCACGGGGACGCCTGCGGATTGCTCAATGCTTGCGCTAGGCCCAGATTTGTTTCCAGAACTCATCAAATCGAAGGATGATGGTAGTAGCAATAACGATAGCAATGACGGTGTGGCATTTGATGTTGTTCTCTCGGGAGTCAATCGAGGCGACAACGCGGGTAAACACGTCATGTATTCGGGAACGGTCGCCGGTGCCCGAGAAGCCGCGATGAAGGGCCAAATAGGCGTTGCACTTTCGTTAGATTCGTATTCGAGAAGTGCCAATTACTCTGAAAGTTGTAAAATAGCCACGCAGATTGTGAAATCCATCGTATCGAGCGAAGAACGGAAGCGACTTTTGAGAGGTTTTGTCATCAACGTGAACGTCCCGAGAGATGGCGAAAAGATCAGAGGCGTAGAAACTTGCGCGGTATCGAAGTGCTCGACTATTCCGCTGTGGAAACGAGTCAAAGACCCTAACCCTGAAGTTTTATACGTGACGCACGACGACGGCGAGGAGGATGCGCGAGCGCCTTCGCCGATACCGTCTCCCCCATCTTCGCCTCGAAACTCTTTGGAAAGGAAAAGCAGTAAAATTCTTTCGTCGCCGAAGAAGCGCGATGAGGCTGGCGTCAAAGGCGGTAATAGCAAAGATTTTGACACGTCCGACTATTTTAAAACGAATTTGAACATCTCTGGTGACGATGAAAACGGAACGGCGCGTTGGAGAACGAGCGAGACGCGATGGTTTCGAAACGGGTTTGGTGGAACCGAACGCGACGACCGCGTCGGAATCGACTCGGAGCTTTTGAAGCAAGGTAAAGTCGCCATCTCGATATTAACAACGAATAATGCGTGCTTAACGGATCCAACGCTCAGATTCGACGTCAGCGAAGAGGATGCGGCGAGAATAAAACAGATTGGCGATGATATAGCTCGAGAACTAGCGAGTTCGTTGTGCCTTTGAGCGCATTTTTTTTACCGCGCTTGCGTTTATTATTTATACTTCCGAGATGTAAAGAAGGACTTTGGTAATTAACGATCAAGGTTAGATTATCTACTTAGTTGTCATGTTTAGTACCCAGTGATACTATTTATTATTGTCGTTGTTACTTGTGGATTTTAAAGGTGTCTAACGCTTCCGCGTGCTTGTTGGTTTCGAGAGAGAAGATTTCGTCCTCCTCTGCATGCAACAATAACAAACTTTTCGCCTCCTCCTTCGCATGTCCTCATTTTTTGAATTGTGTGTTGGTTATAAAGAAACTACTGATGGTAGTTGACAACGACGACGATATGTTAGAGGACGGTCGGCATGGCGTGAAAAGGGAAGAAGGAAGAGGAGGAGGGTCTCCTGCTGATGACAATACTAATACCAACACCAACAACACGTCGTCGTCGTCGTGGTCGTCGAAAAATGCAAAAGGAAAGAAGAGCGTTCCCGTGTGCGTGATGTTGCCTTTGGATTTAATTAACCCAGACTCTGGTCGATTTTTGGACGAAACGAAAGAGAAGTTATCGATACAGTTGGAAAAGCTGAGATCTGCGAACGTGAGTTCAGTCATGATCGACGTGTGGTGGGGGATCGTTGAAAACGAAGCGCCGGGAAAATACAATTGGGGTGGGTACAAATCACTCATCGAACTGATTATAAAATCAGGCTTGAAAATACACGCGGTGATGTCGTTTCATAGTTGCGGAGAAAACCCGGGTGACGGAGATTTCACCGTTAATTTACCGCAGTGGGTTTGTGATTACGCGCAAAGAGTTGACGAGAATATATTTTATTGCGACTCCAAGGGAACCCGATGTAAGGAATACATATCGTTATTCGCGGACGAAACGCACATCGGCACACCGCTCGGCTTTCATCACGAAATTCGCATGTTTCACGACGCGACGATGACACCACTAGACGCTTACGAAAACTTTATGCGCTCGTTCGCCAATACGTTTCGCGAGTACATTTTGAGTGGGTCTATTCTCGAAATTATAGTCGGTCTAGGACCGTGCGGTGAACTTCGGTACCCTTCGTACTCAACGTCAACCTCAAATTGGAAGTATCCAGGAATTGGCACTCTGCAATGCTACGACGAACGCGCTCGAATGTCGCTCGCGCTACACGCGAGTAAGTCTGGCGTCCCAAAATGGGGGGACCCACCTAAAAATTTGGAAGTTTTGATTAAAGTTGGAGAAAATTACAAAAACGAGACGAGCGTGGACGACCTCGTCAACGCAAAACCGAATGAGACGCAGTTTTGGACAAACGACGAGTCGACGTTGAAAAAACGCGATTTTGACGATCACGAACAGTGGGATTCAGCGTATGGTTGGTTTTTTCTGTCTTGGTACTCAAAAGAATTAAGTCTACACGCGGAAAGAGTTCTAACTCGCGCGAGAAAAGCATTGGAACACGTTTTAAAACCCATCGGAGATAATCCCCTCGTAGACGGTAAGAAACCGAAACGAATTTCTTACGAAACGTTACGGTACGAAGTCGACGTGGACGACGACGACGACGGCGTCGACGGCGATAACGATAATAATACTAATCAACAAAATAGGATAGATGGAGGACAAAAACAAGAGCAGTATCGTGCGGAGTTGTCGATGAAACTCGCAGGCGTTCATTGGTGGGCGAATACTCGAAGCCGAGCGGCGGAGTGCATTTCGGGAATGCACTGCTCCTCGAGAACGTCGAGAAATCCGAGAGCTGGAGTCGGATACGAAGATATCGTTAAGATTTGTGCAATGCTGGACGTTAATTTGACGTTCACGTGTTGTGAGATGAAAGATAATGAGTCCAACGAAGCAAGGTCTCGGAATTTGCACTCCCCGACGAAGCCGGTGCCGGCGCTCAATACAGGTGAAAATGACGAGTTGGAAGACGGATCTGCGCCTGAATATCTACTCAAGCACGTCTCCAGCTTGTGTTCGCTCTATGGAGTGCAACTTGAAGGAGAAAACGCGCTTTCTCGAGTCGATCAAGAGGCGTACGAGACCATCACAAAACACTGCAAAGGTGGGTACGCCGTTGAAATCATTCGAGAAGATGAAGACGGTTCGCTCACCGGTGAAGTTTCCAAAGTGTACGTCCCAGCGATGAAATCGTTCACTTATTTAAGACTGCACGATGAGCTCATCACGGATGAAGACAATTTCGAGCGTTTCAAGCGCTTCGTTGAAAACATGAGTATGATATAGAGCGAAAACATATAGTAGCAGTAGTATAATAGATATAGTAGCAGTTTGTACATTAGAAGAAGAGTTCACGGCGCCTGCATAAAATTGTTTGGATTTCTGGATTTGTCTGTTACTTTGTTTTACGAGCATTCGTCGTCGTCGTCAAAAGTTTCTGCGTTTTTGTCAAGAAGAAGAAGAAGAAACAGAAGAAGATATTATTCAAAAGAACGATGATGGAGACTTTGCAAACGTCGTCGTCGGGATTACAAACGACGACAACGACTCTCGCGCGCGGTAAAGCGTGCCGTCCAAAGCATCGTTCGTTGCAACATCATCGTCGCGGTCGTCTTCAACAACAACCAAAAATCGTTCACATCGTAAAAGCCGACAACGATCATTCGTCGTCGTCTTCCAGTTCGCACACAGAAGGAGAAAAAGAAGGAGGAGAGGAACAGGACGTTTTCGCGGAGACGAGGAGGGAAAACGCGGATAGTGCCTCGACATCCGAAATAGAAGAAGAAGAAGAATCAACAGAAAATACGAACAACAAAAAGAAACTTTGGGAGTGTTCGCAGTGCTTTGGAAACCAAAGCGTGTTAGTCTCTCAGTTGCGAGATGTCTCGGAGGTTTTAGCGGACGGATTTGGGAAACCAGCGGACGACTTACTCAACGGTTTGATGCAAAAAACAAGATGGAGCGCGGGGAATTTCGCGTGCGTCATCGCTCGACCGCGCGGCTCGCAACCGTACAAACCGTCCAAACGCTTGACCACGAAAAGCGTGCGCAGAAAAGGAGCGACGGCGGCGGCGGCGCAGGCTTCTTCGGCGAATAAAGACAAGAAAATGTTTCGAGACGGTAACGACATAGTCGGTGCGTGTGACTTGACTCTCTTGCCTGCGTTTGGTCCGAAAGCTTCCAGAGAGTCGCGCGTGAAAAACGGGGTAAAGTTACTCCGACTCTCCAACGAGAGTAACTTTTTATACTTGACTGGAATGACGACGCGTTCGGCCAATCGCAGAATGGGCGTCGGTAAAGCACTGCTGGAAGAGTGCGACGTCATCGCGCAAAAGATGGAAAAGAGTCGACCAAAATGCATAGCTCTGCACGTTGCGAAAAATAACGCCAACGCTATCGGTCTTTACGAGAGTTGTGGCTATAGAATCGTTTCCGAATCAACAATGACAACGACAACGACAACAACAACAACAAATGATGGTAGTGGAGGAGAGAGGAGTAGTACGGGTAGTAGCGGGAGTAGTGGTAAAAACGACGAGAGCGGCGTGCCGCCGACGACGAGTCCTTCCTCTTTGGGCGATAAGTTTATGCAGTTTGCGAATAAATTTGGCGGCGGCGGCGGCAACGGTGGTGGTGGTGGTGGTGAAGAGGAAGTCCATTTCATGGTCAAATGGATACGACGAGACGTGATCGATGAGAAAGTGAAACGAATGGACGAAACCGGAGTGTTGAAGGAGATACCGACCTTGTGATTTACTATTAAATTTTTATTTTACAGCGCACCACCTTTTTTAAAATTTTTCAACTTTAAAGTTTTTCGTGTTTTTGGGGCAGAAAAACAAAAAGGTTCCCACAACAAAAAAAAACAAGAAGAAGAAAAAATTCACAAAAACCACACAAACAAAAAAGCTCTCTCTTCCCCCGCGGCTCGCTCGAATTTCCTTCATTGAAAAGAAGTCGCGCGCGCTCTTAGAAAGAAGGAAGAGACTTTTAACGACTGATACCATCGAACACAAAGCAGTAACAACACAACAACCGAAAGAAGAAGGATTTGTCTGTTTTGACGATGTTTAACAACAACGAATCTCAGTTTGATCCGTCTTTCAAGCACTCGAGTCGATATTCGCAAACAGCGGCTCGATACGGGAAAGCAGAAAATGGGCCGCGACCGGGGAGTGATGTTGAAAACGGAAACTGGGCGGCGCAACAACAGTCGATGAACTTGATGCAAAACGCTCCGCCGGCGATTAACACCGGCAGAGGAAATGGAAACGCTCACGCTGGTGCTTCGAGTGGCTCGTACAATCAACAATATCACCAACAACACCATCAAGATCACCACAGGACGAATTACGGGACGAACCACGGCGGACGCAGTCCAAACGGCGGACAAATGGACGAAAGTTTAATCGACCGAGATTACTTGCGAGAACACCGCGAAGGTCAAGAAAGGTTTCGCAGGAACACGTGCATTGGAATTCTTGGGGCTTCCGTAGTCTCTGTTATTGGGTGTTACTCCTACTATGGCGTCTCGCAAGGGAAAAGCGCCGGCGCGAGCTTTACGTCTCTTTTGCCATGGTCGTCTTCCGACGCGGCAGACGATGATTACTCCGCCGCGACGTCGTCGTCGTCGAAGCACCACCACCACTCTTCTTCTAAGAACGATTCTGGCGATGATTACGACAAAGCGCCCCTCGAAGACGACGACGAGGACGACTCCGGTAAGACTTCTTCCAGAAAGAAACACAAGGAACTCTTCTCGAAAACATCCAAACTCGTCGATAACGACGAAGCAGATGGCGAAAGCGAAAGCGATTACGACGGATCGTCCTCCTCGAAGAAGTCGAAAAAGAAGAGCTCCAAAAAACACGGGGGCGATGATTCGGAGGAAGAGGAAGAATCCGGCGAGGAGGCACCAAGCGAAGACGAACAAGCGCTCATTGATTCTGTCACGCAGGATTTGAAAGAGTCCGTGAAGAACGCGCAAAAAGCCAAGAAAGCGGCAAAAAAGATTGGCAAAGCTGAGAAGGAAGAGGTCATCGATCCGCGAACAGAGATTGACGCCACGAGAGCAGAGCTTCTCAAAAACGCCGGTATCGAAGAGGAAGAGGACGAGGCTACCGGTGAAAAGAACGAGAAATTGTTGGACGGTGAAGTCGATCCTTTAGTTGCCGGTTTGTTGACTAAAGACATGCAAAAAGCGGAGGAGCGCATCAAATTAGTCAAAGGCACGCATTCTCACAACAAAAAAGAAGCGAGAGAAGCGGAAAAGGCTTTGTACGAGTATGACGCTAAAATTGAAATGGAGAAGGAAGAAAAGATTCGCAAGAAGCAACAAGCTGCGATTGATGCTGAGAAGGCGAAATACGAAGAAGCTGCCAGACGCGAAGTCGGAGAACAAGAAAAGAAAAACAAAATACACGCGGAAGAAGAGAGAATGAAGATGGAAATTGCCAAGGCGAAAGCGGACGCTGCGACGAAAATTGCCATGGCGAAGGCCAACGAAGTTTCGAGCAAAGCCGCGGCGGAAGACAAAGTCATGCAAGAGATTGAATCCAAGATGCATCCGAAAGAAGATGAAGACGATAAGACGCCAAGTACTTGGAGTTTGAGTTCTGATCCAATCGACGGTGCTCGCAGTGATGACGATGTCGACAACTTTGTCGAGCAAGCTGAAAAGGAAGGCGCGCACGTGTCCAAAGAAGACAAAGAAACATTAGAAGAGGCACAAAGAGAGCGCATGGTTGCCGAAGAGCAACTGATTGAAGCAAAGATGGAAGCTGCTAAAGTTCAAGCTCAAGCACAAGACATCATGAAGGCTGCCGAAACCAGAGCGGCTGAAGCGGCTGCGGAAGCGAAGAAGGAAGCGCAAGCCGAAATCGACGCCGCCAAGTCGGAAACCGAGAAAGCGAAAGCTTCTGCTCAAGCCCTTTTAAGTCATCAACAAGCGACTGAGGAAGAAAAAGTCAAGTTAGAGACGGACTTAGAGAACGAAAAGTCCAAGGAAGGAGACATTGCGAGAGAAGCTGCTATTTCAGCTGCGAATATGTTGCAAGAAGGAAAGGATGCCTCGGCGTCAACTTCTGCTTCCGCGAAGGGGGAGGAAGAATCGCCTGCCACAACTGAAACGGAGACGGAGATCGCATCGGCGGAAACCACTTCAGAAAATGCAGTCGTGGATGACGAGAAGTTACCGGAACCTTGGAAAGCCGTGTTAGATAGCGATTCCGGGAAGACGTACTATTGGAACACGGAGACGCAAGAAACTTCGTGGGACAAACCATCGCGAAAATAAGAAAAATTGTAGCCGAAAAATACTTCTCACGAGTCCGTGAAATGAAATGAAATATGCCCTATATCAAGTATCTTAATACGAATGACAACATAATATCTATTTTCGATTTATCATATTAAAATCCTGGTAAGACCGAGAAGTCAACCATATCCTTCGGCAACGATGCAACCGAGTCTATGAGGTCTAAGCGGTTTTGTCGCGTCGGTAAGTCTTCACAGTTCACGAAAACGTCTTCGAAGAATCGTGTCGAGGAATCCTCCATTTCTGCTAAAGCTTCAATCAAAGATGCGATGCTCTGGTTGGCTGCTATTTTGTCGCACGCTTTCTTATACGTGTTAAAGAACTCGATTTCCGCTTCCTCCACGAGCAAAGACTCGTCTATTTTCCCACTCGGCGTGAAATCTTTCTTCCCTCTGATGAGTTTCGTCGGTCTCGATAAAACGTTCTTCGCCTTGGAAAAGGTGTTTGCGTCCTTCATTGCCGCTTGCAATTCTGTTACCGAAGCGGACGCTCTCGCAGGGTTGAATCCAATATCCGTGTTCAAAATTGCGCGAACGGATTCAACATCATTTCCTGCGTCCACTAAGAGTTGTTCTAATCTTCTTTTCGTAAACTCCGCGCAGTCTTCCATCGCTTTGTCGCTTACATCCACGGGCTGTTCACTCTTTGCAAGTCCGAATAACGCTCGAACATCTCCACCTTGTGTTTGAAGATCGTTGTTTACTAACGTTTGGACGAGACCGTACGCAGTTCTTCGCAAACCGAAGGGATCTGCCGTCGCTTTTGGTGCTCCAACGACTGCAAATAATCCAACCAAAGTATCCGCCTTGTCCGCTATGGTCGCCACGATACCTGGAGCCGTGGAAGCGATTAAATCTCCCGAAAATCTCGGAAGGTTTGCTTCAAAAATAGCTTTAGAGGTCGTGTCGTCAAGCTTGTCACACTTTTTCGCGTAGTGTTCGCCCATCACGCCAGCGAGCGATGTGAGCTCCATGACCATGGAAGACGCTAAATCGGCACGAGCTAAACGTGCGGCTTTCGTCGCCATGGCCACAATTGAAGCGTCATCGCCGTATCCCAACGCCGCCGCGACCTTCGGCGCGAGATTCTCGGCTCGCTCTGTTTTCTGCAGCATAGAACCTAATTCGGTTTGAAACGTTATGCCTTCCAACTTTGGACGAAGCGTCTCTAAACTTTCCTTGCAGTCGTTTTCGTAAAAGAATTTAGCATCTTGGTACCTCGCTCTTAATACAGCTTCATTTCCGGATTTTACGGCCGAAACATCGCACGGTCCGTTCGCAAACGTCACAAAGTTATTAAGCAAGTCACCGCTTGTTTTGTTCTCGACTGGGAAATAGCGCTGGTGCTTCTTCATGACGGTAATTAAGACTTCTTTCGGTAAGCTCAAATATTCCGCCTCGAATTCGCCCAAAACCGGTTGTCCCGCTTCCAACAAATTCGCAACTTCGTCTAACAAGCCACCACTCTCTTTGTTGCCTTCCGGGACAACGCCTCCGACTGATTCTGCTAAAGATACCGCGTTACTCCAAATTTCATTTTTGCGCGCTTCGATGTCTGGAACGATTCCTTCTCTTTCCAAAAACGAAAAGTAGTCTTGGACGTTGGTCAGCGTTTCCTCCACCGGCGCTTCCAATCCAGGAGGTCGCAAACCTCTCGTCGTATCACTTGAAGTAACACCGAGCGCAGAAAAGGGTATTATCGATTGACCGTGGCACGCAAATAACCAACGCATAGGTCGTGAGAATGCGTTGTCTTCGTTCAACTGCCAGCGCATGGTTTTGATAAACTTGATGGATTCTACGACTTTTGGCAACTCGTCGCGCATAACTTCAGAGGCAGATTTCCCGACTGCTTTCACGTTTGCCCACACGTACTCGTCGTCCTTTTCGAGTTCTTTCTCGAGATCGACCACATTGTTTTTTGTGCAAAATCCGAGCAAAGCTTTGGTTGGAGTCACTCCGTCTTCCTCAAACGCTCTCGAAAGCGGAGGACCGCGATTCCGCGATTCTTGATCTGGCTGTTTTGGAGAGAGGTTTTTTATCGCGACGGATACGCGGCGAGGCGTACCACCAACTGAGACGCTATCGTATTCTAGTCCAGATTGCTCTAAAATGGAATTCATGGCGAGCTCGACTTGATGAATGCACGAAACAACATCGTGAGGCGGCAACTCTTCGGTACCAATTTCAAAAACAAAATCAGCCTTCTCATTCGGGAGCTTTGATTCGTCTATGGGCGCAACAGGTTTCGCGGCGTCGTTTTGCTTGTTATTCTTTTTCTTCTTTTTTTTACCGTTGTCATCTTCTTTGTCGTCGCTTGATCCTTCGACTAAGCTTCCGAGCGGGTAACCTAACTCTTCGCGTCTTTCGACCCAAAGGGAGGCAATATTTCTCGCCAAATCACGCATGGAGGCAAACAATTTCTGTCTCTCCGTTACGCCAACCGCACCACGAGCGTCGAGAATGTTAAACGCGTGAGACGCTTTAAGCAACTGGTCGTACGCAGGAAGAGGAAGTCTGTTTTCAATCAGCGATTGCGCTTCTTTATCGGCTAAATCAAAACGCAATCTCTGATTTTCCACCGAAGCTACGTCCATGTTGAACACGGACATTTCGTATTCGTCCTGTAAACGCATTTCGCCGTACGTTAAGGAATCATTGTATCTAATATCTTTGAAGTGATCCACATTTTGTAAAGCCATCAAGACGCGCTCTAGACCGTACGTGATTTCAACCGCAACTGGATTGACTTTCACGCTACCGCATTGTTGGAAATACGTAAACTGCGTCACTTCCATGCCGTCGAGCCAAACTTCCCATCCCAACCCCCACGCGCCTAAAACTGGACTTTCCCAGTTATCTTCCACGAAGCGAATGTCGTGCGCTTTCGTATCTACGCCGAGCGCTTCTAAGGAGCCTAAATAGAGTTCTTGCGGATTCGCCGGTGCTGGTTTTAAAATCACCTGAAACTGCGTGTGTCTTTGTACTCGATTCGGATTATCCCCGTACCTAGAATCATCCGGTCTCACCGACGGTTCCGGGTAGCACACGTTCCAAGGTTCTGGTCCTAAGCAACGCAAAAACGTCGCCGGGTTCATCGTTCCCGCGCCGACTTCAGTGTTATGCGGAAGCCAAACTGCGCACCCTTTTGAGGCCCAGTAGTCTTGCAATCTATTGATTGCTTGTTGAAACGTCGGCGCGTCTGTGTTCACTCCCGCGGCGGAGGAGCTTTTCGCAGGTGAAGAAGAAGGAGGAGTTGAGGCTGAAGCTGCAGCTGCATCCGAAGAAGACGCAATCGCGCGCGTTCTGAACGACGACGATGAAGCAGAAGAAGAAGAAGAAGAAGAAGAAGAGGATCGTTTTGTTGCGGTTGTAGTCGCCGATGAGGTTGAGAACGACGAATTCATCATCTTCGCGCGCATCGTCATCCTTCCTCCGCGGTGGTTGAAGGAGGAGAAAAGAAATGGGTTTTTCCAGGAAGAAGAAGACGTCGTCGTCGTCGTCGTCTGAATCGTCGTCGTTCTCAACGCGCGATGAGAAGATTTTGCCGCAGCAGCTCCATTACTCTTGTTCACGAGCGCATAGTGCGCCAGGCGTAGCATCGTGTTTGACCCGCGGGGCGGAATAGTGTCAGCAAATAGACACACCGCGCGCGAACGACGACGTCGCAATTCTTTAATAAAGCAAATTGAGAAGAAAAGATAAAATACTCGAGAAGAACAAACGAAAAGAAGAGGGAGACACTTTTTGTTCGTTCTGTTCGAAACAAACTTTTGATTTGCAAAATTAGTAGAGAGGATGAAAGGCGTTGGTTGCTACATGAATAGTATTATTAGTATTAGTATTACACATCATCATCATCATCATCATCATCATCATTTCAGAGAAGACTCACGCTGTTCCAACAGTTAATCCAGGACCAGTTTTGAACATGGCCAACTTGTAGGTGTATACAGTCACCGGTCTTCCCGCGACGCGCATAAACGTTTCGTCGGCGTTGCCGTTTCCGGAGGAAAACGGAGTCAAATAATCTAAGACGATTTGCGTGCACACGATGAGTGGCTGTCCGGTTTGCGCGTCTTTCTGGTCGCGCCACAACCATTTCGTATACGTTCGCGTTCTTTTCACGTTCGGGTCTGTCCCACTTCCTTCGTAATCGTTAAAAACAACCTCTGCGAGTTCACTCGTTTCGAAGCGGCGCTTTCTCGAATCGTCCTCGGTTTCCGACCGAGCGGTGACTTTGAAAAAAATCGTCTTTCCATCCGCCAACGAACACTTCATGACGTTGGGGTCGTCTAAATTCCAATCTATGTCCGTAAACACGGAGCCGTTCTTGACGTTCATAGTATACTCAGCTAACTTTTCCGTATTCCAAGCTCGGTCTAATATGACTTCGTTCCTCGAGTTTCGCACGAAACGTAAAGGATACGAGGTAGGCCTACCGACATCATTCTTTGCTCTGTTTACGCTTTCTATGTTTGATACCACGTCTGCACCTTCTGGTAAATCTACATCCGTCAACGTCGCGTTGACCAGCCATTCGCCTTGAAAGCTTTCCGGAAAAGTCAAATCTGCCGGGCCTCCACCGCCGAAGCTCTCCCACGCGTCGCTTATAAATCCGGATTCAATAGCCTCCGCTCTGTTTGTCATCTCGTCGCTTCCAAAAACGCTCGCCACGACGAATACTGAGGATGACCTGAATAAAACATCCCTTCTCCTCCTCCGGTGCAAACTTGTCGTTCCATTCGTTGCGTGTCTTTGTGCATTCATCCGTGTTCTTTTTACTACTCCATCTGCTTTTCCTGTGTCGTCGTCGTCCTCGTCGTCCTCGTCGTCCTCGTATCCAAAATCTTCGAGAGCGCGTTTGAACGAATGAGAGAAGGAGGAAGAAGAAGAAGATGATGACGAAGAAGAAGAAGAAGCGGTAATCGTGCGGTGGTGCGTTTTAAGACTTCTGCTCGCGCGCTTGGGCTGACTACGCCCCCCCGCAATCGATGAAGACGATGACAAAAGTTGATGACAAAACGACATATTTTTTGTCGTCTTCTTCTTCGTCTCGTCAACTGTCAGGAATTTGAAAAAATGACGTCGGCTGAAGTGTTCGCTCTCGCGTTCGAGCGGGGGGCGATGTCTATTCTTCGCATGAATATTGATTATACTGCACTATGCTATAATAATACCAGGAGGTATCGATAATATACAACTATGTAATATAACTAGCGAACAGCACCGAGCAGTAGTAAGTCTTCTCTACGTTTCTAACACCGCCCGTCTTTTTAGTTTCTCAGCCGCTCGAATTTTAGTCGACGACGACGGCGGGAGAGGTTTGGTCTCCACCTCCTTAACTTTCGGGAACACGACGACCAAGTTTTTGTTGAAATCAGACAAAGTTTGTTTCAATTCTGAATTGCGCAACGCCGCTTTCTGAATAGAAGATCGCACGCTTTCCAACTCGGCTTTATATTCCGCCTCTTCGCTTTCTTTTTGTTTCTTGTCCAGTAAACGCTTCATCTGCAAGTGCTTCGCCTGTCTTTCTTGCAAAGCTTTCACTTTCTCGTAAGCGTTCGCTTTCGCTTCCATCGTTTTCACGCGTTCCTTCTCTGTTTCCTCGACGTCTTGAATGGCTTTTTTCAACGCTTCTTTGATTTTAGCCGCGTTTTCGGCATCTTTAGCGGTGGAATTCTTACGGCGCAACTTCCCCATGGCGACGTGGTGTTCTCGTTCTCTCGTCTCTTTAATTTGAATGCACAACTCGTGCCGCGTCGCCGCCGAGCGGTGTCGTCTACCTTTCTCCATGACGTTGCGCATCTCTCTTTCTACGTGCATGTTGTTCTCTTCGATTATTTTTTCTTCCTCGAGTCTTCTCGTTTCTTCCCGGAGTGCATTTTCTTTCAACTCGACTTCCAAGTTAGCAGTCTCGCGCAAGACTTTGAGCTTTATCTCTTGCGCTCGTCTCGCTTCCTGCCGCGCTAACTGCGCTCGTTCCGCTTTTTTTCGTTCGTTTTCGTGCATTTCCATGATTTTCTTGCGCTTGTGTTCCGAGTGACGTCGGATGAGCTCTTTCTCCGAGAGTTGTTTCAGTTTTAATTCCTTCAGACGCTCTTCTTCGACAATCGCCATCTTGCGTTCTTTCTCCAGCCTTTGCTCTTCCATTTTCGCTTCGAGGATTTTCGCGCGCGCGATGGTCTCTTCGATTTCCTTCTCTTGTCTCTCAATTTTATCGATGTATTTTTGTTTCGTCTTTTTCAACTTCAGCTTATCTTTCTGCGCTTTTATTTGCTCTTTTCGGATGTTCATGCGCTCGATGAGCTCCAGTGAGTCTGGGATGCTCTTCACTAACTTTTCGGTCAATAATTTGTTCTCGCGGCGATGAATTCGCATTTCTTCCTCAAAATAGTCGTCATCTTCGTCGTCATCGGCGTCGGCGTTGTCGTCGTCGTCGGAAATTTCGTCCGCGTTCAACATCTTTTTCATGGTTCTCATTTCTTCCTTCCTTCGTTCTTCAAACTTTTTCTCGCGCTTTCTCACCTCTTCTTCATCGAGTTTCCACTCGTACTTTCCGTTGTTCTCTAGCGCGCACTCTACGATCGTGTCGACAATGCTTTCTGCCATACGAAGCGGTTGTTCGTGTTCAGGCAAATTCATCTCCGCCGCGGAGAGAACGCCTCGGAGCAACTTGTGTTTTCGTTCTTCGACGTGATATTGATTTTCGTATTTATCTCCTTCGCGTAAGAACTCATCTCTATCGTAATTCCAAGACCCGTTGAACGCGTATCTCGATTCCGAAGTTACCGACTCTTGCACGCGATAATCATCACGCTCTCTGATTCGTCTCAGTTCTTCTTTGCGTTGTTTTCTTTGATGCGGAGTGAGTTTATCCTCCGCGGTCTTGGCGTCAATATCCATCGGAACGTTGTTCTTCGGAGCGTTCAACGTCTCGTCCATTGCTCTAGTTGGATTGACTGGAACTTCGGTAGCGTAGTCCCCTCTCTCGTCGTATATGTGCTTATCTATTTTCGCCTTGAGTCGCAACAGCGCCTGCGCTCGAAACGCTTCGTTACTATCGATGAGCTTCGCTTTCGCCTTGACGCCTTTCATCGAACGAATTTCCTCTCTCGCTTTCCGTTCTAACTCAAACTTAGTACTCCCGGACGCGTTCCGAAGTCGTTCGGAAAATTTAGACTCCGTGTCTTCGTCGTCCTCTTCATCGTTTCTATTCGCGTCTTCTTCTCGCTGTTGTTGTTTCTCTTCTTGATATTTCGGAGGCGTGTTCGTGGACTCGTCTTCCTCTCGTCTCCTTTGCCGCGTTCTCCTCTCCTGTTGTTGTTGTTGTTGTTGTTTATTGTCTTCTTCATCATCTCCTTCCTCGTCGATGTCTTCGCTGCCAAATATGTTCGAGAACACGCTCTCGAAAAACGACTTGTCCCCTTGTTGTTGGTTATTCTTCTTGTTCTTTTTCTTCGTCGTCGTCGATATCAACTCATCTTCTTCTTCGACTTCTTCGAAAAAATTCCGGTGACGAATGTGATTGATTTCGTTCCTCGGAGGAGGAGGAGGTCGGTCTTGCTGTTGTTGTTGTTGTTGTTGTTGTTGTTCCATTATTATTATCTCTTCTTCTCTTTAAAAAACAGTTTTTGTTGTTGTAAATACGACGACGACGACGACAACGTACAGTAGCCGAGTCCTCTTAGAGTTTCTTCTCAGACCGTCGTCTCACAGAGCGCGTAAAACTGAAGAAGTGAATTATGAATTATTGGTTTGGTGTTGCGAAAATTTATAAACCCTAAACACAACTTGGATGAAAAAAGGATAGGGACGACGACGTGAACGAATTTTTCAACTCTTTCTTCATAGTATTACACACGCACTTGTCGTTGTTGCAAACGTACTACAAAACACACCACTACTCATTAATAATGTCTGCACTCGCCCAAACGTTCACGGCAACCTCGGCTTCGGCCTTAGCTTCGCGCAAATCGTCCTCGTTTAACGCGCGTTCTTCTTTGACGACTTCATCCTCCTCTTCCTCTTCTTCCACGAGAGGTGCTCGATTGCAAACGTTTGCGAGAGTCGACGGAGGTGTTGGAGTCTTTGGAAACAAAGCGGGGATGACGCAAATTTTCACGGACGATGGATTGTGCGTCCCAGTGACGGTTATTGCCGTTAAAGATGGGAACTATGTCAGCGCGGTACGTCTTTCGTTTCTATAGAATTTTATCTTTTCCGCCGCGAAAAGAGGGACTTTTACAAGGCAAAATGGTGGCGGTGTGCATTTTACGCGCGCGCATTCTTCGCGCTCGTTTGGTACGAGGAGGATTGAAACCCATCCAAAAAAGAATCCATTCGTTCGTAACGAGTACTTCTTCTCGCGAATGTCCACTCTCTTCCTCGCGCGTGCGTTCGCGTGATGGTTTCCAGCCGCTGGTTTCGAGCGAAAAGGAGGGCGATTTTTGCTTCTTCTTTCGCCCTCGTGTCTCAAACCCTCTTTCTTTCTTTCTTTCTTTTCTCTCTTTCTCCTTTTTTTTCCTTTTCCGAAAAAGGGAAAAAGGGTCAACAACAACAACAACAACAACAACAAACTGATTATCATCAAATCATCTCTCATCAATGAAATAACAATTAAAAAATAGGTTAAAACTGCGGACGCTGATGGATACAACGCCGTGCAAGTGGCGTACGACGCCGTCGCGGAACACAAAATTACCAAGCCTGAAGTCGGTCACTTAGCGAAGGCTGGCGTGAAGCCGATGAGACACGTGGAGGAGTTCCGTCTCGCGGCGCCGGCGGACGGCATCACCGTCGGCCAGAAGTTGAGCGCTCCGGAAATGTTCAAGGAGGGCGACTACGTCGATATTCGAGGAACGTCCATCGGTAAGGGTTTCCAAGGTTCCGTCAAGAGACATGGTTTCGCCAGAGGTTTGATGACGCACGGCTCCAAGTCTCACAGACAACACGGTTCCGTCGGCGCGGGTACGTACCCAGGTAGAATTTTTCCGGGAAAGAAGATGCACGGTCACATGGGTAACGAGACGACGACGATTAAGCAGTTGAAAATCATGAGAGTGGAGGATGATTGCATCATTATCAGAGGAAACGTCCCGGGTAAGAAGGGCAACTTGATTCGTGTAGCTCCGGCGAAGATTGTCGGGAAAAACTGCTAAACATTTATGGAAGTTAACTTTAACGATTAGCAGATAAATAATATTACTAACAACAGGAGAGCTTAAAGAGGGAGAGAGAGAATATGTGTGTGTATATACAAAAACTTAGCAGCAATTGTGATTGAATTTATTAAACTTACTAAATTTACTATATTACTAATTTGTATTGTACAGCAACTTTTTTGTATTCGGTATCCCCTCTATTAACCGAAGTAAAAATTTACAAAGTTATTGACAAACCATCTCTCCGAATCTACGTCCAAAAACTGACCGTTTTCGCTGAATTTCAAAAGCGACAGGTCAAACTGATCCACGGCATCTCGTATTTGCTCGAGCCTCTCCACGCCTCCGTCGCCTAAGAGGAGGCCGGGCTCTTCTTGAATCAAATAATTCACGCAAGGAGAAGGCATGCCGTAAGATTCCAGCGTTTCTTTCGTATCGCGTATACGCATGGATAACACCTCACCATCGCATACTAAGAGCTCCGGACGATACGTCAGAATATTCGAGACGTCGCAAAAGGGCAACTCTCGTTTCATCGCCAGAATAGATTTCGCCACCGTCGTCGCGTCGGTGAAACAAAGGAAAGGAGAAACCGAGAACGCTCTCAACACGTTCGCTACGTTCGTATCAAACACGTCCGCCAAACGACAGGTGTTATGAATAACTCGTTCTGGATCCTCCAGAACCTTTTCCTCTTTGGCGGCGACTTGACAGAACAATATCGATAACGCTTCGATGTGTCGCTCCGTAATCTTCCTCTTTGTTTTCTCGTCGCACTCCTGAGATATTTTCTTCACCCAAGAGTTCGAAATTCGCTGATAGTCGGTCCACGCGGAACACTCTCTGGCTTCGTACGGACCTAATATGGTGTTGATGGTGTGGTCATCCAGAGACGCAAATTTCTTTCCTCCTCCTCCTTCTTTTTCTTCTTTCTTTGGTGACGATGATGATGATGATGACGATACTATTCTTCTCGTTGTTCTCCCAAAAACGCCGCGTGAAAAGCAGCAGCAATCGTTGCGACGCGCGCGGTTACTAACGACAAAACGCGGACTGCACCAACGCGACGACATTATTATCAGCGCATGATTACGTCGTGTTTGGAGATTTCGCGTTTAAACGCGCGCGCGTGTCAATAATGAAGCGAAAGACCAGCATTTTTTTATCCATGCAAAGCAGTTTTATGGGAAAAGTCGTTACAAAAAACAAAAGTGTATTCTATCGCACGCCGAAAAGAGGAACGACGCAAAGAGTAAAGAGAGCAAAAGAGGAAGAAGACTAAGAACGGGAAGAAGATTTCGACGAAATATGACGCATCTGAGATGAGGACGACGACGACGACAGACGCGTTTCTCCGCGCTTTAGCGCATTCGAAAAGCGTCGAGACGCAGACGCTTTTATTGGACGAGATGCTTCGTTCTCTGATATCTGAAACTGAATCTCTGGACGACGACGACGACGAAGACCGAGCGTGGTTTTTAGATTTGAGACCGAGAGAGAAGTACCAGAAGCACTCTTTGTCGCGCTCTGTGAATATTCCGTTCGATGAAATCAGCGGTTCGTTCCACTTGCTGCCGCCAAGAGAGACGCCTTTTTCGGTTTTCGTAGAAGAGGGGAGAGACGACGACGAAGAGAGTTTGGTGTCGTCGTTTGAGAACCAACGAGAAACTTTTCAGAGAGGAGATTTCAAAGGCGTTCAGTGGAACATTAAATACGCTTTCGTCTACAACGAGCATTTTATCAACGCGGTGAACGCAAAAATGCTGAAGATGCAGAAGGATTCGTCGCTCGGAAACGGCGTTGATACGCACGACGTTCTCGCGCTCAATAACGAAAAGAAGAAAAATAAGAGGAGGTTGTGGGAACCTTCACCTTCGGTTAAGGAGTTGTACAAAACGTTTTTATCATCGTCAGAGACGAATAATAATAAAAATAATAACAACAATAATAGTAGCAGCATCGTCCTCGATTTAGGTTCAGGCGTTGGGCGCGATTCCGTTTATCTCGCGTCCAAAGGTTTCGACGTGCTCGCTTGCGATTTCGACCAAAAAGCTTTAACGAGAACGCAGGAAATGGCAAGACTTCATGGCGTCGAAGATAAGGTGAAAGTTTTGAAGTGGGATGCGAGAAATGACGACGCTTTTATGTGCGCTTTGAGTAGCGTCGATGATGTTTCTCGGTTAAAACTCGTCCTTGGCGTTCGCTTCTGTCACAAACCATTATTCGCTCAAATCGTGAAACACATGCCCGCGGAGAGCGATTGTTTCTTCGCGTGGTTTCACTTCGCCAAAGGCTGCGAGCATTCCAAAGTTGGCCGGCCAAACAAAGAGAAAGATTTAATCGCGCCGAACGAAGAGCTGCGATCAATTTTTACCAAGAACGAAGGATTCGAAGTTTTGAAAGATGACGTCTCGTTCATTTCGGATGGTCGTCCTTCCGCAAATTTCATCGCGAGAAGATGAAATGCCGGTGTAATATACGATAGCGTTTTTAGAATAGTTAGTTTTTAATGATATAATGTACGGTAGCCGCAGCGTAGTGAATAAGTATTATATGTCTCTCTCCCTCTCTCTCTCTCTCTCTCTTTCTAATTTTTATAATAGTATAGCAAAGGTTTTGTTGTTTACTTCTTTTCCTTCTTGGCCGGCGCCGCCGACGACGCGGCAATGGTCGCCTCCGCCTTCGCTCTCGCCTTCGACATAGTCTTACGGCGAGATTTCAAGTCCGCGCCGAGTTTCGCCGTACCTTCCATGGTGTACGAACTCATGGACGCAGTGGAGGAGCCAACGAAACCTTCACCCGCGAATTCCGTTCGTCTGGCGAAGCCGCCCATGGAAGATTGGGACGGGATCGTCAAGTTGGCGTTGGCGCTCTTCGCGACGGTGGAGACCGCGGCGGCTGTGAACAAAGCCAAGGCGGCTCTGCGGTCAACCTTGTCTTCCGCCTTGGCGGTGACGACGGTTTGTACCTTCGATCTTCTCGTCGTTTGCGTCTGTAATAGCGTTAGTATGAACGAGTACGTTTTGGGTGGTGGTCAGTATTTTTGAACAATGAGGGAGATGTTGGCCAGAAAAAACAAAACGGGAGGAATGGAAAATCTCTCTCGCTTCTCTCTCTCATTAAAAAAGAGCCATCTTTCTCCTTTTTTTCCGTATCTTCGAAGGAAGGAAGCAGACTTATTGGGGGCAAAAAATAAAACTCATCGTCTTCTGTCTCTCTCTCACTCCTTCCTTCTAAAGGAAACTCCCTCGACGACGAACGAACGATCGCTTTCAGATAGAGTGGCAGATGAGGATCAAAGCGTTTCTTCCTCGAATGCTTCTTCTCCCCTCTGAAATAAGAGAGAGAGTGCGTTTTTTTACGCCTCATCATAGGACTCCTCCCAATATTTGAGAGAGAGAGAGAGAGAGATAAACAAAATTATCTCATTCGTCTCTTTCTCTCTCTCTCTTCTGTTGTCTGCACCTCCTCCTCAACCGTTGTCGTCCATCTCTCGTCGTCGTCGCGCGATAATCGCAAAAGAGCAGATTTGAAAAAAGAGCGCGCGCGCGCGAGTATAAACGTACCTTCAAGGCCGAGACGGAGGCAATAGTTTGAAAAGAGCTCGCGATCATTTTGTTGGTTTATTTTGTGTGTATTTATGGCGAACCAAAGAGGCGAGTTTCCTCTAGGCTCTCTCGATTAGGGTATAGACAAATGCAAGAGATTCAACAAAACAGAAGAAACAGAGGTTGTGTTTTTGTGTGGTCTACAATATTTTACAACAACAAATAAACTTTTCGTTTTAAAAGTGGAGAGCAGCGGCGGAAATATACAATCTCTCAACCTCTTCCGCGCGCTCTGTATAGTATTATTCTTTTCTTTCTTTCTTTCTTTTTCTGTGTTGGTACAAAAGAATATTCTTATTGTTACGTAGTATTATATTTTCTTCTTTTCTTCTCACGCAACCGGCATCGCGTGAACTTCCAAATCCGGGAAGTACGTGGCTTTGGAGTTGGAACCATTCGCTGCCGATGCCGCCGCCTCTGCCGATACCACGCTCTCGTTCTCCTCAAAGTCATAACGTGAGATTCGAGACCGCGTGACCTCGATTACATCGCCTAATTTCATTTCAAAATTGTGAACGTCGTCGATGTCGACGTTCTCGCGATTTACCCGCAACGTCCGGATGCCGACAAACTCGCTCGAAAAACCGTTTCTCACCGCCGGCATCGTCTTTTGATCGTCGAGCAAATCAACTTCCGATAATCGAGAACCGGCTTCGACTTCTTTGATGCTCATAGAACCGTCGATGACCAAAATGACGTACGTCATTTTAGGCGCCGAAGGACTACCAGCGTTTGGCGAAGAGGACAACGCGTCATTCACGTTTGCTCTCTTCATGGCATCTTCGAGAACGGTAAACTCATCGAAAGAACCGGAAACGTCCAACGGTGCCATTGATTCGTTGTCGCTCGACGACGCCGACGACGGAAACGGGAAGGTGTTCTCCATCGAAGGTTTCCCTGGCAAGCGTACTTTGGATTTATCTTTGACATCTTGCATGCGAGAAAGGACGAAACGAGCCCATCGAATTCCACTCTCATCCACCGGAGACGACAAACAAGTATCGTTCACTTTGTACCGCCAATGCGCTGCGACGCCGAATTCGGCTTGCATGTGCATAGACACCGTTCTCACTTGGACTTCCAAATTGTTCCCGGCTTCATCTTTCACGACGGTGTGTAAAGATTGGTACCCGTTCGATTTCGGGCTCGAGACGTAGTCTTTAAAACTACCTTGAACCTTTGACATGAGTCCGTGCACTTTCGAAATGACCAACTCGCACCCATCCTTACCAGCACTGTCCGGGATAATGATTCGAATGGCGCGCACGTCGCGAACGTCTTCGAGCTTGATGTTTTTCTTTTTCATTTTTTTATACACGGAATACAATCCTTTCTCGCGGCCAACGATTTCCATCGGCTTCAACTCTTCCATGGAAGTATCGTTTGAGATGGCGTATTCGAACGACTCCATCGCCTTCAGAATCGTTTCCTTCGAAGATACGCGCTTCAACTGCGCGCATAACTCTTCGTATTGCTCCGGGTGTAACGTCTTGAAGCAAATATCCTCCAATTCATTCTTGATGGTGGCCATACCCAATCGGTTCGCGATGGGCACAAACACGGCGAGCGTCTCTTCGGCGAGTTTACCGCGTCTCGATCTCGACACGTTCTCCTTCATCGTTCGCATAGTTTGTAAACGTTTCGCGAGTTTGATGATCACGACTCGCGAATCTGTCATAGCTAATAGCAGTTCGCGGAGAGAACGCATTTCTTCAACCTCCAAGTCACGCCCCGACGCTTGGTGTAACTTTGACACGACCGTCAATTTTCCGACATCCATCGCGAGCTTCGTAACTTCTTCGCTGATACCTTTCAACAACAAATCGTCTTTATTGAGTAAAGTTGTGGTCGTCACATCGTGCAGCAGCGCCGCCGAAATGATACCAGCGTCAGCTCCCAATTCGCACAAAATCTTAGCCGTGCCGACGCAATCCAACAACAACGGTCGGTGTCCAAAATCCGAGTGCGCTTGGACGCACACTTTGAACGCTTTTTGAACTTCTCTCGACTCGAACGATTTCGGGTATTCTTCAATCAAACCATTCAAGATAGCAGCGTTTTCTTCGTTCAATCCAAGACTCTCAATGCCGGCATCTTCTTCTTCGGAGGTACGCGCCCCTATCATTTTGCCGAGCTCCTTGGAGAGCTGCGTCGTCAACTGCGACGTGTTTCTCGAAACGACTGAAAACAAGCTCGCTTTCGAGTTTGGAGACACCGGTGGCTTTAAATGATGCGTCAAAGGCTTTGGTGGTGTTGATGATGTCGTCGTGGACGCCGCATTAGTCGTCGTCGTCGTGTCGAAACCAGCGTGCGTTTTAAAGTCTCCTTCCTCCGCCGCCGAGGAAGGCGAGAACATGCCGCTGGAATGGAGCGAATTCGATGACAAGGACGGAGATACGCGCGTAGGCGTCGACATCGGTGGTGTCTTCGCCAACTCTGACGATGAAGAGCTGTTCTTCATAGTCGTTGTCGTCTGCGCCTTCACGCCAAACCCAGAGATTCTCGTTTGCGGAACGTCTTTGGGCAAAGGCGAAGCGCCTTTCACGCTGGACGAACTTCGGAAACTCGCCGGCGACGACGATTTCCCGTACGACTCCGACATTCTGTTCTGTACGGACGAGGACATCGTCGTTGGTTTCGGCGACGACGAGAACGCGGCGGTGAAACCGGAGGTCGCGGCGGAACTCATATTTTTTTCCCTCTCTCTAAAAAAGAGAGACTTTTTACCCCTTTTTTTGTTGTACTCTCCAAGAGAATTTAAGAAGGGTGCCTTTGGTCCACTCGTTTAAACGAAGCGATTTGAACGAAGAGACGTCGCGCGTGTTCTTTGTTCGTATCTGTTGTTTCACGCAGAAGAAGAGAAACGAGGACGGTCAGAAGATATAAATACGGAAGAATACAAAGCGCGCGATATTCTTCGATCGTTTCGATCAGATCCTCGTCGCGTGTGCGCGTATTTCGCGCGAGTCAAAATTCGGAACGCCGTTTCAAATTACCGTTGAAGACGACCAAACACCACTCGTTCGTGTTGACGCGGGAAAAGAGATTCCAATTTTAGAACCGTGTTAAAAGCAACGATGATGCGAACGCACGACGTACCGAGACGCTCGCGAAAGCCGTTCAACAGATACCGCCTCGTTCGCTTTTGTGGTGAAGCGAAGCGATCTCTCTTTTTATGTTTATGTGTGTGCTCTCGTACGCGCGCACTTGAAATTATTTCTGAAGAGATGGAAAATTTTTACGAAGCGTCGTTTTGACTGATTTTTTGAACGACCACGTCGTCGTCAAAAACTCACAAGAAACGGATCTCATCACTTTTTAAAGGGGGAGCGAAATAATACACGTGTGTAAGACACTCTTTTTACAATCATCATAATACGCAGATTTCAAATCGCGGTACTATCATTTGCTACTCTTTTCGAGCGCGCTCAACGCCATCAGTCTCAACACGTCCGTCGGGTCGTTGAGAGTGTTTCTATTTTCAGCGAGCTTCATTTTAATATTCTTCGCGGCGACTTGCCTTTTCGAGTCCTCGGTCGCGCCGTCTTTGTGCCGGTGCTCGTGTTGGTTTCTTTTGTGCAGTCTGGACGATGTGGACGATAACAACTCGTCGACGCACTTTGCAATCGTACGCGCGGCTTCCGACGCAGCCTGTCGTCTGCTGCTCGATTCCCTGTTTTTGTTTTTAGTAGTATCGCTATTATTATTATTTCCTTGTTGTTGTTGTTGTTTCTCCGCCTCGTCTTCTTCGCCCTTCTTCTCTCCTACTTTATTTTCGAATAATAACAATCGATCGAAAGTAGACGCGTATTCATCCGGAGATAACGGCGACGTCGATCCGCTGTACGCCGAGCTCGTTATTCGTTCGACTCGGGCACCGACGTCTCTTCGCATCTCTTCTAATATTTCTTTTCGCACTTGCTCTCTCAACGCCACTCGCATCTTCGAGGGCGACAAGTTATACAACGTCTTGTCCTCTTCATCTTTTTGTTTCAAGAGTAACTTTTTCCTCCTCAACTCTTCCAACGCAAACTTTTCGGACTCTTTCGCTCTTTGCATTTCTCCTCTTTCCTTCTCTAAAGTTCTGTTCAAGTTATCGAAATCTTCGGCGGCGTTTGAGATGTGCCGCTCGACGCGTCTCAGTTGTTCCTCTAAACTCAGCGCTCTCTTTCTTAGCCTTTCGGCATTTTTCGTCGCTTTCTGTTCTTTCAATTTGCTCAAGATTAACTTGGTCGCGAATTTCCATCTTTGTTTCGCGGATACAAACGTCATCTCTCCCAATGCTGCCATTAAATCTTCCATTTGTTCGTTTAACATTATCTTTTCCTCGCGTTCGCTTTGTAACTGTATCTCGTAGTCTCTTTGCAAAGCCACTTGTTTGGAATCAAACTGCGAGGCGATTCTATTGGATGCGTCGATAATGAACGCATCGAAGGATACGTCGACGACTGCGACTGAAGTGTTCATGTTGTTGTGAATTGTAATGCTATCATCGTCATCGTTCTCGTCTTCGTTTCTTCTCGTCTTCTCGTCTTTGTCTTCTTTGTCTTCTTCTTCTTTTCCCCCTCCTCTTCTTGAATCCTTCTTTCTGCTGCTGTTTGGTCCGTTTTGTCCTCCTTTCGGGAACGCTTTCTGTTGTTGTTGTTGCTGAGACTGCTGAGACTTCTTGCGTGCGACGCCGTTGCTGCTTTTCCTTCCCATTCTCGACGGAGAAGAAGAGGAGAAAGAATAATCACTTTTTTTGCCGCTCGTGTCTTCAAAGTCGTTTTCCGTCGTTTTTGTCGTCGTCTCTGAGTTGATGAGTTTGAGCGAAAGTTCACCCAATATCTCCCGTTCCATGCGTGTTTTTATTGATTACAACACGGACGACGCGAGAAGGAAACAACGTAGAGGGGTGGTGGTGGTTGAACCGTTGGTATTTGTGATGATAGTATCGACAAAGGCGGTAACTGTGACGAAAAGTTTTTTTTACACACGCCCCGGGAGGGGGGTTCCCCTTTGAAAAAACAAAAAATGAATGTACAGAAAGATGATGATAAAGGGTAATGGCTTCTAAAATATGTATAATAAACACGCTATCGTCGCACCCAACACAAACTCCTCTCTCTCTCTCTCTACGTAGCACACGCACTCTTCCTTCTAACTCTTCCTTCTAAATAGTTAACTAAAAATATTTACAAATAGCTTAATATATATGCAGGTTATGTGTATAATAATTATCGTCGTCGTCGTCGTCCTCGTCGTCCTCGTCGTCCTCGTCGTCGTCGTCGTCGTATCTTTTTCAAATAAACTGATTGCTTTGCAATTCCAAGTGGCCTCTTTTCAGAGCGACCGGGCGATGAATTCCCGCCGTCGTGTTCGTCGGAGATATTGGAGAGGGGTGCTCCGTCATATCCTCAAAACTCACGCGGTTAGAACTCGGAAAGGCTCCTATACTCGAAGGCGATGCAACGCCGCTTCCGCGGATGTTTTTGTCTTCGGCGGTGTAAACGCCGCCCGTCTCCAAGGAGCTATTACCGTCACTCGCAGCTGATTGATCTAGAACCGGCATCGACATCATCTGTTGTTGTTGATAATGATGATATTGTCGCGGCGAATACATTCCGCCGCCGTAATACGGAAAGTATGTACCAGAGTGCGTAGAACCTTCTCTCGAAGCCGTCGGTATTTTCAAATCCAACGACGACGGCGGCATTGCAACATTTCCACCACCAATAGAAGCCGCAGCTTCAGCCGCACGACGCTCAAGCAAACTCATTCCAGCGGTATTAGTAGCAGTAGCGGCGGTCGCGTTGATGTTTTTATTCATCTCCGCCCATTGCACCTGCATCATATTTGAATTAAGATTCATGTATTGTAACGAGTACGGGACTTGATACATCAGCGGAATCGACTGCTGAGATGGGTTCATAGACGTGGCCATAGCCGCTTGCATAGCTGCCACAGCTGCGGCAGTATTTTGAACATGTTGCAACTGCATTTGCTGATAGAATGCTGCCGCTACATCTGCTTCAGAAATGTTGTTCATATTGAGTGGAGCAGAATTTGGACGAGGTTCGAGACCCTTCTTCTCTCGAGATATGTCCGAGGACGGCGGCCGAACCGAGCGTTGTACATCGCAACTTCTGCGAACTTTTCTCGGCGAACCGATGATCGATTCATCTTGACCAGCCTCGTTCTCAGTATTTCTGCCCCATTCGTAGTCGTCGCTGTTGTTGATGACGTTCTTGTTCTCGTCACCACTGACTTGTTCACCTTTACCGCCGTTTTTCTTCGTGGTGTCCAAAGCGGTTGCCGCGTCGAGCAACGCATCAAACAGTAACCCGCTGTCTTTTCCAGAACAACTGTTCGAACCTTGTCGCTTCAACGTCGGTCGCGTAGGCGTAGCCGCCGTTGCCTTTTCGATGACTCTTTCCTTTCGTTGCCACAGTCTACCAGTAGAGAACGACTTTCCCTTCTTTTTCTTCTCTTCCTCGGTGGGGGCGCTGAGAGAAAATTCGTCGTCGATTTGGACGACGTCCGCCCTTCTTTCATCAGATTCCTGAGAAGTATGCGTACTTTCAGCAATTTTCATCTCAGTATTCGTCGCCACCGTCGCAGTAGTTGACTTCTTTTTCTCCGCACCGTTATCGTCGTCGTCTTTCTCGGTACTTTTCTCTTGAAGTTGCAGCTGGTGTTTCTGCACTGCGTTTGCTGCGGCAGCCGCTTTCGCGGCTTTCGCCTGTTGGCGCGACGGCGATCGAGTATTGTTACTCTCGCCTCTTTTCTCTGCGGTCAAACCACCGTTCGAGTTAATCGCACTACCAGTAGAGTTTGGTAACAAGTGAATGTTCGAATTCGGATCTGCGTATAGTTCGTCGCGCATTTTGAGCATCTCTTGGAGACGATTTTCAATGTCTTCCAAAATCACTTTTCGCGTCGGCGCGCCGACGACGACAAAGTTTCCTCCCCTTTCTTCTCCTTGTTGTTCTTTAAGTCCTCGGGGGGGTTCCTCTTCTTTTCCCGATACCGATGATGATGATACAACCTTCTCCTTCTCCTCTTCGAGTTGTTTAATCAGCATGTCAATCTTCTTCACCTTTCGAAACGGCCAGCGCACGATGCCAAACTCTCGGCATTTCTGTTTAAGAACCGTCACGCATAAGCCCAACTGTTTTATTTGGAGGACAGACAGAGGACAATGAGTAAGGTGGTGAGTTTTGAGTGAAACGCCCCCCCCAAATCGGTCTCCGAGCAAAAAAAACAAACAGTAAATGGCACCCAAATAAGTGCACCCAAAAAACCCAAGACAAAAAAAAATTCTTTCCACGTGTTTTTGTTCTTGTTGTTTTTGTTCCTTCTGACGAGGATGAGCGAGCGCGTGTCTTTTTTTACGTACCTTCTTTGCGGCGTCGTTGATTGGGAGATGAAACACCGTCCTCAAATCATCCATGGATTGGACGTTCTGCACTGTTACTTGCGTGCGATTCTGGATTGATAGAGAGTTGCATTATTTCGCAACGAGTTCGTTAGTACATAGAAAAGAAGACACACGACAAAATTGCGAAATCCAACGTTTCGTCTCTTTCGTAACGAGAGAAAGTTCTCGTTCTGGCTGACGCGATTTTTTCTGTTAAAAAGCGGACAAAAAAAAATCATCTTAAAAACCGCGGTTAACGTCGAGAGAACGACGATGCGAATTGAAACGTACCGGCATGTTAACATAAATACACGACGTATTGATGTTTGATGTGAAAACAGGCGGCTCTGGTTATATCAACGGAGAAGAGCCAAACACTCCTATAGGTATAATTGAAATCTTTCAATGACACTCGTATGTTGTGAAGACGAGAACGAGGTTTGTGTCTTTTGGGAAGAAAGCCAAAAAGAGGAGATTTTTATGTTCGTACTTTAAAAAATACTCGAAAACCAAAAGCCTCTCTCTCTCTCTCTCTCTCTTAAACGCGCGCAAAACACACGACGACGCGCACCTTATCAGAAACAGAAACACGAGAAGACGATAATGAACGACAAGAAGGAGGAGGAGGAGCGGGAACGTTTCTTTCGAGCGACGACGACGTCGTCAACGACTTTAAAAAAGGAGGAGGAGGAGAAAAAATACGCGACAAGAGTTTTCCTCCTGCGCTTCGCTCTTCTCTTCGCGTTGCTGTTTTTCTTCTCGCGCATCTCTCGATCAACAACAACGTCCTCTAATGCTGCTGCTGCGGGTCGTCCGGTGGCCGTGACAATGCAAGAGAAGGTGGAGGAAGAAGAGATCATGCGCAACGTGCGATACCCGGGCTCGACGACGACGACGGAGAAGAAGAAAAAATATCACAACTCTCAATATGGGAAACACTCGTCGGTGAACCTTCTCGTGAACACGAACTCTTTTTTCGCACCAAACGAACATAAAGAAAAAGAAGAAGTGAAAAGAGAGGGACGAAAGCTTCTTCAATTTCTAGCGCCGGTGCGATATAGTCTCGTTCCTCTGTCTGACGCTATTCAGGATCTCTGTGAAGCAATCTTCGATTTATCGATAACGCCTCTGCAAGCGAGGATAGCGCCGTTTTTGAAGTTCCGCGAGACGAACGTGACGGACCCGAAAGACCCTTTGGTTCTTGATAAGGAAAAAGTGAAGGAGGCAATCATGAAAGAAACTTTGCCGTAATCGAGGAAGAAGATAAAGAAGAAGAAGAAGAAGAAGGAAACGATGCGCATTTCTGAAAGTATATATAATATGTGTATATATATATTGAATACCTTTACATAACAAACAATTTACTACGAGTTTAGAACCGCGCGTCGTTTTCTCTCGCGAGCGAAAACGACGTTTGAAGCCCATCCGTCGCGCGCTAACAAAAAATCTAATACGTGTGAGAGTGCACGACTCTTATTCTTTCTGGACGTCAACTTTGAAGGATCCGGTAACTTTCGGGTGCAATTTCACCGAAACATCGTAAACACCAACTGTGGAGATATCGGGAACGTCGAAACCCTTTGTGTCCAACGCTTTCCCAGTTTGTTTCTCAATCGCATCCGCGCAGTCCTTCGCCGTGACAGATCCAAAGATCTTGTCGTCCTCACCGACGGTCTTCTTGACGACAAACTTACCAATCGTGCTCAACGCCGTGGCGATGGCTTGCGCCGCCGCGCGTTCCGCCTCCACCGCCGCGACCTGGTCCGCTTGCTTTTTCTTAAACTCTTGGATGAGCTCCTGCGTTGCTTTTTGCGCCTTGCCTTGCGGCTCTAAGAAGTTTCTGAAGAAACCAGAGGACACGGAAACCATCTCGCCGGCTTCACCGACGTGTTCGATCGAGTCTAACAAAACCACCGAAGTTTTCTTGGCGACTTTCTTGTTCGCCTCGACGACTAAAAATGTTCTTCCTCTGGTGGACGACGACGACGACGACGTGGTGGCCGATTGTGATTTTTTCGCTTGGAACGAAGTCGAGACCGCGACGTTCGCTCTCGCGGATAACTGAGTGGAAGCCATCGAAAACATTATCGGTGATATACGAATGAGTAAATTAAACGGTATTAAACGGTATTTATATATTCGCGAGCGTGGCAAAGAGTGGCGTTTACGAATTACGGTTTAGCTTTTTTTTTTGCTTTTTAAGGGCGGTGGCTTTATCCAAAAAACAAAACCTCAAAAATTTGTCACAAAATGTCAAAGACTGCAGAGGCTCGTAATAGGGAGCTCCTCTGCTACCTTTTTCCAAAATACTCTAAAACTCAAAACTACTATTTCTTTTGTTCCTCTCCACTTCGCATCAAAGTAAAACACAACCATCGTAACTTCTCTTTAGCTTTGACTAAAGTCACCTCTAAGTTTTTCGTGCCGTCTTTTTGTTTCACCAGCGACCACGAGGAGTCGCCAGGGACGATATCTTGGAACAACGTCTCCTCCGCGGAGACGACGGTATTCGGCTGGATTTTTGCGCACGATAAATCTATTTTGTTCTGCCCTGGACCGAATTTTAATGAGATTGAGTTCTTTTCCACGTCTCCCGGGACGTTTGCAATCAAAACCACCTCCTCTTCGTCTTGCATCCAGGTGTACGGGTAGGAAGTTTTCGTGCCTTCGACGGCGATTTCCTGGTTTAAATCAGCCTCCGTCGGCGGCGCTTGGTAGTTCTCCGTCATCATACTTCCCAATCCTCCTTCGGCGTCACCAAACGACGCCATTCCACTCTCGGTGTTTAAGCTTCCACCCATTTTACTGATTTTCTCGTGCGCGTTCCCTAAATTCTGTCTTCTTTCCGTGTTCAACTTAATCGCCTCTTCCACCCACTTGGCGTCCGAGCGCAACTCGTCCAAACTAAAATCTATTCTCTTAAAATCGCTCTTTTCGTCGTCAAATATCCTCGCCACGAACGCGTCCCCGGCCACGTGATTCGGCATGTTCACTAATTGCGTAAAGTCGCTCGCTCTTTTGTTCAAACGTAATCCTTTCGATATCCCTTTATCGTCCACGTACATGTTCACGTGAATGAAATTATTCTTCGTGCCGCCGGGGAGTAACGCCACCGGTTGGACCATTTGCATGTTCGCCGCGACTTTTAACATCTCGTCGTCGATTTTCTGCCCGGATTGCTTTTCCAACTGCTTTTTCAACCTCGCGTTCTGCTGATCTTTCGTGACCGATGTGTCTTCCATGGATTGCATCCCGCTCTCGAGAAAGTGCGTCTTTAACGCGTCCAACAAACACTCCATCTCTCTCCCTGGTGGAATATCTAAGAGTTTCTCCTCGATGGGTTGCGTCTCGTCGCACGGGATGAACACGTATTTGAACGATTTATTATTATTATTATTCTTCGAGACATCGTCCTCTTCTTCTGAGATTTCAACCATTTTGACGACGATCTTCTTCTTTGTTGTCTTCTTTGTCTTACTCTTCTTCTTGTGACTTCAGTCTGTCGCTTTCTAATGTCTCGTTTGTTTATAAAGTGTCAAGATTGTTTTCTTAAGGAGAAAATTTCACGCATCTCACACAACAACAAAAATTCATCACGCACACTTCATATCATCTCTCACCATCCTCTTCCTCTTCTCTGAAAACCGACGACGCAAAAAGAGGACCAAACTTATCACCAAAACCAAACAAAGGACGACGATATAAACGACAATAATGGGGGGACATTGAGAAGAAGAAGGAGGAGAAAAACGATGAAATTCTTTTCCAAATTCTTTTTCTCTTCTTCCTCTTTGATATTTTTATTCGTCGTCGTATTTCTCAACAACGAAGTTCACGCGATACGACCGGAAACGAAGAACGCCATCGACCGCTCTGGATGTGGAAACCATAAAACGTTTCTAAATTCTCGCCGCACTCGACAAATGTGGACAAACGAAGCCATCACTGGTCCGTACGCGTTGTTACATCGCTCGCCTCGAGAGAGTGATTTTTTCAACCGAGTGTTGCTAAAATGCGGGTGCAGAAAAGCAGACAAAGAGAGTGAGGAAGTTTTTCACGAAGACGACGACGATTCAGACGACAACGAGCGAAAAGAGCAGCATGAAGACGAAATTTTTGAAGAAGAGGAAACTATTTGGTGCCAAGATTTCTTACCGGCGTGGTTCGCGTATATTCGAAGGTACCAAGACATTATGCAAGAGGAAGGGAACGCGTCCAAACAAAGTCATCCAATCTTAATCGTGCGGAACGACTGGCAGAACTTGGGTTTCGGACACATGGCAAACGTTGCCGCCGGGTGGATGATGTTTGGATTGTATTCTGGACGCGCGGTATTTTTCGACAACGCGGAAAGTAAGTGGGATTTTACGGAGTATTTCGAAGGGTATTTAGGAGATGGCACGAACGGCGGGATGAGTTTTAAATGGACGGAGGAGCTGCAAGAGAAATATTTCCCAGGCGTGGCGTTGAGCGAGGAGACGAGTTCGACAGTGTACGAGAAGTACGAAGAAGGAAACGGAGAGGAAATAGATTACTTTGCGAGGTTCAATCTGTGGCGAACGAGCGATGCGAATAAGTACACGAAGTGCCAATACGGACCAGACGAAGACGTCGATGTTGGCACGTGCTTTCACGGCGAGGATGCGGACAAATGCAGGTACGGCGAGTTTTTAGAAGAGCCATGTTTGACCGAGAAAGAGATGCGTTACGAGTGTCCATTTGGTTCCAGAGAGGCGTTCGGTTGCCCATCGTGTAACAAATGCATAATACACGCGTTCAAGACAAAGCATGTTATCCTCTGGGATTCATCCAGCGGATCTGGTGGTGCTCTTCCGATTGAAAGAAGAAGCGCAGACGTGATGACCCAAAAAAATCTCCCGCCTGAGATTGTCTTTTCAGACGAGTTAAGGGAAGCTTTGATGGAAACGGCAGAGAAGAGATTTGGATGGACGCACGCGAAGAGTTTTGGTTCGTATCATCATCAGAGTCTCGGGAGAGAGGAAGGCATGGTTCCGTTGCAGGCATTTGAGCAGTGTCTTCCATGCGCGATGAATTTGTTGTTGCGGCCAAAGATGGATCTACTGGCTTGGAAGCATTTGTTACGTTCGGATGTTGCGTTTGCGAATCGATTAGTTGGCTTACGAGCGAGAACTGGATACGCCGAAGATAAGATTTGTTTTCCAGAAGATATGCCTCCGATGGCCGAGTGCATAGACGAAACGTTCTTCAACGAAACGTGTTCGTCGGTAGAGTTACAAAAGTGGCACATTCGATTGCGGGCGACGACGTATAAAGGTCTTCCTGGAGAAAACGAACGGATTTTAAAGCCCTCGGAAGCGGTGGAATTCATAAAGAACCGCTTGGACGCTACAATCACGCCTGAGAGGGAATACGAGAGACTATATCGCCGCGGGTACTCGCTTTCAAAGCGTTCGCTCGAACGACGGGCAAAAATGAGGAATCCAGACGACAACTTCATGTACGTCGTCACGGACGCGCCAGCCTTGCAAAACTGGCTCGAGAAACAGTTTCCAAGTATGACCCGATTTTCTCCCGGCGTCGGCGTCGATCCTACGAATGATTTAAGAGAAGACCATGCGAGCGATGCGGACTCGCGAGCAAAGATTGCGATCGATTTCAAAGTCCAAGGATGGATCGATGTCAGTCTCACTCTTTCGCCGAGTCAGTACTACAGCGCCGCGGATGTGCAAAGTTTCGATAACTTGAGATCATTTGGTCAGGATAAACCAAGCGGTCGGGTAGTTGAACCGCCTAAAGAAATGAAGAGTAAAGAATTAATCGGTTTCGTATCGCCAAAAGAGCTCTACGTGAAGAATGTCGAGGTTTTGCGAGACAGAATTGAAAGACGAAAAGAAATGTGCGGCGGGGAGGACGATGCGGGCAGTCTCGAGTTGCGAAAGTTTCTTCCTAAGAAAAGTAGCACGGAAGATGAACGAGAAGATGAACGTAGATAGATAGATAGGCATAGTGAGCGATTGTTAGTAGTTAATAGATTTATTTGTAGTACAGTCAATCAAATTAAATAGTAAAGATAGGAATATGTGTGTGTGTAAGTCTAAGATTCTGTTTTTATGTTTATCGTTGTTCATCGTGATGGTTTATTCGTCAGAGCTCGCAACTACTTCGTCCGTTGGAGAACCCCCTTCGGCGGCGGCTTCCGCAGCAGCGACGCGTTCTCTGAACAATTTACCCATCTCTTCGGCCTTTTCGTAAACTAAACTCGGGTTTCTCAACATATCGCCGTGGTTCGGCTCCAATTTCTTCGTGGACAAAGACAAACGCCCGCGTTCCTTGTCCTTGGACAAAATCAACACCTTCAATTCGTCACCCGGGGACAAGACGTTTTCAACCGCAACAATTCTCTCGTGCGAAATTTGAGAGATGTGCAACAAACCACTTTGGCCACCAACATCAACGAACGCACCGTACGGCTTGACCGCCTGGACGATGCCAGTGACGACGTCCCCAACATCTAAACCTTCGCCAGAAACTAAATCAGTCGCCAATCTGTGCGACGCGACTAAGCGGTTCTTCTCTTCATCAACTTCGATAAACTTCACCGGTAAAGTTTGTCCAACCAATTCGTCTCTGTCACCCAAAGCTAAGCGAGGGCCGAGGTGGGATTGCGGGATGAAGCCTCTCAAGTTTTCAACCTCAACTAAGATACCGCCTCTGTTCACCGACAACACTTCGCTCGACAACGCCAAGTCGTCCGCTTGCGCTTGTCGGCATCTCTCCCATGCCGCTTCTAATTGGATTTTGCGCACGGACAACGTCATCGACCCTTCGCCGTCGTCGCCCTTCACAATTTCAAATTCGTACTCTTGTCCTTCGTCGAATACCGCCGCGGCGTTACGAACAGACGCCAAGGAGCACTCCACGGTTGGGCACAACGCAGGGGCTTTTCCGCCGATATCGACGTAAGCACCTTTGGTGTTCATCGCGGAGACTTTACCCATGATTTTGTCGCCAACCTGTTTATTTATTACGAAAGAAGAGAACGTGGTGGTGTGAGTACTACGCGCGATGATAGGAGTGTCGGTTTACGGCGTCGTGGTAAGAGAAAAGCAGCAGCAGCGGCGAAAGAATTATTACTAATTTTTCCTTATCCGCTGGCTTTTGCGAAAACCTGAAACGCAGCCGTCGAGAGGGAAGAAAGAGGAGGAAAAAAATCGCTCGCGCGTATAATTCATACAAACCCATGAATGCGAGGGGACAGACGATGACGCGAAATTACCTTGTAATCGACTAAATAGTCACCCAACATGCCGGAAAAATCATCGTACGCGGCTTTGTTTTCCGCGGACGCGACCGGTTCGGTGATGACGGCGCGAACACCGACGGATTTACGCGACGACGATGACAAGGTTGATTTCTTGGTGGCGGTGTTCTTCGAAATCGACCTCGTCGTCGTGGACGCGAACTGCGTGGAGACTCTGTGTGCAAACGACATCGCGATGGATATAAAACGCGAGAGTTAAATTCGGATTCGATGTACAAAAAACGACTCCTCTGTTTTGAAGAGAGCGCGCGTCTGCGTGAATGTGAGGTACAATGTTTCACTCGGGGTGGTTTTTTTTATCTTTTCTTTTCTTTTGCCAAAAAAGCTCATCACGCAAGAAAGAAAGAGGAATCAGTCATCATCATCAATCAAGGCGAGACGAAGAGAAAGGTCCAAAGGGCCAAAAAGACAAAAAAAAAGGGGAAGGTGTAAAAGAACACACAAAAACAAGAGAACCGTCGTGACAAAAAAAGAGAGAAAAAACGAATTATTTGTGATTTGTGATTACTCTCCCTTTTATTATAAATACTACTTTTACGACGACGACGACTTGTTGGGAGAATGACGCGTGAAGGAGCGTCATCATCAGCGCATCATCGTCATCGTTCTTCTCTTCCTGGTGGATTTCTCGGATTAAAAAATCTGATGAATTCTTCCTCGGGGGGAGTTGCACTCAAATTCGTAACGAACACTTTTAAAAACAACAACAACAACAACGAAGAAGAAGAAGACGACGAGAAGAAGAGGAAGAAGAGGACAAAAAAGAATGGGTGTGAATTTTATACCGACGACAACGACAGGGATGAAAGAAAGAAGGAGAGAGAAAGAAGGACGAGGAAACCGATGCGATCGATCTTAACGGCGTCCATCTCTTCAAAAAGTACTTCTGCGAATGCTCATTTTAAGAAGACAACAACGAATAGTACTAATAATTCGGAGACGACGACGACGACGGCTGGTGACGATAACGATGATGATAACGATGATGAAAATCTCCCGGATCCGAATTCGTACGGATTCAAAGCGTTACAAAGACGGTTCAACGATTTATCCGCGAACAAAGTTGAAATTACCGGCGAGGATATCCGCGTCGCGTTGGAGAAGTTGAAGTTTCCAGCCTCGCGAGACTCTGTCTTGTCGTTTATGAACAAAATAACGAAGAAGCGAAAGGAACATTTCGAAGACTGCCCGACGCTCACGTTTCGCGAGTTTCAAGTCTACGCGGTAAAACGAGAACGAGAACTGTTGAAAACATTTCGGCAGTTTGATAAGCAGAATTTGGGGTACTTGACGCCGTGGCAGTTGAAGCGAGTGCTCTTCGCGCTCGGGCGATGGACGGCGACGAACAAAGAGGTGGATTCAATGGTAGAACGCATAAAACGAGGTGAAGGGGCGTTTAGTAAAGGAAAAGGTTTGTTTTCTCCGAAATCGTTACCGAAAAGTTCAGATGGGAAAGGCGGATTTGTTTCCATGGGTAAAGCGATCGATTTTGCCGAGTTTCGAGACTTTCTGTTGCTCTCTTCGGCGGCGGATTTGGGAGACGTCGTCGAGGTGTGGGGACGAAGCATGACAGATTTGAATCACTCGTTCGTGACCGTTCCAAAAGGTGCGTCTGAAAACGAAAAGAGGAAAGCGCAAGCGAAAGCGGTGTCTTTGCATTTGCTCGTCGGGGCGATTTCCGGCGGCGTATCGCGGACCGTCGTCGCTCCGTTGGAACGCGTAAAGATTGAATACATGCTCGATTCTTCGAAAATTGCCGCTGATGGTGGCGTTCTGGGTTCCTTAAAGCGCATCATCAGAACAGAAGGTGCACCCGCTCTCTTTCGCGGTAACTCTTTGAACGTTTTGAGGATCGCGCCGACCAAAGCGGTTGAGTTTTTTGTCTACGACACGTACAAAGCGAGACGGTTGAAAATGAAACAAAAAGATCAAATCGAGAACGAGAAAGAAAATAATAATAACACGAACAACAAAACCGCTGCGGGGGATTTGAGCGGAGGTGAACGCATGATCGGTGGATCCGTCGCGTCCATGTGTGGAACTGCTCTGACGCATCCAATCGATACGCTTCGTTCGCGCGTCTCCGGGACCGGCATGCGCCTCGAAGTCGCTTGGTCGGAACTCATCAAAAACGAAGGCCCGAAAGCGTTGTGGAAAGGTTTAGGCGCGAACATGATTCGAGTTGCTCCTTACGGCGCCATCAACTTCTTCGTGTACGATTATTGCAAGCAACAATACAAAAAGTTTCGCGTGCGTTTCCTCAACGAAGACGAATCGACGCTATCGCAGTCCTCAAATCCTTTACCGACGTTGTGTTTCGGCGCGCTCGCGGGAGCCGCCGCGCAGACCGGCGTCTACCCGATCGAGCTCGTACAGCGTCGAATGCAAGTTCAAGGCATGAAAACGCTCGCCCATGGTGCAAAAAATGCCACGCAGTACAAAAACGTCGTTCAAGGCATGGTGCACATCGCGCGAGCCGAAGGTATTCCCGCGCTTTACGCCGGTTTGATTCCAAACTATACGAAAATTTTCCCCTCCGCGGCGGTTTCGTTTTACGTGTACGAACTTTTGAAAGAACTGTGGGGTTTGCAGTAAAAGGGAGACAACCAGTTAACTTTCATTTTTAGGTGATGGTGTTCGACACGCAGACGACTGATGATGTAAATACTAATAGTAGTCACTTTAAAAAATTCCTCTGTCTTCGTCTCTTCATTTTTTCGCACAAAAAAATTTTAGTGCACTCGCCACAAGAAAGAAAACACAATCACACAATTGAGATGGGATTGTTTGGGAACAAGAAGAAGAAGGACGACGGGGACTCTTATACGAAATCATTCCCGACGACGACGACGGAAACGACGACGCAAGGAGGATCAGGATCGGGAACAAACGGTAGTAAAATGAAATTTTACGAGAACGGCGAAGAGGACGAAGAATTGTTAAAGCAACAAGCGTTGAAGCATTTGACGAAAGGCTGCGCGATCGACGATTCGTTGAAAGAAAGCACAATAGACGTGGAGAATGATTTCGGAGGAGCCTCTTCTGAAGAGAATCAACTGGAAGCGTCTCCGATTACGGTGTACGCGACGGAATATCAAGAGTCAAACGCTATAAAGATAGCCGCGAACGAGACGTTTTGTTGCTACGGGATTCGGAACGGGTTAGTCAGAGTGTTGAGTCAAGTGAGTCAATCGCGCTCGCTTCTCAGAGGGCACGAGACGCCAATCGCGAGCATGAGTTTTTTACCGTCCACGAACGAGGAAGAGAACATTTTGGCAACCTTGAGCGAAGATGGGACGTTGCTTGTGAGAAGACTAAACGAGGACGAGAGTTCGGAAACGATCAGCGACTCGACGCTGTTGAAGTTGGACGTGTCGAGCGAAGCGGACAACGTGAACGGAACGACCACTTCGAACGACTCTTTAATCGTGCCGAGCTTTCGCTGGTTTCCTAGAAAATCATCCAACGACAGCAAAGCGGAATTTTTGATCGCGTATGGGAACGCAATCTTCAAATCTTCCGTAGATTTAAATGAAGATGCCGGCGGCCAATCGCCGATTCCGTTTGAAGAGAACGTAGACTTGCACGGCCCGATCACTTCGATTGACGTTACAAACCAGCGACGAATCGTCGCGACGACTGAAAGGGACGTCTCAGGGTGGTATGGTATAGTAGTGTTTGAGTTAGAACCGCAAGGTTTAGGATTCACGAAGACGACTTTGTTAAAAAGGGAGTCAATGGGAAACTGCGCGGCGCGATGGATGAATGAGAACACGTTGGCCGTAGCCACCACTGTAAACGCGAGTTCGGGCTGTGCTTACATCGAATGCTTGCATTACGACAAAAAAACAGAAACTCTTAAAACGACTCAATCGATTAAAATTGGATGTTCTTCCGAGTGGTTCTGGAACTCTTTTCAATTCGCCAGGGTCGGGTATAAAGATAAGCAGTGCTTTTTGTTTGCGGATTCCAAGAGAAACGTCGTATACGCTCTTTCTGTGAATGAACACGAGAGTAAATTTAATTACATTTCTCAATTTAGCGTGTCGCAACCGATTTTATCGCTTGTAGCTCTCGATGTCTCGGATGAAGACGATGATGTACAAAGCGCGCAGTTTGGTCTGTTTTGTATGCAAACCGGCGCGATTCAGCAATTGCGTTTACCGATGTTAGATTGCGTGCGATTGTTACCGAAGGGTAAAAGCCCTTCTTCGACTATTGCGGACCAAGTACAACAGGAACTCCCTTCCATTATCACCGATGCTCCTCCTCAGCGCGCTGCCTCGCCGGTTGTTTCGGGACTCTTGACCCCGGATATGTTTAAGAAATCTATGTCGCAATCGGCAAGCGCAGAGGAACTCGCACCGAGCTCTCCATCGGTGAGCGATAAACCTCCGCCTCCAATTGCGCAGCAACAGGCGAGTAAACCGGCCGCGGCGCCTGTTTCAGCGCCAGTTACTTTTGCTACTACCGCTACTACAAGTGGCGACAGTGGTAGTGATAAAGAAGTTGCAAAGTTAATCAGAGAACTAAAGAATGAACTTAAACAAGATCGAGATAAGTTGCGAAAGGAACGCGAGAAAAGAGACAATGCGGAGCGCGAACGACAAAAGCAATTAATCGCGCTGATGTCGCAAGCAACCACGAAAGATTTACCAAGCGCGATATCCCAAATAGTTTCGGAGCTTTTGGGTGAAAATGCCGCCGCAGTGCAAGCTGCTCTTGCGACGAACGCGGCAGCTTCGCAACGCGCCGCCGTCGCCGCCGCAAAGGAAGCGGTGCAAACGACTCTTCAATCCGAAATTCGACAAGCTATGCAACAAGTCATGATTCCAGCGTTTGAACGCTCGACGCAAAACATGTTTAACCAAATTGCAAACACTTTCGAGCGCTCTATAGGTGAACTTAACAACGAGTTGATGCAAATTAGAGATCAATCGGTGCAAGCAAACGCGATGCCTCTCGTCCAAGAGTTGCAAAGAACTGTGAACGAGATGAGAAGTTTACCGCAGTCCTTAGATTCTGCACTCAAATCTTCCGTTTCCAACGCATTTAGAGGTATGCAACAACAATCTGGTCCATCGCAAGGAATGTTTCAGCAGCAAATGCCGCCACAAGCTGGTGGAGGAGGAGGAGTGCGTTCACTCGCCGACTTGGAGCAACGGAAACCGCCGCCGCAAGCGCCACAGGATCCTACTTTAGAGATCAAGAGATTGTTGAATACCGGCAATCTCGACGCTGCATTTTCATCGGCGTTAGGTACTTCCAATCTCGAAATTGTCTCGTGGTTGTGTTCTCAAGTAGCTCCAGAGCGCGTGTTTGGACAGCATCCGTGTCCGTTGTCGCCGTTCGTGCTACTTTCGCTGGCGCAACAGCTCTCTTCGGATTTGACGACGAAAGACGCGGAGAGAAAGCTCGATTGGATTCGCGACACGTGCTTGGCTATCGATCCTCAAGACCCCGCGTTGAAGTTGCACGTGCGACCGGTATTGACTGCCGTTTACGAGTCTTTGCGAAAATTAGGATCGAGTTCTCAGAACATTTCGCCCAGCGTAAAAGCCGCCGCGCGTTTGGTCGTGCACGTGGTTAACAGTCTCTTGAGCGCGTGTCCTTAAGAAGCATCTTCTGTCATAAAAAACTTTAACTACTGGTACAACTACATCTAATCTGCTCTAAAGTCATCTACAACTACATCTAAATGATTTCTCTAAGAATATCTCTTTTTCTATTTCTATACGCCCTCAACAGTTCGATATCGCCTTCGTCCATCTGTGTTTCCTCAAGTAAGTGTTTAAAGATCCTTTCAATGTTCGCGTCGTCGTCCGACGCAAATCTTTGCGAAAGAATTTCCTCCGCTCTTACTCTCACAGCGGCTATTGCCATATCGTTATCTCCAGATATCTCGTTGAGTACGAGTAACGTGGTGTTATCGACTTTCGCGTTTGGACTCAGGATAAATCGACGCCGTTCATCGTTATCATCGTCGATAAAATCTCCTTCGTCTTTCTTCTTGAGTAAACCGAGCGCTCGTTTGCATTTGTATTTCATCGCGTCCCATTTTGTATCGTTTTCATCCGCGCCGCAGAGATTTTGGTACCAGTTCAAGCACTCGTCGACGTTTTCCCACATCATGACTGAATTGCACGGGTTCATGGACGGTAAGAATCCATAAAATAACAGAAAGTGCTGATCGTTTCTCTCGCCGTAGGAAAGAATCAACTCCTCGTCTTTCCCGACGTTTCTTTTCGCCTCGACGATAAACGCGCTCAAATCTTCCTTCACTCTCCAAGTCACGTTCACTTCCTCCTCCACGGACGAGTGGTTTAATAAATCGACGATTGGAATCATCACTCTCCGCGGCGCTCTCCTACCTCTCGCGTCTTCAATTCGAAACGTCCTCGAAAATACTTGACTCAACGCCCAGCCGTACTTTTCTTCTTCTTCTTCTTCGCCGTGGCGGCGGCTTCGCGAAGACACTTGTTTTTCATACTTCATCAACTCCTCCTTCGCGTCGTGATCGCCCGTGGCCTCGAAAAACTTGCAAACGAGTTCGTATCGCGTGTTATTGTCGTAAAAGCAACACTTATTCGCGATGCCGATCATCTCCTTCGGCAGCGCGTTCGCGTACGCTATCTTTAGTTCTTTCTTTTCATCATCACTCAAAGTACTTCTCCTCCTTTTCACTAATATCTGTTTGGCTAAACTGGCGGCCCAATCATCATCTCCTTTCTCGTAATTGTCGATGAACACTCTCTCGTCTTCTTTCTTCAACGAAACGTGGAAGAGTTCCTCCTTCGCTTTAATCTCTCTCGACGCGAACAAGCCTCGAACGCGAGTCGTTTTATCGTACCCGATGGAAGCGCGAGCGTTGGAATGTTTCGTAACGAACTCGTCAAAATCTTTCTCGTCGTCTGCTTTTCCCTTCTTTAAGAGAGCACAATAAGCAATGCGAGGAGGACACCGACAACGGCGGCGGCGAGATGAATACCAAGAAGAAGAAGTTAAAGAAGAGGAATGCGTCCGAGTGACCGCCTTTATCCACGCCATGATGATTCTTAATGAGGAAGATGATGCAAAAAAATGTACAGTCGAAGTAAGCAAAAAATATCAAAAATTAAAAGACGCGAGTGTTGACTTGCGCTCGATAGATGGAAACCTCGCCGTCGTCGCTGTTCGTCAAAGTCATCTTCTCGTTGGCGTTGGCAAAAACGACCGATCCTTTCTCAATCATAACGTCGCCGTTGAGTGTACCTTTCCCGTTTTTCACGAGCAAAATCGAAGGTCCTTGGCTTACCGTCAATTCCGCGGTTTCGTTTTTCGAGCACGAGATGACTTCCAACTCGAACTCGTCAAACGGAGGCGAATATCGTTTCGTGTTTTTATCGATGACATCTCCCGTGAGAACCTCTGGTTTCCCCAACTTGTACGTCAACATGTCGCATAAGATTTCCGTATCTCTCGCTTTCGGCGTCAACCCGGCTCGCACGACGTTATCGCTCGTCGCCATGACTTCCACGCATTCGCCGTCCAAGTACGCGTGCGGTTCGTTCGCCGCCATGTATACCGCCTCTCCTGGTTGCAACTTGATGTAATTCAACAAGTACGCGCACATGACGCCGACGTCGTCTGGATATTGTCCGTTCAATCTCAACGCCAACCGGTCTCTCTCGTCGTCGCCGTTTCCTCCTTTTCCTTCTGCCTCCTCCTTTAATCGTTTCACCAGCGCTCGCACGTGCTTCGCCACCTCTTCTTTTTCCGCCAACATCACTTTCGTGAACAAATATTTCATCTGCGCTTTCTTATCTTCTTTCATGGCATCCATCTCTTCCAAACGAATCCCGGTCAACAGTTTCAATTCCGGGCACTTCTCCAACGCTTCTTTCGGTTCGCTAATAAAACCGCTCATGGCTTCAAATTCAGTCACCGCTAACGCCATCTCCGGTTTATGATTCGCGTCTTTATACATGTGCGGTTTCTCTTCGTGTAACTTCTCCGCTAACTGTTTATCCGGATGCGCTTGGATCGAAAGCGCTTTCGCCACGGATAAAACTTTCAGCAAAAACGGTAAATCGTTCCCAAACCTTTTTAAACATTTCTCCCCGAGCGTTTCCTTCGCGTTCGCTTCCACGTGTTGCTTTAAAGAAGAAGAAGAAGAAGAAGAAGAAGAATCAGTTTCTTTAATCACGTTCAGTCCGCTCAGATGCGTCCCCATCCATAACTCCGCGTGTGGTTTCTCTTCATCAATTTTTTCCTCTCTGTTTAAAGAACCGAGTTCAGCCACCGCGCTTGGGGTTTGTCCGGAAACGCCCCAATCGTAATGCTGAATAGCGCATTTCAGCTGTACCAGTGCGCCGCGTTTCATTATAAATAATACTATACGACGACGGGGAATAAAAATGAATAAAAATTGGAGAAGAGTTTTGACAGTTTTGAGTCAACGAGAAAGAACGAATAAAACGGAAAACGGCCCCCAAAAGAAAAGACACATTTACATGTGAAGAAGAAAAAGAGAAAAAGAAAGTTGACACACAACAACGAATGGGTGGGAAAAAGATAATATCCGGCGCGCAGAAGAGAAAGAAGAAGAGGGAGAAAGAAAAGCTCGCCGCGGAAATGGAGCGGTTGAAGCTCGGACCGACGGAGTTATGGAACGGATTGGTGTTGCATCATAAGGATGTGTTTGTCTCGCATGTGCTTCCGAAATTGAAGACGACAGATCGGTTTTTCTTTTCAGAGGTGAATAGAGAGAGTTGGGGTGTGCTTGAGTATGCCGGGGTAAACGTATCGGGATTAGGTTACTCTATTGTTGAATTAACATCTATTTCAACGTTGGAATGGGCGTGGAATAACATACGCTGGGGAGAGAAATATGAAGATGGAAGAGTGAAAGACCAAGCGTGGTTTTGCATGGGAGTTGCTGGAACGAACAAACTCGAGTTTCTCAAGTGGGCGAGAGAAGTGAAACACTGCGAGTGGGATGAATGGACGATTAAAGCGGCAGCAGCTAAAGGTAATCGCGAGATGTTGAAATACTGTTTCTATAATGGTTGCCCGTGTGATAAAAACGCTTCGTGTAAACAAGCTGCTCTTGGAGGACACCTCGACTGTGTTCGATTTCTTTTCGACAAAGTGAAACCTTCGCGAGATATGGAAGAAGAAGTGGCAGGACAAGCAACAGGTGCTGGTCACGTGGAGATCTTGAAATATATCGTCGAAGAAAGAAAGATATCTGATGTAGCAAAGCTCGCCTGCGCGGGACAAGCTGCGTGGCAAGGCCACCTCAATTGCCTTCAATACTTAGTCGAAGAGGCGAAAGTGCCTCTTGACAACTGGCGATACATCGCTTCGGCTCGGATCTTAAAGCACCACGACTGCCTAAACTACTTGCTCGAAAAAGGATCTCCAGAACCAACGGACGAAGAATACGATTTGTTTGACGAGGAACAACAACAACTACGCTTCAGAACAGCGATTGCGAGGTTAGCGGGATTTCCGGGATTCTGATAGCGACGAAGAGAGAGAGAGACTGAGAGAGAGACTTGAGAGAAAGAGAAGCTAAAAAAAGGGCGACACAAAGAACACGTAACGCACAGAATAAATAAACAACAACACATACGCACACACACAGAATACCACTTGTAGTACTTCTCTAATAAAACGAAAACGAAAGAGCGACGACATCAAAAAATGAAGCGAGGCGCGGCGTCGTCTGCGAATCAAGCGCTCAAATTAACCATGGACATGTTCCGCTCGAGAACGAAAACCGGGAAACGAGAGGCGAAAAATCTCTTGTTTCCCTTAGCGCAAAAGCTGACGGGCGAAGGCATCATCGAAAAACCAAAATGGTTACAGGCGATGGAACGGGTTCACCCGGCGAACACGGCGATTGGGATGAACGATTTCCTCGCCGAGAAGAAAGAGAAGATCGTCTATCCCGAGGATAAGTTAATCAGGGCGTATTATAATCGAAGGCCGTTGGCAAAGTTGGAAGCGATCGATATGCACGCAGGTGAGAGAAACGAAAAGGAAGAAACCTCTTCGTCGTCCTCTTCGAAAAAGAACAAAAATACAGGCAGACATTTCGTGAGACAGTTTGCATTGAGACAGTTGGAATACATGAACCAAAAAGCGCAACCGTTAATTAGGACGAAGCAATATCCATCCGGACGAAAATATACGGAAGCAGAAGCTAGGGAACTGGTTGAGAAAGAAGCGGAAGAAGAACGGCGTTTACTGGCGAGGAACCGAGAAGGCGATGAAAATCCATTCGTACCAACTTTGATTAGTAAAATTAAAGTCGATCCAAACCTTTTAGAGGTCATTAATAAAGAAGAGGAGAGCTATTGGATGAAGAATAAAGAGACGAAAGCGTCGAACGCGGCTTTAGGATTAGATGGTAAATCCGGCATCGTCGGTAGATTTAGTCGAGGCGCCATGCGAAAGAAACGAGAAGAAAGAGATTCGCCGTCTTCCAACACTAGCAGCGCTTCAACAACAAGTACAACAACAACAACAACATCAACATCAAAAGTAGACGTTTAGGAAATAATAATAATAAGGTTAATATTAAGAAACTATAGTATTGCTTTGTTATCAAAAGAAGGGTTTCATCCTTCCGCGTGCCACACGTTGTTCGTTTTCCGAAACACGACTTCCCGCATGATGTGAATGCTATTTCTATTCTTCTTCTTCATTTTACTATTATTATTATCTTCTCTGTCTTCCTCTTTGTCTTCGTCTACCATCATATCGAATCTAAATTCCACCGGGCCTCTTTCTTGATCCCCGGATATCCCGCGATATTTCCCCGTCTGTAAAATCTCAATCTCTCGTTTCATCCGTTTCCACCTCTCGCCGTTTTCCATCGTCCCTTTTAAACTCTCCATGAAATATACTCTATCTTCTTCCTCTAAATCGGGAGGCGCGAATACTTTCACGAACTGTTCGATCTTATCTTCTTTGCACAGTTTATCCAGAACGTCCACGTAGAGTTTGAGTTGCATGTTTTCTATTTTATACGAAGACGTTTTCCATTCCTCTTCTTCTTCGGTTTCGAGTGCTTTTTTTTCCATCTCCGAGTACATGAAATCATCATCATCATTTTCATCGATATCGTCTTCATTATTTTTCATTTCCAACGACATAGCATCGCGCGTCTTCAAAGCCAAGTTGGCTTTCTTATCATCGTTGTCGTCTTCTTCTCTCTTCTTTACCATTAGTATTAGTATTAGTATTAGTATTAGTATTAGTATTAGTATTATTAGTATTAGTATTAGTATTCGTTTGGTATTATTATTTATGACGCACAAACAAACAACTGCAGTGATGAGAAAATGAGAAAAGTTAGTTTTTGAGATTCGAGCGAAAAAAGGAAAAAAGCGGCTGTCGCATGACCTGATGACAAAAATATCTCTAAGAGAATTCTCTGCATTAGATACACACACGACTACACGTAATAAGAAGAATAAACTATGAACGATAAAGATCAATTAAAGAGAGATTTGCACAAAGCTCTGTTAAACTCAAAAGTCATCGCGTTCCCGATCGCAGTCAGACAAGCGTGGCACTCCTCCGGGACGTACGATAAACACAGTAATACCGGTGGGTCGAACGGCGCGACCATGCGATTTGCCCCAGAGAAAGACGACCCGGCGAATAACGGGTTAGGCATCGTTCGAGACATGCTTCACGAGGTGAAGAAAGTACACCCGAACATATCCGAGGCGGATTTGTATACCTACGCCGGGGCGTTGGCGGTGGAATTCGCCGGTGGGCCGCACGTGCCGTACTTGTTCGGGAGGACGGACGATTCGACGAACGCGAGGTGCCCTATGCACGGACGGTTACCGGACGCGAGTCAAGGAAAAGACCATTTGAGAGACGTGTTCCACAGAATGGGCATGAGCGATCGAGACATCGTTGCGTTGAGTGGAGCGCACACGTTAGGACGGTGTCACTTCGTTCGAAGCGGATACGATGGTCCTTGGACGCACAATCCTCTGAAGTTTGATAACGAGTATTTTCGAAACTTGGTGTCCTTGACCTGGGTACCGAGAGAGTGGGACGGAGAGATGCAATACACGGATAAAGAGACGAAAACGCTGATGATGTTACCGACAGACGTGGCGTTGATACGAGATGGAACGTTTCGCAAGTACGTGGAGTTATACGCGAAGGATCAAGAGGCGTTTTTTCGCGATTTCGCGGACGCGTATTCGCGGTTGTTGGCGTTGGGCGTCCCGCACTGCTGTCCGCACGCGCAAGCGCAGAAAGCTGGAGAGATGAAACGGAAATCGGCCAAGTTTCGCGAGAGCGCGATGCACGGTGTCGTGGAGATTAAAAAGTTAGCAGAGGGTGCGGACGTGAGAGAGGGTGATCCAGGGAGCGGGAGAACGGCGTTGCACAAAGCCGCGTATTGGGGACACGCGCACACGATTCAAACGTTGGTCGATTTGGGCGTCCCTCTCAACGCGCAAGATTCCGATGGCGATACCGCGTTACACGATGCCGCCAGGTTTGGTCACTTGGAAGTCGTGAAGCAGTTGTTGAACGCGCGAGGTGTTGATATCGGTTTAAGAAATAGACAAGGATTGGACGCTTTAGGATTGGCGAAAGAATACGGGAAACGAGACGTCGCGGACGCGTTGGAACAGTTCAAAAGGAACGGCGGCGGAAGCAGATTATAACAACCATAACGACAGCGCTCGCTGCGAAATGGGATATTAATATTGAAATGATGTCAAAGCTAATACTCTGCGTCTAAATTCGCCGATCGGTCTCGCATGAGCAACACGAATAAATTTCCTTTATCGCCTCTCGAAATTCTTAAATCCTCGTCTACGAAAGTCGTGTCTAATTTCCCTTTCGCGCTTTCCGGCGCGTTGATTTTAATCAACCCGCCGAACAATCCGAATTTCTTAAACTGTACATCCACGCTCGATTTCGTGGTTGGCGTTAACTCCGCGCTCACTTGGTTAAAAAATGGCGCGCTTTCGCTATTAAACGCTCGTAAATTCCTCGCGTCGATGGTTTGGTAAATCGGCCCAGACGGTTGAAAAATTTTCGGTTTCGTCAAGCCTAAAATCGACGCCGACGTCGTGTACATCAACTCCCATTTCCCGTTTATCTCCTCCGTTTCTAACGCGTTTTTACGTTTCTGCGTGTTTTCCACTTTTTGAGCCAGTAAGTCAATCTCTTCTTTATCCTCTTCGCTCGCGCTCGCGCCTCGCTCGACGGTTGCGATTTTGGATAAAAGCGCCTCTTTCAACTCTTCCACGTTCAATCTTTTATTACTACTACTACTACTTGATGTTGTGACAGCAGATTTTATCGTCTCTTCGACTTCCGAGGATTTCTGTTTCGCGAATTCCATCGCGTCTTCCAAGAATCCTCCTCTTGGTATTACTGCGCTTTTCTTCTTCCTAAAAGCTTTTCTTCTCGTGATGATGTTTCTCGTGTTGCTGATTGGATGAAGACGACGACGATGAACAGCAGAAGCACGAGTAAAAGGAGGAGGAGGATTAGCTCGGCTCTGCATCATCATCATCATCATCATCTAAAGAAGAAGACGGAAAGATTATTTTTTTTTGTGGAGTTTGTATGTTCCTATGCCGCACAAGCACAATCAAACGTTCGTCCTTTTTAAAGAACGAACTATCTAACTAAAAACGCACTCCGACGTCTCCACGAGCGACTTACTACAGAACCCACGCTTACCACCTGGACATATATCAGAATTACCGCATTTTCTCGCACAATTAGCTCTGGGCAAACCTTTCGCATTTGCCGGCGTTTCCGGGTGTTTCTCGTCGTAACAGTACCCGGGTTTGGGCACCGGATGCCAGGCGGTCTTGGCGCACACCAATCCGGGCGCGCAGTTTTTGCATTCTTCGTCACTTTCTTGTTGTAAACACGGTTCGCCCATTTTGTGCGTCGCGTGGCGTTCTTTCAGCCACATCTCTAACCGGTCGCCTTCTTTATCGTCTCGAAACGATTGACCTTCGTTTGGCGCTTCGCCGTTGTAATAGTGATAATACACGTTGCCTTTCCACTTGCGGAAGAAACCGTAGACTTTGACTTGGTCGCAGAGCTCCGTGGCTAAGAGTAAACCGTAAAACCCGTTGGAGACGACGCCTTTGTCGGTGTACGAAATAGCCAACTCGTGGAAGTCTGGGTCAATCGCGAACAATTTTTTCTTCACGTTTATATCGTCTTCGTGTTTGACTTTAAATCTCGTCCATTCGTCCAACGCGTCCGGGGTTGTGCAATGTTGCAGAACCATTTCCTCTTTCGTCTCCCTAAAGCCCATGTGCAATCTGTTCACTAATCTGTAATCCGTTCGCGAGCCTACTTTCTTCTCGAAGCCTTTGATAGGCCCCGCGTTTAAGCGAATAATAACATCCGCGCTATCAATCTCTTCACCTAAATCGTACGCCAACAACGTCCCTCCGTTGCCGATAACCGCGCACACGTTCTTCTTTCTAAAACTATTATTATTATTATTACTACTACTACTTTTTCTATTGCTCCTCGTCAATAACGTCAACCGTACCTCGTCTTCTTCCGGAATGACTCTGATCAAATCTCTCTTCGCTTTACCTAACGAGTAATGCTGCAACGTATCTCTCAACTTTTTCCTCGGAAACGGAATCTCTTCGTTCATTTTCCTTCTGCGTTTGTTCATCACGAACGACCCTTTGAACGACGGCTTCTTCGAATCTTCTTCTTCTTCTTCTTCTTCTTCTAACTGTCGTTTCTCCCCTAACTCTTTCAGTTTAGAAACCAAGTTCTCGTTCATAAACCCGAGCTGTTTAGAAGCGCCCGTACCGCTGCCGCCAATCCTGTGCTTATTATTATTACGTTTCTGATGATGGATGTTGTTGTTGTTTAGCAAAATCGACGTATTGTGTTCCTCCTCCTCCTTCTCGTTATCGTCGTCGTTATCGTCGTCGTTTTGCTGCTCATGTTGCTCATGCTGCTGCGCGTTGTTGTTGTAATCAACTTCATCATCATCATTCTCAATCGCGGGGGTGGCGACTTTGTTTCCCCGGAAAGAAGAAGACAAAGAAGAAGAAGAAGAGAGAAACGCACAAAGCAACGAGAACAAAAGAAAAGAGAAACAGCAGAGAAGGAATTTCGCTCGGTGTCGACGACGGCGGTATTCCCTTTTCGGAGGTGGTGCGCCCATTTTTATGAGTCTATTTTGCCGTCTTTGGATTATCTTGATGAAAGTGGAGAAAGACATTTTTTAATAAAATACGAATACGAGTTCACACTTCTTATTCTTCTCTACATTACAACACTACAACTGATCGTCTAAACCTCCTTTCGTGTTGTTCCTGCTCTTGACTAACTCGAAGGACTGACCGGGCGACATCGCGGTCGCACCAGCTCTGGGAGATGTGGCCATCAGTTGGACGCTGTCGCCTCGCGCGAGTTCTTCTTCGGAGAGGGAATACTCGTCACCATTTTTCTCCAGGTCGACGATGACTTGATGATGACTGGACCCGTTTGCTACTAAGGGATTTCTATCGCTATTCTTGTTATTGCCGCCGTTTTTGTCGTCGTCGTCGTCGTCGTCGTCGTCATCGTTCGAGAACTTGACGTAATTCATCTTCCCTTTCTTCTTTGAATCCGTCCCGCTCCGAGGAGAATTACCTAATATTCCTCCTCCTCCTCCTCCTCCGGCGCCTGCCACGGGTGAATTCGGTACCGACCCGTGTCCACCACGTCCCAGGCATCGATTAAACTTTCTCTGTATCCACTCCGTGTTGTTTTCTACGAACGTTTTGATGTCGTACAAAACGTCTCTGACGTCGAACAAATCGAACAAATTATCCGTCAATTTCCTTCTCGACATGGTCGAGTTCAACCCGATGTTATAGCCGCCCACCGGTCCTATTCCCCCGTCTGCTTTATATTCATCCGCCGGGAACGCGTATAAATGCAAAAGGGCGAAGAAAAACATCTCCACGCAAATTAAAAACTCTTGAATTGCATTCGCACAATCCGCCTTGTCGTAATCCGACCACGTCGGATCGATCCAATTCACCCTAATGATGCCTCGATTGACTAAAAACGCAATCAACACGGATTGCCAGAAACTAAAGAAAATGATCGCTTTAACGCTCGCAAACTTATAGAAAGGACTAATCGGCGCTAACTCTTCTCTCGTCGCCCGGTACAACAAAACTAAGCAATACATCGCCCAGGCTGCGCTCAAATTATTCACAAACGCCAAGTACGGGTACGACACGTACGGATTCATAATCTGCCCGTCGCCGTACACCCCTTTCGCTTCGGTTAAAAACGCAATCGACGCACAAAACGGTCTCAACGTCACAAACTGTATGATCCCGTGTCTACAAAACCGCACGAACGGCTCTCCTACCCTCGGTGGTCCTAATATAACGCTTATCGGCCATAAATGGTGCTGCCTAGGTTTCCTCGCCAACGCGTGTTCTAACCCGGGCACGCAAAACTCTTGCAAATACACCATGCAATACGTGTAAAAGTTCCAAACCACGTACGCTTCGTAACACTCTCTCACTGTATCTAAATAAATAGTCGCTTTCTTATATCTCAGCGCGAACCAACAATCAATCGCGTACACCGGTACCATCGCCAATATCCGAATAACGTGCCTTTGCAATTTCGGAGCTCGATAGTTTTCCAGATGTAAAATAACTTCGTAAAACGTAATCGGAATGGAGAGCATCGCAAAAACGCCCGCGATGAACCAGGCTATGTATAACTGTTCGTAATCGTGTTTGTGCATTTGGTACGCGACGACTGGGATGGCAATCAAAATCAAAAGATTGAGAATCACCCAGACTGTTTTTAAGATTTTCCTCAAGATTGTTCCAATGCTCCACTGATAGGAAGACGTTAACGGCGCGTTCGGGTGAATAGAAGAAGCATCCGACGATGAACCACCGGCCATTTTTACGTCGTTTACAACAACAACAACAACACGGAGCGCTTCTCTTTTTTCTTCTCTCTTCTATTTCTTCTCTTTCTTCTCTCTCTCGTTGTGCTTTGTTCGCACTTCTTTATTCGCGTGAATATTTATGAAATGAATTTAGACAGAAAGAAACGGCTAATTAGTGCAACAACAACAACAACAAGAAAATGTAAAACTACTACTACAACACTCTGAACCTCTTCATTCGTCTTTTAACTGTTGAATGCGAAAGTGATGATGAATCACATCATCAACTGGCAAACTTTTGCTTCAAATCTCTCTCGTCTATAATCGCGGTCTTCTTATCCTTCATGCTTTTACTTCTCGCTCGATTGAAATTTTCGTAGACGATATCCAACTGTTTTCGATCAACCTCTCGCATGCGCGAGAATCCGCTTTTCCGGGCTAAGCGAACGTCCTCGGCGGTAATGGACGGGACTTCGGTCGGGTTTGGGAGAGTAGGATCGAGTTTCAAAGCTTCTTCGTGCGCTTGAATCACGCGCGTGGCGGCGTTGACTGAGCAGTTGCTGAGTAAACCTTTGATGTCGGCGCCGGTGGAGCCGTTCGGCATTTCTTTCGCCGCGATGGCGCAAAGGTTTACGTCTGGGTCTGTCTTGATATTTCTGGTGAGTTTCCACATGATGTCGTATCGCTCTTTCTCCGTTGGCCAGTCTAAGAAGAGCAAGTTGTCTAAACGGCCCGGACGTAATAAAGCGGGATCCATCGTGTCCGGTCTCGACGACGTGGCGATGACGTACACTCCTCGTAACTCTTCGAATCCGTCAATTTCCGTCAACAACTGGTTGACTAATCGGTCCATGACGCCGGCGTTATCGGAGCCTCTTCGAGGACATATAGAATCAAACTCATCGAAGAATAAGCAGCACGGCGCAGCGGCGCGCGCGCGTTTGAATACTTCTCGAATGGCTTTCTCGGATTCGCCGATAAATTTGGACATGATTTCAGGACCTCGGACTTTTATGCATCGCATGCCGGATTCTGTAATCGCCGCGTGCGCGACGAACGTTTTCCCGACACCTGGAGGGCCATAAAGGAGGACATTCGTTTTCAGACGCAAAGGGCACTGCGCAAAAACTTCCGGAAACTGTCCGGGAAGAATCATGCAATCCTCGAGTAACTTTTTTACCCCTTCGTATCCACCAATGGCATTTAGACCACCTTCGATTGTATACACGGATGGATCCGTGAGATTTAAACCTTCGTCGCCGCTCGGTTTGATGTCCACTCGCGCTTTTTCGTAATCGTCTACCGTTAATGGGATGAACTCGTGATCTCCACCGTGTTTTCGCTTTTGAAACTCAGGATCTTCGTCTAAGTTTAACCGTTTGAACGCGTTTTGAATTGCGCGAGTGACGAGAATGTCTAAATCCCGTAAGTCGTATCCGATTGTTTTTCTGTCTTGCGCAATATCCTCCGCAACGTCCTCGGAGGTGGAAAAGTTCAAGCCGGCGGAAATTAACATTAAAGACTCTTTACGAGCGTCGTCTTCCATAGGTCCAATATCCTGAAACTTAATAAATACCTCTTGATCGAGCAAAGGTTTAGCCACGTTCTCTTTTTCTTGCACCGTAGCCACGAAACAAACGGTTTCCATGTTTACGCAATATTTAATCTCATCCGCGAGTAACGCCGCGATGTGATATGCGTCGTCCATTTCACCCGCATCTTCAGCCCCTTCTGGCTGTATTTTACACACCGCGTCTAGATCTAAAAGTAAACAAATAGCTGGTGCTCGCAAATGTGCCGCTTGTAACGCGTGTCGTAACGCTTTCATCGCTTTCCGAGGGTGCGTTGGTAAATCCTTACATTTCACTTCGACGACGCTCGCGTAACAGTTTGGATCGTTCGCGATGCTCCACGCGATGCCTTTCGCCAGCGGGTCTCGATGCGATCCAATAGGTTTACCGCAAAGCATAGAGCCTCCTGGGATTTGGAAACAATTTTGTTCATTTCGCATAATTTGGGCCTCCTCCCATAACGACACTCGCACGCGTTTCAAAACTTCAATCGCGACTTTCTTGTAACTCTCTCCGGGCGCGACGTCACCGAGATGTTTATACCGCCCGTATGAAGGCATCACGGACACGCCTAAACAAGGTTCGAGTAAATTCGCGTGCTCTTTCCTCGGGTCTAAATAAACAGTCGTTTTCCCGAGTTCTACCCTTACGCGCGAGTTTTCTTTCACGAGATCGTCACGAGTGATATAAATCAGTGGAATCGCGTCTTCGGATAAATACGTCGCTTTCCCTCCAATCACGCTAATGGTCACTTCAAAACTCGCGAACGGCAAATACCCTCCGCTTCCAATCTCATCGCTCGATAACAAGATTTTAGAATCCGAACTCAAATGCATGCCATCGTTACTAGTATTACTATCATTATCATTACTAAAACCATTTCGACTGTTGCCGATATCTCCGCACTCGCCAGAACCGGTATACTTCACGTGTGCCTCGAGCCAATCGAGAAGAACATGTTTGGCACCAGAATTACACGATTCCGGTGTAATCAAACGCAAATCAGATAATGCTTCCTCCTCTTCGTCATCGCTGTCGTAATCGCTTTCGTCCGTTGCTAAGACATTTAGATGACCCAAACCGAGCGCGATGCGTTGCGGAGCGGTGAGTTTTCTCGCGAGAATTTGAGCAGCCGTCAACGGTTTCGATTTTGGAAGTAGCCCAGTGTCGTTGAATATGGGATTCTTTCTATTTCTGTCCTCGGAATCGTCCGAATCGAATCCATCTGCTTCGTCCTCGCTGCTTGTTTCGTCGTCTTCGTGAATCTTGAATTTTTTCTTTTCCTTTTTCACGACGATCGGTCGAAGTTGAATGACAACTTGCGCGAAATCATCCACTTTTAACGGTTTTGGACCTCTACTCAACACAACCGTATCGCCTTGAACGGTTCCTAGAAGATTCATGATTGCTTTCGACAACGCCACGTGGCCTGGTCGTAAGTGTTCGTGCGAGGAATATTTTATTCGCACGAGCGCAGAGCGGTCGTTGCGAAATTTTTTCTCCTCCGAATATATTTTCACGCGACACAACTGGCCTTCTCGACAGGGTAACTCTTGCTCGTTTTTATCTTTTGACACTCGAAGTAACGCGACCCCACTTAACTCGCAATTGAAATCGTCGATAGTTGCATCATTCATAGCTTTAAAATCGCGATCTACTTTCACCGCGAGTTCATCCAAAATGTGATACGTCGGACTTTGCACGCGAGCGCAAAACGGTTTCATTTTTTCTTCTTCCTTCTCGCCGTCGTCGTCGTCGTCGTCGCCGTCTCGTAGCTCATCGCCCGTTACGTCTTCCTTCGCCGGTGGTGCGACGATGAGCTCGGTGTTCGGCGCTAATCGAACGACCGACGGAAAGACTTGACTATTTTTACTATTATTTTCGCTACTTTCTACGTAAGCTTCCACTTTCGTGCATTTCAACACGACCGGTTTCCCGCCCGCCTGGACACTTGAAAAAAACGGAAACTTCATTCCATCGTACGCACTCCCAAGTTGCTTCAACAGAGACTCTTCCACCCGGTCGCTTTGTGCGAACACAACGTCCCAATCGTCTTTTCGCATGGGTGAAACGTGAACAGCGGCTGCAATCGGCGCAAAAAAGACGGGCCAAACTCGGCACAAGTCTCCGTCTTCTAAACCTAAACATCTCGCTGCCGCGATTGGGACGTCCATAAATATCTGTCCTCCCAACTCCGACGTCGAGCCTGCCCAAGAAACGTATTTAATTACCGAGAATATTTTCTCTTTCTCGTGCGCGGGAATATCGTAAGGCGCGCCCCCGTTTCGATTATTATTACTACTACCACTCGTATGCGCGCCTCTCTCGATAACTTTCACTTTCATTGGTAACGGGAACTTTGGAGCTTTTACGAGCAAACTTTCGCACGCTCTCGACGGCAAACGAATAAAAGCGGAAGTATCGTGTATGAGCCGAACGCGAAGTTCCATCGCGTCTCGGATGTCTATTTTGTCTATCGAAGCGTCTATCCCGCCGCCGTCCGGATCGAGCGACGATTTCAACGCGTTCAAAAATCCTTTCATCATTTTGGTAAAACGCAGTACAGATGTAGTAACACTCTCCTTCTTCTTTTCTTCTTCGTGTTCTTCTTCTTTTTACATGCGTTTCCCGCCTTTGCCAATTTTCACCACCGGTTTCTGTTTCTTCGGTCTCGGACCTTTAATTCCGTCGCCTTTTTCCGTCCCTTCGGGTGCTTTAATCACGCGCAAAGTCCCACCTGAACTCGTCGCTCTTCTCGCAAACTCTAACTCGTTCTTCAAGTTCACCTCTCGAGTAATTTTTATGGACGCTTTCAAGTTATCCGTCAACTTGTTCGTCTTCTTAAGAAACTGGCCTTTTCGAGTTTCGATGCGTTTCCCGTGTCGGTTTTTCGCGATTTGTTTCTTTTTAAAATTCAAAGCCGCGAGTTGTTGCGACGCAGAGTTAGACGAGCTTTGTTTTTTCTTCTTAAACGACGATGATTGCGGCATTTATATATGTACACTTAACGATGATGATTTTGGTGGTAACTTTGGTGACGACTTCTTCTTCTTTACTTCTTCTTGTGTCTTCTTCTGAGAAAAGAAAAGTTGCAAAGGGAAAAAAATCGTCGTCGATGAATGAACTTTTTTTAATGGCGAGAGAGACAGACTTGAGTTTTTCTTCTCTTGCAATGTGAGAAAGAGAAAGAGAAACTTTTGTATCTGTATCTCAAAAACGCATTTTTTTTTCATTTCCTCTTCACTTTCTCGCGCGCGCATTTGCGCGCATTTGCGCGCATTTGCGCGCATTTGCGCGCATTTGCGCGCGCATATAATATCACTTTTTTTTTGCGTGCGCGCGCGCACGCGCGCGAGAAAGTCACACGCATTGCTATCATCGATAGACCTCTATCGATGATAGTGGGTGGAAGGGTGGGAGCTCTTTTCTTCATCGTTTGCTTTCTTTCTGTTTTAGAGATACAAATCGAGCGTTTTTGTATCTCTCCTCCCGCATGCATGGCAGATTGAATGAATGAAAAGAGCTGGGAAAGAACGGACAAAGGGGGTTCGAGTACGGAGAGTTTTGACTTGCGCGGGCGAGTTTCTCTCCTTTTTTGTGTTCTTTTCTTTGTCGTCGTGTTATTGCATATCTTCTCTCTTCTTCATCGAAGAAGAAGTCAACGACGACTTTACATGGAGGAAAGAGCATTTTTTGGGAAAGAATTCCAAGCCTTTCATTTTTGAAAAAGGAGTTTCAGTACCGTTGGGGGAGTTTGTATCGATTAAAATCGAGAGTTCTCTCCTTTTTTTTTGGGATTGATTTTGGATGGAAAACATGTTTTTGGATTGCAGAAACATGTGACAACACAACGTCTCTCGAGCATCCATTTGCGATGCTCAGCCTATCATGACACTCGGCTCTCATGAGATCGATCGAAGAAACTTTGATAGGTGAAGTACGTTGATTTTTGATTGAAATATATATACCATATGTGTTTAAGTCCATATGCGTATTTTAGTCGGCGGCACTACTAAAACCCGTTTCAAAGTCTCAGTCCTGCTGAGGCGAAGTCTTATGTTTCCATGAGACGGCGTGGTGGACCGTCGCGACTCCGTTCCGCGGGGCTCGAAACAAGCTTTTTGAAACCAACATATCACCCGCCACATTCTTTGTGGCAAGTTTTAGAAAGTTGTAATTCCTAGTTTGACTGAAGTTTTTTTCTTCTTTTTGACGGCTGCTGCTGTTCTGAAATCCCCTAATAAAAATTATAGAGACGAACCAACTCTTTAGAACCACACAAACACACACACACACACACACACTACTATTATACTACTACTACAAAGACGACGACGATGTTTGGACGCGCTACTTTTCAACGCTCTTTTACTCCTCCTCCTCCTTTCGTAGTATTCAAAAACAACAACGCCTTTAACAGAAAACAAATGATGAGAACAAAAACGAAGACAATAATTATTGAATCTCGAATCCGTCCTGGTAGGCAAGTCGAGCAAAGAAAATTTCGCATGGAACGAGAGAAAGAGTCGATTGGGATTTACGAGTACTTGGAGACGATTGGGGTGGCAAAATCGGCAGCGTTGAGAGTTATGTCGCAAGCGACGATGCAATTTGAAGCCGAGAGAGCAAAGATGGGGATGACACTCGATGGGTCGGTGAAATTCGACGAGAACGAAGTCAGAAAAGTGGTGGAGTTTTTACAATCGAGAGATATACGAGAACAACAGTTGGGGGGATTAATCACGAATTTTCCGTCCGTGTTAGCGTACGACGTGGAAACGAGATTAGAACCACTTTTTGTGTACGTGGAGAAGGAGTTGGGGATCACCGGGACGGATTTCGCGAAGGAGGTGCAACGACGACCGAGTTTGTTGGGATTGAGAGCCGACGAAAACTTAGCGAAAATGGTCGGGTATTTAGAATCAACCGGGAGCACGCGGGAAGAGGTTGTAGAGTATTTGATGAAAACTTTATAATTAGTTAGATATGTATAGAGTGTGTGCGTGTGTATATATATGTATATGTTTTGTTCTTTCGTTGATACTCTGTATTAAAATCAATTACGCTTCTTCTTAAAATCAATCTTCGTTTTTGTCAACCGGCGCGTCGAGCTCCGTGGCGATTTCCTTCACGAGTTGGTCTCTATAGTCTTCAAAGTCGCCGTTGAATTTCGTCACCACGCCATCATCGACGACCCAGATTTCACTCGTCTCGTCGTCTAACACTTTGGAACAAATGTGCGCGTCGTGGGTGATGAGAACGACGCCACCTTCAAACGCAGTCAACGCGTCCGCCAACGCGTCGATGGATTGCATGTCCAAGTGGTTCGTTGGTTCGTCCATGAGCAAAATATGCGGGTTCGATAACGAAATCGACGCGAAAACGACTCGAGCTTTTTGACCACCCGACAATTTCACGATCGGTTGCAAATGGTTGTGTCCAGGCAAACCAAATTTCCCCAAGATTGCGCGAATGTCGTGGTCTTTGTAACTGCCCCCGTCTGCCCTTTTGTACTTTCTTTGTAAATAACTCACCGGCGTTTCGTCCATGGCTAAAACGTCCACGAAATGTTGCGAGTACCGACCGATGCGCAAAGCGTGCGACCGTCTCGAATCCCCTTCGGTTGGGTTTAAGTCTCCGGCGAGCAAATTCATTAAGGTTGATTTCCCGGCGCCGTTTGGCCCAATAATCGCGACGCGCGTTCCCATATCGATGCCTAAATCGATATTATCCAAACTGAAACCTTCCAAACCGGGGTACCGAAACGAGCAATCTTGCAAAGAAATCAACGGCGGATTTAATTCCGTCGGCTCTGGGAAGTTGAACTCGACGTCGTAATCGTTCCATTTCGTCGGCGCTCTCGCGGTGTTCAAAGCGTCGTCCGCGTCGTCCATCATCCCTTTGTTCTTCTTCTTCTCGTTCTTTTTCATCGCATCCTTCTTCGCCTGGGCCGTGATATCTTCCTGCTTCTTCTTGTTCGATTGTTGCTTGGCTTGTTTGATTCTTTTTTCGTACTTTTCAAACTCTTTGTTCGCCTCTCTGCGTCTTTGCTCGTACATCTCTTCGAAGGATTCAAAGTTTCCTTTGTATTGATCGAGTTGGTGGTCGTGCAAATGAATGATATCCGTCGTGACGCCGTTTAAGAAATCGCGATCGTGCGAAACCACAATCAAAGTTTTCTTCCAACGCATCAAGTACTCTTCTAACCAAATGACCGCTCGTAAATCCAAGTGATTCGTCGGTTCGTCCAACAACAAACACGTCGGTTCGATGAATAAAGCTCGAGCTAAGGAAATCCGCATTCTCCAACCGCCGGAAAAGCTCTTGGTCGAATTGTGCATGGAAAATCGATCCGGGCCTTTCGTTTCGCCTTTCTTGACGACAGTAAAACCTAAACCGTGCAGAATCTTTGACGCTCTCGCCTCCGCGGTATCGTCGCCTTTCAGTTTCAGCTGGTCGTACGTCTTCGTCAACGCTTGCGACGCGTCCATCTCGGTCCCGGTCTCTTCGTCTTTGAACGTCAACTGGTTCATTTCCTTAATTAAAGCTTCATTTTTGCTCTCGTCCGCTTGCGCCATCTTCTCCATCAACTGCTCGTACTCCATTTTCTTCTGTCTCAACTCCATGAGTTCCACGTCGGCGGCAACCACGGATTCCAACGCCGTTCTCTCGTCGCCGACGACTTCTTGCTCCACCAACAAAATGTCAATAAATTCCGGCACCGGAATCTTACGCCTCGCTAATAACTTCATCAACGTCGTCTTCCCGGTCCCGTTCGGCCCAACGATCCCGTATCGTCTCCCGTGCGCGATCGTAATGTTCGTATCCGTCAACAACGGCTTCCCTCTCACGGAAACCGAGAAATTGTCAATCTTGATATCGCGCGAGTTTGCCATTTGCGCCATCGCTTGGTCATCCATAGCCGGTAATCGAACGTTAAACGCGTCGTCGTCGTCTCGCATCGCCTCTTCTTTCGCCATCGCCTCTTTCCTCGCCATCTCGATCTCTTTCTTCCTCGCTTTCGCGGCTTCCTTATCCGAAGGTCCGTCGAACGCGTTCTTGGTTAAATCTCTCTCCACCTTTTCTTCCACGTCTTCGTCGTCCGAGGAGGACGGTAAGTCCATCCCGGCTAAGTAATCGTTTTTGCTCCCACCCTTCTCCTGCATCATCATCCCCACCGGCGGGCCTCTCGACTTTTGCTTCTTCTCTTTCAAAGCAGCCTGTCCACTTTGTTGTTGCTTCGACGCTTTCGCCGACTTTTCTTTGCGCTCGTCTTTTGATTTCCCATCGGATGATGATTTCGCCGCTTTTCTCGCCGCTCGCTCCTCGGGAGTCTCGTCCCTCTTCTTATCCTTTTTCTTCGACGCACCTTCTCTCTTCTCCTTCTCCTTGCGCTTCGAGCGCTCCTCCGCAGTTTCGTCCTTCTTTCCTCCCATCTTTATTTTATATGTGTGTTTTTGTGCGGGAAAGAGATTTTTGAAAGAGGGCCAACCAAGGCTTCCAACAAAGCGAGAGGTATCGTGGGACGAGCGCGTGTATTACTAGTAGTAGTACGTTTAATATTTGCAAACAATCTCTTTCTTAAGCGGCGGAGAAGAAGTTCACTCTTCTCACCCCGGCGTTCTCAAACAAGGTCGTCCACTCCACCGCTTTCTTCCCTTTGACTCCGGCTAAACACACGACGCACTTGTTATGTTGCAAACGCGTTTCGCCGACGATATTGGCTCTAGGAAACGCGCCGCCGGAATTCTCAAAGTCCTCCTCCCCGGTGGAAGAAGAAGAAAGCGCGGAACGAATCGTCAGGGAGTGGTAATCGACGATACCGTCGGGGTCTTCGTTTACCGAGGTTATGATTTTGACGCCCCCTCGCTTCCATCGTTCGATTTCGTCCACCGTGATTGGTAAGCGACTGGTAGATTCCGCGAGAAAGAAAACAGTCACGGGAGCTATGGAAGCGTGCGCGAGTAACGCCGGCGACGAGAGTAGAGATTTCGCGCACGCGAAACCTTCGGATTCTTTCGCGACAATCACGATGGGAACTTTGATTGTATCGGACATCATCGCGTTATCCAACGTCTTTTCGTTTGAAAACAGCGGGTTGGAAAATCCAAAGCCTCGCGGATTGGAAATTTTCATCTTCGCCTGCGGCTCTAATTTCGCTAAGTGTGCCTCCTCCTCTTTTTTACCATCGACGATGAATTCTGCTTTCGTATACGTCGACGCGCCGGGCGATTGCTTTCTCGCCATGTGTAAATTCGTCGGCGATTGCGCGATGGGCAGTTTGTGCGTTAATCGGCCGAGACTCTCGTCCACGACGTCCTCCCTCAACCAATCTTCTTCTTTAAACAGCTTAAATTGTGCGCTTTGTCCTGGAAACTTATACCGCAACAACCACTCGCTCTCAAAATCTGCTTCATTTTTCACGTATCCACCGTCAATTGTGGAATCTCGCGTCGTGTGCGCGTGCGTCCTCCCCGTCGTCGTCTTCCCGTTTGCCTTTTCTTTGTTCATTTTTAACTGTTTCGACATTCTGCTCATCGTCGCCACGTCGTCGTCGATTTCCACCGTCAGTAGCCGAAAACTTTCGTCCGGAGATATCGGTTCGTTTGAGAGTATCGTGCAATTGAAGTATTCGTTTTGTGTTTTTGTCGTCGTCGTCGCCTCGTCGGAGTTGTTGTTGTCGTTATTGTTATCAGAAGCAAAAGTTTTCTTTCGTCGCAGATGAACTCGATGAGGTTGTTGTTGTTGTTGTTGTAAAAGTTGACTCCTCCTTCGAAGAAAACCTCCTCCTCCTCGCAGTCGTTCCGAAGTTCGAACGCGTAATAATAAAGACGACGACGACGTCAAAGAAGAACCACTTACAGTCATCTCTCTCTTTTAACCTCTCGAGCAAGAGCGTGTTTGTGTTGTTGTGTGTGTGTGTACTCTTTCTTTCCGAGAAGAGATATAAAAAAAGAGAATAAAAAAGAGAGCTGTCTTGTCTCTCTTTTTTTCCTCTTTTTGTTTTTTTGTGCCTCTCTCTTCGAAAGATACATATTTTTGCATTGAAATTTCTATTATTGCTTTTTCTGCTTTTTCGTCTGCTTGGAAAAAGGCAAAAAGTGAAGGCAGAATTTTTCTCCTCAGAAAAAGAAGGAACACCAACCACCAAAAAAAACAAGAGAGATTTAACAACAAAATGGGATTCCTTGGCCTCGGACGACGAAAGAAGAAATCGGAAGCAGAGCTCGCGGAGGAGGAGAGAGTAAAACGAGCGAATATGCCTTGGTACGCGCGCATGTTTGGGATGGATTCGTGCTGCGGGAATCGGAAAGAGAATAAGAAGTCTAAAGATAATAATAATACTAATAATGGCGCGTCGTCGATGGATTAGTAGTGTGTAAAGAGATTCAAATTGATCTCTCTCTCTCTTTTGCTCGCTCTTCGTAAAGACTCTAAATCGCCGCTCTGAGTCTCGCTCTCATTCTCATTCTCTCTGTCTCGCACGCGAAGGACGCATCGTCGCGTGTTTTTGTGATGTGTGGGTAAACAACGCGTGTATATAGAAGAAAAAGAGAGAGAGAAAAAAGGGAGAAAGCAGAAAAGATATTCAGCAGCAGCAGTTTTGTAAACAAACAACAAGTATAAAATGTAACAGCGCAAATGTCATTTTCATTTTCGCAACACTCGCATCAAAAATCGCTAATAGTTCCCGACAGATAAGACGCTTTTTAACGCCAAAATAGCTTCGGTCAATCGCCCGGCTAAACTGAACGTGACGAGCACGACGCTCGATAAGCAGAGCAAAACGATGCACCGTCTTCGAGTGAACAAACGAGAACCGCCTCGTCTGCGTTTCTTTTGATGTTGTGACGACATCGTTTGCGTGTTTATTCGGTGCTCGCCCAGCTCCATGCGGTCGATGTTGGAGGAATTTGCCGTTTTTAATAAGCTTTCTGACATCATCGTCGACGAAGATGTCGAAAGTTTATTATTGTGCGCGTTCAAAGACGAAGCGGTGGCGAGTTTTTTTGTCGTCGGCGGTTTCTCCGGTTTCTCCTCCCTGCTCAAACTTCGCGTTAAGAATCTATCGACATCGTATGACGCAGACTCCGTGTTTATCGTACCATTTGGACCGACTAATCTCTGTAAACACTCCTTTGCAAACATTTGAGCGAGAGCAGGAACCGGATCGCCCGCCCTTCCCGTTGCCGTTTGTAACATCGCGCGAAGCTCTTCCACGACATTCGCCGCGCGCAAAGCCGAATGGTGCGCGGGATGAGACGATAAACCAGATAACGCGCGGCACGCGTCCACAAGTGCGGCTGAAGACTGATGCTCGGTTTCGTTGTCGTCGTCGCTGTTGGCATTTTTCTTCTTGTGGGTACTCCTTCGAGTACCGAAACCATCGTCGTCGTAAAAATCGTCGTCGTAAAAATCGTCGTCGTCTTCACCACCGTCACCATTCTCCGAGTCGTTCTCACCGTCGGAATCGTGTTCGGGTGGCTCTAAAGACGCGCATAAAACGTACGCACCTCCTGAAGCGCAAAATGCGCTCGCTGCTTGACTCGGAGGGTTCGTCTTCTTCGTCGTTTGCGCAGTTCTTCCTATAATCGCAGCGAGTTTGAGTAAATCCAACACCCCTAGAGTCCTCGCCGGATCGTTCTTCTCGACGACTCGTAAACCGAGCCATCTCGCGACTGACGTGCCTATGTACGCACCAATCGGCAATCGGTCGTTTTTCAACAGTTCACACGCGTAATTTTTGTCGTCGACTATGCGAGCAATCGTCGCGAACGCTAGCACGGACGTTTCCTTGTTCGTCGCGCTGTGTTCACCTCCTCCCGCTCCGCTGTTGTTGTCGTTGTTGTTGTTGTTGTTGTTGTTATAACTAGTACTAATATTACTACTTTCTCTCGCAAACGTCTCGCACAACGTCGCAAAGGTTGTTTTCGCGTGTCGCTGTAAATATTTCTTGTTTTCTAAAAGCGAAGACAATCGATAACTGGTCAAAGTTGCCCGATGTCGAGCTATAGCTGAAGCTCCGGAATGCGCCTCGGCTATTTTAACGACGCTTTCAATAGCCTCCTCGCCAATCGCTAACACCATCGTTTCCGACACCTCATTCGAAGAAGAATACGTGGAAGATTTATCGCTCGTGTTACAAAGCGACGCTATGGCCCAAATTAAAGACTCCGTCGCCTCGTCGCTCGGGGAGAACTGTAACAACGCTTTCGTCAGAGCGTCAATCGCTCTCGCCTGCCTCAACATGTGCCTACCTTTTAAACTTTGACCGGATAACAACACGATCAGTTTCGCGCAATAATCCAACAAGTGCGTCGTTTTTGTCGTCTTTTGTTGCGACTGTACCAACGCGCGTTGGAGTAAAGTCACCAGCGGTTCCGATACGCCGTGATTCAAAATCAGCTTCGTGTTCTTCTCGTTATTACTACTACTCGCGCTACCCCCAACCGCGTTTGCAAAATTACTATTGTTATTGTTTGTTTTCGCCCTGCAAATATGAATCAAAGCAATCACGGCGGCTTCCGCGCACTCCAACCGTTTGGACATCAAGCAGTTTACCAGTAAAAGGCAACTCTCTTTGGTCACCGGGAAATACTCGTTCCCTCCGCCGGCGGAAAACGAAGACGACGAGGACGGAAGAGACCCCGCGTGGTGATGACTCGAAGACGAAGATAAAGAAGAATGATGATGATTCGAATCCAACTCTTGACTGAAATTCGCTAAACTTTTAATCGCGAGATAATAGGTTTCCCCGTCTATATTCTCCGATTTCCGCGCAATCCTTAGCAACAAATTCGCCACGTTCCCGCTCCCTCCGAATTGCGTCATCTTCGCTCTGTTTTTATGCTTCTTCGATAACACGCAAATCAACTCGCACCCTTTCTCGCACGTCTTCGATTCCAACGACGACGCGTTCAACGCGAACGTTATCGACTGCATCCCTTTCAGCAAGAAAAATTGACTCAACGGTGAACTCTCTTTGTTGTTGTTTCCTTCTTTCGTATTCGTATTCGTAATCAAACGAATCATCTTCTCAATCGCATCCGCTCGTTCCAACTCGGGACCGGTGCATTTCTTGATCAACTCTCTCATCATCAGAGAAGATTGCTGCTGCTGCTGCTGCTGCTGCTGTTGACTAGACGAAGACGAGGACGACGTCGTCGTCGTCGTCATCATCTTTTCTAACTCAAGGTTGTTTTATGATACACTCACTCACTCTCTAGCAACAGAAACAACAACAAGAAAATAGTGAAGAACTTTGGCATCTTTCTTATTTATATATTGGAAAAAATGTCGCGCGCGTATTTCGTTTGATTCTTCGATCGGTAGTAAATGAATACAATGTATATGTGCACAGTTAGGACTACAAATGAGCTAATGCTGAGTGCGCACGTGCCTTTTCAAATTACTAGAATTACGAAAACGCTTCTCGCACACATCGCAATCGTACGGTTTCTCGTTCGTATGAATACGCATGTGAGTTTGCAAATGACCAGATTCACGAAAACGCTTCTCGCACACATCACATTCGTACGGTTTCTCTTTCGTGTGAATACGCTTGTGGTTTGTCAGAGCACCAGAATCACGAAAAGCTTTATCGCACACATCGCATTCATACGCTTTCTCGTTCGTGTGAATGCGCATGTGGGTATTCAAACTACTCGATTGACTAAAACGCTTCTCGCAAACATCGCATTCGTACGGTTTCTCGTTCGTGTGAATACGCATGTGCATTTTCAAACCACTAGCTCGAGTAAAACGCTTCTCGCACACATCACATTCATACGGTTTCTCTCTCGTGTGAGAACGCATATGTACGGCCAATGCAGATGGTACTCTAAACACCTTCTCGCAAACATCGCACTCGTGCGTTCTCTTTCTCTTCGATCCTTTCCTAAAAGCAGTTTCTTCTTTTCGTGTCTGTTCGTCCATTTCATACTCTTCTTCTTCTTCTTCTTCTTCTTCTTCTTCTTCTTCTTCTTCTTCTTCTTCTTCTTCTTCTTCTTCTTCATCATCTTCATCATCATCATCGTCAGGTGGTATTTGCAAACACAACACCAACGGTTCTTCTTCTTTTTCCCTTAACTCTTCTCTCTCACCCTTCGGGACCTTCAAAACCGTCCTCGCATTTTCCGCTCGTTTAGGATGCGGATTCTTTCGTCTCATAGTACTTCTCGTTGTTGATGTTGATGTTGATGTTGATGTTGTTCAGTGTGTATCAGTGTTAGAGTAGTAAAGTGAAGATTTTCGAATCGTTTCCATTCTTTCATAAATGTCCGTTGTTTTCCCCTAATTAATTCTTCAGAAACGAGCCCGCTCTTATATGATATAAATGTCGGTGACTTTACACACCTCCCTCGGCGACTTGAAACTCGAACTCTTCTGCGAAGACGCGCCTGCGACCTGCTTTAATTTTCTCGCTTTAGCCGCCTCCAACTATTACGATGGCACGATTTTCACTCGCATCATCAAGAAGTTCATCGCGCAAGGCGGCGACCCGACCGGAACTGGGAAAGGAGGCGAATCGATTTACGACGGAGGACGAATGTTCGAGGACGAAATACGAGAGCACTTGAAATTCACGAACAGAGGGATAGTGGCCATGGCGAATGCCGGGAAAGATATGAATGGAAGTCAGTTTTTCATCACGTTCGCGAAAGCGCCGCACATCGACGGGAAGAATACCATCTTCGGGAAAGTCATCGATGGATTTCCGGTTTTGGATATGATGGAGAAAGCGAAGGTGGACGAATCCATGAGACCTTTGACGGACGTGAAGATAGAAAGAGTGACTATTCACGCGAATCCAATGGCATCTCGATGATGTGAGTAGTTTTAGGGGTGTTTTATCGCACGCAACGCATTAGAGTTACTAGTATACTGTTAGCACAAATATTTTTACAACTTTTACAACAGCAACAACAACAATACAATACAAAATGTATCTTCTATCTCGTCGACGTTCGTTCCATCTTGAGCAAATCGCCGACGTGTCTGGCATTACCGGTGGATTTCAACCAGTCTCGAAACTCGCGCTGAATCATGGCGACTTTTTCCGAGTCCGCGCCGCTCGACATTTTTTCAACTATGTCTTTGCGAAAAGTGGCGACGAGCTCGTTTTTTTCGTCCATAGAGGTGACGTATTCACCGGGAATGCGAAATGGGTTCGCCCTCGTAATTTCTACTGGTGATGCTATTGATGCGGAAGGCGCGAGATCGTGCGACTGATTATACTCCCCTCCTCCTTTTTCGCCAGCCGCCGCGGCGGTTCCCGACGCAATCTCCTCGGACGGCAAAAACGGAACGATGAAAGGCCCGAAATCTTCCGGTTTCTGCACGCAGACGCTAAAGTTACTATTGTTAAGGTCGCTATCGGACTCTGAACCTGAATCGGGATCGGGATTTGTGCTAATTACCCGAGAGCTTTTCCAACTCTCCGTCATATCCTTCGAATCCGGATGCAACCGGCACTTTTTCAAGTGCGTCGACAACCCGCCGTAGTAGGAATTGTACGGTCCCACGACGCAACCTCGGGAGTCACCGACGAAAATTGGACGTTTCTCCACTGCGACGTTAAAGTTACAATCGTGCGACGCTTTGCTAAATAAATATTTCGACGCCGAGACGACGTGGACGCGCTCACATCTGGAGAGAAATATTGTCGAGGATACCGAGCCGATGAATAGGGAACAATCCACCACGTTATCGATTCGAACGTGCTTCACGGGCGCCATGACATACACGGTACTCTCCGAGCAATTCGCAATCAAGCACGAGGAGATTATTTCATCATCATCGTTTTCTTCTTCTTTAGTGCTGGCGGAGGAAACTAACTCGCGCGCAAACGTTTGCTTTTTCAAATTTTCCACGCGCAACTCGAACGGTTTCTTCAACGCGCCGGAAAAAGATGAAATCTTCGAAGACAAGGAGTCCTCTAATAATCGATAGATGTTTTGTACCGTTTGCAATTTCTCTTTCGCGCTCTTGGCATCAATCTCTCTCATCTCGTTCGCGTCGTAAAATTGAAACACGTATTTGAAGCACTCCCACGAGTTTGCGCTAATAAGCCCGGGAGAATCGATCAAGTCGTCCGTTTTCGTCGCAATCGTTTTAATATCGTTCCAATGCGAGATTAAAAACTTCATTCGCACGAATTCTTCTTTATCGCGTTCGCTTCTTTGTTGTTGTTGTTTTAGTTGTTGTTCGTTGTTTTGTTCCGCTGAATCATTACCCTCCTCGGAGTTCCCGCCTCCTAAGCTCGAGTACCACTCCGCGTTTGCTTTCATCGGCGACTTTGCCGACGGTAAGTTTATGCCGTGCATAAACAAAAACAAGCAAAAGAAATCTACTCTCACGCGTGAACCCCCCGCGGTTGAAGAATCTCTAGTATCCAACGACGCTTCGTACGCGTCCAGAATACACTTGACGTTCGCGTCCAGCTTCTTCCCATTATTATTATTATTATTATTATTTAGACGTCGATAGGCTGCGCTCGTCGTCGTCGTCGTCGCGCTGCTCGCGGTGGTGTTGTTGTTCTCTTCAAAATTCTCTCTCAAAACGTCCTCGACTCGTCTTCTTTCCAGCGTTTTTACGAACGGGTTGGTGTTTTCGGTGGTGGTGTTGGCGTTTGAATTTCTCTTTTTCTCGTCTTTGTCTTCTTCTTCTTTGTCTTTGTCTTCTTCTTTGTCTTCTTCTTCTTCTCTTTTCTCGCAGCGTTCTAACAACCTCTCTTGCGTCTGCATCACGCGCTGCTCGAAAGAAAGTGAAGACGAAGACGACGATACTAATAATGAATTGTTCGTCTTCTGATGAGAAAGAAAAATTGATAAATGTTTCCTGACCAATTGCGAAGGAATCACCCCGGAATACTCGAACACTTCCTTTCGGCATCTCGCTCTCATCATCGTTTCTTTTTCTTCTTCTCCTCCTGCTCCCGAGAGGAAGAATCCTTCTTCTTCTGCCATAAAACGCTCTTTTTGTATACTTGCAAAGCGCGGAGTCGTTTACGGTGTAGAATAGAATTGAGAAATCAAACTGTGTGAGAGCAAAAATTTGAGGAAAAAAAAAAAAAAGAAAAAAAAAGAGCAGAAACACAGATGTGAAAAAATTTAAAAACACGAGTGACAGCTCGTTTCATTTCAGATTTTGAAACCTTCTTTTTCTTTTTGAGAGAAGAGTTAAACGGTCACAAAATTGTCTCGTGACGAAGCAACGCACTACTACTACCGCGCAAATATTTATCCTCCAAATAACAAACCGCGCGCTGGTGCTCTGAGAGAAGAGAATTTTAGATGACAACGACGAGGAATAAGAGTCGTTTGAACACCACCGCAAAGTCTTTTTCGTCGTCGTCGGTCTCGAAGATGACGACGACGAGAGAGGATGAAAAAAGAATGACGACCGCTTCTTCAAAGTCCCCTAATACTACTACTAAGAACAAGAGCAACGAGGACGACGAAAACGACGCGATGAGAAAGAGGAGAAGTCCGCTCTCGCAAGTGCTCTCTCCGAATAACGCATCATCGCCCTTACATTCCGGGGAGTATTCTGATGGAGGAGGCAACGCGACGACGCCAACGAGAAGGCATTTGACGACGGGAGAATTGACGAGACCGAGCTTGAAAGTGTACGTGGAACAGATGACGACCCCGCCTCCATCATCATCATCACCATCAATCGTTGACGATGATGATAATAATAATAAAAGAACAACAAAAAGCGTGGAGGAAATCGCGGAGCAGCTGTTGAAGGAATCGAACGAGGGTCAAACAAAGACGGTTTTGATGGACTTGTTACAGACGGCGAAAGAGAACGCGAGTTACAAGCTGATGCTGGAACGGATGAAGTCAGACGAGGTGGAATATTCGTTGAGGTCGTCGAGAAAGATGAGCGAGGTGACTCAAGTGTACGAGACGTTAAAAGAGGACAAGATGAAAGCAGAGATGAAGATTGCGAAGTTGGAAGAGGAGAAGAAGAGTTTGATGACGGCGGCGGAACGAGCGAGAAGCGCGAACGTCGATACCGATTTTGGCGCCGCCAAGACGCCTTTAACGGCTCCAGCGAAGCAATCATCGCTGTCGTCGTCATCTTCGTTTCGTTTTGCAACGACGTCGACAGTCAACGATGGTAACAACAACGTTGGAATCTTTGCCTCGCCGAGATGGGAAGCGGTGAAGAAATCAGCGACGGAAACGGCAGAACGTTTGAGAGCGCTTTCGAGCGAGAAAGGCACGGCGGCTTCTCCGTTTACCGGCGGAAAAGCGCGAACGATGGTGATTGAAGATGAAGAGGAGGATATTTTCGTCGACGCGTTGAACACGGTCGCACAGACGCAACAACTCCATCGTAGTAAAAGAATGACGGCGCCAACGACGGCGAAACCATCAGTCAGGGCGATCGAAAAGACGCAAAACTCCATAGCCGACGCCTTGAGAGATTCCAACAACGAAGTTGAAGTTAAGAGTTTGCTCGCTTCCCTAGACGAGTACGTTCTGACGCTCAGAGAGAGAATATCGACGACGACGACGATGAACAGTGGTGAAGAAGCGAGTACTTCTGCTCCTACGCGAGACCAGCAACAGCAGCCGGGAGACAAGAACGAGGAAGAAGAAGTTTTGAAAATTGCGGATAAAGCGGACACTTCGATAAAATCGCTCTTCCAACTCTTATTTATTAAAGACAACAAAAAGAAGGAAGGAGAAAAAGAAGCTATCGCGACGAAAGAAAAAGTAGATACTAAAGTTGACCGGGTTAAATCGGATTTACTGAAAACGTTCGAAGAGGAAAACGATGATGCGCAAAATCGATTATTGAAGGAACAAAACGAGCGTAAGAAGGACAACGAGAAAGCAGTCGAAGCTTTGAATAAAGTTCAGTCACTCTTAGACGAGAAAACAGACGAAGCGAAACGAACGGTGGAGACTTTGGAGAGTGAGCGACGGAAAAACGAAGCGTTACAGACGCAATTGGGCCAAAAAATGAAGGAGATCGAAGATAAGAAGAAAAGCGTCGCGAGTGTATCCGTGCAAACAGAAGAAGTGGAAGAAAGTAACAGTAATAGTAAATTCGACGAGTACGAATCGTTAGTGGCATCGCTCAAAGAAGAGAATGAAGGTAAAGACGTGCAGATGCTTCAGTTGCAGCAAGAGTTGGCGGATTCGATGTCCGCGAAGAACGTGGAGCTTTCGAAACTCGCGAAGGAGTACAGAGAGCAAGATGAGAAAGTTTCCGAACTTTCGCACGCGTGCGCTACCCTCGCAGATGCTTTGGAGTCTGCAGAACACGAGGTTGAGATGTTGAAAGAAAGAGTAAAAGGTGGAGGCGAAATAGAGATGAAGATGGAATCTTTGAAGGAGGCGTTGACCGAACGCACACACGAGCTCAACATCGCGCAGTCTGAAAAGACCGAGTGGGAACAAAAATACGAAGATTTACAGTCTGAAATGCTTTTCAAAGTCGCCGCGTTGGAGACTTTGAAGAAATCTTTTGCAGAATTAGAAGCGAACGAAAAGGAAGTCGAAAATATGGAAAGTCGTAACGGTCTGTTGGCGGATGAGGTGGAAATTTTTGAACGTCTGTTTGAAGAAGAGAAGCAAAAGAAAATAGATTTAATCTCGAAATACAACGAAGAGAAGGAAGACATGCTTGAAATGATAAATCATCTCGGGAACGATATGAAGAAGTACGAATGCGAAGCGTTTACTTGGTGGACGAAAGCAGAGCTCGAAAATACGCGCGCAGCTGATTTAGAAGACGAAATAGAGCGCTTACAAGACGAGCTCGAACGCGTCAACGAAGAACAGGACGAGCGCACGGAATTACTCTTGGACGTAGCGAAACTCAAGGAAGAAAAGCGAGCAGTCGACGAAGCCTTGGAAAAAGTCGACACGACGAATAAAACGTTGAACGTTCGCTTGAAGAAATCGTACGAGCGAATACAGGAGTTGGATAAAGAGATTGAATCCGCCAATAGCGATTGCGATTTCTTGCGAAAAGAAGTCGACGAAGCAAACTCGAGAGTGAAAGTTCTCGAAGCGTGGTGTAAAGAGACAAAAGTTCACGGTGAAATTGATGATGGTGACGATGATGATACTAATATCTCTGATTCGTACGATTACGCTAAGATTCCCGCGAGATATGAAGAATTGAAGCTCGAGAATATCGAATTGATGGAGAAATTGACCGCCTCGAAAGCGGTGGAAGAGAGTTTATCGCAGCGACTCGAAAATACTATGCACGAAACCGACGGGTTGAAAGATGAAGCGAAGACTGCGCTCATGAAATCATCTGAAATGCAGAAAATGACTGAAAATGCGGTGGAGAAAACGGCGCAAATGACCAGCGAGCTGGAAGAAGCGACGAATGAAATACAAAAGCTTGAAAATTTATTGGCGGTTTCGAGACGGCAAGTACAGACGCTTGAAAAGCAACTCGCCGCGCCACGAGGAGAGATCCATCAAGAAGCAGAAATGCATCCAATCTATGAGAATGAAGAGGATACGAGCGCCATCAAAGAGTATTTCGAGGCGCAAAACGAAGAGTTAACGGCACTTTTAGCGTCCAAGGCGAGCGAATTGACGCAGATGCAAGCTGAAATTGAAATTTTGAAGAACAAATCGAGTTTGGAAGAGGATGCGAAAACGCTTCGAGGTGAAAATTACGAGCTCGCTGTTCGACATAAAGCGACGTTAGAAAGATTGACTGCAACTATGGAAGAGAAGGAAGCTTTAGAAAAGTCCTGCGAACACTACGAGACGACGATAGAAAACATGCAAATGGTTGTGAAAGAATTGAAGACGGAAGTTGAAAAGTTGAAGGCGGCGCCGAAGGAGACGTCGCAGTCGACGAAAACCATCGAAGATGGACGTCCATCGTCATCTGAAGCCAACGCCACTGCGGTTCGCGAAAAGATCATTTACGTGCATAATCCACAGCAGCATCTTCCACCGCACGCGAGACACGCGACGACGACTGAAGAGGATGAAATGTTTTACGACGTCGACGACGATTTCCATCAGCACCGCCGCCAAAGTCGCAACGCTCAAAGAGTTTCCGTGTATCCACTCGCACCAAAAGGACAGTTACCGCCGTTGCACAGAAATGCCATTGAATCTTATCACTTAGACGCGCAAAGAATGCGTTTACGTAAAGAGTGCGAATTGGAAGAGCGAGAGTTGTTGCGGATGAAACAAGAGAAGAGAATATTATCGGCGAGAATGAAGGAGGAGAAACGCTCTTCTTCCTTGAACAAAGAATCAGAAAAGAAGTCGACAAAAATGAAAAAGAGCAACAGCAAGAAGAATAGCAGCAGCTCTGCCACGACGAGTGCGACGTCGGTGGACTTTCCGGCGCAATCGCTCTCGTTCAAGACGCCGTCGCAAACTGGCGCGGCGAAGAACGACGAATCTTCTCCACCACCTTCCTCCTCCGAAATCCTCGACGGTTACAAAGCTCCTAAAAACACACCCGCGGAAACGACGGAAATTCCAATGAATACCAACGACGACGAAAACGCCTCCGTCCTATTAGAAACCGCCTTGACGGCAAAACTCGTTCTCGAAAACTCGCGCAAAGCGGACGAAAAAGCCAAACACTACAAAAAACAGGCGAGAGCGGCGTTCAAATCTCTCGAAAATATTAGCGAGGAAATGCGAAAGATGAAACAAGCCTTCGTCAAAGACCAAGAGGAGACAACGATGTGTATTACTCCTTTGACGGAATCTAAATTTTTGATGATGCGAAAATAGATAGAGAGATAGATGATGGTGATTGATTCTAGAGAGCGTTTACTTTTATCGTTTTTAATGTGATTTTTAATGTGTGCATGCTTCAATTTTTTCACAACAAAAGAGCAGAAGAAGAAGAAAGAAGAAGTTTTCTACGAGAAACACGAATACACAATCTACTCTATCACAAAACGAAGAATAAAACGATACAAATAGACACGAATAATGTCGTTAGATACTACCACGACTACGACTGCTACCACTCTCGCGGGGAATAAAAACGATCGACGTCTGCAAGAGTTTATTCTCTGGTGCGAACAAAAAGGGTGCGAGTTGAGCAAAGTCCACATCAAATCCATCGACGCGTATAAAGTGGAAACCCCTAAAGGACACCTCGCACTCCTCGATGATGATGATGATGATGATGACGAAACTGGTGGTGGTGAGAAAGAGTTCGATCGAAGAGTGTATTGCAGAACTGCGGATGATGATGATGACAACAACAACAGTAATACTAATGTTGACGCCCCGACAAAAACGACGATGATTAAAAAAGGAGAGCGAATTTTGTTCGTCCCTTTTGCGTGTTGCGTCGGGACGCAAGGGTTACGCGTTGGCACCGGCGGTGATTCTTTACCTCCGTTCGAGCAAGCGACGTCGTCGGAACGGTTAGCGGCGGAGTTATTGAGACAGAGAGATTTGAAAGAGAAATCGGAGTTTTACCCGTACATTAACGCGTTGCCGAAAGTTATCGATTCGCCGACGTGCGGGACGTGGACGACGGAGGAGATCAAGGAGATGCAATTCGCGGACGCCATCGGGACGTGCGCGAAGACGTTGGCGAGGGATTCGGTTAACGTGGAGATGCACTTTAAAAAGGAAGAGACGACCGCGACGAGGAGTTGTAGGAATTGGACGAAAAAAGAGTGGGCGTGGGCGATGGCGAACGCGCGATCGAGAGCGGTTGAGATTGACGCGGACATTGGAGACGTGGGGAATAAGGAGGGACGAATGCCTCCGTCTGGAGCGTTCGTGGCGCCATTTATCGACATGTGTAATCACACGCACGTCGACCCGGCGGCGTTTTGGCGGCCGGCTTATAGCGAAAAGAAGAAAAAGGAAATAGAAGGAATGAACTTGAAAACAACGTCACAACACGAAGAAGCTCCGTCCGAACAAGAGCAGGAAAAGAACAAACCAGACGGCGTTGAACTCGTCGCCAGAAGAGATTTAGAACCTGGAGATGAAATTACCGTCTCGTACGCCGTGGCGGATTCAGACACCTTTCTCCTATTCGGTGGTTTCGTCACGGAATCTAGAAACCCTCGCGATACGGTTGAGTTATGGAGAACGTTACCGGAATCTGCCACTTGGCTTTCGGAAAAACTCGTCGACGCCGGAAGTTCCGAGCAAAACGCCATGGCTATTCCTCTCGAATACTCCAAAGGCGTTGCGTATGCCATCGTCGAACAACGTCGTCAGCACATTTTAGAAGCCATGGGTCAGAATAAAGCCGACGTGAACAAGTTTGATTGGGATAAGTCCGGTTTAGACGAAAGCATACGCGCCGGATGGAATTTCGCGAGGGACGAGGCGCACCACGCGATGTTTTCCTTCATCGTGCAAAACGTTATGCAACCGGACAACGACAACGACCAGCTCTACCGACAAGTATTAATCGGGAGAATCACAGAATTACTGCAAAGCTTACCGACGTCCATGGAAGAGGACGTCCAAATCATGGAGCAGTGCGTTTCTCTTCTCGACAATAACGATAACAACAACAACAACGATAACGAAACGAGACTCAAAGCTTTGCGATTGAAAACCGTCTGCCGATACCGCGGACAAAAGAAGGCTATTTTACATCAATGGTTAAACTTCCTCGCGAAAGATGAAATGCCCAGGGATTTAACCGCGATTAAAAATCAAGTCAAAGCGAAGGAGGCGACCAGTTCCGCCGCGGATGAACTCGCCGCCATGTTGTAATATTAGTATAGAAACGAGTCCACATAATTAGTATCTCTCTCTTTATATCATCACATCACCAAGACAAAGAATGGCATCATCGCACAACAACAATACGAAAATAAGTAAGTTTTAAAGAGGAGTAATCTTAAAAACAAAATGGGCGGTCCGAGGAAAGAGCTGATGAAGAAGAAAAAAGGCATCGTCGCCACCGGAGGGATGAGCAACAAAGCGGACGCGAATTGGTCGGAGCTGAAGAAAATTGATTTACAGTGTCCGTATTGCGATCGAGATCCGTTTAAACAGAGAGACCGATTGAAAATGCACATCGAAAGACATCACAAGGAAGAGTTAGAGAAGGAATTTAATGCGGAAAGTGGTGGGAAAGAAGTAAAAATAGATGCGAAAGATGCGGTGAAGATGTTGGCGCAAAAGCAGAAAGATTTGCTAGAAATGAAGTTGGCGGAAAAGAGCAAACAGCAAAGCGATAAAGCGAAAGGCATCGATCCGTCCGCAATAAATATAAATACAACGACAACAAATCCGAAAGATAGAAGCGCGAAGAAAATTACCGTGGATACGGCACCGGTGGTGAGAGCGTCGGTGAAACAACCGAGAACGATCTTGGAGGAGTTTGCGAATAAGAAGAAGGACATCCGGAAGCCGCGATACGTGCCGCAAGAGAAGAAAGAGAGTAGTACTACTACCGGTGATAATAAATGGATTTGTAAGGTTATTTTGCCGGATAAATATAAACCAGATTCAGATATTGTGTTGTGGATGAACGACGCGGCGCCGTCAAAAGAAGAGGCGATTCAGAGAGGGGCGACGTTGGCGTTGGCGAGATACGCGACGAATCTCCCTTTGCAAAGGTTGCTTCCGCACGACTATAAACAGAGGTTTGAAAATTACGAGAAGGAAGAGAAAACCAGATTAGAGAAGAAGGAAAAAAGAGAAAAGAGAGAGTTAGAGAGGAAAAATAGGAAACCGAAACCGAAACGGGTCATTCCGACGTTACACATGTCCGAAGAGAAAAGGTTGATGGTTGAAGAACTACTCCGAACGTTTGAAAGCGAAGAGTCTTTGACGATTACGCAACATCACCGATCGTACGACGACTTTTCCGTGTTGCACGAAACGGACGAAGAAATTGCAAACCCGGAAGTCGAAGCGCTGACGAAGAGATTGGAAGAGTGTGGTTTTGAGAAATCAGACGCGACCATCGCCGTGAAACAATCGAAAGATTTTGCCTACGAGAGCGCCTTGGACTGGTTAGTCATTAACATTCCAGAATCGCGATTACCGGCAAAGTTTGCACCAAAAGCTATGAACGATCCAATATTCTTGTTGAACAACGCTAATAAACCGATGGAGGCGTCTAGGAAAGAGAGTAATAGCGTTCCCGCGAAAGATAGCGGAGATATTAGAATTCTTTGGGAACGCGGATTTTCCGTCGAAGAATCAGAGAATGCAGTCAAAACTGCCTCTTCTCTTCCTGCTTCTTCTTCAGTATCGCCGATGATTGTTGCGTATCGAAATAGAGTTGGTCCAAAGTTTACGATTCGTCTAGAGAAACAAAAGAACGAAGATTGGGAAGACGAAACTGTCGCGATTGAATCTATATACGGAGATGAGAACGTGAAGAAAGACGATAAGGAATGCGCTATTTCTGTATCCGTGGAGAATAAAGTGCTCGTAACATTTACGAATGTGCTTGGTTATCCCCAAACCGCACCTCCACTGATATATTTATCTTATATAGATAGCAGTAGTAGTAGTGGTGGTAGCAGTAATAGTAGTGATAGGGAAATGATTGCGACGTGTTTGGAAGTAGCGGTCGCAGCGGCGTTGGAATGCGTGGAAAGTGGGTCGGGGCCGTGCATGTATTCAGTCATCGATGCAATCAGCACGGAGTTAAGCAAAATGAGATCTACCAACAGCAACACCGAATCATATGCAACGACAAAAGCAACGCAAAAGTTATCGTCGTCGTCTTCAGCGGTACCAAAACCAAGAGGTGTAAACGCGGCAGCATTTACACCGCCGCCGCGACTTTTGGCAAACCAGCAAGGAGACACGAACAGAAACAAGAACAACGAAAAACGCAACAACGCGCGAAATCAACTTTCGCGAGCTCAAATCGAACAAGAAAGCGCGCGTTTGAAAGATGCGTATGATTTATGGCAACGCGATTGCAAATCCAACAAGCACTCGGCGGCTTTTAAAATGCAAACCGTTCGAAACAACTTACCCGCGTCGGAATCCAGAGATAAAATTACAAAACTCGTCGAAAGTAACGCCGTGGTTGTACTTTCCGGGGAAACTGGATGCGGGAAGTCGACGCAAGTACCGCAGTTTATTCTCGAGAACGCGATTTTTAATCAAAAAGGTGGCGAAACGAATATTATTTGTACGCAGCCTCGAAGGATTAGCGCTATTGGTTTAGCCGAGCGCGTGGCAAACGAAAGAGACGAAAAAGTTGGAGGCGTCGTCGGTTACTCCGTTCGTCTGGAATCGAAAACGAGTAAAGAGACGCGCTTGTTGTTTTGCACGACTGGTATTTTACTGAGAAGATTGCTGAGCGATCCAACTTTAGAAAGCGTCACGCACGTCATTTTAGATGAAGTTCACGAACGCTCCGTCGATTCGGACGTTTTACTTCTACTTCTCAGACGCGTCGTCCAAAAGCGACCAAATCTGAAACTCGTTCTCATGTCCGCGACTGCCGATGCGGATTTGTTTGCTGACTACTTTCAAAAACCGTCAAAACGAGCGAACGAAAATGCAATCAAAGCCGTGGAAACGTCCAAAATCACCATTCCTGGGTTCACGCACCCCGTGAAAGAATACTACCTAGAAGACGTGTTCCAAGAGACGAGATTTTTAGTTGGTCAAAAATCAAAGTACGCCAAGACCGCGGTGGAAAAGAAAAGGCAACTAGCTCTGCTTGAAAACGAGGAAGACATCGTTGATCCGAATGCACTTCTGTCTTCCTCTGACGACGAGGATTACGATGACAACCGACAAGCCGATCGTGAAGTCCCAGAAAGCTGGGACGTAGCCGAGCTGGACGAAATTGTCGCTTCTTCCAAGAAACAAAAGAAGAAGAACAAAAATGATGAAGATAATGAAGACGACGAGGATGACACATCGGATAGTGACGACGACGACGACGACGATGATGCAGAGGATTGGGCTTTGAATAAAAACCAGGCTGCAAAAAAACGTGCGTCTATTCCGAAGCTTTCTCCCGTGACGAACAATAACAACATCGACAACAACGAAACTACCGCGGACGAAAACATGAAACAAAGGAAAGAAGAGGAAGAACGAGAGCGTCAAACCGAACTCGCTTTAGCGAGAAAGCATTTGGAAGAGAACTACAGCGATGATGTAAAGCGCTCCATTCAAAACGTGGACGAATCCGTTTTGAACTATGAACTGATTGAAAATACACTCTCTGCGATTATTCGTAAAGAATTCAAAGAAGGCATGGAAAGCATCGTCCCGAAAGGAGGCAAACCGATGGAGAAAGATACGTACGGTGCATTTTTAATCTTCATGCCTGGCCAAGCTGAAATTTTGAAGCTCATTCGCGTCCTCGAGCAATCGCGCTTGCTAGAGGTTTCCGAAGTCGGTGAGCTAGACTTTCTTCCTTTGTACGGTCAGCTTTCTGCGGCGGAACAGCGAAGAATTTTTCAAAAGCCAAGGCTCGGCGTGCGTAAGATTGTCGTGGCGACAAATATCGCAGAAACTTCAGTTACAATCGACGATATTCGATATGTTATCGATACGGGACGGCAAAAAGAAATGCGATACGATTCGGAGAGAGGTCTATCTTGCTTGGAAGACTGCTGGGTCTCCAAAGCTCAAGCGAAGCAGAGACGCGGGAGAGCCGGGAGAACGACGCCGGGCGCGTGTTTTCGACTGTTCTCGCGCACGCAATTTGCAAACTTCGAGAAGACGCAAGCGCCGGAAATGTTGAGAACGCCACTTCAGTCGTTAGTTTTGAATATTAAAAGTATGGCGCCAGAATCTGGAACGGCGAAAGGAACGCTTTCGCTCGCGTTGACGCCTCCGGATGAAAATGCGCTGGACCTCGCCGTTCAAGAATTGAAGGATTTGAAAGCGATGGCGCTCGTAAATAACACCGAAGAAATTGTCACGCCGTTAGGTAAGCATTTAACGCACATGCCGTGCGACCCGCGACTGGGTAAGATGCTCGTCTACGCTTCTTTGTTGGGATGTTTAGACCCGATGTTAACCATCGCGAGCGCAATGTCCGGACGTCCTTTGTTTTACTCTCCGAAAGATAATCGAGAAGACGCCGAGAAGAAAAAACGGGCGTTCGCGGTTGGTAAATCCGACCACTTGGCCGTCGTCAATGCCTTTGATGGGTGGTTAAACGCCAAGAAACGCGGCGGAAGAGGCGCAGAGAGACGCTTTTGCGACGAAAATTATCTCTCGAGTCAAGCCTTAGAGGCTGTGTTGCAATCGCGAGTGGACTTTGCGCAGATTTTGTCCGACTTGGGATTTGTTTCGCGAAACTATGCGCTTCGCGTCAAACGATTTGGGCGCGCGAAAGACGACACGACGAATAGTAGTTATGGCAACATCGGAGGTGGTTTAAAAGACGAAGTGGACGTGAACTCGAACGTTTCTCGAATCATCAAAGCCGCGCTCGTTGCTGGACTGTACCCAAAACTCGTACGAGCGCAACATCCCGTTGCAAAATACGCCAAGACGATCGGCGGCGCCGTCGAGAAAATGGCCTCGGGGAGAGAGATGAAATACTACTCTCGAGACGTCGGCAGAGTATTTTTGCACCCAACGAGTGTAAATTTCAACGTCGGCAAGTACGAATCGACGTGGTTAGTTTACGGTGATCGCGTTCAAACCTCGAAGGTTTTTGTTCGCGATTGTACCATGGTCGGAAGCTATCCGCTGCTCTTGTTCGGAGGCGAATTAGACGTGAAACACGAACAAGGCAAATTAGTTCTCGACGATTGGTGCGAATTTAATGCCCCGGCAAAGATTGGCGTGTTAGCGCGTGAGTTGCGCAAGAAAATTGATCAACTTTTGACGAATAAAGTAAACTCACCCGGCCCCATATCCATGGACAACTCAATCGTTAAAGCCATGTTAACTCTTATCGAATCCGAGGGAATGTAGACGACGAGAAACCTAAATGTGTCGTAGTACTTGTTCTTGTTGTCAAGTGTCTATTCACTAGTACTGTACTTATTTGCTGCTGCTTCTACTAAAAATCCCGCTACTTTCTAAAATCTCTAAATACCGTTGCACTTTTCCTCTCGCGTCTTCTGCGGTCAACAACAACCCCTCCGAGGTGATGCGTTTATCTTTCCTCTTCCCCATCGCTACGCCTTTTCTCAACATGTCAATCGTCAACGCCGCTTCCGTCGACGGCGGTGCGTCTGGACTATTCACGCACGAATAAAGCGCGCACACGAACTCGTTCGGCGTCACTATAAAAGGCGTGTGCACGCCCCCTCCGTTCTTTTGCGGGATAGAGTCCCACACGGCGGCTTCAATCGGCGTTAACTCTTCCGCGTCGACGAACGCGTCCAGCTTCAGAGCGTTCTTTTGGAAATTGTAAATCGCCGAGTCTCTGTTTTCAAACACGTACGACATGAGCTCTAAAGGCGCGTCCGTGCCAACATCGCTCGCTCTTTGTAGCTGCCCAATCATTTGCGAGAGTTCCGCGTCCGCTCGCTTTATTTCCGAGAGGAGTATTTTCAGATTGCTGAAGTCAGACATTTTTCCTCCTTCATCAGCCGCTCGAGCTTCTCCTTCTTGTTCTTCTCGCGTAATAAAGAGCATCATCTCTGTCAATGCACACGACGCGAGTGTCTTGGTCATAATCTCTCGTCGTTTACGTCGTTTTTGTTGTCTATGTCGTCTTTCTTGTTGAACTTCAACTTCATCCTCGTCGTCTTCATCCCGCCGGGCCGTCAGAAACTCAAAGCCTCTTCCCGTCTGTTTCTTCGGTCTTCGCCTCGACAACAGAGACGACGAGGACAACAGCAGCGTTCCACCACCAAAAGCGTTCGCGTCAGTCGTAATAAAACTCTTCTTGGTCGTCGCAAACATTATTTATTCATTTATTTATGAGTAGGTGTGTTTGACGTGAAGCGAAGTTTGTGTCTTTTGTGTGTGTGGAAATTCTTTCCTTTTTTCCAATTAAATTCCTTTCTTTTCATCCAAATTTCTCAACTTCTCCTTTTTCTTCAGTCTTTCTCTTTCTACTTTGTTGCAGCCTTTTAAAAAGCTGCAGTCATCAAAAACGACCTTACAAACCCCTGAAGAACAACAACAGTACAGAAACAGCAGCAGAAACAGAGCAGTCGTTGGCGTCGTCAGAGAGAGAGAGAGAAGAGAAGAGGAGTCATCGATCGAGAAGGAATAAAAAGAAACATTTTCATCATCAAAAATCAGAATCGGAAAACATTTAACGAATATGACGAGTAGAGAACAAATCGAACACGCCGCTCAAAACCTCTCCTCTCGAACGCAATCGATTCGAGAACACTCGGAACAAACGTTACTCTCCTTTCGTAAATCACCGGAGGCGTTGTATTTGTGTCAAGATATACTCATCAATTCGCAATCGATCGATGCAAAGTTTCAAGCGTCGAACGCGTTACGGTTTGCGATTTTACAAAAATGGGACGTGATGACGAACGATATGCGCGCGGAGATTCGACAGTTTTGCTTGAAGTATTTATTACATTCACAGACGACGACAGAAACGTCTTCATCTTCGTCTCGGATGAGCAACGTCATCAGCTCGCAGATTGTTTCCGTGTTGGCGGTTGTGTTGAAGCGACAGTGGCTGGACGACGACGGGAAGCAACGACAGATGGCGTTGGAAGAGTGCGAACGCGCGGTGTCGTCTTCAGCGACCGCTGGAGCGAGGAAACTCGGTTTAGACGTGTTCACGCAAGTCGTTTTGGAGTGTGCACCAAGCACGAGCTCGCCTATGCATTTAAATTGGGAGTTTCACGAGCGAGTTCGAGACGCGCTCGAAAAGGAAGTTTTAGTCCATTTTTTCTCGCACGCCGGGAACATCGCCAGAGAAGTGCTGATGGTTGAGGGAGGGAAAATGGTAAAATTAGGGAAAGACGAGGAGTGTTTCTTTGCGAGTTTACGGCTGTTGAACGCGTGCTTATCGTGGGATTTCTCTCGGTTCGGCGGGTTCGGTAAAAACGGCGCAAGAGGCGTAGAGAATGAGAACGGAACAACAAGCAACGATAATCATAATAATAGCAATAGCAAAGGAGGTCGAAACGTTTTAGAAAACGCGTCAATATCCGATGGTTTCATTCCAGTGACGCCTGGGGAAACGTGGCGAGACGTTTTGTTGCAATCTGGAGAGAATGACACGTTCGCGTGGCTTTTTTCTTTACACGAAGCCATGCACTCGCCGAGCGGCGTGGCGCAGAACAGCGCGGACGGATCTAGCGCGATATTGCCGGGTACGAAAGTCGCCAAGGAGACGAGAAGTTTGTTTTCGAGCTTTTGCGCTTTGAGTGGATCGATATTTCCTGAAACCGACGTCCACAAGCAATTGAAGTCCATGCACTTCCAACGGTGCGCCCAATCGCTCTTGAAAACGCGAACGGTGATGGACCCGAAAGATGCCATGAACAACGTCGACGAAAGAGAAGGAGAAGTTTTAGATTGCGTCAAGCAGTTAGGCACGTTGTGTTCTGCGCACCATTGGACGTTCTTAGTGGCGCCGTGTGCGGCGACAGGTAGTAGCGTATTAGAAGCGCTGACGAACATTTGCTCGGCAGCGATTGAATCTGGCAGTTTGCGAGCGATAAACGACGGATCGTGTTTAGATCTTGTCATGAAAAATTGCTTTGATGCGTTTGCAGTGTTATCATCAAAAGTTGAGCGAAATCAAGCCGAGTCGCCGGAAATGGCGATGAAAATAAACCAAGAGATTGCAAAGATATGCCAAAGGTACGTCGAGTTTGGTTTACAATCGGCGAGAGAGTCTGCTTACGACGAAGACGACGGCCACGAAGAAGACGGTGCGGCGGGTATCGAAGCTTTAGATGTCGCATTAGATGTCGTCGCAGAGTTGTTTCGCGCGACGGTGTCGTCGTCCGTGCCAATGCTCGCCGCAGCGTTGCACGAAAAAATTAATTTCTTGTTACAATTAGCCGCGTTATCGACCGATAACGCCGCGCATGCGGATTTACAACGCGCTCCAGAGTTGTTTGAAGAGTTGTGGTGGTTGTTAAGGCTCGTAGGCCACGTCGTCGCGGACGATGGTCGAGGCGAAACGCCCATGCGGCCGTTACAGTTTGACGAAAACGAACAAACCAGAATAGCTTTGCGTCAAATTGGTGAACTGTTCATCGGTACTCTGTGCGTCCAAATGTGCGAGAATCAAAGCGTCAAACAGTTTTTATCGCCTCGCGTTGTCGAACAGGTTGTGTGGTGCGCGGCGAGATGGGCGGATACGCACCTGTTCCCGGAAGATTCGGGCGGGCGCGTGCGCAACGTGTTACTCAACGATAATAATTTGTCCATCAACGGCAGCGTCCAATCTCCAGACCCGTTTGAAGGCGAGGGAGGTGCATACGCTGCCAAAATTTTGGTCGGTTTAGCAACTGTCTCGATATCCTTTTACGACGGCGAAACGTCTTTAAGGAAATCTGCAAGCTTTCGATTACTTCCTTCCCTGACGCGACGCAATGCGCCGTGTAAAGCGGTCGCGAACGATCCTGCGTGGACGACGTTGTTATTCTCAACCGGTCAAGCGCACGAAAACGTAAACGGTGGTTTTCCGAGCGAAATATTCTGCGGATTGACTGAATCGCTCGCGAGAGCTGCGATTGGCATCGCGGAAGAAAACGATCAAAGAAACACGTATTTGCGGTACGTTTTAGAACCACCTTCGAAGGTTTTGCTTTTAGCCATAGAGAACAAGAAATTCATCGAACATCCAACCGGTGAAAGCCGAACGATGGGTGCTTTAGAAGCGCTCAGAGGTGTGGCGAGAGCGTCTTTGAGTAAAAGGCACGAGTTCTCGACGAACCATTTCTTTGAACTGCTTTCGCCTCTGACCAGAGTGATTGAAAATGCAATTTCAGCAAACTCTTCTCTCGTCATCTCTCGAGCGATGAAGTTATCGGAAACCTTGTGCGAAATATTTGCAATGGATGAGGAGAACACGGATCGACAGCAAAGAATACGCGAGTTTACGCTCTCGATTGTCTCGATTTTCGCGAAATCCGAACCTACAAAGATGACCGCGGCGACGCTGACGCGATTGCGAGACGAAGAAATTAAGGCGAATTACAAGTGTTTAAAATCGCTTTTGAGAGCGTTAACGCACTTAGCTTCCGCGTGGAACGACGAAGATAAAGAAAAATTAGCCTCGGTTGTCTTTTCAGGACTGGCAGTTGTCATCCCTCTCTTGACTCCGGACGCGTTGTTGCTCCCAAAGTTGAGAAACTGCTACTTTTCTTTGCTCTCGTATTCGATGGAATCGTTCGCGGATATCATCGTTAAAAACGCAAACAGAATGTCAGAGCTCGTCGTCAACATCAATGGATCCGCTGCTGGTGCTTCAGATCCAAACGCGTTATTTTTCATGATACTGTCGACGTTAGAGTTTGGTTTAGACAACGACGACGAAAACGTCTGCCGAGAATCTCTCGTCGCCCTCGGCGCGTTGGCTGCGGCGGAATTGCGAAAGCAGAAGAATGGTGGTGGTGGTGGTGGTGCCGCTACCGATAGCCCTCTGTTGATGCAAACGACGCAAACGGTCGCGAGCTTCATCGTTGAGGGTGGATCGGCGACGGCAGACAACACCAAACCAAACGCTTTGATGGTCCAGCTTCCGTTGTCGCCTTTGGGTAAATGCCTTCGAATCGTCTGGAAACGACTCCTGTTCGTGGACGCGTCTGGCGGTGAGAAGAACTCAGCCATCGTAGACGAAGCCGCCGACGCCTTGTTGCCTTTGTTACAAATAGAAAATGCCTGTTTCATGAGTCTCGGCGAGGAGACGTTTGAAGCTGCCGAGAAGAAAGGCGGTCGAGGCGTCGTCGTTCGCGAAGCGCTCGGCCAGTTGACCACGGCGAGAGGCTTAAACGCCGAGGTCGATCGAATGAACAAGAGAAGGTTTCGCAGAAACTTAGGCGAGTTCGTCGAGCGCGTGAGAGGAGTCGTTCGGAGCAACTAACTTCTAAATTTTTTAGCGCGACGTGTTTTGTGTAATATTTTATTAGAGTGTAGGAGTACGAGTGAGAAGTATTCGGAAAGGATAAAATGTCAAAGTGTATAAAGGTCAGATTACAACGCTCTCGAACCTACTATTTTAAACGCCTTCCTTTGAGTTGTATACAACGAACGGGATGGAAGGTCGTTCTTCTCTCTCTTTTCTCTCGAAGTGTGCGCGTGTGTTCAATCCTCTTCTTAAGCTTTCTTCGTGATGGCTTTCAACTCGAACTTCTTGGTCTTTGACTTTGGCGTACACATCTGAATCTCCACGACGTCTCCGACACTACTCTCGTTCTCTTCGTCGTGCACGGCGAATCTTTTGCTCTTATTGATGCGCTTGATAAAGCGCGGGTGCGGTACTTTTCTCTCGATCAGAACGATCGCCGTTTTCTCGTTTGCTCTGGAGACCACTTTGCCTTCCAAAACCTTAGAGATTGTGGTCGTGGAGATTTTCGTCGGAGACGCCATTTGGGAGGAGGAAGAGGAGGCGGAAATTTTGGACGTCGACGCGAAAGTCACGTTCGCTCTCGCGGATAACTGAGTAGATGATGCTAAGGTAAACATATCGGACTGAGTATTCTTTTATGCGTAAATGAGCGGTTAAATGTGATATCTAGTGTTCGCGTCGTGTGTTTACGAGCGTCGTGCTATTATTAATTTATGCGGTAAAATGCAGGATAAAACACAGCAGGCAAAAACCTCAAAACAACACTCACGGACAGAAAAGAGAGAAAGAAAGAAAGGTCTCGCACAAAAAAGACAAAAAAAAAGACTCAAAATCATCCAGAGTTTCCTGCACTTTTTTTTCCTTCTTTTTGAGGACATAAAGATGGTATTCACTCCTTCTGTCTCTCTTGCAACTGTAAAACCTCCTACTCCTTTTGTTCTTCGCAAAACTGCTGCACCCAGAAGAAGAAACATCCTCTCTTCTTGGTCTTCTTCTTTTCCTCCTTTTCCTTTCCGACGGAAGAACGAGAAAATCGTATCAGTGCGTAGCAGCAGCAGTAGTGGGACGCCAAAAAGGAGTACCGGTAAAAAAATCATCCGCGTGGAGAAAAACAGAAGGAAAGAAGAGTTCCAAAACTGGCCGGTTTGGGGGTGCGAGCAGTCGACGTTTCCGTGGACGTACGGGCAGACTGAACAGTGTTACATCTTAAAAGGTAAAGTGACGGTCATTCCAGACGAGAATCCAGAGGAAGCGGTGACGTTAGAGGCGGGAGACTTCGCGGAAATGCAGAAAGGCTTGAGTTGCACTTGGGACGTGTTAGAGGATGTCAGTAAAAACTTCAAGTTCGTCTGATTGATGACGACGAGGATGTTTTCTTTGCTGCTTGTATTCTCTAGTGTGCTTGTTGTTGTTGTTATTATTATTATTATTATCATGTGTATCAATAATACTACTTTTCTCTCGAATTTGCGAGCAAACCAAACACGGTTGCCGCGCCTACGAAAGTTGCTAATCCTAAACTAATCGCCGAATGCCTCGCCGCGAGTTTCCTTTCGTTTTCTTCTATTCTCGCCAACTTTGATTCGAGCGTTCGTAAAGCGTCTCCCACGGAGGAGGAGGAGGAAGTCGAAGGAAGTGGAGGTGTTTGTTGCGAAAAACCTTCCCGCGGCGTCGTCCAAGCTAACGGGGACGACTGTTGTTGTTGCTGCTGCTGCTGTTGATAGTTATACAGCTGTTGGATTTGTTGTTGCTGCTGGATTTGGGAAACGGCGGTGACGACGTCCTCGAGTTTCCTCGACAACCAAACGAACTTTTGCTCCAGATTACTCGACGAGCTACCTTCTATGTAATAGTGTGGCGTGGGAGTGTTGCGTACGCCGTTCCCTCCGTAATCTTCGGAAAGCCCGGAAATGTCGCGCTGATGAAGGCCGGGAATCTGATCCGGTTTCGGTTGTCGAAACGGCGTTTGCGGACGTCTTCTATCTGGAGTGCGCTGCTCTTTCTCGCTTGAATATCCCCCTCCGTTATTATTATTGTTGTTGTTGTTACTCGTATTATTATTGCTGAGACCAAAAGGCGTGCTCTCTCCGTTAACTCCGTAGCTATGGCGCGGACTGCTCGCCTCGTTATAATGACGGCCCTCGCCGTCGCTTCCGCTGCGATTCAACGCGTTCATTTCATTCAATCTCTCCGCATTCACCTCGAGTTCAGCCTGTAAGGGATGCCTACCGCTCCCATCTTCGTGCGTTTTTAAACTTCCAGAGTGCACTGAATTCGCTCTGGAAGAAACGTTGCTTCCCATGGCTGGCGGTACGATGTGATTCGTTTCGATGTCGTACCCGCCGCCGGTACCGTTCGGACGATTTATCGACAACAACCCGCTGAATTTGTGCTTAATCTCTTCAGTCATCTGTTCGCGCAGCTCTAACGTTAATTTCTCCATTTGTACTTGCTCGATAAAACTCGTTGGAATGTACGTGCCTTCCAATCCTAATTTTTCACCCGCTTCCTCCGCGGCGACGCGAGATTTCGATTGAATCTGCACGTACGCTCGATCTAAACTTTCGATCCAATCGACTTTGATCGTGAGCAAATCATCCGACCACTCGCGACCGCGACGTTTCAAAATCGCCCCAACTTCATACCCTAACGCCATCAACCCGCCTAATATGCGCACACCGACGCCAAATTTAATGCGAGGCGAAATCATGATAGGACCGTCCGTAACCGTTTCCTCAAACATGAGCGAATAGTGTCCGTCTCGATTTCTTAAACGCAACCAACTCGTGCACTGCTCGGGGTCTTCGTTCGGAGGTAACAAATAAATATCCGCGGTTTCAACTTCGTCCGTTCTCGTCACCGGAGATTCCGGATTGGAGTGGTCCAAGACGCTTTCGATTTCCTCGTCCGTGGGGACTTTATCGGATTTCAAAATATACGTCGGATCTTGGAAACCAGCGAACGGATTAAAGCTATTTACGATGCGCAAGTGCGCCGTTCTTAAATCTGGTTCGATGTACGCTTTGTACATCGGGTAGACGGTTTCCGAAATCTGATGGATGATACTTTCCGGCGCTTGTCCAGATCGATGAATATCTCGCATCACGCGTTTCAACAAGTCAAAGTGCACGCCTCCAGTCACGGAAACTCTTAAATCCAGCAACGGTCTCAAACGTTCGCTCAAGGCGTAAATACCTTCGATGATAACCACTCTCGCTTTCGGCACCTCGACGTGTCGATACCCGACCCGTTTACTGGACTTGAAATCGTAAATTGGAACTTCCGCCGAATTCCCGTCTTTTAGACTTTGAATGTTCTCCAACAACGTCGCGTAATCCGTCAATCTCGGGTCGTCAAAGTTATCTTCCAACAACACGCTCGCATCGTTATACATATCCATCGATATATGTTCAATACCTGGCATAAATTCTAATATTTTCTTGCTAAACACCGTCTTCCCGGCGCCGCTCGGCCCCGCGATGCCGACCACAATCAACCCTCCTTTAATCTCCTGTTTCAACAACTGTATCGCCCGAATGGTCAAATAAAACCCTTTATCGAACGAGACTTGCGTTTCAAATCGTTTGATTTCCTTTTTAGGTACAGAGAGAGAGAGAGAGAGAGAGAGAGAGATGTTGTTGATTAATATATTGTTTTTAAAAGAGAGATTTTGAGAGTTGAACTCAAAAGAAAAAGCAAACAAAAAACAAACCTTTCTGGTCCTCCCGTTCCTGGTCACTTCGACCACTTGCAACTGATCTTTAATCAGCGGCAACGGCTGTAAAGGGCTCTGGCTCTCGGAAGAATTTCCGATTTGATTGTTGTTATTTTGTTTACTTTGGATTTGAAAGTTGAAACTCGCGTGTCTCGGTGGTTTCGAATCCGAATTTGGTGCGCCTCCTCGGCTCACAACCCCCCCGTTGTTTGAGTTGTGGTTGTTATTCATCATCGCATGATGATGAGTCCCATCATCATCGTTACTAGTATTACTAGTAATAGTATTCTTGTTGTTCTTGGACGACGACGACGATGATTTGTTAAACATATCTAACAAGGCCGGAGTGTACGATCGACTCCCGGGTCCTCCCGAATCCACCGGCAGAGGAGGAGAGGTCGATGAATAACTTTCCCTGTTGTCGTTGGTGTTCGGAGAAGGAGCAGGAGAGGCACTCATTTTTTGTCCCGTGTTGTTCGGTGTTTGAAAACTGCTCTTTTGGAAGGAAGTTGTTCAATTTTTAGAACGCTCTTTTCGTGGAGCGTTATTTTTCTAGAACAACCTTTGGGTTATTCTGGCAAAAGAGCGTTATAGAGCGTTATAAAAAGTTTGTTGTTAAGCATATCATCATCACAAAATTAAAGTGCCACACAACCTACTCTATACACCCCCCCAAAACGTAATAATACTATCTATCTTCTCATCGAAGAATAAAGAGAGAGAGAGAGAGAGATCTTTTAATACTGTTGATTTTCATCGATTTCTTCTTTCTCAGGGAGCATTGCGTGTGATATAAGGCGTGGTTTTTGTGGTTTCTTTCGGTGAAGATGGGAGCGTGCTTCTCTCAACCATCATCATCATCATCAAAATCATCATCGGATGAAAAGGAGGAGGACAAAGACGAGAAGAAGAGAAAGAGTAGGAAAAAGAAAACAAAAAAGACGAACAAGAACAGAGGAAAGAACGAAGAACAAGAACAAGAAAAGGACGACGATGCGTTTGAACGAGCGATGATGTCCTCGGAATACTCGCGATTACAAACGATTAAGAGAGAAAGAGCGAGACAGAGAACTTTATCGGAGTGCGAAAAATTAGACGTGATTGCAGACGCGTTGGCGAATATCGAGCGAGAGAAGAAAGAACTCGCCAACGCGCGGAGACATTTACGAGACATGAACAGAGCGGCGAAAGCAGCAGCGCAGAAAGTAGAAAGTGATGGATTAGGAGGTGGGACAGTAGGAATAGTAGGGTCGAGCGCGAGCTCGAGAAGAGGAGACGAAGGAGGAGCGGGGATTGCGATGAGCGGGAGCGCGGAAGCGCCGCCGCCGCGCGAAAAGAAGAGCACGCTCTCCAAAAGCGAAACAACCTCATCCTAGCAGCAGGATGATGTATTTTTTGTGTACTCTCCAAAATATAATAAGTGTAGTATGTATTCTATCTAATTAATTCGCGTATTAAATGCATTGTTACTATTACGCGCGCGTATTCTACGAAACTTAACGAGTTTTATTTTGAGCTTCTTTTTAGACGAGGCGACCTCCTAATAAGCGACGGCGGCGGCGGCGGATTTGGACTCGCCGCCGCGCTCTTCTTATTCTTATTCTTTTTTTCCTTCTTCTTCTCTTTCTTCGTCTTCTTCCTTATCGTTGTCGTCGCCATCGCCGTCTTCTCCTCTCTTTCTTTCAACACAGAGCGTGGTGCAACGTTCCACGTGTTTTTAATGTGATTCGCAAACTTATTGTCCTCTAACAGCAGCAGCATTTCCATAATCATAACGCAGTGGTGCGCGCTTTTGAAGTTTGCGCCGCACACTTCCGATGCCCAATTTAATACGGCGATGTACTCCGGTGCGTTCAAATCGATTCGTGAGTAAGTGTGCACGAACGATCCAGCATGTTTGAAGCCGATGTTACCGTCTGCATGAGCTACCGCAGCTGCTGAAGCTCTGTCGCTCTTGCCTTTGGTGAAAGGTACGTCCACGTAGACTTCGTATAATTTTGCACCCGCATCGGCTTTCAATGGTAATGTTATTGCACCATCGTTGTTGTCGTCGTCTCTGTAATCTTTTCCTATCTTTGCCGCTGATTTTCCCGCCGCCATCTTGCACAATTTATCGCGCACGATATTGAACCGGCCAGAAAGCTTCTTCGTCGCATCGTCGAATATGTTCGCCTCGCACCAATCGATGTACGCGTTAACGTCCTTCGCATCATCTTTCCGTTTATCTTTCGCCAAAATTGGTGGAATAGCGCGACGTTTTCGAAGGAGTTCTTCCTGGAACGCTTTTCGAGCGTTCGTTGCCCATACGAGCCACCCATCTGCGGGTGCTTTGAGCGCGCTATTTTCTCTTTCGTCGACTGGGAAGCAATCGGGAACGTGATTTGACGCCGTCCGTTTACGTTGAAGAGACTTGACTCTTCCGTCAAGACCAAATAAAAGTTTGAGCGTTACCACGATAATTGCAGACGCGTGCACTTCAGCTGGATATGTGCTCAACATCTTACGCGCGTCCGCTTCTTTCATTCTGCTAATCTGAGGCATTTGACCAGCCTCGAATTTGTATTTCTCCTTGTCGAGGAGGAAATCGTAACCCAAGAATTGCATCAAGTTTTCGGCGCTCTCGCAATAAGCATCCGCAACGCGAGACAAAAGCGGCGATTGTGTCTTCTTTTTTACAGCCTTGCTTTCGCTGTTGTCGTCGTCAGCGTTGGTATTTACGTTCTCGTCGTTTCTAGCGACAACGACAGCCTCGGCGGGTTTGTGAGGTTGTTGATGCAGAAAAGCCGGAAACGAAGACTGGAACGCTCTGCGTACTAATTCCCTGGTAAGATTGAAAACATTTCGTTCAAATACTATGTCCTCACGCAGACCGGTTTTCGCGACAATATATTCAGCCACTTGGATCACGTCCGTGCTCGTTGGCATAGTTCTCGGTCTCAACAAGTCTTTTCCCCACGCGCGCATGTTATAGATATTCGTCGTCGGCCGCAAGTACGGCAACTTTCCGGTCGATGCAAGCGTTGAAATGTCTCTCGCAAAGGTGAATCCGAACGATTCTTCGTCCGCAAAACACATCCGCGTGGCAACGAACAATACTCCAAGCGTCAATTTCTGTGGTAAATGCGCCATGATGAGAGAGTTTACGGCGTTGAGATGTTGCCTCTCTTCTTCAGCCTCCATTTTTAAACTTTTTCCGTTTTTGTCTTTTCTGCCGTCGACATCTTCGGCGTCATCATCCTCGTCTTCTTGATAATCTTCACCATCGTTATCATCTTCGATGTTCTCTTCTTCTTCTAATTCTAATCCTCCTCCCCCTTCGTCTACGTCGTCGTCGTCGTCGTCGTCCGAATACGCCAACATTTCCTTTTGTCGTTTTGCGTCGGCGATGGCTTTTCTCCTTTCCTTCCGTAGCTTTCTCGTGTTCATAACAAACGTCGAAGTTCTGAGTGCATCGTTCACGCTGCCAATGTCGTCCATATCGATCGAGAAAAGTTCATCTTTTGCGGCTAACAGTGCAAACCAAATCGAGCGACACGCCTTTCGAAACTCGTTCGCGCGTTTCTCTCTTCGTCTCTTCTCTCTTTCTTCTTCGTCCTTGTCGCCGTAAGAAGAAGATTCCATGTACCTTTCCACGAAGAATTCGCATTGCGCTCTGAGTAATTTCGTCATCGTTTCGCAGTGCAAGTCCACCATTTTCGTAAATTTCCTCTCTTCGATTCTCAGCGCTCTCTTCTCTTCCATCATCCTTTCCTCTTTGGTAAACTGTTGCGAATAATCGTGCACTCGATGACCAAAACCGACCCGTCTTCTTCTCGCGCCGTGAAAAGACATCGGTCCTTGTTCTCCGCCGAAGCCAGGCAAAGCTCTCGCCAAAGCTTCCGCGTCTGGTGCGACGACCAAAGCATCCGTCTTCGCGTTGCACTTTTTACAGAAATAACTGCCAGTTTTCTGGTCTTCCTCGAAATTCTCGAGGCCTGAGTTTCCGCACACCTCGCATATGACTTCCACTTTTTTCTGCTGGTTTTGTTGCGTGGCAAACTGAGACATGGAGTATTTGAAACGCATACTCTCGTCTTCTTCGTCGTTCTTTTCGTCTTCTGCTTCTTCTCGTTTTGATCTTCTTCTTCTTTTAAACTCGTTTGTTGTTTCTGAATGAAATTCTTTTTCTCGTTGGCGTTTGGTTTTGAGCATCAGATTTTTCTTCTTCTTCTTCTTCGTTGTTTCTCCCTCTTTTTGGCTGTCGCCATCAACGCCGAAGCGTTTCATGTGGTGTGGTTGCGACATTGCTTTTGTTCTCACTGTTTCATATTGTGTGTGTGTGTGTGCGTAAGTGTGTATGTGTGTGTACTTTTTTATTCTTAAGAAACTCTTTATGTGACGCTTCGTTGCTCTCAAAAATAACAATAATAATCTCTCTAAATTCTCTCGTAAAATACGTCTCTTTCTCGTTTTATCTGTCTATGATATGTGTGTATACTTACTCGCGCACGCGCTGGACTTAAAACTATATATATTAAGAGTCTAACTTCTTTTTAACTAAAACCGTCGTAATCGTCGGGCATCTCCCACTGCGTTTCACCCGTCGTCGTGTTGTAATAATACGTGAATCCTTCCGGGCTTTGATGCGTCTCCCACAACGGCTTCTCTTCCTCTTCTTCTTTTTTCAACGAGGCTTCGTGCGCGGCGGCGGCGTTTTGTTGCTCTAAAGTTTGCCCAAAGATTGCAGTGGTAGCGGCCGCTGAAGCGGCAACATCGGTGGTCTTTTGGTATTGTTGTTGATCTCTCGGGACGTAATCCGCCATGAACGCTTCTAACATGTGTTTGGCGGTTTCGACTTTATCTTTGAAACCGCTTATTTTAATCATTTTCGTTTCTTTGTCGATTTGGATCTTCGCTCCGGACGTCATCGCCATGCTTCGGATATTTTCACCGCCTCTTCCAATGATGCGACCCTCCTGTCCTTGCGAATCAATCTCTATGACGACGTATTCTGGCTTCCCCTCTCCGGAAGTACCCGCCCCTGCGCCCGGCGCCGGCGCTTGTCGAACCGGCGCGGTGACGATGTCGTGGATGAGCATTCGAGCAATTTCTAGTTGCGAAGCGTCGCCTTTCGCGGAGACTTCGTTCGATTCGCGCTCAATTTGTAATCTGGCCCCGGATTCGTCCGAGATGCGTTTGATTGTTTCCCCTCCGCGTCCAATGACTCTTCCAATCATGTTATCCGGGACGGCGATTCTAATTTCAAGCACTTGTTGTTGCGGCGCTCCCATGTTCGCTTGGAACACCGGAATATTATTCGCCGGTGGCGCTTTAGACGCGTTGACTACGGGCAACAACTGTTCGATGGCGTGTCGCACGCACTCTGGAGCGCCAGCTATGGTGATTAATCTCGGCGCGCCTTTCGGGACATCCGCAGAGGATTGTATTTTCACGATCGCTTTCGTCGCTTGTTGCAACTGATTAATTTTCTCGCCGCCGTGCCCGATAACTTTCCCCGCGTTCTCTTGCGGGCACGGAATTTGCTCGATGATGTGTCCAACTGGTAACTCTTTCGGCATATTCGACGGTAAAATCATCCCCGGCCGCAAAATCGAAACCGGAACTGTCGCCGCCGTCCCCGCCGCGACGCCTTGTCCCGGCGGCGGCGGCGGCACCGAAAGCACCGTCGTCGTCGTCGTCGTCTGCCCCGGAGGCGGAGGCGGATACGCGTATTGAACCGTACCACCGCCATGTAATACTGCTGTTGTTGTGGTTGTTTGTGGTTGTTGCAAGTATACCGTCTGCTGTTGCGTGTGTACGACTTGTTGTTGTTGTTGTTGCGCCGGCGGAGGCGGAGGCACTCTTTGATGAATCATCTGATGTGGAAGCGTCGTCGTCGCACCTCCGTGCACGTTCGGAGGAGGCCCACCACCGGTTGCTACTGCTCCGTATTGCGGCACAACCCCCACCCCCACGTGCTGATGTTGTTGTTGAGCTTGCGCTTGCGCTGCTTGTGCCGCTCGCGTGCTGCTTCGACTCCTCGGGTCTCTCGGTGCCTGAATCGTCGTCGTTCCGTTTTGGTGATGAATTGACGGCGTTGATGTTGTTGGTTGCGCGGCGGCAGCAGCAGCGGCGGCGTTATTCACGGATTGCAAGAGAGACTGCAACGCTTCCGTGGACGGAATAGTCACTCCTCCTCCTTGCGGTGGTGGCGGTGCGTGCAAAGCGTCGTCTTTGTTTACGTCGTCGTCGTTTGATACAGCAGCGCGAGATCGTTTTCGCGGGTCGGACGGGACATCGTGTAAGTCGTCGTTCTCCCTCGCTCTTCTCGTGGACATTATGCGAGATGATTTGAAAGTAAAAGCGATCAAAAAACAATGATGATGATGATAAACTTCTACTACTACTACTAATGAATCGATCGATCGATCGATCGAGAGAAGTGATGACGATGAATGAGTCTACGAATAAAATGAGGAAAACGTTTTCGAATTTCGAAGAAGAAGTCTTTTCGAAGGATCCAAAAATACTTTAGTCCCATACTAATAATACTACAGAAGAAGGTACGCAAACAAACGCAGGTAAATACTTGACGATGATTCAGACGACGATATAATTTATTACGAGTTTTACGAACTGCTGGCATTCTTGCGTTTGTTTTTGTTTTGTTGTTATACTACACTCTCGTTTGTTGCTCTCTATTATTAAAAGGTATACAAACGCGCTCCGCAGGAGAGTTTTTTCCCTCCGAGGCGTTCTTCCTCCGCTTTTACGCGCGCCGCTTCCGCTTCGGCTTCGGCTTTAGCTTTGGCTTCAGCTTCGACTTTAGCTTTCAATTCAGCTTCGGCTTTAGCTTTCAATTCGGCTTCGGCTTTAGCTTTCAATTCAGCTTCGGCTTTAGCTTTCAATTCGGCTTCGGCTTTAGCTTTCAATTCGGCTTCGGCTTTAGCTTTCAATTCGGCTTCGGCTTTAGCTTTCAATTCGGCTTCGGCTTTAGCTTTCAATTCAGCCTCGATGATTCTCGCTTTTTCCTCTTCTTCTTCCTTTTCTCGCTGCATTCGCGCCGCTTTCTCTACGGTTTCGTCGTCTTCGTCGAACGAATCGTGTTCGGTATTCGAGGCGTCGTGTAGAACCATCTCCTTGAGCGGCTCTTCGTGGTGCCCGTGAATGTGACTACTACCACCTTCCAAAACTGGTTTCCAATCGGTTGTATCTTGCCACGGCCCAAACTCGATGGCATCGTTCGCGTTCCCGGCTTTATCGCCTCGAGAAAACTGTTGCACGTCCCCGGGCTTGCCGTAATCGCTACAAAACTCCCCGTGCGGCATTCGTCTTTTCAATTTTCCATCCCACCCTCTGTTGTATAAATTAAATCCACCTTTCAACAAGACCAGCTTCTCGTATCCAGCTTCGTCTAACATGTCCAGCGCGTGCACCGCTCTTTGCCTTCCATCCGAACACACCACAACAATCTTGGCTGCTTTTTTATCCGGGAACCTCTTCTCCACCTCTGCGATAAAGTTCTCGTTTTTATGTTGGTTCTGGAACGCCTTCCCGCCCGCGGTTGAGTCAAACCTGTACCCCGTGGACGTGACCAACGGAATATTTGCCACGCACTCTGGCCCAGAAACGACGACGACTTCAGACACGCCTCCAATAGTTCCTTTCGGTGGATTCGGAAGTTTCCCGAAAAACTCCCTCTCCTGGTCGTTGCGGATGTCAAGGAAAACCCATCCGTCGTCCCAGAGCACTCTCCCTTGTTCAAAGTTTGCCACGTACAACTCTCCGGAGTTGAAACCTTTCTTCGTCTCTTCGTCGAAAACTTTGTCCCCGTATTGCTGAATGACGACTCCTTCTTGAACCGCGGCGGCGGACGCGACGACGTTTAAACGACGATGAAACGACGATGAAAACGCAATCGACCGATGATTTTTGTTTTTGCTGACTCGGCAACAACTGGACGATGATGATGATGATGATGAAATCCCTCTCGACGCTTTGATGAAAACCGCAGCAGCAGCAGTTCCGCGAGGAGTCGCGCAGGAGGATAAGGAGAGCGATGGTGATGATACTGATGTCGACGTGAGCAGCATGTTCACAGTAGTGCGTGTGATATGTGTGTAGAGAGGTGATAAAAAATTTCGGATTAGATACGGACAAAAACGGAAAAGAAGAGAGCGTTTGACTTAATCGCAGTGCGACACGTTTTCGATACAAATCTCTCTTTTTAAGAAGTGCCCTGTGTTCCTCTCGTCCTTTTCAAGTCCTGCCTGGTTGTGTGAAACTCTCTCTCTCTCTCTCTCTTGTGAAAAAAAACGAGACACCACACAACAAAAAAAAACAAAATTTAATTAAAAAAAAATGTTGATGCGCTTTTGCTTCGCAAGGTCTTCCTCTGCTGGGTGCACATCGTCGTCGTCGTCGTTGTGTTTCAAAAGCGTCGTGAGGGGTGGTCTGAGGAGGAGGTTGATGAGATCGTCGACATCATCAACTTTTTCCCGAGGAGGAGGAGGACGACATTTGATTACGATGATGAATTGGCGAATGGACGACGGCGGCGACGTGAACAATAACGAGATGGGAGATTCGCAACAAAAGCAACGACAACAACAGCAAAAACGGACGAGTTCGGGTGGCGCCGCTTCAACATCAAGAAGAAGAGACTATTACGACGATTCAGACGACGAGAACAACTCGTACGACAACAGGAGAGGCAGAGGAGGAGGACGAGGAGGGAGGAAAAATTTTAACAACAACAACAACGGCGGCGGTCGAGGAGGAGGAGAAAGAGGACGAGGACGAGGGCAAACACAAACATCGACGAGGAATAGTAACAACAACAGTTATTACGGAAACGACGAGTACGAGAATAGCTCTCCCTATTATTATAACAATCGCGACCGGCAAGGAGGAAGAGGAGGAAACTACAACGATAACAAGCCGGCGTATTTACAAAGAAAAGAGGAGCGGAAAGCGACGAGAGAACAACCAACCTTACGAGAGATGGCTCTCGGTGAAGTCATTTTTGGACAGAATCCCGTGAAAGAGGCGTTGTTGCAAAATAAGAGGGACGAGTTTTACAGACTGTGGATCCAAGAAGGCGACGGGGGAAGCTATTCGTCGGACGAGAAGATGATTGCCAGAGCGAAAGAGTTGGGATGTACGATTTCGTACGCCACGAAACACGATTTGAACATGCTGACAGAATCGAGACCGCACCAAGGCGTCGCTTTAGATTGCACGCCTTTGGAAATGGAAAACATCGAAAGTTTGTTGGAGGAAAATGGAAGTGGAAAGAACGCCGCGGAGACCGAAAGGAACCGCGAACATTCTCTCTGGCTCGCGCTCGACGAAATCATCGACCCGCAAAATTTCGGCGCCATTCTCCGAACGGCGCACTTTTTAAACATCGACGGCGTCGTCGTGTGCGCGAAGAATTCCGCGCCTCTCTCACCAGTCGTCTCCAAAGCCTCTTCTGGGGCAATGGAAACGATTAAAGTGTACCAAACGAACGCCATGCACAAGTTTCTCGCCAAGTGCGTCGACGACGGTTTCAACGTCATCGGTTTAGCCAACCAAAGCGGCGCGGAAAACGTCTCCAACTTATCTTTGAATCAACCAACGGTTTTAGTCGTAGGAAACGAAGGCTCTGGTTTACGAACGAACGTTCGCAGAGCGTGTTCGAGGATTGCTAAAATCGAAGGCGGCGGCGATGATGAAAACAACGCGACGACGAATACCAACAACAAAACCACCAGCGTCGAGTCGTTAAACGTCAGCGTGGCGACTGCAATCGCGCTCTTCCAGCTCACATCATCATCATCATCATCATCATCATCATCGGAGTAGTAGTGGTATAAGTAGTATAGGGCAACAAGAGTCATAATACATATAATAATACTAAAGCGACCAAACAACACGCACAACTCTTCTCTCTTTTTTTGCAACAAAATCGATTTTCTAAAAAAAAGGAAAAAAACCACCACCAGACCACGTCGACGAGTTTCTTCTTTTCCTTCTTTTCTCCCCAGAACAACTCGCAGCACCCGCTGCTGCTTATACTCACACTACTAATAATAAACGAATACTAATAATAATAATGTTCAACTTGTTGTTGTCGTCGAAATCGTCGTCGTTCATCGACCGCGCGTTCGCGACGAACATCAATCCACCCGCGACGACTTCTTATAAGCAAAGATGTTGTTGTGGGGTCACCTCCTCGAAATCGTGCACGTCGTCGTTTTTTGTTGGTGGGTCAGAACGAGGAAGGACGACGACGACGATAACGAAGAGCAGCAAAAGGAGTAGCCAAAGAAGCGAAATGAATTCGTTCGTTTCTGGGAGGAAAAGAACAACGAGGACGGAAACGAAGAGAGCGTCCTCGTCCTCGTCGTTCGACGAAGGAGAGATCCCGACGACGGAATCGTCCTCGTCGTCCTCGTCGTCCTCGTCGTCCCCATTCTCATCCTCGACTGAGACAACAACAGAGACAAAAGCAGTAACAGTAAAAAATGATGACGAAAAAGCGAACATGAATGAAGTCGCGCTGTGGGTCGGCGCTGCCTGCCTCTTTGGCGCTGGAATCGGCTTCGTCCAAGGCGTGGATAAAGCCTCGGAGTATTTCGCCGGGTATTTGTTAGAGCAAAGTTTATCGGTGGATAATCTTTTCGTTTTTATTTTGGTGTTTGATTACTTTAAAGTGCCGGAATCGACGCAACCGAAGGTTCTGAGCTACGGGATTGTCGGAGCGATGATCATGAGAGCGGCGATGATTCTCGCCGGCGCGACGGCTATCGAGGACTTTGAGCCGGTGTTGTTAGTCTTCGCCGGCATTTTGATTTTCTCGAGTTACAAGTTACTCGCGAACAACGAAGAGGAGGAAGAGGAGGACTTGAAAGATTCCGCCATCGTAAAGTTTTGCTCGAGCATGATTCAGGTATCGGACGAGTACGATGGGGATAATTTTTGGACGACTGCAAAAGACGGAGTGACGAAAATGGCGACGCCTTTGTTGTTAGTGGTGGCGGTCATTGAGCTTTCGGACGTGGTCTTTGCCGTGGACTCAATCCCGGCGGTATTTGGAGTCACAAAAGATCCGTTTATCGTGTACACGTCGAACATATTCGCAATTTGCGGCTTGCGATCGTTGTTTGGATTCGTTTCCGCGGTCGTATCGGAGTTGGAGTATTTAGAAACCTCCGTGGCTGTGGTTTTGGGATTTATTGGCGTGAAGATGGTTGCGGATTACGCCGGGTACCCCATGTCCACCGAAGCGAGTTTAGCGGTGGTCGCGACGTTGTTATCTGGAGGCGTTGCGGCGAGTTATCTGTTCCCGTCGGCGCCTGCTGAAGTGACTTCTTCCGTGGATGAATAATACGAGAGAGAGAGATTAAATATATTGTTATTGATTTTTAGAAAGAAAAAGTGTAATGCGACAACGAGCTTTTTGCGGCAATATAGATTATTATTTGCGTTGACGATTGTTTTTGTTTAAGAACTAAGTTATATAATAGTTATTATATATATATTCTACTAGTATAACCACACGTTCCGTGAACCGATCGACGAGATAAAGTCTAGACTAGGAAACCTTTTCGTTCGCACATCGGTTTTCAGGGCGGCGTCTCCGGTTCTCTTTTTAATCGAAGAGATCAAAGCCCATGTCTTCCTCTTCCTCTTCGACGACTTCTTCCTTCTTCGCCTCGCCACCGCCGTCGCCACCGCCGCCGCCACCGCCGCCACCGCCGGCCGGCGCGCGCCCCACCGCCGACGGCACAGACGCGAGCTTCTCGTTACCTTCCGCGATCAAAGCGGCGACGTCTTTGCCTTCGATTTCGGACATGAAGCTGGAGAGCTTGGCGTCGTCAACTTCCGCAGACGCGGCGGCCAAAACCGCCTTGACGTCCGCGGCGGACGGAGATTCCTTACCGGAGAGTTGCGCCTGTAGTAGTTTAAGTAAAAGACAGTAAAAGAGAAGGATTAATGTGAGTTTCTTTGTTCGAAGAAAATTCTAGAGAAAAGGAGGAGGAGGAAAAGAAGAGGTCTTTTTTTCTCTCGAACGATGAAAATGAGGACGAGAAATGACAGTCCGCGCGCGAACGCGCGTCTTTTCTTTCTCTCTCTCTCTCTCTCTAAACTCTCTCCGAGTCGATCAAATACTCCTCCACGCGAATCCGAGCGAATCCGAGCGAATATATGCTCGCGAGTTCGTTTCCTTAAAGAAAACACGGCGAGAGCGTGAGAGAGAGAGAGACCCCAACAAAAGAAGAAAATCCCAATACGAATGAATGGCTCTAAGAGAAGAAAAACGTACCAACAAGAACGCGGCGACGTATTTCATTTGAAAGTTTAATTAATGCGCGTTAAGAATAAAAACTCGAAGCTGCGATGGGTATATCGCCTTAGCCAACAAAAGAGGGGCAAACGTGTTTGTTAAAGTGAAGATTTTGATGATTTCTTCCGCTTAATAATAAATTTCCTTTTGAACATCTCTTCGTGCACCAAAAAAAAGGACTGCCCCTTCGCAAGAAAAAAAAAACATGTTGCATGAGAGACCAGTTCTCAAAAATTCACTTCCTCCTCACCTTCCTCCTCACAAAGAAGAGGAGTCGAAGCAGAAGGAGTCAAAAATAATGGCTGGATTTTGGACGACTTTCTTGCAACGAGAACCGATCGTGGTGTGGTCGTGCGCTTTGGGCGCGATTGGAGCGGCGTTACCGGTGTGCGTCCCACCGATTAGGAATATGCTCAGAGCGGATCAGGAACCGACGAGGCCACCGTCCGCGCAGAGCGTCGTGGAAGCGTTGAGAGGTGGGAAATCTTAATACGATGATGATGATTTTATGTATAAAATAGAAGAGTTTAGAGAGAGAGAGAGATGAATACGTTTTAATACCACCTAACGCATCACACGTGTTGTGTGCACGTATGATAAATAGCCTTCTTCGATGGAAATGATGATGCGCAGTAACCACAAAAGTTTCTCGTCCGCGCTCTTTGAGATGACTTCATCAGAAGAGACATTTTGCTGCCGCTGCTGCTGAATTTTTCTTCATTCTTTTTTCCATTCCGAGAGAGAGTTTAGAGAGAACAACACAACCGAAGACAAACGCACTTTTGTGCGTGCGTTTTGCGCGTTTAAAAAGAAGAAGAAGAAGAAGAAGAAGAGGAGAGTAATAACACCATCATCATGTCTTTTCCTTCTTCCTCTTCTCATTCTTCTTCTCGCAATCAACAGCAGCAGCAACGCGCGATGCCGTTTCAACTCTTTCTGGAGAAGATGCGACAGCCTTTAGCGGCAGAATTAGTCAGCGGAATCAAGCACTTCATAAACACTTTCGTTTTAGAAGAAGACAAAGAAGAAGGGAAAGAAGGAGAAGAAGAAGGAGGAGGAAAGAAGAAAAATAAACAAAGAGATTCGGCGAAAGATTCGGAGAAAATTCAACGGTTTCTGAGAGCGTACGAGGAGAAGTTTCGGAGACACTCGCTTTGGAGAAACTGCTCTCCGGAGGAAGTTGAGGTGGGTTCATTTTTTATTATTCATCGTCATCGATAATACATTAAATACTAAAACAACGCGTTTTCTTCAACAGGCATCCACGGAAGGATTGGAGAAATACGTGTGCACTAAGCTGTACTCGACGATATTCGACGCGTACGGGGAGGAAGACGACGCGATTAACGACGCTTTACAAAAGCGCGTCGAAGCGTTGCGAAATCTACCGCTCACGCCGGAAATGTTGGACGTTTCGAGGAAACAGTTTTTGCTGCTCGGCGAAGAAGAAGAAGAAGGAGGAGGAGCGGACGAAAGTAATGGTCAACCCGCCGTCGGAGATGGAATGCCAACGACCCCGACTTCTAGCAGCAGCAACGACGAGAATAATAATAATAATAATAATAAAAGTCCACATCAAAACAACAACATCCCGAAAAGTTTACGGCTGGCATCCATGGAGCTGGAGAAAATGAACACGTACAAAGCGCCGAGAGATAAGATGAATTGCGTATTGAACGCGTGCCGAATCATTAGTAACGCGGTGTTGCGATTTTCAGGCGGGGCGGATGCTTTCATACCGTCCCTCATATATTCTTTAGCGCACGCAAACGTCCAAAACTTATGGAAGAATATCAAATACATAGAAAGATTTAGACTTCGAGATAGACTAGAACAAGGCGAGGCGGCGTATTTCTTCATCAACGTCGAGAGTGGTGCGCGATTTCTAGGCACGTGTGGTAAAGAACAGCTGAACATATTCTCCGACGAAAAAGACGACGCGTTTCCGGAACCGGTCGATGGACTTTTAGTTTCTTTCAGCGCTTCGAGAGAATTAGAAGAAGAAGAAGAAGATAATGAAGAAGAAGAAGATAAAAAGCAAGTGGCGCGTAGTCATCATCTCACCACCCCTGAACAACCGAAGACGCCACCATTCAATGGATTTGTTGTTTCCAATGGTGGTGGTGGTGGTGGTGGTGGTGGTGGTGGTGGTGGTGGTGGTGGTGGTGGTGGTCAGAACGATGACGATACCGGTACTCCTCCTTTGGCGACGATGAACATACATAACGAAATCGAGATAATAGAAACCATGGGCGCGTCGCTGAGTTTAAGCAACGAAAGCGATTATCACTTCATCAACGCCGACCACGAGCATTTAACCATTGGCGATATAAAAACGCTTCTGATATCGTACAAAAATTTAGCGAACAAGTACGAGGCTTTGAAGCGCGGGATAGAGATGAAGTTGCGGGAAACGCGGGAAAGCGGCGATTCGTATTCTTCTTTACTAACGGCTGCGGAGGAGGCAGATGATGAAAATGACGACGAGGAGGAGGAGGAGAAGGGTGATGTTGTTGTTGCGACTACAACATCGATAACAACATCACCTGCTGCACCACCGTCTTTGCTGTAGTAGTAGTAGTAGTAGTAGTAGTAGTAGTAGTAGTAGTAGTAGTAGTAGTAGTAGAGTAATCGAATGAGAGCGCGTTCGTTCGTTGTTCCTGTTCCAACAAAAAGAGCAAAAAAAGATATCGTTGATTCAACGACCTTCAATTACGAAGGGGGCGCTATTATGGCTGATAAGTTTCATGGAGTTAAATTGAGTTATATAGAACGCACCAATACCACTCTAATTAAGAAGCAATAAGTTTCTATTCTTTTGACTTTTAGTTTTTAGACTCACATGCTAAGAAAGCTATTTCTTTCGAGAATTGCTCTCTTCGAGGATTGAACTCGAGACCTCCCCCTTACACGTTCGTGTAAGAGATTCTTGTGTGGTGGGGTTGTGTTGCAACTAACTAGAGATTAGGGTTGGGGATTTTAATATAAGAAGAAAAAACATTTTTTTTTTGAGACCAAAAACAAAAAAACTACTCGCGACAAAGAACGAGACGACATAAATAAAACACAACGACACACACAATGACCGGCGCTGCTCATGTTCTCGCTCGACACTCTCTTCACCTTTGTACCGCTTCTTCATCATCATCATCATCATCATCATCATCATCATCATCATCGTCATCTTTAAAAAAGAGTCGTTGTTCTCAATATCATCATCATCAATATCATCGACAACAAGGAAGAGAAGGAAAAGAAGGAGTCAATAATAATAGAAAAAAAAGAATGGTATTACTTTCTCTCGTGGAAACTTCTCTCCTCGTGTCGTCGCAATCGTCCATGGTATTCTCCGCCTTTGCGGCGCAAGAAGCTGCTGCCGCGGCGGGATCAGAAATATCCCCTTTCGCTGGCGTGGTCGATATCGCCGCGTTAGGTTTACTCGCCGTTTTCGCCTACCTCGGGAACAAAAAGAGTTCCGAAAACGTGCAATCGGAAAGACAAAAGACGATAACGAACATGCCGTCGAGGAGAAATCGAACGCCACCGAAGTCGTCGAAACCTCCTAAGTGATGCTAATAATAATAAATGATTGTGATTGATATCTTTTTAATATATTCTTTCTTCTGCCTATTGTAAACTAATTCTGAATGTTACGTCACAAATTTCGTCGTCAATTCAATAAACAACTAACTACTACTAACGAGTACGATGATGACATTAGTAGTATTATAAAAAGATATCATCTACTGGTATTATAAATCGAAAGTCAAAATGGATGATGAGTTACAACAAAAACAGAATCAAAAACTACACCCAGACTCGTGCACTCTTTTGGAGGCGTTATCGTTGAACGATACGTTTTTAGCGGCGGAAATTGTCCAAAATCCCAACCAGAAACACAAAGGAACGCGATGTTATAAAGAGTACAAACCTTTAAATACTAATAATCAAATCATCACGCTCGAAGAGCTCCTCCTCTCGACGAAGAAGAAGACGAAAAACACCGCGTTACACATCGCCGCCTTTTCCGGGGAAGTGCAATTTTTGCAAACGTGTTTGGAAGCTTTGAAACAAAAAAACTACTCGAAAGAAAAAATACAATCGATAACGAATTGCGTGAACGCGTCGAACGATACGCCGTTGTTACACGCGGCATCGAAAGGTCACTACGAGTGCGTGAACTTGTTGTGCGAAATGGGACACGCAGATGTGAGACACAGAAACAGAGATGGATTGGACGCGCTGATGGCATCATGCGCGATGGATACGACGACGACTATTAAATATTTATTCGAGAAAGGTGCGGATATAGAAACCACGGACGTGAGAGGAAGGAGGGCGTTGCATTACGCCGTGGCGAGTGAGAATGTGAGAGCGGTGGAGTTTTTGTTAAACGAAGCGAAAGTAAACGCGGCTTGGAAAGATTCGTACGGTCGAACCGCTTTGGACGAGTGCGTCAATTCAAACGGAAGTAGTAGTAATAGTGGTAACGCGGTGACGAATCCAGAGCTCATGGAAATGCTCAGGAAAGGCATGGAAAAGAGCAAGCAGTTGCAAGAGGAGTTGTTTTTGAAAATGCTCGAAGAGGAGGAAGAAAGAGAAGAGCAAGAGAAACGCAAGATGGAGAAGAAGAAGAACAAAAAGAAGAAGAAAAAGAACAAGGAAGAGGAAGATCTAAGAGAGAAAAAGCCGAACGGTGAGAGCGAGGATGAAGACAAAGAAGTAGAGGAATTCGAACAAGGTAAAGAAGAAGAAGAAGATACCAGCACAGAAACGACGAAAACTTCTTCCGCGTGGATGAAAAACGCCGCGAACGGAACCGCCGCTTCTCTGTTCGAAGACGATTCGTCCTTCGAGGTTGTCACGTCCAAAAAGAAAAAGCAGCAGCAACAACAACAACAACAACAACAACAAAAAGTGAAACCGCAGAACGACCAGAATCATTCTCCGTCGTTATCATCATCCGTGTCGCCGCCGAATCATCATTGGTCTGTTGTCGAGGAGCCAACCTCGAAAAAGAAAAAGCAGCAACAAAAAGTGAAACCGCGCGATGACCAGAATAAAAATTCTCCTCCCGCTCTTCCTCTTCCTCCTTCTTCTCCACCATGGTTAGAACGCGCGATGATTGAATTCGAAGAGAAACACCCCGCATCTGTAGATCTCGACGTAACGATCGAACATCTGTTGGGTCTAAATCTAGAATCTTTAAGCGCGTCCCAATTAGACGTCGTCGCGGATGCGCACGTTGCTGCTTTGGAGGAAGTTCGTAAGCAGAGATTACGGTTGATTCAAAAACGCATCATCGAACAACGAGAAGAAGAAGAGAGTTCAATGGCGCAAACTCTTAACGACAGCGATAATTAACAACAACAAAACAATAATAATAATAGCCATATAGTTTTATATACTAGTTATTAGGTATCTTGTACAACGCATAGTACATGTAGAAAGAACGAGCTAATTAATCTCATCCGGACGTAAAACGCGGTCTCGGCCGAGAGCAAATTTAGGCATGTCTTTTCTCTCGACCGTTTCCGCTCTAACTTTTGGCACAGACAACCCTTTCTTCTCTTTTTTTGTCTTTTTCTTGTTCTTTCCGTTCGTGAAATCTCTCCAGCCACCCACTCGAGTCTCTCTCGCCTCTTCTTCGTTCCATCCTTTCTCCGCGTTGACTGTCTTTTTGCGCGCTTGATTTTCAATTTTTTCCTCGCTCACCACTCTCTTCTCTTCGTCCTTTAATCTCAACGTCATCTTTCGTCTTCTCCACTCTAAATCTACTATGTACTTCCGTCCTTCAAGTTTCCATCGCTCGTGAAACTCGTCCGAGGCGAGAAAGTGTTCCAATATTTTCCCTTTGTCTCCGTTGAATCGAACTCTCAACAGCGTGTCTCCTTTCATCTCTTTCTTATACTCTCCCACGACTTTCTTCTTCGCTTGGTCGAGATTAAAATCTATTTCTTTCTTGAAATCAATCGTCGTGAGTAGCTTTTGCGCCTGCCCGATGGCATCAAACGCGATCGATGCTTTCGGATGGTTGCATTTATCCGGGTGCACTAACAAAGACACCTTACGAAACGCCTTCGCGACTTCTTGTATAGTCGCGTCGAATCGAACGTTTAAATACTCGTAAGGATTCAACTTGAAACACGATAAGATTCTCTCCACCTCACTCGCGCGATCTGTTTGCGACACGTCTTTGAAAAACTCCTTCAAAAGCGTCTCGTCGTCCTTCAACTCTTCGATTTTTTCCACGACTCCTTTTTTACCTTCTCTTGTCACTCCCGTCGTCGTCGTCGCATTCTCTCTCGCAATCGCCGCCTTCTCTTCTTCTTCTTCTTTTTCTTCTCTGTCCTCCGCTACTTTCGCTACTTTGCTGCTTGGTTCTCCTATGTCTACTGCTCTCCCTGATGCGCCGTCGTTTTCTGCTTTCCTTTTCCTTCTCTCTTCTTCTTCTTCCGACGTCGTCGTCGTCTCTTTCTTCTTCTTAGAACAGTTCCCCGGTCGGAGAAAAATCTCCTCCTCTTTCTTCCTCTCTTCTTCTCCATCCAGGACAACGACACCGGAAAGAACTTTGACGTGGTATCGCTCTCGACTAGGAATATAATTCAGAACGATTCCATCCAATCCGTTTAAATCTGGTCGGGCGTTTAATCCGTGGATGGTAATCGAAGTGCCCGGTTCGATGTACTCCATGTCTTCTTCTTAATTATTAATAAAGAAAGAAAGAAAAACGAGTTTTAAAGTGTGAGGTAAAATACGCCTTTACGCGCGGTGGTAAGTCTCTCTCTCTTATTCATTAGTATTAAAAAAGTGTATGTGTGTGTGTGATAGTTCTTTTCAGTGCTGCTCTTGGTGTTTTAGTGCTGTTCTTTCCTGTCTTCGACACATTCAGCGTATTCTTCGTCCGTTGGTTCTGGGCAACCTTTCTCTCGCAAGTAGTTTTCGCAGTCGGGTTGTTCGTGGTAACGAGCGTTAGCGATGTATCGCCAGTTGTCAAGAGGCACTTTCGCCTCTTCGACTAAGTATTGAAGGCAATCGAGGCGGCCATACGTGCAAGCGTAGTACACGCACACGCACTTATCCTCCTCGGATGTCTTTCTTTCTTCAACAAGATATTTCAAGATGTCCACGTGAGCAAATGCTGCCGCTTGTACTGCCGCTTTTTTTTCCATATCTCGAGAAGGTTTCACTTTGCCGAAAAGAAATCGAAGACAGTCGAGGTGTCCTCTTATAGCAGCTATTTTACACGACATTTCTTCATCACACGGGCACTCGTTAGAGAAGCAGTACTTCAACATCTCGAGATTACCTTGAAATGCGGCCTCATTAATCGTCTCTTCATCCCACTCGCAATGTTTCACTTCTCTCGCCCACTTGAGCAACTCGAGTTTGTTCGTTGCAGCAACTTGCTCGCAAAACCAGGCTTGATCTATCACTCTTCCGCTCTTATCTTTCTCTCCCCAGGGAAAGATATTCCACATCAATTCCAACGTTGAAATGGATGTACATTCGTAAACATTTACATCTAATTTCGATACGTCTACCCTTGCGTACGCAAGCACACTCCAACTCTCTCTATTCACCTTTGAAAAGAAACACCGATCTGTCGTATTCAATTTCGGAAGCACATGCGAGACAAACACATCCTTATGGTGCAACACCAACCCGGTCCACAACTTCGTCGGTCCGAGCTTCAACCGCTCCATTTCCGCGGCGAGCTTTTCTTTCTCCATCTTCTTCTTCCTCTTCTGCGCGCCGGATAACACTTTCCCGAGTACTACGCTTCGTCAGTCCTTATTCTTTCTTCTTGTCTTGTACATGTACGAGTGTAATTTCGAGAAGGGAAAAATACTAAAGTGTGGTAAATCTGTAAATGCTCTTCTTCTCTCTCGTTGTTCTTTCTACATAGAATGATAATAATAATATTAAAACAACAACCATCTAAAGTCGATCGATTACTCGACGTTCACGGTTATCGTCGACGCAAACTTCTTCCCGTAACTCACGTGCTTCCCGTTGGCAAACTGTAACGTCAACGTGTGCGTCCCAGGTTCTAAAGTAATCTCGCCTTCTTTTTGCGCCTTGCCGTAGTGCAAGTGCGTGGCGTCAAACGGGACGACGGTTCCTTTCTCCATGTACTCGCCATCGACGATGATGTGATGATGTCCGGTGCCTTCTTCGAATTCCGCGGAGGCTGGGACGACCTCGTAGCCTTTGACGCCGAATTTTGCGGTGAATGGAGACGTCACCGTCGCGTTGTTCTGTTGGAAAGAAGACAAAGAAGACAAAGACGAAAAGAGGTGAGCACCGTACTGTTGTTGTTGTTCTTGTTCTTAAAAGAGAGAGCAAAAGAGAAAGAGAGAAATTTTATATCTCAAACAATAAATACCTTTGGTTCGATCCAATACACCCCGTTCTTATTGCTGCTCTTCAGCGATAACGCCTGCGCGTCCATCGGCTGGCCCAGAGAGAGTACCACGGAGGCCACCGCCGCCGCCGTGGACAATGCAAACTGGCGTTTACTCATCGTTTTCTCTTCGTCGTTACTGTTCTTTTTTCCATCGTCGTCATCAAAACGCAAATTCATCATCGCCCGAGAAACCGTCGTCGTCGTCCTCTTCCTCCTCTGTCTTCTCAACGAGACAGTGGTCGTGCTGGTGTTACTGCGAGCTGCTGTGGTCGTGGATGCTGTCATCAAACTCATCTCGTTTTTATTTATAATAGTGTATTTATATGCGCGCGAATTGGTTTGTTGTGTTGTTATCCAAAACAACTGAACAACACACAACACGAGTGGAGGAAATTTCCTCAAAACTTTCCAAGAACTTTCCATCACCATCATGGCTGCTCAATCGGCTGCAACTCTTTCGGCAGCTGGTTCTTCCTCCTCTCCTCTCCTATCTGCCAGAAAGAAAAAACACGGATTGTTTGTCCTCTCTGTCCTCTTCCTTCTCGGTTTTGTCTTTGTCTCTTTCCGAGCGTTGACGACGGATGCGTCTTTGTGCGAGGAAAAACAACAGAGAAAAAACCGATTGGAAACCAACGTGATGAGAGAAGAGGAAACGATTGGTGATGATGATGATGATGACGACGACGATTCAGACGATGAGAATACTAAGAATACTAAGAATGACAAAAACGGAGAGGAGAGAGACGGGTTCGTGTTCTCGTCGTCGTCAAGAATAATGAATAAGAAGAGAGGAGGGGAAGAGTTGGATGTTTCGACGACGACGACGACGACGGAAACTGCTGCGCAAAACAACGGTGGTGTGGAAGAAGAAGAGGAAGAAGAGGAGGCGGTTGGAGAGGACAATGATGCGAAAAAATCGAGGACAGGAACAGAGGACGAAGACGAAGACGGGAAGGGGAGTAGCAATACGAAAAAGCGAAGCAGACGAGGACCGTCTGGGTGCACGCCCAATCGCGTTCGCGAGTTTACGGCTGAAGCGTTGAAAAATCCCAAGGGAGACGATAGTTCCGAGACGACGACGAGTAAAGTGTGGCTGGACGCGTTCGGCGACGACTTGGCGAAACGGTATAACTTTACCACGTGCGCGGTAGTTGGAAACTCGGGGAGTTTATTGCGACCGCCGCGATTGAATAACGATATCGACGAACACGAAGTCGTTATTCGATTGAACGCGGCGCCAACGAGCGGGAGGTACGGACAACGCGTCGGGAGGAAGACGACTTTGCGCTTCTTGAACGCCGCGAGGGCGAAAACGTATTTAGTCGGTGGGTGCTCAAAAACTATGCCGTGCGATGAGGGATCGACGCTCGTCGCGACGCGAGGAATGCCGTTTGCTCCGTCTAAAGTCATCACGAACGCGCATTTGAGCATCGTTCGAGGAAGGCGTTTAGATTTGGGAGAAGGAGAAGAAGAAGAGGAAAATCCGCAGCGTCAAAAGCGGAAAGCGGCGATGGAAGCCCAAGTTCTGAAAATGAGCGAACCAGAGCGAGAGCGCTTGAGCGTCGCGCAACCTCCTTCGAATTCGATGGGTGCGGTCAAGCGCGTGATGAAAGCGTATAAATCCGCGTACGTTGAAAAATGTGGCGAAGACGACGCTAAGAGATTATTCAAAGGTCCAGACACGCCTTCGACGGGATTTATGTCGGTCATTTTTGCCTTGCACATGTGCTCGGAAACTGTGTCTGTGTACGGATTTAAGAAGCAGTTGAAACCGTACCAGTATTTCCGGATGCGCGTGAAACCTTCCGAAGTGCACGATTTCACCGTTGAAGCTGAAATTCTGAAAGCGATGGCAAAAGACGGTGTTTTGCGAATGCCCGGCGTCGTGCAAGACCGAATCAGAAAGAGTGGGAGTAGTAGCGTTAGTACTGACAGTGAGAGTAGCAGTAGTGTGAAAAAGAGTAGTAGTAGTAGTAGTAGTAGTAGTAGTAGTAGTAGTAGTAGCAGCAGCAGTAGTGATAGTTTAGAAAAAGAGGACGACGACGCCAGCGAGAAGGAAAACGCGGACGAGTGGTTTGAAAATTTCGTTTCCTCTAGCAACTGATTAAATTGATGTGTGTATACGCATGCAAAAGTTCAAACTAATATCTATATATTAACTACAACATATTTTAAACGCTTTTCACCGCTGTCACTACGTACATTGGATCGGATCTCCCCGGGTTTGGTGAGATGTCGATGCCTTCTGGCGGGTCGAACCCGTTGGCGAAGTGATAGTACGCGCCTACGATCCAAATATGATCTAAATCCCCCGTCGCTGTCCAAATCGAAACCGCTTTCGTCGGGAAACATCTGTTCGAAAACGACATTATAGCTCTCCCCCCCGGTTTCAGCACTCTTCGAACTTCTTGCATGACTTCTAATGGTTTCGTGAGATAATCCACCGAAACGGCGTTGGTGACGAAATCGAAAGAGTTATCGTCGTACGGCAACTTTGGCGTCTCGTTCAAATCCACAACCGTTGGTTTCTCCGTAAACCGCGGGTTTTTCAGCAACTCGTCTTCGTTCATGCCCGTGCCAGCGCATCGAGAGAACTCCACGTCTGAGGGATAGTGCGAAATCCACGACGAACATATATCCAACACTTTCGGTTTCTCCACAGTCTTGAACACTTCGGAGTAGTATTTCGTCAGCGCATCGATGGCTTGGTCGTCGATGTGTTTCACCAATCTAGGCTGCTCGTAGAAGAAGGAGTCGGCGGATTCGTCGTATCTCCCCATATCCTTCGTCGTGAATGGATAAATAGGAGGCCATTGTGGATCTTTCAACACTTGCGAGATGGCGTTCTTTTGTTGTTCACCGGATGAGGCTTTCGCGGCAAACGCGATTTTGTTGTTGTTGTTGTTTGGAGAAGAGGAAATAGATGATAAACCGACGCCGAATAATCCGAGCACTTTCCTTCTGTCGATGTTGATTTTAGTCGTCTTGTTGCTGATGTTCTTATTAGTAGTAGTAGTAGTAGTATGAGAAGTCGAGGCTGCTCTGACGAGTCTGCTCATCGTCGTCATCATCATCAAAAACTTGTATATTTGTGACGTTTTAATTTAAAAAAACTGTGCATCTTGCTACGGGAATCTCAGCGATTGCGCGTACGTACGTACGCAAACGGCAAAAAAAAGCGCAAACGGAAACGGGGGGGGCAAAAAAAAACAATCGCGCAACCAAGGATCGAACTCGGGACAATTGGAGTTTAGCAACTAAACGAATAGTCATGGTAATTCATTACAATTACAATCCAATGCTCTACCAACTGAGCTATCGCACGTGTGAACCACACTTTTTTATGACTTCCGTCATAAAACTTAGGCTAAATCGGCCAAATTAAAGAATAACTAATTTTTTTAATGTAATTAGGGTTTTAATGTAAATGGAACGGTTTAAAGAGCTCAAACGCGATGGAAACGGTTCAAGAAGACCTCTGATACGCTAGAGCACGCATTACGAACATGTATTATAGGCGCACACGTTTATAGGCGTGTGTTTGTCCTCAGGTTTCTTTCAATATATATTATGTGCACACCCTAAATATTATGTTAAGAAACAAAAATTCATCACCAGCCTCTTTAAACGCATTTACCGCGAAACAACTCTCGCAACAATCGAATCTCTTCGCCGAGTTCCATCTTATTAGTAGTAACACTTTTACTCGTTTTTTGTTTCTCTTCCAACGAATTTCTTTTAAACTCGTAATAATAGTCCTCGTCAAACGAGAAACTTTCACAAACCAAATCTAAAATCAAAGCGGTTACGAAATCCCAACGCTTCGTAGGCCACTTCGGCAAACTCATAGTCGTGCCGAAATCAAACGTGCGAACGATTAACGCCATGTCTCTCTCGCAGTGCAGCTTTTTATTACTCGTCCTATCTCCTCCTCCTCCTTCTCCTCCCAAGATTCGATTTATGCTCTGGGAAAACTCCTCGGACGTTCCCGTCGCCAACTGCGCGCTCCGGGAATCTCGATACGGATAGTGCTCGATCGACCCGTTTCGGTCGTTTTCAACCAACATAAACGTGCTTTTCGTCACCCAGGAATCTAAAACCATCCACGTTTTCGCGAACAACGACAAATCCTCTTCTAAAACCCCTTCTTCCTCTTCTTCTTCGGTTTCTTCTTCACTTTCTTCTCCTTCTTTATGGTGACTGCGACGAGCGCGTCGATTCGCTTTTGCGCTTTCGTTTTCGTCGTTCTCGTCACCGTCGTCATCATCCTCGGGAGAATAGATCGGTTTGGCTAAGAGCGTCTTCTTTATCAGTTCTCGTTGCGCGTTAGCTTGTCTTTCTATTTCGTCTACTTCGTTAATCGCCGTGTCTTCAAAAATCATGGACGACCCGGCGGATTGCATCTTCGTGTCGTCGTTTGCCTCTTCCGCGTTTTCATCTGGTTCGATATCGTTCACATCTTCCGTATCGTTCGTACCTATAATCATCGGTGAATCCGGTCGTAAGGGTATGGTCGATAACTGGCCTTCTGCAAATCTACCACCAATGGAAGGTATGAACTTTGACGAGCTTCGGTTGGTCGTTCTCATGCCTTCTTCGTGAATGTCAAAGTAAAAAATACCCGCCTCCTCCTTCTTCGTCGTCTTTTTTTCTTCTCGGTCGTCTATTTCTTTGTTCCACTTTATCCTTTGATTGCTACTTTTCTTCTTTCCTATTTTCTCAGTCGTCGTCGTCGTTGTTGTTGTTGCTACTGCTGCTCCTGCTCCTGCTTGTAAAGTCGGGGGCATCGAAGGCCCCTCGTCGGAAGTTTTGAAATTGACTTCTCCGAATTTTCGCTCGACGATATCGAGAGAGTTCATAGTTGCTTCGCTGAAATTCGTGTGTCTGTCCGAACGCGGTGGAAGAGCTTTCTTATCGTTCACTTTTTCTTTCAAATTCGATTCCGCGAAAACTTCCGATTGTATTCTGTGCTGCGCGCAACAATACGTCTCTTCGCTAAACAATTTTTGAGACGCTTTCGATTTGTACACGCGTTTGATTTCGTTCGAACACAACGGCCACCCACACTTTCCGATTAAACTCCTCTCTTCGCACGCGTCTTTGAATTCACTTTGGGTTAATACCGACGCCGTCGACGCGGCTAAATGACTTTCCGAGTCAAACTTATCTAAAGTCATGAACATTTCAACCACTTGCAACGCGCTTCGTCGGTCTCGCAACGTCCTCGCCGCTTGCTCTCGCACGTTTATCGACGGCGTGGACGAAGGAGGAGGTTTGTTGCTTTCATCGTTATTGTTCGATTTCAGTATAGATTTAATCACTTGGTCGACTTTCGTGGATGTTCCTGTTGCTACTGCCGCTCCAGTGGTGGTGGTAGTGTGATGATGATGATGATGATGTTGTTGTTTCGACACTCCCGGTTGCACTCGCTGGTGCTGATGACTGCTCTTCAAAGATAACGACGAGATGGACGACGTCGCCGCTTTCCTCTTCGTCTCGTTTGAAACACTCGCACCCACGCTCAAGCCTTGCGACGTTTCCAGCGCCCAGGCAAACTTTTCCTCCTCCATTCGTTTCCTTTCGTCTTCTTCTTCTTCTTTGTCTTCTTCTTTTTCTCCTTTATTTTGATGATGAGAAATGTTCGTTGCAAACATCTTCTTCATCAGCTCGTCTTTGTCTGCATCCAAATCTTGCTCTTCTCTTCCGTCCTCTCGAGGGTAGTCGAACATCAACAGAGAGTGATGTGCCTGAGAGCTCATCTTTTAATAATCTCTCTTCTTTCTTCTTTGTTATTATTTAAATACTAGTAAGAGAGAGAGTGAATAATAAAGAGTGTGCGTAGTAGAGTATTAATTTTGTGGCGAACTTTTTTTCGAAAAGAGAGAAGAGAAAAAAAAAGCTTATGAAAATCAATTTTTGTTCAAAAATGTTAATATCTGTACTCTCTCTCTTTACTCCTAATAACACGATTCCCTCAGCGGCGTCGCAGACTAGTTTTATGTGCGTGTGATTACTTCTCTCTCTTCCTTTTTCTATTCATCTATTATTCTGCTTCTTCTTCTTCAGTTTCTTCTTCTTCTTAAACTTCTCCTCTTTATTTATTTACTACTCTTGTTGGTGCTTATTTTCATCGCTGAAAGTTTCGCCGCCACGTTGACATCAAACATCGGCGGTGGCGTGTTCATCGCACTCAAAGGCGACGTCAGAGACGTTGGCGATGGGGTTGGAAGTGTCTTTGCTTTACTGGCCGTTGTTGTTGTTGCTGTGACTGGTGCGGCGTTTTCATCGCCGACCCGCGCGACCGATCCTCCTTGGCGCCTTGGCGTCGCGCTCTTCTTCGCCGCCAGATTTACGATTGGTTTGCCTCCGCACTCGAGTATGATATCTTCCACGCTCGGTTTCCCTTCGGTAAAGTATAAAATTTTCTCTATGCACTTGGCTAAAACTTCGTTTTCAAACTCCGGTCGTTGGCAAATGAACTCGATGTCTTGCAACTTTTCGAAATAAAACTCTCGCTCGCGTTCTGCTTTTTCAACCTCCAGGCGTAGAGACGCTAAATCTTCTCGCATGGCTGCTGTTGCTGCTGCTGCTGCGACTTCGGCGTTGTTGTTTTTTCTGTTGTTGTTGTTATTCGTGTGTGCTAATGCGTCGTTGTTATTTTGGTTCGAGTGTTTTGTCGTCGTCGTCGTTGAAGCGAAAAGAGTGCTATCGATATCGCGCGTTTGCGGTTGGCGTTTCGCCGTCGTCGTTTGGTGTTTCTTAGAACCCGCCGCAATCGAGCCAGAGGACGTCGACGATATCGAGTTCATATTTTGTCCTCCCCCTCCTCCTCCTTTACTCGCCATTCGTCGTTGCACCGGGTCGTACCCGTCCGTCGCCTCTCCCACGGTCACGTCGAAATACCGTTTCATCCACTGCAAAAACTCCAAGTTATCCAACGGCCTCGCTTTGCACAACTTTTCTACTTCAATATTCTTCGCAATCTTCAGCTTATCGAACACGGTTTGCAACACCTTATAATTTTGCACGTACTCGTGCTCTGCTCTGGCTTGGAAGGAAACCTTGTGCATCGGAACGATGTTTGGATGCGCGGCGTCCATGATTTGACAATAAATCGCCCCCGAGGCGCACTGTTCGACTTTTTGAATTTTCATCCGCAACAAAGTGTTCACCCACAAGACGAGCTCGTTTCGTCCGACGAAAAACGCCGGGTCCATCATTCCTATTCCAGACATTATTATTATTATTATTTTATTATACCTCTCGACAAAAGCGTAAATGGTTTTCCTTGTTGTTGTCTTTTTAAGTATGCGTGTGTGTGTGTGTTGTGCGCGTTTTCAGTGAGGATCTCTTTTTTAAAGAAGAGAGTTTTTGTTGTTTTTATTCCCCTCTTTTGTCTTTGCTCTTTTTTGTCTTTGCTTTGATTTGAGTATTTTCTCGAGGCAAACAAAAGAGATGAATCCATTATAAAAGTAGAAGAAAAAGAAGACAAAGTATATGACGCGTGGAAGATGACGACGACGACGACGACGACTTCGAGGAGGAGATCTTCTCGTCGTTCTCAAAACTCCAGCAGTTTTTTGAAGAGGAGGACGATTCGTCTCTTCTTTTTCTTCTTTCTTTTCGTTCTTGGTGTGCATGCTCCCACGACGATGATGGTGAAAACATTCGTCAACGCGGACTCGACGGGGAAACCAGAAGTAGGGCGAGACCCGAGAGAAATACCAAACTGGAACGATTATCGCGAACATTTTACGGTTTTAAATGAAGACGTGGCGTCCAGAACCGACGCGAGCGATGGGAACACCCCGTGGATTGAACACGTCAGTTGGGAACCGAGAGTGTTCGTCTATCACAACTTTCTCTCGGAAAAAGAAGCGAAATATTTACGCGACGCGCACAAAAAAGCATCAAAAGCGATGGATGACGAAAGCATGAAGACGACGTTTAAGAGAGGGCAAGATCCCATCGTGAACGTCATCGAGCAGCGACTCTCGGCGTTCGTCATGTTGCCAGAGACGCACGGCGAAAACATGTTCATCGAAAAGATAAAGAAAGGATACCCGAAAAGGCTGGAGCTTCTCAACTTTGACGACGAGAAAGACAAGGAAGATTTAAAGAATGGCGGGCAAAGATTTGCGACGACGGCGTTGTTTTTAAACACAATTTCAGAAGGGAAAGGAGGTGAGTTGGTGTTTCCGTTAGGGACGGAGAGACTTTACGACGATAGCAACGATAGTTACACTAGCACTCCTAGCGCGTGCGCGGGGAAATATACACTCGCGGTTGAGCCGAGAGTAGGCGATGCGGTCGTTTGGTTTAGCACGCACCACAATGGGAACGACGATTTGAATTCGGCCTCAATGCGATGCGACGCAGTCGCGGATGGAGAAGAGATGTTGACGGCGTACAAACATTGGAGAGTAGGGAGATATAATCACGGTAATTTTCTTCCCGACTACGAGAAAGCGACGGCGATGGGGGGGTCTTCTTCCTCGGGGACGAGCACTACGCACGAGTTTTAACTCGTGTTGTTTGAATGTGCTATGTTTAATATCAATAGATACTTTTAGTTTAGATTTTCAAGATTAAAGTGCGCGCGATGGTATTATATATTATTCGTGTTACAAGAGCTACTGGTACTACTTCTTTTCTTCTTCTCTTTCTTTCTTTACTTCTTCTTCTTCTCCATTTTCTGTACTCGTTTGAGGAGGTAAGAACGCCTTGCGCTCGGACATGGACTTCTCTTCGTCGTCATCGCCAAACAAATCGAGAACGCCAACTTTTTTCTTCTTCTTTTTGTTGCCATCGTCGTCGCCGTTGTTGTTCCCCGAGTTTTCTTTTTGTTCCTTCTCGGGAGAAGGAGAAGGCGACAAGTTTCTTTTCTTCGATGTTACCAACTCCTCGTTGTTCTTGTTCTTCGAAGACGGCGAAGTTGAAGTCGGTTGCTTCTCTGGACCTTCGAAACTCGTCGTCGGCGTCGACTCTCGTTTTATCGGCCTTTGCGGACTGTTTCGAAATCCTGGCAACAAGTGCACTTGAGCCGTTGGCCCGTGGGAAGGATCAATCAGAGGGGGTGAAAGTGAACGTTGTCTCTTTGGCGAATTCATAAAGTCCGGAGGACGGTGCGTCGATATTGGCGGCGGAGGCGATCCGCTTCCCGTAGACGTCGATTTTCTTCCACCAGAACCGCCAGAATCACCCTCGCTGCCGTCTTGGTAGTCATCAGAATCGAAATAATCTTCCTCGTCTTGAGTCATGGAGGAGTCTCGTCGTCGTCGTGCGGCGTCGTGCGCGGCGCGAGCGGCGATGGTTTCTCGAGAGAGATACCCGCTGGAAATTTCGGATCCATTCAAACTCGGCGCCGGTTGTATGCTCGACGTCGTCACTGTCGTTGTCTCTTTCGACGGATTGATGTTCATTTCGTGACGCTCTTTGAGAAGTTTGAACGTTTCGCAATACTCGACGGTATCGATAAAATCTTTAAACTTTTCCAACAAGTGCGCGACGAGGTTCCGCACGTTTTCGCGTCGCACGAAATCGACGAGCTCTAAAATAGCCGAGTTTAAGAGATTGTACTTCTCCCCGTTCGCGCGAAACGATCGCACGATTGGCTCAAACAAATCCGATTTCACCAAGTACCTGTTGTAGAATTCATCTTTCAATCCAACGCACGCTCGAAGGAGTTTTAAAGCGGCTAAAACGACGAATTTTTCCTTGCGTTTCGTCAGCGCTAAAACTTTCACCAAAACGTTGTTGCGCAAAATGTAATACTTTATTCGATAACCGTGGTGCTGCGCCATGAACACCAACAGATCGACAATCTTTGTTAAACTCCACGGCTGCACGTATTGCAAATGTTCTTTCTTCTCTGCCGCGGCATCACCACCGTTGTCATCGTCGTCGTTCTCGTCGGCACCATTTTTACTAGTTTTCTTCTTGCACTCTTCCTCGTTTACGGATCCAAAACTTATTCGCTCGGTCAACTTGTCCACGAAATGATCGTAAAACATTTCCAAGTACGTGTTCTTCTCTGTTTCCTGATCCATGTTATCTGGATCGGCTAATATGGTTAGTATTTCTAGAACCGTGCCTTGCAACCCATCGTCGCCGTCTAAAAAGAGTCTGACTAATTCAGACATCATGGCGTACTCTTCTTGCTTGACGAGCTTTTCCCGCAGAATCACCGGATCGTGCAACAAAGCGGACATGAAGACGTCCGCTGCCTTTACCTGCACTTGCTCGCTGTTTCCTTTCGTCAAAGCTAAGGTTAACACGTTCAGCAAATCCAATTCGTAAAGCTTTTGGTAGAGTTCCGTGCGGTGTTGAATGTGCAAACCAGTCGCCAGCTGACACAATTCTTGTAAGAAAAAAATCAAATCCGTCCACTCTTCGTTTTCTTCCGTAGCGGTAGACGTCGTCGCCGCGTTCAACTTTTCAAAAAGCGCGTCGAGAAAGAGTGGATCTTCATCCAACTCGCGCACAACTTCGGCGTTGTTGAATAACATGATCGAGTGCAACGTCTGAAATACTTGCTCGTCCAACACGCTCGGCAATATCATGTCTTTCAAATATTGAATTCTATACGTCTGATGAATTTTAGCCTTGGTGACTTCATTCGTAATCGGAACGACTTCTTTGAACACGGCGACATTTCTCAAGAAATCGCGATGGTGCGTGCGGTTTTCCGCCGGAACGTCCGGATCATACTCTAAGCTACCCACTACTTCCCAAACAAACTCTTCGGAGAACATGCAATCGAATAAATTCGCTTCGTTTAACATCACCATTCCTTTGACGCAGCGATACATTTCGTGCAAACCTTCTTCGTCTTCGAGATCCTCGCACGTGGTGAAGATGGACAACAGGCGCTTCAAATAATCCGGCGTGTTTAATATCATCGACGCGATGGACTCTCGCTGGAAAGGAGAACACTCGTTCAATACTTTCGTGATGTTTGAGAGTTCGGACAAAGTCGGTTCAGGTAACTTTGCCGGCGCAGCGCGGTGAAACTGATGGTGATGGTGCCCCGCGGATTGCGAGTCGTCGCCTTCGTAGTAAAACGATTTCCCGGTGAACTCGCCGTACTCGTCGATGTTCCCTCTGATGTGTTGGTTTCTCTGGTGATTGAACCCATCGACTAAGTCACCTTCTGGACCACCACTACCGTCGTGATTCAAGTGATTATCATCGTTCTCTAAATCCTCTAAATCGAACGGCGATCTCATGTTGTTGTTGTTGTTGTTGTTTAACTCGTTCTTGCTAAAAATTTTGTTGTTCATCATCATCGCGTCGCCTTCTTTATTATCGGCATCGATGGACATAGAATTCCTCCTTTGCGCGTTTTTGATTTGCTCCCAAATGAAATCGCACCCGTCTATGCTTTGAAAACTCAAAGCTAAGTCTATGCTTTCTCGCGGCTCTACCCAACTTATGATTGTTGATTGCCCGGAACGAGAATACGCCGGCTCTTGTTGGTGTTGGTGTTCTTCTAAAATCTTATGCACTAACAACGGCGTCGGTTTTGTTGTTGTCGTTGCAGATGCTGATCTTCTCCTCCTTTTCTTCTGTATGCTTTTTTCTTCTTCTTCTTCTTCTTCTTTATCATCTTTTCCTCCCGCTATTGCTGCTGCTTCGCCGTCTCGTTCTCTTCTTTCCTTTTCTTTATCGTTATCGTCGTCGTCTTCCTCCTCCTCCTCTTCTTCTCCTTCCTCTTCGGGGTAAACAACTAAACCCATGGATGAGAACACGTCGACGTACTCGCAGGAAACAATTCCTGTGCCGGTATCGTCCCAGTACCCTTCCGCGTTAAGTTTATACAACTTTACTCTTTGCATCTCGTAATTAATACTGTTGTTGTTGTTGTTGTTCGTGTTTTGATTCGCAACCGTCAAAGTCGTATTCTGAAGGTGAAGATTACTATTTTTCCCACCGTTTTCTTTTCCGTCCTCGTCAACGAGGTCATCGACCTCCTCGAGGCTGTCTGTCGGCGGCGAGGACGAGAGAATCAAAGCGTCCTCGTTTATGTTCCCATTCTCGTCCACAACCATCATGTTGGATCTTTCTGCTTCCTCTTTCTCATCTTTCTCCTCAAAATCATCATCATCGTTTCCTTCGTTTTGTTTTTGTTTCTTCTTCTTATTCTTCTTCTTCTCATCTTCTTCAACTTTATTTATTTCCACCGACGACTCCTCGACGATTGTTTTTGACGCGTCCACGTCTTGGATGAGCGCTTCGAGTGGGTTATCCCCGTCCTCCTCCTCCTCCTCTTCTCCGTTGGACATCATTTCGACAAATTTAAGAGAAAACTCTCTCAAATCTCAAATTCGAATTACGAAGAACGCGGGTGGTTTTTTGTGACAAAAGGAGGTTGCCTTTTTAAAACAACGTCTCTTTTTTTTTTCTCTCAAAAATAAAGGAGGGAGAAAGAACACACGCAAGAAAAACACTCTGCCAGACTGCGCAAAAAGACGATGTCGAGCGAAGACGTGATCGAGGAAAACAACGCGTTGTGGAAGTTGTTTCGACACGCCGGAGACTCGGGAGGCGTGTGTAGCGATATTTGTTTCCAACACATTCTTCCGAGATTGAATGCGACTGATATCAAATTCTTGTACGAGGTGAATCCGGAGACGAGAAAGTTGATTAAGATATCGTATCGCGCGAGTGATTTGAGAAGGAAGTTTGAGGTCGAAGAGATGTCGTCGATATCGACTTTGGAAGTTGCGTGGGAGCATTATCCGTGGGGTGGTAGGGGTTTTCTGGGAAAAGAGATGGACGAACCATATTTCTGCGATAAAGTTGCTCGAACGAATAAACTCGAGTTGCTCAAGTGGATACGAGAGGAGAAAAAGTGCGAGTGGGATGAAGAGACGATTTCAATCGCAGCACGTCAAGGTAATCTAGAAATGTTAAAGTATTGCGTGGCAAATGAGTGTCCTATGTATGAGGACGCGTGTGCATATGCTGCCAAAAACGGTCATCTCGAGTGCCTCAAATACTTACACGAAGAAGTCAAAGCGCCTTGGGCTTGGGGTACTGCCGCTTGGGCGGCTTTAAAGGGTCATCTTCACATACTCGAATATCTTGTTGAGCGTAAATTTGATCAATATAACGAATGGGCGTGTGCGAATGCAGCCGAGAACGGTCACTTCGACTGTTTGAAGTACTTGCACGAAACCGCCAAAGCGCCTTGGGACGAAGAAGCTGTACAAGAAGCGCACGAGAACAAACACACTGAATGTGTACAATACCTCCTCGACAACGACTGCCCATTACCAGATGGTTGGCGATACGAACATGGAGAGCTACACACGATTTAAAATCGCAGGTATCATTCATCAACAAAAAAAGAATACGAGAAAGGAGAAACAGCTTCCGTTTTCGAACGCGCGAAATACGCGAATATAAGCAGAGAGACATAGAGATATGGTACCAGAAACAGCTCTGAATTGAAATTAAGAGAAACATACATAAAAAAAGCAAAAAGAAAACCTGTCATCACGCCGACTTCTCACGTTATTACTAACCGCAATACTATTGGCGCCCAACGTGGCTTAATTTCGCTGTGCTGATGGGAAGCGATGGATTTCACGTGGTATGAACGACAGATAGGAGTAGGTTTTCATTTTAAGTATATAAATTTTTAAGAAATAAAAAACATTGAAGCGAACCCTAAAGAACAAAATGGAGGAACAAAAACGTTTTTGTTTAATTACATAGTTCTTAATTCAAAGGCTACCCTAAACATTTAGACTGTAGCTCCGGTCCCGATGAATTGCCCGAGTTGGTCTAAGGGGTTGGATTTAGGCTCCAATACGTAAGTGCGTGGGTTCAAATCCCACATTCATCATATTTTTTTGGTAATTTTCGATGTTATCACACTGAAATACTCGTCTAATTCTCTCTGCTACTTTTCGCGTTCGCATTTCGCGCATTCGCAATCAAAGTTGTATTGTTTCTTCAACAACTCCCGACGGTGCTGGCGTTTTTCTCCCTTCTCGTCGTCGTTCAAGTAGGATATCGTAATCTCCTCCCCGCTCGCGACGTCTTTTATCAATCGAACGCGAAGACGAAGACGAACGTTTTCAAAAAACGCGTTTGGCTCGCAACTGTGATTGTACGAACGCGATACCTCTGGGAATAAACCAACGCCAATCTTTTTTCTTCTTCTCTTCTTTTTGTTGTTGTTGTTGTTGTTGTTGTCATCATCATCATAATTATAATCGTAAAGCGTGTGCGCGTTGGCGCGCATCGCCCAAGCGGCTCGAACAAAGTCTTCCTCCTTTACGATTTCCTCGTCGGCACCCATCAACGCACGCGTATTCGAACACAGCGTCGATAAGAAATTCTTCTTGTTATCGTCGTGATGATAATCATTTGGAACGTGCGCCACGCACTCGTTCAAATGTTTCCGCAGATTTTCCGAAACTTTCTTCTTCTCCTCCAGAGTCTTTTCCAAACCGGTCCAACCTCCTAATTTTGCATACGCGCGTATGGCGAACCGATTGGGCACGTCGTCGAATGGATAGCGCGTTGGATCGCTCTTTTCAGCGTCTTTACCAGTTTCAAAGGCGAAACACTCGCCGCTCTTACGGTGATACTCAGACGCGGCCAATCGACGGCAATCGACGGAGCAGTACTTTTCGACGTTGCAGTATTCGCACTCGACGACGAAGGAAGAAGAGGATTTCAAAGACGCGTTTGGTTTCGTTATCTTCTCAAAACATCGGTGACAATACTCGTCTGCATCGTCGTCGTCGTCTTTTTCGCAACCGGCGAGCCAAACGAGCGGCGCTTCGTCTGAAACTATCGTCCCTGATTTCGTCTCTTTCCTCGTCGTCACGCGTCTGCCTTTTCTCTCGCACCAACTTATCATTACCACGACGTCGTCGTTTACGTCGTCGTCGTCGTCAATCATTCGCTGCTGCTGCTGCTACTACTACTACTGTTGTTCCCATCACTGCTCGCTTCACTCATCCTCATCGCGATCAATTTTGGATCATTCGCCGCCGCTTCTCTCAACACCGAGTCGTTCTCGTTCACGTATTTCAGTCGTTTCTTCGCGTTCGTTTTTCTCGTTTGCGTGACTGCAAACGCGCCGTGGCCTTTCCATTTCAATCCCCCGCGCGCGAACGGGCCTTTCTTCACCGCCATTTGGAGAAACTTGGTGATGAACATACTGTGTGTTTTTGCGACCCGCAAAGAGAGAGAGAAGAAAAGTGTACACGATGGATGATGGTCTGTGTGTGTGTGTTTGTGTGTCGTCTTTCTCCGCCCTAAATTTCCACTCTTTTTTGTTGTGAAGGCTTCGAGTCTCTCTCTTGCTGAACTTTTGACAACTTGTTGTTCACCAGTTGCTCTCATTTCTCTCTCTTTTTTTCTTCACACAACAACAACAACAACAACAACAACAAACTTCTTTTTTAAAATGCTGCTTCGACCGGCTCTTACTACTGCTCCGAGCGTTGGTTGTAGTAGCACTTGTAGTACTAGAAGAAGAAGAAGAAGAAGAAGAACGCGAACACGAAGAACAAAAGCGACAAAAACGCAAAATTCATCAAACCAACAACAACAACAAGCGAAAACGGAATCGTACTCGTTTTTCGGTTTAGCGCGAGCCGAGTTCCCTGAGAACTGGGACGAACCGAACAAAAAGATCAAATACGCGGACTCTCCTCTGGATTTATTCATCATGGGTTGGTTCATGAGGAAAATTAGCATGGCTTTAGGTGCCCCTTTCGACGCTTCGAACATCTCCTACGACGCGTTTATTGCTTTGTGTTTTCTGCAAATGAAAGGCAGAGAACCGGACGGACAGCGACAGATAACCATGGACGTTTTAACCTCGTTGATGCCACCGGGAGGAGAGAAAGTGTTTCAAAAACTGTTCCCTCTGAACAAGTTTAGCTTAGAATTGAACGCGAAAATCTGTCAGATTGTATTCGCGTGGATGGTTGGTCCGATGACGGTGGAGACGACGACCGAAAACGACTTGAACGAACCCATCGCGAGTAAAGTACAAATCACAAAGTGCAGATGGTTGCAAGAGTCTGGGTGCACCGGCATGTGCGTGAACATGTGCAAAACGACGACGCAGGATTTCTTCACGGACACGTTCAACATGCCGTTGACTATTAAACCGAATTTTGAGGACAAGTCGTGCGCTTTTTACTTTGGTCAAACGCCGCCGCCGATTGAAAAAGACGAAGCGTTGTTGTTCGGGTGCAACCAGTCTTGCTCCACGGGTTTGAACGTAGGCGAAGAGAACGTGCCTTGCCACAAACTCAGAAAGCACGAGAGTTTATTGTCGTCGTAGCGTTAGTAGATTTATAGATATCAATAATCAATGTATACAGAATAAAATTCAATAGAGTTAAATGTGCTAGTTTTCCTAAGTAGTTTGTTGGTAAATGAAGATGAACAGAAGTATAAAAGAAACAAGTTTCGAGGTACTTTCTCTTCTTCTTTTTTACTTTCTTTTGCCTTCCTTTTGGATGACAACTTCGTCCGAATATCTGATACCCTTCCCTTTGTACGGTTCCGGCTTTCTCTTTGATCGAATGATAGCCGCAAAGTTACCGACCGCCGACTTGTCGTAACCAGACACCGTCAACTCCGTCGGCGAATCGACTTTCACCGTGACGCCTGCCGGGAATTCGCACACATCCGGGTGCGCCTTACCTAAGGACAAGCTCACCGCCTTGGAACCTTGCATGGCAGCTTTGTAACCAACACCTACGAGTTTCAACTTTCTCTCAAAGCCAGTAGAGACGCCGACGAACATGTTGTTAGCTAAGGTTCTGTATAAAGCGTGTTGCTCTCTCGCCTTTTTCGTCGAGCTCGTTCTATCCACTACGATTTGTTCGCCTTCAACCTTCATGGAGATGTATTCCGCCGGGTACTCCAAGCTCAATTCACCTTTCGGGCCCTGCAGATCGTGATTGGAAAAGAAAAGAGAGATATTACAGTGGTGAGTTTTTATCTTTGATAGTCTTTTCTCCCCTCGCGTCGTTCGACGAAGGAAAGATGGGAAGAGTTTTCACCCCACCACCACCACGTCGTCGGCGTCTTTCGATAAGGAAAAACCTCCTCTCTCGCAAAAATTCGAGGTTTTAGATTCGCGAAATCACCCGCGTTCGACGCGTATGCGAGGTTTATATCCCCCTAAAATCACGGTAAAACTATTCAGAATACGTACCTTCACTTTTAAACTGCCTTCTTTCAAGTCGTACGTGACGCCTTTCGGCACCGAGATCGGTTGCTTCCCGATTCTCGAACGCTTATTGTTTCGGTCGGTTGTGGAGAGGCCCGATTCTATCGTAAAAGTAGTGCGCGTGGTAGTGCGCGATGCAGATTTCGAGACCGTCGGAGTGCCGACGAATCCACTCGTACGTTGGTTGAGCATCATGGCTGCCATATTTATTGTTGCGCGTATAAAAGTATGAAGATTTTAGTCTTGCGCGCGTTCCTTTTCGGTCAGAAAATTGAACTGTGTCCTTTTTTTATCCGCCGGCCCAAAACTTTTTTTTTGGTCTCTCGCTCTTTTGCTTCGCTCTCAAATTCTCAAAAATACGAGTCACACATTTTGCAAAAAACTTGAGTTTTTGTACGACAAAACAACAAAGAAACACGCACACACACACTCGCGTGGCGTACAAATAATACAGGATGGAGAACGAACAAGATATGAAGCGCGTTTGGTCGCATCAGAACGCAGAATTGGACAAGCGTGCGTGCGCTCTTTTTTGTTCTTTCGTTTGTTTTGCTCTTTCTCCTACTTACGTTTTTTTTCTTGACTCTCCTCCAAACGACGAACAAACAAACAGACATACAAGGTTTGAGCAAGAAGAAACGCGAGTTGAGCGACAAAATTCGACAGGATGCGCTCGATATAGAGCGACTCGAGAAAAGAGTCGAGGAGAACAAAAAGAAGCAAAAACAGGTGGAAAACTTAATCGATCAAGGCGTTCAAGCGAAGAGAAAAATTTTGGAGACTTCCAAGCACGTGGTGATGCACCTAAAGAGAGAGTCGGAAGCTTTTTTACACGCGAACGGAACGGAGGACGGGAACGAGGATTCTTATTAAAATGCTACTGCGAATTGTGCTACTACAACTCCTCGCCTCTATTCTCTTTTCTATCGTTATCATTTGGATTAGGAGTATTTAGCTCCTCAAACGCTCGATTGATTCTTTCTAAAACGGCTTTACTGCGCAACTGTTTCGCTATCTTTCTACACGATTTACCTTTCGCATCCTCTAACGTGATATCCGCGCCGTTGTTCAAAAGCATATCTAAAGTCTTCTCGTCTTGCGCGCGAATGGCAACGTGCACTAAAGCGTCGCCTCTTTTGTTTCGGAAGTTTGGATCCGCTCCGTATTCTCTCAACAAAATGTCCAACACTTTCGTGTGTTTCAATTCGGTCGCAATCAACGCCCCGGTTTTACCCACGTGCGAGACAAAATCCACCTCCACTTTCCCATCCTCCAAGAATACTCTCATCGTTTCCACGTGCCTCTCAGAATTTGTCCACAACGTTCTGTGGAACGGCGTAAATCCATCCGACGCGCTGACGTCGTTCGCGTCAATGCCGTAGGCCAACAACAGTTTCACAACTTCCGCTCTCCCTTGAAACGCCGCCGCGTGCATGACCGTGTACCCATCTTTCTCCGGTATCGTCACGTCCACTCCAGTCTCTAACAACTGTTTCACGATTTCTGTCTGTCCAGCCAACACGGCTGCCAATAACGGCGTCTGTTCCGTCGCTTGTTCTTGATGGTTTAAGAACGAAATCGGATCGTCAACGACTTCAAGCAAGGTCGTGAAGTATTCCAAATCGCCTCTCCGTGCGGCCGTTTGCGCTTCCCCGGAGAGAAGATCTTGTTGCCCGTTTACGACTACTTTTAATATCAGAAAGCTAAAGATAAAGAAGATATTTAAGCATAACGGGACTCTTCTTATACTTCTTCTCGTCATCATCATCTTTTCTCGTTTGTTCTTCTTGTGTGTTCCTTTCTGTCGAGTTTCTGAAGTGTCTTTTTTGCAGAGAAAATCATGAGAGAACTGCAAAAAAAACACGAAGGTGGTGAATTTATATATCATCGCTGTTTTGATACTCGTGCTCTCTCTCTCTCTCTATTTATGATGCGGCGAATACATCAGTTTGGTACGTCGTTTTTTATTACTGCGACATCTCTCTCTCTTCTTTTCTTTCCTTCCTTCCTTGTTGTCTTTGGAGAGGAGGAGGAGGAAAAGAGGATTTGATGTGTTTGATTTTAGTGTAGATGATGATGATGATTTTGGACGATGATGATGACGACGGTTCGTTTTTCTCTCTCTCACTCTCTTTCAACGCGCTGGTATCGTCTTTTTGTGCTGATAAAATCATCTCTCAATAATCTATCTGTGATGATAAATATCATCATCAAAAACAGGCATCGCATTCACCGTCTTCGTCGCCGTCTGGGTATCTCTGCTGCACCAGAGCGGCGCTTTGAAGAAGACACTTTCTTCTCGCAGCAACAACAACAACAAGAACAAGAGTGCTCTGCTAAAAAACTTCTTTAACTTCTTCGATGATACTCCTACTACGTCTGCAAAAACGACCACGGATTCTTCCTTGCACGTGTTTCTCTGGTGCCTTCCACTGATTTGCACGGTCGTATTCGGAGTCTACTCGTTAGTTTACATCGTGCACTCCGTGATATTTTTCCCAACCTGTCCGAAAGCGGCGGAAACGTTAAAGAAGGACATGAAACGAACGCAGAACGAGTTAGTCAAACTAGGCGTTTTTACTCCGAAACAGATGCGAGAGATGAATAAAGCACAATAATAAACGAATAGTAGTAGTAAATAGCAGATAAAATAGAGCGTTGTTTTTAGAATACATGTGTACAATAAGGCTAATATAGGTAATAATACAAATCATCATCCATCTCTTTCTCTCTCCAAGTTACGACGACGAATAGAAGCTCTTCGGAAACATCTTCTCTAACGAACCGCCGAGAATCAAATCTCTTTCCTCCTCCGTTAGATCCTCAATCTCGTTCACTATTTGCGACGCCTTCTCGTATCCGCACTCGTTGACGACGAATGGGAAATCGCTCCCCCAGACTAATCGTTCCGCACCAAAATGTTTGACTAAATCTTTCACTTGCTCGAACGTTGATTCGTACGGCCATTCTATTTTCTCGCCGGCGGCGACTCGAAACTGCGCCGAGACTTTCACCGAGACCTGCGGAAACTTTGCTAAAGAGAGTACTTTTTGCCAATTCGGGTCGCTAATACCTCTGGCAAAACCGAAATGATCGATTAAGACCCGCGTTTTTGGAAACTCCGTCATCAATTCGCACATTTCCTCGTACGATTTATCCAGCCCGTGAAAGCACATGAAACCAACAACCGCGTCTTTATCGCCGCACATGCGAAACATTCTTTTACCTACATCGTTCGTCATCTTCTCCTTTTCTGGCCACAAACCTGGGTTAAATCGAACAGCTTTAAACGCGCCCGCGGGATGTAACAGCTTTTCCAACTCTTTCTCTCCGTTTACGTTTGGAGACGGATTCGCCAACGCGCACAGGACGAACTTTCCAGGATATCTGTTGACAGCTTTTTCCAAATACTCGTGGTCGAAGAGCAAGTTTATCGGTTGCACAATCATAGCCCCCGCGACGCCCGATTTGGCTTGAACTTCGACCAACTCCTCCACAGAACCAGGCACCGGTGGAACTTTACCTTCCTGGTAGCTGTACTCTCCAGGCCACACGTGCAAGTGCGCGTCTAAAACTTTTCTCGATTTTGACGACGACGACGACGACGACGACGATGGGTTTGATGCCATCGAGACGATGATGGTTTTACTTTTACTTTTACTACTCTTACTGCGCGAACTTTTTCGACGAGAACAAAACTTCGACGACGCGGTTAAAGTTTTAAAACCGAAGACTCTGCCCGCGATGATAGAAGAAGAAGAAGGAGAAGAGAGAAAGTGTTGCAGAAAAAGCATTCGCTCTCAGTATTTATTTTCTTTGTGTAAGTGAGGAGAAGAGAGCGGTGACTTTGAATACTAATATAAAAAAATTCGGCTTGCTTATTACCCTAATGTGAGCGACAGCACTCCGCTCGCTACGTCACGTTTTCAAACGTGTTTCTACTGCATAATCTGTTTTGTATTTCGTCTATTTCTTTTTACTTTACTTAACTTACTCTGCGTCGTGCTTCTTTTCTCCTCTCCTTCACGACTTTTGCTTCGTATTTTTCAATCTTCTTCGAAAGCGCCTTGACTTTTCTCGTATCGGTTCTTTGCTTGAGAAACTTCCATCTGCGGACGATTTGTGTTTGCGAACGACCAGGAACGGTGATAAGACTGAAATCTACATCCACTTCGTTCATTTCGTCCGAAATGCACTGTTCTTTCACTTGTTCCAACAGAGAGGCGTCGTCGTCGTAGCCTCCCCAGGCTCCGTTCTCCACCATGAAATCCCCTTTTTCGCCCGCAGCTAGGACGTTTTTCCAGTGAGTGAAACACGACTTTTCCGAACGATTACCGCCCAACTTCTTCGCGACGACGGTCCAACTAATGTTGTCTAAAAATTCCCCGTGTTTACCGTCTTCCGGGTTCCCGAGCTCGATGCCGTGTTCTTCGTAATACTCCTCCATGATTTTTCGGAACTTTGCTCGTTCCTCATCGCTGAATCGCCCCTTCTTTACTTCTCCTCTGTTTTCGTCAAAAATATCAAATGTGCTGCGATATTTATCGCGACAATTTTGGCCATCGCGTCCAAGCCTCTTTCCAATCTCATTCCAAGCGGTGTTGCCGTACCTATCTACTAAGCTTTTCAATCGCACCTTTTCTTCGTCGGACCATTCTTTGTTCCTGAGCTCGTCCGCACCTTTCGCCGAACGAATGAGCGTTCTCCGAATGCGTTCATAGCACTGCTGCGGATTTCTCGTGTTTACTTCGGCGCTAATTTCGTAGTATATAGTTTTATCCAGTTCACGTCGACTTTGGTTTCGTTCTCTCAACAAGAACGAGTAGTCTTTGCGGTTGAACTTGTCGAGACAGCGGTTGCTTCTACACCACGTTTCTAAAGCATTCGTCAACGCTTCCTGCTCCGTCTCCGACCACTGTCCATACTTTTGTCCTTCGAGATTGTGTGCGTTCCACTTCCAATTCTTTCTTCCTTCTTGTTCTCCTGCAACTTGTACGTCGTCGTCGTCGTCGTCGTCGTTGTTTTCCTTTGGCTTTTTTCTCGATTTGTCTGCCCGTGGTTTCAAAATCTCCTTCTTCTTCCGTTTTCTGGGAACGGATTGTCCCCGGTGTTCTTGTACCTCTTCTTCTTCTTCTTCTTCTTCTTCTTCATAAATCTCGTATCCATCTACCTGTTGTAATGGTAGCTCTTGTTGCGCTCGTCCGTTTCGTTGATTCTCTTCTGGTTCTTCTTCTTCTTCTTCTTCAACTTCTTTCTTCTTCTTCTTCTTCTCAATTCGCCGCCCAATTTTCTCCTTCGTCTTGTCCTTCCCCTTCTCCTTTTTCTTTTTCTTCTTCTCCTTTTTTTCCCGCTTCCTTTTGTCCTTCTTCTTGTCCTTGTCCTTGTCCTTCCTTACCTTCTTGGCGCTCTCTTTTCCCAAAAGGGAAGAGAACACCGCCTTCAGGTCACCCATGAGCTATCAAGAGAAGGAGAAAATTTCTGAAGAAAATGCGAGAAACAGGATGGAAGAGAAAATTTCATTTAAAAAGAAACAACGCGTAATTGTGTTATTCCCGATTTTTTATTACTTATTAAAGCTTGGAAATTAATTTTATGGATATGCACATTTTACACTTACCTAAATTTCAATTTTCTCGGGAATAAAATTAATTTAGTTTTTTATAAATTCGATGAATTCTCCATATTACACCTAAATAACTAAATAAATACAAATACATTTAATTTATGATATAATTACTTTTTCGCATCATTTACGTGAAATTTAGAAATCGTGTATATCTATTTATCCCTCTTTGGTGTTGTTTTGAAGAATATTTTTATCAGAAGAATTAAATAATTTCCCAAAATAAAGTAATTGTATTAGAAATAAATGTGATCGGGATACAAACGAAATAATAATATTATTTCAAATCAGATGACGAAAAGTAGGGGGTCGAATGAAATCGTAATAGTATTTAAAATTAATTTTTATTTTCTAAAATTTTAAAAGTTCCTCACAAGGAAGAGGGAATCCTCCTTCACTTTTTCTCATCCATCATCTCCGACAAAGAAAGAGGAAACTATCATGTCCTTCGCCTCCTCTTTGTGCACGTTTCTGCCCTTTACATCCTCTAGAAGCGATAAGCGCGTCTCGTCTTTGAAAAGAAGCTCAGTTCACCATCGCGTCCGAAAAAGTTGTAATAAAAATGGAAATTCATGTTCTCCGATTTTGAGAGCTGTTGCAGATGTTCCAAACGATGATGAAGGACAAAACAGAGTAGAAGAAAACGAGTGGACGTCCACAACGTTTCAGTTGGACAGGATTCTCGAAGTCGCGATCAAAGCAGCCAACGAAGGTGGCTACATAATGCGTAAGTTTGGTTCTGAGGGTGCGGATATCGTCAAGACTAAAGTAAACACGAGAGATTTGTTAACGCAATACGACAAAGAGGTCCAAGACATCATTTGCTCGAAAATAAAATCGAACTTTCCTAACCACCGAATACTTGGCGAAGAAGACGTCGCTCCAGGCGCAGATGCAGCCATAAAAGCAACCAAAGACGCTTTCATTCCGAAACAAAGTAAAAACGACGATGGCGAAGACCCGAATGGCGATTACGTGTGGGTGATAGATCCAATCGATGGGACAACCAACTTCGTCTCAGGCATGCCACTCTCCGCCATTAGCATCGGCGTCTGTTCGCTCGAGACGAAAGAAGTCGTCGTGGCTGTCATTTACGACCCGTTTCGTCGCGAAACGTTTCACGCGATTAAAGGTCGCGGTGCTTTCATGGATGAACGAAAGATATCCGTCGATAACTGTTCGAAAATAGATGATTGTTTAGTTGCCACCGGGTACGCTCCGACCGAAGAGAGCAGTCGCTTCCTCCTCGAAACGACCACTAACTTGACCAAATACCCCGTCCGCTCGATTCGTATGCTCGGTAGCGCGGCGATAATGTTAGCCTGGGTAGCTTGTGGAAGAGTATCGTGTTACATAGAAGAATCCTTAAACGCGTGGGATACTGCCGCGGGTGCTTTGCTCGTTGCCGAAGCTGGCGGCGTTTTCACCGACTTCTCCGGAAAAGAGTACGACATATTCACTCGAGAAACGCTCGCGAGTTCAGGGAACACGGAGGTGCACAAATTACTTCTAGACGCCGCCGGCACGACGACGACTGCGTCGGCGCAGAGGTAGGAGAAGAGCTCGTCGTAGAAAAAGAGGAGTGTTACAAATATAGAGAGAGTAGCTGCTGCGTTGTTTAAGAACTAGTAAGTACTGTAAAGAAGTCGCCGAATTCCTGAAATCCAAAGCGAGAGAGATTTTTGTCCTCAGAAGAAGACTTACTGAGTTGTTCATCTCGATACCCACAGAACGACAACCCAACACTACGAATACTCATACTAAGAATAACAACAAACACAATAATGACGATTCGAGTCCATCTTCTCCCGTACGCGCCGTCCAAAGAGGAGAAGGAGTTATTCACGAGCGGTTTGAGAGGCGAAAACGTGCACAACAAGCGAGTCACGAAACGGTTTGAAAATCTTCTCTCGAGAAGAGGAATAGGAGAAGGGAATTTTACATCGAACAACAACAACGTCACATCGTCATCCATAATAGCCCGGATGAACCCGTTTAGTACCGATGAAAACAACGCGTCTTGTCTGGTGAGCTGCGAAGGGTCGAAAGGAACTTTACGATTTTCGAAAATCGATTTTGACGACCGCTCGATTGTACGAAAATATCAACTTCAAGTCGAGGACGAGGACGACGACAATAATACTAACGTTGACGATGAAAAGAAAACCGGGAAGAAAAAGAGAGTGGTGAACGCGAGAGATGTCGCACACTTTGAGTTCATAGACGACAATCAGATCGTATTCGCGCAGAGAAACTCAAAGAATATTCTCTACGCCGAGTTGACGAAAGCGGTGCACTCGCCCTCGCAAGTGTACTTGTTCGGCAAACACGAAAATCCCGTCTCGTGCTTAGCGGTTAACGCGAATTCAAAAATTGATATCGTTGCTTCAGGAGCGACAGATGGATCCTTATTCGTGCACACCATCAAAGATGGTAAAAAAGTCGGGTCGTGTCGAAGGGCGCACGATGGAGAAGGCGGCGTGAAGTGCGTTTCGGTAGTTAGAGAGATGGAGGAAGAGGAAGAGGAGAGCAACGGGGATATTATCGTTGCATCCGGCGGTACCGACGGAATCGTCCGGATATGGATCGTAGATTCGGACAATATTCGCCTGAAAATGTTGTGTAGACTAGATAACGGAGTTTCGCCGATTTCGTGCGTTTCCTTGAAGTATTACAAATCTTCTTCGTCTCCGTCTCTGTCGTTTGCGAGAATTTTTGTTGGATCGAGCAACGAGGGAACGTTTCGCGTGTGGAAAAGTACACTATTCAAATCTGGAGGAGATATTAAGAACGCAGATTGGAGCGTCGAGCTTTTACAAAACGCGGTGGCAAAGCGGTTGCGAGGAAATTTCAACAACTCCGTCGACGTTGAGTCTTGTTCGATGAGCGAAGACGGGAGGTCTGTCGCCTTTTCTTCAAATGGCGTGAACAGTGAAAGCGATGTCGTCGAAAAGTCCATACTACAAGTTATGTGTCTGAAAAGAGATACTAGTAGCGATAATAGCGAAGAGAAACAACAAAAGGAAGAAAAATGGGTTACGCAGGCTGCAACTGAAGATTTAGGCCCGCTTTGCGGTTTGCGCTTCCTCGGTTCTCATCGACTCTTCGCACCGAGCAAAGAGAACGGAGTTCCACGAATCCTGGACGGAAATTTGAAACCAAGCAGGGTAGTGGCAGCGGATGGTGTTACTTCAAAGCCAGTTACTAGAGCAAAACCTCTCCCGCATCTTCCATCCGCTGATAAAGAGGATGAGATAAAGAGAAAGCAAACAACGAGCTCTTCGGAAATAAAGAAATACGAAGACGAGAGCGAGGAAGAAGAGGCAGATTATGACGACGACGGCGACGACAAAAGATCATCGAAAGAGAACGCAAGTATTTCTCCACCAACGATAAAGAAAGTATCGTATCCATCAATGTCATTTTCGCCAACTGTAAACCTCGAGGATATTTGGAATAGTTCGAAAAGAGAACCGCGAGTTTGCGACACCCGACGTTGGTCCCCAACTAGTCTATTGCTGAAAAACGGACATCCGACGCGTGTAGATTATTAGATGTATAAAAGAATATATAATGTACAACAGATTTCTATGTATGTATGTAGCTAACAGAACAGCGTAATTCACTCGCCATTCTCGTCGTAATATCGATCAGAGGCTCCTTTGCTCCCAGTTGGTCTCGAAAAGTGCTTTGACGCGCGCACATTCACGGAGCGCATTACCGCTTCACCTTCTTTGATGCTCATTTCCAAAGCTTTGCTCGCGCTATAACCTCGATGCTCGGTCAAGCGAGAAGAAGCGCTCGAGCTGCGAGACAGCGCAGCGGCTCTCTTTTCAAAAAACGCTTGGAGTTTCCTAGAGTTGTGTAAAAGCTCCGCGTCTCTTTCTTCTCTTTCTTCTTCTTCTTCTTCTTCAGAAGTTGCATTCGTGGTATTCGTCAGAGATAAGATGTCTCCGTCGTCCGTGTGATCGTCGCTTTTTGGAGATGCCGCTGCAGCTTCAAAGCTTGCCCATGAACCAAGAGGTGCGAGGTTCACGTCGTCGTTTGCCGTCTCACGCAAACTGAGCGAAACCGAGGAATCAGTCTTGCGAAGTTTCTCACCCGAGACTCTTTTCTTCCTATGTGGCGATACTCCGCAATAATACGGAGAATTCAAGAACTCGCGCGCTTCTAAAGACAACTCGTCGTCTTCTGGGATTTGGTGATCATCGAAAGCATTGAAATTATTATTATTTCTGCTGCTCGTTCGAGACAAGGGACGACTCGAGGCGCGAGACGACGGAACAGTCGGAATCCCCTGCGCAGAGTCCGAACGATACAGAGACGCCGAGCTATTACATCGACTCGTTTGACGTTCGAGAAGTCGCCTATTGATATCCCTCAATTCTTCGATTTCATCCTTAGCCATGCGCAAAAGTGAGTCTTGCATCTCGATGCGTTGTTGCTTCATTTGGAGTCTCTTGGTCGCAGATGCCGCCGCCGCTGAATCAGAAGATGTAGCCGAAGATACTGGAGAAGACGGAGAAGATGGAGATGATAGCGATGAAATCATGTTATTATTATCATCCATATCGTTTAATCCGAGGGCATTCGACCACGCCGCGATATTGTCTTTTTCATTCTCAGATGTTCGAGACTTGAGCGCACGTTTGACGTTCTCAAACTCGCTTTTATTTTTGGCCGCTTTTTCCTTTTCGATGCGGAGCTCTTCTTGTACTCTCTCCAACTTTACTTGTTCTCTCGATAGCATCTCTTCGTGCGCCTCCCGCACTTTTCTAAGTTGCGCACCGTAATATGCACCAGCGTCGCTTTCCAACGCAGTTTCGAGTTCCTCGTTTTTACTTTCCAAAAACGTGTTGCGTTTCTCTATTTCCTCAAGCCTCAGGCGTAGAGTGTGCGTTCTCTTATCCTTTTCGTCCATTACCTTTTCGTGTTCTTCTATCGTTTTCGCAAGCGCCGCTCTCATTTCCTTTTCGACTAATGTGAAGTTTTCCTTGGACTCTTCGAGTTCGCGCTTAAACTCTCTCGCTCGGATTCGCGACCGACTGGCTTCAATCATGAGCGCTTCATTTTCTTCTCGAGATGCTTCTTTGTGCGCTACGAGTTCATCTTCGAGCCGTTGCGCTTCTCGCATTGCCTGCACAGATCGATTATCTGCGGCAACATTCGCTTTTGCTGCATTCTCCATCTCTAACGTCGCTTTCTCGAGCACCTCAGATACTACTTTCGCTCTCCTCTTCTTTTCGCTCGCTCTACTATTCTCTTCTGCTTGCTCCTCCTCTTCCTCCTCGTCTCTGTTCGAGGACGAAGATTCAACGTACTCTTGCACTTGCTGCTGAGCGCTGAGCACATCCAAACAGCTCTTCAATTTGAATCGTTCAATCTTTAATTCATTCGTTTCCTTCGTAAGTTCAAAGCGTTCAGTTTCCCATCCCTCGTTTCGTTTTTGCGCCGTGCTGGCGAGTTCTTTATACCGGCGAAGTTGGAGACGTAACGCGGCTACTTTCGAGTATAACTCGGTTTCACCATCTTCCTCATCGATCAAAGATAACGCCACGCGTTCTTGTTTCTTATTTACCGCAAAAGTATCCTCGTTTGCTTCTTCTCTTCCTTCTCGTTCTGTACTTCCTTCTTTTTTTGGTGTTGTTGTCGGAGTGAGCGCTAAGATTTCAGCCACTCGTTGCACGCGTTCGAGGACATTCTGCCGTCGCAACTCGCGCTCTTTTTCCTTCTCGACGTCGAATCCAGACTGTTTATCTTCTTTCATCGTGTGCTCATTTTCTTCTTCTTCTTCCTCGCGAAAAGTCCTATTTTTGTTCCTATTAATTTTTTGGCCTCCCGTTGCTGAAAATGGAGAGGAGGAAGAGGAGGCTGCAGATATTTTCTTCTCTGCCTCTTCGGAAAAAATATTTGTCGAGTCAGCGACTCTTCCTTCCTGTTGTTGGTTGTTTTTTTCCTCCTCTTCCTCTCCCTCTTCTTTTCCATCCTCGAACGACGAGGACAACGACGAGGACGTGGATATAAACACCGACGATGGACTCTTCTTCCCTCGCTCGTGCTTGCACAACACCGATGCTCTTCTCGTCGCTTTTTCTTTTCCTTCTTTCACTTCTTCTTCTTCTTCCTTCTCTGCGATCCTTTCCGGGGAGATATTATTCGTATTGATTGTTTTTGGTGTTGTTTCAAAGGGTGGAAGCGTGTCTTTTCCTTTTTCTTCTTCTTTCGATGACTTTTTGGCGCCAACTCTTCTTTCCGTCCGACAGCGACGACTTTTCTCGGCCGCTGATCGGTCGCAATCTTCCTCCCTCGTGATCATCTCCTCGCACGTTTCGATACCAAACTTGGAAAACGTGACGCCACAATCCTCCTTCTCGTCGAATTCGGTCCACAAAGTCCTCTCCGGATTGTCTGGACGACGGTAGGAGGACATGTTTACCGAGTCGAAAATCTTTTTTTTCTCTCTTTCTCTCCCAAAGAAGATGGGATCGGTTTTCTTCTGATGAGCGAAAAAAAAAAGAGCTCTCTTCGCTTTCAAACGAAACGACACTGTTAAAGCTCTCTGTTGTCTTCTCAGGAATCCGGTAAGGCGAGAGAGCAACACACACACGCACTCAGAGAGAGAGAGAGAGAGAGAGTCTCTCTTCTCTTTTCTCTCCTCACGACGACGTGATGAGAAGACTTTTGTGTTGTGAGGAAAAGACTGATGAAAGAAGTTTTTTTGTGCACCTTTTTTGCGAAAAAGCTTCGTGCACGCCCCACTTTTAAACAACCAACAACACCAAGAAAAAAAGAAAGAATACTACGAATACTACGAATGATATCGTCGTCTCACCTCCTCTCCGGGTCGTTCATCGTTTCTTCAACTCCTCCTCGAGGTGGACGAAACGTCAGCAGCAGCAACAGCATCAGCAGCAATAATAATAATAATAATAATATTAATAACAACAACAACAACACTCTTTTGAGGAGAAGGATTTCAACGAAAAGTAATAAAAAACAACGACACCAAAACCAAGGACGATCATCGAAATTCTTCGTCACCGAAGCGGGAAGAAGAGGCAAAGCGAAAGAGGACTTATCATCTTCTCTGAAGGTGGGGGAGAAGATTAAAATTCCAATCGTTGGCGTGGAAGTTCCGAAACCGAAACTGCCGGCGAAAGTGGAAGCGATGGTGAGTGGGAACGAGCGAACGATTGGTATTGTTCTCGCGTCGTTGGCGATCGTCAAGGTGCGCTTTGGCGGGAGAAATAGAAGAGGTTCGATGGGACGATTGGAAGAGAGAGGGATGTTGGACGAAAATCGAGAGGTGGACGAGGAGAAGGTTTTTAAAGGAATGATGAAAACGGTCAGGACGGTGGACATGCCGGAACTTACAGAGCAGCAAATCATGGCGGCGAGGGAACGACGAAGAGCCTCGAGAGCCGGCGACGCAAACTTAGCGAAGGAGTTGGAGACGGTGGAAATTCCCGCGAACCATCCGTTCGCGAGTAACGAGAAGCTCGACGCGACGCAAGAGGCTGAAAGGAAGAAGAAAATAATAGACGCAAACTCGCCGAGACGAAGGACGAGACCTGCGGCGCCGAAACAGAAGTAGAGAGAGAAATTTAAGAGAGAAGAAGAAAGTTGGGGGATTAGAGGTACTATGTGTTAATCAAGCTTTTGTTATTGTATAAAACTATTTTCTATGAACTAAGTTCCTACTATACTATACTATACTATACTATACGAATGAAGTTCATCACTAAAGCTCGGCGTTTTGGTTATACTCGTCGTCGTTCATTGTCGGTTTATACGCGTACTCTTCGCGTCTCGGCGGCGGCGGATTTTTTCCGCTCTCGCTCTCGCTTTGATGATGACTTTTTTTCTCATCGATATCAATCTTTTTGTGATGATGATTAGTATCGTTATTCTTGGTCTTCGAGAAATACAGTCGCGGGTGGAATCGCGCTAGAACTGGCGTTCGCTTTAGAACCACGTGCAAACACGCCGTCACGAAACAGAAAAAGCCGAGCCATAAAACGATTCGTTCCTTCTTCGCCTGCTTTTCCAACGTCTGAATGAGTTGCGATCCATCTTTCAACGTACCCGAGTGCGTATCGTATTCCAAGTCTGTTTTTTTCATCGTGTTACTACTCTCGGTCATTTGCATGAGCGTTGTTTCCCCTTTCTCGAGTTCTTGGTGCATCATTTGTCTCGCTCTGCGTAACGCGTCCGTGGAGTCCTTCGCCGCTTGGACGGACGTTTCTTCGCTATCGGGAAGTTCTCCCGCCCGTAATTGTCGGCGCTTTTGTTTACGAAGCAACAACTCGTCCCGCTTTTTCGTTTCCTCTTCCACGTCTCTCCGTTGTTTCTTCGCTTGCGCTTCGCGAAATAAGCTTTGGACTCTTTTCATGGCAAACTTTCGCTCTCGCACGATGTTTCTGATCTTCTCCTCGCAGTCGTTGTTTTCATCGAAACCGTCTGTCGTCGTCGTACTCCTCCTCCTGCTGCTGCTAAAATTCGTTTCCACGTTCATCAGCACGTCTTCCGCCACAGATTCTAAATCTTGAACCATTCCTTTCAAAGCCTGCACGTATTTCCGAGCGCGTTGCAAAGCAGCTTCTCCCTCTTCTCCTTCTTCTTCTTCTTCCTCGGACGAGACCGTTGTTGTTTTTGTCTTCGGTGTCGTCAAAAATTTCGAGTTGAACGCGTCGATGTTTGAGAGGATATTCCGTTCGCACTTTTTGCACTTCTCCGCGGACTCTCTGACGAGCGCAACGATTTCTTCTTCGCCTTCGTGGTCTCCTTTCTTTTTTTTCCCTCCTTCTCCTCCATCGTAGGAAAAGGAGTTTGTATTATCGCTCGTCATTTCGTCGCCAAAGTGGAAAGAAGGAACGCGAAAGAGGAGGTGAAAACGACGATGGAACAAATTTTTGACGAAAGTCTTCCTTCGAAATTTAGGTCGTGGGCGAAAAACAGCTTTCTCCCAAAACTCAAATCTCTCTTTCACACACTTCACCAAGACATCATCGCGTAAGAAAATCCTCACAACAATAGATACGCATAAGGATTCAAGATGTCAACTTCTTGCACCTTACGAACGAGGAAATTCATGTCCAACCGCTTGTTGAAGCGCAGACAATTCGTAAGTGTTCGCATCGTTTAGATTTTTCCCGCTTTTCGCGGAAGCATTTCAACTTTCACAGACCCGCCGCTTACGCGTAAAGGAAGAAAGGAGAGAAATTTTCGCCCTTTTTTTGTTTGGTTGCGAATTGCGCGGGAATAGGTGCACTCGCGAAGTGTTCACTCCAAATCAAACGCTCTTACTGACGACTCTATTCTTTTTCACAACAGATTCTCGATGTTCTTCACCCAGGACGCGCGAATGTCCCGAAGGTACGCACTCAATTTCGTAGATTTTTTTCCCAGCTCGGGAGACCTAGTCACAAGAGCAGAGTTTCTGGGTTGCGTGAAAATGATACATGTGTTTCATCTCAACGCTCCCTCTTTCTCTTTCTCTCTCTTATTAGCCTCTTTCGTTTCTTTGCAATCAACGTCACCGTAGACGTGCATTGAACGCGCTCGATTGGCAAAACGGCGCGTATCGAAGACGATCCGAAACTCACCTCTCTTTCTTCAACACTACAGTCTGAACTCAGAGAAAAGTTAGCCAAGATGTACGACATCGCCGACGCGACGCAAGTCTCGTTGTTTGGCTTCAGAACGGCGTTTGGTGGCGGTAAATCTACTGGATTCGGCTTGATTTACGACGATCTCGACGCGATGAAGAAGTTTGAACCGAAACACAGATTAGTCAGAGCGGGTTTGAAGGAAGCTTCGCAAAAATCGAGAAAGCAAATCAAGGAAAAGAAGAACAGACTCAAGAAGGTGCGCGGCACGAAGAAGGCCAAGACGATGTAAGTTAGGTAGATTTGTATTGGGGAAGAGAGTGATAATAGAGGAGTGCGGACGTACAATGTGTAGCCAAATTATTTGTAAGTTTCGCTTTTTACTTTCATATTAAAAGAAAACAAAAGTAGTTTTGTTGCGTTGGTGGTCGCGACTAAGTATTTTATTGATTCGTGTTTTTTATTCGTAGCACTCTTTTTTTCTTCATTTAAAACGCGAACCCGCCCATTTCCGCCGCTCTTTCCTTCTCAAACGTTTCAAAGTATTGGTAGATGATGGTCACCGCCAACAAAATACCCGTACCACTTCCAATTGCGCCCATAAAATCTGCAATAATCGTCAACATTCCGATGCACATGCCCCCGAACGCCGCCGCCGTCGGGATGTATCTGTTCAACTCTCTTTGTAAACTCGACTCACGGTGACCCGTCATAAACATTTGCTGTTGCTTCAACTGCTTCGCAACGTCACGAGCGGAAGACCCAGAAACTTCGATCCACGTCTTGGAAAACAACGCGCACGCGGAGAGCATGAAGGTGAGATAAAACACCGCGTGTAACGGGTTCGCCGCAATATCCGCCAAAGACGTCGGCGGCGAAATGTAATACACCAATCCACCGACTGGCATTAACTGACCAGAACCTTCGGAGGATTCTTGCCATCTCCCCAATAATTGGACCAGGAAGTTGCCTCCGTATCTTTTGTACAACAACTGCGAGATGAAGTACATGTTGGACACCAAAGCGGATTGGAGGATGATTGGCATGTTCGACGTGTAGAACAATTTGATCGGGTAGTTCGAGACCATCCCACGGTTACGCTTCGATCGAACCGGTAAATCCACGCGAAAGCCTTGGAAATAAATCACGCCGAGAAAAATCAAAACCGTGGACATCAAGTTCGTGATGTTTGGTAAGTTTTGACGGTAAAACGCTTCTTTCAACGCTCTCACTTTGTCCGTTCTCGTGAGCAACAAGTGAAACAAGGCAATGACTGCGCCTTCAAATTCGGTTCCTCTGCCACTGTTAATAGTCGTCGGCGAGAACGCTTTCCAGATGATCGATTCGCACTGGTTCGTCGCGATAAACAACGAAATACCTGAACCCAGACCGTAGCCTTTTTGTAACAAGTCGTCCAAGCAAATGACAATCAAACCAGCCATGAACAACTGCAAAACGATCAAAAACGCGTTACCCATGCCCATATCACGAACATCACCGTAAATACCCGAGGCTACGTACGCCACGGCTTCACCGATGGTGATCAAAATCCCGAGGAGTTTTTGCGCGCCGTCCAACAAAGCTCTGTCCTCTTTCAAGGAGTGATCGACATCGATAATTTTACTCCCCGTCAACAGCTGCATGACGAGACCGGAGGTAATAATCGGCGATATCCCCAACTCCATGGTTGTTCCTCTGTTTGAAGCCATGATAACCCGCGCCCAATACAAAGGATCCGCCCCGCTCGTGTTTGAAATACCATACAAAGGTAATTGCGAACACACTAAAAACACGAACAACGCGACCGTTGTGTACAAGACCTTCTCTCTGAATGGAATCTTTCTGTCCGCCTGTTTCACCTCTGGGAGGAACGGAAGAAACGGTTTGACTAAATTCAGCAATCGAAAGTTGGAAGACATCTTTTAAATATAATATTATGTTCTTAATATTACGACGACGACGGGGAAGGATGGGGGGAAAAATGTAACGCGCGTGATTCGATGAGAATTATTTTTTCGATCGAGAAATCCAATCTGACGGAAATTTTTTCGATTCGAAAGCATGCAGCTTTAGAGTCTTCATTCAGTTTCGAGCGTGGCAACCCATCACACAAAACACATCATTGGACGACAAATAACACGCACTTGCAACGAGAAGACAACAACAACAATAATTAAATAATAATTGAAATACAGAGTATATTAATAATAATAATGTCGAAAGCGTTCGCAGGTCTCAAAGCGGTGCACGAGTTGCGGTTCCACTTATGCCAAACGTCCAAACACTCGGAAGGGGCGAGAAATTTCCTCCTAAAATCGTACGAAAAGTTAAAAGCGGCGAGTCCGACCACGCCGGTGTTGATCAGAGAAGCGCACGGGGTGGAACCGAAACTGTTCGCGAGATACGGTAAGAAGAAGAGATATTTTGTGTTATAATTTGTATCTGTTTGTTTGTTTGTTCGTTCGTTCGTTCGTTCGAGTAAAAAGAAAAAGAAGAGAGAGAGAGAGATCGAAAAGAGACCTGACTGACTGAAATCCGTTCTTTTCTCAAAACATCAAAACAGATTTCGGAGAGGAAAAGAGCGTGGCTTTAAACGATATGAGCGAGAAAGATATCGAGAAAGCCGTCAATTCATTGTTAAAATAACACTTTAGGTTCTGTAATTCTACACTATTAGCTACATTATATAGAAAGAGTTGAGAAGCACGACGCTGGGGCGCAGTCTCTCACGCGAGGCGCGCGCGCAGACACACACACACACACACACTCTCTCTCTCTTTCTCTATTACTATCTGCTACTTTATGCTCCTCTTCTTCTTCTTCGCTCCACTTCCTCCACCTTCACCTACTCCGTCTGTTCCTAACTTTAACTCTGCGTCTGCCAACTGTTCAAACTCTGCGTTCACTTTGTCCAGTTTCTCTTTCGCTTTTTCCAACTCTTTGTTTAACTCTTTGGAAATTTTCTCGTGCTCCTCTTGTAACTCTTCTATTCGTTTCAGTTGTTCTGCCGGGGTACCTTCCGCGTCTGGAAGCTGCTCCGCTAACATGTCGATAACTTTCGAGCTCTCGACGAGTTGTTTCGTCATCTCTTCAATCTGTTCCTTCGTGACGCCTTTTTTTATGTTTTGATTTGGAATCTCAATTTGAGGAGGAATAGAATCGCTCAAGGCGTTCGTCGTGTTGAGTCTTTCAGCCGGAAGTGCGTCTCTTTGCAACGTTCCTATGGAGTTGAACATGAGCATGGCCATGTGATTGACTTGATCTTGAAGTTGGGTGACCGTGTCCGCCATCTCTAAATTATTTCTTTTATGTTATAACAAGAGAGAGAGAGAGAGAGAGAAGAAGTTGTGTCCTGATGTGTGAAAAAATGAAGAAAGAAAGAATTGGTTTTGCGTTTTGTTTTCCTTTTCTTCGCGCGCGTGCTGCGTTCTATGTGTTAATCAAATGATAAACTCTTGCTAATAATCTCTCTGCTACATGTGAATAAATATACACATCAGGTGTTTCCGAAGAAGCACTCGCGTAAACTCGGCGGTAGTTCATCCGCTTCGACTGATAAGCTCCCGTATTTTTCTAAACTATTCAACGCGTTTTTATAGTACCTCCGAAACGTCAAGCACTTGTACACGCCTTTCAAACCTGCCAAGTGAATTAAGAAATCTCCATCCTCGTAAAACGCCAGTTGAGAATTAAACACGCACGCGTTGACAACTTTAGTCCTCGCTCTCACCGTGTTCGCTTTCTCGAACTGTTCGCCTCCAACTTTTTGCCTCCATATGTTCGTCTGGTACAAATAATGAAACGCCCTTTGCTCAAAGTGAAATAGCATTTGCCACGGCGCGGCGCCGACGAGTTGCGATTGGGACCACATTTCGTCCAAGAACCACAAGCTCCACTCGGTATTTCTGATCATCCACACTCCACAATTCAAACCGTTTCTATCTGCCGCTAATATTTGATCGTACTCGTAATCGACGATGTCTTCTAATTGCACGTCAAAGTTTACTATAACCGTATCCACGTCCAAGTATAACAAAAAGTCATACTTTGGTAGATACTTTCGCATGGCTAATAACTTACTCCAAGACGCCGGACGACTCGAGTCTACTATTTTTTCGTCATATATCATGTCGTATCCGTGTCTATCCGCGTACGCTTGCTTATTCGCGACAGAACTCGCGCAAATCGAGTGCACGTTCCCGTCGCAAATAACAATAATACCAACTTTTGGATGGTGCACTCGTTGGCCTGGCAAATTAGATAAATCGGGATCGTCCAAGTTTGGTAATATCTTTGGTTTATCGAGTAAATACTCCGGCGCTAACTGTTCAGCTTTACACGGTGTTGGCCTTTTTATGTACCCCCCGAAATATCTTCGTCCGTGCGCTTTATACATTCCCGTGAACACGTGTAAAAAACCAGGAAGGAAATTCCAAATTCCAATAGCCACGAGCATCAGGAGAAAAAACTGCCTGCGTCTCTGTCTCTTCAAAAAAGAGGATTTCCGTCGCAACCGGTGACGAGGCGTCAACAGTTGCGGCATGACGACGTAAACGATAGACGACGATTCAGTCTTTTTCTGTCGCTCTCGTTTGAGTCGTATATCTGCGCACAACAGACAGACAGACAGACAGACAGAGAGGAAGAAGTCAACAAGAAGAAGAAGAATCGGCCAGTCACTTAAGTTTTTATGAAGGAAGAGGAGTGAGAAGCAAAGGTCGGTCCAAAGTCTCTTCTTGCTTTTATTATTGAGGTTGAAATTTAGGTCGCGCACAAAAAACAAGAAAATTTCTTTTTCGGTCTCTTCGTCAGTGTTCGTCAAAAACTCTCTTCGAAGCTTTTTGGAAGTTGAGAAGAATAATACGTTACAAAAGGAAGGCATTCATTTCATTCCGTTCTTAATAACACGCGGCATCATCACTCTCAGTACGTAAAAAGAAGAACACGACGATGGACGAGAATCCGTTCGGCGGCGACGAGGACGATCTCGCCCCAAAAATCGTGAACAAGAACACAGAAGAAGAAGGAGTTGAAGAAGGGAAGAGAATAATTGGCGAAAAGACGACGACGACGACGAAGACGGAGGAGGTGACTTCTTCCATAACTGAACAACCGAATAAAATTCCATCGTCGTCGACGAAGAAGACCTCCTTGTGGGGCGACGAGGACGACGAAAACGACGTTCAGATAGAAAAAGCGACGATGAGTAAGAGGACATCTGCAACAGGAGGAGAAGGAGGAGGAGGAGAAGGAGTGAAAAAGAAGAATTTCTTTGGCGACGAGGACGATGACTCGGCAACGACCAACGTGATGTCTTCGTTTCTTTCGTCAAAAAATGACGGCCCAATGTCGCAAATGGCCAGTTATCACGAACAAACGTCGTATTCATTTCACGGAGGTAGCGGAAATGATGAAATGGCGTCGCCGTTGGCGGCGTTTGAGACGGTTATTCCGGGAAGTAAAACGGCGCTGTTGCGAGAGCAAGAGTTGGCAGCCTCTTCCTCGGCGCAAAAGAAGAAAGAGGAGGAAGAAGATACGACTACTTATATCAACAACAGTAACGAACCGGCACGAGAAAGATCAGAATTCAGGCAAGGAAACATGAACAACGACAGAAAGCAAGTGGAAGACGAAATTGTAGAAATCCAATTAGGGGACGACGATGATGCCACTCATAGTCAACAACAGCACGGAGTCGCGGAGCAGTTTGATTCACCGTTCAATAAACCAGTAGCACCTCCAGCGTCAACCACGAGTGATCCACCACCCCCTTCATACCAGGACTCGGTAATGTACGCAAATCCAGCTATTCAGCCAGGAAATTCCATGATGATGAATTCATCAGCTCCAGCGGTGATGAGGGCCGAGCAGACATTTGAAGCATCTTCAATGCAACAACAACAACAACAACAACAACAACAACAACCACAGTATTATCAAACAGCGCCGCCACCGCCAACATTACCTCAGCAGACGTTTAACAGACACGAACTGAGCGGTGCTCTCTCGCCGTCGTTCCAATTTTATCCTCCTTACGATCCAGCCAAAGACGAAACTTTAGTCAATCTCGGCGACGAAAAGAAAACTGAGCTCGTCGCGTACATCACCGAGGCAAAAACGGAACCAGAATTTAATCAACAAGGTGGCCCTGGGCTTTCGAAGAAAGTAACGCGGTATAAAATTAATTTCAAAACGAATTCAGATAAGTTTATGCAAAAAGAAGCGATCGTTTGGCGCCGTTTTTCGGATTTTGTGCAGTTACACGATAGACTGTTAGAATCGCATCGAGGATATTTCATTCCTCCGAGACCGGAGAAATCGATAAAAAGACTCGGCGACGAAGCGTTTGTGCAAGCGCGGAAACTCACGTTGCAAAACTATCTCGAAAAGTTGATCAAACACCCATCGCTTCGCACATCTATGGCATTAAAAGTGTTTTTGACGCAGCAAGATTTACAGCAGTCGCGAGAATGGCACGCACTGGCAGTTCCCGCCGCGGCATCTTCAACGATGATGTCTTCTCCGGCGGGTTACCAGCACCAAGAACAGCAGCAGCAGCAGCAGCAGCACCACCACCAAGAAACACTTCAACCATCAACTCCAAGCATGCAATTTGCGCCGGATAGTCACATGATGGCTTCTTCTCCGATCGGAGGGGTGAATCCTGCTTCTCCAGGAGGCGCCGCCAACGGAGGGAGTGCAATTTTTACGCAGCAAAATGTATCGGCTTCGTCGATGATGACGTCTCCATCCGCGACTTCTCCAGCAACGCCAAACCGATCCTCGGTTGGTAAATTCTTTCGAGAGCTCCGTCAATCAATGGCAACGTCTTCGGCAGTTGCTGCGGTCGGAGGGGCATTTGGGATCGAAGCCGCAAAGCCGAAAATCGTCGAAGAAGATGCAAAATTTTTGGTGGACAAGGAGAAATCGACTAAGTTGGAGACCGAATTGTGCGGTCTGAGCTTGAAAACAGAGAAAATATTGCAACGAGAAGAAAAATTCGCCGATTCGTTGGGTGCCTTTGGATTAGAGTGCATGAAGTTCGCCCGTGTTGAAGAAGAGGCTTCGGGAATCTCCGGTCGATATTCCGAGCCTGGCACTCGACTAGCGACTGCCGCCCAGTTTTTCCGCAAAGTCGGCAATGCCTCTGTTCGTGCCTCTCGTATTGCACGCGCTGCTACTGTGCAATTAGCTAAAGCGATGGATCCGTTGCATGCGCATTTGAACTTGATGCCGTCGGTACGCAGAGCCACGCAGCTCAGAGCGGACACGTTGTTATCGCTGCAGACTTTGCTCTCAGATCAAGAAAGACTAACGAATAGAATTAACAAACTCGCTCCTGATATCACAAAACATGTGAAAATAGAACAGTTGAAGCGAGAACTCGAAGAAACAAACAGATTAGCGGAAAATGCGAAAAGAGAATACGATTGCATCCGCGCTAGACAAGCGAATGAGTTCGCGAGATCAGAGAAAGAGCGCGTCGAAGAGTTTGAACAAATGCTTTTGGGATTAGCGCGAGTGCAAGTCGCCCAAGCAGAAAGAACTTTGAGCGTATGGCGCAGCTTGGCAGAGGAGCTCGGGGCATCCCCTCAAGAATGGTCTCAAACAATCTCCGTAGAAGAATCACCTCCTGAAAAGGAGGCCGTTAACAATAGTGAATAGAAGCGCACGTTGTAATGATGAGGAAGAGAAGGAAGAAAAATACATCCTATTTTATAAAATTTTCAGCATTACAACGCTCCTACGTATCTATTATCTCTATTTATGTCCTCACATTGCAACCTTGAAATTTGGCGTTAATAAAGTGTCGTTATCGGCCATCATTTTTCTAACGCTCACAACTTTTCCATGGTCTAGTATTGGCGCTTCATCTTCACCCTCACCCGCATCTTTATTCTTTCCTTCCTGCTGGAGTTTGCGTTGCTTCTCTGCAATCTCAGTCGCCAACATTCTCACGCCCCAGTGATGCAATAACACGCCGAATAACAGTTTTACGACGACTAATATAAGAAATCCTAACACACTGACTGCTAAAGACTCTGTTGTCGTGTATGTTGTCTCTTCTTTGGAGTCGCGCGATTGATATGAATCTCCAACGCGTAAGGTTTCATACAACGGCGGAACGACTCGCAACAACAGAGCCGCCGGAGCGAGAGGGACAAAACCAACTACTCGGTGTATTTTGTACGACTGCGCCAACTTTACATGTTCTCGACAGAACTGTCTAAAATACCGTCTATATGTCGCCGGTCGTAAGCTGTTGAATTTTGCCATGAACGAATGCTTGACGATATCCACGAAGACTTCGCTTCCCAAGACCAAGAGGCAGTCGGTGGCAAACTTTTTAGTCAAACCACCGGAAATGGACCCGGCAGCGATTATTCTTTGCGCGGCGACAAAGAGCAAGCACACGGTCAAATGTACGCGTTCAATGATATCCAATCTCGTCACTCCGAACAACTTCGCCTCGTCTTGCTTTTTGAAAACGTGGCCTTTCATTTCCGAAAAGTTATTAGAAATTAAAACCAACAACATCGCGTTGGTGTGTGAATTCATTGCCACGGATAAAGTTACCGCGTGGAGCAATAACACAAACGTATGCGAAGCCGTGGCAAACGTCGACAAGATCACGTCCACAAAAAGTTGTAAACCGCAGACGAAAACGTCCCTTCTTCTCGAAAACTTGTGCTGCGCGGTGTCGACAATTTTATCCACCGAGTGCGTCAACGCGTCTAACACGTTGCCATTGAATGAGCAACATAATTTATCAAAGCACTCTAACACGGATGCTGCCATATAAAGTTTGATAACTTCTTGGCCTCTAACATAATGATACAAAACGGAAACATCCAATGAATAGCTTAAAAATACAGCCGCGGCGAGCATGGAAAGCCAGAGTAAATCGCACAGTTGCTCTCGCGCGAGAGGATGTTTCGCCCACGACTGTCGGCGCGTCATTGGCGATGGCGGATCGCCATCGCCGTCAACATCTGGCGAAGAAGCGTCCATTTTCTTCCTCAATCCAACAGCCGCGGCGTACTTCGCAGGATTGAAAAAGTAACTCGAAATAAGCGCGAATAAACCCCGGGATGTTAACACGAACACTCGCACGGGAAGCGAAGTCAAGATGCCTAAAATCGCATCGCCGCACAACAAACAACCATAAAAACACAAGCGCTCCAACTCTCTCGGCAAGTGCCAGAGCAAATCAAACACTCTCTGCCGAGCGTTTGCTAATTCTGCGTTGCTTTTTTCGTCGTTTTCTCTGTTTGATGGCGCCAAGCCCAACTCGGCTAAAACGTATTCCCTCCAAAAGTAGTTTCTCTTCGCGTTCGATTTCTTTTCTTCACCGTTTTTCTTCTCGTTATTACTGCTCGTTGTATGATTATTATTATTATAAATGGTAGTAGCACTGCTACTACTCGCACCATTATTGGGCAGATGTTGATGCAAAGACCTCGCTATGGTCTGAATATCCGCCGGTAAAACCGGCGATGTCGTTTCCGAACCTCTCTCTTTCTGCAACTCCTCCTCATCCGTCGTCGCGTCCAATTCTTCCTGAGACGTGTTGAATTGAGAGTTGCTCTTGCGTCGGTGTAAGAACCAGTCCGAGGAACCTCTGCTCATGCTCGCACTCGCCGTCTTCCGCATTTTCTGATGGAGAGTTTATTTCTTTCTTTCTTTCTCTCGCTTTGGCGAAGAGACTGATGATGCGTGTGCGGGGGGGAAGGATGGTTTATTATTATTGTGCTGCGCGAAATTTGAAGAAAAGTGTGCGTTTGAGGAGCAGAAGAGAGAGATGAGAAAAAAGCCGAAAAAACAAGAGCAACGAGGGGCGAAGAAAAAGAAGAAGAAGAAGAAAAACCATTTAGTAGTGGTCTCGCCATAAAAAAACGGTGGTTTACCCCGTGTTGCGACGAAGGAATCGCGGAAACGCGACCTTAATCTCATGGAGTCTTTTTCTAAGAGTCCTCCAGGGAAGGGCGACAATCTGTCAACCTCCCCGTCCTGGCGGTACGTTCGGATTTATTATTATTATTCTTTCCCGTTTTTGCGGGGTGCTCTTTTTGCTCCCTTCTCGTTTTAGCGGAAAAAATTCCGTCTTTTAGACGCGCTAGGGATGTCGCGAAGTCGCGAAATCGTCTGAAAACGCAGAATTTGAAAGTACAAACACTGACAAACGTTTTATTTCCGCTCTCTTGTACTCTCGTGAATACATAAATACATAAACAGGGACTACGAGACTTCTTTTTCGCAGTTATTGAGTGATGAGATTCTTAAAACTGAAACGCGCGGAGATGTGCCGCCACGGAGTGCATCTGCGGTAGACTTGGTACGTTTGGTTACACAATATCGTACTCATGATTGTTCTTCTTTCGAAAACGGGTTTTGATTCGGATTTTAATCTTCGGAGGTGGCCATACGCGCTCGTTTTCCGTGAGCCGCCACCAACAAAATTTCGGTTTTGTGTCCAAGAGGGCGAAAGTTGTGGTCTCAGGTCGACCTGAAAGTGGGCTGCAAACTTCGTGTCAAAGTCAAAAGTCAACATATGTTACTTCACTGCGCACATCTTTTTTTCTCTCTCTCTCTCTTTCTCTCTCAAAAAAGTCATTATACTTACTAATTGAACACTATTATTTATAACAACAAAAACAGCCGTATGCAGGAAGTGGTGCGACATCGGCTGTCGGATCCTCGGGTTTAAACAAGACGGGCGGTTTCGGCGATTCGTTTTACTTGAATCAGCACGCCGGGAGTTTCGCGAATACAAACGATGCCGCTTCGTTGACGTCAAATGGCGGCAATGCAAATAGTCTGTTACAACCAAGCGGTTCGAGTGGAAAGACCGCTGCTCAAAGTTACGGAGCGGCTTTTAATAACGATGCTCTCGGCACGGACGTGCATCGAGGGTTGAATCCGACGAGCTCGGACGGTTTAGCCTCAGCGTTTGGTAACATCGATTTGGCTGGAGTTGCGAATAGTTTAGCGCGACCATCAACTGCTCCACTACCGCCGCATAGTTCTAGAAATGGATTGAATTCTTTGCAAGCGCATCACTCGTCTCGGCTTGGTGATCAAACGACGAATTCTGCCGGAGTTGCGGCTGTCGCTTCTGGGATGGGCGGCGGCATGGCGGGAGATCTTTCTGGGTTGCAAGCACAACAAGCACTATTGCAGCAGCAAGCCGCGCAGCAAGCGCAAATTAATCAATTCTCTATGCAGCAGATGCAATATAATACAAATGCTGGCGGGGCACACCATCTCCAACAACAAGGGCTTGGCGGCGGTGCTGGTAATTTACCTGGGTTTGATACCTCGGCAGTGAATCAAGTTGCAGCAAACGGAGGTACCGTGGCGGAAGTGTATCAAGCTGCTTACGCGGCTGCCTTGTATGCTCAGCAGCAACAACTCCAGCACTTGGTGCGCATGCAAAGTGGGGCCGGTATGGTTAATCCGCAAAACATGGCGTTCCCCGGTGGAAATGTGAACGCAGCTGCGGCAGCAGCAGCTGCTGCTGCGGGAATTAACGGCATTGGCGGAGCGTACGGAGATTTGACGAACAGCGCGAATGCCGCTGCAGCTGGAATGCTTGCCTCTCAACTCAACGGTAATCCACACTTGGGTTTCACGAACATTGTCAACGGAATGAATCCGCTCATGCATCAGCAACAAAACATGGGTGGTAATCTTGGACGAAACGGTCAAAGAAACGATGGAGGTGGGAATAGGAGAGGTTCCAGAGGTGGACGAAACAACGGAAGAAACTCGGCGTGGGGTAACGATGGGGGTGGCGGTGGTCCGCGCGGCAATCCATTAACGAACAACGCAGAGCTCGCTACTCTGAACTCTGCCGTGCCTGGTGCAAACGGATCACCGACGGCGGAAGAACTCGCGGAGATGGATTCGAGATTTGGGTCCATCGAAGAGTGCGTGGGTCAAATTTCTATCTTGGCCAGAGACCAATATGGTTGCCGCTTCCTCCAGCGTAAGTTTGACGAGGACGGTTCTGCCGCTATCGACGCGTGCTTCGACGAAATTATCGAAGAAGCTGTTGACTTGATGATGGATCCGTTCGGAAATTATCTGTTGCAGAAACTTTTAGAGTGTTGTTCGGATAAACAAAGAGCTGATGTCGTGCGCGCCGTTTCGGTAGTCAACGAGAACGCAAATACAGGCTTACCTGAGTTGGTCTCCATCGCTTTGAACGCACATGGAACGAGAGCAGTACAGAAGCTCATCGAAACTTTAAGCTCGGACGAGGAGATTGAGCTCACCACGAAAGCTTTGCGTCCTGGCGTTGTCACCTTGATCAAAGATTTGAACGGAAACCACGTGGTCCAACGCTGCTTGCAGAGGTTGTCGGCTGAGGATAATCAGTTCATCTATGAGGCCGCGAAGAAGCATTCGGTTGAAATTGCTACTCACCGTCACGGCTGTTGCGTGTTGCAACGATGTATTGACCACGCGACTGAGGAGCAAAAACGACCGCTCGTTCAAGAAATTGCCGACCAAGCGTTGACTTTATCGCGCGATCCTTTTGGGAATTACGTGGTGCAATACATTTTGGACCTCGGATTGTCTTGGGCAAACGCTGAAGTCATGATGCGATTAGTTGGGAATTATGCCGAGTTATCTATGCAGAAGTTCTCTTCAAACGTCGTTGAAAAGTGCTTGAAACTTGCGGATCAGCAATTGGAGGAGCACAGAAACGTCGTCGTTCGCGAAATCATGTCGAGCCCTTTGTTGGATCGACTTTTGATGGATCCGTACGGCAACTACGTCGTTCAAAGCACACTTATGGTCACGAAAGGACCATTACATGCGGATTTAGTGGAGAGAATTCGACCCCACTTACCGCTCATTAAGAATTCGCCCTTCGGGAAGCGAATTTTAAGACTTCTTCTCGAGAAGGCGCACAACAAGTAAAAAGTGTTCGATGCGCTTTCTCGAAGAACGAAATTGTTCAAACAGAAATTAAAATACATTTGTAAATAATGTAGAAGGTTTTGCTTGTTTTATGTCATAAGGAAAACAAGCCAATTGTACGAAAAACATTTGGAGGGTGTTTAGCGGAAAAGAGAGCAAGAGAGAAATAGATTATGTGGATTAAAACTAGAGGTGGGTAATGTTTATAGTCTAGCACTCTAGGGCGAATCAGACGCGAGAATGTGCTTTTTGCATTTCATCGCGAAAGACGAACCAAAGAGAAAGAGAAAAATAGAAAGAGGGTGAAAGGTAACGTTCGAAGCAGAGTTCGAGAAAGCGTTATCTTTGCTGTATACAGAAAGAAAATTAACAAAATTGTGTTTGTATTAATCAATTGTAAAGCACCGCAACTACTACTAAAATTTAACATTATATTGAAACATATCTCGTCCTCTCCGCATACGCGACTCGCGCCCATATCAACATTTTTTCAAGGCGTCCAAGACTTCTAAGAAATCTTGCGGAGGTTCTCTAGAAAAATCCAAACTCTCGCCAGTTCTAGGATGGGTAAATCCTATGGTTCTCGCGTGAAGCATGGGTCTCACGCTTCGTTTCCCTACTGCCTCTGCGTTTACTTTCTTTATTCCTGGATTGTTCAACAGCTGTTTCTTCACGCGTTCCTTGTTCCCGTCGTACGTTTCGTCTCCGAGGATACCACATCCGAGAAATTTAGAGTGCACGCGTATTTGATGCGTTCTTCCAGTATCCAACTTCCATTCTACGAGACTTGCGCTAGTCGCAGTATCCGCTGAAGTAGGGAATGTCTCTAGTGTTCTATAATTTGATCTTGCGAAACGTCCTGTTCTGAGACTCGAGGCGATGCTCATGCGAAGCCTATTTTTTGGATCGCGACCGATTGGCTCTTCTACAACTCCTGCAGATGGATTCGGATGGCCTAAAACTAACGCGACGTAAAGTCTTCGGACTGATCTCGCGGCAAACTGATCGCAGAGATGTTGATGCGCCGCGCCGTTCTTTGCGCAAACGAGAAGTCCAGATGTCCCTTTATCCAGTCGGTGAACGATTCCAGGACGAACAGTCGTATCCTCTTCCTCTGGTCCTAAGTACGGCATAATTTCATCATCATCATCGTCATCGTCATCATCGTCTTCTTCTTCTTCGTTCTGTACTTCTGCAAAATCTAAACTCTTCGGAATCTTCCTCCCTTCTTGGACGACTAAGGCGGGGCATCCGCAGTGATATAACAACGCGTTCACGAGCGTCCCGCTCGAATGCCCAGGCGCTGGATGCACCACCATCCCGGCCGGTTTATTTATAACAATAACATCCTCGTCTTCGTAAATCACGTCCAATTTTATATCCTCCGGTTCAGCCGTTAACGATTTCGCTCGTTCAATCGTCAATCGAATAACGTCTCCTCTTTGCACTTTGTACGTTTTCTTCATCGTCTTTGTTCCGTTCACGAAGACGTTCCCGTTGGCGATGGATCTCGCCACCGCGCCTCGGGTTATCTTCTCCTCGCGTAAATTTTCCGCGATGAACGCGTCCAATCGAGACGGTTTAATAACGACAACACCATCATTCGCACCAAAAGCTGAAGCAGAAGCGGCGATAATCTCTCGAACATTTGTGTTGTTGTCCTCCTCCTCGGAAACAACGAGTTCGTTAGACGAGGACGAGGAAGTAAAAAATAAACTCTCCCGTCTCCTGCTCTTTTGATCACACGAAGAAGAAGACAAAGGAGAAGGAGACAAAGTGCGAGTCCACCACGACGAAAACACGCTTCGCTGCTGCATGGTGGTGTAATGATGCGACGAACAAAAGCACCGTCTCGCGAGTAACATTTTTTCCTTTGTTTTGGGGAAATTCACTCTTCATAACTCCATTTATTATCCACACGCACACACTACTACTGACAGACATACGTCGCACTGACACGTATTTAAAATAACACAGAAGAAGAAGTTTAAGACGAAAGAAGAAAATGGGCGCGTGTTGTTCGAAACCGGTCGAAGAAGACACCCCGGAAGTCATCGCAGAACGGAGAGAGCAGATGTTAAAAGCGGCTGAATTGAGACAGAAACAAAGCGAAAATCGAGGCGTGAAAACGCAAAAGATGAAGACAAAGTTGAAGACAGCGCAACAACAACAAAGCAGAAAAGGAGGAGGAGGATTAAACGAAGGCGAGAAGAGAAGAGCGGAGGGTGTGGTGGCCGATTGGAACTCTTAGAGAAGAAGATAAGAAGAAGAAGTAGAAGTAGAAAGAGAGAATAATAAATATGCGTAAATAGAGAGAGTGATGATTCTTTTGTATACCGGTATGTATGTAATTGTATTTTATAGCAGAGAGAAAAAGTGTTTGAGATGTTGTGGATGTGTTGAACTGTTGTTGCAGTGTAACTGTTGTTGTTCTCATTGTTGTTGTTGTTATTGTTGTTGTTGTCGTCGTCGTCGTTCTTTAATCCGACCCTTCGGTCGTTTTCACGGTCAACCCAACTCTCTCAAACTCTTTCTTCAAGCTCCCGTCTTGGTGCATGGTCATCAAAATATCGCTCCCTCCCAAAAATTCCCCGCCGACGAAGACTTGCGGAATCGTCGGCCAGTTGGAAAACGATTTGATTCCGTTCCTTAAAGCGTCCGAGGCTAACACGTTTCTTGACGCGTACGGGATCCCGTAGTGGTCTAAAATGCGACAGGCGACGTTTGAAAAACCGCACTGAGGGGCGTTCGGACTTCCTTTCATGTAAATCACCACGGTTTCTTTCGCAACGTCCGAGGCGATTTCCTCGTGCGCGTTCGACGCGTCCACGTGCGACTTGGCCGCAAAATCGTCGTGACTTCCCGTCGTCGTGCTGAATACATGCTTTTTGTTGTTAATGTTGTTAATGTTGTTGTTCTTAAAGACCAAGTGGTGTTGTGCTGCTCCTACCGAAGAAAACGAATGAGAGGAACCAGCAGATGAGAAATAACTCGTCGACGCGTATCGAGAGAGCGCGCGTCTGCTCGTGGAAGACAAGAGACGTTGATGAGAAGACATTAGTATGTATATGTAGATAATGTGTTGAAATGTATGGAGTTTTTAGAGTGACGTCTCTCCTCCCTTTTTCTGTGTTTTGACAAAATTTCTCAGATTTCTCAGTCTCAAAACGGTCGCTTTTCTACTTTCCAAAAAAAAAAAGAAATCGCAATAATTCGCGTTTAAAGAAGAAGAAGCTTTGATTCGTCAGAGCACAAAACGACACAAAAAAAGCGTGTCTTCTTCTGCTACTGCGTATAATACTCTTGGGGCGAGGACGAGAGCGCAAAAGGGGCGGATGGGCGAGAGAGATTTGTGGGACGTGATTGTGAATAACGACGATATTTGTTTCCAACACATTCTTCCGAAATTGAATCAAACGGATATCAAATTCTTGTACGAGGTGAATAGTGAAACGAGAAAGTTGATTAAGAGATCATCTCGCGCAAGTGATTTGAAGAAGAGGTTTAAGGTCGAAGAGATGTCGTCGATATCGACTTTGGAGTTTGTGTGGGAGAATAAATCGTTGTGGCCGAGTTGGTGGAAATACGAAACATATTTCTGCGTTGGAGTTGCTCGAACGAATAAACTCGAGTTGCTCAAGTGGGCGCGAGAGGAGAAAAAGTGTGAGTGGGATGAAGGGACGATTCTTCCGGCCGCAGGACAAGGTAATCTGGAAATGGTAAAGTATTGCGTTGCAAATGAGTGTCCAGTCGATTGGAGAGCGTGTGCATTTGCTGCCTTAAACGGTCATCTCGAGTGCCTCAAATACTTACGCGAAGAAGCGAAAGCGCCTTGGGGTTCTGCTACTGCCGCTTCGGCGGCTGAATATGGTCATCTTCACATACTCGAATATCTTGTTGAGCGTAAGTATGATCAATATAGCGAATGGGCGTGTATGCATGCGGCCAAGAACGGCCACTTGGACTGTTTGAAGTACTTGCGCGAAACCGCCAAAGCGCCGTGGAACGGTGACGCCGTACGAGAAGCGCACGAGAAAAACCACCCCGAATGTGTACAATACCTCCTCGACAACGACTGTCCTCTCCCACCTGGTTGGCGATACGAAGATGGAGAGTTGCACGTGCCAGAATCAGAAACAGAATCAGAATAATTACACACGTCCTAAAGCCGCTGCACCCTTGTAATACTAAAGAGAGAAAGAGAGAGACATACAACAAAACACTCTACGCTCTCTCACTTCAACTCTCTCTCTCGAGGAATTCGACTCTAAACTTGGCCAACTCTTGCTGCACTTTCTCTCTCGCCTTTTGCAACCACATCTGGTCGGTTTCCTCGCACTCCTTTTCTTTTCTTCGTTTACTGTTTTCTCTTTCTTCTTCTTGGTCTTCTTGGTCTTCTTCTTCTCGTTGTTCGAACAGCGCGTTTAACGCGCTCGTCACACTCGAGTCCGTCGTCGTCTTCTCTAAAGCTTTCTTCCTCTTCTCTTTCAACTGCTCAAACTTCCGATCGTCTCTTTCCAACCACGCGCGTAACTCAATCTCTCTCACTTTCTCCTCCCTCTTTTTTGTCTCCATCTCCATCTCCATTGTACTCGTTCTGAGTTTCATCTTCGCCACTCGAACTTCCGTCTCTCTCACCTGTCGTTCTTTTCGTTTCGCGACGGCGTCGAGAAAAAACACCAACTGTTGCAACTTTGCGTTGTTTTCCTTTTGCGTTTTCAGCTTCTCTTCCGCGCGGTCCACCGAGCGAGACAACGACTCCGCCGCGGAGACCAAGTTCTGGATCAGTTCTTCGTTCATCTCATTCTCATCTCAAGCAGAGCACACAAACAGCTCTTTGTCGTCGTTAGTAATGGTGCGTGTGTTTTAGTGAGGCTTTTTGTTTTGCGCGTATTTTTTTCCCGAATACTTCATAAGAATCCTAAAAATGATGGGCGAAGAAGAAGACCAAGCAAAAGAAGGAGGAGGAGGAGGAAAAGAGGAGGAAAACGAAGAAAACGAAACCTTTAACAAAAACGACGACGAGAATGACGATCGATCCTCGAAAGAATATCACGAGAAGTGGAGCAAGTTTACCGAGGAAGAAATGCAGAAAATCCAACTCGAAGAGGCTGAGTTGAAGCAAGAGATGGAAAAACTGAGCGTCGCGAACGAGCTTGAAAAGAAGACGAAAAAAGCGCAGGAGGAGAAGAAACAAATGCTGCGAGAGGCGAAAGAGAGGTGGGAACACTCGGAGGAAAAGGAAATGTCGAGACGAGTGACGATTGAGAAAGAAACGGAGGTGACGAGAGCGATTCGCGCGGAGGAGTTGGAACAGAACTCGAAATCGTTGCACTTTCGCGAGGTTGCGAAATGTTCGTACGAGATTAAGAAGTGCGCGAAACCGATCAAGATATTCATCGAGAGCGCCAAGGATACGACGATTTCGTGCGCGGGGACCGTGAAGACGTCGACGATGGAGATTTGGAACTGTAGCAATTGCGAGATTACGTTTGAAAGCGGCGCGGCGTCGACAAAGACGACGCAAATAGACGAGTGTGAAAACGTTACGTTGTTGTTTCCATCGAGAGATACGATTGGATCGATTTATCACGCCACAACGAGTGGGTTATCGTTGGTATTTACAGATGAGAGCATGTTGGATGGGAAGAACATTCACGTCGTGGACGTGGATGATAACGATTTTAGGGAATTACAGAAGAAAGAGGAGAACGAAGAAAACAACGACGGAAGTAGTAGTAATAGCAGAGTCAGGCAGCACGTCACGAGGTTTGTGAACGGTAAAATTCTAACCGAACGCGTCATACGCGGTAAAGACGAGTTTCCAACGACAGCGAGAGAGCTCAACGCGAATTCCGTGGAAGAAGCCGAAGCAAAAGCGAAAGAGGAGAGACGCGCGGCGAATAAGGCGAAAGGTAACGAGGCGTTTAAAGCCGGTGATTACGGCTCCGCAATCGCGCACTACGAGCTTTCGCTGCAAGATACCGAGTTAGATTCGGATAAATCAATCGTTCACTCGAACAGAGCGGCGTGTTTCTTGAAGCTCGGAAGATTAGAAGAGGCTTTGAAAGAGGCTGAACGAAGCGTATCGCTGGACGAAAAGAACGTCAAGGGGAATTTTAGAGTAGGATTGGCTTTACACGCGCTCAAACGGTACGGGGAAGCCGTGAAAGCGTTGGAAAAAGCTCAGTCGCTTGAAAAGAAGAAGCAGAATAAAGACATAGAAAACGCAATCAGAATGGCTGAGTTCATGGGAAGAAAGCAAGCAGCAGAAACATCGGCGTAGATTTTTAGTAGAATTAGTAAAGAACACACAGAGACAGAAGAAAAGAAGCCCAAGTCGGAGAAAATTTAATGTCACATTAGATACGTACCAAAACAAACTCAAATACAGAAAAAAATTGCAGAAATGTCATACAAATGCTAACAGTGTTCGATTAAATGGCTATGTGAATCTATTTACCGCGTTTCGGCAAAAAGATGAAATTAATGTCGCGATTTGATTTTTTCTCTCTCCTCTCGTCATCACATTTCGTCTCTGAGAGCCCACTCGCTCGTACTTGCCACGTTTCGATCTTTCAGACTCAACGCCCACATGATGGCTGAAAACGCGTTACATTTCGTCGCATCCGCTTGGTACGCGAACACGCACCTCACCTGCTCTCCTCTTCTAACTATTTTTTCAATCTCCTCGTCCGGAATACTCTTCAAATACGTCAACAACGACTCGTCGATTTTGGCCTCGGGCCATTTGATGGAAATCAACGACCAATCTAAAAACTCTTGAAACGGTAACCTCACCGAATCTGAAATAATCACCGGCACGCATCCGGCAAAAAAGGTCTCGTACGTTCTCAACGTCCACGGCGATAAGCCTCTGGGAACGATACAAAACTTGCTATCTCCTAAAATCTCGGCGTACTTTGGCGTCCGACCCGAAATCGCGAGCAAATCGTCCGGATACTTTTTCGAAAGTTTCAACAACCGTTCTCTCGGATGCGCTTTTACGTGCTTCTCGTCCCCTTTCAACGCTTGCCCATCTGGTACGGTCCCCGCAAACGATGCTAACTTTGTCCTCTTACTCGTTCTCTTGTTTGTTTCTAAATACGAATCTTTCCTACCGTCCATAAATCCCGGCAACACGACGTCCTTCCAAGGATCAAAATACGGCGCTAACGTTCTATACGGATCGGTATAAAACCCTTCCGGAGTTAAAAATATTGAGTTTGGTATTTTACACCGCCAATTCTTGTACAAAGTCGGCCCTCTTCCGCTCGGCCAGACGAAAACGTGATCTCTCCCTCCGGATTTCTTAATATACGGCAGCTTCTCGATGACGCCGTTCAACCTCTTCGCTAACTCGTCGTCGGTTAATCCCGCCCCGTTCGGCGGCGCGTCCAACATGCACTTCGGCCACCCCGGGAGGAAGAAAAAATCCGCATCCGAAGGATTCTCCGTCCTCAACTCTTTCGATTTCAGCAAGAAGTCCGCGATGTGCACTTGACTCCCGTACATCTTCATCCCGCACACTCCAGACTTGTACGCTTGCGTCTCTTTCCCTGGGAACAAGAGTTTCTTCACGTCCGCGTCGTTATACACGTATATTTTAATCGGTGGAGAGATGTCATCTTTAATAGATTCTTCCGCTCGAGATGGAGCCGCGTTGAAGACCTCTCGCCACGTCCCAAAAGCTGTCGCGGATATTCCAAACTGATTCGATGATGATGATGAAGATTCCGAAGCAGCAGTTTTCTTCGCCGAAACTTCAACAAAGCCCCCTTTCGAGGACACCGAAAAATGAATACAAAAAAGACAAAAAAGAAGCGTAAGAGAACAACTGCTCTTCCGCCGAAAAGCTCTCATCTTCTTCTTCTTCTTTGTCTTCTTTGTCTTCTCTTCTCTCTCTCTCTCTCTCTGATGTGTTGTGCGGCGTAAAAATCTTTCAACGCTCCCTTACAAAAAATTCTGCAACAAACAGTTTAGGGTATACAACCCTAACCTCTTATCCAGCCCTCTCCCTCTCCTTTTTTTTTATCTAAAATCTTTACTTTTTATATCCCCAAGCGCGTATACGCGCACATACGCGAGGTAAAGAAGTCAGAGAGAGAGAGTTTAGAGAGAGAGAGATTGAAAGAGAGAGAGAGTGTGTGTATTTATTATTCTTCTTTTTCTGAGAGAAAAGAGGTAAAAAGCAATACTATATAATAGCAGAGAGGAATGATGATGAGTTCTTTACCGATGGTGTCCTCGAGACTTGATGACGCGAGTACGACGACGAGTAGTGCTCTGAACAGAAGAAGAAGAAACACGAAGACGAACCTAAAGAAGAAAACGAATAAAACAACGACTATTACGAGGTGTCAAACGTCGCAAACGGCGTCGTTTACGCCCAAAGGAGCGAAAATTTCCGGCGTCGGGAAGGCGTTGCCGAAGAAATTCATCACCAACGACGACCTCGCCAAGTTGGTGGAAACCAACGACGAGTGGATACGCACGAGAACCGGGATTGGGAAAAGACACGTGATTTCTGGAGATGAAACATTGACATCTTTAGCCGCGGAAGCGTCTCTTGGTGCTTTGAAAATGGCCAACGTGAACCCAGAAGATATTGATTTAATCATCGTCGCGACGAGTTCGCCGGACGACTTGTTCGGGTCGGCGTGTTTGTTACAAAGCGCGATTGGCGCGAAAGGCGCGTTGGCGTACGATTTAACCGCCGCGTGCTCGGGATTTGTCGTTGGATTAGTCAACGGTATGCATTTCATCAGAGGAGGTGGGTATAAAAACGTGCTCGTGGTTGGAGCGGACGTTTTGAGCAGATACGTGGATTGGCGAGACCGAGGGACGTGCATTTTGTTCGGCGACGGGTGCGGCGCGGTTGTGTTAACCGCCACGGAAGAGGTGAGCGAGTGCTCTTTGTTAGGTTTTGACATGCACAGCGATGGGTCGCAGAATCATCACTTGACGGCGAAAGTGTGCGGAGCGAAAGTGGGGAAAGTCTGGGAGTCCGATTCAGAAGCCGGCGAACGCACGGCGTACGAAAACATTGGCATGAACGGCCAAGACGTGTTCAAATTCGCCGTTAGGGCGGTACCGATGACCATCAAAGAGAGCTTGAAAAACGCAAACATGCAACCAGAGGAAATCGATCACTTAGTTTTGCACCAAGCGAACCAAAGAATCATCGACGCCGCCGCGCAAAGGTTAGGTCTAGGAGACGATAAAGTGGTCTCGAACATCGCGGAGTACGGGAACACCTCCGCGGCCTCCGTCCCGTTGGCTTTGTGCGAAGCCGTCGAGAGTGGGAAGGTGAAGAGAGGTGACGTCGTCGCCATGGCTGGGTTCGGTGCCGGTTTGACCTGGGCCTCTTGCTTGTTGAAATGGTAAGAAAGAAGACTACTACTCATTATCGGATGCTTGCGTTGAATACTAATAAAATTTACTACTACTCCGTTTTGCCTTAAAAAATTTACATCATCATACAGTTACCACTCTTCATAATAGTTTATTAATACGATGCCACCACCACCACCACCACCGATAAAACCAACTCCCGGGCAAAACTCCATCGCGTTAACTCGAGTGAAGCAGTCCTTAAACTCTTATTCTGACTTATTCTCCGAGGATAAGAAGAACAACACCAAATCTGTCGCCGTGTTGAGCTTGACGCGATGCGAGTTGAAACTCTTCCCGAAATTTCACGACGAACACGAATACATCTCCCCCGGGCACGCGCACAACGCGACCAGATGTCAAGTGGAACGAACAACAAACACAGCATCAATGAGTCGTAATTTTTGCACGGCGATTATTGCCAACAGCGGGAGCGTGTTTAAACGGAACGTAAAGTTTGCAAACGAGACGGCGGCTTTGGGGAAGACGAACGCGAGCATTCCTCGAGACGACGACGAAGAAGAAAACGAAGAAAACGAAGAGGAAGAGGAAAATGGAAAGAAGAAACGAAAAAGAACGACAACAACAGATGATAGAAAACATCGAAAACACGAAACAGAAATGATTGAAGCGTTTGAAGGACAGGAGTACGAAATCATGTGCTTGAAAATTAGAGAAGTAGGAGAAGCGGGAGGACAGACGGAGGAGCAACGCGTGGCGACGGTAGACGCGACCGGGAGGTTGACGGTGTGTAAAGTTCCCAAGACGAAAGTTGCAGATGATGATGATGACAAGGAAAAAGCGGAGTTGTTATATAAAGCGACGCCGAAGATGTATAAAGAATGCGAGACATTCGAAACGCTTGGCTCTCCAGGTTGGGCTGGACTCTCGTTTTGTCCTCTCGAAGAAAACAACATCGCCGTGTGCAAATTGTGGACTCGCACGATCGATTGGTTCGAGCAAGACCGAGTCGTTCGAACGAATAATTTGTTAGAGTCACCGACATCTATCGCGCACATGGAAACGCCACATTCTGGACGCTCGGTTTTATGTATAGGAGAGAACAACGAAGTGGTCGTGTACGACCACAGAGTCGATAAGAAGAACGGCGAAGTTGGTCGCGTGAAGCAAGTCGCAAGCGACAACGCGAGGCACCAAATCCAAGCGTTGGAACCAGCGAAATTTTCTGGCAATTCAGTCTTGTGCTGCGCTGGGAAAGAGAGAACGGTATCTGTGGTCGATCCGAGAAAATGGACGGCGAGGTACAGGTGGAAGAATTGCGCGAAATACGAAGTCACTGGATTATACGCGCCTCGCACAATCGAAGGCTTCGTGTGCGTCGCGTCGTTGGATTATGAAATTTTATGCGGCAGTTACGAAAAAGGGAAATTGGGTGGCGGGTTTACGTTTCGAAACGACGCGAGAGTAGTTGGCATTGGAGGCGCAAAATTTGGAGATAAAAGCGACGTCGTGTGTACGTGGACGGATACGGGAAAGCTCACCGCCGCAAAGATTTCCGTAGCATCATCGGTATCGACAGAAGAAGATTTAAAAGTAAAGTAGGTAGAAACTCGTTGTAGATGTAGGTTGACTATAGTTAGAGGGGAAGTCATGTGATGTGTGTGTATTTCTTTCTTAGTGTCAAAATAGAAAAGTACTAAATTAGCGCTTGCAAAACTCCGAAACGAACCGGTGGAACAATCGCACTTTGTTTGCATACATCTCTTTCTTCTCTACATCCAACGCGACGTCGAAATCCTTATCGCCGTCGACTACTAAAACCGGCACAAACGGGAACGTCTTCTTCCCGCTCAGCGTAATCTCGATGAATTTGACCATATCCTTCAACTCTTCCGGTACATTCTCGGTTAACTCTTTCGGCGCCGACGCCGTTCGATCGTCCTCTCGAAACCAATTCTCGTGTTTCTCGTGCAACTGCTGCAAATACTCCAACGTCACTCCACTCTCCTCTCCTCGACTTCGAAATCCTAACCGTCTTTTACACGTCTCCGGAGACGCTCGTAAATACACAAACGCGTCCGGTACCAACGACTCGTCCCCTAACGCGTCGAACCAACAGTTATACAAATGAAACTCCATATTCGTCAGCCACTTCGCGTCCATCAACGAGTCCACGAAGACTTTCCTGTCGCTAAATATGGAACGTTCGCACACTCGAAATCGACTTTGATTATTCTCATTTTGTGCCTCAAAATCTTTCGACGCATTGTATTGCAAACATCTCGTGATGAACACATAGTTCTGAAACGTATACGCGTACCGTTCTGGTTCCTTATAAAACGCGTCCAACACGTTATTCTCGCCTTCGACGCTCGCGCCCGGGATTTTCTGCCAACTCTCCACCGGTTCCGGAACCACGAACGCTTCTTTCTTCAGCGAAGAACTCTCGCCTCCAATCACTTCAAAGAGGAACGTAGATTTCCCGGAGGAGATGTTCCCTTCCACGCACAACGTCAAGCCTCTGTTTTTCTGGTTTACAAACGCGTCTTCCGTGCTCGCTACTGGATGATGACTATTGTTGTTCTCGTTGTTGTTGTTGTTGTTACTGCTATTATTACTGCTATGAAAATTACTCGTACAAAACATGCTCCTCTCGATCCGCGTGTACCTCTGTTTCGCCATTCGTCTCAACTCTCTGGTCGTTTGGTACGCGCGGACAAACTCGTATCTATTCCTCGGCATCCTCGTCGTCGTCATCGCGTGAGGAGGGGAGGAGGAGGAATAGAAGGAGGAGGACATCGAACGATGCATCGTCGAATTCGACGACGCTGATGATTTTTCTGGAGAAGAAGAAGAAGAAGAAGAAGAAGAAAAAGAAGACGCGCTATACCAGCGCGGCTGAAGGCGTTCAAGTTTTTGGAAAGTTTGTTGTCGTGATAGAAGTAAACGAGCGAGAGTTCTTTCAGCGTTCTTCGGCCTACTCATGGAAGTGCGGGAAGTGCAAATGAGAGAGAGAAGGGAGAACGCGAGAGCACATTTTTGGCGATTTCAAAATTTTTCTTTTCTTTTTTTTTTTTAACGAAACGACTTGACAGTCTCTTCAAAACTCCTCTTTTTACCACGTGAGATCACACATGCGAGTTGTTGTTGTTCTCGATTATTATTTACCAACTCGTTTTAGTACGACTACTACTACAAATAATAACAACGAGTGATGAGACGAAAGAATCCACATCCGAAAAGAGCGGTGAACGCGAGGACGGTTTTGAAGGGAGAGAAAGAAGAACCTTTGGTGTTGTGTTCGAGGATTCCTGACGAGGAGGCTGATCTCGAGGCAAATCATCATCAGATACAAAAAGAAGAAGAAGAAGAGGGAGAAGACGACGACGTAGAGCGATTGCGGAGGATTATGTGCGTGCCACGTGACGATGTCGTGGAGCAAAATCAGACGCGGAAAGACGCTAAAGGAGTGAAGAGAAAGAGAGGGCACGAGTGCGATTTTTGCGAGAAGGTGTTTCGATATCCATCCAAATTGGCCGAACACATGCGTACGCACACGAAAGAGAAACCTTATGAATGTGAAGTGTGCGAGAAGCGTTTTGCTCTAGCTGGTAATTTGGAAAGGCACATGCGTACTCAACACTAATAGCTCTTTTATAGTCCTACGTTTACATACATACACATTATATTCATCAAAGACACGAATCAAATCAAACTTGTCTAAAGTTGTCCAACTTGATTAACTTTGAAGCATTCTTCTTCATTTTTTATTCTCTCATATCGTCTCACCATAAAAAATGGCACACACACACGACGAATGTAAACGACGATAGATAGAGCAGATACTGCGCGAGGACAATGGTGGAAGAACCAAAGTGGCCACCTTGGTCGATCTTACCCGACGACGACGTCTGTTCCGTCTGCTTGTCTCGACCAGAACAAAGAGGACGAATAGAATCCTGTTCGCATTTGTTCTGTTATCGATGCATATATGACTGGTCTCGAGTGGAGACGAAGTGTCCGATGTGCAAACAGAGGTTTTATTGGATCGAGAGAGAGGCGAAGGAGAAGAAGGAGAAGAAGAAGAGCGATGGTGAGGGTGATGATGATGATGATGATAATAAGAATAGTAGTATTAGCGATATCAACGACATAAAAAACAATCAGAGAGAAAAACCGACGTATTGTCCTTTGAAGAACCAAAATGGAAACCAAGAGGAGGAAGACGAAGACTTAGATCCGGCGGAGCACATCATATGCACGGTGTGCCAATCTGGAGACGACGAGAGGAACTTGTTATTGTGCGACGGGTGCGACGAAGGTTATCACGTTTCCTGCGTTGGTTTACAGCGAGTACCGAGAGGGAGATGGCATTGTCCTTCGTGCGCCAGGTGGGAGCGAGAGCGAGAAGAGAGAGAAGCGAATAGAAGGAGACTTGCCGGTGCGACAACAACGACGACGACAACGACAACAAGAAGAGAAGGTTCAACGTCTAGAGCAGCGCGAATGGCGAGAGCGCCGAGAGGAGATGCCAGTCCTGCCGCTCGATTGGGTATGCTGGAAGCGTTGGTCAATCCTACGAACGAGGATGTACACGGCGAATTGGCTTTGAGGGAAAACGCCCTTTTGGCATCCGCCGCGAACGAGGATCCCGCGCACAGAGAAAATCGATTGGTGAGAGAAAGGAGACAGGCGAACAGAATGCGGAACGGAGAAGTGCGGTTATCAGGTGGTGGTGGTGGATCGAGTACGTTTAATCGCGGCGATTCGCACAGAAGACGACAGATTGCCATCGTTCAAGAATTGAGAGACGCGTGGGAACGACTGATGAAGGAAGAAGAAGAATTTCCCGACGTCGATGAGGTTGCACTGATAACGCAAAGCCGTGGAAGTGGAGGTCGCAATAATGCTAGTAATACCACCAATGATTTAGAAAACGCGAGGAGCAACGCGAACATTGACGTCGAAACGGCGTGGAAACTCATGGACTCGGCGAGAGCTGAAGAGGAGAAAGAGAAAAGAATGAAGAGAGCGAATAGAAAAAAGAAAGTAGCGTTGGGAAGAAGCGCGGAAGAAAATGAACAACCGTCTTCGTCGTTGCTAGCACGAAACATATCGTCGACAGATCCCGTCAAACGACCGAAAATTCGCGTTAGAGTGTCGACAGATTACACCTACAACAACAACAACAACAACAATGCGTTAGGTGTGCTTCAAAGCGTTCCTTCATTTTTACGCGATACTTTAGGTGATGGTGATGGCGGTAATAACGCTTCGAACGCTACTGAAGAAAAAGAAGAAGAAGATAAACAACTTCCACTTCCTCCAGTCATCGATGTCTACCGCACAGCCGCGGATGCGGCAAAAGCGTTACTCATCGCCCAATTCCGCGATAAGACTTTATCAAAGGACCAATACAAAAATACCGTCAAAGCAATCGTAAAGAAGTGCGCGGAGGCGGACAAAAACATGCAAAGACTCCAAGCCGGCTCTATCACCGTCGCTGACATCGAGCGCATCGCCAGAATCGACGCAGAAGAAGTAGTATTAGCCGCTGCAAAAGCAAAAATGTAAAATCAAATGTACCGCATGTACGCGTAGAATAAAACGCAAAAAGTCATGTCAAAAGAAGCAGCTTCTAGGGGACAAAATCACGAACGTGACTCCATTTTTATCGACGCTCGCTAATTTAACGATGGAAGACGAGGGCGAAGGAGGAAGCGACGATCAATCTCAATCCCAACTTGTGTTGAAAGAAATCCGTCCATTCACCATCCGCGCGGATGAATTTCTCAACGTAGACCCGAAAACGAGCTATTATTGCCGTCTTCACGCCGTGAATATCGGCGTCGAAAAGTCGAAAAAGTTTCACCGAACTTTGGAATTGACGAACGCGCTCACCGAACAGTTGGAGCATTTAGAGAGGATGAAATTGAATAACGAGGAGTTCAGAGACAGTTTAGACCATCAACTGGACGCGTTGCACGTGGAGAAGTTCGCGTACACGCTGTTTGCCAAAGCGGACGCGCAAGATCGAAAATATAAAAACAGGACGAAGAAAATTGCGAAACTGTATTACGTGAGCGCGAACGTGTTCGACGTGTTGCGATCGATGATGTCATCAACCAATGATGATGATGATGATGATGGAGGAAAAGAAGAAGGAATAGATACCGCGACATCTCCGGAGATTGAAGAGAAGCAGAGGTACGCTTTGTGGAGAGCCGGAGAGATTAGCAAAGCGATACGATTGGGAGTACCGTGCGAAGATCCTCCGGAGACGAGCGGGAAGACGACGACGACGAGTCGAAGCGAGAGTTTCAAAGAGGATTTGGATGTAGACGTCGACGACAAGAGGGTAGAGGAAGAAGAAGAAAGGGAAGAAGATGAAATGCCGCCGCCACCGCCACCAGCTGTAGCACATCAACCATCACCACCACCTCAAGGACATAAGAAAGGGCCGCCCCCAGGTGTCGGCGCTCGAGCTCCTCCTTCCCTCAAGAAAGAGGGATCGGCGACGACGACAACAGTATCGACGAGAGCAGCGACGAATGGAGCCAACGACGCGCACCGTCCAGATTACGAAAAAATAGCATCGGCTCAAACGCTCGCGAAATCAGCCGTATCAGCGCTCGGATTCGAAGACGCCAAAACTGCCATCGATCAGCTTCGCGCGGCGCTCGAAATCTTGGAATCATCTTGATTGAGCAGTTTTTAGTTTAACGTAGCAGCTCTTAGCGTTTTCTAGTCGTAGCATATTTAGATTAGTGATATTTGGTTCATGACAACACTATACAGTGGTAGTACGAGCGAAACAAAAGAATACATACAACGTCACAATGGTGTGTATTTTACTTGAACACGGCTTGATCGCCCAACTCTTGTCCCGCCAATCCTTCTACGCTGACTTTCTTGAAAAAGTCCCGCAAAGTATCCGTCCCGTAACTCGGCGTCTCGTCTGCTTTGTACTCTCCCGTCTTTTCGTCCATCACTAACATCGACTCCGCCGCGTAATATCTCCCAATCTTCCCAAACTCCGCAGCATCCGTCATGTTCCCGAAAAACCCGGCGAAGAAATCGAGCACTTTTATCACCGTGTCCATGATTTCAATAGGTACCTTGACGAATTTCGGTTCCATCTCGAGGAGTTCAAACAACATCGTCCCTTGCTCCAACGCCGACAACGCTTTCCCTGGACCGCCAATCGGCAACACCTTATTCTCCAAACTCGCGTCGCGAATGCACTCTGCCATATATTTTGCCAAATCTCTCTCCGAAATCGGTTTGCACGACGCCAACTGTCCGTCGCCAAACATGACGTACGGTCCGCCTTTTTGCACCGATTCGACTTGACCAGCTAAAGATTTGAAAAACGCCGTCGGTCTCACGATGGAGTACGAAATATCCTCGCACTTTTCCAATTCCTCCTCAAACTTTAACTTGGCCTTTTGAAACGTCAGCAACGGCTTTTGAACGCAAATCGCCGAGAGCAACACGAATTTCTTCGTGCCGTTTTTTCTCGCCACGTCCAACACGTTCTTCGTCGCTTGATAATCCACATCCCAAGAATCCTTCACGCCGCCAGTTCTGCTCGCCAAGCACGACACCACCACGTCGTACTTCTCGCCTCCGTCTTTGAACGCGTTTTTCTCCACGTCTTCCATCGAGCCGCACGTTCCAAATTCTACCTTGGCGTTGGTGAACAATTTTTTCGCATCCGCTTCGGTATTTTTACCACCAATCCCAGACCTCGGACGAACGTACGCGGTCACGTCGTACCCTTGACTGCACAACTCGTTGGTCACGAATTTACCGATGTACCCAGTCGCACCAACCACGAGCACTTTCACGTCTTTGTTTTCCGAAGGGAGATTTGCCGTGTTGGCGACTGCTTTCGGCACCACTCTCGTCATCCCGTGTCGACGACGATGATGATGATTTTTGGATGACAATGATGATTTCGAAGAAGAAGAAAACTGTCGACGCGGGACGCAGCACGTCGCGCTGTTATTCTTTTGCATCGTCAATGATGAAGTCGCCCGCATGATTTTTATCCTTTAAGAGAAAGAAAGAAACAACAAAAGAGAGAGCTTTTGCGCGGAAGAAAGTGATGGTGTCTTTGGATAATCTTTCGAAAAATAAGAGAGATCTCGAGATTTTTTGTGCACACTGATTTGTACTTAAAATGTGTTGGTTTTGTCTCTCTTTTTTACAACGAACGCGCGTTAGTTGTTGATGTTGATGCAAAATATTGTATTTTGAATCCCACTTCTTTTTGTCTCTCTCTCTTGTACTCTTTCTCTCGCGTCTCTCTCCTCAGTAGTAGCTTTTTTCACTTTAAGTCTCTTTAGCTGCTGCTGCTTCGTGGTGGTGTTCTTTTTCCGCCTTTTTAAACTCTCTCACGTTGCACTTTTTCATTTTACCTTCGTAATCGTCGACGACGCCGCAGAAGAAGGTTTTGCCGCACTCGACGACGAGAACGGTCGATTGCGGGTTGGAGAGATTGACTTTGTACGTTTCTTCGGGAACGCGAGCCGCGAACAGTTCGACGATTTTCTTGGATCGCGCTTCGTCGTGTTTACCCTCGGCTGGGCAGTGTTGCTCGAAGCGCACTTCGAAGGTTTTTCTTTTCTCGGGATCCGGAACTTCTTTTTTCGGAAAGTGGAGAGGCACGACTTCGTCCGCGAGTTTTTCGAATTCCGCGCTATCGGCGCAGTTTTCAACGGGAATGATTCGACAAACGTGCTCCAGTTTCGCCCACGTGCCTTCCGCGGCTTCTTCCAAGATGGCTTTCGCGAGAAGCGCCGGGTTCGCGTCCGTGTCGTCCGGTTTTAACGCGACGAAGAGCGCCGAATCGCACTGATCGATGTACATCGGAACCGCCTCTTTAAACGGTCTCTCGCCTTGGATGCGATGCGCGTTGTACGACATTGAAAAGTACGTATCGTTGAGCACTTTTGCAGCCTCTTTCGCCGCGTGGATAACCTGTGCAAAAGAGTTTAATAGATACAAAAAAAGAAGAAGAGAACACGCACGCTCCCGGGAGCCAACGAAGTCACCAAAAACCCTTTCTTCCCGTGGAAAGGCCCTTGGGCAAACTCCCACGCGGCAAACGACGATTGCGTCGTCGTCGTCGCATCCTCCCCTCTTCCAGATGGGTACTCCTCGCCTTTCGGAAACTCCGGAGTCACTTTGTGTTCCTCCTCTTGTTGTTCTTGCTGTTGAGAAGAACTCATATCTTCCTCTTCTTTAAACGCTTTAAAAGGACGACTCAGAAAACGACGACGATACGAAAAAGATCCAAATAATCCTTTTCCCAAAAGTATGCTCTTCTTCTTTGCGACGATGGTGGTGGCAAAACAAGCGCGCGATCCGCTCGCGATCATGTAATAAGTTTAACAAAGAGAAACACAGAGAGAGATGTGGTGTATTTTTTTTTCGCGCAAAAGTGTTTTTTAGATACGAAAATCCATCGATTGGAACGAACGTTTTTGTCTACGTCAGCATTAATCTTTCACGAACTTACAGATAAATAGTATTAATACACACATCATAATACTAAATCATAATATGCGCGCAACCGCCCTTTTATCATCATCTTTAACCTCCTCCACGACGAGTAATTTGACGCCTTCGAGAAGACTTTCGTGCTCGTCGTCGTCCTCCTCCTCCTCAGTTTCATCTTCGATGAAGATGACGACGATGAGGGTGAAGACGACGACCAGAAGAAAATCATCACTCCTCGTCGTCAGAAGCGCGAACGCTCCGGACTTGAACGATAGTAATAATAACAAGAAAAAGAAGGAATACAAACCGCAAAAGCCGAGACAAAGAAAACCGAAAACGGGCGCGCCTCCGCCTCCGCCGCCACCAACCGCGAAGGATTTAGAAATGATGAGCAAGTTTGATGACTTGGAAGCTGGTGGAGGAATCAAATACGAAGTCTTCGCGAGAGCGAAAGGACCGAACCAGTGGTTTCCAGTTGGCCCGATGGTCGTCAAGGAGGAATGGATGATTGGGAAAGAGTTATGGAACGCCGAGGAACCGTTGAAACGAGCGGCGTTGCAAATGTACCCAAAGTTGGCCGCCGCGCCGGCGTTTGGGAAGTTGGAATATGGTTTTCGAAGAGCCGATAAGGAGAAGATTAGCGAAGAGGAAATCAGACAAGGGCAAGGTAAAGTGAATCCGTTCGACGACGTCGAAGTCCTGAAGGAGAGATCCGAGTACGACGGGGTCGCGCCGGAAAAAACGCTGTTGGAGAAGTTCAACGCGTGGATGAATCCGTACACGAATAAGTAAATACGCATAGTCATTTTTGTCGCATCGAGCTATTAATGCTATTTTATTAAAACTACGTATTCACACCACCTAACTTTTCTATTATATCACGAGTTGGAACACACGGTTGCTTTTCCGGTGGCGTGTAATAATCGCCACGCGTACGCCTCGCCTTCCCAATCATGCCACACCCAGCTGGCCATGTTCTTACTTCCTCTGCCTCCGTATTGATCTGGACCTTTCGATTTACCTTTCTTGGCGCTGAAACTGGTGATGCCGTACAAGGATAAATGGTCGCACATTCCGGCGAGCAATAAGATCCCGTGGAATCCAGACGTGCCTTGTTTCCAATCGTTAAACGGACCAAATCCTAATCGCATTAAATCTTTACGCATGGCATTCATCGCGTTGACTTCTTTCTTAATGTAAGATTCCGGTATTGAAGTCACTTTAGCGTTTGGAATGTTCTTTTTACACGCTCGTAAAAGCTGCGCTTGTCGCCCGGGATGCCACAAGATTAAACTCATCCCTTTTGCTTTGCCTCCTTTTTCGGGCATTTTACCTTTTCCACCTTGACTTTTCGGACAGCACGCGTGCCGACTACGTAAATGATTCACCATTCGAAACGTCGTTCTCGTGCCGACGTTGGCTGCGAGTTGCGCGGTTAAAGTCATCACGTTGAAGCGCATGACGACGTCGTGTTTATCGATAGCCTCTCCGTACTCCTTCGATTTCAACAACGTCCCGGCGTTGCCGACGACGGCGCACGAGTTATACTTCTTCTTCCCCGAGTTTGGCAACGCGTGAATGAGAGACGTGGACGGTAACTCTGCCGCTCCTCTCATGGCGTCTGCGCCACATTTTGAGATGTCTTTGATGCACATTTTCACCGCTCTCAATCCAGGCGACAATTCGTTATCGGGAATGGCGTCGACTCGCGTGGCTTTATTCTCGTTTTCGTTTTTGATTTTACCCCAAATTCGTTCGCACCCGAAATACCCTTGGGAGTATTTACCGGAGATTGGAGTGGTACCGGTACCACCTCGAGTCCTCCCACCTCGCGGCGCTCGAAGCGCGAGCGTGTTTCTTCTTTGTACGTTTTCTATGGATACATCAGTTTCTTCGTCTTGAACGAAAGACCACGTCGTCGCGTTGTTGTTCAATTTAAGCATCGTTCGCAGTATGCTCTCGTTTTCGTCGTCGTCGTTTTCGTCGTCACCGTCACTCTCTTCTACTATTCCTATATCTCCATCGACAGAAGGCATTAACATCCTCCTTCTCCCCCCCCATTCACTTCTGCGCCTCTCGCTATTCTTCGCTAAATTCTTCCTGTGCTTCTCCGCTTCGCTCCTCGCCTTCCATCCAAATCCAGACGTTTGTCCTCCGCACCACCTCGCGTTGTGACTGACTTTCATCTCAAACGTCGCATCTGTTATCGAGCCGTCTTTCTCTTCCTCTTCGCCTTCTTCAATCTTCCCGTCGTCATCCTCTCCGTCCTCTTTTCTCTTCTTCTCTACCACGTATGGGCCTTCCTCCCCCTCCTCCTCGGCATCTTCGTGCTCGGCTAAAGATTCCTCCACTTCTTCCTCCGTCATCGGCGCCACGTCGTCGGTTTCGAACACGTTCGAATCTCTCGAACCGTGAATCTTAATCTTTGAGATCGATTTCGTCGGCGCGGACTGTCCAGTTTGGTCGTAGAATATTTGCGATTTCATCTTTTGGAAGATGTCGGAAAGAAACAAACTCGGCGTCGTCCGAGTCGTCGTCGTTGAAGAAGAAGAAGAAGAAGAAGAAGAGTACGCGTTCGTTTTTGTCGGTGTTCGTAGTAGTATCACGAGCAGCGAGAGGAAAAGGAGTGGTCGCAGTCGTCGCGATGGTACCACTGATGCCCGCATCATCGTCCTCTTCTTTTCCTCGAGCGGCGAAGCACCACATCAAAGTGAGGGAGAGAAAAGAGATGTTTTCTTGGGGAGAGGTTTCATCTCTCATTAATTTCCTCATTAGTAGTGTAGTAAACACACAGCTTATTTGCGAATACGAGAACAGAGAGAGATTGAGAAAGAAAGAAGAAGAGATACAGATGGAGGAGACGAGTGTTGTTGTTGGTGGTCGTAACGGCACGCGCTTACGTTCCGGACGCGTTTTAAATAATAGCGATGAAAAGAATGTTTCGTCTGGCGGCTTCAGTTCTGCGGCGGAGGCGAAAGCGGCGCTTTTATCATCCGGAGGACAAGGAGCGTCTAAGAAGAAGAGTACTTTCACCGAGGAAAACGAACGGCTTTTACTGAGAGGAATCCAAGCCGTGTTCGAGCGATGGACGGCGTTAACCATGGCCGTCGTCAACGAGTGGGGAGGGTTCCAGAGCAAAGAGAAAGCGCAAAGTTTACGAGAGGAAACGTTGGAGTTTTTGTTGAAAGATTCCAACAAGAAAGACGATTCAATCGAAGATTTTTTATACGATTGCATCGCGGAGGATTTCAACGTGCAGTTGGAAGACGAGTCGCACGAGGAAGTCGGGAAGGTTCTGCGAGCGATGTTTGAGGAGTGCGGGAGAGGAGAGTCGAGTTTAGTGGAGAAGATTGAAATGCAAAAGTTACCGAAGGAAGCGATGGAATTGAGAGACGCGATTAGGGAGGCGGATATGAGGAACGAAGGATTTAAGATGGCGGGAGTGGACGAGGAGATGGATGATGGGGACGAGAGCGAGAGTTCGAGCGGTGAGGAGATGGACGACGAAGGAGAAGGAGACGCGGTGGAGTTAGCGGCTGGCTTGAAAGGGATGGGGAAGAAGAAAAATGAGCCCGACGCCGACGGGTGGACCACGGTGTGAGTTGGAAAAACGAGAAGAAGTAACTTTAAAAGAAGAAAACGTTTGTAGCGCGTAGATTTTGTAGCACATAGCTTTGTGTAGTAGATGTATCCTAGTATATAATTAATTATTATTGCCTATTCTTTTCGTGGATTTAAAGCGGCTCTTCGACGACGGAGATGATTTCCTCCTCTTCTTCCTCGATGGTGACGATTTCCGCGCCTTGCTTCTCGTATTCGGCGCCCAAGATCTTTTTGAGCGTACCTTGGTACTCGTCGCTTTCGATTTTTCTCTTCTTTTCTTCCACCCACGCTTCCCACTTCTCCTTCGTTTCTTGCTTCGCTTTGTCCAACATCGTCGCTTGTTGGTTTTTGATTTTCTCGTCCTCTTCTTCGAACTTCTTCGAGTATTTTTTCAAGTTTTTCTTGATGTCCGCCTCTTGTGCTTTGGAGAGTAAACTCTTCCCTCTCGGACGCCACAAGAATTGGAAGAATCGTTCTCGCGTCTGCTTGTATAACAAACGTCCGTTGAACGTCCAAATGTGGTACCCGTTTTCCATTTGGTGCACACCAGTCACGGCAGTAGTGACAAATCTTCCAGTCGGATCCCACTCGACATCGGTCGCCATGAAGTGTTCGCACGTCGCCATCGTTTCCATCTCGTCGACGTTGAAGAACTCAAACTGACCGTTCATAGTTTTCAAACCGGCGAACACAATCATCGACCCATTCGGGGACCAGAACAAGTGGTTCGCCGTTTTCGATTTCAAAGTTTTCAACAAGTGCACTTTCTTCGCACCACCTTCGGCTTCAATCATAGAGTAGAAACTGACATCCGGTCTCGCGCCGTCGCCGTGGATTATGGCAAAGCGATGACCTTTGGGTTCCCACGCGAAAGCGACAATCTTTTCCGCTTTGTCCGGCAAAGCGAGGACTTCCATCGGACACATAGGTTCACGCAAACGAAACAATTCAAAACCACTGTACGTGCTCTTTTTCGATTTCGTGTGATGATCGACTTTCACCGCGAAATAGTCGCCTTGCGATTGCCAATACATCTTCACGTCGCTGACGTTGAACAAGTTCTTCGACCTGACTTCGTTTCGCGAGGGTAACTGCATCAACGAAATTCTCGCCGGCACGTTCCCACTGTTTTGTTCCGGCTGAAACGTCGCTAAAATTGGCTCTCCAGGGGACCAACAAAACTCGGAGACGCCCGGGAGCTTCACCGACTTCTTGTCCAAGAGCGTCATCTCCGGCGCTTGATACACCTGAACGGCATCTTTCGCCAAGCGAGCAAAAAACGCAGGCATCTCTTTCTCATTCTCTTCTGTTTTGATATCATTCTTTGAGCTACTAGAAGTATAAACGTCTTCCGATTCTAAGCCGTTCCATTTGAAAATCGGCCACACGAATCCTCTTTGGTTAGCGCTCGCCAAGAAATCCTTTTGCGCGCCAGAGAACTGTCTCAACTTTTGTCCAGTGGCAATGTCGAAGAAGTTCACCACTACCGATGCTGGGTTCCCACGAGACGGCTCGTGCGCCGATCCAGAACACAAGTACCTCTCGCACGGAGAAAATTCGATGAACTGCACACCCGAGTGCGAAAACTTCGCCAACCTCCCGAAACTTGACCCTCCCCACAAAGCCACGCCTTGTCTGTGCACCGTAGCTAAATACGTCCCTCTCGGGGACCACTGCACGTAACTCTCCGTCCAAAATGATCTCTTATATTCCTCTACTGCTGTGCTTTTCTGCGCGTCGTTCCAGAAAATTTCCGTCTCGTCCCCGAATCGGCAGACAAACTGATCTCTCCCTCTCTCGTCCATCATCCACGCTTGCGTGTTTTCTCGCTGCGTGTACGGTTTCGGTTCAGGCGCGACGTACTCGTCCGGAATCTTCGCGTACTTTTCGAAATCGTCAAACTTGCTCACTTTAAACACGTGCGCTTTATCCAATTTGTACCCGTCGGTTTGCTCTACCGCCGCGTCCGCTTCCGCCCTCGAAGAAAACTCGATAAAGGCGTACCCGCACGACATCTTCGTCGCCGGGTCCATCGGCATGTGCAAACCGCCGTCCCTGATTTGCCCGATTTGCCCGAAAATTTTCGTCAAAACGTTCGTGAGTTTTACGAATTTTGCTTCCGGCACTTCCGGGAGATTATCGACGATGATGGCGGTGCTCATCATGGAGCTCTCGTCTTTGGACCCATCTTTATTTGCGCCGTCTTTTTGCGTTAAATCCTCGTCGTCGGACGGAATGCCGTAATTATCTTCCGAAGGTGGCAAATCTATGGAATCTATGTCTATTTTGTCCCACTCGACGTACCCATTCTGTGTTGTTATTCGTAGCATTCAAAAGAGAGAGAGAAAAGAAAAGAGAATTATAAGTCTTTGTTCGCAGCAAAAGCGTTTTGACAAAACAACACCGCATATCCTCCTCATCATCTGAATGAAATTTAGACCCCGGGAGCCCCCTCTTGAAAGAAAAAATTTGTGGTTTTCAAAACGCAACAAAGCCCGTCGTCGATGATACAAAAGAATGCAAAAGAACGAGAGGAGATCAATGCTACTGTTAAAGGGAAAATGAAGAAGGTAATAAACGTACCGGTCCGCGAGGGAAAGATAACGGGATCTCCAGTTGTACCATCTCTGCGTGTATAAATTTTTATGAAGAGAGTTGCTTCGATCAAGGAAAAAAAGTCCAAAAAGAAAAAGTTGGGGTTTTCACAGTCGACTTTGTTTTTGGGAGAAAAAAGAGCAAAATCAAAAATTTCTTCTTTATTGTCTTCTTCTTTGTCTTCTTCTTCTAATAGTACGGAATAAGCACACAGCCTTAATTATTAAATCTCTACACTCGAATGACAAAATTCTCCTCGACTCTTCTCTCTAACGTTTGAACGACGTAGGATTCGAACGCGTCTCGACTGTCTCCGATTTCTTCCATGGGCAAGTGCGCGGAGTTTTCGAGCGCTCGGAAAGACGTTTGGAAAGCCGAAAAGGCGGGAGAAGGACTACTTCTACCGCTCGTCGCCGCCTCGATGCTAGAACTATTATTATTACTATCGGTATTCGACAACCGCTGTTGTTGTTGTTGTTGTTGTTGTTGCTGCTGCTGCTTTCTGGACAACGAGATCATTTCCAGGGTGTCGTGTAAGTCTCTGGCTTTGTTGATGGGCGTCGTTTCATCTTTTTCACCGCAGCAAACGTCCACAAAGTTTACGTCCAAAGACGCTTCGCATTCGAGCACGAGCGACGCGTCGTCGCCAAAACCACCGCCGCCGTTTATCGAGGCGCGAAATTGTTGCAGCAAAGCCTTGTCCCAGTTTTCTGCGGCTAACGGACGGGTATACGCTTCTCTCGCTTGGGTCGATAACGCGGCATAGGAGCCTTCGCCAGTTTGCACTTGATTCGCGTTTCTCCGCGTAAACGAACGCACTAAATTCAAACCATAATCGTCATTATTAATCAACGTTCGAAACCAAAACAGTTTCGCCAGGCGTTCTGGAGACATGCTGTTACTTTGTTTCGACCAAGGCGATATGGTCTCTTTCGTCGACGAATTAGTAGTACTCGAGGAGTTCAAAGACGGCGGTTTCGGAACAAACACCGCTGGCGAGATGAACATCATTCCCGCCACGTTCAACCGACTTTCCTTCCCCTTTAACTCGTTCATTTTTAACGCCATCTCCATCGCCACGTTCGTGCCCGCAGAGTGGCCGACTAAAATAACATTCTCCACCTCCAACTTCTCCAAAAACTGTACCATTAATTTCGCCTGCCCTCGCTTGGAATACGCGAATTCGCCCGTTTTCATCGGCCTCGAAGTTAACCCGTACGGTGGTCTGTCGATTGATATGCTGCGTACGCCTACTCTAGCCGCCACCAGCGGTAATAATCTCCTAAACGAAAACGTAGACCCATTCGCGCCGTGTAAAAACACAATCGCGCTTTGCGGTTTCAGTAAAGTATTCCTCGGGAAGCTCCCTATTGGTGGCAAATGCTCTTTATAATGCACTTTCACTTCCTCCATCCTCCTTTTCTCTGCGTCTGATTCGTTCTCTAAATACACCTCCAAAAACTTTGAATCTTGGTCCGCTAACTTCTCCACCGGTATGGTATCTCTTAATTCCTCCGGTTTCCCACTCAGTATCGGTTCTCGAATCAACTCGTTGAAATCTTTTCGTATCTTTGTTTCGATGGAAGAGGACAAGATGGAAAAGAAATCGAACAATTCTTCTTCTGATGACGTGGAAATGCTGTCATTTTTTTCCCCGGCGGCGGCCACAGACGCGAGTCCTCGATTCCTCCTTCTTAACCTCTTCTTACTGTTGTTCGTGGTAGCATTGGTGACAAAACTGACTGAAGAAACGAGCATCATCGGGTGCAGATTCTTTCCAAATTTTGAAGATATTTTTCTTCTTTAAAAATGTCGTCGTCACTCGTTTTTTTTTTCTCCTTTTTTTTTTCTCTCTCGGTTTTGGTCTCAACGACGTCTTCACACGACGAACGCTCACTACAAAAAATAAAGTCATCTTTTTCTCTCGTCTCTCGGAAGAAGAAGAAGTGAAAGAGAAGAAGAACTTGAGAAGAAGAAGCGAAAGAGAGAGAAAAGCATTTCAAAGGAGAAGATGTCGAAGGAGGAGGAGGATGTTTTGTCGATAAAAAAGCGCCTTTATGCGAAAGAGATGGTGCAATTTCTGAACGACAGTTGGACGCCGTACCACGCGGTTTTGTCTTCGGCGAAAATATTACTCGCGAATGGGTTTCAAGAAATCTCGGAAAAAGACCGATTCATGGACTCGGAGTTGAAACCTACGGGGAAGTATTTCTACACCAGAGGGTTATCCTCCATCGTCGCGTTCGCCATTGGGGGCGAATACGAACCCGGGAACGGGTTTGTTATGATTGGTGCGCACACGGATTCGCCGTGTCCCAAACTGAAACCGAAAACGAAAGTCGGGGTGAATTCGCAGACGGATTTGATGCAAGTGGCGGTGCAACCGTACGGGGGTGGGTTGTGGCACACGTGGTTTGATCGAGATTTAGGCGTCGCTGGGAGAGTGGTGTTAATGGACGAGAAGAGCGGGAAAGTGGAGCATCGATTGGTTAAGATGGAGGAACCGATGTTACGCGTGCCAAACTTGGCGATTCATTTGAATCGGGACATCTATACCGAGGGATTTAAGGTGAACTTTCAAACGCACATGGCGCCGTTGTTAGGGTTGAAAACACAGAAGACGAAGAAGAAGCAAGGAGGAGACGGTGATGATACAGATAACGCTGAAAATAACCACCACCACTCGGAATTTCTCGAGAAGCTGGCGAAAGCGTTGAACTGCGACCCGTCCTCGATTCGAGATTTCGATTTACAGCTATGCGACGTGCAACCGTCGCAAATTGGCGGTTTGAACGGAGAATTCGTATTATCTGGGAGATTAGATAACTTGGCGTCGTGTTATTGTAGTTTAGCGGCTTTAGTGGAAGCGACGACGGAGGAGAAATTGAAGAAGGAGAAAGGCATACGGGCGTTGTTGCATTTTGACCACGAAGAGGTTGGAAGCGCGAGCACTACCGGAGCCGGAGGGTCGTTGACGGATGAGTTTGTCGATCGCGTGACGAGTGCCTTCGGAAACGGAGACGCGGACACGTTAGCGACGGCGAGACGGAAGTCTTTCTTGGTGAGCGCGGATATGGCGCACGCGGTGCATCCAAACTACGCGGATAAACACGAGCCAGGGCACAAACCGAAATTTGGCGACGGCGTGGTGATCAAACACAACGCGAATCAGCGGTATTCAACCGATGCAATCACGTCTTTCATTTTTAAAGAAATTGGCGAGAGACGAAAGATTAAATCGCAAGAGTTTGTGGTTCGTTCGGATTTGGGGTGCGGGAGCACCATCGGTCCAATTTTGAGCACGAGAAGTGGCATTCGAACCGTGGACGTCGGGATGCCGCAGCTGTCGATGCACTCTATTCGGGAGATGTGCGGGACGGAGGATACGAGGTTGTGCGTCGAGCATTTCAAAGCCGTGTACGAAGATTTCTTTGAGATGGACGAGAAGATGATCGTGGATGGATCGATTGGACAACTGTGCCGTCCTTGCGATCGATTTGAATCTTCACCGTCCGGGGGGGGCATCTCCTCCTTAGGAGATGAGTTGGAGAAAATGTCGGCGCGAACGTATTCGTCTTAAGAGTATATAAACTTTTGTCATTCATCGACTTATAAATAGTACAAACGACAAATATTATCGTCATTATTATTATTATATTATTATTATCATCTAGTAGTATTTCTATTGGATCACGCAACAGCCATCTTCTGGACTTTTGCTCCCGCTGCTTCCGGTGTTCTTCTTCATCGCGTCCGCGTTCAAACTGAAAGCGATGACGGAAATATCATCCATTGCTTTTCCGGAATACGCTCGGTCGTCCCAACTTAACATGCAAAGTTTCTTCGACCCTTTTTGAACGTCTGTTCCTGAAAGAAGCGCCGCTTGCTCGTTCGTTCGCGTGTCCCACAAACCGTCGCTGGCAATTATGACCATGGCGAACGTATCGTAATCAAAGCTCAAGTTTGAAAATTCCGGTACAGGAATCATAGAACGCGGAGAGTTTCGATCACCAATCGATCTGGACATGCCGTAAGATGCTCCCGAGGGACTAAAGAGACGTATTTCCGAGAGTTTCGAACCAGAGGCATCGTCGGAAACGAATTGACCGATGAAAGAAATGCGCTTATCTGCGACTTGGTACTTGTTTGGATTTTTCGCATTCTCATCGACATTGGCGGCTGCATTTGCGCCGTTCCTGGTGTTACTCACGTCTCCTCCACTACTCGCTACTGCTAACTGCGATAGTTTTGACCCTAATATTACGTTTACGTTTGCGGGAATGTTATCCATGAGCGAATGGTCGTCGTTGTCGTTACTGTCCTCACTTCCTCGTTGTTGTTGTTGTTGTTGTTCTTCTTCTTCTCCGCTCGATCGAGGAGTCAAAGGGGAGGGGGGTTGCCTCCCTTTTCCTCCTTCGCCGGTTGTTTTTCCACCTCTCAAGCTTCCACCGCGACTCGTTGCTCTCGAACTACTCGGCGAATGCATGACGTGTTCTAAATCTTGAAACCTCGCGTACGACTCGCTCCCGTGAAGCGAATCGTAATGTCCTCGAATTCTTTCCTGTTCCTCCGGAGAGTTTGGCTTGTGATCTTTCGTGGCAAACACGCATTCACCTTTCGCGTTCTTCACAATCGCTCGCGAATCCCCCACGTGTGCAAACTTCAAAAATATTTTCTTCTCTCCAAACCTTACGAAACACACGCACAAAGTCGTCCCGCTCGTCGTTTTCTTCTTTATCTCCTCGTCCAACTTGGCGCACGCGCGTTCAACCGCTTCGTCCAAAAACGCCGAGAACCCGGTCGTCTCCGACACCGGCGCGTTCGCTCTGTCGTCCACGTACTGCTGATTCTCTACCATAGACCAAAATATCTCGTTTAAATACACCAGAAACTTCTTCGCGCATCTCGCTCCCGCGTCTTTGCCGCAGTGCGAATCGAAGAGAAGAAAGCACCCGTCGCACACGCCTTCAATTTTCGACAAGTGACAGTACGCGTAATCTTCGTTTTTTTTACACGGAATCATCGAGATGGCGTATTCGAGTTTCGCTCCGAGTGCAGGTGCGACGTGTCCGACCTGCGAGAAGTCCCCGAACGCCGCCAGGTCTGGTTTCGGTGCCATTTTTTACTGCGAATGAAAAGTTTTGTTCAAATTTTCCAAGAGAACGCCGTTTGACAGTTGACGGAAACGTTCTTCGAAAGTCAAAAATGACGTGTGTTATAAACAATACTATTAATGCGTCTGCTGTTGTTGTTGGTGTTCTCTGCCACCCCCGAGAAACGCCCAACAACACTGCGTCAGACGCGCGTCTGTCTCCCTCTCTCTCTCTGTTGAATAAATAACTCGTAATAATAACAACACTAAATACTATAGATATATAATGAAGAAAATCTTTCAGGAGTATAAAGAGACACCACCAACCAGTGCTGCAAGAGAGCACAAAAAAACGAAAAAAGCTCTCTCTGCCAGTCTGCATGTCTCTGTCTTCCTCTCTCTCTCTCCTTTCTTCGCGTCGCCCCTCTGATTTGTTTTTTTTTGGGGGTGCCAACTTTGTCGACGAGGGGGAGGACTAAAAAAAATTCAAAATTTGTGTTCGTCGTCTGTCTTTTTTTCTTCACTCTTGATGCGAAAATTTTGCGCGCTGCGTATTATTAGCGCAAATAGAATAAGTAATACACGCACAATAAGAATACGAATACACACGTAATGGACGAACACGGACAACAAGAAGCGGCGATACAACGTTTGTGCGATTTGAGCGACCAAATCGACGCAGCTCGAGACGCGAATCGGTTTCGCCAAGCCGTGGAATTGATGCTCGAACAGGTCAGATTGTTCAAGATTCAAGCGACGTTGAGCGAAGACGAAAAGGAAGCGATGGAACCGTTGATTCAATCCGCTTTGGAGGAGATTGAAGAGATGCGAGGGAAAGTGCAAAGAGAAGAAGAAGTTAAAGAAGAAGCGTCGAAGAGGAAGGAGAACGATACGAGAGACCCCGCGAGTGGTGGTGCCGATGCCGGTGCTCCTCCTCCGCAAACGACGACGACGAGTAAGAACACGCTCGTCGAAGTTGATAGAAACACGGTTTCGACGAAAGTGCTCTCGTCGCCGCCACCGGCGATGAAACCAGCCGCCTCGGCGGCCGCGAGAGATAACGGAAGGACTGCGACGACGAGAGGAGGAAAAGTATTAAAAGAAGAAGACAAAGAAGAAGAAAACAAGAACAAGAACACCAATACCAACAACGAGAACAAAACGACGGCAAAAACCACCACCGCGAACGTGTTAGAAACGAAAGCGGCGTGGGGGATACCCGCGAGTGACGAAGAAGAGGAGAACAGAGACGAAGAAGATGAGGTTTTCCGCGTGATTGAGGTTGCGAAACAGCAAGACAGCAAGCGAGAAAAATCCTACGAAGAGTTGAAGAAAGAGCAAAAAGAAGAGAAAGAGAAGAAAACTCTGACGATAATGGAACAGTTGAAAGAAAACGCGAGGAAAGAACGAGAGGCAAAGCTATCGATTCCACCAATTCAACGCGTGGTGAACTACGGGAAACCACCACCATCGATACGCGACGAGAAACGAAAATTGGTGACTACTAGAACGATGGATCCGAGAGAGGAGGAAAAGAAAGGCCGCCGACAGTCGCCGAGGAAAAATCACAGCAATAACAAACGCGGCGGGACGTCTGGAGCTTCGCGGTACCGCGTTGATGACGATGATGATAACGGCATGACGTACAACAACAATAACAACAACAACACTAGAAAACGAGGACACAATAAAAGGGTATCTGCGGACGCGTTGCGCGATGACGATGACGATGATGAAGACGTCGTGATTTGCGACGACGAACACCACCACGCCAATGAAGCACCCGGAGCGAAACCCAAAACTGCAAGGTTCATGTCCGCGGGCGATAAGTTAGATTTCGACCGCGCGCAAAAAGGACTGGCTCCAATCGTGCAGCCGTATCGCGAGGCGAAAGAGCAAGCGTTACTGAAAGCGGGTAGCGGTGGCGGTAGAAGTTCCGTTCCGGGTGCACCAGGCGGGTTTATCGGTCCGTTCGGCCATCTGAACGGTGGAAATAATAATAATAATAGCAACGGTCAACAGAAAAACAAAGACGATCCGAACGGTGATTCCGGCCCGGCCTTTTCCGAGCTCGCGTTGAAACGATTACAACCGACTGGTAAAGAAGTCATTCCAGATGAAATTTTGAAACTCGAACGCGATATCGTCGAACGCGTCATCGGCGAAGTTCTCGATAAACCGGGCACGGTATCTTGGGACAGCATCGTTGGTCTCGAACACGCGAAGAATGCCGTGCAAGAGCTCGCAGTATGGCCGATGACGAATCCGGAACTCTTCACCGGCGCTCGCGCAGTGCCCAAAGGTTTGCTCTTGTTTGGTCCTCCCGGTACCGGGAAAACTATGATCGGGAAAGCCGTCGCCTCGCAATGCAAAGCGACGTTCTTTTCAATCTCAGCATCTTCATTAACCTCTAAATGGATTGGCGACGGCGAGAAAATGGTGCGCGCGTTGTTTGCGGTCGCGAGACACTGCGCGCCTTCAGTGATATTCGTGGACGAGATTGACTCTTTACTCTCGGCGCGAAAATCTGAAGGTGAACACGAGTCGTCGAGACGAATGAAAACGGAATTTCTCGTCCAAATGGACGGATTAGGAGGCGAAGATCCAACGAAACCGATGCTACTCATTGGAGCTACGAATAGACCGCAAGAGCTGGACGATGGGGCGCGACGACGTCTGGCCAAACAGCTCTACATTCCTTTGCCGTGCGCGGCGGCGAGACGAGATATGATTTTGAAAACGTTAAATCCGGATGGCGATGGAAAAGTGAAACACGCGTTAACCGAGAAAGATTTAGACGTAATTTGTGAGAAAACTGATGGATATTCCGGCTCGGATTTGAAGAACTTGGTGCAAGAAGCTGCTCGAGCACCTCTGCGCGAGTTGTTTGTGAAGAAGAAAGCTAAAACTGGAAGCGAGAAAGAAGACGGTGGCGGCGATGTCGTTGACTTGACGAAAGCGGGCGAAGACGAAGCGCAAGAACTGCGCGAGATTCGCATAGATGATATTCGTAAAGCAGCAAAACAGGTTCGCGCGTCGGTGACCCGGGCTGATATTGAGTTTCACGAAGAATGGAACAAAAAGCACGGCGCTTTGACCGCGGACGAAGTGGAAGACGACGGCGAATGGTAAGAAAATGCAAAATATATAGTATTAGACGACGCGGCTCTGCCCTCTATTAGATAGTTTTCATACATACACATACACTAATCGTAGACCTTGATGAAATTCAAGACTTTCTGTACGAGTTCTAAGCTGCCTAGATCTAGAGGATCGCTGTAATAACTCGGCACTTCGCTATCACTATCCGCAAACTTAAACGCTAAGTAAAAGTCCTTCGCGGTCGCCTTCTTACTTACGGGAAAATGCGACGCTACCACCCTATTTGCACCAATAAATCTTCGCTGGCAGTTTTTCTTCCATTCGCGAATTTCTTCTCTAAAGAATTGAAAGACAATTACGTATACAATAGGCGAGACGACAAACTTATTCTTCATCGCATTAAAGCTCTTCGCTGGATTGATAATATTCTTAGCATCCGGGGCGATGAAGAGAGAAAAGAGGGTCATGCGTCTCCATCCGTTGATCTCGTCGCTGACGTCGTTCGCTCTCTCGACATCTCTTCCTCCTTTAAAATTTAATCCTCTTAAAAGCTTGATCGTAAACGACTCCTCACTTCCTAAATCTCTCAACTCTTCTTTCGGTATGATGTCTGGTGGATTCTCACCGTCCACGTATACCGCCGCATCGGTCACGAGCAGCGTTTTGGACTTCTTGTGGAAAAAGGTCCCCTCGGAATACCGATATTGCGACCAAAACAGATTGAACGTGCCTAAAATTTCATATTGGATTTCGTCCAGCCATTCGGGAGGCGGATTCGAGCTGTCCAACAATTCTGTAGCGTTCGAAATCCCCAACAACGGGTTCGGAAGCTGCACGGGAAACGAAAACTGACCGGGTACGACGAAGACTTTCGCGTTCTTATGAGCGCGAGCAAACGACGGTAAAAAAATCTTATGCTCGTACATCGTCGTTCCGAGCACGACGCTCGAGACCCGATAGTCCTCTCCAAATGTCTCTTTCATCAAAGCTATGCACTCCTCGGTTGGTGCGATTGGATCTTTCACCCACAGCGTGCCGTCCTTCAATTTTATCACCGTCATCCGTACGTTCGTTGATACTCCCAGGCCGAATCCAATGCCTTGTTGCTGCGTAAAGGCATAGACGTTTTCGTAAATCTTCTCAACTTTTGTTTCTCGAAAGAGGAAAGGAACCAAAGGGAATGGGAACCCGAAAAAGTTCAAGAAGAATCTGTCCTTATTGTTACTGTTATTATTCTCGTCGTCACTTGTCGGAGTGCTCTCTGTGGACATTGCCGCGGTGGTGGTGGTGGTGGTGGTGGTCGTCGTCGTATTCCTCGAAGAAAAAAACCGATGATTCTCTCTTTGCAAACTTCGAGCGGCACTAATCTTGTTTCTCTGCATCGTCGTTCTCGCGTTACCGGCGGCGACGACGTGAACAACTTCCCCTCGCGCCCCCACCGTTTGAAGCGCTGTCGTTGTTCCACTCATCGCCGCGATTTTATTTGATTATATTATATGATAGAGTAATAAGGACGAGTAAAAACACTTCACAAAGTGTGTGTCCTGCGTGACGTCCAAGTGTTCGTCGTCCTAAATGAGGAAGGTTGTGTGAAAGGAAACCGAGAGAGATTTTGATTTTTCGTTGGCAGTTTTTGCCAGCTGTCAGCTAATGTGTTTGTGTTGCCTGTGAGGTGTTCGACATCGGCGAAAACACGTTTGCAGATATCAAAGTCAAAAAGCGTCACCACCTACTTCCCCGTTTTTCCATTTATTCTCTTCTTTATTATTACGCACCAACGCTCCTCTCCGTATACGCGAGAAGAGAAAAGACTTTTATTTACGCATAATCGTAAACACTAATAATTCACGCAGATAATGCAATCGATCGCGCAACCGTGCGGTGTTCGCGTCTCGGCGTCTTCGCGCGCGACTTCTTCGAAAACCAACTCGAGACGATGCGATGCCGTTAACAACGTTAAAATGGATAAATTCGCGCCGAAAGCGTTCTCTTTTTCCTCCTCCTCCGCGAGGGAGTCTGGTTCCATTCGAGGCTCGAATACTTTGAAAAGAGACATTTTGAAGAGAGAGAGACTGTCGAGACGCGCGTTGAAGACGAAAGCGACCGGGGCGAGGTACGATTCCGCGAATTTATTCTTTTGTTCTTCTTCTTTCCCTAATGCGTCTCGTCTCGATGATGATGATGATACAAACAATAACAACAACTGACGACGACGACGATATCCTCTTTTTATTCTTCTATACTTACGCACACACGTGATGCACAACGTCAAAAACAGAGCTTCCGCGTTGTCTGAGTTCAAGGAAAAGTTTCCGGCGGCGGAAACCGCGTTTTATTTCGCCGCCTGGTATTTTCTCAACGTCCAGTTCAACATCATCAACAAGACCATCTACAACTACTTCCCGTTTCCGTGGTTCGTGTCTTGCGTGCACTTGGGCGTTGGTTTACTCATCATGACGTTCTTCTGGACGACGAGGCTGGTCAAGTTTGAAAAACCCTCGCCGACGTTTTTGAAGGCGTTGACGTTGCCGGCGTTTTTGCACGCGTTTGGACACTGCTTGTCGAACGTGTCCTTTGCCACCGTCGCGGTTTCGTTCACGCACACCGTGAAAACGTTGGAACCGGTATTTTCGGCTCTTGGCGTGTATTTAGTCTCCGGTACCGTGTACCCGTTACCGGTGTACCTTTCTTTGATTCCAGTCATTGGCGGCGTCGCGCTCGCCTCGGCGACGGAGTTGTCGTTCACGTGGTTGGGTTTTCTTACCGCGATGTCCTCGAACGTTGCGTTTGCGGCGAGAGCGATCTTTAGTAAGAAGCTTATGTCTGAAATGTCTCCGCTCAACTTGTATAACTACGTGACGATTGTTGCGTTGCTCTTCTGCATTCCGTTCGCGTTGCTCTTCGAAGGTTCCACCGTGGCGGCCGGCATCTCGAGCGCCATTGCCCTTAAAGGCCAAAAAGATTTCGTCATGTCTTTGTTGTCGGTTGGTTTCTACTACCACATGTACAACCAAGTCGCATACCAAGCGTTGGGCAAGGTTGAACCAGTCACGCACGCCGTCGGTAACGTCGGTAAGAGAATCTTTGTGATTGGCTTCTCCATCTTGGCGTTTGGAAACAAGATTTCCACGCAAACCGCCGTCGGCTCTGCGATTGCCATCGCCGGCGCGTCCGCGTACGGTATCATCAAGGCTAAATACGCCGAGAAGAAGACGGCGTAAGGTACTATCGATACCGAATACTGCTTATATATATATATGTAAGAAGTATATGTATCTTTTTTGATGTGTATGAGGGAGCGAGGAAACATTCTTTTTTCGCGTTGGGGTATTACTACGCGACGAGAGAGGAGGAAAAGAAAGATTACGTAAAAATGTGTTGTTTTAATATTAATATCTGCTATACAAGACTATACGGAGAAGACTATAATGGGTACTACCTAAATCATCACGGTTCAACAGTTTAGTTCTGAGATACGTACGTCGCCGAATCTCCAAGTTCATTTCGTCGCTTGGCGTTCAACTCTATGATATCCTCCCTCTTGAAACCGCCGCTCGGGAATTCCTTCTGCCCTTCCTCTATCAGCTCATACAGCGCTCTCAAACACCACTGTCTGTTATGTTCTCTATCCGCGTATCTCCGACACACGATTCGAATCTCGTTCGTCTTTTTCAAAAACCGTTTCCCGCAAATAGCCTTGATGTAGTCCATCGCCTCCTCGGACAACCCAGTCTCCTTCATCAAAGCGTCCACGTTCACTTTTAAACTCACCTTCTTATTTAAACCGTGATCTTGCGTCCCACCAGCCTCTAAAACCAAATTCGTCTCCCACTCCAATATCCTCTCCGTCCCGTTTTTCTCCTCTTCCTCCATCTCCGCCATTTCTTTCGCCAACGCCGCCTTGTACTCCTCCGAACTCGTAATCTCCTCGACCCTTTCTAATAACTCGTTCAAAACTTTCTCGCGGTTTTCCTCCAACCCAACGTGTTCTCTCGTGTCGTATAAGTTCGTTCTCCTAAACTCGTGCGATTCGTACGAGTCGATTTCAGTCAACATCCCGGCGTACGACCCTTTGTCTTTCCTCGTCAGACGCTTGTTGCTCTTGCTGGTGTTGTTGTCGTTCTTTTCCCCAACATCTTCGCTCTCTGAGGAGGAAGAGGAAGAGGACGTCTCTCCGCCCTCCTCCTCCTCCCCACCGGCTGCTGCTGCTCTTGCTCGCGCACACGTCGTGAAAAACATTTTTTTGCTCGTCGCTCGACCTTTAACCACGACATCATCATCGACGACGAACAAAGACGACGACGATCGATGATGCATTTGCCCCCACAGCAGGGAGGCGTCGGGAAACGTGCGAGCGTGAGGAGTGTTAGACGACGACGAGAACAACAACGAAGATAAAAAGCGTCCTCCTCGTCGCGACGAAACTTGGGCGACGACGCGAGAAGACATGACGATTGCGAGAGTTATATCTCTATCTTCTTCTTTGTCTTCTTTGTCTTCGCGCGTTTCTTTTTTGTGAATTGTGGTGTATTGAAGCAACTTTTGTGCAAATGGAGCAGCAGAGTTGTGTTTTCGCTTACTCTGCGACATAAAATGTACGAATATAAACCTTATACGCGTACATCTGCACTCGTCTAAATCTATCTAATGCTGTTGCTAAAATACTATAATCTGATTTGTTGTTGCTATCGATCATCATCTCTGCTCCTCCCGCGTGGCAAACCGTTGGTGTTGTTCGGTGATGACTTGTTTCAACGCTAAACCTCTCCCGCGGATGCGTTTGCGCGCGGCTTCGTCCTCGACGCCTCTCGTGATTTCTCGAGAGGTGAAGGTGCGCGCGAAATCGCGCGCGAGGTCGTTGTATTCTTTTTTCTCTCGGAGTTTCGCGAAGAGAAGGTCAATTTTAGCCGTTCGTTGACGGTCTTCGAGTATTGCTCGACAGAAGAGGCGGTTGAAGAGGTTGATTCGACTGTTCATGTTTTCGAATTCGCTCATCTCTAAGATTCGCAAGGCGTTCACACCGAGCGCGTTGGAGGCGACGGTATGCGCGAAGAACTTCGCGAGGTTGGCCACGCGACGAACGGACGAGGTTTCTTCGTTTTCGCCGGATTTGATTTCTTTAAGCTGGTCTTGAATGCACAAACGTAACGTCAACCTGTGTCGCTTTTGGCGCTCGACGAGTTTAGAGGTCAAGATGGCGTAGTACGGGTTGAACGCTTTTTCTTGCAAGCAACATTCGAGGATGACGCGGACGATTTCGCGGTCGCCTTGACCGCTGAGTGGTAGTTTTAGCAATCTTTCCAGACAATCTGCGTAGTCTTCCGAGGACATGACGACGCAAAATATTGCGCGTCTGGTTTCCGTGTTCATGCGCATCTTTTTCGCCAGTTGCAAAAGTTGCGTTTCGTTGCCGTCGACGCCGTCGTTGTTTGCGTTGCTGCTTCTCTCGGCGTTGCGTTTCTTGAACCACTCTTCCGTTCCAGCGGCTTCGGGTAACCACCAGTTACCTGTTTTTTCTAAAGCGTTGTTAGTGAGTATGTCGTACGTGAGCGCTCGCAAGGCGACGGTGACTTCGCCAACGCGATTGGCCGTTTTCACCCACCTCGATAACGCGATAGGGATGCCGTATTGGTCTTTACCCGAAGCGTCGCTTTCAGATTTAGAAACTTTGTTGTTCTTCAAGTCGAGAACGAGCTCTAACGTCAAACGCGCGCGTTTCGATAAGCCGCCAACACCACCACCTTCGGCTGCTCCGTTTTTAATTTTCAACGCACGAGCGGTTTCGCTCAACGCGTCGATGTATGATTTCATACCCACCGGGTCTTCGCCGCGAAGTTTCCCTCCGGAGACTTTCAAAATAGTAAGCGTCAAACCAGCATCCATTTCCGAGAGCGTCTTTGCCAGGGAAATCAAGCACCCGTAAACGACTGAACTTGGGAACAAACCGATGTTGTACAGCTTGGCTAAACACAAGGCTAAGTTCGACGCCGGTCGAGAAGACTCATCGTTCAGTCGTTCGCGCTCGAATTGTTCGCACACGTTTGCTGCAAATCGAGCGGCAAACTCTGGACCAATCTCACCGCTACATCCCGCGACTAAGCATGCAATCGCTGCGCAATAACTCTCCGAGGCTTTTGGTCCTTCAGCGAGCGCTTTGCGCACCAGCTCTTCGCTGACGCAATCGCCGACGGTTTTCCGCGGGTGTTCTCTCGCCACGGCGGAGATTTCGGCCACGATATTTGCAACATTCGCTTCACCGAGACGGTTGAGCAAACCGCGTATAATTCTTCTTTGCGTTTCAAACGAAGGGTCGTCGATGTCTCTGGCAGTCTTACTCTTCTTAATTTTGTTGTAGTTCTCCGTCGCAGTTGCAGCTTCCGCCGCTGCTTTCATCGCGGCGCGCTGCGCTGGGGGCACGTATTTCGTCGCCGACGGCATAAAGTTCGCGTGCGCAGCTTCTAATGCATCTTCATCTTCCTCGTCTTCTTCTTGTTCCTCGTCTTCCTCCTCCGACGAAGACGAGTACTCTTCCTCCTCGCTCATCGCGTCGTCCGAATCGTCCTCCTCCGATTCATCATCGCTTCCGCTACTTCCACCACCACCACCACCACCTAACAACTCTAGCCCTGGCAACCCTTCGATGAACAAATCCAACCCATCCTCGATTTTCTTCTTCCCCATCTTCTTTTCCAACTGTTTCGCGTTGAACTCGTCTTCTTTATACGCGTCGAGTAAACTTTGTCGCATGCCGCCGACGCCGCGCGCACCGTCGGCGGGAGCCATCTTCTTTTCTTTCCCCGTGTTCTTTTTACTCTTACTTTCCTTCTCCAAAGGAGCCGTCTTTTCTTTCTTCTTTTTCTTCGTTTTCGTTTTCTCGTCGTCTCTCTTCGCCGGCAGCGTCGCTTTCGCTTTCGTCTTCGTCTTCTTCGCGCTCAAAGTCTCAAACCGTCGCTTCTTGTTCATCTTCTTTTCGTGTTTCATCTCCGCCCTCTTTTGTTTTCTGGACAACGACGACGACCGTCCTCCGAGACCTTCGAATCCTCCTCTTTGTCTTCGTCCGTATTCTTTCCCGTCTTTTTCATCGTCGTCGTGATCATCAACTTCAAAGCCGCCGCCGTCGACATCGCTTTTTTTTCCTCGGAAACGGAAATTCGCACTCCCGAAACCATCAGACGACTCCGCCTCCGCCGCTTTTTCTCGACTCGCCAGCTGCTCTTGAACGTATTTCGGGAGTTGCGGGCCTTTGCTCTTCTTTTTCTTCTTTCCTCTGAATCCTCCTTTACCTCCTCCGCCTCCGCGCAAAGAGGGAGGCGTTTTTGGCATTTTTAAGCGATTTTTGTGAAGCAGAACACGAACGATTTGACTCAGATGAAGAAAAAATACAAGCGAACGAACGCACGAAGCAGTCGGCTCTAGGCGAGATATTTTTATACGCTTTTATACGATTTAATCTGCGATGATGTTATTGTTGTGTCGTTAAAATGAAGAAAATGTTAGAATACCTCTCTGCATCTCTCTCTCTCTTTCTCTCTCTGTGTTTCTCTTTCTGCTACTTACGCGCTTCTTTTTTTCTTTCTTTCTTTCTTTATATACAGGGGCGAGAAGAAAGCGCTTTCGAGCTTTCCGCGCGCTCTCTCGCAAACGGCTTTGTGAAGGTGAAGAGGAGAACTCGCCTTCATCTCTCAACGTCTCTCTCTCTCTCTCTTTCTTTTACGAAACGACCGTTGTCGTTGTCGTGGTTGTGGTTGTGGTTGTCGTCGTGGTGGAGTTACTGCTCGAACGGTGCAGTTTGTTTTTGTTGCCACTCGTCGTTTCGTTACCGCTCGTCGCGTGAGGTTTTGGAGGCGAGAACGATACCGTCGTGCGACGGTCTCGAGAGGCGTTTAGTTTTCGAGATTCGTATCTCGTTCTCTCTCGCTCGTCGTAAAACGCAAAATCTTTCGCGAGGCCGTTCTCGGTTTGGTACGCCAACATCACTTCGATGCACTGACGCAAGACGGTCGGAGTGACGTATTGCGCGTCTCGGCTGTGCGTGACTCTTTTCGTTTCTACTTTGTGTATTTTTCGGTCGTCCACGATGCGCAAGTGCCTTCCAAAGACTTGGAACGGGACGTCTTTTGCGACGAGCCATTCGACGTTGAACGAGCCGTTAAATTTACCTTCGCGCTGCCAAAAGGTTTCGTTTTTATCAAAGTCGACGTCGGAAGTCATCTCTGCAACGCCGGAGAAGTAGCCGCTCGCGTTTACGGAGAAGAGAAGGAAGATTCTTTGCGGTATCTTCTTCGTACTCTTAGCAGTCGTATTTTTGAGCGGTGACGATGATATCGCCGTTTCGTGGTTAGCGTTGACGACGATGGATCTGTTTTCGTTCACGGCACCGTTAATGTCTTCGCTTACTTTGCTACCGTTACTTATTACGGATAAGCCTCTTCCTCCTTCTCCTCCTCGCGCTCCTGCACTCAAGTAGTTGCCGCCGTTGCAGCTTTTGTTGAGGTGAAGCAGTTGTTGTTGTCGAAAAGCCTCGGATAATTTCGCGTTCCCTCGCGGCGTCGAACTCCACTTACCGTATTTGATTGATTTATGAATATCATCTTCGCTGAAGGACTTACAAACGAATCCTTTGCACGCCGACCAGTCGATGCCGGCAAAAATTTCGTGCGGATTCGGACGGATCAGCTTCTCGTGTAAGCTCTTGTGTGGACTCCCGAGAGATAATATGCGTTCCGGGTTACGAAATCGCGGACCGCGAACGGACTCACCGAGCGACAAGTTCCCATTGAAACTGGTAACGCCACCGGTGTTTCTAATCATCGGTTCTCGTCTTGCGGTACCGTTGTTGTTGTTGTTGTTGTTGTTGTTGTTATTATTACTTTTCTTATTGTTGTTCGCGCCGTGTCCGTTCATCCTCCTCAATGTCGCAGCTCGAGCGGCATCGCGTTCCGACATCGGAGGTAAAGCAAAGCTCGAAAACGTCGACGCGGTTGCATCTCCAACGATAGAGGTGAAATGCTCCGCCGCGGCCGCAATACCAGCGCGCACGGTACTATTTTCGCTGAATTCTGACGGCAGCATCGTCGTCGTCGGAGGCGTCATTGGTGGCGGCGGCGGATAGTATTGTTCGTCTCCGCGCTCTCCTTCCGCCTCTTCAGTATACGGTTGATATTGTTGTTGATAATACGGATAGTGCTGATACGGCATCTCCGACGTCGTCGTCATCATCATCGGAAAGTGCTGCTGTTGCTGTTGCTGTTGCTGCTGTTGCAAAGATGCTTCTTCACTCGTCGTCGTCGGTGGTGGCGAAACAATCCCACCTTGCGGCGAGAGATGTTCGTATCCCCACGACGAAGGCGCCCCCGTCGTCATCGGCGCCGGCACCGGCGGAGGCACAAACGCCGGCGTAAATATCGCCGTCCCATCCGGTAACGGCGTGTAATACCCGTACCCAAACGAACCGTACGCGTAGTGCGTATCTCCAAGCATCTTCGCCGTCATCAGAAAGCTGTCGTTGTTGTTTTCTTTTGTTTCTTCTTCTTCTTCTTCTTCTTCGGTTTCTTCTTCCAAAGGAGGAGACGTCGTCTCGTCCTCGTCCTCGTCGTTGTTCACCTCCTCGTTCACGCGAACATCTTTCCGCATCCTCTCCGTCAACGCAGCCACCTCTTCCTCTTCCTCCTTCTCCTCCTCCTCCTTTTCGCTTCGTCGTCTTCTTTCTTCCTCGTCTTCTTCGTCCTCTTCTTCTTCACCAACAAAAGTCGCTTCAAAACGCTCTTTGTCCTCTTCAACGCCTTTTTTTTTATTTATCCTCACCTTTAACCCGCTCTTCGCTTTCTCCGCGTACGACATCATCATCGTCTTCACTAAAGGTTGTTGTAGCTGTTGTTCTCCTTCTTGGTCTTCTTGGTCTTCTTCTTCTTCTCCTCGAGATGACAACAACATCGTTCTTTGCGTTTTCAAAAGAACGCAACGATCTCTCTCTCTCTCTCTCTCGTATCGCGCGCGCAATAATAACGTTTGTCTGTCTCGTCTTTTTTTTTTTTTTTTTTTTTTGACAAACAAAAGCGAAAAAGAAGAGGTCGCGAGATGAAACACGAGAGCATTTCACATGCACTCAAAAAGAAGAGAAACCAACCACAAAAATTACCACACACAAAAGAGTAGAGTATTCTTTTGCATTTCTGGATGTGTGTATTATTATTGCGCGCATGAGGAGCAGAAGCGCTTCGGGGCACAATTCGTTTTCTGATTTTGATGATTTTGAGAACGACGAGAAGGAGGCGATGACGACGACGACTTTGATGATCGCGGGAGAAAGAGGAGGAGGGCATCGTCATCATCATCATCCGCGAAAAGAAATGAACAGATATCCTTCTTCTTCCAATGAATGCGACGAGAAGAAGGATGAGAAAACCGACCACCAAAAAGACCGAGTAGTAGTAAAGATGAGACGAAAGAAGCAAAAAGCGTTCTTAGCGTTAGAACAGCAGCACCGGACGATGGGAATGAGGACTTCGAGCAACCGGAAAGTGGACAAACCGTTAGTGTTCTTTGCCGCTTTGATTTTGTGTCTGGTGATTTTCGTGGAACTGAAAACGAGTCCGAGGAAAATAGCGCGGAGAGCGATGGAATCTGTGGAGCACTTATTTCATTACGTGGAGAAAGGAGGAGACGTGCACGCGCAAATGTTGCGTTGGCGAGGGTGGCACTCGTTAGAGGTTGGAGTGGAGATCGCGTGCGCGTTGACGCTGGCGTTTTTGAATTGGTTGCTCTTCGCGAGCTTGTTCGACGTGGCGGGGATCGTCGTCGGGTTGATTCCGGCGATGGCGACGTTTCTCGGGGTTTTGGTGTTTAGGTTTCACGCGCGGTCGTATTTCGTGTTAGCTTTGATACCGTTAGTGGTAGTTCCGGCGATTGGGTGCGCGAAGCTTTTAGAGAGGAGGATGCGGGTGAAGGAGGAGAGGAGGATGAAGGCGAGGAAAGAGCGAAGACGCGAGCAGAGGATGGCGAGAGAGACGAGGCATCAGAATGGTTTTGTGGCGAACGATAATAATAATAATAATATGAATAATAGCGAGGATTTAACGAGAGCGAGTGGGCGCACGACGATAGATGCGACGGTCATGCGTAGAGCGATGAGTCAGGGGGAGTTGAGTCCAACGACGCGCGTGGTGAGTTCGTCTGGGATGAATCCGTCTTTGTCAGCGGCCGCGGCGAATGGAACGATTAAAGGTTTCAACGCCCTCAGTAATGGTAATGGTGGAGGAAAAGCAGCACCAATCATGCCGGCAAAAGTGAACGCGTTAGCTGGTCAACCGCGACACGCGCGCGGCTCGTCCGCTCCCGAGCTAGGATTTAACCAGCTCTCCTCTTCTTCTTCTTCTTCTTTGCAACGACAACAACAACAACAACCAGGAGAAGGAGCACAAAATACCGCCGCTGGACCACACTCTACACCATCTCCATACTTTGGTGCAAACATTCCGGATTTAGGTGGCGTCGAGCAAAACGCCCCGCCGGTTCCGAAACTCCAAAACCCGCTCCCCTTTGCGAACGCGACCGCCACCAACGTCGCCGGAGGAGCGAGTGGAGGAGGAGGAGAAGGACCAAACCGCCCGACGACAAACCTCCTCAACGCGAACCCCTCGCGAACAGCGAAACGATTCAACGTCCGAAAACCAAACTTGGAAACCATACACTCGCCGTTAGGTACCACCGCGGGGTCGACGGGGGCAAACAACGTAGGAGAGGAAGAAATTTTAGGACGAGCGGGGAGTCACCAGTGGGAAAACGACGACCAGTTGAAAACGAAAGTAGAAGAAAGCAACAACATCGACGCGCTACAAAACGGCAAAAACGAGAACGATATAAACGATACTAAAGATAGAAACGACGCAGTTTAAGAATAATAATAATAAGAATGAGTAGTAGTGGAAATAGTCCGATGCGAAAAGAGTCGCAGCAAATATACGACACATCGCAAAAAGAAACGTCTTCCTTTTCCTGCGATTTTTTTAAAATTTCTTTCGATTCAAAATGTCTTCACTTCAAATTCATCGTCGTCGCGCGCACACAACAACGAACGACGCACCGTTGCTCGCACTCGTTTTCTGAGAAGAAGAGAAAAAGAGGACGAAAAGAATGTCCACGCGCGCGGAGCGCGAAAAGCTCGCGCTTTTGGAGGAAAAAAGGTTGGAAAAAGAGGAAAAGAAACGATTGTTGCAAGAGAAAAGGGCGTTGCGAGATGCGAAGAAAGCGGAGAAGATGGAAACGTCGACGATGAATTCTTCGCACGTCGGGGAGTCGGTGGAGAACGCGGACGAGGAAGGTGAAAGTGGTGTTAATGGAGGAAGTCGCGAGGGAGGAGACGACGACGAGGACGAGGAAGAGATTTTGAGCAAAGAGGAGTTGACGAAAGAAGGAGTTTTTGTCTCCGAGGAAAGTTTGTTTATTCAGTGGTCGAAAGAGGAAGAGCTGCGTTTGGTGGAGACATTTTTCGAAACGGACGAGGAGGAATTTGAAACCGCAAAAGCAAGATGGGAAGCGATCTCGTCGAATATGCACTCGTCGTCGCAGTACACCGCGTTACAGTGCGTGGAAAAGTACCGAGAATTGTGTTTGCGGATAAAAAAAGGGAGAGCGCTGCACTTGTTGCGACAGGCGAAAAGAAGAGCGGCGAGAAACGTCGTCAAGAGAGGGCAGGCGAAAAACCGTTCGCACTTGCAACAGAAGCGTGAGTTGGAAGAGAAAGCGAGGATTAAAAAGAAAGAGAAAGAAGAGCAGTTGAAGAGAGAACGGATTGCCGCGAATGGAGGAAGACTGTCGGCGGAGGACTTGGGTTTTTTCATTCGATCCGGGCCAGACGCGAAGAGGAGAGTCAACGCGAACATGGACATTTGCATAACGAACGTGCAACTGTACGGCGGGACGCAAGAATTAATTTCCGACGGAACTTTGAAGCTCGTCAACGGGACTAAGTATGGTTTGGTTGGTAGAAACGGTGCGGGGAAATCAACCTTATTGCGAGCGATTTCGGAAGGAACGATTCCTGTTCCAAGTCATTTACACGTGATTCACGTGGAGCAGGAGGCGAGTCCAGACGCGCGGTCGGCGTTGCAAACGGTGTTAGATACGGATAAAGAGAGGACGTATTTGTTGAGTCTAGAGCAGAAAATGTTAGACGAGGAGTTGGATACAGTGGATGGTATCGATTTGAACGAGGTGTACGAACGTTTAGATGAGATTTCATCCGACGACGCCGAGGCGAGAGCCGGAGGGATTCTCGGTGGTTTAGGTTTTGACGCCGCTGAACAACAAAAAGCGACGCAGGACTTTTCCGGCGGTTGGCGGATGAGAATTGCCTTAGCGGCGGCTTTGTTTATGAAACCAGATTTACTGTTGCTGGACGAACCGACGAACCACTTGGACGTGCACGCGTTGACGTGGTTGGAGGAGTTTTTACGACGGTGGGAGAAAACCGTCGTCATCGTCTCGCACGATCGAGGGTTTTTGAACGAATGCACGACGGCGACGGCATTTTTGAATAAAAAAAAGTTACGCTATTACGGTGGAAGCTACGACACGTTCTTGAAAGTGAGAGCGGATAACCGAGCGAACGAGGAGTCGACGGCAAAGACGCAGGCGAGTCGCGCGAGTCATTTGAAAAAATTTATCCAGCGCTTTGGTCAAGGGCACGCGAAGATGGTCAAACAAGCGCAGTGTAGAATGAAAATGTTGGCGAGATTACAAGAGGAAAGAGTAGAAGTCGATACCGACGATCCTTACTTGCGCATTAACTTTCCATCTGCGAGTCCTTTACCGCCACCGTTGGTTTCTGTCATGGGCGTATCATTTGGCTACGAGGGTTACGACACATTGTACGAAAACCTCGATTTCGGTCTCGATATGGATTCTCGAGTTGCCATCGTCGGTCCGAACGGGGCCGGTAAGAGTACGTTTTTGAAGCTCGTCGAAGGCGATATCTTACCCACAAAAGGGTGGATCAATAGAAACACGCGCTTGCGCTTGGCGAGGTTTTCTCAGCATCACTTAGAAACCATGGACGCGGAAAACGACAGCGTCAACCACATGAAACGTTTGGACGACGAAATGCCTCTGGAAGAAGCGCGCGCGTATCTCGGCAGATTTGGTTTATCCGGTGAATTGGCGACGAAACCGATCAAGTTCTTATCCGGCGGTCAAAAGTCTCGATTAGCGTTTGCCGAATTAGCGTGGAAGCAACCTCACATTTTGCTTTTAGACGAACCGACAAATCACTTGGATTTAGAAACGATCGAATCGCTCGCCATGGCTTTAAACAATTTCGAAGGTGGCGTCGTGCTCGTATCGCACGACGAACGTTTGATTTCCTTAGTAGTCGACGAGATTTGGTGCGTGACAAAAGGTGACATGAAGTGTAACCCACCAAAACCTGGGCACGTGAAAGTCTTCAACGGGAGCTTTGAGGAGTATAAGGCAAAGTTGCGCACAGAGTTTGACGGCGGAAGTATTTTGACCGCGAAGAGGAAAGCGGAAGCGAAGGAGAAGAAGAATAAAGGCGAGCAGATAAAAGAAGAAAAAAAAGAGGTGAAGAAACCGGTTGGCACGCTCGTGAAAGATACCACGTTTTTGAGGGACTCTACGACGAACAACGCCTCAAATCCTGCGACGAGTAGCGGGGAAGCGAGGAAACCAGTAGCCTCTTCCACGGGCGGGTACGTTCCGCCGCACTTGCGAAACAAAGAAGATCAAGAGAAGATTGATTCCGCGTTTGACGATTAAAGAATAAATACTTTAGAACTACTTTTTTTAACTACAACGGACTGCTATAAACGTTTATTCTATAATTAATTGAAAGGTAAATCATCCCCCGGCACGCTCGAATTCCAACGAATGATTCTCCACGACAGCATCGCAACCGCGCAGGACGCGCAATCGACGAACAACTCGCTCGTTTTCGAATTGATCAACAAATCCGCCTCTCTATTTTCCCCCACGACGTACTCACTCGCCGGCATACCAATCACGTGTTCCAACGCCTGCCTCATCTCGTTCTGTTCCACTAATATCAACAACCCAACCGCGAAACATCCCGCCTTTACGGTTCTTTTCATCGCCTCCGCGAAATCCGCATCGTACGCCTCCGTCTCGTACGCCTCCGCGGCTAACGCGCCGAGGACCCAAACCGCGGAGAGTTTACTCCCGTGCACGACGCTTCCAACCAAAGCTGGCAAGTTCGGTAAAATTCTCGGCACTTCTCTCAAATACTCCGCGTTCAACCACGACGGCGCTTTGTGTTGCGAAAGCGACACCAACGCCACCAATACCGTCGCGGATGTCAACACTAAAGCGTCCGCGATAGGTAAACCTCGATCTTTCACCTTTTTCGGTTGAAATCTTTTCTTCATCCTTTTACCGAATCTCATGCCGTACTCCAGCTCTCGTTTCGCGTCCTCGATGGATCGGACGTCCGCGCGGTCCTCGTCGATGGAATCATCCTCATCTTCCTCGTCGTCTGAGGACGACGACGCTCGGAGAGTCCACGTTTTAAGTCGCAGTCGATCGTGACGTCGTACGTCTCTGGTTTGAGCAATGGAAACATTGCGAAGAGAAGAGCTCCTCCTCCTCGATGATGATGATGATGATGATGCCGCGAATGATGACGATTGCCGGAGTGCGAGGGCGAACATCGTCGTCGTAAAAGCGCTTTTCGTATATTATTCGGTTTTGTTCGTGTGAATTATATATATATAACGGGTGGTATAACGCGCGCGAGATGGAAGGATGTTGTTTTGTTGTGAGGAAATGAAGTGATGACTCCTACTACTAAGTACCCAACTACTCGTACGCTATTAAAGACTACTACGACTAAAACTACTCAAATCTAGAAATAGTCCAACCCGCACAACCGTCTGAGCTGTTCCACGATGGGCATTTGCAAAACCATGACCGGACCTTGTCGCATAGCCGCGGGCCAGAATCCGTTGTACAAGGCGAAAAATCCGCGCTCGCGGATGACGCTAGCGGCGAGGGAGAGCGAATTTTTGTTCCCTCCTCCCGAATTCGAGGACATGGCTAAAGTTTTCAACGTGTCCACGGGTTGAGTGACGGTTTGCGCGACGACGCCGGAGATGAACGCGCAGGTGAAGTGTAACGGTGGGCCGTCTTCCTTGAACAGAAATGGAGACGGCGCCGTCGTTGTCTTTTCGATTTCATCGTCTTCTTCTCTTTCGCTGTGGAGCAACAAATACCGCTTCGCGGCGTCGTACGTCCCCAACTGCGACCCGCTCAATAAACTCGCGCGCGCTACGCACACCCCTACACCTCTCCACAGACCTTTCACCACCCCTTCCTCTCGAGCAATCATTGAAAACGCTCGAGTTGTGGACGGGTAAAATGTCTTCTGTCGCGCCGCCGCGGAAGACGCCGTCGCCGCCGCCGCCGCGCTCCCCAAACTAAGAGCTCTGTACGGTTGCGATTGCATTCGAATTCTCACTATATCTATCGGGTTAAACACCGCCGACCCTATCGCACCAGTCGTCGCGCCCGCTAAGAGTTTCAGCGCAAAATTTTCGCTTTCGCTCATCGTCCCATTCTCCTCTTCCTCCTCGCTCGTCCCGTCCATTCCCCTAACACCAACGCTCCTCCTCTTCAACTTCTCCGCGTAATAATCTCTCACGGTTGGATACAAACCGATCCGAAACCCGGTATAACTCAACCCTCGCATCCACGTGGCGAGTAATCCAGGTTGCCACAATCCTCTCACCGCGGATCCGTCCGCTTCCTTGATCGCCGTTTGCGCTAAACCAAACGTTGTTGTTGTTGTTGATGATGTGTTTGAAGAAGCTTGAATTTGCCTTCGAACTTTTAAAACCTCCAACGGATTAAACACCGTGTCCGATAAAGCGCACCCGACGCCGGCGGAGAGCCACTCTTTGGCGAGTCTCTCTGTGGTGGTGGTCGCAGTCTTCGGCGACCCCGGCGTTTGATCCGTTGTTGTTCTTGACATGATGTGTGCTTTGTCTAGGGCATTTTCCTTTACAAAAACCTGAAAATTCCCCTCACAAAAACGATGAAAATGACGCAGAGACTCCTCCTGTTCAAGCGAAGCCTCTGTCTGATGAGATCGTCGTCTGCTTCGCAAAAAGGAGCTTCTGTCTCCTCATCTTTTACGACGAGCAGTTTTGCTCCCCCTCGTTGTCGTTTTTTTACGACGACGACGAGTTGTCGTTTACATTCGAGCATTTCGTTTCCCCTACTCGTACAACACCTCCTCGAAACAAAGACGACGACGACGAGAAGTACATGGAAACAATCATCATCATCAACTACTAGTACTCATAAATACTTCTCTTCAGACGTTCCAGATGCGATGCAAATTAAAAACGCGAACAAATACCGCAAGGCGTTGATCGCGGTGATTCATTCCCCGAAAATGTTCCACGTGTTCCAAGGGACCGGAATCGATATTTTGGACGTCTACGTGACGAAAGACGGAAAATTCGCGAAGGTTTTATTCGCGACGCCGTTTCAAGATCGACGAGAATCTTTAGCGAGGAAATTAGAAGTGAACGCGGGGAAGTTGAAATCATACGTGAGCTCGATATTGAAGAGCAAGAACACGCCGAGATTGACATTTGTGGACGCGGAGAAGAGGAAGATGGAGTACGCGCGAGAGACGGCGGCGTTTGAGGAGATTCGGAGAGAGCGAATCGAACGAGGGGAAGAGGAGGAGGAGGGTGAAGAGGGTGAGGACGGCGAGGAAGGTGGTGTGATTCCCAAAGATGATGGGAGATTGATTAGAAAACGATGATGAAGCAGCAAAAAGCGCGTAGTAATTTAGCGAACTAGCCATAGAAGAATTATACAAAAATCGAATTCTATATTTCTCGAAGATGAAAACGCGTCGTCACCATTTCGCTCGAGGTCCTAAAGTACCGTTGGACGGGATCCAACCTTTCGGTAACAAAACGCCACTGGTCCAGTGCACTTTGTCCGGCGCTTTCACGTGTCGCATTTTATACGTCAACTTGTTCTCGTTCAGAAACCCATCGAAAGGATCGTCGTTCGCGCCTCTTTGGTTGATTTCGACGCGTTCGGGAACTTCGGTGAATTTTAACCAACAGTCGCCAGCCGTGTGCACGTGCGCGTCGGGTTCGAAACAAATGTCGTTGGCTATGTCGCACCAGACAAATGCGTTGCACGGGAGATCGTTGAACGGGCCACCACCTCTCCCTGGAACGTGTTCTCGGCACTTTTGCGCGCACTGCTCCGCCGTGGCCGCTTTGTGCCCGATTCCCCATCTCACGGCTAATCCGTCGTACGAGGCGTGTTTTTCAATCCACGCGATTTGTTCTAATCTACTCGTTTCCGTGCTATCGAATTCTTTATTCGTGATTGAATTCACCAGACACGGAGGCTCGACGTGCGCGTACCCATCTACAGCTGGCGACCCGCACTCTCTCGTCCTCGTCTCTTGCCCAACCGGTAACTTCGGCTCTTTTCTTCTAACGTCCACTACTTTCGTCTTCTCGCTCTCTACAACGTCCTGCATTTTCATCACCCCATCCGTCCCAACCTCCCTTTTCCTGTACGGCCCAATCGTCCCGCTCGTCCACGCGACGTTATCCCCTTTCGCCATCGTCCCCGGCTCCACGTTTTCGTACAACTCTTTCTGTTTCTTCAACCAGCATTTTTTCGTCTCCGGATTGAACACAAACACGTTGCACATCTTCGTCATCTTGCACTGCATGCAGCACAATTCCACGTTCGGTTGATCGTTCGTGTCGCCCCAGTGAACGACGTCGCCGGCGTATTCCGTGTGCGGTTGGATCGTCGACGAGTGCAAACCATCGCACTCGGGGCTAATCCGCATTTGAGGAGGCGCTTTGGGAGGAAGAGGAGGTGATGGTGTCGATGGTTTTGGAAACGAAACGCGAACGTGCGCATCATCATCATCATCATCATCGCGCTTCTTCGTTTCCGCATTCAACAACTCAGCGTCGTCGTCGTTATAAACTCTGTTTCTTCCTCCATCGCTTTTCCTCCTGCTCCTCTCGTATAAATACGCATCGTCATCGACAAAACCCACAACACCATCATCATAATAATCTCTTCGTCGTAACTGTTTCCTTCGGACGAAAAACGCCATCAGATTCAACAGGATTAAAATCAACACCGTCGATTTGAAGAAGAATCGGATCATTCACTTTTCTGCTCGCCTCTCTATTCTACCGCTCTGCTACTACTACTACTCCTGCTCTTCTCTTCTCCTTCTTCTTCTTTTGTGCGATGCTGGTATGTAACGCGTGAGGGGTACGAGGTAATGTACTTTATTATAAAAAAGTTTCTCTTTGTGTTTTGTTGTGTGATGAGAGAATAATGGAGTTTTTTTTTTTTGCTCTTCTGTTTTTCTCTCTTCTTCTGTCTGTCTGTTCTTTTTTAAAAACATCATCCTTTTTCTTCAGAAAAAAACAGTCGCATCACTCTCTCAGCAAAAGTCTCTCTCTCTCTCCTTCTCTCTCCTCTGTTTCTTTTCGAGAGAGCACGTGCTTTGCGCGAGTAAACAGAGAGAGAGAGACTTTTATCTCTGTCTTCTTTGTGTTCTTCTTCTTTTGCTGCTCTGTGTTGGAAAAAGAAATCGTGATACGATTGACTCCTGAAGAAGCTTCATTTTCAACATCAACATCATCATTTTCGAACGCGCTATATATACAAAAATGATGGTGGACAACAACGAAGGAGTCAGCGGCGAGAACAACAACGACTCCTCCTCCGGTGGTTTAGGCGCGTTGGATATCAAACGGACCAAAGAGTTGGACTCTTTGTTAAAGTTGGAAGACGTGTACGAATCTCAGAGCGAGTGCACTCGGAGAGAGGAAGTTTTAGGAGAATTGAACGAAATGTTGCAAGATTGGATCCGGACCAGATCGCTCTCGAAAGGTCACCCGGACGAATCCATACGGTGTAATTTGTACACGTTTGGATCGTATCGACTCGGGGTGCACGGTCCGGCGGCGGATATTGATTCTTTAGTCATTGGACCGAAGCATATCGATCGCGCGGAGGACTTCTTCGGCTTTGAAGAGGACGATTTCGAAGGGTCGTTTTATGACTACATGAGGAAACACGAAGGGACGGAGAAGATTGTAGCGGTGCCAGATGCAGTCGTGCCAGAATTGAAGACCGAGTTTAGAGGGTTTGAGATTGATGTTGCGTATTGTTCCTTACCCGGGTACTCGAACGTGCCTTTAGATTTAGACGTCTTGTCGGCGAAAATTTTACACGGTTTAGACGACGCCGGGGTGAAGTCTTTAGCCGGTTGTCGAGTGGCGGATAGTTTGTTGAAGTTAGTGACGAACCATTCGGAGTATAGGATTGCCTTGAGAGCGCTGAGGTTGTGGGCGGCGAGAAGAGGAGTGTATTCCAATGTCGTCGGCTTCTTTGGCGGCGTGAATTTGGCGATTTTAGTCGCCAGAGTGTGCCAATTATATCCCAACGCGAGCGCGTCCATGTTGGTGTATTCTTTTTTCCAGATTTGGGACAATTGGGTGTGGACGACGCCGGTTATGCTGACGAGTTTAGACATCGCACCGAAAGATCAGATTCCCGGGTTGAGACATTGGGACGAACGAGTAAACAAACCGGAACGGTACCAGTTGATGAAAATCATCACGCCGGCGTACCCGGCACAGAATTCAACGTTTAACGTCAGTTCGTCCACGTTAGAGGTATTGAAGAGAGAATTCAAGAGAGGAAAGATTGTGACTGGGAAAGTGTTGATTGGTGAGGCGAAGTGGACGGACGTGTGGTCGGACGTGCAGTTTTTCGCAAAGTATAAGACGTATTTACAGCTCATCGTCACCGCGGACAACGAGGAAGATTTTAAGAAATGGGAAGGTTGGGTCGGCAGTCGACTGAAAAACTTAGTGCAAGGCGTGGAGACGTTCTCGGAAGGTGCGATGATGGCGCACCCGGGCGTGAAGAAGTTTTACGATCCGGAAAAAGACAAGGAGGTGCACTGCAACGTCTTTTTTGGGTTGTTTCCAAATCCGTCCACGACTAGTGGCGACGCGAGAGAAAAGAAGAAAATCAACTTGAACCCGGCAATTGAGAATTTTCAAATGACGGTTGGTAATTACATAGATCGAGCGACGGGTTCTGTAAATTGGAAGCCCGGCATGGGGGTGCAAATCAAACTTTTACGGAAGAAAGATATACCGAGTTGGGCGTTGCCGGAAGGCGGGAAGTACGAAGAGAGCGCGTTTGAGTTGGTCGGTGTGCCCGGAACACAACCTGCTCCTCCTGCTGAAAATGTTAACAACAACAACAACAACAACAAAAGAGCTCGAGAAGAGGAAAAAGAAGAAATAAAAGAAGAAGTAAAAGAAGGAAAGACGGAAGAAAATGGTGATAAGAAAGAAGCCTCGTCGCTCCCGGTGCCGAGGCTCGCGCCGAGCGTCGTCCAGAAAGAAGTAGAAGAAGAAAAAGATTTATTATTAGATAGCATAAACGACAACAAAGAGAGCGAAAGGACGAGAGAAGAACAACAACACGGGAAAGTTGTGAAGAAAATGAAAGTGAGCTTCGCGAGCGTTGTAAGGCAAGGCAGCAAGTAAAAGCAGTAAAATTTGGTAAATTTTGCCCTTTTTTCCTAATTCCTCAGAAGTTTTCTTCTAAACACGCTTATTATTTATACTCCTACGCAAACATCCAATAACGATATTTGGATATGGGCGCATTTCCCGCAAAGATGTCGATCGTTGAAAAACTATTCGCGTTAACTTTCGCGATGATCGCGGTCGGCGTCCGCGCGGCCATCACCGAAATACCATCCTCGGGCGGGTACGTGTATAAATATCTCTTTTCCGCATCGAAACGACGCTTTTTCTCTTCTTTCAAATTTTCTCTCTTTTACAGCCGCTAAAAAAGAGAGCGAACGCCAAACGCGCAAAACGTCGAAACGACGGATGCTTCTCTTCTTTTTATCCGTCGCTCTGTCGATCGATTCGAACTTCTCTCTCTGTCGTTCTTTTCGCGCGCGAAATTGGAAAACCTTAAAAGTAAATAGGAGGACAAAATACATTTTTTTCAAAAAAGCACGTAACACTCACACATATTTTCATAAAATACAGCGCGTTGACGACGACCATCACGGTGTCTGAGTACACGTACGAGAACACCGCCATCGGCGTGAAGATGAAGCTGAGAGGTTACAACGTGGACACGACGAGTTTGGACACTTTGCAACACGGGCCGACGTTGAGGTTCAAAGCCGGGGATACGGTGACGGTGACGCTCAAGAACGAAATGGCGACGTGTGCTATGGCTGACTGCACGCACCCGGCTTCAGGAAACGGGTATCACTACTCGCAAAAGACAAATTTGCACACGCACGGTTTGCACGTCAGTCCAGATACGGGGGCGGATGATGTCTTTTCTACCGTAGAACCCGGAGAAAGTGGAACGTATACGTACAGTATTCCAAGCGACCACGCAGGGGGGACGTTTTGGTATCACGCGCACCATCACGGTTCGACCTCTTTGCACGCGGCAAGTGGCATGATTGGCTTTATGATTGTTGAAGATGCGACGGATGAAGTGCCGAGTGCGATTTTGAATGCCGACGAGGTCGGTCCTTTGGCTATCGCGTACATGGATTTAGCGGCGCTGAAGTCGATCGCGAGCGAAAGTCCCGGTGAAGTTTGGACTTCTGCTGATGATTCAATCGACGGCGGTTATAAAGGCTATTTTGTGAACGGTAAAGTCAAGCCGAACTACGACGTGAAATTGAACCGATGGACGAGAATCCGAACGGTTTTCTTGGCCACCGATATAGACGCTATCATTTCGCACAACGGCGCTACGAACGGGCAATCGTGCGAGTGGTATTTACTGGCTAAGGATGGCGTGTACGTCTCTCCGGCACCAAGAGCTTTGGGCGATGGTAAGTTATACTTGGCCCCTGGTAACAGAGCGGACGTGATGATGCGATGCACTGGAAGTTTGGGGACCGTGACGGTTTCCGCCGAAGCTGCGGCCAAGAAAAGACGTCGATCTTTGCTTCAAGGCGGCGGCCCCGGCGGCGGCGGCGGTGGCGGTGGCGGTGGTTACGTTGCTGGCGAGTTGTTCACCATCACCGTTGTCGCGGATGATTCTGCGGTGACGACTGGTGAAAACTACGATGATATTTCGCAATTTAATCCGAAAAGACCCGCATACTTAATGCAGACGTTGAAGGACGAACCGGCCGGGTTACCAACGCCGCTGACGCAAAGTGTCACTTTCACTGCGGCAGATGGTGGTTGCGGCGTGAACAACGTACAATTTGTGGACAAAGACACACCTCTCGGCTCAGTCGCTCTCGGTACGGTACAGAAATGGACCGTCAATGGAAACGAAAAACACCCGTTGCACATTCACGTGAACTCTTTTCAACTTTCAGGCGTGACGGACGCTTCTGGTTACTACCAAGACGGAGATTGGCACGACGTCGTATACCGCCCTACTGGCGTGACCATCGACAATTATTACTTTATGGTTGATCGTTACGCAGGAAAGAAAGTTGTTCACTGCCATTTCTTGACGCACGAAGATAAAGGATGCATGGCCTTTTACACCATTACCGGAGCCGAAGGCACGACCGTATCTGGCGCCACGGCGTCGGCGATGGCGACGTTGACGACGACAACTTCGGACCTCGCCTCCGATGGAACGTCAACGACGACGACGACGACGACCACCACCACCACTTCGTCCGTCGCTGGTCGTGCGACTATGATGCTGAGAGGTAAATGGATCTACCTGGGTATCACAACCACTGTCACTCTTTTCTTTTTGTAATACTTTGACGACTGGAAAATTTTTTATATATGATGAAATGTATTGCTTACTAGTAGTATTTGCAAGTTGTAATTGAATGCACACATAATAATGATCATACACACGATCTATACCAAGATCCCTAAGTGTAGCGTATCGCACAGCCTCGAGAGAGCGGTGTGATGGAGTGAGATTCCGATTTTTTTGATGCCGTTTTAACTTCTCGCCTAAAATGTGTCTAAAATGTTTATTCATTAATATTTGTTATTTTTTATGGAATTAGGGTTGTGGCTGTAATTTGAGGTGTTATAACTCAGTGGTAGAGTGTAGGATTGCAAATCCTGATGTCCCGTGTTCAATCCACGGTGGCACCTTCTTTTTTTGCATCCGGATAATGATTAGACTGTGTCAATGCATGTAGAGCGCGCTTTTGTGTCGCACTTGATTGGATGCTTGGACGCGCGCGTCATTATTTTTGTTCTCGAATAGTATTTACTACAAGCTTTTGTTGTCTCTCTTTGTTTTTCTAAAACATCAGGCTAACATTTATTTCATTTCTTCTTCTTATTCTTCGACATCAACTTCTGCTTCTTCCCTTCCCTCTTCTCCGTCTCTTGCTCTTTTTGCATCTTCTTCGCCGCTAATCCCACGTCCACGCCTTCGCTCGTCTTCTTCGATTTTTCGCGTTTGATGAGTTTCTCGACGAAAGCTTTTTCTTGCGCTTTCGTGTTTTTGTCGTCCGTGTTGCTCGCGAACGATCGTCGTTTGCCTCTGGCTTTAATCTTTTCGTCGCCGGGAATTGGCGCGTTAAACTTCCCGACGCTAGCCGTCGACGTTGCCACTTTATATTGCACGTCTTTGACCAACTGTTTACTCTTTAAACTCTTCGCGCCTACGCCTCCTCCGTTGTCGCCGCCTTTTTTACCGCCGCCGCCGCTACTATTATTATTACTCCCCGCACCAATCGCTAACCTCAACGTCGCCGGCAACGCCGCCGCGCCTTTCTCTTTCACTTGCTCCCCTAAATTCCGCCTCCTCTGCATCTCGTTCTTCTCCACCCTCGCTTTCTTATCTTTCCTCTCCTTCAAAAACGGATCCTCCGTCTGGCCCGCTCGGCTCGAAAGTTTCGCCTCGACGATGGCAATCTTCGTCGAATCCTTCGCCCGATCGTACCCGTGCCTCCTCTTCCACTCGTCTTGCTGCTCGTCGAATACCATTTTACTTCTTTTCCTCTTCTTAATCCCTTTCTCCTCCGCGAATTGCTCCCACTTCGTCTTCGGCTTTTCCATGGAAGGCAAAGGCAAACTCCGAGGAAATTTCGTCTCCCCGGGTGGCAAAAGCGCAAACCTTCCGTTCACGTCCGATTCCGACGGCAACGCGAACAAATCGCTCACCAATCGTTGCAACACGTCTCTCGCGTGCGCTTTGATGTTTTCGTCTCTCTCTTCTCGAGTCAAAGATCCGACAGTGAGGCTGAATTTCTCTCGCTCTAAAACGCTCGTTTCAGAGACCAAAAGATTCCCCACGTCCACATCTACCGCGCCGGTGTACGCCTCGGTCGCTTCCAGCGTCGTTTCGATCCGCAACCTGTTCTTGTTGTGACTCTCGTTGTTGTTCTCGTCATCACGCATCGTTTATTCGTCGTGTTAAAATGAATCTGTCAAAGTGTGTGTTCTATTATTCTTCTCTCAAACGACAGAAGAGAAAAGGAATGACGAGAAAAGCCGCCGCCAAAAACAGCAGACGTTTTGCGAGAGAAAAAGGCGAGCGTTTTGGTCGAATGTGTCCTCATTATTTATAGAGCACTACTCTTCGTAATCTGAGCGAGAGATAAGTCTCTACATATCTATATCGTTCTCAGCAGAGGTACGCGTTATTCTCTCTCTCCTTTCTTTGAACTCGTTTTTGCGCGTTTGTCTCTCGTTCATTCATATTCGTCAAAACACGAATGCATTTTTCCCTCGTACTTTGGCGGGTGCGTCATTAGAGTCTCTGTCTTGCCTTTATATAATTCCATGGCTTTGACAGCGCTAACCGCCGCCTAGATGTAAAAGAACGATGTCGCCTCTAAGCGCTTCCGTTGGGAGTATTCTTACATTCGCTCCCGTTGTCGCCCGGTCTTCGTTGGACATTTTTATATATATCTCGTTTTGTTGGTGTTTGTTGGAGATGGATGGAAAGAGAGAAAGAGAGAAAAATACGCCTATGAGGAAGCACACTTGTCCGTACCATCTGACTTTATACTCTGATTATCAAAACTTGTGAATCTCGTTAATCCGAGGCGTTTACGTGTTTCTTCTTCTCTCCTTCTTGGTTCGATGTCGATTTTGAGATGATTTTATGCGTTTATATAGATACTGACATCTTGTTCTTGTTCTTCTTTTCGCTCGTCGCAGGAGGTACGACGAGACTCTCTTTTGCGAGAGATTGGTGCAGAACAACAACGACGACTCGATGATGCAAACGCACGCACACGACGCAACACAAATACACGAAAGATGATGATTTCCAAAAATATATCTTAGGACACCTTCGGAGCGCAAGCTATGAGAAGAACATTTGAAACCTGATTTCATGTAGTATGCGCGCGGAATGTATGCATTCGTCGTTGCGCGAATTTGTGTGGAAGAAGAAAAATGGAAGTCGATGAAAGATAATCTCAAGGCATAGTTCACTTGATTGCGGACTTGTTCAGGGTCTATAAGCATGAAACTAAAAATCTCGAGAATGGAGACTTCTTTCTTTGTTGTCGTTGTTGTTGTTCTTGTTGTCCACCTATTTCATCGTTTTTGTTTTTGGGCGCTTCACTTTACTCGAGTTTGACCGCATTCGTGCAAATGATTCAAACCTGAGCCATTCCGCGTCCATAAAGTGACCCTTAAGTAAAGCGGTTTATTCGTTTGTCAGTAACGTCTCATCCCTAGAGCTTCTGGTACATTCGTTTTTGTTTTCGTTTTTGGTTTTGGCCGCGCGCGCTCGACGGATGAAAATAACGTGTATATAATACGCGTTTACATATATGCGGGTGACGAAAAACCTTTTATGAACAATCCTACTCTGAGTGCCTTGTACGCTGAGGATTACATACCTGATGCGAACTGACGCATATATGAAACGAACGTGTTATAGCATTGCACACACGGCGTGGCTTGATTGTTTGATTGATGATGATGATGGTGATGATGCGTTGAACGCAATCGATGAGATATCCGTGAAGAATAAACTATACAGAACTCAAAAACTTTTCCGAACACCCAATGTGGACGAATATACGACCATACTCTCTGAGATATCAATGGATTGCGTTCGAAGCAGTAGCAGCCTTTCATCATCGCGCAACAGAAAACAGTCATTTGCCTTTGTGGCTTTCGTTCTGCTTCATCGTCATACTGACGCGTATTTTATTATTTCTTTTAAACAGGAGAGACGATGATGCACCGAGCGTTTCGCACGACGCTACATACCTCGTTGGCAGCGTGCGCTGCTCTCGCTGCCTCGGCGACGTTAGCCTCGAGCGAATGCGTGGCGATCGGAAACAAGAACATACCAAGTATAATGAAAGAAAACGAGGATAACGGTAAAAATAATAGCACGAGAACAACAAAATGGGATCAGAACTGGGATCGCATGCATTCGAGCGCGCAAACTACATCGACGACATCGACGCGAGTCATTCATTTAGTGAGACACGGACAATTCAATCAAAAAGGCAAAGACGATACAAAACACACGTTGACCGATTTAGGGAAGAAACAAGCCTCGTTAGCCGGTAAACGCCTTCGGGATATCATTCCCAAAGGCACGACGCCTAAACGAATAGTTTCCTCGACGATGACTCGAGCAGAAGAAACCGCACAAATCATACGCGATGAATTCTTTAAAGAGATTGAAACGATAGAGAAATCCGATTTGTTACGAGAAGGCGGACCTATTCGTCCTGAACCAGACACTTGGACGCCCTATGGTGGACCATCGGAAGCGGAGTACTTTCGAGATGGCGCGCGCATTGAAGCCGGCTTTCGGTGGCTCTTCCATCGCCCGAAAACAAACGAGAAGAACGTTTCGAAAGACGTGAACAAGTCAACAGCACGAGAGAAAAAAAGCGAAACGAAAGAAAAGAACGAAGTAGATGACGACAAAGGAGCGGCTTCGCTAAAAAAAGTGGTTAATAAGCCCCCCGCCGCGCAAGAAGAAACAACGCACGAAATCGTCGTGTGTCACGGGAACGTCATTCGATACTCTCTCCTTCGATTGCTTCAGCTCCCCCCAGAAGCTTGGCTCCGGTTTAGTTTATACAACGGGTCCATAACGAGAGTTGAAATTCGTAGCGACGGTTTGTGTAGCGTGAGATGCGTCTCCGACGCTGGATTTATGCATCCGGAGGAGATTTCATTCAATTAATTTTTATTAGCGGTAGCAGTTGAAAAGTAACCACAAACGACACTCTTTAACGCGCTAGTAAGTACGTGATACTTACGATTCTATAACACTATTTATTCTTCGTTCCCGAGTAAACGACGACGAAATAAACGTTAAAAATGTTCGCGCAGCACTGTCCCCATCAGCTTCGCGTGACTTCTTCCTCTTCCGCGACGTGTTCTTCCTCGCATCGTTCGAAAAATCAATCGAAACGAAGATACGCCGCTTGCGCGTCATCACCATCAGAAGGAAAAGAAGGAGAACAAGATGATGCGATTCCGGCGAACTGCACTCGAGTTTCCGTGGAAGTAAAAAAACCCCTAGGATTAATCCTCGAAGAAGACGGTTTAGGTGGCATCGTCGTCGTCGAAGTCGTTTCCGAAGGAAACTCTGCCAAGACGAAATTGATTCGGAAAGGAGATAAAATCTTGGCCATATCGGCGCAAATCAAAACGCGCACGCAAGATTACGGCGGCGTTTCCGTGGGGTCTGGCGAAGAAATGATTCGTTTGCAAGTTCAAGGGGAAAAGTTTGATACGATCATGGCGGCGATATCTTCGTACCCTTCTCAGAAAACGATGAAGATTGATGTGCTTAAATGCCAGGAGTAAATAGTATAAAGCGCACGTATAGAGAGGAAGTGGAAGAGATACGCGTTGATTTTAGTCTAGGTACCTGTAGTCTTTGTTGTTATTAGTTATAAAGTACGATACTTTTACGGTGGTTGTCCCCACCCCGTGGGTGTTTTCGTGGTGTACGCTCCTCCTGGTTCGACATTCTCTGGCGTGTGAATGGCGTGTTCAAAACCTGGTGGTAGACTCGCGGTAGAACGGTGTGGCGGCGTCGATTCCTCATTGAGTAAGTCGTCTAACCACGGGCTTTCTTCGAACGCTTCGTTGTTTCTCGTTTGTTGGGCTTCATTGCTCCCGAATCCATTATTATTGGTATGCGAGGAGACTGATGAAGTGTCGTCGGCGGATGGAATAGAGGGTATGTGTAGACCCCATACCGACGGTTGTTGTGGTTGTGGTTGTGGCTTTTGTTGCCTTTGTTGTAAATTTACCATCGTGTCTTGCATTTTAAGCAATCGCTCGTTGTTGCGTTTTACTTTTTCATTCTCTTTGAGCAACATAAAGTTCTCGCTCTTCAAATGGTTGTTTTCCAGTTCCAAGACGTTTTTCTCTCGGTTCAAGATTTCAATTTCTTCCCTCAACTCCGCTATGGTATAATCGTCGCTCGATGGTTGCGCGTTTGAAACCTTGTGATTATTTTTACGAGGAGAACGTGGAGATACGGTACCGCCGCGTTGGGTACCGCGAATTTGTTGTTGCTGGACCTGCTCCTCTGGCGTTGGTTGTCGAGGTTCCTGCTCCGCAATGCCGCGTTGGGTACCGCGAATTTGTTGTTGTTGGACCTGCTCCTCTGGCGTTGGTTGTCGAGGTTCCTGCTCCGAAATGGAGGAGGACATAGGGGGGTAATTCCCTCGGGGATGAGCGCGCTCAAAATGCGTTTCAATAATGCTCTGTTCCTGCTCCGAAATGGAGGAGGACATAGGGGGGTAATTCCCTCGGGTTGATCGCTCAAAATGCGTTTCAATAATGCCCTTAATTTGTTGTTGCGATTGTTGTTGCACTTGCATCAGCTGCTGTTGTTTTTGCCTCTTCTCAATCAATTTTCTTTCATCCTTTTCGTAATGCTTCCTCCCTGCTGCTAATGCTTCACTGCTTTCGAAGATCCTATACTTTCCGTACAAGTCCTTCACGCGCGCATCACTGAGAGTTAGCACGTACTCATTAAGAGTTTTCCAATCGTGTCTGTTCGGGTCTTGCGTTCTCTTCATTTGTTCTCTTAGAGTGGTACTCTCTTCGAGAAAGTCCTTAAAACTCCCACGCTTATATTTTAACTTTTGACTTTCTTTCACCATATACACGAGAGCATCTTTATCGTTGGCGTTAAATTTATAGATTTGCGCCAAACTCCTAGTCTTGGTAGTGTTGCTGGTTTTGTTACTCGATGCTTCTTTTGCGAGAGTAGGTTTTGTGGTTGTCGTCTTCGTCGGAGCTTTTATTTCTTGGACAGGTGGTGAAGGCTTTCTTTGGGTCGCAGCACCCTCCGATATGGAGAGGGAAGGCGATTGTCTTTCCGCACGCGCAGGGCGATGTTTTGAAGCAGAAGCAGCACTCCCTGGCCACAACAACTCTTCGATTCTTTTTCTATCCTCATCCGTCGGAACTCGGATTTCTGGTTGAGCTCGCACCGGCCCTGCGTTCTTCTCAGCCATGACGAGTAGCATTTTCTTGACAATTTTCTCCGCGTACTTCTCGATCTTATCGGTGGGAAACTTATTCTGAATTAAGAACTCCTTGCCAGCTTCTCCCAAATTTTCACCGCTCGCGGGAGAGTACCGAAACTCGTGCGGCTCTTTCGTCGTCGGATGCTGTATCCTGAACTTGTAAGCTGTCTCCTCCCCCTCTTCGCCGCCATCGCCGTTTTTCTTCTTCCACTCCTTCTTAAGCTCCCTGAAATACTCCACTTTCGCTTTGCAAATCTCTCGTCTCTCCCCCTCGGTCAATTCGTGCTCCTTTTCCGTCAACGGACCATCTTTTCTCCTCCAATTTTTACTCCGCTTCACCACCGGAGCCAAGCGCACGGACGTCATCGTCTGATCGTCCTTGTCGTACACGTCCGCTTTATACGCGCCGCCAGATATCGAGTTTGGATATTCTTGCCAGTACACTTTAAACACGTCCATGTGTTTCAAAATATTATACGCGGTACTGCCGTTCGAAGAAGCGCCCGATGATGCTTTCACCGACTCAGTCGCTCCGACAACCCAGTCCTCTTTCTCCTCTTCAACTCTAAAATTGCCACCACCACCATCACCGGTGCTCTCATTCAACGCCTGAAAGACGTTTCCGGTGCTCGCATTACCCACTTCCCCCATGAATCGTTCTTTCGATTGGTCGATCGTTTGATCCATCTGCGGTCGATCTTCCACGTACGGTTCCGATGTTTCTTCTTGCAAAGATTTCTCCATCGCTTCTTTCAATTGCGCTTGGAATCGCCGCTCTTCTTCTTCTTCTTCTTTTTTGCTGCTCTTTCTCCCGCGATCGAAAAACCCGCGCTCCATGATCCCAGACATATTCTCTGAACGCAGAAAAGAGAGAGAGTCTCGGAGAGAAAGTGTGTGCGCGCGAGCGCCGGGTCAAAACGCTTCCTTTTTGGTGAGTTTAGGTGATGGAGGAGATCAACAAAAAAGTGAGGAAAGCTTTCTGAAAATTTACATATTACAGTATGCGCATTGTTATTACAAAGATCTTCTTCCTCTTCTTCTTCTTCTTGACTTCTTCTTTGCACACGAACGACGACTAGTCCGACGGTGGTGGCGACGGCGGTGGCGGTGGCGGCGACGGCAACGGGGGACTGATCGGCGTCGCCACCGGCGACGGCGGAATCCCGTAGTATTCTTGCCAAGTCAACACGTCGTCTCGGCAAGAACCCATCATTTCCGACGGCATGCACGCGAAGCCGTCTACGACGCTATTCGTGTCTAATCCTCCAGATTTCATCGGGCTATCCACGCACAGAAGGAGAAATGGGAGCACGAATATGAATCCGAGGAGGATAGCGAAGCCGCTTTGGGCGCTTTTGACTTGTTCGGAGGTCAACGACGGTCGTTCTGGACTGTAATAAATCCCCGCGGTAGCCGCGCCGAAGAGGAAGGCGAATAATTGCGTCAGGTTATCGGTAAATGGCGAGTAACCGAATAAGATGACGATGATGAATATCGCGAAACCAAAGCAGTGTATGAAGGATAACTCCTTCGTTTTCCAGTAATCCGCGTAGCACAGCGGAAGGATGGCGGCGATGGAGGATAACCCGCCCGTGGTGACGTGGTCGTTCAAGAAGTACGTGGACGCTAGAATACCCACGAACGGGCCGCAAAATAGCGGTATAGCGATGTACCCACCAATATTTCTCTCGATAGGAGCCGCTATGAATAGGAGGGCGAGTAAGGTGATCACGAACGTCACTACGTTCCCGACCGCGAAGATGGACGTAAACAAGCGCCAAATTTCAGTCTTCTCCGTGACTAACCAACCTAGATTTCCGGCTATGCACGATGATTTGGCCATTTCAAACTTCGACGGCCCCATGAAGGCGTTGCCGTCGGTTGACCACGACGCTGAGTTGCAAAACACAATCTGAACGCCGTACATCATCGAGAGTAACACGGCAAAGAGGAATACCCATCGAACGTGTTGCTGGTTTCGCATGACGGGAAGTAATCTCAGACTCACTCGGTACGCCACGGCGGTTTCGACCGCGTCGCCGTCTCGCCTTATCTCGATCCAGTTTTGGTGCGTTTGCGGGTTTCTGAATCCAAAATTGTTACGTTCGTGGAACGCCGCTTCGTCTCGAGAAGGCGCGACCGGGTAGAACCACGAGTCGCCTCTTCGAATGGGCGGACCAGTCTGTATCGATCGGTACGTCGACGGTAATTCCGGAGGGATCTCCTCGTTATGCATCCAGTAGCTTCCGTTTTGTTGTTGCTGGTTGTTATTATCGCTGCTGCTTCCATTATTGTTGTTGCTGTTCGTGTTACTATCGTTGCTATCATTATTCCGCGACGGGTTCCTTCTCCCGTCGATTGCGTCAAAAACGCGTCGTTGCGTTTGATTTACAAAGTGTTGAGTCCTGGTAATTTCCCTGTTCACGTTCGCGATAAAGGTCGGCACCGCGCTCGACAGGCTCATCATCCGGCGAACAATAGTCGATCTCCTCGACGTAGAGGCACTGGCATTCGAATCGTTAAGAGTATCTCCGCGACGACCGATAACCGGCGGCGCCGTGGGATTCGATTCGATATCTCTCAACTCCGCCGCGCTCACCAGTCGCATCTCGGTCATCCCAACCACCGGCGACCCTTTCAAACCTCTCACGTCTCCAGACTCGTTCAGAATCTCCGGACACGTCCTCCTCGCCCACTCTTGTATGGCGCTTCTCAGAGCGAAATTCGGCGCCATCCTCACGATGGACTCGTTCGCTTCCGCGAGCGGTTGCCCCGTCGCCGGGCACGTCCTTCCGCCTCTCTGGATCCAGTCCTCCACGCTCGCTCGCTCGTACGTTTGCCCGGTTCTCACAACCACCGGATCTTTCAACAACTCTAAACTCACCGGGCAGAAAAACGTAGAGCTCGCCCCTAACGTTCGCGCGTAATCGTCGATCTCGTCCTCGTCCACCGCGGGTTGCGACGACGAAGTTCGTGCCTTCGAGGGTGGTTTTGGCTGTTTAAAATCACTCTTCTTCTTAATCTTCTCGTCGTCGTCGTCGTCGTCTTCTTCGTCGTTTTGCGCGCTGTTTCGATGGTAGCTCGGATACTGCGCTTCCTCCACCGCTCGTCGTAAGACCGAAAAGTCTTCTTCTCTTTCGTCTCCTTCATCTCGTGCCCCGGCGAACGGGTTGTTATTGGTACGAACTCCCCGTCGTTGCCTTTGCATCTCAATCGCAATCTCTTCGTCGTCGGTCGTATCGCGAGATGACATTCTTCTCCGCGTCGCGATGAAAATGCGCGCTGTTGTACAAAATAGAATATGTATGCGGTAGTTTTTGGTTGTCGATGTGTTATGTGTGTTTGTGCGTTTGCGCGAGAGAGAAAGAGCGTTCGTTTTTGTGGTACAGATTAGTCTTGTTTCTGATATTTTTCGCACATTTTCATCAATACGAAGATCTCTTTCTCTTTTGTTGTTACAATAATCTCTTCTCTAGTTTATCACGAAGTTTTCGTGCTTTGCGCGGGGTCTCTATACTTTCTATAAATTCTCTCGATTTCATCGTCGACGTCTTTTCCGAGAGGCGGTTGCGTATACGCTTTCAAATTTTCCTCCAACTGGGGCATGGTCGTCGCGCCGATGATGCTCGAACAGACGAAATCGCGGTCTCGAACGAAACGCAAGGATAAATCGGTCAGCGTTAAGCCGCTTTCCTCGGCTAAGGTTTGGTATTCCGTCAAGCAGTTTTTCAATCGCGGTTCGTTGAATCGAGCCATATATCCGGGGAAGAGCGTGAATCGACTGTTCTTTGGCGGTTCGGATGCTTTTAAATATTTACCGGTTAAGGCGCCGCCGGCTAATGGAGAATACGCTAAGAAGCTGACGTTGTGATTCTTCGGCGAACACGCTTCGTTTAAATCGGTTTCAAACGCGATTCGTTGGAGTAAATTGTACCCGTTTTGTATCGTTTGCATCTTCGGGGACTGTTCTTTCTTATATTTCGCCAACGCTGCAAACTCGCAAACGCCAAACGTCGTTTCATTCGACGTTCCAAAGTATCTCACCTTCCCGCTTTTAATCAGTCTATACATGCATTCAGCTTGTTCTTCGAACGAAACGTCGTCCTCGCGTTCGCTCGTTCTTTCGTAAGGAACGCCTCCGAACAGCGAAACGTATCGATCCGGCCAGTGCAGTTGAAGCACGTCGACGTAATCCGTTTGAAGTCGCTCCAACGAACACTCCACGCTTAATTCCATCTGTTTCGCCGTCAATCTGTTCTCCTCCCCGGGAATTCGCCCTCTCAATTGCATTTCGCTCCTCCCGGCAACTTTCGTCATCAATATAATCTCCTCTCGTTTCACGTCTTTCTCCTTCAACCACGAACCGATGTATTCGTCCGTTTTCCCTTGCGTTTTCGCGTCCGCAGGAACGGCGTACATTTCCGCCGTATCTATGGAGTTCACCCCGAACTCTTTGATTGCATAATTGAGTTGTTCGTGCGCGTCTTTTTCCGTGTTTTGTTTCCCAAAGGTCATCGTGCCGAGCGTGACGTCTGCGATGTGGATGTCCGTGTCCCCTACGCGTTGATTTCTTTCGAATGAAAATGTTGTCTTCGTCGCGCAATATCGCCGTCTCAAAGTCTCCGTTCTTTTCCTCTCAGACGCAGAAACAGAAGAATAACCGATACATTTGAAGCTGCTCCGGGCAGAGAGTGCGGTCGACATGATCACGCGTCTGTGACTCTACGCAGGTAGGTATTCGATATTTATGCGGGGGAAATCCCGAAACGTCTGCTTCATATCTAATGCGCGCGAATCGCGCGCATAAACATAACATGTCCACCACTGCGACGTCTGCCTCCTTCAACAAGCTCGTCCGCGTGGACTGGTCGTTCGTCCTCACCAGCGCCGTTTCCTCGTCAAAGTCTTTCGGTATGAGTAAAGAGGGAGAGGGAGAAGAGGAAGGCGGCGACGGGGATGACATCCGCTCGAGCGTCAACGTAAGATTGGTGTTCGAAAACGAAGAGGACGATGAAGAACAACAACAACAACAGAAGAGGAAACAAAGAGAAATCAAAATGGAACTCACGTTATCGCAGTTTTACGAATTTAAGAGAGATTTAGAAATCGCCAGGAAGAGTTTAAATGATGCGGAGGGAGAGGTATGATGAGAGAGGACTGATGAGAGACAGAGAGAAGCTTTACGACGACTCTGCGCTGCGATACCGCGTCGATGATATCAATGCATTTCCGAGAAAAGAATACACGCAGTATGAAACCACGGTTTAATAACGAGGTGAACGACTTTAACGACGGCGAAAAGTTGAATCGTTGCTCTTTCGCTCGCTACACTCGAAGATGCCAGAAGACGCGAGATAGAATGTGCGTTTCTGTTCAACGCAAAATCGAACGTTCTTCTTTCGACGACGAAGCGACGATGAAAAAGCAGCGGAGAATGAAGAACGACGTAAACGAGGAAGAAGTACGTTAAGAAGGAGTTCGTTAAAATCATGGAGGAAGGATTACGAGGCGCGAAAAACCAACCGTCGCGAGAGGAGGGTAAAGTTCCGAGCGAAAATGGACGTCTCGAAAGAGCGCAAAGATTGCTTGTTCTTAGGATCAACGAACGCGTTTGTACCGCCAAAAGGAACTTGAAGCGAGATGATCGCCAACATCGAGAACACGACAAAATCGGTGTCTGGTGAGAAAGATAAAGAGGCAAAACAGACGAGCAAGAATAAGGAGAGCGCAGAAAAGCGAATTGATAGATTTTCAGAGCTATATGCGTCGTACGCGCGTAAACACATGGAGTATTTGTAAGAAGTTTTCTCTCCTTTTCATCACAAAAGACGGACCTTTTCCTATTATTACGTTTTTACGCTTTACACTGCTCCTGTTGTACTCCTCGAAAGACTTTTTGTAACAGAAGAAGACGAAGACGAAGTCGTAGCAGAAGGAGAGCCTAAAGTCAGAGTCTCTTCTCTGTTCGTTTTCTCTCTAAAAACACCCAAAAGCCTTCTTTGCGTTCGTGAAAAGCGAAGCGCACTTTGGTGTCAAAGCGGCGGCGGCGGCGCTAAGGACATTTTCCAATTTCATCCGAGAGAGAGAGAGAGAGAGAGAGAAAATGTCGGCGGCGGCGGAGAGGAAAACGATATCAACGAACACTAATTCGTCGCTCGTATCCGCACATTTCGCCTTGGACGACCCGATGCGCGTTCTGTACGACAAGCACAGTCGCTCGCAACAACCGGAAAGCAAGAGAGTTATTTCCGCCTTACTGGCGATATGTGCGGTGATTACCGAGAAGAACATGCAGCCGTCTCCGGTGAGCGTGTACGCGGCAACGATGGCGTCGTTGACGAGCGTCGTCGATGATGATGATTCTTCGAATGCTGGTGGCGAATCTGCGGTACACTCGGGCGAAGGCGAGAGGCAAACGGTGCACGCGATGTTGACGATACTGGCGGTCGCGTTGGAACATTGCAGTCCCGCGGCGATTAAGAGTAAACTGATGGAAACTGTCGACGTGTTGGTGAAAGTTGGGAGGGATAACCAGGAGTACTCCGCGGCGCTGAGGGCGGTGATTAAATGTCTCGGGTTCGCGTTGAGAGCGACGGCGACGGCGAAAATCGGGAAGGAAGAGTGGGAGAAGATGTTTGGGAAACAAGGAGGAGGAGGAGGAGGAGAAGGAAAAGAAGGAAACGAGAACAGTAACAGCAACAATCAGTTAGGGAAAGCTTTTTCTGCGCTGTGTCACTTTTGTGTGGACTCGAGGCCGAAAGTGAGAAAATCGGCGCACGAAGCGGTGCAGGAAGTGCTCTCCGCGACGAAAGGCGCCAGAGTCGGAAAGGTAGTTTTTCAAAAGACGTTTGGCGCGTTCGCAGTGCAAAAACTGAAAGCGCCCAGGGATGCGGCGGAGAAAGCGGCAAACATGAAAGGCGCGAAAGGCGCGAAGAAAGAGAAGGATGTCGCGATTGCCACCGCAACGGAGGCTTTACACGTTTTAGGCGCTCTGAAAGGCTCGTTGGCGAGCGTAGAGGAGCCGACGGCTTCGAAGATTGTCGATGCGACGATTGAGATTACGTCGTTGGGTGAACCGTTGCTGGAGACGCATGCGACGGAAACGTTGTTGGCGTTGTCGATGTCTCCGAACCCAGGGTGCGACGCGAAGACATTTATGAAAATTCTCGAACCCGTGGCGAGATTGGCGAGAGAAGCGTCGCATACGCAACCGACAAAATGCGTCACGTTAGCGCGGTTAATCGCAAACATTGCCACCCAAATGTATAGAAAAGATCCCGAGGAAGCGGGAAAAGCGTTACCGTTTACGTTTGAAAGTTTGTTGAAGTTATTAAATGCGCCTCACGAAGGCGTCGCGATTGAGACGTGCGAAGCGATGAAGACGTTGATTCGAGAAACCGTTGATAGCGAAATGGCGAGAGAAGGCGTGAAATACGTCGCGACGTTACGAGTGCAACAAAAAACGAGTAAAAAGAATAGCAGCTTAAAACCGCCTCCGATGATAGGCGTCGCAAAATCGATAGAGTCTGCGTTAGGCATGCGTTACCGAGCGGCTTGGCCTTTTACCATACCGGTCGCCACGCAGTGTTTCCAAAGACTCGGCATTGCCGGCGGAGCTTTATTGAGTGGTTCCTTAGCCGCGCTCGGAGAAATGGGCGCGAATGCCGACGGGTTACGGTGTAAAAGTCAAATAGAAACGTGCATTTCTACCGCGGCGGAATATATCGGCGCCGAAGCGTTGCTCGAACAACTCCCGTTACGATTGGAAGAGTCCATCGATAAATCTTTAGAACGAAGAGGCGACGACGACGACGTCCAAGACGAAGAAGATATGGACATCGACGACGAATCCGATGGTTCTCGACTATGGCTCGTGCCGTTGTTGCGTCGATCTCTTACTGGCGCGAGAATGTCTTTCTTCGGCGAGTTTGTGTTACCAGAAGCGCGTCGATTAGGAGGACGAGCCGCCAAGGCGCAAAGCGAAAACAGACTCTTCGAAGCGCAAAGGTGTCGCGCTGCAGAATTAGCGTTATGGTCACTCTTACCAGGCTTTGCTAATTTTCCCATCGACGCTGGAGAGAGTTTTCCGACGTTTGCGAAAGATTTAGGTCACGCGTTGAGCGCGAGAGATGATTTACGAGCGCCAATTTGTGAATGTTTGAGAAGATTGTGTCGACAAGCACTGGCAGCCACTGGTGGGGACGATAATAACGACGACAACGACGACGACATAAATTCCGATTTGAATGTATCCGATCTCGACACGGAGAAAGAGGATAACGAGAGCGAAGGGGAAGATGGTAAAGAAAAAGTCCCAGCTCATTTTACCGTGCACATCGCCGAGGCGCAGTTGGAAACAATCTCGAAATTTTCTAAGAATTACATGCCAATTCTGTTCAATTTATTCGTGACTTCGGAACCGCACGCGCGAGGAGAGATTTCATCCACCATCGGTGGGTTCGCGAAAATTGCAAGTAAGGAAACCGTAAACACGTTCTTTAAGCAAGTGTTGAAAAAGTTGGTCGAAGCGGCTTCGTCCTCGTTGATTGAGGAGAAGGAGGAGGAGGAGGAAGGAGAAGGTGCTCACAAAAAGAAGAAAAAGAAAACGACCTCAAAATCGTCCTCGAAAGAAGAAGAGGAGGCAAGAGTGTTGAAAAAGTGCAGTTTCATCGATCTCGCGCACGCTTTAGTACCTGGATTAGATATGGACGCGTTAGATGCGGCGTTCAAAATCGCCTCCTCTGCGGCAAACGAGAAAGAAGCGGCGAGTCAAAAGCGAGCGTATAAACTGCTCTCGGCAATTTGCGCGGCAAAAAAAGGCGCCTGGCTGGCAAAGATGAGCAAAGACGTGGAAATGTGCTTGATGGACGCCGGTGACACGTGCGCGACGGCGGCGAGACGACGCCGGTTAGAGGTTATCGGGTTCGTACTGCCGCACTTACAAAGCCACGCCGGAAACGGAAACGACGAAGACGATGAAGATGATAACGACGACGCCATGAAGACTTTACTCGCAGAACTCATCCTCGCGACGAAAGAGCAAAACGCAAAGACGCGTTTGTTGGCGTATCAACTTTTAGTTGACATTCCAAGACGCATGGAAAAGGAAGCGAGCGAACGACAAGGCGCTATCGCGGATGGACAAGTTGGTAACCGCGCCGGCGTCGCCGCGTGGCTCGCGCAAAGCGACGAGGGGGATAAAGGCAAGAAGAAAAAGAACAAAAATAAAAACGGAAGCAAAGACGACATGTCAGACGACGACGATTCAGACGACGACGACGACGACCGCGATGTGATTCTCAGCGACGACGACAATGATGACGAAGATGATAAGGACAACAACGATAACGACAACATGGCGATTGAAAACTTGGAGCCGGTGCCAGATCTTATCGACGAAAGTTCTCTCGCCATTCGAGGATTCTTTCTCACCGTGCTCGCCGGTGTCGTCGGCGCGACGCCACAAATGCAATCTGCCTCAGTCATCGCCTTGGCGCGTTTGCTTTACGAATTCTCCGCGAAACTTGTTGAAATCGTTCCCGAACTTCTCCCGGCGATTTACAAATTGCTCAAAGGTCGCAACAGAGAAGTCGTGAAAGCCTCGTTAGGTTTTATAAAAGTCGTCGCCGTGCGTTTGCCGCAAAACGAGCTCGCTTCGCACTTACCAGAACTCCTTCCAGCTGTTTTGAAATGGTCCTCGGATTCTAAGAACAGGTTCAAATTGAAAACGAAAGTGATTGTCGAACGATGCGCGAAGCGGTGCGGATGGCGCGCGGTGGAAGACGCCATACCGAAAGAGCACTTAGCTTTGGCGTCACACATGAAAAAAGAGGAAACCAAGATAGAAATGAAGAAGAAAAAGGCTCGAGCGGAAGAAACGGCGAGTCGGGCGAGCGGTAAAACCGGTCGCAAAAGTCGCTGGAACGAGGAGGAAATCTTTGGCGACGAAAACGACGACAACAACAACCAACGTTCCGAGTTTGGTGGATTCGGTCCTAAATCCCACCGCGGGAACAGCGGCGGTTCTGAAGGTGCATTTCGCAACGCGCGCGATGCGCACGCTTCGAGAGCGAGCGCTGGCGCCCGGCTCCCCGTCGGTGCTGAATTCGATTTACTCGACGACTCGAAAATGCGCAAACACCTACTCGCGCAAGGCGCGAAAACCGCGCAATACAGACGAAACGAGTTTGGCGATGCCGACGACGACGGCACAAAATACAGAACCGACAGATCCACCGGTAAACTTAAAATCGTCGAAGAAAACGACCGCAAGCGCGCGCGCGACGACGACGAGGAAGATGAAGACGGCGCCACGCGACGCACATTCGGCACTCGCAAATCCGGCAAAACCAAGCGCACGACGAATACCAACAAGTCCACCAAAACGAACAAAACCACCAAAACTTCCGCCACGCACACCGGCGACCGATACAAAGCCAAAGGAGGTGGCGACGTTCGCAGAAAAGGCGAAAAGTTACAACCGTACGCGTACTGGCCTTTGGACGCGAAGCTGCTCAATCGGCGCAACAGCAAACGCGGCCAGGCCAGAGACACGCTTTCCGGCGTCGTCAAATCGAGCAAAGACAACGGGATCTTTCGAGGGAAAAAAGCCAGGAAAATAGAGTAGCGCAGAGAGAGCACTCATCTGGCAGGTGAGAAAACGACTCTGCTTTTGCACAAAAAACACTAAAAGAATTCTTCTTTGTAACATTAACATTAACATTAACATTAACATCAACGCGCGTAAAATCGTACCAAAAGCTCTTGCATTTTCCTCATTAGACGTACGTAAAGAAACAGAGAAGAGAGACCGACAAAAGCAGAAAACGCTCGACGCGAGACGAAAGAAAGAAAGAACACGCATACATGTCGTCCTTTTCTCTGCAGCTTTCTCTTTTTTTTGTCTTCTTCCTGTCGTTCTTCGCTTCGTCGACGTCGTCATCCGCGAACGCCCCGAAACTCTACCGCGGGTACAACTCGAACGCGAATCCTTCTTTACAGTACGAACCTCGATCTGGAATCATCACCAGAGCGCAGAACACGTTCGCCACGACACCTGGCGAAGGGAGGCACCGATTGAACGAAAAGTATGACCCGAACGGCGTGAAAACGCGAGGCGTTTGGGACGAGAAAAGGCAAAGGTTTTCTGCGCGAGACACCACGCCGGGACCGAAGAAGTTTCGAGAGGACGTGGAAAACTTAAAGATTGAGAAGAAACCGAGAGATGTCATCGCGCACCCACACGTGGAGAAGAAGTTTTGGCCCACAACTTTGAAGAATTCCGTGGTCGCGTCGTTCGGGAGGAGCGAGAGTGGGAAGACGAAACCGGTCGGGAAAGGGACGGCGGCGGCGGCGGCGAGAGCGGGCGCAGGGGAAGACGACGACGGAGAAGGAGAAGAGAGAGAGAGGAGAGAAAGGAGCAATAACAGACTGGCCAGGCCGAAAGAACCGGAAAGAGCGGACGATAGAGCGATGTTAGCGGATCACACGTTCTACGCGGCGACGAATCAACAATCGAACGATCGGTTCGCGAAGATGTTGGCGAGAGCGTTGAACGGAACCAAGTACGTTTTACAGTGTCAAAAATCCGAAGCGAAGAAGAGCGAGATTCCGTCCGCGTGGCAGTTGTTGACGGCGACTATGAGCCGAGCGGACGCGCAGACGCTGTTACCGATATCGCCCGGGCAGTTAAAGAAGAGTATTTTTGGTAAGGTGACCAACGCGAGAGGCGACGGGAGTTCCCGATTGTCCAATCGATTGAACGGGTATCCGAAACCGTTGGATTTCACTCGAGGGTGCGCTGTCGTCGGGAATTCTGGGATTTTGTTAAAACCGCTCGGGCATAATAAGAAACCATTAGGGCCGTTTATCGACGCGCACGGGTTTGTCTTGCGCATGAACATTGCCCCTACCGACGGCGAGTTTACCAAATTGGTCGGGAAAAAGACGTCGGTACGATTGATAAACCATAAATGGGCGCGAGAATTCGACGCGTTCGCGGAGAAACATTCGAACATTTTATCGAGCGATATCGCCTCCTCGAGTTCTCGATCGAGACAAAGTAGCAACGATGCGGCGTACGCGGTTCGAACGCGAGACGTGGAAGTGGCGAAAAAATTCGCCAAAATTGTCGGCGAGAAAAGAGCGCGCGTGTTCAACGCTCGATTCGTCGACATTTCGCGCATCGCGTTGGCGCAAATCCGCGCGTGTAAAGAAATGCGCGACACCGGGAAGATAAAAGTCCACGACACGGCTCCAGCACCTTCGGCCGGTTTCGCTGCCGTCATGGCTTTATCCAAAATCTGCCCTCGATTACGCCTCTTCGGTTTCGACGCCGCTAAAAAATCGAAAGGAAAATCCACCGCCGGTATCGATTACCCGTACCAATATTTCGAAGAATTCGACGCGCAAGGCGTCCTCAACGTCGGCTCTGCCGCGCACGATTTCGATATCGAAGCCGAAGCCTTGACTGGTTTAGAGAGAGAGAGTAACACGAGAATCCAAATCTGCGGCGCGAAAGGCGGGAATACCTGCGACGAGCTCGTTTAATGAAGCGTCGTTCACAAAAGCAGCGCGCGTTCATGCGATTGATGTTTTAGAGTGGTTCATTTGTAGAAGAAGTTGTGTATAATAGAAGCGTTAGAATTTAGAACACGCGTTGCACAAACAACTCGTTAGTAAGAAATGCGCAAAAGCGCGTACGCGCGCACCAACGTTAGTCCGTTTTCCTCCAAAATCGATTATGGTAATGATGCTCAAAGCGTCGAGAATGACTACGACAAAGAGTCGCACCAATTCTTCAATCATCCATCCAACATTTCGGGGAACGCAAATTCGTTTCTGCACGGCATCGGAGACCCGTCGATCCGGTTCGCCACGAAAGAAGAAAAAGTCCGATTCGATCGAAACACTCGACGCGCTCGAAGAGCTTTAGTTGTCTGCGCGCTGTTTTTATTCCTCTTGGCGTTCAGCCGACCGATATACGGGCCGTACATAGACAGATTTGGGGAAGATGGGGATGCGACTTTAATTGAGGTGGTGAAGGACCACTTGACGAAACGCGCCGAGCGCCACGGATTGAAGAACGTGGGAGGAGGACGCGCGTCGTCGAAACGCAACGCGAACAACAGACACAACAACAATAACAACAACGGGAATACTAAAGAGGAGAGCACGTTTCACGCGAGATATAGAAGAATAGAGGAAGAAAGAAGGGCGTTGCTGGAAGAACATAAAGACGGGGTGGAGGACGAGATGGATACCGTGCGAAGGTTGGAGGTTTTGGAGGAGAGAGCGAAGAATTTGCTGCGCGAACACGGGAAGAAGCACGGGAGGAAGCGTACTCACGAGAGCAATAGCAAAGGGATGAGTGGTGGTGGTGGTGGTGCCGAGTAGATGTAGAGTTAATGTTGTTAGGCTTTAAATTTATAAATATTCATGTATGTATCACTTTTAGTTCTGAAGAAGCGGCGAGGCTTGAAAGCCAAATCGTTGTCTTCTATCGGTGACGGCTTGTTCCCACAGCGCACGCATCTGCGCTAAAATTCGATTCGCATCCTCGGAGGATTGAAACGGGCACAAAACGGTTGAGCTACGAAAATCGTTGTGGTTCACAAATGTTATGCTTTTATTTTTGCTTTTCGCTCCTTCTTTTACGACGGTTAACAAGGAAGAGGTGAATCCAAAGTCGGGCGTCGTGACTTTATTTTCTTCGCGGAGAGAATCGCATACGCCGACTTGGACGCAGACAGTCTTTTTGTCCAGAGAAGAAGAGATGTAAATAGAGGCGACTTCGTGCCATCGGAGAAAGCGGGTTGCTGTTGGATCTGTTTCGTAACGCTCGATCCAAACCAAGTGCGTGTCGGTTAGACATACGATGGCATCTGAAACATGCGCGAGGGGATAAAAAAGTTCAAACCGGCCGAACGTAAACTGCGTTCTCTCGTTTACAGCAGTCACCGTGGTGAACGACTTTTTAGTCTTCTTGTTTGCATTTTTCATAGTCTTCCTCTCCTTTCTCGTCCCTTTCTTCTTCATCGTATCTTGGTCAACTTTACTCGCTTGTATTTCTTCGACGTACGCAATCTTTTTTGCGGCAACTCTCAGCAAATCAGCACCTGCTGATTGCTCTTCGTCGTACGTTCGAACGATGCCATCGCCACGCAAAGCGAGAGGTTTTCGAGCTCGAGTAGCTTCCAGAGATCCCGTAGATTTCGAAAGTATACCACCTACCGACATAGCTTGAGAAAGTCCACTGAATGCCGTTTCGACTAAACCGACCGCACCTCCTAACGTTGAAGTCACGAGACCAGTAATACCTTTGATGCCGCCAAGCGCCGCTCCTCGCAAACCTTCTTGGCGAAACCCTTGGACTGGTTTGTAAAACACTCCAGCAACTCCGGATAATGCACCACCGACGAGGTTTACGGTACCATCGACATATGTTTGACCAATGTTCTTAACACCCGCGGAAATTGATGTCGTCGCACCCCTTTCTCGAGAAGCGACAATATTTTTCGACGTATCTCCAGAAAGCTCCGCCAGCTTGTCCTGCGCTCTGCGCAAACCTACCGATACGGTACCTGCGTTATCAACAGACGCCAAAATCCTTCCAGACTGTATCGTAAACTGTTTGATAACGTGCGATTTCATTTTCCTCCTCAAATCAGAGAGTTTGAGCGTTGCATTTGTCGGTAAATTGAAAGGAGCAATCGCAATAGGTAATCGGTCTAATCGTAAAAGATTGAGCGTCGCGCACATCATCATTGGCGCGTTCTTCGGGCGAGATGACGGTGCAGACGTGAGCGTTACGAAGGCTCGTATTCCGTCCGATGAAAACGTTCCCACTGAAATGAGATGGTCAATATTTGCCGATACAGTCTTTTGCTTCTTGGCTTTGAACGTAACTTTTTTCCCACCATCCTTCTTCATCCTAGAATCTTTCGACGAGGACATTTCAGAAGCGTCTCCGCCGTCTTCCGCGAAAAGTCTTTCAATACCGATTTCTTCGACATACTCTTTCAACGCCCACAACAAAGGCTCGTGAATGAGAACATTTAAACCACTCGGTGCCCACACCATTCGAACTTCCGGAAAGCGATTAATATCTCTACTTTCTCTCATTGAAAATGAAGCCGCGAATAAGCAGCCTGACGCCGCATCGTTGAACATTGTGACTGGATACAACGCGTTCTCCAACATGTTATCCAGTTGCGCAGAGACGATGGCAAATTTAGCGTACAGACCTCTTCCATTATTGCATTGGTTCCCAAACGAGGCTTCAATACCGTTTACCGTGAATAGACAAAGTTCTCGCCGTGAATCTACGAGTGATATCTGGATGCCATCAAAGATGGCGCCGATGTGAATTTCTCGGGACGTTTTTGTGATATTCTGAATGCGCTGGAAAGCCTTCAAATCTGCTTCGAAATCGTTCATTCTTCCTTTTCCCTTTCGTTTATTACGATTGGCGAGCCTTGACATGAAGTGTCCCTTAATGATTGCCGCGGCGGCATCAGCATCGTTTACACTAAGAACAGCATCTCTAGATTCTCTGTCTAAAACAGTAGGTTGCTTTGCAAAACGTGGCGATCCATCGCTGTTCCGATCTTGGACATCTGGATCTATTTCTACTTTGAACTCCGTTAATCGAAGAGATATGCACTCTTCTGCGCCAGTTTCAGCACCGTCAAAGAAAATGCAAGACAATCGGTAACAAATCTCATACTTTCCAGACGGATCATCGCATATGAATCCTTCTGCCAAAGTGATACTTCCGAGAGCGCCAAATTCTTCTTCGCCGCCGCCAGAAGAAGAACCCCCACCTGATGTTCTAGAATTTACGATACTGGCGTCGCGAAAATCACCAAGCTCCGGAAGTTCAAAATACGATTCTTCGACGTTTTCATCGTTGCTGCACGAGAGTCGCACGACCCGAACAGATTCCCCAACTTTGGGAAGTAAGGATTCATCCGACGACTTCTGGCTTCTCTTCCCAGTGGGTCCCTCCGAGCGACCATTGAAAAAACGTGGGCCGAGCCAATGTGAAGCACTGCGCGGAGGGACCCTCACACCTTCTCCAAAGTTGGATTCATCATATAACGACGGTGAAGCAGTTCTAGTAACGCTGTTATTTGTGCGCATAGACGTAATATTCCCCAATTTCTTCGGTGTCTTCGTCGACGCCATCGCGGGTGCCGTTTGTTTATCCGCAAAATTGTATCGCTTTTGCACATTCGACTCCCCTCTCAGCAAAATTCTTGAGAAATCTGCCCGCACACGAGTGTGATTTTCAATTCTAATGCCACTCTCTGCAGATCGATCGCTCTTAGCGGCTGAACCTATGATGATTTGCGTGGATCCAGCAATCTGAGCCGTTTGCAGTCTTACACGAATTAGTGACGATGACACTTTAGAATCGCCATCTTTTGTCACAGATCGAGGGACCGCAAGAAGTTGTTCTCCAGATTCTTGCAAAAGATCCATGCGAATCTCTGCAGAGAAGGATTCATATGAGTGTGTGTTTTCGTCCCTAGTTCCAGAAGCATCACGAAATATTAAGCGTGCACGTTCGGGTGAGCTTGACCCAGGTAACACCGGCGCCGCTCCAATCGGAATGGTCATTGCAGAGTTATCGTAATGCATTTTCCGTTCATCCTTAAGGTCGTCATCATTCTTTATGTGCATGGCTAACGGTATGTGTGAGATATTGACCAAAATAATTTCAGGAACGACTGATATTCTAACCGTTCGGCTCATCATTTCGTAAGACCACCAATGCTGACTTTGCGATAGAACAGGATGAAAATGTTCAGCCACGATTTTAATTCTGACTTCACCGTATGATTTCGTCCGCAAAGTAACCAAACATGGAGCTTCACCTGGTTTGACTCCTCTATGCACAATACAATGCACGCGATTATTTGCATCAACATTTTCGAGCTCGTCTACGTCCTCGGCGAGGAATAAAGTATGCACGTGACTGGAAATTTCAGCAACAAATGCTTTCTGAATATTCTTTAACACTCCATCCACGACTCCCACTGTAGCTCGTACGGCAGCATCTACGTTCAGCTTCTGTTCCGCTCTCAAAGATACGTTAATATTTCCGGGATTCACTTCGAATAACTCGCCGGTTGGTTTTTTGACTATGAATTTTCCTACCGCGGTATCCACCACCTCTTCGATCTTCGAAATTTGTATGAGATTTGTTTCATCTTCTGGTTCAGTGCATAATGATACCGGGAAAGGACAAGCGTTATGAACAATTACATCAGCGCGAATATCGACGAACATTGCGCTGATGTTTGATGGTGAGGATTCCTCTTGGACGTAACCTATCGCGTGTTTCACATTTTTCGCGACATCGTCAGCAATGCTCGACACAGGTCTATTGTCAGTGTCTCTTGAGACAACTTTTCCATCTTTCTTCAAAACGCCGGAGTATTTCGACGCAGTTACGAGTAGTTTTGCTTCTAATCTGCGCCCTTGCGCACCTATCTTTTCGCCTACATTTTTCAATACCACACAACCACGGGTGACTCCATCTGCAAATGCTGTAATTGGCATCGGCTCACTCATATTCCATCGTTCGCTTTGCTTTTGAGCACTACTCGCTCTCAAACCGTATGCGCAGCTGATTTCCTGCCTCGGATCAACGCTTTCCGAAATAAATACTTCTTCTCCTGGCTTCATGATGCCATAAACGGAAGCCCTCTTGTCGCAGTAGACGACATACTTTGCCTCGCAAGGGAGCGAGTTCCGCAAGACGAGCGGGACCCGAAGAACAACATGGATATTCCGAGAAAGCGCTCTCTTGTTGTTCTTGTCTCCGCGTTTTTGTCTCTCAAGATATACGAGATAGAATTTATTATCAGCTGTGCATATCACGTCGGGCTCACTATGTTCATCGTTATTGTCTCTTGCAATGACCGACTCCCAGCGTTCGCGGAGCGATTCACACAAAATATCACACGTTTCCATACTCTCTGAGCAAATTTCATCGTTTTCATAATGCGTTACGTTTTGAACTCCTTGTTTCTCTGTACTTACGGGTACAAATCGAATCGCACATTGCTCCGTGTTCTCGAAACCTACTGGAAAGCACACATTTCCACCACTTTGTGATACTTCAATAGACCATGAACTCCCTTTTCCCGCTTTAGTATCCTCCATCGTTGCTCGGCGTTCATTCGTGTTTCTTTTGCGGTTCATATTCGGAGTGAAGAACATATTCGTTTGCGAGTTGTACTCATCTCGCTTTTCTCCGCTTTCTCTCGCACTTGAAGCACCTCCTTCGCTCAAAGAGCTACTAGGAAAGACGTTCGTCTCATGATATTCTTCAATGGGAGCAATTTTGCGTCTCCATCGTCTGCGTCGCGTACTCGCAAATCTCCGCTTCCAATTTTTTGCATTTTTGAACTCATTTGGTGGCCACGATGTCACCCAATAAGCATCGTAGGCCCATCCACCCGTGTTACTCACGGTGGAGTTTCCAGGGGGCCTGTCGATTTCCCAATCACCCATCCAATGGTAACCTTCTGGAAGTAACAAACTTTCACCTTCGGGGAAATGATTTGTGGAGTTTGAACCGTCAATATTGAGCGAATACCGAGCAGTAAAGCATGCGTCAAGAATATCACGCGGCGATTTCCAACCAAATGGTGGAAAATGGCGCTCAGATTCCCACACGTATCGATACATCGGGTCGTTTGGATCATATCCTTCTTCAAAAAAACCATTCAAATCGTTTTTCTCTTCCGAAGCCGAGGTAAGATCTTTTGGACTGCGCAACCCAGGCTTTCGTGCGTTGACTTTGGAATTCCCTGCATTATTCTTTAGTTTAACCAGCGTCAGTGAAAAACGTTCCGAAGTTTCGTTTACAAAAGTTGCCTGAGACATTAATACACCCAACCTCGGATCAACCGTAACTTTGTCTTCTCCAACGTCTTGATCTTTCCGCTCGAAGAAATCTGTACCGCTAGCTTTTATCGCCGCATACGGCCCATTCTTCGAAAAGGCAATAAGTGTATCCTCTGGATCAACCTCCTCGGTTTCTTTGTTCTTCAATGCGCTAATATCATTCGTGGATAGCTTTGATATTTTCAAATTAGGCGAGATATCGGTATGTTTCACCCGCATTCGTCCTGAAAGAAAATTTAACTCGAAGTTCTTCGTCAATGCCTGGAATTTGGTAGCTTCTTTTGTTTGAACTTCTAACGGTTCGCCAGAAGGCGCTCGTTTCGAGGTATGACGAATGGTCCAACCACCGGATGCAACAGAACCGGCATTATATATGGTCGGAACCTGTGCTTTTGAATCGCCTTTGCTAGCGTACGTGTTCTTAGTCCCTTGAGGTTTCCAAATCGCGCCAGGACCAATAGTACTCAACTCTCGCGCAAAATCTTCTCTCACGCAACAAAAGCTCTTTTTCGAGGGTTGCTTTTGCTCCTTCGATTTACCGTTATCTGCCGTAACGACACGCCCTAACGCGACGTAACCTTCTGGAGGAATAGGCGCCCAGAAACTTACTGAACTCTTCTTTTCATCCTTCCAAAGAAGTTCGTATCCAATAGGATGCGCGAACGGTGCTCCAGCACGAGGCATTTTCTTCTTAACGTGATCATCGATCACCATACGTGCAAGATATCCGCCTGTATTTGGTGCACTAAATCCAGGAACAACTATGCATCCAAATGGAATCTCAACGATGCTTTCGTCTTCAGTAGAACCATCTATACTTCTTTCACTAGAGTCTATTTTGGCCACAGGAATCCACGCCGAACATTCATACTTCGCTCCCGTGCCTTTCGACCACCACAAAAGCTTGAACTCGTATGTTTTTGTGATATTGCAGTAATTGTCAGAAAACAATAAATTGTCACTCTTTAGTGTTACTGATACACTTTCCGAGTCTTCAATCAAACGTTCATGTTGGTCTCTATTACGTCGTGAGTCTACGTTATCTTCTTGAGTAAAATTCTTCAATTCTTCAAATTCGTCGTCGTCAAACTCTGCAACCGTTCCTTCATAGCTGCTACTTGCATCTGATCTGTCACTGTCGCTATCGTCGTGATCCCTAAAGGCACTCAACGCAGACGATGACGATAGCATGCGTTTGAATATTATGTTGCATGCTCCTGCATTCTTCGCTGAGTCGATGCGACCATGCCTATTGATGTGTATCGGAACCTTCACACTAATATTGTGGAATATGGATGCTCGGAGCAAAATACGAACCTTCGTGGGAATCCCGTTTTCATCGTGGAGATCAATCCAAACAGGTTTCTCTTCACCAACCAAAAGCGCCAGATTCGATGCGACAAACCCTTCCGCAGAAAAGCGAGCGTTGGCATCCTCTACAAAATCGTGCGTTGAACACGGTCGCTCTAGATCCACTCTCAGGCTAGAATTCTGAAAATCGCGCGATCTCGAAGCCGGATGAGGTACGTCCATAGTAATATAGCCCGATTTAGCGTTGAAGGGGAGAGATACGCGCGATTCATCACCGTTGTTAGCTAATCGCATGCGTACCTTGTTTCTAAAAGAATAATTTTTATTCGAAATGGCCAAAGATCGTAGATGAGTGATGCTTGAGTTTGATTTCAGGACGCATGAAATCCTCGAGTACGTGTCCGGAACACCAGAGGAACGGTTTACATCGTTTCTCATTGATTCCATGGGATCATCGACATCAATGATTTCAACCATCATCTTTGCGGTCAGGGATTCTAGAGGGGGGGCAACTTGGACGTCCGCAGTATTCGTATCCACCACTCTTTGCCTCGCCTGGCTTGTTTCTTTCGCTATACAAAAGTTGACATCAAAGTTGCCATGTGGAGGAACGACTCGAACATCCTCGTCCTTCCCACGTTGCAAACTCTTTCGAGACACTGTATATAACGTACGCCCAGTATCGTTTTTCATACGGATGACTTCATTTTCAACCTCTTGATTAACCGAAGACAAAGTTGCGTGCGTAGTCAAGCCCGTATTAGAGAAGCAGCGAAGAACAGAGTCCCTGGATTTACTGCGTTTTTGCGCATGTTTGATTAACATCCGCTTCTCTTTCCAAGATTCAGAAAGCGCAGAACTTCGATCTGGAAAAAGCTCTTTCGTCGCTACTTCGAGTTCACTCACTACATGAGAAGTAGCTGGAGAAAATCCATCGTTATCGGGGTAGGCAATGGACGATTGGTGATCGAGTTGAATCTCCCCTTCAGCGTCCGTATCAAAATTATCTCTCTTCCTCATGATTTCTTTCTTCGTCTCCAGTGCGATTGAAACCATGTCAAGAGCAAAATCTGTGGTCAAAGTAATACATAATTTTGTAGCTTGTATCGAAGCATAGTTTCCAGTACTGAAGCAACGTTCTCCGTGTTTGATTGGAACAAGATTTGCACCAAATACCCATTGCGGAGATACGAGTGGTTCCCACGCGTACTTGCGCCAATTTAAGTGCGCAGCGCCTAACGATGCATCAATACCAACGGAAGCAACGTCGCCGACTACAACGTTAGTCACGATTTCGGTTCTCATGAGTGATAATGCAAACACTGGAACATTTTGATGCATAATACCAGCGCTCTCTCTGTACGAAGAATCGTCTCCGACGTCCATCGGTGTATCCTCCTTTGCATCTGCATCATTCGCGACAATCCTCTGCGGCGCAGCAACGGTTACGGTTACGAGACCTACCGACGCCGAAATCTTGACAATTGGCTTTGGTTTTTCGTACGCAAAAGAAGTAATCCTGGATCCTTCGTCGGAAAAATCTAAAGATGAGATCGACGGTAGTACAAAAAGCGTGGGACCTTTGTAAATATCATTCGGCATGTCGGCTTTGGATATACAGAAAGTACCAAAACCACCAGGTACACGCCACATGCACATTTCGCTTGTACTAGACTTACCACCATGAATGATAAGAAGTGAAGATTCTTTCGTTAATAACGTGACATCCATAGGTGCTACCGCTCCGCAATGGGTTCTACTCAGACACCGGACCGAATCCAGAGATGGTTTTACATTAGCTGATGAAGTACTCACTAATCCGCAACTGACGTAATCTTCTGATGGAGAAACTGGTCGCCAAAAGGCAGCTTGAAGCTGCTTTTTCGAACTCTGGAAAACCAGTTCGAAATCAATTGGTTTCACACAAACATATTCGAGGTCCTCCACACAACGCGTCATGGATGGATGCGCCACGCCATCGACTACAACATCTCCAAGCGATGCAAAACCAGGCGGAGGCAGCGGTCTGAACCCTGTCAACATCTCCCCAGCGTTCCACACCTTTTCAAATTCTACCGCTGTAACTACGCATAGTTTGATATCCGCGATGTTGCCTTCGTAATCTTCATCTTCTAGAGTTATTGCGTTATCGTGGGCAATTTCTTTCTTTAAGAGACGGCGACGGCGTTTGTTTTCAAGTTTTCGGGCTTGAATGTTCTCCAAGGTTTCAATAGCGAGCCCGAGTGGCGTGCGAATATCAACAAAAGATATAGGTGGGTCTATCAGTGCGTTCGATGCTGATGATTTGCCTGCTGAACTCACCATGTGTATCCCAGTCGGGGAGTCCACAGCCCAAACGTGGACCAGATTGCCACTCCTTGAGTTACCCCAAATATCGCGCTTATGCACAGATTTATCATCATCTACATTCAAAACTTTACTCTGACCACGACGCTGCGCATTATGTACTTCACTCCTGCGGTCATCAGGTTTATTACTCTCTTCGTCAGACATGGAAAACAATCTTGAAAGTGATCCCGTAGATTCACACAGCAAACTTTCTCTGACGCAACGCACGCAGCTTGGATCTGGCTCTCCGTCTTCTTCATAAGCCGCAATTAAACCAAGCGCCCTGTAACCTTTTCTAGGAACCGGTTGCCAGAGCACCAAATTAGAGCGAGAAGATGCATCAGACTTTTTGGACGGATTTATACGCTTGAATCCACTTGGCGGTGAACAGTAGGTCATCGAGTCGCGAATAGATGTTGCCGATCGTGTAGGCGAATCGGGGCCAAAGTTAGGAACATCTCCCAGTGAGCAGTATCCCATAACTGGCCGCGGACGCCAGAAGGAAAATGATGTGCTCCTTGCGCCCGTCGCTGCAACAGCTAGAGCATTCTCTTGTGGGATTAATTCACCAGTACTGAAGAAATCAGCTGCCGACGCTCCAAAGTCGGCATCGTATCCCGAACCCTCGAATGACGAATAGACAAGTGCAAAATGATTACATGGTAACAACGGCTGCGTTGCTACGATGGAAGAAACGCGTTGCGCCAGTCGAATCACTCGACCTGCTGCGGCTGGGGAAACCTCGACCCCGATGGGCGATATCATGACATCAATGGATGTTTCTCTTCTTGGCGCGGAAGGTTCAAGCGAGTTGTCGCTCCCCTCAGTCTCATTATAGCACTCATCACTGTCTAATGTTGCCGTGATTTTGCAAGGTTCAACTAATGGATTCAACCTCGCACTGTCCGGGAACGAGACACACATGTGCTCAAGTTCAAACGAGCTTTCTACGCTGCTCCCAATAATGTTAATTTTTGAGTGCACGCTGAAAGATGCGCACAACCCTTCATCTGGGTCGCGGGAAGGGAAAACTGCCACATCGATCGAGTGCAACTTCAGAACGCATTTCAAAGCAGATTTCTTTCTCTGTTTATCAACGACTTTTAAAATAGCTTCTTTCTGCACTTCTAAAAGAGCATCGCCTAGTTTATCCTTTCCTTTGAGCCCAATCACTGCCCTAGCTCCTTCGATGCGTTTGTTTGCAGAGATGGAGTAACCCGGCTTATTACGTAATTCTCGGAGCACTGCAACGACGGTTTTAACCCTTCCACGCCAGGAATTCATCAAGTACTTCATCTCTATTTCAGTTAAACGAGAATCGCGGAATTCTTCGACGCCTTGCTCTGAAAATGAATCCCCATCCCCATTTCCGAGAGTACGTTGTCTGCGAACTATTTTCTTTTTCTCGAGCATCATCTCTTGACGACTTAAGAACTGAACTGATTCAGGATCAACGAAATATGAACCTCCTGACGCCATGCGAATACACAAGTCAAACGTTTCCTTGTCGGGACACACGATGCGACAATTTTTAATTACTAGTCTATGATTCGGACCAATTATGATGCGAGGCGCGAATTGAAGCTCTCTTTCAGCTAAATGCACAGCTCGATCGCCAGATTTAGAGTTTTTCCCACTGTCGCCCTCTTTCTTCGTTTTATCTTTTTTCGACAGATTGTGTTCCAAGTAAATTGTATCGGAATAATCAAGATTAATGGTTTGTTCGCAACCATCCAGAACATATTCCTGCGCACCACTACTAGAAGTTGGAAAATCCGCTAAGACTCTCCTGGTGCGACTTAATGTCATATTTTCTCTTAATTTGAACACTTTCCTTTCTTCCGTAAACAATATATCTTGTGGGAGTATATTTTCGCCAGCGCCGAGTTTTGGCTGAAAGATTCGCGCAGCTTCCAGTAAGGAATCCACGGATGCTATCACTGCTACGCGACCACACTGACAGCTGACCTCAGATATATCGTTTGTTGTGACTTGTTCCAGGCTCAAGAACATAGACTGTAAATACTCATCTTCCTGCTCTTCAACGATTTGAAGTTCCTCAACGCCTTCCGCAGAGGCTTTTACTTCATTCGAAGAGTTCTTGTCTTGCGTGTTCACAACAGCTTCATCACAAAACCCTGCTCGTATCAGATCAATCTTATAGCCCTTAAATCTGCAATCTCTCGCGTATAAACCCTCTATTCCAACTGCCAATTCACTTCGTAATTCATTTCGTGGATTTGACACGTTTGCAAACGAAATGCCTCGAATTCCAGCCTCAACAACCTGTGAGGCTCTTCCCTTCCCGGCAAAGATGCCAAGTTGAATGTGGTCAATTCGCGCCTGGAAACACTGATGTATCAAAAAATCCTTCTTCGGTAGAGGCGGTGCCAATGGATACTTAGCTGGAGTCAGATAGCAGTAAGCAAATGGGGATTGCGTATAGGTCATCGTCGATGTCTGCGTGTATCCTTTGATAACTGAATTCAAAGTTTCCACATCAGAAGCCGAAATCTCAACTGTGAGAACATCATTTGCCGGCAACTGAACATTTATATCCACGCTCGGAGCGTTTGATAATTGTCTTCGAGCATCTAATCGATTCCAGCACGTTGCTTTTAAAGCCACCGGGGCGTCGGACCTTTTGATGTGTGGACCAGAGGCACGAAGTAATGCAGATGAACGGTTCTTCTTTGCTTTGAGCGTCGAATCCCCTTTACACGCAACCGATAATCCGTGTATAAAGATGTCAAACTTGGCCCAATGCGCTCGATTTGCATCAATCGTGAATGATGTAGAGACATCAATTCCTTTGAACGACTCGCTCGCATTTTTATCAACAACACCGACGCAGAGAGAAAGCGATGGCGCAATCTCATCTCGAACACTACCCGGTAAAACCACGCGAGAACCCATTACATTAGCCGTAATCTTAACTTTCTTCGTCACGAAGCCAGGACGCGGGAAAACGAATGGTGGCAAGTTTGGTAGAAAGTGTGGCGGCGATAAAGTCTTGAAAATTGGCAACAAGCAATTTGCAATGTTAATGATGCAATTTTGATTTGCAAGCACTCGAAGAGGAGCAACTTTTGCCTCGAGTTCAATATCGATGTCATCCTCATGCTCATGAGGCAGCCATGTTTGACGGCGTATCCACAGAAACGGAATGTTACGAATTTTCTTACGCGCTGATTTCTCCTCCTCCAAGAAAAATGTCAAGAAGTCGCTTGCAGCGTTGTCCTTCGCGATCAGATCGCGATTAGCGTGACCAACAGGTAATGTGGGGTCAGATAGCGTCAAATTATCGCACGAAATTTCCAAATCTTTCGTGCCTTGTTTGCCTCCGCCCCATCCTTGCTTACCAACTGGTTTAGCGCGAATATACAGACGAGAATGGAAATTAGACACCGTCGCCTCTAATATTGGTTGTCGTCGAGTATCAGCAGCCAATACCGATTTCTTCGGATAGTCGTAAAGTTTAGCGACCAACGAATCACCATGAAATGTGAAATTGAGCTTAATCTTGTGTGCGAGTTTACTCGCATCCATGATCTTCACTTTTTGCAGCTTTTGTCTCATACTTTCCCATTCTTCACGGGAAGGTGCAAAGACGGAGTCGTCATATCTCGAGGGCCACCCCTTTCCAAATGACACAGGGCTTTTAAAAAGGAACCGGAAGCTGGTGAACGCCGCAATTGGTTCTCTAGCAATGTGTGTTTCGATTGAACTGACAGCCATTCGTAAATCAGCAGCCTGTGTTCCATATTCAGGATGCGAAGGTAAAAACGCCTCGAGGCTGAAACCGACGCAGGACTTCTTCATAGCATCAGTTTTGTACCTGAGATACTTGGTTGAAAGTTCATCTCTTAGAGGTTTTTCTATGAATACCGCATCATGATCCTTGCCAATGCCTTCGATAGTCCAGCAGTCCTTAATTGCAACTCTTCGGAGACCGGCGCCCAATGTCACGCTACCTTTTGTGGCTTCACAACTCAGCGTTAGTCCAGTAATTTTGACATTCGCCAACGGTCGCTCTTGGAAGCAGTCAACGACGTACTTAATCTTTTCATCATCAGCCAGCTGATCAATAAAATAACTTTTCGACATGTCATTGACGTATAAATCAGTCTCATGATTGTGATGTCTCAAAGGAGCAGCTAGGTGAAATCCAAACAAACCCATCGAGAACGTAACGGAAGCTTTCTTCGTTTTATGCTCGTCAACTTTTAGAACTCGCCTGACTTCTTCATGGAACGGCAATAACCTCGCTTCCATGTTCAATCTACTTTTTATAACGTCGCAGATATCTTTCGACCAAAATCTGAAGACAAAACCATTTGGATGTTCGCACATCCTTTCAAAGTTTGACTCGATGGAACGATCCAGTAAAGCGTCGCCAACGATTAAAGTACGGTCATATTCCGAGTATTCTCTGTTTGCATCGTCTTTGTCGTTCATCTTCCTGAGAATCTCGTCGCTATCGGTTGATACATGTAATTTTACTTTTATTGTTTTCCTTTTTTCGTCGATCGAGAGAACACAAACTTCAACTTTTTCTTGAGTGCGCGTCAACGGGTTTCCGGCTCCTCGCGTTCCGGCCAATTTTAGGACTCTCGGTTCTAAGTGATGAACGGAACCTGCTGGTTTATCAACGACAGACAACGTTCCCTCTCGAACAAAGACATCGCACGACTCCCAGTATGGTAATTCTCCAAACAAATCAGCCGGCACGAGTCGTTCGCAGTTGAAAACATCAATATCTCGAGCGAAAATATCATCGGTATCCTTGCGCCCTGACGAAAAAGAAGAAGGTAAACTCGAAGAAAAGGTAATTTTCTTCTCGTCGTCGTCGTCGCCACTCTTTAAGATTTTATCAGATTGCGAAGACGCGATGTCGTTGCGTTGTTTCTTCTGTTCTTTGATTCTCTTTGCCTCATCTGCAACTTTCTTGGCCGATTCCGTGAACTGTGTGGCCACGCGCAAGGCCATGTTTATTCGTTCTGGCGACACAGATAATTGAATAGATGGCAGATTGACGTCAACGACGACCGGGGAATACTTCAACGCCTCTCGAGGAGATAACACGTAATGTGATGCGAGGATTGTACACTGAACGCGAGATAATAGAGGAGTCTCGACTCTATTACTTTCTCCAGCTTCACTGAGAAGCTGCCACGACTGGTTACAGGTCCATGCAAAATTGTCCGCAAACCCAATAGAACAGTCCAAAAGCTTACCTTCAATCGTTCTCTTTCGCCAACTACTGCGCGCATTCGCATCTTGTTCCTGAACGTGTGCATTCTGGGCGCTTTTAAGTGTTCGCGCTGTAAGAGGACCAAACCTTGCAATTAGGGTTGTTCCTTTCTTCCTCCTATTTTTACGCTGGGATGGAACCGCCAGATGAACTTTTCCGACGAATACTGCTAATCCAATCTTTGGTAAGCTCAAATCACCAGAGGATGAAACTCCAGAACCCGCTTCGATAGATCCGCGTGGAATGACGTCCAGTTCAGGAGTGATTTGCGCAGAAGTATTGAAACGAGATTGCATACAACTACCCTTCATGCGCCTCGTGAAAACGTCGACAATGCGGTCAATTGGTCCGCGAAGAATTGTGATGAACATAGGTGATAAGATCAGAGCACAGTAACCAACTGCCTTTTCTACTTCTGTATTTAAGTCGCATTTCTTGGTGGCGAGTGAAGAACCAGCAATAGTCGCACTATCGGTTTCCAGCGAGATGGATAGCTCGGTATTTTTGTTCGTTATCTTGCGTTTTTTCGAAGCCGCGAAAGATACAGCTTTAGATACAGGACTCCCGCTAAAGCATCTTGGGCGACCATTCGAGATAGTATCTTCTGCATCGTTCAAATCTGCGTTAAATAATTTAGCGAGCATTATTGGGAGCGACATACCCATGCCATGAGTCGAATACGATGAATAATAATCTGTTTCATCTTCACCGAGCGCCAGTAAATCGCCCTCCGGCGCAGAGAAACGAATAGTATCTATAGTCGACCGAACGTCTATCGCATCTTTCACGAAAGATATCCCCATCATTTTTGCTCCTATCACGAAATTATTGATCGACACGCTGAACAATTCAGATTCTTTGATTGGTATTTCAGCAAAAGACGAAAAAGAAGTAGACGAAGACGGTGCTAAGCTATCCGAGAAAGCATCGTCGTGGTCATTGCGCTCGTTCGAAGAAGCGTCGAGAATTTTCATCGAAATTTCTTCAAAAGCGATGCACGTAGCAAACATTGGAATCTTACTCTTCTTCTCAACACTTTGCATCTCGCGCTTCTGGATCTCTGCATATTCTTGTCTCTCTTTAATATCAAAAGTGTCTCCAACTTCATCCCAGTCGATTTGCGACTCATCGTCTGAAATAGCAGCATCGCGATTATCGAACTCGCTCGGAGCGTTTCTCGGCGGACGACTCGGTGTTGCGAAGAGATGTTTGACCGGCGTCGCAGCGTTCTTCTTTCGAATTTGCCTGATTTGTCTCTTCAGATTCTCTTCGTCTTCTTCTGCGCGAATTCGAGCTTCTTCGATTTCGCGCTTTTTGATCGCATCCAATTCATCTCTCTCCTGCTGGTTCTTCCCGATGTTCGTAATGAACCGTTTCGCGGCGCCGAGAGGTTTAAACCCTACATTCTTGATAACTTTTACTCCCACAAGTAAACCTTTACCCGCGACGCCAGCAACACCCTTCACAATCTTCATAGGTATTGGCCCGCCGCCGCGTCGGGCAGCTTCGCGGCGAAACGCGCGTTCGCAGCCTCCATTTTTCCTCCACTCTACGTGTGCGAGCTGTCTAAAAAAAGCAATCATGCGAGCGTTTGGAATCTCACTTTCAAGCTCATCGAGTTTACGTATCTTTCCAAAAGGTTTCTTCATCGGCCAGTTGACGTTTTGCTTCGAAGACGGCGGTGGCGGCGCAGACTTTTGGAGAATCTCGTCTATGTAAACTTTAACATATGCTTTCCTTTGTTCGTGCAGAGTTTTAAGAGCTTTCGAGTCGAGGCTAAAGCCCAATCCGAGTCGTTCTCTCCGTTCTCGAGTTTCCTCTTTGACCGCTTCGCACGCATATTGCCACCAAGATTGAGCGTTTTTATTCGTTCTCCTCGTTTTTGTTCCCGCGGGTGATTTCTCTTCTACTTTTTCTGATCCATCGAAGACTGGAACGCCCGGTCGTAAGTGTTCAAACCGTCTATCGTGCACGCTTTTTTTCAATATTTGCGTCGCCCAATATGCCAAACTTGCGGCACCAGCAGAAACATTCGCGCTGGTTTTTGGAATATTCAGAGTTAACCCGTGCAATGCAGAAGCCGTCCCGGATTCGATGGCTTCCATACCAGCTCGTTCGTACCTTGCAGTTACTACGAATGGCTCGATGATACGATTTCGATTCTTTGACTTTGCGCACGCTTCCATAATCTTGCAAAATCGGATCGGGTCTTCGTGCGGTTTCAAATCTCGGTTCTTGACTTTCTCGAGAAGATGCACAGAGTTCAAATCGCAATACACCACGGCGTTGTTAATTTCGAGTTTTTTACGCAGCGTTTCCTTAAACGCATCGACGATAAATGCTCTCGAATCACCGAGAACATTAGTCGTTTCTAAAGCGATGCTTTCAAGCGAAGCTCCGACGGCAAATTTCGGCATATTCTCGTCTCCTTCTCCTTCGAAGCGAAAGTGTATATTTTTCACAGTGACTACGGCGTTTGCGAGAACAACGTCCAAGAGCGCTCCGAAACCGACCGGTTTCTTCTTCTTACTCTTGCTTTTTTTCCGAGTACTACCTCGATTACCTTCCTTTCTCTTCCTAGTAGATGACATCACATCGGTATCATTTTCTGGAGTTTGCAACGGAGGTTGATATTCTGGCGTCGCGAACATTTCCTCGCGTCGTCTGGTATCCGGCGAAGAGAACAGTCGTCGTTTCGAAGCGTTCGCGGATTCTTCTTCTCCTTCCACGTCGTCCTCGCTCTCATCAAAAGATGAAACAGACGAGACGTCGTCGTTGTCATCGTCGTCATCATCGTCCTCTTCCTCTTCTTCCTCTTCTTTCTCTTCTTTCGTGATATCGCCCCAAAACTTTTGTCTCAACTCCTCCGCGCCCGGCGTCGGATCTCCTCTCAACCAACTCCGTTCCAAACTCTCCGCAATTCTCCGTTTCTTCGCGTTCACCTGCTTCCTCTTCTTCTCTTTCTTCTCCTCTAACGCTCGTTTCATCTTATTTCGTTCGTTTTCGGACATTTCCTTTTGTCCGCTCTCGTCGTCCTCGGAGTCATCACCATCACCTTCTCCTCGAAATTCGCACAACACGTGCAACCGATCAAATATAACCTCCACTGGTTTCCTCCCTAACTCTCTCCACGGAATCTTAATCTTCAACTCCCCGACGTATCCCGCTTTCACTTTCACGTTCGAGTTAATCGACGATATCCCTTTCAAAGCGGTTGATTTCACTCGCACGTTTTTCAGCGTGACTTCTCCATTCAGTAAAGACAGTTTCAAATTCGACTTGTCTAAACCGTGCAAGCGGTCGCCGAGCGCGCGGTTCAACGCTTTCGCGATTTGGCCTTCTAACACCATACTCACGCGTTGTCGTTTTGCGTCGTGGTACTACTAAATACTATCTACCGGTATGTGTATAAATATATAGATGATGCGTGTATTAATATGAATGTATATCGAGAGAAACGAGTTGAGGAATATTTATGTCGAGAGAGAGAGAGAGAGAGGGTCGACAAGCTTTTTCCCTCTAACTGTCTAATTCCTTCTGTAGACAATCAATCTCTTCTTTGCAGTGTTCGTTCTTTTTGGCTCTTTTTTGGCATTGATTTGGTTTGAAATTTTCTTGCGTTCTTGCGTGTTGCTCCTTATATAAATATCTATCGAGCGCTTTAACGACGAGTCGTGCTAATAACACACGCCGTTCTTTGATTTCTCTGAGTGTTCGAAAACCATCGACACGAGAAACGCGTCGTTCAAGGATCGATATATTACGAGAGTTATTCGGTGGGGAGTTCATACGGCCACACATAATACTACTCCAGAGTTGCTTGAACGCGTTTCGTCTCTCGGGAAGAACAAAAGAAAATGTTACCACCACCGAATCCGATAGGCGGTGTTGGGTTTAACTCCTCGAACAACCAATTTCCATTTCACCACCACAACCGGCGGAACAACAACAGTTTTAGAGGGAGGAGCGCGAACTTTAACGGCAAGCGCGGAGGAGGGAAGAGCAACAACGAGACTCGGAGAGAAGTCATCAAATCGGATTCGAATTCCTCGAGGCATCCGAACAACGGCAATAAACCGACGAATTCGAATTCAAACGCAAACTCTTCTTCTTCCGTTTCGTCGTCGTCTTCTGGAAAGGAAATCGCTTCTGGGGGTGGCGCTGGGGGCGGGTGGAAAGAAAAACTTTCCGGTTGGTCCACCGCGGCGTCCTCCTGGTCCGCGAAAACCTTGGAAGGGAGTTCAAATTCGCTCTCCAAAGCGTTAACGGACTTTAACAAGCAGTTTAAACCGCAGATGGAAGTGGCGGTGGATTTTGTCGGCCCGACTTGGGACCGCGCGGTGGAAATCGCGAAACCAGTGACTGGACCGTTGAGGGAGGCGTGGTTAGGTTTGAGTCCGCAGACGCGAGCGTTCGTGAAACCGGCGGCGACCGGGACGGCGGTGGCGCATATCATTCTCGGCTTCCCGAGTCGAAGGTACGCGAGGAAGTTGGAGAGGAAAATCACGGAGATGGAAAAGGAGCGAGTGCAGTTGATGGTCGATGATTTTTCGTTGGAGAAAGAGGTGTTGACGCTGAGCGCGGAGAATAGGCGATTGGAGAAGAGAGTTTTGAGAAGCGAGATGGCGTTGCACGCGATTCGAAGACGGGTGGCGGAATTTTCGTTGCCGAATAAGGCGAAGGACGCGTATGGGATTGATGCGAATCCGAACGATACGAACGGAGATGGGGTGAATGACTACGGGTTAGCTGCGAAGAATTTAGCGTCCAGTCAAGAGATGGCGTGGAGAAAGACGCAGGCGTTGAAAGATGCCGGGGTATTGCAAGAAAGAGGAGGCAACGAACAACACAACGTGTACGAGAATGGAATTCAAAAAGCATCGAGTAGTTCGTCGTCGAGTGGAGAGGGAGGAAATTGGTCAGTAGAGCAAAATATGTGGGCGTTAGGGGCAACTGTAGCGGCTGAGGAAGCATCGTCGTCGAACGATGGATCGGCTGGCACGTTCCTTCCCCCAAGATATTAAAAATTATAATACGAACACACACACACACACACAAACACACAGTGTAACATTTGGAATATACCTCATAATTACATATATATAAACTGGTTTTGTCTACTGTACTTTCTATCTACGTTTCGCTAGATATTATTACTTGGTTTATTGCTTTTGTCGCTCTTGTTCTTGGAGAAAAGCATCAATCTTTTCTAGCAACGCATTGGCCGCGTCGTCGTTTGGAGAAATCAGTCCTCCGTCGATTCCTTTCTGTACGCGTTTCACGTGTTTCTGAATGACGTTGTCTTTGTTATTGATGCATCCCAAAGCTTCGGCCGCTACAGCGACGTTTAATATTTCAAACGAAATCTCCGGCTTCAAGCCGTCGTTTTGCGACTTCTTCTGCGACGCTCGAAGCATAAACTCCACAGTTCTCGCGTTTGATTCGTCCACGAATTCTTTTCCATACACCCAATCAAAAGCGTCTAAGGTTTTACCGACCGCTCCGACATCGTTTGCAACTACTGCATCATCGTTAATACCCCCAACATAATCACTATCCTCGTCGTCACCGCCCCCTGTGGTACTACTTCTACTACTACTGCTGCTACTACTACTACTGCTGTTACTACTACTGTTACTTGCATTCCCCAAGCCTTTGGCGAGTTCGATCAAAAAAACAGCGCGTTCCAATCTCGTCTCGTACGTTCGCACCCTGAGTCCGTTCATTTCCTTCACCTGTTCGGAAACCTCACGAAACTTACCATACCCGATTTGCGGATCCCACTCCGCGCTCTCTCTCTTCATCTTTTTAATCTCTCTGGTTGAATCCACCGCGGATTGAAACTTCGCGTCCGCCTCTTCGATTCTTTCGTTCGCCTCTCTCAAACTTTCCGCCGCTCCAATCGGCGGTTCTGGACGCCGTTCCATTTCCTCCTTCTCTTTCCTCTCTCTCTCTTCTCTTTTCAGTTGCATCGCTCGCGTTTCCTCTCTCAGCTGTACTTTCCTTTGCTGCTTCGACGACGCTTTCCGTTTGGCCACTATCTCTCGCGTTTTGGAGAAGAAGAGACTGTTGTTCTTTGACCATCCATCGTTGGGTTTTCCAATCGACTGTGATGCCACGAAGGCACACTTCCTGGACGACAACACCATCGACGACGTCGAAGAACTTAAAGACGACGACGACAAAATCATTCACCTCTCTCTGCTTAATCACTTCGTCACGCCTTTCGCGACGTACGCTTTCAGCGTAAACTCATTCAATCCTTCCGGAATCACGTACGTCGGTTTCTTCCAATCGAGCAAAACGAATCTCCCTTTGCCTCCTCCGCCGACTTTCTTCTCGTGCCACCCGGGGGAGACGCTTCGTTTCCCTTTGTAATAGCCAGATTTCTTGCTCAGTTTCGTCGTGAGCGAAGTGAAGGATTCTCGGACCGCTCGTCTGCCCATGAGTGCCGCGACCGACGCGTGCATGTTGTTTGCTGTGAATGCAGACCCTTTTTTGTGGGGGCGTTTCCCCACATAAAAGATATGTTCGCTCCTTTGTCGTTGTCTTCCTCTTCCGGGGCAACCTCGAGGAGCGACGCGCTCGCGACGACGAGAAGGATGATGCAAAACGCGTCTTCTTCTCTGTCGGTATCCTCCAAATCGAGTGTAAGGTGGACGACGCTCACGAGAGCGAGAATCGAGAAGAGGAGAAACACATCGCGCGCAAAATCGAATCATTTGGCGGCGACGGCTTCGTCGTCATCGTCATCATCATCATCTTCTTCTGACGGTCGTCGAAATCGTCAAAGTCGTCGAAACAAAAGCGCGACATCGTCGCGCTTTGGCGATGCGCACGTCCACGGAACGATGGGAGAAGCGTCCTCAGAGTGGATGTCATCGTCGCTCTCATCATCGAGAGAAGACTCCCGTTGGGGACAAAAACGGACGAAAATTGTCCCCAGGAACTCGAACCGATTGGACGGGAAAGGAGGAGGAGGGGGAGGTTTTGAAGGCACGAGCGGAAACGTGAGTGGCAGCAGCAGCGCGAGTGGCCACGACGGCGCGGGAGTGTCCTACGACATCTCGAACGACGAGAGCGACTTTTTGCAACAAGCCGGGATGTTGGATGGGAAGGAGAAAAGTGCCTCTTTATCCTCCTTAGATATCGCGGCGGAGAAAACCAACGGGACGACGATCAGTAGGGATCACTCGAGTTCGGAGTTCGAGGAGGACGAAAATTGCGACCCAGAGGAGGATAGAAAGAACAGAGTAGGAGGCGGGGGATGTTGCAACCACTCGCACGGCGGTGCTTTAGCCGTGGATGAAGACGTAAATAGAGCGAGGAATAAAGTAGAAGTCGTAGTAGACGTGGTTTTAACAAAGTCAAAGTTGAACGCCGCGGCTGGATATTTGCGAGGACGAGGGAGTTTGACGGTGTTGTCGTGGTGCTTGTTGCTCGTGGCTGGATTTTGCCACGTCTCGACGTCGATTTGTGCCATGCTCAACGTCGCGTCGATTGTCCCCGGCGCTACCGCGGCGTGGCTTTCCACGTCGGCGACGGCGTTGGTGTATCTATTCGCTGGAACACCGGAATTTGTGGACGTCTTGTATGAAGTCGCGAGAGGTAACATTAACGTGCACGTACTCACGACGCTGGCGGTGTTTGGTACCGTTTTACTCGGGTGCGCCTTTGAAGGCGCGCTCTTGCTCGTGTTGTTTGCATCCGCGCACTACGTGGAAGATAGATTGACGCAACATGCGCGAGGCGATTTAAAAGCGTTGTGGAAAACGGTGCCACCGTTTGCGAATGTTGTCGACATCGACGGCGCGACTGGAGACCCCATCGAAGGATCGCAGCGGAAAATGCGCGCTTCGGAAGTGCCCGTCGGGAGCTATTGTTACGTTAAAGCGGGGACGCAAGTTCCTTTAGACGGCATCGTCGTTCACGGTTCAGCGAGAGTGTCTATTCAACACATTACGGGCGAAGCTTTGCCCGTGCGACGCAGAATCGGCGACGAAATTCCAGCCGGCGCGATGAACATTGACGGGGTATTGATCCTTAAATCTTCGCAGTCTTCCGAAAATAGCACACCGGCGAGAATTGCAAAGCTCACCGAAAGAGCGCAACAACGCAAACCGCGAGTGAGTCGATTAATTGATGACGTTGGCGATAAGTACTCTAGGATTATTTTGTTTATAACCTTTGCGACGATGGTGACGGCGCCTCTCGTGTTCGGAGTTCCCTTTTTAGGTCGAGGAGGAGCAATGTACCGCTCGTTTGCGTTCTTATCTGCGGCGGCTCCGTGCGCGCTGCTCATGTCTCCGTTAGTGTACGTCGCGGCGATTGGCGCGATGGCCAGAAGAGGTATCCTCATCAGAGGCGGGCGAACTCTGGACGCGCTCGCAAACGTCAATCTCGTGTGTTTAGACAAAACTGGCACTTTGACGTTGGGTGAAATGTCCATCGTGGAAATAAAAACCGTGGAATTAAGCGAAGAGAGCATCGCGAGCTTAGCGTTTAAAAGAAGCGACGAGGAGAGCGTGCGCGTTGCGAAAGCGTTGGAACGAGGTTCGGTGCATCCGATTGCTAAAGCCACCGTCAATTATATCGGTAACGGCGACAACAGCAGCGCGAGTCGTAGCTCTTTGGACGTGAAAAACTACAAAGTTGAGCACGGTAAAGGTGTTGAAGGTGAAATTAACGGCGAAGTCTTCAGATTTGGAACCGCGTCGTGGGCTTTAGAGTGCCGCCGTGGGAACAACTCGAGCGAAGAAGAAAAAGTAGTCGCGCGAGCAACGGAGGAACACAGAAGCGCCGGCGAAGCAATCGCGGTTCTGTGCTCGTCTTCTTCGCCCGATGCTACGGTCTTTCGATACTCCGACGCACCGCGCGCTGAAGCGAAGGATGCAGTCGATACCCTTCGGAAACGAGGACAGACCGTGCGCATGCTCACGGGCGACGCGACTGCGTCAGCGTTGGCGATTGCCGAACAAGTTGGCATCGAACCAGCCGCGGTATTTTCGCAATTGACTCCGGATAAAAAGTTAGCTCACGTAGAATCTGCGAGAGAAGATGGCAAAAAAGAAGAAAATGGCAAAGTAGTAAGCGTCGCTATGATTGGTGACGGTATTAACGACGCGCCGGCATTGGCGGCGGCGGATGTTGGCATCGCCGTGTGCTCGACGCCTTCAGATGCGGCGTCTTCTGCCGCGGACGTCTTGTTACTTCAAACTGGACAAGGGCAACTTCAAAGCAAAGACACGGTGATGAGTGGTGGATCCATGTCGGTGATTTCAGCGGTTCCAGAGCTCTTTGCGCTCGGGCGCATGACGCGAAATATTTTACAGCAAAATATTTTCTTGGCGATTTGCTCTATTCTCGGATCCGCCTTGCCAGCTTTGTTCGGCGCGTTCCCGCTTTGGTTAGCCGTGTGTGTTCACGAAGGCGCGACGTTGTTAGTAGCCGTGAACTCGACCCGTTTGCTGGCGACGTTTGGACCCCGGAATTCCATGCGCCTTTCCAAGCGCGTGAAGTTCTTAATCGTCACTTTGACGTTGGTGGGCATCTTTGGTGCGTTAGGCACGGTGTTCAAACCGCAAGGCGTGATGTTACAAACGCTCATCTCTGAAGCTGTTACCGCTGCCGTCGCGGAATCTTCCGTGGCGTTCCATTCCTTCTTCCATCCGGTTTTGAAATCTGCCTGGGCCGGCTTGTTCGCCGGCGGTTTACACACGCTCACTGGCGCGGACCACTTAGCCGCGTTGACGCCGTTATCCGTCGGTCCGTCTCGAGCGAAAAATGCGCTCCTCGGTGCGCTTTGGGGATTCGGTCACAACACCGGTCAAATAATCTTCGGTCTTCTGTTCATGCTTTTGCGAAACAGAATCCCGTGGAACACGGAAATCATCGGCCAGTGGGGCCAAGCCATCGTCGGTTTAACGCTCATCTTCATCGGGTGCTTAGGATTCTGGGAACAAGTCGGCGGTGGCCACGGTCACTCGCACATCCACTCCCACGGCGGACACTCCCACTCCCACTCCCATTCTCACGGCTCTAGCGACGACGGCGGCGAAAGCTACGACGAAGTCGAACAGTCTCACGAACACCGGCTCTCCCCGCTCCGCCTCGGCGCCTCCTCGGAAGCCTCCCGCATCTCCTGGACCTACATCACCGGCACCATCCACGGTCTCCAACCAGACTCCCTCTTTCTCCTCCTCCCGGCGCTCACCCTCCCAAAACTCGAAGCCTACTCCTTCCTCGGATCCTTCTTCTTCGGCACCATCGTCGCTATGGGTGGGTACACCGCCTTCCTCGGCGCCGGGACGACGTTGCTCGAAAAAGAAAATCCGCAAATGGTGAAATACATCGGATTAGCCGCCAGTTCCGTCGCTTTCGCGTTAGGCGCCGCGTTCGTTTTGAGTTCCGTCTTTTCCTTGAATTGGTTGTAATACTATTTATATTATTATTAAGGTACCACCGTAATACTCCTTTTCCTCTTCCTCCTCCTGCTATACTCTCGCGTGTGAGGATACGCCCGCATCAAAGCTTCGCTTTTCCTCGCTCAAAGTTGTCTTCTCGCTCGTGGTTTTGCGCCAATTTTTGGATGTATTTGTGTCTTTTCAGAGAAGATTTTCCGCATTTTTTCCTTCAACCAATTAAAGAAATGCCATCGACGAACTTTTACTCCGAAGAGGACGACGACGACGAAAAAGAAGAAGAAGAGTATCATTGGGAACCCAATCGCGACTACGCGTTGGTATCCTCCTCCTCTTCCTTTTCCCTCAACAACGAGAGGAAAAGAAACGACGAAAAGAGAAGGGAAAGCGCGTTGTTTACGATTCAAAGGCTCTGTAGAGAGAAAGTTGTTAGCGGGGAAAAAAGATCAACTGGAAATTCGAGGAATAACAACAACAACAACAACTCGCGGATACGACGACAACAGAAGAACGCGCACGGGCTTCTGCTGAATACGAAGAACACCGCTCGCGTCATCAAAGGAGGGAGGAAAGGAAGCGTCGACAGAGATGCGGCGAAAAGAGGCGTTTTTGAAAACTACCGATTCGATTGTGATGATGAGGTGGAGGAGGAGGAAGAGGAGGCGTGGGGTGTGTCCGTAGGGAGGAAGAAGAACGAGCGCGACGAGCACTCGGGGGAAAGTTTTTTACTAGGAAAGAGGAGGATGAAGACGACGAGGAGGACACGTTTGGATGAGAATGATGATGCGTGCGAGCGCCGCTATTTGATCATCACGGATGATGATGACGACGATGTGAATGGAACAGATACGTGCAAATGTTCGACGACGCGGAGAAGAGAAAGAAGCGGATACGAAGAGCAGTTTCGAGTGACGCATCGTTTGCTTCGCGCGGATTGCCATCCGGAAGATTTGCTCGGGAGCGATCGCGCGGTTGACGCGCAAATTGCAAACGCGGTTGGATGGATTGAAGAGGAAAATAGGAAATGTGATAGTGGTAGCGATAAGGGAGTAATAGCGCAACTCGGTCGAGGAAGCGTTTTGTTTACGTGGCAACAATACGAGAACATGCACGTGCGCGCGTCAGAGGGCGGCGACGAGCTGCTCGCAGGAAACAGATTTTGTTTGGGAGAGATGGACGATGATGAAAACGAAGACGGTGAGAGCGATAACGAAGCGAACAGAGGCGGCAATCGATTTAGTTTGTTAAATAAAACGATGAGTTATTGCGCGTCGTACTGGGACGCGGCGTCGGAAGAGCTCGTCTCGTCGCACGCGCACGCTCTTGGTAGCGATAGTGCAACTTCTGGAGAATCATTCAGAAGTGGAAGTCGTCGTCGTCGCAGAGTGCGCACGCAAACGGCGAGTCCCTGGCCGAATACGTCTGTCGCGCCGTACGTCGCAGTCGTAGGAGAGAAGATTTTTCTCCGAATGTTTGACTACAACAATAAAAAGGAAGCTAATTTATATCGAAACAATAAAGTGATCAAATCTGTTCGCATGTACGGGCAGTTTGGCTCCGTGGTCGCGCACCAGAAAGACTTCATACTCGAAGGGAGTATTTGTAAATTTCCGAAAGATTGTTTCGACGATCATCTGCGCTCGATGGATTCCTCTTCGAGTGCGCCGAAGATATCGAATTTGTTTTTCCAGCTCGAGTTTGAAGACGAAGACGGTTTACAATTATTCTCGGCGCCTAAACCGTGCTTGTTGTGTATGGAAAAGGAAAGTGCCGAGCAGTTTCAGGCTTTCCTCATGGAGCCTACGATGTTCGGAAAGAAATTCAAGAACAAAATCGATCGATTGTGCTCGAGATGCAGCTTCGTGAAGGACGTCGGCACGGTGTTCACGTTATGGCACACTGGACTTTTGTATGGAGATCTCGGTGGTCATCCGCTTTTGGCAGTAGTCACGCAGTGTTCGAGCGACCCGACCTTTGCGCGCATGTGTCCGACTATCTTGATAGAACTGCAGGCGATTCAAATAGATGTCGTGTGCTGGTCTATGGAAGTGAAAAAAATCCCGGACGACACCGGCGAAGAGAAAGGACAAGACTCGTATTTCGGGAAAAATACGGAATGGTATGCGTCTATAACGAACGTTATGCTCGTCGATCCAACGTGGTCGAGTTATCCCCAACTTTGCGGGAAGATATTGTTGATACCTTTTGTTATTCCTGTAAAGTTCATGGGAAACGTCCTCTTCATAATTTTCGGCGAACGCTATGGTTGTGCTTTGGTGCCGCAGCAGTTATCGGAGCGGAACGAACGAAAAGCTATTCGTGCTGTGGGTCCATCGACAGGTGCTTTCAAAGATGATATGGAAGCGTTTGAGCTCTATCGCGGCTACGTGAATGCGCTCGTACTCGACAAATGTCGTTTTAGATCTTTGAGTATTTACTTAGTGCTCAACTTGCTGTTTGGCATGAAGTACGCGTCGCAGTTTTCGAGCGAAATCGTTTCCCCGAGGGGAATCTGGGTAAGGATTGGTGTTCCCATCGCCTTTATTAGCGTCATTTTGGGCGTTCACATAGTGCACTTGTTCTTTAAACGTGATATTTCAATATTCGGTTATTGGAGTGGACGTAAACAGGATCTTTTTGACCGGTACAAAAGAGCGGGCATAATTTCGATCATGATCTTGTCGACAGTGTGTGGCGCGCACGGATCTATAATGCGATACCAACGCGCTTCGGTTGAAAAGTTTTGCTCTTTGAGACCACCACAATACGACTACGATACTAATGGCAATGGAGTGTTGCGATACGACTGTAACGACATGCTAAGGGTACTGTTCCGGCAAGAGTGCTTACTCTTGTTGTTATGCTTCTTAGGTTCATCCATTCACTCCTCGTACCCCAGACGCGGGTTCATGTTTCCTGTGTCGGCATGTATATCGGGTTTCTTGGCGTTTTTACCGCCGCAGTTTAGTACTTTTATGGACCCGCCGGAAGAGGTGAACGTGGAGACCTTATTCAATTTGTACGGCATCGTTGCAATTCTTTGTATGATAATCTCGATAATAACTGCGCTGAACATACAAGCACACTTCAAGAGGCAAACCTTGGATTGGTTTCTCGGCAGTTATTTGTACCAAACGATGAGGAGCAGAAGAGGAAAAGAAGCTTGAACTTGAAGATAAAGCGATAAGGACGACGACCTGACGACGACGGGAACGACATATGTAATTAATTATATCCCGTGGTATGTACTGGTACCTGGTACCACTGGTACTGTTATTATTATAAAAAAGTTCTCTTTCTCTTTCTCTTTCTCTTTCTCTTTCTCCTCTCTTTTTGTCCCTTTCACTCTCTCTACGCCGAAGCCGCTCGACAGAAGGTATCGGCTTTCGCATCGTACGCCGCAAACAAAACTGCCGAATTATGGCCGCCAAATCCAAACGAGTTACTCAACGCAACCTTCACCTTTAACTTCTCCTTCGTCGTTCCCACCAACAAATCCGTTCGCACACCTTCGTCAGGGTCCTCCAAATTCTTATTCGGATGCAACTCGCCAGTGCCGATGGCTTTGATCACCGCCACCGCCTCGACCGCGCTCGCCGCGCCCAACAAATGTCCAATCAGGCTCTTGGTCGAGTTAATCTTCAACTCACTATTCTCGCCAAATATATCCGTAATCGTCCTCAGCTCGGCTAAATCTCCCGCTGGAGTACTCGTCGCGTGCGCGTTGATATAATTCACATCCTCCGCCAACACGCCGGCGTTTTTCAACGCCCTACCAATGGCCAACCTCACCCCGGCCCCGTTTGGTAACGGTTCGGTCATGTGGTGCGCATCGCACGTCGCCGCACCTCCCAAAATCTCTGCCAGTATCGGGGCATCTCTCGCCAACGCGCTCTCTAACGACTCCAAACACAAAACTCCGCACCCTTCCCCCATGACGAACCCGTCTCTATTCTTATCCCACGGTCGACTCGCGCCTTCCGGATCGTCGTTTCTCGTCGACAACGCTTTACTCGCCGCGAACCCGGCAATCCCGCTGCTCAAAACCGCCGCATCCGACGCTCCGGCTAAGCACAAATCGCACTCCCCGTTCCTTATGTGATCCATCGCATTCATCATGCAAAAATTCCCCGTCGCGCACGCCGCCGCGATGGAATAGTTTGGTCCCATAAATTTCAAATCCATCGCCACTAACGCGCCGCCCATATTCGTAATCGCAAACGGAATACAAAACGGATTCATTTTCTTCGACCCTCTCCCTGGTGTCCACAACTCGTAATTCGCTTGCTGAAAACTGTGCATCCCGCCCATCGCCGAGCCGATCACCACGCCGCACCGCTGCTTATCCAACTCGTTAAACTTTTCCGCATTTTCGCCGTCTCGCATATCCAACCCTGCGTGAATCAACGCTTTCTTCGCCGCTGCAATCATGAACGAAATGTACGGGTCCGCTCGTTTCACCATCCTCGGTGGGACGAGTCCGTCGCACCCGTCGAAGTTGCGAATTTCCCCCGCGAACGTGGTCGTGATGTTCGAACAGTCGAACTTTGTGATTGGTTTTATCGCGCTCTCGCCGTCGAGCAATCTCGAATAGAATTCATCCACGTCGTGGCCGAGCGCGGTCACCGCGCCGATTCCCGTTATCACGACGCGTTTTTTACCGGAACGGGTGAGGTCGACGCCATCTGTCGATGCCGCGGCGGAAATTCTGTGCGGAGTCGCGCGCTCCCTTCGGTGTCTTGTTGTCCTCGAGTATCTCTTCGCCTTCGGGGAAAAGTGGTTTCCCCGATGGTTCTGTTGGTTCTCTCGTCGGATGGAAGAGGAGGAGGATGACGACGGCGACGATGTCGACGCGACGGCGGAAAATCGAGAAGACGACGACGCGAAGGAGGAGGACGCGCAAGATAACATGGTGGTGTGTGCGACGACGAGAGGTCCGCGTAAACTGTGGCGTCTCGCTTTTTGTGGAATGTCCAGTCACACAGAACTAAGATAAGCTTAGGGTGTAGGGTACAAAGAAGTTTTTGTCGTGTGAAGGATACGGATGCGTAAAATGAAATGGTATAGTAAGTAGTCTCTGTCTCTCTTTATTTAAATATAAGTTTATATGAATATGTGCATACGTATCGTGTTGTCCTTTAGTCTTCTTCTTCTTCTTCTTCTTCGATCTCTTTCTTTCGCTTCTCTCTCTCGCTTTCGCTCGTTCGTGAAAACTCGTTTAATAAATTCTTAACTCATTCTTTTACCTCTCCCAATCGGAATCGACGTCGCCGTATTCGAACATGCCACAGTGCTCTCGTCTCGCCTTGTCGATTTCGCCGTGGATGGCTTCGCGGTTGTCTTCGGAGGTTTGCGTGTACCCGACTTTGAATCGGGACATGCGGCACAAACCAGAGGCGGCGAGGACGCCTTGCACGGAACGTTCCGGGAGGAACTGTTCGGGAGAGTACGGTTTCGCGAGTTTCGAGTCTTTCTTGGCATTGCTTGATTCTTCATCTTTGTCGTCTTCCACGGACCATAGCGTCAACGTAAGCTCTGGTCGCGCGTCGACGGCGGATGACCAAGCGTGATCAAAGTCAAACTTTTTCATGCGCGCGTCGACGATGGCGTGGAATTCCCCGCCGTGGACGAGGCGTTGAAACTCAGATTCAGCGACATCTTTGTAATCGCTGTGACGACTCGGCATGGCAATGTGAGCAAGCTGGCACAGTCTCGCTTGGGGAGGATACGCGTTCAAAGAGACGTTGGAGTGCAACGGTCTCGCGCGGCGAATGGATATGCGTTCGTTGTGACCGAAATCGATGCACATGACGTCCAATTCTTTCGCGTTTTCGTCTCGATAATTCACCGTGGCGCGGTACCAGCTGTTGTCTTCCGGGGATTTAATCGCAACGAGATCGTTCAGTTTCGGTTCAAAACCAGGCGGCGGGGCTTTCACGTCCGGATCGTCGCTCGCGTATTCTTTCTGTAACAGTTGCCACAGTTCGTTGGCGACGGAACGTTCGAGAATTTGAGCGAAAAATTTACCTTCTCGTAAAGTTTCCGTGACTCCGAGCCTTGTGGTAAACACCGGAGGACCACTATCTCTCGCTTGCGGATACGGTATGCTCGAGCTGCCTTTTCTATTATCGTATTGGTTTCTAGTAGATTGTTGTTGCTGCTGCTGCTGCTGTTGCATCTGCGGATCGCCGCCCTTCCTCATGACGGCAGCCGCAGCCGTTGAAGATGTGCTATTCACCGACGACAAGTAGCCACCCGGCGGTGCGTTGCCGTTGTTATTCATGATACCTCCTTCATAACCTGGCGGGGCACTCACTTTACCTGAGCCAGTTGGCGATTGAACCCCGTTTTTGCTGTTGTTGTTGCTGCTGTTATTTTCGTCGTCATAAAATTTACCTCCGTAAAAGCGTGCCGGATTTTGGTCTTCGCTGAAACCGCCGCCGAGATTATTCGCTTGCATCTCTTCCGCCAATCGTCTGGCTTCTTCAGCTTCTTCGTCCCAGTCTTTCCAAATACCCACTCTTGCGATTTTAGCCGCTTTCTCAACTTCTAAAGCGCTCGCATCGCCGTGAAAGGAAACCCTCGCGAGACCCGCGCGAACGAGTTCCGAGGCTAAATCCAAAGTCAACGTGTTACACTCCAAAGTCCCTCGAAACGTCCCGGTTTTATCCACCGAATTCGCCGCGACCTGTACTTCTCTCTGGTTGACTCTATTTCGAACGTAATTCAACGCTTCTTTCGCGAACGGCTCTTCTCTGGTCGGGCATCTCACCCCTGATAAACTCAACGTGAACACCGCGCCGGCGTTTTGAGAACTGACTCGGAACCTGTGTCCGTTGATGCAGTGCTCGACGACGCCGTGGAATTTCCCAGCTCTTTGCAAGAACGGTAAAAACTGCGTCGCCTTCTTCACATTTTCGGAAGCGTCGTTCAAATCGTGCGGAATTGGTGCGTCTTTGGGCGAGTGGACGCCCTTCTTTTGTTGTATGGCTTTACTTTCGGCGACGAGCAAGTCGTCGTATTTATGCGACCGGGCTTCGTTTTCTCTGTGGCGAACCACCGAGGCCAAACCTCTGATGACCAACAGTTCGGCAAGATTCGGCGCGTCTTCTGGTTCTGCTTCGATTGGAATTCCGTGATTGTTATATTGCGGCGGTTTCTTCACCACCTCGCCGATTAAAGCGATGGTACCGAATTCGATAACTTTTTCTGGTATATCCCTCGCGTCGTTCCCGGCGATTGTTTTCGTGTATTCAAAGTTAACCTCCACTTTCTTACCGATAACTCTCGTTCTCACGAATTCTTTCGCCTCTCTCGCGTACGGTTCATCTTTCACGCTTCGTTCTCTGGCACCTCTCCCGAGCGGTGCAATTCTTGGCGCTCGAACCGAGGACAACATCACCTTCATCTCCTCGCCCGTTCGCGAGTCTTCGACCATGACCGCGTCTCCGGAAACGACCTCAATGACCTTTCCTTGAATCTTTCTACTTCTTCCCATGTTTTCAAAATGTGAATCCTCGTTTGATGGCGGCACGTAGTCTTGCCAGATTCTAATCCTATTCGTCTTTGCAATTGCCTCGGCGGTTCTCAAAGGGCCCGCGCCTCCCAACGCCAACGCCGCGGAGTAATCCGAAACCTTCGCCAAACCTCTCTCCAAGAGCGCGTTTGCCAAGGGCACGATCGAACTGTGATCGTCTTTCGGCATCACCGACGCAAATCTGTTCCCATACTTATCTTTACCAACGAATGCCACTAGCACGTCTCTATTTAACACGCTCAACTCGGCGAAATACTTAGCCTCTCTCGCGTGCGGTTCCGGTTCTTTTTCGTTCTTCTTCCCCATCGCGGGCGCGACGACTCCGGATAACAAAATCGTCACCTCTGCGCCTCTCGCCGGCCCTTCTTCGCATACCGATACTTTCATCGTGCTCCCGTTTAACGCCACCTCCACGACGCAATGAATCGGCTCCACGCCTTTGCTGTCGATGAACTCGTCCACCAATCTCGGATCGCTTTTATTCCTCACCGCTTTATTCAACAAAAGAGGATCGCACGTGTGCTTCCCTCTGAAGAACTGCTTCGCATCTTCCTCGGCTTCTTTAATCAACTGGTTTCGTTTCATCGCGTTTTCATCGTTCTCGTCCTCCCTCGACGGTTTCCCGACGCACCACCCGTTTTTACAGTGTTCCAACGCGATATCCCCGGCGCCGTCTTTAAACACCAACGCAAACTCCCTCGACGCGTATTCGCTCTCCACTTTAAACGTCACCGGTTCCCCAATCAACGCGCGTCGTAACGCTTCTCTCGATTGAAACGCGAACGGTTCGTCCGCGTACGATCCGTCTCTTCGTCCCTATATAAAACAATATTACTATGCGCGCGTAAAAAATGTGACCAAAAATTTCCGTACCATTCTTGGGGCGATGATGCCTGCCAAGGTGACAATCTTTTCCGGCGGTGGGCCCGAACTCTGTTTTATAGTATTATTATTATCATTGCATCGAGAGAGAGCGTTTGAAAAAAGAGAACAGCGTATTAAGAGTGAGTACGAGACGATGGTTTCGATGCGCTCGAACGCGAGAGCAAAAGAGAGTGAGAGCATAAGAGAGAGAGAAAAAGAAACATCACACGTCCGATCTGTTTTGACGGCCGCTCTCTCCGGTGATCCTCCCCGGAAAAAAGTGCAACTCCAAAGAACAACACACAAAAGAGAGAAATGTGGGATAAAGTGCGAAAACGTACGGTAGGTCCGGCGTTGGCGACGATGAGCACCGTGTCACCACTCGGGACCGCTTTGACCGTGCCTCGGAGCCACCCGGTGACCGGCATGATGAGAGAGCGGATGAGAACTCGTTCGTTTCCTCTAAAAGTGAGGTTCTTTTTGTGAGGAAATTCGGGAGGAAATGGCGAGTGGTTTTCGTGTGACTTCTTTTAAAAATACTACGTACTCACATTTTTCGCTCTACTACGTACTCGTACGCATGTAAGAGTCCTCTCGCGTGATGCACACATCATTAATACTCGAGAACGAAAAGCATGTGTTGTTCGTTCAAAGTATCTCGGGAGGAGGAGTGTGCGTGCCGTGGGAGGAGAAACTGGTGTTTTTGTGACTTCTGTTAGAGCGCGCGCTACGTTTTTCGCTCCGCGCTGTATAGTATTAAAGGAATCTTTGAACGGCATACGGCTCGAGCGGAAAGTGGTCGTCTCCTCGTTGTTGGGCCCCCGTCGTTGTTGCGATGTCCGCGACTATTTTCCCGGTGATGCCAGCTAACGTGAACCCGATGTGTTGGTGACCGAACGCGTAGATGACGTTTGATTTTGCGGAGCTTCTGCTGAGAACGGGGAGGTAATCCGGTAAAGTCGGGCGACCGCCGAGCCAATCTGAGTTTTTATTTCGCGGCGGCGCGTCGGAGAAATTACGGAGGAGTTTGCGGGTGGAGTTTTCGAGCGAAAGGAGGTTGGAGGCGGTTGGAGGTTGGTCCGGGCCGAATTCTACGAGACCAGCTGCGCGGAGGCGGGATTGTAGCGGGGAAATGATGAAACCGCCTCGTTGGAAACACGTCGCTCGGGTTAACAGCTTGGACGGGGATACTTGTTCAGTATCCGAAAACTCGACCGAATAGCCGCGCTCCGCGATGAGCGGAATGTCACCGTCGCCGCACATTTTTGCGATTTCTTTCGAACGCCACCCGGAGCAGACGACGATCGTGTGCACGTTAGTATACACGTCGCCGCTTTTGGTGACAATTTCAGCTTTCTCGTCGTTTTGTTGTTCTCCTCTCACGTCGACGACTTCACCGCTGGAACCAGCTTTAATCACGACGGAACCGCCCGAAGGACCTTTCATTTTCAGCGCAAACTCGGCCAACTTTTTTAAGAACACATCCGGCGCTCTCAGCGACCACGCGTCTTTGAAATAAACGCCGCCGTTCGCCACCGCCGAGTCGGTTAAATTCGGTTCCAGCTGTTTACACATCTCTGGCCCGATTAACTCGCCCTCGCCTTCGTGGTTCCATATATTCTTATCCCCCAACAATCGTTTCCTCTCCTCGTTCTTCTCGATGACTTCTTTCGAATCAAATCTGCTCTTCGTGAGTAACAAATATCCGTTCCGATTGGCGTGTTCCTCCAAAAACGCTCGCGCGTCGTTCACCCCGGCTAATCGCAACGTCTCTTTCCACGAACTCGACGCGCGTTTACAAAGTTCCGATAATCCTTCGTTCGTTTTCACCCTGTTCTCTGCGCTGGAATTGCGTAAAAAATGCATCGCAAATTTCATCACTTCCGAAGCGTTCGACGCCGAGAGGCTGAAGCTCAAAGGATTCGCAACATCTTCGTCACCACTTTTCGTACTTCCAAACATCAAACTCCCGCCGAAAAATGCCTTCACGCCGGCAGTTAAAAGCGACGCGGGAGAATCATCGTTCAGACCGAACGTGGCGTACGGTGCAAACGTCCCCGCGTTGCCGTAGCTCGCGCACTCGCCATCTTTTTTCGAGCCGACACCTGAGCGTGCTTTTTCCAAAACCGTCACCGCGAAGCCGCGAGAGCACAAGTGTATGGCACTGGATATGCCGATGAATCCACCGCCGATGACGACGGCAGATTTAGGGAGCTTCGCTGAAGTCGTGGACATTGGTAGTCGCAGTGTGAGCAGTCGCTTACTTGGACGAGACTGTCGTCATAGTGTGTCGTCGTTGATGCGATTCGTGCGGTGTGTGTGAGGACGAAACAAAAGGACGACCAATTAAATTCGATTTGCGCGAGAAGCGAGCGCGGGATCAACGATATCAACGCAGCGCGGATGATTTATGAACGTGGTATGTTTTTTTGTGTGTTATAAAAGTAATGCTCTCTCTTTGCTTGCTTTCCTTCTCTCTCTTTATGTTTATGTGTTGTTCTCGTCTTAGTCGTGTTCCTCTTCATTATGTATTCTCGCTTCGCTCGCTCTTTCTCTCTACTTTATGCTCGGATCAAGCCGAACAGCGGGTTCGCCGCGCCGATCTGACCTCGTCCGCAAAGTTCAGATTCGTCGAACAAAAACGTCCCGGGGTCGTAATACTCCTCTCTGCCGTCGCAGAAAACCTCCGAGGTGACGCGTCGACCGAACGGAACCGGCGTGAGTTGTTCGACGGTGAGCGCGGACGAGGAAGCGTTTTGTCGCGTTTCTTCGATGAACTTCAACGCTTTCGCGCCAGTTTCTAAATCTAAACCAAAGTTTTCCATGTCTTGCATCAACAACGGCGCGAAGAGCTGGTTCTTGCGCATGATGCCGTGCATGACAAAAGCCGCGGCGTGTTCGCCCAAACCGTGCTTTTCTAACCATCGGACGGCGGTACCGTCGCCGAGGAGTTCGCACAGCACGCGTTGGGTTGGAGGCGGCGGCGGCGTTTTGAGTTCGACGACTGGGTAGGAGTCGAGCGGGCGTCGGAAGTTGTAGCCAGCACCACCTCGAGATCGTCCGGGACCGGCGGCGGATCTTTTCGGGGCGTTCGGGTCGCGAGGTTTCCGCGGTTGGCCTTTCGGTTTTTTTGGCGCCACCCACGGGGCGACGCCAACCGCTCGAGCAACCTCCAAGCGACTTCTGTACCGCTTGTTGTCCGGGGCCCAATACGTCGCGTCGTACGATCCCGCGGATGCACCTTGCGTGCGAATGGCGACGGTCACGCGCCAAGCGCGGTCGAGAACGGCTCCGGATTTGGCAATGAATACTTTCAGTTGGTGCAAAAGGTATTCCGGGTCGCTGTTACTCACCTTGGGAACGGGACCTGTCCATTCCGGCGGACCCGGCACCGGAGGTAAAGGGACGAACTCGTCGCCGTCCTCGGTAACTGGAGCTTCAACTTGTACTGGTGCCGCCGGTGCCGGTTTCTTCTTCGCGTTTTTTTCTTCCTCTTTCTCGTTCGTGGTCGCCGTTGCTTGCGTTTCGGTAGCTTTGACTGGGCGCGACGGAGAAGCTGTCGAAGTTTCGTTCTTGTTCGGATTGCGCTTCTCCATGCCACCGTGCGCCACGGACGTTTGCATGGTTCGCATTGAGGCGAAATTCTCAGTCTTTGCTCGCTTTGAAGCCGGTTCTACTGCACCCACTTGTGGCGGCAATTTCACCGGAGATTTCATCAAACCTTCTTGGACGGCTTCTAAAACCTTCTTGGAGACGGTGCGTTGTCGACCAGAATTTCGAGTAGGTGCGACAACCGGCTTTTCTTCCTTCTTCAGCTCCTCTTTCTTTTCCTTCGTCGGCGAGGGAATATCAATATCCATTTTATCGGCTAACATAGACGCGTGAAAACCAGTCGCTCCCGCGTCGTCGTCCTCATTCTCTCCGTTATTACCGCCGTTGTGTTCGTTGTCTTTATTGGTGTCGTCTGGTTTCTGATCGCCGCCAGCGTTACCGCCGCCGTCAGATGATGGTCCGGGTCCTTTGTTGTTGTCGTTATCATCGCCACCATTACCACTACTACCGCCTCCACCACCGCCGCCGCCGCTGCCATCATCTTCCTTCTTCTTCTCCTCGGCGTTCTCGTCCGCGTTCTCTTCTTCCTCTTTGACCGTCCCAGGCATATTCTCTGGATCTTCCGGCTCTGGCGCGCGTTTCGGCATCGCCGGTTCGCCTTTCGCGTCGTACGATGCCGCATCTTTATCTGGAGTGTACGCAGCGTCGATGAGCGCGTTGAACAACGCCTGCGCTTTTTCCTTCGAGACGAGCGTCTTACCGTCGTCGAAGAATTCATCGAGCACGCTTTCGCCGCTCACCGCTTTCGCCGCTTCATCCTCTCTGCCGCCGGTTGCCACGAGCATTTTTTGCATCTTTTCAATCAACATCGCGGTGGAAACTTTTGCCATTCTTCGTAAACCCATGCGATAACCTAATCTATACGTTTCATCTTCCGTGCAAAACTCGTTAGGCAACTCTGCGAGAACTCTAGCGGCGTTGTGATGTTCCATCATTTCCTCCACAATCTCCACGCGTTCTTTCGGCGGCGGCGGTTCTGGAGCGTTCGGATCGGCGCCGTTCAAGCGCGTTCTTCGTCGTCCTTCGTCTTTGTTCTCTTCCTCTTTATCAGACTCGTCTCCGAAGTCACCAGTCGCGGCGTTGATTAAAGCAGCGGTGTCCGCGGCGAAAGGTGCGCGCGAAGGTTCCGCCGCGCCTCGTCTTCTTGCGGTTGGTCTCGGGACGTAGACTAAACCATCGTCGTCGTCGTCGTCGTCGTCGTCACTCTTTTCGTCGAGTAATTTAACTTTCTCGTTCGCTAAATTCAAAACCTCCTCGTCGCCATCTTCGTATTCAATTTTCGAATACGTTTGACCATCCGCGGGCATGTATTCTTGCTGAACAATCGTGCCAAAGAACCAATCGTTCTCCTTGGGCCAAAATACTTTAATCTTCGCACCGTCCGGGAACGTGCGTTTTGGTTTGCTCCTCGCTCCGCCGCGGTTACGGCCACCTCCTCTCGAAGGGGCGACGGGTGCAGTCGCCGCGGCAACGGCGTTGCCGCCACCGCCGCTACCGCTACCGTTGCCACTAACACCACCACCACTGGCCAAATTCGACGCTCTCGGTCTCCCGACTGGTTTCCTCTTCGAAGTCTGTCCCGGCGACCTCGTCCCGGTGACGCCCGCTCTCGGCGTATTCCTCTGAATCGAGTTCACCAGCTCTCTCTCCTTGCTCTCGTCCGCGTTACAGTCCACGTCCGCGTACTTTCTCTCGTACGAGTGCAAATAGTTTTTATAACTCGTGATCAAGTCGTGCCCAACGCTGGTCGCTTTGTGCGTGCTCGTAAAATTCGCCAACTTTGGAAAAATCTCGCGACTCCAGTTGATTTTTCTTTTACACGTGATTTCGTCCTCGCCCCATCCGCCGCGAGCGACGACTTGCCTGTATATCCCGAACAGATCTAACTTGTACCCATTCAAAGTCTTCGCCGGCCAATTCTCCGGAGCTGTTTGCATGGTTTTAGAAAACAAAAAGGTCAGTCTCTCTTTCTTTCCGTTTCAAAACGGTCGTCAGAGAATATAAAATACGCGCTCTGCTCGCGAAAAACAAAGAGGCTTTTGTTGCTCTCTCTCGCGCGGATCGTTCGGCGCTCGAGCGTCCGTAGCCGGATGTGGATCATCGACGCGACGAACGATCATCCATCAAAAGCCGATCGCGAACGCATTCGAGACGATCATCTCTCCTTAAAATAGTCGTCTCGAAAAGAAATATATGTGACGACGATGATAAAAAGACGAGCAAAAAAATGTCACTCACACGACCCCGGCGGTACCAGTTTCGCCTTCTCGGGCATCGTCTGTAAATGCGCAATCTGTTCGGTGTGATTTGAATAGCAGAGGAAGTTTAAGAAGAAAAATTAACATGTCAGTAAACGTTCTTAAAATCCACGTTCCGATACACGAACAGGTCGCAAAACGCGATTGGAAAGGAAATCGCACCAAGTCTCTGAGGAATTCATCCTCGGTTAAAGATTCTATCGGTGTTCTCATCGCGGGATGATCGAGCGGAAATTTCCGCTGTATTTTCTCTCTTTCCTCCCCGCTCCGCTGCGAGATGATGGAAATCTCTCGCGTAACTTTCTTCGCTCGAAATGAACAAAACGCGTATCGGATCGCGCAAACAGGTCGGCGCGAATATTACTCGCGAGTTTGACGGAAAATTATGGATAAAAGATGCGGTTAATGCGGTCGATGTGATCGATTAATGGAAATTTTCCTCGGAAGCAAAAGAGCGCTTCCGTGGTTTTTGAACGAAGAAAATTTGGAGCAAATCGAACAAAAAACGAGGTTAAATCGAGACTCTTGCAGAGAGAGAAAAAGACCAACGAAAGAAAGCGCTTGAACGAAATCTCGCACGCGCGTTGTGTGCGCGTATATATATATACAAGTATAGGTTTAATCTCTTTTCTACGCGCTTCTCTCTTTCTTTCTTTCCTTCTCTCTCTTTCTCTCTCTCTCGTGTGAGTAGTTTTATCGCGCGCTATCGCGGTAAAAGGCTTTGAGGTTTTCCTCTTCCTTTTTTGCCCCGTCCGAGCCGCCGAGTTCGGCGGGAGGGAAAAGGCTCTCCAGTCTGTCCGCGGCCGCGCAGAGGAGCGTTAACGTGTCGTCTTCGATGCCTCTGAATGCGTCCTTCTTGATGATGGATGTTTTTCGGCGTCTTTGTCCTCCTTCTCCGTTGAGTTTTTCGGGCGTTCTTCTCGACGTTTTCGGCTTAGTCTTTGATTTATTAGAACCTTTGTTGTTATTAGAGCCTGTGTTGGTTGGTGTCGTCGAGGAGAGTTTGCCGCGCTTCTTCGTAGTTACCGAGGGAAGAGTTGGGGTTGTTTTCTTCGTCGATCGGGACGAACGCGCGGGAGGAGACTTCTCGGCTTTCTCCTCTGGAGTTGAAGGCGCGCTTACGCTCTTCGAAGGATCTTTTAGGGCAAAGAATCGATGATGATTTTCATTGATCTCCGCGCCGTCCTCGGTACCAGTCGTCACCGGATTCTTCTTCTTCACCGGCGTCGTCATCGCTGTCGCGTTGTCTGCGCTTTCACTCATCGCCGCCACTTGATCGAACTGAGTCGGTTCGAGAGACCCTTTCTTCGCGGCGTCGTTTTCCTCTCGGAGAGATATTTGTTCCATCGAAGCGGTAATCGGCGGGAAAGCTTCCGCTAAAGATCCTTTCGCGACGGTGACGATTTTAGTAGCGCTCGATTTTGAGCCGTTCTTGTTATTACTATTGGTATTCGCGTTTTCTTTCCCGCTCGTCTTCCTCTTCTTCCTCTTCTTTTCGTCTTCTTCGTCTTTCTTCGCTCCGTCCTCCTCCTTCTTCTCCTCCTCTTCGTCCGAGAAAGTCTGTCTCTTCTTCTTCTTCTTCTTCTTCTTCTCCTCCTCTTCCTCCTCTCGCTCTTCCTCAATTTGCCTCAACTGATAAAACCTCGCGCGACACTGTTGCGCCGTCCTCCCTTCGATATCCCTCGCGAGAAACGCCCACCTCGCCCCGTGCGTCTCGAACGCTTTCCGTAACTGCTCGTCCTCCTCCTTTTTCCAGTTCCCTCGCTCGACGCTCGGGTCTAAATGTCTTCGCCACCTGCCCATGCACTGCTGATCGGTTCGACCGCTCAGAGATCGCGCGATAATTGCCCATCTTTGGCCGTGTTCGTCGTACAGTTTCGCTAACTGTGTTACACATGTGTGAGTAGTGTTGTTCGTTCGAGAGAGAGAGAAATAAGGAGAGTTTTTGTCAGCAAAAGCACTCAAATTTGAGCGCAAAAAGAAGAAAAAAAAATCAAATTTTTGGTTAAAAAAAGTAACAAACGCCCAAATGGCGTTTTCTGTTCCTCCCGTTGACTCGATCTCGAAGTACTACGCGCAGTTGTTGTCGTTCGTCTTCTCGTTCGCTTTTCTCGTGATGACACCGAGAAGAAGCGATGATTGTTTTTGTTGCAAAGCGTGAAAAAGAAAAGTACAGAAGGTTGACTCGATCTCGCTTGCAAAGAACAGACGTTTCGACTCCGCGGGAGCGCTCGCTCGTACTACTAAGTGATGTCTCTCGTTTTCGTCGCTCGAACCGCCGAATCTCTCGCGACTCCCGCGAGAGATGACGATGGTTTTTAAAGCGTGAAAAAGAAAGTACAAACATCATCAAAATTACCTTTTCGTCTTCCTCTTTCGTCCACTTTTCTCTCCGTATGTTTGGATTGACGCGATGTCGCCATCGTTGCGCGCACTGTTGTCCGGTCCGTCCCGGTAACTGCGACGCGACCGTCGCCCATTTGTTGCCGTATTTTTCTTGCATGTGCTGAAGTTTTAAGTCTTCCTGTTTTGTCCACGGTTGGGTTTTTTCTCCCATCTCTGCTTTTGCCACCGAATGCGAGCGTTGATTTTGTTCGTTCATCTTCGTTCGTTCGTGTTGTTCGTCGTCGTTTACGTCGTCATTTGGAGTCGTTGAAAGTGATTCCGATGATGCGTTTTTATTCGTCTCGGAATCTCTTTGTTTTCCCCATGGCGCCATGTGTTTATTTAAATCTCTTCTCCGCCTCTGAAGAAGAACGAACGGGAGACAAAGAAGAGACGTAAAAAAAGGTGCACTCTGAGAGAAGGCGTCGAGCGCTTCTTTTTGTCTTCGTCTTTGTCTTTGTCTTCTTCGCAAACGACACGCAAAAGGAGACGATGACGACGGAGATGGGGAAAAAGAGATTTCCCCGAACGACGACGACGCTTGAAAGTTTTTTTGTGTCGCCTGTCTCGTCGAAGATGGAGCGAAAAAGCGACGACTTTGACTTTTTTTCACGATTTTTTGGTCAAACCACCCAAACGGAAAGTGGCTGCTGCTGCTGCTTTTTTGACAAGACCACTCAGAAGAGAGGGACGAAGAAAGACGTAAAAAATGTCAACACTCAAAACACACGGGGGCGAGTCAAAAGTCGGTTTTAGAAGATTGATGAATCATATATACATATATACAACTTCCCCTTTGCAAAGGAGAGAGACTAGTACCCGCGTCGCGTCGCGTTCTTCTTCTTTTTTATGTGATAAATAAAGCGTCGCCTCGAGCTTTCCACAGCGATCTTCGCTTCCTAAAAATTTTCTTGTTCTCGCATGGCATGTAAACAACGACTGATGAGAATATTTTCATCGTTTACGCGGATTCCGAGCCAGTTCTCTTGGAGGGCGGGCGTTCCATGTGCGCGTTGTTGCAGAACTTTTGGACCGGCGCGGCCAAACCTTGCTTGATTTCTTCCGCAGAGAAGTCGTTTTTGATGTAGTAGTCTTCCTCGGTGGAGTCGTTCGGACCGAGGAACATGGAGCCCCACATCGGGAAGTGGATCGGAATGACCAACAAAGTAACGGCGATGATGGTGATGCCCATGTACATGATACCGTCGTAGGTTTCGATGGAATCGCTGGTGAAGAACAAGGCGATGCAGATGGTGGAACCGGCGTTACCGCCGGCGCCGATGAAGCCAGAGGCGACGCCCAAAGCACGTCTCGTAATGTACGGGACGATACCGTAGGAGGCACCTTCAGACGCTTGCACGCAAATGGAGAACAAGACCATCATAGCAATGGTGGTGGCCAAATCGTCTTTCGCCAAAGCCATGAAGATGCACATGACACCTTCGATGGTTTGCCAGAGCCATAAGCACCACAATCTTCCTCTCATACCGAATCGTCTAGAGGCCCAGTCAGAGGCGAGACCACCGACAGATCTCGCGAATAAGTTCATCAAACCGTAGCACGACGCCAAGACACCGGCGATGGCCAAATCGACGTCGAATTGATCGTACAAGTACGAAGCGACGATGTTGTTCATGGTCAACTCGACGCCGAAGCAGAAGCCGTACGTCGCAACCATGCACCACATTCTGTAGTTCTTCATGCCAATCATGTTGACTTGAAACGCAGATTTCTTTTCGAGAGCACCAGAAGTGTGCATGAGTTTGTAGTTACCGTCCGGTAAATCTTGTCCGAGGAACATGACACCCATACCGCCCAAAAGGTGAGCCAAACCGGGGACGATGTACGCCCATCTCCAAGCGGTGAAAGCGCGTTCTTCCGTAGCTTTGAGCATACCAGCGTAGACCAACGGCATGACGAATTGCGTGACACCACCGCCGAGGTTACCCCAGCCAGCGGCCGTGGCGTTAGCGATACCGACGCACTTACCGTTGAACATGACGGACATCCAAAATTGGCACGCGACAAACGTCGCGAGACCGAGCCCGATGCCCAAACGGCAAATCAAAAATCCAGACGCAGTGCTGACGAACGGCATAGCGAAGCAGAACGGAGCAGTGACTAACAAAATCATACCGAGACCAATTCTCGGGCCGACGAGGTCGACGAACGTGCCCATCAAGACACGGCAGATGATGGTGCCGGTAATCGACGCCAACGCGGCGTTCCCGAGATCCGGCTTGGTCATGTTCAAATCCTCACGGATGACCGGGACCATCGGCGCAGCCGCGAAAGTGGAGACGAAGGAGATGAAAAATCCAATCCAGGACATGTGGAAGGACATGTGGTGCGGTCGTTGGAACGAGAAGATGTTCAAAGACATCGCCTTGTTTTCCCTATTATTTTTTTTAACAAGTAGAAGAGGAGAAGGTGAGTTTTTGGATGAAGAGAAGACAAAAAAAGACAGGAGAGTTGGTGAAGACAAATTTTGTTACGCCTATATGCGCGCGCGTCGGCATCGCCTCGATTCGAACTCGAACTTTCCATTTTAACGCGGTAAAAAGATGAACGACACGTTTTTATTCACTTTTATCCATCTTCGACGTAAAGTTCGCGCTCGGAATCGATGGAAACAGCGCGTCTTTCTCCATCACCCATTTCAACAAAGGACAACAAAAAAGGTGACCAAACGTCGTTCGCCTCTTTTCCGACAAAATTATTTTAGGCACTCTCTCTCATTCCCGGAAAGCGAAGAGAGACGCGCGCGAAGGCAAAACGCGAACGTCGCGCATAAACGATAAAGAACGAAGTACTTACGAATCGACCGGAATCGTGTGCACGGGGGGTTCGAACTCTTTAGGCGCCATAGTTGTTTGTATACTTACGCGTCAAAAGCAATGAGGAAAAGTCTCTCTCCGCGTTTGTGCTCCTTTAGGTGTTTTCGCGTCGTTTGTTCAGGTTTTTTAAAGTGCTTTTTTCATGTCTTTTGATCGCTTTTTTCAAAAAATCTCTCCTCTTGTGGCTCTCCTTCTTCTCACTTCTGAGCATCTTACTCCACATTAAAACTTGCGCGTATAATAACACAATACATAACAACAACATGCAATTCACTGCTACGAAATTATTCACCGCCTTCTTGGCGTTGATTGCTTTGATGCAATTCGTCTCCGGCGCGGCCTTGTACTCCGAGATGACCGGCGCGAAAATCGCCGTCAGCGTCTCCGACGTCGCCTTGACGGATGGGTGCGCACCGACGGTAGGTGGACTTTTCTCTCTCGTCTTTGTTTTTTGTTGGTTTCGAACATTTTTCTTCGTTCACGTCGTCGGTTTGGAGACGAAAACATCACGAACGCATCGAGAATAGGAGAGAATTAACATTCAACCGCGAGATTTGTTCTTTACTTTGTCGGTTTCTTCTTCGCACGCGACGGCAAAGCGAGCGTTTGTGTCTCTCTTAGGGGTGTTCCGCTTAAAATCTGGAAAATGTGAACAAAGGACGCCACTTTTTCCGCCAAAAGACACTCAGTTAATTTTTACTCATCACGTCTTCTCTCTCTTCACGCGTGACATAAAAACAGACCTACACGGGCGGCGCATCCAGTTTAACGGTCAAATGGTCCGGCTTGACGGTCGCGCCGGCGAAAATCGCCATCAAATTGTGCTACACGAAGGACCAAACCGTGGACAGAGCGTGGAGAAAATTTAAAGACAACATCAAGGACAACAAGCAGTGCAAACAAACGGCGGATACGGCGGCATTTTTGGTGGAACCGTTTGAGTCCACCGATTTGAGTGGAGAGAAGGAAGTTGTGATTCCAATGAATACGGCGCCGACGACGTACACCGTGCAAGTGTTGGCCATGGACGATACCGGGGCGTTTATCCAATACGGGGACAGTTTGTTGAGCGAGTGCCACATTAAGATTGACACGTACGACAGACTCCCGATGACGTTGCAAGGTACCATGGGTTTCTTCTGCGCGTTTTCTTTGATTTTTGCCGGGGCTGTTTGGGTGTACGACGTGAAGAAGCAAAACACAATTGCCGCTCAGTGGGCGCAATAAACAATAAGCAGCAACGGCGTCTTCTTTCGTCTGTGCGCATGGTCAACGAAGAAGCGGCGGCGGGGAACCCCCGGGTGTTTTATTAACCAACGATCGATGTGAATATACATATTATTTATTGGTACGCAAGGACGGATGGAAGATTCAGAGCTATTTATTGCACGCGTGTAAGCGGATAAATTGTACATAGAGAACCATTTCACATAGAGAAAATTTTAATTGAAAGGAAGTCCATCCCTTACGACGATATATGAAAAAATATAGAGAAGAAAACCATCGCGCGCAAAAATTGACATCATCATCATCCATTAAGAAACATTAAACACACACGAATGAATACTCTTTCATATAGTTATACGTATACACAACAAATTTCAACAACAACTTTCACCTTAAAACTTCAAAACGTTCTTCTCGCAATCGAAGCCTATACTTTTCAAGTTCTTCTCGCAGCTTTCTACCATCATCGGAGGTCCGCACAACAAAACGACGTTCTCGTCGCTCGGTTGCGGTAAATGCGCTTTCATCATCTCGCTATTCACAAAACCAACGCTTCCGGTCCATTTATTCTCATTCGAGTACAACTCCAAACTCGGCGTATCGACCGTGTAGTGCACGGAAAAGTTCAGATCCTTGGCGGCCAACTCGTCCAACTCGGCTTTGCACAAGATGTCCTTCGGCGACTGGTTCGCAAAAATCATGTTCACTTTCGTCGTATCGCCGACGTCGTTGAAGATTTGTCTGGCCACTTGAAGCATAGGCGTAATTCCAGTACCACCGCAAATCATAGAAATCGATTTCACGTTCGCTTTCTTTGCAACGGCGTTGGAGACGGCGTTGGTTACCGAAAATTCACCTCTCGCCGTGTATCGAATCAAACCGTTCGGGCCTTCAAACTCCACGGAATCTTCTCCGACGAGTAACTTGTCCAACTGCTGCGTTACGACGCCGTGATCGTAAATTTTCACCATCAAATCCATAAAGCCTTTCTCCTGGTCGTTGGTAATCGGCGTGTACGGACGAGACGTTTTACCGCCGTCGCAAGACACCATGACGTGTTGTCCAACCGGTAAGCCGAGAATGTGCTCTTTCGTCGGTAACTCGAATCTAAATCGTCTCGTATTTGCAGAAACGTCTTGTTTTTCGACTAGTTTTAACTTGACCTTCTCGCCACTTTTCAAAGTCACCAACGTGCCTTCTGGGTACTCGGTCACCGGTCTCGCCGATTTCGGCGCCGCGTCCTCGGTTTTCATCTTTTCAAACTTGGATTTCGGCGCCGAGCACGACGGGCAGACGTAATCCGCTGGCAACGAATCGAACGGTTTCTCCTCGGAATAGATGTACCCGCACCCGGTGCAAATGTGTGTTTGTTTCCCCAAAGCTTTCGGAACGCCTTTGGTATACTGCGCGGACTTGTTGATTTTCCACCTCGCGGCGTTGTTTGGATTTTCCGTCGGCGTCGATTTCCTCGTCGCGCCAAACTTTTCAATCATGACATTTTCCACGACCGGATACAACTCGGACATGGCCACTTTTTCGATCTCGGCTTTCTCTTTCAAATGGCCAGTTGGACCAACCGTGCCGCCGATGAAAATGTTCACGCCGGGAACCATACCTTTCGCGCCGGACGGATCCTTGACTTGCGCGCCCATCAGACCGACGTCCGCGACTTGTACCGGCGCGCACGAGTTCGGACACCCGGTCCAAATCATTCGAACGTCTTTCGGAAAATCGAGCACGGATTCCAAGTGTTCCGCTAACTTGTACGCGTTTTGCTTGGTTTCAATTTGCGCAAACCCGCAAAATTGGTTCCCCGTGCAGGCGACGATGTTTCCAACGATCCTACCCGGTTTCGTCGAGTATCGCGAAAACAAGTCGTCTTTTAACAGCTCGTCGACCTTCTCTTTCGGAACGTTTGGAATCAAGAAGTTTTGCTCGACGGTTAAACGAATCTCGCCGCTGCCGTACTTCTCCGCCAACTCTGCGATGCGCATCATGTCGTCGCCTTGTAAACGACCGCCGACGACGTTCGCGCCAACCCACTGTAAACCTTCTTGCTTTTGGTCGTGGACGCCGATGACATTTCTTCTGACTTGCGTGCGATCGATTAAATCTTGTTTTGCCGCTCGCGCTAACGAGTTTGCCCCACCTGGCATTCTCGATTCGACTTCCGTGCGAAAGACTTCCAATCCCATCTCGTCCACCAACCACATCATCCTCGCTTTTTGCCTGTTGCCGCGATGGCCGTAATCTCTGAACGTGGTCAAGATCGCGTGCGTCATGGCGACAACATCTGATTCAGGAACCCACGCGTCCAAGGGGATCGCTTCCGCAGCTCTCGCGGAGGAGATAAACCCGCCGACCAAAACGTTAAATCCCATCTCGCCCGTCGTCTCGTTTTTCGCCGGGACAAACGCCAAATCGTTCAACTCCGGGTGTTCGAAATAATCCGACGAACCAACCACGCAGACGTTCCACTTTCTCCCCAAGTTGGCAATTTCCGGGTTTCCTCTTCCACCACCGGTGACATATTCTTGAATCTTATCCGTAAACGGTCTCGTATCGATGATCTCCAACGGGTCGATCCCGGCGATGGGCGACCCGGTGGCGTTTCTCGCGTTGTCCAACCCGGACTGTAAAGAGCACATCTTTAAACGCTCCAAGTTGACCATAATATCGTGCGCATCTTTCAACTGAATCCCTCGCATTTGAATGTTCTGCCTGGTCGTGATATCTGCGCACCCGTCGTCGCCGTACGATTGCACCAAACTCGCCAAATACTTCATCTGTTCCGAGGAAACGATCCCGCCCGGCAACTTCAATCGCATCATAAATCTCCCGTAATGTCCTTTCCTTCGGTGAAACAGTCCCGCCCATTTCAAGCGATGGTCGATTTCATCTCCATCTCCCAACTCTTTTTCAAACTTCTCGAAATCTTCTTTCGTCGACCCGCTCTTCTCGCCTAAAGTTTTAATCTCGTTCAACGCGATCACCGTCTTCATGGCGTCCTTGGCCAATTTCAACTTTTCAAACGGATTCGTCGGTTTCTGCCACTCCTCTTTGACCACGTAGTACCCGTCTTCATCTTTATACACGTGCGCGTCCTCGCGAACGACTTCTGGGAAGTTTGGGAAGTATTTTTCCTTCGTCTCTTCGTTAAATGTTTTCAACGCGCTTTCGCTTTCCACGACATGTTTGAGCAAACTTTCGGAAGTGTTCACGTCTTTTGTCTGCGCTTTTCTTGTCGACGTTCTTCTCCCGCTGCTCTTGTTATTGCTCCCAGCGCGGTTCAAAGAAGCAATCGCCACGGCTGTTCCAGTCACACCGACGACGACCATCGCCGAAACAGTAGTGTTATTCAAAGAAGAAGAGGAAGAGGAGATGGACGCGACGTTTGGTTGGACGATGATGTTTTTTTTTCCGCCTTTTGTTGTCTTGGGTGCTAAACGATGATGATGGTGATGATTTTTAGCAGAGGAAGACGAAGAAGCGCTCTCGTCTTTAAAAGAAGAAGAGGCGCCGCACTGAATTCTTACGTTATTTCCTAACGACGACGCGTTGAGTGCGGATCTCATCGCGTCTCTTTGTGTTGTGTTCGTGTGTACTACACGCGCGCAGCTTATTTTGGAGCAACACAAAAAGCAAAAGCGTGAAAAAGAGCGAAACAAGAAAAGAAACAAAATTTCTTTGATGTTTTTTCCTCCTCCCTCTCCTAAAAAGCGGAAAAAATGTGGGCACCGAAAATGTCGACCAAAGGGCAAAGAGGTGACCAAAGGACGAAGGACAAAGGACGGACAAATCTCTCATCTCTCTCTCTCTCTCTTTCGTGTCGCGTACGCATCTATTCACAGTTCTTCTTCCAGGAAGAAAAGAAGACACAGAATCACCCGTCCGAAGAAGGCGCGGAGAATCCTCCCTCCTTCGCGTTTCTCTCGGTATTTGCGCTCTCGAGATGGTGGTGTTGTTTCATCAGAGCGCGAGAGCACGCAGAAGAAAGCGAGCATCCGCCCAAAAAGGAAGAAAAACAAACAAACGAACAAAGGACGGAGGCACAAAAAATCTCAAAAAAGTGCCAACGTGGCATTTTTCAGCGAGCAAAGCCGGCAGACTTTTAGGGGATTGGCGTCGTTTGTTCACAAAAAAGTAAAGGGAAGAAGAGAATACGAAACGACTACTACTCACACGATGATGATGACGACGACGATGACCACGACTCGTACTCCTTCTTCTGCGTTTGCGTCGAAGAAAGCAGTGAAGTCGTCCTCTCTTTCGGGGAGTTTTGCGACGAAAAGTCTGCCTTCGCGTTCCTTTTCGAACAGTTCTTCTTCCATCACCATCGGGGGAAACGCATTCTTCGCGAACGAGAGTTTAACACAAAGACGACAAAGACGAGCGGGAGGAAGAAGAACACAATCTTCAAAACTCATCGTGCACGCGTCGGATAAAACGCCACCGGAAACGTTCCAAGCGGCAGTCGCCACGTCGGAGAAGAAAGCCAACGCGGATGTGTTCTCCACGTTCGCGTTGAGTTTTACCGCCGGGGCGCTCATTGGGTTCGGTGGTCTGTTTTTAACCACCGTGGGCGGGAGCTCGCCGGCATTGGCAGCCGCGAATCCAGGGCTCTCGAACCTGGTGAAAGGCCTGTTTGGCTTACCGTTTGGGTTAACCATGGTTATATTAACCGGCGCGGAGTTGTTCACCGGGAACGTGTTTGTGATGTTGAGCGGCTTGTTGTCGAAGAAAGTCACCCGGGCGCAAGTGATGAAAAATTGGGCGGTGTCGTACGCCGGTAACTTTGCCGGGTCGGTGTTTTTGGCGTACATGGCGTACGTGGCGATGACTTCGGCGGCGAATCCAGCGCCGGCGATTGCGATTGCAACGATGAAAGCGACGACGTTACCGGTTACGGTGGCGTTCGTGAGAGGGGTGCTGTGTAACTGGTTGGTGTGTTTAGCCGTGTGGGGGACGATGGCTTCGACGAGCGTCGCCGGGAAGATTTTGGCCATCTTCTGGCCGATTACAGCGTTCGTGACCATGGGATTTGAACACTCGATTGCGAATATGTTTTTGATTCCGCACGGGATGTTGTACGGTGCGGACGTGTCGGTGTCACAAATGCTTTTGGGGAACATTTTGCCGGTGACGCTCGGAAACATGGTCGGCGCCGCCGCGTTCGTAGCCGGCGTGCATTACTTAGCGTACGGGCGCAACAAATAAACGACGCGGAAACTCCTAATACACGTTTGCACATGAGATATTTTAAACGATGATGATGATTTTGATTTGATATATACAGAATACATGTAGAAATTCTCTCCTCCTCTCTTACTATTTGACTAATATCGTATGATGTCCTCATCCATAAATCCAAGCTCTTTCAACGCGGGAATGCACGCGTCTTCTTCAAACGCCGGCGGACCGCACATGACGGCGACAGACGTTCCATCTTTAGAGGTATCAAAACCGTGTAAACCTATGATCTTCTTTGAAATTCGTCCGACTTGCATGCGACCTTTGGCGATATCAGACTCGTAGCTTTTATCCACCGCTTTTGAAATCAAATAGTGCATTCGAAACCTCTTCGGGTGTTCTCGCTCTAATCGATCCAAAGTGTATTTCAACAGAACGTCTTTTTCGCTTTTGTTTGCGTAAATAAATACGATTTCGGTTTCATCCGTCGGGTCGCTCAAAATAGCTACGATGAGTTGCAACATCGGCGCGACGCCGGTACCGCCGCCCATCAACGTCATCTTCTTCACCGGGTTCGCGCGAACTTTTTTATCGATGATTAATTTACCGCCATTCTCGTAAACGATGTGACCGATCGGACCTTTGACGTCGATAGTATCGCCTTCGTTGAGTTGATTCAAATACTGCGTCAAAGCGCCGCCTTCCGGGTAACTCTCGTTCGCGCCGGAGAAGTATATCTTGATGACAAACTCCACCGCGCCTAATGTGCCGTTCAAAGACGACGGCGTGTACGCTCTCATGACTTTTCTACCTTTCCACTCACCTCTTAAATATAAGTGCTGACCGACTGGTATCCCGACTTGGTGTTCGGGAGATTCCAGTTGTAATCTAAGCAAAACGCAATCGTGCGAAAGCGGCACCTTCTTTTCGATTTTCAGCGGGATCCACTTCTTCGGGCTACATCCGAGCGGATTCTTCGCGTCGTCTACCGGGTGCGACGCGCCCGCCCACATGCGATCAAACGCCAACGCTTCAGCTTCTTCGCCTAAAACGATGTCCCCGTAGACGTCTTTGTTTTCTTGCCAGTGCTTGACTAAATCGACGTTTCCGGTCGTCGGCGTCGGCGGGTATACTTTCTTCTTGTTCTTCTCTTCTTCCACGACTTCTTTCACGACTTCACCAACGCCGCTCGCGACGAGATTCGTGACGTCAGACAAGGATGACGACGACGGCTTCACGCCAACCTCGCCGATGTAATACGGTTCCAATTGCTTCCACGCTTTCGCGGAGTGCACTGCCTCGAAATCCTCCGTCGTGTCTTCGCCGGCGTTCATGGTGATTGACGCGTTCCCGCCCGGGTGTAAACCTTCCTTCAAATACGCGTTCGTGTCGTACACTTTCCCTTTCACGATGATCCAACAATCGTCCTCGGAATTGTGTTTGGCGACTTCTTCTTCGGTGTAATATTTCGCATCTGCTGGGATGATGGATATTGGAGATTCTGTTCTCTTTTGCTCCTCCGAAGGCGGCGGTTTCACTCCTTCGACGACGTTGGATGCGCCGACGACGCTCGCAATCTCTCTTGTCTGTTTCGCCGCCGCTGATCGCAAAGTTAAATCAATCTCCTCCCCTTCTCTTTGACCGTCCAATTGCTCAATCACTGGCTCCCACTCACCCGCGGTGTGTCCCATCCACCCGCCTTTCAACGTCCCCGGCTCCGTCGGGTGTTCGCATCTCACGAATCGTTTTCCTAAAAATTCAACTTCACTCGTTTTCACTCTAAACTGAGGATTGTTCCCCATACCCATCAAGTTCCACGTCAAATCTCTCGGTTGGGTGTTGTTCGCTTCGTCCCACGCGCGGCATATGATTTCAGAGGATTCAACCAGTCGACTCCGTTCGACGAGTTTGGAAAATTTCACCCACGTCCAGTGTTTCCCGTATGCCGTCGGTTTCGACGGTCGGTGAATGTCGCACAACTCCCAAGTATATCCGCCGTTCAGAGATATCTCGCATCTCGTAATTTTCCTCCCGCCGCCGGTATACGCGTACCCTTTCACTAAATACTCTTTCTCGTCCGAGTTGAGTTCGTAATTGCATCGTATGTGTTCGCCGTGCGCCGGCGACGTCACCGCCGAGTTGATGTTCAGCTCGTTGAAAATATACTCCGGTTTCTCCCACCAGTTTTCCGAATCCGCGAGTTTCTCGTCCACGTGCGGAGGTAAAATTCGATTATCCCGGAAGTGGTAAAAGTTATCGCTCTCTTTGTAGGTGATTGTAATCTTGGACAACCATTTAATCATTCTCCCACCTATGTACCCGGGAATGATTAATCTCACCGGAAACCCGTGATCCGGCTTCAACTTCTCCCCGTTTTGCATGTACGCGATCATCACGTCTTGACTCGGATCCAACGCTTTGTGCAACGGAATGCTCGTCCCGTACGTGCCTAACTCCCCTTTCGGCAGCTCGCGCTCGGGTCCTTCGAAACAGACGAACAAACCTTCTTTCGGTTCTTTAACGCCGAGTTTAAACAACACCTCTCGCAACGGCGCGCCGGTCCACAACGAGTTTGATAATCCGGCGGCGCCCCAGTTGAACCCGATAGTTTTCTTCCGCATGTTTTGTTCTTTTCGTCTATTTCCCGCGCAGACGAGTAAAACCGGCTTCGTCACTTTCGGCAAGGCGCAAATATCCTTCATGGTGAACGTTTTTGACTTCTTCGGTTTCTTCGGTTTCAAAGACGAACTCGAACTCGAAGACGTTGAACTCCAATCCTCCACCACGATCCGGTGCGCGTCCCAAGTCAAATTCGGTACCGCCCCGTGGTTCCTCACGAAATGTAAACTCGCCGGCGTCACGTCCCCGCTTTCTTCTAACGTTTTCAAATCCGGTTCGCAATTGAACGGGTGCGTTCCGGTCAATCTGACCAGATTTGGATGTCGCGCCACCCAATTATCCGGGGTGTTTACATCTTTCACGTCTGGGGATTTCGCTTGAGAATCGTACTTTCGAAGGGAAGCGATGCTCCCGCCGTTTTCAGCCAGAAGTAACGCGAGTTCGGTTTCCTCCATCTTGGTCGGCGCATCTTCTTCTTTCGCACTCATCGCGACCGCACCAAAACGGTTTCTTCTTCTTTGCGGAGCGCTTTCTTTCCGCGCGCGTGTCTCTCGCAAAATCTATGCACGACCAAACGACGCCTTTTTTCTCCCTGAAAGAAGGGGAAGAAATTCTCTCTTTCTCTCGAGGAGGAATGATAAATACTACAATAATAAATAAACGTATGAAAAGACCACCGAACGCTCTCTCTCCCTCTCACTCAAAGTTCTTTCGCTCTTCTTTCTTCTTTCTTCTTCTTTGCGAAGGCAAAGTGTCTTTCGTCTGAATAAATATGTCGTCACCCCTAAAGAATATAAAACTCTCTTTCCTTCCCCAGTACGAGTTGACAAAAAAACAAGCCAAAAAGAGGCGAGGAACAACAGAACTCCGAACGATAACCACGAAAGCGAAACGATTCGAGATTTCTTTTTCGTCTGTTGTTTTTTTGAAAAAAGCGACCAAACGACAAAAATGGATCACATCCGACGTTTGACAGCTCTTTTTGCGTCTCTCGAGAAAGGGAAATGTGCGCACTTTTATATCATCTCACGTGATAAAAGACGCACGCGCATCGGAAACGACGCGCGAAAGCTTTCTCCGATCGTTCTGTCACATAAGAAGAAGACTACTCGAGACAAAAGAAGAAGAAGAATACTACATACTAATGGTGTTACCAATCGTCGCCTCTGCCGTCGCCGGCGCGGGGATTAAAACTGTTCTCGACAAGACCGTGTTAAAGAAGAACGACAGCAAAGAGGATTCTTCCAAAGACGACCTTTGTGCGACGAGCGCGAACTTCGTCGTCTCGTCCGACATGAACATCAACCACGACGCGGACGCGTTAAAGTCTCGATACCTCGCGCAACCGTACCCACAGGTGGACGAACGCGATGTGAAAACACCAGACAATTGGGTCAAACGTCACCCATCTTTAATACGATTGACCGGGAAACACCCGTTTAACGTGGAAGCGCCTCTGCCTGAAATGTTCGATTACGGTTTCATCTCGCCTGTGAATTTACACATCGTGCGGAACCACGGCGCGGTGCCGAAACTGGAGTGGAACACGCACACGATTAAAATAAACGGGAATTGCCAAAAACCGTTTGAAATTGGGATGGACGAACTCTCGAAACTGCCGTACGAACAGTTCCCGTGTTTAGTCGTCTGTGCGGGGAACAGGAGGAAGGAACAGAACATGATTAAATCTTCGATTGGGTTTAATTGGGGGCCGTGCGCCGTCGGGAACACGTATTGGAAAGGCGTGCCGCTGAGAGTTTTGTTGAATAAAGCGGGGGTGTATAAAGCCGGGCCGGGAGCGAGGTTTGTGTGTTTGAACGGGCCGCAAGATGAGTTGCCGAAAAGTTACGACGGGCAGGATGGGGGGCCGGGGTCGTACGGGACGTCCATCGATATGGAAACCGCGTTGGATCCGACGTGCGACGTGATCGTGGCGTACGAACAAAACGGGGAACGTTTACACCCGGACCACGGGTACCCGGTGAGAATTATCATTCCTGGGTATATTGGTGGGAGAATGATTAAGTTTTTGGCGGAAATTACGGTGACTGATCGCGAGAGTAACAACTTTTATCACTTCAACGATAACCGCGTGTTGCCGCCGACGGTGGACGCGGAAATCGCGACGAAAGATAAATGGTGGTTTAAAGAGGAATACATCATCAACCAGTTGAACATTAACGGTGCAATTGCGTATCCCGCGCACGAAGAGGTGATCAAACCGTCGACGAAGAAGTACGTGATGAAAGGGTACGCGTATTCCGGAGGCGGGAGGAAAGTTATTCGAGCCGAGGTGTCGTTCGATCAAGGCATGTCTTGGAAGTTGGCGGATATTAACGTGAGAGAAACCCCGAGATGGGCGGCTGGAAGTTCCGGAGATAAAGCAAGACATTGGTGTTGGTGCATGTGGGAGTACGAGTTGGACACCGCGATGTTGTTTGACCCGTCGTGCAAAGAAATCTTGTTCCGCGCGGTGGACCAATCGCAAAATTTTATGCCAGAACGCCCGACGTGGAACGTCATGGGCATGTTGAATAACCCGTGGTATCGCGTGAGAGTGCACAAAGAACCGGACGGAGGGGTAAAAATGGAACACGCGACGATTGCTGGTCCCACTCCCGGGGGCTGGATGCAACAAATGGCCGAGAAAGCGGGCGGTGAGTTGTTGTGGGGTTGGGGCGGCGAAGGCGCGCCGGCCGCGCCGTGAGAAGAGACGCGAGAAAAATATATTTATTATTATTAAAATCACACTTCGTATGGATGAACGTGTTTGTGTAAATACTACTAACGAAATCAATTTCGATCATCACGCCACTACGCTACATTACTACGCTCTCTCTACATATACTTTTATTCTTCGTTAGACTCGCTGTGCGCTAATAAGCTCCCGCTCGAAAAATTTCTCACCAAAGCTCTCGCGTTCCCTCCAGCCGCCAAGTTATCCAGACTCGCTTCCCTTCTCACTTCCTCTAGTTTTCGATTTAACGTCGCAGGCATGCCGCCTCTCGGTTTTCTGAACGAATTGCCACCTCTCAGAGACCCTTCCAACGAGCCCGGCGGTTGTTGCGCGGGGTTCGTACCGTCTCGCGAGAGGCGTTCCGGACTGATTTTCTTCTTCGCCTCGTTATAGAAACTAGAAGACGACTCCATCGTAATCGCCGGGGCGCTGGAATTCGAATTTTTGAGCGGCGACGACCCGTTATCGGCATCATCACTAAACGATGCTTCTTTCATGCGCTCCAGTTGCGTCGTTTCAACTAATCGGAGTAAATCCCCGTGTCGCACTAAAACGGTATTTCGAATCGTCTCTTGCGCGTTCTTGGAAGAGGTGATTTTCGTCATCTCGTTTTCGCCGCCAAATCTGTTCCTCCTTTTCGCTAAAACGTTGCTTTCGAGTTCAACTAACTGGTCCGCAGTTTTAAATAAACCAGACGCCACGCACGCGGTAATCAGTTCGTCCAGTGAACTCAAACCTTGTTCGTGCACCAACCCGATGAAACTTCTCGCCTCGGGGTCCTCGTCTAAACTTTTTCGAAACGAATGCGCCAAGTGCGCTAAACCACCGGTGCCTACTTTGGCGTTCCCTCGGTGCGTGGAATCGTCGTTCCACGAGTACGACCCGTTGCTCGTTCTGGAGCCTTCGTTGCTCGAACCTCCTCCATCGTTTTCGCTCTCATCGTCCCCGTTGTTCTCTTCCGCGTGTTCCGCGTCTTCCTCCCTTCTTCTGTTACCATTCTTTTTCAATTCTACATTCAATCCAACGTTCGCTTTGCCTTCGTGCACGCTCTTCTCCGAACTCATGTTCAACCATCGTCTCAAAGTCGCCACGTCTTGCGCGCTCAACTCGCACAGAATCTTCACGCACTCTTTCGTGATATCTTTCGTCTCTTCCAACGCCAACAGCGACCGCTCGACGTCTTTTTGCATCGTCGCCGGCACTAAAATGTCCCTCTCTCTGCTCACATTTGTCCCGGCTTTCTGGTATTCTTCTTTCATTTGAACAAACTTTCTTAAATATTTGTGCTGATTCACTTGCGCGGCGTTCATGCGTGAACTCGGGTTCACCACCAACAGTTTCGAGACTAAACTTCGAGCCTGTTTATTAAACGTCTCGTCGAACGGTTCGTACGATCCTCGCAGAACCGCGTACACGCCTTCCACGGTCCTCGAAAACGGCATTTTATTACTAATCAAGAGGTACAAAAACACACCTACCGCCCACATATCGCTGGCTTGGCCGTATTCGCACCTCTTCTCTACCTCAGGCGCTTGGAACAAACTCGTTCCCATCGGCTGTAAATTCCCTTCCATGTGGTCCTTCCTCTTCAAAACCACCGCTCGACCGAAATCAATCAACTTCACCTGTCTCGGCTCCTGATTCGTAATCATCACGTTTTCCGGCTGTAAATCCCTAAAACACACGTTCCTCGCGTGCACGTGCGCCACCGCATCGCACAGCTGTCGCATCAGCGAAAACTTCTCCTCCCTTTGCTCTTTCTCCGTCTGCGCGCCGCTCGCCAACTTCTCGTCGCATTCTACCAAATAGCTAATCAAACCTTTCCCGTCGATTTTTTCCATCACCAGTTGTAACTCCGAGCTCGTTTGATACGCCGCTATTAACTGGACGATGTTTGGATGTCGCATTCGAGAGAGTGTTTCTAACTCCGCGTACGCTTCTTTCCTTCGCTCGCCCGAATTCTTGTTCATGGCGCCAATGTGTGTCTCTTTGATGGCAACTTTTTCTCCCTTGAAGGAATCCTTCTCTCCTCTCGCGGTCCCTTCGTACACCGAACCTTGCATCCCGCTTCCAATTTTCTTCTTCGAGATGTGATAGTCCTCGGAGACGACTTTATCGAAATACATGTTGACTTCAGAGCCTTCTCGTTGGACGTGTTTCGAGTACCACGTTTTGCCGTCGCGAGCGGATTCGTCGCCGCCGGATTTCCCTACAAGGAAAGACTTTGACGGCGACGACGCGCAGATGCCCATTCTTTCGATAAAACTCTTTACAACAAAGTAGCGTCCCTCGTTTATTATTATTAGTACTACTGCTGCTCTGCTGCGACTCTCGAAAACACCACCACTTACTTTCCTCGCGCACCGGAAAGGCGTAAAGGGCTTCATTGTTGATAAATGCCGACCTTTGGTCGTTAAAAAGGTCCGCTTTCGTCGTATCTTTTGGCGTCTTTTGACCACAAATTTTGCCAATTAATTTTCCAAATTATCCAAACACATATAACACATATCCTCTTTAAGTCTTCTCTAAAGTCGTGCTCTTAAAAGCTGAGAGTCTCTCGCGACAGCTTTGCGAGGCGAACGACGTAAACGAGGCTAACAAATGAGAGAAGAAGGAGAACGAGCACAGACCGAGGACGATGGTTTCTCCTCCAAAAAATCATCAGCAAAACTGGAATCCGGTCCGTCCGATGTGGAATACAGAAAGTGGCGGAAATTCACTTCCGAGCAAGTTTCCAAACACGCGCGCCTCCACGACGGATGGATAATAGTCCATAAACGCGTGTACGACATTACCTCGTTCGCGAAAACACACCCTGGGTTTAACAACGCCGGTCAAGTGTCGACGGCGTTAGCGATAGCGAGGAGTTTAGGGAAAGATGCGACGGAGGAGTTTACGGAGATTCATTCCTTGACCGCGTGGAAGCAGCTGAGAGATTTTCAGATTGGCGTTTTGGCGAGAGAAGGCGAGGATGCATCTGTTATTGTCTCGGAGGACGATAATATTGAGCACGTGATACCGGAATGGTTAAAAAACGATCGGGATTTTTGGGTGCGATATAGCGGCGGGGTGGACGCGTCCGTGTTGAGGTATTTGACGAAGAACGGGTATCCGCAAGAGGAGGATGGCGACGACGACGACGACCCCGAGAAGAACAAGAACAAGAACACGAAGAACACGAACACTAGAAAATCCGCAAATACGAAAATAAACATAAAAATCCTCGCGTTCGTCGTCGCGCTCGGGAGTAGCGCCTTAGCGGCAGTCAAAAGTAACAACACCGGCGCCAAAACGAGCGAGAGAGGAGAACACCATCGGTGGCTTTGGGAAGGGAACAACAACAACAAGTTCACCTCGCGCGCGCGGTAGCAATACTACTACTACTACTAATAGGTACTACTAATAGGTAATAATAGGTACACATCTAAACATGTTCGTGTCTTCATCTCTCGTCTACTACTTCTTCTTTTTCCCATCCTTGAACTGCTTCTCTTGCTCGGCCAAATCTTTCATGTGCTGTTCCGCCGCCGCTTTTTCCGTCGTCATTTGCCTCTTATCTTGGTACGGACGCATTTCGTGTATCGGTAACGAGACGAACGCGATGACGATGCCTGTTTAAAGAGAGAGAGAGAGCGTCGTTTACGCGGGTGAGTGTTCATACAGTTTTAGGCGTCCTTTGGTCGGGGAAAAACGAAACGAATTACGAACACACAAACAGACGGTGATACTGGTGATAAAACGCGTACCAATCAACAAACACTTGGTGGTGGAAATCCCGAACAACTCCTCGCTTCTTGGCGCGACGACCGTGAGCGCGATGGCGACGAGCGCGACTAAGAATCCGCCGTATTGATGAAGGATGTTCTTAATTGAAGGCATTTTGTGTTCGGAGTAGGTAAAAGGAGTGAAGAAGTTTCGAAAGAGATTTTTACTTCATAATACGTTAATCGATACTATTTATTAAACACAGAAGGGGAATTCGCGGCGCGACAGATGGCGGCGAACGACCTCGACGCTCTCGAGGCACCGGGAACGTTCACGTAACTTAACTTTCCTAAAGCCATGCTCGCTCGTTCCCGTTGTTCTCTGGACAAGTCTTCGTGGAAGGTTAACCCCTCGTTGGCGACGGCGGTGAACGCGTTGGCGACGGCGTCGATGACTTTCGAGCGAAGGCTTTGGAGACGTTTTCGCGTATGCGAAGATGCTGCTGCGGTTTGTGATTTTGTTTTTTCGGAGTCGGAGTTGTGAAGAGGAACGACGAGAAGTGCTTCGAACGCGTCGGAGGCGAACCTTTCTATGGATTCACAGAAAGGATGGGATTCGCCGACGCCGCTTAAAGCCATCGCGCCGGGAGAGTGGACACCATTCGAAGACGACGTCGACGATGTAAGTACGAGCAAACTCTGCGTGCTAACATCTGGATGTACTGCACAAGATATGCGGAGCGCTTCGGCGGCAGCTTCGGCGTACGTAATCGAGGTGTCATCGTCAATCGCCGCCGTGGTACACTCGAGAAACGTCTGAGATATCTCGGCAAACGTGCGCATGGCTCGCAAAGAGGCGTCTATGAGATCTTCTCCATCGGTGCTTTCAGTGCTGGTATCTTCTAAAGTTTGCATCGCCCGCTTCGCCAAGACCTCGCACATCTTCGAAGCCGGTTCTACGAACGGTTCTACGCGATTTTCTCTCGAATAGACCAGAACATCCGCGACTCTTTCGCACGCGTTCAGCTCTGTGAAGAGCTTCCTCGTCGATAGAATTGAGCTTTTGGAGCGGCACAAGAATAAACACAAGCGGGCGTTGTGCGCGTTGTTATTCGCGTGATCGAGACTGAGAAAAGCGAAGAACTTCGAGGCAAAATGCGCGAGCGCCTTCTCCAAAGCTTCGTCGCCGCGCGCGTTGGCGTTCTCTTCCTCCTCCTCGGCGCCACCGTTGTTTATAGAACCGGCTAAAAGTTTCAGAGCGTAGAGTGGAATGGGGTCCTCGTCCATCAAAAGCGCTGGACAGGACGGAAGAAAATCGGTTCGCAACGACTCGGCGAGATATCGTTTATCGTCCGCGTCAATTTGACAGCAAACGATGCCTTCTTTGTCGTGCACGTTAGTGGTCTCTTCCGGCACACTTTCATCATCCATATTTTCCACCGGCTGGAGCGCCAAGAGTGGTAGCATGCTATCGCACGTCAACTTGAGAGCTAAGAATCTCGCATCCGGGGAATCTGACCCTCGCAACAACTTCGCGAGTGCAGGTAAAACCTCTCGGATGGTCACCTTTGGAAATCGTAAAAGACTTTTTTGCGCGTCTCGCGACAACGTCTCCAAGAGAGAAGAAACGCCGAGTCGAAATTCTTCAGATGCTTTAATCTTTCTGTCGAGAAGTTCTTGAAACATGCGCTCTTTGCTCGCGGTATTGCCACCACGAAATCCTGAAAACCATTTCGATGGACTTTTGTTGTTCGCGTTATTATTCGCATCCATCTCCTCGAGAGGGGCCGCCGCCGCGGAAGGCAGCGCCGTCGCCGCGGCTTGAATAAATACAGAAACTTTGCGTAAGAAAGCCTCGTCACAGACGCGATCTCGCATAAATCCAACGCATAACGCGTGTGCGAGGGCTGGAAACAGCGCAGTGGCACCACTTTGCGAGAAATGTGTTCGACGAACATCGTTGACATCGAAGGTTTCCAGGCTGAGCTTCTCGTTCGCGTCTGCGATGATCCGCCTCGCTTCGGAAGATATCGCGTCCGAAGCCCGTCGTGATAAGTCTGCAATCGTTCGAAACAAACACTCTGCACACCTCGTCAAATACACGTCGTTGTTGGCGTGTAAGGTAACTTTTTCAGCCACGTAGAGAATGCGATTGTTTGTAAAATGCACGAGCCAAGCAGGGTGCGCTGAACACAAGGCGGAAATAGCAACCAAAGCCTTGCCTCGATTGATAGAATTCGCGCCGCGCTCGGAAATCAACGAGAGCTCTTTCGCGAGAATATTCTCGTCCGCATAAAAAGCCGAACCACCACCACTGCCACCGGTCGAATTGTTTTTAAGGTCTCCAGTATCCCCGTTCGAGGCAGTCGATGAGCTCGCACGAAGCGTCTCTAAAAACGCATGCTTCGAAGCTTCATTCGACAAGACGACATTTAAACACCTCAAACCGTTCCCGGAAACTTTGGAAGAGTCGTCGGAAATGAGCCGAGAGACATAATGCGCGCAAACTGAGGACGTTGCAAAATCGACGAGAAGTTGCGGCGAAGACGCCAGACATCGAGCAGCGGCAGACGATGCGGTAACTCTCGCGCTTTCGCTCTCTCTTTGATCGGCGAGTGCAATTTCAAAGAGTTTAGCGAGAGTTGCGTTGGTTAAGAACGTATCCTGGACCCATTTTGGATGTTTACACTCGTTCTCGGCATTCTCTTCCTTGTTATCATCATCAACTTCATGACCATCATCATCATCGTCACACCGAGGCGTGACTATATTTTCAATTGTCTTGGTCGCGTAATGTCGGGTGACAGCGTCTTCAGTCACGTTCAATTTTGAACACACCGCGGCGAGTACTTTATCGCTCACGCCCCAAATAACCGCAGCCGTCTCTGGACCGACCTTAGCTTTCGTGCGAGGGGCGAGATTACCATTATTGTCTTCTTCGTCTTCTCCTTCTTGACTTTCATCGTCATCGAAGCTTACATCTCGCTCGGACTGCGTGGCCACGTAAAACAGCAATTCTCCGAGCGTCGCCATCGCCTTTCTCTTCGCGCGTTCGTTTGAATCATCGATTACTTCCGCGAGCGTCTCGCAAATATTCGTCTTTTCGTTTGCTAACAGCTCGTCGCCAATTTCCGTCGCATGACGAAAAAGAAGTCCCAATATCGAGCAGAGACGCGTCCGCAAAGTTGGCGCTTTCGATTGGGCGAGCACCTCGACAAACATGGAGGCTAAGCTTGAATTCACGAGCACGTTCGCCGCTTCGGCGTTGCTACAAAGCGTTTCAAAGTACGCCAACGCGTTAACTTTCGAGCGCATGGGTGAACTTTCCGCGACTGAGCGATACACAGCAGTCAGAAAAGCCTCGAGTTCCGGACGCGAAAGACCGAGGACGGATTTTACATCCAGCGCGGGAAACGGAAGCGCTTTCGCGTCGTGTACGGGATCCATAGCTGCACCGTTCGGTTCAACTCTGCGGTTGTTCACGATAGGACGAACAACTAAATCAGACGCGTGCGTTGAGAGCGTACTTATAGAATACACGGATTCATCGCACTCTTTCTCATCGTCGTTTTCTTCTCCATTGGGTACAATTGCCAAAGCGTTCGGATCGTCGTCATCATTTGCGTCCTCTTCGTTTTCGTCGTCGTCCATGGTCTCGTCTAAATCGGACGGCATCGTTCGGTGTTTCCACGGCGTCTTTGCCATCATCGTCCGGCTATCTCGGCCTCCATTTTCTATTTGTTCTCTGTTCCCTCCTCGAGGAGGCGATTTTAGCAGCGCGCTTTCGCCTCCAGCCGATCGGCGATTATCGAGAAGTGATTTCTTCCTTCTTCCGTTTGGCGTGTCCGGGCTCAAAATAATCACAGAACCTTTCTTCTTTCTAGTATTTTCATCATCATTTTCATCGTCGTCTTCACCGTTCACCCCGTCTACTTCGTGATACTCGACGTTATCGTCGTCTTCGTCCGAGCTACTACCGCCGCTGTTACCATCTTCGCGCTCGTTTCGCTTCGGCGTCCGAGCCGGCGTCGACGGTAGATCCACCGTGCATAATCTTTGCACCCCTGGTGCTTTCATCGGCACCGTTCTTCTCTTTTCTTCGTATTCTGCCACAGATGAAGTCGTTGAATTCACCGACACGCGTTGGTTATCGCCTCTGGCGTCTTCGAACGTTTCATCGTGACTCGTGTTCGCAACGTTCCTGTTATTTTCGTCGTTCTGACTGAAGTTCTCCAGCGCAAAGTTCACTTCGAAATCAGCCGTTTCCATGACGACATCTACGCTATTTCTATTCTCGGAATCGAAGTAATTCTTCTCCGCATCGACATTTACGTTCGAATTTACGTTGTTTACACTACCACTGTTGCCACTACCACCTTTATTATTATTTCCATATCCTAAGGCTGATCGTTCGCGATCCAAGTTTGTGCGCGCCGCGCGAGACAATCCGCCGACATCGCAACTTTGCCTCAGGCTCGCCGTCAACAATCCACCGTGAACAACCGAAACATTACCACCGGGCGATTTTGGATTGAGTGATTTCAACCTCGCCGCAAGATCTTCCGCTTTCAACTTCTGCGCCATTTGTTCAAACGCAGTTTCTTTCGGTAACGGTTTCTTTTTGTGTTCCTCGATTAATTTCTTGATTGAAAGCGAGACGTCGCCGCTTCCTCCTCGTTCGTTCGCGGTAGCGTTAGAAGTACCGGCGCCGGCAGAAGAAGAAGACACGAACGCAGGTCGCCGAAAAAACTCGTGCTCGACGACGTCTTGCCAAGTCATTCTTTGATGTGGTCTTTTGATGAGCAGCCCCATGATTAAACTCTCTAAGCTCTCCGAACACCTCTCCCTCGGCAAAGGCTCCGGTTCTTCCTCTAAAACCGCCTCGACGAGTTCGCTCAAACGGGTTCTCGCAAACGGCGGGTACCCAGCCACGAACTCGTACAACACGCACCCGAGCGCCCACAAGTCGGAGGCGTACGAGTGCACGCCAATGGAAGTGAACAGCTCTGGCGCCATGTACGCCGGCGAACCTCGTTTGGCTAAACTCAAATGTCCCGATCCCCTACTGGAGGTGAAAGTACTACTCACACCGTTACCATACGAGGACGACGACGTCGTTGTCGACGAAGCCACCGACGCTCTGCTGTTGTTATTCATTGTATCACCACCGCCATGCGAAGACGATAACATTGCCACGTTCGAGGCGACTCTTCTGCTCAGACCGAAGCCGCACAACTTCACCTTGCCGTGTTCCGACAACAAAGCGTTGCTCGGTTTCACGTCGCAATGCAACAACCCGGCGCCGTGTAACGCTCGCAAACCTCTGCACAAATCCACCGCGAATCGTCGAATCGACGACTCTGGTAATCTCCCATCTTGCTTCAAAACGTTCAACAGCGTCCCACCAACGCAATACTCTAAAACCAACCACAAATGGTTCCTCGTCTCGTACCACGCGACGAATTTCAACGCCCGTTCGTGTTTAATCGCTCTCAACGCGTGCACTTCTTGCAAAACTCTCTGACGTTGCGACTTTTCCACCGATTTCACCGCGTAGTACTGAATCGATTTCTTCTCGCGACCTTTATACACCACCGAGTGTTTACCTTTCCCGATGGACTCGTAAATGTGGAACCGGTCCATGTTACAAACTACTTATTCCGCGCGACGAAGACGAACGACGACGAGCGTATCAAACTTTCTCTCTCTACCACTAATCTAACGCTCGCACCTTTCCACGGTCTCAACAACTAACGCGATAGAATCAATCAAGCCTACAACTGCCGATCGCAACGATCGCGCGTCGATCGCGGTAATCTTCGCGCGTATTATTTTTTCCTCCAAGCGTAAATCTTTCGTCGTCCTCGATGTATTAATCGGTGGGTCCACGTGTATTGAGTTGAACACGATTTCGCCTTTCTCTTTCGTCGCGAACGGGAATTCGAGCGCACTGTTGTTTATGCGCGACGATGATGATGTCGTTTCGTTCGTTCGAGGAGAGAGATCGTTTTGAAGCGTTAATATGTATAGGTTTTAAGAAGATGATGATGACGAGAGACTTTTCTCTCCGTCGTATCGTTCAAAACTGAGATGATTCATTCGAGAACAAAAAGAAAAGGAAATGAAATGAAAGAAAACACAAAGAAGAGAAAACGAACGCACGTCGAATACTTAAACTTTTCAGTAGCAGCCGTGGTAGTAGCAGCGGTAGTCTTCTCTTCCTCGGTGGTGTTTATCGGGGGCATCTACTGCTTGTGTTATACTAGAGCGCGCTTTTGCGCTCTTTTGTTGCGTTGGTGTTTCTTAGGTGATTTTTTGAAAAAAAAAATCAATTTTTTGACAAAAACAGACCAAGACCCTAAATCATTACATTTTACTTTTTTCACCGAGTGGGCTGCCCCTTGGTTTTTTTTCAGTGGGACACACACACGCACTTATTCTATTTAACTTGAATAACACGTTTCGACGCGCAAACAACAAGTAACAATAATGATCGCGGACGCGTTCTTCGCGTTCTCAGCTGGGTTCGCCTTTTGTTTTTCAACCGGGAGATGGAGTTGGCTCTGATAGGTGAGATGTAGTGGACACACACGCGAGACACGGGAGAAAGAGACGAGAGAATCTTTTGTTTGTGTAATTCAGCTTTTTCTTTCCCCGATGTTGTTCTTGAGAGACGATTAAAATATTTATGTTCTCTCTGAGTTTACGAGGCTTTGTGGGGTTACCCGTTTCGTTTTTGAGTCATCGTAGGCGTTCTTCTCTCTCTTCTTCGTCGTTCGTCTCGATTGGTTCGGGAGAGAGGCAGCAAACCGGTCGTCCGCGCGGGGGTTTCGTCGAGGATCGGAACGAGAGGATCCAACGGGGGAAACGACCAAGGCTGCTGAGAAAGACTGACATCGTGTTCTTTTCTCTCTCTCTTTAAACTCTCTTTTTCTTTCTCGCTCAACGACAAAAAGGATTACAAAACGCGGGGAAAACGTCGTTCGTGAACGTGGTTTCCGGCGGGGAGTTCGTGGAGGACATGATCCCGACGGTTGGTTTTAACATGCGAAAAGTGACCAAGAACAAAGTCTCCATAAAAATGTGGGACATGGGAGGTCAAGAGCGGTTTCGGAACATGTGGGAGCGATATTGCCGAGGGGTGACGGCGGTGGTGTACGTGTTGGACGCGGCGGATAAGGAGAATTTTCCATTGGCGAAGACGGAGTTGCACGCGTTGATGCAGAAACCAGCCGTGGCGGGGGTGCCGTTGTTGGTGTTGGGGAACAAGTCGGATTTGAAGGACGCGGCGGACGCGAGGACGGTGATTGATGCGATGGAGTTGAGACGATTGAGTGGCAGGGAGGTGTGCTGCTATTGCATTTCGTGCAAGAGTCAACACAACGTGGACGTGTGTTTAGAGTGGCTGTCGAAGCATGCAAAGTAACATCTCTTCTTGGACGATGATAAATAAGTTAAATTATTATTATTATTCTTCTTTTAATTGGAGTGCGAAACCACTTGTATATTTTGTAAACTTTGATGTAAACGCTTTTAAAATTAAATTAAATGAAGCTATTTTCTCGGCTATTCATCGCGGATCGCTTGGCTTTCAAGTACGCTTTCTCGATGCGAAAGATGGACCACTGGAACCGTCGGACGATTTCTAACGCGGACACGAAGAAAACGGTTCGCGAGTTTTTCCGTAAGTGCGCGGCGAGTTTGTACGTCCACGAGACGCGGAGCATGAGGTTGGTCGCGCACGCGAAATAGTACACCGCTGGCGCCTTGTATAATCTGTTGTTTCGCAAACCGTACGGGGCGAATGCTTCGTTCTCGGCGTTGCTTTCTATTTCGGCGATGATGTTGTTCTCGTTGTTGTTTCCACCACCACCGCTCGATGCCGAAGAAGAGGAAGGAAACACTAGCTTCTTCACCATCGGTAAATCCCAATCGTGGGTTAAATCCCAATAATAGCTAAAACTACTGTTCACGACGGCAAACGCGAACCACATCGGTCGATACAACCGTTCCCAATCGTCCTCGTCCACGTGATATTTCAACGCAGAGCACCAAATGACTGGAAACGCGGAAAAATATTTCACCGCGTTCCAGAAACACAACTCGTCGCCGGTGTCTCTTCGCTGGCGAATGCACTGAAACAATCGAATGGCGCTCGGAATGCACAAAACAAACGGAATGCGCCAACTTTGATCGCCACACGCGCCTTCAGCCGCGTGAGATAAAACGTGACCTTGGAATGCGCTACAAAACACTCTCTCAACGTCCGATAACGACTTTGCGAACGAGCACAAAACATCGGCGGCGAAGAAATCGGCGAAGGAAATAGCGTGCGCGGTTGGCGCGGCAATTCGAGATACGGTGACTCTTAAACCTTTCCTAGCCGTTCCAAACAGGAAACCATTCTCCGTCGGCGCGAAAAATATCACCAAAGGTGCCAACACGTAAAAGAAGAAGATGTAAAACGACGCCGCTATTTCGTTTTCGTCCTTTAGCGCTTTACTAAAACATGCCGCGCCAGTCGCCGTAGCCACCGACATCACCCCTGCGATGCCAAATATTGCGGACGCATCCAACGCGTGCGGAATCGCGTCTTCGTTCGCGAACGATTTCGTATGTTTCTCACTAAACACCACCAACGGCGACGGCACCAATTTCATCTTCTCGTGCCACAAATACACGTTTATCCCCCATAACCACAGCGCCAACGTCATTAAACTCGGCGCGCTGAAATACACCGACACCAATCTCGATTGGTCCATCTCCAACTCGTCCATATTCACCATCAGCACGCCGAGACTAAACACGAACCACACGGTGAACAACACCTTAAAAACTTTCGGTACTTTCAATTGAAGGCCTTTCTCTAACTTGAAGTCGCCAAACTCCACTCCCGAGTTGATGTGCGGGATCGACGGGTACGACGCCGAAGGATTAAACAACAACGCGTCGTTATTATTGTTGTTATTATTATTGTTCGCACCACCACTCAACCAACCCATCTTCTCTCCTCCTCCTCCTTCTGCTCCGAGCGCGTGTTGCAGGAGCTGTTGCGCACCCCTTCGCATATATCTGTTACGAACACACAGTTCCCCTAAAAGTTTTTCTTATTATGCTCTTTTAAAGAATGCTTTTCGCGCGCGCGTCTCCAACGTCCTCTCTCTTTTAAACGAAAAGACCAACGATCACTTCTTCAGCTTCTTCGCGATTTCCTCCTCGCCTTTCTTCACCACCTCCCCGATGCTTTCCCCGTTCGAGACGTCTTCCATCATCTTTCGAATCGTCTTCACGTTCCGTCGTAACATCGACGTGCTCGTTCGAATATCCGAACGCATCAAGGACGCCACGGCGACGATGGCCGCGCCCGTGATCACGAAGTTTGTCCACGCCATTCTTATTATTGATTGCGCGCGTTCTTTCTTTTTGTCTTCTTCTTTTTGTCTTCTTCTTAATATTCGCCGCGCAAACAAAGGGTATTTATGACACGTTTTGAACGTTCGAATTTCCACAAAAACAGTCTCGCATGTCTCGCATCGATTATTCCAAGTGGGATAAACTGGAGTATTCTTCTTCTTCTTCTTCGGAAGAGGAGGACGACGAGAAAGAAAAGACGCAGGAAGCGAAGGCGACGACTGCACACTTCGAGAATCTCTCGCTTTCTGCATCGTCGTCGTCCTCTCCACTTTGGAACGGGTTGGTGTTGCATCATAAGGATGTGTTTGTCTCGCATGTGCTTTCGAAATTGAATTTGTTGGATCGGTGTTTCTTTTCAAAGGTGAATACAGAGAGTCGGGGTGTGCTTGAATACGCCGGGGTAAACGTATCGGGATTAGGTTTGATTGTTTACGAATGTTCATCCATTTCGACGTTGGAATGGGCGTGGAATAACATACGCTGGGGAAAGAAAGATACCAAAGGAGACGTGGTAGACCAAGCCTGGTTTTGCAAGGAAGTTGCTGCAACGAACAAACTCGAGTTTCTCAAGTGGGCGAGAGAAGTGAAACATTGCGAGTGGGATGAATGGACGATTAATCAGGCCGCAATTAAAGGTAATCTCGAGATGTTGAAGTATTGCTTCTCTAATAATTGCCCGTGTGATAAAGAAGAGTCGTGTAAACTAGCTGCTAAAGGAGGACACCTCGACTGTGTTCGATTTCTTTTCGACAAAGTGAAACCTTCGCGAGAGACGGAAAAAGAAGCGGTAATACAAGCCGCAGCATATGGTCACTTAGACATCTTGAAATACTTCTTCGAAGAACGAAAGATACCTGATGTGGTAAAGATCGCCTGTGTGGGAATCGCTGCAAGGTTTGGCAAACTCGATTGCCTCAAATACTTAGTCGAAGAGGCGAAAGTGCCTCTTAACTATTGGGTACACATCGCTTCCGCTCGTTACCACGAACACCCTGACTGCGAAAACTACTTGCTCGAAAAAGGGTGCCCAGAACCAACGGACGAAGAATACGCTCGATTTGTCGAGGCAACAGAAAAAGCAAAAGCGCGAGAAAGACAAGCAGCTTCTTGAGAACAGTAGATGGATCATCGAAAGAGAGAAAGAAAGAGAGAGACACCTGTGTTTTGTATTTTGGACCAAAACGTAGATATTTGCAATTCACACGACAAGAAAGAAAAGAGGAACACTCGTCATTTTTAGGCAGAGAGTACACGCACACGCGCGCACACTTTTCACGCGCACGTAAGAAGAGAAAATGTCCTTTACCGCCGAAAACGCCTTTCGCGCGCCTCATTTTTCTTCTTCTTCTCTCCGCCGATGCTGCTCTCCTCCTCGCGCTTTGAAGTCTTCGTCTCGGGGAAATGTGAAACGTCATCACCTTCGTCGTCGTCGCGCGATGTTGACGCGCGCGGAGTATAACGCGTTACCATCATCACCCTCGTCTTCGAGAACAAAAACCGACGACCGAGGACGGAGTTCTTCGTTTACGTCTACTTCCTCGAGGAATTCACCGGAGGAAGTGTTGCGAAGGGCGGAGGAGCTCCAGGCGTTGGTGCGAGATATCGCGCAAGTGGCGTCTTCGACCGGGCCGGCGGGGGTGTCGAGGACGATACAAGCCGCGCGGGCAATATTTGAGTTAGGGGTGAAAACAATACAGAGCGGTAATTTAGAGCGAATGACGGCACCGTCGGCGTTGAGGCAACTGTTTGAGGCGCTCGGGGCGACGTATATTAAGTTTGGGCAGTTCATCGCGTCGACGCCGAGCGCGTTTCCGAAAGAGTTTGTGGACGAGTTTCAGAAGTGTTTGGACGATACGCCGCCGGTTTCTTTTGGAGAAATTAAGAGGATTTTAGAAGAAGAAGGGTTAGACATCGACAGAGAGTTTTATTCGATCGATCCGAAACCGTTGGCGACGGCGAGCGTGGCGCAAGTCCACGCGGCGGTGTTGAAAGGATCGAATAAAGAGGTGGTGGTGAAAGTTTTGAAACCAGGAGTTGAGGACGTGTTGAAAGCGGATTTGAGCTTCGCGTTAGTCGCGTCGAAAGTGCTGACGTTTTTGAACCCAGAGTTGAATCGAGCGAGTTTAGTGGACATCGTGAGCGACTTGAGATCGAGCATGATGGAAGAGACGGATTTTAGGAAAGAGGCGAAAAACGTGCGAGATTTCACTCGGTTTATTGAATCGTCAAAGTTAGAATCGTTAGCGACGGCACCATTTATATACGAAAAGCTGAGCTCGAAGAAAGTTTTAGTCATGGAACGTTTATACGGGTCGCCGTTGACGAATTTAGAAGACGTGGAGAACGAGTTGAAGAAAAACGGGAGAGTGGCGATGAACCCGTTGAACCCGAGCGTAAAATTAAGCGCTGAGGATGTGTTGGTGAACGCGTTAAATGTTTGGTTTTCATCCGTGCTCGCGTGCGAAACGTTCCACGCGGACGTCCACGCGGGTAATCTCTTAGCGTTGAGCGACGGTCGCGTCGGGTTTATCGATTTCGGCATCGTCGGAAGTCTCTCCGTGGAAACCTACGAATCCGTTCGCGCGTTTTTCGCGGCTACCGCCACGCGCGATTACGATAAAATGGCGTTGTCGTTAATCACCATGGGTGCGGCTGAGAAAGACGTCGACGCGTCGAAATTCGCCAACGACCTCCGGGAAGTTTACAAAGCTTTGGATGAAATCGAACCCACCGTCGTCGTCGACGAACGCTCGCAAACCGCGGCGGTTTCCGTTGACCAACTCGAAGCGCAAAATGTCGCTTTAAAAATAATCCAAGCCGGTGAAGAGAACGGCGTGAAGTTCCCTCGAGCGTTCGGGGCGCTTTTGAAACAAATTTTATACTTTGACAGATACATCACCGCGTTAGCGCCCGACGTTTCGGCCATCGACGACGAGAGATTGGACTTTGTCGACGCCGTGGTCGTCGACGTCGGAGACGTTGGGAAACGCATCCCTTAAATGAATACAACGCCAATACGTATAAATGTGCGTTAGAAAAGCTCTGCAGAACAAAAGCGCGAGTGTCTGTAAATATAAACATCATTAAAAACGTATACTCATCAAACGTAAAAATCCCGCTAATGTGTTGCTTTTTCCCTCCTCACATTTTGAGGGAAAAGAGTTCGTACTTTATACATTCACTAAGCGCTTCTCTAAGAGAAGAAGAAGAAGAAAAAGAAAGAAGAAATGAGGGCAAAACGCTGACGATGTTAACGACGATGCTAAAACCGTTCTCCTTCGCGAAATCTTTGGTACCATCGCTCGCGTGCTTCGCGTGTGGCGTCTTGCTCGAATTGGGTTTTGGTCTGACGGGGAAACTTCGACGGGGAAACGTGACGAAGAAGAGAAGACTTCTGGCGGTCTCCGGCACCTTGCAAGACGGATTCGCGCTGAGGAAGAACCTAGACGGCGTAAGAGAGGAAGATAAAGCCGTGTTTATTGGGTTCGCGCTCGTTCGAGGCGTGAAGATGTATTTCGACGTGAAACCAGAAGGGTGCCGAGAACACGTCCGGAAAGACTTTGAAGACGAAGACGAAGAAGGACGAAGAAGACAAAGAAGACCGAACATGAATCCAGCGTTAGTGGTGACGAACGATTGGAACGATGCGAACGTGTACCACGTGTTTGCGGTGACGGAAGAGGCGTTGTGCGAAGCGTTGGCGAATGAACCGAGGTATTTAGGCATCGCGCCGGACATAGCGAAGGTGGATTTGTGGGCGAAGGAAACGAGCGAGAGCGTGAGGGTCGCCGCGGGTGTCGGAAGCGTTTCCGGCGGCGGCGGAGGAGGAGTTGGAGGTGAAAATGATGACGATGATACGAGATACGCAACAATGCTCACGGTTGTTGCGTACGGGATTCCGGGCGCGCGCGCGGTGGAAGCCAAAGGGTACGCGAAAGAGGACGGGTGTCGCGTGACCACCTTCGCCGAATGCTCCGCGCGCGCGTTCGGCGACGAGAAACCACCGTTTACCACGCGCGACGCAAACATACGCAAAGCGCAAAAAGGAAACCTCGCATCACAATCTCCCTCATCATCATCTAAAGACGACGACGAAGAAATACACGACGCGATAAATACCACAAAAATCATCCGTTTACGAGAGGATCTCTACGGCGCTCGGTCCTCCTTTTCGCCGCGACTGATCGATCGAACCGCCGCCGAACGCGCCGTAGCGTACGTCCAAAAACAACGCGCAACAATACCCAAAAGCGACGTAAATACTCTCGGAGGATATTCTCCGCCCGATGCGTAACTTCTTCCTAAAAAAGCCATCGGCGTAAATACCGTCTCGTTGTTATCCTAACACACAGTACTGTACTCTCTTCAAAAGCTCCATTGCCACCACGCTTTCAAAAGTCCGTCCGCGTACTCATACAATTCAAATGGTTTCCCCCGCTGCTGCCACCAGCTCCTCCTCCTCTTCCTCCTTTTCTGTCCAAATACCTAGGATCATCTTCCGTTACCTCGTCGTCGCGCTCGCTTTAAACGTCTACATGGCTCCAGGTGCGACGGTCGCGGACAAGCTCGAAAATGCCTTCGCGAACATGTTCGGGTCCATGGTGCGACCGTTGAGTTCGTGGACGCGAGCGAAAGAGTTTTACACCGTTCTAGAAACGACCGGTGCGGTGGCGGTCTTGAAAGTCGCCTTGTTGTGCAAAGCGATCGCGTATACGCTGAGACGGAAGAACAGCAGAGCAACAGAAGCACAAGCGCAAGAAGGAAAGAAAAAAGAGTAAAAGAAGAGGAGTTTTAGGTGCACGTGTGTTGTGTATTTGATGTAAAAATTACATTCTTGTTAAGTTAATCTGGACAGTATCATCATCATCGTTCATATCGTCGCAATGTCTTCCATTTTTCTTTTTTAAGCGCCCGTCGTGCATGTACAGTTCGGTGAGCGAACGCTCGTTGGAAACGCGCGTTCCTCGTCGACGGCGCGTATAAATATAAATATTTATTTCGTTTTCATCACGTGTCTAACTTCGGTTGAGTAAACATGATGTTTAAGACAAATCCGTGTCGGAATCGTACGGATCGGCCTTCATATCTCTCATGTCAATCGGCATCTTCACGTGAGAGCCTTTCTTTTGGAACGGAATGTGCACCGCGAAGTACACCCCAACCATGGCCCACGAGATGGCCCATCTCCAGCCTTGGTTCAAGTCGCTGCTCGAGTCGTAGATGCCCAACTTCTCGTGTCGCGGTCCTCTAACGCCTGTACTCGGATCGATGAGATCGTTGTGACTCGCGAAGAAACCAAACAAGGAAAGGAAGCACATGAAGAAGGAAACGACGACGCACTTGTAGAAAGATCTATCGATGGCGAAGCACGCGATGCAGCAAAGGAAGATACCGCACATCGTACCGCCAGCCGCGGACATCATTTGAATGCCCATATCGTACGAGTGGTTTCCTTGTGATTCCAAAGACATTTTGTTCGCGATAAACGGCATAACGCCCAATAATAAAGCCGGGTAGTGTCTCGCTGGAGTAGCCTCAAACGCTTGTCGACCGAGCAAGAGACCGACGAAGATAAGAATAGCCCCGTTCGCACAAAGCGGGATCACGTTGTACAAACTCGCAAAGATACCACTACAGAACAAGACAAAGTAAACAACCCCGTTCAAAAGCGAGTAACCGATTTTAGCACCAAGCGCTTTGTGAATCGGGTGACCGATGTACATGGTCGTACCGTAGATACTGCCCGCGAGGGCACCAATCATCGTTCCGAGACCGTCAAAAATCAAACATTCTGCCATAGGATACGAATCACCAGCCATCTCGGCGGATTCGACATCTGCCATCGAGCCTAAAAAGCCAATCGCACCATAGAGTAAAGATTGAGCAACGAGATCCTTGACATCAGAGTGGCTGAAGCCTTTCAAACCTTTGCCAAAGCCGCCGAAGATGTCGCCCTTACCGGCGTACTGTTTCCACGCAGCTTTAGCTAACGCTTTGTCCGTACCTTGGCACGTCTTGCGGGGTAACCCAGTTGCAGCATCTACTCCATTGTATTGCGCTGCAACCGAGGTCGTGTGCGATCCAAAGCCGTACACAATGTCGTCCGTGGACTGTTCGCATGCGCCCATCCAGCCAAACGCCGAGGAGCTCAAAATCGCCAACAAAGCGATGGGAAACGTGACGGTTTTGTAGATTGGGTACCTCACGTTCCCAAAGAAACCCGTCAAGACAATCATGAATGGAAGCCAGCACATCATCGGGTGTTCAAAGATATCGACGACGTACACGTAGCCCAACCACATGAAACCAACGCCAAATAACGGGATGAACACGGCGGCGGTTGGAAACAACCACCTGACCAAGTCGCCTAAGAAGAAGCCGCTGACTTCGAACAAACCGACGATAAAGTTGGCCGTCACGGAAACTTCCCAAGCATATTCGGCTGCTTTTCTCGCCCCAGATTGAATTTCCGCGTCCGTTGCCGAACATCGACTAGCGAAATCGATACATGGAGCGAACTTATCGTGACCCCTTTCCAGAGCCGGCAAAGTGATGGCATATAACATGATGTAGATTACTGTCGTGTTCATACCGTACGGTTGCGCGGTTACATCCGTTCGATTTTCCTTCGTCGCCAGACGAGTCGCCAACCACGCGTAATACACGTTGCCAAACAGTAAGCACAAACCACACGCCGGAATGTTCCATTCGTAGTAAATTTTCTCCCACTGTTGCGCGCACGCCAACGCGTACCCCTCCGGGCCCCAATTTCTCCACGGCGCCGCGAGAATCCCGTACCCGATGTGCCCGATCGCCGAGCCGGTCACCCCGAGCATGGTCGCCAAGTTATCGAAGAACAGTTCCCCGAACGCTTCGATGTCGCCCGCTCCGGTGAAAAATTCAACCTTCGTGTTCCTGTCGTTTAAAGGAGAGTTTTTGGTGGTTAGCGCTCTCTTTTACATTTTTTTCTCGTTCTTTGTAAAAGAGGTAAAACACAAGGCTGGGGCAAAATTCGGTTAAAATGTCGATCAGACTTTCATCTCTCTGTCTCGACCACTCTCGATCGCTCCGCATGAAAAGATCGAATCGTTGCGTTCGAATGCGTTTCCTTGACAGATCGCACGCATTTTCGCGCGAATAAAAGAAACAGAAGGGCGAGACAGAGACGCGAAAGAAAACAATAAAATATATCTAATCCCCCCGAACTCAAACGTCATTTTCCGCAATTTTCGACTCAAATTCAAATTATAGTAGTACCATTTATAGCTCGTCCCGTTTTGCCAGCCGAAAACTTTCAAACGTTCCTTGTACTCCGCCCACGTCTGCGGGGAACTGGACGTGCCCTTCGAGAGGGTGGATTTTGATTTTTCCAGAACCGGCTCCGACATGATATGTATAAATATAAAGTCTTCGACGTGTTCGAAAATTTGTGAGGAGGGTAGTATAAGAATTGGGTGTCCCGAAAGGTCGCTAAAACCCTAACACTCGTAACGGTTTTTCTTCGTCCCTGCGGCAACTTTGCGCGGAACGCCAAAGGCGAATAATATTCGTAAGCATATATTACAACAATAATAAGTACAACAATAACAACAGACATAGAAATTACACGATGCATACGTTTAAACCTCGGCATCTTCCTCTCGGTTTTTTCGTTTGGAAGAAGAAGAAGCGAGGGAAGTCGCGCCTCGCTTGATTTCGACGTCGCCGTCGAGGAAAGGCGCGGCGTCGGTTCGGACGGCGACGGTTTCGTCGAGTTCGCTGAAATCGGGGAGAACGCAGTCGAGGGTCGGTCGGCCTTTTCTGAAGACGATGCGCTCGTGCTGCGAGGGTCGAGAGAAGAGTTCGTAGAAGGATCTCGCTTGCGGAAGGAGGATGAAATCGGCGCGGTAGCCTTTACGTATCAAGCCAATCTTAGGCGTAGGGAGCTTAGTGAACATAGCTTTGGCGGAGTTTGCAGCGATGAGCTTCGTCCAATACCCTTCGTTAGGTACCGTATTCAATTGTGCCACCTCGAACGTCGCTTTAAGCGTCGCTATACCATCGTAGTCTGCGTACGGATTCCAGTAGTCGCGCACGTTATCCGTCCCCGTGCACACGTTGATTCCGGCGGATTCGAGCTCTTGAATCGGTGCAATACCTCGCCAACGAGGCGTGTGTGGAATATTCTTATCGATGAGAACGCCCACTCCATCTGTGGTACCTCTGCGATCTTGTAAACCGAGATTGGTCAGCGGGTTTACTATGAACGAGACTCGCGTGCTCGTCTTCTCGTCAATTTTTTTTGCAAGCTCAATGACTCGATCGATCGTGGCTTTTGACTGCAAAGAGAGCGAACACACGTGCGAAAGCGAGAGCGAGCGAATGTTTTTGAACGCGCCAAGGTTGCCATCGTCATCGTTCAAAAATGCCTCCAAGCACGACAAAACTGCGCAGCAGTTTGGATCGTTCGTTTCGTCGATGTGCACGTCTATATTCATCGCGTATTTATTCGCGTAAGAGAAAAGATTCCTGAAGTGCTTCCGGGCTTCGTCGTTATTCGTTTCCCCTCGTCCAACAACGCCACAATACGCGCCCAATAAAACAGAATCTCCGCCTTTGTTATCATTGTTTGCAGCCGCGACTTTTGCGAACTCATCCGCGATTTCTGGCTCCGACCATAACGGTAAAAATAAGTTACACACGCCTTGTAAATACACTCCGCGAGTTTCTAACAACTCGTTTCGTTTCCGCGCGAACACTTCGAACACTTTATCCCTTAATATCTTGTTTTCGAGATTGTTCGTCCCGTCCAAGTGCGTCCGAATCCCAATCGCTCCGTAATACAGCGCCGAACGCACGGCGAAATCAAACCGTCGTTCAAAATCTGTTTTCATAGTCCTCTCGTCCTGCACGTCCATCCACCTCGGTTGGTCCGCGAGCTCGCATCCGAGCGCGTCCGGTATCGATCCGGTGGGATTTCTGCACCTTTCAACCGTGTGCGTTTTGATCAAATGCGTGTGCGCGTCCAAAAAGCAAGGAACGAGGAGACAGTTTTCGCAGTCTGCGACGAGTTCGTCTTTCTCCTCCTCCTTTTCCTTTCCTCCGTCATCTTCGCTCTCCCGCCAAACGTCCAGGATGACGCCATTTCTTGCATCGATTTTGATCGCGCACCCGCTCACGAGTCCGCCCTCGTTTGCGGCGGACAAACGAATATTACTTTCCCCTTCTTCTTCTTCTTCGAAACTTTCGTTATTAGCGGCATCGAAAAGCGCGGACGTTGGAACTCGCACCCGTCGCAATCTCAACACGTTCGTCCTCAAAGTCTCCTCCAAATCCTCCTTCTCATCATCTGCATTATTCGCATTCTTCTTCAACGACAAAGACCCCCCGGTCATCATCAGTCTGCTCGCGATGCGTTCTCGCCGTTTTGACGATAAAGAGGTGAAAAACACGGAGGCTTCTTTTCCTCTTCCTCCTTTAGTAGTATCATCATCATCATCACCATAATCTCGCATTTTTCCAAACGACTTTGGTTGTTAAAACGCACACTGATGATTCGGATTGGGGCAACACGAATCGAGAGGAGTCGCAGAAGAACGCTTTAAAGAGTCGCCGTGTTTGGTGCTGGTGCTAACACTAAGAGAGCTCTTTTGACTGAAAGATGCTCTCCTAATACTCGCTCATAAATACGATACGTGTGGCAGAAAAGGTACGTATTGCGCTTACACTTTTGAGGGAATTTTGAAGGCGTTTTGAAGGGCGTTTTAACGTTTAGGGTTTATGTGTCTCGTCTCGAAAGGACAGCAAAAAAAAGAACGGAAAGGACACCAAAAAACGGCACAGGGAATTATACACACACGAGCGCATCAGAATGACTTCAACGCGCGTGGCGAAAGGCGTTTCCAACGCGGACTTCGTCTCCGTCGCGTGTCCCGAAAAAAACAACGACGACGTCGAGATCGAGACATTTTTTGTACTCATCGAGAACGTTTTACTCCCATCCGCGGAAGAAGATGGGAAGTATTCGAGGAAAGATGTCGTTCTGGACGCACGCGTAGGGAAAATCGTACAGATGACGGAAGCTTTTCACGCGAGCGCATTCTTCCGTGAGTACGGTTCTCAAAGGATAGAAAAGATCGACGGCACGGAAAAGATGATCACGCCTGGTCTGGTGAACGGACACACGCACAGCGTCGAACACTGGTTACGAGGCGCCATACCGCCTTTACCGTTAGAGATGTGGTTGTTCCAACTGGTGTTCAACGAACCGCGAGGAGCGCCGGGCGGGTGGTTTAAAGAGAAATCGTGGATGGAAACGCCCGCGGCGATGGTTGCAATTTCGGCCTTGTTGTGTGGGATCGAGACGCTCATGAGTGGGTCCACGGTGGTTATGGACCATTTATTCGTGAGGCATATCGAGGACGTGGAGGCGGCGGTGACCGCGTATAAAGCGTTGGGAATACGGTGTTTTATCGCGCCAATGTTGGACGACGAGGCGACTTTTAAGCATAATTATTGTCCGTTAGCGAGAGATGCGAAAGAGAGGCTTGCATTTTGTAAGGGGTGCGGATGTTGCGGCGGTTTAGATCCGAAAACTGGGTGTTTTCGAACCGAGAAGAGCGCGTCGGATCCGAAGAAGAGGGAGGAGATGTTGCAGTTGTGGGAGGAAGCGGTGCAGAAATTTCACGACCCAGAGAATGGAGTGAATATTTGTATAGGTCCAGTGACGTGTTTCGGCGCAACTTTCGAGATGTTGAAAGGCGCGGCGGATTTGCGGAAAAAATACGGGTTGTGCGGCCACATTCACTTATTAGAGACTCGAACGCAGGCGTTGCAATCAAAACAGTTCTTAAATGAAAACGGATGCGAGGGATCGTCGGTGAAGCTTTTAGAAAAGACAGGATTCTTAGACTCACCGGGAACCTCGCTCGCTCACGGCGTCTGGTTAACCGACGAAGAGTGTGAAATCGTGAGAAGAACTGACGCTACAATCGTACACAACCCGCTGTCAAATTTACGACTAGGATCAGGAGTTGCGCCGTTGCGAAGATACAAGAACAACGGCGTCAAAGTTTGTCTCGGCGCGGACGGTTCGTGTTCGTCAGATGGCCAGGATATGTTAGAAGTTGTGAAAATTGCGAATTTTTTACCGTGCGTGGAAACGGCGGAATATCGAGACTGGCCTTCGCCGAGGGAGACGTATTTGAAGTTAGGCTGCGAGAACGGGTACCACAGCATTAACCTGGGCGATAAAGGCGGGAAGATACGAGAAGGAATGCTCGCAGATGTCTGCCTGTGGGATCTCACCGCGCTAGCGCTGTTACCGAAAACTGATCCTCTCGGTTTACTCGCTCGAGGGAGCAGAACGCAGAATAAAGCCGCGGGATCCGTGCTCGCGGAGTCCTGGGTAAACGGGAAGAGAGTCGTGCGCGCCGGCGAAATTGTTGGGTGCGACGTAGAAGCGTTGCGAAAAGTTTTAGCGGATGCGCAAAACTACGTGCACGAAACAGAGGGATTGAGTATGGAACCGGCGGCGAACGATGCCTCGAGGAGGGCAGAAAACGAGTATCGCGCGGCGCTAGGTTTGCCCGTGGACAACGATAAATATGTGCCGTCCGGGCCTCCCCCGGAACCTGTTGACTTTTCGCAAGACACGACGCTGTTTGATTCGACTTTACGCTAGCGTGATAACTACTATGATGTACTACCTGTATAAATACTACTACTGGATGTATAAATAACCTTCTGTTTACGAGCCGTGCGCGCCAACTACGCCGTTTTTGCGAATCCAAACTGGAAACGCAAAGAGTAAGATACCGATACAAATCATCAATAGGTCAACGACGAGAAAACTGCCGTCGCCTTCTTTCAAAACTAAGTGCATGGATGGATACTGCATAGCGCCGGAAATCACGGCGAATACGCCGATACCTATACCATATAACTGTCCGAACGTCGCGTTCCCGAATACGCCTTGCACGTATATCGTCAAGCACGAGTAGTTCCAAGCGCGAAAGCAACCGAACGCTAAAAATGCAATCGATAAGCTCACTATATCGTGATTCCAAAGCACACCTACAAAACTTAGCACCCCTAAAACGTTGACCAACGTGAACGCCGGCGCTAATCCGAATCTATCGACGAAAAAGCCGAAAAACGGCGTCAGAAACGTGCTCACTAAAATTAAGGCGTTGAACACGCGAACGTACGCGTTCGCGTCTTTCGTACTTCTACCGTCGCCGTTATACAACATCTGTTCGAATATGCTTCCCAAAATGAACATCGAACGATAAATACTACCGAGAGACCACGCGGCAACAGATATAAAATACGGCGTTCGCACTTGTTCCGTAAATTTCATCTGCGTCAACGGAACGCCCAAGTGCTCCAACCCTTTGGCGCGAGAACTTTGAACCTTCGCAAGTTCACCATCCCCCCCGCTCTCCATCTCCGCTTCCTCGACGTACTCTTCTTTCTCCGGCGAGTCCAAGTACTTTCCCCACACGTAACTATTCGTGCTCATCATAAACACCGCGCTCAATCCGGCTAACCCGTAAAACAACGCTCTCACCGAACACCCCGCTTTATGCATCGCCTCGAACGCGTAAAACGTCACCGTGCTCGAATCGAACGCCATATTCGTCGCGCTGTGCGACATTCCAAAATACATAGTGTGCCTCCAATGTTCGCAAAACTGGAAATGCGAGATGAAAAATCCCGCGCCTCCACTCCCGAGGAACACGCAAGAGACCACGTACGCGTCAAACGTCTTCGAATCCGATTCCGCGAAGAGCACGCACCCGACCGTAAACAACGACAGAGAGACCAATCGCACCCACTTCACGCCTTTCAAATCGATCAACCTTCCCCAAAACATCATCGAGAGTGGCACCGAGACCGTTCCTGCGGTAAACATCGCGTTAAACTTCAGTTTCTGCCCCACGCACTCCTCCTCTCCTTCTCCCTCTAGCATCGTCGCTCCTTCTGCGCCTCCGCACGTTTCCGCGAATTGGCCGTCGCGTTTTAACGCGATCGTCAACGCGCTCAAACCGAACGTCACCCCGGTGCACAGGAGACACTCGACGACGGAGAGGCACAGGAGGAACCACTGACGTCCGTTCGTTCTATTCATCGCTGATTTCGTGGGTTTCATCCTTTTCTTTCTTCTGTCTCGTTGTTTGTTGTCTTCGTTTTATCCGCAGAAGTAATGACGCCGCCGCCGGGGAAAACAACACCCAGAACAAAGAAGAATCCTACTCGCTCGCAAAACGAAGGAGCAAGCGCTGCGATGCTGCTCGTCTCCGTGGGATTCTGCGCCGGGCTTGCGTTCTACCGATTCGCGCTCGAATCGGTCGTCTTAAAGAAGCGAAGGAAGAAGAGAGAGGTGGATCGAGTCGCGCGGCGAAGCGTCGCTTTGCGGGAAGGGAAAGATGCGATCGAAGGGGAAACGTACGTTCAGTGCAAAGGAGGAGAAGGAGAAAGCATGAAGAACGACAAAAGCGAAGAAAAAGAGAAAGAAACACGTTCGACGGGAAGTTTTAGGACGTTTCCAGCGCACGGAAAGAACACCGCGCTGCTTATCATCGACATGCAGAGCGACTTTTTGAGCAAATCCGGAAGGCTCGGACAACACTACTCTCGAGACGTTCTCGAGCGGTTGGAAGCGACGACGGCGAACGTGGCGAGAGTTCTGGAAAAGTGCAGAGAGAAAGGGTTCACGATCGCGCACAGTCGAAGTCACAGGTACGGAGCGGAAATCCGGAGAGATTTACTCAACGGAATTGACGTGAGTATGAGTAGCCCGATCGAAGGCGTGGACGCTACGTATAACTTTGTCGAGCGGTTGAAACCAAAGGAGGGGGAAATTATCGTGGATAAATGGACGTTCGGCGCGTTCGCGAGCACGGATTTAGAGAAGCAATTAGTCGGACGTGGGGTGGAACGGATATTGTTGTGTGGGATACTGACGAACGTGTGCGTCATGGCGACGGCGGTGCAGGCGTGCGATCGATTTTTCCGGGTGTGTTTAGTCGAAGACGCGTGCGGGGCGTTCGGGAAGGAGAAAGAGGGAGGTTGGCACGATATGGCGGTCACTTTGATTAACGGACCGCAAATCGCGAAACAAAATCATCACAAAAGCGTAGGTTTGTATTTCGGGGAAGTCGCGACCGTGGACGCCGTGGTGGAAGCTTTGGACGTGTTAAAATGAATGCGATTTTTGGTAGATATTTAAATGTACAACGATAACGTGAAACCTTTTATACCGCGGCCGCCGCCGCCATCACCGCTTTGTCGGTGGTGCCGCCGTAATTGCTTCTAATTCGTCCTAATATGTATTCTTTTGCGGTCAAACTTTCTTGTCCAGGATACGCTCGAATTACTGCGGACTCGTCGGCTTGCGCGAAAAACGCCATCGAGTGTCGGCTCTTCAGCGCCTCCTCTCCTTCCGGCATTCGAACTCTGTGTAAATTGCTCAACAAGTCGCCATTCGTCCAACGACTCAGCATGTCGCCAATATTCACGGTAATCGCACCAGGGTTCGTGTGATCAATCTGTGCCCACTCGGTGTTTTCGAATCCATCTCTTCTCGGGTTCGCCGCGCACTCTAAACCACCGTTTCCGAATTCCGTTCGTTGATACAACAACGTCACGTTGCACCAATCCGTGTGCGCTCCTGCGCGCATGTATCCCATTTTCGCTTGGTCCTCCGCCTCTTCTACTGAATCAAACGGTGGATAATGTATCATTCGTAAAGTACACTGACTCTCGTTCTCTACCCATAAACTGTGTTTACTCGCGATATCTTCTTCTTCTTCTTCTTCTTCTTCTCCGCCTTGCGCTCTCCTCCTCCTTCTCCGTTCGCGCTGCAAACGCGCGATGACCATCTTCGCCAGCTCCAAAGATTTCCCCATGAACTCTCTCGTGTTCGCTTCAAAATCCGGACCCATATCTTTCGGCCATCTCGTTTCCATGCTCGACTCTTTCGCCGTGACTTGAAAACTTTCCTTTTCGTCTTTCAGTTGCGTGCTCGGTCTCACTTGGAGCTTGTACTCGTATCCCGAATTCAACTTTGCATCATACGGCGACTCTTGCTCTTTCACCGCTTTCGCTCGCGCAAAAAACTTCTCGGAGAATTCAAATTGTCGATCTATGTCATCCTTATTCACGAACGGTGCGTTTACGAGTGCGAAAAACCCTACGTTTGATGCCGCGTCGTATAACTTCGCGTCCAACACATCAGAATCCAAATTGGAAAAATCGATCACCGGGACGGAACGTGCGGAATCATTCAACGCGCGTTTCAAGCCTAACCCAGAGGTCAAGAGTTTCGATTCCGTGTCCACGTCTTGATCGATGATGCGACTATTCTGTGCGCTCATTTACTTCCTCTTTTTTGTCTTCTCTTTCTCTGTCTGTGTCTGTCTGTGCGCGTCTTTATTGTAACGCGGAATTTCCCGAAAAGACAAAGAAAAACCGTTAGAAAAAGCCGCACACTTAGATCACTAATGGACGCGATCCCAAACTCCCGCCCGTACGCGTGGCCCTTCCCCGACCCGAGCGAAATCTATTTCGACGCGTTCGAACACACCGCGTTCATTCTGATCGACATGCAGCTCGATTTTTGCGGCAAGAACGGGTACGTCTCCAAAATGGGATACGACGTTTCCCTCACCCGGAAACCGATCGAGCGCGTCGAGAAGGTGCTGCGAAAGTGCCGAGAAAACGGAGTCCTCGTGTTACACACCAGGGAAGGACACAGGAAAAGCTTACGAGATTTACCGGAGAATAAACGGTGGAGAAGTGCGCAAGCAGGGGCGGAAATCGGGAAGGATGGGCCGTTGGGGAAAATTTTAACCAGAGAAGCCAACGGGTGGAACCTCATAGAGGAGTTGAAACCGCTCGAGACGGAAGACGTGATCGATAAACCAGGGAAGGGATCATTCATGGGGACGGATTTAGATCTCATATTACGGTTAAACAAAATCAGACGGATTATATTTGGCGGGATAACGACGGACGTGTGCGTGCACACGACGATGCGAGAGGCGAACGATTTAGGATACGAGTGTTTACTCTTAGAGGACGGCACGGGAGCCACGGACGAGGGGAATCACGCGAGCGCGATAAAGATGGTGCACATGCAAAACGGCGTGTTCGGGGCCACGGCGAAGTGCGAAGACGTGTGTACGTTTTTAGACGCGAATCGGTTCGATGGTGCCGAAAATAGAGATGCGATCATTCCGAACGCGAAACCGTTCCCATTTACCATCAGAGCGAAGAAAACGGCGATCGTTATGGTCGATTGGCAGTTAGATTTCACCTCGCCTAAAGGTTTCGGCGCGGCGTTGGGGAACGATTGCGAAGTTTTGCGCGAAGAAGCCTTGCCGAATGCGGTCAAAATTTTAGAAGCAGGTCGAGAGGCGAAGTGCGCGATCGTGCACACGTTGGAGGCGCACAAAGCAGACCTCTCGGATTGCCCGCCGAGTAAAATTCGAAGATGCGACAAAATCGGTCAAACCGTGGATGCTAAAATGGGCCGCATATTAGTCAGAAACGAACCTGGGAACTCGATCGAGCCATTAGTAGCACCAATCGAAGGCGAACTCATCGTCCACAAACCAGGTAAAGGTGCTTTTTACAACACGAATCTCGAATTCCAGCTGAAGAGGCGCGGGATCGAGACTCTGATTTTCACCGGCGTGACCACGGAAGTGTGCGTCCAAACGTCCATGCGAGAAGCGAACGATCGCGGTTTCGAGTGCATCGTCGCAGACGACGCCACCGAATCGTACTTCCCGGAATTTAAAAAAGCGTGTTTGGAGATGATTTCCAGTCAAAACGGTATCGTCGGTTGGCGATGTCTCACCGAAGACGTCGTCAACGCTTTGAAAATATGAGACACTTACAACACGCCACCTCGACACATCTTCCACACAAAATCACGCATTCACACACGCGCATCAAATAAATGCCAGACGCCATCCACGGCGCTCTCTTAACGTGCGATAACCCTCCCATCAAAACCTTCATAGAGGCTTTGAACGATTCTTTACCTCAGGAGGAAAGATTCATCGTCTCCGCGAACAAAACGTTGGACGAGAAACATCTGTTGATTCAACGCGAACGCGTTGCATTCGTCCAATCGAAAGTGAAAGAGTTCACGGATAAAAATCAGTACTCGGCGCCGAGAGACGGGTCGTGAGAGCAACAAATAATGGTCGTCGCCAAAGTCGTCGTCGGTCGGTTCGCTGGTACTGTTTCTCCAACGCGCCTTCGCGGCGGCGCGGGGAGGAGAGCGGACGAGAAGAGGAGAAGTTTGATGCCTGAACGAAAACGTTTTGGAGGAAAGAGGAAAGGAACAAACGCGGCGGCCTTGCCGGATGTGCTTTCGTCGTTGCCCTCGCAAAATGAGGACTTCATTGGCACGGTTTTGTCGAAGAACGATAATATTTTTTCTGATTTAGCGTACGTAGAAAACGACGCTTGGTGGGGGTGGGCGTTCGCGCCCGGCGGGTTTGTGCTCGGACCTTCGATTTTGTTCGCGCTGTACATTCTCGGTACTTTGATTTTTGACGCGGTCGCGAAGCAGATGAAGACGAAGGAAGAGGAGGATGAGTAGTTTTAGAGAGTTCGTTGTATCATCACTTTAATATATAGTACTTATTTACGTAAGGAACCTACTGCTGCTGCGCTACGTGCGTGCGTTTGTTTATTCTAATGAGCTAATTATACAATTTTCTTGGGCAGTAAGAAAGCGTCGAACGAGTACGCTCCCGCGCCGAACATTTGCAACAAGAGCATCCCTCCGGCGCAGGAGAGGTTGACGACAAAGTGCGTTCGCGCGTGTTCGGGCATGAGCGTTCGCGCGTTCCAGAAATCCCAGCTCAGAAACGCTTCGAGAAAGAGACTCAAGGCCATGAATCGGCAGACGAATTTGGTGCGGAGCCCGAGGAATAACGGGAGCGCGAGGATGAATTGGACCAAGAGCCAATTGCTGTCGTGTCCGTCTTTTCGCTGTTTCTGTTCGTTTTCCGCACCACCATCTCCTCCGGTTGATTGCGTTTCTTTTAATTTGCTGTACGCGTCCATATCGTTCCTAGCGATTCGAATGACCTGTTCCCAGCCGACGTATAGAAACGCAGACGCTAACGCCAATCTCGCAAACGCCAACGCGATCGATTTCAATTTGCTCTGCTTCCCTTCGCGGTTCGTTCTAGGGTTGCCGAATTTACTGAAGAGCAAGCCATCGCGGCCGTCGGTGTTTTGGACGGCTAAACCTCGTCGAGAGTGGATGGTGTTTACTAACAGTAACGTCGTCGATCCCAAAACGCTCAGCTTTTTCATCGCGAGTTCGTTGAACACGATGCCGTTTGGGCCGAAAAACACCTCTTTGGTCAATCCGATCGATTCGCGCATGTCCCAGAAGAGTAAGTAGACGCAACACATGGATGGTTTGATGTCGTGCACCATTAACGTAGTGACGACGACCACTAATAACGCGCCGTATGGAACACCGATGGGTAAATCCACTTGCCCTCGCGGGAACCCGTGCTCTTTGTTGAACTCGTAATATTTAAATCTCCACACGTAATAGGCGTACTTTTCAGCCGCCGCGTTGAAGTAATAAAACGAAATAAACAATCGGGCGAGAAAGAATATCTCGCTCGACTTCATTAATCGCTGGAAGTACATGCCTAAAATCTTCCACTTGCGCGCGATGCCGTGCGCGTTGTTCACGTCGATGAGCATGATTCGTAATTGCGAGGCTCGTCGCGACAAGTACTGGCGCTTCTTCAAACTGCCCGTATATTTGACTCTTTGGTCTTCTAAATCGTGATTCGCAGACGGGTTCGATGCGACTGGAGAGTTGAACACCGAATTACTTCGGCTGGCATCGCTCGATGCTCCGTTCATGATCATACCGTTGCTGTTTCTATTCCGAGACGGACTGCCGAAAATTTGAGAACCAGAACCGCCCATATCCCCTAACATTTCCTTTTCGTTCTCCTCTCTTTCTCGCTGTTTAGCTAATCGATACTCGTGAATCTTCCTGAACATGGTCTTCAACCAAATGGATAAAGTCGTCACCAACATGACGAAAAACTGCGCCACGACGCCGTCGACGAACGGCGCGTGTCGCTTCGGCGCTTCCGCGTGGTCGTCGATATTCAACGCGTGGTCTGGATTCACGTCGTCGTGGTGCTCGGGAGCTGGCAAAGGGTTTGGTGCCGCGTGTTGTTGTTGTTGTTTTTGCTGCTGCGCGCTATCGTTTCCGCTCTTCTTGTTCTCTGTTGGAGTTTTTGGCGTCGTGTAAGAAAACGAGTTTGGTTTGTTTTCTCGTCGTTGTTGTTGTTGTCTCTCGTTCGTCGTCGCCGTCTTTGCAGCCGCCTCCCTCCTCTTCTCCTCCTCTCTCTCCTTCTCCTCTTCGACTAACTTCGCCGCTCTCAACAGCCTCTCTCTTTCCTCCCGTTTCTTCTCCATCTCCCTTTTCTGCATTTCAATCCTCTCCTTCTCTTTCCTCTCCGTCTCTTTCCTCAACTGCTCTTTCCTCTCCTTCTCTTTCCTCATATACTCCATCCTCTCCATCCGCTCTCGCTCCATCCTCTCCGCGCGTTCTTTCGCCTCCGTCTTCTCCCTCCGCATCCTGTCCACATCCATATTTTCCTCTCGTTTCCTCCTCTCTTCCTCTCTCTTCCTCTCCTCCGCCTCTCGCAAAATCCTCTCCGCGCCGGTGTTGGACTGTAACTCCCTTTGTACTTGTTCTCGTTCCAATTTTCTCTGCTGTTCCTCCTCGTACGCGATGCGCGTCTGCCGTCGTCGCTCTTCGTCTTCTTGGTGTTTTCTCGCTCTTTCTCGTATTTCTTGTTCTTCGTGTGTTTGTGATTGTTGTTGATTGTTTCCCAAAGCCGAATTCGTATTCGTCCCTGTCGTCGTTCCGCTTCCGCCGCCTCCTCCCCCTGGGGCATTTTTCACCTTGAGCTCCTCTTCTCTCGGATCTTCCCATTGGCTCCTTTTATTCGTCTCCGACCAAAAGTATACTTTCCCTTCTTCGTTCTGGTATTTCTCCCACCGTTCGTTTAAGAGTGGGTAGTTCACGGTGAACTTTTCCAGTAATATCGCGTTTACGTTCGCGAGAAAGAGCGTCGTTTGGACGAGAATCAAAATCATCATCGTCGTCGTTCGTCTCCAATGCATCGTCCTCATCAATTCAGATTTTTGCGTCTTTGAGAGTAACGCGCCCGTTCTTCTCTTCCGCGCGCAGCAAAACTTCTCGTCAAACCACCCCCGAACGCGCAAAAGTGTTCTTTCTGAGAGGTAACAAATTCAAAGCGCAATCAATCTATAATAACAAGAGTAAAAATGAGACGATGTGATGATATCTGCGCGTTACTGTTTGTTTTTGTTGTTTTGTGAAAAGTCACCGAAAACTCTTCCCTTTTTGCTGCCTTTTTCGAGGAAAGGTCAGACTGAAGAAAAATTGGTGCACGAAAGAAAAGAACTTTTTTCTCTCCGAGACGACTACGAATACCGCGAGGAATACACAGAAGAAGAAGAAGAAGAAAGAGAGAAAAGACGACGCGAGAGACTTGACCTTTTACTCGAGTAACCTAACTAGGTAAATTACAACTCAACTAGGACTCCCAATCTTGAATATTCTAACAGAACACGCCGTCGCACAAGCTTTACGTCCTCTCCTTCTCCTCCGTTTCCAAATCTCATCGCATGAGACTACTCCGAATAGCGACCACCACGGTGCTCCCGGTTTAAAATTTCTGCTCGAGTATTCCAATCGTCGTCCCATGAGCATGCTTCGAATAGCTGATACTTTACACAAAACCAAATGTTTTTTTCAAGTTACTACTCGCGTTCGCTCCTAGGCAGCGCCGCGCAAAAATACGCATATGGAACTTAAACACTTTATGGTATTTTCAATGATTTATTTCAATCAAAAATCAACTTACTTCACCTATCAAAGTTTCTTCGATCGATCTCATGAGAGCCGAGTGTCATGATAGGCTGAGCATCGCAAATGGATGCTCGAGAGACGTTGTGTTGTCACATGTTTCTGCAATCCAAAAACATGTTTTCGTATGGTTAAAAATCAAGTAATCCCAAAAAAAAAAAGGAGAGAACTCTCGATTTTAATCGATACAAAACTCCCCCAACGGTACTCAAATCCCGTTTCAAAAAATGAAAGGCTGGAATTCTTTCCCAAAAAATGCTCTTTCCTCCATGTGTCGTCGTTGACTTCTTCTTCGATGAAGAAGAGAGAAGATATGCAATAACACGACGACAAAGAAAAGAACACAAAAAAGGAGAGAAACTCGCCCGCGCAAGTCAAAACTCTCCGTACTCGAACCCCCTTTGTCCGTTCTTTCCCAGCTCTTTTCATTCATTCATCTGCCATGCGATAGAGAGATACAAAAACGCTCGATTTGTATCTCTAAAACAGAAAGAAAGCAAACGATGAAGAAAAGAGCTCCCACCCTTCCACCCACTATCATCGATAGAGGTCTATCGATGATAGCAATACGTGTGACTTTCTCGCGCGCGTGCGCGCGCGCACGCAAAAAAAAGTGATATTATATGCGCGCGCAAATGCGCGCAAATGCGCGCGCGAGAAAGTGAAGAGGAAATGAAAAAAAATTGTTTTTTAGATACAGATACAAAAGTTTCTCTTTCTCTCTCTCTCTTTCTCTTTCTTTTCCCCCAATTTTCCTAGTTTTTCTTTTTTTTTGCGACGAAGAAAATAAACGGAGAGAGAGAATACGTAAAAAGCGCGTATTTTCCAGCTCCGAGTTCCTGCGAACGTTTTATGAGGTGTATGGGTGCATCCGCGCGCTTTTCAGCACCTCTCGCGCGCGCGCGGTCCCCAGTCAACGCGCGCGCGTGGAGGGGACAGGGAAGGGGGTGACGTGTCAAGCTCTCGTGCAAAGTTGGTTTTCTATTTAGGGCCTCAAATTCTCAACTTTCCTTCTCGTGCGTTTCGGAAGCTCTTTTTTTTAAAATAAGATATATAGTTATTCTCATCAACACTTTACCACATCATCGATCGGCAGCAAAGAAGAGCACGCACTATATACATAATGTCTCCCTCTGAAATCACGTGCAAAGCGGCACTCGCGACCGCCCCAAACGTACCTCTGGAAATCTGCGACGTCATCGTTTCCCCGCCACAAAAAGGCGAAGTGCGGATAAAAATCACCCACACGGCGTTGTGCCACACGGACAGTTACACGTTATCCGGGCAGGACCCGGAAGGGTTGTTCCCGGCGATTTTAGGGCACGAAGCCGCTGGAATTGTCGAGTCTGTCGGGGAAGGCGTGACGAGTTGTAAAGTTGGCGACTCGGTCATTCCGTGTTACCAGGCGTGTTGTTTAAACATCGAAAACGTACAACCGTGCAAGTTTTGCGTGCACCCGAAAACGAACTTGTGTCAAGCGGTGAGACAATGGACCGGATGCGGGATCATGAAAGCGGACGAGAAAACGAGGTTTCGAAAGGCGAGCGATGACACGCCTATATTTCACTTCATGGGGACGAGCACGTTTTCGGAGTACACGGTGGTGCACGAAGTAGCAGTCGCCGTGGTCAATCCAAAAGCGCCGAGAGAGAAGACGTGTTTGCTCGGGTGCGGGGTGAGCACCGGGTGGGGCGCGGTGTATAACACCGCGAAAGTTGAGAAAGGGAACACGGTTGCGGTGTTTGGTTTAGGCGCGGTTGGGTTAGCCGTCATCGAAGCGTCCAGAGAGGTTGGTGCGAGTCGGATTTTAGCCATCGATACGAACCCGGAGAAATTCGAGGTGGCGAAAAAGTTTGGCGCGACGGAGTGCGTGAATCCGAAAGATTTCGCAAACGAGAAGATTCAAGACGTGATTGTGAAAATGACCGACGGTGGCGTCGATTTCTCGTTTGAATGCATCGGGAACGTGGACGTGATGCGCGCAGCCTTGGAGTGTGCGCACAAAGGATGGGGCGAATCCGTCATCATCGGCGTCGCCGCAGGCGGGAAGGAAATCGCGACGAGACCGTTTCAGTTAGTCACCGGCAGAGTGTGGCGAGGGACGGCGTTCGGCGGGTACAAATCGAGAGTCGAGGTACCGAAGTTAGTGGAGAAATACTTAGCCGGGAAAACGATGCTGGACGAGTACGTGACGCACCAGATGAAGTTTGAGCAAATTAACGACGCGTTCGATTTGTTACACGCCGGCAAATGCCTTCGAGTCGTCTTGTCCATGGATGAATAATCAGAGTTTTCTTCTCTCTTTCTAATAAAATGTTACATTTATTATATACACAAAACGCTATTTTGTTACGTACTCAACAACTTTATCGCGTGAAAAGCCACGTGGTCATGCATGAACGTCGATATGAACCAGTAACTGTGGTCGTATCCTTCTCTCACGTTATACTTCATGAACCCTTTCGTATTCTTCTCCGCCGCCTCTTGGAACCGTTCCGGATGTAACTGCGTCTTGTAAAAAGTATCTGCGTCGCCTTGATCGATCAAAATCGCCTTCGTCACTGTTTTCATCGTCCCAGGTTCCATCATTTTCACCAACTCCGTCGCATCGTGCATCTTCCACTCGTTCTCATCCTTCAAATACCCTTTAAACGCTTTTTGCCCCCACGGACAATCCTTCGCGGACGGGTTCGCGATTGGCGCAAACGCCGAAACGGACCGGTACTTCCCCGGATTCCTCAACGCCAAGGTCAACGCCCCGTGACCGCCCATAGAGTGACCCATAATGCTCTGCCTGTTAAAATCCACTTTATCGTTTATACAATCGATAGATTTACACACTTGTTCCAGTTCTTTCGTCGCGTACGTCTCCATGTTGTAATGCTCCGCGTACCCTTTCGTCGTCGCGTTCACGTAAAATCCAGCGCCTATGCCGAAATCCCACGAGGCGGATTCTTCCTCGTCAATTTTTTCGTGACCTCTCGGTGACGTGTCCGGCATTACGAAGCACACTCCAGATTGTTTGCACGTTTCAAACGCGTTGCCTTTTTGCGAGACGTTGGTGTCGTCGCACGTTAATCCGCTCAGGTAGAGGATGAGTGGCATTTTCCTCGCGTTTCCGTTTCCGACGGGGAAATCATCTTCGTCGGATGGAATGTATATCGCAAACGTCATGTGACACTTGTTGCACGGCGAATAGTGCTTGATTCTGTGCAAATAACCAGCGTGGACTTTGACGGTGGAGAGGATTTCAGGTTTGAATAGTACTTTTTCGTCGTTTTCATCGGACATGATGATGATGATGATGATATTAATGGGCGGTTGTTGATGTGTCAGTGTGTGCGCAGATGTGAAGACGATACGCTCCGCGCGAAGATGATAATACACTCCTTCTTTTAAAAACAAACACTCGTTTTCTAAATTATACGCTCTATATTATTCTTACTCTCTTCTACCAGTGGAAGTGCGACTGCTACTCCGACTGTGCGTTGGCGAGGATAACAAGCCTCTGTTCTCCTCCTCGTCCGATGTCGTCGTTCCGCGCCGGAGGATGGCTTCGTGGTTGCCGCTCGGGATGCGATGGTGAGCCGAAGAAGAAGAAGCCCCGTTATTAAAACCACCACCGTTGTTGTTATTACTATGGATGTTTCGAGAGTGCAAAACCGCCCCTGTGCGCACGTCTTCGGCATCTTTACCTAGCGTCGACCCGGTGAAGTATAAGAGGATGGCGCAGACGCCCCAACTGCTGAAACTGAACATGAAGGCTTTCTCGCGACCGAATAAGCCGACGAGTTGCGCCACGATGGCCGGGCCGAAGCCTCGACCGAGGTCGTCGGTTAAGTTGAAGAGGGAAAACGCCGCGCCGCGTTGGTCCGGCGGGTTGACGTGGATGACCATCGCGCGGACGTTCACGCCGGTATACGTGCATAAAATACCGGCAATAGCGGCGATGGTGATGTGCGAGGCCATGTTTAAGAAGGAATCATTGTAGTTGTCGGTGCTTACCAAATATAACCACGGAAGGCCGCCGAGGACGACCATAATCGCCATCGAGTTGCAAAAGGTCCTGGGGGATTCGTTGTACGCTTTTTGACCGAGAATGCCGCCGAATACCATGCCCAAAAACCCACCCAAAGAAAATCCGAGCATGATCGAGGTCGCGTGCGGAACGCCTAACCCTTTATTCGTGGCTAAATAATCGTTCATAAAGGCATTGATGACCGACCACGGAACGCATCCAGGGATACCTTGTAATAACGCGAACTTGTTCGTGGGCACCGCAAGGACCCACTTTATGGAAATCCACGACGTTTGCGCGCCGGTTTTTATTTGTTCCCACACGGACGCTTCTTTGTTATTCTGGCCGCCGTCGCCGTCGCCGCCGCCGCTAATCGTACCGTGACTGCTACTATGAGTACCGCCGCCGGCGCTCGCCGCGACGCCGACCAAATCATCGCTCGAATAGCTATTCCCATCCATAATGCCTCTTTTCGGCTCTTTCACCGACGCTAAAAACAAAAATCCAACGATTACCCCGGGCACGGCGACGACGACGAACGGCGTCCTCCACCCGTACTCGCTCCCGACGTACCCGGCGATCCCTTGCCCCATCCCGACCCCAAACGACATGCACACCCCAACTAACGCCGACGCGTGCGATCGCCTGTGCGCGGGAAACAAATCCCCAATCAACGAAAACACTAAAGGTAGCGCCCCGCCAACCGCTATACCGGTCAGCGCTCGTATCGCCAACAACTGCTCGTACGTCTTCACCACCGATATGAACAAATTCGGCCCCTGCCCGAGAAATATCGCGAACGCGAATAACTTCACTCTCGAATACTTATCCGCTAAAATCCCAATCAACACGCACGCCGGAACGCCTAATAGGAAGAACGCGAACGCTATTTCGCCTCCCAGTTTTTCGTCTCTCGTTTGGTTGTCGAATTTAAACTCTCGAGCCATTTGCGTCAAGTTTGGCGCGATTAAGTTTGAATCCGCGTAGACGAAGGTCATGCCGAGCATGAGTAAATAGAACGTTCGTTTCGACTCTTTGTTTAATTCCGGGAATGGGTCGTAGTTTTCCATGTTTTGCGCGTTCTGTGTGTATCTCTCGCGTCTCAATTCATGCGCGACCTTTCAACAAAACGAGCGCGGGAAAAGTCCAATTCGTGATGCAAACGAGAACAAAAGAAAACGAGAAGAGCGCAAAAACGACGCTTTGGAGCGTTACGTTTTCGTGACGATGACCCAGACGAGAGCGCGTTCTTATGTATTCTATGCTCTCTCTCTCTCTCCCTCTCTCTCGGCTTTTGCGCGTGTTATAAAGTGAAGAACAACCGAAAAATATATTTGTGTTTTGTTTGCTTGTTTTTCTCCTCTTTTTCTTCGTTGAAAAATGCGAAAACGACTACTTCTCGCGACGATGGTTTCTTCTTCTTAACTTCTAATCTAAACTTTTACGACGCTCGCGACGCTCGTAAAGCGTTTCATCTGCGCGGATAACTGTTCGTACAACTCGTTATTTTCTTTGCTTTTGTTCTTGACTTGCTCCAAAGCTCGCGTGCAAACGGCGTCGGCTAAGCTGGAGTGTTCGTAGCCGCTATCGCAAAACGCGCGCAAGGCGCGCCACATTTCGCACGCGGATTGCGCGAGCGTTTCCGCGTTTTCTCGTTCGAATTTACTCGATTCGGAGAGGAGTTTCGAGCCGAACCCGGTGGATGTTTTCTTTTTCGGTTTAAGGGTTTCCGAGAAGACGTCGCGGAGTTGCGAGGCGAGTTTGACCGATCGAGAGGCGGTGTCTCTGGCGACGAGGAAGGCATCTTCGACGAGGTCGTCGAGGTAGGCTTTCTCGTTCGCGTCCTTTTGAGTCGTAGACTTCTTCTCTTCTTTCTTTACGCCTTGTTGTTGCAAGCCGGTTTTGATGTTAATGGGCGCGTCGCCGATCAAATCACCCTCGTAGACGCCTCGTTCGTAGCCAAACTCGTCGCGGAATTTACGCAACGCCGTTCGCAACGCGACCGTATCCTTCTTTTTATGCGACGCGCGGATCTTCTCAATCAACTCGCGGAATTTCTTCTCCTCCGCGCGACGTCTGGCTTCGTCGTATGCGTACGCGGATCCACCCGGTTGTTGACTCAACTCTTGCGAGGCTGCGATATTCGCGAAGCCGTTGTTGTTCTCAATTTGTTCGTCCTTCACCATCGCACCTCGACGCGAACGCGTCGGAGTCGTGTGCACTGCGTTATCTCCTCCTCCTTGTCCTCTGACGGAGCTTCTCGTCGGCGTTCTTTGTTCGGCGGGTGGTATTGGTACTTGCTCCACCGTCGCTTGCGATAACGGTTCTTCTTTCTTCACGACGGGAAGAACAACTTGTCCGTAATTTTCTCGAGAAAGTACGCCGTCTTCCAAACTGAACTGTTTCCCCATAAACGCCAATTCCGAACCTTTCTCTTCACCAGTCGCTCTTCGTTTTGCTTTGGAAAATATCAAACCCATTTTACGATCTTCGTCTCTTCCTAACGCGTCGGCGACGGCGGCGTGTTCGTTCAACACTCGCAACGCTTCCTCGTACTCTGGGCCTAAACGCATGACATCGATGTCTTTGATGAGCTCGGAGCCTAGCTGCGGGTCGTCAAACTGGACGCGAATGTTCAGTTTAGAAACAGTTAAAACAGATCCGACGTACGCGCGTTTCGCTAACGGGTGTTTCGCCAACACTCTTTGACCGACGATGAACGGCTCTGGAATCGGGATCAACTCGGCGGTATCGTTCGGCGCGGCGAGCTTTTCAATCTCCTCTTTGCTGAGCATTTTCCCCTTCAAGTTTGCCTCTACTTTCGCTCTGGCAGCGTTTCGGTGGTATTCTAATCTAATTCGTTCGTCTCTCAAGAACGGTATGGATAAACGTCGGACTTTACCCAAAGACTTGCGGACGTCTCTCCATTTCTTTCTCGATTGTTTCGACCACGCGGTTTCGTTGATGTCGCAGTGCTTCGCGAACCGCTTGAAATCGTTCCTGGCGAACCAGTCTTCGTCTGTACCTGGCATGAACCATTCCGCTAAAGCCCACTTGCGCGTGCGTTCGTTTCCACTTCGCGCGGCCATTTCCGCCAACGGGTGGTCGCGAGGGATTCCAGGCGGCGGTAACGGCGGCGGCGGCGACAACGCAAACGTGTAGCCAGCTTGCTTGGCCAATTTCGCGCGACGGTCGAGAAGGAATAAACCTCCCTTCAACGACCTCGAGCGTCTCGTTTTGTACTTTGCCGCCACAGCTTGCTCGAGCTTTTGTTTCCCAAAAGCAACCATCGCTTTCTGGTGTTCTAAGCGTAAATCTTCCTCGGTTTTTTGGCCTTCAAGTTTCAACCTCTTCCGCGCCGGAGAGACGATATTTTTCCCGCCTTGTTGTGAACCGCCACCACTGTTCGCTTTCTTCGGTCGGTCGCCGTTACTGCTCGCTTTCTTAGGTGCCTTAGCGTTGAACTTTTTCAACGGCGTCGCGGCGTCGGCGAGAGTCATCAAACCGTCCAAAGCGCCGCCGACATCCGCGAACGGATCGTCCTCCCCGTGATTCATCTCTTGTTCGTTGCTATTGTTCGCGTTCGCGCCGCCGTCCACGTTTTCTTCTTCGCCGTTATATTTGTGCGACTCTTGCGTTTGCTTGACCGCCGGCGACGTGTCTTGATACTCTTCGTCGCTCTCGAATCCTCCGTTATCGATCAACTTTCGTTTATTCTCTGCTCCAAACGCGGGCAAAGTCATCGCGTTCCCGGTGCTCATGGACGGACTCGATCTTTTCCCGCTCGGTTTCGGCGATAAAGACACTAAATTCCTCGCCGCCAACTGCGCGTCCTTCTTGTCTTTCCCGGTCAATTTATGCGCGTCCAATGGCAACTTGTTCTCCCTCGGCGTTCTTTTCCCTTTCTTCGGCAATCGTTTTGGCGACGGTTTCGTGCTGTTCCCGCTCGTCGCTCCGGCAATAAACGCCGCCATGTTCTGTTCTTTCTGACTGCTCTTCCCATTCCCGTTCCCGTCCGAGGTATCGTCTCTGGACGTGCTCCACTCTCTCGCGCTTTTATTCCTCGCCGCTTTCTCCTTTGCCGCCTTCTCTAAGTTGTCAAAATAATCTCTCGTCAACGCGTGCAAAGCCGCTGCCGAAGCGACCCCGTCCGGCAACGACAAAAACGCCTGGTTTTTATCGTACATATTCACGCACTCCTTCACCGACCTCCCCGTCTTTGCCGCTATAGAATCAAAGTTCGGTATGTGCTCGCTGTACGTATTCTCAAACCCGTCTCTTTCTTCTTTCAAACCGTTAAAAAACGCCACGCACTCCTCCTCGTTCCATCTCGGACCGAGCGGCGACTGCGAGACGATGCCTAATACCGTCGTCTGCGCGTCCAACTCGTGCGAGTGATAATTATTGTTGTTGTTCTTCTTTCTTTTGTTCGTGCTGCTCGGAGGTGGGAGGGGTGGTTTCCCCATGGATCCTCCTTTCGATGTCAGATTGAGCGGCGGCGGTCTCGTCGATTTTTTAGCTCCTCCTCTGTCTCCTCTTTCAGTCGTTCCCGTCGTGTTGTTGCTTACCGATTTCTGTTTTGCATTGATGCGCGAGAAAAGTACACGCAAAAAAGGTGAGCGTGAGATGTGCGTCGAACGAAAACGAAAGCGCTTCTCTCAAAAGCTGCGCTTCCGACGAACGCGCGGAGAGAAAAGCGAGAGCGCGAGAGAGCGCGAGACGAAGCGAATTTTTTCTGAATCTTCTTCCCCGTCGAGCGAGAGCAAATGTTTCGAATTTTACGCGCGCAAAAAAAGAAACACCCCCCCGTAACGAACGCTACGAAATTAAACGTGCCTTGCTCCCGCCAGATTTCTGTCCTCCGGATGCGTCTTTATCCTTTTTTTCCGTCTCCTCGGGGATGAACCGTTTCGGGGTGAGCGTTTTCCGACTGCTTTTACGCTCCGTCATCGTATGCGTGCGTCTGCGCTTTTTGTAACGAACACTTGTCCCTCCTTTCAAAAATACACCCAAAAAAACAAGAAATACGAGAGAGTTTTGTGATCACTCGCGCGCACACATCTTCCGCGTCTCGATCGAAACGCGCCTGAAAATTCGTGCGCGCGTATGCGTGTGTGCGCATGTTCCTCGCGTGCATTTTCAGCTCTAAAATCATCGCAACCGAGGAGATGCGTCTGTTTTTCTTTGCGTTTTCTGAGGGGGGTAACGAGAGAAAAAAGGTCCGACTTTCCCTCAAAAACACCAACAGATACACACGTATTTATTCAGTATTCACGCACACAAAACACAGAGAGAGAGAACACCGCTGCTTTCGCCGCCTTTCGAGAGAATTTGAGAGAATTTTAGCATCACGCGCGTAACACTACCACTTCTCGAGCTGTGTGTTGCTTTCTAAATCTCTCGTTTAAGAAGCGGACAGATTGCGCGCTTCGTTCCCCGGGGGGAGGATTACAATCAAAATACCGTCGTCTTCGTCTTCCCCTCCGTACAGATCCACCGAGGATTTTGGAAGCTTGAGCGCTTCGTCTGTATCCGCGGAGGAGGAGGACAACAACAACGACGAGAACAACGAATCATTCGCGAAGAAGAAGAAGAAGAAGAGTTCTTCGTTTTTTGTTGTCACGTCAAAGATCGGATCGAGGAGCGGGATGATGCTTGGTGGTGACGAAAGGGAAGGGTCCTTGCCGCGATTCGAGCGGACGAGTTCAGGCGGCGGGTACGAGTTATATTCCTCAAATAACGACGACGACAATACGAATACGAATAACAACACGAACGGAGGAGGAAGGATGCCTTTTAGAGATGTTGGATCGAACGTGTTCGATCAAGACTACAGCGACGACGAGGACGTGGATAAGTTGAACGCCAACGCAGACGTGCAAGTAGATTTAGGCGACGTGAACGACGACGCGTTCGATTGGAAGACGTTTTGGAAGTTTGTCGGTCCGGGATTTTTGATGTGCATCGCGTACGTGGATCCTGGGAATTTCGAGAGCGATTTACAAGCGGGTTTGCAGTTTAATTATAAATTGTTGTGGGTGTTAGTGTGGGCGACGATTGCCGGGTTGCACATACAGTCGCTGTGCGTGCGATTGGCGCTGTCGACCGGGTGGCATTTAGCGAGGTGTTATCGCGAGGAGTACGATAAGAAAGTAGTCAGAGCGTTGTGGGTGGTATCCGAGTTAGGGATTATCGCGTCGGACGTTCCGGAAGTGATTGGAACCGCGTTGGCGTTGAAGTTGATTTTTGGGTTTCCTACGGTCGTCGGCGTGTTCTTGACGTCGCTGTCGACGTTTGTGTTTTTGGGTTTGCAACACTTTGGCGTGAGAAAGTTGGAAGCGTTCATGGGGTCGTTAGTAGCGATCATGTCCTTGTGTTATTTAGGCGAGTTAGTGTATTGCGACGACGTGCACGTCGGCGAGGTAATCGCCGGTGCGAGTATTCCAAGAATTCCGAGCACGACGGCGCTGTTTATCGCGGTGTCTTTGTTAGGCGCGGTGGTCATGCCGCACAATTTATTTTTACACTCGGCGTTGGTGTTAACTCGAGGGTACCAGTTAGGCGAGAAGAGTTTGAAAAAAGCGTTCAAGTATAACGTCGTCGAATCTGGGATGGCGTTAACGGTGACTTTATTTATTAACTTTGCGGTCGTTATCGTCGCCGCGACAGAGATGCAAAAAATTACCGACCCTGCGGAACGCGCGGAGATGATTGACAAACCGTTACAAAACGCGCCGAAGATGTTGAACAAACTGTTAGGTTCCGCGGCAAAAGGTTTGTTCGCCGTCGCGTTATTAGCCTCCGGTCAATCGAGCACAATCACGGGAACCTACGCCGGTCAATACGTCATGGACGGTTTCCTCAAATTGAGAGTCCATCCGGGTTTGCGCGCCTTTCTCACGCGCGCGTGCGCCATCGTGCCGTCCTTAACCGTCGTCCTCATCGCCGGCGACGAAGACGCGGAAACTTTAATCGTCGTCTCCTCGGCGATTTTGAGCATTCAACTTCCGTTCGCGTTAATCCCGCTGGTAAAATTCTGCTCCAGCTCTCGCATCGTAGGTGAAGCCTTCGTCCTCAAAGGCCGGGCGCTGAAAGCGACCAACGTCCTCTCCGGCGTCATCGTCTGCGCGAACGTCAGCTTACTCCTCATGACGTTGTTTACGTCGAGATACGTCAACGCCTCCTTCGGCGGCATCGTTCTGGGCATGACCGCCGTCCTCTTCATCGTCGGGTACTGCTATTGCATCTACTGGTTGCTCGATCAACCCGTCAGGCAAAACTTGAAATCGAGAATCGATCAACGCTTAGGATTGGAGTCATCCAATTTTTACAACGACAACGACAACAACAACAACATGAACAACAACATCGAGGAAGAGGAGGAGGACGACGACGAAGGCGATCAGGTAGCCATGCTGAGAACGCAGCCGTCCTCTTAAACGTGAGCATAACATTTAAGCGAGAAGAGAGAATACTACTTCAGAGAGGAGGAAATACGTATAGAAGAAGCGCCGCGCGACTACAGCCCAATCATCGAAGCGAGAGTTTGTAATAATAGAATCAAAACGCTGTTTAATGAGGAATCCAGCAGCAGAGAACAGCGAACGATGCGAGGAGAGAAGACATCGTAACGCGTTCGTCTTTCGTACGCTTTCGCTCGAATATTTAGCGAGAGCAGAGTAGTAGACCTTTTGAGGCGATCCTTTTCGTCGTCACAACTTTCACGCGCGAAAGTACCTCTCTCTCTCTCTCTCTCTCTCTCTCTCTGCTGCGAAAACCGAAACGTACGCGTAACGATACTCTGTTAATACTACTCGTAAAAATGCGCGTCGCGACGAGTGGTAGTACCACCACCATTGCATCCTCTCTTCGTCCTCCTCGGCGTCTGCACCGTCTGCGCTCGGCGTCGCGATCGAAATCATCGTCGTCGTCGTCCGTTTCTTTCGCGTCGAGAAGCGCGCGAAAGGTGTTTCCCGAGGAAGAAGAGGACGAGGACGAGGACGACCAACGACCGAGCACGAGTTTTTCACCGTCCTCGTCATCGTCTGAATCGTCGTCTTCTGATAATACGAATACGAATGCGAATGATTCTTCGCGGGGAGGAACCCGGCGACGGATGGTTTTGGGTGGAAGTTCCCTGGCGGCGTTCGCGATGATGACGACGATCGATAACGGCGCATCTTTCGCCACGGAGGAGGAAGAGGAAAAAGTACGAGTCGAAGAAGCAATTCCGAAACAAAAACGAAGAGATATCCCGCTCGAAAAAGTCGCTCGAGAAACGTTCGCGTTTACCTTTTTTTACCCCACGGAGACGCTCTCGGGGAAACCAATCCCGTGGTCGGAGTCTCGAACGCGCGAGACGTATTCGAGCTCCGAGCCGATGTCACCAGACGCGAGGCAAAGAATCGTGCACGAGTTGATTTCGTTCAAAGGGCCACTGACGACGGTGGTGACGGTCGGGGAGTTACCGCCGAAGTTGATGAATAAGCCGGAGAAGGAGTGGACGGCGAAGAACGTGGCGAATGCGATTTTGGCGGATAAAGCGACGGGGAGAGTCGCGAGCGGACAGAAGATTTCGTTAGCGGAGGTGGATAACGCGGTGAAGGAAGAGAAGGAAGACGGGACGACGTATTATTACTACGAGTATATTTCGCAAGGCTCGCCAAACTCGAAAGAAGGTGAAGCGACGACGTATCGTCACGCGAGAGGCGTGACCGCGGTCAGAGACGGGTTCGCGTATACGGTGAGTATGAGCACGCCCGAGCGATTTTGGGACGAAATGGACGAGGGGTTCAACCAATCTATTCGCGCGTTCTCCTTAGACGCGCCTGGGAAGAAGTACAGAAAACCCGGAGACGAAGGATTGGACATTCTCCACGTGTTTGATTAATAATAATACTCTCGCATGAAAAGAAAAAAAGGATGATGCACTTTTTGTAATAACGATGACATTTATTCTTCGAGGAAACAACTTCACAACGTATTATGGAAACTTTTCTTCTATGTTCTTTTTGTTTACTTGGTACCTTCGATCGCTCGCTTACCACCGTCCAAGCAGTTCTGCAACAACATGGCGATGGTCATTGGACCAACGCCTCCCGGAACCGGCGTGATGAAACTCGCTCTCTTTTTCGCCTCGTCGAAATCGACGTCCCCGACCAACGCGTATCCGCTCTTCTTCGACTTATCTTCAACCGAGTTCGTCCCAACATCGATAACCGCCGCACCTTTCTTAATCCAATCCCCTTTAATCATCTTCGCGCTCCCCGCAGCCGCGATTAAAATATCCGCCTGCCTACAAATCTCTTTCGGATTTTTCGTTCTCGAGTGCACCACCGTGACCGTGCAATCCTTCTTGTTCAACATCATGCTCGCCGGCATCCCGACGATGTTACTCCTCCCAACGACGACCGCATTCTTCCCTTTCAATTCCACCCCGCTTCGCTCTAATAACACGATGGACCCTTTCGGCGTGCACGGCATAAACAACGGCTCGTGTCCTTTCATCGCCAGCATCCCGATGTTCAGCGGATGAAATCCGTCCACGTCCTTCTCCAAGGAAATAACCCCTAAAACTTTCTCCTCATCGATGTGTTTCGGTAAAGGCAATTGCACTAAAATCCCGTGACAGTCTGGGTTTTCGTTGTACTTTTTCACGACATCGATCAACTCCTCCTCGCTAATCGTCTCCGGTAACTCCGAGTGAAACGAGTGAATCCCAACCTCATCGCACGCTTTCCGTTTCATTCGCACGTACGTCTGCGAGTCCTTCCTCTCGCCGACAATCACCACCGCCAAGCCGGGAACTTTCCCACCGTATTTTGTTTTCAACTCATCCACTTCGGCTTTGATTTCCAGGCGGATATCCGCGGCTATCTTTTTCCCGTCGATTATCGTCGCTTCGTCGTCGTTTCCATCCTTTAAAAATGGAATCTTGTTTTTCAATCCGCTCAGGACGTTCCCGAGTGCGCTCAGAGCCTTTTCGACCGGTATCCCACCCATGATGATATACTCTTTTCACCGTAATGAGGGCGCACCGCGTGTGGTATAAAAAGTGCTCGGGGTTTGTTTCTTCTTCCGCGTTTGTCTTCCGCGTGTAGTATTTCTGAGGAGTAAAAAACAGATATAATACGAGAGAAGAAAGCGAGTTTTGTGTGGTGGATGTTTTCTCGCAAGTGTAAAAAAGCTTTGTGACGTTTCGGCCCAAATTTGAGTGCGAAATACAGACTCAGTCTCTCACGAGGAGTAAGAAATAAGCACTCACAAAGCCAAATTTGAGTAAGGATTACAGACTTAGGAGTACGAATTAGAGACTTAAGCGCGAGTACGAGACTCTGACATAATAATGTTCTTTTCTCTCTGCTTTATCTTGTCGTCACTACTCAAAGCGCAGAAAGGGAACTTTCGTTGCACACGACACACGCACACACGTTTTAACACTCTTTGCGCGCGCACAGAGTAACACCTTATATATATAATTTTAAATAAGCATGTCGTCGGCGGTAGCGCTGGTACCGTTTACCTCCTCCTCTTTCTCTCCTCGCGGGGGGGAGAGTTTTGCGGCGTCCTCCTCGTCGTCGTTTACGTCGTCGTCCGCGAGGATTGTGATGATGTCATCGGGGAAGAAACACCGACGCAATGCGCGACGAAGAGGAAGACAACGACGCATCGTCGTCGAAGACGTCGTCGGCCTTTCTGCCGCGCGCGAGACGACGAACGAGAGAGGAGAAGAAGGAAACGGTTTCTCTTCGCCTTCGTCTTCGAGAAGAGGAAGAGAAGTCGTCGCGCGCGGGTTTTTAAGCGACTGGCTCTCCAAGAACACCACAACCGACGATAAGAAGAAGAACAAAGACGGAAACGGAAACGAGCGAGGAGGAGGAGGAGGAGGAAGTCAAAAAAGCGTTTCAGAGAAGAAGAAGAAAACGACGTCGTCGTCGCAACAACAACAACAACGACGAAATGGGAACGCGACGAACCCCCGGGGAAGGTCGAGCGCCTCTTCTTCTTCGTCAAACAACAAGATAAGGAAGAATAAACCTCCGCCGACGAAAGAGCGCTCGTTGCGAACGCACGTGGAAAGAGCGATGGAGAAAGCGAGGAAAGCGGAGTATCCAGCCTACGGGACGAACTCGGATAAAGCGATAACGAAGGCGCAGATGAAACCGGATTTTGGGTTGAGGAGAGATTTGCACGAGCTGTATTCGGTGAAGGATTTGGACGACGAGGATCCGATTGGAGCGGGGAGTTACGGAATCGTGAGGAAAGTTATCAAGAGAGGCACGGATGAAACGTTCGCGTTGAAGACGTTGAGGAAGGCACCGTGGGCGCAAGTTCCGAGCAGTTTAACCGCCGTGGAATATTATCACTCCAAGTTGAGGAACGAGTTAGAGTGCATGAGACAATTAGGCGCGAGTTTGAACGTGGTGTACTTATACGACGCGTTCGAGGACGACGACGCGGTGCATCTGTTGATGGATTTGTGCGAAGGCGGGGAGTTATTGGAGAGGATTTCGGACGACGAGTACAGAGAGGCGGACGCGGCGCGCTTGATTCGAGCGGTGTTAAGAACCGCGGCGCAATGTCACTCGCGAGGGATTGTCTTTCGCGATATTAAACCGGATAACTTTTTGTTTCAAAACAACGACGAGAACGCGCCGTTAAAAGCGACTGATTTTGGTTTAGCTGGAAAATTACCGAAGAACCGAGACGAACCGTTAGTGAGAAGGTGCGGGACACCGTCGTACATGGCGCCCGAGGTGATCAATCGAAAATACGGCGCCGAGGCAGACGTGTGGAGTTGCGGGGTAGTGGCGTATCAGCTGTTGACTGGACGGCTGCCGTTCCGAGATGTGGTTAATCAGAGACCAAACGCGAAGGAAGTTTTCCGAGCCATCTTGGAAGACCCGTTAGATCTCGCGGAAGCACCCTGGGAGGTCATCTCCGAAGAGGCGAAAGATTTCGTCGAACACTTGTTGGAACGCGACCCGAAGAAAAGACCAACCGCGCGAGCGGCGTTGTTACACCCGTGGTTGCAAACCAACGAAGCGCAGTGGAAGAGCAAACAGAGAAGGCAAGTTTCTGGTGGCGTCGCATTAGGTGGTCAAGTCGTCGCGAGATTGCAACGCTTCGCCACGCAAGGTTTGTTGAAAAGATCGGTCTTGCGTCTCTTGGCGGGTGAGATCGGGAAAGATTTGAACGAGTTGGAAAAAAATAGAAGAGAAAACAGCGCGGTTGCGAGCGATATCGCGACGAAGAAGAAAATTATGGTCGTCAACGGACCGATTAAACAATCGAAACTGACTGGAATCGACGAGAAAGAGTTTTTAGAGTTGAAACAACTCTTCGATCGATTGGACACGAGCGGCGATAACTTGGTCGAGTTGAGCGAACTCGAAGTCGGTTTGAACGAAATCGGCTACGACGTCACCGGGAACGAAAGCGAACAACTCTTGGCCAAGTTAGACACCTCCGGCGATGGTGTCGTCGAGCTGAACGAGTTCCTCGCCGCCTTGGTCGATTGGGAATCCGTCGAAAAATCCGAATCCTACCCGTCCTGGGTCAAACGCGCGTTCGACTTGCTCGACGAAGACGATTCCGGTCTCTTGGACGCCAACGAAGTCGCCAACTTTGTCGTCGGCGACGCCGACGATATCGACTTTTCCGACGAAAATAACGAATCCGTCCGCCGAAACGCGCTCATCCGAGCCTGCATCGCCGAAGCCGACGGCGACGGCGATGGTCAAATCGACGTCGAAGAGTTTGCGAGTTTACTCCAAATGGACCCGAGCGACGGCTTAGACCAGTACGATTGGAGGTTTTCCCAAGGCGGAAGTTACGACGATTCTTTCGACGAGAGCATGGACGAGGAGAAAATAGTTTCAGAGAATAATAATAATAACACCATCGTAGAAGTTTAATACTAACATATTTATATCAGATGATGCGTTATTCGCTTTTAAATATAAAAGAACCATCACCACATTTTTTGCGCTCACAGCACAAACTCATCATCAAAGAGGCAACCTCAATATCGGAAAAGAACAACAAAAAATAATTATCTGTTGATTACTTTTTGCGATCCGGATTCTTTGCGGCCTTCCCGCTTGGCGTCGTTCTTCGCTTTCTTCTCCTCCGCCTTTCCCGGATTCGCTTTCGCCTGAGAGCGCGAAGACGGTGGTCAGAGAGATGAGATCATCGTTCGGGAGGACAAAAGTAATCCAAAAGAGAGAAAAAGAGATCTTTTGGACGACGAAGAGAAGACGAGAAAAAAAAACATGTAAAATTTAAAGGGCAAAAAATTGATCGCACCTTGTTCGCTTGCTTCTGCTTTTTCTTCTCCGCGTCCGTGAGCTTATCTTTCTTACCCGGCGCTTTATCGACGGCCATTTTGTTTCGAGATGTTTTAGGTGTGTTTTCTCGTGTAGTGCGAGTACGCGCGAGTAATAATAATGAGGCATAAAAACACAATTTTCAAACCGCTCTATTTTTTTTTTTCAATTTTGTAAAATTTTCCGTTTCTAAGCGTGGCAAGACAAATCTCTCTGTTGTTGAAGAGCAGACTTTGAAACGCGTTCGCGCGACGCGTTCAATTCGCATTCCTCGAAAGAATCAATCACCGTCTCTTCTTACTCCCGCCTATCGTCTTCACCTTATTCTTATTCTTCTTCTTTTCACCAGCACTACCACCATTTTCGGTCGTCTTGGAATCTTTCTCGAACATGTTCACGATCGCTTCGGTTCTCCTTTGACTCTTCTCCCACGCCTCTTGCGCGACCGCTCTCGGCGGTTTCAACTCGAAGAACTTTTGAACGATCGCGCGAGCGATCATCGCGCTCAGAGAGTAGAATCCCGTGCATCCCATTTGCGTGAAATCGTCCCCGTCCACGCCTCGGTGGACGAGGTTTTTCACCATCCCCGGCGGATTGAACGGTAACGTCGAGACGACCACGCCTTTGAATTTCGCACTTAACGTTCTCAGGAACAAAATATTCGCCATCGCGGTCAGCGGTGCGAGTTTCATTTTCATCGCGTTCACTTTTCGCGTGTGCGTGGCTAAATCGAGGTCCAAACTTTTCTTCTTCTTTTCCAGTTGTTTTTTCTTCGAGTTCTTTTCCTCCGAAGAATACGACGCGTTCTCTTCGAGCAGTTTCCGTTCCCGTTGTACTTTCTCGATTTCCATAAGCGTCGTCTCCAATTTCACTCGATTGAGTTTGAACTCTTTTTTCCTACGAACGACGAGGTAGTTGATGCATTCGAGTAAAAGTTGGAGGAAAAATGCGGCGCAGAATATCGTCAGAGCGGGTTGGAGCGCGTACTCCTGCGAGGGAGGAGAAGAGGGTGTCATTGTTTCGATGACGATGCGTTTGATAAAAGTGGAGAAATTTTCAAACTTTTCCTCACTTTCCAACTCGATGACACGCAACACCTTTCCGTCGATAACATCTCTCCACCCACCGGCGAATACCATCACCAGCGACAACTTCGTCTCGATCGTCGGGTTCGGGAGTTTGTTGAGCAAAAATTCAGCGTTATATACGTCGCCAAACTTGCGGAACTTTTCAGTCGTTCGCGTCAGAGGATACCGACGCGTTTTCGCGCACACGTCTCCGATATTTTTCTCGAGAAATATAGCGAGGAAGGAGACGAGAGAGATCGCGTCTTTGTCGGTGGAGGAATGCGAGGACGCGTCGTTCATCGGGTGTAGATTTGAGATACCGATGGAGGAGTATCCCGCGCTGGCGATGAGAGAAGCGGAGTTTAATTTCACCGCAGTGGTGACCAGAGACGTGGAAACGAACGAGGTGGTTGGAGAGGAAGACGTGAAAAGCGTGTGCTGCGTGAGAGGGAGCGACGCGCTGTACACGAGTCAATATTGTAAAAAAGTACTTTTCGAAGGGAGGGAGGAGGATAGCTCAAAGTGCGAATGCGTGAAGTGCGCGTTGAAAGAGTTTGGCGAACCGATGATTTGGACGGACGAGCTCATATTCCCGACTCGAACGTATTGTCGACACTGCGTGTTAGCCGCTCGAGGCCTCGGGAAAGCCGTCGAAGATGACTTCTTAGACAACACGTTTTTAGCCGATAGAAAGACGCGTTTGAGAGAGCACTTAGAGAGAGACCCGAGTATTTTAGAGGAGCTCCCGCCGGAGTCCTTAGCGGTGAGATACGGAGGGTGATTTGATTTGATTTGATTCGTGCGTATTTTACCATCGAATATTGTAATAGCTGATTGTATGTGTATTTTGTACTAACTTCGTTTACTATATAATCTTATACTTTCAACGTTTTTATATTTGCTAGGAGATTTATATGATACTTTTACGCAACCAAATGCACGGCGCCGCCAACCGCCTTGATTTTCGTCTCGGCTAATTTCGAGACGTATCTGCACTTGATCACAATCGGCTGATTCGGCAACTGCCCTTTCCCTAAAAGCTTAAAGATTCCAAACTCCGTCAAGTCAATGCACGGTGCCTTGCTCGTGTCCTTCGCGCACGCCTCTCTCTTTTCCTCTCCAATCAACGTCCACACTTTATCCAAGTTAATCACCGGTCGAACGTAATGGTTCTTGAGTTTGTGGAAGTGGCGCATGCCGACTTTACCAAAATAACCCGGGTGATATTTATCCATGAGGATTCGGTGGTGGTGCTGACCACCCGCCATACCGCGACCGGACGGATGTTTGCGATGCTTGCCAATTCTACCGTGACCGGCGGAGACGTGTCCGCGCTTCTTGCGGTTTTTGTGTCTGATTATTTTGAAAAAAGAGGTGGGAGAGAAAGTTTTGTGTCAGCCTTTGTTTGTGTGGGAATGGGTCTTACAAAGAAAACGATGAAATCGATTCGCGCGGTCAAAGACACCCCCCCCCAATCGCACACAACCGCTCTCGCACTAAAGCAGATGATATCCGCGCGACAAAATTTCGTCCGCGTTTAAAGAAACCACCAAACGTGCTTTCCTACCCTCGCGAGTACCGCTTTAGCGCGCGAGAAAAGACCCACATTTTCTTCTCCCACAAACTCTCTCTCAAAGGCTCTTTTCAGTCGGCGAGCACAATTTCAGAGAAGATGAAATTCGCGAACGGATCCTCGTCCTCGCGCACCGACGCGACCGACGTATCAACCGCAACGAAACTCCCTCGAACGAGACATAAAAAGTACGAAAAGAAGAGTAATAAAATACGATATGCAATACTCACAAGTGCGTCGGCATATTTGATTCTTAAAAATGTGCGCTAACTCTGAGGAACGAGGAAAGTGTTCTCAAAGGGCTTCTCCTTAAAAAAACTCTCTCGTCTTTGTTTGACAGTCGCCAGAAAAAAAGTCACTCATGTCTCTTTTTGCTCGTCATCATCATCATCGTCGAAACTCTTTGCTCTCGGTGTTGTGCGCTCGGTGCTTTGAAACGACGACTTCTTCTTCGAGCGCGAGCAGCAGCAACACTAGACGCATTTCTTTTCTTTCCAACACGAACAGTGCGACGACTACGAAAGAGAGAGAGAGGACGACGAGAGAGAGAATTTTTGGGGGAAACGAGGAGGATGCTTTGGCGCCGAAGATTCCTTTCGCGGCGAAGATGAACTTTAACGCGTTCCAAGTTCGAAGGTACAAACGCGCGAACAGGAAAGTGTCCGTGGTTTTACAGGAGAGAACGAAACATTTAGGGAAGAAAAGCGAGGTGGTTTCCGTGAAACCAGGGAGGGCGAGGAACCATTTGATCCCGCAGAAATTGGCTAAATACGCGACCGAGGAGAACGTGGAGAAAGCGTTGAAAGAAAAAGAGGAGAGAGACGTATCGGAGGAGGAAGAGGAGGAGCATTTGGACGAAGACGAGGAGAAGAAGGTACGATTATTTTATAACATCTCGTTTTTTAGTCGCATCGAGAAGACACGTGCATGTGTATAGGCTGTGATGACTCTGAACCTGTTCGGACTAGAGTATCCGAGTTCGCAAACGTTCGCGTTTATAGTAACGCTGAAGACAAAACAGCGTTCCCTTGGCTGTCTGAGCTTAATCACACACGCGTGTCTTGTCTGACTATTTGATAGTATTCTGAGAGAGAAAAGGAGCGCGATGACGAAGATACCCGATTCGCTAAAAATGTTGACGTAGTCTTTATAATAGACGCTGTCGAACCGGCTGTGGAACTGAGCGCTCTTCGTATCGATTTTTCGCGGTCGAATAGTAACTTACGCGTTCACTTTTTCTCGCACGACTTACACAAACAGAAATTAAAATTAGCTATTAAAATGCTCACGAGAGGGAACCCGGTGACAATTAAGCGCGCGACGAAGCGGAAAACGGACGTGTTTAATATTCCAATCACGAAAGACGACGTCGTCAAAGAGGTGAGATTTTCTTTTTCTTTTTAAATCCGAGGAACCGCCGCGCGAGAAAAGAGGAATGAAGGAAACAAAACGCGAAATAAAAGCGAGTGATGAACGATTGTCACCTGAGCATAAGCGCCTCCGGATGAATGTCCGGACTATGCCATATAACGTGAGGAAGATTATAATTCTGACGCTTTTATGTTTATGTTTACATCGACCGCATCATTTTTCTCTTCGTGACGAAAACAAACGTTAAACTCTCGTTCTCTCTCTTCTTTGAAAACAGGTTGCCAAGCAAAAAAGCGTGGACCTGGACACTAAATCCATCATGTTAGACAAACCCATAGACTCGTTAGGCGAATTCGACGTCCCGTTATGGGTCGACGGTCGCGAGCTCGAGGAGAAGCTCAAACTCGTCGTCAAGAAGAAAGCGTACAAGTAGTGATGACGATAGTGGTACACGCGTGTTGTTATTAAAAAAAAGAAAGCTATTCGCTACGACATGTATTATTATTTCATTCGTTGAACAACCACGGCGATGTTCGCGTGGTGTAAAACGTAATTCGCGACCGAGCCTAGGAAAAACTCCTTAATCGCGCCCCGTTTATGACTCGCTAATACGATGGCTTCAAACTTGTAACGAGAATTCTCGTTCTCATCCACTCTTTTACTCTCTTCAATGATAGCTTCGGCCACGTGATGCTTATCCGTCTCCAGCAATTTCACGATTACTTCCACGCCGCACCCGCACTTTTCCAAGCGCGGTTTTATGTGCGTCTCGATCCATTCTTGCGCGTGAAGCACGGCTTCGGCTTCCGAGTGGTCGTGCGACAGACCGAAATAGCTCGACCCGTGCGGCACGATTTGTTTCTTCGCGACCGAAAGTACGGTCACGATATCTGAAGGTCTGAAAAAATTTTCGCACGCCCACGCGCACATCTCTTCCGAGCTTGAAGTGATGTCCACGGGTAAGAGCACGCGTCGTCGTCGAGAGTTGTTCGTGGACATTTCTCTCTCTCCTCTTCTTCTTTGTGATGTGTTTTGTTTTGCTGACTCGTTTTCCCAAAGGAGATTTTTGTATTTAGGGTATTAAACCCTACTCACCCGAAACACTCCTTTCCTTTCTCTCTCTCTCTCTTAAAGAAGAAAATCTTCAGAAAGCGCGCATTTGCACTTAGGCGAACACACATCTGCACAACCAAGATGGGCAAAAGAAAAGCGAAAAAGAAATCGAATTCCGTGAACAAAACGAATTCGTACTTGAGTCGTTATCAAGTGAAGTTCGCGCGGCGACGAGCGGGTACGTTTTTCGCGCGCATCATTTTGCCATTTTTTTTTCCTCCTCCTCCTCCAGAGGGCTTATTGGAATTTGAAGACGCGCGAAACGCTCGAGGAGTGAAATCTTTTCGCGTTCGAACGAGACCGAAAGTTGTTTCTTTGCGAACAGTGCGAGACTTTCGTCGAAATGCGCGCGTTTTATCTCGAGACGCGTGGTCGCTTGTACTTTTTTAGGCGCGCAAAAGAAACGCGATTCGCATTTTCCGGGAAACACGTTCCAAAAGCTGACCCTTTTTCCCTCTCATCGTTCTACCACACAACTTTCATCATCTTTCATCACAGGCAAAACGGATTACCAAGCTCGCCGCGCTTTAATCGCGCAAGACAAGAACAAGTATAACACGCCAAAGTACCGATTTGTGGTCCGATTCACGAACAAACGCGTGATTTGCCAGATTGTCTACGCCACCATCGCGGGCGACGTGACCGTCTGCCAAGCGGACTCCTTGGAGTTGGACAGATACGGGTTGAAAGCGGGGTATACGAACTATCCAGCGACGTACGCGACTGGTTTGTTGTGCGCTCGACGCATGCTCACCAAGTATAACTTAGCGGAGACGTACGAAGGTAAGACTGAGGATCTTGGGGAAGATTATCACGTTGAAGCGGAAGGGGACGCGAGACCGTTTAAGTGCTTTTTGGATACGGGTTTGGTGAGAACGTCCACCGGGGCGAGAGTGTTCGCGGCGATGAAGGGCGCCTCGGACGGCGGTTTGGACATCCCGCACAACGAAAAGCGTTTCGCGGGCTACGATTTGCAAGACAAATCCCACGATCCGGACACTTTGGAGAGATACATTAAGGGCGGCGTCGTCGCGGAATACGCGGAGGAGATGCAAGAGGAAGAACCGGAAAAGTTTGAGGCGCACTTTTCCAAGTACTTAGCTGCGGACCAAGACCCGACGGAATTGGAAGAGTTATACGAGGAAATCCACGACGCGATTCGCGAAGACCCGAGTTTTACGAAGAAGCCGAGATCTAAGCCGGCTGACGCCGGTAAGAAGTTCAAGTTGCCGAAGTTGACGTACGAACAAAAGAAGGCGAACCTCAAGGCGAAGATTGAAGCTTTGCGCGCGGAGGCTTAAAAAACAACACATAATCAATAGAGAGAGAGAGAGAGAGAGTCGGGAGAGACAGAGAGAGTCGAGTAATATTAACGTAATAACTACTATAAAAGAGATAACAAAAAATGTGTCACGCCTTTTCTTCTTCTTCTTCTCTTTGTTTGACTTTCCTCACATTTTCCCCGAGACTGGCCTCTTTCTTTTCTCGATGGAAACGACCAACACGCGATGAGCGCTTCTCTGAAAACCACACCGCATCCTCCGTCTCCGTCTCCTTCTTCTCTCCAAGAGCACCACACGATCCCACCTCTGATAATATCCGACTGTTCGCACGTGAAAGACACGCTCTCTTGTTTACTCCACACGATACTCTTTCAACGGTCGCTCGGTCCGATTTCAGTCCGCGACTGCACGTGCGACTTTTGCGACGTGACGTATTGCCAGGCGAAATCAGCGTCAAAATCAAAAGGAGGAGACGATAACGACTTCGTCGTTGGGAAATACGTGGATGATAAGATTCAGAGAGTGATTGAACACTGCATGCAGATGGCGGTTTCAACGAATCATCGAGTCAAAGAGGTGACAGTTTTGTTGCACTTTTACGAGAAGACCATGACGACGACGACAAAGAAAACGAGCAAAAACAACAGCGCGAGTAACAGTCACAACAGCAGTCCTCGCGGCGGCGCGGGGACGTCGTCGTCGTCGTGGAAAAATGGCATTTCCGGCGGCGGCGCGACGATTCAGACGAGCTCGTTGACGAATCGAATGCGCAACGAGGACAACGCGCAGGCGAAGAAGTTTGGACGAAAGTGGGAGACGTGGCAGATTTCTTTGGAGATGTGGGACGAGGACTCGTTGCTGGTCAATTCGAGAGGAGAGTCGATGGAGAAGCAACGCGAGCGCGCCGCGAATGACTTGGCGGAGACGTTGAGTGGGACGATGACGCATATTTTAGCTCTGTGCGAGGAGAAGAAAGAGCACGTGCCGGCGGTGACGACGGAGAGGATGCCGAGTTTTCCGTTTGAAATCGAACTGGTCGAGATTGACGGGTTGAATAGTCGGGGCGGGAGCGGGAGTCAAGGCGGGGTGTTTTCGAGCAGTTTTGGGATGCTGAAGAAGTTGTTGAAAGACTCCACCCCGACGCAGTTGATTTAGATTTTTTAGATGTTAGAGACGTACGTCGTCTCGATGGATGCGCGCGTGTGTATATAAAATAATGTAAAAGAGAACTATTCTTGATAAGTTTAACTCGCATCATCACTTTGCCATGCGATCTCTCTCTCTCTCCTTCTTCACTTGCCTTCTCACCAATAACTCGTTCCTCAATCGCGCGGCTTCGTTTTCGTCGAACTCGCCCATCATCACCCGTCGCATTCTGCTGTGCAAAAGCTTCTCCTCTTCCATCTCTCTTTCCTCTTCTTCCGTAATTTTACGCACTGGAAACCACCCGGGCAATTCGAACGCATCGAAAGCTTTACCGAGCTCTTCGCTCAACATCGCGCTTCCCATCCCGGCGACGACGCCGCCTAACAAAAACCCGCTCGGCGCGCCGCTCACACCTCGATACAACCCCCAAATCGCACTTCCAGTCACTCCTCCTGCTATCATATCGTTCATCACACCATCTCTCTGTCTCAACAACTTCGCCGTCTCTTTACTCCCTAAAAAAGTCCCTCCGACGACGACAAAATTCGTCGCCATGTTCAGCGCGTAGTGCGGCGCGACCGAAACCGGGCGTCCGCGAACCAACGCAAACGCGAGACCAGATGCGACCCCAGCGCACCCGCAATAAAACGTGCCCTCGACCACGCGCTCGAGCCACCCAGGATTGCGTAAAATCATCGGGTTGCTCGGTAACGAGAGCGGTTTGATGATATCGTTATTCGTATTCTTAGTAGTAGTAGTATAAGCGGCTCCACCATCATCATCCTCTTTCTTCTTCTTCTTCTCTTTCCGCCAGAACGATCCACCCCCCATCTGCGTCCAAAAAGTGAGGAGTCTCGTGTTATTATTACTACTCCTTCTACTGTATTCTCTCGATTATCTTCTCGTTCTCGGCATAAACTTCTGTCCTTTCTGACTCAATCTTTTCCTCCTCTTTTGCAACTCTTTCTCCAATTTCCCCGCACCTGCGGCTTTCAAACGCTCGTACTTTTCGAGTATTTCCAGCTTCTTCTTGAGCGATTTTTTCAGGTGATAATTCCTCGGCAAGAGCTTTTTCTCTTTCACTTCCACGTCTGTATCTCCTCCTTTCGATGACTTACTCTCGTTCTTCTTAGTCGCCGAGGGCATCTCTCGTCGCTCTCTACAAGGGCAGTTTTTGTGGGGGAAAATTATTCCATTTCTCCTCATTTTTTCTCTCTTAAACCTCTCTCTTTTGATGCACGCCTCCTCCTCCTTTGCGGCGTTTTCCACGTGTTCCAATCATCACTCGTCGTCGCGTACTTCAGTGTCTTCGAGGAGCGCGAGGAGCAAAAAAACGTCCGTCATAGAGGCGTGGAATCGTGATGATGATGCGCGCAGAGTAACAACAAATGGAACATTAAGATACGACCGAAAAGAAGAACAACAACTGAATGCGTCGGCTTTCTTCACCCCTTTTCGAGCGCAAACGAGGGCGAAAACGACGTTTACGGCTTCGAGGAGGAGACGACAAAGTGGACGAGTTTTTTGCGTCGTCGCAGGAGGAGGAGGAAAAGGAGGAGATTTGAACCAGCCGTTACACGCGATGACGATGCGAAGGAAACGCATCCGCGCGAAAGAAGCGTCGATTTTAAAACTGCCGGCGGCGTCGACGAAGAGGAAAGTGGCTATTTTCGTCGAGCCGTCGCCGTTTACGCACGTCAGCGGGATGAAGAATCGGTTTTTACGTTTGATTGAAAACTTAGCCGAATTGGGCGACGAGGTTGTGGTTATCACGCCGTGCGTGGATCCTCCGGAGGAGTATTGCGGGTGTAAAGTTATCGGCGTGAAAGGCATCGTGTTGCCGTTTTACGGCACGGATACGCTGTTGTTGTCCACGGGTTTGAGCGGGAGAGTGTATCGGGATTTTAAGGAGAAGAAACCGGATTTGATACACTGTTCGACGCCGGGGACGATGATTTGGGCGGCGATTTTGTATTCGAAGATGTTTGGGGTGCCGTTGGTGCAGAGTTATCACACGCACATTCCTCATTATATTCCGCGGTATACGCCGGAGGCGTTTGGGATTGCGAGGTTTTTACAGAGGCGGATGTGGGATTTAATTCGCATTTGGAGCGGATTCGCGCAGACAACTATGGTGACCAGTTCAATCATGGAGGAAGAGTTGAGACAGATGGGGTGTTCGAGGTTGCAAGTGTGGCAAAAAGGCGTGGATACGGTGACGTTTAATCCGCAATTTAAAAACGAAGAGTTTTCCAGGCGCGTGTTGACCGAAGGGAGGAGTGGACCAATCATCGGGTGCGTCGGAAGACTCGGCGCGGAGAAGAACTTGTACGCTTTGAAAGAGATTTTGACGTATTTACCGGAAGATACGAACGTGGCGATCATTGGCGATGGACCGGAGAGGAAAGCGTTGGAGAAACACTTCGAAGGAACGAGGACGACGTTTACCGGGATGTTGACTGGAGAAGATTTAGCGATGGCGTACGCCGGTTTAGACGTGTTTGTGATGCCATCGGAATCGGAAACGTTAGGATTTGTGGTCATGGAAGCTATGGCGAGTGGCGTGCCGGTGGTGGCGGTTGCCGCGGGTGGATTGTTGGACATCATGACCAATTGCGCCGGGAACGCCGGGGAGTTGTATCCGTCCGGGGATTACGCCAAAGCCGGCGAGTTGACGAGAAGTTTACTGACGGATAAGCAAAAGTTGGCGAGATACTCGCAAGCGTCTTTGGAGTACGTCTCGCAGTGGTCGTGGATGTCCTCGAATAAAAAGTTACGCAATCGACAATATTTCAAAGCCGTTCGCAGACATTGGAAAGCAAACTTTGGTAAGGAAAGAGCGAAAAAGATTAAAGTGCGACAGTGGATGGCAAACGCGTTGCAGTTTGTAACGAGTGGATGGTTTCTGGTGAACTTGGCCTTCATCGTTGCCGCGTTTGGGATTGTTCTCGCAGGGAGGAACTTGGAGTTATCCGCGAACGTGGCGAAGAAAGTCGCCGCAAATAGCGCCACAGCGAACGGGGTCATCAAAACCGTCATCGCGGCGATTGAAACTGCAATTATGAAATATGGCGTTCCCGTAGCCATGTCTGCGAACGTTGTCGCGATTGCGTTAGCAGGCATCGTGCCGTTTATGACAATGATTCCGTTGTTCATCGCGAGTGGCTTGTTTTTTGGCGTCATCCCGGGCGGCGTTTTGAATGTCGTCGGAGCAACGGTAGCGGCAGTATTCGCGGCGAACGCTTCGCGTGCGGTCGTGAAAGCGGCGGCGACGACGAAGCAACCAGCCGAGCTGGTGCTCGTAAAATCCAACGCGCCCGTCCGACGATTCTTGAAAGCTCAAATGTCCGCCGTAAAAAACGGCATCGTCAATGAAAACATCATTTCGCAATGTTCCTCCATTTGCGCTTTGCGATTATTCCCACACTCGCCATTTACGGTCGTTTCGTACGTTCTCGGCGCTATTCGAGACCTTCGGCTTCGCGCCATCTTTCTCGGCACCGCGGTTGGTACCATTCCGTGGGCCTTATTCTACTCCTTGGTCGGCAACAGCGGTAAAAGCTTGCTCCAACTCTCCTCCTCTTCCGCGAAGAAAGCCGCCATCGTCGCGTCGAGCAAAACGCCAGCAGACTTGGCCGCTTTCACGAGTGAACGAATCGTCGACGCGTTATCGCGCGCGGACAAACTCGTTCCCAAAGTCTTAACGGGCTTGGAAATGGTGATTGTCGGTATCGCGCTTGTCTTGACCCTTATAACCGCGGTCAGAGTCGCGTTGGACGTAAGAGCCGAACAGCAGAAAAACAACCACCAAATGGAATCCTCATCCGGATAGGAAGGGTTTTAATACTCATAAAGATACCAAAACGAACGTGTAATACACATCCTCCACGTAACATCTGATACGCCTTTTTTCCTCAAGTCTTTTAAGTGGATAAATCTCTCCACAAAAATATATGCTTGGCGCATCAACAGTCCTCTCTCAAACGACCGCCGGGGTCGTCCACAAACGCGACAGCAATGCATTCGTAGTACCATCATTCACAAAATCATCTCGGTTGTCTCGGCAAACGTCCATTCTTGCGTCGTCGTCGTCGTCTTCCTCTCACGGGGAAAACAACGACGAGAACGAGAAACTTCGCGTTCCATCGAACCTTTTCCCCGGGTTCCCATCCCCGGAAAAGAAAGCCGCCTCATCTTTGGTCACGCTAATGACGATGGCGGCGTGTCGCGTTGTTTTAGATCAGTGGTGCGGGTCCAGGCATCGATCGCCAATGTACAACAAACTCATCGATTACATGCAAAAAGGTGCCCCACATACCAAAGGACAGCCCAGACCGATACTAGACGGCAACGCATGGCTGCACGAGCTCATGCGACACCCGGAGCTCGATTTCCGCCTCGCCGCGGTACGAATTCTCGAAACGAGGAAACTGTTAGTCGATACGGAGTTTAACTGGGACGCGATGAACGCGAACGCGAGGGAAGGAATAGTCGCGGAGAGCGTCGCTTTGAACAAGTTATATTTGAGTCAACTGGCGGAGTGTACCGAGAGCGAGGAGTTTTGCGACGCGGAGGATGTACTCAAAGACGACAAAAGAAACGACGACGATTCGGAGGGAGGGTGATTTTGACCAGACTACCCCTGCTCGACTTGTGCGTAGGGAAGATGATACGCTTTTAGTATGTAGTACTCATCAATACTGTCGTTTTACACGTAAAACGTAAAGCGCGCACAGAGGACACTCGACCGTTATCTCAGGCCTCACAATTTCTCCTTCCCCTTCCACAAGAATAAACCACCGCGTGCGAACGCTAAAAATGCCACCTCTACCTCCTCGCCAAAACGAAAATGACGAGCACAGCGGCGTGAACAACACCTCAATCGATTTAACGTTGACGGAATCTGAGCTCCAAATCATCCACGCCTTTCGCAGTCTCACGAATCCCGTCATCGAATGTTCGCACATGCTCTCGCCGTTCGCGGCGTACATCTCCCACCAGATGGCGATGACCACGTCGCAAATCACACGAACGACGTGGTTTATCGCGCGGTACTGGTGGTTGAGACATTCGAGGCGAAGGTACGGACCCGTGGTTGCCTCGCTGGCGATTGGCGGGGTGGTTATGCAACACAAACGGAGGAAAGTTGGAGGAGCAGTTGGGGAAGTTGGTGGGGCAGTTCCCCTGATGTGCTCGACGACGGGATTGGAAATCGGGAAAGGATTGAAACTGTTTTTACACTTAGCGAGAAAACTAACGACCCCAGATCCGCTTCCAGAATTCACCGGGTCGATGATACTCTTCGTCGCCGCGTTTGCGCCGCACAAAGCGTTGGTTCGACGGTTTTTGAAACTCGCGGCGAAGGTGTGCAAGATACCGAGGATACGGAAGACGTTGCAGAAAAACGGGAAGAAGTTGGCGAAACTTTTGGCGCAGAATAAAGCAAAGAACGAGGTGTTTAGCTATCGCCAGGCGCTGAACGAGGCGTGGAAAGAGTTGGAGAGTTCGCTGGCGCCGGACGTGTTGCAGAGCATGCGGGTGGCGGAGAGGAGGGCGGCGGCGATTGCGCACGGCGCGTTTGAGGAGGACGACGCGGACGCGTTGTTTTTTAGCGAAGAGAAAGAAGATAGCGATGATGATGATGACGATGAGGTCACGCGTAACAATAATAATAACAGCAGTAGCAGTAGTAATAGTAGCGCGAATAATGAGTGGAGGAGAAGGAATAATAAGTTTGGGCCGAAACTCCCCGAACGAAAGAAGAAGGAGAAACAGGAGCAGCCGCAGCAGCGGCACAAGAGGAAACCGTCGACGTTACAACGCGTCGGATCGTTGGTAAACGTGGTCACGGGTGGTGGGAAAGGTAAAGGTGACTGTGGCGATGAGGATATAGGAGTAGAGGGAGAGGATGAAAACGATGGGAGTAGAGCTCTGGTCACTTTTGATGCGCTGCAAACGCATAAGAGTCCTCGCGCCTCGAGAAGCAGATGGTTCGATACGCCCTCGGATGCAGAAGAGGAAGATATAGACGAAGAAATCGACGATATTATCCGGAATCGAATCGCTAGAAATAATAATAATAATAATAATAATAATAACAGCAAAAGTAAACGCGCAGTTGCGAACAACAAGAACAAAAAAGATAAGAGTGGCTCGAACGGCTTAAAAAGGAACGGCGTTTTGTCCATCGTTCAAAGATCGGTGTTACACTTGGTAGAGGATGTGAGGTGTTTTCCGCAAGACGCGGTCGATTACGTCTTCCTCGGCGACGCTGGATTACCCCTCGCGAAACTTCCGAGAGAGTCAGAGGTCGAACGGTTCATCCGCGCGATTGAAACCGAAGCGAAGGATTGTTTCACGCACGTCCAGTTGGCGTGTTTTTTGATGCAACGACAAAACAAAATCGACATTGCGGCCGAAGCCGTCGAACGGTCCGCGAAATGGAGAAGCGGATACAAATTTCTCGACGACCGCGCGTTGAAAAAGTTTCAAAATGTCATCTTTCGTCATCGAAGATTACCGAGAGGGGGCGCGCAAGTCATTTTCCGTTTGCGCGCGGCGCACGATATGATTTTGAAGAAATCGAGCATGGATTCCTCTCTGAATTTAGAGATTGTTGTCTGTGCTATCGTCTCAGTCGTCGAACGCGAGTGGCAGAAACTTCGCGCGTCTGGGAACGGACGTTTGCGTGGAGGTATCGTTTGTGTCGTTGATTGTGCTGGGTTGGATATAACCGCGCTTCCGATTTCGCTCGTCGCCGCGACGTTGCGACTTTTAGACGCTAACTATCCAGAGTTAGCGGCGGAAGTACACGTCACTTCAGTCTGGTGGGCTGCGAAAAGAGCTCTGAAAGCGTTACTCGATGGCGTCTCGACTTCGTCAAGAGCTCGCGTGCACATTTACAAATCTGGAAACAGCGGAACGGAGAAGTTACTGGACCATTTCGCGAGACATCAATTGCCTTCCTGCATCGCCGGAGGCACGTGTAAATGCCGAAGATGTAAATCGCTTCCCACCGCGCAAATGTTTCGCACGAGAGAAGGGACGTGGCGAGACATTCCTTGGGGAGAAATGAATGCGAGTCAACGCAGACAGTACGTCCGACATCATTTCGTGTACCTGGTTGGTTTGTGTGCGTTTTACCCGATGCACTTTGCACGGATGACTGCGCACCCTTTCTTGGTTTCCGCGGTAAAACTCGATTCGCGAATGTCGCGGCGAACACGAATAATGGTGTGGCGAACAGTTATGAGTGCCATCGTGTTGCTCGTCACGTTTTGATATGGCAATGGATGGAATCGAACCCGACACAAGTTGAGATCATTCGCGACGACATCAGCAGCAAAGTCATCAACTTGCGGGAGAAAGGTAAGGCGAGAATCGACGATCTTCAAAGGAAAGCCGTATTGGCGCGCGATAGGTTCAAGAACAGTAAATTGTAGATTTAAGTGTTACAATGTGTAGTTTAATTTTCAAATAAATTGTGTAGTATCGTGTAAAGCGTGTTTCTCTTCTTCTTCTTTCAGTCGTGTCGTATCGTTCAATCTTTCTTTCTTAATAGTTTCCACCATAACCGCCTCCGCCTCCGCCACCACCGTAGCCGCCACCACCGTAGCCGCCACCACCGTAGCCGCCACCACCGTAGCCACCTCCGCCGCCGTAGCCGCCTCCGGCTCCGCCACCACCGCCTTGGTTCGGACATTTGTTTGCGAAATGACCCGGCTCGCCGCACTTATAGCAGTTTCCTGAAGCGCCGCCGCCGCCACCACCACCACCACCGCCATATCCACTACCACCACCATAACCGCCGCCGCCGCCGGTGGTTTGTTGGTTGGGACACTTAGACGCCCAGTGTCCTGGCTCACCGCATTTGTAGCAGTTCCCGGAAGCGCCTCCTCCGCCTCCTCCTCCACCGCCGCCATCACCGCCGTAGCTTTGTTGATTGTATCCACCAGCGCCACCACCCATGTTACCACCCATGGCAACGCCCCCTTGGCCTGACTTCCATTCGTTCGTTGCGACGGACGGAGCGCCACCGCCACCACCTGCCGGGCGATCGACTTTTTCTTCCAAGATTGACTCGCCGTTGTGAAGTTTTTTCAACTTTTCAATCAAGACTTTCGACTCGTCGGCAAAGTTTCCGTCGCAGATTGGTTCAACCGACTGAATCGTGTACTTCACGCGCGTCATGTCGTTGTACGTGTCTTCGTTAACCTTCAACTTGAACTTGTACTCTCTCCACCTGATGTCGTCCCTTTTTTTCTCAAACGCGTGAAAGTCGGTGTCCAAGAGATGTTTGAAATCCGGCGCCGGCATGCCAAATAACTTTTCACCAACCTCGCCAAAGACACTCGCCATTACCGCCCCGGAATAATCCGCCAATTTTACGGTACACAGGTATCTCCAATCCACCGACGGTATTACGGTATCGTAGTGTCGTTCGCATTCCCACATGCCGTTCATTTCGTTCTGGCGCATCTTCTTTTGACACTTGCGTCCGTCGTGATCCATAGGGCAGGCGGGATACATCGGCCCATTGTCACTGTTGTGAATGTACGTGATCGAACCCCTGCAAACGACCCAGAATGCATTGCTGCACCCACCGTTCGCGGCTTCGTTTTCGATTTGTCGAATGGTGGCAAATCTGTCGCCTCTTCCGCCGACGGCGCCAGCTCCGCCCATGCCGCCGGAAAGGACTTGTACGTCCTCCGTCTTTCCGCCAGCGTCGTACCACGATCGCAATTGTCCCGCTTTCGGATGATCTGGATTCACATCCATGACAGTGTTGTTTCTGATGGACAAGTTCTTCCCGTTAAACTCGCCGACGCACGCGCGCTTGCACGCCAAGATTGGGTGCTGGTTCTCGAAGAGCATCGTCTCGAGCTTTTGACCGAGACCGTCGGCGTGTTCGCCCCACAACGTCAACTCCACTTCCGCGCTGGAATCGTCGCGAAGCTTGATCGAACGCTTCGCTTTCTCGCCACCCGTTCGAAGCATTTGCATCGAAATCGGACTTACTTCGTGAACGACACCCATGACATCGATGGAGGTATCCTTCATCAACGTCTCGATTTCTTTGATGTTGCGGAAGTTGTATTGCACCTTTGGGATTTTCATCGCACCCTGGGCGTTCTCCGGCAACGGTTGGACGACTGTGTTGTGATCCAACTTCATCTCGTACGCACCGATCGCATATCTCGGGTTTCGAGACGCCGTTAACGTTGCCTTTGAAATCTCGTACACCCCGTATTGTTGCATCTTCTCCGCCAAGTTCAACGCGCAGTCGCCAAAGCACACGACTTTCATTTCGCTGCCTTCCGCATCGACCACGTCAAAGCCGAGAACTTTCCCTTCGCCTTTGGCGTTGTGCCACGTGCGCACTTCAATCGGCGTCGTCACGCGAACGCACACGGACCAGCCTTGTTGGTACGGGTTCAAAGCTTGTAAAGGCGTATAATTCGTCGCGCCGCCGTACTGGGTGCCTACTTTCCCGGTTGGACCACCGCCTCCGGCGCGATTACCACCGTAACTGCTCCCGTAGCCCATATCGTTTTGTTTCGCGCCCATAGAATCGTACCCGTTGCCGCCTGCGCCGTTTTGGTTTCCGCCACCATGACCACCGGCGCCTCCGCCGTAGGGATTTTGTTGTTGTTGTTGCCCGTACGCGCCGTGTCCGTACCCGCCCCCGCCGGTACTCTGATACCCGACGTTACTCTGCCCAAACGGCTGCGCCGCGAACGGCTGCGGCGGATTCCCACCACCAATCGTCTGCTTCTTCGCGTAATTCTGCGGGTTCCCCATGATCGATTGCTCTTGAACGAGAACTTCCAACTGCGTGATAATCGGCATCACCTTGTCCCCGACCATGTTGTACATGACGTCCAAGACGCGCACGACGGTGTACTTTCGCAGTTGCTCTGTTTTTCACAAACGTATTCAAAGAAAAGAGAGAAAGTGTGAGTCTCCGACAAAAGGCGCATTTGAAGTGGTCCTTGCGTAAAAGGATAAAGATAAGAGAGAGGAAGAGGAAAACCAAACGCTTCTCTATCGTCGAGACGAAAAGAGGATTTCGCTCGAGGAGGCACCCCCCCTGTGTTGTTTGAAAAACATACCTGAAACGATCAACGGATTCAACTTTGGCGAGCACATCGCTTGAGAATACGAGGCGCCATCGCTGTAATAGTAATAGTAATAATAATAATAATAATAAGAGTCGCACAAAAAAGAAGGTCAGCGAATGATGATGTCGCGTGTTCTCTCGCGCGCATCTCTTTAAAGCAGAAGAAGAAGACGAAGAAGAATCGTCTCTCAAGCCGCTCGAGAAGAACGAAGCGACGGAGTGAAAGAAAAGAAATTCAAAAAGTGCCCAGATTTGAGATGCGATGATTTCCAAACAAAAAACATACCTGATCATGACCCTGTATCTCGTGTTCTCCGCCGATTCCGGTTCGCCGGTCGTGTTCTTAATCTTGCGGATGTCTGCATGTGAGAGAGAAAGAGTGATGATGTGTGAGTAAACGGAAAAGAAGAGCGGAGAAACATCAAAAATTGAATCTCGCGCGATTCTTTTGTATTCAAAAATTCGATCTCTCTCGCGCAAAGAATGAATCGATTCTTTCGAAGAAGAAGAATAGAAAGCAAGAGTATCGTTTAATAATAAAAAAAACGTAAACAAAACAATTACCTGCTATTTGTAGCACCGGTTGAAACGCCGAAGGATCCGGTCGCTCTTCCAGCATTCGCGCGAGAGCGTTTGTCGTTAATGAGGGTGATGCTGCCACCATGATGATTCTTCTTCTTCGTCGTCTGTTTCTTTCAACTCTGACGTTTTTTTGTTTTTCGAGTGAAAATTTTTTCTTTCCTTCTCGCACATTTTTAAAACCCTAAATAGGTATTCAATGGCGTTTTTGGTTCAGATGGAGGAACACCTCGCACACAAAAACAGCGCACGACGAAAAGATATATATAATAAATGTTGAGCGGCGTTTCGGCGCGTTCTTCTTCTTCTTTAAAGTCTCTCCCTTTTAAAACGATTTCGAGAAGGAGTTCTTCGTTTTTAGCGTCGTCGTCGTCGAAGAATTCGTCGTCGTTCTCTTTGTGTTCTTCTTCTTCTTCTTGTTGGAATAACAACTGGGACGAACAAAGAAGGACGACATTTACGTCATCGATATCTAAAGAAGTCGAGAGGATTAGGAGTCGCGCAAAAGCGAGCGACATCAGCAGCAGCTCTGGCACGACGAGTCGCACTGAAGAGAAGACACCCCCACCCGCTCAAACGAAAAAAGATTTATTCCGATTTAACTACGAACACGACATACGCGAAACGGAGACGATGTTACCTTTCAACGCGGATAAATACGGAGGCGTGGTGGTGAACAGCGACGAGTACGATTACAAAACGGACGAGGAATTCACGCTCGCGTTAGACGAGAGCTTAGAATCGTGGAAAGAATCAAACATACGCGGGTGTTGGGTGAAAGTGCCAATCGCAAACGCGAGTTACGTGCCGATTGTCGTCTCGAGAGGGTTTCATTTTCATCACGCGGAGAAGGAGTACGTGATGTTGACGAAGTGGTTGCCGGAGAACGAGGAGAACAAGTTACCGGCGGCGGCAACGCATCACGTCGGGATTGGCGCTTTTGTGACTCGAATTAATCCAACAGATGAGAATAAGCGAGACGTGTTGATGGTGCAAGAATTGAGAGGTCCGGCGGCTGGGAGAGATTTGTGGAAGTTACCCACGGGTCTCTTGGACGTCGGCGAAGACGTTCCGGAAGCGGCGGTGAGAGAAGTGATGGAAGAAACCGGCGTGAAGGCTGAGTTTGTGAGCATATTGAGCGCGAGACACTCGCACGGCACGCACTTTGGGCGAAGCGACATGTTCTTCGTCGTCGCGTTGAGAGCGTTGAGCGACGAGTTGATTCGATGCCCGAAAGAAATCGAGAAAGTCGAGTGGAAAGATTTAGAGTTTTTCGCGAACAATCCGAAAGTCCAAGAAGGCACCGCCATGTGGGCGCTCAACAAAAAGTGCTACGAGTTCGCGCAAGGGAAAATGACCGGAATGCAGAGCGATTTCTACCCAGCCGGAATGAATCGGCCGAAACCGGTCCGAGTGTATTTCGGCGAGGAGAAGAGCGGCGGCAGTAAACTCTGATGATGATATGTCGCTTTATTTATACTTACAAGCGCGCTTTATTTTTTATATCTTTAAAACGTAGATGTCATTCGCCGTGTTGTTATTATAGTAGATACAAAGATATAGTAGCAGAGAGGTGTTCGTACGTTCGTGCGTTTCTTTTTGGTTCCGCGTGCCTTCACTTTTGACTCCTCCGCGTAACCGAGCGAAACGTGTACGTTTAGTACGTTTTGTACCTCTTTTTCTTGTCGGACCAAAACCTCATTAATTTTGTTAAAGTAATGCACGCGTTTATGACAACAACAACAATAACAACAACACCTATTTTACGCCGGCGAGAACACCACGCGTGTTGCTCTTCGTCATCCTCGCGAAGAGTTCATTTCGGCGCTCTCGCGTCGTCGTCGTCGTCTTTAAGTAACAACAACAACAATTACAATTTGGTTAACGGGGAAATCAAAACACAACGAAGCGAATGTTTCTCGTGCAAAGCGCGGATATCCTCGTCCTCGAACATTACTTTGCGATTACTCCCTTCTTCGTCGCGTAGTAAAAGTGCGAGAAGAGACGTTTCAGTCGCCGCCAGATGGCGGTTTTGGCGGAAAACAACCAAAGAAGAAGAAGATTCCCCGTGGTGGCTGATGGATGAAAAAGCGATGAAACGGTTCACGGACGAAGGGAAAGAGGACGTGTTTCGCTTACGCACGACAAACTTACCCGGGATGTCGGAGGATAAGATGACGCCAGAAGGCGCGGCGGCTGGAGCGTTATTGTTAGGTTTAGCCGTGTGGGCGTTTGTGATCATATTGAAGTTGTTGGCGTTAGTTTGGGGGATCTTATACGCCGGGGTGAAGTATTCGGCGATTGCGGCGGTGCTCGTGTTGCTCGGGATCGCGGCGCTGTGATTTTTAAAGATTTGTTTTATCACGTGTAGATGTATAGTAGTGATTTGTAGTAGAGGTATGTAGAAAAAACGTGCACGTATTGTCTCTATCAACCATTACTTTGTAGAATCTTGGAAGGCGCGACGGCGTGGAATGGCGCGAAGGGGATAGGCAAGCCGATGCCGGATGGGTCGTTTTCTGGAACGTACGCGTTTATGCGTCGGTGGCCGTGTGTTTGTTGATGTTGTTGTTTTCGCGGTGTTATTGGTGTTATCGTTATCTGATCTGGGCTCTTTTTCTCTTGCTCTTTTCTTTCCTTCGTCTCTCTCAACTCTTCTCGAAGCGTTTCAACCTCGCGTTCGTTCGCCACGCGACACGCTTTGCTAAAGCCCAACTCCGCAGTCGTGGCTATTGTTTTGCGCGTCATCTCTCGTATGCCTCGGTTTGTCGCGTGCATGGCTCGAGCAACTTTCGTTCGTGCAAACAGCGTATCCGCGTCCGCTTTTTGAAAGCGATGGATCTCGGCGTCCAACGCTTGGAGGATTTCAAAGAGAAGTTTCCTTCGACGTTCGACGCGCGCCAGCCGCGTTTCCGTTTCGGCTGTTTTGGCGACCGCTTCGTTCACTTCCGCAGCAAGCGAAGGAACGAGCCGAGCGCTCGTGGTACTTTCACCTTTCTCGTCGTTGTTTATCAGATTGTCCTTTTTGTTGTTGTTGTTGTTATTGTTGTTGTTGTTCTTCTTCTTTTCGCCGTGGTCGTCATAATACAGGTCGTCCTCTCGAGTTTCGTGAAGCGACGTCAAGAAGGAAGAAAATATGTTTGGCGACAATTTCTTCACGCGTTTCTCTCTGTTTGGATCCTCTAAAAGCCTCGACACTTGACGATAGTTTCGTTTTTCGCTTCTCAAAGCTCTTCGTAACGCAACGAGAGTGTTCTTCAATCTGGGCACCCTTTCGCTCTTCGTCGCTCGAGCCGCTCGTTTCGTTCGTTTCACGTCCGCGACTTTGTTTGAAAGCCGTTGTGTCTCGATTTCACGATCACGAATGAGCGCGTCGATTTCGATGGATTTGTTTTCGGTCGCGTCGCTGAGATTCAAGGCGTTTTCGAGTTCGTCCTCGACGTCGATGAGTTCGTTCGCGGCGCTTTCTTTCAAAAGTACGATTCGGTCCTTGTCTTCGCGTTCCGATGAAGCCAATTTTTTCGAACGTTCGAGCGCGTGTAAGTGTCTTTGCATCGCAGTTTTAGCTAAATTTATTCTTCGAGTGGCGGTTTCAAGTTCGCGGATGGACGCGTTGACTTCGCGTGTTTTCTCGTCCAACGCTGGCTTTTCGCGTTGGCGTATCTTCGCTTTCGCTTCTTCGCATTTTCTTTCCACATCGTTCAACGTTTTCAAAGACTCGTTTTCGCGCGTTTCCGAATCTACAGAGAATGACTTTTCTTTAGTGGTTTCACTCTGTGCTACATGTATCTTGTGTCGGATGTTCTCTCGCGTCTCGTGTAGCGCACTCACAAATTTTTCCATGGCGCTTAAACGCACGAGCGCTTTCGATCGCGCCGCGGCGAGCTCCGAGACCGTCGTATTTTTAACTCTCACTTCACTTTCGATAAACTGCAACGAGTCTCGGACTTTTTCGACGTCTCTCTTGGCATACGAAGCGTTTTTGTTCATTTTCAATTCAATTTTTCTCAGTTGCTCGACCGTTCTCGAGCTCTCTACGATTTCCTCCTCCAACTCGCGAATCTCTTCTCGTTTGTGCGCGTCCACGGATTCGCTCTCCTCGCTTTTTGCCATCCACGTTTTGCTTTGCTCTCTCGCCTCGTCCGTCTTTGTTTTCTGCTCTTCGCGTTCTTTATTCAATCGTTTCAGTACTTCCTCTCTTTCTTTCTTTTCTTCTTCGACCGTTCGTATTTTAGCTATTAAAACGTCTCGAATCGTTTCCGCGAGCGCGTCGGTTTCTCGATAGGTTTGTTTCAGTTTTCGTAACACTTTCAATTTCGATCCATCTTCGCGTTGACACGCGCGCAAAACAGACTTCTCGATATCTTTAGCTTCCTCAAAGAGCAATTGCACGTCGCCCTCGTTCCTTTGCGTGGCCAACCGAAGATTCTTCTTCTCCTCTTCTTTTCGAGACGATTCGAAATCGAACCGGTGTTTCGCCTCGGACAGTCGCGAAGACGCGGCGTCGTACTCCGACTCAATCGCGTTTAGTTTGCGCGTTTGAGACAGCTCCACATCTTTCAAATCTTTCACAGCTGTGGAGAACTGTTTCAATTCAGCACTGTCTAACGTCTCCAATCGCGCCTTTTCTCCTCGCAAAATCTCTGTCGTCTCGTCCAATTTTTTCCTCGCGTGCGCCGGCGCCAGCATCGATTCGGCGCAAACTTTCTTACACTCGGGCAACACCACCGATTCCGTCTCGTTCGTTTCTTCTTCCCGCTGTTCCGCGTTTCCTGTTTCTCTCTTTAGCTCGCATCTTAAATCTTTAATCCGTCGCATCGCCGCCTCGGATTCATCTCGAATTTGCGAAATCTCCTCCTCCAAACTCGACTTCACGGGAATCAACGCTTCCAGTCGCTGCTTCTCCGCGTCCTCGAACGCTTTCAATTTGATTCGTTTTTCGCGCTCCAGTTCGCTCACTCTCGACTCCACTTTCTCTTTCATCGCGCGTGCTCTTCTCGCGTGCTTTTTTGCGCTCTCGATCGCCTGTTCGCAACATTTCGTTCTTCTTAGTATTCCGTCCTCGTTTTCCTCCTCCTCTTGGTCTTCTTCTTCCCCTAAAACTTTCATCGCTTCGTTCCTACTCTCCATCGCTTTCGCGCGTTTCTTCAACCGTCTCTTCGTTCTTTTTGACCGTGCGGTTGCTTTTCGCAACGCGCGTAACGCTTCGCGCAGTATCGTCGTCGTCGTGCTCGTCTTGTCCTCCTCCTCCTCGGCATTCTTCTTCTTCCTCTTCGTCTTCTCTTTGTCCTCTCCGAGAGAAAAAGCCATCGCTTCCAGGTGTTCGAAATTTTTTTCCTTTGAAGTCTCGTCGTCTTCATCGTCGCTCTCCAAATCGTCGTCGGAGGAGGAAGAGAAGGATTCGAAGGATTCGTCGTCGTCGTACTCGTCCTCCTCGTCGTACTCGTACTCGTCAAAGCGCGTCGCGAACATTTCTTTTTTTGGTCGTATTTTTTCCCGGAACGAGTCTTTGGTGAAAAATATTATAAAAATAGAAACAAGAAGAGGGGTGGGCTGCGAGGAAATTTATTAAGAGCAAACGAAGGGTACATCTCTCTTTCTTTCTCTCTCTCTCTCTCTCTCTGTGTATGTGTGTGTGTGTTTATCTCTTATCAATCTAGTACATCTCTCTTTCTCTCTCTCTCTGTGTGTGTCTTTGTCTGTGTGTGTGTGTTTATCTCTTATCAATCTATTTACCTTCTCAGTCGCTTTTGTGCTACTGGATTATACACCCTCGTAGAGTTGGAAGCTCTCCTCGTCATAGACGCCCGAGAAACCAAGCGTATTGTTCATCCGTTGGTTCTGGGCACCCTTTTTCTTGCAAGTAGTATAAGCACTCGTGGTGCTCTTTGTAACGAGTGAAAGCGATGAATCGCCAGTCGTTAAGAGGCACTTTCGCCTCTTCGATTAAGTATTTGAGGCAATCGAGTTTGCCGTACATTGTAGCGGTTGCCACACAGTCGAGCTTTAATGCATCAGATATCTTTCGTTCTTCAACGAAATATTTAAAGATGTTTACGCGACCATTTAGTGCTATAATTTGTACCACTTCTTCTTCCGTCTCTCGCGAAGGTTTCACTTTGTCGAAAAGAAACCGAAGACAGTCGAGGTGTCCTTCATTAACAGCTCGAGTACACGCCTCTTTTTCATCATACGGACCATCATTGTCAAAGCAATACTTCAGCATCTCGAGATTACCTTTATGTGCTGCCGTATTAATCGTCCACTCATCCCACTCGCACTGTTTCACTTCTCTCGCCCACTTGAGAAACTCGAGTTTGTTCGTTGCAGCAACTTCCCTGCAAAACCAGGCTTGATCCATCACTCTTCCTAAATCATCTTTCTCTCCCCAGGGCATGTGATCCCACAGCCATTCCAACGTCGAAATCGACGAACATTCGTAAGCAGCCCAGTGTAATTCCGATACGTCTACCCCGGCGTACTCAAGCACACCCCGACTCTCTCTATTCACCAATGCAAAGAACCACCGATCCGTCCCGTTCAATTTCGAAATCACATGCGAGACAAACACATCCTTTTGACGCAACACCAATCCCGTCCACAACTTGGTCGGTCCAAGCTTTATCCTCTCCATTTCTGCAACAGCCTCCTTCACGGCCTCCATCACGGCCGCTTCTTTCTCCTTTTTCTTCTTCCTCTTCTGCGCGCCGGAGAGTTGTTTCTTCTTCTTCTTCTTCTTACCGTCGTCCATATTTCCTTTTTTTTTCTCGCGCGAAAAAAAATGTGCGGTCGCGAGAAAAAAGAAGAAAAGAAGAAAAGAAAGAATTTAATTTTCGACAAAAAACAACTTCTCCTCCGACTCTCCCCTTTGGGTCGTCTCGCTTCTCGACGTTCCTCCAAACGCACACCGCGCAATACTCGAGTTTTGGTCCGCTTGCTTCGAATCGGGTCACTCGTTTAGTAGAGGTCTCTCTTCCTCCTCTCAAAGTACGCATAATAAAATTGGAGAAAGAATGCCAAAGGCAAAACCCAACAACAACAACAAAAAGTCATCACAACAACCTGACCCCATTGGGGATGATCTCGGTGCGTTGGAAGACATCTCCCCGCAAATCGCTTTACAAAAATGGTCCTCCGACGTCGTGAATCGTCTCGGGGTGTCGTCCACCTCGCTATTTCACCCAGACGCGAGCGGCGATTTTGATGTGCAGTTGGAGAAATTAATTACCAAGAACCGAGAGAACAACAACAACAACAACAACAACAACAACAACGATGCTTTGAAAAGGAGCAAGTCGAACACGTCGAGCAGTCAATCGAAATCGCCGGGGTTATCCTCCGGAGATCCGATTAAATCGGGAGATTTAGCGCACCTTGGGTTTCCTTTTGACGGCCAAATTGGGAAGGATGAGCTGAAGGAGAGTTTGCGAGAGGCGTTTCGGGAGATGTCGGACGTGAAGGTGAAACCGATGAACAATGATAACGCGAAGAAGAAGAAGACGAAAACTAAGATGATATCAACAGCGACGACGGCGAGGAAAAGTGGGGGCGAAGTGGCGAGCCTCGACGACGCGTGGGCGAAGATTAACAGCGGGAAGAAGAGAGGGAACGACAACGACGCCAACGGTAGAGGGAAGGATGAAACGACGTTGGAAGACGTGATGATGGACGTGGTGATGGCAAATAACGCGAAGAAGATCGGTAATGGTAATGTAAAAAGAACGGCTACGGCGTCTTTGATTATGGCGCAAAAATCTTTGTTCTCGGCTGGCGCGCAGGACCTCGCGAATACGTTAGGGGTGGCGCACACGCAGAACGCGTCGTCCATGGAGCAAATGGTCAACGAGGCAAACTTGACTTCGTACGATACGGAAATGGCGAAGATGTTGAGTACGTTTGGAAGTGGCAGTGGTAGTGGTGGCAACGCTTTCGATCAGCACGCGAAGAGGACGAGTTATAATCAAGCGCTCGAGAAGGAGATGGACAAGAAAAAAGAGAATAAGAAACCGCTTCCTACTCCATCGAAGAGAAAGCAAAAGGACGACGGAGACGATGATGCCGCCAAAAAACAGAAACGCAACAAAGATTCAGAAGAAGCGAATATGAAGAAACGTAAAGTGTCGAAAACCAACGTTCCGCGCGTGGAAATCGACAACACCCAAATCGTCGAGTTGACCAAAGAGAACAAAAATTTAATCGTCACGCCGGGCGGCATCAAAGACGCTCTTCCCCCGCGGAAAAAAGGCCGTCGTCCGAATAACCCAACCGTCGTAGAAACCGAAGAAGAGACGAAACTACGAGCGGAGGAGCGCGTGTATAAAAACAGACAATCTGCGGCTCGGTCAAGAGCGAGAAAATTAAAAACCATAGGCGAGTTGCAAGAGGAAATTAGTCGATTGACGTGCGAAAACGACGCGATGCGAGACTTGTGTAAAGACAGTGGCGTCACCGAGGCAACGATAACAACAAAACTGAAAGAATCGGAAGCGACGAGACAAAAAGAGAAGAAAGAGCAAGAGGAGCTCGGCGCAAACGTCAAAAAGTAACGAGTAGTTGGTTCGTCTCCTAATAATAATAAATAGAAGAACTTGAATAAATATTGTAGTAAAAAGCATTGCACGTTAATAATATTAATAAAAGAACAGGGACTTAACTGAACACCTTCCCGTTCAAGAAGTCTTTCAAATCGTCCAACTCCTCCGCGCACGCCGAATGCGCCATGCCTCCGTAACTCTTAAACTGAACATCCATCCCTAAAGATTTCAACTTCTCGCTCGAGCTCGTTCCGTAATCAAACCGTAAAACTGCATCCGCCGTGCCGTGCGCCTGAAATACTTTCACCCCGGACTTCTCTTTCGAGTACGAATCCGCCATCGGTAGATACGTGCTCAAACCGACGTACCCGCCGATATCGTGCGCGCTCGTCATCGCGTGCGTCAACGCTATCGCTCCGCCTTGCGAGAACCCGCCGACGACGATGTTCTTCGCCAAAACGCCTTTCTTAATCTCCTCTTCCACTAAAGAATCCACGTATCGACTCGCTTTCTCAATCATCCCTTTATCGTCGATCAAACTTTCCCTCTCTAACGCGTTCATATCGAACCACCCGGGCATGGACATTCCGCCGTTTAACGTAATCGGAATAACCGGTGCGTTGGGGAATATCCAACGGCAATTTTTAATCTCCCCTAACGCGCTTTGGTTCGGTATATCCGACCACCCGCGTCCGGTATCCCCTAACCCGTGTAAAAAAATGATCGATTTATCGCAGTTTCCGGTTGTTGTTTCCACCACGAACGGAGGTGGGGAGTTGTATTCGGTAAACGATTGCGATGACGAAGAACTCGCCATGGAAACGAATCGGTAACAACACCCAAACGCAATCGACGCCGTGGTAGCTAACACGCCAACCTTAGTACTCCCGTTGTTTGTGTGACGTTTAAGACGGCGACGAGTGCTGCTCTCTGATGCTCTGGTCGTTGATGTAGCGGAAGAAGAGAAGAGCGCGCGTGCGGCTCTTTGCATGTTTACCTTTGGAGAAAAAGTCGAAAATCTCCACAACTTTGGAGTAAAACTCACGGACATCGGACGAGACTTATTACGAGCGAGAGCGCCTCTGAGTTTCGGATATTTTGTCGTCCTCTCGGTGGTGCATGTCCCACGAGCGCGCCTCTTCGTCCTCGTCTTCTTTCGCGGGCCTCGTTTCGTCTGAATCGTCGTCTGAATCGTCGTCGTCCGTATCTGAGCAGCGGACGAATTCCATCCACAAAGCGCTCCTTCTCCCTCCGAAACAGACATCGATGGAAACGTCGTCATCACCAAAACCACCACCAAAACCACCAGTGCATATGACTTCTTCGTTTGTGGACACTGTTACTGCGGATGACGACGATATCGAGGAGGATATCGACGAAAGAAAAACGAGTAGAAAACAGAGGTATTTCTCGGTGTTTTTGTTTACCACAACCTCGGCGTTCTTATACGCGGACCAAAACTTACTCTCCCCGAACTTATCCCAAGCGGCGGAGGAGTTCAACTTTTCGGACCGCGAAAAAGACGTGAAACTGGCCGGGTGGTTACAACTGGCATTTTTCGTGGTCGGGTCGCCGGCGAGTTTAATCATCGGGTGGATGTGCGATAAGACGGAGAGCCGCGTGCGGTTGCTGTTTCTCACGACGTTGATCGGCGAAGGGCCGTGTTTAGCCACGTATTGGGTGACGAAGTATTGGCAGTTGTTCATGCTGAGAGCGATGACAGGGATCGCGGTGGGAGGGTGTTTACCTCTTTTGTTTTCCTTGTGCGGGGATTTGTTCAGTCACAAGACGAGGGCGAAGGTGGCGTCGTTTTTGACCATCGCGACGGGGGCCGGAATCGCGTTCGGGCAAATCATGTCCGGCGCGGTCGGGCCGAAGTACGGGTGGAAGGTGCCGTTTGTCGTGAGCGCGGCGCCGGCGGTGTTTTTCGCGTTTTTGACGTGGATGTTAGTCGATGAGCCGGTGAGAGGTGGAATGGATGTCAAGGTGAACGGGAATCATTTTGGACATCAAAATCGGGCGGCTTCGAGAGGAGTAGGAGAAGAAAGCGAGGAAGGAGGAGTAGCGATAGGAGGAGAGGAGAAAAAGAAGAAGAAGAAGCAGAAGAAGAGTAGCCGCAAGGATAGTAGTAAAAGTAGTAGTAAAAGAGACGAAAACGAGGACGACATCATATCGCAGCTCTCCGTCTCGGATATTGAAATCTATTCGGGTAAAATGGACGTGCAAAAACTCAAAAGACAACTGCGAGTGAAAACGAACGTGTTGGTGTTCATCCAAGGCGTATTCGGGACAATTCCGTGGGGCGTTTTGAACGCGTACTTTGTGGACTATTTACACGCCAACCGGGGATTAACAGTTGGTCAAGGTACCGCGGCGGTGACTTTATTTGGTTTGGGTGGTGCTATTGGCGTCATCGGCGGTGGCGTTTGGGGGCAACGTTTGTACAACAGAAACAAAAGTTCCGTGGCGGTACTCATGGGATTGAGCACTATGCTCGGTGCTTTACCTTCGTATTATTTCGTCAATTCGACGTATTTCGGTCCATCCGAGTCTCTGTTATACTTTTCATGTTTTGTGACTGGGATTTTGTGTTCCTTGACGCCACCGAACGTGAGAGCGGTGTTGATGAACATCAACCCGCCAGAAACTCGAGGCTCGGTGTTTGCGTGTTACTCCCAAGTGGACGACATCGGAAAAGGTTTAGGCCCAGTATTCATAGCCGGTTTGATTGTCGTTTTCAACGGACGACAAATCGCGTTTAACGTAGCTTTTAGCATGTGGTTTATTTGCGGATTATTTTTGTTGATGATGAAAGGAACGATTGAGAAGGACGCCGAGACGGCTTCGAGGCAAATGGAAGCGGAAATAGTACGAAGTCCGGCGAGAGAGAGAACTCAGAACGAAGAAGATAATAACGTTTAAGAGATTGAAATAAATAATGCGTATCGTAGTCGTTCGTTCGTCGTAAACAAGAGTAATGATAGTGATAGTGATAGCAATAATAAAACATAACATAAACCTTTCTGTCTCCGCTGAACTCGTAATTGTCTCGCGTTTCGCTTGTTCAGCGCTGGCGTTTTCTTTTCTCGACGAGACGAACGAAAGGGTGCTCAAAACGAAGCTTTCAAAAACGACGGCATAAAAAAATTAAACACGACCGCAGCTGCGCCTGCGCCCATGGCTACATCCATCGCGCTCACGTTCTTCATGAAACTCACGTTGTGCATCATCTTCACATCCCACATGGACGAGGACAGTCTCGCCGATTGCGTGTTCGTGTTCTTCTTCTCTTCCTCTACCGCGTCTTCTTTCAAAGTGTCCTTCTTCGCCAAATTCACCGGCGGCGGCGTAAACAAGTACGATTCTAACGCGTCTTCTCCTTCTTCTTCTGCTACATCTACTGCTTCGTTGTCATTCGCGAGAACAACAGATTCAACGTTTCCTAAAACTCTCTCCTCTACCTCGCCTGGCGTCCCGCACTCGCTTTCGCTCAACTCGTACGACACGACTATCGGCGACGCGGCGAAACCGGAGTCGACGACATTCATCACTTCTTCATCATCATCATCTTTATCATCGTCGGTGGTTTTTGTCGGCGTTTCCGGTTGCTCTTTCTCTTCTTCTTTATTCTCGTTGAACCCTCCGACCGGAAGGAGGACCGGAAGGATCAGGTGGTCCGCCCACTCGTCCAAGGCGGATTTCGAGGATTTCGACGAGGCAGGCGACACAGAATCACTCGCCGAGGACGGCGGAGGTGCCTTGGACCCGCCTTCTCGTCGTTGTTCAAACGCCTCGTCGTCCTCGAATATCTCCACCGCTTTCAAAGAAACGCCTCCTGTGTTGCTTCTTTTCGCCGAGGAGACATCTGCGGTCCGGAACGGTTTCAAAGTCTTCCCCCGTTTGTTGGACTTTCCCGGGGAAGCATTCGTCACGTCGCCTAAAACAGTTTTAGTATTCTTAGAATTCGTATCATTATTCATAAACTTCTTCTTCGAGGAAGCAGACGAGAGTTTCTTTTTCAGCTTCTTCAACGCGCCCATTCTTCTTTATATTACGTGTGTGTGCTTAGAGCGCGCGCGTAAGAGTAAAAATCTCTTCTGTTGAAAATGGAGAAAAGTTCCCCTTTGCCTTAAATTTGTATGCTAAACCCTAAATGTTTTTTTCTGGCTTTTTTCTCTCTCTAATCCATCCACCACTTTTGTCTTCATTTTGCGCGCTTGACAGACACGGAAAGAGAGAGTTTAAAGCACACACATTCATCATCATGTTCGGAAACTCTTCCTCTTTAAAAGACGAAGAAGCGAATACTAATTCGAGCGACAAGCAAACAACAACCGCGGCGCAACTCGCGGCGATGCAACAAAGAAAAGATAATCAATACCACGCTCGAATGGCCGTGTACGATTGGCTCGATCGTCTCGTTCTCGATAAGAAACGGTTTCTGACGACGTTCCTGGCGTATTCGTTTTGCGTGTGCGTGCTCGGCGTGTACATTGGCGACTGGAACTCGGCGACGATGCCGGGGAGAGAACAAGGGCAGTGGTGCGCGATGCAAGCGAAGGAATGTAAGAGGCAAGCGGACGTGTGTTTGGTGTCGGGCGGGGCGAGAGCGGGCGCGAGCCAGCCGATGGTTGGATTGGATAAGGAGAGGGCGTTTATGGACGGCGGGGATATCGGTGGGACAGATTTTGATGGGGCGGGTGTGCCGCAGCACATTCAGCAAATGCACTCGGAATGGACGCAATCGAGAGATAATCGCGCGGCGACGGTGGCGAGATTGAAGGAGTTGCGGGTGAATTTGTTGTGTCACGAACTTAGAGTGCAACAGCAAAGGAAGAAAGGAGCTTTGGATTACGATAGAATTAACTCGTTCATGGGTAAGGCTGGGAAGGCGAGAGAGGAGTACGAGAAATTAGAAGCGGTAGTGAAAGTTGTGTATCCAGAGGTTATACCGGAGGTTGAAGAGCTCGATCAAATGAAAAATCCCGATTGCAAACACGTTCACGGAGGACGAGTGTGAAGATGATGCTTTATTGGAGGAGGAGGAGGTGATCTGTTATTAAAATACAAATACATTATGTGTATATATATACATGCATACTAATATACTACTCGATACGTTCGTAACAATTCTTCTACTATGAATACTTAAATCAGTGTTCGTCGTGATGATGATGTTGATGATGATGATGTCCCTCTTCCTCGTGACCTCCGCAACACCCGAACACGGCGTGCACTTGATACACGACGAGCACGCCCAATAGAACACTCATCATGTCTCTCGCGTACGGCCTTTTGTTACCTTTATCTCGGTGCTTCCCCTCCTCCTCCTCCTCCTCCTCCTCTTCCACCGATACGGTCACCATTTGCGATATCGACACGAACACGAACCCGGCTGCGCAAAACGCCTCCAATCCAACCTCCCACTTCTCGCTCATCTTCCCGACGTGCCAAGCAAACACCGTCCCTACAATCGAGAGCGTCGCGGATAAAAAGTTAAACCCTAACGCGTGTCCATGCGAAAACCCACAGTTTATTAACACGCCGTAATCGCCAATCTCTTGCGGGAGCTCGTGCGTCGCCAACGCCGTCGCGGTCGCCAGGCCGGCTTTTCGTCCTCCTTTTTTAAAAGACATCGCTAACGCGACGCCGTCCGTAAAATTGTGCAACCCATCCGCGAATAAGTTCAACCATCCTCCAGACGCGATGTTCTGCCATCGAGTGTGACCAGGATGATTCTTGCCGCTGCCATCCTCCTCCTCCTTTTGACCTCCTCGAGTTCTCCTTTTCCTCCTCCTCTTCGCGACTCCATCGTCATCTTCAGAAGCAAGACTCTTCGCACGTACTCTCGCACGAATGAAGCAATCGAGCGCATAGAACGTCAACACGCCGCTCAAAAAACACCCGCCGGCAAACTCTCCTCCTCCTCCGTCGAGTTTCCCAAAACTGTTCGGAATTCCGTGCGTGCACGCGTCGGCGAGTAACGCTCCGCTTCCAAACAAGGCCATCGCGCGCGCGTTTGATTTCTTCCAACTTGTTGATGAAGAAGATACAGAAGCGAGAGAGGAGAGGCGGGTTAAAATCGGCGCGATCGCGCACGCGACCAAGGAGACCAAGGAGACCAGAAACGATGCCAAGAGAGGTTCTGCAATCGATTGTTCAGCCGTTCTCATCGTCATCGCTCGTTCGTATTTTGTGTGTATCTTTTTCTCATCGTCACAAAAAATGACGCAAAACTTTGGTGTTTTTCTCATCATCATCGTCGTCCTTTTCCTCCGAACGGTACGCGTCGCTTTGTCGTCACCATCGTCTCAAAAACTAAAGAGAGAGTCAGACGGCGCAAAACTTCTGGTCGTGATCGGTTCTGGCGGGCACACCGCGGAGATGGTGCATATTTTGCGGTCGTTTTTGTCAGACGAGAAGAAGACAAAGAAGAGAGATTATTTTTCCAATGTGTTTCCCAAACGAGAGTATATCTTCGCGGTTTCGGATACGACGAGCGTGGCGAAAATCGAGCGATTCGAGCGGGAAGAAGTGCAAGGAGGAACGAATGGCGAGTACAGGAATCATTTCGTCCCGAGAGCGAGAGAGGTTGGACAGAGCTATTTCACGAGCGTTTTTACAACGTTGTTGGCGTTTTGGCACTCTTGGAGAGTGTACTGGAAGACGAAACCAGACGCGATATTAACGAACGGACCCGGGACGTGCGTCCCGGTAATCTTGGCGTGTTTTCTCGGGAAAGTGTTCGGGTATAACAGCGCGTGTAAAGTGATGTACGTGGAAAGCGTGGCGAGGACGAGACGGATGAGCTTGAGTGGGAGATTGTGTTACGGGTTAAGGTTGGCGGATGTGGTGTTCGTCATGTGGCCGGAGTTGAAAGAGAAGTATCCACGGAGTCGGTATTGCGGGAGGATTTATTAGGATGTATTAGGATGTTAGATTTGCGTGTAGACGTGTAGTAATTATTGGTATTTGGTAGATAGTTTTCAGTTCCGTTGTGTGTGTGTGTGTGTTGCGTGCGCTACTCCTCGTGTTTCCTTTCTCTCTCTCTAATTTTCTTCTTCTTCTTCAACCTCGCCGTCGTCCATCGCGTATCCTTTCGAATAGCACTGTCTCAACATTTCCTTCTCTCCACTTTTTTCCAGTTGAAACCCAATCGCGGCCATCGTCGTCCTCTCCGAAAACCCGAAAAACTGCGGCCCGCTAATCCTTGTCCCTAACCGTTTACTGATGAGCAAATCGTACCACGGCGCCGTCGGCGTTTCTCCGACGAACGTCTTCCCGGGAGCTTCCTTATCCGTCACTCGAAACATCGGCCTATCCTCGCCGTCTACGATTTCCATCACATACACTCGTCCTTGAAATACTTTCTCCGCTTTATACCCGATTAAATACGGGTGGTGATACAAACATCCCGACCGCGACCAAAACTCGCTCGCGAACCGTCGCCGCCCTCCGCTTACTACTTCGCCAACCTCTACGACCGTGACCGGTCCGTTCGTTTTTGGCGTTTTCATCGCGAACGGTCCAAACATGCCCAGAGAGTTCGGGAATTCCTCTCGGACGTTTGGAAATTCCATCCCTCGAGTTTTCGTGTGTGTCGTTTTGCTCGCTCTCTTCCGCTTTCCATCTCCGTCAAACAGTTCGTCTCGTTGCACTTTTTCCGCCGCTTCTCTCTGCGCTCGTTCCTCGCTCGTTTCGTTTTGCATCATTCGTTGTCTCCTCGTCACTCTCGGCTCAGAAGGAGAAGAAAATTCCGTTCTCTTTTTACTCACGTTGTTGTGCTTCTTCGTCTTTGTCTTCTTCTTCGCGTTTTCCAGGTCTAACTTCTCTCTCGCGACGTCGATTCCGAGCGCTTTCAAGCGCGCTAAATTCATGGACACTTTCAAGTCTCTCTCGATTTCGTACGCATTTTTATTCGAATTATTATTAGTAGTAGTATTCGTATCATTCGTCGTCGTATTTTCTATGCTCCGCAACGGAGGAGGCGCAATTGGTGGTGGTAAAGGTGCGTCCTCGGTGGTGGTGGTCGTCGCGTTCATGCTGTTTTTAAAACTCGCTTATACTACTCACTCAAGCGGTGGTGAAATTCAAAACGAAGTAACGCAGAAAAGAGAGAAAATTTTTGAATTTTTTGCGCAAGAAATATCTCTCGTTCGTCGTGTCGTTGTCGTTGTTGTGGGTTGTTGTTGTTGTTGTTGTTGCGAGTGCGCGGTGCTCCTTTCTCTCGTCGGTTGTAGCGGAAGAGGAGAGGACTTGGACCGGAGAGCAGTGCGACACACGACGCGCGAAAGCACACGCGTATATATAAAAAAAAGAGCTCGCTTCATTTTTAGTCGTGTTGGGGAAAGAAATCATCAAAAGATGACGCATCAACAGCAACAACGAATGTCCAGCCAAGCCGAGCGAGGAACGATGAAGAAAATCGTTTTTTACTGCCCAGAGATGGAAAAGATGGCGAGAGAAGTTCGAGCGAACGATCCAGGTAAATGAGAGTCTTCTTTGTTGTTGTTGTTGTCGTCGCGCCCCGCAAAAGCGCGGGAGGTTTTGTTTTTCTTTTCTCTCGTTAAAAAGTTTGTTTGTTGTTGTGTCTAACTAACACCTCTTCTCTCGTAAACGACGCAAACGCAAAACAGATGCCGTGGAACTGGGCACGATCAAATGGCGAAGATTTCCAGACGGGTACCCGAACATATTTATCGATAACGCGGACGATATCCGAGGCAGACACGTTGCTTTTTTAGCCTCTTTCCACGACGCGGCGACCATATTCGAACAGATTTCGGTCGTGTATTCGCTGCCGAAAATGTTCGTGGCGAGTTTTACGCTGATTTTACCGTTTTTCCCGACAGGGACGTTCGAGCGCGTGGATAAAGAAGGGGAGGTGCCGACTGCGGTGACGTTGGCGCGGATGTTGTCCAACATTCCGAGTTCGAGAGGTGGACCAACCTCGACGATTATATTCGACATTCACGCGTTGCAAGAACGCTTTTACTTTGGCGACGGCGTGTCGCCGTTATTCGAGTCCGGGATCCCTTTGTTGCTCGAACAACTCGCAGAATTGAAAAGAGGAGACGCCGGAAAGGAAGAAATCGCCATAGCGTACCCAGACGAGGGCGCCTGTAAACGTTTCCACGGCTTCTTCGAGGACGAGTTCACCGAAGTCGTCTGCACCAAAGTCCGCGAAGGCGACAAACGCATCGTCACGCTCAAAGAAGGCAACCCACTCAACAAACACGTCGTCATCGTCGACGACCTCGTCCAATCCGGTGGTACCTTAATCGAATGCATGCGATTACTCAAAGCAAAAGGCGCGACCAAAGTCTCCGCGTACGTCACCCACGGCGTCTTCCCGAACTCCAGCTGGAAAAAATTCACCGAACCTTCAGACGCGAGCGAACGCTTCGAACACTTCTTCATCACCGACTCGTGTCCGTTGACCGTGGACGCCGTCAACGGCCAATCGCCGTTCCGAGTGATGAGTTTAGCTGGAAGTATCGCCAGAGCTTTGAGAATTTAATATAATAAGAATAAGAATACTACTACTAAGAATCCCAACAACGCGGTTGCTCTCTTTCAAAAGCAAAACGACTTCTTTTCCTCTCTGCTCACATCTTCTTCATTCTTTGGTTTTCTTCATTCGTCGCCCTTGCTCGCCCTGTGAAATCTCAAAACATGTGAATGCAAGCACATAAATTTCGTCTCGTGTCAACAAACGTCGTTTTGAGGCTGCAATTTTTTTTTTCCTTCTCGCCTCAAAAAGCTCCTTTTTCACTCAGAGATCAAAGATACGGTTGGTTTGGTACAAATTGCGCGGAAACACCAACAACAAAAAAAAGGAGACGAAAACGTCATAAACACACTTATTTGCGAAATTATGTTTGCATTGCAAAGCTCAACCTTTACCGGCGCGAGAGTTGTCTCGGCGAAAAACGCGACGCGACGGTGCGTTTCGTTTTCTCTTGCTCTGAATACGTTATTCGCGCGCGCGCAAATGTGAATCCATTTTTTTTTTCCTCCCTTCTTTTTTTTCCCTTTGGGGACCACAAAGACTCGTCGTTTTGTGGGAAAAGGAGAGATAGAGGCGAGACGACGAGTCGCCCTCTCGTCGTCTTTGTTGTCAGAGAGTGGAAAGAGCAACTGCCTCTCGGTGTCGTCGTCGTTCGCGAAGATGCGCTCGCCCATCTCTTTCCGTCCGTTTTGGTGTCTGTGCCTGACCATTAGTACACACCTCTCGTTCCTATTCAAAACCAACAGATCAAAAGCCTCTACTAAAAAAATCTCGGCGAAATACGGGGACGAATCCGTGTACTTTGACCTCGGCGACGTCGAATCCACGACTGGCTCCTGGGACGTGTACGGCGTGGAATCCACGGCGAGATACCCGGACCAACAGGCTAAGTTTTTCGAAAACGCGGCGCAAGGTTTAGGCCGAAGAGAAGCGATGTACTCCTTCTTGGCGTTGAGCGGCGGCGCGGCGTGCTTGGTCTTTGGCGGTAAGGGTTCCAAGGACGCGAAGTTACCGATCACGATTGGCCCGCAAAAGGAAGCGGTGAAGGGTCCGAGAGATCGTCTTTAAATTGTGGGCGCGTTTTTGCGATAATTCATCATCAAAGCTACTCTTACTATACTATCTAAAAAAGAACAACATCCTCTCGCGCTTCTTCTCCGAAAGTTATAACTCTTCGTGGGTATTTTTCTTAAACGCGCGTTGAATATCTCTCACCAGATGTTTGAACTCGTTTGAATCGTTTGGGTATTTCCCATCGTACGATATCAAATCTATTTCAAAATCAATCGACTTGAACGCGTTTCTAAACGCGTCGTCTTTGCTATCGATCATCGCCAACGCCAAGTTCGCGCTCGCCTCTCGTTCGCTCGCGTTTGGCGAGTTAAAGCGTAATTTCACCTGTATCGCCGCCTTCTCTATCGCCGTCCAATCGTCTTTAAACAAATTCGCCATCAACTGCGTCTCTTCGTCGTTGTTATAATCTCTGTGTTTCGCGTTAATCACGATGTCGCTTAAAAAATTCGCCGTCCTCGTCCACACGGCGTCGCCGATGACTGATTTCGGCGCCATCAGCGAGCTCTTGAATAAATACTTCGCGTGGCTCAACTTCCCTCGCATCACGTCGTCGCCGTTGAACAAGTATTCGCTCCTCAATCGTTTCACGTTCCTCGTCAACGACGTCAACGCAAACAAACACTTCTTCGCGACCGTTTCGTCCTTCTTCTCAAACGCCAACGAAGTCGCGTTCAAAAGCACCGACACCGCGTTAAACTCATCCGCCGCGATTTCCTGAATCTTCTCGTAGTTACTCGTCAACGTCGCGAACACTTGACACGCCTGCGCTCTCACCTCGTTCACCTCGCTCTCGTTCTCCACCACCATCAACAGTGGCTTCAATCCGAGTATCGTGTGAAAATCAAACGCCAGGTCGATTTGCGCCACCATTTCGTCCAAACGTTCCAACGCGCGCACTCTTTCGCGGACGTCTACGCTTCCATCCGTGAACTTCTCCGTGATTTCTTTCAAAATCTCCACCTCGGACGGGTGCATGGCCATTTGATCCAGCATTGCGCGCACGTTTTTCGCTTTTTCGAGAAGTTCCTCCGAGCGCCAATTCCTTCTCTCGTTTCCTTCATCACCAGTCTCATCTTCTTCTTCTTCTTCTTCTCTCGTTTTCATCGCCTTTGCCATCGCTCTCAGCTTGTCTCGGTCGGAATTCTCGATCGCCCAGTCGAAGAGTTGCGAAAGCGTCGAGAGATCGTCGTAACGACTCTTTTCCTTCGCGTTCTTAAACGAAGCGTTTTCTTCTTCTTCTTCTTCTTCTTCGGTGACGACGACGACATCTCCGTCCGGGGCGACCCACTCGTTGTGCTTCGCATCGCACACTCGAAGGAGGGAAAGAGAGAGGAGGAGGAGGCAGAGTATTTGGACGACGAATGCACGACTTTTACGACGACGACGGTACCGAGGACGAGAAGGAGGACTTCTCGATCGCGTTTTGGTGGTCGCAGTGCTCATGGTATCATCGGTTTTGGTATTGGATTTCTCGTTACAATTCCGTCGCACGTGATGAAAATTTATGAGGAGTAAACGTACGCGTAAAAACAGATGATGAAGCACCGCAACGCTCGGTGAAACACCACCGAATATTACTACTAATGTGGCGAAAAGTGTGGCGGTCGCTTCCGTGGATTCCAGTCGTGTGGTGCGCGAACGATGCGGTGGTTTCCGTTCGGGAAATCGACGCAGAAAAGTCCGGTCTCAAAGGCATCGAATGTTCCGACGAACGAGAACAACGAAGACGTCTGTACGCGATGCTGGATAAAATGTCCTACCGATACTGGGACGTGGAACGAGGCGACGCGGTGCACGTGCCGAGACCTGGTTCGATGTATTCTTCTTTATCTTCTTCTAAGGAAGGGAAAGAAAAGGAAGCAAAAAGCAGACCAATTCGGAAGCACACGATGGAGCTGCAAAGAGTGGTGGAAGGGAAAGAAAACGAAGCAAAAAGCAGACCAATTCGAAGGCACACGATGGAGCTGCAAAGAGTGGTGGCGTTGGAAAACGACCTCGTGGCGTGGAAAGAGACGAACGCGAAGACGGGAGGAGAGGAAATGAAAGACGCGTTGGTACCGAAAGGACACTGTTTTATAGCGAGCGAGCGAGAGGAGGTGGAGCACGTGGGAATCGTACCCGTGGGGTTGATTGAAGCGAAGGTTCCGTACGCGGTGACGGTTGGCGGCGACCGAGGAGGCTTTTTTCCCGGCGTAAACGCGATTGGGATTTCGAAGACGAGTTTAACGACGCCGATTGATTCGGGAAGGAGGGTCGTTGTGAGGAGGAGGTATTTCTAGCGAATTAGTAGTACATAGTGTTGTTGTTAAAAGTAGTAATCTAGAAGAACTAAAAATCTATCACGGGAGGTGGAAACTTTTCGACTAAAACGTACAAGTCCAACGCGACGCCGTTTTCCAGAACTCGCATGTTTTGATATCTCAACTTCGTGCCCATCAAATCGAGCTCGAGCGTTTCGAAAAATCGCTTCACTCTCTCCGCTTGCTCGCTACTACTACTACTACTATTACTACTACTATTGCTACTACTCGTACCACTACTCACGTCGCAAACATCAACGCGCTCGTCCTCCAACGGCTGCATTTGAAACGTTCTCACCGCGTTTCGTTCCTCGTCAAATATCGCCTTCAACACGAGCCTTTCGGACGCCTCGTCTCGCTTCGGCGCTTCGTCTTCGAACCTCATCCGCACTTCATTCAACGCCTCGTTCGTTAAAGGATGCTTCAAAAAGTTCCGAAAGTCCTCGAAACTCATGAATAGTTTTGCCCGTCCTCGTCCTCCGGGTTTTTTTATCTCTATCCGTCCAGTCGTGACAATCTTCCCGTAATCGACTTCGACTTCGCCCACGGAAATATCGAGACTCTTGCACGTTAAATTCTTTTTGCTCGACCAGTCGGTGCCTTTAATTTGCACTTTGCGCACTTTTCCTCTCGTCAACGCTTCGAAATCGTCTGAATTCACCGATACAGTCACGCTGGTTTGCTTTTTCAAGTTGAACGATAATATGCTCGACGCGACGGTTTCGATGAGTTTCGCCGTGGACGTTCGGGAAGAGTTCACGTTTGCGTTTTCAGAATGGAAATCATTCGTAGTAGTATTAGTAGCATCAGACGACGTCTTCTTCTTCTTCTTCCTCTTCTTAGTCGTTTTGCGATTTAGAGTATCATTTCGAGAAATAATAGATGTCTTCCGTGTTGCAAACAACATTGTATTCGCCGCGCATAAAGGAAAGGGAAAAGCAACGAAAACTTTGAAGACGAAACCAAAAAAAGATTCTTCTTGTTTGTCTTCTTTTCAACGATGATACGATAGTGACTTTATACGATGATGTGTGTTTTCTAATTATCTCTCTCTTTACCCTTTACTCTCTCTCTCTCTCTAAATAAAATGTAATATAATAAATCATTCACTTAGTATTAGAGCGGAACAACCTTTTCCCAGGTGAAGATGTTGAGGTCCTCGTCTCTGCCAAAGTGACCGTACGCCGCGGTGGTTTGGTATCTCTTGTTGCCGCCTCTCTTCAAGTCCAAGTTCTTGCCAATCATCCCCGGTCTGAAGTCGAACGCGGCTTCGACCTTCTTCAAGATTTCAGCGTCGGAGATTGAGCCGGTGCCGTAGGTGTCGATGTGGACGGACAACGGCTTGGCGACGCCGATGGCGTAAGAGATTTGCATCAAGCACCTTTTCGCGAGGCCGGCGGCGACGACAGACTTGGCCGCTTGTCTGGCAATGTACGCTCCGGAGCGATCAACTTTGGTCGGATCCTTACCAGAGAAGGCACCGCCACCGTGCGCACCCCAGCCCCCGTAGGTGTCGATGATGATTTTTCTGCCAGTCAAACCGGCGTCGCCATCCGGACCGCCGATGACGAATCGTCCAGATGGGTTCAAGTGGTAGATGGTCTTGTCGTCCAAGTACTTTTCCGGGATGACCTTCTTGATGACTTCGTTCATCAAGTCTTCCGCAATCTTCTCGTTCGTGACGCCTTCCTTGTGCTGCGTGGAGATCAACACGGTGTGGACGCGAAGCGGGATCATGGCGCCGTTGTCGTTCTTGTATTCGATGGTGACTTGCGTCTTACCGTCCGGCAAGACCCACGGGCAGGTGCCGTCCTTTCTCACGACGGTCAATCTGTGGCCCAGTCTGTGCGCTAAGACCAAAGTCAACGGCATCAAAGATTCGTGCTCGTCGGTGGCGTAACCAAACATGATGCCTTGGTCACCGGCGCCGATGTCTTCCAACGCCTTGGTCCCCATACCGTGGACGCCTTGGCCGATATCCGGCGATTGCTCGTGCAATCGAACCAAAACTTCGCACGTGTTCCCGTTCAACCCGTCTTCTTCGGAGTTGAAGCCGATGTCCTTGCAGACTTGTCTCACGACCGCTTCGTAGTCAACCTTGGCGGTGGTGGTGATTTCACCGAAAACCATCACCATGTTCGTCTTGGTCGCCGTTTCGCAAGCGACTTTGGCATCCGGATCTTGGGCCAAGATGGCGTCCAAGACGCCGTCGGAGACTTGATCGGCGAGTTTGTCCGGGTGACCCTCGTTGACGGACTCGGACGTGAAGAGAAAGTTTTCAATCTTTTGAGACATTATTATTTATTATGTTATATCTGTTTATTGTGTTTTTAATAATAATAATAGTAATAATGATTAGTCAGTATATTATCTTAAAAAGCCACCACACACACCCAAAACTGACGGCTCTCAACGAAAGTTATGAATCTGTCTAATTTTTTCTCCTCTTCGACGGCGACGCTTCACGAAAAGACGCTTTGATGTGCACATCTCGACGTCCACATCTAAAAAAAACGGGAAAAACGGAAGCACCATTTTCACGCGCGTTCGTTTTGCGCGTCAAAAGGTGCGCGCGACGCTCGCGTTCGGAGCCGTCGTCGCGATGATTTTAGCGCGTGTGGTGTTGATTTTTTCGCGATGAGAAAGTTGTTCCCTTTTTTTATAAGCGGTATAAATGACACCAATTGCAAGAGTAAAAGAGAGAGAAAGAGAGACACCACGCGAATCAATTACGCGAATGCGAATTGGAGCGTGGGAACGAACGAATACTAACGCTCTCGTATTATTATTATTATTATTATAAACGACGTACCTTCTTTTTGTGATGATGAATGTGAAGTTTGTGCGTGTAAAAGTAACGAAAAGCGAATTTTTCTCTTTTTTTTTCTTTTTTCGAAAATTTTTTTGACATCTTGCCAAAAAAGAGACGCGATTGGATAAAAACGACGAATGTGGTGCAAAAAGGAAGGAAAAGGGAAAAAAAAGAAAACGCAGAGACGAGAAGAAAGGAGCTGTGCAAAAAAGAAAGTATACTTCTAGTCGGTCTCCTACGGATATTCGTTTTAGTAATTGTTACTGACTTTACTTGTCGCGGTTAGTACCTTAACCACTCGGACACGACTGCTTTTTTTTAGAGATTAAACGCAGTCGGCAGGATCTACTCAAAGGTGTAAAACTTTACTACTAAAAGGTGCCTTAAAATTACTTGAACCTACGCGGGAATTTCCCAACCGATGTCCGTGTACAACCCTATTTCACATAAAAACTAACAATAAACTTTAAACAACAAATTTAGGGTTTCAAGCAAAAAGAGAAAATGTCTGTCGATTTTGGGCCCCCCCAAAAGAGCGTAACAGAAAAGCGTACTTATTATATATCTATACATCTCGATACGAAGACGAGAGAGAGCGCACGTCGTCGCGCTACTCCTCGTGTTGAGAAGAGCGCGTTTGTTCTTATTGTTCTTTTTTTCTTCTCTGTCTGGGAGTATAACAATTTGCAATAATAAGAAATGATGGACGAGAAAGATGAAATCATCGAACTTCTCGAATTCGACGTCTCCGGGATGTCCTGCGACCGATGCGCGATGTGGGTGACCGAGGCGATCAAGAAGAACGTCGAGAACGTGGTCGATGTTCGCGTGAAATCGGTGAAGACGACAGAGAGGAACGTTTGTGTGAGTTTAAAGTTGTTGTTGTCTGATGATGATGAGAAAAAAGGTGCCTCCTCCTCCTCCTCTAAGACGGAGACTAAAAATATTATTCGAGCGTTGGAGTTGGCCGGGTATGGATGCGTCGAAAGCAACGAGAATAATACGACAATGAAAACAACAACGAATCCAGGAGTATTCTCAGACGACGACGAAGATGAAGAAGAGGAAAAGGGAAGATTAATAAAGAGTAGTAATTCGGTGTCCTCGTTTACCGAAAAGCAGACGATAAAATCAAAAACGTATCACTTCAACGTGGAAGGCATGACGTGCGCGTCGTGCGTGTCAGGGGTGGAAAACGCGATTAAAAGTATCCAGGACGACTCTATGATTTCGTTTTCGGTGAACTTATTGAGCGAAAGTGCAACAGTGGTAATTGCGAATGACTCGAAGTTGAAACCAGACGATATCGCGAATGAAATTTCAGATTTCGGTTTCGACTGCGCGGTGTCGAAACCGGACGCGATGAAGTTTAACGTTTCCGGCATGGTGTGTCAATCGTGTCCGCCTAGGATTGAGAATGCAATTTTGAAACGGTTCCCAAACGATGTGGTTTCCGTGTCCGCGTCGGAACTGTTGGAGAAAGTGGTGGTTGAAATGAAACCAGGGACGTCCGTCGGCGCGAGGGATATTTTATACGCCATTCAAAGTCTCGGGTACGGGTGCGAAATATGGAACGAAAACGAAAGCGATGAAAAAAAAGGACGGAAATCGAAACTCATCGAACGAAAGTACAAGAAGCAGTTCTTACTCTCCGTCCCGCTGGCGTTGCCGTTGCTTTTGATGATGATTGTGTTTGATCCGATTGACGAGACGAAAGCGTTCTTCATGCAAAAAGTGGACGGTAATCAGCGAGTTTCGCTGATGTGGATCATATCGTGGATATTAGCGACACCGGCGCAATTTGTTCTCGGGTACCAATTCTACGCGCGCGCGTTTTCGGCGATGAAACACAAAACAGCCACCATGGATACGCTCATCGCCATGGGCACGTCCGCCGCGTACTTTTATTCAGTCTACGTCGTCTTGAAAAATGTTTTTTCAAAGTCACACGACGACGAGAATAAACACGGGAAGGAAGACGCGATATTTTTCGAAACGTCCACGGTTTTAATCTCATTTGTACTCTTGGGTAAATGGCTGGAGGCGCGCGCGAAGGGAAAGGCGTCCGAGGCGATACAAAAGCTCGTGTCCTTGGCGCCAAACACGGCAATCATATGCGAAGTCATCAACAACAACATCGAAGCAATGCAGATTGTTTCCGAGCGAGAGATAGATTCAAACTTGTTACAACGCGACGACGTCGTGAAAGTTGTCCCTGGTTCGGCGTTTCCCGTGGATGGCGTCGTTTTGAGCGGTGAAACCGCCGCGGACGAATCCGCGATAACCGGTGAATCCTTACCGGTGCCAAAAACGAAAAACTCCTTTGTCATTGCTGGAACGACAAATACGTTTGGAACCGTATTCGTCGCCGCCACGAACGTCGGTGCGGAACGCGCGTTAAACAAAATCGTGCGTTTGGTAGAAGACGCGCAAACGAGTAAAGCGCCGATACAAGCCAGAGCGGATAAAATTTCTGCCGTCTTCGTCCCGTCTGTCGTCGCGCTGGCGTTTTTATCCTTCATCTTTTGGCTCATCGCCGTGAAAGCGACCACGTCGGTGCCAAAATCATGGACGGAGGACGAAGGCGAGTTTGTATTTTGTTTCGTATTTTTCGTCACGGTATTGGTCATCGCGTGTCCGTGCGCTTTAGGTTTAGCGACACCAACGGCGGTCATGGTTGGCACCGGTGTTGGCGCAAAACTTGGTATTTTGATTAAAGGTGGCGAACCGCTGGAAATCGCGCACGACGTGACCGTCGTGTGTTTCGATAAGACCGGGACGTTAACGCTCGGTTTACCGAGCGTAGTTGAAGTTTTCTGTGCGCCTGGAACAAACGTAGGTATCGATGAAGCGCAGCTGTTGAAAATAGCCGCCGTGGCGGAGAAGAGTTCAGAACATCCGCTCGGGAAAGCCATTGTTTTGTACGTCGAGGAAGACCGCCAACTCGATGTCTCCGATTTGTCCGTGTCAAACTTTGCCGCCGTACCTGGACGAGGATTGGAGTGCATGTTGCGATCGGAGGGAAGACAACAAGAAAAGAAATTGCGCGTCGGTAATTCTGATTTCATTCTCGACGACGACGACGACGGTAGCAAGGCAATTTCGTCGTCGTCGTCGTTCTCCGAAATAATAAGATCCTGCGAAGAAAAAGGATGCACGGTCGTGTGCGTCGAGTTGGACGGCGTTTTCCTCGGTTTCATCGCGTTGGCAGATAAGCCGAGACCAGAGGCGCAAAAAGCGTTGCGAGCGTTGAAACAACGAAACGTTGAAATCGCCATGGTATCTGGCGACAACAAAGCCGTCTGCGAGACGATTGCGCGTCAAATCGGGAGCATCGATTACATTTTTTCACAGTGTTTGCCGCGAGATAAAGTCAACTGCGTCAAAGAGTTGCAAGCGAGAGAACGAAAACCGATCTCTTCGAGTGGTGGTAGTAGTAGTAGTAGTTCGAGGAGGAGGACGAAAAATGGAAAGAACGTCGTCGCGTTTGTCGGTGATGGCGTGAATGATGCACCAGCGATGACGCGCGCGAATATAGGCATCGCCGTCGGTGCTGGCACGGACATCGCCATGGAAGCGGCTGGTATCGTTTTGGTAAAATCTGACATTTTCGACGTCGTCCACGCGCTTGATTTATCGCGCGCCACGTTTCGGCGCATCGAAATGAACTTGTTCTTTTCGTTAGGATACAACGCGCTCGGGATACCCATAGCTGCGGGTCTATTGTACCCATTCGTGAAAGTTCGGTTGCCTCCAGAAGTCGCTGGCTTGGCGATGGCGTTGAGTTCCGTTTCCGTAGTCACGTCGAGTTTAATGTTGAAAAGATTCAAGCGATGCAAAGAAGAGGAAGAGTTTGAAGACGAAGCGGTGGTGACGACAGACAACATAGTCTAGACTGGTAAAAACTACTAGATAATAATAATTGTACATAGCGCATTAAAAATACAACGCGTAGAAGATAGATTTAGCACATATACTTATCGCTCGTTCAACACCGCTCGACGATCAAAGTATCGCCTCTCGAATCCCTCGCCACGCGATATCTCTCGCCGACGTATATATTCTCGAACCACCCTTTCCCCACCGGCGGCACCGGGAGCGTAAACCCGTTCGAAAACTTCAACCCAGCCGAAAGAAACGTAAAATTCACCTTCCTCTCGTCCAAAATTTCAATCTCGCTCTCCACTACGAACGCGTTCCCACCCGAAAATTCCACCGCGTTTCGCAGCGTCTTCGCCTTTTCGTCTATCGTTTGATACGCGAGCGAGTTTTGAAACGTTTCCAACAAAAACAAAGTCTCCCGTTCGCTCGTCCAGAGAAGCTTCCATCGCGCGGACACACTAAAATCGTTGTTCTTCGTGTTTTTCTCTTCTTCTTCTTCGAGAAGGAGTCTGTCGATGATGGATTCAATCTCCCGGCGTCGCGTCGAGCCTATTCCGCGGTCATCGCTCGACGCGATGGAAATCAGTTCGTCCAAAGTTCCGGACGAGGAAGACGACGACGACGACGACGACGAACGCGAAACAAAAGCCACTTTTTTGCCGCGACGACGAGAAAAGGTGGTTTCTCTCGAAGTGCAACGAGAACAACAACACTTTTCGAGGCGCGTTTGAGATGACATCGTCGTCGTTATCATCGTCGCGCGTTAAGAGTGGCGCGTTTCGTATCTAAACGCGTTCGTCACTCTTCTCGTCGTCGTTCGAGTCATCATCGCGCGTTCACATCGATGATGCGGTCGTCCACGCGTTCTCCTCCCTCTCAAAACGCTTCGAATCGCGACGACGAGAGCGAGAGCACTACTGCGCTTCCGCACGTCGGCACCAACCACGACGGATCGAGAATCATCCTCAACCTCGATGTGCGCGCGAAAAGAAACGAGTGCGTTTTCCCGCGTTATCCAAAATGGGTGATTGCATTTCTCCAAAAGAAAACGAACGAACCGGAAGACGCGTGGGTCGTTCTGACGTTCCTCGAGTGTTTCCTCCTCGTGGTGGTACCAGGAGTGATGCTCTTTTTCGTCGATACGAACGAGAAGAAGAAGACGCGCCGCTCGTTTTGGTACGGGCTCGTGTGGTTCGTCATCACGCGAGCTCTGTTTTTGCAAAGATTCACCTTGGCCTTGCACTATCACACGCACGTGAACGCCGTCCGGGCGAAGAAGAGCGAACACTTTAAACGATGTTTAAACGCGATACCGACGTTTATCATAGCGCCATTTTTCGGTATTCCGGCGGGGATATACTGGTACCATCACAACGCGATGCATCACGTGCACGGGAACGCGGCGTACGCGGATTTGAGTTCCACCGAACGCTCGAGAAGAGACTCGGCGTTTGATTTTTTCAAGTATTGGATGCGATTTCTGTTTTTGGCGCCGATTGAGTTATCGATGAACATGCTGAAATATCGAGGGTTGGTAGATGCGGTGCGATGTTATTCGAACGTAGCTGGGAGTTTTGCGGCGTGGTGGTATCTGAATGCAAACGTGAACGCCTCCGCGGCGAATTGGACGCTCGCGTATACCCACGTGATCGCGAGCTTGGGATTGATGTTCGGGAACTGGTCGCAGCACATATTCGTGTGCCCGGACGACCCCAGGAACGATTATAAAAGCACGTATACGTGCATTAATTCGTTCGAGAATCAAAAAACGTTCGACGATGGGTATCACGTGCAACACCACGTGGACAGTCGAATGCACTGGTCGACGTTTGCGAGCAATTTTAGCCGAAAGGAAACGTTAGAGAAGCACGCGCAGGAAGACGCGTTAGTGTTTGAAGGGGTGCATTTTTTCGACGTCGGCTTGTGCGTTATGCTGGGCAAGCTGGACTATTTAGCGGAGAGGTACGTTTTTTACGGACAAAAGAAAAGAACGAAGGAGGAAATCGTGATGGAGTTGAAGAGGCGCTTAGAGCCGATTGAATACGACATCAAGCGAAGATGATAATATTGGACTAGTTAGATATGTAGGTAGTAGTATGTAGTAATGTACGGTATGCAAAATTAAGAATACGAAGAACGTTTAAATCTATAATTTAAACGTATCGCGCCACCTTTCTTCCAAAAGTACGCATCCACAGTAGCCAGCGACATGTCTAACTTTAAAGCTCTGCCGTGACAGAGAATTTCTAAATCTTCTTTCGCGGTGGCATCCATCTTCAGCTTATCGGCGACGTAGTTTCGGACTTTTCGTATGGTGAGTATGCGCGGAGCGTTCACAGACTTTTGCTTTATCGCGTTAACGTCGTAATCGCGGAAATCGCTTATCGCGCTTTCGCAAACAGAGACTGCGAAAGAAGCCTTGGCAGAAGACGGCGCCGGGAAAATTCCAAGCGCGACGTCGAGCGCCCATTTCGGAACGTTCTTTGCCACCTCGGGTAAAGAGATATCCAAAGGTGTAGATTTTGAAAATTCCAACGGTATCGATTCGCGATCTCCAGACGAAAAGCGAAGCCTCGGCGACGACGCGTTGAATTGAAACGCTCGGAATTTGTTCATCAAACCACGATTGTTCGACGCCTTTCTATCTTCGTCATCTTCGGCCGACGCCGACGACGACGACTCTTCGGACGATAAGTCTCTATCCGTCCCGGATTCGCTTCCATCTGCGCGTCGCCGTTGTTTCTCGCGCGCCTCTTCTTTTTGTAAAGCCTCTTTACGTTTCTGTGCAACGTCTCTCTTCGCGCCGACTAATTTTGTCTCGTCCAACGTGTTCAAATGCAAACCAATCAACAACGCTTGCACCATCTCGACGCCCAAGTTTAGTTTCGCATCTGCATTTGCACTTTCGTCGCCTAAATCTATCGCGTACGACTCGGCTTTGGCGAACGTACTTGGACTGAATTCAATTTCGACGGACCCTTCGCGATGACTCAAGTTGAACCATTTCGGCACCGCGCACGGTTCGTTGATCTCGTGGTCGTTCAAAACGACCTCGAACGCGCGATTGGGGAAGGTATTTAGTAAACCTTCCGAAATGTGCCAAACTGACGTAGCACCGGAATCGTCCTCGGTTAGAAATCGCATGCGGTCATGCAGCTCCGCGTGTCTGACGACTGCTGAAGCGGAAGGAATGATCCCGCTCGGCGTCGCGTGCGTGGGACTTCTCTTCCCAGGACTACTATTTTGAAGCATCTGTCTTTTCTGGCTAGAGCTAAGACTCCTCCCGCCACCATCGGCACTGGGAGAAGCGCCGGTGGTAACATTGATGGGACTACTCCTCACTCTCGGGTTTCCGCGGAAACCTTGCGAGGCTGGAGAGGAAGGGTTTAAAAATTTTGCCGGCGAACCGACGGTGAACCAATCGTCGACGTTCGATGACGATTTTGTCGTCGCCGCCGCCGCCGACGACGGCGCTTGACTACTGTCGATGCGCCATCGGCGAATGTCTTTACCAGCCGTGCATACCCATGCCTCGGAACTATTCGCGCTTAAATCGACGCATAAATCCAGAACGCCGTTGTTACCAGCCGCGTCGCTCGTCTCTCGACACAAAATGGCTGATTTTCTCTCTTTGATATCCGTGATGCAAATGTCGCCTTTCGCGCCGCCGGAATAGAATCTGGTAAAGTTCGCGTTTCCAGATACCGCCCAACACCCACCTTCGTGCGCTCCAGCGAACACGTCTGATTGACGACCTAAAGAAATATCCCACACGCGAATGGTCCCATCCGAGGATGCCGTGATTGCAATTTTCCCATCGTCGTTTATACACACGCCTCGCACGGTATCCGTGTGTCCTTTGAGCTTGGAAACTTTACGCTTCATGCGCGCGTCCCACACGCGCAAAGCGAGCTCTGTACCGCCAGATACTATCAGATTTGCATCTTTCGCGATACCCAAGCAATAAATAGACGCCTTGGCACCTTTCAAGGAATACTCGTCCAAGCTCGCGCCTTCGATCGACCATTTTTGTTTCAGCGTTTCCACGTCCCAGGCGAAGAGTTGACCACCGAGACCGCCGCTGGCTAAAATCGATCCGTCTCTATTCGTTGCTAAAGCCATGACGTAATCATCATGCGCTCGCAGTTTCCCTAACGCGCACGACGCGTCGCTAATGTTACTATTTTTATTGTCGTTACTATCGGTGCTTCCGCCGAGGCCGGAAGAGTTCAACAAATCGTGCGACCACAATCGAACAGTTTTATCGCTTCCGCCCGAGGCGACGAGCAAAGAATCTCTATTCATCGACGGGACGTGTTTCACGTCGTTCACCCACCCGCGGTGACCCACGAACAGTGCCATCTTTTTCACATCCGCCGCTTCCGAGACGTCCCATAACCGCACGCTCGCGTCTCTTCCAGCCGACGCCAACACTTTCCTCCTCCTCTTATCATCGTTACTATTATTATCGTAACAACTCAGATCCAACGCATTAATGCCACCCACGTGTCTCTCCTCGAATTCCGGGTGCGGTAAAACGTACGCGATTGGTCTTCTCTGTCTCGCTTGCTCCGCGAACTGTTCCTGTTGCGCGTTGTTCATACCGTACCCGAACATCTCAGCACATATACGCTCTTAAAACAAATGGCACACGTTATAAAACAACGTCCAAAACAAGATAAAACTCGCGAACCCGCCGCTGAACCCTTGTCCGAATATCGCGCTTCCGACCGACTCCGCGGCGAATCGTTTCGGTTCGTTTTTGCACCGAAACACGACGGTGACTCCACCGACGACCAAAATCGTCGCGCAATACCAAACGAACCCGATCCAATCGGTCGCGCCTAAAATCCCCGCGATTGATCCGCTCAAAATCGAAAGCGACGTGAACGTTTTCGTGTTGATTTGCGCGTTGTGTGCGATTGATTCTCCGTTGACGAATAAATACTTTTCTTCTTTTTCTTCCAAATTTCGTCGTCGTTGTTTATGCGCGTTGGTGTTGTTGTCGTTGCGTGATGTTGTTTGACGAGCGGACGAAGACATAAATGTTGTCAGAGTTGTGCGAAGAAACAGTTTTAGCAGGAGGAGGCGCTCGTTGTCGTGTCACGCTCGTTCTCGTATCTCCCGTTTTGAAACGAAAACCAAAAGATGAGCAAACGACGAGTTGAATCAGTTCAAAGTATTTGTGTCGTCACTTTCCGTTCGAAACGCGCGGAAAAGATCCGATGATGTCGCTCCCACCGAAACCTCCGAGCATCCCGCGAGACGTGTTCGAACGCATTCAAAAGTTTCACAACGCCGGCGGCGCGCAGACGACAAAGCCGCTCAAAAATGGATCTGCGAGTCATACTAAGATATCTTTAAACGTGGCCGGAGGATGCGCTTCGGCGATTCAGTGGTTGCTCGCCGTCCCGAACGCCTCGAGGACGATCTTATGCGCGAACGTTTTGTACAGTCGAGAGTCGGTGGTACACGCGCTCGATGAGAAAAACGAGGAGAAGAAGAAGAACGCGAAGATGAGAGAATCGTTTTGCGATCGAGAGACGAGCAAAGACCTGGCGAGAGCGGCGTACCGGAAAGCCATAGAAACGCATTACACCAAGAAGAGTTACAAGTTTGGAAGGAAGGAAGAGGAGAGCGGAAACGCGAAGTGGACGACGACGGCGAGGCACATTCTCGGAGTCGGCGCGACGTCTGCGTTCGTCTCGATGTCACCGAAAAGAGGCGAACACAGGTGCTTCGTGAGCGTCTATTCCAAGTTTGGCGTGACGACGAGGAAGGTGACGCTGGATAAAGAGAGCGAGCGATCGAGAGCGGAGGAGGATCGAGTCGCGAGCGAGTGTTTGGTGAGGGCGGCGATCGGAGACGGAGAGAGATGGATGAAGAGGGAAGAAGAAGAGGAGGAAGAAGACGACGACGCGAGCTTTAGTGGCAGAGAAGATGGGGAGGATGAATCTTGGAAAGCGTTTCGTGAAGGCGCGTTGACGTGTAAAGACGACAGGTTGGAGTTTTTGGAGTACGACGCGCCTTGGTTTGAAAAAGCAAACGAGAAGATGAACACGAAGAAGTCTTTATTAGAGAGGTGGTTAGATGTAGGAAGAACGATGAACAATAGTGGTGATGGTAGTGGTAGTAGTAGTAGCAGTAGCAGTAGCGACGATAAGGGTGGTGCATCGAGGAACACGCCCGAACTAAGCGTGTATTCGATGCACGGAGGTAAACTAGAAACAATCGGGTGCTCCACCGCGAATGTTGTCTTGAGTGGGTCGTTCAATCCCGTCCACGAAGGCCATCGAGGCATGTTAGAAGCGGCGACGACATATCTTCGAGAGAAACGAAACCGCGAAAAAACAGAGGGCGGTGAAGACGAACGCGCGTTCCTCGCCACTCCCGCGTTCGAGTTATCCATCTCCAACGCGGATAAAGGCCAACTCGAAACGAACGTCGTCGTCCAACGCGCGAAACAGTTCGACTCGGACGGGCAAAACAGGCTCATTCTCACGAGAGACGCGCCTTTGTTCAGCCAAAAAGCGAAGCTCTTACCAAACACCACCTTTGTCGTCGGTTACGACACCGCCGTTCGCTTAGTCGACCCGAAATATTACGACGATAACGCCGACGTCATGGTTCGAGAGTTACGAAAAATTAAAGACGCGCAGAACTGCGCTTTCCTCGTCTGCGGTCGAAAAGATGATACCTCTTCTTCTTCGAATGCGTTTAAAACTTTGAAGGATATTCGCGTGCCCGACGCAGTTTCGGACGTCTTTGAAGCGCTGGAAACTTTCAGAATGGACATCAGCAGCACGGAAATACGACAAAAATTAAAACCCTAAATTGTTGTAAAAACCTCCTCTTCGAAGAAATTTTATCCTCCTTCGTCTCTTTCGCAGTCGCCACTAATTTTGAGAAACCGCGCGCTTTGAAACAGCCACGCTACCTCTCCTCGCGAAGTCCTAAACACATTTCCGAAGCGCTCGTTTCACGCGACTGCATTCGCATCACTCGAATTTACTCTTTTCAAACATGTTTTCTTTAACCGCGAGTTCCTTATCCGCGCGCGTACACATCGCGGCGAATTTAGATAAAACCTCAAAATGCTCCTCGTCGTCGAAATCATCATCGTCCAGAACGATGTCGATGCTCGTCAGAGCCGAAGGCAGCCAAGACGAGAGCGAAGGCGACGGGAGAAGAGGCGGCCGAGGCGGCGGCCGAGGCGGCGGCCGAGGCGGCCGAGGTGGCAGAGGCGGCCGAGGTGCCAAGAACGACGACCCGTTCACGGAAAACGTCGTCCAAGTTTCCCGAGTGACGAAAGTGACCAAAGGTGGCTCGCAGATGTCCTTCCGCGCGACGGTTGTCGTCGGAGACGGTAAAGGTGCCGTTGGCGTCGGGTGCAAGAAGGCGAAGGAAGTGCAAGGGGCGGTGATGAAAGCGGCGTCGGACGCGAGAAAGTCCGTGGTGAAGGTGCCGATTGCAAAGGGAGACACGTTCCCGCACAGAGTCACGGTGAAAGGCAACGGCGGGTCGCACATCATGTTGAGACCAGCGGCGCCGGGTACTGGGGTCATCGCCGGTGGGAGTTGCCGATCGGTTTTAGAGCTTGCTGGATACAAAAACTGCTTCGCGAAGCAAATCGGGAGTAACAACCCGTTGAACAACGCTCGCGCTACGGTGAAAGGCTTAGCTCAAATGAGAACCGCGAAAGAGGTCGCGGAATCGAGAGACATGACGCTCGAGGAATTGTTTTCCGCTTAATATAAATACTACTATTATTCTAGAAGGCGAAAGACATGAGAGAGGAATTTTATACTACCATAGCTTCATAAATCGTTGTTCATATCTATTACTATTATTTCACACACCGAAGAAAGACGACGTCGAAATATTCAAAAGCTTTAATTCGTTTGATTATTGGCGACGGAACGCATGACCATCGTCACCAGACCTTCGACGTTCGTTTTCGAGTGAAAAAAGTTTCGCATAACTGTGTGACTTGAATCTAACGAGACCGCGTAGTGCCACCACTTATGAGGAATAAATATTGCTTCGTTTTCTTCGACGACGCACGCGTAGAGGTGCTTTCGCGCCTTCTCAGGAATATGCCGCAAAGGATCGATCAACGATTGGTTCATTTCCGTCTGTTCGTCCGCGCTCGAGCAACAGTTTGTCGCGCCAACATCTGCTGCGGGATGAAACAGGACAAACAGCTTTCGTCCTTTGGTTTGCGCTAAAAAACCGTGCGCGTTTTGCGCGTCGTAGTGCAGGCGAGTGATACATCCGGCCGGGCCTATGAACGCTTTGTTCAGCGATCTCGATACGTTTGCGGTCATCGCGTCGACGTGCGATTGCATGTGTGGCGCGGATGACGATTTCACTACGAATTTGAACGTTTCGCGTAAAATCGTTTCGGTTTCGTCCGCCGCTCGAGTAAACGCAGGATGCATGTTCGCGAAATACGGGTTCACTTTTTCCGGGTGCGTTGAAAATATTCGCCACCCGTTGTTATAAAATGGTGCCGGTTTCGCATCGTCGTCGTCTTCGTTACACTTCTCGTAGTCGTCCATGTACTCCTTGTATCTCTTCGAGGTAACGAGCAACGTATTCTGTCTCATGGCGCCCTTGTCCGTTCTTCGAGCGGGCGCTTTATCGTTCACCGTGAGCATTTCTTCCGGGAAGAGATCCAACAAATCGACTCCGTGAAACCTATCCTTGAAGATATTTCGCACCACGCACGGTTTCCCGACGCCATTCTCGCACGTCACAAACTCGTTCTCGAACATTTTCGCGTCCACGGTATCGTTATCGATAATCTCGATCGATTTCGCTTCGCACAAGCTCCCAAACGTTTCAATCTCTTTCGCCTCGGCATCCCTTTCGAACGCGCGCACGAAAGCCTTGTAACTTTCGTGCGCATCCGTCCTGTTTCGATTTCCTTTCACTCTTAACATCGTCTCCGTCGAATCCTTCATCAGCGTCTCCATATCCACCGGCAACGACGGAGGGCAAGAGATGGTGTCGTTGATCTCCGAATTAATCTCTTTCTTCTGCCATCCAATTTCGCTCGGAAACTGCACCGCGAAAACCTCCGGATACGCGCCTCCGTCGTGAAAATCGTCGAAATCAGTCGGACGCCACATCGTTCCCGCCGTATCATCGGGGCTCTCGTTCCCGTAGACTCTTCTGGTCGTAGTCAACGTCTTCATTTTCTTTTCTTTTTTTAAGGATTAAAATATGCGTTTTTTTTTTATTAAGACACGAGACCTCTTTCGGGGACAGACATCTCAAAAGGTCGCTTCAAAACAAAAGGAACGAAGAAGAAACATGGCGACGCAAAGACGAGAACACCAACACCGAGAGCGAGGAGACGAAGGAGAAGATGTGGTCGATCTGGAAAATCATCGTCCGCATCCGTCCGTGCTCTTATCGTCGTCCACCACCCCGTCGCCGCCGAAGAAGAAAAGGGGGCATCCATTTTCCTCCGCCTCGATGAACGAAACGAATACCGGGGACGACGGGAAAGAACAAACGTCTCACGCGTCTTTAAAAGTCCTCTGTTACTTACTCATCTTCATCGCCTCCTTCGTGTTTTACGAGGACTTACTCGTCGCTCGAGTGGCGGTTCGGAAACATTTCTTCGGCCTCGAATCCGGCGTCGGCGCGTCCCAGCTTCTCGGGGAAGAGGAACCAGAGTCGGATTTGATTGACACGAGGACTGGGAAATTAGACCTGAACTTGAGGCACATTTCGAAGCGGAAGCGCGAACGCGTGGAGACGATCGAGGAGCACAACGAGAAAGAACTCATCGATCGAGTGGGGTTAGATAAAGCGGAGGAGATCGTAGAGGAAGAGCAAGAGGAGAAGGAAGGCGCGGAGATGGCGTTACAGATTGAGAAGGAAGAGGAAGAGAAGAAGAAGAGAGAGAAGGAAGAGGCGGAGGCGAGGCGGAGGATCGAGGAGGAGGAAGAGGAAACGCGGAGGAAAAAGGAAGAGGAGAAGAAGGAAGTGTTAGAGAGAGAACGTAGAGAGATGGAAGAGATGGGAAGGGCGAAAGAGGACGCGAAAGAGGACGAGGAGAAGAAGGAAGCGTTGGAAGAAGAAGAGGCGAAGAAGCAGTCGGAAGAGAGTAAGAGTAGTAGAGATGATAGAAATACTAACAACATTAATTTAGGAGAAGAACCAGAACATTTTAGCGAGAAGACGAAAGAAGGGTCGTACGTTAGAGCGACGTCGCATTACGGTCTCAGTTGGTCACCGCCGGCGCCGACGGCGCCGCCGACGCCGACGATTCCCAAAGTCGTCGAAGAGGCGGTTGAAATCGGCGACTCGACCGCCATCTCGTTAGAAGACCAGGCGCCGAATTTCGATATTTTTACCGGTGGGGCGTTGCCGCTGAGCGATCCAGAAGACACTCCGGAAGAACACGAATGGCGGTCGATCGGACAGGTGATGCCGATCAACGGTATGGATTTAGATTTCCCGGGGAACTTGAAAGTCGCCGCCGAGAGGAGAAGTTTTCGAAAAGAGATTATTTTGTTCGTTTCGAACAGAGGAGGGAACCATTTAGCCGCGAATACGGTCGCAAATTTACGCAAACTTGGGTTTGAGCATTACATTCTAATCACAAATACGGCGGAGACGTGTTACGATTTGCTCAAAGGCCCGTGGGGCGTCGATTGCGGATGGACTTCGTTTTTACAAAATCGGGCGAAACAAATGGGCACATTTCAAGTCACGGCGGAAGAACAAGCGACGCCGTTTCGTTTGTGGTGGGTGCGATTTCATTACATGGAACGATTAGTTGGGATGGGATATAACCCGATGTACGTAGATACGGACGTACGTTTTGAAATGAACCCGTACCCATTGTTGAAATCGCCTCCGTTTGATAAGTTTACCTTATTCGCTCAAGACGAAAACGGACATCCGGGTGGTTTGAACATTGGATGCGTATACGCGCAAAACGCGCCTGAATTTGGCGTCACTCGATGGGTTCTCAACGAAACCGTCTCGAGAATGCTTCGAATTATCGACACAGAGCCGCCGTTACAGAAATGGAACGGCCAAGTCGCCGCCGGCGCCAAGGAAACGTTGTGGGATCAACACATCTTCAACGACGTCGTAGAAACCGCAGTTTCCGGTAAACCGGTGTTCAAAAGGTCCATGCAACGGTTGATTGACCCTGGAGATGGGAACCGACTGCGCGATGATTGGGTGAAGAACCAAAACTACGACCATTCGGCGTGGGATTTATCCATGGAAAAGATTGACGAAAAAGTCTTGCCGCTCGGTTTGAAAGACGTGGACGTTCGACCGATGAAAGTGGATGACACGTACGAAATCAAATCAAAAAAGTTTCAAGGGTTGAAAGGTTTTTCGCCAACAGAAAACGGGAAGGATCCGAACAAAGACGAATACGTCTGCGGGTTCCCTCCTTGGTTCGTTTCCGGTTGGTCCGGCATCGCCGGTCCGGCGCAAGTCCAAGGCCAACCGGGGTACTGGACGGCGAAACCGGCGAGGATTGTCATGGGCCACGCCGTCGGCGCTTTACGAAAAACGACCACGTTCAAAGGTCTCGGATGGTGGAACTACGGCGCCGAAGCGTATAAGCCGTACAAGTTACAAAATGTGGAGGAAAAATTAGGTAAGAAAGGCGTCCTCGGTTTTATCGGTTTGAAAACGAACGAAGCGAACGCAATAGTCGGCGTAGAATCGCACGGTTTATCCGTGGCCAGGGTTGTTGAAATCGCAACGTCTGCGGGGAGAAGGCCAATCTCACCGACTGTGCCGTGCGATGCGCCTTGGATCGAGAAGAACCCGTCTGCCATGCACGGCATCATGATGCGGCACCAAATCGTTTTGTCCCAACTCTGCGGTCGCGAACGCAACGAGATGTGCTGTCAAAGTTTAAACTTTGATTGCGACGAAGGCGTCATGCTCGAAGTTGATTTCTGGAACGACCCTCGATACGCACGATTTCGCGATGACATTATCGTCGTCTCTGCGAAAGATGTAGTCAACGACAGTGGGAACGAGATTGATTTATCGACGATTGAAGTGAAAATCGATTCGTTATCGCAAGGGAAGAAAACTGTCTTCGTCGACCTCGCCGCGTTGGAAGATTCTTCCATCGTTCCCAAAGGCGTCGGCGAAGCGAAATACGTTCCAGAGAGAGACGCAATATTCGCCACGTGCGATAGATTAGACTGTCGACCTCCGAATAAACCGTTCCCGTCCGAACACGAACCGTGCAGAAGAGTTACGAGTTAGAAAATTTACTAGTTAGCATTAGCACTAAAGTGTGTGTCAAAAAGAAAAGCAAGAACGCGCGATACTATAGTAAGAATAAAAATAAATGTATTCTACTAATAAGTTCAGAAGTTACAACGTCGCCAAAACCTTCTCGTCCAACTCAAAGGTCATCTCCTTCTTGTCTCTTCCGCTCGCGCAATATTCGGCGTATCTGTCCTTCAAAGTCGCCTCCAAATTCGGGTGCTTCGGTTCCCAGCCCAATTTCGCCATCGCCTTCGCGCTCGAAGCGTAAAAGTGCACGACTCTAAACGGAAACTGCTTCTTCGCTTCGACGCCTTCCACGCTGCCTTCTTTGTACGTGACAATCGTCGCTTCTTTGCCCATCGCTTTTGCGCACACCTCCGCCATACCTCTCAACGTGACACCTTTTTGCGTCACGCAGTTGAAGATCTCATCCTTCGCGTTGGCGTTGTCCACGGCGCTGGCAATCATAGTCGCCAAATCTTCCGCGTGGGAGACCGACGCGAACTGGTCGCCACTGCCTGGGATGACAATCGGCTTACCTCTTTGGATTCTATCGAAAAAGTACTCCTCGCAATCTTTGTTCGAGCCATACCCGGTCAAGTATTGCGGTCTGAAAGATGCCATTCCTTTCGGAAACTTCATGTCCACTAAATGCTTCTCGACGATGGCGTGACCGGCGGTTTCTTTCACGGCGTCGCCTTCCACGTGCGGCGGCGTCGGCGTCGGCTTATAAATACCCGCCGAAGAAACGAAGAAAAATTGTTCCGCTCCTGCTTCCTTGGCAAACTCAGCCACCGGCCCGACGCTGTCCAAATCCTTCCCGTTGTTATCGCAGACGATATCAAACTTCGCGCCACTTAAATTGCTCTTCAAATCCGCCGGGTTCGACCACATCGTCTTCACCCCCATCGGTTTCAAATCCTTCTCGAAATACGTAAACGGTGCTTTTTGCATCTTCTTATCCGTCTCTTCACCAACCACGCATAAGGTCACGTCGTGTTTCGCGCTCGCGAGCGTCTTCGAGAGCCAGAACCCGATGTTCGCGTGGCCGCCGCCGTTGGTATTCACGATTAGAACAGATTTGTTTTCCACTTTGAAAGAAACTTTATTCACCGCGTTGGGGGTGTTCAACAAGGTTCTCTTCTGCGCGAACGTTTTGCGAGAAGACCCCGCGCACGAGCGCTTGAACGAAAATCGCTGTTTGTTTACATTCATTCGCACGCGTTTGACGCAGGAATGCGCGTGTTGTAAGAGAGAGAGAAAAGAGAGATTAAAGTGAACAACACCACAAAACGTTTCCCGGGTAATCGATCCAAAAAGATATCCAAAAATGTAATCATCATCACGGAGCGCGACTTTCCAAAGGAAGAAGGAAGCTTTGGAGAGGGAAGAAGGGAGCGACGAGAGATAAAACGCGCGACGAAAGAGGTAAAAAAAGAGAGTTTAAAAGAGAGAGAGAATTTAAAGCGCACCTCGACGACGACGGTGGATTGGATGGATTGCATCATTGTATCGAGGGAAAGAGACTGACGAAAACGCTCTTCGTTGCGGTTGAAAAAGTGAAGGAACATTAGAGTTGACACGTCACGAAAAAAGAGAGAAAGAAAAGCGCACGAAAAAGACGAGAGAGAATGAACAACCAACTGTTGGTGTTGTTCTTTTTTCGTTTTTTCATCCTTTGAGAGCTCTCTGGTTTGACGAGGAACGACGCTCTCTCGAGGATGAGGATATGAGAGACATTTGACTTCATACTAACGCGAGCGTTTTTCCTTACAAACAACAACGAGTTAACGAGAACACAACCTCGAAAAGAAGCTTTCAAAGAGTATGTTTCTCTCATCCGCCACCAAAGCGTGTTCTTCTTCTTCGGTGGGGAAAACAACAACAACAGCAGCAGTTGCAAAAACGAAGACTTTGCCCCCGCGAGGATGCCGCGACGAGCGAAGAGCTTCTCTGAAGAAGAAGAAGAAGAAGAACGCGTCGGAATCGTTGTTGGTTTTGAGCAGAGGAGGACGACGGGGAAGATTCTTGACGAGGAATGAAGCGATAGCGGACCGGTTGACAGAGAGCGGAGAAGACAACGAGCAGCGCGAGAGAAGAGGAAAGAAGAAGGAAGAAACGCTGACGTTACAAACCAACAACAATTCGTCGTCGAAACTGGCGGCGTTGGCGACGTTACTGGAACGCGCGGTCGTGCGAGACTTGGCGGACGAGTTAGCCAACGAAGACGCTACGTGTTCGGTGGAGTACGACCAAGAAGTCTTCGAAGAGTGCACGAATAAAGTCACCGAACAATTAGCCGAAGTGGTGGTTTTGTGCAACAGCGCGGATATGGCGAGCAAGTACAGCTCGAATTTACGGAATAAAGAGCTTTCCAGGTTGAGAGGGTCTTTGTGGAATTTACGCGTGTTGTTGGAGTCGTATTGCGCGACGAAAGGCGGGTGTTCGCTGAACGTGAGACATCGATTCGAGACGTTGCGTTCGGCGGCGATGGAAGTGTTACCGGCGTCGAAGCGTTTGAAAAAAGGGCCCGAGGCGACCGCGATTCCGAATTTACAGGCGGTCATGGAACCGAGAGTGAAGTCATTCGAGGAAGTCATGGGTACCGCGGCGAGTAGCAGCGGCGGCGAGGAAGACGTGGACAATAAGATCTCTCAAAGAGAGATTGCGTTTTACAGAGGCGGACAACCTTCGGTGGAAGGCCGGTCGTGGCTCTCCAAAAACGGGTTTACTCGAGTGGTTGATTTACGAGGCGAAGATCGCGACAATCAGTGGGTGAAACCGTTTGGTGGAGGCGACGGGCAAGGCACGTTTAACCAGAACAAGAAATTCGACACGACGAATATTCCTATAACAGATATGGGCGTTCCTACGAAAGAACAAGTCGAGGAGTTTATCGACATCGCGAACGACGTGTTGGAGAAGAACAAGACGAAGAAAGCTGGAGAGTCGAAGGAGAAGATGTTGTTGCACTGTAAAGCCGGAATTGGACGAACCGGGTGTTTAGTCGCGTGCTGGAGAATTTCGAGAGGCGTGGACGTGGAAGAGGCGTTGGCGATGGAGGCTGGTTTGGTGTGCGATTTCGGATGCATCGCGCAAGAACAATTCGTGAGAGATTACGCCGCAGATTTGAAACACGAAACGGAAGTGAAGAAGTTTGAGCAAGCCGTGGAAAAATCGAAATTTGAAACCGATGCGAAGTATCGAACGTCGTACGATCCCGTCAACGAGTACGGGAGCATGGGAGACGTCACGGATGTCTCTGCCATGGGATCAAACATGATGGGCAACGTTTCCGCGTCGGGTGAATTTTCCAGTTTGGACCAAGCGCCGGACATGTATTTAATCCGAACCGATGGGTTTTCGTGCACGAGAGAACTCGTGGAAAACAGAGAGTTGAAGATTTCGCACCCGTCTACGCAGCAAATGATTTTGGTTTGGAGAGAACCGCCGAAAACAATCTTCTTGTTGAAAAAAATTGGCAACGCGCTTTTACCTCAGTTGGTCGAAGTCGCACACGCGTTGATGACGATGGGAATGCATGTCATTTTAGATACCGACGTGAAGAGAGAATTGGAAGATGAAACGATCAAATTGGAAACCGTGGACGAACAAAACCGAACGGAAGTGCGAACGAAAGCTTTGTGGGTGGAAAAAGATTCGAAAGGAAAAATCCCGAAAGAAGATTGGGGCACGATTGACGTGTGCGTCTGTTTAGGCGGCGACGGGGTTATTTTACACGCGAGTAAAATGTTCCAAGGTCCGACGCCGCCGGTTTTAGGATTCCATTTAGGTTCCTTGGGTTTCCTGACGAACCATCCAGGAAACGATATGGCGCCGAGTTTACTCATGGCGCTCGGTCGCGGGCCGCCAATCGCGAACATCTCTGGCGGCGTCCCGATCACTCTGCGCATGCGTTTACTTTGCGAAGTGTTTAAATTCGCGGACAAAGTTGAAAACGGTGGCAACGGCGAACCGTCTTTCACGTATACTATCCTCAACGAAGTCCTCGTGGACCGAGGCCCTTCCCCGTTTCTCTCCAAAATCGAAGCGTACGATCGCGGGCAACTCATCACCTCCATCCAAGCCGACGGCGTCATGCTCGCCACGGCCACTGGATCCACCGCCTACTCCGTCTCCGCCGGTGGTTCCATGGTTCACCCGAACGTTCAGGCTATTTTGATGACTCCAATTTGCCCACACACCCTCTCCTTCCGCCCCGTCATCTTCCCCGACTCGGTCGAAGTCGAACTTCGCGTCTCGGAAAACGCTCGCAACAGCGCCTGGGTCTCCTTCGACGGTCGCGAACGGTGCGAACTCTGCCGAGGCGACTCCGTCTTTGTCAAAATGAGCGAATACCCAGTCCCTACGATTAACTTTGAAAACCAAACCGGTGATTTCATCTCCAGTTTACGAAGATGTTTGAAATGGAACGAACGCGAAGAGCAACAAGTCTTCGACGCGTCGCAAGTCGCCGCTTTGAGGATGATGAACGAAAACGCGGCAAAATCGGAAGCGTCCGACGAGTGGAGCTCCAGATGATAAAGTCATCGGATACCTCCTCCTCCTTTAGATTGGACATTAACAAACACTACTGTTGTACATCAGAACACCAACTTTCTTGCCGCACGCGTACACACAAAAGAGAAAAAATGTCTGCGCTTTCCTTACTTTTTGTCTTCCTTTCTCTCTCTTTGCGAAACAACACCATCATGTCCGACGACGACGACGCGAAGAAAAAGGTCAAGACAGCGAAGAAGAAGAAGGAGAAGGAGACGAAAAGAACTTTCGCGAATAAGATTTTCGATCGTTTTGCCGCGTTGCCGCGAGAGTATAAGTGTGCCTTTTTTCTCGTCCTCCTCGCGGTGGTCGTTTTCCCTTTAACGACCTTAAAAGAGCGCTTTGATGAGAAGGAAAAAAAGTGTCCATTTGGCTTCCAATCGAGATCAAATGTGAACTTTGAGTCTGATTTACCTTCCTGGCATCCAAAGCTGGTGTCTTACGACGTCGAAGGCGTAAACAACCTCGAGGTTGGTCCTCCGATGTTGAAGAAAAACGAGATTGCAAAATTCGACGACATAATAGTTTACAGAGGGCATTTTTACGTGAAAGGCAAACTGGAGCAAAAAAAGACGCAATCGACACAACTGGTCGAGGACGAGAACGAGCTCCCGTGGGACCGAGAGGAGAGGAAAGCGAACGAGATGCTCGAAAAGGAAAAGAGCAAAAAGGAGAAAAAAAAGAAAGACGTGGGAGAACGCATCGCGGATAGGTTCTTTCCGCTCGGAGGGACTTCGAATTCGTACGCGAAAGCGGTCGCGATGAACAACCGAACGAAACGAATCATGAGCGTCGCGAGCACGGAGGAAAAAGCAAAGAAGATGATTGAAACCTTTAGGAGCGTAGGAGTGACAGTAACTGAAGTCGTAGTGACGGAGAATGGAGACGAGAGTAAGTTGATTGTGCCTGGATTTCACGATTCGCACACACACGTTTTATCGTTGGCTTTGAAGAGAGAGTTCGAGGTGGATTTGTCCGACGTCGAAACGAAGAAAGAGTTCGTGACGAGGTTGAAAATGAAGGAAAGGAGTTGGGCGCCTTTTCCACAGTTCAGCGAAGAGTGGATTGTTGCCAGTGGCTACGACGATGGTAAGATACTCAGAGAGGACGGAAGGCTGGATTTACCGTATAAAGGGTGGATCGACGACATCTCCAATCCCGTAATCGCGTTTCGCGCGGATATGCACACGGCGATTGTCAATCAAGCCGGGTTTCGAAAAGCTAACGTGCGATGGGCGGACGTGAAGAAAAACACGACCCACGAGTATTACAGGCGGTTTCGCGATTACATCGATTTCGATACGGGTGAAGTCAAAGATGACGCCATGCAGTTGTTTCAAAAAGTCCTACCGAAAAGAACGAAGAAAGAACGGAAGAACGCTTTGAAACGAGCGCTCGCGCCGCTTTCAAAGTTAGGGATAACGAGAGTGAGCGATTTTGGCGCCATCGATGCGTTACAGGCGTATGATTTTGAACTTTCCAGAAGCGACTATATGATTTTGAGGGAGTTAGATAACGAAATGCGGCCTCACGGTCTTCCTTTGAGAGTGAATTGTTACTTGCCGTTTGACGACTGGCAGTTTGCCGCGTTGGAGCAAGAAAGAGGGAACGGAGCGTTTTTTCATTACACCGGATACAAAGGGAACGAATTGCGGCAAAAAGAATTGAACTTGGATCAGACGATACGGTCAAACGTGCGCATCGCCGGCGTGAAGTTATTTCTAGACGGAAGTCTCGGCGCAAATACGGCAAAATTTCACGAGCCGTATAACAGTGGTTTCACGAAAACCAGTCACACGGCGACGGGAATGTTTGTCCGAGACGTCCAACACGCGAAACAAATAGCGATCCTAGCGGATAAAGCGGAATTGCAAATTGCTGTGCATGCCATTGGCGACGCCGCCGTGGACGCGGCTTTAGATATGCTCGAAACGATTGAGAAAACGAACGGAAAAAGGGATCGACGGTTTCGAATCGAACATATTCAACACTTGAGCGGCGACGGAAGCATCGAAAATTTAAACTTGAAAACAGAAACCGTCGAGGCGCGCATTAAGCGATTAAAACCGATCGCCTCGGTGCAGCCATTGCATTTAGCATTAGACTCGGAAAGAGCACTCGTGGAGAAACTTGGACGCTCGAGAATGGAACGAACTCACATGTATAAATCGTTGAGCGAATTAACCACCATCGCGTTCGGCTCGGACGTTCCCATCGCGCCTGCGAATCCACTCGAAGCCATCTTACAAGCCTCCACAAAACGAACGTTGAACAAAGAAGGTCAGTCTATGAGTGTAGAGATGGCGTTAGAAGCGCAAACGATTGGTGGCGCGCGAGCGTCGTTCAACGAAGACGCTTTCGGTGGTTTCTTCAACGGCGCCCTGATGGATTTTGTCGTATTGAAGAAGAAGAGTAGCGCAACTAGCAATAGTAAAGAAAAAGAAGAATCAAAAGAAGAAGAACGAGGGGAGGAGGAGATCATCGACGATCGCTCCATCGTTTATGAAACCTGGGTTGGCGGACGCAAAGTGTATTCAACCGCGTAAAATTTTCCATTGTATGTACCTCCTCATCTTCACAAAAAAGCACTCCTTGCTTACAACTCTTATTTATTGACGCGCGTCGAAATGACCGATCCTGGACCGGTCGCGTCTTCTAAAATGGAATCCAACTCCAAACGAATGGCTTCTGTTTTAGTCGCCCTGTGTCTCGGTTTCTTCGCGATATTGTTGACCTTTGATGGCTCGTCCAGTTTGGGGAAAACCGAATTGGATTCAACAACAGGTGGGAACTTTTTGGACGCGTTAAAGTTGTTCGGCGGATCCTCCTCGAAGAGAAGGAACCAGAATCACAAGAGCATGTCCGAGGAAGAAAAAGAACGATTCATGCAACACGTGGATTTTGAGATTCCGAAAGCTTCCTCCAGCGGCGAGTACGACGAAACCGATGACGACGAGTACGACGACGATGGAGGAGGAGGAGGAGGAGGAGGAGGCGGTAAAACTATTATAGGTAAAGTGTCAAAGAAATCGAGGCAGTATAAGAAGAAAAGGAAGCAAGAGTTGATGCTGCGAAAGAAAGAGCAGGATTTGCGGCAGCAAGCGATCAGCTCGAACCCGGACGACGTGGTGCACGGATGGATACGCGCAATGTTCAACCAGATGGATACGAACGGCGACGGGAAGATATCGCTGAACGAGATGAAGGCGTACGCGGAGAAGATGAATTTAGATAGAGGGTATGTGAAGGATTTTAGCGAGTATGTCCACATAAAAGCAGGGGAGCCGGAGAACCACGATCATCCCGCGGTGGATTTTGATCACTTTTTGGCGGCTTTGCAACAGAGAGACGCGACGGTGATGCGAGCGTGTGCCATGGGAGGATATGGCGGTAGAAGTATCTTTGATGAAGTGGCGGAGAGAAGCGTTTGGTTGTTAGGGTTGTTAGTTCTTCAGTCGCTCTCGGGGGTTGTGTTGCAGCGATACGAGCAGTTATTAGCTGAGCACGTCGTTATAGCGGTATTTTTGACCATGTTAGTTGGCGCCGGAGGTAACGCCGGTAACCAAAGCGCTATTAAGATTATAGAAAAGATTGTTCTAGGAGAAATCACCGTTTCGATCGGATCCTTCTTGAGCGAAATGCACAGAGAAGTAATCGTCGGTATGTTCTTGTGCGTGTTCGTAGCGATCGGAGGTTTTGTGAGAGCGTATATTACGCACGGAAGAGCGCGGGGTGGTTTCTTGAACGTGCTGGCGCTGACGTGCTGTTTAGCGGTGATTGTGTTTTCATCAACACTCATAGGGGTGATGTTGCCGTTTTTGTTGGCAAAGATTGGTGCAGATCCCGCGCATGCAGGTACGGTGGTGCAAGTAGTCATGGACATTACCGGGGTTATTGTCACCGTGACGATATGTTCGATGATGTTACCGTCGGTGTCCAAGAAGACCAGAACGCCGGCGTTCGCGGTAGTCTTGGAGAGGGCTTTTCTGGCGTACTTTCCGGAAAGTGAGAGCGGTGGTGCTCCAAAGGAACACAGATCGGACGCGGATTTAGTATTGACGTCTGAAAAGGGTAGCGTGTAATGTATACATACTTTTCTAAAAACTACAACTAAAAACTACAACGAACGTATATCTGCGCAAATATTATCTGCGAATCAAATCAACTCCATCGTCTTTTCTCGGCTTCTTCGTCGACTGGAACGTACCAATCCGGTCGTTCGACGTGCGAGGATAACCGGTAATCTAAGAACAATTCCTCGTTCGCTTCGATGTCCCTCGTTGCGACTAATGCAATTGTTGGCGCGGCTTTCATGACGATATCAACCATTTGCGCTTCGTTCAAATCTTTCGCTTTCTCGTTCGGGTCCTCGAATACCGAACCGGCGGCGAACGATGACACCATCTTGAGGAAGCTTGCATTCCGTGCACTTTTTGCGGGGTCAAACCTTTCGTAATCGCGTATATCGTTGCTTAAGTACACGTTCGGTATTGCCGCGCGTACAAAGTGTTTCATTCTTTCCAGTTTCTGAGAGTCTTCTGTGTCCATATTCATCATCCGTAACGCTTCTTTTGCGCCTTCCTCCACGTCATAATCGTGCATACATATCATCACATTCGGCGTTTTACCTTGAGGAGGATGGTTTGCTTTGTGCGCGAGGGCTATGGGATGCTTCCCCGCTTGTACTAAAAGGTCCGTTGAAACGTCTAGGCACGCCCTTTTTATCTTCGCGTGTAACTCTGGTCTGGAGAGCTTCTCCAGCCACGGCGGAAGCTTCTCCACCCACTCTTTCTTCAAAGCGCCGACAATTTTTTCCTTTTCCAAGTCTTCTCGAAGAGGAAAACCGGGCCAACTACTACTACCCGAACTATTAATGCTACTCTCACTATCGCTACTACCTTCAACAACTCCACTCGAACTCCTCTCGCTGCTACTCCGCCTCCGTTCTTCCTCCCACGGCTTTGCGTCCACGACGGTATCGTCGTACCGCGCGACCAAAAAAGCGTTCTCTTTCGCCACGTTCGGAAAGCCTTTGAGAAACCTCAAAGCTTCTTTCGCGTATACTATCCCCGGATACAACGACACCACCGTCCCTACCGAAGCTGGTCCATTTAAAAACACCCCCTCTTCGTTTTCCACGCCGTCGGACGGTTTTACCGTATTCTTATTCGTGGTATTCGTCTCTGAGATATCCCCGGTCCTCCCCATCAAATCCAAACCAATCGTCGTCAGCTGCGTCTGAACGCTCCTCCACACTCGCGCTTTCCTCTCCGCCGACGAACACTTGGTCGACGCCTCCAAAACTTCCTTCGCGACCGCTTCTCTTCTCGCCCTGCTGTCCTCCTCCTCTCCTTCGCGCTCGTTCCTCTCTCGCGTCATCATCATCGTCCGTTCCCGAAACTGCGTCAATAAGAACAACTTCTGCACGTCCGACTCTTCTTGCAAAGCGCGCCCTTGCCTTGGTTTCTTCGAAAAGGACGACGCGCTGCCTCGCGCGATTGCTCGGAGCATGATTTTCTGTCGTGATGTTGTGATGCGTCAACCGCGCGTTGCTGCGCGCGTTTTGTGCACCTTTTCAAACGAGGAATTCCTCACAAGTTTCCAATTTACTACTACGCAAAGAAAGGCTTGAAAGCGGTTCGATGATGACCCCCCGAAACCCGTCGTCCAAAACTGATGTAAAGTCGTCGTTTGAAGGCGTGAGAATAGCGAAACACGCGATGAAGAAAGCGACGAAGAAGGCGAGGTTTTTAGAGAGTGCGTTCGTTCTTTTACTCCGTTGTGGTCGTTTCTTTTCCCACGTGCTCACCTCGTAAACCGTTCCTCTTTCTCTCTCTCTTTCTCTCTCTTAAACGCGCAAACACGCACAACAGAGATACGCCGGACGCACGAATCGAGCGTCTCGAAACAGTCGAGCGTGAAATCGAAGAAAAAGAAACGGAAGAATCTTTTGTTCGGCTTGGCGGACTTCGCGAAGGATTTGAACACATCGTTGTTGGAGACGACGGCGGCTGTGTCGATGAAAGGCGGCGAAAGGTCGAAGAAGATGTCGAGGATGTTGTCGAGCGCTTTGTTAGGAGGAGGAGGGAAGAAGAAAGGGAGCAATACGAATAATAAAAAACGGGAACTGATCGCACGAGTGGAGAACGACCGGATGAAGATGGTGTTGAAGCACCCGACGTTCAAAGAGAACCCGGTGAAAGCGGTGTTGACGCACCTCGCGGCGCAGTTAGGCGAGAGCGCGGAAAACGACGAGGAGGACCGCAGTAAAGATGGAACCACCAAGAAAACCACCAAGAAAAGTACCACTACGACCACCACCAATGACAACAAGAACGTCGATATCGACGACGTAAACGACGACGTGCAAAAGAAGAAGAAAAAACGAAAGATGATGACCCCGGCGCGGTTACGTCAAACGCAAGGCAAACATCACGCCGGCGGCGGCGGCCAAGAGCGGTCCAAGAAGAGCATTCACGGCGGCGGTAAAAACTCTGGTGGCGTCGTCAAAGAGAAACTGCGAAACAAGAAGGGTGGGAAAAACAGGAAGTGACCACCCTTTCTTCTTTCCAGTCAGCGTGTGGTTGGGGTGTTGGTACTCGTCGCGAACGTAAAGCGTTTTCGGTTCTCACTTTCCACCATTTTTTCTCCCCACAAAAGCAAGAAGATATGATGACGATGACGATGCGCGCTTTCTCACCAACCGTAACGCTCACCCGTCGTAAAGATTCTCCTTCCTCCTCCTCGCGGAGCGCGAAGTGTACCACGACGACGACGACGACAAAAGCGTGTCTGACGACGACGAGGACGCACCCTTTCAGCGCACCATTAAAAGCTTCTCATCGTCGACTCCACATCCGCGCAACGAACGACGACGACGACTCCAAGAAAGCACGAAAAGAAGAAGACAAAGAAGACAATTCCCTCTCATCGCCGTGGGCGCAACCTGGATACAAAGGCGCGTGGGTCTCCCAACAAGACGACCGGACGCAAATTTTGGTCGTCGTTTCGATATGGATCGGTCTGTGTCTGTTGACGTACGTCTCGTGCGCGAAAGTCGGCCCTTTCGTGGAAGAGCTTGTTCCGGACTTTGTTTTTCAGTTTTCCAAGCGCACGTGGCCTTTGCTCGGCCTGACGTACGTGCTCGCCGGAGCTGCGCACTTCGCGTTACCGGAAGGTTTTGATGCCATGGTACCGCACGAAAACGCGTTCGGAGGCCTCTGGAAACTCCCTGGTTCGAAGCGATTCCACGTCAATTGGACCGGCGCGTGCGAAATTGTAGGCGGTTTAGGCACGCTCTCGCTCGTCGTCGATCCGAACTCCTCCCTCGGGAAAGTCTCCGCGTTTGCGTTATTCGCGTTAACGTTAGCTGTAACCCCCGCGAACACGTATATGTTTACGAACAACTCCCCGGGACCGTTACCCCCGGACGCCACGGAAGAGATGATGGTGTTGACGCCGCCGCAACACTTCGCCAGAGGTTTGCTCCAAGTCTTTCTGTTGACGATGTTATGGGGCGTCGCCACGGGTTAGTTAAAAACAGCTCAGGTGCGTTGCCTTGGTGGATGCTTGTTTTTACATCGCGTCGTCGTGAGCTCTTTTTTTAGCAGTAGTAGTAATAATAGTACGCGTAGTTGAGACGTTATCGTCGTTGGACGAAGTAAAAAGCCGCGAAAGCGAGTTGAACGCCTCTCCCCCCACCTTTACAAAGAACGTGATGATTCATGTCTGTGTGCTTTTGGGCAAAACACAACAAACAAATCTTTCCCGCCAAAAAACGAAAAAAAACACCCTCTTTCTTTCCTCCTTCGCGTGCCTTCTTTTTCGTTCCCATTTCCCCCTTTCGCGCAGTTTCGCCTAAAAAACAGAAGGAAAATCGAAAAATATCTTCGTTTTGGAAACGGGAAAGAAGAAAGAATGTCGTCAAAACCAAGCGCGCGCAAACAAAACACACGCAAGAAGAAAGAAAAAAGAACTCGCGCGAATAAAAAGCACACGAACGCGTGCAAGTAAAGGTACGCGATAGATTTCGACCGTTTTTTCCCCTCGCGCTTCTTCGCGTTCGCCGTGAGAGAGCGCGCGCGCGTGCAGAGATTTCGAGCGAGCGGGCACCTTTTTCCTTTTTTTCGAAGGATTCAGAAAAAAAACGAGAGAGAGTTCGTTTTGCGCATTTCCAATTCGCGTGTATATAAAGCGAATTCATCTCTCTCCAAAGGAAGGTTCTCGCGAACGAGAACGCGTCCGCGTCCGCTTCTCTCCTCGTAAAAGAGAATCGCGCGCATCAGATCTGCGCTCAAAAGAAGAGAAACTCAGAAAAGAAGAGAAACTCAAAGCGCCTGCTCGAGAGCGCGTTGAAAGAACGAAAAGCTTTCATTTCTGTCCTTCGCTTCTGAGTCAGAGAGGAACAAAAAAAAAAAAAAAACGAGAAATCTCGCGGGAAAAGACACCAAAAGGGGGAAAAGCGCTCGCCTTTTGAAGCGCAAAATTTGGACCAAAAAATGCACAAAAAATACTGACGAAATTACAATTCAAACTCATATGTCTTCATTACACGTAGGATTAAAACAACGAAAGAAGAAGGAGAAGAGAGGAGGAGTGCGAGAACGCGTTTTGAGCGAAAGAAGAAGCAGAGGAAGAAGAAGAAACACAACACAGATGACGGGAACAACACAAACGGTGGTTTCGATGCGACACTCGTCCCGTTTGGAGTGTAATAATACTAAAGATGGGAATAAAAAAATGCACATCCATCAGGGTGAGGGAAACGAAAATTCCGTGCCGCCGCGGTCCCCGGCGAGAGGGAAAAAAGAGACGCTCGCGTTGCAGAAGAGAGATTCGAGCGCGTCCGTGGAAACGGAGGAAGAGGAGGATAATTCCAGCTTTGGAGGAGGATTACGGAACGAGAACACGAACGAGAAAGGCGCAGTCGGGAGCGCGCAACAAAACCAAAGCGAAGAAAAGAAGAGCGCACAAACGCGCGAAAAGGGGAACGACGAGGACGAGGACGAGGACGATATCGAGACGAAGCCGCTCTCGGCGTTTGAGCAAAAGTTGAAGAATAAGAAACCGATTTCGACTGATCCGAAAACGTTCGATCCAGACACGGTTTTGAAAATTGACGAGGATTTTTCCAAAAAAGCGATGAGTTTAGGATACGAGCTCGGGACGATTAAACATTCGGCGTACGCTTTGTTGGCGATGGCGGGGCCGGGAGGAATGACGGTGGCGAACATTGTGAGCATCGCGAAGCGGTTGGACTTGTATAACTGGGGGACGTGCAAGACGCCGAATAACTCAGTCACCGCGGCGTTATCGCAAGATGCGCACTTTCAAAGAGTTGCACCGAGTACGTACGCGTTAAAAGAACACGTACCGGACGATTTGTGTACGGCGAGTATCGCGCACAAGGCGGCGCACACAAAGAAGAAAGAAGAGAGACGCGAGACGGGGAGAAACGCGACGACGACGAGTTCGGGTGGAGGTGATTTCAACATGATGGGAGGTGGTGGAGGAGGACACACGAAACTTCAAGACCGAAACTATCATCACCAGAAAGCCGTGGAGCAAGCGAAGAAGAGAAAAGCGGTGGCGATGTATGAATCGGAGGAGGATGAGTATTTCGATGGACCGGCGTTTCTCTTTCGAGCGCGCTCGGAAACGAGAGATCAAGAAAACTCAGAAGAAGAAAACGAAGATCGATACGACGAGAGAAGAGAAAATTATCACACTCGAAGAATACAGCACGAAGAGGAGCCACCTTTTGCGTACAAAGATGTCGCCGAACGTTTAGCTTTGGAGTGTTTTCGTCGAAGAGCGGATTTACAGCCGGAGATTTATAGAAACTGCCAACTTCCTTCGTCGTCCGCCGGGTCGGGCGACGGAGAGCGAACGCCGATGAATGCGGCGCGAGCAGATTCCGATAATATCGTCAGCAAAAAAAACGCACCGAATACGGTGGAACACATGGTGAATGAGCCGAACGAGCCGGTGAACTGCGACGCGACCGTGGCGGCGTCGTGTTTGGCCTTCTTCCCGGCGGTGAGTACGCCCGGCATCGTGGCGACGAGGCAAAGAGACGCGATATGCGCGACGCCGCCGGAACCGACCGAAGCCTTTTCGCGAGCGAATTTGTGGAAGAATGAAGTCGGATTGGTGAAACAATTAGAAGGGTTCGAAGCTATTAATGGTGGCCTCGTCGCACAGAGAGGTGGTTTGAGCGCGTCTTCTTCTCAACAACAACAACAAAGAAAGAAGACGACCGTAGCGAACAAGAGATCAAAACTTGGAGAGAAGAAAGAAAAGCAACAACAACAAAACAAAGTGGCGGCGAAGATTAAGAAGTCGAGCAGCGATAATTCCATGAAATCACGAAGCGCGAGTGGAGAAGAGACGTGTTATCATCGACTCCCTCGATGGGTTTTGGATCAATACATGGAGTCTCACAACGTCGCCGCCAACCAGTAATAAAAATCTTTTGGAAAAGGAAAGAAAACATCTATACATATAATAAAATATAATAAAAGAATACTTGCGAGAATGATGATGAGAGGTGTGATGATGGTCTGCGAGAGCTGTCTCTTTCCTCTCTCTCGTCTCTGCATCATTGAATTTTTGAGTTGAAACGTGTTGATTGCGTGTAGTGTGTTGTTGATTGTTGACATAAAAAACATTACACTTGTAATAATATTAAAAAGAATTTTACTTCGGTACATACCGGTAAATATAGTAGTAAGATTACGCCTTTAGATTAGCATTACCTCTCTCCTTCCACTTATCTCTCTCGCGTTCCGCGTTCCGCGTCGTTGATGATAAGATTTATTGACTCGCCGCGATCGCTTGCTCAAAATCGGCGATGATATCGTCGATGTGTTCGATACCAACCGAAACGCGAATCATCTCGTCGTTCACGCCACTCGCCGTTCGTTCTTCCGGAGATAACTGCTCGTGCGTGGTAGAAGCCGGGTGGATGACCAAAGTCTTCGCGTCTCCGACGTTGGCCAATTGACTCGCCAATTTGAACGCGTCGATGCACTTCGTCCCGGCTTCCAAACCGCCCTTCACGCCAAAGCACAACACGGCGCCGTAGCAACCCTTACGGAAGTACTGCTCCGCGGTTTTGTGCGATTGGTGAGATTTCAACGACGGGTGCGAAACCCATGCGACGCCTTTGTGTCCTTCCAAATATTTGGCCAACTTGACGGTGTTTTCGCAGTGTCGTTCCATTCTCAAGCCCAACGTCTCGACGCCTTGAATCAACTGAAACGCCGCCATCGGGTTCAACGCCATCCCCAAATCTCTCAAACCTTCAAATCTGGCTTTGACGATAAACGCCACGTTGGCACCCAACACGCCGTCCGGGCCAAAGGTGTCCCAAAACTTCAAGCCGTGGTACGCCGGAGACGGATCGCAAATCTTACCGTGCTTGCCGTTGTTCCAGTTCATGCTCCCGCCGTCGACGATGATACCCCCGATGGTCGTCCCGTGACCGCCGATCCATTTCGTGGCAGATTCGACGACAATATCCGCGCCCAACTTCAACGGTTGGCAGACGTATCCACCACCACCAAAGGTGTTATCGCAAATCAACGGAATCCCGTGCTTCTCGGCGACGGCTTTCATGCCTTTAAAATCCGGAACCAAAAACGACGGGTTCCCGAGAGTCTCGATGTACAACGCCTTCGTGTTGGCATCGATCAACTTTTCAAAGCTCGCCGGATCTTCTTGGCTGGCAAACTTCACGTTAATCCCTAAACTCGGAAACATCGTCTTGAACTGGTTGTACGTCCCGCCGTATAAGTTCGCGCTCGACACGATGTTATCGCCGGCGTTGCAAATAGTCGAGATGGCCAAAAACTGCGCCGATTGTCCACTCGACACCGATAACGCCGCCACTCCGCCTTCCAACGCCGCGATTCTCTTCTCGAAAACATCGTTCGTTGGGTTCATGATTCTCGAGTAGATGTTCCCGAACGCTCTCGCGCCGAATAAATCCGCGCCGTGTTTCGCGTCGTTGAACACGTACGAGGTGGTGGCATAAATTGGCACCGCGCGTGCGTTCGTCGTCGGGTCCGGGACTTGCCCCGCGTGGACTTGCATGGTTTCGAATTTCAAATCGGAGGACATTTTGTTCTTTCTGTGGTGGTTTTCCGTGTGTTGTGACTTGGCTGGTTTTATTGAGAAGATGAAGAGGATGAAAGCGTTCGTTAATGAATTAATGCGCGACGCATCCGATGCGACACGGCGGCAAAAAGTGATCGGGATCACACGTTCCGATTCAATTCTCTTTTTCTTTCAGAGAGAGATTTTGAACGCGTTTCGCGCGCGTGGAAAAAGCAGAAGAATGAGAACAACACCACCACTCTTTTTTATCATCGTCGTCAAAACGAAGAAGACGACAAAGAAGACGACGAAGAAGAAGTTGATGTGCAACGGCGTGCGTACCTTGAGTGCGTAGAAAAAAAGGAGGAATTGAGCATTCCCCTGACGCTTTTTCGCCGAAAAACTCTCATATGTGAAATATCACAAAGAAGAAGCAAAAATATCTTCTTCGCTCGAACGAACAGAAAGAGACCAAAAACACGAGAAAGAGAGAGAAAGAGCTTTCTTTTTTTTTTACGCTTTTTCATATATCTCACTGCTCTGCCTAAAACTGTTTGTTGTTTTTACATACGCACTCTTTTACGCGCGCTTTTACGCTAACGCTACTTTTTAAATACACGCATCATACTTTTATTAAGAAGTGTTGTTCTTTACCGCGGAGGACCTCATTAAATCGCTTTTACTACGGAGGCGCCTCTTTCTGCTCCGCTACCGTCGGCGATGACGATCCCGCTGAGAGGGTCGCCTCCTAATCCTCCTCCTCCGTTGGCAGGCGAGGAATAAAAAAACATCTCCCGCTCTTCTTTCGCCGAGGCGGCGTTGACGGCGTTGAACTTGTGGAACGCGAACAGAACGAGAAGCGAGGCGAAAGAACTGACGAAAAAGATCAAGTCGTACCAGGATTGGTAGAAGGTCTTTTCTGGTTTACTTTCCGCGCTCGCGTCCGCTTCTCCTTCTTCCATGCCGAAAAAGGTGTCGCTCAAGTCGTGCATGTCGCCGCCGAATAAGGAGAAGGTTTTACCGTCGCGGTATTGGCTCGGGAGCTGTTCGCGGACGAGCAAGACGGACGAGAGGAAGTATAAACCGACAATTTCCGTGCAGAAGAGGACGAGGGAGGTGGTGGTTTCCGAAACGTTGGAGCTGCCGGAGACGGAGGAGGCGATGGTACCCAACGCGTCAAACGCGCGCGAGAGGAAGTATAAGAAATTCCTCGTAGAAGAACCGACGAGAAACGCGATGAACGCGAGGGAGAGGTATTGAGAGAGCTGTTCCGCGGTAACGTTGACCGAGTGGGAGAGGAGGAGGAGTCGGAGCGTTTTCGTGACGACGTCGACATTTTTCGATTTGCCCAAAACGATTTGGCCAAACACCGAGAGAAGTTTGACCGCGCAACACACGGACATCAAGACGCCGCTGGTGTTTTTCGCGCGACCAAAGGTGGTTCTGGATTCAACCGCGCGTTTTTTCAACGCGCGGCGCTCTTTCAATTCCAGAAATAAAGATCTCACGACGCGATCCAAAGCGACGACTTCAAATTTTGCGTTTTGCAATTTTTGTTCGCTCGTCATCGCGCCGCCGTTTCTACCAGAAAAGACAAACTGCATCGCCGAAGAAGCGAGTTTGCTCAGCAAAGATTGCTCTCCTTGATCTTTACTAGAGGCTAACAACTGCGACGCGCTCTTTTCGTTCGCGCTGGAGGTGACGACGTCTTTTAAAAAGTTATTCGCCGCCGTCCTGCTTTTGTGGATGTTGTTCTTGGCGTTGTTTCTATTCACCGCGTCGTTCTCGTACGGATTGTTGCTGATATTGTTGTTGTTGTTCTTCTTATTGGTAGTCTCATCTTCCTCTATGGGAATGTTGAAGTACATGCTCGCTCGCGTTCTTTGTTGCCTTCGTTCGTTTGCGGATCTCGGAAACAATTCTCTTTCCAACAGTACCAACCGTTTCTTCCTCTCCACGGCTGTTTCCAACGCTTTCACCAATCGCTCCTCGTCTCGTTCGATTTCCGCATCGCTAACCGGCCTCGCGAACAAAGACATGGTCGTGTACGGATAATGAATAGCCCCGAATCCGGATAAAACACCTAAAACGATCACCCCGACGACGCCGGCTCGAGCGATTAATCGCGACACCGTGAAAATGTTACTCTTCGCGCCTCCTCCATTATTACTATTACTACCACTGCTACCACTACCACCACTACTACCACCATCAACTTTACTAAATATACTCCCTTTACTATAAATGGGATCCCCATCCAACGCCCCAAACTCTAAAAAGAAAACCAAGGAAACCAAGTGCGCGCAGACGCTCACGAGTATAACTTTCCTCCTCCGCTTACTCTTCGCTCGGCGTATCACCGCCTGATTCAACTGCATCATTCGACCACTCGCATTGCTCAACTTCTCCAACCCGTACGACCCGGGAACAACCATCGAAAAGAGCTTATAAAAGTGAAAGAAAGGCACGACGACGATGACCATCGATATCGTCGTCCATATCGAAAACAAACTCGCCACGGTTAAAAACGTCTCCGTGAACGTGTCCGACACTTCCCCGAGGACGAGCAAAACCATGGAAAACGAGGACGCGAACGTCAAGGAAAAGAGGAACGCCACGAACGCGGGGACTTTATCCGACGCGTCTCGGCACAGGACTTTCCTCAGGAACTGTTTAAAGGTGCGTCGTTTCACGAGAGAGAGAGAGAGTTAACATAAAGAGAGAGAGCGCATGTGTGTCCAAACGAAAGTGTTTCAAAAGAATACCAAACATAAACGCGCGCTTCTTTTGCTGTGTTCGAGAAGAAAAGAAAGAACGAACGAAAGAAAACACAACTCTCTACATGCGAAACGCACCGCATCCGCGGCTCCGTATAAACCGAAAAAGATTCCCGTCGCGAGGACGGTTTCCAAGAGCACTCGCCACATGATTTATTATACGAGTCTTCTGCGCTCTTTCTCCCCGTAGAAAGAATCACTTAAAAACTATTTAGGGTTTCCAAACCTAATTGGAGAGAGCGAAGCCGCCACTGAATCGGTCCGTCCGTCTCCATTAAAACACTTATACAAACGCACTAAAAACACCATGTCAACCGAACAACCGCAATCCAACCGCTTATACGTCGGCAACATCCCGTGGTCGACCACGGTCGAAGAGTTACAGGGTTTGTTCACCGACGCGGAGAACATCGAGATCCCAACCGTACGTTTTCTACTTTCTTTCTTTTGTTTATATAATTTTGATTCGATCGCGCTTGTGGGAAACGAAGAAAAACTTTTCTCGCGCCGACGATTCATTTTTCATCGTCGTCGCGTCTCAACGCGCTCTCTCTGAGAAACCTCTCTTCCGCGAAACCTCCGAAAATCGTTCTCCTAAAAGCGCCGAAAACAAGGAGAGAGATTTCGCGCGGCGCGAAAGAAACGCGGGGGGTAAAGTTTTGAGAGGTCACTCCTACTGTAAGAAAGAGAGCGAGATGAGATGACATTTGGCCGTCTTTCGTGGTCGTCTTCTCTCGTAAAAAGGCATGCCGTTTGGGCAAAATTTACGCTTGTTTTTCTGATATTTTTTTCTCTCCTCTGACACCAAAATTTTCTTCTTGTCTCTGCAAAATGTTAAAATAGGGTCGCCAAAACCGCTCGAGAGGATACGCCTTAGTCTCGTTCTCCGACGAGTCCGCGGCGCAATCCGCGATGCAAGCGATGAACGGCCACGCGTTAGGCGACCGGAACATTTCCGTTCGCGCGGATAATCCGTTACCGAAGGCGCCGAAATCCTCCTCGAGAGGATCCGGCGGCGCGCCGGTGCAAAGACCGACCAACTTGCCGGAAGCGGAGGAAGGGTGCAGATGCTACGTCGGGAACTTGGCGTGGGAGACCGACGAACAAGCGTTGATTGAACACTGCCAAACGATCGGGCACCCGGTGTTGAGATGTGAAGTTGCCAGACAATCCGGCGGGAGATCCAAAGGGTGGGCGTTGATTGATTTCGCGAGCAAAGAAGCCGCCGACGCGGGCGTCAAGGCGTTGCACGACACCGAGTGCAGAGCGAGATCGATCATCGTGCGCGCGGAAAGACCGGGCGGGGCGGCGGCGACGAAGCCACCGAGAGAAATCAGACCGGAAAACAGTTCTGGTTTACAAATTGTGGTGAGAAACTTGCCGTGGTCGACAACCTCGGACGATTTGAGACAAGTGTTCCAACAAGTCGGCACCGTCGTGGATGCCAAGTCCACGTGCCATGACGACACCGGTCGATCCAAAGGGTGGGGTACGGTTTTGTTTGAAACGCAAGAGCAAGCGCAAGCTGCGATTGCCGGGTTCAACGGCGTTGAGTTGGAAGGCAGACCGATGCAAATTAAAATCGATCGCTTCGAATAAGTGCGCGTAAGGCGACTCTTTCGTGTGAACCACTTGATAATAAATACTATAAAACTTCTTCAATAATACTACGAAGAAAAAACATCAACGACGACGACATGGAAAGAGAACACACACCACACGAAAAATGAGAGAGAGAAGAGAAGGGAGAGATACTGAGAATGAGAAAGACAGAATATAATATTCTATAGCACGCTGGCGGAAGAGAAGAGAGGGAGGAGATGAACGTTTAATTTTACAAATGGAGAATCAAGTCACAAACATCGACGAAGACATGCGTGTGTTTTTTTAAGTTTGAAGAGGAAAAAGATATATAGAAGAAGAAGAAGAAGAAGAAGAGAAGAGAGAGCAGAATATAAGAAGAAAGAAAAAGAAAGAAAAACATACGATGAGATAGAGAAGAGATACCATGGGAGAATGGCTTACCCGTTTGTCGCGTTCATGAGAAAAATAGAACACACAACAACACATCATTTATTTTTTGTAGATCATGGGACGACGAGTGAACGAAAACAAGTGTAAGAGAAGTTTTCACATTTATTACTTATTAGGTATTCAATACCGATTTTAATGCAATTATCAAAAGAATTTTAACGCTCTAATTACTGCTACTGTTTGTTGTCTACTTCAATTCTCCCGATTCGCTGCTTTCCTTTTCCGGGCTGTCTACCGCGCGTTTTTTTTTTGTTCTTTTCTCCGTCGGCTCATCTTTCTCTCCGTCTCTCGAACGTTTTCTACTACTGCTATAATCTCTACTGCTACCACCGCGACCTCTGCCACCGCTTTCTTTCTTGGCTAACTTTTTCAATCGGTCCTTCTTCACGTCCTCGAATATCTCCTCGAGCTTTTCATCGCTCACGTCGAACTCTTTCGAACATTTCGTCCACCACGAGGACGATTGGAACGCTTTTTTCGTTTCGGAATACGTTTTATCGTTCAAAACTTCGTCGAATAGTTTCATTTCGTCGTATAAAGAGTCCTCAAAATCATCCAACGCGTCCCGCAACTTTCGCTTCTTGCGTCGGTGGATCCTTTCGATGGTATCCGCTACGACTTCGCAAAGAAACGTGGGTTGAATGTTTGGCGATAAAGACGCTTTCTTCACTAAAGCCTCCTTGTTCGTTTCCACGTACTCTTCTAAATATTTGACGATATCGTCGAAGGGTGGTAGCTTGTTACCACTACTCGCCGTCGCCATCGCGCTTTCGTCGAGTAAGTCGACGACGTTCTCGTTTTGAAAGCCGGGAAACGCGTCCTTTGACGCGTTCTCTTTCATAAACGTCTCCAATCGCTTTGCATCTTCCATCACCATCTCTTCCAACTTGATCACTTCGTCGTCGAACAACTCTCTCGGCGTGCTCCCACTCACGTTCCCATTACACATGCCAAACGAAGCCGTCGATTCGAGCTTCTCGTTTTTAAACTTTTTCCAAAGCGTCCTCGGCGTCAAGATTTTATTCTCCGCCAACTCTTTCAACGTCTCGCAAAAGCGCTCTCGATTCTTCCGTTCCTCTCGGAACCGCACGGCGTTTTCGCGGTTCATAGTCTCGACTTCGTTTTGATCGAACGACCGAAAGAGTTCGGAAAATACGGTCAGTTGGTCTTGCCGATCGCAATGCACCGCTCTCGTGTCGTTTTGAATCGCCGCGTTATTCATCACGTCCCGTCGCCACTGCCAGTTGAAATTGCACCCTTTCTCCAATAACAAGCCTTTAAACAACTCTCTCGTTTGCTCTTTCTTTGCTAGCTTTTCTTTTCTTTCGATGACGTGTAATCCAGAGCAAAAATCGCGAAACAAATGTTCGCGTTCTTTCAACGATTCGATGTTCGTAAACCACGTTTGCGACATTAAATTCCGCTCTAACGGCGAGTCTCGAATAATCTTCGATTTCGAGGTGATGTCGTATTTGACTCGGCAATCTTGCAAACCGTTTCTAAACGCCACGCGTTTCCGTTTCTCGACTTCTTTCTGTTCCTCTTTCTCCGCTCTTAATTTTCTCGATCGAAACCCGTTGAACAAGTTTCTCTTTTCTCCATTTTTCTTGAGCGCGTTGAATCTCGCGTCGCTCGCGGCTAACTGCGTAAACTGCTCGAACGTGCCCGAGGTTGGCATATTAATATCCTCCAAAAGTTTATTAAACGCCGCTTTTCTCTCCTCGTCGTTCTCGAACGTCAGCACCGTCTCTGAATTCGACTGCAAAGGCACGTACGCTTGGTTGTGCGTTTGTTGCGGAGGAGGAGGACCGGATGCCGACGCCGGCGCGTTCATCGCGTCGCCGTTCTCATCTCTGTTCCGCGTCTCACCGCCGCCGCCCTTCTCTCTTCTCGTCTTCTCCTCGTTCATTCGCTCCCACCTCTCCTCCGTCCTCGTCAACTCCTCCGGAGTCTCCCACTGCGTCTTTTTCGTCTCTCTGTTGTAATAATAATACTTCTCCGACGTCTTATCGTACGTCGTTTTCCACGCGCAGTTTTCAAACACGAAACTCTCCTTCGCGGTGTACAACTCTCTCGGTTTCTCGTACGTCGACTTCTTCGTCAGTTGGTTGTAGTAATATTTCCTCCCGTCCGGCGCGTCGTGTTCCGTCCAAGGCGAAGCGGGCGAAGGCGCGTTCATCGGCGGAGGAGGAATCATCATCATCATTCCCGCCGCCGCCGCCGCCGCCGAGGGTTGTTGTTGTTGTTGTTGCATGTTCATCATCATCATCCGCTGCTGCTGCTGCTGTTGCTGTTGCATCAGCATCGGATTCATCATCATCATCATCCCTCCTCCTGGTCCTCCTCCTCCTCCTCCTCCCATCGCGATCGGCGCCGCCGACGCGGCTGTAGGCGCAGCACCGCGCGCAGAAGCCGCCAAAATCGGAGGTGCGGGTAAACCACCAACGACGAATCCCCCTCCAACACCAGGAGTTCCCGTCGTCGTCGTTCCCATCGTCATCCCCGGTTGTTGTTGTTGTGGTTGATGTGTCGGGAAAAACGGCTTTGGAGGAGTCATTCGAGCAGCGAGCGTTTTGGGGAGAAAACCACCACCCTTTTCGTCAGCCTCCTCGTCGTCTTTCGCGGACATTCGTCGTGCGTGTCGTCTCGAGACGCTTCTCGAGACGACAACACCAACGGAGAAAAAGCGACTTTTTGAGAGCGTCGTTTAAAGTGTGCTCTGATGCGTGTTGAAATGCGTTCGAAATGTGCGGCTTTTTCCCCAGAAATCAGACTCGAAAAGGATTGAATACGCGCGCTTTAAAAGCACCCTGCGATAAAGAGAGAGTGAGAGAGAACGAGTCGGCGGTGACGTGCATGACGTCCACGAGGGAAAATCAGGAGGAAACCGAAGCGCTGTTACCGAGACACGGAATAAAAGAAGAAGACTTTGAAGACGAAGACACAACATCAGAGATGAAGGGACGCGTGGGGACGACGAAAAGTTCTACAAAGTTCCAAACGCCGTTCGCGTTTATCCTCCTCTCCTTCCTCACCATACTCGCGCTCGGCTTATCCTGCGTCGCGGAGGAGTACATCATCAAACAAATACCCGGGTTTGATTTCTTTTGGTTCTTAGCGTTCAGCGAGTTAGTGGTGTTCAGCGCGCTGACGGTTTTGGTGCAACTGTGCGGGTGGGACCAAGAGGAGGAGGAGGAGGAAAAGAAGAAGCGCGAGGAGGAGGACGCGAAGAAAAACAAAGCGAAATCGAGCGATGTGGATTTACGAGAGGAAGGAAAGGCAGAGGATACGTATACGAGTGGATTTTGGCACACGAAAGCGCCGAAAACAACGCTCGTGTTGGGTGGGATTTTGATCGCGTTGTATACGAGTTTAGGAAAGTTTGCGTATAAGTACGTGAATTACGCGACGGGGACGGTGTTAAAAAGCGCGAAGCTAATTCCGGTGATGTTTGTGTCCGTGGTGTGGTTGAAGCGGAGGTACGAGTTGATAGATTACGTGGCGTGCTTTTTACTCGTCGCGGCGGCGTGCGAGTTTGGTCTCGGGGAGCAAGAGAATTCGGATAAAACGGAAAATCCGAGCGAAAACTACGCGCTCGGTTTGACGTTGAGTCTAATCACGATTGGGATCGGCGCGTTTCAATCGAACGTGACGGATAGGATCTTGAGAGATTACGGGGCGACTGTTGGTGAGAACATGCTTTGGACGAATGCGGTTGGTGCGATTTTTATATTCTTCTTCGTCGTCTTATTAGAACCGCACGCGTTCATGTTCTTTTGGGATACGCCGTTGTATTTCATGTTGTTGACGTTTCGATCGGTGTCCTTCTTCTTCGGCGCGTGGTTATACACCATCATCGTGAAACATTTCGGCGCCGTGCCTGCCGTGGCGATCACGACCACGAGGAAACTGCTCACCGTCGTAGGGTCCTTCGTGTTCTTTGCCAGTGATAAACCGTTCACGACGACGTACGCGATTGCGCTCGGTTTGTTCGTCCTCGCCGTCGGGTGCGAATACGTCAAACACTACCAAAAGCACAGCAGTCAAACGCATTCCCTCAAGGGTGGTCGTCTTCGTAAAAAAACAGCATCGACTTCGGTCTAGTCGTTTTCTTTCTTTGTATGAGTATTATGTAACGTGTACGTGTATGTGTATCAGTCATCCTCGTTCTCTTCTTCTTCTTCTTCTTCTTCTTCTTTCTCGTCCTCGTCGTCGATGTGCGCTCGAATTCGACGCAACACGAGCGCTCTGAATTCGCGCAACTTCTCCAGGTATTCACCCTCGTGAAACAACGCGACTTCGTCCGAAAACGAATTCGACGTTTTTCTCATCACTTCTCCGTTTTCACGCGTTCCTTTTTCCTTCCCCGACTTGGGAGGAAACGTCGTTCGCGAGGTGAGTTTCATCGCGTTTTCCGCGCGCACAATTTTCTCTGACGCGTCACAGACGAAAGTTTTGAATTTCCCGAGCGAAAGCATCACACAAATCTCTCTCGCGCGGCGGAAAACAACTACGCACAAAACACATGTCCCTCCTCTCGAAGGAGGAACGCGTCGCACCACCTCGAGGAGGATGGGACTGTCGAGAATTCACCCACCCTTTCTCCAATCTTAACAACACGAATGCTCGCTTTCATGCGAGAGAAAAGAACGACGACGTGAACGCGCTCGAGGACGCTCGAGGGAACGAACGTTTAGAGGAAACGATGGAGGATGACGACGACGAGAAGAATGCTTTTAAAGAGCATCACAACGCGCGCGACGACGATGTTATGTACGACGAAGAGGAAGAGGAGTATATATCTCGCGCACCGAACGCGCTCGTCATCGCGCCGACGAGTTCGCGAGACTGTGGGGTGACCGCCTCCTTGTTGTTCGCCAGGTGCGCGCGAGAGTGCGTGTGCGAAGACGAAGACGAAGAGGAAGACCAAGACCAAGAAGGAGAGCGAGAAAACGCGTTCGTGGAAAACGAGGATATCAACGAGAACAGCGCGAGAAGAGAAAGTTTGAGGAGGAAGGAAAAAGATTCCGGCGCTTCCGGAAAGGCGTTCTTGCCGAGAGCGTTGTTCGTGTGCCGTCGAGACGCGTTGGAATCGGAAACGTTCGCGGCGCCGAGCATTTATGCGAACGAGAGTCACGACGACGACGGCTTTGTGGATGCGAAAGGCGCGAAGAAGACGAAAAATGTTTTGTCGACGAGGACGTGGGTGCCGTCCGAAGAATACATCACGACGAGAGCGGCGAAAAGGGTATCCATTAAATACGCGTCGACGGATGAGGACGTGGTGAAGATTATGTCCGCGTTGCACGTTTTGCCGGTTGAAGAGTTGCCGAATCTCATCGCCGTGTGCGACGTTTCTGCGTTTTCCGATCGATACGGTGGAAGCGGCATGGGAGGAAATCGAGAGCGAACGGCGGCGCACGCGAGAGTGTGCGCGGCGATTGTAGAGGCTGCCAGGTACTCTACGATGGCGAAACGGAAAGCGACGATGAGAAGTCACCGCGACGGGTGGCGAAGTCGAGCGCCCGCGCGCTGTAAAGTCGTCGTCTCGGAGAGGAAAGATGACATGGAAGATGCGAACATGTTGGCCAAGAAAGATTGGCAACACGATGTCGGCATGGATGCGATGATGACGGGTGGCGTGGAAACTAAATATTATAATCGCAACGCGAATGTGGGTACCGCGGCCAACACCAATTTCCATCCTTTAACGTACGCCACGAAGAGGTGGTTCGAGAGGGTATTCGTCGTCCGAAAAAAATCCGGGTACGAAGAAGAGGTTGTCGAAGTAGGAAAAATAGGAGGCGGGGCGTACGAGGTCATCGATTGCGCGACGGGCGCGAAATCGACGCACATAGCGACTCTCGGAGTGAACTAAGAAGAAGATAGAGAGAGATGTAAAATATGAATTTTAGCCCCGCGCGCGCGAAAGAAGTTGTAATTTTAAAACCCTGTACAGAAGAAAAGGAGAGATACGCATTCATTATTGAAAGCATTAGTTGTTATATTGCTAATAATATTATAATACCGTAATACACATGTTGCTACTACTACTGCTGCTCCTATTTCCTACTACTAATTCCCGGAACTCACCACGAGTCGCACCGAAGGTTTGTCTCTGCGATTGCCCATGTTCTTCTGTCGCTCCGCGAACCGCGAGCTCGTCCACTCGCCCCCGTCGTCAGCGTAATACTTCATCGGATAACTCGGAACCTCTTTCTTTTCATATTTTCCTTCGCTTAATACGGTGTTCACGTCGTCCCACGCCTCTGCGCCTTCTAAACAAATGTACGCTTCGTACGGCGTCAGCACCGGCACAATAAACGCTTCGCCCCAATCGATGCTCAACCTCGGACACGCCACTTGAACGAACGCATCTATGCCACCATTTTCGCTTAGCGAAGCTATCCGCTCCGGAGATATCTCGGAAATTAAAAATACAACCGTTTCTTTATTCCTGGACTCGAACAACCGCTCCAGTCTGGCCAGCACCGCGGGATTACCTTGCCTGCCGAGCGTCCCTAAAATCAAACCAAATTTCTTTGCTTTCTTCGCGCGTAAAATCATGCTCTTTCTCACGTTTTGCATCCCGACGTGATCGTAATACTCTCTCGTCAGAACCCGTTCGTACGGATCATATCTATACGCCGGCACGTTTGGATTCGCAATCATCATCGCCTCCAAATGAAACCTACCGTCCGCCACAAACACAATTGCATCGTGCGCCTTCTTTCCTTCTTCTCCCATTGAATCTCCACTTCTCGCTCCCATGACCTCTCCATCTCCTAAACTTGGCGCGGTGCACCCTAAAACCTCCCCGGGACTCAAAGGTTTCGTCCTCCCGACATCGAAGCACTCGTAAAACGGCCGCAACGTCTCCCGCACCTTCCCGATCGCCGATGCAAATTGAATCGTTCCCGCTAACGCAATCTTATCCGTCCTGTTCGGAAAATTCTTCCTTATTGACTGCACCAAGTGTTCCTCGTCGAATAAAATGTCCACGAACACGTACAAAGTCTTACACGTCGTCATCGACACCGGCACTAAACAACTGTGTCCGTAATGCACTAAAAAATCACACCCCAACGCGGTCGCCGCGTAGTCGTCCACGCAGCACGCGCCGTACGTCACGTCGCCGAGAATCACCACGTCTTTTATCGAAGGAACGAAAACTTTGAATATATCCGCCAACGTCGTCGCGTACAAGAGTAACCCCTCGGGAAACTGTAACGCCAATCGAGAGACGTTCCCGGTGCGAAGCCGCCAGATGGTTTTATGGATTTCAAAGGAATAGTTTGCCGGTAACGGTTTAACCGCTCGAGCGAGATTAGGATCGTTGAGAATGGCCAAAGGGATTTGGTTGCCCACAAAATGTCGGACGACGGTGGACGATGGTTTTGTCGCCGACGTCGTCAAAGCGAAAGAGTCGTTCGTTTTGGTCGTCCCCATTTGAGTAGAATCCCCTAAAATTGTGCGGAGAAGAAGAGACGAAAAGAGAAGCGATGGATGTTTACTAAAATGGTGCCGTAATGTACAACACGCGCGCGTTCTCTACCTAAATGCACAACAACGACAAAGTTTTATCACCATTGTCTCTAAATTAATCGTCACTCATCATGGACGCTTTCATTCTCGCCAGCTCGACCAACTCTTCGATGCCGACGACGTGCCAGGACTCTTCGCCCGCGCCGGTGGCCAAGACGGAAACGACGTCTTTGTTCGCGTCCACGGCGACGGTGACGCCGCCGAAAGCAAAAACCGGGAGATTTTCCAGACGCGTGCGACGATTGTTTTTCGGGAGGAACGCGAAATCGTTTTCGGACGCGACGGATTCGAGGATATCCTTGAGCGTTTTTTTCGCGGTCGAGCTGGATTTGATTTTGCGAGTTTTGCCGGGGGATTTGTCTCGTCCGGCGAGCGTTTGTCGAGCGTCTTCGTCGTCTTCGCCGTCGGAAAGCGCGATGGGTTCTCCCGTTGCGGCCGCGTTCATCGCCTCTAACGCGCGGCGTAAATGCGTCCGCGGACGCTCGTGGTTACACACGTCTTCGCCTAAAAGCGTCTTCCAAGACTCGTACCATTCGGCGACTTCGATCAAATCACAATTCTTCTCGTCTTTTAGCCACGATTTTAGAGTCGAGGACCATTTTTTCCAAAAGTGACTTCTTTCGAGAACTTTAGCAACGCCCCCGCCGCCATCGGTTTCTTCGCTCGATGCGAGGACGGCTTTCCACAGAAGAATGTTGTTGAATATCTCCAAATTTTGATCGGCGGGGTCGATTTCAATCAAACTCGCTTTGGCGACCAGTTTCGGGACGACTGTCTTCTCGACAAACTGCGACCACCAAGTTCGACCAAAGACGATCGTTTTTACTTCCACCCACGGTTCAACCACTGCGACTGCTTTGTCACCAATAGACGCGTCTATCACGTTCGCAAACTTTTGTTTTATTGTCGACGAAAGCGCTTTGATAGGTTCTAAAAGCATCTCGAGCCATGGGAAAATCCACTTTGAGGGTACCGACGACGGGGAAGAAGACGTTACTTTTCCTTCGTCGCCAGCGTCTTCAACGAACGTCCACTTTTCAATCTCTCGTGTCAGTTTCGGAATGATGGCATTCTCAACGATCTTATCCAACGAGCGGCGTGGTAACACGCTTTGCCACTCGTAAAAGAGGTCCATCGCTAAGTTTGACTTCACGTCGCGCGGGTCCCATCCTTGAATCAGCGTTCGTATAATTTTCATCGTCACCGGCGTTTCGATGACTTCTTCGAGTAACGTTTCGTCTTCGACGGTTTCGATAACTGGGTCATCGGTGTAGTTCAAAAACGACTCTTGCTTCTTGACGATCTCAGTCGTCGAGACGAGCACGTCTCTCCACTTGCCGCAGTTTTCGTAGGCGAGTTTATACGAACTGTTCTTGTCGTCGTCGCCTGAGGCTTCTTCGTTCTGGTTCTTGGGATCCCACGCGCGAAAGGCTTTTTCGAAGTACTTCTTCGCGTGTTTTTGTGCCGCAACAGCAGCAATGTCGAGTTCCGCGAACGCCTCTTTGTGGTCGCGTTTCAGCTCCAACCATTGTTCCAGAATCTTTTCGTCGTTCTCGTCTTTTTCGTTCTCCACCAACAGCTTCACCTTCTCGTTCAAAGTTCGGATATCTTCTTCGGCTTTTTTCACGTCCTTCTCGATTTGACTCAACCGCTCTTGTTCGCGCATTAACACCGCGGACGTGTCCATTTCCGTTCGCACTTTCGCGTCGTACAAAGAAATATTCGACGCGGCGAGTTTCCCCATCGCGTTCAAATTTCGCAACAACTCTCTTCCCGGTAAATGTTGGTCGTCTATGCGCTGCTCGTCGTCGTCCGAGTCGCCTTGGAGGTACTGTCCGGTCGTCGATTTAAAGGACGTGCCGTCGATTTCCAACTCTCTCGCGCCGCCACGTTTACTCATGTCGATGATTTTCATTTTCGGTTGGTGCAAAGCTTCGACGAACGAACCTTCGTTCGCGTTGTTATTCTCAATGTTGTCGTCCAACTCTTGCCGCTCTCGCTCGCGTCGAGCGATCAATTCTTCCGGCGTTTCGTATCTGACTGCTTTTCGTTTCACATCTTCCTTCGCGGAGCGTTTCCAAAGCTTCTTTTCTATCGTTTCTACGTTGTTTCTTTTCTCCTCTATTCGTTTTTCGCTGGCCAACTTCTCGCTCTCGTAGTCTGCGCCCCCTCGTCTACCACCGTTCTTTTTCTTTTGTTGAGTCTTCTTTTCGTTTTCTACGTTCTCTTCGAAATCGCCGTAGCCCATGCCCATGTTCTTCGGTCGCAGTTTCGTTTCGATGGCTCTGGAAATCCCTTTCCCATCGGCGCCTAAACCTTGACCAGGTTTGTAGCCCATTTTCGCTAATAACTTGGCGCCGATACCTTTCGTGTGCTTTTCGAAATCCGGTTTCACGATCTTTTCGTGTCCAACATCTTTGTTACTATTCCTTCGTTTTCTATTGTTGTTACTCATATCGTCTGTATCGTCGTCGTCTTCGTTTCCTAACCCGGCGGCAAAGCTTTCCTTCGCTTTCGCCTCTTCGCGTTTTCTTTTCGCCGCATTCCTCGCCTCCTCCGCGTCTCGCATTCTCTGCCTCGCGTTCGCCACCACGCGTTGTCCGAACGACGACGGTAACAAATCAAAATCTTCTTCTTCTTCTTCTTCTTCTTCTTCTTCTTCGTGATTAGTAGCACCCGCCGGCGCGAAACCGAGGCCGAGACCGCCGCCGCCTATACCCGTCCTCGCGTCCTCGTCGTCGTCGTAGTTCTCCGTATTGCTCGTAAAGCCCAAGCCACCGCCGCCACCACCGACTCTCACGCCTCCTAACCCGCTCGCGCCTGATCCGCTCTGCCGTCTCTCTTCTGCCACATCATCATCGTCGTCCTCTTCTTCGTATTCCTCCTCTTCTCCTTTCTTTCCATGAAAAGCGCCTGCTCTGGTGAACCCAACCGGCTTTGAAAAATCATTTCTTCTTCCTCCTCTGCTTCTCCTCCTCTTCCCATCTCTCTCGTCGTCCTCTTCCTCTGATTCCGCGAACGCGCCGTAAATGCTCTCCCGTTTCCCCTGCTTCGTTTTCTTTCCAATCATAAAATCGTCCTCTTCTCCACTTCCGGAGGATGATAATTCGCCGTCGGACGAATCGCTCATTTATTATTAATCCTCTTCTTCTTTCTCAGCCGTCGAAAGAAACAAAAGAAAAGAGAGAAAAAAGGAACAGAGAACAACACTTTGAGACTACTCTTTCACGCGCTCTCTCTCTCTCTCTGCGCTTCTTCTGTGAGTATTCTTCTGTGGTTTAATTAATGAATGACTTTCTTCTCCTTATTTTTGTGTGGCAGTTGTTTTCCTTTTTTCTTCGATTTCCTTTTTTTTTCTCAAAACATCAGTCCTTTTTTTTCGTCGTCAGTCTTTTTTCGTCAGTCTTTTTTCGTCGGTCTTTTTTCGTCAGTCTTTTTTCCTCTCCTCTTTGGAATTTAAGCGAAAGAACACAACTACTACTACTACTCCTGTTGGAGATCGAAATTTCATTTTCCTCAAAACTTTGTTGCCCTTTCTTGTTTTTCTTTCGAGAGAAGAGAGAAAGAGAGAGAGAGAAAGAGCGCTTTTGTTCTTCTCGTTGCGGTCGAAAGTCGTCGGCATGAGTTTTACTGTTACGAATGATGCTTTGAAGACGAAAGGTTTGAGGATGCAAAATTCTTCCACAGTCGTCGGGAAAAGAATAGGGCAAAAACGAGTTACGTTCGTCTCTGACGAGAACAGGAATGCGAAAGCGAGAACTGGATCGAGAGGAATACCAATAAAAGCGGCGAAACGAGGAGGAGGCTCGGGCACGCGACCGTACACCTTACGCTCCGGGGACACGCTCGAATCCATCGCGAGTAAACGTAAACTGAACGTGGAAACGTTGAGAAACATGAACAAAAAAATCGGCTCGGGCACACCGAAGATTGGGCAGACTATTTTAATACCGAGCGGCGCGTTAAGCGCGAGAGATTTAGAAATCATCAACGGGATCGCGAAAATCAACGCACCGAGAACGTACATTCCGAGGAAAGGAGAAACGATCGGGGACGTGATCACGGCGAGAAAAATTGATTTCGCCGAGGTGCAAAAGTTAAACCCGGAGGTAAAGTTAGGGACGTTTTCCGGGAAGGAGAGTTTGAAGTTACCCGCGGGAAAGTACACCGTGAGAGAAAGAGAAATGTTGCAAGGATGCGGGATTTTACCGCAAGACGCGGTATCGATTAAACTCCCAGGCGCGGAAAGCGCGAGGAATATTTTAGTCGCGACGGTATTAATCGGCGCGTATTCCATGTATTTCGCCGCCTGCCGGAGGTACCAAAAGTACGGCACGAAGTTGTTCGGAAACGATCGCGAGGAGGATAATCAAGATTAATTTAATACTACTCATCAAACGCAGAGATACTGCGATCGTCGGAATCTATCTCTCACGAAAAGCGAGTGTCTTTTGGCGTCTTGGATATCAGAGAGTGAGAGAAATAGAGATCATCCCTTTACATGTCGTGTATTCGTAAACGTTATTATATATTCGTCTCTTTTACCATTTTTACCGCCGCCTCTCCGTCACAAAATAGCGCATCAAATCGTCTCGTTTACTAAGAAAGGCGGTTGGAAGAGGAGAGGAAGAATAAAAGATGACGTCCCGCGCATCAGGGGCGGACCCTCCGACCACCTCTCTCCGAGCGACGAGCGCTCTAAACGGGGTGAAAGTGTACGAAGTCGCCTCGAGCAAACACAATCCGCAGTTCGCCGCCGACGGGAAAACGAACAAGAAACCTTCGAGAAAGCAACGCAAAGATGTGAATTATCAGCAACGGATAGAGTTGATTCAAGACTTGGATTCGTTTCCGACGTGTGCGCACAGAGGGAAAGTTTCCGAGGATGGACAGTTCTTGGTCGTGAGCGGGTTACATCCGCCCATGTTCAAGTGCTTCGATTTGGGAAATCTGAGCTGTAAGTTTACGAGACACTTGGACAGCGAAATCGTGGACTTTCAACTTTTAGGCGAAGATTATTCAAAGATTGCGTTTTTATGCGCGGACAGAGCGATTCGGTTTCACGCGAAGTTTGGAACGTATTACGACGTTCGAACGCCGAGACAGGGGAGAGACTTGGCGATTTCGAGACGAACGGCGGATTTAATCGTATGCGGATCGAGTAAAGACGTGTACCGGTTAAATTTGGAGAAAGGACGGTTTTTGGCGCCGTTGGAGGCGAAGTGCGAGGATTTAAACGTCGTTGGTATCAGCCCGACGCACGGTTTAGTCGCCGTTGGAGGTGGAGACGGAAGCGTGGAGTGTTTCGATTTGAGGCAGAAGAGAAGCGTGGGGAGATTGCACGCGTGCGGCGGAGATAGTACTTTAGAGAATAGAACGGAGATGAGCGATTCGGAGGAGAAAACCGGGGTGACGTGCGTGCGATTCGACGACTCGGGGTTAAACTTAGCGTGTGGGAGCTCGGATGGTATCGTGCGAATATTCGATTTGCGGTCGAGCCGAGCAAAGGTGACGAAAGATCACATGTACGGCGAACCGATCATAGACATCAAATTTCACGAAACCGCGGACGGGAAGAAGCGGGTGATGAGTACGGATAAGAAAATTGTGAAAGTTTGGGAGCAAAATAGCGGGGATAATTACGTCGCGGTCGAACCGAGAGACGGGAAAGAAATCAACGATATCGTTTGCTGGGAAAATAGCGGTTTAGTTTTTACTATCATGGAAGATCCAAAGATTGGATGCTATTTCATCCCCGGTCTCGGTCCGGCGCCGAAATGGTGTTCGTTCTTGGAAAATTTAACCGAAGAGATGGAAGAACAAAAGAGAGAAACGCTGTACGACGATTATCGATTCGTGACCGCGAAAGAGTTGAGCGAGTTAGGTTTGGACCACTTAATTGGAACGAAGATGTTGAGAGCATACATGCACGGCTATTTCATGGACAACAGATTATACGGCAAAGCGAAATCGGTTTCCAATCCGTTCTCGTACGAGGATTATAAAAACAAAAAGATTGCTGAGACGATGGAGAAAGAGAGACAAACGAGAATCGCACCGAAGAAGAAACTTAAAATGCCGAAAGTTAACGCGGCGTTTGCGGCGAAACTGGCGAGCGGCGAGAAAACCGCGAGCTTCAAAACCGGCGACGCGGACGCCGACTTTGATAACGAAGAGTTGGAGGGAGAACCAGAGATTAAAAACGAACTCATGCGAGACGATCGTTTCGGTGCGCTCTTTAAAGACGAGGACTTTGAAATCGACGAGAAGTCAGAGCATTATAAGTTGTTGCATCCGAACGCGGCTAAAGTAGACGCGAGGAAGAAGCGCGAGTTGATCGAAGAACATTTCGATACGTTCGATACGTCCTCGGACGAAGAAGAAAATGTTAAAGAAAAGAATAGAAAAGAAAAAGATTCCAAACAGAAGAAAACGAAGAAGAAAGATAGCAAGAGAAGAGGAATAGAAGTAGAAGAAGGAGATACTAGCGATGAGGAGGAGGACGACGACGACGACGTCGGAGGACGACCAGGCAAAACAGGAGACGACTTCATTCCTTCAACTGCGTTTGCGGGCGCGAAGAAAGGGTACGTCTTCTCCAACGGCAAGCGCGGCGTAGGATACTATATGGATTCAAAGGCATCCAAAAAAACATCGACTGCACCACCCACCATGGGTAACAAAAAGGCCAAGAAATCTTCTTCCACGGTTTCTGCGAAAGAGCCGCAAATGTACGCCGTCAAAGACGCCTTCCACAAAACCGCCTACACCAAAAAGTTAAACTCGCACGTCGACCTCCCTCTGATCGAACGCGCCAAGCTCGAAGGCGGCGCCGCGCAAACCTTACGAGACGCCGAACGACGCAACCCAAAGAAAACGATCGGAAACCGCGAAGGTTTCTTCGACGCCGCGATACCTTCAGCGGCGGACAAGAAAAAAAAAGGGGACAAGAAACGCCTCGTCGGTTTCGGTATCCGCGAAGCCGCCGCGGAGGACGAAGAAAACGCCTTCGCGGCGGAAACGCACTATCGAAACGGGAAACGAAGAGGCGTAGAATCGATCATGCACACATCCGGTGGTGGTCGAGCTGGTCGTGGTCGAGGCCGAGGTGGTGGGAGAGGAAGAGGCGGAGGAAGAGGAAGAGGGAGACGATGATAGTGATACCGCTTGTAGCGGTGCTCAGATTGATTCTTTGTGCTCTGATATGCTGCCACGTGTGCACTTTAAAATTTCCATTTCCATCACGAACGCCTCACTTTTAATCCACCTCGTCGACAATGTCATCGTCCTGTTCTTCTTTATCGTTTAAACGTTCCTCGACGACGAATACTGCCGGGCTGATTTCTTCTTCTTCTTCTTCTTCTCGTAAAGCCGCTGCTGCTTCTGCTCGTAAGAAAGAAAAGCGGGGAAACGAAGAGTTTTTCATTATCCATTCTCGCTTACAATACATGACCGCAGACGGCGGTCGGAGACAAAAGTTGGAGGAAGCTTTGAAGGAAGAGCTCCCATCCGCGCCGGGGTTGTCGAAGAACACGCAAATTGCGCTGACGAAAGAGTTGTTGAAAAACAGGTTCGGCCGGAGATGTCCGGAGTTATTGGCTGAAGAGTTCATCTACGACGCGTGTTACGAGAAGCCGAAAACCAAGGAGGAATATCTGAATTTTTTTGCCAATATGAATCTCCAAGGCGGGTTCCCGAATAGCGACTACGAGTTGTTGTACGACAGCATGAGAGTTGAATGGGACACAAAAGTGAGACAGCAGCAATATAAGGTGTGGTGCACGACGCAATTTAAAGGAAAGCACACGGGAGATGGTTTGCGAATGGGGAAGCGGAAAATTCCCGCGACTGGTATCGAGGTGGAATCCGCGCCGGAGATTTGTAGTTTTACGTATAACGCAGAAGGATTGTGTACTAGAATTAGCGCGGGGTACATGGCGGATCACGCGATTGGGAACACGAAAGGAAGAGGTGGGTATCACGGCATTTTTAACGCGATTGGACACCCTTTGCCGGTGCCTCATTCTGTGCATAAGATGATCACGGACGCCTTTCCGCAGTTGTTGGGTTTCGAGAAGGAGGACATGCTTTGGGTCGTGAACTTGGCGTTGTTCGGGTTAGCGGCAAGCGGCGGGGATTTGCGGTCGTTGATTCCTTCGAAGAAAAATGGGGCGAAAATGAAGCCGGCGAGCGTGACGAGTTCGTTCGTGAGTACACAGTTTGCCAAGGGAGGAGAGAGACATTCGCTCGCGCCAAAGTAAAAAGAAAGAAAATTTTTTAAGAAATACCGGTACCAGTACAGTGTGTGTAAAACATATATTTATTTACAAATGTTCATCTAACATGCGAGGCAACAATCGTCGTGATCAAAATATCAATTACGCGTGCTGCGCTTTTGGTTTGAAGTTGTTCGCGACGCGCTTTGCTCGGTCTGCGACCGATAATCCCGCAGACGCGGCTTCAATCTCCAAGCGCGCTTTTTCAGTTGTCGATAAAGGTCTCTTCGACGTTTCGTCGTCGTCGTTAATTCGATGTTGATTTTGGCACTTTTGAAACGCGAAAAACTGCGCGCGGCTCTTCACAAGCGACACTTCTTTTTGCGTACATTTCTCTCGATCTTGAACGACAACTGCCTCCGACGCCGTCGGTTGTTTCTTGTTCTTATTCTCGACAGAGCTGAAGATGTCTTCTTTTTTGTGTTCAATTATGGGCACAGATTTCTTTCCTGACTTCACGAAACCTTTCCTCGCGGCTTCTTGTTCCAAAGCTGCAATTTTGGCCAGCAAATGCGCCTTCTCTTTCTCTTTTCGGCTCAACTTCTTTTCTCTTTTGTTTTTGGTCGGAACAACTTTGACGCCGTTTGCCGTCGACGGCTTCTTGACAGAGATTGATTCATTCTTCATTGGCGGCTTTTCGAGTTCACAATCTCTACCATTATCGAAGTCTACTCCTTCGTCTTCTTCACTCTTTTCGGGCGGGTGTTCCGTGGTAGTAGCGACGACAGGGACTCTTTGTTCTTGTTGCTGCTCCAGAACCGTGGGAGAGAAAACAGGGACCGCCGCCGCGGGCTGAGGCATGAACTTTTGAAACTCGTGCGTAACGGGAGCAAAAACAGCCGGATCAACTTTTGGCGAAACGATGGTTGACCTTTGTTGTCGTTCGTGTTGTTGATCGGATTGTTGTTGTTGCAAAGGACCACCCTTGGCGAGCCATTTCAACGAATCCATGATGGCGCTGTTGTTATTATTTTTCGTTGCCGCCGACGCCATCATTTCAGGAGTAAGAGGTGCTGCAGAGGTAGAACTTGGAGGCATATTCAGACGCTGATGTTCGTAAGCCTTGCGATACGCCTCCAACACGGGATAGTTCGTCGCGTTCACCTCCAATCCGTACAAGCGCTCAAACTCTTCTCTCGTCGCTAAGTTGACGTTTCGCGTCGCGTATTGCGCGTTGTCGTAGTCTTTATGCGTCGGCAAGGTGGATACCAGCGCGACTTTCGCTAATCGTTCGGCTTCTTTTGCCATCATCACCGCCGTTCGCGCTTGTTCAGCGCGCATGACTGCCTCTTGCACTTTAGCGTTGGCTAACGCTGCTTCTTTGACTTTCAAAGCAGCTTTGGCCGCTTCCAAAGCCGCCTCCGCCGCCTTCGCCGCTTCCAGTTTCGCTCTCGTTTCCATTTTCGAGGCCGTTTGTCTCGCTTCGGCTTCTCTCGATAAGAGTTCAAAGCGGGCCTGCTCGACTTCCTCGTCCGTAAACGGTCGAGGACGCGGTTTGCCTTCGGATTTCCCGGGCCATCCGTCTCGCATCCATTTCGTTTTTTCTTTCTTCTCTTTTTTTATCGTTGTTTCCGTGTTATCGTCCCTTTCTTTTCGATATTCTTCGCCTGCCTTTAATGTCGATCTTCTCCTTCGCGACGACGACGACGACGACGACGACAGAACTTCACCTCCTTTCCTCTGTTTGTGCGTCACTTCGAGCGGTTTCGGAACTTTCGCGTACCCCCAAAAGTACTGCCACCAATTCTGCGGCTCGTACTCCACGCCTGGGTGTTCAATAGCTATTCCAAACTCATCGTATTCCGGTTTCGCGACTAACGCGTACCCCGGTGGCGGTTGAAGTTTCCCAGTCTTTTCGTTCACTTTCAATTCGACGACCATCTCCGGCGGCGGCGGCGGTTTTCTCTTCGTCCTCTCCGCCTCGTCCTCCGAAGAAGAAAAACACGCCGCCGACGACTCCCCCGACCCGTACTCGCTCGACGTCGTCTTGCCTCCTTCACCATCCGAGATGCTATACTCGAACGGCCCGTCCTCTTCGCCTTCGCTGGTAATTCTGCACTGATAGGCCCCTACGTCCACGACTTCTCCCGCTCTCAACTTTCCTCCATCCTCTCTCGCTCGGCGTCGTTCCGCCAGTCTTTCGCTCATCTCCTCTCTCCACATCGTCCGTCCTTTCCCGTCCACCACGCACAACACGTTCTCTTCGTGTGCAGGTTGGACGACAAAACACGCGAATAACTGTCCTCTCCCGCCTAAATCGTCGAACCGTTCGCACGCTTTCGCGCGGTAAAAGATATCTTTTTGTCTTCTTTCCTCCCGCGTCGTCGTCTGAATCGTCGTCGACGCAGACGGAGAAGAAGAACCAAAATCGCACCCTCTTCTCGCCGCGATGGCGATGTCACTTTCATCCGCCATCCTCACGTCTTCTTTTGAAACGATACCGCCGCCGTTTTTGCTGCTGTTATTATTATTCTCGTTCTTCTTCGCGTCACTTTCACCACTCCCACTCCTTCGAAACGACAACGTTTCTTTCGCCTTTTCCCACCTCTGATTGGCCTCGTGGGCGAATTTCACTCTCTCGTAGTTCGTTCTCGCCGCTTCCAACATCTGCGCGTTTTTGTTGTTTAATAAGAAGAGAGACGACGACGACGAGAGCAGTGTGCACCGCGCGTTTGCCAGCTCAAACAACCAGAGAGAGAGAGAGAGAGAGAGAGAGAGAGAGAGAGAGAGAGAGAGAGAGAGAGAGACGACGGGCAAACGTGTTTAGAGCAGATAAAAAGTAGTGGCGTAAGTGTGAGTGCAATTTTCCCTTCTTTTTCGAAGGGTGTTGGGAAGCCGTTTCGGAGCACCTTCGACTCCACTCACCCACACTCCTCTTCCATTTCGACGATGCAGAGGGTGATGCACCAAAGAAAGAATTATGTGCGATTGAAACGCTTCAACCGAGAAGCATTTCTTCCTCTGTTTCCGAATACACGTTGCAATCGCGGCACAGAATTCCTTGTTGTGACGTTTACCTTCTTCCCCGCTGCAATTATGCTCTTAGTATTTCTATAGGATAGAAGTGTATGTGTCTCTGCTTTTTTTCTTTAGGAGAGGAAGCGAGCGGAAAAGCGTCCCACGGTCGTCCTTTTCCCTCTCGTTCGGTGGAGGGTTCTGCCCTCTGCCGCGATGTAAAGAAGGAGAATTTTTGCCAGCGAGGATGTGATATTTTCGAAAAATCTTTCAAATAACGAGAGGCTTTGACCGCAGAACTTTCTTTGGCGACTCTTCGTTCTGTTTCCTCAAAAATTTGCGCGTGCCGCATATATATTTCCACGAAAACAGAGCATGGTGGACTTCGAAACGCGCGTTTTCGCGGGGACACCGGTGACGTTCGCTAAAATACCGGGCGATCCCGTGAAGTTTGTCCCGTTGCAATATTCGCTGATGCCGTTTCCGGTGCGTCCTTTCGTTTTCTTTTTAATTAAAGTATATTCGCCGAAAATACCCTGTGATATTTGTCGAAACATCGGAACGAAAGACGGAGAACGTTCTGCGGTCAAAGGCGAGAGCGCGACTCGTTTTTGCTCGATATCTCGGTGAAATCGAACGTCAAAGTGTTTTTCTCGTTTCAATGTGTGCTTTTACTGACAGTTTCTCTCGTATTCTCCTGTTCTTTCACAGATATCTCGCAATTTGTTCGCGCGAGTTTCCTCTTTGAGCACCAACGACATTTCGAGGGAAGTTAACGAACCGGCGGAAGAAAATGAGATTTCCAATCCTCATCAACACGGAGTGGATGCGTTTCAGAGGCTTCCGAACGTGCACTTGACTCGACCTCGCGCGCAATACGGGATTAAAAACGGATTCGTTCCAGATTTGGCCGGGATGCCTTCGACCGCGGCGCAGGCGGGGATGATGATGATGATGATGCCACCACCACCACCGCTGAATTTGAAACAGGAAGCAGAGGACGAGAAAGGGCAAAACTCAGAAAGGAGTGGTTTTGACTCGTTTCAAGAAGAGCCTTGCGAAGACCGAGAAGACATGGAACAGTCGAAACGAACAAATAACGACAACAATAACAGCAACAACGCAAAGAAAAGAAGTCGACCGGCGGTGGGAGAAAACATAAAACGACCGGAAACGCCGTTCATGAACTCGCCTTCCGCGGCTGCGGACGTGCTCATGTCCTTATGCGGCGACGGCGACGGAGGAGGCTTATTTGCCGCTCCCGCCGCAAACTTCAAACCGGTAAACGCGAACGCCACCAGCCGACAACAAAAAAGCCGACGAAATTCAAACGCGGAGACGACGTGTACCGGGCAAATTTTCCCGCTGAATTTGAAGTGTCCGAGAAGAAAACGAACGAGTTTGTGTAAGAACATGCGAAGGTCCTCGTCTGGATCGTCGCTGGAAGATATCGGGGGGGAGAGTGGGGCGGTTGTGCTGCACGGCATCTCGACGACGACAGCGACGACGACGGGTAACAATGGGGAGAATACCGCGCCGAGCACTAATACTGCGACGATTCCACGCGTAAACAATAATAAAGCCACAACGGAAGAACAACAAAACCAGAGAAAACATCAACGCAATAGCAGCGGTATTACGAACGGCAAAAACAAACGTCAAAAGGTACACAGACCGTGGTCTTTGGTGGAAGTCAAAGCTTTAGTCGCCGGAGTCAAACGGTGCGGTCGAGGCCAGTGGGCGGATATTAAATCCTTGTCTGACGAAAAAATTTCGGGCGCTTTGCTCCAACGCTCTGCGGTGGACTTGAAGGATAAGTGGCGCAACGTCATGCGAACGGCTTTATCGCCTGTGTTGTATAAGAAACGCGAGGCGACGGAGATTCCAGAGAACATGCTCGAGGATATTCGTTCGCTCGCGACGGCAAAGGAAAAAGAAACGCTGGCGACCAACAATGCCATGGAAGCGAAACTGACGAACACTACGCACACCGCGGCAAATACGTCACCCTCGACGAGTGGCGATGGCAACGATAGCAACTCCAACGAAGACGGCGAAGACGATGCGTTCGTCACCGATAATAACGCCGAGTCGTCTCAACAAAAGAATACGGCACTCGTTGAACGTAACACCGTTACTGTCTCAAAATCGGATGTTAAACAACAACAACACGCTCCGTACGTCCAGGGACAACGTCGATCGAAACATCACTCCCCGTGGACCTTGGAAGAATCGCAAGCGTTAGTTGACGGCGTGCGCACGTGCGGCGGATGCCGTTGGACGGCAATAAAAAAGCGCGACGAAGCCGATGCCATCGAGAAGAAGACGTTGAAGAAACTCGGTCGCCGAACAGCTATGGATCTGAAAGATAAATGGCGCAACTTGTTGCAGTTGGCAAACCTTCCAACGCAAAGTCGACGGAAGCGAGAGACGCCGATGAGTTTGCTTGCTGACGTTTTGGAGTTGGAAAAGAAATTCGGAGATACAAGACGAAGAGGACGACGAACTGTCGCGACAAACAATAATACCAAGAAGTCGTCGTCGCAAGAACAATCCGTGGCAACTATTGTACCAACAAATTAATTATTTAAACGCCGAAAAACGGAAGGAAATACTTTGTAATATTATCTATTCTTTCATGTATAATCACACTGATATTAGAATAGGAGCGTTGCCGCGGATATCCGACATTCTATACGTACTACATAACTTTCACCCGCCCACTTTTCGCTAACTTTGCTATGAACGACGCTTCGCCTTTCATCGAATGCACCGTACCTTTCTTCTTCACTTTTTCCCAATAGTGGCCTAAATTTCCACCCATGAAATCGTATCCAGTGATCGTAACCGTCGCTTTCGGGTACTTTTCTAAACAATACACGATGGCTAAAATCCCCGAGGACGGCCAATGCGCGGTGTATCCGTATTTTGTGGATAATTTATGTTGTACTTCAATAGGCATGATTTCCAGCATCTTGCGAATGCCGTACTTGGCGTACGCCTTCTTGACCGTCCTAATCGTTTGTAACCGTTGTTTCAATTTCGCGTTACTCGGCTTACAACTTTCTTTCGAGCACTTTCCCGGCGTCTCATACACGACCGGTACGATGTATCTCAACGTCGGCTTCACTTTCATATCCATCCTCCCGGTGCTCAATCTCGACCCTCGCGAACCTTGCGGTCCGGGTTGTCTCAACTCGCCTAAAAACCACAAATCCAATCTTGTCCCAACTTTCTTCTCAAACCCTTTCGTTTCGAAGTAATTGAATCTACCAACCACATCTGCGCTATCGATGCTCTTCCCGTTACTTTTCTTCAACACAGACTTCCCGTTCCCGACTAAAACGACGTTTAAGACGTCGCTGCTACTTTTCAAAGACTTCTCCTTCCTCGTCTTTTTCGATTTACTATTCTTCTTCCCGCTCGTCGCGCTCTTCGCCATTAACTCCCCGAACGTTAACTCTCCTCCGCTTTTTTCCATCTCTTCTTCGATTTCCAACACTTCCTCTTTCTTCTCGTCGACGATTCCCGCGGAATACTTCTCCTCGTACGCGTCGTGCCATTTCGGCGAAATATCCTCCTCCGGATTATCCACCCACTTCGTTTCTAAACTCTCTTCGAGTTGTCTATCTTCGTCCGTCCATCCCGGGTCGTTCCCGCCGTTTTGTTCCAGTTTTTCTCGGAACGATTCGCTGTCCAAAATGGCGTTTTCAATCTCGTTCGAGCTGATTTTCTGAGCGTTGCCATTCGCGACGAACGCTTCTGCGGCGTTTTGCAACGTTCCGTCCACCACGGTATCCAATTCCTTCACGAGTTGGTCCGCGATGGAGGAGGACTTTCCTGAAGATGAAGATGAAGAAGACGCGCTCGAACCGTCGTCGAGTAAATTCAAATTCGGCGCTTTGTGCGACCAGAGCACCGACCTTCTTTGCTCGCGCTCGTATCGCTGCGGCTGCTTTTCGTCGTGTACGTCGTCGTTTATCTTCTTCTTCGACGACCACGACGGGGAAAAAAGACGATCTTCTCCTTCTTCGACAAAGGCGGCTCCCGTCGTCGTCGCTGTTGTTCTTGCGCTTCGCGGGATGGTGCCAACAACACCTTCACCGATGCTGCTTAAAAGCAAAGAGAGAAGGAGCAACGCGCAGATCCACGACAGAGAACGCATCATCCTCTCGCTCTTCGGGCTCCTTCTTTTTATGGGGAAGTTGGGCGGAGAAAAAATAACAAAAAAGGGTGCGAGAGGCTTTGTCTGCTCTTCGTCGTCGCGATAATACATAAATAGAAATATGAAAACGCTAAACCCTTCTACTCGCGCGAATAACTCTGAGATCACGGCTGCTTCCTTCTCTTAGCTCTGACGGGCAAACCTTTCTTGGTGTGAATGGTCGCGCCGGTGATCATCTGCACGTCTTTCTCGTCGCACGCGAGCTCGAAGGAAAATTTCTTCAGCAAGACGCTCAACGCGACCGTCGCTTCCATCATGGCGAAGACGTCGCCGGCGCACCGGCGCTGCCCGCCACCGAATGGGACGTACGCGTAGTCCGTGGCGACTTCGTTCGGGTATAACCCGGTGACTAATTCGGGGTCGTAGCCGTTCCAGCCTTCGATTTTTGGGTTGGTGAATTTGCGGTCCCATCGCGAAGGGTCGAAAAGGTCTGGATTTTCCCAGTGGTCAGGGGAGCGGTGAAGATTCCAGACGGCGATGAAACAATCCGTGCCTTTCTTCAGTTGGATGGATTTCCCCATGCCGCCTTTGGGTAAGTCGACGGTTTCGATCGCACGGCGGATGAGGATGGGAGGCGCCGGATAGAGGCGCATGCCTTCCACGAGACACATGCGGACGTCGCGAAGTTTTCGTATTTCTTCCACCGTGGGGATACCGTTTGGATCTTGCACAATCTCATCGATCGATTGTGCTGCTTTTCTCATCACGTCTGGGTGTTTGCAAAGGCAAAAGATGGTCCACGTGAGCACCGCGGCGGTCGTTTCGTGTCCGGCGATGAGCATGGTCATCAAATCGTCGCGTAATTGCCTATCCGAAGCCTCGTCCCCGCGAATATCCACTAAAAATCGTAACAAAGACGCATCCGACACGTTCTTATAATCTCTCGATTCAAATTCGCTCAAATCCACGTCTTGTTTATTCTCCAACGCCTCTCGAATCAGTTTCGTCAACTCCGCGTTGATCATCTCGATATCTTCGCTAAATTGTTTCTGTCTCGGCACCGCCTCCATTGCCCCGGGAATTTGCCAATACGGTAACGGAAACGTGCTCCTATGTTCGCTTTCTCTTAAAACTCTATACACGGCTTTAATAATCGGCGTCTCTTCGTTCAACGCGCCAAACTCGTAATTAAACACCGCCTCGCCGATGACGTCCAACGCCATCGCGTACAACTCGCTCTCAATCTCAATCTGTTCCGTCTCCCCGTGTTTTTCCAACTTATCGCTCAAATTCATCGCACTCCTCCCGAACAAGTCCGTCATGTGTTTTAACCACGTCCCGTGAAAGGCGCTTCCAACCACTGGCCTTCTCTTCGCCCACAACTCTTTATTCGCCGGGATCAAACCGTCGCCCATAATCGGTTGCATGATGTCCGTCAAAATGCCTTTAGAGAACGCATCCGCGTTGTCTTTGAACATGTATTTCACCACGGTTGGGTCGGACACCACCACGAACCATTTCGGTCCGGCGCCGAGATTATACACCCCGCCGTAGTCTCGATAGTACTGGTACAAAGGCACAAACAAAGGCGCGCTCCGCACTTCCTCCTTTAACAAATCAAACAAAACTTTCTCCGTTATCGGCGCGCCGTTCCCCCACGGGAAAATCCGCGAGAACTTCTTCAACGCGGCCTCGGTGTTATCCCTCGGGATTTCCACGCCCGGGAATAACGCGCCGTTGTACGTTTTTTCCTCCTCCGTTTCCGGTGGTTCAGATATCGCATTTTGGACCACAACGACGATGGCTTTTCTTCTTCTTTGTCCGTGGTTGGTTTTCTTCTTCTTCTTCTCCCGCGTACTCGCCGTCGTAAACGCGGAAGATCTGGACGACGTCGAACAACACCCGGAGAGGAACGAACAACGTTGCGTCGTCGTCGACATTTCGAGAGGAAATGGGAATAAAGCGCTCTCAAGAATGCGCTACCTTAAAGGCGTTTTATGTGGATAAAGGACGAGAAAAATCTTTTCACACATGTGAGTTTTAGATATTATGGATTTAAAATATTGGTACACAACAGTCTCTCTCTCTCTCTCTTTCTGTTTATATAATAAGTTTATAATTGGTTTGGTTTCTTTTCTTTGTCCTTCCTCCTTCACCTCGCTTTTACGGCGCGCGTGATGCGTATCCTCGGCGGCGGGCGGCTCTTTCGAGCAGCGCTGTATTCGCATCCCACGTCCGGGCGAGGCGAAGAAGAGCGCTTCCTTTCCTTCTCTCTCTCTTTCTTTCCGTTTATATATATATAATGTAAAGCAACACGTCTCTCTCTCTCTCTCTCTCTCTTTCTCTCTTCTTCCTCCTTCTCTTTCTCTACTATGGTATTATTACTGCGCGTTCACGCTCACTCGGTTCTCCTTCTCAAACTGCTCCTCGATTTTTGCAAACTGCGTCTTTTCCAAATCCGCAAAGTACGGATGTTCCAACGCTTCCGTCGCGTGAATTCTCTTCGCCGGATCAAACTCCAACATCTGTTGCAACAAATCGATCCCGTTTTTATCCAGCTGCGGGACAATTTTTGCCAAATCTTGCGCTTTCCATTGCGGAAACTCGTGCCAATCTCTCAATTTGGTCACCCCCGGCCACACCGTTTCGTTCGGCGTTCCCAACAACTTAAAAATGTGCAACAACTGTTGCAACTCGGAATCACCCGGAAACAACGGTTGCTTCCTGGCCATTTCCGCGAAAATGCACCCGACGGACCAAATATCTACGGGAGTAGAATAGTGCGACCCCCCCAACAAAACTTCCGGCGCGCGATACCACAACGTCACAATCTCGTGCGTGTAACTCTTCACCGGAACCGAAAACGCTCTCCCTAAACCGAGATCCGCAATCTTCAACACGTTCTGCGCTTTATCCACCAACAAGTTCTGCGGTTTCAAATCTCTGTGCATCACCCCGTGCTTGTGTAAATGCGCGGTGCCTAACAAGAGTTGGTACATGAAGTTTTGCACCGTCGATTTCGGAAGCGGGTTCGCCGGTCCTCGTCCGGTTTCATCCATGAAGTGCTTCAAATCTTGGTTCAAATATTCAAAGACTAAATACAGCATCGCTTTGCCGTCTTCTTCCACGTGTTCGACTTTTAAAAGGCGAACGATGAACGCGGATTCGGAGAGCATTTGGAGTAAAGATACTTCTCTCAACGCCGTGGATGGTACGCCTTCTTCTTCCATCTGTTGATTTAGTAGAGAAAGTATACGCGTGAGTGTGATGTACTAAAAACAGAAGTATGAAAAGAACGCGCGAAGATTTTCAAAAATTGGAGACGCCGTTCCCCTCTCATCGCGATGAAAGATTCTGATTCCGTTTCAAAAACAGAAGCGCGAGAGCGCGAGAGAACAACGAGAGAAGAGAAAGGAAACCTAATCGTCTCTTTCTTTTCTCGAACGAGACAACCGGGAGACCCTTTGCTTTCGCTTTCGCGCGGCAACCTCTCTCTCTGATCAAAACAAAGAGAGATCCACCTCTCCGCTCGCATCAAAATCTCCCAAACACCAAAAGGGGAAGAGGGAAACCACCCGTAAAAAAAAACGTACCTCCAATCGTGTCTTCTTCAGCGCGACCAATCTCCCAGTCGCGCGTTCGCGGGCTTTGTACACCTTCCCGTACGTCCCTTGCCCGATCTTTTCGAGCTTTTCGTAGCACTCGTTGATCGTGGACGCGTAACCCATGGTCTTCTTAACTTCTTCTTTTTCCGAGAATATAAAAGATTTGTGATTTTTATGAAGAGAGAGAGACTCTCGACTTCGGTTCTTTTTTCTCTCTTGGGTTTTCAAATTTTTTGCTCGACATTTTTTTTTGCTCAAAATTCGAAAACAGAAGCCAAAAAAGACGGCAGATTTTTCTCTCCTCTCTTTGGGAAAATGTCAACAACCAATAATAATAACGTCAACAAATTCCAAGCGGCGTTTCGAGCGAAAGTGGAGCGAGTGAACGAGACGAAGAAGATACAGACGCAAAGAACGATTCACGGAGAGGATGAAGCGCCAGAGGGAAGAGGAGGCGCTTCGGGGACGACGAAAATGAATGCGATTTCGAACGAGAAGATGATGCGCCATGGGAGGGAAGAAGGCGAGGAGAAGAAAGTAGTACTATCTTCTTCTTCTTTGCCGGCGGGTTTTTTCGACGAGCACGCGACGGCGCGTGATGCGAAGGACGAGGAACGCGAGAAGAGGAAAGAGGAGGAGGAGAAGAAGGGAGGCGTGGCGACGACGACGACGAGGAGTATTGACAACACACAAAAAACTGTTGCGGACGAGACGAGCGGGCAAGAATACTTGAAACAAAAAGAAGAGGAGGAGCGAATGAAACGAGAAGAGGAAGAGGCGGCCATGCATGCGAAAGAGTTGGCGGACGAGGTCATAGCGGATACCGTGGCTGGGTTTGATAAGGTGGACGCCTTGCGGGAGAAGGCGATGGAGATTTTGATGATGAAGAAGAAGAAGAATAAAGAAGACGGCGCGAAGAAAGTGAACTGGCGGAAAGGCGAAGAGAAGGACGAGAGTAGCGACGACGATGATTCGGACGAAAACGACGATTTCGCGTGGAGAAGAAAGAAGAGAAAGAAGAGCACGTGATGCAGATAGTATTTATATTCTAAAAAGTAGGTAGCTTTCGTAGCGTTTAGACTTTAAAAAAGTTCAGAGAGAGAGATGTATTGTTTGCGGTTTAGCGCGCTCTCGCATACATAAATAATTATTATAGAAGTGCACATCGTCGACACGTTACGTTTCGACGGTGATAATATTATCGATTTCGTTTTCATTTTTATCGTTCGCGCCCTCGTAGTCGTCTTCAAGCGCTTGGAACGCCGCCTCGTCCTCTTGAGAAAGTTCGACAAAGTTTGTATCGTTTCTCGCGCTGCTCTCTTCGTCGAAACCTTCCTCCTCGGCGATTTTCTGCAACATGGCGTATAACTCCTTCTCCGATCGAGGACACTGTGGAACAATCGGAGGTTTCCTCCATTTGCGTTCACTCGCCAGCTTCCAGTCGACCGAGCGAAACCAAGGATGGTTTTTGATTTCAATCGAGCCATACGTCGAGCCGAGACGATTCGCGCTTTCGACGGTTAAGAGTTTACGTATCAAGTCTCGGCTTTCTTTCGTAAATCCGAACGCGTTTTCAGTTTCTTCTTCTTCTTCTTCTTCTTCTTCTTCTTCTTCTTCATCCTCTCCTTCTTTGTCGTTTTGGTTTCCATTGTCTTCGTCTGTTTTGACTTTTTTCTTCTTACTCCCACTCGTTGTCGTCGTCGATGTCTCTTTTTTACCGCTCTTATGCTTCGTCTTCTTCGCTTTCTTCGGTTCTTTCGGCCCAAACGTAAACTCTCTCTTCAAAATTTTCTGATACGTCGCCCACGGTTCTTCGCTTTGAAACGGCGGTATACCTCTCACGAGTTCATAGAGCAAAACTCCAAGCGCCCACCAATCTACGGACTCGTCGTGACCTCCGTTCAAAATAACTTCCGGCGCTAAATAGTCCGGCGTCCCGCACAACGTGTACGCCTTTTCGTTTTCAATAAATCCAACCTTCTGGCGCAACTCTTCCATAGCACCACCGCAACCACCACTACCGCCGCCGCCGCCGCCATCTTTCCTCTTACCGATACTTTTCGGCCCCAATTGCTTCGCAAATCCGAAATCCGCCAACTTCACGTACCCGTATCCGTCTAACAAAACATTCTCTGGTTTCAAATCTCTATACGCCACCCGACACGGCTTCGCGCACATCTCGTGCAAGTACTCGAACGCGAGCGCGATTTCAACGACGTAAAATCGCGCGATGTCATTTTTCAATCGTCGATAGATTCTCAACTGATTAAACAATTCTCCTCCTGGAACAAACTCCATCACTAAATGGATTTCCTCCCTCGTTTGCGCGTACGAAAACAATCGCACGATAAACTCGCTCTTGGAACACCTCTCGAGTATTTTTTTCTCCTGAACGATGTGCGCGATCTGTTTCGTCTTGGCGACGTGCGCTTTAGATAAGATTTTAATCGCCACGACTAAGCCCGAGTCTCGGTGTTTGGCAATCGGAACGATCCCGAACGACCCGGTGCCTATGATTGGGCCCAGCTCGAAGTTTCGGATGGGTGTTTTCGGGTGTATGGAAACGTTGTTCGGGTTCGGGTCAAAAACTTCTGCAGGAGCTTTTTCTGCCTTTATCGCTGCTGCTGGTGCTGCTTTTAGAAGAGGAGGTTTCTGAGTACTCTCGCGCGTAAGCTTTTGAGAAGAGACGGCGCCGCCGCCACCGCTGCTGCTCCTTGTCGTCGTCGTCGTCGGCGGCGGCGTCGCGATCGAACTGCACAGCTTCTTGAACATATTTTTCCCGTGTTGTGTGTATTTTTAGGATTTTCCCTTAGTAAGTAATAGTGTGTATGATTTGACTGTGTTTTGAAATGTACAAAAATAACTCTCTCTCTTCTATTCTTTCTCTCTTCTTCTCTCTCGCTCTCTCGTTAACTCTGCAAGAACGGCTTTCTTCAATCTCTGATGATAAAAACGAACGAATACCATCGCTATACTCTTTCTTCTTAGAGCGGCGGCAACCTACAACTACTTCACCATCGTCTTAATCTTCGCGATCGCCTTGGCCGGATTCAAGCCTTTCGGGCACACCTTGGTGCAATTCATAATCGTGTGACATCTGTACAACTTGAACGCGTCGTTGACTTGAATCAACCGGTCCTTCTTTTTCCAGTCGCGCGAATCGATGATCCATCGATACGCTTGCAACAACACCGCCGGGCCTAAATATTTGTCCGAATTCCACCAGTAGGATGGGCAGGACGTCGAACAACACGCGCATAAAATGCACTCGTACAAACCGTCCAATTTTTCGCGATCTTCTTTCGATTGTAAATTTTCTCGGCCGCTCGCTTTGGTTTCCTCCTCGTCGTCTCGAATCAACCACGGCTTGATCGATTTATACTGCGCGTAAAAGTTGCTCATGTCTACGACTAAATCTCGGACCACAAACATGTGCGGTAACGGCGCGACTTTCGTCGTCTCCGCGGCGGTTGATTTCTCCACTTTAGATAAGCACGCTAACGTGTTCACGCCGTTGATGTTCATCGCGCACGATCCACAGATGCCTTCTCGGCACGATCTGCGGAAACTCAACGAGTGGTCTTGTTCGTCTTTAATTTTCAAGAGAACGTCGAGCATCATCGGCCCACAGTCGTTCAAATCGACCGAGTACGATTGATAGTGCGGTTTGGAGTCTTTCGAGTCTTTCGGAGCTTCCGGAGACCACCGGTAGACGTCGAAATTCTTCACCAATGGGGAAGACGATGATTCAGAAGCCGTTGCTGTCGTCGACGATGTCGATGATGATGTCGAGGACACATTCCGCCTCGTGATAGTAAAGAGCGATGATGGAGACGCAGAAGATGATCTCAAAGACGACGTCGTGCTGCTACTACTATTACTCCTACTCCTACTGATGATCGCGCGAAACGCGCGTTCGATCGCTCTCTTCTTGCTCGCCATATAAATGTGTTTTGTCCGTTTTTGGTATATTAAAGAGGGACAACTTTTGTGTGTGGGAGTGGGAGCGAGGTTTCTCTCTCTGCAAAAAGAGAACTTTGCTCTTCTCTTTTTTCGCAGCAGAATTGTTCTTTTTTTTGCTCTCCCCTTTGATTTCGTAAGCCCCTTGATTTCGTAAGCGAGATGGAAACCGACGGCCAGAAACGAAGCTCATCAAACTTTAGAAAAGTTCTTCACACAAACGCACACATCGCACGTACCACACATCTATCTTTTCAAAAGGTACGCAAACTGCGCGCAAAAGTGACTGACTCTCTTTTCGCACGCAGAACATATTCGTGAACGATTCTCGAACGTCGTTCTCGCAAGTTTCGATTCGCGTCTCTCATCGTTGGTTCTTCGCGCGCGATTGGAAAAGGGAAAAATTTTAGGCGGCTGAAGAAAGAGGAAGCATTTTATGCCGCCACACCCCCACGGAACATCCGCGCGCTTTTTACCCCGTTGCGAGCGATTTTTGGAGCGAAAGGAGCGAAAATGTCGTCGAGATGTTTTCGTTGCGAGTAGATTTAAATCTTAACTCGTAATGCGTGGATGTTTCGGTGCTCTTTTCGTTCGGTTTCCGGACCAGATGATGGAACATTTTTTCCGTGTGAACGCTTTTTTGGAACTTTCTCGGCCAGACACGTTTTATCTTTTTCTTTCCAATTTGATTTCTTTTCTTTGTGTTCACTACTAACCGACGACTTCTTCGCTTATTCTTCTTCACGCATAACAACAGAACTATTTAATACACAATGGCTCCCGCGAAGTGCACCGTACCGAAACCGTCCTCCGTGGTGACCGCGGAAGTCGTGGCGTCTTTGCAAAAAGACGCCACGAACAAGAAAGAGCCGGAAACGAGAGCGAACGCGGCGAAGAAAATCGGGGAGTTGGCCACGAAATCGGGCGCTCAAGAGGAACCGTTCATGATTGAGTTGTTAGAAGTGGCTATTATCTTGGCCGGGGATAACAAGTCCAAAGACGTGAGAGAAGCGGCGGACCCGGCGGTGGATGCCATCTTGTCCAAGTTGTCGCCGTTTGCCATCAGAGCGTGCCAAAAAGCTATTTTCGCCGGTTTTGCCAGTCCGTTTTGGCAATCCAAGATGGCTGCGTTGAGAGTCATTGACTTTTTCGTCGGAGCTGCACCGAAGTCGGTCGCCGCGGCGTTGCCGGAATTGGTTCCAGAAATTGCGCAAGTCATGGTTGACATGAGAGATGAAGTCAAGGAGAAGTCTTCGGATACGATGGCCAAGGCGGCGTCGACGATTGGTAACTTGGACATTGAGCCGTTCGTACCGACGTTGATTGAGTGCATCGTCAAGATTGACGAAGTGCCGGAGTGCGTGCACAAGCTCGCCGCGACGACGTTTGTTCAACAAGTCGAGTCGCCGACCTTGTCCATTCTCGGTCCGCTTTTGATGAGAGGTTTATCGCACTCGCAAATGACTGCGATTAAGCGTAAATCCGCGGTTATCATCGACAACATGTGTAAGTTGGTCGAAGATCCGATGGATGCCAAACCGTTTGTCCCGAAGTTATTGCCGTTGTTGAAGAGAGCGATGGACGAAGTTGCCGATCCGGAATGCAGAACGGTTTGTACGAGAGCGTACAAGACGTTGTTGAACGCCGCCGGCGAAACCGCGGAATCCGCCGCCGCGGAAGCCGAAGATGCCTCTACTCACTACGATGAATCCATGGTTTCGAAAGAGTTACAAGCGCTCATGGTCACCGCAACTGGTGCCTCGGACGCGGACGTTGCGAAGTTTGTCGAAGATCCGGCGGTTGCGCCGATCTTTAATCACATTTGCGCCTTGTCCGTCAACGCGCTCTTGCAAAAGAACTTTGACAAGGACCAGTGGACCAAGTCTTGCGCGACGCCGTACATGAAAGTGTTTTACGCCGACGCGGATGCCTTGACGGCAACTTTGGTTTCCAAGGCCGAAGAGTTGTACTTGTCCACGAAGAAAGTCTTCGTAGTTGAAGACGAAGAAGGCGAAGACTTGTGCAAGTGCGACTTTTCCTTGGCGTACGGTGCGCTCATTTTGCTCAACAACGCCACTTTGCACATGAAGAAGGGTAAAAGATACGGTTTGTGCGGCCCGAACGGTTGCGGTAAGTCGACGCTCATGAAGGCCATCAACAACGGTCAAGTGGACGGTTTCCCGCCACCGGAAGAGTTGAGAACGGTGTACGTTGAACACGACATCCAAGGCGACGTCGGGGACATGAACGTCGTCGACTTCATCTCTGCCAATGATGTCATCAAGGAGCACGGAACCAGCAGAGATGAAGTCAAGAAGGTTTTGACGACTTTCCAATTTACGGAAACGATGCAAGAAGGTGCCGTCACCGCGTTGTCTGGTGGATGGAAGATGAAACTCGCCTTGGCGAGGGCGATTTTGATGAAGGCGGACATTTTGCTTTTGGACGAACCAACTAACCACTTGGACGTTAAGAACGTCGCGTGGTTGGAGGAGTATTTGATCTCTCAAACGACTATTTCTTCCATGATTGTCTCGCACGATGCCGGTTTCTTGGACAGAGTGTGCACGCACATCATCCACTACGAAACGAGAAAGCTTGTTACGTACAAGGGTAACTTGACTGAATTCATCCGTCAGTGCCCAGCCGCGAAGAAGTACACCGAGTTGTCCAACGACGAACTGAAGTTCATCTTCCCGGCGCCTGGTTTCTTAGAAGGCGTAAAGAACAAGGATAAAGCCATCGTCAAGGCGACCAACTGTTGGTTCAAGTACCCGAACACGGAGAGGCAAATCATCCAAGGCGCCTCGATCCAACTTTCTTTGTCTTCCAGAGTCGCGTGCTTAGGCCCGAACGGTGCCGGTAAGTCCACGTTCATCAAGTTGCTTACTGGTGAAGCTGAACCGGACCAAGGTACGGTTTGGAGACACCCGAACATGCGTTACGCGTACGTCGCGCAGCACGCGTTCCACCACGTCGAACAGCACTTGGAGAAGACGCCGAACGAGTACATCAGATGGCGATTTCAAACCGGCGAAGATAAGGAAAACTTGACCAAGGTCACCATGCAATACACGCCGGAAGAAGAAAAATTGATGAAGGAAAAGATCAACGTCACCAAAGAAGATGGCACGGTCATGAAGTTGGTTGTCGAAAAGATCATCTCTCGTCGCCAAAAGAAGAACAAGTACGAGTACGAAGTCAAGTGGGAGAACTTGTCCATGGACCAAACGACGTGGATGGAAAAGGAGAAGCTCGAAAAGTGTGGTTTCACCAAGTTGATCCAACGCGTCGACGAAAGAGAAGCCGCGCGCGCTGGCTTGTACGCGCGCCCGCTAACCACCGCCAACGTCGAAAAGCACTTGATTGACTTTGGTCTCGAAGCTGAATTTGGTACGCACAACAGAATCAAGGGTTTGTCTGGCGGCCAAAAGGTTAAGTTGGTTCTCGGTGCCGCCATGTGGCAGCAACCGCACATCGTCGTCATGGACGAACCGACCAACTATTTGGACAGAGATGCGTTAGGCGCCTTGGCGTGCGCGGTCAAGGAATTCGGCGGCGGCGTTTTGCTCATCACGCACAACTGCGAATTCGCGGACGCGTTGAAGGAGGAAACTTGGGACGTTCCGGGTACCGGTGAAGTCATCATCACCGGTAACAGGTGGGGCCAAGGTAAAAAGGGTAAGGCTGAAAAGACGGACTGGGATGGACCGCAAGAGGACACCATCGACGCGATGGGTAACACCGTCAAGGTCAAGGGCCCGAAGAAGAAGTTGTCTAGAAAAGATATCAAGGCCAAGGCCAAGTCTCGCGCGATCAAGTTAGCCGCCGGCCAAGATTTGACCACCGATTCCGACTGGGACTTGGACGTCTACATCGGGGAAGACCCGTCCAAGGCAAAGAAGGCTGGCAAGGAATAAGTATGTGTACTTGGATGAATTAGAGTATTATATATGCGCCGTAGCCGAAAGCGAAAAGGAAAGAAAATTTCCTCTCGCGAAAGAGACGTTATTACATTTTTAAGAGACACAATATTATTACATAGACGAGATAGCAACATGTTTTAATTTGCAAACTTTGACTTTTATCACGATTTATCATCATCATTCATTCATTCGCGCGTAGTATGAAAACATACTCTCTCCTCTCGTCGCGCGCTTTACTCCTCGCGTTTTGTTGATTTCTCATCGATTCTCACAAGTCACTTGTTTCTCTTTTTTAACGAACGTTTGTTTTCTGTTTCAAATTTCTTCAGATTAAGGCAGGCGCAAAGGAAAAAAGGGGGATGTTATTCGCGGCGCAAGAAACGCCGCTGTTCGTTTTAAACGACGACGAGGCTCTTTTCGCGAACGAAAGAGGACGCGCGGAAGATGCGAGCACTCGAAACATTACTGCTCATTTTAAAAACAACGAAGAAGAAGAAGAAGAAGATCGAACGCGAATTGAAAAGAAACAACAGAATGACTTTTCCTCCGGCTCCGGCGATATCGTTCGATTGCGAGATGGGAGTTTACTGTCCTGGCGAACGACGAGCGGAAAGAATGCGGTCGAAATCGTCTTGTGGCGGGAAGAGCGCGATGGGGAACGAAGAGAGAATGCTGCGAGCAGAGCGGTGAAGACGATTGAAATCACGTTTCCAACTGACACCAAAAACGAGCTGTGCGCGAAAAGCGTCGTTTTGGCGCCGACATCTGTGAACGACGACGGCGCGTCGTTGTTTCGCGTGATCGCGTGTAGTCGAACGGTGCAGACTAACGGGAAAGTTTTGGAAATGTACGTGGCTACCGTGGAGGAGTCTGCGGATAAATCGTCGTTGCGATTGAAAGGAGGCGCGGTGGCGAAGAAAGCGGTGAAATTGGAAACGGCGGGGTTGGGAGACTCGGTGACGTGCGCAGGATTGGTGAGCGGTGCGGGCGAACGGTCGCCGATCGTGTGTGTTGGTGGTACGGACGGGCGAAAAGTCGTTTTCGTGGACGTTTTATCCGGCGAAGCGCTTTCGGAGATTGCGGTTGGGAGCCAATCGATATCGTCTTCCTCGGCTGCGGCTATTGGGAGTTCGTTGTTGGGAAAGTTTGGGATTAGCCTCGGTGCAAAAGGAACCGTGCCGCCAGTAGTGCACGTATCGCCCAGACTGATCGAGTTAGATGGGTCGATGGTGACAGTGATAGTCACCGGGGATGGGGCGGTGACGTGCGTTACTTCTTCGACAGCGAATACGAAGGGGGCGTTTGGCTCAAACTCGCAAGCAAACAGACGCGTATTGTTTCGAATGATGTTACCAAAAGGAGCTTTGAAAAGTGATGCGTTGATCACTTCTTCATGTCGCGAAAATGACACAACGAGTTCGGCTCCCCAAAACTGGTTCGTTACGGGAGCGCGGGCGACAGCTGGCGGCAATTTAGTGGTCTTTGGAAACGAAGATTTAGGTAGGGAACACGTTACCACGTATACGTTTGTGAGCACGAACGAAATCCGACGCATGGCTACGTTTACTATCACTGATAGTGCTGATAGCGTTCGAGACGTGTATTTCGACTCCGAGAGTGGGGAGATCTTCGTCTTCTTTTCGAGTAACTGCGTTTCGAAATGGTCCGTAGCGGATTCGTTGAGGGTCGTTGAAACTTTAGAATCTGATTTAGCCAAGTTTGAATCGTGGGCCATCAACGGTGTAGGTTCCGAAGCTGCTTTAAGCGCTTTGAGAATATCGTTTTTCGGAGATTTGAATGATGTTGGAGTCGATAAAAGGGAGATGCACACGTTTGCAAAGATTTTAGCCTCGGAGATTTCAGAGATTGGTCTAGATAGAGGGGTGAGCGCGGCAGGATTTCGTCGAGCACTTGGCAAGGACTTTGAAAGCGATGGAACGTCGATTGTTGATGCTATAGCCGCGACTTTAGCTTCATCCTCGGAAACAGTCGATGATCTTGTTCAGAATTGGGGAGAGTTCGTGAAACGATACGTCGCTGAATGGAAACTAGGGAACCTCGGGTTTGCTTTTTCCGTTGTGAAATCGTCCACGGGCGCGGAAAAAGAAGAACTATTATTCTTGAGAAAAAGTGGTATCAGCGCACTCGCGACGAGTGGAAAGAACGCTTCATCGTCTGGAGCGCACATGCGGTTCCAAAACGACGCGGTTGAAAATGCGACCTCGTTACTTTCTCGAGCGGCGGGGAATTCTGTCGAACGCATGGCAAAGTTGCTCGGGTGTAACTTCTGCGGTCTCGAGAATCGCGAAGCTGTCGATTGGCTCGACCTTGCCACGTGTGAAGCGACTGGTACTGGTGGCCTTAGTATGACTGGTAGAAGCTCCTCGAGCAGTGCGCACGATGCGTTGTTCAGGGACCAAAGACGCTTGCTCCAACGCCAAACGATTTTGACTGTTCGAAAAGCGTGGGAGTCGCTGATTGTAAACGATAAAGATTTGGCGGCGTGCGCACAAAGTATTGAAGCAGCTTTATCTCAGAGCGTTCATGATATTGCGTCTTCTTCATCCTCTTCCTTCACGTCGGCGAAGAAGCTGCGCATGCTAGCACACAAAGCGTTCGGGTTTGCCATGTTGCTCCGATTAGCCTCAAAAGGCAGCGCCTGTTCAACGCCAAAAAAGGTTTCGAACGATGCATTTACTTTGTTACCGCGTGTTCTCTTAGTTTTTGCGCTTTCTTCCGCGCTTTCCTCCGTCTGTGCGTTGGATCCAGATACGATTGCTATCCAAGCATTCGCGAAACAAAGAGGCGATCCGGCGATGGTGGTAGTTGATCTTTTTCGTCGAGGCGAAATCGAAGCTTCAGAGAAGATTGCGCTGGCATTTTTAGGCAGCGCCATTCCGGGTGATTACGAGAAGAAAAGTGAAGAGGATGAAAGTCTGTTGTGCTACGAAGGCGAGCGACCGGCGCTAGCCTTCGCGCGTGCGTTGGCAATGTTGGCGAGAAGAGCTGCACAAACGAGTCACTCGGACGAAGAAGCTTCGAGATTGTTTTTCCAGGCGGCTTTGCGTTTAGAGAAAGTTGACGACAGCGAGAATAAAATCCTAGCGGAAACGGCAAGAACGATTCGCACTTCGATACTTGGTGACGATGACGACGATGCCAAGAACGCGCAAGATCGAGGAAGAGGAGCGCAAGATCCGCGCACGTACGATGCGCTTGAGCATCACGAAACGGTCGCGTTAGCGTTTGAACGCGTCTTCTCCTCGCGTCTTTCTCACGCCTCTTTGAAATTCACAATGGCGGCAATCTCTGAAGCCGAGCTCGTCACTGAATTTGAATCGCAGGAAGATGCAGCTAGGCTCATCGACGCTAAAGAAAGACTTTGGCACGCGTCTCTGCGACGCGCTTGCGACGAAAACGATTTCGTTTCTGCGTTCGTTTCTACACTTTTCATGTACAATTCCCCGGCGGCGGCGAGACATTCGAACTTTTCAGGTGTACGTGCACTTGTCGAATCGGCATGCGACGCAATGGGCGTGAACTGTGGTGCGACGGCGGATATTGGTCGAGTGATTAAATCGTTGCCGTTTGGAGAGGCGATTTACGCGGCGAGAGAAACGCTTGAAAGAAAATCTCGAACGCACAAGTTGAATCACCAGTCTCAAGACGACAAAGACCAAGGAACTGCTACAATCGTTTCTCCGTCGGAGATTTTATATTCCATGCTCGTCGATCGTTGGGAGTTGAAGGACGCCGCGTTAGTCGCTGCCCAAGACGCCGTCCGCTTCGGCGACGAAGCTCGACGAAAAGTTTGCGAAGCCGCGAAAGACCCGCAAAACGCGCAACTTCGAGACGATGCCATCGAGTCAGTTCAACGTCATTTGCACGGTTTAGAAAAGTCTTTAGCCGCGTTGACCGCGACAAGAAGCGACGAGAGGTGCGGTACCGACGGCGAAGTGTTCTTTGCACCGACGCACGACGATTTTGGAGAAGAAAGCACGGACGATGAAATGCACGTCGAAAAAGGATCCTCAGAGTCCTCGCAAGAAGAGATCGTATTTGAAAAACTTCGCATTCATAATGACGACAACGACGAAGGCAACGATGTTGCACGTCAGAATCAAGAACCACCGAACGACCGCGCGCCTCCACCAAAACCGAAACGACACAAAAAGCTCCATCCTCCAACGGGAGACGACGAGATTGGCGTTGGTTCGCCTCTTGCGGCGATGGCGAGAATGGTCGCGCTCACAAAAGCGCGTCTTCTTCTTTTAAAAAATGATGCCTATTTAGAAGAGCTCGCGATTGAAAAGCAGAAGTTCACCAACATAGCTTCCTTATTCGATGAGAGCGCGGTAAAAGTTGTGTGCGAGAGTTTGTTAAAGCGCGGATTCTTCGATGACTGTTCGGATTTGGTTTCTTTGTGGTTTTCAAACCACGAGTTGCGCGACGTCGCGAGTCAAATATCATGTTGCGCCGGTGCGTTTGCGGCAGAAACGATTCAGCATTCGAGCGAGAGTCATCATTCGGCAAAGTTACCGATTGGTTTTAAATGTGTGAAAGTTTCGAGCTCGTTATCGAACAGCTCAAATACCCTCGCCAATGAGAACCCGTGGGTGGCGTCGAGAAAAATCGTGGACAAGTTTGAAAACGTGGAAACGAATGGGATGATTGCTCATTCCGCGTGTTTAGGCGCCTTAAGCGTGAACCCAGATCTCGAGTTACCTTTATTTCTCACTGAAAACGTGCATTGCGATAAGCTCATTTCGCTGTATTTGAAGGCGAATCGTCCGGCGTGCGCCGCTCGGGTGGCTCTGAAAGAGTTGGAGCTTTATTCGCGCGCGAGTGCGATGAAACGCGTTAAACATAACGCCGTTTGGCTTCCCATGGATGCTTTCCACGCGGTTCAAATTGCGCTCGATGACGACGCGTTCTCAAATAAAAAGAAGCACATATCATGTGCTTTGAGAATCGCGATTGATTCGCATCGAAACCAACTGGAGAAAGATGCGAAAACACTCGCTCAGGTGCACCGGATGTATTAATAGCAAATAGCGATAAAAAGCAATAAAAAACACAATAAGCGCCAAAATTACGTACCAGTTGGTACTAGGAAATAGACAAACTACATGCATGCCAATCATGGTCAAAATTACAAAAAGCTAATAATTCTCTTAATAACTCTTGGCGAATATGCATACCTCTTTCGCTGGCTTTCCAGTTTGGATGCAGTTTCCAACCGAGCTCGGTTGTTCAAAAGGGAAGCATCGGATGGTCGCCCCCGTTTTCTCCTTGATCTCCTTCTCTTCCTCGTCCGAACCTTCCCAAGCGCACCTCGCCCACTTCCCGTCCTCGATCGTTTTTTCTAAATCCGCCATCGTCGCGCAATCGACGATGTTTTCGTCTCGAAACTTTCTCGCTTTTTCCAACATCGCGTCTTGGATCTCATCCAAAATCACGTGGATTTTCTCCACTAACGACGCTTTTTCCGCGGAAACGCCAAACTCTTTGCCTTCTTTACCCGGCACGTCTCTTCTGGCCACAACGCACGCGTTCTTCTCGACGTCTCTGGGACCGATTTCAATACGAATCGGCACGCCTTTCATCTCCCAAAAGTTGAACTTCCATCCGGGCGATTTCGTATCGTCTGCATCAATCTTCACGCGAATGCCCGCTTCTTTCAATATCTTCGTAATCGCATCGCACGACGCCATCACCGATTCCTTATCTTTATTCTTTTGCCAAATCGGCGTCACGATGACTTGCACCGGTGCTAATTTCGGCGGCAACGTCAATCCCTTATCGTCGCCGTGCGTCATAATCACGCCACCCATCATTCGCGTACTCACGCCCCAGGAGCTTTGATACACGTTCTTTGCTTTCCCGTCGGTATCTAAAAACGTCGTCTCGAAAGCTTTTGCAAAGTTATCGCCTAAATCATGCGAAGTTCCGGCTTGTAACGCTTTCTTATCACCCATCATCGCCTCCATGGTAAACGTCGCCTTCGCGCCCGCGAAACTTTCAATGCTGGATTTCTTTCCAACGATGACAGGCATCGCGAGCGTCTTCTCCGCGAATTCTGAATACACTTTAATCATTTCCATGGCCATCGCGTTCGCTTCTTCCGCGGTTGCGTGCGCCGTGTGTCCTTCTTGCCACAAAAACTCTAACGTTCGAATAAATGGCCTCGTTCGCATCTCCCATCGGTGCACATTACACCACTGGTTCAATTTAATCGGCAAATCTCGATAACTTTGAATCCACTGCGAAAGCATGTGGTTCACGATAGTCTCCGACGTCGGTCTCACCACTAACGGTTCCTCCAACGTTTTCCCACCTCCTTGCGTGACTACGGCCAATTCTGGAGCGAATCCTTCCACGTGCGACGCCTCCTTCGTAATGAACGAATACGGAATCAACTGCGGAAAATAACAATTCTCCACCCCTCGCATTCCAAATTGTTCGTTCAAAATCGTCTGCGTCGTCTCCCACATGGCAAACCCGTACGGGCGAATAACCATAGTCCCTCTCGCCGGTCCGTAATCGGCCAGTTCGCACTCTCGAATGACGTCCAGGTACCACTTGGAGAAGTCTTCCGAGCGCGGCGTCACTTGCGCTTCCGCCTCTTTCCCTCCTTTACCGCCGCCGTCGTTCTTCTTCTTTTTATCGCTGCTATTCTCTTCTTTATTTTTTTTCGCTTCTCCGGCCGACGGATCCGCTTTCGCTTTCAGTTCCTTCAACACCGCCACGGCTGCTTTCACGTCCTCGTCCTGGTTCGTTTTCCCGGACGCTTTCAAAGCTTTAATCAAATCGCCTTGTTTTGCAATCGCGTCGGCGACATCACCTGACGTCGCCGCGCTGCTGCTGCTGCTGCTGCGGGTAACGACCGACGACGTAAACGACGTAAACGACGTTTGGGTAAAGAAGAAACGTTTACCACCACCACCACAAAAACCACCACCCGTTTTCCTGTTTTCATTCTCCCTAATAGTCGACGACGCGCTGAAAAACGAAGAAACCGAAGGAATTGGTTTCGCCGCCGGGACGACGGGCGTCGAATTTAAAGCAGACGACGACGTCGTACACGACGACGTATTCGTACACGACGACGTAATCGCGGGCGAAGAAAAACGCCCGCAAGAAGGAAACCACCACCCCTTAAAACTGTTTCGGCGGCTTAAATGTCGTCTCGCCGTCGTCGTCGTCGTCGTCGTCGTCATCATCCTCATCATCGTTCTCGTCGTATTGGTAAAAAAATGTCTTCTTTTCGTCGTCATCGTGTGCCTCCTCCTCAAGATGCTGTTCGTATTCGTCGCGGCTCCGACGAGAGTCATTTATTTCTTTTCTCTCTCTCTCTCTCTCTCTCTCTCTCTCTCTCTCTGTGTGTCTCTTTTCGTGTCGCCGTAATAAACTACTTCACGCGAGAGAACACAAAGAGAAAAGGTTTAATGTGGGAAATTTTATCTCTTTTTAGTGATGTGTTTTTTTCTCCAAAAAACCTTTACATTGGTCTTTTTTTTTTGGGCGCTTTTGCGTCTCATCACACACTGATTGAAAATGTCTCCGAAGCCAAGATCTCTCTCGTATGCATTCATCACCTTTTTCATCACGAGGAAGAAAGAGTTTGAGAGACCAATTGTTTGAAAAAAAAAAGTAAAAAAAAAAGAGGAATCTCATCATCATCACACCAAAATCTCCGCACAACTTTTCCTTTTCCTCTCTTCCTCTCGGTCCTCTTCGTCGTAAAGAAGGAAGAGCGCGGAGGAAAGAAGGTCGCTTTTCCGTATTTATACAGTAAAACCTACTCTTTTTTCACGCAAAGGCGAGTTTTATTAGGAAAAGAGAGAGCGTTGCATTGTTATTTTTTTTTTCCCTTCTTTTAGTGTGTTTTTGAAACCTCAGAGGGATGTCGTCGATGGTTTTTTCTTCGCGCATCTCCTCCTCGGCGAAGGCGACTTTGAGCCCAGGAAATGAGAACGAGCGCGCAATCAGGAGGAGGAGGAGGAGAAGAAGAAGCTCGATTTCCTCGTCGTCTGAATCGTCGTCTTTAACGAAGAAGAGGAGGAATTTTTGTTGCGCGTTTGTGACGAGCAAAAAAAGGAATATTGGCGGCGTCTTTTTTCCCAACACATCATCATCATCATCATCGTCGTCGTCGTCGTCGGGGAAAGAGAGGAGGAAAACAACAACTTTAGCGAGTAATGCCACGAAGGATTTGACGACGACGAGGATGGGAAAAGAGCGTTCGATGACCAGCAGAGCACGACGGTACCAAATCAACAAAAGAAGACTCTCTACTACCACCACTTCGTCAGCCACGGCTTCGAACCGAGGAGGCGAAACCGCCAACGCGAGCGGGTTAGCCGTGGGTGGCTTTGCAGCCGTGAAACCTTTACTTTCTAGATTATTACCAATGAGTGCGATGTTTTATTGCATGGCGTTTGCGAATTCAATCTTGGACGCGTTGAAAGATACGCTGGTCGTGACTGCGTTTGGCGGCGCCGAGCAGATTCCGTATTTGACGGTGTACGCGGTGTTGCCGATGTCGTTGTTGTTCGTGTCTTTGTTTACGAAACTGAGCCAAAGGTGGGGTAGGGAGAAGCTGTTTTATGCCGCGATTGGAACATTCATAAGCTTTTTTGTGTTGTTTACGATTGTGTTGTACCCGATGCGCTCGGTTTTGCACCCGGTGGACTTATCCGTGCAGTTGTTGAAATGGCTGCCGAGCGGTTTGAGAGGCGGCATCGCGGTCTTTACGAATTGGACGTATTCATTGTTTTACGTGTTTAGTGAGTTATGGGGCGACGTCGTTTTGTCGTTGCTGTTTTGGGGTTTAGCGAACGAGACGACGTCGTTGCACGACGCGGCGATTATATATCCGTTGCTCGGTATCGGGGCGAACGTCGCTCAGGCGAGTTCTGGGTTTATGATGAAATGGGTCACCGGGAGTGGAAATTTCATCTCTTGGGATGCTAAGCTCCGCTTTTTAATGACGGTAGTTTTAACGTGTGGTGGGTGCGCGACGTTGATTCACGCGTACATTTGCGATAAGCAAAGGCGACGGTTGTTGAAGGTTGAGAAGAAGAATAATAAAATTACGCCCGAGAAGAATGAAGAAAAAAAGAAAGTTTACGACGTCTATTTGGACGACGCGGACATCGATGAAGCGAGCGAAGAAGACGATTCGAACACAGAGGTGGCTAGGATTGAAATTCTTCCCATCGAAGATATACAAAAGAGTAAAGACGAAGATTCCATGGACGAGTCAGAGCTTGTGCAGAGAGAACTTTCGCAACGGGTAGGAATGACGGAAAGCGCACCGCCGACGAAATCGCAAATGGCAAAAAGAAATCGGTCGAAGTCGAAAAGAGGTTTGTTTGATGCGTTGAAGTTCGTTGCGAACTCGCCAGAGTTGTCTTGCTTAGCCGTGATGGCGATTTCACAAGGCATCTCTACGATTTTGTTCCAAGTCGCCTGGAAGACGCAGTTGAGAATTTTACACCCCGACCCGACCGCGTACGCGCAATTTATGGGCAACGTGCAAATGTACTCTGGATTCGTAACTGGAATATTTATGATCTCCGCACCGTTTCTGTTTAGGAACATCGGGTGGAAAGGAACCTTATCGATTACGCCAAAGTGCGTCATTATTCTCGGTTGGTTCTTCTTCGGAACCTCGATTTACGCGTCCCGAGTTGGCCTTTTGTCGCAAACGAGTTATTGGCTTCCAATTTTAGTTGTTGGCGGTGCTGCAATTTACATTGTCGAACGAGCGGCGAAGTTTTCGCTGTTCAAACCAGCGGAAGAGATGGTGTATATTGCATTAGACGATGAGGCGAAATCTAAAGGTAAAGCCGCCGTGGACGTGCTAGGTTCGCAATTTGGCAAAACTGGTGGTAGTTTCATGCAACAAGGTCTGCTATTTTGGTTCGGGAGCATTATCGCGGCGTTACCAGTCATGGTTTTCTTTCACTCGACCATTGCATTGGTATGGTTAGCGGCGGTGTACACGCTCGCGGGGAGAAGAGAGGCGCAGCTTGACGCGGAAGTCAAAGGCGATTAGAGATTTTTAGAAAAAGAAAGAGAGAGAGGAAAAACATAAAATTAGATGAGATGAGAGAGCGAGTATATAATATATAGAGGAGTTGTTGTAAATCTGAACGCATTTGAATACGAGTCATGCCACTAAGGCGCCCGCTAGCGTGAACGCGTAATCACCCACGCTCGAGAAAGGGTGATACCGCGTCGTATCTAAAACATACATCAACATCCACAGCGCGGATGGGCGGATTAAAAACCATTTTCGAAAATCAACGTCATCAACCACATTCCGCGCTTTTAAACTCGCCCCAAACGTGGACCAGTTCAACAACCAAATCAATCCGAACAGAGAGTGTTCCCACATCTGCGGCAACCCTTCTCTCAAGTTCAATAAATCTCCGTGTTGAATGGCCAACGCCGTCGGTACTAACTGCAAACTAAACAAAAGAACTCCAAGCCAAACTAACAAAACGGACCGTTTATCATCCTTCGTAACGAAAAAGACGTAGATGTACGTCAAAGTGTGCCAAACGAACGGCAAAGCGCACCCGTACAAAGCAATCGCGTCCAACGGCGCCAACGCCTCGCCTGAATTCAATCGACACAACTGCCACGTCATGACGAGCTGGAACGCAATCGATCGAAGCGATAACTCCTGTTTTCTCCAACCTTTGTTTTGTGCTAACGGTATGCCGCTTAACGCGCACGCCGTGGCTAATAGAACCGATATCGAAGCCGCGACGCTCCAATCCCCTACTCCCGTTGTGAGTGTTGTTGCTTCACCTACTAATGCACTTTTACTCATCTCTCCTCCGAATATCGCGCCGTAATCGTTTCGGCACCACTCGTACATGACGTCAAAACCTAAAATTGAATACAATCCTCCACTCACAGAGTGCGCGTGAAACCTATCCGCTCGCGTCCACATCCTCTTCGCCTTCGATTGAATGGAATCCTTCACATCTTTATCCGTATCTTTGACTGACGAAGATGATGAAGTGGACGCTTCGTCGTTGGAGGACGCGCGAAGTGCGGCGGCCGTTCGACTGTGCGCTTTCTTGAGGCGTCGAGAAGGTTTCGGTTTTGTCAACGGGTGGTGGTTCGCCGCGAGCTCGCCCGCGCTGGCTCGCATTGTAAAAAAAGTGAAGCATGATGGAGTAGAGTGTTCCTTGTTTGTTTATATGGGTTGGTATATGTGCTCTCTTCTCTTAACATGTATAATATCGCTCTTCTCTCTTTGTTCTTCTATGTATAAATCCTCCTCGGGGCTCCTTCCTCTTTCTCTCTCTTCGTGACGATCATAACCTCGACTTCAACTGTTTCAATTCCATGGTCAATTTTTTGATGTATTGATCTTTAACGTCCGGCGCTCTTCGCGTGACAAAGTTAAATTGTCCAGACGCCAAGTTCAACATGATTTCCTCGCTTCCACCAGGAATCGCGTACGCTTTCACTTCTCTGTATATGCGTTCGACTCGGACGCCTTTACCACCTCTCGTATATCCAGCGCCGCCGAAGACTTGCATCGCGCTCGAGGCGCAAAACTCCGCCGTTCGCGACGAGGCGAGTTTGAGCATGGCGATGTGCCCGCCTAATTTTACGTTTTGTTCCGATTTTTTCATCGTGTTCATTTGGAACGTAATGTTCTCTAACCACGCGTGTAATGATTCAACTTTCGTGGCCATCTCGCCAATTTTGTGTTGAATGACTTGGTGTTCGATTAAAAACTTACCAAACGTTCGTCGCGATCGAGCAAACGATAGCGAATCTTCCACGCAAATCCTCGCCATTCGACACGCTTGGGCGGCTAACAACCACCTCTCGTGGTTGAAGTTATACATGATTTGTTTAAATCCACCACCGACTTGACCGATGATGTTTGTTTTCGGCACTTTCACGTTATCGAATTCAATATACGTCGTCCCCGAAGGCCAAACGCCCGTGCAATCCATCTTCGTCGTCGTTACGCCGGGCATAGTTCTCTCCACCAAAATCATCGACAAACCTTTATGCGCCGAGTTCTTATCCCCGGTTCTCACCGCTACGGTAAAATAATCCGCGTAGATCCCATTCGTGATCCACTTCTTATTCCCGTCGACGATAAAGTGCCCGTCGCCCGAGTCTTTCGCGGTGCAGGCCAAATTCGAGACGTCCGACCCAGCCCCCGGCTCGGTGATGCACAAACAAATAATCTTCGTCCCGTTTAAACACTCTCGAATGACTCGATCGCACTTACCTTGGTCCATCGGCATCCCAAAGTTAATCAAAGGCGGTAAACCAATCCCTAACCCACCCATGAGCGCCCACGCGATGCCACCCCCACACCTCGTCCCTTCGTCCACGTTAATCAACTCGTGAAAGTAATCGTAATTCGCCGGCGCTGGCGCGTCCGTATATTTCGACGGCCACGGCGCGCCAACCACCCCTGCTAAAATCCCATACTCGGCGGATTTCCGGTACATCAACTGAATGTACTCCTTACATTTCGCGTGGTTGTTCAATGCCGCTTGTTTGTCCCAATCATCCACGATTGGTTCCACCTCGTTCTCGAAAAACGAGCGTATTTTCGCGCGCCATTCAACGTGCGATTGGTTGTAGAACGGCGAGTGCAAATTTTGGTCTGTTTTGTTTGGGTGATTGTTTTCAGGTTGTTTATGATGGCAAAGAAGAGAGGAGGACGTGGTGTCAGCGCGAATCGTACGAATCAAACAGAGCTGTTTTGTTGCGTACAAAAGGAGAGAGAGAGAGAGAGAGAAAGAACGGCTGTTCCGAACCACCGACCGATGCGTAATGTAAACGCGTAATGATGTGTTTGCGTAACGGAATCAATTCGGTAAAAATCTCCAATCGAGAGCATAAACACACATCGCGCAGAAAGAAGTAACAGAGAATACTACCGATACAATAACGAGACGAAAAAGAATAACAACGAGAAAGAAAAGTAAAGCACGCACACCAAGACGGTTCCGATAAGGGTACCTCCGCCCCGAACGGTTCGTATTTCACCAGCGGCTGATGATGACTCATTCTTTTTCTGTGCCGCCAATCGAGAGTTTTTTTTGAGAAAAAGTGACGCGACAAAAAAAAAAGTTTTAAACAATTAAGTTCTAAACCCTATGAGCTGCGCCTCTTTCTTTCCTCTTTTTTCTTTTCTTCTCTCATCGCGAAAAACGTCAGAAAAGAACAAAAGAAAATGTCAGCAACAAAGCAATACATCCAAGCGGAAACGTCCTCGCGCATCGACGCGTGCTTCGGCGGCGTCGTCGTCGAACACGAGAGTCACAAGTTTCAGTATTACCAGGATAGGAATAAACGGTGGCCGTTTACGTGTTCGGAGAAAGGATGTGCGTTGTTGTTCTTTGTTTGAAGTTGAGCGTTCAAAATTTTCTCGATCTCTAATCTTTTCTCTTCGTCTTCTTCTCTCTTTCTCTCGACTGAACGTAGTACCCAGAACCAGAGGCGTCGTCGTCTCTGCGTTCGATTGGTCGGAGGAGAGACGAGGAATGCTCGTCCGGCGGGCGCTTCTTTGTTTTCTTCTTCTGCGCTTTCTTTCATTTTAAGAAGAAAAAAATTGGTTCTCTTCCCTCACGTGGTGTGGTGTGGTTGGTCCTAAAAAGACAAAATATGATGACGCTTTGTTTGTACTGACATTTTCTTTCTCTCGACAACACTCCTGCAACAAACAAAAACAGACGCGTTACTGACGAAACTGATGACATCCGTCACGCCGGTTTTGAAATCTATTCGCCAAGAAATCACGGATTCCGGGAAGAACATCGACGAGACGCTGGAGAAAGGCCGCGAGATTTACGCGAGGAAACCCGCCATCAAGAACGAAGACGTCACGTGGTCGCAAGAGGAATACGCCGATTTGGGGTTGATTTTTGAGTACTGTCGGTATAAATCTATTCAGAGGTTGACCGAGGCGTGGTCGACGTTCGAGAAGGCGAAGAAGAAGCGCTTGTTTGAGTTTGTGGATCGAAAGATACAACAGATGGACGAGAGAAGACAGAAACCGAGGGAGACGAACGAGTACGACGCGGACGCCGCGGTTGAGGCGGCCAAGGAAGAGGAAGAGGACGTGGAGAATGTTTTTTTACGCGTGGCCTCTTTAGGCGGGGGACCTGGATTTGAACTCTTGGCGTTTAAGTGGTTCGTCGAGTACGCTTTTCGAACGAGCTACGACGCGAAGAAACACGGCGACGTGGAGTTGATCAGCTTGGACATCGCCGAAAGCTGGGAAAAAATCTGCAACCAGTTACAACCGATGAAGTTTTCCGCGTTTGATTTGGTCAAAGATGGCGACGCGCTGTTGGAAGAAAAGTGTGGCGGTCCCGTGGACGTCTTGTTGCTTTCCTACGTCGCTAAAATGTACTGCTGTAACGACGAGTGTTACGAGTGGGTTTCCAAGAAAATCAACGACCGACAAGTTTCGATCGCTTTTGTCATCTCCAGAGACGAGAAAATGGAAGAGTTTGTTCGCGGTTTCGAGAAGAAAGGTGTTTTAGTGACGCCATTGATGGACCAAGCGTTGGGTAAAGACCACCGTTTGTTGGCGTTGACGCGTCGATTGGATGAAGACGTCTCCAAAGCCATCGAAAAGCTCGAATTAGAAGACAATAGAAGAAAAAGTATAGACAAAAAAGTAGTCGCGGAGGACGACGACGGGTGGACCGAAGTCCACAAAGAGAAGGAAATTCCGCCAACCTTCCCCAACGTCCCGTACGTGGAGCACCGCAAAGCGAAGGTGGACAAGTACCAAAACAAAAAAGCCTCCAGCTACCATCACCACGACAGAAACAACGGCAACAACCCGAAGAGCGAATCGTACTCGAATTTTTCGAGAAACGCGCACGGGAAGGAAGTGTATTCCAGAGGAGGTGGGCGCGGTGACGGTGGTGGCAGTGGTGGTGCAAAAGGCAGTCGCTGGTAACTTTTTACATTGTTTTTGTAACAACAGGTACTCGTATTAAAAAACTCTATTACTTAATCAGTCTCTTCGCGCCATCCAATCCTCCTCGTCTCCAAAATAATACCCATCCTCCGCGATCTCCTTCTCCGTTAACGGTAAAATAAACTCTGGATCTTTCGTATTGTACACCTTCTTCAAATCTTTCGGCACGTCCTGCAAAGTCTTCGCGAACGTCTCTTGCATGTACTTATCGAACAACTTCTGTTCGCCTTTCGTCGGGTTCTTCGGCAACACCGGCACGTCTTCAATCTGCCCGACGTAATACTTCTCCTTGACAATTTCCGGCTGATCCTTCCTTGCAACCGCAATCCACACGCCTCCTTTACTATCCACCACCATCCCATCTTTCCCGTTATACGTGATTATTCCCTCATCTTTCGAAACTTTGAACAAGTTCCCGTCCTTGGTCTTGTACGCGACGATATCGCCCGGCGTGTCTCGGTTGTACAGTTGCATCGCTAAGTTCGATCGGCCTTTATCGATGTATTGAGGATTCAAAACTGAAAGCAAAGCGACGAGAGCGAACACTCCGTACGGGTTTAACACGTACTTCTTCAGCACGTTCTGCCATCTCGGCGGCACTCCTCTCGGATTTGGAGGATTCTTGTTGTTGTCGTTCCTCTCGTCGTCGTCCTCTTCGTCCTCCCAGTACGAGGAAAACCTGTCGTTCGTGGTGGTGGTTAATGCATTCCTCGTCGGTGCCACGAACGGCTTCAAACCTTCTCTGCGAACATCTCTCTGATTTCTCTGCCTTCGTAGATTCTCCAGCGCGTTGTTTTCTTCTTCCGTTTGCCCCTCGTACCCGCCCGCGTTGATTGGGAACCCTCGCTTCGGGAACCGCTTTTGTCTTCGCAACGGTCGTTGGCGGCGAAAATTGGACGACGAATGTACGACGTCGAAGTTGACGACATGAAGGGACAGCGCGTTCGTTTTTACGCGAGAAGAAGAAGTACAAGACGCAGAACGATGTCTCGCCGACACAGTGATGGGAAGCGCGCGATGATGAAACAACAGTGATGATGTCATGCTTTAAGAAAGGGAAAAGGCGTGCGATTGAAATGGCGAGACTTAATTGAATGAAGGAAAGAACACGCGCGTCGCGCGTCGAGAACGCCGCGTTTACGCGTATACTAGTAATCAATCGATGCATTAAAACGCGATCATCTCCCGACGTTGTCAATTTGTTGATTCAACTCGTTGATTTCTCGGTTCTTCTCTTCGATTTTCGCCCGGTATTCCTCGATGCCTCTTTGCGCGTTTAAAAACGCCTGTTGCACTAACCCGGAGTTGGATTGTTCCATGTGCGGGAAGCATTCGACTCCGAAATTTTGCATGATTTGTTTGATTTGTTGTTCGAAGTACATCACTTCCGCTTGGAGTTTCGTTCTCTGTTTTATGCGAGGGGGTAGTTTTGGAATAGGAAAGACACATCATCGTTTGTCAGTTAAGATTTGAGGAGGAAGCTTTAAACGCTCGAGGACCGCGAGTTTTGGGAGAGATGACGTTCGAGACCATCACCCCATCGGGTGTGTCGGAGTTTTGTTTCGCCTTCGTCGCGTTCTGATTGCGCCCCGCGAAAGAGGCGCGCGAAAAAAGAGACCGCGAAAGAACAAAAAAGAGAACAAAAAAGACGCACGATGGAGACGAGTTTCGTGGTTTCGGCGGCGTTTTGGGCGCCAGTCGTCACGGAATCCCAGAACGACATGGCGGTCTTCCTCGCGATTAGAGTTTGGACGGAAATGGTGCCGATTTTTGTGACGACGACGCGGCCTCTAGAAAGGAAGCGAAAGAGAAAAAATTCAGCGTAAGCAGCAGAGGACGCGAGAAATCGCTCGCGACGAGTAGTATTACACGGATAACTATTACGTAGTATTTATTATTGAATGCAACAGTTTTCGCTGGTTTTCGCGCCGCCACCCGAGGAGCTCTTCTTACCGCCCGAGGAGGAGACTTTCATCTTTCTCACGGGACGTAAATAGGCGCTTCGTTGCTCTCCGTTTTGGCCTTGTTCGTGCGGCGCGTTGGCGGCATACATCGGGTCCTCGGCTAAGCGACCGCGAGCGCCGTAGGTTGGAGGGATGTCCGCGAAATGTCCAGCAGAACGACGTCCTCCATTTTCGCGTTCTCGAGCGGCGGCGGATTGTTCCTCTTCTTCTTGTAAACGCATGGCGTAGGCTAAATCGGCATCCGCGCTGTTTTCGTACGTTTGCGACGGAGGAATGAATTGCGCGTCGACGTGATGCGCGTTCGGAGCCACTGGGGCCTCGAATCGAGCGTTGCAGTTTAACTCCGAGTGCAGTTTTCGAGCGACTTCGAAATCATCGTCCGAGGAAGTCGTCGTGGCTGTTGGAGTCCCGCCTAAAGCTTTCGCCGGGGACGCAGGGAAGGAGGTGCCTTGCCGCGGCGAAAACGCCGCGAGGCCACCTCCGCTCATCGCCGAGCCTGGTTGCGAGGAAGAGACTGACGCGCGTCCGCTTCTCGTTTTAATCGCACCCGGTGAGCTCTTTTCTACATCGAAATAGTCTTCGCCTGTGCCGTCGAACGGTTTGAAATCGGCGTTTAAGAAAACTTGTTCGCGTTCTCTCGCGCGTTGCTCTCTCATCAACCGCGCCAATTGATCGTCGTCAGTTTCTTCGGCGTAATCGATATCGTCGTCGTCGATCGCGCCGTCGTCGTAGACGATTTCCCAAACGATTGACGGTTCGTCGATGAATCCCTCGTCAGTAACCAGAGAAAGCAAATACTGATTATCTCTTTTAAAAATCACCGAGAAGTGATTGTTTCGAAAAAACACGCCCAACTCGTTGTTCCGCATGTTACCAAAAACAGATTTCAAACCTTCCTCGGTGCACTGCGTGGAGGTAGCCTCTAGGAACTCTTCGATGGCCGTGCGCTCCATGACAATTTTATTGAAATCGTTCGATATTTGTTTCTGTAAACGCACTCTTTCGTCCTCTTCTCTTTCTTCTTCTTCGCCGATCGCCGCTAAACTCTTTTCGCTATTGCTATTATCGTTATTGTTATTACTGTTGCTCTTGTTGTTATTCTCGCTAAAACTATTCTGATTACTTTTTGATCTGGGCGTCGTCACGTTGCTCCCACCTTCCATCATCTCCGCCAACTCGTCCAACTGTTTGTTCAGCTCCCCAGTCGTCGGCGAATCCTCCGTGTGAAGCACGTTTTCCTTCGCGCTTAAATTCAACTCTTCCTCGATCTTCTTCTTCTCTTCCTCGATCATCTCTTGTTCTTGTTCCAAGTCTCTCAATTCAATCAACCGTTCTACGAGTTGATTATAACTCAGCCTACTAACCACGTGCCCCGTCGCGACGTCAAACTTCGCGTCCACCACCCACCCGTGGTATAAACTCACGTCCAAAGCGTCAAACACGCACAAGTTCGCCGTGTACTCAAACGCCTCGGAATCGATAAACTGCACGTTCACATCTAACCCGTTCACTAAACTCGGCAACACCGACAACGCCGTCTCAATATTCTTCTCGTTGTTCTCATACATTCGTTCTCGCGCGTTCTCGCCTAACTGAAACCCTTTATACGCCTCCCCCGTCTTCTCCGAGACGTTCGAGTCTAATATTCTCGTCGCTAAAGTCGCGATGACTTCGTGCGAGGAATAAAGTTGAGGAGAGGAGGACGACTCTTCGCCGCCACCACCACTACTCGCACTCGCACTCGTCGTCGCAAAATTCCGCATTTGAATCGCGTTCCTGAGGAGTAAAACGTTCGCCAAAGCGAGCAACGGGCACGGACCGTTCTCGTTTTGCGTGCACACGTGCACGATTCGTCCGAGAAAATGAATTCGTTTCGCCCGGTAAAACGTTTCTTTCCGCGCCTCGTTGCGGTCCATCATCTCGCACTCTCTCCTCAACCTCGACAAATGTGCTGTAAAACAACGCGTTTCAGTCCCTTCTCTTCCTTTCGCTTCTCTCTCTCTCTCTCTCTCTCTCTCTCTGTGCTCGCTCTTTGTGCGTTTACTCTCTCTGAATTACTTTTAACGACACAAAAGGGGTAACGGAAATGAGCTCGACCTTTTAATAAGTTGAGATCTCCACAAAAGAAATAGGGTATAAGACCCTAAACTGTCTTTGCCTCAATTCTTCTTCAGAGAAAAAGCTTCAGAGAGAGAGAGAGTGACGACGTGACGACGAAGAAGTTAAAGAAGACAAAGAAGAAGGAGATAAACGCACACATATATGAGCACTTCTTCACCGCTCTGCTCTGTTTTTTTCCTCGGTTTGGACTCGAGAGTTCGAGGCGGCGGCGGAGGAAGATCGAGCAGCGGCATTCGCAGCAGCAGTTCTTCGGGGAATCCTCCTCCTTTGACGTCGACGGGGAGAAGAAGATACGATTTTACCACCGAGAAGAATCCTCTTCTTACGAAACAAAGGAGAAGATCTTCATCTTCCTCCGTCGTGGCGGAACCGTCCCGATTGACCGAAGAAGACGACGACGAGATGAACGACGAGGACGACGAGAACCCGACGAGGATCGCCATCGTGACATCCTCCACGTGTAAGCACTGTAAGCGCGCGAAATCAGCTTTAGATAAAATGTCGCTCGCGTATCTCGACGTCGATGTGGACTCGTTTGAACGAGAGGAAAGCGGGGAGAGGATTTTGCAGCTCTCGAAATCGGTGTCGAACATGCGAACGATACCACAGATTTACGTGGACGGAGAAATACTCGGCGGCGCGGACGAGTTGATCAAAGCTCTCGAAGATGGGAGTTTGATGGAGAAGATAAATGGAAACGATGGTGGTGGTGAAAAGAGGAAAGAGGAAGGGAGGAGCAAAAGCGCGTTGCCGGAAATTATCATGCGAGAGCTGCTGAAGGAGAAGATGTGCAAAGAGAACGCGTTGGGGATGGATGAGTGCGAGATTGATACCACCACGACGAGTGGCGTTGCGGAGGAAACAGAGGAAAGAGTAGTTGAACAAACGGGAAAAACGACAGAGCGAAGTCGCGAAGGCGGCGACATAAAGTTCGCCGACGAGATTCCATACGAAGGATTGGTGCACATCGTGAACATGGCGAGGAGAGATTCCGAAAAGGAAGGCGGGTTGAAGTTAGTTGAAACGAAGAAAAGGACGATAATTCCGTTTTGTCCGCAAAAGTATCCGAAAACGTTCAGCGCGGAACGTTTTATTCAATGGTTGGTGGTGAGAGATATTTGCGCCGATCGAAAAGCGGCTTTAGACGTGGGCGAGATGATGGTGCAAGAAGAGTTGATGCACTCGATCGATAGAACGGACGCGTTTAGTAGCTCTGTAAACATCGATCCTAGCAAATTCGGCGTAAACGGGTACCAAAAAGGTGTATTTCGGTTTCAAAAAGACGAAGTTGAAGTTGGCGTGGCTGGATTGAATAGCGAGTTTATCTTTCGCGGCGCGGCGAGAGACGCGACGACGGTGGCGAACGATCTTCGAAAGCGCATATTGGAATTGTACGGCTCATTTTTGAACGCAGACGGAACGTACGTAGATTACGAAGGTATGAAAGAGAGCGAAAAGTTTGAGGAGTACAAAGCCGTCGCGGCTGAGTTGCAAAGATGCGATCCGCGTTTGTTGAACAGAGACGATCGAATGGCGTTTTTCATCAACATTTACAACGCGTTAATTGTCCACGCGACCATCGTTAAAGGCGTACCGGACGATACTTTCAAACGATTGAAGTTCTTCGACGAGGCCAAATATGATATCGGCGGATTACAATACTCCGCGAACGACATCGAACACGGCGTGTTGCGTTCGAATCGACCTTCGCCGGCGGCGATTGGCGTGTTGTTAGGCAAACCAGAACTCTCGAGAGGACCGTTTAAAAGTGGCGACGCGAGACGCGAATGTTGCATAACGCCTATGGATCCGAGAATTCACTTCGCGCTAGTGTGCGGAGCGAAGTCGTGCCCACCCATTCGAGTTTTCAAAGGTGATAAAATTGATGAGCAGCTGGAAGACGCTGCTTTTGCGTTTATCGAAGGCGACGTCGAAATTGATTATCGATGCTCTTTGCTCATCAACCGAGCCGACGGGAAGAGAGACGACGAAGAAAGACCTTGCATCGTGGATGAAATCAGAGCGTCGAAGATTATTGCTGAGTGGTACAAAACCGATTTCGGTAAATCTAACTTTGAGAGACTTCAATTCATCGCCAAGTACCTGAAAGAGGACGAATCGAAAGAGGCGCTGATGTACATTCTCTCGCGAACGCTCGGTAAGACTGGCGACGGCGAGAAAACGCTCCCGGTTTTGAAAGCAAAACCGTACGATTGGACTTCGAACGGAGTAAAAAGTGAAACTGCGACGCCATCCGGTCCAGACTTCAACGCCGTGAAAAGTACGTATGATAAAAATGAAGTTCGAGAAGGTTCGGTTGATTTAGGCAAAAGATAAAGAAATGCACACATAGAAAAAGCGATAGCGTGCTGTTATATATGTTTACTACGATTCCTAAATTCCTATCCCTACTTCTTTTTTTTAACGTTGCCGCCAAACCCACCTCCCATCGCTTTTCTTTTCACTGGCGATTTCGTTTTCGCTTCAGGCGGCGGTAACTCCTTGGAATACTTCTGCGATATCTCTTCTTTCTTCCTCGCGTCTTCATTGTTCGAGGTATTTCGAACAGCCTCTCTCAACTCCTCCAGCTCCTTCATCGCCCTGTACGCAAACATTGACATCCCTACGCTTCCTCCCCCGTTTTCTATGTTTTCGTTTACTAAAGCAATATCGCTATAATTCCAATTCGTCGGAGTCGGCGGCAGCGTCAACGTAAACGAATGTCCCTTCATCACGCACTCAATCTCGCAATACATGTTAATTTTTCCATGGAGCGCATCCAACGCCTGATCGTTCGACAACCCTTGAAGCGAAACGCCGCCTCTCCGTTCCACCACCACGTTCACTTTTCTCTCCTTCTTTCGCAGCCCCTCTCGAATCATCTCGCGCACGTCTTCCTCGTCCACGCCGCTCAAACCGATCTCTTCGATGTGCCTTAAAACATCTTCCACCGAAAATGTCATCTCCACCCACAGGACGTTCGGCATCGGTCGACACCATCTCCCGTGTCCGTATGAAGATTCAATGCGCACGTAGTAAAGGCACGATCCCTCCCGATGTGGCGGTGGCGCTGTATATGGTGTACACTCGACGCTCACGGCGAGCAAACGACCTTCTTCCTTTACAATCTTCCCCCAAAAATCATCATCATCATCTTCATCGCACCCTTTGCCATCGACTCTTACACGCGCGTACGATTGGCCGAGAAAAAAAACCGAAGAGTTTACTCTCTCCTCGTACTCATCGTTCTCCTCCTCCTCCGTTTTTGGCGGCGAGGAGGACGGCATCCTTTTCTTTGTCTTCTTAAAACCACCGCATTAAAAAGAAGAACACGCGCATTTGATTTGAAAGAAGTTGTGTGCAACCCCCCAAAAAGATATTCGCGTCGTCACTTGCGATGAGAAATTTGAGCACTTTTGTGACAGTTGTGTGTTTGATGCAAAAAAGAAACCAAAAAAGAAGAAAAAAACGAACCCTCTGCCCCCTCACACGACAAAAAAAAGAAAAAAAAAATATGCAACAAAAACAAGGAGGAAAAACGAACACCACGGCGACGACGACGACGACGACGTCTTCGTCAAAGTTCAACACCACCAACGCCAACAATATTATGGTGCGACCGAGAGCGAACAACGCGCACTTGTTTAAAAAAGCGAGGTAGGTTTTGTGGGGAGTTTCTTCTTCTCGCGGTGTTTTTTTTACGCGCTTTGTTTACGTGTGCGACGAGTTTTACGGACGGAAAAAAAACGGGTCTCTTTTCTTACTTCGCGCGAACGTTTTCTTTTGTTTTGGTATCTCTGAACCTCCTTTGTGCAACGAACGACAGGATGATCGAAGAGGAGGACGATTTGGAGGACGATTTGGACGACGAGTTTAAGCTCGAAAGAAGCGATGAAGAGGACGAGGTGATGGGTTCAGGCGAAGACGACGTCGAGGAACACTCAGAAGAGCTCGAGGAAGAAGAGGTGGAAAGAGAAGAAGAGAAAGAAGAAAAGGTAAACGAGGAGGCGAAAGAAGCTAACGAACAAGAACAACAACAACAACAAAAAGAACAGCGCGAGGCAACGACTTCTGCGCCTCGAAACGCGGAATTGATACAGCCGCGAAATTTACAGATCGCGCTCACGAAAGTCGTCGCGCGCGGCGAAGAAGATTTTACGAATCCGGCGAGCGCAAACGCCATCAAGAGGAAAGTTTTACCTCCGACGCCGGGGAATACGCCGGTGGAAATGGCGGTAGAAGGTGCAGAAAAGGTTAACGCGATGACGAAGGAACAATCGAAAACATCGTCGTCGAATTTGCTTTTGAAGCAACGCTCGATGTTACCACCGACGATGACTTCGCCGTCGAAGAAGAAGCGCCGAGGCGAAGGCGGTAAGGAAAACGCGGCGAAACCGAGATCTGCAGAGGATCTTCCCATCCCCACTAACACCGCGACCGCCGTAGCTACGAAAGGGATGAAAGAGAGTACCAACGCCCCAAAGTCATCTCCGCAGGTTCCGCCAGTCGAAACGAACGCTAACCGTGATTGTTTGGAGGACGAGAAGCGTTACGCCGCGGAGGCTATCGATCTCACCAGTCGATTGGAGAAGTTACTCGACGAAGCTAAAGAACTAACAAATCGAAGCACGAACACGGCATTGCAATTAACCGTGGCGTCGTGTGAATTTCATTTCGCGGTAAACCCGGCAAAAATAAAACAGATTAAAGAGTATACGAAACAGGCGGAGGAGATTCTCGCTCGAGAGGAGTTGCGCAAACCGAGGGTAAGCGCAACGGCGGCGAAAAAGTAAACGCGATGGAAGGACTTACTATTAATGTACAATATAAGAAAAGATACAGGAAATACTATTACTATTATTACTAAATATCATACTAACACTACTTAATGCATATTAGAAAAGCTATGCTGATGTAAACGCTGATGCCGTTGCAAATCCAGGTAAAATGGTCGCGTACGCTTCCTCGTCCTTTTCGTTGGATTTTTGAGCGTTAAAAGTACGACTCTTCTTGCGGCGACTATGAGCGTTGGCAAAGAAATCCCCAACCTTCACATCGCCCAACTGTCGTCCGTCAACGTAGTTGGACCAATCCACTTGGACGGTACTCATCAAATAACTCCTAATCTGCGGTGACTGCGCTCTTTGGAAAACTTCTCTCAACGTGATTTCCTCCGCGTTGTCCCTCTTCAAATACTCGTACAGGAACCTCGTAAACCGATCGGAAACGGCCAGACCGATATCATTTCTCGTCCCGTGCGCGTAACTGTTTTCACCTTTCATCGAAGACGCGACTGCGATAATATTCCTCAATCCGTTAAACCTTTTAAACATCGTCCCAGCTTGACACGTGTCCACGACGAACAACAACTCGTTGTACCGTTTCATCTCGCGCATCTTCGTAAACGCGTTTTGCAAATCCATCGCGGTGATTTCTTTTTGGTCCTGGAACTTTAAAAACTCGTCACCGCCGTGACCGGTGAGGTAGAAGAGAATGTTCGAGTTTTCGTCCGTCCGCAATCGTTTCGAGTTGGGTAGATTGAGTAGTACGCTACCGTCATCATCATCGCTCTCGTCCTCCTCGGAGTTATAGTAGTGCGCGTCCAACAATACCCTCAAAACATTCGCTGGCGTCACCTCGTCGCCTCGATAATCCACCTCTATATCCTCCGTATACACGTTATTCTCGTACCCGCTATCGTCTGTGAACACTTCCCCGGCGCGAACGTTCCGGCTGTTACACGCGTAGTCGTCCGCCACCATCAAGATAATATTCTCGTCCGGAATACCTAATCGTTTAATCGTTTTGTAAATAGCCAACGTGTTCGCGGCGTGGCGGTAGTTGAACCAAAAGCGCGACGCGTCCACGAGAATCGCGTGATTGTTTGTTTTTTGTTCATGTCGTCCACCAAAGTGATCGTCTTCGGCGAAAGCACCACACAACCACCACGCGCAGCGTCCGCCTTCTAATCCGCTTTGTTCAACAGAAACAAAGCCGAGGAGGAGAAAAAGAAGACAAAGAAGAAGACGACAAAAACGGCTGTTCAAGCGCCGCCCCCGTCGTAAAACATCCCTCTTCTTTGAAGCAAAATCATCGTCGTGGAAACGTTTTCTTCTCATCTCTGTCTCTCTCTGTTTCTCTCTCTCTCTCTCTCTCTCTCTCTCTCGAGAAGAGAGAGAAAGGGAGCAAAGGCAGTCATGGAGAATTTTGGAGAAGTCCTCCAAGAGAGGTTAGGGTTTCAAGTGTAACCCTAAACAGATATTTGCCAGCCGATTCGATTCAATCCAATGCAACAATTCAATTTCTCCATTACGTACTACTCTCTTCTTTCCGCGCGAATATATATATACTATATATATATTTAAACCAACTCTTTAAGAAGAAGAAGAAGAAGAAGAAGAATAACGCACTACTATTTTACTGTTAAAGAAGATCTTTTGCATCACTATATATAACACATAAATTAGTAATAATGTCATCCGAAGAATTAAAAATAATCGACGCCTCGATCATCTCCGGCGAAGAGTGGTTCACCCAAGTGTTCAAAACCAAACTGGACGAAATGATGGCATCCGCACCGAAAGATTTTGAAGTCAAAGAAGATACCGGCGCCGAGGGTGGGTTCTTTAAATCCGGCGAAGATTTCGTCGACAAGGAGAAGTTGAAGAAGGAACACTTCGCGAAACAACGATTGGCAATTCTGAACGAATGCCACGAACTGCTCAAGGTGGAAATGAGGGAGATTTTGATTTCGAAAACGGAACGCAAACGCGTCGCGAAAGAATTGATCGAGAATTTGAGAAAGGACGCGGAGAAGGAAGTCGCGAACGCGGTTGCGATTGCAAACGCGGAAAGAACGAAGGTTGCGGCACAAATCGCGGAGAAGAAGGCGAAGGCTGAAGCCGAGGCGAAGAAGCAAGCGGCGAAGGAAGCGGCGGAAGCGGCGGCGAAGGAGGAGAAGGCGAAGAAGGAAGCCGAGGAGGCGGCAGGAGTACAGGTGGAGCTCGAGAAGAAAGCGACGTTGACCAAGCAAAAGAGCATGGCGCCAGAGGCTTCGGAAAAGGATAAGGCGGAAGCGACGGCGGCGGAAGAGGCGGCGAAGAAGGCCAAGGAGGAGGAAGCCGCCGCCGCGAAGAAAGCCGAGGAGGAAGCCAAGGCGAAAGCGGCAGCAGAGAAGGCGGCGAAAGAAGCCGAGGAAGCCGCCGCAAAAGCGGAAGCCGAAGAAAAAGCGGCGGAAGCGGCGAAACAAGCCGCTTTGGAGAAGCAAAAAGCGGCCGAGGAGGCGGAGAAAGAACGCATCGCCGCGGCGAAAGCTGAGGAGGAACGGTTGGCCAAGATTGCCGCGGAAGAAGAAGCAAAGAAGGCGGCAGAAAAGGCGGAAATGGAGAAATTACGCGCAGAAGCGCAAAAGATCGCCGACGAAGCCGCGAAGAAGGCGGAAGAGGAAGAAAAGGCGGCGGCGAAGGCGGCGAAAGAAGCCGAGGAGAAGGTTGCCAAAGCCAAGAAGGCGGCGGAAGAGTTGGAAGCGGCGAAAGCGTCCGCGCAGTTGACCAAACAAAAGTCCGCAGCTGCGAATGCGTCGCCCAAGGAGGTAAAAGAAGCGGAGAAGGCGACCGAGGAAGTCGAAAAGAAGGAAGCTGCCTTGAAGAGAGCCGAATCCGAAAAGAAAGAGGCGGAGGACAAGTACTCGGAGTACAAGGACAAGGCGATGGAAGCGGCGAACCAAGCCAAGGCGAAAGCGTTGGAGGCGAAGGACTTCGCGGCGAAGAAAGGCAAGGAAGCCTACGAAGCCGCACAAAAGAAGGCGCAGGAATTGTCCAAGATTGCGCAAGAGAAAGGGTGCTGCATCATCCAATAATCACCCACACAATAATAAAAAATATCAAACGCTTTATGATGTGAACTTTTAATATATACTTATTTATTTATCCACTACTACGATGCTGCTACGCTACTACTTCTGCTCGCATAAGCTAAACGCATAGAATACTTTTCCCCTTTCAAGCCGCCGCGTCGTACAAAGACGATCGCAGCGCATTCGTTTTTACCTTTTTCGTTTCTAGGATTAACTTGCCGACCGAGCCGTTGGAGGTGATGGTGTAATCCACGACTTCTTCGCTAAACGCATCAACGACGGATTTGAGACACTTTTGCGGCGCTCGTAAAAACTTACGCAAAAGTTTGGAGACCATGGCATCGTGTGATTTCAAAATACCGTGTTTGGCGCCGACGACAATGACGGAAAGAAGATTGGATTGACCTTGATTCTTCGCGCGATGTTGCGCCGCTAACTTTTCCAAAGCGATCGAGGCATCGCCGGAGTAATTCTTCTCCATTACTTCTTTCTCTTGCCCATCCATGCTCAATCTTTTGGCCGAAACGACATCGCTCGCCACCGACGATAACGGGCCGAAGAATTCGTCCTCGGAACCGTTGATGCACAAAACTGGGCAATTCGAACTCCAACTCGAACCGAACGTTCCCGCGAACCATCCTTTTAAACCGTCGGTAAAGTAGCTCGGTTCGAAGGGATACGCGATAGCAATTCGTGCTTTCACTACTGATTTTGACGATGCAGTCGCGTAGTTATTCATGAAAGTCTTATCGTTCAGCATCCCGAGAACTGCGGCGCCTTCCGAGTTTCCAACTAAGGCCACGCCGGCGTTTTTGATAAAGTCAGGTAACGTCAATAAAATGTGTGAGACGACGACAGATTTCAACTTCAACGCCGCGTCGTATTGCTTCTTCAGAAACGAGTCTTCGATGAAGGACTTCGCGGACGATTTATATACCAAACTTCCACTCGCGCTTTGTTTCGCGCCGGTCGTCGCATCGGTGGCAACGTCGTACAAAGCGAAATCGTTCCAATACGAATCTTCCTCCTTCGTTATTTCATTCTCTTCTTCCGCGGCGCTGTCCTCGCGAAGATCTTTCCTCGGGCGGTAGCGCAAATGCATCGGCCACGCCATATCGTCTGGTGCTATCACCACGTGTCCCATGCTTGCAAATCTTCTGACGTACCTCAACGTGTCTCCCGCTACGCCTCCGGAACCGGGTATGACTACCATGTATTTCAACGCCGAGGATTCCTTATTTTCTGTCGTCGTCGTCCCGTTGCCACTACTCATCTCGTTCGTGCTGCTATGCGTGCTACTGCTGCTTCTATTGTTATCAACATTACTACTTATTTTATTACCACCAACCCCATTTGAACTCTCGTTGTTGTTGTTCTCCGCGAACGAAGTCGAGGCAGAAGTCGTCATAGGCTCGGAAGGAGCACTCGTCACCACCTCGTGTATCGCCTTCAACACCACGTAAAACGAATACAAACTCCTCGACCCGAGCTCTTCGTCCCGCTCGTTCTCCCCGGGCGTCGGCGTCGTCGGTCGACTCTGCGATGTCATCGTCGCCGTTTTCGCTTTCACCGGCGACAAAGATGAAGACGACTGATTGTGCGCCGTCGTCAAGTTTGGCGTCGACTGATGCGAATACTGATGCGTCATCGACGACAAAGGCGCCGTCGTCGCGCTCGTCGTCGTCAGCGGCGGCGGCGTCATTCTTAAATTTCTGAACGCCAGATCCATGCTCGACCGCCGACTGCTGCTCGCGCTGTTGTTGTTTCTCGACTCCTCCATCTCCTCCGGAGTGTTCTTTTCCGTCCTCTCGCTTTTGTTGTTTTGTTCTCCTCCTCCTCCTCCCTCTCCGAATCCTTCTAAAGTCTTCCCTAACAAAGCGCCTCGTTTTGTCGTCACCGTCCTCGACGACGTCAAGACCTCTTGGCTGGCGCATTTTGAGAACCGAACGACGCCTAACGCTTTCGCTAACTGGTCCACTCGGCCGATCCAAATATCATTCGCATCGCGCTTTTCATCGTCGTTCTTCTCATCCGGCGGATGGCTTTTCGCGTTCGGACGAAGCGGGCGATGAAGATGGTTTTGATGACGAAGAAAAAACGACGGAGGTAACGCGACGACGGAGCTTTCGTGGCAGCTGTTCAAGCACGTGGCGACGTCCGAGGCGGTCAGGAGCGTTTGCGATTGCACTTGGTCGTCGTCCTTTCCTTCTTCTTGGTCTTCCGCTCTCCGAGACATAGTCTTCTTATAAGTCTGCGTTGTGGGGAAATCGAAGCGAACTCACTTCACTTCTCTGCTGCCTTTTCGCGCGCAGAAAGAAGCAGCGAAAAAGAAGAAGACAAAGAAGCACGCAAAGATGACGACGTTGAAGAAACAGCACAACAAACGTATGAAGCGGAGACGTCGATTGCTCGTTCTCTTCGTTCTCTTCCTCCTCTTTCTCTTCGTCTTTTTCCTCCAGCGAGGGACGGAGACTTTGTCGTACTTGCAAAGATTCCTCATCCGAGACCCGGGTGAGGACCCGTACGAGCACAACTCCATGTCGCGTGGGGACGTGTGCGAAGACCGAGGGTTCCACTACGACGGATTAAGCTTTTTAGACCCACACAAAACGCGCCTGAGCGGAACGGATTTCGAAAAGTACGAGAGAGAGAAAAATCTGTTCCAAAGTGCTCTGTGTCACCACCAGTTTAAGACGAAGTTTGACGATATGCGAGCGACGAATGCGAAACCGCTGGTCTACGCGGACGACGATCCAACCGCAGGGTTTGGGAGCCGAGTGTTGCGAGTGTGTTCGGCGTTCTTCGCGTCGGTACATTTTGGACGACCGTTCGCGTACGCGAAAGTTGGACGGTGGACGTATAGTAAGTGCGCGAGTCGCGGGAACGATTGTTACTTTCAGAAAATCACGAGCGCGCGGACGGAGTACGAGACGCCGGAAGGGGTGTACCGAGGCGAAGGGGCGCTGGTGAAGGAAGAGGAGAAAGACGAGGAGTTGATTTGGACGCGAGGGAGTTTGGATGGGTTTCAGAAGGAGCACAACGCTGGAATTGGGTGGATGAAAGATTTGAAAAAGGCGTTAAACGGGTTCGAGATGCCGAGCGGGAGAGGCGGATGTTGGGTCGTGTCGCAGTTTTTGTATTACATTTTACACCCGAACGAGAAATTAGATCGAGTGTTGCGATTGGAGAAGAAACGGATGGGGTGGGAAACCGAGGAGAGAAGAGAACCGGTGGCGGCGATTCACGTGCGACACGGCGATCGCGCGCAGAGAGGCCACCAAGGGTCCAACTTGCAAATCGAACAGTTTTTAGCGCGCTTGCGAAAACTCGATCCGAAGTGTAAGAAGGTTCTGTTGATGACGGAAGATGGGGAAGTCATCGACGACGCCATCAAGAACTTTGGGAAAGAGTTTCACTTTTATTACACCACGATTCAGCCGAGACACAACGATGACATCAATCGATTGTTGAAAGAAGGCAAATTAGATCCGGAGAATGAGATTCACAACGCGCTCGTGAATTTGTATTTAGCCGCAGACGCGGATTACTTTTTAGGCCATTTATCGAGCACGTGGGGGAGAGTTGTTTTACTGTTATCGTACGGCAAGTACGGGTGCTTCCAAAAGATGGACCTGATGGAATCCACGTGGAAAAGTCGATGGGGATTTAGTTCGTGTTCCACCGAGGAGTGGGAAAAAGAAGCGAAGAAGTTTGAGTGTAGAAACTAGTTTTGATGGTGAGCGTTTTGCGTGCTACGTAGCGTATAATAGTTTTCACCCCCGGTCTGTCTTCGTCTAAATCTATCTATCCGTGTATTTACTCTCTCTCGCGTCCGAAAATGTCTGTTCTTTTCTTCTTAGGCGGAGGAGGAGGTTGCTCCTTTTTCTTCCCGCCGCCGAACAAGCTTTTAAACACGTTGTTCTCGTTCTCTTCCTCTTCTTCTTCCTCTTCTTCTTCCTTTTCGTTTCTCCTCCCGAACGACGAGGAAAACGGCACTTTGCCGCTTTTGAACACGCCTTCATTTTTCTTCCACGTCGGCGTGATCCCGTTCGAATTCTTCTCCACGATTTTCTTCGCCTGTTTCTTCTGCCTCCGCTCGTCCCCCATGTTCTTCGCCCCGAGCGCGACTTTAAACGCGAGTTTCCCGCCTTCCTTGATCCCGGTCGCCGCGGCTTTGGCGACAATCGGCGTCGCCACTTTCACCGTCTCCACGCTCACTTTCTGAACAATCTTCGCCCCTTTTTGAACGCTCGGATTGTTCGCGATTCGTTCGCCTCTCTTGAACGTCTCCCACGTTCCTTTCACGAGAAAGTTCTGTCGCGTTTCCTTCTCCACGCCGTCCAGAATGCCATCCACCCCTTTGACCACTTTCCGCATCAAATCAGATTCTTCTTCTTCTTCTTCGAAATATTCGTCTTCTTCTTTGCTCTCGTTCATTCGTTCCTCCTCTGAATCTTCGTACATCTCTTCCGCTAAAATCGCCGCTTTTGATTTCATCACCGATGGTACTTCCACCTCTGCACTCCTCCTCGTCGACGACGACGCAGACATCATCATCATCGTCTCGCGCGCATCTTTCTTTACGTTCTTTCGCGCTTTCTTGCTCACATCAAACAAGGTTTTCCTGTTCGACGGTCGATCGTCGTCGAAGAGTTCGTCTAGATTATAACGCGCATCGTCGTCGTCGTCGTCATCGAATGAAACGCTCTTCGTCGTCGTTGTTGTTCTTCTTGTTGTTCTTCTTCTTCGTCTTCGAGAGGAAGAGGTGCACGAAGGAAACGCAGGCGTGGAAAAGGCGGTCGAAATCTTCATTTTAAGTGAAGATTGTACGCAAACTTTTATCACGAGAGAGTACCTTTGTGGCGGTGCGTGCCAGAGTCTGCGTGCTCCGCGCGCTTTCCTCTCTCTGCGCGTGCGTTTGTGCGCGAAGAAAGAAGAATGGAATCGACGAGAGGGAAAGAAACGACGACGGGAAAAGAAACGACGGTGTACGTGGGGAAAATCCCATCGGAAATCACGAACCAACAGATTACGTCGATACTGAAAACGTGCGGGAACCTCTCGGAATGGAAACGGACGCGAGATATCGAACCACCCGATTATAAGTATAAACCGTTCGGGTTCGCGACGTTTGAAACGTTAGAGGGTGTTTTAGCGGCGATGCGAGTTTTGGACGGGATGCAATTGTACGAGAACGTGGACGAGCAGTTGAAAGCGAGGACGGAGACGTTGTTATTGAACGTGAATCAAGCGACGAAGATAGCGGCGGAGAAGTTTAACGAGGAAAGGCGAGAGAAAGGATTAGGCGAGAAGGATGGGGAGGAGGATTACGAGAGGAAGAGGAAGATTGAGAAGATCATGAAAGGCGAGATGATGGATCCGGCGGAGGACGAAGACGTCGACGCGGGTGAATTCTCGGAGGAAAAAGAGTTAGAAGATAAGGACGAGGAGGATATTCAAAGTGGCGCGAAAAGAGCGACGACGACGACGACGACGACGACGAAGTCTTCGCAAGAGAAACTGCGAACGGCGTCTATGCTCACGAACCAAATTTCTACGAATAAGAGCACGAGCGCCGGAGGGACGAAAACGGAAACCACCGGCCCCAAAACAGCCGGAGCGATGCAACACGAAGACGGAGAAGTCGGTCGAGCGAGTGGTGGACAATATCCGAACCAAGGGGATAATAATATCCCGGCGAAACCTCTGACCAAACGCCAACGCGAAGAGAAACGAAGAGAGGATGAAAAACGAAGAAACGAACAGAGAGAATTCGGAAGGAGAGAGCGAGAGTGGTTGGACGAAGAGAGGTTTATTTTAAACGAAAGGAACAAGAGAATGCGACGACAACGAGAAGAAAAGAGTAACTTAGACCGCACGCGAGCGTCTCGACGCAAACGCGACGACGACGATCGACAGTTGAACGTTTGGGAAAGAGACGAGAGAGATTTGGATCGCCGAAAGCGATTCCGAGAACGCGAATTAGAAGCCGAAGAGAAAGATAGACAGAACGAAAAAGACGAGATCGAAGAGGCAAAACGAGACGAGGAGAAACGATTGGAAGAAGAGAGAAAGAAGAAGCTCAATTTAGAAAAGGCGAAGAAGGAGAAAACGGTGAAGGAAACCACCATCGCGGGATTCTCCAAGCGAAAGAAAACAAAATCCAGCGAAGACGGGGCAGGTGCGGAGGCGGACGGAAACGACGACGACGACGACGACGACGACGACGATGACGATGAAACAACCAAACTCAACAAAAAAAGACGTCGACAATTCGTACCAATTGAATACACCGAAGCTGAAAAACGCATCGTCGCCGCCGGTCTCACCGTCGATCACAAAGACTCCGACGACCAAGACCAAAAACGTCTCCTCGAAGAAGAAAAGAAACGCAAAGCCGCGCTCGAAGCGTCACTCATCGACAAAATCCCAACCAAAAAAGCCGACGTCTTCAACTATGACATCGATTGGTCCGCGTTCAAAACCTCCGGCGCCGAATCGCTGTGCCGAAAATGGGTCACCAAAAAAACCGTCGAACTTCTCGGAGAAGAAGAAGATGCCGTCGTCGATTTTGTCCTCGAAAAACTTCGCGAACGCGTCGACGCGTCCGTTTTGCTCGAAGAACTCTCCGTCTTTCTCGACGAAGAAGCCGAGAGCTTCGTCTTAAAGCTGTGGAGGATGATCATTTACGAAACGTTAAAGTTCAAGAGTGGCGAAAAAAGACGTTGACCACCCGAGCGAGAAAAAACGACAACTGTACTTTTAATAGAAACAATGCTTTATTATGATTAGATAGAACCACTTTACTTAAAAGAGCTCGATCGATGTATCATTCGTACGTGCGCGTAAAGCCTTTTTACTCTCTCTTGTTCGTAAACGACTTTCCTTCCGCACCGCACGTATTTTTCACTCTTTTTCAAGCATTTTTGCATTTTTGAACTCCTCCTTAGGGTCGAAAACCTCACAAAAACTACTAAGCTCGACCCGAAGATGTCCTCCTCCTCCGTCGCGCTTTTTCGAAGAGTCTCCTCCTCCTCCTCCTCCACTTACGTCCGATCTTCGTCTCTGTTGTGTCAGTTGACCAATTGGTCTTCGAACGACACCACCGTAACGACGACGAAGCGACACCAAAACCAACCGGATCCGTCGATGACGACGACGACATTTCGAGCAAAATCCATCTCGACCACGTCTTCGACGCGAAACACCGACTCACCGCATCTCCCGCGCACTCACGGAGGTCTGACCGATCAAGATCGTATTTTTACGAACTTATACGGCAAGCACGATCCGTTCATTAAAGGCGCGATGAAGCGCGGGGATTGGTATAACACGAAAGAACTCGTGTTGATGGGGGCGGATTGGATCATCAACGAAATCAAAGCCTCTGGGTTGCGCGGCCGCGGCGGCGCCGGGTTCCCGTCCGGGTTGAAGTGGTCGTTCATGCCGAAAGTGAGCGCGGATGGGAGACCGAATTATTTAGTGGTGAACGCGGACGAGAGTGAACCTGGAACGTGTAAAGATCGAGAGATTATGCGACACGACCCGCACAAGTTGTTGGAGGGGTGTTTGTTGGCCGGGGTCGGGATGCGAGCGAGAGCGTGTTACATTTATATCCGAGGAGAGTACGTGAACGAGAGATTGGCGTTAGAACGTGCAAGAGATGAAGCGTACGCGGCTGGGTATTTGGGGAAGAACGCGTGCGGGACCGGGATTGATTTTGACGTGAACATTCACTACGGCGCCGGCGCGTATATTTGCGGCGAAGAGACGGCGTTGATTGAAAGTTTGGAAGGGAAGCAAGGGAAACCGAGGTTAAAGCCTCCTTTTCCGGCGAACATCGGGTTGTACGGGTGCCCAACGACGGTGACAAACGTAGAAACTGTCGCGGTCGCGCCGACAATTTTGAGAAGAGGAAGCGATTGGTTCGCCGGTTTTGGGAGGAAGAACAACACGGGAACGAAACTTTTTTGCATCAGTGGCCACGTGAACAACCCGTGCACGGTCGAAGAAGAGATGAGTATCCCGTTGCAAGAGTTAATAGAGAAACACTGCGGAGGCGTGAGAGGTGGATGGGATAACTTGTTGGCGATTATTCCGGGCGGCTCGTCCGTGCCGTTGATTCCGAAGAAAGTCTGCGAGGAGGTGTTGATGGATTTCGATTCCTTGAAAGCGGCGCAAAGTGGATTAGGAACCGCAGCGGTTATTGTCATGGATAAGAGTACGGATGTTGTGGACGCGATTGCGAGATTATCGTACTTTTACAAGCACGAATCGTGCGGTCAGTGCACGCCGTGCAGAGAAGGTACCGGATGGTTGTATAACGTCATGGAACGCATGAAGAAAGGAGACGCAAAGTTGGAAGAGATTGACATGTTGCAAGAATTGACGAAACAAATCGAAGGACATACGATTTGTGCGTTGGGTGATGCGGCGGCGTGGCCGGTGCAAGGTTTGATTAGACATTTTAGACCGGAGTTGGAGGCTAGAATTGGCGCGCAAACGACACCCGACCGAATCGCGGCGTGAACAAACTTTTGCTCTGCGAAAAGTATATCAAATTTAGTTTAACATCAGACACGTGTACAGTATTTCTTTTTACTACTACTATAAATCAGTATTATTGCTTTTACATTTCTGCATTATCATTCCCATCGTCTCTCTTCCTCTCACTTCTTTTTCTTCTTTCCCGAATCCCAATCGTACTCGCAAACGAAATCGTTAACTTTTAAGCACTTCACCGAAAAGTTTGCTTCTTTCAACATATTAATGCAAGCTTTTTGATTATTTTGGATCTGATCCCCCGTGGACTTGACCTCAACACACATCGCTTCCGATTTTTCCGGATTCCATAAGAACAAATCTGGCATCCCTCCTTGAGCTATCGTACCGACTGGGTCTAGAATCCACCTCGCACAAATTTTGTACAACTGCTCGTTGTCGAAACATCGCACGACTTCACAGAGTTCCGTGAGACTCATCAATCGTCTTTTTTGCTCTGTAACTGCCACAGTACCGGTATACCCCTCCTTCACGGTCGTCCAACGCACGGTATGGCTTTCAGTGCCGTACCATTTCGCCCAATTTTCAACTAATAAACGCGTGCCGTGGCCTTTCCTAATTTTCTCCAACGTGACTTGCGTTACGCGTTCGCGTCGTAAGATCCATTCCGGTTCCGAATAATCGAGCGGTAAAGACTGAAACTCTAACGGCCAAGGATTGAATCCTATATCGTTGAACTCGTTGTGAAAGAAGACGTCGAGATTTAGTAAAGGTAGTAACGTGTACCAAAGCGAAAGTTCAGTATGGATGCCTTTCCAGCCAAATTTTTGCTCATAGAAGACCAACGAATACGCTTCCACGGACCAGATCTCCGCTGGAACAACTAGTTCTTCCGTCAAATCTATCGCATCTGTAGGTTTGCCATTTGTATCTACTGCGCTCAAATCTCGTATATCGTAAAATTTACGTGTCCCTTTCCATTCTGCGTTACCTTGCTCTCTTTTCTTCCTGTCGACGAACTCTTGCGGCAACGGCACGCCGTGAAGTTTATCTTCCGCCATCGAGAACTTTGCTGGCAATTGATAACGTGAAGGCACCTTAACTCCTTTGTTTTTCGACGATGCTATGCTGCAAATTTTATCGCGCATATTGGCGAGATCGTCCCAGACAACCCAGCTATCCTCTAAAGCCGCTTTGCACACGTCAAATTGTTTCTGATATTCCTTTAAATGTCCGAGGTCGACGTATAATCTATCGTACCATTTACCTCGACGGCGCGCATCAAACGGTTGCGCTAACAAAGCACGGAGTAGATTTATAGCGCGTGTAAGATATCCTACAGCGCATCTACGATGTGCGCGCCCTTGAATCTCGTTTGGTACGTTATTCACCAACTTTATACTCGCCATTGCCAACTTTTCCAGCGCAATGACCAAGATGTAGCAAATTCTGCACTCGACGGCGTGATGACTGAACCGTTCCATATCTTTCTTTGGATCGAGCAAATCTGCATCGTAACTCATCCCAGATCCTTTTCGCCACGCTTCGAGCATGCTCGTTTCGACGCATTTTCCTCTTTCTATGAGTTTCGGTGCATTTTCGACACTCAATGTAAATCCGTACACGTTTGCCTCGTTGAAACGTTCCAAATCCCTCAAAACTTCCATGGCCTCAAAATATGCGAGCATATCTACTCTCGATTTCCATGGTGACTCGAGTACCTCGGAGCTATTCCTGTTTGAAGAAACCATTGGATACCGTCGCACACCCGATATGGCGTCGTAAATGCAGGAGACGCTAAGTCTTTTGCGGTACGCCACGCATATCGCGATTCGTACGAGCGTCATAAACGTCGGCGAAAGTACGATCCAATTCGGATGCGTCGACTCCTTTGATTCCTTCCATTTTTGCATCCAGACTTCTTTGTTCTCATCGATAGAATAGAGCGCACGCAGTGGGATCATTAATCTATCCTTCGTTTTATATTCCTGTCGCCAATTCCTCAAATGTTCATTTAGGAGACTTCCTTCATTTTGAAACGACGACATCATGTGCTTCATCTCTTCTACCGTGAGATTATTGAGACAAAAATCGCGGTCGAAAACATACGCGAGCCCTTTGTCTGTTCCATGACTCTCATTACTCGATAAATCGTAAGCAAAAGAGTGCTGTACAAGTTTCCTCATCGCATCGTTCGTTTTAGCCACGTATTCTTTTTTCTCATAATCCGAAATCCAAGCGTGTCCCCTCGCTAAAAGCCTCGTTGCTAGCAAAGCCGCATCATTGCCACCGCTTTCCTCCACCACAACATCGATAAACTTTTGCCGGATTTCCTTTTCTTTTTCAGAAAGCAAAAATTCGGCGTTCGTCAATCCCGCTATCGCCTCTACGATTTTGTCTTTCGTTCGCAGCCAAGCCCAGGACTCGCTCTCGAACTCTTCCGCGTTTGCTCGAGTTGCGCTTTCAAATCGTCCGTTTAATATACTCGGCGTATCTATTTGAATACCGAAAACGTTCGTTATATTCGTCAACACTTTGATCTCGATTTCCACCCACGCCGACGATTCGTTTTCATCCGTTCCTTCCTCTCTCGCGTATCTCAGCGTCCCCGAAACCTCCACGACTCCCAAATCTACGAGACCGGCGAATTCTCCTGCAACTCTCCTCGGCACGTATCCTAACACCCGTTTCTCGTCGTCTAAAATTTGCATAGCCCCAGTCGCGTCAAACACGTTCTCCATATCTCTCTCAATGTAAACTTTCGCGCCGTCCTTCGGCAACTTTGTCTTCACTTCGCTCGCCTGGTATTCCCGCCCGCGGATACGAACGCAGAGTTTATATGCAGCTCTGCTACATTCCTCGCTCAACTTTTTCGCTTTATTTTCATACTCCTCCACCTCCCTCAGAACATCTTCCCGCGTCGCATCTCTCGTCGACAACGCGTCGATAAACGCCGGTCTCTGTCTCAGCGCTTTCGGCAACTGCAAAAAAGCGTCGTCTTGAGACGACGACGAGGCAATTTCCCCTCTATTTTCACTCACAATCTTCACCTCATCGTCGCCGTCGTCGTCCTCCTCCTCCTCCACTAAATCGCACTCCGATAATTCAATCGTCTCAACTCTCGTCGCCTTTTTAATCGTTTCGAAGTGTTCTTTCCGATCGATCCGCGCGAACGAAATGTTCGTTTGCTTATTCTGATTGTGTGCACTCTTCAATTTTTTCTCAACAACATCTTCCAAACGACGATGATGATTTGGATGCCCTTCTTCAACAACATTCTTCAGGTCTCTCTTCTTTTCTTTCGTCTTTATTTCTTCACCAACAACCGCACGTTTAACGAAGTCGTCTTTCTTCCTCTCGTCTCGTCTCCCGAGCGACGCCCACGTTGTTCCGCCGCTGGACATAGTTGGGTTGCTCTTTATGACGATTTTGTCATCTGTTTCATTCTTTTTTTTTTCGTTCGATTTTTCTGAAATTTTTTCATTCGTCACAAAAAAAATTTCTCAAAAGACTCTTGTCTCTTCTCTCTTGGAAAGAAAGAAAGCAGTGGAAAGGTGGGTTTGCTTTTCTCTCCGATTCTCTCTCACTCTTCTCTTTTCTCAAGTCGATTTTTTACTCACGCATCAAAATCCGTGAACCAAGTCAGCGAGGACGACGAATAACCTTCCCACTCGTCCTCGCGTTACGTTCTGCGGCACAGTAAACTACACCTTCGACCGGTTCGCACTCTCATCGATTGATGAGGGGATTCGATTTTTCTCGTCCGGAATTATGCAGTGTTTGCATTATTTCCCGTCGAGATGAGGTCGAGTTTTACGACGGTCTGATACCGTAAAGGCGTTTTTGTCGGGTCTCCCTTTCACCTTTGTTTGGGCGACGTGTATTCGTACGCGTCGCTTTTAAAGTGCGATGGTGAAAGACGCGATGAACGCGACATTTTTTCTTTTCTTTCTCCAATTCTTGATGATGTTGAGTAAAGAAAGGACTTTATTACGGGTTTTTCATCCTCAACTTACACTGTTTTCTCTCTTTCTCTCTCTCGTCATCTGCAGCATGTGTCACACAAACGATCAACACGACGCGAATTCTGAAGAGAGATAACATCTACGAAAGGTAACGAACGATGCCGAATACTTCTACTCGCGTGTTCGTGGTGTGCGGTCGCGGCGCGGAATCTGGAAAATTGGAACGGTATTTCTCGAACGCGTTTGGACCGGTGACGAAGGTGAAAAGCGACGCGCAGAAAGGTATCGCGTGGGTGACGTTCATGAACGAATCGGATGCGCAGAAAGCGGTGTTGGCGTTTCCAGAAGAGAAGCAGTCGAAGAATACTGCTCTTGCTACTGGCGATGGTGATGAACGCGAAAAGCAACAGGATTTGGCGTCGTCCTCGTCGTCGCTGGTTGATTTGAACGACGGCATGCCGAAGAGACATTTTACGGTGGTGTTTTCAGAAGAGACGAGAAAACGGGAACAGCAGCAACAACCATCGGCAACGACCGTGACGACGACGACGTTGACGACGACAACCACGACGACGACGACATCGTCGATGCAGTTTACCAATAATAATCAAATGAACGAGTTACCGGAAGGTTCGCGGTTGTTTATAGTCACGCCGAAGGACTGCACGGATGATGTGTTGAATAAAGCCGTGATGAGAGTGTTGGAAAACGAAGAGTTCAAGTTAGAACCGGAAGATTTGGTGAAAGTGACGGTTCCAGGTATGGCCTCGGGAGGAAACCAAGACGACGAGGAAGAAGAACAAAGCGAAGAAGTACAAAATGAAAGAAAAGATGGGAAGAACATCGCCGCACTGGAATACGCTCGCGTTGGTAAAGGTAATAAAGGCGTCGCGTTCGTTAAGTTCACGACGAAATCTGCGGCCGAAAAGTTTGCAAAGTTTGTTCACTTCAAGTTACAAAACGTGCTCGGTGATATGAAGGTGAAAATTATGACCGCTGAGAAGAAAAAGTACACCAAGAATAGCAGTCAATATCTCCATCAAAACAACAACACAAACTCGAAGAATTCGTTGAACACGTTCAGTGGGGCGCTCTCCTCTGGCGTGTTTTCCGAAAACGGAAACAACGAACAAGGAGAGATATCCTCGCAGCACCGGAGAGGGTTTTTGCAAAGGAGTAATAACAACGCGCCGGGAGAAGGAGGAAATGTCGTCGTCATTGGCGAAGCAACGGTTGGTGAAGTCAAAGGCACATTAGTGTTTCATCCTACAGTTGGCGTTTCGGATGCAATTCATCGCCGATTTCCAACACCACCGCCTCTCCCGAAAGGGTTACCGCCTCCGCAACAGCGCATGCAACAGATGAATATAGACAGTAGTAATACGACGGGTATGGCGACGCGAAGACCACGGGAGTACGGTGATGAAGAGACCAAAGGTAGAAGCAAAGGCACAAAGGTTTCGAAAGTTGAATCAACGACTTCATACGATCAGAATCAACTCATCGATGAGGGCGACTTAGCAAATGATACGAAAAAAGAGCACATCAACGAGACTGATAACATCGCCGCGGAAGCGGTTACCGCCATGGGCTTAGTGACAATCAAGGATGGTGAAAATACGACCACTATCATGGCAACAGATAGCGCGAGCGAAATGTTTGCAGCCGATGGCACGATAACATCTGCTCCTTCCAATGTTAAGGCGGCAAAAAGGACAAGCTCAGTTCTACAGTTTGAGACGAAGTTACCTTTACCGGTGTACGTGCTATCGCACGCGTTTAAAGCTCGATTGTCCAACAACGAAGCTTCATCGCAAACGGTGCCACAATTCGAGGTCAAAGCAACGTCTGCGTTGACTGGCGTCGTTGAAGAGGTACTACTAGCATCTCCTCCCGGTGCTAGGCCGTTCTTCGAGAAGCTCAAAGGCACCTTTGATATCTGCGGCGTCGATTGTCGCGTGTATTCCAAAGAGGCGTCGAAAGTACAAAAGGTCGAGGAAGAGAAACCATCATCCGACGTCGTTCAGCCGCCACCGCAAGCATCAACAGCGGACGAGTCCATCACTGAGCACGAGCGCAAGCGCTCTCGCGTAGAAACTAGATAGATAAAAGTAGATAGAAAGCACAGAACCAAATTGTAAAAACGCAGAGGATTATTAGTTTACGAGTTCCTAGACGAGTTTCACATGTATGAATTTTTAAAGCTAAACAGTTCAACGCATAATAATTTCAATCGCTCATCACATAACATTAAGAGGATAAGATGATATTGTTAATCGGAATGCTATTTATTAAAGAAGAAGAAACGAGAGGAACATTTGTCAGTACTCTATACACCACTTCTTCCCGCAAAGCGGAAAGCGAAGAAATCAGCCTTTTTCACTCCTTTTGGGGGAAGGAGTCTCGAATGTCCAATTCAACCGAAAAGGACAACACCTTCTTGTATGAATCCCACCGGGAACGCGAAGCGAGAATAAAAGAGAGAGAGAAGGTAAACACTCACAAGACGAGCTTCACGAAGAACCCGACGAACCCAAACATGATAAACCCTGTGAAAGAGAGAGAATAAGAGAGAGAAAATACACAACAGTCAGCGAAAGAGAGTGAAATGAAAATGCGCTCCGATCGGAAAGAAAAATGTATATAAAAATGTAGTAAACGAGTACATTACTTACCAAAAGCCGTCTTGCTCGCGATGAGCGTGAACTCTCGTCGGTCTGGTTTCGTGCACTTTTTCACTAATCGCACGGAGTCTTTCATGAACTCTTTCAGTGGGGCGATGGCGATGTCCGCGACTTCCATTTTTAATAACGAGATGTGTTTCTCTCTCTTTCTTTTCCCTAAAAGTCTGACGTTTTTCTTCGCGATGGAAAAAAGCGATTGAAATTCTTCACAAAAATCAAACGCACTTAAGAAGAAAAAGATGACGATGACGCACAGAACGCGGACGACGACGACGACGACTTGTCTGCTACTGCTGCTGTTTTTGCTGCTTTTCGCGCTTCTTTCCGACGCGAAGATTCACTTTTCGGAGACCTTTGATGGTGCGTTTTTTGTTTAAGTTTCCCCGGGAAGAAGAAAATCGAAACAAGTTTCGATTGAGACGAAGAAGAGAGGGAAACAGAGCCGACTCGCGCGCTCGATCTGATTTCAATCTCTTTTGGAGACGTCGTGTTGTTGCCTCTTTTATACTGACTTTACGGTTTTAATGCTTTTCGTTTTGATATCGTTTAAACACAACAGACGAAGATGCGTCGTCGAGATGGCACAAATCCACCTTCAAAGAAGACGAAAATATGGCTGGCGAATTCGTAGTGACGAGGGCGATACACGAAGGGAAAAAAACGGACTCGAAGGCGAACAAAGGGTTCAAAACGCAAACGAATGGACGCTTTTTCGCTTATTACTCGTCCGCGGACGAAGTGTTCGATAACGACGGGAAAGACCTCGTGGTGCAGTACTCGGTGAAGCACGAACAAAACATCGACTGCGGAGGCGCGTACGTGAAAATTTTACCGGAATCGAGCGAGATGGAAAATTTTGGAGGATCGACGCCGTATAACATCATGTTTGGACCGGATATTTGCGGGAAAGGGATCAAGAAAGTACATTTTATCTTGGCCAAACACGACGAACACGGGAACGAGAAGCAATACCAGATGAAGACGACGGTGAAAGCGAAAACGGACGAGTTGACGCACGTGTACACTTTGGTGATTCATCCGAACGATGATTTTGAGATTTTGATCGATGGTAAATCAGAAATCAAAAAGAATATCGAGGACGAGTTTGATATTTTGGAACCGAAAGAAATTCCTGACCCATCGGCGACGAAACCAGACGATTGGGACGATCGCAGAATGATTGTCGACGAAGACGCTGAGAAACCGGAAGGCTACGATGATATTCCTGAAAACATTGCCGACCCGGAACATCCGAAACCGGACGATTGGGACGACGACATCGATGGCGACTGGGAACCACCGATGGTTCCAAACCCGGAATACAAAGGTCCGTGGACGCAACCGATGATTGAAAATCCAAAGTATTCCGGAGGACCGTGGGAAGCGCCGATGATTAAAAATCCAAACTACGTGCCGAAGTCCGAGCCGTTAGCGTTGATGCGCAACTTAAAGCACGTCGGATTCGATTTGTGGCAAGTCAAAGCGGGTTCGTTTTTCGACAACATCGTCATCACGGACTCGTTAGAAGAGGCGAAATCGTTCGGCAAGAAATTGTTTGGCAAGAAATCTCGCAAGAAGGAGAAGCGCATGCAGGAAGACTTCGAGGAAGCTGATCGCAAGAAGAAAGACGACGAGGCGGACGAGTGGGCGAGAGAAACGAGGAAAAACGTGGAAGATCCGGACGCGCTCTTCCCGCCAGGAATGGAACCACCCGAAGATTACGACCCGGACGATCCTGCACACGATGAACTTTGAAACAAGCATGACGAATAGATAGAACGTAGCCTTATGCCGTAGCGCAAAGAAGCTCTCTCGTCGTCTACTCTTCGTTATTACTTACGCGATGTGAAGCGTTTGGGAGATCCATTTCCAAACCACATCATGCCTTTGTGAATAAAGCAAATAACGCGACTACTGAATTTCATATATAAATCATTCTAAATATCTTCGCTTGTAATACGCCTCCCATCGATTCAGAGTTCCTTCGCTCGACAGCCTTCGCTTTCGCTTTTGCGCGGTACTCTTACCACCACCACTCGTGGTGGTGGTGTTGCTAGGTGATTTCTCGCTCTTCTCACTGCTCCTCTGTTTTCGCGCATACGAACGCCTCTTCGCTCCCACTTTTGGCGTCGTCGTCGTCGTCCTCTCCTCGCTTTCCTTCTCGCCCCTCCCCGTCGTCGTCGCGATCGTCGACCGCGCGATCCGCATCTCTCTCGCCACTCTCTCTTCCTTCGTTCGTTTCAACCGTTCCAAAAGTTCCATTTTCTTCTCGCGTTTCTTTTGCACTTCCTTTCGCGTCTCTTTTACTCGCTTCTCGATCATCGCCTTATTATTATTATCATCATCATCGCTATTCTTCGTTTTCGTTTTGCTTTTCAGTCGCACTTTCATGCTCTATCTATATCGCGTGGTTTGTCAACAATGACGAGTGCATTCCAACTGTCGCTTTCCGTTTTGATATTTTCCCCCAAAACTCCTTTTCACCTCATAATAAAGATATAAGAAGAGCTCTCTTCTCTGATGAGGAAACATCAGCACCGCGCCTAAAATGGGCCGCAACGATGATGCTCGAAGAAACAGACGACGAAGAGCGCGTGTGTTTGGCGGTGAAAAAAGGCGCAAGTTAGTGGCAGAAAGAGAAGGAGGAATTAGGGGAATGGTGTTGCAAACGACTTCAAACGAGGTGTATTTGCGAGAGGATATTTCGTGCGGGTTTCCCGGGTGCGTAAGTTGCGACGAGAGGCAAAATGGAGCACCAACGGCACTGAACGAGCGGTGCGATTTTTTTCTCGTGCCGTCGTCGGCGAGCGTCATCGGAGTGTTGGGAGCGCAGTTTTGGGAAGATTTAGCGAGAGATTGTATCTTGTGTAAGAGCGTTGAAACGCGAACGAGGGAGAAGTTTAATTCAAACCCGAGGTTGATGCGAGCGATGAGAAGCGTATACGAAGATTCGCGGAAAGATAGTTTTTTGTTTGATGATTTGCACAGTCGAAAGATCAGAGAGCTTTCGAAGAGAAGTGGATGTGGATTGGTTGAAGCGACCGCGGCGTTTTACGCCGAGAAGGTGCAGACGGCGACGACGAGACGATCGAAGGTTATTGTACTCACGACAAAGCCTATGAAAAGCGCAGTGAAAGATAACGCCGTGACTACAATGCACGTAATCGAGTACATTCAAAAATATCATCCCGAGAACGAAGCTTTGATGTCGAAGGTACAAGCGGCGCTCGAAGAGAAAGAAGAGGAAAACGAAAAAGAGGAAGATATGGAAGGAGGCGGTACCTTTTCTGAGTACATTACACGAGTAGAGGTAGAAGAAGGTATTGCAAACGGTACCATAGTAATTGGACAAATGCGCGTAGATAGCAAACGGACGTCCGCAGTTGTCAATAACTCTATTCGCATAGACTCAAAAGTCAAAATGAATCGAGCTCTACACCTCGATACGGTTGCGGTTGACGTGAACACGAACGAGGTCGTTTATGTCGTGTCGCGAAAGCAAATGGAATTTACGTGCGTGCTCGATGAACACGACTCAGATGACTCTCGGTTGGCACAACGGAGCAGCGTTCTCGTCGTTCCGAGAGAGTCGAGTAAACTGCCTCGGTTTAAGATGTTCAAAAATGCTCCGGATACGCTAAAAGGAAAAGTGTTCTCGGTTCGCTTTTCCTCCTGGTCGAGACAGAAAACGTTCCCGGATGCGCATTTTTTGGAAGTTATAGGTGACGTTGGAAATTTCAAAGGTGAAGTTGATGCGGTGTTAACGAGTTGTATGATTCGCAAAGAGCCATTCGGGGTGAAAGCGAACTCGGAATTACCTCGGTCGGATTGGACGATACCGCTCGAAGAACTCGATACTCGAAGAGATTTTAGAAAGGATCCCGCGACGTGTATTTTTTCAGTCGACCCGCCTGGATGCGTTGATGTTGACGACGCGCTGAGTGTAAAGAAGTTGGAAAGTGGTGGTTACGAGATTGGTGTGCACATTGCTGACGTGTCGTTCTTCGTCCGAGAGAAATCTGCGTTAGATGCGGAAGGTAGGGCGAGAGGCACGACCGTGTACCTACCCAACGAGCGAATTGACATGCTCCCGGAAATTCTGTCTGCAAATCTGTGTTCGTTACTTGAAGGACAGGACAGATTAGCGGTATCGTGCGTTTGGCTCGTGAATGAGGACTTGCGCATTGAAGGGAAACCCTGGTTTGGTCGTTCAATCATTCGAAACCGAAAGGCTATCGATTATTATTCGGCGCAAGCTTTGTTAGATGGAGGCGATGCGGGATGCAAAAACAACGTTCGTGATTTTTACGACGCTTTGTATGTGTTGACAACTTTTGCGAATAGCAGACGCCGAGTGCGAGAAATGAACGGCGCGCTAGAATTGGCGAGCGCCGAGTTGAGGTTTGAAACGCATGCTGATGCTGGCGACCGCGAGGAACTTTCGACGGCAAAAAGAACCGCGGTTGCGGAGAAGCGTGATGTTCACACAATGAAAACGGTTGCAGAACTAATGATTTCAGCAAATTGTGCCTGCGCGGAACGCATTCACACGAAATTTCTCGAGGCGTCCTTCGTGCGCCGACACAGAATGCCAGCCGCGGACGCCTTCGACGACATCAAGAAATATTGCCGCGAGTTTTTAAATTTTAACTCGTTTGATAGTTCCAGCGGCGTTTCGTTGAACGAATCGCTTTCGAAGGCTATCCGTTTATCCACAGATTCTCGCGCCTCCGCCGAGGCGTTCTTCCGCGGCAACGCTGCGCAGAAGATGCAAGAGGCTGAATATTGCGTGTGCGACGGGGCCACGTCTTCGTCGCATTTCGGTTTAGCCGTCGATTTATACACGCACTTTACGTCGCCGATTCGCCGATATGCGGATATTATCGCGCACCGACAGTTATTGAGTGCCATCGGTGATTGCAGAGCGGCCAAGCGTAGCGACGACCTTTTGAAAAAATCAATTTTGCACGATCTCGCGGATCATCTCAACGAGCGCACGCGAATGTCGAAAGTCGTGCAAAGGAAAGTTTCAGAAGTTTACCTCGCCTTCTCGATGCTGGACAATGCAAAGACGAAAATCGCCATGGTTGAAAGTTACGACAAAGAACGAGAAGTTTTGAAAGTGTTTTTGCCGAGTTGGCATTTACGAGGCAATGTCTTCCTTCGTGACGAAACAGACGTCAAAACGCTCGATCCGTGCGGACTCGGCGGCGTTTCTATTAATAAAGGCGAGCGCGAGTTTTATCCTTTGCAAATAATTTACATCGAAGTCTCGGCGACGAGTTCCTATACGAGGGGCATTCAATTGACTTTTACTCTGTCCGAGGCTTTCAAATTATCACCGGACGATGACGACAATGATTTGAGGGAAATGGAACGCCGCGATGTAGAAAACGCACCAGAACTCGCGCAAGCGTTTGAGAATTCCGTCACGATTTCCAGCACGAACAGGAAGAAAGTGTTGCTGGAACGCAACGAACGACGCGATGACGCGACCAAAACAGATGACGGTAGCGAAACAGACGAAATGCTCGTCCCGCCGAAATCGTTCCGAATGAGAGCGCTCGATCCGTATTCCGTCCATCTCTTAACGCTCAAAGCTGCTTTGGAGATGAAATGCTCGAGAACGCGAATCGTGGACGAGCCATCGAAAGCTCGATACGCTCGTCGTCGCGCTCGGTTAGAAAAAGTTTTATAGTACCGTAGGGGTCATCGTAGCACATTAGATAGACACGATAAGCGTATAGCAATGAAACACAAAATACACAAGGGCAGCAGCAATTACTACAACACGTAGCTTACTTTTCTTCTTCAACCCGTTCGCTACTACACTATCTTCTGCCGGATTCTCTTTCCCTCTCGTCGGACCTATACCGCCTCTCGTATACTCTAAGCTTTTTTGTTGCCTAATTAATAAAGAATGAAGGGAAAAGAAAAACAAAAATTCCTCCACACAAACTCCTCCACACATCAAACGACAACGACAACAACAACGAGGCGCTTTCGTTTGAACGCAGAGCGTGGGGTTCATTTCATCTCTCTCTTTCTCAAAACACGTTTATTCGTCGGCTGTTTTGTTGCCTTGTCGTCGTCAAAGAGAATTATAATAGTAATAGTACTAATGGGCAAACGCTCCACCGTCGCGTACTCCTCCGAAGATTTCATCAAGAAGCGTCACAAAAAAGACGACAACGACACGAAAACGGATGACGATAAAAGCGCACTGAAAACGTATTACTGCACGTGTTGCTCCAATCCCGTTTTAATCACGGACTGCAATCTCTTCTCGCTCCCGAGACGAAGGAAAGATGGGTCGATTATTTTAGACAGGACGAAGTACGTCTGCCGGTTACGAGCGAAACGAGAGCGGGACAATAAAACGACGGCGATTCGAAGAGACAACGGGAAGAGCATTGAGAAGCAAACGCGTTATTATTGCGGGGACGTGCCGGTGTGTTACGAGTGCAACGACGAGAGTGTGAAATTGTACGTGTTGGACGGCGCGTTGAGGAGTTTCGAGAAAGCGAGGAAAGCGGGGACGAACGGTAAAGAGAAAGGGAATACTACTCGAGAGGTGGTGGAGTTGTTACCGGTGCCACCGTGCATACGCAGAGGGAAAGGAGGGAAGAAACTCATCATTTCGGTAAGAGTGATCGACCGGCAAGAGAAGTGCTCGGTGATGGATATTAGCGCCGAGAAGGTTTCCATCTCGGCGACGAAAAAAGCGGACGCGAAAGAGTTGTTGGAGCGAGAAGTGTTGGAATTTTTGAGCGAGACGTTGAAATGCCGAGTGGCTCAGTTATCCGTGTTAGTGAACGACGAAGAAGACGACGGCGTCGCGGTGACGAAAGAAATCGCGTGCGACGTCGGCGAATCGATGTCGCCGGAAACGGTGTTTCGAGCGCTCGAAAAGAGTCGCGCGGCGGCTGCTTCGTGATGAGAAAATGTGATAGATTTATCGAGAGCTTTTTGTAGAGTTTTAGTCATATCCACGGTACTATAGCAAACGCAAGCGCTCGTCGTCGTTCTCGGCTCCGGAATGTCTCGATACCTTTTACGTCGTCGCGCGTCTTTCGGTTTGATGGTTCGTTGGTTTTGTTCTGAAAATTCAAAAAGTCCCTTCGCACACCCCTCACAACAAAACATTCAAAATGCACACGCGCGAGACGACGACGCGAAAACGTCCTCCTCCGCGCGACAGATTCGATAAAATAAGCCTCGCAACAACCGAAGCCGTATCGTTCCTCGAAGCGCACGGAGTCGCGAACGAAAGGACTGGACGAGAAAACGCAGCGACGACGGCGTCAATAAATGCCGTTGAAATCAATTCCCGTGCGAAACAGATGAATCATCGAGAGAAACAAGCAGAGCAAGAAGAACGACGCTGGCGAACGATGGCAACAACAACAACATCAAACGTGGCGGAATCATTGAAAGTGTCCAAGCTCGAAATTGAACTCGAGCGACTCGAGGCGCAAGTGCGCGTGATGAAGAAAGATGTACGAATGGCGAGGGCGGACTGCGCAAGAGAAAGGCAAACAGTAGCGCACGAACGAAGGAGATGTGAAGAGTTGACGAGTTCGAGCGGACAAACGATGAAAGAAAACGAGGAGTTGAGAATGGTTTTAGAGAAGACGGAACGCGAACGGGACGAATTGAAGCGCGATTTTGTGGATTTAGGGGACCGGGCGACGGTCATCGCCAAGCAGAACGAGTACGCGAAGCGAGAGTACGAGAGGTGTAAGAAAGAGGCGGACGAGATGCGAGCGAAAGCGAAAGAGGAGACGAAGGCGGCAAAGGAGTCCGAGAAAAGAATGAAAACCGCCGAGAAGAGGATTAGCGAGAAGTTCGAGGAAGAGAAGGTGCAAATGGAACGTCGGGCGATGAAATGGCGGGACGAAGTGCTGCGCAAAGCGAGTAAAGCGAAGGCGAGTTTAGAAAAGAGAGAGAAAAATGTAAAACGAAAAGAGGAAAGTCAAGAGTCAATTGAGCGCAGAGAAAAGGAGAAATATGAAGCGAAAGTTCAAAAGATGCGGATGGAGTTTGAGCACAGAGCGACGGAGATTGAACGCGAGGCGAACGAACGAGGCGCGGCGGCGGTTGCCCGATTCGGCGCGAGAGCCTCGGAAACGGAAGTCGCCGCGGTGGCGGAAGCGCAGTTTGCAAAGGACAAAATGGACGAGGCCTTGAAAGAGTGCGCCGTGGCTAAAGCGGAAAAGGAAAGTTACGAGAGAAAGAGTAGAGAGGCGGAGCGAGCGAGGAAAGATATCGCGGACGCCTTAGAGAAGGAGACGCTGCAGAGATTAAAGTACCAGGCGGAGTTGGAGGTGTTCAGAGTTCAAAGCGAGCCGTTGAAGGATGAAATAGAAAGCGAGAAAGGGATGAAAGATGACTTCAAAAAACGTCTCGAGATGAGCTTACGAAGAAACGTGGAGTTACAAGAGGACGTTGAAACGCTTTCATCTTCAAAACGTGTATTGCTCGATGCCGAAACGCGTTTAAAAGCTGAAAATATGCGTTTGAACGCGTTAATCAAGGAAACGATAGAAAGCTACAAACAGAAAATAGAAACGTTGAAAGAGGACGTGAAAGCGTCCAACGAGAAAGCCATGCAGGCGTGCTTTGACGACGCCAAGAACGCGGTGGAAACGTGTTACCAAGAATCTAGCGAGTTGAAACGTCGCGTGGAAGATTTGACTGAGAAACTCGCGGTCGCACAAAACTTTTTACAAACTCGCGAAGAGGAACGCGACGTCGCCACGGAAAGTTTAGAACTAACCATGCGCGAGCTCGAAGCTAAGACGAGCGAAATCGAGCAGCTAGAGGAAAGTTTACAAAGTGCGAAGAATACGACGAATCAAATCAGCGCGAGCATGCAACAGCTCGTTAACGATTACGACGAGATGCAGAACGATTTGGAAGCGGCGGCTTTGAAAATTAACGAATTGACGGTGGAGAATATTCAGCTGAGCAGTATGCCACCTTCAACGGATAAAGGTGTGAACACCACTAGTGACACTGACAACTCGCGGGCGCTCGCAAAGCGCATGGAAAAGGAGAAAGAGATCGCCATCTCCATCGAATCCGAACGCGTTCGCGAAAAGTTGCAAAAACTGTTCGACACGAGGACGAAGGCGTTGAACGAGCAAAATCAAGCGCTTCTTCAAATAATGAACGTTATGAAATCAAAGGTTGACGCCACGGAGACTAATTTCAAGGAGGAGTTTGAAAAGCGTAAAGAAGTCGAAGCAGACTTGCATGCAAAATCCAAAGAGATTGAACGGTTGCAAAGCGAGTTATCCTCTTCCTCGCGAAAGCTTCGGGTGTTGGAAGATGCACTAAGCGTCGTACCTTCCTCAACCATATCGAAAGAGCAACCATTCTTTGACGCAAAAGATGATGATTACGACGAGAGCAACATCGACAACGACTTCAATAACGGGGAAACCTTTTTTATCCCTTCTGTTCCGAAGAACGGCTCCGATATTCGAGCGCTCATCGCGTCGCCGAAACGCTCCGTATCGAAAAGGGTTGGATTTAATAAAACGAGTCCTTTGATGCGACCGAACCCTCCACCCGTGAAAAACGAAGGGGCAAAGACGAATGATGCCACCAACGCGGAGAGAGGTTTGTGGTAGCAGAGCGCGTTTTATTTATTGTTATGCGATGTTTTCGTATGTGTATTTTAACTGAAACCTGTACAACATTTTCAAAAACTCCGCATAAAATCGAAAAACGAATTTTTAACACGCGCAATCAATCATGACGAGTTTTAAACGTATTGCGAACACGCGCGCGCACTGAGACGGGGAGAGGCGAAGGAACGCGGTGGTGCGCGTTTGTCAGTCATCATGCGCGCGAGAACGAGGACGAGACGCTCTCAGTATCACTCGTTTTGGAAAATGATACATTACCTCCTTCCGTTCCTTTTTCTGCTTCTTCTAACCGAATCATCGCGGAGTAGTCGCGCGCATAAAGACGACAGGAGAAGACACGCGTCGACAACAACATCGACGACTTCTTTCGAACCACCACCGGCTCCACCACAAATAGATAAGCGCGCGTTCAATTACAACAGAACCATCGCGCACAAAATGGAAAAAGTTTTAGAGAAGGAATTCGCGGACGACGATTTGGACGAGGAGAAGTATCACAAGGAGAAAGAGGAAGAGTTGCTAAAGTTGGAACGCGAGAGCGGTGGAGTAAGAGAAGGAAGCGAAAGCGTGATGAAGAAAAGTAGGAAGAAAGCGAGCAGTTCGAACGAGAGCGATGCTGTGAGTTCTGATATCGTGGAGGCGAACATGACGCAGCGCGCGAGACGGAAGCAGAAGATGAAAGCGTTGGTGTCAAGAACCGAGGATATTTTACTGCGAATAGATGAAGCTTTGAGTCGAGAGAGCGAAAAGAGAGCGGAAGGAGGAGAAGCGGAGACGTTGGTAGATAGCGAAGGAAACGAGTACGTTTTGGAACGAACGGAGAAGAGAAAGCAGACTTCGATGCAAACGGATTCAAATTTGACGAGAGATATCGTGTGCGTGTTCGTGTTTAGCGTGGTGATGTCGTTGATATTTTCGATTGTAGTTACCGGTGGAAATAGGAATAGAAAGATGTTTCAAAGTGCTCCGTCGTCTGATTTCGTAGGCTTCTTCGTTTGCGGTGCATTGGTTGGACCTTTCGGCTTGCGCTTGGTGGACGAGCCGGTGCAATTGGAGACGTTGGGAGAATTTGGCGTAATCGCGCTGTGTTTTTCAGTCGGTCGATTGTGTGATGCGAGTATATTTGAGAAGATTGGACGGAATAGTACTAGCCGATATTTTTCTTTCGTACGTCGAAGTCGAAGCAGTTCTATTGTGATTGCAAATGTCGCGATAAGTTCCTTCATCGGCGCGCTGTTAGGGGTTGCGACGAAAATCGGCATCTTGAAAGGGATAGTGATTGGCGCGATATCTGTCTTTGATGGGTCCAATTCCGTCGTCGTCGTGAGCAAATCAAGTAGTGCGAATTTGGTCGACAGTGCGAATTCACTAGACGGTAACGGTGGAAGCACGACGAGCATGGACAGTTTAGCTGGTGAAGAATCCAGTCATCTCTCCTCACTGACCTCACCGCAATCCTCGAAGAGAACAAACGACGAATTGAACGAGAGCAACATCATGCGATGGTGGACTGGAATCGCATTCGCAATTGCACGAAATTGGAACACGACGATCTTGTTTTCTCAGTCCGTGGCGAATATTGTGTACGCGCTCGTCATGTCGTCGTTCGTGACGTTTGTCGTCGCTTCGCGTTTTAGTGGCCGCGATAAGGTTCGCGCCGGCGTTGCGACGAAATGGAATAGCAATACTAAAACACACGCGAGCGAGCACTATCAAGCCGAGAAGAAACTGATTTTTATGTGTGCAACGTGCTTGTTCTTCGCTCGGCTGACTGAGATGTTCAATTTAGGTTACGAACTGGGTGCTTTCGCGTTTGGGATTGCGTGTCATCACAATCGCAGAGGAGAGGAGAGCTTGGGTGTAAATACCGACGACGACTTTGAAAATAAGCGCGGTAATTTTGCCAAAAAAGACGAAAATAACGGTGACTTGGAATCGCAGCACAAGGGTAAGAAGAAACAAACTCACAACAAAGTAGTTGGTTCAGACCTACTAAGAGCAGCGCACGCTTTAGCGTTCACGGCTATTGGCATGAACGTTCGCATGAACTATCTTCGCGAGAAATTGATTCCGTTGACGCTATCATCCGTCGCTTTTATTATTCTCGTTCGGAAATTGAGAACATCGTTGCGCAAAGGCGAAACGAGCTTGGTGAAACATTCCGTTGCGTCGCCTTTCGCTTCATACACGCTTGGCGAAACGACGAGCGAACGGAAAGACATCAAGAGTTACAGCGATGTCATCACGTTGCTCTTGCTAAAGCGCTCGCTTTTCGCGAACGGCATTTCTTTGAATGCGTATCACTTTGCGTTTCACACGCAAGTCTTGTGCATATTTTGTATTTGGCCACTCATGGACTACTTCATCTGGCGAAGGAGTCGCAGGCATCATCGCGCGAAATCGAGGAAGCGCAATTTTTAGTCGTCGCGTAAAGTTTGTTTGCATCGAGTCATTCTAATGGTAGTTGAACAATGAATTTGGTAGTAGTATTTAATGATATAACGTAGCTTTTTCTAGGTAGATTTTACACACTCAACTATTGATTACGTCTCCATAGCCTCTGGCGACGAATCCTTCTTCTTTTCTCCGTCCTCTCTGTTTTGCTCGTGCTCTCTCTTCTTGGGCACAAAAATGTCCCCTTCGCCCCCACCGTGTCTTTCTGGATTTTCGACCGCGTCCGCCGGATAGTACTCGTAATGCAACTCTCCTACATCCGTCCCGCTCATCTTCGTCCATCCGTCCGGTCCAACGTGATACACGCTCACCGTCCCTCCCGAAAAGGCGTCTCGGAACGTCGCGTGGTAAATCGCCCTTCTCCCCAACTCCGCCGCTTCTTTTATGCTCAAATCGTGTCTAAAACCTTGATCCAAAACACCATACGCGAACAACGACCCCGAACCAACTGAAAACCTCTTTCCTTTTAATCTCGTTCCATCCGAGTCCACGTAAAACAATCCCGGTCCGGTCGTATCCCAACCGGCGACCATCGTCCCCATCGATAATCCGCGTCCGCGATACCCGTACAAAGTATTTGCCAACAACTTCGACGCACCAGTCACGGTAATCCTCTTCCCAGTCTCAAGTTCGTGTAACCGACACTGAATCCCTAAGTTCCTCTGCCAAAACTGACAATCCGCCGCGCCTCCAGCCATCGTCCCGAGTAAAAAAGGGTTGATCTCGATGACTTTTTTCACCGTTTGTGAACTGATGTACGGTCCTTGCGACGCGCGAGAATCCACCGCGATGATAATTCCGTGTTCAAATATAAAGCCTAAAGTCGTCGTCCCGTGTTGTGGTTTCACGTGTTCGACGACGTCTTTCTGGAAGCGAGAGAAGTCTTCCACTCGAGGTATCGTGAAGTACTGATCGTGCGTGTTGATGCCGCACAGGACGTCGTTTTCCAAACTGTTTTGATGTCATTGTGTGAGGACGAGAAAGAGAGAGAGAGAGAGAGAGTATCATCACTGGTCAGATACAGAACGACTAAAACGCTTCAACGAACGAACAATCCTGCGATATCTCCACAGATCAACGGCTTTCCACCGCAACTTTCGACGCAAAGAAGAAGAAGAGACGATGAGACGATGATGAGATCGTTTCAAAGGAGAGAAAACGAAGCAGCAACAACGCGCAAAAGATGCAAACGCAGAAGAAGAAATCACCAAAACACCGAATCAATACGCTTACGTCGAAGTCAACTCGTCCGCCTCTTTACGAACCGGCCGGTCGAGCACGCTAAAGTCTAAGTTTAAAGACGTCATCTCTCTGAAACGATGTGATGTGTGGGTTTTAATGAGGTTCGATGAAGAAAAGAAAAGTTTGTCTACTCGTAAAGAGAAAGGAAAACGAAAAATGTGAACACCGCGAACGCAAACCCATACAATCCGTCCGATGATGATGAAAGCGAGAGAAGAGAGTTATTAAGAAAAACACAAAGTTCATTCATTTACAAACATTTTCGGGAATAGTTCGCTCGGCGACAGCAGGGACAAAATATCTCTCTGCCGATAGATTTCAAATGCCTCTCGAACGTTCGCAGGCAGTTTCTGTGGAACCGGTGCGAACAACTGAGGTACGCGACTTTCGTCGTCTTTGGAGGAGGAGGAGGAGAAGAAGGAGTAGAATCGTCGGTTCTTTGCGAGGAAATGACAGCGTTTGTCTTCGAGGCGGCGAAGCGAAGCGCGCAAATAGAACACTCGTCGATTTCCAGGGAGAGCGATTTGGCGATGACGACGTTCCAGTCGGTGTTCGTATCGTTGGAATCCTCGTCGGAAGAAGAAGATTTGTCGATGTCTTCTTCTTCTTCTTCTTCGGCGAGTTGTTGTTTCCTCGTCTCTCTCCTCTTTTCGGCGCTTCTCTCGACTCGCTTTCGTAACGCGCGGAGCTTATTCGCCATCCAGGTCATTCGCGCGTTCTCGTTCATCGGTCCGAGTTTGTTTCGAACGAGACGTCCTCTCCACATTTTCTGTATCGTCAACGCCGCGTGTCGAATGCACTCGTCTCTCGCGTCACTTATCCGAATCTTTCTGTACCCGACCGCACGACAACACGGACATCTTCGTCGTTCAGATATCGATTCCACGAACGTCTCGAAAGACTTCAAGCACTGCGCGTGGAAACAGTGCGCACAGGACGTCAACACTTGTCCTCGATTTTGATCAGCATCCATCGTCGTCGTCGCGCTCGTCTGAATCGTCGTCGCAAACTCTTCTCGGCAAATCGCGCACTCCGAATCTTTGCCGGTCCGTTCTCTCGCTTTCTTTCGAATCTCTTTCCAGTTAAACGACGACGACGACGACGAAAAGGAAGAAGAAAACGTGAGTAACGGTTTTTCGTTTTCTCGTCCTCCTCTTCTTCTTCGTTGACTGAGAAAAAAAGAAGAAGAAGACAAAGAAGAATCAAACGGTGCCTCTTGAAACGACGCCGAGGAGAGAACGAACGCGAGTTTCAAACAGTCGTCGTCCTCGTTCTTGTTCTTCTTGTTCTTCTTCTTCCTTTCGCTTCGAATCATCTCAAAGCTCTTCTTCTCTCTTTGAGGCAGTGTGGGTGGCAGAAGGCGCAAAGGGCTCGTATTTTATGCTCGATTTTGTGTTTAGGGTATCACACGCAACCCTAAATTTTATGTTTCCTGCTTTCCTCCACGAAGAGAGAAACGGGCAACACAAATCGCGCGCGCGCTGAAAGCGCATCATCTGATTGATTCCTCGCTCTTCGTTGCGAGAGAGAAGACACACACAATCAGCAATACCATCATCATTATGCGTCCGTCGCATTTAATGAAGTCCCATTTACGTGGAAGAACATCATTGGAAAACAATAACAATTTGAATGTTCCAAAAGCGTTCCTCGCGTTGCTCGTCTTCGTCCTCGTCTTCCTCGGGTTGCGCGCGTTCGTCGTGGATTCGATTTTGGAGGACACCAACACCAAGAACATGAACAACAACGAGTATAAAGGGGAGGCGTTCAGACTCGTGGAGAAGCAAACGCAAAAACACGACCGGAGAGTGGAACTCGGCATGGAGTGGTTTCGAACACATTCGGGAGGTGGGAATAGGTGCGCTTTGGACAAGAAAGGCGCGTGCGGGAGACACGCGACGTGCGTGAAGAACGTATGCGTGTGCGCAGTTTTGTACGGAGGGAAAAGTTGCGACGAGCACATCGATTTACCGGAAGTGTACGTGGATGGAGAGGATGCGGATGGTGAAGACGAGGACGCGCGAGAGAAGATGTTAAGGTTGTTGAGCCCGGCGCAAAAGACGGCGAGGGAGCAAGCGAGCAAGGGAGTAGGGAAGGTTAAGGATACGACGGAAGGTATTGCGTTTGAAGGCGCGTTGACGTTGAACAAGGAGACGTGTGGGAGCGCAGGGACGGCGAGAGTCTCCGCGCTGACGGTGAAATTGCCGTCAAAGAGAAGCGACGACGCGCGCGTGGGCGGCGGGTTGATTGGCGGGTTGTTCGGTAATAAAGACGGGAAGAGTGGAGCTTCGGGGAAAGGGTTCGTAAATGTAGGGACAGTCGAACAGACGGTGTTGAATAGGTTAGCGGAGACGGACGTTGTGACGCCGAAGGAAGAGCCGTGGACGAGTTGCGCGGTAGTTGGGAAATCGGGCGTTTTACTCTCCTACGAAAATGGACCGAATATCGATCAACACCAGGCGATTATTCGCGTCGACGATTTACCGACGCGCGGGTTTGAGCAAAGCGTCGGGTCGCGAACTACGGTGAGAATTTGCGGCGATGCCAAGCTACCGTTTTGTCAAAAATACATTCGCGAAGGCGCGGAAGAGACGTTGATTGCGAATATTACCAACGGGAATTCCTTGAGAGCTTTTGCGAGGATGCACAGAGTGCACGATAACGGTGTCGGAGCAGTCACGAAGAAACGTTTAAAATTAGAAGCTTTTCACCCGGAGTTTATGGAGTTTTTGGCCGAGGCTATAGAAGGTATTTCACCGATGACGACGGAAGCGCAGGCGATTATGTTTGCGCTTTTGAATTGCGCAAGCGTGGATATTTACGGCATCGGGTTAGGACCAAACGAAGGGTTTGCGACGAGGTATGACGACGAGTTAGGAAATAGAGGTGATGTAGATACGTTGGTGAGTAGTAACGGGGTGACGAGCGAGCTGGATCAAATCGATGGCGCGTTCAATTTACTGAAGACGGTGTACAATTTTGGGTTGGCGCACGTCGCCGAGAGGTGCATCGTAGAGTGTCACTTCTCTGCGGATGCGTGCGTGTTGTGTCAAACCGAGTTGTTGCACGCCGTCGAGGATGATTTCTAAATTTTATTCTTCGTGTTATTACATTGCACAATCTATGTTTTTTACCATGTACGGTCCTTCTAACTCATATCCTAACTTGCGGTAATAATTTCTCGTCCCGACACCGGAAATGACAGCCATTTTTGTCGATCCGTGCTCGTCTCTCGCGATTCTTTCGGCCTCATTCATCAACGCCGCGCCGTAGCCTCGGTGTTGAAACCGTCCAGCCTCTCGCGTCGATACTTTCACCGCGGAACCGTAGACGTGTAATTCGCGCACCATCGAAACTTTCCCTCCTTTCAATTCCACGTTGTTCTTACCAGCGTTTTTGGTCAACTTACGCAAACGCAACAAGCCGACTAAAATATCTTGTTTCGGGTCTTCGTACGATAAAAACGTTTCCCACCCGCCGTTCCCGGTGTACTCTCTTCGTACTAATTCTATGTCCTTCGGGGACACTCGATTGTGGATGTCTTGCATTCCAACCTCACGAGCGCGAACATCGCGACATTTCAATCCTAATTCGGCCATTCGAGCCATAGCGAGTTCGCGCAAGTTTCCTTTTTCGACACCAGAAGTCACCAACGGCATGGGGATATCTCTTTGCACTCTGTACACTCTCGTCCAAGGCGGCACGAGCGCTAAAATCCTCGCCACTAAATCGACTAGTTTTTCCGGCGAATACGAACGGTAAAAGCCATTTCTCCACAACTCGTACAAACCGGTACCTCGAATTACTAAGGTTGGATATAACTTCAACCCATCCATGCGAAACTCGGGGTTCTCAAAAGCCTCTAAGAACGATTCGTAATCTCTCTCCATGCCAACGTTCGGTAAATCTGGCATCATGTGCGCGACGACTTTGAACCCGGCATCTTTCGCCTCGCGAAAACATCGATTGACTGCTTTCACCGTGTGTCCTCTGTTTGTGTCTCTGGCAACATCCTCGTATATCGATTGTAAACCAATTTCGAGTCTCGTGCACCCGTACTTTAACATTTGCCTCAAGTGCGGTCCCAAACAATAATCTGGCCTCGTTTCAATCGTCATCCCAACGCATCTGTGTTTCCCGTGTTCCGAACTCCTCACGGCTTCATCCACGGACGAACTCGTCGCTCCACTCAACGCATCGTGTAAATTTCTAATAAAATAATCCCTATAATCCATTGGTAAACTCATAAACGTCCCTCCCATTAACACGTATTCAACTTTATCCGTCGAATGCCCTAACCTGGCCAACTGATCGACTCTCCCTCTCGCTTGCGCGTACGGATCGTACCTCGCACGAATCGCGCGCATACTCGTCGGCTCGTACCCGGTATAACTTTGCGTCGAATACTCAAAATCCGAATCCGGCCCGCCCGGGCAATACACGCACACGTTCCCCGTCGTCGCGATGTGCGGACACCTATGCGGCTTGGACATCACCGCGACCACCGCCACGCCGCTCGCCGTCCTCACCGGTTTCGCTCTCAACTGCGGCAACAAGCTCTTCTTGTGTTCCTCCGGCACGGCAGATATGATCTCAGTCAGTCTCACCGTCCCATCCACGCCGTATTTCTTCGCCGCTTTATTCTTCGCGTTGTTCAAGTTCAGCGTCTGGTTCGTTTTCACCGCTTCCACCATCTGTTCGATGACATCTTTCACCGTTCGCAATCTCGCTTCCTCTTGCGAGTACACGATTCGTTTGTGTTTCCCTCGCGAAGAGGTGACGATTGCGCCGACTTTTATCGCGCCTTCTTCTTTCGCTTTATTCTCGTCGAATCCTTTCTCCTTGCGCATCATCCTCTCCCCGAATACAACGCCACGGCCGTCGTCTTTCTCGTCCGGTAAACGTGTTGGTGTTGGTGCTGGCGGCTTCCCCGTGACTCGCTTCACCGCGTCTCTGCGAGAACAACAAGAACAACCAAACCACGACGCGTAAAAGTCGAGAGCGCTGCTCGAAAGACAAAGCGCTGTTTCCTCCTCTTCCTCTTCCTCTCGAAGTATTCGCGCAAAAGGCCCTCCCTTCGGCTTTCTTTCGTGAGTCGTAAACTTCCGCCTTCTGATTGTTTTCCAATTCGAGAGCGGAAAAGTGACGAAAATGCGACAGATTGTTTCGCTCTTTTCCGCGCGGAAAGAGACGAATCAGAGGACCAAGAAGAAGCGAGAGAGAGAGAATACCACTGCAGTAATACGCATGTCCGAAGTGTACTCTCTGGAACCTCCAACTTCCGGCAAAGTCATCCTCCACACCACGCACGGGGAAATCGACATCGAACTGTTTTCCAAGGAATGTCCGCTCGCCTGTCGCGCGTTCGTTCAACTCTGCGCGAGCAAGTATTACGAACAAAACGTCTTCCACCGCATCGTGAAAGGATTTATGGTACAAACCGGAGATAAAACCGGAACCGGGAAAGGAAACGGGTGGAAAGAAGGCGAGAAGTTTAAGGATGAGTTTCACAGCAGGATTTCCTTCAACGCGCGAGGCCAAGTGGCGATGGCGAACGAAGGGAAACGAAACTCGAACGGGTCGCAATTTTTCATCACCGTAGACAAGTGCAGACATCTGGATAGGAAACACACGATTTTCGGGAAAGTCGCAAATCAGACGTTTTATAACGTCCAACGAATCGCAGAGTGCGAGTGCGAAGGAGAGACGCCGGTTGGGGAGCCGTTGCCGAGGATTGTACGGACGGAGGTGGTGTGGAATCCGTTCGCGGATATCGTCGTCGCAGTTCCCGAGGAGAAGTCGGAGGAGAAGAAGGAACAGCCGAAAGCGAAGAAGAAGAAGCAGAAAGCAAACGTGGGGTTGTTATCGTTTGGTGACGACGAGGAAGTGGTGGAAGACGAGGACGAGAGGAAAGAGAAGAAAGCGAAGAAGCAGAAGATTGCGTCGGCGCACGACGTCGTCGAGGAAGGGTCGAATAAGAAATTCGCCAAAGTGGACGACGAGGAGTACGGAAATGTTTTGAAAAAGACGGAAGAGGAAACGAGAGAAAACGAAAAGAAAGCGAAAGATTTAGAGGAAAAAATGAAAGCGAAAATGCGCGAGAAAAGAGAGAAAGTATCAGGAAACGGCGGCGAGAAATCGTCTTTGGCGATGTTGTCGGAGATGAACGTGCACATTTCCGAGGAGGAGCGCAAACGCATCGAGAAGGCGAAGAAAGCGAGAGAGAAGCAAGCGAAAGCGGAAAGGAAACTGGAGCGAGAGAGACACAAGAAGAATAAACTGAAGAAACTAGGACTAGGGAAGGCGCTTGTCACCGAAGACGATAAAGCGCTCATGTCCAACCACGAAGTCAAACGCGCCGAGGCGAAACTGCGGAATCGAAGAGTCGTGGATCGCGAGAAAGATACGCTGGCTAAATTACAAAAGTTCAACGAAAAGTTACACGAAGGAGGAGAAAACAAAAACGCAGAAAGCAATAAGAAAGCACGCGATGGTTTCGTCGGCGTCTCCAAATTCGTCCCGGAAGGTTTGTACTACATGGAAGACGTCGACGAAGACGGCAACGAAATACGCAAAGACGACGATTCAGACGACGACGATAAAGATTGGCGAGCGCACTCGTTACAATTCGACAAAGATGGCGGTCAAAGCACCGCAGCCTCGCATTACTTAGCCTCCGCGGACGATTACGAAGTTTTAGATCCGAGGAAACCGTTAACGGGCGAAATCGGCACGCGTCAGGCCAAAAATGTTAACAGACGCTCGCACTAGAAGAAACTGTTGTTGTAAAACGAACGAAATATCTTCACACGAAAAACCAAATTCGTCGTCGTCTCCGGCACATGACCGAAGAAAAGAACGACGGAAAAAAAGACGAAAATGAACCCGCCGAGTCTTTCCCGACGCGCGCGTTCGACGTCATCGTTCTCGGCACCGGTCTCGCGGAGTCCTTGATCGCGTCGAGCGCGTCGAAGATTGGAAAAAAATCCGTTTTGCTTTTAGACGCGAACGACCACTACGGGAACAGTTTCGGCACTTTAACAGAAGCTCGCGGTACAGATGAAACTCTATTCAAAGGATGGAGCGTGCCTGTGTGTTTGACACGATCTGGTGCGGTGTTGGAAACGCACGATGTCGTGACCATTGACGACGACGAATGTCTTCTCGCTTCTCTGCGTCGTAAATTCAGTGTAGATGTTGCCTTCAAGTTTTCCTTGGGCGACGACCGGTTGACCGAGGAAGTGTGCAACAGCGAAGCGTATAAGTATTTAGAATTTAAAACGTTGGAAAAGAGTTTTGTTTGCGTGGGGACGAGCGATGGAAAAACGAATGGTAAGAAGGGAGAGTTTGAGTTCGTTCCGGTCCCGGCGTCTCGGGCGGAGATATTCGAAAACGCGCGCCTCTCTCCGACCGAGAAGAGAGGTTTGATGCGGTTTTTGAAAAAGGCCAGAGATGTGGCGTTGGAAGGTACGGGAGTGAATTACGGGAGAGGAGACGATGCGAACGCGCCTATTGGTGCGCCAGGGACGGAGTATACATTGGACGCGGAGAGAGAAGATGAGGGCACCTTTTTTGCGAACGATGGCGATAATAATAGTAGTAGTAGTAGTAGTAAAAACACATCCATGAAAGCGTTCTTGATGGAGTCGCCAAACGACCTTTCCGAGATTACATCCGATGCAGTCGCGCATTGCGTGAGTTTTTGTCCGAGCGTGACAACCAAATTGCGAGGAAGAGCGTCGGAGATGTTGATAACGTACATTCGTTCAATGGGAAAGTACGGGCCAGAAACGCCGCAAGCTGGTTTAATTCCGCTGTACGGATCTGGAGAGGTTGCGCAGGCTTTCTGTCGCGTGGCTGCGGTGAGCGGTGCAATCACAGCGTTGCGTCAACCGATTAAGAAAATAGAGAGGAAGAACAGTGAGAGTCACATTGAAGTTCTCACGAAAGGTGGGCGAGTATTGACGTGCAAAAAGCTCGTTTTGGGAGATGCGCAAGGCGATATAGAAATGGTTGGTTTCGCGAATGACGAAATAATTACTCCGAATCGTCGCGAAAGCTCAAAGTTTTGCATCAACAGAGCTGTGTTGGTCACAAACCGGTCTATGGTTGGCAGTGACGAAGCTCAACATCGCGTGTTCGTTGCAATACCACCCGCCGCGCGTCCGGGAAAATTGTACAAAGACGAGGACGAATTCGTCTGCTTCGCGACGCAGCTCGATTACTCGTCCAGATGTTGTCCGAAAGACACGTTCATCGTTCATCTTTGCCAAAAGTCGCGACGAACGGTACCGCTTCAAGATGTTTTTGCAGATATCCTCGACAACATTTTTTCCAAGGTGAAACAAAACGGAGAAGAAACGAAGAAACCAACCATTTTGTGGGGCACCTCGTACCGAACGCCGGATGTCGACGACGATATCGTCGAGAGTTTCAAAAGCGACGACTTCGTCAAGTTTCCAGGCGCAGACTGCAACGTAACTTTCGAGGAGACCGTCCGTCTCGCGCGAAGCGCCAACGGTTGTCTTTTTGGCGACGACGCGAACGCCTCTTCTCTTTCCTTTGATACTCTTCCGCTCTTTCCGAAAGCGCCGCAAAAGGGAGAAGAACGCGAAGAAGAAGAAGAAGTCACCGGCGATGGTGAAACCATCGACTTGAACGAGGACGAATACGCGTTGCTCAGAGACTTATGATTCTACCATCTAGCATTTGAGAGTGAGCAAAGCGTTTTAAAAGAGTGCGTTATGAAGTAGAGTAGTATAGCAGTAGTGTTTACGAGCGAAAAAAATCTACACAAGGAGTTGCCTCCTCTCGTGACTCATTCAACTCCCTCTTCTGACGAATTAAATCTCCGCAGAAAGAAATCTCTCCTTCGCGCACCTTTTCGGTGCGTTTGTACCGAGACAAATAAAACAAAGATGTCAAACATACTGACGGGATGTTGCGGCGGCGCACGCGCTGGCCACGAACTTAAAGCCGCCGCTCAAATCTCCAAACAATCCATTCAGAGTTTATTCACCGAGCAGAGCGCTTTCCTGGATCAGTTTTTCCAAACTCTCGATTTCGAGGAAACCGCGAAGTTTTGCCAGAAGGTTTTAGATTGCAAAGGGACGACGCTATTCACAGGGATCGGGAAATCGTCGTACATCGCGAAGAAAGTGTGCCAGACGTTAGTTTCCACGGGAACGAGAGCGATACATTTAGCGCCAGTGGATGCGTTACACGGAGATATTGGGAACGTGAACGAAGGCGATATTGTGGTGTTGTTCTCAAAGTCGGGAACGACGGAGGAGTTGGTGAACTTGGTTCCGTACGCGAAAGCGAAGGGTGGTTTCTTGGTTGCGGCTACGGCGAATAAGGAAAGCCAACTGGCGAAGTTGTGCGACATGCACGTGACGATTCCAGCGCCAGGAGAGTTGCAGCCGTTCGAGAAAGGATCGAGCTCGGTCGGGACGAGCGAGAGTCGGGTTTCGCCTCCCGTGACGTATACGGCGTTGCAGATGATGTTTGGGGACACGTGTGCGGTGTATATTATGCAGGCGAGAGGCTTGACGCAGGACGAGTACGCGATGAATCATCCCGCGGGGAGAATTGGGAAGCGATTGGTGTTGAGGGTGCAGGACGTGATGAGGAAGATTGAGAGTTTGCCGACGGTATCTCCCGAGGAGAAAGGATTGGAGGTTTTGGTGAAAATGGCCGGGGATACGAAAGGGTGTGGGTGCTTGTTGGTAGTGGATAAAGACATGACACTGTTAGGGACGTTTTCAGATGGAGATTTAAGACGAGCGACGGTGGCGAAAGGTGCGGAAGTGAGTAACTTGCTGGTGAAGGATTTGATGAACTATAACAAAGCGTTCCCGAGGTGTTGCGAGGCGGAACAGATGGCGTACGAGGCGCAAATGAGCATGAACTTGAACGGCAAGATGGTGGATTATTTACCAGTCATCAGTGGGGATGGGAAGAAGACGTTGTTTGGGTTGATTACGATTGAATCGTTATCAGAAGCCGGGATGTAAAGGAAAGAGAAAACACATTTTCATAGCGTTCAACGATACGAGTACCAGTACATGTACAATCAAATATAAAAGTTGGTTTAAAAATCATCAACACGCTTCTGTAAAAGTAAAGTTTTTCGTATATTCACAACGTTATTCAAAAATTATAGTATAAAGGACGATCCGAGCTTTATATTGCCCTCACTTCGAGATTGATACATTTAATTCCCACCCTTCTTCGAGCGATCGGCTCGCTTTCCCATCTTCGGGTTTTTCATGATACGGATGTTCAACGGAGTAATCTCAACTAACTCGTCCGGGCCGATGTATTCGACACAGTCATCCAAAGACAACGTTTTCGGTTCGTTCAAAACGACCGTCGCGTCCTTGTTACTTCGAACGTTCGTCGCCGCCTTCTTCTTCGCCACGTTGACTTTCAAATCGCCAGCGCGTTGATGTATACCGACAACCATGCCTTCGTACACTTCAGTCTGCGGTTTAATGAACAGAATACCTCTTTCTTGCGCAGAAAACATGGCGTACGACGTCGCGGCACCGGTTTCAAAGGCAACCAAAGACCCGTTATCTCTTTGTTGAATCTCACCAGCCCACTCTTTGTAAGCTTCAAAGTTCGTGTTGAGCACCGCGGTACCTCTGGTCGCAGTTAAAATCGCGTTTCTCAAACCTAACAAACCTCTGGTCGGAATCGAGTACTTCAACGTCGTTTGACCTTTGTCGTTGGTGACTAAATCAAGCATTTGGCCCTTTCTTTGTGAAAGCAAATCGACGCACGATCCGGTGTATTCCTCGCCGACTTCAATTTGCGCCTCTTCAAACGGTTCACACTTGCGGCCATCAATCTCTTGGTAGATGACCTCTGGCGGACCGATGCAAAACTCAAAGCCCTCTCTTCTCATGGTTTCAATTAAGATTGTGATGTGTAACGCACCTCTGCCGCAAACGACAAAGGTATCCGCGGTTTCCCCGGGTTCAACTCTCAACGCCAAGTTTCTTTCCAACTCGCGATCCAATCTGTCCTTGATGTTCCTCGAAGTGACAAACTTCCCTTCTTTACCGGCAAACGGAGACATATTCACGCTCAACGACATGCGAACTGTCGGTTCTTCGACCGAGAGTCTTGTCAATGGTTCCGAGCCATCCACAAAGATGGTTTCGCCAATCATGACGTCCGGTAAACCGGCAATGGCGCAAATGTCGCCCGCACCAACTTCCTCGATGGACGATTTCGCGAAGTTTCTGTAGACGAACAACTCGTTAATCTTACCGTTTCTCGTCGGTTCATCCGGAACGCCAATCTTAATTTGTTGGTTCTTCGAAATCGTTCCTTGGTTCACGCGGCCGAGCGCGATGCGACCTTTGAAGTCGTCGTAATCCAAGTTGGTCACCATCATTTGTAACGGCGCTTCCATGTCAACCTTCGGTGGAGGCACTTCTCTCAAAATAGCCTCAAACAACGGTTCCAAAGTGGTGCTCATGTCCGTGTAATCGTCCCCGGCGATGCCTTGGAAACCAGACGCATAAACGACTGGGAAATCGCAGCACTCGTCGTCGGCGCCCAAAGAGCAGAACAAATCAAACGTAGTGTCGACGACCCAATCCGGTCTGGCCCCGTCTCTGTCTACTTTGTTCACCACAACCAACACTTTCAACCCGAGCGCCAAGGCTTTCTTCAGTACAAATCTTGTTTGCGGCATCGGACCTTCCTGCGCGTCCACCAACAACAAAACGCCGTCCACCATGTTCAAAACGCGTTCGACTTCGCCGCCAAAATCGGCGTGCCCCGGGGTGTCCACGATGTTCAACTTCGTTCCTTTGTAATCCACCGAGGTGTTCTTACTCAAAATAGTAATACCTCTCTCTCTTTCCAAATCGTTCGAGTCCATGATTCTTTCCTCCACTTTCTCGTTGTCGCGGAAAACGGACGATTGTTTCAACATGGAATCCACCAAAGTGGTCTTCCCGTGGTCGACGTGCGCGATGATGGCAATGTTGCGCAAATCATCTCTCGGTTTCTTCGCGGTACCAGTGGCGGTTTCCGGTTCGGCGATTGCAGATTTGATCGACAAGGATCTCTTCGTCGTCTGAATCGTCGTCGTCGACGTCGTCGCGCGCTTCGCTCGGAGCGCCTTTTGGGAAAAAGACGTGGCGGCCATCATCGCTCTCGCGGAGAATGCGTGTTGCGCTGTGCTCATGATGAGTTTATAGCGGTAATTAATGGTCTTACTTTCTTAAAAACGAAGCAATTGCAATGCGTACAAGTATAGTTTAACGAGATGATAAACGATACAGGTGTGCGTGAATGGTGTGTGCGGACAAAGTGAGGATTGTATTAGAGACGTGGCACTTTTTGTTCCATTCTATCCAAAAAGAACGAGACTTTTCTCAGCCGTCGAATTTTCACTAAAATTTTTCACTCTTTCGAGGAAAACAAACACTACTATATGGAATACCACAAACTCTCTAAATTAATCTCCCTATTTCTATCTCCCTCTATCTCGTCGTCGCATCTCGGTTTCACCGCTCTTCTCTCCAGGATCGAGCGGCGTTGGTTTTCAAATAGACGCTGCTTTCTTCTTCGTCGTCTTTTCGTTTTTCGTCGAGCGCGTGCGGAGTCGCTTTGGTTTTGTTTTTCGTCCTCCATCGGCGCAAGAAGTAACTCTCGATAGATCTCGCCGCGGCGATGGCTTTAGACTCGTGAGATACGTCGAATGGGGCGACGCGGATGGTGAACATGCCAGATTTGTTGCCAAAGACGACGTCGGTGAGGTACCGGTCGCCGACGAAGACGAACTTTTCGCACGGCGACGTCGTATTTTCCTCCTCGTCTTTTGTTGTACTCTTTCTATTCTTTTCCTTCTCGGAGCTGTTGCTATTTAAAAACTCGGCGAGCTCGGTGCCGCTGCCGCTCGGCTTCTTTTCCTTGTGTCTCGCCACGCGAATCCCCAACTCTTTCTCTAACTGCGCCGCTTCGATCCCGTCCGGGTCGTACTGAATCAACCCGGCTGAGTTTGAGTACACGCAAACGCGTTCGTTCCCAAACGCTTGCTTGCACTCTTTCATGCTCTCTCGCAACGGCGGATACACCTCCGCCGCGTACGGTATCGTCAACGTGTTATCTTTATCAAAAATAACCGCGGTAAACCCGGCTTTTTTTAACTTGAACCAATCAATATCCTGAATCGACTCGCAGTCGATGTGCGGTATGGCTAACGAGGCGTCCGAGACGGCGAGCTTTAGGAACAAAGAAATGCCCGCCACGTTCATGGATTGGCCGAGTTTCCCTAAAAGTGATGGTTTCATCGCGACCATCGCGTCGTCGTTTACGTCGTCGTCGTCGCTCGAATCAGATATCGTCGTCGTCGTCGTCGTCGCGCGCGTCTTCATCCTCGGCGTCCTCCTCTTTCCTCGTCCACCAACAAATCGAACGTCCCCTGCAAAACACAAAGCACACGAAGTGGACGAACGAGAAGAAGCGCCGGGCGGGTGGTCGTTTTTCACTCTCAATCGACAAACAAAAGCAGCAGTACGAGCAGAAAAACTTTGATGTTGCCGATGATACCGATGATTCGTGCGAGAAAGAAAACGACTCGTCGATGCTCGGCCGAGGCTCATGTATTCCGCGCGACCGAACAACGACCAAGAAAAAGAGACTTTGGCGACAAAAGGAAAGAGAGAGAGAGAGGGAAAAGAGAGCTTTCTGGAGGTAGGGTTTGATACCCTAAACTTTTTTCGTGCTTCACATTTTTCTCGATAAGAAAACAACAATATCTTTGGGGGAAGTTTCATCGTTCACTTCTGCGCGCCTTATCCCGGCTGCTGCTTTTCGAGAGAGAGAGAGAGATCAAAAGCGAGAAAAAATGAGGTCTTCCGTGGTATCCGTGGCGAAACGCAGTCGCAACGCTCTGATGAAGAGCAACAACTTTATCACGAACGGTTTTGGTGTCGGTGGTGAAGCCGGTGTGGTGTTGTGTGGTGTCGCCGATCCATCATCCGTATCTTCTCTTCGACGACACGGGGAAAACTGCGCGTGCGGGTGTCGTTCCTCTTCGAAAGGGACGCGAGCGTTTTCGTCCTCGGCTGCGAACGGAACCGGGAACCGCGGCGTCATGTTCATGGGCGCGAACGACGTGCAAGTGAAGGATATTCCGTTTCCGAAACTCGAGCTCGATTCGACCAACTCTCCAGTCGTCTCCGAACGGCAAAAGAGGAAGTGCGAACACGGGGTTATTTTGAAAGTGGTCACGACGAATATTTGCGGAAGTGATCAACACATGGTTCGAGGGAGAACTTCCTTACCCGGCGGACACATGATTTTAGGCCACGAGATTACCGGCGAAGTCGTGGAACTCGGGAAAGACGTCGAGTTCATCAAGAAAGGAGACGTGTGTTCGGTGCCGTTTAACATCGCGTGCGGGAGGTGCGATAACTGCCGACAAGGCCACACCGGGATTTGTTTGAACGTGAACCCGGCGAGACCGGGTGCGGCGTACGGGTACGTCGATATGGGCGGTTGGATTGGTGGACAAGCGGAATACGTGATGGTTCCGTACGCCGATTTTAACTTGCTCAAGTTTCCGGACAAGGAACAAGCGAAGGAGAAGATTACAAGTTTAACGTTGCTGTCGGACATTTTCCCGACCGGTTACCACGGCGCAGTCACCGCGGGCGTTAAACCAGGATCAACCGTGTACGTCGCGGGTGCCGGACCGGTTGGTTTGGCGTGCGCAGCGTCCGCTCAGCTGCTCGGCGCGGCGTGCGTGATTGTCGGCGACGCGATTCCAGAACGCTTGAACCAAGCGAAATCCTTCGGTTGCGAAGTCGTGGACATTACCAAAGGGTCGGTCGATGAACAAATCGAAAAGATTCTTGGAACTCCTGAAGTGGATGCCGCGGTCGATTGCGTTGGCTTTGAAGCGAGGGGCTGTGGACACAACCACGCGAAGGAAGTGCCGGCGCAAGTGTTGAACGATTGCATGACGGTGACGAAAGCCGGCGGCGCGGTTGGAATTCCCGGTTTGTACGTTACGGAAGACCCGGGAGCGGTGGAAGATGCCGCGAAAACCGGAAACTTGAGCATGCGATTAGGCCTCGGATGGGCGAAATCGTTGACTTTTGCCACCGGTCAGTGTCCGACGATGAAGTATAACAGAAATTTAATGAACGCGATTTTGTACGACCGAGTGCAAATCGATAAAGCGGTGAACGTGGAAGTGATTTCCTTGGACGACGCGCCGAGAGGCTACGCCGACTTTGACAAAGGGGCGAGTAAGAAGTACGTCATCGACCCGCACAATTATACCGGTCGCGTGTAAAAGTTTATTCTTGTTATATATATATATAATTTTTTAGTATATCTCACTTCTTAAAACATGTTCCCATCGATGAAACTTTCGTGATTATCCATCAGCGCGTCCAAGCCGAGCAAATCGTCGTCGATTCGAAAGTTTCCCGGATTGGGAACGTTGTTATTGATAATGTTCGCGTTACTAATATTACTGATATTGTTCGGCGGCGAAAAACCTCTGAGCTCTCCGCTACCGCCTCGCATGATTTGTTGTTGTTGACTAATGTACATAGTGTTGCTTTGATGGTGTTCTTGATGTCGTTGTTGGTTTCCGGGGATGATATTTGTGTACAATGGTTCCCCTCCGAACCCGTTACTGAAGAGGACGTTTTCCCAGGATTGTAAATCCTCCGCGGCGGTTGGTTGTCGTTGTTCTTGCTGAACGTTTTGGTTATTGTTATTTGAACTGATCGGCCGTTCGTGGAAAGAATCGTTCAAGCCGAAGAACTGATCCGCCATGGATCGGTCTGATGCGTTCTTCCGCATGCCCACTTTCTTCGTAACTGCTCCGCCGCCGGCAGAAGCACCGGCAGAAGCGGTGGCGGCTTTCTTCGCCGCTTTTTCTTCGCTCGCTTGTTGCGCTTTGAGCCTTTTCGCAGCTGTCTTTGACGACGCGTTCGTTTTTCGCTTCTGTGGAGCGTTCGTATACGCAACATCGACAAACTTTGTAATTTCTTTGCGTTCGCGCTTCGAAGAGCGTCTCTGTTGCGCCGGTTGGTTCTTCCCGCCGTTCGACAACATAAAGGATGTTTCGTATCGCCCGTATTTATGCATCCCGGCTGCCATGAGAACGTCCATGCCCATAGATGGAGCGTACTTCGCGATGATGTGTGCTCGGAGCGCGTCTTGAACGATGTGCTCGTGGTATCCAAAGACGGCGAAGCCATTCAGACTCTCAATCTTGGGAACAATTCGAGCCAACTTCTCTTTTTCTTCAATCTCTTTCTCGAGTTGTCGTTTTGCTTCATCTTCTTCTTCTTTCGTTCGTTTGTTGAACTCGCCGTCGCCACCTTGTTCTTCTCCGGCGGCGGCCGCAGCGGCCATAGTTTCTTTCGCCGCCTTGGCTTCTCTCTCGGCGACGCTCCCGCCTTCGATGGGACGTTGCGTTCCTCTTCGAGCGTACCACAAACCGCACGCGTTGCATAACGAACGCACGCCGTCTGGACCTCTGCGCATCAACGGCGTCGAGTTGCTCCCGGCGCCGCAGTTGGAACACAGACGACCACCGTTTCCGTTGTTGTTGTTGTTGCTATTTCCAGTGTTCAATTTTAACGACGATGATGAGGATGGTTTCATACCCGGGATTTTATTCTCGAACCGGCGCGCGATTTCTTCGACGATGCACTTTACTGCCTCGTCCACGTCTAATAACCCTTTCTTGTTCGCCGTCGTCGTCGTCGTCGTCGTTTCGCTGCTGTCGTTATTCGAGGTTTCTGGTTGTTGCTGTTGTTGTTGTTGTTTCTCTGACGTCTCTTCTGCTTTTTGAGAAGTAGACGTGGAGCACGGCGTCTCCACGACGCGTCTGCCTTCGCCTTCCGCACCCCATCGAACAAAGTGGTACCCGCTTTCATCGATGGTCGCTTCAAACGGTTCGGAAAACAACGTCCCTTCGCACCTATACCCGAGCGGTTTCAACATTTCGTTCTTCTCTTCGTCGTTCGAGGAAGTGTTATTGGTATTCGAGGAAGTTGGATGAACGTTTCCTCCTTCTTTGTAATGTTCCTTTGCCAACTTTTCCACGTCCATTTGCTCGGCTATTTTCTCGTCCACCATGCCGAGATATTTCACGCGAATATTCGCGCGCGGGAACAACGAACACGTGAACTTCAACGCTCTCGCTTTGGCTTCCGCATCCAACGTCGCTCTTTGCACGTGTAATGACTTGAGTCGTCCCGATTCGCGTCGACTCGGAGACGCGGTATCCCGCTGCTTCGCATCGGTCGTCGTCATCGTCGTAGCGTCGGTGCCGGCCGGTTTCGCGCTCTCCCCGGCGTTTTTGTCGTTGTTGTTATTATTAGTATTATTATTCTTATTCGGGTTCAACAAAGACGGTTTATTCGGCTTACTACTCGGTTCGGAAGACCCGGCGTTTTCTCGCCGCGCGAGCGACCCCCCCGACGAGTTTTGCTGCTGCATCTCAAAATTCGTCGTGTACGTAAAATCCGACTCGCTCGCGTTCTTTGGAATGTTATTCTCTCGTTGTATTTTATCCACGGTCGCACTGACGCCACTTCCCTCTTCCTTCTCCATTGGATTCATTTTCAGTGATCGAATGTGATGCTCGATGATGCTCCTTTCGGTTTATTCTTCTTCTTCTTTATATCAAATTGGATGACGTTTCGATTTTTGTTTGTTTTTTTCTCGTGCGACGACTCAAAAGAGAGATCGCGGGCGTTTCGAAAATTGTAAATTACGAACGAATCTTTCCGTTTACTAAACGAAAAACTCTCTTTGCCCTCTCGTTGTTGTTGTTCTTCTTCTTCTTCGTCTCCTCCTCCTCTCCGCGAAAGAAGAGCAAAGAGAGAGAGAGAGAGACGAACTTTGTGTTGTAAAACGTGTAACTCTTTTTCTATAATTATGCCGCAGAAAAGAGCGAGGAAACAGTTGCGAGAGCCCACACGGCGAACAGGAAACGAGTGACGCAGGTTCGTTCTCCGAAGATATTCTTGCACGAGGTTTTGCACTTTTTTTCACGGTTTTAGATTTTTGGGGGCGAAAGATGCTTTTTTGCTTTTTTTCAGTCGTTTTTATATATATCTTTTTTGCTCTGTTTTACAATGCATTTCTATATTCTACTATGTAGCGGTAGTATTATGTGACGCAACTGTGATGATGATGATGATGTCGTTTTTCGTTCTTTTTCTTCTCCTCGTCTATATCGTCGTTTTATTATTCTTCTCCTTTAGCTCGATTATTATTGTTATTATTCGTAGGAGGAGTGGTAGGAGTACTCGCGCGTTGTTCGAGTTTGTTCAACAACGCGAGCGAGGTCGCGTAGAAAGCGTCTCCGATGATTGGTTTGTCCTTGTGGTAGACGAAGAAACTAATCACGCGACCTAAATTTGAGTGCAACTCTCGCCAGTTTGCTTTTTCGACGTAGGCGTGAATATTTTCGTACTCGGATTCCGGGACGCGAATGGAAAACTTTGTCCAATCGAGAAACCACGCCAAGGGGAGTTCGTACGCGTCGGCGACGATGACCGGGACGCATCCGAAAAGCATGAGCTCTATTAACCGCGGAGACATCACTCTCGTGCCTCGGACGTGTAAGCAATATTTGCTGTGTTCCATTAAGGACATGTAAGCTTGCGGCGAAGCGACCCCGGTGGTTTCGATGGAGTCTTCCGGGCTCCCGTTTTCGATGAGATATCGAAAGACTTTTTCGCGCAAAGGACCTCGATTGTTTCCTCTGAACATCAGTCGAATGTTTCGCTCGGCTTCGAGCTTTGGTAACTCTAAACCAACCGACGCGTATTCTTCCTCGTTGCGCAGGAAGTGCGACAAATCAACCAACCCTCTCGATACCGCTTCTCTCGGCAAGTAAAACGACAAAGAAGGTATCACGGCGACGTCTTTCTGCGCGTCAAACGGCGCGTTCTCCACCCCGATCTCGGAGTTTGAGACGATAAAGTGCGTGGTGTTTATCAACGACGAAGAAGTCGAAGAGGAGGAGGAGGAGAAGGAGACAGGAGATAACATCGCGGACGAAGATGCAGATGTATCATAAATATCATCGATGTCGTTTTCGTCGTCGTCCGGAAAGATTTTCGTCGCCAACTCGGTGCCAAAATCGTGCACGGAGACGATGACTCGTCTTCCTTTCGACTGTTTCCATAAGCTCGGGTTTACTTTTTTCGCGTACTGAACGGCAGATTTTAACCCCGATTCGCTACTCTCGCGTCCATCTGTAAACGGGAACGACGAAACTCGATCTAAATACGGTTGGATAGGCAGCAAATACGCGATTTCTGTTTTCTCCGTCAACGTTTTCACGCGATTGTTTCGATTGATTGAAAACGGACCATCAGAAAGCCATTTGACGAGATAATCTTCCACGTCGTACCCTCGATTAAACGTCGGCAACTTTCTGAGCGAGTTGTATTTCATCTGCGCTCTCGTGTTCAGTGGAAACGTGTGCACTCTCAGCGTTTTCGGGAGAACGTCGAGAAACGATTCGCACAAAAACGACGAAGTCATAAACGCCACGGTTGGCCACTCCACCTTTCGTTCGCACTGTTGTTGTAACGTCGGCAATCCGTACTCGTCTAATAAAACTAATGGAAGATTTTGACTGCTGTCGTATTGTTGAGGGTGGTTATATTTTTTCCACCACTTCGTCTTCTCACCATTACTAACCTCTTCTAAACTCCATTGCGCTCTCGTCGCGAGCGCGGATATCGTGTGGTGCAACTTTCTATCAATGTCTCGAATCTTTCTGTTTTTGTTTTGCTGCTTGATGACGAGTAAAGAGAAGATGAGCAGAGAAGAAAGAATCACAATTGCCAGGGTTTGATACGATATTTGTTCGTTCTTTTTCTTCTTCTTTTTATTCTTCTTAGTATTATTCGTCGTCGTAGTCAACAATAAATCTCCCAAAGACTGCGCTCGTCGCATCAGATTTATATGACTGATACGCCGGGATAGATTTTTTTTCTTGATGAAAGTCAATTTTGTTTTCTTTTTTCCTTTGTTTTCTTCGTCGTCATTTTCATCGTCGTCGTCCGAGGAAGAAGAAGACGAGGAAGAAGACGGAGGCGCGTTTGGCGAGAGAGAGGTGACGGCGAAGAGCATGTCGACGACCACCACCCCCGAGCACAAAGCAGGGAGGGGATAATCTCTGCACGAGACAACAATGTGAAGACCGAGAGAAAATTTTTCAGAAAGTAAGGAAGGCAACCAAAAAAATGTTGATTTAGGGCTACGTTGTTAGTTTATTGTCTCTTATTTTGAGACCTAAACTGCAAGGCGTCTCCATGGTTCAGTGGTAAGTTCAAAAAATTTGGTGCAAAGAAAAGAACAGCTTCTAACTCGTCCTTCTTTCAAATTAAAGGTAGAACATTGCCCTGCCACCCTCAATGGCACCTTTTGGCAACCAAACTCATCCGCAGTGAAAATTCACTGTACTCTCTTGAGCAAAATGACTCAGTTCGGCAGAGACCCGGATTCGATTTCCGGTGGAGACAACGAAATATCATTCTTTTTTTTTCATTCTTTATGGTTTAAATTCGTCGCATCTATTCCTTTCGATTTCACCGTGAACACCTTCGACTCTCTCGTCGCGTACGACAAACCGAGCCGACGCGTCGGGATGTTGTCTGTATTTTTTATGCCAAAATTGTCGTTCACCGCCAAGACGACGACAAAGATGACCACATCCGGATCTCTCAAATCAACTTTATCGATGCGCGTTATTTTCGATACCGCTTTTGCAACCGCGTTCGTGACTGCCCTCGATTTCCATTTTTCGACATCTTCAGAGAGCGCTTTCGAAAAGCAATCTCGGTGACAAATCGCAAACGACTTGAATTGACTACTACGACCACTACTAATACTACTACTACTCTTGCTCCAACCACCATCAATACGTAATCGATCGATCGCTCGTTCAATCGCGTCTTCGCTGTATTCGCACGTTGTTTGTATTGCAATCATGCGTTCTAAAAACCTCACATTTTGACGACTCGCTCTCATCACTCGCTTCATCACCTCCAATAATTTACAATTCGTTTCACCATCGCAATTCGTATCTATAAAACTTAGAAAAGCAAACGCTTTGCACGGCATCTTCATGGGCGAGATTTTGGTGAAATCGTCGTCCAGACACTCTCTCAACAACTCCAAAGCTTCTTTCATCGCCGACCGTTCTCGGTGCATGACGCATGTGAGCGCAAAGCCCGCCACCGAGTTCTCACGAAACTGCTTTTCCAAAGCGTAGTCAAACTGCAAAGAGGAAGTCGACGACGAAGCAGCCGCGTTCGCATTTTTGCTCCTCGTTTTGTGTTGTTCACCATTCAAATCATCCGGAGCCTTCCTTTTCATTTGCATCTCGGCCTTTCGAATGACATCTGGAGGGATAGACATCTTTGTTTTAGAATGAGGAGATATTTTACGTATTTCCCAACCGAAGTTCCCCATAATATCTCAGATACAATGATGTCATCAGCGAGTAGTAGTGTGAGTAGCAGAGCGTCTCAAACAACAACAACTTTGTCTCCTCGTCGTGCGGGAACCAAGAGGAGTTCTTCGACTTTTCAAAGGAAACGAGGAGTCGCTGTTCCAAGAGCTACGATAGACGACGTTTCGATTTTCAATCTCGACAGCGCAGCAGAAGCTGGGGTGATTATCTTACTCGTGAGAATCATAACGCTCGGTGGTGGTAAAGCGGCGCTTTCGAAACAGCTGGAGGAACAAATCGAGCGAGCGAAAGAGAAGAACGTCGACATCAGCGACTTGTATTATACCGAAGACCAAGGCGAGGACGCGTGGTATTTAATCGGCGATTGGAGACCTCCTAAAAAAGGTGATTTGAAGTTTGGCGACGGGAGAACGAAAGAGGAGATCAAGTACCGGATACGGTGGTCGGAAGCGATTAAAGTCGCGATAAAGAACGAAATAGAATACGAAGATTTGAACGAATTTGCGAGCGCGAAGAAATTTGTGGAGTTGAGAAAACGGATTCGCGAGAAGACGAAGGACGACGCGTTCGACGTGTTGTGATGATGTTGTACATTTTTGTTTATCAAAAAAAGCGAGCGGACACGAACGTTTTTTACGACGCGTACTCTCTGTTCAAATACTCCAAGATATCTTTACTTTCGAACATCGCTTTCTTCGTGTTTGGGTCCTCAATGTAAGGAACTTGAAACGTGCCGCGCTTTTTCAACAACTCCTTCCTTTTGTACGAGCCTCTTCCCGTGCTTTTGATTTGGTGCGGGATTTCCAATTCCACCAACCGTTCGCGAACGATTTTGCAAAACGGAGACGTCTCGTAGCCATAAAACACAATAGGTTCCAACTCCTTCTCGTTCGCCGTGGACTTTGCATCCAATTTGCTCCCTTTGCCAATTCTGCCTAACATGCCGAGACCCGCGGCAACGGTGACAATCGGCGACCGACTTATCAAACTAGGCACTTTATCCTTCCCCGGCCCATAGTTTTCGTACAAATACTCGATGATATCGTCGGACTCGTACATTTTCGTACCGGTGTTTTCGTCGATCAAGTAGGGGAACTGCGCTTTCCCTCCAGTTTCCTTGACAAACTCGCGATATCTTTTCCCGCCTTGCGGACACGGATATGCTATGGGATCCAAATCGAGCCAAACGATAGCCTCGCGCACTTTGCGACAAAATGGACATCCCTCAAATTCGTAGAGTTTCAACGGTTTCTCCGGACGTTTGAACAATTCCGTGTCGCTCGTTTCTTTCAGATATCGCCCGCCAAAGGAACCAAACGAATACTCCCCGTCCGGCACCGGACCGGTTTCCAGCGACACTTTCCACCCAGACGTCAGAACGCCACTGATTAATCTCGTCGACGCCGGCGTCGCCGCGGTGAGCAAACTCACCAGCTGCCCTTCCGCGACTTTAAATCTCTCCGGTTTCGGACCGACTAATTCGTATTCGTCTTTGCTTCCCATGTCTTTCGTCTTCTCGATGGTCGTAATGCTCGTCGTCGACGACGTTTCAGCCTCCTCTCCCGCGTTCGTTTTTGCATCGACGTCGGCAGATACGTCGTTTTCCCCATCCTCGCTCGCCGCTTGCGCGCGAACGACTTTGACGCTGAAACTCTTCTTGCTCGCGCATTTTCTACCAGCCGCGGTGGTCGTCGTCGACAAAGCAGAAGAAAAGATGCCGCTCTTACACGCGATGGCTCTCGATGCGAGCGAAAAGGAGGACATGTGTGGTGTGTGTGTTTTGTGTGCACAAAAAAGTGTCGAGTGATGCGTGCCTTGTGTTTGTTGTCTCTGCTACAAAAAATTAGCGCATGGAAAATGTCTCTCTCTTTCTTTCTCTTTCTCTTTCTCTCTCTCTCTCTCTTTCTCAATGATCTATCTATCTTCTCAATCGCTGTTCTCTTCCTCGGAATCTCGTTGCTGATCCTCGACAAATGCAGCGTATTGCTCATCCGTCGGCTCAGGAGAACCTTTTTCTCGCAAGTAGTTTACGCACTCGTGGTACTCTTTGTAACGAGCGCCAGCGATGTATTCCAAGTTGTTAAGAGGCGCTTTCGCCTCTTCGACTAAGTATTTGAGGCAATCGAGTTGGCCATGCCACGCAGCTTGTCCCACGCAGGCGAACTTTGCTACATCGGATATCTTTCTTTCTTCGACGAGATATCTCAAGATGTGCATGTGACCATCGCTTGCTGCCAGTAATGCTGCGTTTTTCTCCGTCCTTCGCGAAGGTTTTACTTTGTCGAAAAGAAATCGAAGACAGTCGAGGTGTCCTCCATCAGCTGCTAGTCCACACGCCTCTTCTTCATCACACGGGCAATCGTTAGAGAAGCAGTACTTTAACATCTCGAGATTACCTTTAACTGCTGCCATAGTAATCGTCTCTTCATCCCACTCGCAATGTTTCACTTCTCTCGCCCACTTGAGAAACTCGAGTTTGTTCGTTCCAGCAACTTCCGAGCAAAACCAGGCTTGATCTAGCACTCTTCCATCTCTATCTTCCTCTCCCCAGGGATAGTGATTCCACGCCCATTCCAACGTCGAAATGGATGAACATTCGTCAATAGACCAACCCAATTCCGATACGTTTACCCCTGCGTACGCAAGCACACCCCAACTCTTACTATTCACCTTTGCAAACAAATACCGATCCGTCGTATTCAATTTCGAAAGCACATGCGAGACAAACACATCCTTGTGATGCAACACCAATCCCGTCCACAACTTGGTCGGTCCAAGCTTCAACCTCTCCATTTCCGCAACAGCCTCCTTCGCGGCTTTTTCTTTCTCCTTCCTCTTCTTCCTCTTCTGCGCGCCGGATATCTTTTTTCCCATTATTTAGTCGTATTGTTGTTCTTTTTTCTCCAAAACGTCAAAGAAGACGTTTTCTCGTTGGGGAGTGAAGCGAAAGAAAATTCAAGAGAAAATTCTTCAAAGAATACCCTCTCGACCGTGCAAAGGGAGAAGAAGAATGAAAGAACTGCATTTTCCGGTTCTAGAAGACCTGGTCTCGAATTCGTTCGAGGAAAACGAAACGATCTTCTCGAAACTTTCCGTGAGAAAACACTTCGCATCTCGACCGGATCTGATTTTAGCCTCGTCAACCGTTTTCGCGCGATTGCGAATGAGCGAACGCGCGATGCTGTTGAAATCCGTGGTCGATTTCGCGAGAGGAGGCGTGGAAGAGGAAGGAGAGGAAGAGAAAGAGAGAGAGGAGGAGGAAGAGAAAGAGAAGAAGAAAAAGAGCGAACGCACCGGGACGACGACCGCAGCGGCAACGAAGAAGAAAATTTCGCAGACGAAAATCAGAAAGAAAAAGACGATGGATTTTTTAGGAGGAGGAGGAGGATCTTACGCTAAAAAGAGCGGCGAAGATGAGGACGACGGGAGCGCGTCGTTGGTAACGAAGGCGATCTCGGAAGAAGATGCGATGAAATTTCTCGAGTTGGCGGAAAAGTGCGTGTTGTTCGCGAAGGAGAAGGAGGAGTATGAAGCGCATCTGGCCAACGCTTCGGCGCTCGCGAAGAAGGCGTTTGCGGTGGTCGCGAGGTCGTACGTGAAGACATTGCGCGAGATGGGAGTTTTGGAACGAGCTTTGGAGCCGCTGAAGTACGCTTTGAAAACGTATTCAAACGTGGTATCGAGAGGTAAGGTGACGTTTTTGCACGCGGTGTGTTACGAAACGTGCGTGGAACTGAAGAGAGAGAACGAGGCGTACGAGGGAGGACTTCTCTTCGCCGTGGAAGATCCGTCCGAAACTGGATTTAAGGCGAAAGATTTCGCAAACTATTGCTATTACGCCGGTTTGTCGTGCTTGTGCGCGGAAAAGTACGATCGAGCTATTTCGTTCTTTTCACACTGCATTTCGATGCCGACGAAAGAGAAGTGCGGACGAGTCCAGATGGAGAGTTATAACAAATTGCTCTTGGCGTCCATCGTTCGAACGGGTGAAACGTCGACGTTTTTGTCCGAGAAGAGCGGGATTCCCGCGAAGACATCGAATGTGGTCAGACAAGCGTTGATGCAGCAAACGCCATTTATCGGTGGTGATTATGGTGGTAAGCGAGGAGGTAGGAGTTTTGGAAACGAGTCGAACGAGTTCGCAGATGTGGACTTGGAGGACATTTTAGCCGCGGGTGATTTTGGCGCCGCGGAAGATCCAAACAGAAAACAACAATCGAACGATTCATCGCAGGACGACGAGATGAAGAACGAGGATGAACACGAATATCATCATCAACAAGGAACAAAAGGAGCTAGAGAGGAGACGACTCCGCAAAAGATGAAGATGAAGTTTGAAGAGGAAGGAGACGCTTTGGATGACGACATCGATTCATCGCCGCCGCCGGCGCCAAGAGGGGAAGGCGAAGAAGATGCAGAAGAAGACGAGGAAAAGAAACAGCAACAGCAAAACAATAGTCCCTATCAACTTCTCGTGGAAGCGTTGTCGAACAAAAGTGTTCGTGGTGATAAATCATCGTCAACGCCTTTGCAACGTTTCACGGAAACCATGAAGAAGTACTCCGCCATTTTCGAAAACGACAAAAATGCAGACTTGGTCTTGTTAGCGCACAAATCTGTCCAACTCGCGCAAGTCCGCAAAGTGGCAGAGACGTACTCGTCGTTAAGTTTGGGGGCTATTGCGCGCGAGTTGCATCTGGACGGCGGCGAAAGCGAAGCGAAGATGTTGGTGAACGAAATGGTTGCTCGATCGAATATCCGAGGCGGCATTACGGCGAAAATTGACGACCAAAACATGGTGACGTTTCACGATCACGTCGAAGACGCGGCGACGAAGCAGGTGAAGTTGGAGACGGCGATGGCGGACGTCGAAAAGATGACGAGTCTGATCAAACAGTTCGACGAGTTAATGATCACAGACGAGAAGTACTTTGCCAAGTTTTATGAAAGGCAAATGGACAGAAGGAACAAGTCGGCGAGAGGAGGTGACAGAGGAGGAGGAGGAGGAGGACGAAGAGCGCCGTTTTCAACATTTGCAACAGCGATGACGACGACGGCGACGGCGACTCCCACTGAATGTGAAGGTGACGAAGAAATAGCAATGCTTTAGTAGGATTTAGTAGAATTCTTTGAATGACAAAGAGAACACGAGAGAGACGCTTGCAGTACGCTGACTATAAAACAGCCTCCACGAGTATGGGGCCATCGCCGTTCTTTTCCATCGCTTCTTGGAAGACCATTTGGAAACTTTCAATCGTGTCGCATCGAGTAGCCATGCGGAAGCCGAACGATTTCGCCATGGTGACCCAATCGATGGTTGGTTCCCCGAGACTCGTCAACGATTTCGACACGTTTGTCTTGTTCGCATCTTCAACTCTTTGCATCGCATTTTCAATGTTTAAGATGTTGTAACTCGAGTTGTTGCAAATGACCACGCACACGTTCAAATTGTACCTGGCCATAGTCCATAGCGCTTGACAATCGTACAAACCTGAACCGTCGGCTTGAAACGCGATGACTTTGCGCGAACGATCAGCGACCGCCGCCCCCACTGCGGCGGAAAGAGCGAAACCAATCGCTCCACCGGTGAGAGTCAAGTGCGTAAACTGAGGCGAGAACGCATCGGTCGAGTCCCAATACATCGAACCTGACGTTAAACTTTCGTCAACAACAACACAGTTTTCCGGTTGCGATTTTGCGATCGTTCCGCACATTGCGGCGGGTGTCAACTTTCCGCTCGTCTCGCGCAACGTATTTTCCTTCGCCGCACGCGTGACTCTTTCGCGGTGTTTATCGTTCTTAGCGTCCGCAACATCCGTTCTCCACGCATTTGCCTTCTTTTCTAACGCAGTTTCGATCGCTTCAAACGCGTCAGTCAGTTTGCCACCAGGCGGTGCTTCGATTTCCCAAACATCGTCCTCGCCTTGGCGAATGAGCGAGGAGAAGTTTTGGTCTTTGTAGCCAAACATCGCGACCGGTTTCTTCGCGTCGACGAGAACGAGCGTTTCAAAACTGGCCAACGTCGCCATCGCGTCGCGCGGGAAGTATGGACATCTTTTCACCATGAGATCACCACCACGATCGATGCGCGAGAACGCATTTTCGACGTAAATTGAGTCTTCGGAGATGCCCAGTTTGCGAAAAATTCCGCAGACACGTTCCAAGTTTTCTCTAATTCCCGCGTCGCCGCCCAAGTAGACGCCCACTTTCCCGGATTCAGATTTCAAAATACTTTTTACGAACGACTTACCAAACGCGTTGATGGCCTTTTGTACCGGTTCAGAAAGACCATGCGAATGTGAAGTATTTTTCTTACCCACATCAGCGCTCTCTCGCGTGGGTGAAGACGCAGGAGAGAAACTATTCTCCCCCCCGCTGTTTTTGTTCTCAATCGCCAAGCGGTCTTCGATGTATAAAACTAAGTCCCAAACTAAACTGTAGTCATACATGATCGTCGGTTGAATATCCAACTTGAATTCTTCGCGTAACATTGAGGCGTAGCGTATGCTCGATTGCGATGTTAATCCGATGGAACGAAAGGTAGTCTTGGTCGTAAATGGTGGCGGAACTTCTTTTTCATCTAGAAGTTCTGTGAGTTGCGCGTGCATGCGCTCGGCTACACTTCCTTTCGTCGTTGCTTGCTCTGGTGACTGGAGGTGTTGACTCTTTTGTTCACGATCCTCGTTCAGTTGCTCTAATGGCGAAGCATCTCCACGAATCACATCTTCGACGGATACTTTCGAAACGCGCTCCCAACTTCGATCGTGGGGTACAATTAAAGTAACCACTTTCGACGCCCCCGGAGATGTCGAGTTTCTCGTCGCAGTCACAAATGCTTCTTTTGCATCCGCCGCAATAGCTGCGGGGACTTTGGACGAAACAACCGCGCCGTTAATCTTCGCGATATCAGCGATCGAACTCTCAAGGACTGGATCGGTGCCAGAATGCCAAGTGGACATATCGCCGACTACGTTTACAACAGACGATCCGGCGCGATGAGCGTTGTGTAGATTTGCCGAAGCATTCATCAATCCCGGACCGAGATGGAGTAAAGTTACGCCTGGAATATTCACATTCGAGCCTTTCTTCACTCTAGCATACCCGTCTGCAGCTCCAGAGGCAACGGTCTCGTGTAAAGTCAAGATTGGCTCGATTTTACGAACAGACTCAAACGCGCCGACGAAATGCATCTCCGTCGTGCCAGGATTGGCGAAAACGTGCGTGACGCCGTGACTTTCCGCCACCCTCCATACCGCCGTCGCGCCAGTGATTGTTTCTTCTCTGTTACTTTCTTCAGCCATGTTTGTGACGAGAAAAACTTTTTTTCCTTCTTTTTTTATTTATCAGTTACGCCTCGAAATCAACACCCCCTTTTTCGCTCAAGTCTTCTTCTCGAACACTCCACAAAACTCAGCCATAGACATCTTCTCTCGCTTCTCAATCAACTTGGTTACTCTGTTGATTTTCTCCACAGAAAGTAAGAAATCGCTCCGAAACATCTCAAACATTTTTGCGTTCTCGTGCTGTTCAGGATCCAAGGCATTGAAAAACACAGTTTCCGCGTTTCCTTGGCGAGCGTTTCCTTGGCGACGCCCGTTCGCTTTAACATACCGCCTTTCCAACTCCGCGTCCAAACTATCGTGCACTTCCTGTAGTACGCTCATCGCTTCCTCGTATTTCTCCCCGGGCATGCTCTCCAGCGCTTGCGCTTTCCTAAACATTGCCTTGACCTGTTGTGGTTTCGTCAACCAACACGAATCTTCCTTTTTCTCGCGAAAAAAGTGACACCGATTCACGGCGTCGCCCCAGACGCCTTCGCCCCTCGCCAAATCGCAATACTTGACGCACAACGCGTACTCCTTCAACGCTAAAAAACTCCCGCCCATATTCAATCGCAACGTCGCTCTCAGCTCTTCCGCTAAATCCACGTGTTTTGGCAACACCAACTGTTGCATCAAATCCTCCGTGATGTACGACAAACCGCTCTCGTACAACCGCACCGCCGCTTTCTTCGATCCATCTCGAAACTTCTCGTTCCCTTTCTTTTTCAAATTTTCGCACCGCTCCATCCGTTTCTCGAACGTTAAATCCGCTCGATTGGTATCTGGCGTCTCTTTCGTCCCTTCCACGTGCAACAGCTCAATCTCCACGAGTAACTCGCACTTCGGCGGTATCGAAGGGAAGGAGATATTTCCAGCATCCCCGTACCCTAACGAAGGAGGTATCACAAAAGACGCCTTCTCGCCGACATTTTTCATCAATCGCAAGCACTCATCGACGCCTTTGCACGCGACGTGTCGCGCGTTCGGTTGGCCCACATATATCGCCAGCGCGAGTTGTTCCTCGCCTTCTTCTTCATTGGTGCTAAATCGTAGGGCATTCCTACTAGGGGATTTCTCCCCGTCGTTTTCAAACAAAAACACGGAGTAGTGCGCGTAACACGTGCAATTCTCTTCGATGGTAACTCTCGTGGTCTCGACCGATTCGTTCTGGTCTAGGTTTACCGCGGATGAAAGTTTGCGAGGTCGTTCTTCGTTGGAATATGTTGTCATTGATTTTGTGACGCGTGAGTGTGCTTTTCGGGAAAGTTTTCCTCCAAAACGCCACTTTTTCTTCTTTGACAGCAATTGAGAGCCTAAAAGCGTCATCATGAGCATGAGCACGCGCGGCGCTGATGGTGCGATGCCCGCTGCGTCGGCAGCAATCCCGCATCTCCCATCCGCGGCGCAACCAGATTTAGTCCGAGCGCATCAGAAGGACGATTACTATCGAAAGGTACGGGTGCAAAAGTTTGAATTGGAAAAATGAAATCCCCTATAGAAATCAAATGACGCGCTTTCACGTGCAAAAAAGACTGACATTTCGATCCAAATTCTCCCTCTCTCTGTGCGTACGCACTTTAACAGCTCATATCTGAATCCGTCTCTGATTCCGTTCGGCTGTTATTCGGCCCACAGTTCTGGAACGACAAACTCGATGCCATCGAATCTTTCGGTGATTTCTTGTACTTTGCATTCACCACCGGGTGCAACTCGCAAACGCTCGGGGAAGGTAGGAACTAAAATTTCTCTTTTGATCCTTTGATTGTATTGAACTCGCGATTGAATACTGACTCTCTCTCCCTCTCTGTTTTTATATGCACTCTGCTACTCTCTCGTTCATCATTTACACGGATTTATAGAATACACGGATCTTTTCATCGCGGACGCGAGAGGGGACATCCCGAGCGCCTCGCGACGGTGGGCGTTGGTCGCGTTGGAGGCGTTGGCGAAACCGATCGGGAGACGGTTGAAAAATGCGTCCAGGAACGCTGTTTCCGGAGTTGGGGCGTTTGAAAAACAGTCTTTGTTAGGTGCTAGTAGTAATAGTAGTGGTAGTACGAGTAGCAGCGGCGATAAGGAGAAGGAGAGGAACAAAAGCGCTTTGAAAAAACAGTTCTTAAAAGCGTACGCGTGGGTGTTCGGAAACGCGCCGCAGAATGCAACTGCGACGAATCCAGCGCTCAAAGGAGTCAACGACCGAGGAGGATTTGGACCTTTGACGCAGTTGATGCTCTTTTACGCGTTCGGAAAGTATGTTTCTTGGACGAACTGGGCGACTGGGATGGAGAGGGTGTTTGTGAACCCGAATCCGGGAGAGCCAAGGGCGCAGTATTCTTTGCTGTCGAAGCTGGTCGCGTTGCAAATAGCATACGCAGTATTTAATGAAGGACAGCGTAGGTATAAGTTACATTTGAGCGGGAAAGCGACAAAAGGAAGACGACCGAAAGCGGCGGAGGAGTTTGGCTTTTTTGAGGCGGACGGCGTGACGAAATGTGGGGATAGATCGAGAGACGAAGCAAAGGAGAGACGAAAAGGAAGCGTAAATCCAGTTTCAGTCATTGACGACGCAAACATGCTTCCAAGTTTCGGCGGCAACGGATTATCGAACGACTTTGATCGAGCCGACGACGAAGATGCCAAACGGTACACCTGGCATGATATACCGTGTCCGTTATGTTTGAACCCTACGAAATACCCAACCGCGTTGAAGTGCGGACACTGTTTGTGTTGGGAGTGCGCGGTGGAGTGTTGCCAACAGAAACCAGAGTGCCCGATGTGTCGCGCGCCGTGTAAACCGCAAGAGTTGATAACGATAGCAAACCCTTAAACTTAATTTATACGAATAGTAAACATTTTTAGTAACAACAACCCGAGCTAGAGCTAGAAAATGATAAATTACAAGCACTTTAACTTTTAAGCTTTCAACATCGCAAACTGCCCTTTCCAATCCGTCTTACCGGTCTCGTTAGATGTCGCAATCTCGAATGCAATCGCGTCGCTACCTTTCTTCGGCGGCTGCGCTAACGCTCGGACCGCGCACACGGCGACATCCTCGATTGAAATCGTGCCGCTCAATCGTCCGTCTTCCTTGGAGAACGCCATCGTCTTCCCTCTCGTTGGTTCATCCACCACGTCCACTGGGCGAATAATCGTCAAAGGTATCCCCAAACTTCTAGCCAATTGTTCTCTCTTCTCCTCTTTTCTCGCCCGCGCGCCTTCGTCGTCCAAAAACATGCTCAACACGTTCCCTTTACTCGCTTTCGCGGTCGACAACAGCACGATGTGCTTCACCCCGCTCTCCTTGCACGATTTCGCGAACGACTCGTCAAACTTACCCGCGGGAACAATCACCGACCTCACACCAGCCAACGATCGACGCAACGCCTTCGCGTCCCCTAAATCTGCGACGTCGACGTATGGCCCGTACCTCGCGCTCTCCGCCTCCACGTTCTCGCACGCCACCTTCACGTCCAACTTCGCGAGCACGAGTTGCATGACCACCGCGTCGCCGAGCTTTGATCCAGAATCGAGCACATAAATAGCTCTCTTCGGAGAACTCATCTCTCCCTCTTCGTTCCCGTACGCGCTCTCTTCACTGTCCATCTTCATTTGCATCTCTCGTTCCTCTTTCCTTAAACTTTCCTCCTTTTCTTCTCTCTCTCTTTTCACTTCGCCATCTTTCCCGACCGAGGAATCCTCGCCGTACCACTTCCGTAACTTTGGCCCGCCTTCCATGACGTCGAGCATTTTGTTCGCCTCGTTGGCGATTTTATCGAAAATGTTGCTCTCCTTGGAGCCGTCTGCTTTCGCTCTGGTCGTCGTCGTCGCGAATCCATCATCATTCCGTCGTCGTCGTCTATATCGTCGTGAACTCTCTTTGAGTGATGACGTTTTGGACGCAGTCATCTTTACGCAGAAAACATTCGTCGTCGAAAGCATCGTCGTCCCCATCGTTTCTCGCGCGTAGAAGTGTGACTCGTCGTGTTTCTCTTCCTCGGGGTGGCGACCTTTTCCTGATCAACTTCTGTATCTGTGCTTTACTTTTTGCGCGCGTTGTTCGGATGGAATGACGACATGTCTTCCATTTTATCCAAACTTTCTTCATAAAGAAAACACATCGCAGTCATACCATAACGCACCCTTTTCATTGAACGCAGATGAGATGAACTCGACGAGAACGCGAAGCGAGTGAGAGAGAGATTTAAGACTTTTTCGCGAGAGTACGATAATCTGAGATGAACAACGCGCAAAGATGTCTTTCTTCGTTTCATCTTTCCAAACACCTAACGGGAAATCAAAGGCTTTGGAATGCGCGAGAGGAAGGGCAACGAGAACACCTCAAAAGAGGAGACAGAATACGAAGGAGAGTTGGCAAGCGAGAGATGATAAATGAAGGCGAGAGTGGTGCGTATCGAAATGGTGGTGTGAAAGAGTACGTCGCGGCGAATTACGTTCGCGTGCTCGCAAAGCTGGACGTGTTGGATGCGAAGAATGAAAACGAAACAGCGGAAGGTGACTTTGAGGACGAGAACGGCAGCGGTTCGAAGATGAACATTTACGGGCACGTCGCGACGATTGATTTGAGCGATGCGAAGAATAATAGCGAGCTCTTGGACGAGAAATTTATTCGATGCTTACACGAACCGGTGCTCATTCAAAACGCGTTTGAGAAATCGCGGCATGGAAGCGCTTCGTCGTGGACGTTGCGCAAGTTGTTGGAAGCGCACGAGGAGGAAGAGAAGAGGACGGGAGGCTTGTTTCAGACCACGGTAAGAGTAAGAATGGAGGATGGAGCACCAAGTGGTAACAATGGACGAAGGAACGCGAAGGCATTCGTGTACGCAGAGCAATCGCACGAAGCGATACGGAATCGAAAGTTTCAACCACCTTCGCTTACGCAACAAATGCCATTCGCAAACGGATTATCGCGCGTGTTGGAGTATTCAGGAGACGGAGCGTATATCCAATCCGAATTGCCATCTAATTTGAAAGACGAGATGGAACATGACTACTCGCGCGTGTTTACGTCGTTTGAAAACAGCGAGGAGTTCGTGGAGTCGCAACCTCTCCGACTTTGGTTGTCAAAAAGAGGGAGCATATCGCCGCTCCATTTCGACGCCTCGATTTCGACTCTGACGCAATTGAAAGGCGAGAAGACTTTTTTATTGTTTGCGCCATTTTCTGGGCTCTCGCAATGTTACTTATATCCCGATTGGCATCCATTGAGAAGACGTTCACAGCTCTCCATCAATGATGAGCGCATTAGAAATGGATTACGCGCGTATGAGGCAACTCTTTCGGAGGGCGATGTTTTGATTTTCCCACCGCGATGGCTACATCACGTTGAATCGTCGAATAAGACGAATTATTCGGTATCAATCACGCGTCGTTATATTTACAACGCATCAAGTGGTGTAAATACGGATACATCCTACGCGTTGCGTTTCGCAAAATGGGCAAAAACGCGAGACAAAGGCACGAAGGCGCTGAGTCGTTTGTATTCCTCGGGAATGGTTAATCCGGATTTTCCGTCGAGATTTAATCTTGCCGTCATTGATTTAGATGAGGACGGCAAGTGTCCGAAGCTCTGTGAAACCAAAACGTTTGAAAGAAATGTACAAGAGAAATGGAAAGTGTGCGTAAAAGCTTTGTCCGATCGCATAGTCGCCCGAACGAAAAATATTTCGTCGATTTGCGTGCGTGGCTCAATCGCTCGAGGCGCCGCGGTTGATTTCGAATCCGATTGCGACTTGATTGTCGTATTTGAAAATGAACGACCGAATGAACAAGAATTGCAAGATTTACGCTCGGAACTGGAAGATGTCCGCGCCCAAGAGTTTCCATTCGCTAAAAAAATCGACGTCCGCTTTGAAAAAAATCGCGACGAACTGAACGCGGAGCAACTATTTACGTTGGCCACGTCTTCGCTTTGCGTGAGCGGCGAGGATATTCCAAAGTCGTCATCACGAATGGCACCTGTGCGAACATGTTTCCCAACATTGCTCGAAGACGTCAATTCGGCAATTGAGAATGGAAGTGAAAAAGCAATGTCATGGGCGTGTAAGCGATGTTTGCGCGCCGCGTTCGAAAGTCAGAAGAGGACCAGGTTTACGCGAGAGATATCGAGATGCTGCGAGATTGTGTGCGAGGAAGATTATCCGAAAAAGAAATACGAAGTTGGTGATTTGGAAACTGCTCTAGTTATCGCCGTGAAAGGTCCCAAGATGGTTTTCGGCGACGCGTACTGGTTGGAAATGAGCACAGCGCTTCTCGAGCGTTTGAGTAATTGTATTCTGTCAGCTAAGATATAGACTTTTTGTTTATCATTATTTTTACACCGCAGAAGATGCGGAGAACGCCATCGGAACAAAACTCGTCGCGCCGTCCCCCCACGATACTGCTAAGATTCTATCTACGATGGCCCGATCGTTTAATCTGCGCATAGCCGCCGAGTCACCGGACGAGAATTGCATAGAAGCGGCGATAGCTTTCGCTCCTATTGATTTCCCCTCTTCGTCATCCGCGAGCGCGTCTTCCTCGTCTTCTTTCTCTCTGCAAAACGTACCGATAGCTCTTACCGTCAACACCGGGTGAACGATGGTCGCGTACACTCGAACTTTCCCATCCGCGTGTCCAAACACCAATCGCGACGCCGTATCATCCCACGCGCACGACGTAATCGCCGCCGCTTCGGAAGAATCACCTTCACCTGGGATTTTTGGAAAGGTGATGGGCAGCGCCGCTCGTGTCGCCCCGTCTGGAGCGACTTGTAAAGCCGCGCACGAGATGTGTCTCTTGTCCGTGCTTTTTAAAGTAACACCTCCTATCGCGGTTTCGACGCAGCACAAGCCAATTTCGTGTTCGTCGTACTCTCGAACTCTCTTGTTTCCACGCCTCGCCGCCGCTTTCGGAGACGGCCCCCACGCAAACGCGGTCACTTTCCCAGTCGACGAGAATCCATTCTCCGACCAAACGCCCGATTTCTTCGTCCAAATTGTCAAGGCGCCATCTTTCGAAACCGACGCGAGGTGTCGACCAGACCCACTAAACGCCAACGAGATGATTCCATTCCGTTTTGTATCGATTTCAATCGGCACGAGCGTTTCCTTGAACGAATCAATCGAGGAGAACGCTTTCATAATTTCACTCTTCGATTTTGGCACTCGAAACGTCTTTCTTCGCTTAATCGATCGAATAACCGAGGACAAACCGCTCATGTTCCCGGAGGACATAGCCGTACTCTTCTTCGCGTTCACGTCCCAAATACGAATGGTAGCCCCCCTTGAACTCGCCGTCGCTAACAAAGACCCATCTGGCGACCACGCGAGTTTATCGAGAACGCGCACGCCTATCACGTCCGACACCGCCGAATCCAACAGCGTCTCCGTCTCGTCCTTTGGCAATCTTTCAATCTTCCACGTCGTTACATCACTAGCGCTACTACTATTATTATTATTATTAGACGCAAAGGATGAGAGAACCTTCGAAAATAATCTCACCCCACCGCTCTCCTTCGTAGTCACCGCGATCTCGTTCGGATGATCCGGCCGAAACGCCATCGCCACCGTCGTCTCGTTCGCCACTGCCGGCGTCGAACACGGCGAGGAAAGTAAACTCACGGGCGCAGCAGCGCCTCTTTTCTTGGTCACTTTCGACGCCGACGGAGAAAACGGCGCCGAAGGAACGGTACCAACCGACGACGACATTTGCTCTAAAATCTCCAGTACGCTCCGCCTTCGATCAAACACTGAAATTTTCGTCCCTCTTTCACTGTTGCTCGCGATGCCAAACGTCGTTTTACAGTTTTTATGCCAAGACAAAGGCGAAGGATTGACCAAATCCTCCTCCGTCTCTTCCTCGTCTGCGGTATATCTGCCATTCTTCGCGAACGATGAGACGACTTTAACCACTTTTCTGGCGAACGCATGCAGTTTCGGCACCATCGAAGCGCCGTTTAACTCCAATTCATCTTCGTCTCTTTTGCCCCCATCGGCTTCAGAATTGGAAACGACAAAACTTTTTTTCTTCGTCTTCTCAAACTTTTGCGGCGCGGCAATGGTCACCGGACACGACGCCGGCGATTTCACGCGAGAGGACGCGCTTCGTTTGGTGTAATACGCGTTCGAGTCCATCGACGAGGCGTTCACCAGCTCGTGGTTGATTTCTCGGAGCATGATGTTCGAGAGGTTGGTGTTTTTTGAATTTTTAGTGTGAGGCAAATTCAAGCGAAAAAGGAGAGTGTAGCGGTAAACGTGCGCGAGCGAACGCGGGAAAGAGAGCGAGTTTTCTTGATGCATCGATCTCGATAGATTCCGAGATGGAGGATTCGCACGCGATGAACGATGGTTTTATATTTCTATATGTTTTTTGTAATAGTTGTCATCACATCGTCATCCTTCTGTTGCTATTCTTTTTGTTCTTGTTTTTGTTCTTCTTTTTCTTTTTCTTCTTCTCCCCGACGGCGGTTGTTCCCGAGTGATTTTGATGTTTCTCGGTATTCTTCTTAATGCCAAGAATCATGTGGTCTTCTCGTTGGTCGTCGTCGCTGTCTTCGTCGTGTGCGGAGTACATGGACTGGGCTCTTCGTTGCATGGGCGCCGAAGCCGGCGGGCCGGGGAAGTATTTCGATTTGACAAACGCCGAGGGCGAGCCTTTACCGATCGCGTGGATTGGCTTGAGTAATCCTTTCGTTGGTGTGGACATCTTAATGTTTTGGACACCTCTGGAAGTATCGATAGCGCCGGACGGGAAGGACCGGGTGATGCCTTTGAGGTTCCACGATAGTCTTTTTGACGGCGAGGCGGACGGCGAGGAAGAAGGGGAATCGTTGTTTCCTTTATCTTGGTACTTCTTCGGTTTGAAGTTCAACGCGCGTCGAGCGGAGATGACGTGACCATTCATCGGCGGATGCTTCTCGTCGTCATCAGCAGCATCTTCCTCTGTTGTTGTTACTGCTGCCGGTGCTACTTTTACTGCCAACGCGTGTTTTTCTTGCTGCGCCTTCTCGAACGGGTTTTCCTCGAATATTTTTTCAGCTTTCTTTTTGTTCTTCTTTTGTTTCTTCTTCTCCGGTTGCTCTTCCTCGTCTTCATCGTCAATGACGCGAATCTCTGCGCGTTTCTTCTTCTTCTTTTTCTTGTTACTGCTAGTGGTGGCTTTTTCCTCTTTATCTTCTTCCTCCGACGACAATGACGAACTCGATGACGAAGATTTCTCCTCGCTCATGATTCTTTTCGCCACTTTAATCGTCAACTTTTGATCCTTCTTCAACTCAATCGACGGCGCTTTCTCTGCCACCGCAGTTGCTTTCTTTAAGTCCGTGTGTAACTCGTACAGCGCTTCTCGGGACGTCTCTGGACAACCGTTCCCAGCGCCGAGCTCAATCGCCACCCTCGCCAAGTCTTTAATATGCGTCGCGTTCAACACCCACCCATTTTTGTTCCTCGGCGCGTTTCGTGTATCCACGTTCGTCGGACAAAACATGTCAAACACATCGCTCGCGCACCGTTTGAGGAAGCTAAACGATGTTTCATGTCGCATGCCGTGCATGAACGCGACGAGAAGCATTTTGATAATTTCCTGCGGAGGCGCCTCCCCGGCGTCGAAATCGTCCTCATCATCGGTGACGTCCACGTTTTCTTTATCATCGTCGTCATCCGAATCACTCTCTCCATCGCTACTGCGCTTGCCATTCTTGCTCTTGTTTTTCTTCTTTTCATCATTCTCCTTCAAGTCGAACCTTCGAATCTCCTCGCCGAACGCCTCCGCCACGTGTAACTTAATCCCCACATCGATCGCGGTGATATGATCATCTTCCCCAAACAAAGCATCTCTGTACACCCTATTCGCCACGTTCTGACTCACGTTTGTTTCCCAATCTCTCCGTTGCATATACTGAAACACGTGCTTCTGCATCTGCCTCGCCAGCACGCAATACTTGTCCAACCGGTGTTTATCGATGCCGGCCCACTCGTTTCGCATCGTCCAAAAGAACACCGAAGCGTATAAAATAGCCATCTGTGGTTTCAACGAGTGCATCACGGACGCGATGGACGTCGCCAATTCTCTTTGCACCTCTCTCCCGTCCGAGTGCCACATGGCGTAAAACAAAGCCTTCCACACTTTCTTCGTGGACAGATGGTCCAGCGATTTCTGAGAGCACAGCCACTTCCTCAATCGTTCGAAGGTTTTATCGCGCGTGTGTCGGTCGGAGGAGACCAACGCTTTCGCAAACTTCGTGTTCTTCATCTCTCGCGCTTTGTCTTTACCCTCTCGAATTCCCACTCCTGGAACGTGAAATGCGCTCGCTCTGTTTCCTCTCCTATTCAATGTACGAATTTGCGGCGGCGGTGAAGGGTGCCCGCCGCCTGCCAATTCCTTCTTTTCCCTAAACCCAGAGAGTAAGAGAGTGAGAGAGTGAGACAGTTCACGAATCAAACGCGAACGAACGGTTTCGCTAATATGCGACGAGTGCACGAAATACTCGCGCTTAAAGTGTCGAGGGAAGAGGAAGCAGCGCGTGTCTCCCTTTTTCTCTGATTTGAGGATTTTTGGGTAAAAAATACGAGAGAAGAAGAAAAGGGCAGAGAAAGAGTATAAACAAACACTGCCGATGTGACGCACGCGAACACACTAAAACCAAAACGACCCGCACGACGCGCTGCTGCTGCTCCTGCTACTACTACTACTACTACTATTGCCTGTGCTATCATATTCTCGTAGCCCCAATCCTAACGCCGCGCGGTGCGCTTGGACGGCGCGTTCGAAGGCGCACGTCGCCCCGCAGTACGTGGACCACGCGGTTTTGACGTTTTCGTCGCAGGAGGATTTGGCGTTGGCGGCGGAGGAGGGAGGGGATGCCCCTGAAGCAAAGGAGGAGGAAGAGGCGCTGCGAGTAGTGCCGCGAGAGAGCGCTCGCGCTGCGCGCAAGGCGTACGACATCGTGCGGCGGAGTTTTTCCGCCCGCTCGAACAGTTCGTTCACGTCTCGACGTTTTTGAGGGTCCGCCGGTTGGGCTTTGAAGAGCGCGAATGTTTTCGAAGAGGACGACGTAGAAGAGGAGCGACTGGTATCAACGACATCGTCGCCGATGAAGTTTGTCTCTGCACGAGAGGCGAGCGTTTTGTCGATGAAAGCTTCGGTTTTGTTCCAAGCGTACGCGAGCGCGTCCAAGGAGAGGACGACTTCGATGGATGCCGATGACGCGGGGGCAGCGGCGACGGTTGCCATCGACAGTGGTGATGATGTTGAAGAGTTCTCTCCGCCATCCAACTGTATGGGGCTAGTGTGCTCGTTCGTGATTGTATCGTTTATGTTGCTGTTGGATGGTATTATTTCGTTGTTTTCGTCTCTGTTGTTTTCGCTGGCAGTATCATTGAGGCATATGCCCGGGACGATTTCACTCGCACACTTCGCAAAGATACCTTTCGATAGCACACCCATTTCGAGTGCTAACTCCGCATCTACTCCTTCTAAATTTGTATCGACTATATCATTGCGCTGTTTCAACATCGTGCGTTTCGTTTCTTCGTGACACGCCTCGAAAACTTCCGCAGCGAGTGCGTCGGCTTCCTCACCGCTCGCGCCAGCTTCTTTAAGCAAAGTTCTCACGATTGGTCGGTGCATGAGAGGTTTAGAAACTCTGTGTCGAAAGACTGCATCGAATGTTTCCGAAAATTTGACTTTAGCCATCTTTTTGAGTTGAATGAGTTCAGTCAACGCGAGATCCAACGCTATTCCTACATCAATCGCGTATCGATCGTCGTTCAACCCGGCAAAATATTTTTGTTGCAAATCCTGAAAATTATAGCCATCGCTCGATACCGAGTGGTTCCGCAACGCACTTCGCAGTTGCGTTGGTATCTTGTTCCGTCGAAACGCGTAGTGAATACCTCGTTCGGCTTCGTCGAGGAAAACCATCGGCGTTTGGGTCTTTTTACAGACCGGTACTTTCATCGCGCTTCGTTCTGGAGGCAGCATCGCAGAAAATGCAGTCATTACAAACACTCGCTCGTCCGCGCGTAAAGGCTGACAACATCCCATCAAGCGCGAAAACATTCTCGCCAACGGCGTGTGACTTGTTGCTATGGAAGATGTCGAGGCGTTACAAATATTTATTTTTCTGAGTTTTCGCAACGTCACCGCGAACGCTCGCAAGTGCCACGTGGCGAGCTCGTGAGACCCGTGGGACTTGATGAACCACGATTTAACGAACCGTAACAAGTCGTATTGAATCGATGGCGAAGAATTTGCAGAGTTCAATTCTCCTTGCTTGCGGAAAAATGTGGAGCGTTTATGCACGCCACCACAGATGCTCGGTTTACTATCGTAAATAGTCGAGATGCGCCTATTCGCACTCGTCGCGTTGCTATTACTTCGCACGTGTATCGACGAACGCGAGAGCACTGTGGAGTTCATTCTCGAGAATCTTCTCGAATCCAGTGAAGGTACGCGTTCTGCTTTGTTTCGCTCGATACCGTTGGTCATTGTGTCCTCGATGCCTATGTAGTCGTCGCCGTCGTCGTCAAACGGCAAACATTCCATCCGTAAAAATCTCACGATCTCGCACAAGAGTAACAGAATGTGAGTCGCGCAATCGCTCGAGCGCATCGGTTCAATCTCCATTGCATCTCGCCCACCAAGTAAGGATCTCTCGTCATCGTCTAGGTCTTTGTATACTGCAATTTCACATTTATTCTTCGATTCGGCAGTTTTACTCTGCTCGACACGTTGAGCTCTTTCAGAGGAGAAGAAATCCTCCTCGTCGTCGTCGTCGTTCTCGCGTTTACCGAATCCTTCCTCTCGCGCAGACACAACAACGCATCGATCGCGCCCAGGTCGAGCATCCTCGTTCATGCGACCATCCTCGTTTATCGACCAAAAATATTCGGCGTCTTTTTCGTCATCGAGAACAAGCATTACCTTTCCTTGCTCTCCCTCACCTTCCCTCGTTTCGCCGCTCGTCGATACGTCCTCGTCTTCATCGCACGCCGCCAACTTTTCCAGCACCGCCACCATTTCTTCCTCGCGATGATCGTTCCCTTCGTCCTCCTCCTCCTCTTTTTCGTCATCGCTGTTTCCCAGCTTCTCTATTTCTCTCGCCATCGTCCGCATCGCTCGTTTCGCTCTCGCGACTTCCCACCGCAACCGTTCGTTCTCCTCGCTTTGTTTTACCAACTTCCTCTCCAGTTTCTCTCTTCGTTTCTTTTCTCTCTCCGCTTTCTCTTCCGCTCTTCGCGCGAGTTTGCGTTGCCAAACGAGATCGAACGATTCATCCTCCTCCGATTCCGAGCTCCTCGTCACCAGCAGTAGCGGCCCCGGCGTTTTCTCGTTCTCATTCTCGTCCTCGGGGCACATCTCTCTCTCTCTTCGAGCGGTGGTCAGCGCGTGTATTTTTAGGATGAATCTGAAAAAAAGGCGTTTAAGAAACAATTTTTCCGAGATATTCCACACAATTTTTCCTACAAAGCTCCTTATTCTGCAACAAATAATGAACGCTTTAACGACGACGCTCAAACCCTGCCAAAACAAACCCGCGCGAGGGGGAAGAGGAGGAGTAAAAGTGGCCTCATCCTCCTCTTTGCCGCAGAGAAGAAGGTTTATTCGGCGTCACAACGGGGGCGGGATGTGCGGCGCGCTTGGGAAATCATCAACTGTATCTCATTATCCAAAAGAAGTTAAAGAAGAACAGAGAGACGAGAAGGATGCGAGCACGAGTGATGTCGCGCTCAATCCGCCAGTAAGAAGAAGAAGAGCGGTGATGGTTGGTGTTGCGAGGAGTGTGTTGTTTGGCGCGGCATCGTGCGTCCTCGCGGAAAGTTTTGTTCGGGAGGACGTCCAGGCATCCGAAGACGTGGAGGATGAAACTGCACCACCGCTCAACGAATTCACGTTCAAAACGTTCACGCTGAGAGCGCCTGGGTTTTACAAAGAGGTAGACGTCGATTACGATAAAGGACGCTTATCTGGTGCGAACGGTTTAGAACTTCTAATTAGAGATTCCCGGTTCGGTTTGGCCGGGAACACGATTACTTTGAGCAAACAAGGCAGTCCGATCGATCCGAACACGAAGCAACCGCTCTTCTCGAAGACGGAAGACTTGGGCGACGTCGACGCGGTGGCGGAGAAGTTAGTAGCGGGGGAGAATCAGAGGAATAAAGGCGCAAACGCGATTTTGAAAGAATCGAAAAAAGGTACCGTGGACGGGACGACGTATTACGACGTCAGTTATACGAAGAAGGTGAAATTTGTGGATAGAATTGTGAGGACGAGGGTGTGCGTGCACGATAACGTGTTGTTCACTTTGACGGTTGAAACGGACTTGGAACGCGGTACCGGGGAGGAGGCGCAATCGTTGGACGATATCGTGACGAGCTTTAGAGTACTTTAGTAATTTTCTTGTACCTATAGGTTGTGTACAACACATGAGAATAAAAATACATTTAGGTGTAGAAGCGCCGAGCACTCGTTTATGAATACATTCATGCAGACGTCGGAGGAGGAGTTGGTGGTGTTAAGGAAGGCGGCGTAAACGCGACGATGACGTTTGCAAACTCGGCACCTAAGTACGCCGATCCTCCGGCGATGGCGCATAACGCCACCAAGCCAATACCGCCTCTCGTTTTGATCCAATTGTCCGGATTCCCAGCTTGTTTACCGAACAAGTACGTCACCGTAATCTCTAATCCTAAGGAAATTCCAGGTTCTATGACGCCGTAATTTGTAAACGCCCACTTCAACGTGCTCCAATACGGAAACCGACGTCGAAAGTTTCTCTCGACTTCATCCAATCGAAGTAATCGAGCGTCGTTCCCTAGTAATTGCTCAAACTCGCTCGGGTTCCCGACGATTGGTTTCTCCGTCGCTTGCTCCGAGCGCAAAAGACTCACAAATTGTCGGTTCAAGTTCCCCAACGACGCGACGTTTAGCACGCGCTCAAAGTTTCTGTAATCGACAAACACCGGCGTCAATTTTGTGCTGTTGATTTTCGCAAACTTTTCGTTGAGTTCGAGCATGGTCATAATTTCCGGACCGACCGCGTCGTACATTCGCAACGTGTAATGCCTCTGATTATTCGTGACGAGTTGTTTCCACGAGTCTTTGTTCCACATTTTGTTCATGCCGTCGTCCGCGTCGTACGTTGCGGTACTACTACTACTACTACTACTAATGCTACTATTACTGCTGCTGCTGCTGCTATTTGCCGCCACGTCTCCTGTGGTGTTATTAATGCTCCCAACTCTCACTGTTGTCGTGTTGTTGTTACTCGAGCTACCCGAACCCCACCCACCGCTCGGCATTCGCCTCAAATCGTACCGTTGCGTCGCCCTTGAACTAAACTCTGTCAAACACAAAAAAGCAATCCTGTTTGCCGCGTCTGCCACCTCCAGCGGTTGCAGCGGCGCCGTTCCGTTGCCCATAATCGGCGTCAACGGCAACAGCGTCAAATCCGTCATGTTCAACAAATCCCCTCTCTGCCCGACTGCGCCACTCTTCGAACTGTACAACAATCCTAAACTCGTGATCGATACCGGTAACTTCTCTAACCTCGCCAATGAATAATCAGTCATCGATTTCCACCTCGAATACGGCACCTGCCCGGCTCTCTCCGCTTTCGTCGCTTGCGTCGAGCTTTGCACGAAATGCCCGAATCCCAACGCCTCGCACGCCCTCGCGGCGGCCACCGGCGCGCGATAATTCACCGCCATCATCGAATCCGGCTTCCCTGGAACCGGTCCGGCTAAACCGGCTAAATTTGCAAACACCGCGTTACACCCACCCAATCCGAGCGACCCGAGCTGGTCATGCCACGAATCCACGTCGTGTTGATGATAATAATCCACCCGAGTCGCTCTCACCGTCTTCAACCTTTGACTTCCCAACTGACTCGTCAATCGCGCCATCAGCGTCCCTGGACTGGAGGACAACAATAACAACTCTCCTGGATCTAACCCGTTCGCCCTTCGAAACTCGTGCGCGTCCAAAATAGCATCCACGACGTTGCTCCCTAAAAACCCAGCCGGACCGCTCAGCGCTATCGTCTTCGGTCGAGAATACAACAGTTGTTCCCCAGCGTGCTTGATTAAAGGGTTGTTAAACGCTTGCTTCGCGTAGTCGGTTGTTGTGTTCGAAGAAGAAGAAGAAGACGCCATCGCCGCGCCACCATACACCACATCGCTACTACTACTCAGCACTCGTCGCCGCACATCGTAAATCCCCTCCGCAAAAGCAGAAGAACACGAGGAAGAACACGAAGAACCAGACGGCATCCCCCGACGAAAACACCCAATCCGTGACATCATTCTCCAATTTGTATCGCTTTTTATTTGTATCTCTTCTCCAAAGAATTCAAAAAATCCGAAACGCGTTCTTTCGTTTGTTTGTGTGTGTGTATGTGCAAACGCGTGTGATGCGTTGCAAATGCGTTCTTTCGTTCGCGTAAGTGTGTGTGTATTATTATGCGTATAAATTCGCTCCTGTGAAGATAATTTATGCTGACTCAGAAGGAGCTCAAGCTGCTCAAAAAGCTTCAAAACAACAACAGACGGAGAAAAAAACATCACAAAAAAGTTTAAAAGGGAGAGAGATTTTTATAGAGCGAGTATATACATGGCATGCTGAGCGCGTTAAAGGCACTCGGAGTGCCTCGGTTCGAATTCGAGTTTCGGCGAAGCGCGACTGATTCTTCCTCTTCTGAGGACGAGGAGGATGAGAATACAGAAGAAGACGAAGAGAAGCGAGGTAAAAAAGATGATGATTTTGATGATGATGATTCGACGACGCCACCGAGAAAGCAACCGGCGATGTCGTCTTCTTTGCGTAAGAACGGCACGCGTGGTGGTGATAAAGATACGAAGTCGAGACTTGGTAAGAAGAATCGAGTGGTGTCGTTTGACGACGGGACGTTTAGCGACGAGGAGGTGGAGGAGGAAGGTGGTGATGATGATGAAATGCTTTTGTTTGGAACCATCACTGGGAGTTCGGAAAAATCGATCGAAATAGACTTGACGAAGTGCGCGGAGAAGATGCGTTTGGTTTTGGAGCGGTGTACACGGATGGGAATGTCTTTAGTCGAATGCGCGAGAGCGGTAGGGAGTAACGGTAGATATAGTCATAGGAAACGGATAAGTAGTAAAAATAGGAACGGCGGAGCGTCGTCGACGTACGGGAGAGGAGGAAGAGGAAGGGACAAAGCTTCGGATGTGAAAAGTTATTACGTCGAGTCGAGGAAGAAGATGCAGAAACGGACGCGACGCTTGGTTGTCCCGAGAGTGGTTATAAGCGTCGTCTTATTTTGGACGATTATGTATTTATGGTACAGGAAAAGGACGATGATGGATGGATTAGGTGTTGAAAAGAGAATCGGAGAAAGTGAGTCGATGAAAAACGCTCGACTGGAAGTGGACGCGGCGAAAAAAGGCGATTATAATAGTCGCGAAAAGTTCCATTCCAGTCGCGAGACGACGTTTTCGGGCGGTATTTTTCCGTCGCACGAACGCGTCGGGTCCGCCGAGTACGAAAGAGAAACCGAACGATTGATGGAGGCTCTCGCGAAAAGAATCGCCACCGGACAACACCATTCCGCGGATTTTAACGACGCGAGAAGGCACGTTCGCGAACACCGAATGAGAAATAACTTAGTTCACGTAGATAACGCGGAAGTGATGAGACTGAGGGAAGCTAAACGCCAACTCCGCGATGATTTTTTACAAATGGGCCCGAAATGTGAATTCGACACTTCTGGAATGTCTCGCGAAAGTATCAAAGACATGAAAGAAGAGTGCAAAGAATTCTTTCGCGAAGAAGAGAAACGAATCGGAAAGATACCGCTGTTGGACGACGCGAAGTATAAAGTTCACGCAGATAACCAGCTCGATCGCGAGCATTTTCGAGGGCACCGTCAAAAACTCCCAACAATCGTTGATATTCGAGCCATGGACATGGTCCCGCACTAAATAGCACGCGTTTTAGATATATAGTAGCATATAAAAAGTATTTAACGACTAGCTTTAGTATCACAAATTAGTAGCGTCTGTATCCACCACCACCGCCGCCGCCGCCATGGTGTCTCCTACCACCGCCTCTTCCGCCGTGCCTTCCTCTCCCTTCCGGTTTATACTCGCTCTTGCTCGCGTTGCTTTTATCCCATCCGGGAAAGCACCCTTCCACGCACTTCCTGTACGAAAAATCCGACCTCGACCCGTCATTCCTCACCACGTAATAACACTTCGAATCATGCTCCTGGTGCACCTTCACTTGTATGGATTTAATCCCGCTCTCGCCGATTTTTTTCTCCGCGTCCTCGTGCCCTCGCCTCAACATCCCTTCAACCACCAAACGTTCGTAATCGTTCAAGTCTTGATGCATCGTGACCGTGTTTAACAACCAGGAGATGTATTTGATCGCGTCTTCCGGCGTGTCGAACGTTTTCGGACCGAGTTTCACCGGCGTCCACGTGGGTGATTTCTTCTCCGCCACCTCCGCTTCCTCTGCCATCACCGCCGCCGAAGCAGATGGAGGATCCACTTCCTCCTCGCCGCCATTTTCCGGTTCCACTTTTGCTTTTTTCTCCTCTTCTTTTGCCGGCGGTTCTTCTTCCTCTCGCTCTCGTTTATCGCCGACTTCAGCGGAAGGAGGAGGAACATCGACAACAGTTTCTTCTTTAGCTTTTTCTTTCTCGGCCTTCTCGGCGGCGGCAGCAGCTGCAGCCGCTTTCTTCGCCGCTGCGGTTTTTCTCGGTGGCATTTTGTTTTTTGTGGAGCTTTTTGGTCTGCTAAAATGGAGCTTTCGCATCTGCAAAAATTTTACGAGAGCTCTATATATATCTCTTTGCTTTAATTTTACACATCTCTTCTATTATCATACATCTCTCTTCTAACTGCTATCGTTCGCATACTATTTATTTATATCTACGCTATCGTACGCGGCGGCGCGGCCTCTTCGGCCTTCGGCGGCTTGGAGAGGGTGTTCGCCTCCTCCTTCTTCTTCGTCGTCGTTGTCGTTTTTCACCTTCTTTTTCGGGTCTAAACCGACAAAGGTTCGTTTGGTGAGCAAGTATTCCGCGCCAGAGCGCGGCGTGGAGGTGGTTTTGTTCAGGTGGAGGTTTTCGTGGCGGAAGGTGAGCGCCTGAGAGGCGCGTTCGGCGAGTTTGAGAGCGTCGACCGCTTTGGCGTCGTTCGTCGCCCCTTCTTCCTTCTCGTCGTCTTCCTCGTCCATGAGCGTTGACGAAAGGTTTGCGCCGTGTAAATCGTAATCGTCCGCATCGTCCCCGGTGAGCGCGGATGATGTGTCTTTGCGTAAAGTTCCAGTTAGAAATGACATGGTTGGTTCCGCTCGAACGTCGTGTACGCCGTCGAAATCTTTCGTTTCCTCTTCGAACGAGTCGAAATCTAATTTGATTTCGCCAATCCAAGGTTTATTCCCGAAAGCTAACGCGGCTTCGTACGGGGTGATGACTGCTTGCAAGTAATCTTTCCCGTCTACTAAAGCGCACAACTCGCACGCGACTAGCACGAACGTTTCAATCTCTGGAAAATTCGCCAACTTATTTGGATTCGGCTTCCCGCACGCCACGGTATAACACGTACGTCCGCTCGACTCTATCATTTCACGCAGTTTAGATACGACCGATAAATATCCCGAAACACCAAGAGTACCGACGACAATACCGACAATGTTCGAATCTTTCGCACGCTCAATCGAATGGTTACGTTTCTTCACGTTTCTCCGACACGCCTCGGTCCCAATCGCTTTCGCTTCAATCTCGCCCTTCTCTGGACAATATCGCGCGACATCGTAATTCGTCCGAAACGGCGACGCGTCGCTCGTCGCCGACGATATCATCAACAAAGCGTGCGTCAACGCCGGTGAGTTCGCATCGCCAACCCAAACGAACGCTTTTGTATTCGGATCTTTGAAATCTTTGTCCATCTCGCGTTCGTATTTTAATCGAGCGGCGCCTAATGTCACGTGTATTTTATTACCGTCATCGTTTTCTCCGTTCGTCCCACATTCACTCGTGGATGTCAGGCGAACGGTCTCTTCGTCTTCTTTCCCAATCCTAGCCTCTCCCGTCGGTTCAATCACGTTTGGCGGCATCGACGACACCACGTACCGAACCTTCCCACCATCTTCGCTTTCCCCTACCGCCAACGCCTTCTCCATCCGCTCCGAACACCAGCTTCGATTTTGTTCCATTAACACGACCACAACGTTCACGGACTCCCCTAACACACTCTTCGCGTGCTCTCTGATCTTCTCCGCGCACGCGTCCACCTCTAAACTCTTCTCCTCGAATACCATCCTCGCGTTCAACCTGCTCGTTTTTGAACAACACGAAAAACCAACGTGAACAACGCAGTCCGCGTTGTGATGCAACGCCGCGACTTCGTCCACGCAACACGAACCAAACGTCGTGTCCGCGAGAACAAACACTTCTCGTCGTTTCTTCTTCCCCTCGTCCGTGGAATCTTTGTCATCCTCCGTCGTCGTTCGCGCGTCCAACTCGCGTTTCAATGCGCGACAGATGCTGGCGGCGTCTTTGAGTAATTCGTCGGGAACCTGTATCGCGATTCGATGGAACGCGTTCACGTGGATCCATTCAGCGACTCGAACGATGTCGTATTGGTCTCGAACCACGCTTTCGTGCGACGACGGAGGAGGAGGAGAACTCGTCGTCGCGGAAGACGACATTTTCGAAACGTTGGGCTGTCTTGGTCGAATGGGGAAAATACGAGCAAAATCGTTTCCTTTTAAAACTGCGCGATGTAAAAGCTAATAAACAAACTATTTAAAAGTCCACATCCAAACCAGGATTATTCTTCCAAACGCTGTACTTCCACGTTGGATTCTCCTCGTCGACGATTTTACTCTCGAGCGCGTGTTTCACGGCCAACGCGTTTTCATCGAGCGCTTGGTTTCGCGCCATCGCCGACTCGAGGCGTTCGCGTCTGGTCAAGCCAGCGGTCGGGCCGTAGCGTTGTACGTCGTGGTCGAAGAGTTTAAACTTCTGAAGAAGGAGCTCGTAGTCAACGCCCGGTATACTGCCGAGTTTTGCTTTCACCGCCGGTGGTGGCGCTTGCTTTTCGCGCTCGTCTGTTACGGAGAGGTGCAGATGATGTCGGGATCAAGAAAATGTCAGACGCGAACGAAGCGAAAGAGCCAAACAACGCGAAGAGAGGGAGAGAAGTAGAGAAAGCGGTTCCGACTCAGGAAGAGGTATCTGTAATCACCGAACGCCACCAAAGGCAAAGTCATTGAAACGAAGTGCCCATTTTTTACATCATCGTCGGAACATTTGAACACTCTCTCGCTTCTCTCCTAAACCTCATTCGATGTGTATCTCGAGAGAGAAAAGAAAGAGAGCGAACGCGATGCTTTTCGTGTATTTTCGAGAAAAGATACGTTTCTTACCTTTCTTCTGAGGTGTGATCGGGGGAAGCGCGCCGATCGTGGAAAGTTCTTCGCGCTTTTGTCGTCGTTCGCGCTCTTCGGCGGCGTAAAAGCGCATTCTTCTTCGTCGCGTCTTCTAATTCTTCTTCTTCTTCTTCTTCTTCTTCTTTGTGTGTGCGCGCGTGTGTTTTGTTCGGTCAAGTTGTCCTCTCATGAGAGTATTTTTTCCCCCAAATATTTTAAAACAAACACAAAAGCACAAACGTCTCAAAAAATTTCCTCTGCGCTTTCGCGGAAAAGAAAAAGCTGCTCTTCTGCCCATCGAAAACCCAAAGTCGTCCGTCGGTTAAATCGATGAAGATCTCTGCATCTCTCTCTCTGCGTTGTTTTTATTTATCCAAGCGGCGAAGATATCTCTCAATTTTCCCCCCACAAACTTTTCTCATCCAAATAAAGCGAGAGAGGAACATCATCCATCCGTAACAGAACACGCAGCGCATCATGTTCGCCGCATCTGCGAAAGCGTCCACCGCTCTCGTCGCACCGTCGTCGTCCTCGTCCTCTCGCGCGTCGACGACGATGAAATCATCATCGTCTTTCCCGAAAAAAAACAGATCCTCCTCCTTGGTTTCGTCGGCGTTACCCATCGCGGACCTCGCGGACGGATCTGCGGTGACCACGGCGGTTGTCGGCGTCGCGGCTATTGGTGCCGCCGGTGCGGCGTTAGTGCTCACCGATCCGTCGAAACGACGCGCGTCGATGATGGAGACGACCGGTGGTGACGAAGCCGCTTCTGTGCGCGATTATTTCGATAAAGTTGGATTCGAGAGATGGCAGAAAATTTACGGCGAAACCGACGAGGTGAACAAAGTACAATTGGACATCCGTCAAGGGCATCAAAAGACGGTCGATAAGATTTTGGATTGGTTGCCGGAGAATATGGACGGGATGACGGTGTGTGATGCCGGCGCTGGGACTGGGTCTTTGGCGATTCCGTTGGCGCACAGAGGTGCCGGCGTGAGCGCTTCGGATATTTCGGCGAGTATGATTGGCGAGGCGGAGACGAGGTATAATCAAAGCATCGCCGCGGGAGCGAAGGCGCCAGCTGTCGCGCCGAAATTTGAAGCGTTGGGGTTGGAAGAGTGCACTGGGGAGTACGACGTGGTGAGTTGCATCGACGTTATGATTCACTATCCGGACGATCGCGTGGCCGCGATGGTGGGGCACTTGGCTTCTTTGAGTAAGAAGAAGTTGATTGTTTCGTTCGCGCCGAAAACGTTGGCGTATTCGATTTTGAAGAGAATTGGGGAATTGTTTCCGGGGCCGAGTAAAGCGACCAGAGCGTACTTGCACGACGAAGGTGAAGTCGAAGAGGCGTTGGAGAAGGCTGGGTTTCGCGTGACGAGAAGACAAATGACGGCGACGTCGTTTTACTTTTCTCGCATCTTGGAGTGCGAAAGAGTGTAAGAGAGCGTCACCTTCTTCATTTACGAACAGTAGGATCATTTCATATGTATGCGGTACTTCATATTATTATTATTATTATTTTAACAGAACACACCACTCGGATACGTATTATTATTATTTGTCGCGCGCGTGCGTGGCATCGATGTGTATTACTTTCATTAATGTCCTTTTTTCCCTTTCTTGTGATTCCCGGCAGCTTTTTTGATCACGAAGATGTTCGGATGCAATCCCAAGCAACCCGTAACTTGAGCGACCAAGTGAAAGAATCGGTAGAAAAAGGTCGCCAACGCTACGGCAATCACTGTACCCATCCCGACGTCGTCCGTCTTCTCGATTACTTGCGACGCGACGTACGCGACTATCGCGTGCGTCCAGTTAAACACGCGAAAGTTGGGATCGCTCACTCTTATTTGCATCACGCGAACCATGACTTCGGTAAACATGACGCACGCGCAGATGTGCGCCGCTATAAAGTTTTTCGAATGATAAACGGCGTTGAAGAAACACAACTCGATGACAACAACAGTCAAATACACCGCGGCTAAGGAACGGTCTTGCGGCCAGTGCGGTGGTAAACCGCCGTTCTTCTTCATCTGCGCTCTCGTCGATGTCCTGCGTTTACCTTCTCCCGTCGCAACGCTTCCACTCTTCACCTGTCTTCTCTTCCTGACAGTCTTCACTACGGTTATAAACCTCGTCGTATACGAAACAATACTCGCCACACCCATGAAGAGCAAACCAACCGGAATCGTCCCGCTAGGACTCACGAACGTCGGCACCGGAACATTAATTTCCTTCCATCCGCTCGGTCCGAGATACGCCGTGAGCAAAAACACAATCTGACAGATAATCTGAATCTCTTGCGCGTCAAAATCGTTAATCGGCAACAACCCTTGATACGTGCTCGTGACCGTATCCAACCCAAAATTCCATCTGCCACAACTCGTAATCGCACACACCAACAACCGATTCGTCTTGGCGTTGAACGAAAACGCGTCGCACAAAATAGTCGCGTACGCGCACGCGCTAAACGCGTCGCACCCGTGGTCGACAACCTCCCCTAACGGCGACCCAGTCCCGGTCCTCCTCGCTTGTTTCCCGTCCATCCCGTCCATGGTTTGATAAATCCAAAAACCCACCGCGCAAACTGCGTACACCCAATTCGGCGAAGACCCGTCCAACTCCGGCGAAAAGTACAAAACTAAAGACACGTTCAGAATCACGAAACACAAGCCGAGCGTGGTGATTAAATTCGGCGCCAGCCATTTCGGACAAAACGTGTGCACCATAAACGTCCAGTACCTCTCCAAAAACGCTCGCTCCAAAATCGTGCTCTTCGGAGACGTGTGTAAATACGAGTGCACTTGCTCGCACTTTGAAGCGTCCGCGTGCACGTGGTGCTTCCTCTTCCTCCCTCCTAAAACATCGTTCTTGAAGTGGCAGCACTGGCTCTCTTTCCAACGCGTCGTTCGTAAACTCGTCGCGTGTAATACCGTCATTTTTGCTTTATCAACAATAACAACAACGGGACGCAAGAGAGAGAGGCAAACGAGCGCTTTCGCGGCAGATGCGGACGCAGAAGAGCGAGAACAAACAACAACTCTTCTTTGAAGCAAATTCGCTTCTTTTTTGTGCTTCGTTCGTTCTTTCCCAAATCGAAAGATATATTCGACCAATTAAATCCCACCTCTTTGTTTGTCAATTTTTCAAAAAATTTGAAATCTTGCTTCTTTTCGCTTCGAATAAATTTGAAGAAGAAGACTTCAAAAAAAGAACGAAGAAGGATTTTGCATTTCAGACTTGCGCGCGCGCGCGGTGTTTTGTCGTGGGGGTCGAGAAAAGAGTCGGTGGTCGTGATACGATACGAGTAGCCGCAGTTTGGCAGCGTTCGCGCGGTGGGCTTTTTCGTTTCTTTGAAGAAGAAGAAGAAGAAAAGGCAAAGAAATTTAGAGAGTAAAATCATCATCATGGGCGAAAAAGGAAAAAAGCGAACGCAAGATGAGTTGGAGAAAGGCGAGGAAGACGCGGTTGAAATCATGCCCGGGACGATCAAATCCGTCCGTCTTCAGAACTTCATGTGCCACGAACATTTGCTCGTGGATTTAGGTCCAAGGATTAACTTTATCACCGGAGAGAACGGGTCCGGGAAGTCGGCGGTGTTAACCGCGTTGACGTTAGCGTTGGGGACCTCGGCGAGGAAGACAAACAGGACGAGTAAAGACGGCGTGAAAGGTTTGATTCGAACCGGGCAGCACAGCGCGAAGATTATCGTCGAGTTACGGAACGAAGGGTCGGACGCGTTCGAGCCGGAGAAATTCGGGGACGTGATTATTATTGAGAAGAATATAGTCAATACGGGCGGGTCGACGATGAAGATGAAAACGAGACACGGACCGGGCGCCGGCGAGAAGAAGGAAGTGACCGTGTATACAAAGTCGGAGGATTTGGCGAGGATGTGCGATCATTTGAACTTGAATTGCGAGAATCCTATTTGCGTGATGACGCAAGATGGGAGTCGAGAGTTTTTGAGCTCCGGGAAGGATCGAGATAAATACAACTTTTACATGAAAGCGACACTTTTGGAATCGGTGTTGAGCGAGTTGCAAACGTCGAAAGATAGGTTGGATCTGATGGGCGAGAATTTGAAAATAAAAGAACAAACTATTCCAGAAATGGAATCGTTGGTGGCAGATTTGGAAACGAAGATGCAGATGTTCACGTTGAAGAGAAAGTTGTCGACAGAGTTGCATTTGGCTCGTATTTTGTTTCCGTGGGCCGGAGTCGCCGCAATGAAGCTTGAAATGGACAAGTTGACGGAAGAGATCGAGGAGGCCAACGCACAATTGCAACAGTTTGACGCCCAGTTGAAAGCTCGCGGTGCGAAGAAGGAAAAATACGAGAACAAGAGAAAGGAATTGGGAGAAGAAGTAGAGAAAATAAAAAGTCAAGAGATTGGCCAAGCTTTGCTGAGGAAGCAGGAGTACACAGACTCGATGAAAACGGCTGAACGTATGATGATCAGCGCAAAGCGAGCGATGGACGGGGCTGAAGCGAACGTTAAAGATAAGGTAAAAGAACGCGATAACCAGAAACGGTTGTTGGAAACCGAGAAGGAAAAAGCCGTGTCGGCGACACAAAATGCGAGTGGTCAAAACGACGCGGCGTTGCTCGCGGCGAAAGTGAAATACGAAAAAGCGCGCGGGGAGAAGGAAGCGTTTGAAACGGCGGTGAAAGAAGTGAACGAGCGCGTCACAAAGGCTGGTTTTGAGGTTAGAAATATCTCTAATAGAATTCGCGGCAAAGAGCAAAGCGTGAACCAGCAGCAACAGACGATTAAAAGGATGGAAAACGCGAGCAAGGACGCCAACGCTCAATTCGGCGAGTGGGTGCCAAAACTTTTAGACGTCATTAAGAAGAACGAGAATAAGTTTTCGAGACCGCCGATTGGACCGGTTGGTGCAAACGTGCTGCTTAAGCAAGATAAATGGGGCCTTTGCGTTGAAGAGTGTTGCGGACGTGAGTTTGAGAAATTTCTCGTCCATTCGGCGAAAGACGTTAGCGTTCTTCAAAAAATCGCCAAGGATGCAAATTGTAAGGTTCCGGTGATTGCTTGCATGAACTTTGATGCGCCAAGACACAATACGAAGGAAAACTCACCGGATGGTTCGCTTTTAACTGTTTTGGACGTTTTAGATTTCAAGAACAACGCGGTGTTCAATTATCTGGTTGATAAAGCGCAGGTTGAAAGAGTTATGTTGACTACGAGCGATAAGGAAGCGGCGTCGATCGTGCACCACAGATTCGGCCAACCGAAGCACCCGAAGAGTAAAAACGTGGCGTATGCGTTGACCGTGGACATGCGCAGCTACAGGCAAATTGGAGGTACGCAGCAAGTGCAACCCTTCAGACGACAAGTGCTCAATTCTCCGGTTCGTCTGATCAAGGATAAGAAAGCCGAAATCGGGAAAGCTAAGTCAAAGCTTGTTGAGATTCAAACCGAAATGAAAGACGCGCAGAAAGCGATGGAAAGGGAGAGAAAAGCACTGAGCGATGCGAAAGCTGAGCAGACCAAAACTGAAAGCGGACGCCTCAAAATCGTGCGGAACGTGCGGACGACGTTGGACGAGTACCAAAATAAGAAACAGGAAGTGCAGGAAGCTGTGCAAGATGTGGCGGAAGTGGATTTGGAAGAACTCGAGCGCGAGTTGGCAGAAAAAGAAGAAGCTTTGGTAAATAGCGAAGACGAGAAACGCGTGTTAATGGAAGATCACGTGCAGAAAAAAGAAGATTACGTTGCCAAGAAAGCTGCACTCGACTCGTTCATCGATAACCAGGTGGGCTTATCAGCCCAACTCGACAAGTACGATTCAGATCTCGGTGCTTGCGTTCGAAAAATCGAAACGGAGGAGGAGACGCTTAAAAAACTCTCTTACGGAAAAGAGGAGAAGATGAAAGAACGTGACGTAAAAGTCAAAATGCTCGACGAAAAAAAGCTGGAATTCGTGGAGAGTGAAAAGAATGTCATTGAATGTACGAAAAGCGACAAAACTGGAGAGAGTATCAAATCGCTCGAAGAAGCCGAGGCCCACAAAGCCGAGTTTGACGTTTACAAGGGCATAGATGCCGCCCAGAAACACATCCAGTCTATTAAAAATAAAATTGCGAGAGAAGAGGCCATGCACGAACAACCGTTCGAGGAGGTGCGCGATCTTCTCGACGAGGCGAAGAGTAAACTCAACAAGACAAAGAGGTCACTCAAAAACACGAAGGAGCCAAAGAACCTCTTGTCGAAGCTGGTGAAGAAACGGAAGTTGGCGTTTGAAGAGGTAGCCACGAACGTAAAAAGAGAAGTCTCTGGTAACTTTGGTTTTCACTTAAGTAAAAAACCCGGGTGCGGAGGAGGATTGGACGTTGACTACACGAATCGCACGTTGACGATGAATGTGCAGATGAAGAACAAAACTGTCACGAACATCAACGGACTATCAGGCGGCGAAAGATCGTTCACCACGCTCGCTCTCACGTTAGCGATGGGAGAACTCAGCGAATCGCCTTTCCGCGCCATGGACGAATTCGACGTTTTCATGGACGAAGTTGCGCGTAAAGTTTCCATGAACTCACTGTTGGAATTCGCGAGAGGAGACGAGGAACTAAGCAGACAGTTCATTCTCATCACGCCGCAAAATATTTCCGGCATCGACGCGAAAGCGAAGGACATTCACGTCTTCCAAATGCGAGCGCCTAGAACGTAAAAAATATAAAAGAGAGAAAGAGAGAGAGAGCGAGAGAGAAATCTCAGAGCAGGCGTACGTACTACTACTCGCCATTTCCTGTATTAAGAAGAACGCATTCGAATTATAAGACTACATACACGATATTACATTATACAGTATAAAAAATCGACTTACTGTACACATCTCCCTCCCAACTTTTCTAAAATCACCTAGCAACTCTAATCTAACTTTGCCTCGCCTCCCCCGTCCCCGTCCCGGTCGTCGTCGTCGTCCAAGACAATCCCAAACCCGTCGTCGTCCTCCTCGCTGTTATACTGCCTGTGCGTGACCCTCATGTCCCCGCCCGGTCGTCGCAACAGTTTCAAATAACTCTTCAACTCTCGAAACGATTTGAACGTTTTATACGCCAGAAAAACGAGCGCGAGAAAGACTAAAAACTGTTCGAAGTTCAAGGAGATGTAATCGCCCTCGGTCGGGTGCGTCGGGGTGATGACTCTCTGGTGAAGACGGAAGGAGTGTTTTTGCTCGTTGAGGCCACCCTCGCGTTTCGTGTTGTCCGACGATGACGACGGCGACATAGAGAAAGTGCAATAAAAAGTAGGGGAAATTCGTTTGTGCATGTCTCCTCTAGAATAGTTGTATTAGTTTTAGCGCGGATTAATATTTCACGCCGTAGTTATAGTAACAGTATTTCCGCGAGCATTTCGCCTCGCGTTTGTTTCTCGATGCGTCGCTCTCTCTCGTTCGTTTTTCGGACTCCTCAGACGCTCAGTGCATTTGTTGCACGTCGACCATTTTATCCAAATACTCCGCGATGTTCTCGTGCGTCAACTTGACGAGTTGGCGACGTTTCAGATTTTGTTTGGTGAACGGGCACGTGTCCGGCGCTTCTGGGTTGCGTAGGATTCGGCACCAGGTTTCGTAACCAGCGACGTGACCGTACGGCGAGATTGCCGCCGGTTCCTCGATTTGCATGCGCGTGATTGGGTCCAAGAATCCAGCCGGCAAGACTGGCGGGCCTTCGTCGTCGCCGTCTTCGTCGTCCTCGTTGTCTTCGTCCTCGTTGTCTTCTCCCTCGCCGCCGTCGGAGTATTTTCGCTTCTCTTTGCCAGAGTTTCGACTGGATCGGCGAATTTCACCGGTTTTGACGCTGCATCGGAAAGTTTTATCACCTTTCGTGTCGTCGTCGCCTTGGTCTTTCTTCTTTTTCTTTGGTTCTTTCTTCGGTTTTTTCATTTTCGGTGCTTTGATTTTCGGAGGAGGACGCATTTTCGGTTTCTTCGGTTTCGGCGGCGGCTTGACTTTTGCCGGTTTAGTACCAATCGTAGTTCGGTCGAATCCTTTGTTTTTGAAGTTGAAGCGCAACTCACCCTTATCGTCCAACATGTAGTTTTCGTCTTGGACGACGCCGTTTTTCACCAACGAGCGGTAATAGTTGGAGCACTGGTAGCCCACTCGCCCCGGGATGGAGATGGAGAACGTGCCCCACTCGTAGTTGGCTTTGCCGTCCGGAAGCTTCGCCAACGTGTCCATGAATTGCTCGTGCTCTTTCGGCGTCCAGCCGCCGTTCGCCTGGCGTTCGCCCGGGGCGTTGAAACGGTAGTAGTACGCGTTCGGTTTCTTAATGCGATTCTTCCATCCTTTGATTCTGGCTTCGGACCATCCGGCAAAGAGCTCGGACTCGTCGATTTCGAGCGGCGCTTCGATGTCGTCGTCCGAGTCATCGTCCGAGTTGGCATCGGCATCGACTGCTGCTGATACCGGTGGCGGTGGAACAGTATCGTCACCTGACACTGTGGCGTCCATAGCTTCACTAGATAAAGCTTTTGTAGCATCGGTGGTCTCTTCGACTGGTTTCGTTTCTTCGCCAGCAGTCGCCGGCTCAAGGAACGTTTCTTCCATCCCGACGTCCTCCTTCTTCTGCTCCGCTTTAACTGATTCTTCCTTGGTCTTCGCCGCTTCCTCTTCCGCCAATTTCGCCAATCGCTTCGCCTCTTTCGCCTTCCTCTTCTCTTCTCTCGCTTTCATTTGCGCTTCCATGACCGCATTCGCTCTCGCCACGGCGTCGTCCAACTTTAACCGCGCCGTCGTGTGCGCGCCCTTCTCCAAGTTCTCTCCGTTCGGCGCTTTCCTCTCGTGTCGGACAAACTTCACTCCGTCCAACGCCTCGTCTTTCCCGATGACCATTTCTTTCCCGTCCTCGCCCAACATTGGCCCTAAATCCACTTTCTCCTCTTTCTTCGGCGGCAGTTCCACGTACTCTTCGAAAAACTGTTCGTTATCGTACTCCTCCCACGCCTCCAAATCCGAGTCCACGATTTCATTCCCGTCCTCGTCGAACAACTTCTTATTCGACAACCGTTTAATCTTCCTCGCGATGCGTTGTTCCGAAATCGTCCGCATCTTCTTATTCTTCTGTAACGTCTGCTTCGCGTATTCTTCCTCCTTCACCATTTCTCGTATTTGCGTCAAAAACTGCCCAGTTTCCGTATCCAAAATACGCAGTAAATACATCTCCGTACTTTCTCCCGCGTCTTGATACAAATCGTCCACGCGTCTCAATCTCTCCTCCGCGTTCAGTTCGTTCATCTCGCACACTTTTAAAATCATAAACGCTTCTTTCTCGTTCAAATTCAAGTGTCCGTGTTGCATCACCAACTCTTCGATTTTGTTCTCCGTGCTCTTCTCTTCGAATTTTTTAAACCGGTTTTGCAACGCAGCGATGCGTTCGGCGATGACTCTTTTTTGTTCCTCGGTGAGTTCGTCGTCCGAATCGTCCATGAAATTATTAGTATTATTCGTAGCATTCGTCGCATTCACCTCTCTCTCAGCGAGCTGCTCTTTTTTATTCTCTTCTCCCGTCGTCGGAACCATCATCACTTCCTCCTCCTCGACACGCATCATCGGCGCCGTCGCATCGGGAGGACACATGTTTTCAAAATTCAAATCTTTGTTTTCCAATGTTGCTCCAACATTAGTATCAAAAGCAGCAGAAGGGGGAGTCTCGCTCGATGGAACCCCTCCTCCCGTCTGCTTCATCAACGTTAAGCCGTTGGTGGTGGTATTATTCGTGTTGTCTTGCAGAAGGTTGTTCGGCATGGTCTTCAAAAAGGACAAAGAGGGCGACGATATTGGCATCGTGATGTTGAAAATGTGACGAGCACTTTCTGCGTTGGTTTTGCTTCGAAAAATGTTTAGGGTTTACAACCCTACTTAAGCTTACTAAGAAATTTTGAAAATGCGTTCGTCTCTCTTCTGTTGTAAGACACGCTTTAGCGCGCTGTATCTCCGTCGCTTGTTGTTGAAGAAGAAGAAGAAGAAAGGTTTTTCGTGCGCAGAGTATCGTTATCATTTAAAAATCATCATGAGCGACAATAATAACAACAAAGAAAGGAGCAGTGATGAAAGTTCTAATAACGCGAGGATAAAACATTTCGCCGACGCGTCGTTTCTTTTCGCCTTCAACGACGACAACGACGACGAAAACGAGGGGGAGACGAATTACGAAGAAATCCGCGCGCTTTCCAAACGCATGAAAGCGTTAGGATGCACAAAAGTCACCGAATCGTTCGCCTTAAAAACGAACGACGCGACGCACGTCGTGTGCCGATCCGAGGAGGAATACAACTCCTTGTGGGAAGAGTCGCAGAACGACGCGGATTCGTTTTTTGAATTCGTCCACGACGACGAAAAACGAGCACCACCTGTCAAGTGCACGTTTGAATTCGCCAGGCGAAGCGTCGAGGAAAAAAAAGTCTTGGACGTGCATTCGAACATCTTGTTCCGACCACCGAAGACGTCGGAAAAGATACTGAAAGGTTTGAAGATTTGTCAAACCTCGTACACTGGGCCAAGAAGGAACGACGTGAAGTCGCTCATCGAGCGGTTAGGCGCGGAGTACTCGAAGCCGTTCGATAAAACGTGCACGCACTTGTGTTGTTATCAGTTTGAAGGGAAGAAGTACGAGAAGGCGGTGTCGGATGGGACGACGATTGTCAGTCACGCGTGGTTGGAGGCGTGTTACGTGAGTGGGGAGAAAGTGGACGCTTCGAGGTACATGAGGAGCGGGGAGGAGGAGGATAGGTTGGCGCAGGAGAAGGACGTGGTGCCGGACTCGGAAGCCGAAGAAGAACAAGAAGAAGAAGAAGAAGAGATTGAAGATGCGATTGAAGATGTGGTGGCCGTGGTGAACGTAAAGAAGAACGCGCAGAAGATGAAAGAGTATAATCTTAACAACAACGCGAGCGGTAAAAAGGGTGACGAGAGTAATAACGAAAGCGCAAAGAGCGTTCGGTTTGAGGCGCTCAAGAAGTTGAACGGTAACAACACAGAAACGCAAGAAGAACCGAGCGTATACGAGATACGGGTGAACAAAGTCTCGGAAACGCCGACGGAACCGAGCGTGGGGAGAACGACCGCGCAAAAGGAGAAGGAGGATGAAGAGACGGAAATCCCCGCGACGGAGGCACAAGCGAGACCATCAGCTCTTGCTCACGAAGGAGAAGAAGAAAAAGAAGAGGCGCCTTCATCGGCGAATTCAAAAAAATATCCGTCACCGGATTACAACAATCTCCCACCGGAGCAAGTCGAACGATGCGTCCGTAACATCATCGATCCAACGCACTCGAAATCTTCAAACGAGTTCCAAGGTTTGCTCGCGGATGCGGACGATGTCGAAGCGGCGTTGAATAACGGCGGAACGTTCGCGATGGCAAACTCGTTTCCGCGTTTTGGCGACGGCGACGGTCCCTTGTGTAAAGAGACGGACGACGATGCTTTCTTCGAGCTCTTAATGGCTGGAAAAATTCCAACGTTAGCAGACGAGTATAATAACCGAGCGAAAATAGACCGCGTGTCTAAAGGCGAACGAGTGTTTGAAGTTTTGCGCGATGTGGAAGAGATTGAACACGACTTCGGTCTGCCAGAGTTAGGCGTCGAGTTGATCGATGTTTCAAAAGGTCAGCATAAAGTACACCAAAGCCGGCGAGAATTGAACAGTGACACGTTCAAAGCGGTGTGTTTCAATGTAGAAACTACAAACGTTGGTGACGATAAGTTTGACGAAATTCGAGCGAACGCGTTGACGTGCTTAAACGAAGCAGAAAGATATGCTGAACGCGGACCACTCGGTCGCGCGGTGACGTCGCGCCTAGCCCTTGAACGCGCACAGAATGGGACATTGCGTGATTCGAACACTAGCGACGATCCAGATGCACTTTTAGCGACGTTCGTGAACGTTTATTTGCGCTATGGGTACAACTATACCCCGAGAGCCGTTCGAGAGATGTTCATGACGAACAACGGCACGAAGATCATCCAGGACTACAACTTTGTCGTAACGCTTCCAGAGCGAAGGCCGGGAAATTTACCGAACGTAGTTTTAGAGTCGGTGGATAGAACCATCGGTCAAGTTGTTGCTGGATTTTTCGAATTGTTAGCGGGTCCGACGCAACCAGACCCGACGCAGCGCGTGCCGACGCAACCATCGGCGAGGAAAGAGAATAACTCGCAGCAGCTGCAACAGTCTCCACACGAAAGATTAGACCTCACTCAACTCGCGACACAACTTGCGACGCAGCCACCTGCGGCGACGCAAACCTGGGAACCCACGAGTGAAGATGAAGAGAACGTAGACGAAGAGGTACAAGAGGGAGAAGAAGATGTCGAGGAGGAAGCTATGCCGGCACGTGGGGAGGAGGAGGAGGACAACGACGACGACGACGACAACAACAAGGAAGAAGAGAGGGATGAAGAACTGGAAGAAATAGAACCTGACCAACACGAGCGAGCGGAAAAGAGAAAGCATTACATAAGCGGTTCTATGGAGAAGTCAACCTCCAAGTCGAACAATAGCGGGTATAAGACGGCTCTGGACACGCAAGCGACAACAACAGTAGACGTCGCCGAAGCTGAAGAGGAGGAGGAAGCACCTCCGGTTTTGGAGCCGGTTCCGGCAAAGCGAATGACGAGACAGCGAAGAGGCCAGTCGACTCGGATTAGTGCACCTACGGCCGAGCAGCAACGCAAATCGCTCGAAATGTCCGCGAAAGAAGTCGTCGATAAATCTTCGGCCAAACGGAAGGAGAAGACGACGACGAAGACAGTTGCTTCGACGAAATCTACGTCACTATCACCACCATCAGCGCCAAAAAGGAAGCGGAAAGCGGACCAGACGGAGAAGGCGGTGATGCACATATCCGTCAAGCGGAGCTACAGCGCGCGTGCTACTAAAGGGACAACGAAAAGGCAGTCAAATGTCGTCCGCGTGGCGCTTTCTGGTTTCAACACCGAAGAGCTCAAGAAGCGCGTATCTGTTTTGAAGAAACTCAACATTCCGTACTCTTCCTCCGGCCGCGATTGGGATGAATCTATCACGCATGTCGTTTTTGGCGTTCGTGGTACGCGTAGTTTAAAGTTTCTCGCCGCTTTGGCGAGCGGTGCGCACGTCTTGAACGAAACGTACCTGGACGAGTGCGAGGCGCAAAACAGCTCGAAAGACTCGATGCCGATAATCGATGACAAGCACTTTTTCAAAGGCGGTAAAGGCTTGGAGAACAAGTTGATTTGTGCGTCAGCATCAAAGTTTTGGCACGGTTGGCACGCATCGGCATCGAAATCGACCACAAACCGCGGCGCGGACGCGTCATCGACAATGAATAGCTTGAAACCGTTTTCAAATCTCGACGTCGCGGTGGCATCCTTTGGCTCCAACGCCAACGCGAAAGGTGAACATCAAATGGTGTGCGACGTGCTTCGCGTTGGTGGTGCTAACGTAAAAACGATTTCCGCAAACGGGGATGCGAGTTTAACCGTCCACGCGACGAGGTCTCACGAAGACAAGATGGCCATCAGAGACTCCGGTGATGAAGAAGAAGACGCCGTCGATATCATCGTTTGTAACGAAGACAAAGCTGAATCCGGACGCGTCAAAAAAGCCATGGACGCGTATCCAGCCGCACTCGTCGTTTCATCAGAGTTTATCAAGCGGTTTCTCTCCTCTCCGGGAGACGATTTGAACGCATACACTCTGTTTGAAACCACCGCGAACGAGAAAGTTGAAGACTCCTTGATTAAGAGACGACTAGGAGGGCCGCACGCCGTTTCGCTCGGCGCCGAGATGCATAAGAAGCGAAAGTTCCACCAATTCCCGGCTGGAAATAAGGTTAGTAGTAACAAGAAAGCAAAGGCGAAGGCTCTTCCAATACTTTCGATGAGTAAAAACAAGAAACCCGGCGCGGCAGCTGCGAAGAAGAAAAACGCGCCAACTCGGGCGTTGGCCGCGAAGAGATTTCCAGTAGAACAACTGCAACAGCAAACGCGAGGAGGTAGGCGCGCGACAAGAGCGCTCGGAACCATAAATTAGTATATTCGTTTTACCACACTATCGTTGTCACAGCGTGATGGTATATGTGATGGTATATGTGTATCGTTGTTTTAACTTTGTAAAATCAAAAAATATATACACGCGTGTACAGTTGAGTGAAAAAACAATAGCGCGACGCGCAGAAAATTTTTAATATAATATAAAATGCATTAGTGAATGATTGTTTTACAACAACTAAATGCTTCTTTGGTGTGTGTTTTGATACAGTCTACGCCTAAATATATATAAACGAAGAGTATCGCTTAGTAGAAGCCGAAGCCCTTGGCCGCGTTGGTCAAGACGTTCGCGTGAACCGGGTCCGCGGTGTGCGCTTGCCAGTTGGCAATCGGACCTTCTTGGGTGGCCAAGGCTTGGAAGATGCAGCCCAACCACGCGAACATGGACAATCTGCAGTGCTTCAATTCCTTGATCTTCAACTCTTCCAAGTCGCCAGATTCAGCCAAGCCCAACGGGTCGAATCGGCCACCCGGGGAGACGTCCCCGACGGAGAGTTCGTCAAAGACCGGGTCGATCAAACCGGTTCTGTATCCTTCGGCGGCGCCAACCAAAACGGTTTCGATTATCAAAACGTTCCAGAAGGACGGGTAGCCAGAGCCTTCCGGCGCCAACGGGGCAACAGCGCCCGGGAACTTGTCCGCGACGGCGGTGCAGTCATCCGGGGTGCACAAGGTACCCGCGGTGAACCACGGGATGCCGGTGCCGTTCTCGGCGGCCCAGGCGCCGGTGACGCCCAATTGGGCCCATCTGCCGTGGATGATTTCACGCTCGGCGTTCTTTTCGTCGCCGAACGGGATGATCGGGGATTCGCCCCCGCCCGGGTAGGTACCGAATTCCGGGTAGATGTCAGCCTTGACAACCTTGGAGATGGACTTGGACTGATAATAATAAATGAAAAAGAGTTTGAGGGAGAAAAAAAGGTCAGTCTCTCTTCTTACAAGCCACTCGTGCGTGATAAAATCAAATCGAAAATCGAAGATTTTTTTCTCTCTCGGCGGCTCTCGAACGAGAATATTTTCTTCTCAAAGTGTAGTGAGATCTCAAAAATCGATGCGTTGCGGATCCACCTCCAACGAACGCACGACGCAACGACGAGAAGAAGCGTTATTACGCGCATTCGTTTTCGTTCATTCTCTCGGTGAGACCAGCAGCGCGCATCGGAGATCAGATCTCTCTCGCGCATCATCACAAACGTCGATTCGTTTTTGGAGAATTAGATACGGAAGAAAATTCGCATCGTCATCAAAAGCGCGCGCTCTGTGAGAAGAACACGCCGACGATGAGATCGGTATCATTAAAAAGAAAGAAAGAACGAGCAGTAGAGAATACGCACCTGAACCTTGGTGGCCTTGAGGCCGGCGACGGACGCGATTTGTTGAGTAGCAGCAAACATTATTAGTATATATGTATTTGTATGTGTGTGTGTGTAAGAATAGCGATATTCGTTCTTTTCGATTCTTGTGATCTTTGAGATTCTTTTTTAAGGAGTTGTTTAGGGTGTTAGAGGCAAAAAAAAAACGAAACGAAACGAAAGAAAAAAATTCAAAAAAAAAGAACAGAAGCTGGGGAGAAAAAGAGGGACACATCAGTGCTTCTATTCTGCGCTTGAGAAGAGAGCTTTTCAGAACGAGACGACGCTTTGCTTTTTTGCGCCGCGTTCTTTCTTTCTCTCTTTCTTTCTTTCTTTGAAAAACGGTATCTCTCTCTCCTTTGCTTTTCTCTCCTTTTATTGCGCGCTTTTCGAAGGGCTTTAAGAAGAAGAGAGAAAGAGCATGGAGACGGAAAAATCGTCGTTCTCGTTTACCGAGACCTCGATGGCGACCATTCGAGTTGAGTTAGCTTCAACCGTGGAGGATTGCAACCGGAGAGGTTTGAAATGCGCCAAGAAATGGGCCGCGGAACAGTTGTGTGGGTTACCTTCACCACCATCTAAAGGTTTGAGCGAGGAAGAAACAGAGGATTTTGAGAATGCGAAGGAGGAAAAGGAAAGAGAGTTAAGGGTGATTTCGTTTCCCGAACCGGTTGGAAACGTGCCGTTTCGAGGCGAAGGAGAGGAGTATACGACGAGGACGACGACCTCATCAAACAACCACGGACAGGACGATCCGACGTACATATTAGCCAAATCGTATTTCGATTTAGGCGAATACCGAAGGTGCGCGGATTTGCTGGCGACGTCGTCGCCGGCGTCCGCGCACGGGAAACCTTTGAAGACGTTTCTCGAACTGTACGCGCTCTTCTTGGCGGGCGAGACGACGAGGCGAGACGTGGCGAATGTGCGCGCGAAAGGTCCGAGTGGGGCGGCTGGAGATAGAGAGGATGGAAAGAAAGGGAACGTTTCGGATGCGAACGATATGGATGGAGACGATTTGGATAGGAACGAAGGGCCGAGAGTTCGGGGCGAGTTGGTCGGGAGGATGGCGAATAATCCAGAGTTGGACGTCGTCCAGAGCGGGCTGGATGAGTACGAAAAGTATAACAGCAGCAGTAGTACGAATAATAGCACTAGGGAGCATAATAATAACGAGCATAAGTGCGCGTTCATCTGCTATTTGCAGGCGTTGGTATTTCGAGAACGAGGGCGATTGGACGCGGCGAAAGTGAAGTTTGCCGAATCGGCGAGGCTGTATCCAACCTTTTGGAGCGCTTGGCAAGGGTTAGTAGATTTGTGCGACGAAGACACCATCGCCAACTTGAGGTTACCGAGAGACCATTGGTGTTACCAATGGTTCATCGCGGAGTTTAATTTAGAGAGTCAAAAGAACGTGGAAGCGATGCAACAGTTTGATAGGCTTTCGGAGATTTTCAAGCGTTCGTCCTCGATTTTGACCAAGTGCGCCATAGCGCAATACAACTTGAGAGAGTTCGACGAAGCCGAAGAGTTGTTCGAGCGAGTGATTGAAGTCGATCCACACAGAATTGAAGGCATAGACGCGTATTCGAATATCTTATACGTGAAAGAAGATTTTGCCAAGTTAGCACATCTGGCGCACAGAATTTCCAACACGAACAAATACACGCCTGAAACGTGTTGCGTCATCGGAAACTATTATTCGTTAAAGCAACAACACGAGAAAGCGGTGACGTACTTCCGTCGCGCGTTACGTCTGAATCGAGATTACTTGTCCGCGTGGACGTTATTAGGTCACGAGTATACGGAAATGAAAAATCCAAAAGCTGCGATTGAGGCCTACCGGTGCGCGGTGGATATCAACCCGAAAGATTATCGCGCGTGGTATGGTTTAGGCCAAATGTACGAGTTAATTTCCATGCACGTGTACGCGGTGTATTACTACCAAGCGGCGGCTAAGTTGCGCCCGAACGATAGTCGGATGTGGTGCGCTATTGGTGCTTGCTATGAAGCGGACGGATTACGCCAACCGATAGCAGCCATTCGCGTATACCAACGAGCGGTGGCGTGCGGCGATAAGGAAGGCATCGCGCTCGGGAGATTAGCAAAGCTTCACGAGCAACAAAAGAATTGGAAAGCGGCGGCACATTACCATTTACGAAACTTAGAACGTTTGAAGCGCGAGACTGGGAGTTATGCAGAGACGCAAGACTCCATCGATGGTTTGTTATTCTTAGCAAAATATTATAAAGGCGTGGGTAAATTTGGCGCCGCCGAGGAAGCGTGCTCGAAACTTCTCGATTTCCAAGGGCCGGAAAAGCAAACCGCGAAAGCTTTGTTGAGGGAGATTCGCTCGGTAACGAGTGTGGATTACGTCAGAAATTAGTTTTTAATCGTACGTTATCTTTACTAAATATTTCTAGGCATATATGCATGCTATGTGCGCTACAAACTATTTGTTTTTTTACTTTGGCGGTTCGACGTTCGCTAAATCTTCGTCGTCCAGCCTTTCCAACTCATCCACAAGAAAGTCTTTCACGATAGACGTTCAAAGCTCATCGCGCAGCTTCATCAACGCCACACCTAACAAGTTTTTGCCGTCGTTGTTTCGCCCACTCCCCCAAACGTTATCAACGGGCGAGTCTTCGACCAAACGTTTTTGACCGGTGGATAGAAGCAAGGATTGCGCCGACCGGTGCTGCGTAAACTTTGCGCGCAAGACGCGATCCATGACGTGTATTTTAATCGAGTTCCAATCTTTCTTCAACAAATCTGGTCTTTCGCGTTGTTTTAATCGTCCAATTCTGCTCGCTTTTTCTGGAGAATTCGCTTTAAGAATAGCATTTTTGATTTCTACGCCGTCGGGGTGCGAATCGTCGAATTTTTGCGCTTGATAGTACGATTCAGACGTCAGCCAGTTTTCTCCGTCGATATCGACCGCGTGCGCGCTAAAGTTTGAGAGAGCGCTGTACGTGTCCCAGGATTTGTAAAACCGAATCTCGTCGCTCGCATTGTCGTCTTTTTCATTGTCATTAGATTCCGCTTCGTCCGCGCAACACTGCTCCACGTCCGCCAGAACCTCGTTTTCGCCAAACGTATCCACGCGTTCGGAATCGTCCGATGATTCACCGACGTCCACAAATCCATCCCGTTTACCATCCATCCACCCACCTTCGACAAATCGTTTTAATCTACCTTTTGCGAACGCGTTTGGTAAGTATCCGGTAATCAAGACGTCCCTTCCGTACACCTTGGCGTCGGTCGCTTTCAAAGGCACCGCGTCCGCCATTGCGTCGCATCCAAAATCGCCCATCGGCGTCGGTGCTTTCGAACCACCGCCAACGATTTTCGGCGCTACAAATGCCAACACCCGCGAAAACGCACCAGCCGTAATAGCCGGCGCTGCGAGCGTTCCACCGCACTCCCAAAACGTTTGCAACCAGCCTCTCTGGCGCATCTCGTCTAAAACTTTATCCATGGTAAACTCGCCCTCAAATTCTACCACGTCTACGCCTTTATCTCTCAATATCTTCGCCAAAGCTGGTTTTCCGTGACTCGCCGACGTCATCACAATCGTAGAAGCCACGGACGTATCCCATAACCTCGCGTCTTCTGGCACGTCGAACGACCTCGACAACACCACCCTCGCCGGCTGATACGCGTGCGTCAACGTCCCGTCCCCATTCCGACTGGTCAACCTCGGATCGTCCGTCCGCAACGTCCCACCACCGACAATCACCGCATCTGACCTCGCTCTCTCGTGAAATACCGTTTCCCTCGATTCCGGTCCCGTCACCCACTTTGACTTCCCGCTCGAACTCGCAATCTTCCCGTCTAAAGTCATCGCGTATTTATACACGCCGTGAGGGTACCCGCCCGTGGCACATCTATACAACAAAGCCTCGTTTACTTTCCTCGCACACATCGCCCCTCGCGTATTCGTTTTACACACCACAATCTGTTCTTTCTTAAAACCTCCCCTCTCGACCAACTCCTTAATCGCGTTCCCTCGAAACTTCTCGTTCGGGTGCATGGTGCCGATAACTATCCGTCGAACGCCGCGCGAGCGCATGCGCGTCAATGCGTCCACCGAACGCGTTTCCCCGGACACCTCAATTCCGTGCACCGGTTCCATGTTCAAATACACGTCGTACTCTCCCGTTTCCGTCGTCGTTTCTTTCTTTGCCAGAGATGACGACGACGACAGAACTTCTCGCAGTTTCCTCTCCGCTTGCCTCTCGCACTTCTCACCAGCTTGGCCAAACTGAAACGCTTCGCACAGGATGTCTCTCGTTTTCGAGTGCACAATCACGCACGCGAATTTTGGGTGCGGCGCACACTCGCCCGCGGATGAGTCCGCCAAGACGCACGCGCGTTCGACCCATTCATCGTCGTCTGAACCGTCGTTCGAAACGCAGCAAACACTGTCGGGGAAAACGAGACGGCGGCGAATTGAAGACGAACGTTCTCGTCGTCGTGTGCGTCGTTTACCTCGATGATGACACTTGAAAACCACTTTTTTTGACGAGGAGGAGGAGAAGGATATCATCGTCGCTCCTGGAGGACGAGAGAAAACGTGCGGGTGCGCCATCATCGATCGATCGAGAAGGAGGAATCAAGTGGAGTAATTCTGAGGGTGAATTCAGAGAGAAAACGAGAGAGAAAGACACAAGACGAATATGAATACGTATGTAACGCAGATGGACAAATGTGTGATCGTATTTACAATAAGTGAATAGCTAGTTTCACTTATCTTTGCGCTCGATGCTACTATATAGAAAAAGCCAGATTTCACGCACTGTGTTCTGCTGGCCGCAAACGACGCGTCGTCGTCTGAATCGTCGTCAGTCTCTCGTGTCAATACTCGAGAAGAGGCGTCTTGAAAACCGATAAAAAAATGTCTTATTATTAAGCCATGGCTGGCGTCGCGGGCGGAGCAACGGTCGCGTCAGCCGCAACAGCAGCCGCCGGTACTTTTCGCTTCACCTTTCGCTTCACCTTTTTCGTTTTTCTAACACCCCCCGCAGACTTTTTGGACGACGCGCGCGTGTATCCAGTCGTGCCCCGTACTCGCTGTCTTTGCGCGTGCAACGGTAAGCCGAGCAAGAACAATCTCGTTTGTTCACCAACTTGATTGTTCGTCAATCGCATCAACGCCGTGGCGGTGATTGCAGATCCTAAGCTCGTCAAGCGATCCGTCATCCATCGATCCGCTCCGCCAATCAATTGATATCTGGCGTTGCACGACAAACCGAGGAACGCTCCCATACCCAACGCGGACGTCTTCACGTCCGGCACCGGCACGGCTGGTTTCCATTTTTTTCCTTCTTTCTTTTTGTGTGAGTTGACTAATAAGTTGTTTAAGCCGCTGAACGCACCCCCGATGACGACACCGACGGCGGAGAGCTCCGCGCCTTTAGCTACGACGGAGGCGATTCTGGTGCCGGTGGTGTACGGTCGCAAAGGTCCGGCGCGGTCAAACGCGTTGTTCGGCATACCCGCCAACGCTTTTTGCCAGCCAAACTTTTGGACGCCGCCAAAGGATCGCGATGGGGTGCACAACCAGACCGTAGCCAAGTTTGCGACGCACATTTGCGCCACGTTGGACGCCGCCAAGTCCCACTCTTTCTTCAACTTATCCCCTCTGTGCGCGACTTCGTACATGGTACCAGCCGCAACCGTCACCGCTTGTTCAAACGCAAGCTTGTACAAAAACGCCGGTTCTGCCATTAATCGACCAACGAACGCTCTGGATGCCCACTGCGGAGTAGATCTGGAGACGACTCTTACCACGGACGGTCTAACGTCCACGGACATGAATCTGACCAACTGCGCGCTCGAAACGACGCCCATCTCCACCGCCATTCTCAAACCAGCCGGTAAACTCGCGATCGTTTTAAACCACTCGGACAACACGGCTTGAATCGCCTCTCTTTCGAACGTTTCCGGGATCCCTTCTCTCAAAGAAATGTATCCTCCTTCGTCGCCGTCGCCGTCTTCTTCGTCGAACCAATCGTCGTCGTCGCCTTCGTCGCCGTCGCCGCCGCCCCCGCCGTTATTGATCTTCCCCCCGTTATTCCCCCCGTTATCGCCGTCAGATAACTTTGGCGCTGCCACTGATTGTACCGAACTCGATAAATCCATGCTCACCTTCTCCAAAGTCGCCGCTCCGCCGCCGCCCAACTGTCGACCGATTTTCGCCATCGCCGTGTTCGGAATCCTCATGGCGGCGTGAAACTGGCTCTTATCAACTCGTCCGGTGCCTTGATCCTCGGCGCCGGCGTAATCGCTCACCGCGTTGAACACTTGCAAGCACGATCGCATCGCAGAAGTGTTGTTGTTGTTGTTGTTTCTTTTTGAGCAGTGCTGATAAAACGCCGAGGATGACGACGTCAACACAGACGCTTTTGCCGGTAAAATTTGAGCAGATAAAGCACCCCCCGCGACGGACGATTTGCGCTCGAGACAATGAGTGTTGGCGGAAAAAGAATCGTTACGCTTTGATGCGACGCCACGCGACTCCAAACGTGCCACAGAAGCGGCACATCTCGCGCGGTTCAATCGTCCTCGTCTCGAAACGTTCGGTTTTACGTGCGTAAACGCGTTCGAAGCGAGTGATAAAGCGCTCATTTCGTGCGTTGGAAATTCGCGCAATTATTTCTATCTCTCGAGAAACTTCTTCTTCGGCCTTCGAAAATTGTATAACGCGCGAATAAATGAAGAAAACGCTTCTCGATCTCAAAGATGCGAACGCAAAATCCGCTCTTAAAAGCACAAAAAGAACTCTACTCTCCCGTATTTATGTGTAAACCGCTACGAAACGTAACGCGAAATACAACGCTTGCGTGTGTGTGTGTGTGTGGTAGTGCTAATTAAAGCGCTATTGAAAAGACGGATAAATTCGCATTTCAACGGCGGTTGTGTTCCTTGTTTTCTTTTCTGCTTTTTTTCAAAAAAATGTATATTTTTTTTTTCGTTCGAGGAAGGCATTGGTTGGTTGAAAGAAGAAGAAGAAGAGTAAAATTTTACGAACAGCGTCGTAATCATACGATATGGTAGTTGTTTTATTACAAATTTTGATTCGATCCTCTCTCTCTCTCTCTGTTACGTTTGGCTTTTCAGACGACGTCGTCTACATCGGTTGTTATTGTTCTCGACGGATGAAATCAATCAAAATCAGAAACCGGCAATGTCGCGCACGAGTGTCAAACCGCTTCCGATGGCAAAGAGAGACCCCCAAAAGGTCAAAATTCTCAACACGCGAGCGTTTCGAGGGTTTAAGCCGAACTTCATTCCAGCTTTCATTTGTTTGGCGATGTTGGTGACGATTTCCGCGCGCTCTTTTGGAGATTTGCTCGCGAGGATTTGTAACGCGACGTCGTCTTTGTTGTACAAAAAGATTTCCGAGAACGTGAAGGACTTAAACTCGGATTCGATGAGTTTCTTCACCGAAATCTTTCCAGTCGATGGATCTTCGTCGTACTGTAATCCAACGGCTTCGTAGTAATAGTTGTCGTTGGATTTCAACGTTTCCAAGGCGTCGAGTAAATTTTGTTCAGCCTCGGAGACGTCCTCGTCCATGGACGCGTTGGCAAAATCGTCGTCGTACGGCACAGCGTCGACGATAATGTACGGTTCCGTTTGGACGACGCGCAAAATTTTAAACCTATTCGCGCTCGCACGAGCACACACGGAGAGTAAAATCCCGTCCACTGCGACATCGTGCGCTTCGATTTCCATCTTGACGCCTAAACCGGCAATTTTACCGTCGATGCCTCTGTACACCGCGCCAAACGCGTTCGTACCCACAAAGCCGTCTTCCGGGTACCGGTTCGCCCCGGGGACGATATCGAACCGTCTCTCGCCGGATTCGTAATCCGCTATCATTTCAACTTTGCTAAAATCAATCGTTTTCGCGTCTCGACTGCCCCCCCATTCGTGAGAAGTCAAAATCGTTCGATCTTCCTCCGCGTCTTCTGGTTTCAACAGTTTCGAAAAGAGCGTCAACCATCTCGGCTCGAACAAGTTCAATTTCGCTCGGGCTCCTGGAACGACCACGTGTCCGTAAGGAATAATCGGAATCTGAAACTCCCCGGGTAATCTATTCACCGTGCTATTCGTAATCGTCGTCGTCGTCGCGTCCTCCTCCCCAGTCGACTCCGAAGACGAAGACGAAGACGCCTTCGCGCTCGCCTTCAATCGATCCCCGGTTCTCGGATCGATAATCTCGCTCGGTAACTCAAAGAACTCCATCTTCTCTTCTCTCGAAGACGACGACGACGATGCAACGTTCGGGAGTAAAAAACCTTCCAAAAAGACCGCCTGTAACCGTTGTATCGACGTCGATTGTTTCACCGCGAACTGAAACTTCTCGAACCGTTTTTTGTTCATTTTTTTCGTCTCTTCTTTCCTTTCTTTTTTTTCTTGCTGCAACGCGTACTGCGCTTTCGCTCTTTCGTCCGCCTTACGTTCCTCGATAATTTTCGGGTCCTCGCCGAGTAAGTCGTCCAAGGATTGCAACGTCTGCGAGATTTCAGGAGGTGGAGAACTTCCTTTCGTTGTTTCCGTCTTCTTCTTCAAAGCGTCGTCGTCGTTCGTTTTCGTCGTCGTCGTTCCTTCGAAGAGACCAAAAATCGCCTGCGTCGTGGGCGTTCGATGTCCTCGTCTCGAGGATGCGTGCGCCTTCGTCTTACACCTCGACGGAGGAAGGGCAAACGAGGAAGAACGAGAGGAGCACGAGGAAAGCGATTTTGACGACGAGTGATGCATTTTGCTTGGGTGTTGATTCGCGCGCGCAAAGCGAGTTATGTGAGGAAAGATTAGCGCGAGGCACGACGAAAGATATTTCGTTAAAAACGTCGCCAAAGCGAATGGATGATGACGTCAATTGTCAATGATGAAACAAATGAGTGATGATTTGTGTTCTTTTGAATTTTTGCGTAAGCGGTAAAAGCTTCGAGAAGAATATATACGAGAGCACAACGCGGACACGCCCGAGAAGAAGGGAAAGCTTTTACTACATATAAATGCGGCGTTTATTAGTAGTAGTGTTAGTAGTAGTATTCGTAGTATTACGTTTTAGTAGGATTCGTTGTCCAAAGAGCTGGACCAGCCGTCCTCGGCGTCGTCGCGCGAAGCGTCGTCGTCGCCGTCGGGGTCTCCGTCCTCGACGTCCGAGGCTTTTTTGGACGAAGTCTCGAACTGGTCTAAATCGATGCCGGTGTTGTCTTCCGTTGAGGCGCTAGATGTTGGTGATGATGACGTTGTACTATCGTCGGTGGTGGCACTCTTGATGGAGTTGCCGCCCATGAGTTTGTTGTACAAGTCTTCGCCGAAGGATTTGGAGTCTTGGCCGGAATCGGAGGCGGAGGCGAAGTCCTCGGCGAGATCTTGCGCTTCTTCCTCGGGCGTTTTCTCCTTCTGTTGTTCTTCTTCACCTCCTGTTTCTTTTTCTTCTTCGCTACTTTCTTCGGCAGCAGCACTGGTGATTACGGCGGATGGTTGTACCGTCGCGGCAATTTCGTCCTCGATGTTGCTTTCCATCTCGCTTTCCATCGCGCTCGTGTTGCGTTCCTCTTCTTCTCTCGCTTCCTGCTCGTCGTCGCTCTCCTTTTTTACATCAGAACCGGCTTCTTCTTCTTCTCCCTCACTCGCGATTGAGTCGTTCGAAGGCGTACTAATCTTAGCTTCTGGTTGTACCGTCGCCGCGATTTCATCCTCGATGCTGCTCTCCATAGCGCTCGTGTCCATCTTTTCCTCCGCCGTTTCAGGTTGTTCCTCGATTTCTTCCTTCAAATCTTCTTTTTTTATTGACTTTTCCTCCTCCAACTCGTAGTTTCCGTCCTCTTGGCGTTTCAATGCTTCCTCGATTTGTTTGCGTTCGGATTCTTTCCGCGCCTTCTTGAGGTTCTCCTTTTCCGAGGCGGCCTTTTGTTCCGCTTCGATTTCTTCCATTTTTTCCGCTCGAGACTTCCCCGAAATCGCCGCTTCGAGTTCTTCGTTGATGTCAAAACTGTTGCTGGACCCAGCTTCTTCTTCTTCTTCTTCTTCTTCTTCTTTTTCTTCTTTTTCGTCAACCTGTTCTTCTCCTCCAGATTCCGGAGCTTTAGCTTTTTCGTCTGTTTCTTCATTGGTGGTGGCGTCAACGGCCTTCTCCGCGGCTGTTTCTCCCCCGTCCTCCTCCTTCGATGACGCACTCTCTTCTCTCTCTTCGCGTTCTGAATCTTTCTTTGAGGCTTTGCACAATCCAGTCTTTGCCAACCACGGTGCACAGAGTTTCTCGCCAGTCCACACGCCGCCATCGACCCAATCTGAGCTCCCATCTCCGTCCGTGCGTCTGTCGCACATGGCGGATTGAATCTCCGCGTTATTTTGCTTCACGCGATACAATATCTCGTCCAAAAATAATTTCGGCGCTAACGAGCATCGACCCGTATCTTTATCGCACGCATCCCCGGCATCGTTTCGGTCGTTCCAGACGAGTTTCGCTCTCGCGTTCAACATTTTCGAGCGCATCGCTTGCAACGCGTTGGATGAAATTTTAGAAACCGCCTCCGCGACTTCCAACGGGTTCTCCACGAAGATATTTTCCGGCACTTGCAACATGAAAGATTTATAATCCACCGCCCACTTAAATGGGAGAGACTCCGCGATCGAATCAACGACAACGACTGGGATGCAGCCGGCTGCAATCGAGTCGATGACTCTCGTCGACGTCTCAAATCGCGCCTTATCGTACGATCTCGGAATCCAGCAAAACGACGAACGCAAGGAGCCTTCGGCGTAATCTTTGACGTCGTTATCGGAGTTCAACGATTTCGATTTACCCAAGTGGATGTTCTGACCTTCTGCGCTGATTAAGTTTTTCATCGGCGCTTGCATGGTGTCGTGAAGAAACTCCAAGTCGCCGGTGTAAAACATTTCCGGTCGTTCGCGCTCGTAGAAAAAAATATTTTTCAACTTCAGCGATGCTCGAGCAATGTCCGAATTCGCGGTAAAAGGCACGAGCATGGCAATACCGTTCGTCTTGTACGCTTTTTCCCAAATATGCGCCGGCGAAACATCCGTTACAGCTATGAAGACGTTCGAATTCTTCTTGTTATCGCCCACCACGGCGTCGCTGCCGACCTGCGCGTATTCCGGCACTCCAATCTCGTCTTTTTCACGCAAAATAAAACGCTCAGACGGGAACAAAAAGTTCGAAAATGCAACCGCTCTGCTCGCTTGATCTTTTTCCTTGGACATTCTCGAGAACAAGTTTTGCGCCAACACTTTCGAGTTGTCTTTTTGCTCCGACCACCATTTCGCTCGCGATTCTTCGTCCTCGACGTCGTTTTCGTGTAAAAACTTCGCCATGTACGGATTCGCATCCGCGAATGAATCCGTAAACAACACCATATCGGCATCATTGATGTGATTCGCAATCCGCGGATCGTCCTGTAACGCCGGCTTTAACCAATCGATGAACGCATACCTGTACGGCGTCTTGTCTGGAGGAACAAAGAGCAGCTCTTTCGCGTTTACCAACTTCTCCGCGGCGGCTTTTTCGGTGCTCTCTTCGTCTTCGTTTTCGTATTCTCGCACTTCTTTTCTTCCCACGGAGCTTTCTCCGTCTTCTTCGTTTTCACTCGTCGTCTTTGCGGTTGATTCATCGTCATCGGGTGCATCGTTATTATCTTCGTCAGTCGTCGTCGCTGTCGTCGTCGCAGCCTTTTCTCCTTCTACCTCTTCTTCTTCTTCGCTCCCGGTGACGACCAACTGTTGCTGCTGCCTCTCCCCTCTCTCGTCTTCCGACGTGTCCGTCCCACCAACCTCGTTCTCAATTTCCGTCGGACTCGCGATTGCCACCATTTCGTCTTCGTCGTCTTCTTCTTCTTCTTCCTTTTCAGACGGCTCCGAGCTCTCCGCCGCGCTCGCCGAGCTCCTACTCAAAGAGTATTTCAAACTTCGCCTCTTGTACGACGCGTCCAATCTCGTCTCCACGAACGGCGACCACCCGAATAAATCCGTCGCGTAAAACGTCATCGCTTGTGTCTCTCGTTCCACGATATTTTCGCACGATGACGACGACGCCACGTCGCTTGGTTTCACCCCGAGCGTTTGCACGATGAGTCGATTTTCCAAATACGTCTTCAAAGGGTGATTACGACTCACGAATGCGAATGCGCAGAAACAGACGAAGCACGCGATCGATACCGCTTTCATCGTTGGAGCGGCGGTTCTTTTTTGTGTGAATGATGACGATACGGGTGTCATCATTCTTTTACTGCCGCTTTTGAGAAGCAGCGCGACGCGTTCGTCGTCGTTTGCAGTCATTAACGTCGCGGATTCGTGGTGCTCCATCCTCGTATCTCTTCGCCGCGGCTTTTGTGATTTGATGTGTGTATTATATAAATTCACAGAAACAACTCTCAGAAACCAAAACAATCGCACTCTTTTCACGACACAGAAAAATCACCTCTCGCGCTCTGCCCGTCCTCTTCTTTCTCTGTCCGAGAGACTTTTGCTCTCTTTTTGCGCGCGTAAAAAGTAAAGAGCGCTTTGAACGCGCGCAAATGTGTTCGTCGTAATTTGCGGAAATTGGTCTCGTCAAAAAGGCTAGGGTTGAAAACCCTAAATTTTAAAGCGAGTAAAAAAAAAACGAGAAAAAAGACAGACACCACGAAAAGATATCTCGACTCCCTGCGACTACCTCTCTCCACGACTCCTGAAGAAACGAAGAAGAATGGGAAGGATCAAGGAATACTTTCTCGACAAAGGCCTCACCGCGAGAGATATCCCGCTGGCGTTCGCGTGCGTGCTTTCTTTGTTTTCTTCTTTGTTCTCTTTGTTGTCTTCTTCTTCTGAAATATATTCCATCATCGGATGATGATGATGATGATGTTGACGCGCGCTCTGATACCATTTCTCTCTTCTTTAACGTGCGCTGCTTCGACGCGGATAAAACAACGTAAAACAACAATTTACGTAAAAACAGGTTCCACGAAATCTTCTCCATCGCGTTCGCCGCGTCCACGTGGGTCGCCGCGTACGGCATTCAACCGTCAAAAACGCTCTGCCAACCGTTTGCAAACGTACGCGTGATTAAAAACAACGTCCAACCGGTGTTCCTGAAAATGCTGGAAACGTCTTCGAAACCGGCGCGCCGAGCGGTGGAAAGAATACCGATGTTAGCGAAAACCGATCCGACGCGTCTGACGGTTGCGTTAGCGGAGAGTTTGACGCTGAGAGCGTTTATTAAACCAATCACTTTTGGTGGGAAGTTATGGGTGACGTATGAGTTTATGAAGTTTGTCAAGAGGAAGAGCGACGAGGGAACGACGACGGAGAAGACGACGAAGAAGTTAAAGAAGAAGAACAAAGTCGCGAGCGCGAGTCTCTCGCTGCGATAATGTGAATCATCCTCACTAGAAGAACACACTTAGTTATACGTGTACCATGGTAGCTGCGCAATACATATTATTATTATAAATAACCATAATCATCGTCCTCTCTCTCTGAAATTCTCTCTACTGCGCCTCTTCTTCTTTTTCTTCTTCTTCCTTACCGCCGCTACTAGATGACCTACTACTACTTGAACTATTATTTTTCTTCAGAGAGGAGCGGTAACTTAAATAATCCCCCATCGCCTCTTCCTCGTCCACGCTCATCAGCGGACACTCCCCGTCAATCTCGCACTCCTCGACGTCGTTCAACTCCTCCTTCAAAATTTGCCTCGCTAAGTTCTCCCAAACCTTATCGGCCACCATCGCGGATTCGGGTAAAAAATCCAACGCCATTCGAAACAAAACTCGCGTCTTACCCGGTCTAGACGGTAAACACACGTGCACTTGATGCACTCGTCTAGGAATAGAGTCCCCATACATCCTCTGAATATCAATTGAACTGACCAACGCGCTACTCGGAACAAATTTAATCTCGTTCGGTACCGGCCGCCACCCCCATCGCAAAGCCTTGGCGACTTGCGCGCTCACGTCCACCAAATCAAAAATCTTCTCCAAACTCCCCGTCTTTTCCTCGACCAATTTCGCTTTATTCACCGCCCGTTGCGTCAACGTAAACAATCGTTCGGTCAGCACGTCGCACTCGTTTTCAAACTCCAACTCAATCTCCGCGCACGTTAAAAACGGCGTCCCGTTCACGCTCCCTCCACCCGGCGCTCGTAAACTCTTCTCCCCGACGTACAAGTTCGTCGGATGCCTGGGATCCTTTTCATCCGGCACTTCCTCCCCCTCATCCCCGGCCCAAACAAACACCATCCCGTCGTGCTCGACCGTCTTCAACGCGTCCACGTACACGCCTTTCAACACCGTCTTACACGACGGCATCTTCACGCACTCCCCTCTCGTGGTAAACTCCCACCCGTGGTACGCGCACTGAATGTGCCCCTCTTCCACTTGCACCCCGAGCGAGAGCGGACACGCTCTGTGCGCGCATTCGTCTTTCACGCATCCAATTTCGCCTTCTTTCGTTCGAAATAAAACCCACGGCACGTTGAACAAATCAAAAGGGATCATCTGATTAAACTTGACGTTTTTGCTAAACGCGACTGGGAACCAGTTTTTCCGTTCCGACGCAGAGTGCGAAGGCGAGAGGTTGAAATCTTTGCTCCGTTCTCTCCGTCGCTCGTCTTTTCGCCGTTGTTCTCGCATCGTCGTCGCTTCCGCTTTCGTTTCCGTCGTCTGAATCGTCGTCGTCGTCGTATTCTTCTTCCCCCGCTGCTTCACGCGCACGAATCGATCGTTTTTTTTCCAAGATTGGTTCCGCTGCATCCTCTTCCCACGATTTGTTTTTGTCCTGCCGTGCTCAGAGACGAACACCGAGGAGGAAGAGGACGCCAGAGCAGAGGAGGACATGAGACAAAATGCGCCTGCACTATCTATCGGTTTCCCGGTCTTGTCGACGCGCACGAATGAAAAGAAAGAGTAATAGTAGAAAAGAGTAATACGTCTCTGTTCGTGTGAGAAAGTGCAGCTCTTTTTTCCTTCGCTTTTGCCCCAAAAGAAGAGAGATTTTATCCACTTTTTTTCACTCCAAATCCCCTCACTAAATACGAGAGAGAACAGAACGCTCTACTACGAGAGGAGCGGAATGATGACGACGACGATGACAACACCGAAAATGATGACGACGACGACGAGGCAAAACGCGATGTGTGATAACGCGAGCTCCAAATCGCGAACAACGAGAGCGTCGTCGTCGTCGTCGTCGCGAACGAGAGCACTTTTTTTACGACGGGCAAAGTCGACCTGTTCATCCGCAAAGTCGTTACAATCATCATCATCATCGTCCGAGAAGCGTTTTTCCCTTTCCGAAAACAAAAGGAACGACGACGCGCGTGATTTCGACGAAGAGACGAGGAGATGCGCACGGATGGCGACGATTTCAGCGTCGCTCTCTGTGCTTCTCGCCGTTTCCGGGCCGTTCGCTTTCGTCGAACCATCGTCATTATCTTCATCGTCACGTTTGGGTGTAGCCCACGCAGGGTTGAACAAAAAAGGCAACAACAACGCGTACGAGGAGATGATGAAACAGATGGAAGCTGAAAACGCAAAGGCAGGGGGAGGGAGCATGTCCGCGGAATCGCTCTTCAAAGAATCCGGAGGCGCGTGCGGACCAGGGTACGAGATGCGGGTGAAACTAGTCACGGGGGCGGAGTGCGAGTGCGTTGAACCGGAACTCTGCACGCGAGAGGGCGAGATGACCGCCGAGGAACGCTCGTACGGCAAGAAACCAAAACCGAGCGAAAACAGCAACGGGGAAGGAGGAGGAGAATCGAAGAAGGAGATGATGAGTTCCGACGGCGGGATTCAGTTTACGTTTAATAACTGATTTTTGAAGTACACTTTTAGTAGATTTTAAAGAGCGCGGAAATGTGTATTTTATTTTATTTCAACGCGCGCTTGACAGCATCTGCGGCTATTTTCGAGAGCGATTCGATCGAAATCGTCGCCGCGCCTTCGAATGGTCCTTCCGATGAAGAAGGAGTCGTTTTCGTCTTTCCTTTCGTCGTTTTGGCGCGCTTGACACCACCATCACCACCACCGCCGCCGAGAGTTTCGCCGTTTCGAGTAATCTCTGAACACGAATCGACGCGCCATCGCTCGAGCGTCGATCGTCTCTTTGCGCATTTGACGCTCATCGTCGCACCGTCTTCCCAAACGCACACGAAAGTGCCGTCATTTTCCAGAAGGTGTTCATAGTCGTCGGCTTTAATAACCGCAGCGACGTTCGCGCCCGCAACGCGTCGAGTCGTTTTCAAAATTTCCTTCAGATTCTCGATGGAATAAGGCGCGAACAACGCGCTCAGGGACGGTTCGAGATATTTTCGAACGATAAACATCTTTGCAATCTCGCGCATCTCCGGAATTAGCTCAAGAAAGACCAAACCGACATTTTGCGGGTCGTTGGATTCGCTCGCGGATTCCAAGCGCTTTGCGAGTTCGTGCTTAAACGAACCGTAACAGATGATATCGTCGACGTCGTCTCGGTCGATGATGGAATCTGGATAGGCTTGAAACTCGCACTGGACGATACCCTTGTACTTGTTTACCGAAACCACCGCAGAAACAGACGCTAGTTCTTTGCTGTTCTTGTCCACCTCGTCTCGATCAAAGACGATGGAAAATGTCAAAGTCGCATCATCGACTTCAGAAAACGTAACGCCGCCCAAAGAATTAAAAAAATCTTTTTCTCTCTCTTCTCCTCCTCCGTCTTCTTCTTCTTCTTCTTCTTCAATCGCCGTCGCTTTGCGTTTCTTCGACGCCGCCGGTGTCGCTTTTTTCTTCTTTTGAGGACTCTTCTTAGGCGTTGACGTCTCTTTCTGTTTGGAGTTGACTAAAAAGTCTCTGATGGATGTTAACGTCGAAACTGTCGCGGTTTTGCTCGCGAGATCGAGAGCATTGAGGAGTGAAATCGTACCGTTGTCAATATCAATCGGTTCTCTCGTATCTTCGAATGTCTTGAGTGCCGCGGATGGTAGCGTCGCCTTCTCCGCCGATTCGTCCTTCTTATTTTCCTTTTCTTTTTCTTTTTGAACACTGACGACGGAAGCTGTGATTTTGCGCTTATCGACTTCAAACTTCACGTCCAACCGTTTCCTCGCGTTCCAAAGCGTTATCGCGCAACCTGTCACGTCGCCTTTATGTTTCACGATTTCTGCGACCACTTTGCCCCTTTTTGTCCACTCGATTGCGCTATTGCTGCCGCTTTCGTCGCTTTTATCGCTCTTCGCCTCTGCTAAATCTCTCAACATACCCGCTTGCGCAAGCGTTTTTGCGCAAACCAGCCGCGTCACCGCGTCCATCATAGCTTCGTGCGCGCCAAGTATCCCTCTCGCTGGATGTTGTTCCGTCCCGTCGCCTTTTGCGCGCATGGTGGCGTTGAACGTCAAACTTTGAATTTCCTCCTTCGTCGCTTGATAGCTAATGCGTTTCCTCTTTCCATCGTCGTCACTCACCATCATCGATTCCTCACCGCACAAAATTTCCACTCCAGTACACGTCCACAGAACTTCTTTCTCCGTCGGCGCGTCGTCTAAAACTAGCGTCATCTCGTACATGTTCTCTACCCCGCACCGCACCTCTCCCGAGACGACGTCGAAAATGGTAAACTTCACCTTGCCGTCCTCGTCTCCTTCCATGGAGGGAAACCTCTTCAACGCGTGTTTCTCCACAATCAACGCGTGTTTCGCATCCAACGTTTTCCTCCTCGCTAAATCTATTTCCTCTTCTTTGTCTTCTTCTTCCTTCTTCTTCTCTTCTTCTTTCTCCTCCGCGCCGCCGTCCCCGGTCGTATTTTCGCCTTTCTTTGTCTTCTTCATCATAATCTCCTTTTCGCGTTCCTCCTTCCACTTCTGCATCGTCGCGACTTTCCGTATCCCTTCCACGCGATCTAAACAATCAAACCCGCCTCTGCATAAAACGTCAAAACTCGCCGAAACGTCAAACATCGGCGCTCGCGCCCAGAGCAACCTCTGGTGCATTCCGTGCAACGCATCCGCTGCAGTTCGAAACTGTTCCACGTGCTCGTCTAACGCGTTGCACGCGTTCTCCGCCACCAGCGTCGCTTTCGCGTTCTTCGGTGCCCAGGCTATTAAGGCGTGCGCGCGTACGAGGCGTTGCTTCAGCGCGTTTAAGTGATGCACGAGCGCTCGTTTCTTTTCGATCGGTGCGATCGATTTCCCGTCGTTCCTCGATAACGCGTCGAGTACCAGTTCGAATTCGCGATGGGAGGTTTGGCAGACGCGTTCGATGAGTTCTCTGATCGTGATCGTCGGTGCCGTTTGAGGTAAGGATTCCATTTTACTACTGTGTAAAGTTGTTTTGGACCGCGTTGTGAGACTTCCAGAAGACGCGCTCTCTCTGTCTGCGTGTCTGTCGATTCCCTTTGCGCGCTTGCGCGAGAGGTTTCGTCGTTCTGGGGAGTTTTCCCCAACTTGTGCGGCATAAATTCGCATCACGTCTGAGACACTTTTGTCTCTCTCTCTCACGGTTTCCTCGTCGTAGTTTAGAAAAGTTTTGCTTTTTTGGGGTTTAAAGAGAAAGAGAATAAAGAGAGAGAGAGAGGAAAGAGAAAGATACACGCGGAAGAAGAACACGCGCGCGCACTGCGAGTGTACACATAGATGCAGAATTCGAGAATTTCATCATCGAAAGAAATACTCGAGCAAGACTCGGTGGAACTTCTGGAGATTGAACGCGATCGCTTCACCAACGCGGTGGAAAAGTTAGAGGAAAGCATTCGATATTTAGAGAGAGAAAGTTTACGACGAAACGACGAAGGGGAAGAAGGCGTTGTTTCGGAGGAAGATTTGGCAACATACAGAAGCGCGATAAAAGAAAACAAAAAGTTGGTACCGGAGTACCAATCGAAGATTTTGGAGATTAGCGCGAGACTAAAAGAGTTGCAACCTGAGCATCATCAACAGCATCGCAGCAAAGAGCATCATTCTGAGGAGGCGAACGACGAGAAAGAGGAGGAAAATAAGGAGGAAAAAGACGGGAGCAAGTGGTTGTGATCGTCAGTCGGCGAGATGGAAGGGCGGTCGTTCGAGTTGAGCGAGGACGAAAGCAGCGTCGACGGCGGCGAGGAAAACGAGGATGGTCACGGCGACCAACTTTCCGCGCTGAGAAGAGAACCGAGCGTGACGTTTCCCAGAGGCTTCAGCTCTAAGGAGGATTTGGAGATTGGGACGCCAAAGTTAGGGGGGTTGATGTCGAGCGGCGGCGTTTTCGCCAACGCAGACGACGCGACAAACGACGTTGGCGAGGAGGATTTGGAGGACGAATGCGCGAGGCGAAGGTCGATGGATGAGTTTCGCAGACCAGCATCGATATCGTTACCGCGACGTGGTGGATTATCATCGGCATTTAGCGCGATTGATTTGGCATCGAGCACGGAAAAACCGCCGCGAGCGCCAAACGCGCATCGCGTTTCGCAAGAATTTGAAGAGGAGATTGATAGACTGCGAGATAAATTCGACGTGAACGATACGAGCGCATTTTCACCCGCTTTCCATTTTAAAACCGGGGAAGTGATTAACGCAGGAGCGGATTCTCCGCCGGTGGCGTTCTATGCGTACGCTCAATCTCCCGCGTCCACGAGTAGTAAACACGCGGCGTCTGTTTCGCCTCGAGTGCGAGAAGGCACATTTTTAGGCAGCTCACCGAGAAGTTTAGGTACTTCTCCCGGAAGCTTCACTCGAGGTGGCATCATGGGAAGAAGTGGTCCGAAACCGTTACCAACCTCTTCTTCTCCAAACTTTCACGAACCGCTCCGAAGAGAAATCGGGTTCGATGGAGCCGGATTCAAAAACGCTCGCGAGCGCTATTTCGAACAAGTCACGAAATTCCTCTCCGAACGGTTCCAACACGAAGACGATTACGAGAACACCTGGATTAGTTTACGCTCGAAATCCGAACCGAGTTTATTCAAGTTGTGCAAAAAACCTTTGACGATGGGTGAATCCTACCAAGAATTCTTTGTAGACCACGCGGACGTGTTCGAACTCTCCGAGGACGAACGGCACGTTCGCTTGATAAGATAGTTTTAGAAATAGATATTTTTATTCATTTAAAACCGATATTCCTGTCTGTTTTATTCCTGTCTGTTTTACGTAAGTGCTCTTACGCGCGTGGTGATGGCGGTGGTGGTGGTGGCTGTAGTAGTCGTAGTTGCTATATTCGCTATGTGTGAGTTTCCCCTTAAATGATGCCCACCCTTTCCTCTCGTCAATCCTCGCGAAATCACTCCGCGCAAAACTCGTTCATTTTCTCCACAAACGTCTCCAGCGTTTCCGCAAACATCTTCTCCAACACCGGCCTCGTGAACCACGTCTTCACGATCGCCTTCGCCTCTTCCTCGCCACCAGTCGTCTTCGTCGTCCACTCGTACTCCTCCGCTTCGTTCAAGCTGGAAAACTCCTTCAACGAAATCTCGCCCTTCACCGCGCACGCTTTCGTTTCCTCTTCTTCTTTTTCCTCTTCCTCCTCTTCTCCGTCTAATCCGTCCACGTTTTCCTCTTCTTTTTTCTTCTTCTTCTTCGTCTTCACCATGCACTCCACCTCCACCTCGTACTGCATCGTCACTTTCAAATCGAACACGCCAAACTTTTTCCCTTTTTTCCTCGTCGAGACTGAACACTCGCCCTCGACGGATGCGTTCGAGATCGAGAACTTTCGGACGACAACATTCGATTTGTTCCCGAACGTTTCCGAAACCAATCGAAACCATTTCTCCCCGAACGACACGTTCTGTTCAGTATTCAACTGCGATTCGAAATAGTCTTTGCAAAAAGTCATCTTATTCGTCTCTTCCCAGTGCCAACCGTTGATGTTGGTGCCATCAGGGCGGTCGGACACGATCCATCGCGGGTCCTCTTCGCCCAGCTTTGCCATTTCCTCTGGTGTTTTTTTTTCTCTTTTTCTTTGAGGAAACGAAGCGTCGTCGTCTGAATCGTTTGATACTTATAAAGGAGTATTTAGTATATGCGTTACAACAAAAGTATCGAATGTGCATCTCTCTCTCTCTTTCTCTCTAAAAACTAATACGCTAAAGCGTCTCGACTGCCCCACATCATGGACCCTCGTCTTTTTTCGCGAGCGTTGCGGTGTCGTCTTCCCGTGGCGAGGCCCATTAAATTGTTGTAGCTGCCTTTTTCGCGCTTCTCTTTTTCGCGCTGGCGACGGTGGTCGTCGTCTTCTCGCTCCGCGCGACGGTGGACTTCGCTCATGATCATTTCTTTTTGGTCCGGGGAGATGATAGCGTTTGAATTTGCCCACTCTAAGGCGTCGTGCATTTGTAGGATGGACGCGCCTCGACTGTCGACCGTTCGGCGGAGCATGGTGGATTTGTTTTTTAAGCGAATGTCCATTTGGCAAGCGGGTTGTTCCCACGGTTCGCCGTCGATGTGCATGGGGAGTTTTCGCAGACACTCGATGCGAACTTCTCTCGCTTGACAAATGCGGACGGGTTTGTCCACGCCCCAGTTGAGTTGACCCAAGTGTAACGCGCCGTGGACGGTGACGATGTCGATCAAGCCGTCTTGCATGGAGGAGGCGCCAAAATCGCCATCTTTTTCCCACATGCGTACGCCGCCGGCGAAGGAGTTAATGTTCAGGAGGACAATACCTTCGGCTTCTTGCGGGATATCTTGGAGAACACCGTCGGCATAGATTAAGCAATCGCGGTGCAAACCAGCCATGGAATGTTCCAGGAAATCTTTCGCTCCAAAGACGCCGTAGAGGATTTTGTTCGTCGCTTGACTGAAGAAAAGGTTGGGTTTGGAATTTCGAGTTTGGTGGAACCGTAAGGCGGCTTGCGCGTCCACGCCGATACCGAGGTAATTTTGGAAGACAATCTCGGATTGGCCGTTCGGGCCCATGACGAGAGAACCGGTGGATTTGCCATCCGACGCGTGCTCGTCGATGGATTTCGGGACTTGCGGGGAGTTTGGCGGGAGAGATGTTTTGGTTTTGCCGTCCTTATTGTCTCCAGTCGATAATCCTCCAATGGACCCAAACCTCGGCGTCGTCGGTGATCCGGGAGTTTTGTCGCCGCCGCTCTTTTCTCCGTCGCTCTTTCCGCCTCCTCCCGGAGTCGTCGTTCCGCTCACGTTTTTCGGCGTTTGCGGATTGGAAAGCTCCTTCTTCGGTAAGGGCGTCAAAGTCGCCGTCCATCGGTCCAACAACGTCGGGTGCGCTTCCATCACTTGCAACAAAATCTCCGAGATGATTTCCTGGAAACCAAACCCACCACCCCAACCTAACACTCTCGCTAAATCGTTCCCGGTACCCAACGGCAAAATCGCAACCGGCGGTTTTCTAAACGCGGTCGATAATCCTCCTCCTCCACCGCCTAAACTATTATTATTATTATTGTTGTTGTTGTTATTAGTATTTGAAGCAGACGCGTCGGTGTTTCCATTCATGCTACTGTGGTTACTGCCTCCCGAGGCGTTCATCACGGCATCGCTCGCGTGCGCCATTTTCGCGTCTAAATCCTCTTGCGCCAAATCATCCAAAGCTTGCAAAATCCACCCGACCGTCCCGTCTCCGCCGCACACTAAAATCCTCACGTTCGGTACGCTCGCGAATAATTTCAACGCTGGCGCGGGACCAGTCTTGTGCAAATCTACCACTTGCAGCGGGTTCAAGTTCTGTCGCATCGCTTCTAACAGATGCCTCCCCGTCTGTCCTCCAGACCGCGAGTTCACAAACACCAGCAACGGCATCGCGTCTTCCGGCAACAAGTCCACGTCTACGCTTAAAATCGGCGAATACGCGTCCTGGTCGTCCATAAAATACTGCTGAATACCTCCGTTACTCATCCCGCCGTTCTTCCCGCTTTTCTTTCCTTTCTTCTTTATGTACTTTTTAATCTTCCTCGTCACCCGTTTCAGCGGGCTCCGCATCGGCGCTTCCGTCACGCACTCGGGAGGTAATATCAACCGCACGTGCCTCGATTTCTTCAGGAAATGCCACCACCCTTCTCGCTCTCTTCTGTGCTGCGCGAACTGCGCGAGAAACCACCTCCCGCTAATCACCAAGACGAGAATCGACACGAGAATTTGCCACACCTGCTCTTTCGTTTTCGGCGCGTATTGCGAAAACGGAACTCGTTCTACCAGAGACGTGACGTTTAACACCCAACCCGAGAGCAACGGGTCACCTCCGGGTGGTATGTTTTTCTTCAAATCGATCAAAATCGGTCCAGAACTACTGCTTGCTTTCGTGAACACTTTTCGACGCAATCGGTCCATTTCGCTCCGTCCGTTCGTTTCGAATTCAAACGGAGAACGCGAAGAACAAATCCCCTACGTCACGCTTTCTCTCGTCGCTTTTGTGCTACCACCACCACCCGATTGAACGACTCTGTTTAAAAGATCTTTTGTTCTGCGCGCCTCTCTCTCTTTTGCGTTCTCAGTGGTGCGATGCTCTTCGCTTTGAGTCGTCGTCGTCGTTTCGAGAGCGTTCGGTGTTTGTTGTGTGGAGTTTTTTCTCGCTTTTTTACGTTCGTGTCTTTTCTGAGGATGCGTCACAAGGACGCGTTCGTCTCGCGCGCGCTTCCGAAATTGAACACGACAGAGATCGATATTTCTTCGAAAAAGAACGCCGACTTACGAAGAAGAAGAAGAAGAAGAAGAACAATGGGAGGGAAAAAGATATCCGGCGCGCGGAAGAGGAAGAAGAAGAAGGAGAAAGAAGAGGCCGCGAAGGAAGCTGCGGCGGATATGGAGCGGTTGAAGCTCGGGCCGACCAATATATAACCGATATGGACGGGATTGGTGGTGCATCACAAGGATGTGTTTGTATCGCACGTGCTTCCGAAATTGAATACGACGGATCGGTATTTCTTTTCAGAGGTGAATAGAGAGAGTCAAGATGTGCTTAAGTATGCCGGGGTAAACCTATCGGAATTAAGAATTCCTGTTTGGGAATGTACATCCATTTCGACGTTGGAATGGGCGTGGAATAACATGCCCTGGGGAGAGAAAAATAAAAGTGGAAGTGTGATAGATCAAGCCTGGTTTTGTTGGCAAGTAACTACAACGAACAAACTCGAGTTGCTCAAGTGGGCGAGAGAAGTGAAACAGTGCGAGTGGGATGAAGAGACGATTAATCAGGCAGCATTTAAAGGTAATCTCGAGATGTTGAAGTACTGCTTCTCTAACGAGTGCCCGTGTGATGAAGAAGAGTCGTGTAAACTAGCTGCTAAAGGAGGAAACCTCGACTGTCTTCGGTTTCTTTTCGACAAAATGAACCTTTCGCGAGAGACGGAAAAAAAAGCGGCACATCAGGCAGCATACCATGGTCACATGGACATCTTGAAATATTTCGTCGAAGAAAGAAAGATATCTGATGAGAGAAAGGGCGAATGCGTCGGAGGCGCTGCAATGTATGGCCGCCTCGATTGCCTCAAATACTTAGTCGAAGAGGCGAAAGTGCCTCTTAACGACTGGGTAGACATCGCTGGCGCTCGTTACAAAGAGTACCACGAGTGCGTAAACTACTTGCGAGAAAAAGGTTCTCCTGAGCCGACGGATGAACAATACGCTGAATTCGCCGAATTGGTCGAGAATCAGCAACGAGATTCCGAGGAAGAGAACAGCGACTGAGAAGAAATAGATAGACTATATATAGAGAGAGAGAGAGAGAGAGAGAGAGAGAGAGAGAGAGAGAGAGAGAGAGAGAGAGAAAAAAAACACGCATGCAGTCACGCACGCAATAGATGCACAGATATATAAATAGCGAGAAGTCAAAAGCTCCCGACACACTACTATTTTTATCACAAAGCACAACACAGGATGTCCTCAGAAAAAAAAGCAAATCATCGAATTCTTTTTTCTCTCGCTTTCACAACCATTATAACTCTAATTCAGAGACTACGAAGAACCGTAGCACTCATGACGACGACGACGACGACGACGAGGATAGCAGCGATGCCATTCCAACGATGCGCTTCTTCTTCGGCGACGAGCTGTTCGTTTACGTCGTCGTCCTCGTCTGCTTTTTCGGGAAACACAAGAGCGCAATTACAACAGAAATTGTACCGGCGGCTGCCACAAAAGCGGTATTATTCTGCGAGCGTATCCTCCGAACAGCAGCAGCAACAACAACAACAAAAGCAAACGTCGTCGTTTGCAGATTTGGGCGTCCCGAAGCAAATCGTAGATTTACTGCGCAACGCGGGCATCGAGAAGCCGTCGGTGGCGCAATTAGCGGCTTTGCCAGAATTGATTGATTTGAGGAAGCTCGGGGGAGAGGGCGAAGAGGATGCTAAAGCGTGGAGTGTATCTATGCCATCGATTGCGATGCAATCGCACACCGGGTCCGGTAAAACGCTGGCGTATTTGATACCCATATTCTGCGACATCTTGAGAGAAGAAGAGGCAATGGAGAAGATGGATCGAAATCAAAAGAGGCACGTGAACGATGTTCGAGCGATGATTGTGGCGCCGTCGCAAGAGTTGGCGATGCAAATCGTGAGAACAATAGAAACCGTGCTAGGACCGTACGGGAAAGATATTACGCAACAGTTGATTGGAGGCGCAAATGCGAGGCGGCAAGAGGAAGGTTTGAGGAAGAAGAGACCGTTTATTGTCGTTGGAACGCCCGGAAGAATTGCAGAAATGTCTCGCATGGGAGTGTTGAAAACGCACGGCGTGAGCACGCTCGTCATCGACGAGGCGGACGATTTGTTGGCGAGTAACTTTCGACGAGACATGGCAAGGATTAACGAACACTGCGGCAAAGGCGCGAAAGGCGGGAGGAGGACCATCATATGTTCAGCTACTCTGAAGAAAGAGACGATGGATGCGTACGCGTACGTGGCACCTGATTTGAAACTCGTCTTGGCAGATTACGAGATGAATAAACCGGTTGAATCAGCCGACGATGATGATATAAATAAAACAAAAGACGACGGAAAAGAAGGAACAAAAGAAGAAAACATTGACGATGGAAAAGAAGAAGGAGAAGAAGAAGATATCGTCGAAAAAGCTCGAAGAGAAGCGCAAATGAAGAAACAAGTCATGATCAACGCCGAAGAGCAACAAGTGATGAATCGCGGTGCGGTCGCGTTACCACCACACCTTCAACATTTGTTCATCCAGGCCGATCTAAATCGTAAAGTAGACGTGTTGAGAAGAGCCGTTCACGCGATGGACGTGCAGAGATGTCTCATTTTCGTCAACTTTGGACGACGTTCGAAAGATGTCGAAGGCAAATTGTCCGCGCGAGGCATGCCCGTAGCTTCCTTACACGGCGACATGGACAAAATACAACGAGAAAGAGTGCTGAAAAAGTTCAAGTCTGGTGAGGTTCGCGCGTTATTAGTTTCCGATTTAGCGGCGAGAGGTTTAGATATACCAAATTGCGATTGCGTCTTCAACCTGGAGTTACCCACCGACGAAGTCCATTACGTCCACCGCGCCGGACGCACCGGGCGCATGGGCGCTCCAGGTGTGGTCGTTTCCATCAGCGAGCAAAAAGAAAACTTCGTCTTGGATAAATTTGCGCAAAAACTAGGCATTGAAATCGTGAAAGCGTCCCCTGAGCGCGGTCGAATGAACGTCAAAGGTGACAAGGCGACGTTTTGATTGTTTGAAGAAAAGCTTATTGTATATGTGTACCTAGGTAGTTTTAAACTTAATATTATATAATGAGTATAGTAATAATCTGCCGCGTGTCATGTTCTTTGAATGTGTGTGTGTGTGTGTGCGTGTGTTATATCTTACCCACTTCACGATTAATAGTAAACTTGAAACGAATCGTTCGCCGCGTTGAGTCTCTCCTTCATCTTATCCCACCTTCTCTCCGAACTCCCCGTTGTCAACGTGAAAAACTTCCCCTGCGTAATCGTCACCGTCGTCAACGCGTGCCTCTCGTAACTCTTCGTCTTCGAAACAAACTCAAACGAATAATACAAATGACCGTCCTTATCTGTTCTTTCCTTCGCGCTCAACAACTTCCCCAACGCCCCCGGCGCCGACAACGCTTGCTTCACCAGCGTCTCCGCGACTTCTTGCGCGGTGCCAATATCCTTCAACGATTCTCTCTCAGTCGGGTAAATATTTAACGAAATAGACTCTAACGGTTCAATAATATCTTTAAACACCTTCGCCTGCCCATCGACGGAGATTTCTTGCCATCCGACCGGGTAGATGAACTGATATCCGTCTCTCGTTTCTTTGACGACGTTGAAACCGGACAAGGCGTAGGACGGGTTGACGTTTTGGGTCAACGCAAACGCGCCGGCGGCGGTAGATAAAACCGCTTGGCGACGCGAAAAATCAGTGTTGTCCTCTTCGGATGTCGTCGTCGATGATGATGAAGCGCTACTACATTTGATGGAGGATTTTCTCGTTCGTTTGATGGATTGGACCTGATTGGAAAAGACACACATTTTGGTGAGTCAGTTTTTGGCGTTGATGATGATGATGATGATGATGTTAAAAAGAACGAGTTGAAGACGCGCGGCGGGTGTTCTTTCTCGAGCACTAAAACCGGCGACCGAAAAGAGTGTCGCATCATTGTTGCATCATCGAACGCGCGACGACGACAGACGGATAGAATCTCGAAAACTAAAAAGGATATAATTTCTCTCGATCCCGCACGCAGACGACGACAGATGATGATGATGATGATAAACAATCGCGAAACGCGAACAACAAACACGAAAGAAGAAAAATCCCATCATCATCCACCGGACACCCGCGACGAAGTAGACGACGACCAAAACCGAAACTCGAAACGACGATGTGAAAGCGCGTACCTTCTTGGGTGGCGAAACGACCACTTGCGCGCGAGAAGAAGCAAACATTCTTGATGATGTTTGCGTGCTTTGTCTGTGATGTGTCGTTTTTTTATCTCTCTGATGTTGCGCTGCTTTTGAAGTTTAGGGTTTAACACCCTAAGCTTGACCGACCAGAGAATAATTCTAATTCTCTGCACCTGAAGATCGATCGATCGATTCCCCGCTTCACAAAAGAACACACTCCGCGCAAAACGGGAATAACACGCATCACCTCCTAAGAAGAAGAAGAAGAAAAAATGACGATCACGAAAGAGGAAGGCGAAAAATGGGCGAAAGATTTCTTCGCCGCGTTCCAACTCGGTTTCGCGGGGAACAATCACGGGGAAACCTTGAAACCGTTTCTGGCGGAAAAAATGAGCTGGGATTGGAGCGATGGATTCTCGGGAACCGACGAGCCGAGCTCGACGTTGACGGATAAATTCGCACAAACGTGGGGGTTTATGGTTGAGAAAGTTATCGCCCATCCGATCGTTTTGGTGTCCACGACGGACGACCGCATCGAAATGTTCTCGCCGACGTTTGTCATCCAAATTAACGGTGGGCTCCCAGTCTCTTACCCAGTCGGCCAACCGGTCTCGTTCACGATGACGGTCAAGGACGGCAAAGCCACCAATTGGGTCGGACTATGGGATCAGGGAGACGCGGAGATGAACGACGCGATCGCGAAAGTCACCGCGGCTTTGGAAGCCGCAAAGACATCCGATGCTTAGATCAACGACCTTTTGGGTACTCTTTTATTCTTTTTTATTTTATTCTTTCTTCGCAAAAAAACACCTGTGCACCCCTGACCTTGTTAAAGGGCACGTTAAAACTCTGTTGTAAATAAATATTTTATCAATACTGGATGATATCCATACTGTTGTATACCTATCCCGGCGCGCACCGTGTACGGTTTGATCCGGGTAAAACCTTTTGCGGTATATATATATATATATATATATATATATATATATATATATAGGCGTAATAGACACCTTCCAGACAACTTTTTTAGTGAGACAATTTGACTTCCAATGGACATGTAATTTGTATCGGAAAACAAACAAAAGAAGAGGTGACTTCTCGGTCTTTTGTTTTTTTCGCGAGATCTCTTTCGTGACTCTTCTCTTTTCGACTGCACTTTTTAAAAAACTTCTTCAAAGTTGGCGCACGCGAGACACCAACAACAAGAGAGAGAGAGAGAGTAAAAGAGACTGAGTTTAAGAGAGATGCCTCCAAAGCGTTCAAAAAAGACGTCGTCGTCGAATAACGACGACACGAACAACAACACCAGCATGAACAACAACAACAACAAGAAGAGAAAGCTTTTGGACGACGTACACGAGAAGAAGGAGGACGGTGATGATGATGATGATGATGATGATGCCGAGAATCACATCGTGTCACCATCGCGAAAAGGAGGAGATTCGGAACCGGCGTCGATGTTCGACGTGGACGCGGACCGCGAAAAGTTTAAAAAAGGGACGCTGAAACGAGAGGCGTACGAGATGCTCGAAAAGCACTGGCCGGAAATGAAAGATACGAACGAGTTGTGGGAGCAAGGCTTGAGGGAAAAGAGAAGTCTCGGGAAGTCTAAGGCGGTTTTAGCGTCTGGTTTGTCGCACGACGCGGTGTTCGTGAGAGTGCCAGGAGGAGCGAGCGGTTCGACTGCCACGGGGAAGTGGGCGTTGAGATGTTTCGTCGGACAGTCGAGTAAGAAAATGGCGGCGGTAGCGGCCTCGGGGGGAAGCGGTCAAGCGGCGGCGGCGGTGGAAAAGAAGAAGGCGGATGATTCTTCGGATAAACCGAAAGCTTCGGGGACGATCCGATCGGTCGCGCTGAAAGGACCGTCGAGCGGCGAGTTGTTGAGTAAAGTGCAGGTTTTGGTAGCCGGGAACGCGAAGAAGACGCAAAAAGAAGGAAAAGAAGAAGAAGAAGAAGAAGAGGGTGAACCAAACGATGACGACGACGATAGAAAAAAATCCTCCTTGAAACTTGCCTTGAAATCGAACGTCGCGCGTCTCTCTCGAGCGACCAAGGACATCGGCAAAGCAAAAGAACGCGTGGAGCGGTACCAGCAAACGCTTAAACAACTCCAGAAGAAAGAATCGGATTATAACAACCCGGCGAAACGACCAAAAATTGAAAAATTGAAAACGCCCGCCCAGTTCAAGAAAGAAGCTGAATGTCCCAGTTTACCGAAAGAGTTTCTAAAGTTCACCGGAAATAAGAACGACCGACAAGCGTTAACGAAATGGAACAAAGGGAAAGAAAAAGCGGAAGAAGCGATGAAAAGTGCCGTCGACGCGTACGTGGAGAAACGGAGGAAAGAGATGCGCGACCAACAGGCGCTTTTGAAAGTGGATCCGAAAAAGATGAAATCACAAATTAACGCCGCGACGCTACTAGTTGATCGGGCGAAATTGCACCTTCAAGCGTGCGAAGACGTGATCAAAGCGTTGCAAGTCAGGAAACAAATTATTTTAGAGTCGAATATCGACGATTGGGAATATACGAACAAACTGGCTGAGTTCGAGCGACTGTTTTTACACATCGAAAAAACGAAATCAGAAAGCTTGGAAGCGGTTCCGGATCGAGAAAAAATGAGACTACTCGCGAGAGCGGAAGCGGAGGAAGAAAGAGTTCGCCTGAACGAGGAAAAAGTGCGCATAAAGAAAATAAAAGCGGAAGAGTCGGCGCAGGAGAGGGAGAAAGCGAAAGCCGATCGAGAAGCGGCGAAAGAGGAAGAGAAGAGGAAAAGAATTCACGAAGCAAGGTACCCAATCGACGACGACGACTTGAGAGAAGAATTAATAGAAGAATCGAAAGAGAAGGGCATCGAGTTATCAGCATTGCTGCGGCCGTTACCAAAACCGGTGCCGGTGGAGAATGGGCAAGTGTTAGCGGATGAAGGCGCGTTGGCGGAATTTCTGGCCATTTTTAGCGAAGCGTTGACAGCGCCGCCGTTGCGAACATATCTGATGGTTCGCGAGTGTTTAGAAAACGAGAACAAACAACAGCTTTATGTGCTTTATCGCGCGCTATTAAAGGGCGCGTTACACGAAGACGCGACGGGTGTTGGACGAGGGGTGACTCGATTACGCTCCGTCAACGATAATATCGTCTGGGCGCAAGTGATTGTAAAGCTTTTACAGTTGGAAGGCGAACGCGCGCACGGGAAAGCCGCGATGGAGATTGTCCAATCCTTATCGAATGACGGTGCACGCATTGATAAGCTCACGCTTCAACAACACTTGACGCTTTTGCGAGCATTAGCCGATTTAGCACTCGATAGCAGACCGTGTCATGAAGAGTTGGAAGCGCGCGTTCAACAAGCGGACATTTATCGCGCTGAACGCTTCGAAGAGAGAGCGAAACGAAGTAAACAACAAAAAATTCGAGAAGAGAAAGAGAAAGAGAAAAGACGATTGAAACGAGAAGCTGACGCGATGGCAAAGAAGGAGTTACTCGAGAAGCAACGGTTGGCGCGGGAGGCGGGAGAACCGATCCCGGTGAGTCTCGAGGAAGAGGAAGAAGAGGAGGATTTAGACGCCAAATTTGCCTTACCGGAAGAGTTTCAAAAATACACAGGCAGCGAGCTGGATCGATCTGCGTTTGTAAAATGGAAAAAGAATCGCGAAGAAGCTCTGCGCGTCCTCGCCGAACAACGCAGACTGTACGAAGCGGAAAAGTTGAAACAAGAACGCGAACGTAAACGCATCGAAAAAGCGGAGCTAATGAGAGGCGCGGACGGCGACGCCATGCGCGAACGGAAATGGCAGGCGACTTTGGAACGATACCAAGCGGAAGATGACATGGTTCGCGTTCGTGTCCGGGCGCTCGGCCGAGATCGAAGCATGTCCACGTACTGGTTCGGCGTTGGCGGTCGCACGGACGCGGTATACGTCCAATCTTTCGACGGAAAATGGGGCAAATACGACAACCTAGATCAAATCGATGCGTTGAACGTAGCCTTAAACGTGAAAGGTGAGCGCGAAGCCGCGTTGAAACATAGTTTGGCGAAACGCGCGGAAATGATTGAGGACGCGTTCGAACGAATTCGAAAAGTGCGCCTACACGAAGAGAAAGAGAAAGATCGATTACTCGCTTTGCAATTGGAACAAGAGGAAAGAGAAAAATCGGGCGCGCGTCCGATGCGTCAAAAAATCGCAGCACCCTCCGAGGTTGACGAAGCGCCAAAAGAGCTAATTCTATCGCCTGGCTCACAGCGCATGGTTAAAGCGTCCAAAGTAAAAGCGAAGCTGAGCGCGAAAGCCTTAGCTGCACAAAAAGAGTTTTTGGACGCGTACCTCGCGTTTGAGGATTACAGCGCCGTTCTACACGCGAAACAGGTCATCAGACGAGTTTTTGATCAGGTTGCGGAACTTCCAGTGGAATCGATCGCCAACGAAACCATGGAATCGATAACATCCAAGCAGAAAGAGCTTGTAGGTAGCGGGGGGCGCTACATGGACGAATCAAACCTCTCCGAGAAGCTCTTGGATATCGAACAAAAATTGTACGAATTCCAAAACGAGCAATTCGCGCTCGCCGAGGAAGAATCCGATCTCCTCTCGCCTGCACCGCCTGAACTTACGAAGCACAGATTGGAACAATTAGTATTAAAACATACCGACCGTGACATGAGATCCTGGAAAATGGCACGCTCGAAACTCGCTGCAATGCTTCCACAAGAAGTCTTGGACGAAGCCGTCGAAGCTCGACGCCGAGAAATGATTGAAGAACACATGAAAGAAAACGCGGAAGAAAATGAAGACGAAGATGCCGTGCGCGCAAAAATGTTCGAGGATTTTGAAAACGATCGTTTAGAAGAAGATGTAGACGATGCGAGCATCTGGAAACACCCGGGTTATGACAAACGTCGGGACGCCTGGCGCAAAACGCTTCTCGGCGAGAGCGGAACGCCGCTCACCCCAGCCGTCCTCGCGTATTGCGCGAAAGTTTTCAACGATACCATCCAAACCTTCCTCGGCGAAATGCACGAACGCCTAGAACTCCGCGCCGCGCAAGATGAGGGAAACGCGCTCGCAGATCAGAAATGGGCAGAACTGAAATGGAACAAGCGAGCGCGATGTTCAGCCATCACCAAGAGCGGCATGCAGTGCAAACTCCCCGCCATGGAAGGTAAAAGCACGTGCATCAATCACTCCGGCGCCGCGAACTTTGTCGCCCGGGCCGTCGAAGGCGCGAGAGAAGAAGAAGAAGAAGAAGAAGAAGAAGAAGAAGAAGAACGAGAAGAACAGGAGCGCAATGACGACGACGACGACGACGAGCGAGTGCCCGTGCGAATGGATACCGATGCGAATGAAATACAGATGATGTAAATAGGCCGGCAACATTTTTTTTATAACTACAACAACAGTCAAAAGAGTAAAAAAGTCAACTCTCGTTAAATTAAAAATAGAACACGACTCGCCAAAAAAATATCTCGCACATCACTTTTAAAACACAATGAAGCTGGAAACCGCACGAGGTTTCAACGGCAAATGCCTCGACGGCGTCAACGTGTTGTCGCTACCGCCACGCGAGGACGACGATCGCGAGCGTCTTTTACTGGTGCATCCTTTGGGTGGGTCGGTGTGCGTTCGGGAACTTTTTCTCGAAGGTGGTGGAAAAAGTGCAAAAAATACGAACACGACGACGCGCAAAGAAAGGGACGGAGAAGAAGAAGAAACGATTCCCCCGATGTTTTTCTGCGACGATTCCGACGTCCGCGACCAGACGCGCGTCACGTGCGCGACGACGTCGCCGTGCGGAAAATTTATTGCCGCCGGTTCGAGAGTGAACGTCGCGACCAACGTGGCGGTTGTGCGGTTGTGGGAAGTCGCCGGCGAAGGGAGGAGGAGGATTAAGAAGCAAAGCGAGAGTTTAGTAAAGCTGAGCTTACATAAAGGAGAGGTGACGAGTTTGGCGTTTTCACCGTGCTCGAAATTCATCGCGAGTCTAGGAGGTGCGAGCGATAACTATCAGCTCGTGTTGTGGCGATTGGCAGACGGGAAGGCGATGTGCGGACGGAACACGTTCGGAGCAACGACGGTGGCGTTTGTGAACCGAGCGAGTATTAATCCGAGTCTCGTGACCGCGGGCGCGGACGAGAGCGGAGTGGTAATGTGGCAGTTTGATAGCGCGAAGAGGTCGTTTTCGAGCGAGAAGTGTCGATTAGGGCAGATTAGAAGGGACGTGGTGAAGGTCGTGGTGAGTGAAAACGACGACTTTGCATATCTCGGGACGAAAACCGGCGACGTGTTGAAAGTGTCCTTAGAAGGGGATCGGTTGTTTAAGAGGAAGAGCGACTATAAAGTGAGCGGCGGGGTGACGAGTTTGGCGCTAGTGAAAGGCACCGGGAGAACCTTACTTTTAGTAGGCGGTGGTGATGGAAGCGTGAACGTGTTGGACGCGCAGACGCTGGATGAACATCATTTGAAAGGGAGCAAAGGGAACGGGAAGGTGTTTGCAAATGGAAGGATTACTTCGATCGTCGTGCGCGTATCAGAGGAAGAGGAAGAGCTTCTCGACGAAGTAGTTAAGAGTGGCGCTGTTGTTCTAACTGAAGAAGTAAATAAACAGTACCATCGTCGTTCACCCGCGACGGTTCTAAAAGTGCCACCATCGAACGCGACCATCAAACGACGTCAACGCGCGGCAAGAGAAAACGCCGACGCCATCGTAACAACGCATACGGTTTTGGTAGGAACGTCAAAATGCGACGTCGAGTTGTTTCATTTAACCAGAGATGATAACGACATTATGTATGGAACGGGAAAAATCGTGCCTAAAGCGGAGAAACCGTTATCGATCGTTTCAGCTGCTGCTGCTAATACAGAGTCAAACGATGGAAAAGTTTTGATATGCGGCAGCCACGACGCTCCGGTGAACGATATCGCGTTTCCTCGAAACTTCGAGGGACTCTTTGCTACCTGCGCTGGGACGGAAATTCGACTGTGGAAAACGGAAAACTGCGAAGAGTTATCGCGAATTTCCGCCTCTGGAGTTTCATCGACGTGCGAAAACGTCGTCTTTGCTCCAGACGGATTCTCGATCATCTCTGCGTGGAGTGATGGGAACATTCGATTTTACTCGCCAAAGTCGGGAACATTACTTGCCACCATAGAGGATTGCCATCCTGCAGGTGTATCCACCTTAGAAATCTCCAGGGATGGTTCGACTCTCATCTCCGGAGGCACAGATGGTGCCGTGAGAGTGTGGACGCTCCCAGATGGCGGATACACCACCGTTGCGCTGAAAGCGTCGATGAAAGAGCACCGCGCAAAAATAAATAGCGTCAACTTTTCAAACGACGAAAGTATTGCTGCGAGCGCATCCGACGACGGGGCGTGCATTCTTTGGGACATGTCTAAGTGCTCCCGTTTGCGCATGTTGAAATGCTTTAACAACGCGTTCGTCAAGTCTGCCTTATTCCATCCAGCCGATGATTCGATTTTAGTCACCGCGTCTTCAGACAGAAAAATTATTTTTTGGGACGTTCAAACTGGCGAACCTACGCGCGAAGTCGAAGCGAACGAAACGAGCGAAGTGACTTCTTTATCGCTGCACTCCTCAGATGCAACCAACAGTGGTTCAAAAACCCTCCTGTTAGCCATTTCCGGCGGCAGCGCCGACCCGGTCGTAAAAATATTTCGAGACGAAAGAAAAGAAGAAAAAGAAGAAGAAGAAAAAGAAGAACAAGCCGACGAAACCGTCTCGCTTCTCGCTATCGGTCGCGCGCACTCCACGCGCGTCAACAGAGTCAAATTCAGTCGCGACGGCAAGAGAATCGTGAGTTGCGGTCAAGAAGGTGTCTTCGTCTGGCGGATTTGATGTATAGCATCCACCGCGCTTTCGCGCACTTTGATAATAATAAAACGTTTTCCTCCTAAATTTATACATAAACATCGTCAAATCGCGTTTTGGGAGAGAGGCAAAAAATTGACTGTTGCTTCGGCCGGTTTTGCGTTTCTTTCGCGCCTGTTCCTTCCCTCTGACACGTGGGCTTGAAAATCAGACTTCCGACCATCTCAACAAGACAAAAAGAAAAAAAGAGAGAGGCTGCGCAGCCAAAAAAAGCCGCATAAAATTTAGCGTCACACACATACAAAAAACACGCACGAACGTTTAAAATGCAGTCGCTTACGTTTACTAGTCGCACGGTACGTCACTTTTCACGCAATTCTAGTCTCGAAACGTGATGTTCGCGTTCGCGTCGTCTCGCTTTGCGCGTGCAATCGCGCAAATGTAGCTTTTTCGGATTGCTTCTTTTTTTCCGGGTGCCTTGAAATTTGCCCGGCGGCTGGTAAACGGATCGAGTTTTCGGTTTCGCGAAGGATTCAGAGAACACCGAGCGACGTTTTCGCAAACAAACGATATCGGAGGATGCTTTTCTGTCTCTCTTTGGATGGTTGGGGGAGCACGCGTGCTCTTCGCGCGGAAATGGATTTTATCTAAAATTGACGCTCTCCGGGGAGTAAAACCTTAACCTGAGAAGAAAAGAAGGATGTTTCGAAAACAAATCCCCCCGCGTTTTTCTCTTCTTAGAAGCGACGACGATGCTTTTGTCTGTCCTTTCGTGATTTGGTTTACATCGAGCGATCGTAACGCTGACCTCTTTCTCTCTTATATCAACGCGTATGTATTGCATCATCAAACAACAACAACAGGCTTTAGCTGGTTCGACTCGAATGGCTTCGACGTCTTCGCAGACCAAAAAGGTTGTCCGCGGTAGAGGTCAACTTTCGGTCACGAACATGGCCGCGAAAGATTTATACTTCAACGCGCAAGATGGGTTGGCGTTGAAAAAGATGCAAAAAGGGGTCGATAAGCTCTCCCACGTCGTCGGCGTCACCTTAGGTCCGAAAGGGAGAAACGTCGTGTTGGAATCCAAGTTTGGTTCGCCGAAGATTGTCAACGACGGGGTGACCGTGGCGAAGGAAGTTGAATTAGAAGATCCGGTGGAAAACATTGGCGCGAAGTTGGTGAGACAAGCGTCGCAAAAAACGAACGACCAAGCTGGTGACGGTACGACTTCTGCGACTGTATTGTCTGCGGCGATGATTACGGAAGGTATGAAGATTGTCATGGCGGGAACGAACCCGGTCCAATTGACGAGAGGTATGGAAAAGACCGTAACGAGGTTGATTGTTAAATTGAAGGAGTTGTCAAAGGAAGTTGCGGACGAGGAATTGGCGAGCGTTGCTGCGGTTTCTGCTGGGGGTAACTTGGAAGTTGGTGAGATGATTGCCGCGGCAATGGCGAGAGTTGGTCGCAAGGGCGTGATTACGCTCGAAGAAGCGAGATCGGTCGATAACAACCTGATCGTCGTCGAAGGTATGCAATTTGAAAGAGGTTTCATTTCTCCGTACTTCGTCACCGACCAAGAAAGAATGATCTGCGACTACGAGCAATGCAAATTGCTTTTAGTGGACAAGAAAATCTCCTCGGCGAGAGATATGATTAACATTCTCGAAGCGGCGATCAAAGACTCCTTTCCGCTTTTGATCATCGCGGAAGACATTGAACAAGAAGCCATGGCGACCTTGGTCGTGAACAAATTGAGAGGTGCGTTGAAAGTGTGCGCGTTGAAAGCCCCGGGCTTCGGCGAGAGAAAATCGCAGTACTTGGAAGATATTGCCATTTTGACTGGCGGTACTGTTGTCAAGGAAGAGCTCGGCTTATCTTTGGACAAGGTTGGCACGGAAGTTTTGGGTAATGCGGCGAGAGTGACGCTCGGCAAAGAGTCGTGCACAATCGTTGGTGATGGGTCCACAGATTTGGAAGTCAAAGCGAGAGTGAAACAAATTAACCGCTTGATTGAAGTCCAAGAAGCAGAATATGAAAAAGAGAAATTGAGTGAACGTGCGGCGAGACTTTCCGGCGGCGTCGCCATCATCCAGGTTGGCGCGCAAACTGAAACTGAACTCAAGGAGAAAAAGTTGAGAGTTGAAGATGCTTTGAACGCGACGAAAGCCGCGGTCGAGGAAGGCATTGTCATTGGTGGGGGTACAACCTTCTTGAAGCTTGGTCAGTTCGTCGACGGTATCAAGGATGAATTGGACAACGACGAACAGCGATTGGGCGCGGACATCATCAAGAGAGCGTTGTCTTATCCGATGCGATTAGTCGCGTACAACTCTGGCGTCAACGGTTCCGTCACGGTCCAAAAAGTCTTGAGCGAAAATAACCCGGATTACGGTTTCAACGCCGCCACCGGTAAGTTTGAAGACTTGATGAAGTCTGGCATCATCGACCCGACTAAGGTTATCCGATGCTGCTTAGAAAACTCTGTTTCCGTCGCGAAAATCTTCTTGACGTCCGATGTTGTCGTCTGCGAGATTCCGGAAGGCGAAGAAGCGCAGACTGCCGGTGCCGGTGCTCTCGACAACTCCGGTTACGGCATGTAATTCGTTCTCTCCAAGAAAATTCTAGTGAATAAGAGAGAACACGCAGTAGAAAGAGAAAGAGAGAGAGAGAAGATAAAAAACATGACTAGCAGATTTAAATAACTAATAATATCAACTAAATGACTAAATGAAACTAAACAACCTACACATTATCTACCTACCACATCTAGCTAACGCAATCTATCTATTTCGGCTAAAAACGAAGCACTTAAAGGTGCTTCCAACTTTAACATTTTTGAAGCGTCGCTCGGATGCGGCAGCTCGAGCGAACGCGCGTGAAGGAAAAAGGAGGACGATTTTGGTTTCACTACTGTTGAATTCTCGTCTGATTTTCGTATCTTCTTCGGCGTGTATAATGCGTCGTTCACGAGTGGATGTCCGATTGATGACAAATGCACTCTAATCTGGTGCTTCCTTCCCGTTCTCGGCATGACTTCCACGAAACTTGACTCGCCTCTTTCCAATCGTTCTAACACTGCGTATTTTGAATACGCCTCGCGGTTATCCACCGGGAAGTCTATTTCTCCCTCGTCGTCTTCAAAAATCCCACTCGCAATCGCGTTGTACACTTTTTTCGTTTTCCTTCTGTAAAACGCGCTCACTAACTCGCAATGCGTCACATCATTTTTCGCTAAGAGCATCACTCCGCTCGTTAATTTATCCAATCGATGCACCACGCCTCTCGCATCCGCGCCGTTCATCTCGCTCAAAGAAAACGACGGGTCGTCCTTCTTCATCGACATCAAAAAATCCGACACCGACGGCGTCGAGGGATCGCTCGTCGACGGAATCCCGCTCGTTTTACACACAGCAATAACATCCTCGTCTTCGTACACCACGCCCATGGGAAGCAACCCGTCTCGCTCGTATTTATTCGCGTTGATCTTCTTCCTCGCGACTTTCTTGTTCGGGCGTTTGATCAGGTGCCGAGATTTCTGTTCAAAAACGAACCGCTCGACGTCTGCGATATCCTCCCTAGTTTGACGTAACGCCGAAGTGACTAAAGACACCGACACTACATCCACGTCCACGCGCGGAAACTCCTCTCGCCAAATCGAAAACATCTTTTCAACTTCCTCGAATCTTCCGTTTTCCACGAGTGCGGAGAGCGCGATGTTGAACGAACTCTTAGCTTTTCCCATGTTGCGCAGTTTCGGTTCGTTCTTCATCTTCCTCCCGAACGCGTCCGGGTTGTGTCTCGCGATGAGTTTTGCAAAGTCTCGCGCGGAGAGTGTTTTCGCGCACGCGAAAAGGCGAACGTCGTCGTCGTCGGAGACGAACGTTTGCGCAAAGACGCGCTCTTCGAGAGAAGCATCGTCGACAGAAGAAGACGCTTTGTGCATCATCATTCGCTTCATAAAGAAGCATCCTCCATCGCGGTAGGTGTGCTTCGAGAAGACGCGGAGAGAACGCGAGCAAAGCGCTCCGTGCGTCAACATTTGCGCGTCGAAAGTCTGACGTTATTTTGGTAAGTTCGTTACAAAAAATGTTTCATTCAACTAAAAACTAATACTCTTGACTGTTCAATCCGTGCTTCTCCCAGGTGATGTCTCTCCCGATGACATTGGTTTGATGCCCGACTCTTTCTCTGAGCGCGTTCGCTTCGTACGGTCCTACGGAACCGTACGGGTACGGGTACGGTTTCATTCCACCGGCGTCGATGTATTTCAGAAGCGGCGTGAAAATGGTCCAAGCGGCGACGAGTTCGTCTCTTCGGACGAAATGTTGCTGGTCGCCGTTGATGCAGTCTAAAATCAAGCGCTCGTACGCCTCTGGGATGGCGACGCGTTGGTAACGCGTGGTGTATAAGAGTTCCAACTCGCTTTGCGCTAAATTCATATCTAATCCGGGTTCTTTAACGGTCATTTTCATAAAAATAGTCGGGTCCGGCTGTAAACGAACGACGAATTCGTTCCGGGCTTGTTTGCCTTGGACGCGTCGGCTTTCGAATAAATCGCCCGGGACGTCTTTGAATTGCACGCGAATTTCACATTTTGCTTCGTTCAACGCCTTACCGGCTTTAATAATAAACGGAACGCCATCCCAACGTTCGTTTTTGACGTACATGACGCACGTACAAAACGTCGGCGCCATGGAATTTTCGGGCACGCCCGGATCGTCCACGTACGCCGGTTGCCCGTGAGGCCCGGTTGAATATTGACCGACGACCACGTTATCCGTCGATACTGGAGCAATGCACCTTAACACCTTCAACTTCTCGTCCCGAATATCGTCCGGAGACAGCGAACACGGTTTCTCCATCGCCACTAAACACATGATTTGTAACAAGTGATTTTGAATCACGTCGCGTATGATGCCGTAGTCGTCGAAATATCCGCCTCTCCCTTCCGTCCCGAACGGTTCTTTAAATATAATTTGAACGTTCGCAATATTATCTCGATTCCACAAGGGCGAAATAAACCGATTCGCGAATCTCATGACGACTAAATTTTGCACCAACTCCTTCCCTAAGTAATGGTCGATTCTATACAACTGCTCCTCGCTAAACAACGCCGATAAGCTTTGGTTCAACTTTTCGCTACTCTCTAAATCCTTCCCGAACGGTTTCTCCACGACCACTCTCGTCCAGCTTCCTTTCGTGCTCGACATCGCGCTCGCTTTGATTTCCGCGCACACGGACGGATACACCACCGGAGGTAACGCTAAATAAAAAATCCTATTCCCGACCACTCGCTTATACTTCTTATTCTCCGCCGCGGAAGTCGATGGAGTAATAAACGCATTCTCCTTCCAATTCACCTCCACTTCTCTCTCCAACTGTTCGATGACTTCATTCAGACCAGAAAAACACGGCGGACCTTCCTCTATCGACGAATACTCGCCCTGCACATAATCGCAAATCGATAAAAAGTGTTCAATTTTTTCATTCGACGAGTCTTTCAAAAACAGACGGATTTTGCCTTTGAACTCATCCAGTTCAAGTTTCGATCGCGCGTAACCCAATATTTTCGTATTAAACGGCACGTGACCGGCTTTCCACAAAGAAAACAACGCCGGGTACGTTTTCTTCCTCGCTAAATCGCCAGAGGCTCCCAAGACGGTGATGGTGAGGCATTGCGGGTAGCCTTTTAACTTCGCAGACGAAGGCGTTCCCGAAGGATTATTCTTCGCGGAAAAGGAGGAGGAAGAAGGCGAAGAGGTGTTGTTCGGTGGGTCGATCGTGAGGTCCGGTTTCATGTTCAGTCAGTGCTGAAGATTCTCTCTTCTTAATCACTCTTTGAATATCGATGGCTACTAAATAACGAAGACGTTCTTGTTTTATGCAAAGAGAGAGGAGTAAGTTGTAGAAAGTGTGAAGAGTTCGTTTAACAAAACAAAAACAAGAAGAGAAAAGATGTCGAGTAGATGCAGTTTAAAAGTACGGTATTTTAGATAATGTATATTGAAACTGTTATATGTTAATAGTACCACAAGATTAATCGACGGAGAACTTCGCGTCTAAATCTTTATCGCCACCTTTTGGTCGGCCGCCTCGCGCCGGCGTCGCGCCGCTCTTCTTCGTTTCTTTCAACTCCGTGGGTCTAAATCCAGGCTTGAACTGGCCTCTTCCCGTGGCAGCGTCTCGAACGGTCGCGGCTAAACTCTTCATTTCGACGATGTTCTCGGCGACTTTACCGGTGCCACCGCCCCCAAGTTTAGAGGAGTCGAGAGGGGATGCGGAAGAGGACGGACCGGACGCCAAGCGTTGGTTTTCGATGTCGCTCGCGCCGCCCGGCTTTTGGTACCCGGGGACTTTGGTCGCGTCGTGGGTGATTATCATACCGATCGAACTGAAAATAGCGAGCCAAATAACGCTGGCTACAATCGCCCCTAACGCTGCGGCTTGTTTGAAATGTGCGGAGGCAAACGCGGCGGCGGAACCAGTGGTCACCGCCGGTCCGATGTACGCGTGTTGCAACGCGTGCCAATGCAAACGCATGGACTCAAACGTATCGTCTGCGCCTTCCGCCGCCTTCCTCGCCGCGACGACTACGAAAATACCACACGGAACCGAAATGAGCAAGTGCAACGCCAGTAAGCGTCGATCGTGCTTCAACGTTCCGTAAATCCCCGCCGCCGAGGCAATGACTACAAACACGGCTGCGCCTCCCAACGTCTTCGCCGCGTGTTTCCCCGCGATGGGATGTTCCGCGCCTTCCTTCGTAGACAGAAAATCCACGTCAGATGTCTCCACCGCGGCGTAATCCGCCACTTGAAACTTAATCCAATCCACAAAGTCTGTGGACACTCTCCCTTCCGTGTGGTTCACCCCAGTCAACGCCAATCGACACGACACGTCGTGTTGAATTTCGCTGATTTTATTCAATCTCGCGTACTCCACCCACACGCCGTCGGCGTACCACTTACCAACCGGTGCCGGAGGTGAATCAAACTCCGGTGCTGGCGGTTCAATCTCCCCCGGCGCTAGCGGCGCGGGCGGTGGCGAATCGTACAACACCGGTGGTAAGAAAATATCTTCCGGGTACTGCTCCAAAGTCTCCTTCAACGTAATCGCTCTCCACGGGTCCACGCCGTACTCGTGCACGAACCTCGTGTTCAAATCCACCGCGATCGCATCATTCACCCGGTACGTCGACTTCGCCACCGTAAACGACAAAACCGCCAAAACTATGCCAAAAATCCACCCGGCGACGTTCGAAAAACCACCCATTCTTCTCGCCGTATACCTCACCCCCATAATAAAGCTCGCGCTAAACATCGCGATTAAAATAAACACCACGCTCGCCTTCGAGCTATCGTCCACGTGGTTAATCCACGTGATAGCATCGATCGTCGTCAAATTCTTCGCGTTGTCGATCTGCGCCAACGTGGAGATGTTGAAAAACTCAATCTCGTCGCCTTGTCTCGTCACGCCTTCGTCGATGTTCACCTCTTCGCCGTTGAAATACGACTCAACCATCGCCGGCGCGTTCTGTCGGTAAATCTCCAACACGCAAATCGCATACACAAACCCAATCAACGCGAAAAACGTCCACCCGTGATACAAAATAAGCATCAACTTATTCCTGGTATACACCCCGGCTAAACCGTACACGCTCGTAATCAACAATAAAGCGCCTAATACCGTCGCCGCTCTCGCCGGGTCGTCAAACACCGTCGCCTCGTAATCGGACCCTTCGAAAATTTTGTTCAACAAAACCGCTTTTTGTCCACTCCTCGTCCCGTACGCGACTAAAGCGATCCCCGAGCACACGGTCGCGATGTTCGCGCACAGGAGTAAAACGACCGCTAAGAGCATTTCGCGGGTTAAGCCCGGGTGTTCCGGTGCCGCCGTCGGTTGGATCCTCACCGCCATCGTGCTTTTTTAATTCTCTCTCTCTCTCTCAAAAGAAAAAGTACGACGACTCTAAAACGGAGCAAAAGTACTCGACTCAAAAGCGCGACTGACTCCTCGGTGCGTTTCTTATCACGTGTCTGCGTATAGAATTCGCAACTTTAGGTGACGGTATCTGTATTCGTGCGTTAGGTGTTTAATAAAGAGTAGTATTCTGTGACGATTATGAGAAAAGAAAGAATTGCGTAAGTTGATCTCGAAAAATTGTTCTTCGGAGAAAAGACTGCTCAAAAAAAGAGAAAGGCAACCAATTAATTTCTGGTGAAAAAGAGCACTCACGCACGATCAAAGCGGACAGAACGAAGGTCTCTCCGGTCTCTCGCGTTTGTACATTTTTTCGAAGGCGAGAGGAGCAAAACGAGTGCAAATTTTGTAACACGAAACCACGAGACGAGAGGGAAAAGTCTCGATTCGTAGTCACACACACACACATATAAACACACACGCACTTACGCGCGCGCAACACGCGCACTCATTCCGAGTGGCAAAATGGACTCCTTGGGCCAATACACGACGCCGAAGCAAGTTTTGATCAAATCGAAATCGCTCGGCGTTTTGTACTATTTCCTCGTGCTCTTGATTTCATTCTACATCGTCGGGTTCTTGTTGTATAAAGAAAACGGGTACCAAAAATCCGTCCCGGCGGAAGGTGTTTTAGCGATTAAAGTGAAAGGAACAGCCGCGACGAACGAGACGGAAACTGGCGAGAAGAGGGTGTACGATGCGAACGATTTGGTGCAGTATTCGTCGGATGGCGTTTTTGTGGCCACGAGGCTGGTGAAGACGATGCAGGCGAAAGGAACGTGCTTAGGCGTCTCGAAAGACGAAGTGTGCTCGAAAGGGAAGAACACGTGCGTGAAAGGGTCGTACAGTCGAAACGGAAGGCAAACTGGGAAGTGCTTGCCGAGTACCAGCGATCCGAACAGCGCACACTTTTGCGAGATTAAAGGGTGGTGTCCGCCCGAGGCGGAGGAGGACGACGACGTGTTGCCGTTGGAAAACGTGGGCAATTTTACCGTGTTTATACGCATGAACGTGAAATTTCCTGGAATGTATAACGAGAACGGGGAGGAGATGCGATGGGATAACGCGAATGGGACCGAACCTCGGATGGGTTGGAATTTGTTCTCGTTGGAGAACATTACGCAGACGGACGATAAGAATTTTACCGAGATTAGTACGTACGGATCAGATCAAATGTTGAACGTGTATTTTGATTGTAACTTAGACGAAGGCGTGAAAGTGCCAAAGCCGCAAAGCGTGTTGAATGGTGATAACGAAACGTTGGCGACGGTGGCGATCGAGGAAGGTGGCGTGCAGACTTGCTCGCCGGAGATTCCGTTTGTTATTGATCGCGTAGATAACCCGCTGGCTGAACTCTCGAGTGGATACAACACGCGCTGGATATCCGCCGTGAATCACTTTACGACGCCGAACGCGAAGCTGACGAATATGACGAACATGTTTCCCCTGAACCCGCCGTATAACTGTCGATTTGATACGAAAAATCCAGAAACGCGATTGTTGACAAAAGCTTACGGCCCGAGATTGCGCATCCAATTTTCCGGCGTCGGGAGACGATTCGACGTCGTCATGTTGACGCAAACGATCGGTGCTGGCATAGCTTTGTTAGGGATTGCGGTTGTTATCACGGATGCCTTTGCAAAGTACATTCCTGGGTTTAAGAAGCAATCGTACGACGTGTGGAAATTTGAAGAGCACGTGGACGAGGAGGGTGATTTGCTGAAATCGTATTTCGGGGGCGACTCAAAATTCAATAGTCAACAACAACAACAGCAACAACAACAACCAGCACAGCAGCAAAAGATTTCGTATCGGCATAGCAGTAGTAGTAGTAGTAGTAAGTCGCAGCAACAACACCCGAGTATTCCCGGGTACGGAGCAACGACGACGACGATAACGACTTTACCAGCAACGGCGGCGCAACCGTTGGAAGAGAAAGCTCCGAAGAAAACAGGGGGGCTCTTCCGTTCGCGAAGCCTCCTGAGAAAGAGTTGATTGAGTATTAGGTGTTGTTTAACGCATACATCTCTGTATTTATAACAAGTATAGAAAAAAGAAAGGAAAAAAAGAAACTACGCGCCATCCGTATTCATGTGGAAATAGAGCGATTTCGTTTCCTCGGAATCGTTCGCCTCGTTCTCAATCTCCGTCGCCGTTGGTACCGGTTGATTTCTGCCATATTCCCAATTCATGCTCAATCGAACGGACGTCTTGCACGAATACTTGCCCTTCAAAAGTCGCATGCCCATCTCAAGTGCGGCTCGTTCACACTTAGCTTTCAGTTCCAGATTTTGTATACCTTCCATGTCCGCGACGTGTGCTATTCCGATGATGCGTCGAATAATCTTCGCACCCGCGAAACGGTGCGCGTCGTAAATAACTCTACTGATGAACTCCAACTGCGATTGTTGAAAGTGTTTCTCATCCGGCGAATTGAACGATTGGGATGGACGGTTGAGATGTGCGGAAAACACGGAAGGATGCGAGAGACCGCCAAAGTCTTTCTGTCTGCCGTTTGTGCGCCACAATCTGCTAAAGTCGGACACGAACCGAATCAAAACGTCTTTGATCATGCACTGCAAATATTTTTTGTGATTCTCCGAATGTCCTAAACCGTCAGAGGCGTAGTAGGCTAAGTATAAATTTGCGATGAACGCGCCAATATCAAACGCCATAGGCCCGTAAAACGCGAACTCGTGGTCGATGACGTACGTGCTCCTCTCTCCACACATGATACTCCCCGTGTGCAAATCTCCATGCAGGAGCGCTTCGCATTCGTTTATGAATTTCGCTTTGAGTTCGGTAATGGCTACTTTAAGTTCGCCATCGCTTTGTATTTCTCTTACGATATCGTTGAGTTCGTGCGTCCACTTGTTGTTTTCGAAAACGCCGTATGGTTCAGTGAAGATAACTTGCTCGGTGAGCGCGCACATGGCTTCGTTACCGCCAAACGCGATTCGATTCTCGCGGAACTTTTTCGCGCCGAGGCATACGGAGCTCGATTTGAACAACGTCTCCGCTAAGTACTTGCCGACGTGTTCAGCCATTCTCACGTACGTTTTACCTTCGCATAATCCAACTCGTGCGATTTTGTTCGGCGGCTCGATGTATCGCATCGCAATCGTCGACATTTTCGAGTCGTATAAATACACCTCCGGTACGTGCTCGGGACAGAAACCATGCGCCGCGATGAGCGCTTCGGCCTCATATCGCACGCGTTCTTGCGTCAACGGCCACGATTCGCCCACACATCTCACGTATGGTAACCCTTGTTTTAGAACGATGGCTGCATTCGTTTTTTTGTTCATTATTATGTACACAAAATTGATATTCCCGTCGCCAACCTCCTTTGAGACCCAGTCCTCTTTGCTCGCCTTGCCGCCGATGGGAGCGCACACTTTGGGGTAGTACGCGACGTAATCGAGAACAGTACTCAAATTCAACGCGTAAAAACCGTCAACATCAACAGCCGAATCGTCCTTTTCTTTACTCGCATCCATCTCGTCCACCTTCTTTTTCTTTTTCATCGTACCGTCCATGGCCTCAATCTCTTCCACGTGCCTCCCGATATCAAACGCCGCGCCGGTTTGATCCTTCTCGCCTCTTTTATTTTTATACAAACACGTTCGTTCAGTCACGATACCTTCAATCAACCACGCTGGTGTGATGTCAAACGCCGGGTTCCACACGTTTATTCCTTCCGCGGCTACTCGTTCGCCTTTGAACACGCACACCTCCTCCCCCGGCCTTTCTTCGATTTCAATCAACATCCCGCACTTGGTGGACACGTCCAAAGTCGTCGACGGCGCGGCAACGAAGAACGGCACGTCGTGATGTTTCGCCAAAACCGCCAAAGAATACGTCCCAATCTTATTTGCCGTATCTCCGTTCTTTGCTACGCGATCCGCGCCAACGATGATAGCGTCCACCTCGTCCTTCTGCATCAAAAACGCCGCCATGTTGTCGCAGATCAACGTTCCGGGTATATTTTCATACACCAACTCGTACGCCGTCAATCGACTCCCTTGATTATACGGCCTCGTTTCCACCGCATAGCACATCTCCAACCGTCCTTGTTCGTGTAAAGTTCTGACTACCCCGAGCGCGGTCCCGTACCCCGCCGTCGCTAACGAACCGGTGTTGCAACACGTCAACACCTTCAATTTTTTCTTATTACAACACGCTTTCAGCAACGCTTTCGCGCCAATCTCTCCAATCGCTTTGTTGTGTCGAATGTCCGTTTCCAGCATATCTTCGCACCATCGAACAATCATCTCTCTTTTGTTTCCTTTTTCCCCGTTTTCGTCGCCGGAGTTGTTCAGTTCTTCGTGCTCGATCTCTTCGCAATACTTTATGAGAGATTTCACCATGTTCCCCAAGTTCACCGCCGTCGGTCGACTTTTCAACAAATACTCCGCTTTTGTCTTCACGAATTGAAACAACGCCGCATCACCATCCGCAAAACTTGTCTGCTCTAACTCCACCGCAATCGAGAGCGCGGCTGTAATCGCAATCGCCGGCGCTCCGCGGACGTTCATGTTCTTGATGAGCTCGAAACATTTGGAACAGTTTTCCACGGGGAGATGTTCCGTTTTGGATGGCAGTTGAATTTGGTCCAAGACGAATAAAGAACCTCGCGTGTATTTGATGGATTCTAATACCAATTGATTACCACCACCAACACCACCGCTGCTTGCTTTTGTTGTCGTCATTTTCGTGCTTCTCAGCCTTCTTTAACTTCTTTAACTTCTTCTTTGTGATGAATTTAATGAAGATCTGACGAACTTTTCCCCAGAGTGAAAAGAGAGACGACGACGCTCTGATAATACATATGCCAGCAAACACATGGGAAACGCTTTATTCTCGTCTTTGACGACGGTGGCATCATCGCCATCGTCATTTATATCATCTCCTGTTAAAGATGGTAGTACTAGCGATGGGTACGAACAAAAGTACCAGCGTCTCGTTCTCTCCTTGAAGAGAAACCAAAACCGTTTATTCCTCTCCGGAGAAGTCGCGAGAGTGAACGAGGTGACGAGAAACGGACGGGTTTTCACGCGCAATGCGATGGCGAAAGCAATGGAAGCGGTAAAGTTGCCAATGTTTGGACGGTTGGAGCATCCGGAGTGCGACGCGAGCGACGCGGAGTCCGTGGAGAGGTACAGGAGGAGATTTAGGTGTGTTGCGTGTTCGAAGCCAAACGGGGCGAACGAGACGCCGGCGATGACGGATGCGGTGAGTTTGGACGGCATCATGGACCACCAAACCTCGCACGTCGTGCACGATTTGTATTTTAACGGCAGCGCTGTCGTAGTTGTGGTGGAAGTGTTAGAGTGTACGGAAGCGGGAAGGAAAGTGAGAGAGGTGTACGAGAAGGCGGGCGGTCTCGTCGGCGCTTCGATGAGAGCGTGGGGGAGTTCGACGGAGGCCGCGTTAGATGTCGATTCGGGAGGTATAGATGATGGTGGCGCGAGCGGTGGTAATGCGAAGAATATTCGAGCGGTGTGCGAGGAGGGTTTCGAACTCATCACGATTGATTTAGTCGCCAATCCGTCGCACACGTTGGCGTATTTACAACCGCACTTGGGGAACTTGGTAAAATAGGGGATTAGTGATTAGGAGAGCGCGCTGCTCGAGCGAGCGGCATTTAAATAGTAGGACTCATCGTATTTTTACAAACGGCTGTACACGGGTTTTCTCTTCTCGAACCGCGCGTTCATGCTTTCCTTCAAATCGTCCGAAATCAACTGCGCCGCGTTTTTCAAAGCTACGTATTCTAATCCTTTCTCGACGCTTTCAGAGTCTCGAGAGTTTAACAAAGAACGTTTCGTCCCTTGAATAGCTAACGGCGATAAACTCGCCATTCTTTTCGCAACCTCTACACACGCACGTTCTAATTCCTCAGCATCGCTATAGCATTTGGAAACTAACCCAATCTTTTCTGCCTCGTCGCTTTTCACCGTCCTCGCGGTCAGCGCGAGCTCCGTCGCCCTTCCTTGCCCGACGATGCTCGGTAGCCTCTGCAAGGAGCCTATATCAGCGACGATGCCTAACTCAACCTCCTTCACGCTAAAAAAAGCCGTCCGGTCGCACATTCGTATGTCACACGCTGCCGCTATATCCAACCCACCCCCAACGCACGCGCCTTTGATCATGCACACCACCGGTTTCCGGCATCTCTCCACGCTCGATACGCTCGCTTGCAACCGCTTTATGTGCCTCAGCAAATACTCATTACGTCTCCCCAAATCGCGTTCGTTCTCTACATCTCCGAGCGTTTCAAACAAGGATTCTTTACTCGACACGTCTATCCCGGCGCAGAAATGTTTCCCTTCCCCGGTGAGCACGATCGCGTTTACTTCTTCATCCTCGGAAAGCGCGTCAAATACGACAGGTATCTCTCGCCACATTTGCGCGTTGATCGCGTTCAAATACCTGGGTCGGTTTAAAGAGACCACGGCGATTTTCGATTCGCGATCGCATCGAACCGCGACGGTTTCGCATCGATAACACTGGTTGTTGTTGTTTACTTTTGATGTTGTTGTTGTTGTTTGTGTCTGCATATCGTTATTACATGTATGCGAATACTCCTCAAACAAGTGGCAGTAAAAGTTGACAAAACCACACAAAAACGCCTTTTGGGAAAAAGAGAAGAAAAAGAACGTTGACTTTAGAAGAAGAAGAATAAGAATGGGGAAAAAGATGTCCGGCGCGCAGAAGAGGAAGAAGAAGAGGGAGAAAGAAGAGCTCGCCGCGGAAATGGAGCGGTTGAAGCTCGGACCGACGCCGCTTTGGACGGGATTGGTGTTGCATCACAAGGATATTTTTGTATCGCATGTGCTTCCGAAATTGAATAGGACAGATCGGTTTTTCTTTAAGAAGGTGAATAGAGAGAGTTGGGGTGTGCTTGCGTACGCCGGGGTAAACGTATCGAAATTAAATTGGGGTATTTACGAATGTTCATCCATTTCGACGTTGGAGTGGGCGTGGGCGTGGAATTATACGAGATGGGGACAGAAAAATAAAAGTGGAAGAGTGATGGATCAAGCCTGGTTTTGCTCGGTAGTTGCTGGAACGAACAAACTCGAGTTTCTCAAGTGGGCGAGAGAAGTGAAACAGTGCGAGTGGGATGAAAGGACGATTACTGTGGCAGCATGTTATGGTAATCTCGAGATGTTGAAGTACTGCTTCTCTAACGATTGCCCGTATGATGAAGAACAGGCGTGTGGACTAGCAGCTGATAGAGGACACCTCGACTGTCTTCGATTTCTTTTCGACAAAGTAAAACCTTCGCGAAGGACGGAGAAAAACGCAGCATTACTGGCAGCAAGCGATGGTCACATGCACATCTTGAGATATTTTGTTGAAGAAAGAAAGATATCTGATAAGGCAACGATCCTCTGTGTGGCAACCGCTGCAAGGGATGGCCAACTCGATTGTATCAAATACTTAGTCGAAGAGGCGAAAGCGCCTCTTAACGACTGGGAAGACATCGCTTTCGCTCGGTACTACGAGCAACCCGAGTGCGAAAACTACATGCTCGAAAAAGGGTGCCCGGAACCAACGGACGAAGAATACGCTGAATTTGTCGAAAATCGGCAACGAGATTCCGAGGATTAGAACAGCGGCGAATGACAACAACAACAACAACAATAATACGACGAGAAGGAGGAAGTCAGTCCGCACTAAAAAACACAGACATATTTTCTCCATAAAAAGAGGATACGAGATACATTCGTCTCACTCACTCTCGCTTTGTTTGTTCGTCTGTTATAGAATCAGACAGCACGAGCATACCACGACATTAACGTTCTTCTCGTCTTCTTTGCCTTCTTTGTCGTCGCTGCTGCGTAAACAACGACGTGTCGTCTTTTACTACACAACATTAACAATGTCGACGTGTCAAATGATGAGCGCGTCGATGTCGTTCACGTCGTCGAGTAGCCTAAAAAAGAGACCAATAAAGAGGACGACGTATACGAAAACGAACGGAAAACGACAAGGAAGACGCGGTGTCGTTGTTTTCAACGCTTCAAATGGTGCAGGTGGTGGCATGTTTGAATCGTTCGACGGCGAATCCGTCACTCTCGTGAAAGAGGCGATGGACAACGCGAAAAAATTCAACAGCGGTAAAGTGAACACGGAACATCTGTTGTACGCGTGCACGAAGAAGCGAAATTCGACGACGAAAGCGTTACATAAATCCGGCGCGACGGAAGATGCGGTGAAGAAAGCGTTGTGCGATCGCGCGGGCGTGACGGACGTGGACCTCGTCAATCCGTTTAGCGGGTTGAACCAGAAGAAGAAAGCGGACGGGTTGGTACCGTTAGGAGACGATTTGAAAAAGTTATTCGAACGAGTCGCGGGTAAAAACGAGGTGACGATGAAAGAGTTGGTGCTTGGGATGGTGGCGGACGATCAGTGCACCGCTTACGACGTGTTGACGGATCCGAAGTACGAGATTGAAGTTGACGTGCCTTTATTGAGAGATTTCGTAAACGGCGTCGGCGACGAGAAAGAGTTAGTCGGAGCTGGTGGGAAAAAGATCGATAAGAAGAAAGTGAAGAATATATTGGCGCAGTGTTCGGTGGATTTGACCGCGATGGCGAGGAAAGGCGAGTTGGACCCGGTGTTTGGGAGAGACGAGGAGACGAAGAGGGCGGTGAGAATTTTAGTGAGAAGACGGAAATCCAATCCGTGTTTGATTGGCGATCCAGGGGTAGGGAAGACGGCTATCGCGGAAGGGTTAGCGAGTTTGATCGCAGCAGATAGCGATATCGTCCCGAGAAGATTGAAGAATAAACGAGTCTTGTCCTTGAACGTCGGTTTGTTGCTCGCGGATACGAAATACAGAGGCGATTTCGAAGAGCGCTTGCGCTCGGTGTTGGAAGAAGTAAAATCAGCCGGCGATATTATTTTATTCATCGATGAAATACACACGATTGTAGGTGCCGGAGGTACCGGCGATGATGGCGGTTTAGATGCCGGTAACCTCATGAAACCAGCTTTAGCGCGAGGTGAGATCCAAGTCGTCGGCGCGACCACCGTGGACGAGTATCGAAAATACATCGAAAAGGACGCGGCGTTGGAGAGAAGATTTCAACCGGTGCGAGTGGACGAGCCGTCGCCGGAAAACACCTTAAAAATATTAGCTGGTCTGAAAGAAACGTACGAGAAGCACCACGATGTGTTTTTTTCGGACGACGCGATTCAAGCATCCGTGGCGTTGTCCAGTCGGTACATCACCGATCGATTTTTACCGGATAAAGCCATCGATGTTTTAGACGAAGCCGGAGCGTTGGTTCAACTGAGAGATAAAAAGGCGGGCGATGGTGAGCAAGTGCTTCGAGTGTCTGTGTTGGACATTCAAGAAGTCGTTTCGGAATGGACCGGTATTCCCGTGAAACAGTTATCCGTGGAAGAATCGAAGAATTTACTCGGTTTGGAACAAGAGTTGACGAAACGAGTAATTGGTCAAAACGAAGCCGTCGTTTCCGTCGCTCGTGCCGTTCGAAGAGCTCGATCCGGTTTAGCCGACGCGAGCAAACCTGTCGCCTCGGTTATTTTTGCCGGACCAACCGGTGTGGGTAAAACGGAACTCTCCAAGGCGTTAGCGACGGTGTATTTCGGCGCCGAGAAAAATCTCGTCCGCATCGACATGTCTGAATACATGGAAGCCGTGAGTACGTCGCGATTAATCGGGGCGCCGCCTGGGTACGTTGGATATAACGAAGGTGGTCAACTCACCGAAGCCGTTCGACGCAACCCGCACTCGTTAATCTTGCTCGACGAAATTGAGAAAGCGCATCCGGACGTCTTCAATGCGTTGCTTCAAGTTTTAGAAGATGGTCGATTAACAGATGGCAAAGGCCGGACTGTTGATTTTACCAACGCCATGCTCGTTATGACGACCAACATAGCTTCGCGAGAAATATTAGAAAACTTTGCTGGCGCGAAAACACCGCAAGCGAAAATAGATGCCTACGAACGCGTGAAAAAACTCGCGCGCAAAAACCTCGGCAAGCGCTTTCGACCGGAATTTCTCAATCGCTTGGACGAAATCGTCGTGTTCAGACCGCTCGGTGAACTCGAAGTCGCGCAAATCGCCGAAAACATGCTCGAATCGGTCGCTTCTAGATGTGCAAAGAAAGGCGTCGTCATCACGTGCACGGACGCCTTCAAAAAAGCCTTACTTTGCAACGGCTTCTCGCCGAAATACGGCGCCCGACCGATGCGCAGAGCAGTCCAAGCGATGGTTGAAAACCAACTCTCCGAGTGTCTCTTGAGCGGCTTCGCCAACGACGGCGACTCCATTCAGCTCGACTTTGACGACACTCGCGACGAAATCATCGCGGCGAATAAAACCGAAAAGAAAACGTTTCCTTTGGAGCAGTTTGGCGGCATCGAAGACGGTTTCGACGACGACGACGATTCAGACGACGACGCCTACGAAGAAGAAGTTAAAGAAGAAGAAGCCGCAAAGCGAGCGAACGGAAGCGGCAACAGAAACAAAGAATTCTCCGAAGAGTTCCCGACGCCTGCTTTTCCCTAGCGTTCATAATGGTAGTACCTAGGTACTCGTATTGTAGTATGTATAATATAAAAATGTTTAGACAACAACGGAAAAAAGGCAACTTTGTTTCTTCACTTTTACACACACAAAGCTTCTTAAAAATGGGCAGAAGACGAGGCGGCGGTGGAGGTTTCTCCCGCAAGGCCCCGACTGCGCGCGGTTCCGGCGCGCCCCCACCCTCGACGCGACGAACAGAAGGCGGCGGTTCCTTGCTCGGCGGCGTGGCGTCGATGATTGGCCAAGGGATGATGTGGGGAGCCGGATCGGGCATCGGCCACCGAGTGACGGATTCCATCATGGGACCGAGAACGATCGCGTACGAATCCGCGCAAAACAACGCTGAAGAAGGAGCATCGTCGTCCAACGGTGCAGTCGTCGACGCGAGAACGAACCCGTGCGCGGGACCGATGGAGCTTTTCGGGAAATGTCTCGAACAAAACACGGACAACGTGGCGCAGTGCCAAGCGTTCGCGGATTTGTTGACATCGTGTAAAAGAGATCTTTAGATGCGATGACGTGATGATGGATAAAAAGTACGACGATGCAACACACGGGTAATACTTACTGCTGCGCGAAAGAGAGAGAGAGAGAGAGAGACGCTTTACTATCGTTGTAATACCGCGATAATACCACTACACATTCTAAGCTAATTTCCCCCAACGCACATCGTTGTGTATAGTATTACTTGGGTATTTCCGCGGGTATGACCTCCGTGATCACGGCAGCCTCGGGGGATCCTTTCACATATTTCGTCGCTTTAAAGTACACCGCGTCCCGCGCTCGAGCCTTTTATGAAAGAGAGAGAAAATTGTCAGCAAAGAAAGCTTTGACCGGGAAGAGGAAAATGGATCGATCGATTCTCGAGCGGAAAGAGAAAGAAGCGAGAGTAATAACACTATACCTTGGACAAGTGCGGCTCCTTGAGCGCGCCTCGAACGATTTCTGCGCACGCGTTGGCGTACTTCAAGTACGACATCCCGGCGATTCTCCAGTACGCGGCGGAGTTCGCAGCGGCGGACATTTGATCTTCTTCTGTTTGTGTGTTTTGAATGAAGATTTTTTAATGGTTCGTCTCTGTATTAGGTTCTCTGAGGAGGCAAATCCTTCCTTTGTTTTCGCAAAAATACGCGCGGAGAGTAGTAGTACTAGTAGTATTACGCGAACAACAACAACAAGACAACAACAAGGAAACGAGTACGAATGACTCATAAATCTAAACACTTTCGACCTTTTACTGTTTCGTTCAGTCTCTTTATTAGGTTCTCTGAGGAGGGAAATGCTTCGCAAAAATACGCGCGGAGAGTAATAGTAGTAGTATTACGAAGCAACGTTTACTACGAAGGACTAACTAAATCTGAACAACTTGACGGCGCCGTCGCCTCCGGCAGTTAACACGCCTTTATCTAATTTGCACATCGAGCTCAAGCCTACGGCGACGGAGGCGCCGCCGATCCTCGGCGCCATGAACGCGTGCTTGTCGTGCGCTTTCTCCGCGGATTGTAAGAGGCGTCCGTCTGAGAAAGAGTAGACGCGCAAGTCGCCTTTGTCGTCGCCGGAGAGGAGGATTTGGTGTTCCGAGGTTGGAGAAGAGGAGGAGAAGGTGTTGTGGTGGAGTAAAGAGGTGATTTTGGTGGAGTTGGCGGCGGAGCGCCAGAGCGCCGTGGTTGACGTGGACGTCGCAGACGTCGACGAAGAGAGCTTCCGAAGATCGTGCACAACAACTTCGCCATTTCTGTTGCCTGAAGCGAGGAGCGATGGTCCGTTGACCGCGCAATCCAACACGCTCGTAACGCCGCATGTGTCGTATAACACACCACATCTCGACGAGTTTGGTTGTGCGGCATCCCAGAGTAAAATGCCGTTTCCATCCGCCAGCGCTTTTTCCGAACGCATCATACCGCCGGTGACGCCATTGGAGTAGCCTTTGGATTCGCACGCAATCGCGCAAACCAGAGTTGAAACGAAAGCAACTTCCTTTGGTTTAGCGGCAACAAAAGCGGAACTGTTGGAGTTGCTATCAAACACGCACAAGCGAGACGCCATCGTTCGCAGAGAGGAAGAGGAATCGTACAAGGCAACTCGGCCGTCAGTAGTCGCGCACGCCAATCGTTCGCCGTAAGCGTTAAACGAGAGAGCGACGGGAGAGGACGATGAAGTAGAGTGCGAATTGCTTCCATTCGACGTGCTATCTTTCGAACTTTCAAGTTGAAATCGTTTCTTCGTCTCTTCGAATCCGAACCTCCATATTTGTAAGCCTCGATTTGCACTGCCGCACGCAAAAATCGGGAACGATGGGTGCGAAACGACGACTCTCGCGGAAACGTCTGCGGGTGACTCGCTTTCTTTTCCACCGGCAAGACTAAATCGCGGCGAAGAACCGGGAGACGATTGAGAATCTTGACGCGACAACGCCGCCGCGGCAGGTATTACGACGCCGAGCTCGTGGCCCCAATCGTGTAAGTGCGGTGTCTTTGGTGCCGAAGAAGGCGTCTCTGGACGCCTGTGCGCGTCCGGAGATGAAGGTTCTCTATCTGCGACATTAGCAGCGTTGGAGGACGAGGTCATTCGATTCTTTCGTTTTGAATATTTAGGAGCGAACGACACGTTCCAATCTTCGAGCGATACCGACGCTTCTGCCCAAAGATTTTGCTTTTTTGAAAAGCCGAACAGTTCCATCAAGGAGCGCGTAGGTTCTCTAGCTTTACTCTCTGCCGTTGCGCGTCGCATAGCTTCGGCGGCAGATAAAACGCCCGGGGCGCGCTTACTGTCTCCCGATTTCGAGAGTTCCTTCAAATCGACCGTGACTAAACCGCGTCGCACAGCAGCTACAGCCAACTCGGTCGTTTCTCTCGCATTGCAACACAAGTCGACGAATCCATCGCCGCTGAGACGCGCGAGCTCGACCGATTTCTTCAAAACTGGCATCGAGGCATCTCTGTCCGATTTTTTAGAAACAGCGCGTTTCGTAGATGAGGTCTGAATATGCAGTGCAGCAGCACTGGCAATTTTACGTTTCACCGAAGATCGAAAGAAGTCAGCTAATCCATCATTCGCTGTTGCCGAAGAAAATTTTCTATTCGCGTTTGAATTCAAATTGTCTTCATATCGTCGCAACGTCAACGCGCGTCTCGAGAGGCTCTGTTGGAGCATTGACGCATCAACATCGAACGGTGCTCTAGAAAGCATCTCCGTGCACGCTTGCGCGTCGTCCGGGACGTCGCTGTATTTGGCTACGTAACTCCCACTTTCATCGAAAGCGACTAAAAGAGCACTCGCAGCGAGACGCGCCGCCGCACTTTTCGTGACAAACTGAACGCCTTTCTGTTTGAGCGCGTTGAGATGTTGAACGGAAGTTCCTTCTTCATCTGCGTTGCTCTGTTCGATCGGAAGGTATAAAGAACCTTTTTGTGTGAGCGCTTCGTCGTTCGCTGGAGTTGTGGGAACATCGATTCGCTCCGCCGCCGTTGTTGGCGTTGATGTCGTTGTTGCATTGTGATCTAGCTTCCATCCAAACGCGCCATCAAAATCAAACTGACCGGTGTTAACGAGCTGAGAAACTGAACGTCGCAACGGCGAAACCACATCGTTTAGACCAAAATTTTCAACCACGGTCGATGCGAGCTCCATCGCGTGATCAATGCTATCTTTTTGTTTCAACGGAGAAAGGCCTCCGACTTGTTCAAATTCAGGCACGTCGTCCTCGTTATCAATGATTGATTTCAATCCCAAGCTATTCTCGTGACCATCTCTTTTACCGCGAGAATTTGTTAAACGTTCTAATGCTGCTAAAGGCATCCCCGCGAGTTCAAACGCTCGGGAAACGCTCGCGCTTTTAGTTTTCACCGCTTTCTCACACGCCACAAGGACGCGTGGATCAACAACTTTACGTCTTCTCGATGCTATATGCGTCAAGAGATCTAAAGCAGACGCCTTTAAAGCATGACTTTCTTTTTTAGTATCAGCGTTGGTGAAGGTCTCGCCTCCTCCTACAAGTCGCGAAAGCATTGCCACGCTTTTCACGCAATCGCCAGACATCCAATAAAACGCCGCGAGTCGCCATTTTGTATCGAACGAATCGATAGCATCATTTTTGTCTTCGAGAATCTCTTTGCGGATAAATTTGGACACTTCGCTCTCCATCGAATACGAACCATCCTTACCAATCACAGACGACGAGGAAGGACCCGTCGCGCATCTCAAAATAGCTATCGACAAGCTAACGTCATTCAAATGCTTCAAACAAATCTTTGCGGCGTCTTCGTATTGTCCAGCGAGCGCGAAAAACGTCGCAGAGAGCTCATATCGGTGCTTTGAAAGCAACGCGTACGCATTTTTCAACGCCGCTTCTTGGTGTCTCTTCTCGTTGAAATCCCGCGATAAAAACTCAAACAATTTTTGGTCCCGCTTCGCCTTGTATAATCCAGCTAATACTGACGTCCGACCTAAACATACAAAAAGCAACGCGCACGATTCTGGATCTTTCGTTTTTGCAAACGAGGCGCGCGCGGCTTTATCGAGGATAGTTTTCAAGGTAGTTTCGTTTCGAAGCCAAATAGGGACGCCGAGCATGCGCAAGTCCCGCCAAGCAATTTGGGAAGACGAAGACGTGTGAAGGATGGCGTCGATGACAGCGTCACCGGTTTCGCAATGCGCTGCCCAGAGTAACCCTTCTCCAGTTACATCAACATCGGCGTTATCGGTTCCTCTTTGTCGTCCAAAAGTTAACTCGCGAACGCGATGAAGTGCGTGTAAACGCCTCCCGGCTTGATCAACCGTCGCTTCGATACCTACATCACTATCTCTCAAAGCGTCGAGACATCCGAGAACTTCGATTGCTTCTTGCGAGCTCAGTCCAAGGTAATCCGCGTGACGAGAGAATACATCTGCGGCAATTTCTGCTTCGGTCGCACTGAACGAAACCGATGAACCCGGCGCAGTAGCCGTGCTCGTATACGTCGTCATGGACGCCGAATCATCTAAACTATTTGAATTTTGCCGAAACAACGAAGTAGATTCGGATGCTAAACTGTTTTGACGCGAGAGATTTTCCGGAGCAAACATATTTGGACTCGTTTTGTTGGTTGTAAAAGTACTGCTATTACTACCACCACCAAAACCTCCAAACGCGCTCATATCAAATTCTGGAACGAGCGATGGCGTCGGTGCGCTGCTAAACGCTGACACTTTTGAAGCGCCTCTAGGGGAGATGACTTTTCCACGAGGCGTCGACGGCCGATCGTCGGCGTTTGAATTTTCTAGTTCCAATATTGATGAAATTGTGCTGCGCGCAGAGGATGTCAAGTCCGTGGGCATATCGATGTTGTTCACGTTTTCCAGGTGCGAGACAACCTTTCGAATCGCGGCTCTCGCGCGATGCGCCTTCCGGCGCACGATCCAATCGTGTAAGACTGCGGGATGGTAGCACGGTAACGGTGCAGAGATTTCCGCAATTTTACGCGCTAATGATTCGTGACCTTGCACTCCCAGAGATAGTATTTCACCATCGTCGAACGATACGATTATACTTGAACCGTTTGACTTCCACGCCGCTCGAGCGATTGGTTTTTCAAACGCGCGAGAATAAGCAACAGTCCATTCTCCGAGTTTTGAGTTCGGTGCCAGGACGAATACTTTCTGATTAACAGCGACTAAACAAGCCAGAGAACCACCACCGATATCTAACCATTCCGATGTAGGCGTTCCAGATCTCTCGAAACTGTCGCACGGAAAGGTTGCCACGCTCGTTAACTTACCATCGAGCTCGCCAGAGGCGTCGAGCAATTCAATAGAATTCCCGGATACATCAACCACACATGCTCTCGAGCCGCACGTCGAAAGACTCACGACATTTTTCGAGGAACTGACATAGCCGAGCAAATCAAAAATTTGCACTTCAGCATCAAATCGCCAGAAGTTTGTCCGAGTGTTGCCGTCGAAGCATGCGATTATTGGGCCAGAAACTGTACATTTGACAACATCGAATGTACCGCGAGGCGTCTTTGATGCTATAGACATCTCTTTACACTCGTAAAGAGTGGTATCATTTCCACCCTGCCGAGCTTTGATTGAACAGACTTTGACGTTTCCAGAAATTCTCGGGGTGAGAATCAAAACATCGTCGTCACTTAACACGTTTAAACTGTCGTAATTCCAGAACGTACTTGAAGCATGACTCGGAAGCGATATCGAGATCATTTCTGAAACGTTCTCGTCTGTGAATGCGATGCGTGCGAGCGCCCCGTCTTCATCAACGCTACTATTCGAACGACGAAGAAGATATACCACATTCTCATCTAAATTCGACCAGGCGAACGATTCTATATTTTCTATTGTCCCGCCTAAAGAAGTCCAGCTCGCGTTGCCGCTCGACAGCCAAAATTTCAATTTGCCGGAGACATCGAGCGTCCCGATTTTATCCGCCTTGGTATTTGAATCGATTTTCTTCAACGCGTGAGAATGTCCACTCGAAATAGACGTCGAAACTGAAGATGTGGACGTACCGTACGAACGTTCAATGCGTTCGCTGTCGTACGCGATCGCTTCTACGGCGACTCGATTTTGAGATTCAATCAGCGTACACTTCGCCATCACGGAAACGGGGATTTGGTTATAAAATGGCGCACCGAACATAGAAAAACGCCGTCGAACGCGAGTGGCTTTCGCTATTCTATTATTAATATCACCCCGGATGTTCGATAATAACCACGCCGTGGCAAAACCACTTGCATCGACGGTGAGAAGAAAATTTTCGTGCACGTCGAACGATACGAAAGCGTTTTTACCACCGCTTGTTGATTCGTCGTTCGTAACGCACACTTTTAGCGAGGATGTAGTCTTTGACGAAACGAGTTCACTATTATTGTCGCCGTCGGCTTCGTCGCCGTTGGTGGTGCATCTAACGTTCCAAAAACGAACGCAATCGTCGGATGCTAACGTAGCAATTAACGCCCTAGAACGCGAGATATTTTTCTCCTCGTCGACTGCTTCGTCATCCTCCAATACGAGAAAGTCGAGCACGATGCTCCCTTTTGGGTGTGCAATTCTCGCACAAGCAGTACCGAAATACACGAACACGGTCTCCGCAGAACTCGACGCGATCACCGTGTCGCCACAACGTAACTTTGTCGCGTATTGATCATCTTTCAAAACGTCATACGTCAAATCCGACTTCCTTCCCACCCGTAAACTCTTCTGTTCATCTTCGTTCCAAATGTGTTCAACGCGCACGATGCATCGCTGAGATGTCGTTAAAAAACTCGCGTACGCAATCGCAATCTCATCGCAACGTTTATTCCACGCGATATCAGAAACTGTACTCCAATTTCCATTTTTATCGCGCTCGAGCGCAATCGACTCGGTTTCCACCCACGCGTCGTCGGGATGGGGTTCGTCCTCGCTCTCGTCCTCGGACGAACTGAAACCGACCTCTTTCTCCGCATCTTCCTCATCTCCATCCATTCGTGTCGACACTCGGTGATACGTCACTAAAGTAAAACCATCCGTAACCGCAATCGCGTCTCCGTCTTTGTTTATCGCGCATTGAAGAAAAGTCTCCTTTCTGTCACCATCACCACCACAACTCACGAACGCTTTCGGACGCATCGTGACTCTCGACACGTTCTTCTTTCTGCATTGCCCACCAATCGACGACGCCGGCGCGACGACTCGAATAATCTCAAACGAAGTGGCATTTATCCCTCGAACGATGTATGCACATTTTTTTTTCTCGGCCTCCTTTAAACTCGCACGAAGAAAAGCGCCATCCAAGCGACGAGAACTATTCTTCGCCGCATCGTTGTTCGCATCATCAACGTTCCCGCCGGGTAAAGAGAAAAACGTCTCCATCTTTTCCTCCTCCATTTCGCGCGCGAAATGCGCGATTTATTTTTCACCACCCGAAGTCATTTTCGCCGTTCTTTCTTTTCTTCTCTCTTTCTCTCTCTCGCCCACTCTCAAAAGTACTCTTCCTCCGTCTGACTCTGTCTCGAACGATGACGAGACAAACGAGAGAGATGCAACAGAATCTGTGTTTCTTCTCGCTCCTCCTCTCTCTTTGCGAGAAAAAACGTGCGTGAATGAATTCCTGGAATTGAATCAAAACTCTCTTCTTTCGCTTTGAAGCGAACGTTCGTTAAAATTTTAGTTTTTCGTGCGAAAAAAAACAAGCCAATTGCGCGTGTTTTTTGTTCGGTTTCTCCTTTTGAAAAACCTCTCGTCTGTCGTTTTCATCACACAGACTTTCGTCATTTCATTCGCAGCGTTCTTTGTTTTCGAGTCTTTCTCTCTCGCTTTAAGAAGAAGTTAAAGAAGAAGAAGACATAAAAAGAATCTCTAATCGCCCGCTGTTCGAGTACTGCTGCGACTGCTCTTTTAGTATCACATCGTTTTCACCGGAAGAAGAATTCGTGAGTCGATTTTGTCCGATAAGATCTCATCCGGAAAATGTGTACCACGTACCAAATCGCAGTTTTGCTCGCACTCTTATTCATAAGCAGCGGGACAAAAGGAGCGCTCGCGCAAACCAACGATGACTCCAGCGGCGACGCCGTGGCGCCGTTTTTTGGTTTCATGGGCGCCGCGAGCGCGTTGGTGTTTGCAAACATAGGCGCGGCGTACGGGACGGCCAAGTCGGGCGTTGGGATCGCGAGCATGGGGGTGATGCGACCAGAGCTCGTGATGAAATCCGTCATCGCGCCAGTCATGGCGGGCGTTCTCGGCATTTACGGTTTGATCATCGCCGTCATCATCTCCACGAACATCACTCCGACTGGGTACACGTTGTTTCAAGGGTACGCGCACTTGTCCTCCGGCTTAGCGTGCGGCTTGTCTGGCTTAGCCGCGGGGATGGCGATTGGTATTATCGGCGACGCCGGGGTGAGAGCGAACGCGCAGCAACCGAAATTGTTCGTCGGTATGGTTTTGATGTTGATTTTTTGCGAAGCGTTGGCTTTGTACGGTTTAATTATTGGGATTATTTTGTCCACTGCTGGAGCAGCAACGGGCGGGGCGGCGTAATAAAGGAGAGACGGAGAGACGCTCAAACAAACAAAGAGAAACATACACGTAGAAGTTTAATATACATCGGTGACTTATAATTTTATATACATAAAAAATAGGTGGACGAACGACTTCCGGAGCACATCGAAGCTGTGGTAAAGAGAGGCGCGACGATGGTTGTTTTGCACGATCCAAAATCATCTCTTTCTGCGAGAGAGTTTTTTAACTTTGTGCGCGAAAGGAAAAACGTTTCATTTCCTAACAGCACCCGGGCTCGGCTTTCAACAACATCGGCGTATCGTCCCTGAGCCCGGCCCGGGTTTTGAAACCATCGCATCCCTGCGCTCCAAAGCACCCGTATCCTTTCTCGTGCTCTTCTAATCTCACGTACTGACACGCGAGCTCCCCGTGTTTACCTCTCGTCACCACGCTCGGCCCGATCATCTCGCACGAAAACATCGTACAAAACGACCACGGTAACGGTATCCCGAGCCAACACCAGATGGTCCATAAACACGAATCCGACCCGCAACACGGCACGTTATACACGCACACCGGACACACGGCACAACACATGTCACAAAACCTATTTTGCCCGCTCGATCGGCATCGATACATGCCTCCGTACGGTCGCATGTTCCTTATCGGCGTCTTGAAACTTTCGCAGTTTTGTATCGCCTCGCCGAGATTCAGAATGTCGTCGAACCCGGTTTTTGGAGATTTGTGTGAGTACACCGGTTCCATTCGCGTGTCGTTTCCGTCTTTTGATTGTTGCGCACCCCCACCCCCGTGGTAGTACGCGTACGTGTTTTTGTCGATGTAACTGTCTGACATTTTTAAACAACAACGCGTGTGTATATGTGATGGTGCGTGCGGGAGTAGTATTATTACTATGGAGCACACGAGCAAGGTTGCCTCCAGGAATATTCACTTTCCGAACGAAAATCGCGACCGAGGGAACGTTCACAAACAACCAACCAATTAATTCACCAAAAAATTCAAAAATCCATCTCTCTCGTACTCCCTTATTACGTATCGGTTGAATACTCGTTACACGAAACTATGAGCAGCAGCAGCAGCAGCAGCAGCAGCAGCGAAGACGACGACGAGGATTTATTCTACGCGCCGAGCTATAACCGAAAACGAGAAGAGGAGAAGAAGAATAACGCGTTAGGTACGACGAGTAATAACGGTACGAATAAACGGAAAGTGGAGGAGGAAGAGGAGGAGGAGGAGAGGAAGAGAACTCGAGCTTTGATTTCAGATTCGGATGATGATGATGATGATGATGAAACGGACGACGAAAAGGACGACGACGACGAAGAAGAAGAGGAAAAAGAAGAAGAGAAACCGACGAGTAATAATGCGTTGGTGTCGGAATCATCAGATTCGGACGCGCCGCCTTCGTCGACTCTCGCGAGGAGAGACAGAGCGCACTATAACGACGAGAAGATGCGAGAGGCCTCGGCGCTGATGCGAGAGCTGACGAAGAAAACAGACGCGAGGGTCTTCGAGGACGAGAACGACGGAGATGAACAACGTAACGGCGTCGCTGCTTCTGATGATAATGTTGGAGCGTTAGGTGCGAACGGGGCTGAGGATGATGAAGATGAGGACGATGTGCGATACGAACCGATCCAGTTGGTGTTTGCGTTTAGCAATACGAAGAAAGTCGAGTTCGAGACGTCGAAGAGATACACTTTCGAACGGATATGGAAGGATTTTGTGGACGAACATCATCCGGAAGGAGACGTCGCGAAGGCGAAGTTCACGTTCGACGGTGATAGGATTAAAGTTAGCGAAGATACGCCGGAGACGTTAGACATGGACGATGAAGACGTCGTCGACGTTCTCCTGTGAATTTAGATTGAAGATAGAGATTGTTGTAGTGTAATATCGTGTACCGCCGCTTGCTATGTATGAAAAGAATTAAGAATAAATGCCTACTAGTTATTGCTCTTCCCAAACACGTTTTCTGTTTTGTTTTCTCTCGTGCCTTTCAAAAACGACTTCGCTTCTTCCGACAAAGCTGGCGCGATTTCCCACCCGTCGCGTTCGCACTTCTTCCCGGCGTGTCTCAAAATAAAGTTGAACGCAAACAACATCGCAAACGCGGCGTACAAACTGGCCGTCATCCCCGGTCTCGTCCCTAAAGATTGGTAATGCCTCGCCGCAAAGAACATGCACACGGTACTGACTAAGTTTGTAACCACGGCTAACCCGGCGACTCCCCAATATCCCATGTCTCTCTCGTGTTGCTCTTTCGTTTTGCGCCTAAAGACAAACCGAGAACCGCGCCCGCCTAAACCTAACCGCACGCGATCATCGATGTACGTCGTCGCTAAGGTCACCTCTGATTTTGGCCCAATAGGTAAGGCTGGCAAACCAAAAATTCTAAACGTTGGCGAACCGAATTGCGCTCGAACCGTTTTCCCGTCGTTATCGTGCGCTTTCGATTGCTCAAACGTGCCTCTCAATTTCACCTCCCCTGGAATACAACCGAACAACTCAAACGCGACTCTGTTCTCCACAAAGTTCGGTTCCACTAAATTTTGCTCCAACCCTTCCGTTTTAAAAATGAGTCTCCCAAGTTTCGATCGAAACGCCCCTCCGGCTGGCGCGCCGTCTTGCTTCGACCCGGCTTTCGTGTACGCGACGTCGTAGTAGCCAAAAATTTTCGGGTTCGATAACGGTTTGATCTGGGAGACGAGCTCTAACTGTTTGATATTTTCAAAGGTTTGCTCGTCTTTTTCCGCGGACATGGCGCCGCCGAATGCTGTTTAATAATAGTGAGAAAGAGAGAAAAAGTGTGTCAGTTTGTTGCTCGCATCAAACCAAAAACTCGCGACGATGGATGGATTAGGGGAAATGCCAACATTATTCGCGTTCTCGAAAGCGCGCACCTCCATCGTCCACGTTTTCTAAGATTTCAGCCACCAGTCTCTCCCGTTCCTCGGACGAGGAAGAGGACGTAGAATCTTTGTTGTTGCTGCTAAGCCCTAGTACAGGCGTGTCATCCGCAATCGCTCGATTTTGCGAGTGTTCACCTCGCGCCTGTTTTTGGTTGTTTGGAGAGGAACAAAAACGTTTTTTTTGTGAGTTTATTTTTAGGTGATTTGTTGCACTCGAGGCAATCTGCCCCCGAGAGGAGAGAACGCCGCGCGAGAGCGCGCTCGCGACAAAAAAGAAGCTTTTACGCGTTGTTTGTGCCGCGATGTTGGTGCATAATACGTACCTTGCGAATAGATGATGCACTTTTCCTTGCAAAGAGAAGGTGCGATTGGTGAGCGTTTTTGCGCGTCGTCGATGACGACGACGACAAACAACGAAACGACGACGACGGTTTGTTGTTGTTCTTCTTCTTCGTTGACGATGACGAGAGAGATACGAACGGATGATGCGCGCCGTTGGCGAGGAAGGATGACGCAGAGAACATGCGAGCAATTATACAGTAGCAAAAGTGTTTGTTGCTCTTTTTGCAAGTTGGGAGTGCGCGTGTCTCGTGCGTGGAAATGAAGAGACTTTTGAGCAAAAAGAGGAGTTGAGTTGACTTTTTGATGTGATTTGATGTGAGAATAAATATAAAAATGTTAACTGCTAATACGGTTTCGTATCTTTTCTTTCCATCTCCTCGGTAACTTTTACGAATCGCAAACTCCTTTTCAGACGAGTCGTCAATCGATATAAACAACAACGGTCATCACTCTTCTCAGGCGGAGAGATTCGAGGGGGCATCTTTTTCTTGTTCTTCTGCTTCTTCTTTCGTATCGCGCCAGCGCGCCAGATTTTCTTTCTACTTGGTCAACGTCCAGACGCACCAGTCGTCGCCGAACGCTTCAACTTTCCATCCGTCACCTTTGGGTTCCCAGTGTTCGCGACCTAACTTCACGGCGACTTTATCGTCGATCTTAGCGGCGTATAAGTTATCCTTGGCGTGTTCTATTTTCAAGACGGATCGAGCGTGGATTTTCATCTTGTCGCGGACGTCGAGTAAAGAGTCGATTTGTTTGCGCAAGTTGTCGCCCCAATCGAAGTAATGGTCCCAGAAGACGCACGGGGTACCCGGGTGGGTCAAAATATACGCGTAACCTTGACCGGCTTGCTTACCGGGGAATGGCCAGTGCGCTTGAGTACTTCCCGTGTCGTGGTTGTCCAAGAAGGTTACCGCTCGAGCGGGCCATATACCGATAACGCCCGGAGCGCGACCTTGTGCGTCGATGAGACGCCAGAATTCGCCGCGCCCGCATGCTTCTTGTAAGATGCCTTTGGTCGTGAAATCAAACGCGGTGCAACACCCGCCGGTTTGATCGACCCAATCAACGATGGCTTGCCTGTGCGAGTCTTGGTTGTATTCTAATCCGACGCCGTAGTTCATGGTATCCCAAAACTCCCCAACGGCAAATTCGACATTATCTTCACAAGCCCGGACGTATTCGCCTGTAAACGAACCGCCGTAACCTTTGGAGAAATCAAATCTAATACCACCGAAACCAACCTCGTCGGAGGTCAAGTATTTCATGTATTCGCATAAATCTTGGCGAACCTTGTCTTGAGTGTGGTCGATATTCGGCGCGCCGTGGAAAACGTCGCCGGTTGGAGCGTTCCCAGAGCCGGCAAAGTCCGGTTGCTCGTTGGAAATAGCCCAATCTCCCCAGTCAATACCAGTGCCCTCCCATCGGTTCCACTTTCCGCCGGCACCTTGGTGCGTCGCACACCGATGGTTCAACACGGCGTCCAAGACTGGCAAGATGTTGTTTTCTTTCATCTTGCGAGTCAAAGATTTGAGTTTCTCGGCGGATCCGTAGTGAGAGTCGAGCTTGTATAAGTTCCTTGGTAAATAACCCTGCGGTGCGAGCGAGTCCGCAGACGGAGGGAGCCAAACTTGCGTGAACCCGGCGTCTCTGATTTGCTCCACGCGGTCGCTGACGATGTCGTACCATTCAGACTTGTGTGACTCCCAGTGGAAGCCTTGCAACATAACCTCACGACCGGTCGCGATGCGTTTCGGAATACCAGTTTCGAATATCTGTCCATCGATGAAGTCGTCCTCTTTTTCAACCTCCGGTGCCGGAGTGACTGGTGGAGCTATGGGAATGACAACGTCTGGCACGGCGGGCGCCGCGAAGAGATTCTCGAGCTGTTGTTTCTTCTCTTCCACAACTTCTTCGACAATTTCTTGTTCCTGTTCCTGCTCTTTTGCTACGTCCAACTCCTCTAATGTATCCACTTCAGTGTATGCGGACGAGGTGGGAATAATGACCTCTTCTTTTTCTTCTTCTCGTATAATTTCTTCTTCTTCTTCTTCAACTACCACGGGAGCCGGAGCGGCTCGCAAGCTCGCCTCCAATCGATCAATGTGCGCTTGTAAACGCTCGATTTCAGCACCGGCACCAGATTGGACGTCCAAAAGAGAATGTTCCAGCGCGTCCAACTTTGCAAACGCAATATCGGCGCGAGTGTCGCTTTCTCGGTCCTCTTTTAATTGTCTCGACGTCGCTTCCAATTGTTCGTTCAATTGGGCTTCAAATGCTTGTAACTTTGCAGTCACGTCGTTCTTCACGCTCGACAAAGCCATCGTAACTTGACCAATCGTATCGAGCTCGTCCAAATTCGAGCCGGCATCTTTCATCGCTAATTCAATTCTCTCGACATCGACGGCGAGTTGCTTGAATTTGCGCTCCGCCGCCACCTCGAGATTTTCAAATTTATCCTGCAAAGACTTGTTGACGAAGGATTCCAACTCGTCGATTCGACTGACTAAACTTTCCATTTTCGTCCCTTCGTTAACTTGCATCGAATTCAACTTCTCTTGTATTTCTTTGATGCGTTGCTCGTGCGAATCAGCCACGAAAGAGGCTTGACGAGCAATTCTCGAAACCTCCAAGAGTTCAGATTTTTGTCTCGCAAACGCCTCTTGTGCTTTGTGCTTTTCCGCGCGCTCGCTCTCGGCAATCCGACGAGCCTCCTGTATTGACGCTTCCAGCTCGCGCTCTTTAATCGCTCGTGCTGAGAACTCACTCGGTGCGAACAAGTTTGGAACTTTGCTCGGGATTTCGCGGAGGAAGTCCAAGCCTTGGACATACAGAGGCCCTCGATTGTGTTCGTCCATCGCGTCCCCCGGGTTGTTGTTGTTGCTGCTGCTGCTGCTGCTGCTACTGGTGCTGCTATTGTTACCATTTCTGTCGTTCTTATTCCCATACTCGCCAAAGCCGTCGTTCGCGTATCCCGGTCTCTCGAGCGTTTGCGTGCGAGCTTTCGCTCGAATTGGTTCCAAGGCGGCGTCTCGGGAGCCTATTTTTGTGTTTCTCTTTTGCGCCGGCGCATCGCCGCTACTGTTGTTATACTGCGCAAACGCCTGACTCGCGTTCCGTCGAGTAATTTCTTTTCGAAGTGCGTTCATCTCTTTCACACTCATCGAAGCCGACGCGTTCGTATTCATATGAGCAAACGCCGGCGAAGGCGGCACGTTTGACCCAGGCGCGTTCGCCGGCGGCACAAAGTTGGACGACGACGAGGAAGCAGAAGCTCCGTGGTATTCTTGCAACATGCGCGAAGTACGTCCAGTTTGCCAGTACGGAACTGTACCACCGTTACCACTGTCTCGTTGCGGAGACGACGAGGAAGAAGATGCATACGCCACACCTCGTTCGAAAGGTTGTTGCTGTTCCTGTTGCCGCTGTCCTCGTCCTCCTCCTTGCTTAAATGCGCGTTGGATTCGACCGCCGTTACCCCCGCTACCCCCGCCGCCAAAAAAGTTCAACTTTGGTAACAAACCTTCGTCGTTTGGTGTTTCGTTCCATCTTCTCTGGTGTTCTTTCGATTTTTGCCGACCGACGGGTTGCAAATAATCTTCAAAAAGATCATTCGTGAACGACACCGCGCTCGCCACGCCCAACCCCCAGACCAATCCGGTCAAAATATCTCCAGAAAGCCCAGGCTGTACGAACCGCTGCAACGCGTCACTACCGTCTCTGATCAAATCACGCGAATCCTCCACGCTCGTGTAATACATTTGCGCGTTTTCCAACGCCCTCTTCCCTCTCGCCGTCGGAGGCGCCAACGCTCGCTCGCCGGCGTTTCTGTCGTTAAAGTTGCGCACGCGTTGGCTTTTTTGCGCGCCTCCTTGAAACACCAATCTTTCCAGTTCAGTCCATTCGCCGGTGACGGGTAAACCGAACTGTTGCTGAAGCGTCGCGATCGCCTCGGTCGTTTGGCCGTTGAAGTGTCTGTTGTTTTGTTATCGTCAAAGGTGGTAAAAAGAGAGATTCGTCAGTATTTTTGGCACCAACACACAGGAGGGGCTCAAAAATCAGTTTTTCGGCCGTTGGGAAAAAGAAGAAAAAGAAAGATATCTCAACTAAACTCTTTGACGTACCCGTTCGCGTGTTTCTGATCCAACAGCCCTTCCTCGACGAGATCTTTCTGCAAAAGCTCGACGTCGAAGCCTTCGTCGCCTTCGAATAAATCTCTGCTCGACGACGACGACGAGATCATCCTCCTCCTCCCCGCGTTCTTCGGTCGTCGCGACGACGACGATGATTTTTTCACGGCGGTTCGATGCAGAGGCCTCATCCCGGAAACGAATGCGCTCCTCCTCGAGAATGCCGCCTTCGTTCCTCCTCCTCCTCCTGGAACGTGCACCGAAACCCGACGCGAAGATAACATCGCGGACATTTTCTCTCTCGATCTTCTCTCGGCTCCAAAGCCAAAGCTGTTCGTGAAGAAAGAGATTTGTGATTTTTGTGCGGAGAAGTCTGATAAAATTTTGAAAGCAACGGCTTTTTTTTTCTTTCTTTCGTTTTTCGAGGAAAATTTTCTCTTTTGCTTTTTTCAGTCCGAGGAAAAAAGCAGCCAATTAATTTCTCTCTTCTGTTTTTTTTTCAAGCGCGACGATTTATACTCACACGCGCTTTGCGGCATTCCAGCAAAACACTACTGTAAAAGCTTTTTGCGTGCGCGAGAAAGAGAGATACAGAGAGAAATGCGTAGGATGCTCTGAAGACGACGACGACGAAAATGCGTTTTTTCCTTTTTCTTCTTTCCTTTCTCTGCTTTCTCTTCTCCTTGACGACGATGGGTTTGACGACGGAGGCGAGGAGGACGACGATGGAATTTCCCTCTTCTCATGTGTCCGTGCCGTTCGCGTCTCGGTCGGGAACGACCGCACCGGAAGAAGACAATAAAAGCGAGGCGTTTTGCTCTCCGAGCGGTGTTTTGTCGACCCCGAGAATGAATAAAGCGGCGTCGAAAGTTTTCGTCGACGGGATGCCGGAGAGGATGTTGCCGAAACCGTCGCAGATTTTTAAGACCGTCGATGTGGTGGAGGACGGACACACGTCTTCTTCTTCTTCGAAAGGCGTGCCGGAACGCATAGCGAGACGAGTGAAATTCAAAAGATGCGCGGTCGTGGGGAACGGCGGGATATTAAAGTCCGCGGAGTTTGGTCAGGCGATCGACGCGCACGACGTGGTGTTCCGACAAAACCAAGCGCCGACGGCGACGTACGAACTCTTCGTCGGAGAGAAGACGACGTTTCGCGTGCTCAATAAGAAGTGGACGCAACAGTACTCGAGAGGTGATAAGGAGTATTTACCGTTGGAGAAAGACGTGTATTTGATCGCCTCGAGAGGGATCGATAAGATTGCGAGGAATTTAGTGAAAGCGTATCCGAGAAGACCGGACGTGCGCGTGGTCGGTTTAGAGAGCGCGGTGAGAGGCGCGGTTGGGAAACTCATGCGAGAGTTTAAATCGAAAGCGGATAAGTGCTTAGCGAAAGGGTTTAAACCAAAAGGTGGGAACACGCCGAGTTCGGGGATTATATCCACCGTGTTGGCGATGAGCTTATGCGACGAGGTGAATTTGTACGGGTTCGGTGTGGACGATAGAAATGTCGGGAGAGGATGGAGAAACCAACTCCCTTCGGCGTTGCCGCCGGAGGCGAAGTATCAGTATTACGTGTTGAGAGGCACGGAACGGAGTGGTGTGGACGCGGTGCATTCCATGGAGTTAGAACACGCCATATTGGACGGGTTAGTCGGAGCTGGGTACATCAACCGGTGCGGTGCCGGGAAAGAGACGTGCGGGTTAAATCCGAGGAAGAAAATTGGACGGTTAGGCAATAGGAAAGACTTGTTGAAGGCGGAAAGCATGTTCAACGCGAGAGAAATCATGATGCGAGAAAGAGCGAGCAAAGGTAAAGAGGAAAAAGAGGAGGAGGACGGTGGCGGCGATGACGACGACGAGCACAAAGACGATGCGGTTTCAACCACGGGCAAAGCCTTCTACGGCGAAAACTCGAACGAGAGCAATAGCGACGATAAGATCGAGGAAGCTGGCGAGTTGGACGAACGTCTCTCCGACGACGAGTTGGACGAGGACGACGCGCTCACAAAAATGATGAACTTCGCCGCTAAAGGCATGAAATATTTGTTTTCTTCGTCATCCTCGTCCGTTCTCGACGAAGACGATCCTCTCGCTCCTCGATGATGAGAGGTATAAAATACCGAGGAGTACGAGCGCATATAGAGAAAGCGTACGACGAGTAGTAACACACACCATCTGCCAGTAGTTAGTTTTAAACAATACAAAAGGAGAACTATTATTATATCACGCAAAGATAGACCGAAAAACAATATCATCATCAAATCGCCCCGCTATCTCTCACGCTTTCCAACTCGCTCTCCCACTGCGTCTTCAAACTCTCCACCTGTTCCGTCAATCTCTGATTGGCCTCTCGCATCGCCCTCACCGGGTTCGTCTCTCCGTTCGTGTGCACTTTAATCAAAATCCGGTGATCCGTAGGGTGTGGGTGCTGGTACCCCGCGAAGACCACGTTCGGGTCGTTGTGCAGTTCCATCCTGAGCATGTTCCCGAGCGTGTGATCTTCTCTCATTAAGACGAATTCCCCGGCGTTGGCTAATTTCGTGTCCGGGGTGTACGAGAGTTTCCGACTGCCCGGAGGCATGAGAAATTTTTCCGCTCGCGATGGTTGGTTCATATTTATAATTTAACACACACACACACACGCTCCTATTCTTACTCTTCTACTCTCTCTCTCTCTCTCTCTTTTCCTCGTATTTTATCGTAGTCTCCGCTTTGTTTTGTGGTGTCTGTTTTAAAAGATTTGCTCGCTTTTTTACTCGATTTTCCCACGAAGCAGCCCCACAAAAAACGACGCAAAACACACAAAACGAAAGAAAAAACAAAACAAAAGAGATTAGAAGAGATGACGGACACCGCGCGACCACCGCCGATGAGCGAAATCCCTCCCCTTGTCTCCGCGTCTGCTGCTCTGAAAATGAATAGCGGTGGTGGTGGTGGTGGTCCGGACGATGTCGTCGCCGTCGCCGCGCTCATCGATGAGTTGAAGGTGCGATTTGATTACACTCTTTGATCGGTTTCTTTTTTTTCCCGATGATGGTTCTTGTATTTTGACTCGAAATGATGTGATGCGTTTGTTGTTGCTGACGTCGCGTTTCATCTCTCTCTCTCTCTCAATATTATCATCAGTCGGAAGACGTGCGATTGCGCCTGAATTCCATCAGCCGTTTATCGACGATTGCGGCCGCGTTAGGCCCGGAACGAACGAGGAACGAATTGGTCCCTTTTTTAGTGGACATGAACGACGACGACGACGAGTGTTTGATGGCGGTGGCGGAACACATTCCATCGCTGGTCACCTCAGTCGGCGGGGATGAGTTCGTTCACGCGCTGTTGCTACCTTTGGAGAGTTTAAGCACGGTGGAGGAAACCGTGGTGAGGCAAAAAGCGGTGGAAGGTTTAGTCAAAGTCGGCGAGCGATGCGATCGCGCGAGCGCGATGGAACATTTTTGCCCTTTGGTGAAACGATTGGCCACCGGGGAGTGGTTTACGGCTCGGGTGAGCGCGTGTGGATTATTCGCGTGCGCGTTGGAAAAAGTGAGCAGTAATGGTAACGGGGGCGAAGAGGAGAAGAAGATGATTGCGCAGTTGAGGAGTTTGTTCGGGCAGTTGTGCGACGACGAGACGCCGATGGTGAGAAGAGCGGCGGCGACGAATTTGGGAAAGGTGGCCGAAGCGAGCGTGGAGGATAAGCAGTTTATCAACGACGAGGTGTTGAATTGGTTCGGGAAGTTAACCGCGGACGAGCAAGATTCTGTGAGGTTATTGGCCGTGGACGATTGCGTGAGTTTATCGAAGTTGGTGAGCGAGGAGGAAAGGTTGAAGAGCATCGTTCCCGTGGCGTTGAAGTTTAGTTCGGACACGTCCTGGCGAGTGAGGTACGCGGTAGCGCAACAGATTTACGAGTTGTGTGAGATTATTGGCGCTGATTTTGCGAGGGAGGATTTGTTTCCAGCGTACGAGAACTTATTGGAAGACGCGGAAGCGGAGGTGCGCATCGCGGCGGCGGCGAAGGTGAGCAAATTTTGCGCCTTGGCTGGACCGGAAAGAAGCAGAGAAAATATCATCCCGAGAGTTCGCGAGCTCGCGAAAGATGCCAGTCAACACGTTCGAGCGGCGTTGGCGTCGGTCGTCATGGAATCCGCGCCGACTTTAGGAAAAGAGGAAACCGTGAATCAACTCTTGCCAATCTTTTTGGTGTTGTTGAAGGACGAGTTTCCAGACGTGAGACTAAATGTCATCGGTAAATTAGACCAAGTCAACGAAGTCATCGGCGTGGATACGCTTTCCAAAGAACTTTTGCCCGCTATTAAAGATTTAGCTGAAGATCGACACTGGCGCGTGAGATTGGCGATTATCGAATACATTCCGATTTTAGCCACGCAAACCGGCGAGAGTTCGTTTTTGTTTTCGAAAGAGGCGAGCACTAGCGATAGCGAAAATAATAGCGCGGAAGATGTTTTGAATTCCTTGTGTTTGCGATGGCTCGCGGATCCGGTTTCCAGCATTCGTCAAGCGGCTGGGCAAAACTTGCAAAATTTAACCGCCTTGTTCGGTTCCGCCTGGGCGAAAGAACACGTCATTCCTAAACTCGAGTCGTTGTTACAAACGGAGAAAAATTATTTGGTCAGAGTGACGGTAGCGTCGACTTTAGGGATGTTGGCGGAGAAAGTAGACGAGGGGGATATTACGGGAACGCTATTTCCGATTGCAAAAGCCGCCGCGGCGGATTCAGTGGCAAACGTACGATTTAATATTGCTAAATCGCTCGAGAAGATGGCGAAGAGCGTGAGCGCAGGGAGCGCGATTAGAACAGAAATCTTGGAAGTTTTGGACGGTTTAAAAGCAGACGCTGATGTGGACGTGCAGTTCTACGCGTCCGAGGCTAGAAATGCATTTTGAGTTTTATAGAGGTACTCCTTGGTGTTCGTTGTTGTTGTAATAATAATACTATCATAATAATTACATTTTATCAAATCAAATTCAACGCGCGCGTGCTTTCCTCTCTCTCTCTCTCTCTCTTCTTCGTCTTTCTCTTTCAATCTTTACATACTATTTATATATTATCTTCGGTGCATAGGCACGGCGTACCCATTTTCCCACGACCCAACTTCTCTTTCCACGTCCTCCAATATCCCTTCAACCTGTTTCACGAATATATCGCTCGCATACGGCGGTGTCAAACTCGGTTTAACACTCAACACATGCGTCACCTTCGTCCCTTCCTCTCCGTTCTCCTCGACTTCCCACGAACCTTCAAACTCTCTCAAGAACCCAAACTTCCTCTGCGAGGCCGCGCCTTCCAACGTGCACGTCATGTGCCTCTTCGCATCGTTCTCAACCACGCCCAACTCGATGTTAAAATTCCCACCGAATATGAAAAACTTCCAATTGCACGTCTGTTTTATGCGTTTCACCGCGCCGGGTCTCCTCGCTTCGCCGTCCTCCAACTCCTCCTCCTCAAACCCGAGGTATTCCACTTTCTTAATCGTGCTCGGGAACACTCTGCTCGCGTTCTCGTAATCCGTCAGCATGTTATACACGTCGTCCGCGTTTACGTGTGCGCCGAGTAATATCGTTCCTTTCACCGTGAAGCGGTTCGCCACGTTCGAGACGAGTTCGCACTTCAAATTTTTCGATGATTTTGCCTCGAAGGCATCCATTTCGTTTGATGTCGTCGTCGTCGTTGCTCTTCTTCTCGTCGTTGTTGTTCTTCGTTTTCTTCTTCGAGTATTCGTACTATCATTCGTTTTCCTCCGCGCGGTTATTAAGGGGGGTACCGATGGTGACGATGATTTCGACGAACAACAACACGTCTTCGTCGAGCGCGTCGTCGCCGTCGTCAAAGTCGTCATCATCATCACTGTGACACCGCTTTTTGGAAAATCTCTCTCTCTCTCCTCGTTCTCTTCACAAACAAAAAAGAAAGCCACTTTCAGAGAAAGAAGAGAGCGCTTTCAAAAGAGAGAGAAAGAGAAAAAGCAGTTTTTGTTTCGGCAGCGGCAGAAAAATGCGTTTCGCGCTTTGAAAGTGTGTGTTATTATATGATGCGCGCGTATAAAGAAAGTTCTCTCGTTTTTCGAGAGGAGCGTTTCAACAAGTTTTCGTAATGTCAATCGCTTTTTTTCAAGAGGAGTTTTTTCACTTGAGTTTTTGTCTCTCTCTTCTTTTTTTTTCGACCAGAAAAAAAAAAAACCCTAAACTCTAAAAAGAAGAAAAGAACAAACTGTTGTCTGTCACAAAACAACACACCGACAACAACAACAACAACAAAGAGAGAGAGAGAGAGAGAGAGACAACTACACCATTCATTGTGAGAATCGCGAAAAAAGAGAAAAGAAGAGATGAGGATGAAGTTTTTCGTGAAAGTCTCTCTTTTGATGACGATGCTTCTTCAAATTCGTTTTGTTGTTTCCGCGCAACGAAGCGACGATGATGATTTTGGGGAAAAGATGACGATGAAAAAAAGATGTAAAAACACGAACGACGCTCCGAAAAAACAACCGCTGACGTTTTGCGACGACTACCGCTCGCACACGTGTTGCACTTCGAGAGATACGGATAGGATTTTAGTCCATCACGTGGAGATGCAGCGGCAATCGGTATCGGCGACGTGTGCGAGTTTGTTCGGGAGATTTGAGTGCAGCAAATGCGACGCGAGGAACTTAGGAGGGAGTACTAGGAATAATAATAATAGCGAGGATGACGATAGATTTAAAGTCTGTTCCGCGTACGCGAAACAGCTGTATAGAGCGTGCAAAGAGGAATATTTCGTGGAAGGCGCAGTTGGTGGGGGCGTTGGCGCAGGAAGGGGGTCGTCCGGGTTGATTTCGAGCGGGGGTAGATTGACGCCGTGTAAAAGCACGGATGCGATATGCGCGAAATTGGAGGAGTTTAGCGGGAACTGGAAAGAAGCGGTAGAGATGATGGGTGCGAAAGTCGTTGGCAGGACGAAGAAGAAAGCGAGATTGGAGGATGATGAGGACGAATTTGACGACGACAAAGAAGAAGACAAAGAAGAAGAAGAAAGCGACGACGACGACGACCAATCGACGGCGGCTGTCGTAAACGAGTGGTGTTTCGACGGCTCCGTCCCGGCGAAAGTCTTCGAGAAGAAACCATCGAAAACAGACGAGAAGAAGAAGGCTACGGCGAAAGGCTATCGTCGACTCAAAAAGTTTCGATGGAGAAAGTTCCTCACCGCGCGATACTGGCGTCGCGACCAAAGGCTCGTCAAACTCCTTTTCGTCGTCTACGCCTTCGTCGCCGCTCTTCTGCTGTACAAAAGAAACGCCGCGAAAATCAAACTGTTCTTTTGGAAGAGGAAGGTGGAAAAGTTACGCGCGAACGTCGCCAACGCGGCGGAGATGCGGATGAAATCTGCGTGAATTGTGAATTGATTGATTGATGTATCCGTTTAAACCATCCATCGTCCGTGTCTCGATATCATCTCGTAGCGCGTATTTTTGCACAATTCGCATGAAATGGCAGCACAAAAAGAACAACAAACACCACACGCTTCTTTCGCTCTTCGCTTGAATCATCAAAACCACACACAGATTCTCGTCACCACGTTCGCAAAATCTTCCGCGAAGATGGTCTTGGCAATATCATCATCGAGCACACCGCGCGCGTGCAGCAGACAATCTTCCCAGTTCTCCGCGTCGTCGTCGTCGTCGTCAAAGTCGTCCTCTCGCGTAAACGCATTCGGGAAAAGTTTCCCTTGGAGCCGCCAAGCGCAAAATCATCATCAACGACAAAGACGACAAAGACAAACACTCCAAACGCCTCGCGCTTCTTCGAAGAAACGACCGAAAAAACAGCGAGAAAACATCTACACCATGCCGGATATCGGAACCACGCCGTACCAAATGAAGGACGATTTACCCGCCAAAGGGCCGGAATTTGACTTGAGCCAGAAAAAGCAACCGCAACCGTATTTCGGCGCGAACGACGAGAACAAAGAGGCGACAACAGAAATTGACATGTCGCCAGCAATGTTCGACAAACTGATCACTATTTTCCGAAGTAAAGACGAGGACGAATGGATTGGCCTTTTGGCGAGCTCGGAGAAATGGTACGATTTGTGCGACGGTTTATTCGCGAGGATCGAAGAGCGAGTCGAAAAAGTGGACGAAGATCCCGCGGTGAAGAACAGGGACGAGGAGGAGTTGTTGTTGGCGAGATTGCTGAGGAAGTTGAAAGAGACGCACGCGAGATGCACGAGTTATCGAGATTTGTTGCAGGAACTGTTGGAAAAAGACGACGACGTGTTGGAAGGTTTCGTCCCTTCGCGACGAGGCGAGTTTACGGCGGAATTTTTTAGCTACGTGACGCACAAAATCGAAAGAGCGCACGAAATGAAAGATGTAGAGTTAACGGCGAATTTAGCGAGAATTGCTTCGAGAGTTTTAGGTATCGTCGAACAGTTCGACGAAGCTTCGAGAGACCAGCAACTCTTGGACACCGCGGCGGAGAATTTCCAAGAACTCCTCAAAGTTGAAACCATCCAGGACATGGACGCGAAAATCGACGAACTCGCCTCCACGGGTAAACTCGACCCGGCGTTGATGCTCACCGCTGCCAAAGCGTACATGTCTGTCAAGGAATCCCCGTACGTCGAAGAGGAAGTGAAAGACGTCATGGTCCATCTCTATTCAAAAATGCGCGACACCGTCGGACGACAACAACCGAAAGAAGTCCGCATCCTCAAACTCGTCCTCAGCGTCGACGACCCGATCGAACAAAGAAACATGCTCGAACAAGCGTTCACGCCAGGACCTGAACTCGAAAACGTCGACGGCAACGAAGACATGCTCTGGTGCGCGCCGGAAAGCATGCTCCAAACCATCGACGTCATTCTCAAAACGAGAGAACAATCCGTCGTGAAGACTTCCTTGGGAGGCGACGCCGCGAGGATGATGACCCCGGAAATCATCGAGAGAATGCAAGGCTTGAAGAATTTAATCGAAGATCAGTTCATTTAATTATATGCTATAATACTAATACGAACAACAACAGAGAGAAGACGCGCGCGGGAGGCATTTTTGCTCTTTTTTCTGCATTTTCATCTCTTCTCTTCTTTATCCAAAATCGTCACTTTTCTAAGCCCCTTGCGGATTGGATTACCTTCTGAAGACTTCCTTTTGCGACTCCTTTTTCATTCGAACGCCGACAAAAAGGACGACGAGTTAGTTGAACACTACTTTTTGTCGTCGTCGTTTCTCTGCTTTGTCTTCTTCTTTTGAGAGACGCGGTGATAAAAGATGTTGTCGAACCGCTGCGTGATAGGTTTCCTCAACACCGGAGGCAAAGGCGTTCACGGGAATTTAACATCGCTGCGGGATGTGCGACGCGTTTTCGTTTGGAACAACAACAACAGTTCGTCGTCGTCGTCGTCGTCGTCGTCGTCCTGTGAGACGATGAGACGAAGTCAAGGCGTCGTCGTCCGAGCGTCGTCTTCTTCTTCGTCCGACGAGAACACGAATTCCGGCCGAGCGATTCGAACAAAGTTCTTAAACTTTTACGAGAAGAAAAATCACGCGATTTTACCATCCTCCTCGCTCGTCCCGGAGGACCCGACGGTCCTCTTAACCATCGCGGGAATGTTACAATTCAAACCGATTTTCATGGGCCAAAAAGAACGAGAGGTGAAATCAGCGACGACGTCGCAAAAGTGCGTTCGAACGAACGATATCGAGAACGTCGGGGTGACTGCGAGACACCACACGTTTTTCGAAATGCTCGGGAACTTTTCCTTTGGAGATTACTTCAAGAAAGAGGCGTGCGCGTGGGCGTGGGAACTGAGCGTGAAAGAACTCGGGATCGATAAGGAGAGGATTTGGGTGTCCGTGTTTGAAACCGACGAGGAGGCGTTTGCGATTTGGAGAGACGAAGTTGGCGTTCCCGAGGCGAGGATTTTGAGGATGGGCGCGGAGGATAACTTTTGGGCGGCTGGGCCGACGGGGCCGTGCGGACCGTGCTCGGAGCTGTATTACGATTTTAAGCCCGAGCTGGGCGTTGAAGGCGTGAAAGATTTAAACGACGATTCGAGGTTCGTGGAGTTTTATAACTTAGTTTTCATGGAGTTATCGAGAGATGCTGACGGGAAAACGACCCCGTTGAAGAATAAGAACATCGACACCGGGATGGGATTAGAGCGAGTCGCGCAGATTTTACAAAAGAAACCGAACAATTACGAGACGGATTTGATGATGCCGATTATCGAGAAAGCGTGCGCGATGGCAGAGTTAAAGTACGACGAGTGCGACGAGAAACAAAAACGAATGTTGAAAGTTGCAGCGGATCACATCAGAGCCGTGACGTATTTAATTTCCGACGGGGTATTTCCGTCGAACGTGGGGAGAGGGTACATCGTGAGACGATTGATTCGCCGGGTCGTGCGAAGCGGTAAATTATTAGGCATGAAAGAAGAAGGCGACTCGAAGACGTTTACTTCTGCGATTGCAAAAGTAGCCATCGAGTTATCCACCGAGTGCGATCCTAACGTTATGAAACGAAGCGAGAAAATATACGCCGAGTTGGAACGCGAGGAGTTGGGCTTTAAAAAGACGCTCGCCAACGGCGAAAACTTGTTGGCGGATATCATCGCGAGAGCGAAGAAGGATAAAAATGGCGTCACCGGTGCCGAGGCATTTTTGTTATACGACACGTACGGGTTTCCTCTAGATATCACTACCGACGTTGCCGAAGATAATAACGTGGAAGTAGACGTGGAAGGATTCGAAACGGAAATGGAAAAAGCGAGAAACTTGGCGCGCGCGGCTGCAAAAACGGTGGACGTCACCACCGGAGACGCGTTAGCACGCGTCGCGGACGACTTAAACAACGACGAGCATTCTGCGTTTATCGGATACGACAGCTTATTCTCCCGAGAATCGAAAGTTCTCGCCATTGTCAACCCGAAAACCGGGGAGATGCTCGAACGCGCTCGGGAAGGCGACGAAGTCGACGTCGTTTTGAGTCAAACGCCATTCTACGCCGAGTCTGGTGGTCAAATCGCCGACGTCGGCGTTATGGTAATAGAAGATAGCAACACCGAAGTACACGTTTTAGATGTTCAAAAAGCCGCCGGTGGGCGCATCATTTCGCACCGCGTGCGCGTTGAATCCGGCGAAATCGTCGCCAAGACTTCCGTTTTAGAAACAAAAGTCGATAAGGATTCCAGGCGAAGAGCGAAAGCCAACCACACGGCTACGCATTTATTGCAAAGCGCATTAAAGCAAGTCATGGGCGACGATGTCTCCCAAGCCGGTTCTTTAGTCAGTTTTGACCGATTGCGATTCGACTTTAACTCCTCGCGCGGACCGAAACCGAACGAGTTGGATGAAATCGAAGCTTTAGTCAACGAATGGATTTTCGACTCGACGAATTTAGAAGTCGCGGAAATGCCCATCGCGGATGCCAAGGCGAAAGGCGCGACGATGATGTTTGGCGAAAAGTACGGCGACGTTGTTCGCGTCGTGGACGTTCCGAACGTGTCCATGGAACTCTGCGGCGGCACGCACGTCTCCAACACCTCGGAAATTTGCGGTTTCAAAATCCTCAGCGAATCTGGTATCGCTAGTGGCATTCGACGCATAGAAGCCGTCGCCGGTCCTGCCGTGATTGATTTAGTCAACTCGAACGCGCAAGTCGTCAACACCTTGACGAAGAGTTTAAAAATCAAGCCCGAGGAGATCCCCGACCGGGTGAAATCTATGCAAAAAGACTTGCTCGAGCAACAAAAATTGGCGGAAAAGTTACGAGGCGAACTCGCCGTCGCCAAAGCATCGAGTTTGAAATCGTTAGCGGAATCGCATCCAAGCGCGCAAACGCAAGTCTTGGTCGCTAAAATGGACGAGTTTGTCGCCCCTGACGCGTTAAAAGTCGCGTGCGAGTCTTTACTCAAATCCTTGGGCCCGGACGCTCTCGTCCTCCTCGCCTCCGCCTCGGACGATAACACCAAAGTCGCCATCGTCTGCGCCGCCGGCGACGACGCCGTCAAGAAAGGCCTCAACGCCGGAAAAATCTGCGGCGCGACTGCAAAAGCGTGCGGCGGCGGTGGTGGCGGCAAACCCAACTTTGCGCAAGCCGGCGGAAGAGACGCCTCGAACTTGGCCGAGGCGCTCGCCGCGGCCAAAGCGAACGCGTTTGAAACTTTGAATTAAATAATAATACACATATTTATTTATAGCGCGTTAAAAAGAAGAATTGTAACAGTTTGAATTTGAAAATTAGAGCGTGTGTTGCGTGCGTGTGTGTGCGTTTTGTGCGCTCGTATTTATATCGTCCTTCTTTATACGTTTTGCTCTCTTCTCTGGTGTATTTCGAAGAAAAATTTCGAAACGGGAACGAGAGGAAAATCGACCAAACTCCGCATAAAATTCCACCACATCCGCCCGCACATATCAATGCCGCAAATACAGTACAGCGAAAAATACTACGACGATGTCTACGAGTACAGGTACGCTTTCATTCTTCTTCGTGAGAACTTGCGATCGGAATTGGGATTACGCGGTCGCATCTGCCCGGAAAACGCGGAGAGATGAGAAGATTTTCGTCGGTTCCGCTTATTCTCTCTTTCGTTGTTGTTTGCGCTCGAGAGATGATTTGAAAATTTCAAACGCGAAGGAAGAGTTTATGTCGTGTTCTCATCATCACTGCGGCACGAGAAAGAAGGCAAAACGGAAAAAGGAGAGAGAGGGAGAAGTTCCAATTCTTCGAGCCCTTCGTCCTCCGCGTCGTCGTCGCTCGGGTGTCGAGGAGGATGAGAGAATATCGCTTTCTTTTTAACGTTTCCGTCTAATCATCGATCTCTCTCTCTTTGAAATTCCTATACACAGACACGTGGTTTTACCGCCGGATATCGCCAAGTGCTTGCCGAAGAACAGATTGTTGAACGAGGTGCGTTTTGTCGAGCTTCGTTTTGTCGTTTTTTCTCGTTGTTTTTTCCCGCTCGTCGTCCTCTCCGCGGAGGAGGAGGAGGATGGATGATGTTCTCTTTTCCTCTCTTCTTTTCCCTTGTGTTTTGAAAATATGCGTCAAAAGCGACGACGACGAGAGAAGAAGAATAGAAATACTCACCAAAACATCTTTCTCTCTGGTTTCAAAAACGCAAAACAACAGACGGAATGGCGAGGATTAGGCGTGCAACAATCTCGCGGATGGGTGCATTACGCGATTCATCGTCCGGAACCGCACATTATGCTCTACCGAAGACCGCTGAACTACGGACAAGCGCCGTTGGGAGACGCGAACAAGTGAAGAAAACAAAAATATAAAAGAGAGATTAAGAACCAAAACTACTCGTCATAGAAACTCATAGCCCTGGACGCGAAAGAAGAGGAAGTGGAAGCAGAGGCCTTCTGACTATTATATATTGTAACATTACTACTAAGATCAACAAACACTTTGAACGATACGCAACGACACTTCTTAATTAACTAATGGATAATATATATATGAATAAAAATGACTCTTTCTCTCTCTTAAACTTAAGCAAACTCATTCGGAGGCTGATACGGTGGCGGCACGTTCGGGTCTCTCGGCGTCTCCGTCGTTTGCACGTCGTCTAATCTAACGCCTACGCCTGGCGAAGCGTATGCCTGCTGCGTTCCTACGTGTTGCTGTTGCTGTTGCCCTTCGAACGCGTCGTCGTTCGTCTCTCCGAAATCCGTGCTCCACATTTTCGACCACACGAAAAACTGTGGCACTCGCATGAAGAATAAAAAGATCACGCACGCCAACGTCCACTTCGTTCTTACCGTCGACGCCTCTTTCGCGTACGTGCTCATCCAAATCACGTCGCAAACCGTGAGCGGTAAAATACTCACCGCCAAATATTTCATGATGTTCGCGCTCTTCATCTCGTACGACACGAGCGCCAAAAGACCAAACATGGTTGAAATCGCGCACCATTGGCCTCCGAACCATCCCAAGGCGCCTAATATTCCCAGCCAAATCTGGACGTTTGTCATCAACGTCGAGTATCCCACGCAGTCGGCGTAGGAAATCGGAGGGACGAGACTCGCACAAATGTCCACGATTTTCTTCACCATTTTTTCAATGTATTGACGTGTAATACTACTAATACGCTCCCGTCGTCGTCGCACAAAGTCGTCACTCGCAGGTGTTTTTCGTGTTTCTTTCGACAGAGAGAGAGAGAGAGAGAGAAAAGAAGAAGAAGCGCAACAGAAGAGAGAGCGTGTGATATTAAAATCAGCCGAGGAGGGTGATTTTCTGGCAAATGCGATTCCTTTTCCCCCTTCTTATTAAGTCACACACTCCGAAATTTGTGTATTACGAGAAAGACTCGAACTCGAGACACTTGACTGCTCTCGATGATGAGACTTTCTCTGAAAAAAAAGAGAACAAAAAAACATCTCGAGACCAAAAAAAGAAAAAGCTCCCCTCAAATTTTACTCGCAACTGAAACGAACAAAGAAAGAGAGAGAGATACGCGAGAGAAAGAGAAAGATCTGAGATCTGAGAGAAGACCGGAGATGTGTGCTTTACTGACCTCCTCTTCTTTGTCGTCTTTGTCTTCTTCGTTGAATTCTTCGTCGCTTTTATCGCGACGAAGAGGACGAAGACGTGATGATTTTTCCCGCAACCATCATCGCTTTGTGAAGACGACGGCTTCTTCTTCTTTTTCTCCGGCTTCTTCTTCTTCTTTCGTCGTCTCCAGTTTTGCAGTTCATGGGTGCAAAACGAAGCACTTTCGCCGCCGCGGTCAAACGACGGTGATCGTCAGAAACAGCGCGAGCAACGCTCCACCTACGCCGACGAAATCGACGAGTGGGGGAGCGCTTCTGGAAGATGTGCTCAACAAAATGTATTTTCCCGCCAAAAATTTCATCGGAAAGTATCAAACGATGTTTAAGTTTTTAGGCGTGTTCCTTTGCTGCGCGATGGCAGACGTCACGTTTCTGGTGATGTTTGGCAGTCAAACGGCGTCGTCGGTGAAAGCAGGGATGGAGTGGACGCGATGGGTTGGAACGCCTTTGTCGGCATTTGCGCGCGCGGCGGCGGCGAGCGCTTTAGCCGGATACGCCTCGAGCGTCTGGAAGAAGGATCACGCGTTTTCGAGCAACACGATGCATTCGTACGCGTTGGCGTGCGCGACGTACGCGATGGCGAGCATTTTAGTTGTTGTTGTTCTTCAAGCCGGGAAAGTGAGTTATGGCTTAGCGAGTCCGTGGCAGTTGGTTGGAGCGATCGGTGGGATCGCCGCGGTGACTGGGTTTTTTACCGCCGTGGCGTTTGTGCAAAACGTGATGAGAAGCGCAGCGAAAGCCGGGAGAGACTCGTTGAATAACGAAGCGTTGAGCGCGTCCGTGGATTTTGCCTCTGCGGTAGGAACGATTAAGAAAGCCATGGCGAGAGAGTTTGAGAAAGAAATGACCCGATCCGTGGAGAAGATTGAAAAAGAGATGCGAAAAGCGTTGGAGGAGAAGAAGAGGGCGGAGGAGAAGTTGGCGAAAATTATCAACGAACGCTCGGCGGAGATGCAAAAGATGAACGCGAGAATCGATCAAGCGATTGAAGGAAGAGCATCGGGGAGAGAACAGGGCGCAACGGAAGCTTTGGAATCGTCCTCGTCGTCGCAAAAAATGAAAGCGGAGAACGAAGAAGAGGTGAAGAGTTTGCGGGAGGAGATGGCGAGGATGAGGGCGACGTACGAATCGGCGATGAACGCGGCGCAAAGAGAGTTTACAGAAGCGTTGGAGAAGGAAAGAAATTTAAGCGCGGAGAAAATTGAGAGCTGGGAAAAAGAACAAACGACACCACCACCAGTCGTGCTTTCTTCTTCTTCTGAACCAGAAAGAGGAATGATGAGCGAAGAAGACGTCGTCGCCATGGTGTCCAAGTTGCAAGAAGAAAAAGATCGAGAGATTCAAAAAGTGGTCCAAGCGTTGCTTTCAGAAAATCTCGCCCGAGAGGCGTCTTTGCGGTACGACAACAAAGTGCAGAAAGCGACGAGCGAGTCTGCATTAGTTGCCGCCCAAAACCAAATAGAAATCGAATTGAGTGCGTATCGATCGCAAATCGAATCGTACGAGCAAAGGAGTAAATTCCAAGCGGCTGAACGAGACGCGTTGTATCGACTTCAATCGCACGAGTTTGCAAAAACCTCGAAGCGCGACCGGGAGTATACCAAAGCCGAAGCCGAAGACGCGGTCAAGGTACTATACGACGTCATCGCTGATTTAAAAGAGGAACAGTTGGACATCGTTGCCGCGTTGCAAGCAGAGAATGTGGACGCGATCGCGGAGGTATTACACGAAAGAGATGCCGCGGTATCGGCGATTGAAAAGGAGTTGAAGACGATGAAGGCGACGTATGAAAGTTCGTTGGCAGCGGCGCAAGAATACTTTAAAGCGTCATCGGCAACGAGTTCAGCCGTAGATGCAGAAGCATCCAAGATGCTCGAAGACGCGAGGAAGGAGTTGATCATGGCAAAGGCGGAACGAAATGCGTTGTATAAGACGTTACAAAGTGAATTCAGGAAAGATAAAGACTCGAAGACCGAGGACGAGGCGAACGCCAAAGTTGCCGCTTTAGAAGCACGGATCGAAGCGTTGACGAAATATAGTACCAACGACAAACGCGCGTTGCGCGATTTATTCCTATCTGAAGTCGCAAAAGCGAAGAAGATTGGCTCGGAGCAAACGAAACCGATCGAAGAGGCTTTAAGAATGGCCAAAGCAGAGCGAGACGCCTTGTATCGATTAGCGCAGCGAGAAAGTTTGAAGTTGAATCATCAAACGGAAATGGCTGCTTCGGATTTAGAATCGTGGGAGAGAGAGTTGGAGTCGATCGGTGTAGAACTTAGGACGAAAACGGCGACGTTGGAAAGCGCGTTGAACGCGAGTCAACAGAGTTTAACGCAAACCGCATCGGAGTGGTCTTTGCGCCAAAAAGATATCGCCGAATCGTTGGAGAAGGCAAACAAGAGTTTAGAAATGGCAAAAAGTGAACGGAACGCGTTGTATAGGCTGGCAACAAACGAAAGCATGAAAAACTCGGAGCGTCTTTCAAAAGTAAACGCGGTTGACGGCAGGTTCACCGCGGAAATGGAGCGGCTTCAAGGCGAATTGTTGGCGATGAAGAACAACTCCGCGCAAAAGGACGAAAAGACGAGAGCGCAGATGGACAATTTGAAGAAGCAAAACGAGAGCGATGTTTTATTGGCAAAACGAGAAACCGAAAAAGCGAGAGAGGATGTTAAGCAACAAATAGCTGCGATCGAACAAAAACACGCGAAAGAGTTGGAAAATGCGAAAGAGTCTGCGAAGAACGCGGATGCGATTTTGGTGGCGAAAGTTGCTCGGGTGCAACAAGAGACGGAAGCGTTGAAAAAGCACCAGCAAGAAAACGTGAAAAAGTTGGAAGAACAGCATAAAAAAGCGTTGGAAGAAGCGAAAGACGCGTCAAACTCTTCCTCTGCGATATTAGTCGAAAACGTAGCCGCGTTACAGAAGCAAATCAACGACTCGAAAGACGCGCAAAAACTCGAGATGGAGAAGATGATACAAACGAAAGACGCTTTAGTCAAGGACAAGGAGCAACTGAGTAAAGCGGTGGAAAAATTAGAAGCAGACGCGGAAAAGATGAAGGACGTGATCAGTCGACACGGCGAGGAGCTCACTCAAGCGAAGAAACAGTCCGTCCAGGACGTTCGCAAAGAGCTCCAAGACGCCATGGAGAAGGCGAAGAAAACCGCCTCCATGATTGAAAAGATAAAAAACGATAGCGAAGGCAGAATCGTGGAAGCTCGTCGCGCGGCGATTGCGGAGTACGAAAAGTTAGCGATGGAAGAAGCGAGAATTGCGAGAGAAGCATTCACGAAGGAAATCAACGCCACGACTGAAGAGCTGGAACGACGCGCGAAGCAGTTTGTGGAAGCCGAGAAGATTTTGAAGGAATCGAGCGAAGCGAAGAAGTATTTGAGGGACGTTTTGAAAGACGACGAAGAGAAATTATCCAAGTTGCCGAAGTGGTTGAGTTAATTTAATCAATCTTAATATATAATATGCTGTATATTTTTTGCTTCTTCTTTATTATTATTAAAATACGATGTATGTATATGGTACAAAAGAGGTTTTAATTAAAAGCTTCCCAACAAGCTCATCGCGCGGTTTCTGCCTCCCGTCCTGCCCAATCGAGGACTCGCGTTCATTTCTAAGTGCATTCTTCTCGCCAACTCTTCGTCCGTCAACGGTTTCTCTTCCTCTGGTTCTTCTTCTTCTCTTTTATTCGCCTCAAAATTCTCGTTGTCTGAATCGCTTGTCAAACCGCTTTTATTGTTAGTGGTCGTTGTATTCAACAACGCTCCTCTGTCAACGGATGCTTTCGTATCGATGCTCAAGGAGCTTTGCGATTTTTTCTGCGACGCCGTCAACGATCTCGGTTTCTTCGGCGTCTTTGGCTTTTCATTATTATGCGTTGCAACGGTAGCACCAGAATCGTTCGAGCTGTTATCGTTGTTGTTGTTGTTATTCTCTTTTACTTTCTTCTGTTTCTTCACCGGCGTGGAAACTGGAGTGGAGTTCAACGATTGCTCTTTGTTTTTCCTCTTCTTTTCCTGCGCTTCTTTCGCCACGCGCTCGGCGTGTTCCTGTTTCCTCCTCGCGTTCTGTTTCTTCTGTTCCGCGATTTTTCGCATCTCTTTCGCTCGTTCTTCTTTCTCTTCCATTTCTTTCCTCGCTTCTTTCATCAACTCTTCTCTCGATTTCACGTTCTCCGCGCCCGCCGCGTACCTTCGCAATAAATCCCCCAAATCGAGTAACGAAATATCGACGTAATTTTTCCCTTGCGTGTATTGTTTGTCCAAAATTCGGTGTTTTTTCGAGCCGAGATCGAACGAACACTTGAACTTTTGTTCGTATCTTTTTTTGATCGGTAAGTGCGCGGTCGCGATCTGCACGGAATCTATTTCGTTGTTCCCGTTGGTGAAATGCATCATCGTTTGTGTCATTTCTTACTCTTCTTCTCGAGCTTCTTTTTGTGTTAAATTTTCGGGAGAATGATTACGCAAAAGAGAGAAAATTGGCGGCCGCCTTCCCTTCTTCCCTTCGACAAAAAAAAAGAATCTCTCTCTGTCTTCTTCTTCTTCTTCTTTTCGAAGAAGAAACTCTCACGCGATAGTGCAGTACGCAGAGGTTGTTAAGCAGCAGCAACAAACTTTGCGTCTTTGAAAGGAACGAACGACTTAAGAGAACAAAAAAAGAGTGCAGCAAAAGCGCGCGTCTTTCTTTAATTCTTCTTTCTGGAAAATTATTGAGCTGACGCGATCCATATTTTACCGCCTTTCATTTACTTTTTAGGGTTTCGAATTTAACAAGTACAAACTTTATAGTTACAAACGTAAACCCTAACTCACTACCTGATAAAATAAAAGCTTGCTCCGAAAGGAGTATCAAAAGTGTTACTTGAAACAGCTGGAGGTTTGATTCTCACAGAAGTAATTGAGCGAGAGAACTAACCTCCTTTAATTCAGCCTCGGGTAAGAATTAAATGACTTCAAGTAAAGAGAACTTACACTTCTCCCTTTGATAGATTCGATTTCGTAAGTTAAAACTCTAAATCAATAGATGCAAAGACTAATGCACAAATCTAGCGGCTAGCGTATTTAGTCATATAACTCCAACAAGCGCTTGTGGTGTAGTGGTAACACATCAGCTTCCCAATGTTTTTTTTTGTTTTGTTATCTTCTTTGTTGTTGCTACCACCACCCCCGCCGTTTGTGTTCGAGATGGATGAAGAAAAAGAGAAGTCGTTTTTTTGCGAAAAAAAAAAGAAACGTTTGGAAAAAAGAACCGCACACAGACAGCCCCCCCGTTGACTTGACTTGAAGAAGAACAATAAGAATGGGGAAAAAGATATCCGGCGCGCAGAAGAGGAAGAAGAGGAAGGAGAAAGAAGAGCTCGCCGCGAAAATGGAGCGGTTGAAGCTCGGACCGACGCCGCTTTGGACGGGATTGGTGTTGCATCACAAGGATATTTTTGTATCGCATGTGCTTCCGAAATTGAATAGGACAGATCGGTTTTTCTTTAAGAAGGTGAATAGAGAGAGTTGGGGTGTGCTTGCGTACGCCGGGGTAAACGTATCGAAATTAAATTGGGGTATTTACGAATGTTCATCCATTTCGACGTTGGAATGGGTGTGGAATAACATGCCCTGGGGAAAGAAAGATACCAAAGGAGACGTGATAGATCAAGCCTTGTTTTGCGCGGGAGTTGCTGCAACGAACAAACTCGAGTTCCTCAAGTGGGCGAGAGAAGTGAAACAGTGCGAGTGGGATGAAGAGACGATTAAAGTGGCAGCATTTAAAGGTAATCTCGAGATGCTCAAGTACTGCTTCTCTAATGGTTGCCCTTGTGATAAAAAAGAGTCGTGCTTTCAAACTGCGAGTGAAGGACACCTCGACTGTCTTCGATTGCTTTTCGAAAAAGTGAAACCTTCGCGAGGTACGGAAAAAGAAGTAGTAATACAAGCAACATGCTTTGGTCACGTGGAGATCTTGAAATATTTCGTTGAAGAAAGAAAGATATCTGATGAGTTAAAGTTCGCCCTCTTGGTAGCCGCTGCAAAGTATGGCCGCCTCGATTGCCTTCAATACTTAGTCGAAGAGGCGAAAGCGCCTCTTAACAACTTGGAAGGCATCGCTAACGCTCGTTACTTCGAACAACGCGAGTGCGTAAACTACTTGCTCGAAAAAGGGTGCCCAGAACCAACGGACGAAGAATACGCTTGGATCGTCGAGCAAATCGAAAAAATGGAGCGATTGAGATTATAGATAGAGAGAAATACATGGAGAGAGACTTCGAGTGACGCCGCTCGCGAGAGAAAATTTTAGTTCAAAAATGTACCCACATCACAGTTGAGTTTTATTTTGATGCATTTTTACACAAAACAACACATCACAAAACTGTCACGCGTAGAAGAAGAAGAAGAAGAAGACGATAATGGCGTACGGCTACAACGAAGGGCGAGGTCGAGGACGAGGTGGTGGTGGTCGAACGAGTGGTGGACGAGGACGGGGCGGCGGCCGAGGAAGAGGACGAGGACGAGGCAGGAACTCCCCGGCGGCGGCACAAAATCAACAAACGAAGAAACCAACGAAATCGATAAAAAACCAGATGCGAGACGTCCAACGGATGCTCTCGAAGGCGAAAAACATGCCGCAAAAGTTGCGAGAGGAGAAAGAGCAGGAGTTGAAAGATTTAGAAAAAGCGCAGAAGGAAAATCTGCACGCGGAGAAGGAACGGAAATACGCGAAGAAGTACCACCGGGTGAAATTCTTCGAGAGAATAAAAGTGACGAGAAAGATGGAGAAGATTAGTAGAATCAAGGAAGACGAGCGAACGGAGAGAGAGAAGGAACAGTTGAAAACGTTGGAACGGGATTTAGAGTACGTGTTGCATTTTCCGAAACACCGGAAATACGTGTCGCTATTCAACGACGACGAGGACGATGAAGACGCCAAGACGCATAAAAACCGTAGACGAGAACGGTTTCGGAAGGAGATCAAGGAGATTTTGAAAGCGAAAGCGGAGTTGGGAGATGCCAACGAAGGCATCGTGGACGGCGACGATGAGAACGAAAAAGCCCGGACGAACGCTGTGAAGTCGAATGACTTGGATGGGGACGATTTCTTCTTGAATTCTGATGACGACGACGAGGATAGCGACAAAAAGAAGAAGAAGAAGAAGAAAAAGGAGAATGGAAGTGAGAATAGCGGCAGTAGTAGTAGCAGTAGCAGTTCATCGTCAACGTCGTCAGATTCGGATTCAGACGAGAATGTCGATAACAACGAGAAGAATAAACCAGAAATGCCAGTGACGCGCGAACCGATATACATTCCACTCCCGAAAGCGAAACAAAAAGCGACGGAGGAAAAGAAGCGCCCGGCGGATGCGCCATTACGAACGCGAGCCGAAGGTGGTAGAAAGCGAAGGAAAAAGAAGTAATTTGATTCTATACATCTATCGCGCACATATACACAGCTATTATTATTGCTACTACTACTACTACTACTACTACTACTATTAATTTATATCTTCAATCGCTCGCTTTCCAAACCGCCATCGAGTGTATGCTCGCGCCGGCGTTTTCCCAATCCAAAGCGTTAAAAGATATCTTAATCCCAAGCATCTCGTACACGATGAATATTTGCACGCCAGTGCCGCCTTTACTCGTCGGTTCGCCTAATTTACCGACCACGTCCTTCGCGGTATCCTCCTCGAAATCGATACCAAAAGGCAACGAAGGCATTTTTCCTCCTTTTCCTCCTCCTCGAAAAGGAACAAAATCCGTTTTCGTTTCGTTGTACAGATGCACACAATCCACGCTCTCGCGGAGAAACTCCACGCTGAAACCGAGATCGGCGTAGTTTTCGTACAAAATCTCGCCGTTTTGAAACGATTTTTCGCTCGTCGGGTTTCCGCCTTTTCTTCCACCGTTTGCGGTACCTCTCCACCGTTCGATGGTTTCTCTCGCCTCTGCTTTGTTTTTCCCGAGCAACAGCGTCCCCACGGATGATGATGAGAACAGGTCCTCCTCTTCTTCCGCGCGCGCGTTGATTATCGCGCTGGTTTTGGCGCCACCTTTTTCGTCCTCGTTCTGTCTCTCTTCTTCTTCTTTTTCTGGACGCGTCGTCGTCGTCGCCATCCCGCTTTTTATGGCGAGGCAGTCCCTCTTAACGACTTTTTATCCATTTCTCTTCACACAATCATCACACGTTTTGCACGCGACGACACGCATCATCGAGGCGCAGCGGGAGCAGGGGCAGGAGCAACAGCAGCAGCAGCGGTCCGCGACGCTTCTTTTTTAAAAGCGCCTCGACGATGAAGCAACCCCAGAATCAGAGGAGTTCTCCTCTGAACTGTGAAATCGTCGCCGTCGATGGTCGATATTTTCGAAAGCAATCAATCGATTCCTCCGAGCAAGGAACGTATTTGCGAGAGAAGAAGGAAGCGCGAGAGAACGCGAGGACGTTCGCGGCAGACGATAAAGGATGGCGGAACGATGCGGTGCTGAGAAAAAGAAGAGAGGAGGACGAGGAGGAGGATAAGAGTAACGGGGAAGACGACTTTGATGGTACGTCGTGATGTATATGAAACGTGTGTGTGGTGTGGAAATATATGACGTGTGATATTACAAGAGCGAATCGGCTTTCTTGGTTGGGTCGTCGGATAACTTTTTCCAAGCGTTCATGTTGAGTATCGTCGGGAAGACAATCATAGAATACGCGAGGAGCACGGATGGTTCGAACGGAAAGTCGACGAAGAGAGAACCCCATTTGACCAGAGCGGAGACTAAAGTGGAGACGAGCGCGAGCTTGAGGAGAAGGAACGCGTCGTCGGTTTCGAGGAAGGATGTCCCGGCAGATGGGGTTTGTAACGCTTTTGTTCCGGCGAGGACGGAGACCGCGTCGGCGTCGTCGGCGTCGTCGGAAGAGATACCTAATCGTTTGCCTTCTTGGTACATGCGATAGGCCGCGATGCCCATGGTGGCGTTACCGATACACGTTAAACCGGCTTGTAACGCGACCACGGAATTGAGAGCCGGGGAGTTGTAGAAGACGTGGAACGTGCACGCAGCTAAACCAGAAGCGTGGGAGGTAACCATACCCCACGTCAACCCTTTGTAACTCGGGCGTTTCTTTACGTCCGCGTAGTTCCAGATTAACGACATGGCGACGAGCCATTCAATCAACGAGGAAGCGTGGATGACCCAAGTTGGTAACGACAACGCGTTCCCTGGTTCGCCGTGTTTGGCGGACGCGATGAGGGAGGAGACGACACTGCCATCCGCAACATCCGCGATGGAATCCGTCGTCGCCGCGACGGCATCTGGAGAGGACGAAGAGACGAGCGCGGCGGCACCGACGACGAGCAACGTTAACCCTGCTAACGAGAACGTGCTGTTGATGTTTATCCTGTTGTCAGTACTACCGCCGTCGTCGTTCTCACTCCTCGCATCTCCCATACTTTTCCCGGTGCTATTTTCGCTATTAACGACAACACTATCAACGCTACGAAGAGTCGTCGTCGCCGTCGTCGTCAAATCTTTTTCTCGTTTCTCCTTCGCCTCTCTCTCGGCATCTCTCAAACCTTCTCGCATCCCCAGCACGATCAACAAGTTCGTAATCGTCAACAAACTCTCCGCACCGCCGTGCAACCAATCCACGTTTGCTAAAATATCCGAGTAGTGCACCTTGGCATAAATCCCAGCCGGTATCGTCGCAAAGACAAACACGAGTAAAAACTTGAACCCGAACAAAGCTCGCTTCGGAAACGCGGTCTCTGGTTTCCCAAGAAAGAAGAGAAAGAACAGGTACGGGAACAGAGAAGCCGCGAATAAGTTCGCCTCTAACGTCGTGTACTCCGCGTCCGTCACTCCCCACGGGTCCACGAACGCTTCCGTTTTGCGCTTCATTCGTCCTCCTCCTCGTCGTCGTCTACCAACAACAGCAGCAGCAGCAGAAGCAGAAACAGCACTTTGGTGAGTGCTCGTCGTAAACGCAAACGTTGCACGTTCTCTCAATTCGAACGACGAGGATACGACTCTCGACGCGGCAACCGCGACGACTGGCTTTATGAACGTCTCTCCTCTTCTTCGTATTCTTCTGCTCTCGTTATTGTTATTCTTCTTCCGTCTTTCTAATCCAATCGGGTTTCCAGATAACGAACCATGAAACGCGCTTTGGTATTGCACAGGTACACACGCAGCCATTATTTACTTTCGTAATATATACACACACACGCGCACACGCAGGCAGAGACAGACAGGTGCTCTCTGTCTCCTCGTCAAAGCGCGTTGTCTTGTTCGTTTGAGAAGGTTTTAGTCGCGTTTTTAGATACGTTTTTTCCCGAAAAGTGCTTCACTCTTTTCCCGACGTCTGTCTCTGCGCGTGCACACAAAAATGAGCGGCTTCCTCATCGCGTCGTCGTCTGCGTCTGCGTCTGTGTTTCGTTCTGAAAAGAGCGGCGTTATTCGATCGAGATCTTCCGCGTTTGCTTCTTCCTCTTCTCCTTCTTCTCTTGGGAAAAAAGCAGCCACATTTTGCACTCTTCGATCTCTTCCGTCGTCGTCGTCGTCGTTCCGGTGTCGTCGTCGAGTTTCCGTCGGCGTCCGCGGTTCCTCCTTCGACGAGAACGAGAAGACCGGCCTCGACGAACAACAACAAGAAGAAGAACAACAACCGCGCGAATTCGACACTTTGAAAGAGCTGGAAAAAGACGTGCTCGCGTTCCAAGCGCAAGACTTGTCCAACCCGGAGAAACAGAAGCAACGAGAAAAAGATATGCAAAAAAAGCAGGGCGTGGACGCGTTCAAGGAAGGCGTCGATCAATTCTTACTGTACGATTTCTTCGTCATATTATTCATATTAGCGTGGTTAGTGTTTGGCGTGGGCGTGAGATTAGGGGTGTATAAGCAAGGATTGAGTTACGACGAGCCGGTGTTGGGGACGTGGTTGTTTCTGTGGCCGTTTTTGTTTCAGCCGCTTTTGGGAGTTCACATGTTGGCGACGTTGGTTTCGCCGTTGATCGGGAAGTTGAAGGAGAAAGGGATATTGGGCGAAGATGCTTGGCAGTGAATGATGATTTGGGCACATCTATGTAATGTATACGTATTTACACATCGCGTATTTGCGCGTGGCGTTTCTATTTCAGTTTCTTTTACAAAACTCGGAACTACTTTTTGTTTTCCTCAAACGGACCGTACAAATCTTCTCTTCCGGCTAACTTTAAGAAGCCTCGCGCGTTTTCGGCCAAATCCTTTCCCGCGCCGTAGAGACTTCCGCCTATTAATAGACACAAATTTTCATCACCGAACGCTTGCCGCATGGTTTTGACTCGCTCCATCGTCATGCCACCGCCTGGAGTGAGCACGATTGAAGGCATATTTTCTAAATCGCCGCGCTCGCATCCGGATTTAATTCCTAAACATTCATCTTTACTAAAGCCAAATCGTCCGCCAAATGTTGGGAAGATAGTCATATCGCAGCCTGCGATTCTTGGTAAAACTCCGAGTAAAACTTCGTGCGCAAAGCCTCGGACAGAATTTCTCGTGCCGCCGCCGAGCATGCTTCCTAGAATAGCTGGGTGCGCGATAATCGGCAGCTTGAAGGAATCGTCCGCCGCGAGTTCACGACAGGCATCTAATCCGGTGATACCTGGAATCATTAAGACGGCACCAACGCCTAAATCTTTAGCAGTAAATGCTCTGCGAATGATTAAATGCGCCGGGGCGTTGAGGCAGGGTGCGTAAACGCAACGTCTTCCGGTAATCGAATTGGCTCTTCTCACAGCTTCGGAACATTTCTTAACCCGTTCTTCAAACGGTGCGTACGGTTGGTCTGCTAGTCCGTGGTCGTCTTTGATTACATCGATACCGCCGAGTGCGAATTGATACGCAAATTCTGCTAATTCGTCCGCCGAAGAACCCATAGGCTTCAACGCAGTCATCAAAAGTGGGCCTTTATGAACGCCAAGCATCCTTCGCAAACCTACGGAGCCGAAGCGCGGTCCCGGATAATCTTTTAAGATGCAATGCGGTAGTTTGACGTCTACTACCATGACATCCTCTTTAATCGAGGTGTTGCCAAATATCACGTTTATGAGCTGCGTCAGCTCGTTTCCGGCGCAATCGGAGTGATACGAAACCGTCGCCTCGAACGCATTCTTATTCTTTTCGACGTTGTTCTTGGAAGGGCAATACGCGCGACTTTTCAAACACTTGGATGCTTCGCTCAATTTTTCGCATCTTCCAACGACGTGTTCGCGAATCCAGGTGCCCTCCGGAACGAGCGACTCGGGAAGTTCCACAGTCTGTTCTAAACAAATCTCTAGCGTAATTTTCTTGGCTTCTTCTTCATCTTTTGCTAGTAATAGATATTTCACTTCAAATCGATCGCAGAGTGAATACGACGATGACGATGGTACCGAAGCCGTGTTCGAAGTGGACGTTCGTAAACGTAAACTGTCCAAAACTGGTCTTTCGTGTATGCGCAACTTGTCGTTCAAAGCGATGTTTTTCAACTGCTTCGGCGAAGCCGAAAACATGTCCTCAAATGTCACAGGTAACGGAGGCGCTTCCGGTTTGTTTTCCATGCTGCGATACACGATATTCTCGGCGCTGGTATGCTCTCGTCCAACTGGTGTATTTTGCGGCGTCTGTCCAATTTTTCTCAACGCCGCTGGACTCGCGAGAAACATATCCTCGAACGAGTTCGAGTGCTTCCCAGCGGAAGACGAAAGACCATCGTCGTCGTCCTTGCACGTGCTGATGTCGTCGTAAATCACCCTGGCAATCGAAGGTAACGGAGACGGCAGCGAGGACTGCTCTCTCGATTTCTTCAACTCCGCCGGCGACGCCGAAAACATCGACGCGAAGCGAGAGACGTCTCGAATCTTTCCTTCGCCGTCGTCTGCAACATGTATTGGATATTCCTTTCTCGAAGACGAAGGAGAAGAAGAAATCTTCCGCAAGGAGGAGGGCGACGCGGCGAACATATCGTTAAAACGAGAGGTTAAATTATTCGTGGCGACATCGACGTTGTCGTCGTCGTTAATGTTCTCAGAGGGAGGCATCGCGCGTGTCTCTCTCTTTCGCTCTCTCTCTCGGATGCAAGCGCAAAGGTTTGAGCTTTTAGTGTGAGGCAAAAGTGAATTTTGTTCTTGTGTCTCGCTCGCTCTCGCATATTTAATTAATGTTGCTTTTAATGTTGGTATATAATATTACATGTCTTTTGCCGTATGTGTCTGTGTCAAATGTCTATTGTATAAGTGTACACTCCTCCTCTCTTTTTATTCGTTTATCTTTGTCTTTCTGTGAGGTAAGCGTCCAACGCGCGTTCAAACTCCCGCATGAAAATCGACTCTGCGTTTTCGCCTTCCTCGTCCAAGTCGTTCCAAAAACTGCCGTTGTTTGGAGACTTGTGCACTAACTCACCTCGCTCGGAGCGACAGGCGCAAATTGCAGTGGATGCTGCTTTGGCCACGAGTTTCTCCGCATCGGACATGCGCGTGGGTATGGAGCGCGACATGATGGAGGCGATGTCCGCCGGCGGAATATCCAGTTTAGATGCTTTTTTTAGGAGCATCGTGCTGATTTTCAACACTCTCTCGGAACTGGAGTGGAGTTCGATGTCGTTGTCGCGGAGGTATTCGATGTCCTCCTCCGCGTCGAGGGTCTCGATGTACTCTTTAGTGGATTCCGAGAAGGGTTGTTTCGTTTGCGGCCAAAACTCCCACTCGAAGCAAACGTCCTCCAGGGTGTGCGGGAGCGCGTAGCCGTGATCGATCGGGATCAAGGATACGATTTGGCCCGTAGTTTCGTCTTTTTTCACGAGGATATTTCCAGCGTTGCGATCGGTGTTCGCCAGGCGAATGTCCAGGACTGCAATTTTGTGCACTTCTTCCAAAGGGAACAAACTTGGTCCAAACTCCTCCGCCTCGGCGTCCGCTTTGATAAACTCTTGAATCGAACCCAGCTTTCCGCTGTTTTCGTTTTCTCGCTGAATAATATCGTCGTCGTCGCCGCTGAAAAAGACGTTCTGTTCGCTCAAATTTGCCAAGGAGGTAACTGGAACGCCAGAAAAGCCGTCGTGATCGAGTAAATACGCGGCGACTTCTCGCGCCGCGCCTTCGCCCACACGCGTACCTTTTCGCATGCCTTCACCCGGGGAGCTTTGAATAGCGGTTTCCGTATTGTTTATGTTGTTGAAGTTGTTCATCCAAGAATTTCCTCTTGGGTTGTTCTTTGCGAGTGGTTCTTCGTCTGCTGGTTTAAATACCGCCACAGTTTCGCCGACGGCGGACTTTAAAAAGTACGCGCCGCCCGTACCTCCCGAGGATAACATCGGGTGGACGCCCGCCAGTAATCCTTCTCTGGCCATGTCAAAACTCCCAATCGGTGTGATTGGTTGTTCCGGAGGAGAAACCGAGTCGATGGTCGAGTCTGATGAGCGTAAACTGTGTGAACGCATGTACGATCCACTTTGTTGGTGCGTTTGGTGAAAGCGATCGACCGAGGAACCAAACTGGTGGTTGTTTCCGTTGTAAGATCCCCAAGACAATCTAGGCGATTTTTGGTGGCTGCCGTTTCGGCTGCTACCGCCATCACTGTTGTGACTGTTGTTACTAATATTGATTGATTTTGAGATGGAATCGTATCCAGATCCATATGAACGCGACTCGCCGTTGTTGTTCTTGTTGTTGTTGCGCACGCCCCGAGGAATATTCATTGCGCCGTCGACGCTTTGGCGAACGGGAACGTGTGGTCTGAGTTCCAAAGTCGCACCCGCGCGAACACCGTAGTTGGATAAGGGCCCGTCTTTCAACGCTTTCGCCCCGTAAAACAAATCCAACTGATTTTGTCCTCCGTTATCTCCAGATCGCGCGCCTAAAGAGGAACTAAGCGCGGAAATCTTCCCTCTCAAACTCTCCGCGGTTTCGTCCGCTTTCAGATTCAACTCGACGTCACGCGATCCGTGCATCTTTACCGTGACATTTTGCGCGTCTTTCTTCACGTAAAAATGCAACGTCGTGTTGTGTGTGACGTTTTCGTCCATCAATCGTCTCGAATCCGCCAACTCTCTTCCTTTCAAAAGAACCACCGACTCCAACTCTTCGTCTTCGTTCACGGGCGCTAACTTACTGTTATTCATCGCAGTCGTTTTCGGTGGAGAAGTCGAGTTCTTGCTCCCATTTGTAATCATTTTGTTTCGATTTCGCATCATTTTCATCGTTTCTAACGTGTTCGCTTCTTCGACGTACCTTTTCAAATCCCCGATGGTTTTCGTTTCGTCCAAAGGCAACCAGAAATCTCTCTCGATGACGTTTCCAGTCGCGTTATCCACCCCAACTGCGGCTTTAATGTGGATGTACGATAAATCCGAGAGCTTCACCATCAGTTTCCTGTATTCTTTCGGGTCGTCGAACGTATTGTTTTCTTCTTCTTCCGTATCGTTTTCGTTGCTTTGTTTTTCTTTCTGCGCGGCGTTGCGCAGCACCTCCGCAGGCAACACCAAGTTCACTTTGTTGCCGTCGTCCTCGTCGTCTTCGTCTTCATTGTTTCGTCCATTACTATTACTATTACTACTAAACCTGGACTTGCCTCCTGTGGTAGTGAACATCTTCTCTGGCACTCTCTTAATCCCTTCAGCTTTCGCTCTCAACGTCATGCTCGTCACGATCCCTCGTCCCCGCATCACGTCGATCGGTTCGTTGTTCCCGGTCGCCAACATGACTTTAATATCCGGTTTCCCGATGCGTTTCGAAAGCGACCGAGGCGTCATCAACTCCTCCGTATCCTTCTTATCCACATCTGAACCACCTTTCTTCGGTGTCATCGGTAGCGCCATCACATCAAACTCTTCTTCTTCTTGTTTTTCGTCATCCTCTTCTTTTTCGTTCGTCGTGCCCTCGTTCGTAATCGTCGATGACGAGGCATTCGTCCTCGCGCTGCTGATCCTCAACGCTCTCAACGCTTCCACTTCGTTCCTCGTCGTCCCGCTGCTGTTGTTCACGTTAAAGCCATGCACGCGCTCCGTCGGCTCTTTACTCGCCGAGTTGGTGTTCGAACTACTCGGCGAACGCATGCGCAGTATTTGCGTCGCGTTGTACTCTTCCGTCGTGGTCATTCTGTTTTTCGATCTCTCTCTCTCCTTTTTCCCCGTTTTTTCTCTCTCTCTCTCTATCCTTTTCGCGCGTACGCACACGCTCCCCTTCGCTGCTCCGCGCGCGAACTTTCTCTCGCTCTAAAATCACTCTTTTCTTGCGCTCAAATATACGCTCGACGCCTTTTCACGACACCACGACGCCTCTCGTATTCGCGTCGTCTCGCGTTCTCTCGAGCACAGCAGTGCGCGCGCGCGAAAAAGAATGACGCAGAAAAAAGGAGTTAGTTGGGTGCCTTTTGAGACCACCGGAAAAAAGAGGAAAATTTTCAACTGTTTTTCACTTTTCGCCTAAAAATCTGTTGCGAGACACCTCTTGTTTCAGTTGTTTGGAAACAAGACATCACACAATTTTTTTGTTCTCCCTTTTTCTTTCTGTTGTTCTACTACGCGTTGCCTTTTTAAAATGAGCTCCGCTGCTCACGCGTGCGCTGCTGCTCGGGGGTTTTCGATGGTGGTGTCGTTGAAGGGTGGTGGTAGTGCTGGTGGTGGTACTCGCGGGGGCAAACGCAGGAGCGGATGTCAAAATTTTGGGAAAATGGCATCCTCGATGATTTGGAGCCGCCGTCGCGACGACGATTGGAGACGAGGACGATTCAGACGACGAGGACCACGGCGTGATGTTTTTACTATTCTTCGGGCGAAGAAAGAGGAAGACTTCGTGAAGGAAAACGTGGACAACGCGGCGAAGGTTTTAGATTCCATCATAAAAGAAACCGTGGAACAGATATTCGTGGACGAAGTTTCCGAGGAAGTGTTTGAGGAGGTGGACGAATTGAGCAACGACGACGAATCCGAATCGGCTTCGAAATCGTTCGAGAGAGAAAAAAGACGAAGGAAAGAGATGGAAAAAGAACAAATGCGCGTGAGGATATTAAAATCGGTGGTGAAATCAAAGTTTAACGAGTTAGATGGGACGTTTTTATCCGTGCTAGGGGCGTATATTAAGCAAGCGGAGATGAAAGACGACATGCCGTTGCTCTCGCTTTTGCAAGCGATTAAGGAGGAGACGTTGCAAGCGGTCACGGTTGAGATGCAACCGGAGATGCAGGTGGTACAATTAGTCGCGCGGTTAATGCGAGCGGAAGATAGAGCGGAGGTTTTAAAGATTGCGCATAAAGGCGGTGGACGTGCGAAGTGCTTGAAAGTGTACGATGGGGTAGTCGAAGATCCCACCGCAGAAGAAGAAGAAGGAAAGGACAAAGAGGACGAAACGTCGCGAGAAGATTACGTACCAAAAGCGGACATCGACGAAGTCGAAAGAGCGGCGGCACAGTTGTGCGACGAGATGGAGTTGAGAGAAGTTGTGCCGTCGTGGGATTTGTTGTACCAAATTATTCTGGCGAGAGAATCCGCGAGACAAATGTCTCCCAAATCGGACAAGTTGGGCGTGTACTCCGAGATTGTCGTTTCGGGAGCGTTTGCGCCTTCAGAGTTGCCGAAAGCCGAGGCGGCATTGATTCGGAAACTCGTACAAACCGACGATGCGAATAAACGACGAGAGATGTTGTTCGAAGCCATGGAATCCGCGCGGATTGAAAACGAGAAAGCATCCGAAGAAGCGAGGAAACAACACGAGGAAGGGAAAATTAAACTCACGAAAACCACTCGCGGATTTAACGAAAGAGAAGAAGAAATCACCGACGAAGAGTTGATGCTAAAAGATTTAAGGCCGGGGAGAATGATTGATTGTTTGATCAATTTACGGTGTTCACTTTTAGACGACGAGAGGGTGAAGGAGAGAGGCGAACAGGCAGTCGTTGCGGAGAGAATGGCGGTTATGTATTTCGAAGTGTGCGATCTCGTGTTGAAAAACGCCAACGGCGGCATTCTCCCAACGAATAGAAGTAGTAGTAAAAACAATAGCAGCGCCTCAGGAGGGGGAGCCGCGGGTGCGAGATAGTGTATGCGTGTTAATTCTGATGTGAGCAACGCAATGTAGATATGTGTACAACAATTTATTTTAATTTTCGTCCTCGTCGTCGTCGGTGCTTCGCATCCGAAGCGCGTCGGCGAAACTTTCCTCGGCGATTTTACCCAATTCTGATTCCTCTAAAGAAGACCCGGCTAAGCTGCTAGTGTTGTGTGAGCGTCTAAATCCTTGCATCAATCGATGATTGGCTTCGTTATTCTCCAATCTATCTTTTGATGTTGGCGACGACGGTTCGTTCGCGCTATTACTATTACTCGCGCTATTCACCGCCAATCCAACTTTTGCTAAAACATTCGACACGTCGTGCGCCGACGGCGCTTCTTCAATTTCCTCGGCTTCAAACGATGAGTTACTATTCGATCCCGCTCGTCTGCTTTGTTTACTCCCGAGGGAAGATAAAGCGCTATTCTGTGGCGACAAACTCGGACCACCGCCTTCCTCGTGCTTTTGAAACTCGGAAAGTAATCGAACTGATTTCACTCTCTTCGGCGATATGCCGTGCAAGTTATCCGCCATCGGTTTCTGCTCGTCTTCTGCGACTAAACTTTGTAAATGCGTGAGAACCTCCAACGATAACGACCGTTCAACGGTACCCTTCACTTTCGTTTGGCCTTCGGCTAACTTTTTCGACGCCGGACTTGGTTCCGGCGTCCGACTCTTTGGCGGTTCGTCGCCGAAACAAACGCACACCACGGAGATGTTATCCGCGCTGTGCCGTCTCAACGCTTCGTCGGCTAATTGTTTTGCAGCTATGTTTGGGTCGTTATTTACGAGCAAGGATTTCCGCGCAAAATCTACCGCATTTTGTGACGAAAATACGTCCCATAAACCATCGCACGCTAAAATCAAAAACTCATCGTTCTCGACGTCTATTTCCCACGTATCAATTTCCGGTTCCGCGGTTAACGGCCCAGGCTTACCGGTCTCTTCGTCTCTCTTTAAACCTTCAAAGTGCCAATCCCCAAAGGCTCGACTGACGCCTAATAAACCGTTGACGTATCCATCCTCGATAAAGCCGCCCGCTTTCTTTATCCTTTCTTCCTCGTCCTTGGAGGAAGGTTTTTGGTCGCGAGTCAAATCGTGCGCTATTCCGCTTCTGCTCACCACACACCTGGAATCTCCGGCGTTGGCGACGATTAACTTACCATCGAATAAACACGCGGTACACGCGGTCGATCCACTCGTCTCCATATCCTCCTCGTTCTCATCGTCTTCCAAAAACCCATCTTTCCTCTTCGGCGTCTTGTGCCTCGTCGCTTCGTAAAAATCCAAATCCGTTCGCACGTAAGCTTCGATCAACGCTTTATCCACGTCTCCTCTCTGGAAGTTCGGATCGTTCAAAACGTTTTCCACCAAGTGCTCTTTCAAATACAGCGCGGCCCCAGTCCCTCCGTGACCATCAAAAACGCCATAAAAAGACACCAACTCTTCTGAATTCGCCACCGTCCTGTTTTCAATCACCACCGTCGCGTCTTCCATAAACTCTCTCACGCCGAGTTCCGCGTGCTCGCCCGAACGCAAGTTCGGCGTCGAAGGGCGACTGGACGAAGATTTCGCGCTCTGTCCGCCAGGCGTGGACGATCTCGGGGGGAAATGACTGTGATTCGTATTACCGGCGTAATTTTGATGTTGTCGTTGTTGTTCGTCCTCGTCGTCGTTTTCGACAACAATTCCTTCTTCTTCTTCTTCTTCTTTTTCGCTTCTCGTCGCATTCACCCCATCGGTGTCTCCGTCAAACGATGCCGCCTCCCGGGCAAACGGCGATTTCGGAGGTCGGTGCATTCTTTTTCTTCTTTCTCCTCTTCTTCTTTACCTTCTTCTTCTCGTCGTTTACGTCGCGTTCAGAAAACGAGAAGAAGCAGGTAAGTTTTATAGGAAATTGCAATTCCCGAATTCCGCTTTAAAATGTCTCCCTCTTTCTCCTTCTCTCTCGCTCTCAAAAGGTGGTCAAATAGCAAAGAAAAGTACGCGCAACAAGAACAACAACACGCGCGTTTTGTAGCGCAACACAAATGCCTCTGTCTTCTTCTTTTCTTCTCTCAGTGCGTGAGTATATGTGACGCGTCTCGATGACAGAAAGAGAGAGATGAATTTTTTCTGTGGTTTGTTTAATTGAAGGAAAAAAGACACGACATTTGAGAGAGAGAGACGGACGTGTGCGAGCGCGGCGGGATGTTCTCACCATCGTCTCATCGTCTCAGCGAAAAAGCGAGAGTCTTTGCTCGCGTCGAGAAGAAGAGTGTTTGTTGCGTGTGTTTTGTGCGTGTGTTTTTGTGCGAGTTGTGTAGAGCAGCAGCAGCAGCGTGATCGTGATTATCGTCGTCGCGGAATATCTCTCATATCTCTCTCTCTCGAGGACCAGCAGCGCTTTCATCATCATCACTCATCATCACCGAATCATATCTTCAATCGTACTTCTCTTGAATACCTCGCACGACTTCGCAATACTTCTCCATCGCGGTGCCTTTCCCGCTCCCTTCTCTCGATTTCCACGCGTCCCATTTCGCTTTCCCTTTTAAGTCAAACATCCCCGGGCGTTCTGTGTTGCAATCCCCCACCGTGGCTTGTTTGAACCATCCGTACAGTTCGAGCTGTTCGTCGTTCGTGCACTGTTTGTATTTTTTCACGAGCTCCGCGTGGGTTTGGAATTCACTTTCCGTGACTGGCATTATTAGTAGTGGTAGTGCTGTTGTTGTGTTGTTGTCTCGCGTACCGACCGAGCCGAGAGATGACGACTCTCGCGCGTTCTCTGTTTTTATATAAATGAAGTTCCCGCCTTGGGGGAAAAATGAGTTGACATGTCTTCATTCCATCTTCACGCGTTACGAAGCGCGCACAACAACAGCAACAACAACAACAACACCAACAACACGCGCAAAAACGCAAAAAGCGCGAGAGGGGGGTTCAATAACGACGAAAATTTCTTCTCTCTTCCGAGGATGCCACCACCAAAACCACCACCTTCATCATCGTTTCCTCCTCCTCGTCCACCTTTTCAACCGCCTTCAGAACCGAAGTCGCCTCCTCCTTTGATGCCGCGTATGCCGCCGCCGATGATGCCTCCGGCACCGATAGGCACGAATGCCCCGGATTTAGACGTGAACAGCGCGTTCGCGTACGTGGTGTTCACCGTAGCGACCGTGTTTATTATTTTGTACAGCGTATATCTCGCGCTGATACGAGAGGATGAAGAAGAGGAAGACGTTGAAGGAGGAGGAGACAGACGACGAGGCGGAGCGAACATCGACGAGGACGACGAGGACGACGACGAGTACGGTGACAGAGATGATGAAAGCACGAGCACAGTGGCAGCGAAAAGTAGCGCTGTTTTTAGTAAGTTATCGAACGAATTGAAAGAGACGATATCGGTTGGAAACGAACGAGTGAAGAAGAGCGCGAAGCGTATCGCGTCGGCTTGGACGCGACGGGCAGAAAGAAGAGAGACGACGAACACGCCGATGTCGTTTATGGGGGCGTTGTTTGGAGAGAAGAAGAAGAAGAAGAAGAAAAGGCGAGAGGAAAGTTCGTTGCTCGATTCTTCTTCTCTTTCGAGCGATGAAGATGAGGATGAGGAGGATGAAAACGTAGAATCGATGTTGTCGGTAAACGAGGAGGATTTCTTTGAAGAAGAAGAGGACGAGGCGATGTGGGCGCCGTATTTTCATCAAGAAGGAGAACAGTCGAGAAGAGTCGTCGAAGATAACATTCGCATGAGCAACAATAATAGCAGTAGGACTAGAAAAAACAACACTAGTAACCTCCACGGAGGTTTGTAAAAATATAATCACGCGCTGGTAGTACACGGAAAATTTACGCAGAGCGCCGCCTGAACGCCCTGAACGCGCACCCGAAAGACGACGATTTACGACTAAAATTTACATATCTTTAATCTCATCAATCTTTGCAACTTTCCTCATCTCTCGGTGTTCTGTTTTCGGGCACATCATCTCTTGCCAATTCATAGCCACCATCGTCGTTTTACACCTCTTACACTTCGCCCGAACGACCCCTAATGGATTTTCGTTCGTCGCTAAAACCAAACTCCTCCCCTCGCCCATCGCGAGTACTTTACATCGAACCACATCTCCAGGCACGAACGATTCCTCCATTATAACTTTATCTATTTCTGTTTTTCTTACGTCTTGTTGCCTCACGATGCCGCTAAACTCCGTTTTCAAAGGTTTCCCGTCGCACACGAGGACGTCGAACTGCGCCATCTTTTCTCGAATTTTCGTGCACTTCGCAAAGACAACATCGTTCACCTCGGGTAATCGAACGCGCACGTTTTCGTCCTCGATTTCCTCCCGGTTCAAAACTTCCACCACTCTTTTCCTCTTCTTTTTTGTCTTCTTCTTCTTCTTCTCTTCTTCGTCGTTCTCTTCGTCCTCGTCCTCCTCGTCAACCGCCAAAACGTCGTCTTCGAAAACGTCTTTGACATAAATCTCCCCAATTTTGCTCGCTCTTTTGATGCCGTTTTCGTCTTTGTACGCCCCGCTTCCACACTCGATTTCTTCAAAATCTTCTTCAAAATCTTCTTCTCCATCTTTTCCTTCGGGAGAAGAAGAAGAGAGAAGACGAATTCTGTCCCCCGGGAACACCAACACCATCTTTACTCTTAGTGTAGTCTTTTCGTCTTGAGAAATTCTTCTTCTTCTTCTTCTTCTTCTAAAATTTATTTCTCAAAAACATTTGTAACCCTAAATATATAAAAAAAAAGTGTTCCGGGTGCTCAAATTAAAAAAACCCACGTGGCGAAACGAGAGAAACTCTTCTCCTTCGTTCACGTTCGCCAGACATGTAGGTTTTCAAAAGTTCGTTAGAAATAAAAAGAATAAAAGGAGGTTCCGTAATTCACTCGAGAGACACTTTACTCGCGCAGAAAACATACACACGAGACAAACGCACACGTTTAAAATCAACGCGATGATGACGACGATTGCCACCACCACCGTGAACAACAACAGCTTCAAAACTTTCAAAGCGACGAGGACGAATTCAAAACGTTTGTCTTCTTCTTGCATTAAAAATGCATCGTCAAAGTGTCTTTTGGAGAACAGAATTACGATGAGAAAAAGGAATTCAATTCTGTCCAAGACGACGACGACGAGGACGACGAGACTGAATGTCGTTTCCGCGAACAAGTCTTCTTCCTCTTTCGAGCAGGAACAAAATAATTCCGCCGCTGATGTTTTTGTGAGCGAAATGGAGTCGTCTCAAATTGTTTCTTCTCCCAAGAACAAATCGAAGCTCGCTTTGGTGGCCACCACGGCGGCGTTGAGTTTGTCCGCGTTCGCGAAACCGGCAGCCGCGGCAGCCGCGGCGGCGATTGCAGTCAACGCCGGCGATACGGCGTGGATCTTAACGTCCTCCGCGTTGGTCTTGTTCATGACTATTCCAGGATTGGCTGCGTTTTACGCCGGTTTGGTGAAGAGAAAGAACTTGATCACCGTTCTCGGGCAGTGCTTCGCGTTGACGTGCATGATGACTATTATTTGGTTCGTGTGCGGGTACTCGATGTGCTTTTCCACGGCGGGGTTGTTCGGTACCGCGGCGATGAAAGAAGGCGCGACTGGTTTGTCTGCGTTTATTGGCGGCTTGGACAAGATGTTCTTAGCCGGCGTTGGACCGGCGAGCATGCACGAAACCATTCCGGAAATTTTGTGGGTGCTGTACCAGTGCACGTTTGCAATCATCACGCCGGCGTTGATGGTCGGGTCCATGGTTGAGAGAATGAAGTTCAACGCGGTTATGTGGTACTGCGCCTTGTGGTCGTTCGCGGTGTACTTTCCCGCGTGTCACATGGTGTGGGGCGGTGGCGGCGGCTATTTCGCCGATTTGGGCGTCTTGGACTTTGCCGGCGGCATCGTCGTGCACATCACGGCCGGTATCGGCGCGTTGGTAGCGGCTATCAAAGTTGGTAAGAGAAAAGAAATGGAAATGACGGTCGGGAACTTGGTGCTGACGTTTTTGGGTACCGCGATGTTGTGGGTCGGCTGGTTTGGATTTAACGGCGGTTCCGCGTTATCTGCTGGCGCCAACGCCGCGTTCGCGTGCATGGCGACGCAAATCGCCGCGGCCACCGCCGCGGTCACGTGGACATTATGGGACATCAAAGAGTTTGGTAAAGCGTCTGTTTTAGGCACTTGCACTGCCTCTATCGCAGGTTTGGCGACTATCACGCCGATGGCTGGTTTCATCGGCCCGAAAGGCGCCTTTTTAGGCGGCATCGCCGCCGGTATCATCTGCCGCTTCTTCTCCACCACGGTGAAGGAATACTTTGGTTACGACGACGCGTTGGACGTCTTTGGCGTCCACGGCGTCGGCGGTTTCTTGGGCACCATCATGCTCGGTATACTCTGCCACCCAGTCTTGGGCGGCTTCAACGACGTCCCCATGCTCAAACAAACCATCGTCCAAGTCTACGCCGCCGTGGCGACTGCCGTGTACACCGCCGTCGCCTCGTACGCGTGCTTGTTGGTGACTGAAAAAATCACCGACGGTTTGAGAGTCCCGCCGGAAGCGGAAGCGTCCATGCTCGGTTTGGACGAGTACTCGCACAAAGAAAGCGCGTACTCGCCGATGAAATAAACGACAATAATGAGAGATTTATAAATATACATACATATTAAGGTTTTAATACACATCAAAACGCTATCATAATACTACGGTGTTTATGCATCACATCACAAGTAATCCTCCGCTTTCTCGCCTCTCTTTTCGCACTCTTTCTTAAACCGCGCTTGCACCGCACCGTAGTTATTCTTATAAATGTAATCCGCGTTGCCTTCTTTCGTCGAGGTATCTATCCCCCACTCCGACATTTTCTCTCGCGCGATTTTCTCGTTCCCGTCTAACCTGCTCATCCCTAACGTCTGTGGGATTCCCCAAACGACCATGACGCAGAGAAACCCCAACGCGGCTGGGTTTAAATCGAAACCGAGGAGGTCTTGCGTCGCTCGCACTTTTTGGAAATTTCGTCGTCTTCCTCGCGCGGACACGGACGAAGAAGAAGCGCACTTTCGAGTGCTTCCAACGCTCGGAGATGATGAAGAAGAAGGGATAACGGCAGCGCAGAGTGGTGCTGCTGAGGACATCGCGTGTAAGTGTGTGTGCGTCGTGTAAACAGAGTGTATGTGGTTTTATAAAAAGAGTGAAGATATTTCCCGAGAGAGAGAAAGAGAAAAGATACGGGGAGAGTCAAAAGCGCGTATTCTATGGTATCATTATTAGTATTATTCCTAGTTTGCTATTCCTTTACCTTCACTCAAACGCGACTTCACCGCACTCTTTTTATTATCTACAAAACTCGCATCGTTAGTGTTAGTAGTATTGTCGAGGAGCAAAGCGTCTAAATCAACCACCGAGGGCGGTTGGAATAAAATCTCGTACGAGCCGACGTGTCGAATTTTATGTCTCGAGTGGCCGCGGTTGCCGAGGATGAAATCGAAGACGTTCAAGTAGTTGGAGCGGAAGGATTCACGCTTGCGGTCGTAACACATGCATATGGTACCGGCGGCAAACGCGAAGAGGAGGACGTCCAGTCGTTTGTCTTTCCAGGATTTAGGGATGTATCCCCAGGAGAGCATGGAGATGACGACGGATTCCAAGGATTTGTCGAGACAATACGTCGCGAGTTCACCGCGGCGGGATTTTTTTTCTATGAACGTCGCCGCACCAGCGAGTGGGACGCCACAAACTAAGGTCGTTGGCGTGACTTTTTTCGTCAAACGGCCGAGCACGTCCGGACCTTGCCAAGCCAATGCGCAATACACGGTTAAGAACAACGACGACCGCGCGATGCCGGCGAAAAGTTTGCCGAGCAACTTGGGATCTTTCAACAGTTTCTCTCGGTGTAAGAGAATCGCAGGGAAGACGTAAATCGGAACGTGGCTGATGAAAGAGGTTCCCCACGAGTTTTTTACGAACGCGAGAAAATGCTCGATTGGATTCGCATCGTTCATGAAAAACTTCCTGTACACGGCGTCTCTCGAGTATGGGAGTTTTACTCCTCCTCCTCCTCCTCCTCCTCTTTGAATCGCTCTCAACATTTCGTCTTTTTTCGCCGCGCTCAACGACCCAGTTTTATTCAACACAATCGCCGTTCTCTCACAATACTCGCGAAACATCTCTTCCCCTTTGCCTTCTGGATCGTTTTCAGGTAGAAAACACAACTCTCTCAACGCTTCCACCTGCCTTTTCGTCTTGCCGCAGTGTCGATCTAAAAACGCGCCGTACGCGCCTCTCACCGCCTCTGGTTTCAAAATAAAACACCCCAAAATAACTACCGCACTGCCCGTCACCACCGCCACGTCCGCGTGTTCCCAATTCGCCACCCGAAATAAACTTCTGACCCGTTCGTTCTCACTTTTCGCGCCTACCCGACTCATCAACACCAACGCCTTCAGCGAAAGATACGACGCCAACGAATAGTTCGGCTTCGCGCCGGCCAAGAGAAAACTCGGCGACGCCACCACCCCAGATACGAACGCTCGGTACCGTTTCGTCTTCTCCGCGCCAAACTTCCACGCGAGAACTTCGTCCGACGTCACGTACGCGCCCGCGAACGACCCCACGAACACACTAAACTTCACCGCGTCTTCAAACGCCTCTCTCGCTTTCAACTGTTCTCTCGTCGTTTTTCCTCGCAAATATCTCGAGAGCACCGCGAACACGTTCACGCCGCCTTTCAGGGTCAACCCGGTGAACGCGCCTCGCTTGATGCTCTTCGTAATTCTCTTCCGCGCTCGAGTTTTCTCCTCTTCTTCTTCTTCTCCTCCTCTTCTTCTCGACGCGTAAAATCTCTCCTTCTGTTCCAATTTGTACGTTTCGTGTTGCTCGTCGTTTCCCATCAGAGACGCACTTTTCGGCGGTTTACCGCCGCCGAATAGTACTCCTTTTCCCATTCTTTCGAAAAATACGCGCGTTTTCTTCTGATGTTGGTGGTGTTGTCGTTGTCGTCGTCGCGCGCGCGCGTGCACGTCTTTAAAAGTGGAGAAAAAACGTATCTAAACTTAAAGAGAGTTCGTTATAAAAAGTTCTCTCCACGCGCGCGCAGAAAAGAGAGAGAGAAACAACTCGCGGAAGAAGAAGAGGAGTGCATTTTCACCATGGACGCGGCCGCATTCAGCGCACTTTCTCGCGAGCTCTGCTCTTCCTCGCTCTCTTCTCACGAGAAGACGACTCTTTTCATAACAGAAGTCGCATCCAAGGAGAAAAAAATCTCGTGCGAACAACTCGGGATGTGTTTGAAGAACATCTTATTCGTCAACTTCCGCTTGCGATGTTGCACGGAAACGGCGACGTACATCACCGACTGGGAGAAAAACAGAGAGGATTTGAAACGGTTGGTGAAAAAGTGGGAGTTTACAGATTTCGAAGAGGCGATCGAGGAGGAGAGGAAAAGGAGCGGAGGTCAAGGTGGTGGGAATATACCCGGAAAAGGAGGAGAGGGCAGAGAAGAGAAGAATAATCGAACTTTAGCGGCGTGGAGCAGGAAGATCGAGATGGAGGAAAAGGACGAGGACGACGAGGACGACGCGACGACGCTGCCATTGGCCGTGGAGGAGAGGAAGAGCGGTGTTAACGGAAACGGATATAACAACGAGGAGGAGGATTTGAAACAGAGCGCGAAAGAAACGGACGATCCAACCTGGATGAAACCGATGAACGCGTACGAAACGAAAACCGCCGCGCGATTGACGGAAACGAAGAGGGTCGGCGTCCGGTACGAACACTTTGATAAAAAGAAGAACGTGCCATTGGTCGAGTTACGTGTGGAGAGGGACGTGCCGACGTTTAGAGAGGATTTCAATACGATCGCGTACGACGAGGATTTCACAGGGGATGTTATTTTGGACGTGAAGAACGAGTTCAAGACTAAAGGAGGCGTGAAAGTTTTTTTGAAATGTAACGAGTATGGGCACTGGGAGAGTGGGTCGGGAAAACATAGGAAAACACACACGAGAAGGAAAACGAGCTATTCGAAAGAGTTCAATTTGTTATCTTTGGAGGACCAAAATCGAACATTTCGCGAAGGAGAGAGAATAGTATTACGGTTTAAATTTGATGAGATAATCGATGCACCGAGCTTTTATTTCGGCGGAGGTAGGACAACGTGCTACGTAAAGTGGCAATTCGGCGTGTATCTCGATGTAGATTATGGTAATGCATTTAAGAATGCGTTCGGAAGAGACGTTGATTTTAAATGCGATTGTCATCACGTCGGGAAATATTTATCTATTTCTGCCAACAAGCACTTGGGAACACCAACCGACCGCAAAATTTCCGTCTCTGTTCCTTCTTTCATGTGCTGCGGCGGTTCCAAAAACGGAGATCTTGAAGGCCGCGTGTGGCTCGAACGCGATCACTTTTCTGTCGCCGATGACGTGTGGAGAAACCAAGCTTTACGCTCCGCGTTGCAAATGCAATTGAAAAACAGCAGTAAAAAAGAAATCCAAAACGCGCGATACGAATTTCGCCGCTCTATTTCCATCGCCGGGCACTGTTTTAGCGACTACGTCGTGTCCAGCGGGTATTTTCCGCAATCTTTTCTTAAACCTGAAATGATGAGCTTTGAAAATTTTAATTTTCAGTTGTCCGTGACGGAGCAAGGGGGATTGAGTTTCGCGAATCAAGCGACCAGTCCTCCCACGAATTACGCCAGAATTGAGTGGAAGCTGGTGGTTATATTCAAAGTGAATTACGCGTTCGATCCGAAAATTGTTTTTCCGATAACGCTGTGTTCTCGATTTGTCGCGTGAGCGTATTTTTCAAGGAGTATTATGATAGTAAGCAATATGATATTAATAGCTCCCATAAAAAACCACTCGCAATTCCATTTTTGTACAAAAAGAAACTCACAAATCTCTCACTCTCAACAAACGCGAAATGACATCGACGACGACATGCTGCTGCAAGTTGCTGCGCTGAGAAACAACACCAACAGCGGGGATATCCGAGGAAACAGAAAAAGCGACTTTGGCTTTTCGGTCTCTTTTTTTGATGCGAGGAAGAAGAAAAACAAATACAGTTACGTCTCGATGAGAGCAAAATCGTCGTCGGATAAAGACGTCGACCAAGTGAACATGTTCCGGAATTACGAGCTCCGGACGATTGCAAAACCGAAAACGACGTCGCGTTTACCAACTGTTCTGGTGTTGGGACACCTCGGGTCCGGGAAAACGACTGTGTTGAAACACGTTTTGACGCAAACGCAGAGCGATTTGAAGGTTGTGGTGGCGGTGAATGACTACGCCGGCGTGAACGTGGACGCGGAGTTGGTGAAGCGAACGTTGAAGGACGATAATAGTCGCGAGGAAGTGATGGAGCTGACGAATGGGTGCGTGTGTTGTTCTTTGAACGAACAGTTTGAAAAAGACGTTTCAAATTTGTTGAGGAGAGATCAAGTGGAAGCGGCGGAATATTTGTTCGTAGAGACGAGCGGGATTGTCAATCCGACGGATTTGGTGATGAGTTTAGATAAAGCGTTCGGGAAGTTTGCGAGGATACGATTGGATTGCGTGTGTTGCGTGGTAGATGCGGAGGTGGCGGAGAGAGGAGGACCGGAGTATGAACGCGAGGCGTGGTTTGCGCAGATTCGAGCGAGCGACGCGGTGTTTTTGAACAAGGTGGATTTGCTGGACGGAGACGAAAGGAGAATCGAGTCGGCGACGATGAACGTTCGAGAGGCGTTCGGGAAGACGAACATAAATGGCGACGACGACGATGTTGACTTGGCGGTGAAAATAGTTCCAATCGAGCGAGGGAAGATTAACATTGAAAGCGTCATCGACGCGCGGTACGATATTTTTGAACCGGAAGGGAAGCAAGGCACGGATTTGAGCAGCGCGAGGAAACGTTTGGTGGTGAACGATTACGGGGAGTCGTTAAGTTCGTTGGGTAAGCTGCGCGTAAATATGTCCGATAAGAAATCTAGTGGTGGTGGCCCTTTACAACTTGGAAGACACTCGAGGACGTTCAAGACGTCGTTTGCTTCAAGCGGAAACGAGGATACCAAAGATGCGGTCGATTTTGAAACTTTAGAGATGATTGATTTCGTCCAGTTCCAACGATGGATACGGAAATCAAACGTTGCGAGAGCAAAAGGTATGGTCCGTTTCGCATCCGTAAACGGTCTGTGGGACGTTTCGGTCTCCGGCAGAGGACGCGTTGAGGTGACTCTAGTGAGCGGAGTAGAAGCTAAATTCGCGTTACCGGGTAGTAGATTAGTCGTCATCGGGAATCAATTAAACGTGGAAGACGAGATGTCCGCGATGCGAGCTCTCGTTGATAATAGTAAAGTAGAGAATAGCGACAAAAAACGACGGCGCCGCGACAAAGTGCAAAGTATCGTAGACGTGATGAAATCGGACGACCGCTTTGAAATCGACGACGACGAGAACGACCCGCTCGTTGAAACCATGAAAGAAGAAGGCATCGTTCAATTTCGTTTAGTTGGCGCGAGAAACAACGGCTGGACCGTCGAAACGCTCGAGCGTACGCACGGTGTAGATTTAAACTCGCTCAACGCGTCCTTCGCGCAAAAGTACAACGCGATGACCGCGAGCGAGTTTCAAAATTTCACTTCTTCGTCGGAAGACAAAAAATGGGAACCGAAGTTACTGTTGGCGAGTGCAAACGAAAGTGAAGCTCGGCAGACGCACTTTCGCCAACCGATGGTGACAATAAAAGTGCGCGTGTTGAACGACGACGGCGACGAAGACGACGACGAGAACCATTTCGAATCGTCCTTTTTATGGTGGTCGGTGCGAAACGTCGCCACGGTTATTTTGCAAAGATACTTTCAGCACATTCCAAAGTGTTCGTGCGGATTCTGAATAAAACACAATCAAAACATAAATATTATACAATAACAACGCGTCGCAAAAAAGTATCTACTACTAGTATCTACTTTGACGCCGCCGGCTTCGACGCGTTTTCCTCCTCCAACTGTTTCAAACGAAAACTCAACTCGTCCAGAATCTCTCGCACGGTTTCAAACCCTACTTTCTCGTACACGCTCTTCCCGCTCACGAAAATCTTCACCGTCGGCATCTTCGTCACGTTTTGCGATTTGATGAAATCTTGAGGCACCATGTTCACATCGATTTTATCAAACGTAACCTCCGGGTGTTCGACCGCGAAATATTCCATTTTCCCGTTCAACGTTTTACATTTCCGACACCACCCGGCGACGAACTCCACCACGTGCACGCCTTCCGAGTTGATCGTTTTTATAAATGCGTCCTCGGTTTCCAATTGAGGTATCGTTCGTTTCTCGTCATCCATCATCATCGAGTTCGCCCTCGTCCTCGTCGTCGTCTTCTTCTTTCCTCCAAAGCGAGAAGAATATAAAGAACGAAACCGAGGAGGAGGAAAAGTCATCGTCAAAGTCGTCGTCGTTCTCGCGGTGGATGTGGTAAACATGTGTGTGTGTTTGTGTGTGTATGTGTGTGTTGTTGTGAAGATATTTTGAGCTGAAGAAAGATATTTTTTAAAAAAAAAATGACACAATTCAACTGTTTGTCTCTTCTGTTTGATGACTGTTTCGCTCTAAGTATGTGTATATGTTTATGATGATGAAGATGACGATGACGAGGACTCTGGAGCGTGCAGTACTCCTCCTTCGTAAGACCAGCCTTCTGGGAGAGGACAGTTGTTGTCGAGGAGGTATTGTAAACATTCCGTTTGGTTGTTGTCGTGCGCTTCCCATACGGCGTCCTCGTCCCAAGGCGCTTTGGCGGTTTCGTGTAAGTACTTCAAACAGTCTAAGTGGCCGTTCATGGCCGCAAACTCACACGCATCTTCGTCATATTTATCATACTTACGCTCAACAAGATATTCGAGTATGTGGAGATGACCATTTTCAGCCGCCCGTGAGGCAGTTCTCCAATCCCAAGGCGCTTTGACTTCTTCGCGTAAGTATTTGAGGCACTCGAGTTGACCGTTTTTGGCAGCATTTGCACACGCCCTCCAATCGATAGGACACTTATTTGCCACGCAATACTTGACCATTTCCAGATTACCTTTTTCTGCGGCCGCATTAATCGTCGTCCAATCCCACTTACACTTTTTCTCCTCTCGCGCCCACTTGAGCAACTCGAGTTTATTCGTGTGAGCAACTTTCGTGCAGAAATCTCTTTCGTACCACCAACTCGGCCACAAATATTTATTCTCCCACGCAACTTCCAACGTCGATATCGACGACATCTCGCTCACTCTAAACCTCTTTTTCAAATCACCCGCGCGAGACGATCTCTTCACCAACTTTCTCGTCTCCGTATTCACCTCGTAAAAGAATTTGAGATCCGTCCCGTTGAGTTTACACATCACATGCTTCTCCACGATATCGCGACACGCGCCGCCATTCAGCAACGCCTCTCTGAACAAACGCCATAACGGCAAAGTTGATGGTGTATTCTCGAGCGCCGTTCGCATGCGTTTGGGTCTCTCGTAATCCTCTTCCGTCGAGTATTCGGAGGACATGATGAGATCGTTTTTTTTAACGCCAATTTTTTTTTCCGCAAACCTTCTTTTTCTTCCTTTTTCTTCTCTTTTTTGGAATCCCTTATTTTTTACGATGATGGACGTTGATAACATGAACGCAGAAGAAGAAGGAGAAGCAGAGGAGGAGGGCAACCTACCACCCGGCAAGGATGATGTTTATGCCGAGAAGAGTAATGATAAGAATAAAAGCGATGAAAAGAAATGGCCTCACCTCCCCTCCTCTGTCTCCGTGTTGAGCAAAAATGAAGCGTTGGAGATTTTGGAGATTTTTTCCCCTACCCCTACTGAGAATAACGCTTTTAGGAAAGACGACGATGACGCGGATCTCTCGAAGCAAATCAAACTCCAATACCGGAAACTGTGCTTGAAATATCACCCGGATAAGAACAAGGAGGAAAACGCCGAACGCGCGTCGAGGGCGTTTACCGCCATCACGGCTGCGTATCACACGCTGACGACGGTGAATTTCAACCAAGAAAAATGGTTGAAGACGTTTTCGATTCCACCGATGCAAAGTTTATCGGACGTGTTGCAGTTGGCGTTGAAAGGCGCGGATCCGGAGGAAATCGAGCGATTGATGCGAGCGAGAGGGGAATACAGGCCGCATAGGAATTTTGGGATCGATTATAACGTTCGGTGGGAATCTGGGGAGAAACCGGATCCAGCCGGCGGTATGTTTCGCGAGACGGCGATGAACGAATACAGCGATACAAAGTGTTTGAGCGACGGCTTTGATTCGATGAGAGTTGGAGAGGATAGGGAGAAAAGGCCGTGGGAAGTCGTCGGAGGGGTTGGGTACGAGAATCAAAAGAGCAGTATGTTGCTGGGAGATGTTGGTCAGCAGCAACTGCATCACAAGCGTAAGTACGAGGAATGCGAGAAGAAGAATTTAGACTTGCTCGAGAGATTCACGCCGTTGTCCAACGATGCTAAAATTGAAGCCGAAAGGTTAAACGATATCGCGTTGAGCGAGTACGAGAAAGGACGTTACGAAGATGCGATGATAATCTTCGACGGTATAGTGAAGTTAATGCCGGATAGAACGCCATATAGAACGAACAGGGCGAGTTGCGCGTTGAAAGTCATAAACGCGCTGGAAGGTTCTTCCGCCGAGAGTAGTCGACGGCAAACGTTAATTGCGAAAGTGATTGAGGATTGCGAAAAAGCGTTAGAGATTGATAACGGGGAGAATTTAAAAGCAAAGGTGAGAGGCGCGGAAGCTTACGTGAAGTTAGGCGATAGTTACAGCAGCAGTAATCGGCCTTCGGAACAGAGAGAAGGTTTGAAGAATTTTTTGCGCGCGAAGAAGTGGTTCACCGAAGTCTTGTCGATGAATCCTAACAATAAACGAGCAAAAGATGGATTGAAAGATTGTTTACTCTCGTTGGAGTTGATTGATGAATACGACAGCGACCGAGAATACGACGTGGAAATGATGTAAACGTAATGATATTAGTAAAGACTAGTAATAGTAGTAATACCGTGTAGTAGCAGCAGCCATGGACATTAAGAAATTCACCTACCCCGCGGTTTAATTCTAAAGTAAATCTTCCTCTTCAGCGATCGGGTCAAACTCGTCTTCGGATTCATCCGGTAAACTCGCAAGTTTTCGCAGGTTCAAATCAGACAGCTTTCCTCGAGCGGCTGATCCAGTACCGCCTTGTTTCAAGTATGGAAGGGCAACTTCGGCGCCTAAATCCAAACGCAAGGCGCGGAAGACTGCGCGTTCGGCACTCTTCTTTGCCAAATCGTGTTTATCTGCCACTGCGACTTCGGCGAGATCGGCGAGGAAGATTGGGAAGTGAATGGTTACATCGTCGATTTCGTCCTTTAAAGACGCGCATTTGATCATCGACCGAATCGCTTTCGACGAGTTCTCGCGCACATCCCCGCTCGCGTCTCTTAAAAGTTTCGTTAATACTTGTAAAATTTTTGAAACGGTCTCCGACGACGCGCTTTCGACGCGTACGCAAGCTTCCCCTAAATACCCTAATCCTTTCGCGCAATTTGATTTGACCGATTTCAAATCGTCCGAAGCACATTTTGCTAAACTGTTCAACGTCGTCGCTTTGTCTTTCGGGCTTGATAAAATAGACTCTGGCGCGAGTCGGGCAAACTCGGACAAAATCTTCGATTTGCCTTCGCGAGACGCGATGGTGATGTTCTCTGAAGCGAATTGCTCGACGTCCGTCTTCAACCACTCTTCTCGTTTCGATTCTTTGTTCTCACCGCTCTCGTCATAGTACAGAGAAGCAAAAGCTGCTGCACACCGCGCTGCCGCAAATCGAATCTCTTCATCTTCCGAAGTCATCGCGGCTACGGTGGACGCATTCAACGCAATTTCGGCAGATTCGGGCGTGATTTTTGATCCGCCGTGCCTGGCTACGCCTCGCGCGGCTTCGAAGTGCGCTTCGATACACTCGTCATTGACTTCGTTGTTGGCGAGTTTCTTCGCTAAATCGGCAGCTACTGTGTCAACTCTGACTTGAATTGCCATCAGTAATCCTAAACCTTTCGCACCAGACATTCTCGTCGATCTGTTCGCATCGTTCAACGATTTCAAAAAGGTTGTTTGCAGTTGAGGCACAAAGGGTTTCAAGCCGATGCCACCTTTCTCGACCAATGTGGCGAGACAATCGAGCAACGCCGCGCGTACGCTCGACGGAAATTTGTCCGAAACGACGCGAATGAGCGGTCCAGCTACGCCAACAATGTGCGATTTCAGCCCATCTTTTGTGGAACAAGAGACGGCGAGTTGGAGCGCTTCTGCAGCGCGTTGTCTATGCTCAGGCTCTTCGCCGTGTAAGACACCCGCGAGGTATATTTTTGAAAGCGCCTCTAACGCTCTCGGTAAGGCCAACGCGGGAATAATAGTGTATTTTGACGACGTGGATGCTGGAGAGGAATCTGCAATCGCACTCTCGCCGCCTGGCCACACTACTTGTTGCTTGTGTAAACGTTTCGCTTGCTCTTTGCATTGTCGTATAGACGCGTGGCAACAATCCACGAATTCCATCAACTCGTCTTTTTGTATCGTAGACACGACGACATTTAAAGCACCCCATGCGGAGTCTCGCGCACATTTATACTTGTCCGAGAATTGCGCGGATAGCGTTTTTACCAACACCTGCGCGTCGACAAAATTGTCGTAGCCGGAAAACGTTGTCGCAAAATCTGCGAGGGCGATGGAAGACACCGCTCGTCGTCTCGCTTTTGCCTTTTCCTTTTCTTCGTCAACTTTTTTCAGCGCAGACGTTTTCGCGAGCTCTGTGAGCGCGTCAGATAATTCGGAAAGGAGTTCTGCCCCACAATCTTCAGGAGCGGCGGCAATGATAGAACGCAACGCGTTGAACGCTGGAAATTTAGAAACGTCATCGAAGGATTCGCGCTTGGTCCACGACATTTCTTCTTGCAGATTTGTTTCTTCTTCAATCGCGTCAAAAAGTCTTGGAATAATCGAATCCAAATGCGGTGGCAACGCCGGACCAGCTACAGATGCTAAAGCACCTAAAGTTTTTGCTTTATCGGGAGTAATCGGCGGCGCCGCCAATTTTGGAAGCGCCACGGCTAAAATGTTCGGTTGCGCTTTCAGCGCCACGCGCAAACCGTTTAGCGCGTTCGCCTTCTCTTCCTCCGAAGCTGAGTCTCTTTCCATATCGCGCAACAAGTCTGGGACGATTTTCGCCGCTGCTTCTTTACCGCCAGTCCATCGGTACATGGCTTTGAAGGCCACGCCGCCGGCGTCTTGAGTATCCGCGTTGGGGTTGGAGAGACAGATTTCGACGAAAGATGTGAACAACGTCGCTTGCTTCGGGTTGACGATACCACCCTCGTGCGTGGACTCTTCCGCGCAATCAAAAATCTCCGCGAGACTCAGCGCCGCGCCAGCTTTGGTGATTTTATCATTTCGTACGATTTGTTCTGCTTCTCCCTCGGTCGCCTCAAATACAGTGCGCAAAATTGGTAAGATGCCTTCGATGAACTTTTCACCAAGTTTTCTCGTCAAATCCGCCACGGCTCTCGCCCCGGTCATTTTTCTCTCTTCGCCGTCATCCTCTTCGTCTTCATCGTCGTCTGAACCTTCTGTTGATGTTTTTGACGAGGACAATGACGATATCGTACCTTGAGAATACGCTTGCAGAATGCGCTTGGCAATTCTCGGTAACGTCGCTCTCAAAGTTCTCGGCGTATTCGCAACAACTGTTTTCCATACGTGCACGGCGTCGTTTCGAATTTGCGATTGCCCGTCACACCGAAGTAAATAAATGACGGCCAAAACGTCCAAATGACGTTCTCGACCTAACATTCGCGTCAACTGCTCGCCTTGTGCTTCGGTTGAAATCCCTTCTTCGTCCGCGGCCGCCTCTTCTTCTTCCGCCGTCGCCCGCTGAACGCGCGCTTTCCCGGAACTGCCGACTATTCTAAAGAGCATAGAACCAAGGAGCTCCAACGCGCAATGTCGAATTCGCCATTCGGTAGCGTTCGTGCCGGTTTCGATTGCTGGTAAAATTAAATCTAACGCAGATTCAGAGTGCGAATATGCGGAAACAAAGACTCTCCCGGCACCCAACGCGGCGTCACGGACGGACTCTTCCTCGTCCGCGAGACCGGTAAGGACAGTGGTCAAGGACTCCGATAAGTACGGCTCGAACTTTTGCCCAACAGATAAGGGAAGAAACTTCAGGAGCTGCAAATGACCTTCGCGAACTCTTGATAGAGGACTACTGCATCCGCGATAAACTTCTGGAAGAATTGCAACAAATCTGTCACCTCCGAGCGCGTTGAGACATTCGGCTAAACCTTGCGCCGCACCGGCTCTTTCGACGCCGGACCCTTCGCCTTGCATTTTCTCTGTCAACCACGGGATTAAATCTTCAAAATGTTCTTCACCTGCACCATCCAAAAGCGAGGCTAAAGCACGAGTAGATACCGAACGGACTTCCGGGTTTGGATCGATGAGAGACTTCTTCAATTCCGAGACTAACTCCGGGATGTACGGAACCATATCTTTCGGATCCGCGACCAAAGCGCATGTGTTTCCTGCAATCTTAGCTGCCTTTTTCTTCATATCCGCCTTGCGTTCTTTTAAACCTCTCGAAATTATTGGGATGATTAATGCTAGACTCGGCGCGTCAACAACGTTAACGAACGTTGTTTCCAAGAGAATATCTAAACATTTCTCTGTGTGCGTCGTCGGGTGCGCGATTGCCCCTAACAGGTATTTTGACAACGCTTGAATTTCCGGATTTTTAATCACGTCCCCGATCGACTTTAACGCAAGTGAAGCCGCATCGACAACTTTCGGGTGCGTGTCCACCAGAGCTTGGGAAAGTCTTGGCACAATTTGCGGTAAACAGCTACCCAATTGTTTCGGCGCGCAGCTCGACATCGCGCCGAGAAGTTTCGCAGACCCGCTCTTCGTGCGCCATTGATCATCGCGTAAACCTTCCAATAACGCCGGTAAGACAAGCTTTACGCCTTGTGCGGATAAATTCTTCATAATTTTCTGGGACGCGCCTTCGCACGCGAGACGCACGGATTCTGTTTGATCGCCAAAAGAGACGAGTAACATTGGTAAAATGGTCACGACGTATGGTTCAAAGAGTCGACCGAGACGTTCAACGAGTAATTCGAAACACATCAAAGCTCCTTCTCTTGATTGTGCCGATTTCTTATCCTCGATTAATGATTTAATACTATCCATGATACCCATACCTTTTAATGATCCCATACCGATACCTTTCACTGCACCGGCGACGCCAAAGGCTGCGCCTCTCCTCACGGCGTACGATTCGCCTTGCGACAACTTCCCGAGTAATCCTTCAATCAACGCGCGTTTCTCTTCTTCAGTCGCGAGTTGTTTCATTAACGGTGGGAACGCGTCAGCGACTTTTCTTTGAACTGATTCAGACGGCGTTTCCAAAACCTCCAACAAACGTTCTAAAATTTGCTTGACCTTTGGATCACTCGAATCCAAATGCACTGCCAACGATGCCAGGAAGACAACCGCGCCGGATTTAGCGTAATCCTGAATCTCTTCGGATACCGTTCTATCGGCCGGTTTATCAAAATAACCTTCAAATACTTTAAGTAACGTTTCGGTGTTAGCTTCACCGTGAGCGGCGATGACCACTTTACCGGCATCGATGGACGCCTCGCGAACTTCGAGGGATTCGTCCGAGAGCGCCTTCAACAGCAACGTGGCAACCAAAGGTACGTCGTGTTTTTGCAACGCATTGGAAGAGGCGCCCAGAGCGGTAACAACACCAGCGCGGCCAGATGCATCGGTACAACTCGAGAAGAGCGCAAACAATTTTGCTAAAACAGAAGCAACGCCCGTTGGGAGTTGTTCGACAGCTGTCGCAAATGCTTTCACCGTCGCTTCTCGAACTGCGAAACACTCGTGCGAGAGAAACGGGAGTAAAACAGTCGGCGATTGGGTATCGCCTTCATCGGCAAAAGATACGCCCGCATTTGCATAAGCCGTCGATGCCATTTCAGCAAACGCTTCGTTTGAATCATGTTTAGCAATGAACAGTCGAACGGCGATGTCACGTAGTATTTCATCCGTCGTTTCAATATCTTCTACCGTAATCGCATGAATGTTCGACAAAGATGAAAGCGCTTCTAAACACGTTTTACGAGCTTCTGATGATTCATTCTCGCACCCATATACTAACGCCTGCACATCGTTTGCGTTGGTAGATGTTTTTGCAACTGACAGCAACGTATCCTGGGCAAGCAAAGTAAACTTGGGACTCACCGAATAGTTGATGGCTCTCGTCAAACACCGAACGGCGGCAGCTACCGATCGCATCGGTTTACAACTTTTCCTGGCGTAATCACCAAGCAACTCTAAGCACAACATTTTATGTTGCGATGAACAATCGATTCTTTCAATCGCTCTCGACAGAATCGGAAATAGTAGCGAGAGTAAATTTCTACTCTCAGAAATCCCATCCCCTAATTTGGTAAAGTTTTCCCTCAAAGCTTCCAGCGCTTCGGCGATGACGGCGACTTCAAATTCCACGTGATCCGCATCTTCATCAATCGGTTCTTTCGATAACGGATCGAGCATCGGTCGTTTTTCAAACCCATCTCGAGCTTCTGCGCATAATACCACCGCCCTGGCAAATTTAGCACGAAGATGCGAAGAGAAACGATCTTTACCCGCAAGCGCGACGATTCCTTTCGTGCTCGCGACGATTTCAAAGAAACTCTCAAAGCAACTCACGCACACGCTATCGTGCAAAATCTTCGAGTTACAGAGTGGGAAAACAACATCGTACGCGACATTTGCAGCAACATCACCAAGTTTGTTCTTAGGATGGACCGGGAGCTGCCCTTTGTAGCCTTGAAAGAGCAACGACCGATGATTCTTGTCGTACGCAAGAACTCCTTCAAAGACATTTGATATAATTTCTAAGCCGTCTTCAATAATTTTCGCGATTTTCGCCAGTCTTCCTCTCGTTTCGGTTTCTTCTTTCATCTGCGCACGTCTCTGAATCTCTCGCGGGTCATTGTTTTGGCCACCTCCTGGTTTGCTCTTCCCTGCAGTCGCAGCGCCAGCTTGCGAAGGCCGCAACGCTTTTTTTGTGCGAAGAGAAGTTCCCGCCGACGAGGCCGGCGCGCTGCTACTTGGCGCCGATGTACTATTCGGAGAATCTTTCGGATCGGTTGAGAGTCTTCCAATTGGCGTTTTGAAAACTTTCACGTCGTTCTCTGTGATTTCAGTTTCGTTGCGTCGACAGGCGTCCGAAAACGCAGAAATGGGGTCGAGCAAATAGCCTTCCAGAATGACATCCAATGCAACGTTGGAAGATATCGCTGATACTGCTCGAACGGCTTTTCGATTACTTTGAACATTCTTCCCGTTTTGAAGTTCCTCAACGATGTGTTTTGCACACTCACTAGCGATGCGATTCAAATCAATATTATTCGGGCTCCTTTCTCGACAGAATCGCGAAAAGATGAGCGTCCAACAATCGCTTCCCGTTCTCGATTGTACCAGCTCGTGGTGCGAGAGCGTTATTAAAATCCCCGCAAACGCACAAAAAGTATCGTCGTCGATGGATGCGTATTGTTTAATTGTACCGTCGTCGAAGTATACTCTGTTAAATATGGAAGACTCGATGGCGGCGCCGCAGTATCGACTGGGAAAAGGCGCGACAAAACTCGTCAATCCGCTCTTGGTAGCTTCTGCGTTTAGTTCTTCACCTAAGATTGGAAACACGTGTTCTTCTTCCGCTGTTTTTACCCACCCTAAAAGTGATTCCATGACATCTCGAGAAGACGCCTTATTCTTACATCGCATCATTTCAATTGCATCTCGAGCTGATTTTCGCGTTGCAGAGTCTGGATGCAATGCCAGCAAGGTCGTGGCGTTGAGAAGTACTTTCTTCTTGTCGAGGATTTTGTCCATATTGAATATTAACTCTAACGATTTTGCGTAATATGCCGCGCAATCGTCTGGAAGTTTCGAAATTGCCGCAGCCGCTGCATACGCCTCCAGGCACTCCGGTTTCCATACATCTGAGGAAGCATTATAAGCACTTTCATCTTCTGATGCCGCCGCGGAGACTATATATAACGCAACCACACCATCTGGTCGCGATATTGTTTTCTGCGCGCCGAGTTTAACGATTTCAATCAACGCCTTCACGCTTTTTGCCCCGAGCGCTTTCTTGAAATCGGGCCTCGCGGCAATCGCGGAAGAAAGAGCTCGAAGCGTCGCCGGTCGATCTTTAGCATCCGAACACGACGTAAAAATCGCATCTCTCGCGTTTTCACTGAACGAAGAGCACTTTTGAAGGCAGTGCGAAAGCGCGTCGAGCAACGAAAATTTTGCTTCGACTTGCTTCTCGCTCTTCAATCGCGCCGCTAAACCTTCAATCGTTTCAACGGCAATTTTGCCATCTTCTTCATTCTCTACAGCTGCGACAACTAGCGATTGCGCGACGACGGAAATAGTGTCACAGATCCCAACTCTAGCTGCCCATGCGCTCGGTGCATTCGCCGTAACTTCTTCTACAAGCGGTTCGAGAAAAATTTCTTTCGCCATCGCCGCGGACAACAGCTTTGCAAAGGATTTTACGACAGCCTTGGCCGCGATGCGTCTCGATTCGTCCGCATGCTTCACCAGAGGCAGGACTACTTCCGCAAACGCTTGCGCGGATTCTTTCGTAATGCTCTCTCTCGGCACGTGACGAATCATTCTCGATACGACTTCCAACGTAGATTCAATTGGGTTTCTTCTTAAGGCCTTGACCAGTTTCGCTCGCACGACAGTCTCGAAATCTTCCGCCGTACAATCCTTCAAAAGCGGCTTACTCGCGCGCGCCGCGAGCACAACGTCTGCACCACTTCCACTGGCGACAGCAAAATCACATAACTTCTCCAAATGCCCTCTTCGAATTTCGCTCGCGTCTACGCCTTTCCTCCTCTTCAAAGCCTCGTACAACACCCCTCGCAAATCCGGCGGCATATCCTTCAACTCATTCACTCTCAACCCAACTTCGCCTTTTCTTAGAGTCAAAGACACAATTCCAGGCACGTGATGGTACTTGTTTGACACCAGACATGCCTTCACTACGTTCCCTAACGCCAATACGACGCTTTCAAATTCCTGGCTTGCATCATTTCCCGCCGCGTCCAACCGACGACACACGTGCTCCAAACACGCGCAACACCATCGACTAAACGTTTCGCACTCCTCTTCGTCCGCACGCGTGGCTACTTTTTCCGAAAATTTCTTCAATAAAACTATGAATACTTTCTCAAACTCGCCGCCGCTTCCGCTACTCTCGCCGCCCGCGGACTCGCCCACTCGCAGCGCTTTAGATATCGTTTTAGCAACCAATTTTCGACTGGTTTTTGTCGTCTTGAACTTTAACGTTTGAAAGATAGATTTGACGAGAAGCGCTGCGGATTCTTTCGAGGAGATATCTGTCGCGAAAGATTTGGAGTTTTTACGTGTACACGCGTAAAAAGAAAGGGAGAAGGTGAGTTCTAAGCGGCAAACGCGCGCGAGTTCTCGCCCTCGCTGTGATTTTAACCGACGGCGGCGAGAGAACGAAGAGAAAAAAAGATATAATCAATCGCGCACCTTCTCCGTGCAAACCGTCGCATACGTCGGACCAAACGACGCTGGAATCTTTACACTTCTCCGCGAGCACGTGCGCGCGAGCGAGTAAAGCGTCCATTTTTTGTTCTGTTTGTGTGTTCGCGTGCAAAAGTGCGCGCGATGTGATGTGTGCTCCTTCCGATGGAAAAAGTGATGAAGTTTTGTGGTTTGAGAAAAGAGAGGAAAAAGAGAGAGCAGCGCGGTGTGCTTTTTTCTACCTCTCTCTGATGAGAGTTATACCTACTAGTGCTACTCAAACTATTACTATTGGACCATCCAACTCATTCGATTTTGATGAGTGTTTCCACTATTTTCGTTTTTGGCTATGTTGTTCTTATCCTCGGCTTCTGCTTCCACGACAACGACGACTTCCATCTCGTCCTCGTCTTTGTCCATGCGAGCGTACTCGCCTTCGGGTAACTCCACGATTAAAGGTTGTTCATCCTCGGTTTCCGCGTCGTGGTCGACGATAAGCGTTGGATGTGCATTGTGCAGTTCACGTGGTGTTCGCTTTTTAAATATTTTCAGATGCAACACTCGTTTGGCGGTGGTTTCGAAACGCGCGAGCCATCCATACGTGGCGTCGTCGACGTCGCGAGGGAAGGATGGAGAGGAGGCAACGACGTGATAACTTTTCGAGATGGCGTCGCGAAGGATATCGGAGAGTTGTTTCTCGTCGCGCGAGTTCGATGGTGCCAGTTCGGAGACGACCTCGTCCAACGTGCCTTCGTTCGTCGCGTCGTCGTTGAATTGCGCCTCCAAGGAATCGAGGAATCCCACGAAGAAGGAGGAAAATTCTTTCTCTTCGCCTTTTTGGTCGATGCGCGCATCTTTCATCGCAGATTGCTCGCTACCAGTCTTCCTCTCCACCTCTTCCTTCATATACTCTACCATAACGTTCGCGATAATCACTGTCAACTCCTTCCACTGCTCTAAACCCTTCCCACACCCGAACGTGAAAAAGAGTACGTACGCCAACTGTTGTTCGGCTAACATCGCCTCTCGGTTTCCGCCAAACATATTCAGTGCTCTCTCGAATCTGAACCTACAATCCACGTGAATTTTCGTCAACATCTCCGCGCTCGCATCTTCAGGTACCCGCGTTGTCGCTTTAAACGTGAACTTCGCCGTTCTCCTATCCTCCTCTTCTTCTTCCTTCGCTCCTTCCTCTTCGACGACGTCTCTCGCCAAGCGTTTCTTCCTCCCGTACGCATCCAAACACCGCCCGACGCCGCCTGGAACGAACATCACGCCAGGTTCTACTTCGCATCGTTTCAAACATTCTAAATCTATGAGGCTCACTAAACTTCTCCACCGTAAATCTTCTCGCGAATCTTCCTCGTAGGCGCCCAGTTCCGCGTCGAAATCACCTCGTTTCACCCCTAAAATCAATCTCTCTTTTTGTTCCTTTTCCTTTTCCTTTTCCTCCTTCTCCTCCTTTGCAGTTAAATGTTGGTCACCATTTCGCCGCTCAGATGAAGAAGAATAAAACCGCTCGTTCCTCGCGTCCCACGTCCGAATTTCCACCTCACCTTCCTCTTCCGCGTATAAAAACTCCCCAACTCGCGAACCAGTTCCTCCTCCTCCTTCCGTCGTCCCGACGAACGCGAAATGTAACCGCCTCCTCGGGAGCATTTTCGCGCCTTTCCATCTCCCCCCGTCGCAAACGCGATGCGCGAATAAGTTTATCCCGAATTCAATCATCGCGCGATTGATTTTCTCGGGTAAATCGACGCAGAGTAACGTCAACCCGGTCGCGTTTTTCACCCGGGCCAGGTCTTGGTCCATTTTTGGGTGAATGTGTATTCCTCAAAGAAAGCGCGTTGGGTGTGAGGACAAAACGACATTAATCCGCTTTTTTTCTCCAGTATATATAATAACTACATTACCATCGCGCGAGCGGCGAAGGAGAATACTACCACTCAAAGGAGACTCTTCGTACGCCTCTCTCTCTGTCTCTCTCTCTCTCTCTCTTCAAAATGAGCGGCAGCAGCGGCATCATCCATCGTCGCGGGTTTTCCTCCTCTTTCAGAAACACCGTCGTCGTCGCGAGGAAGAAAAAGACGCTCGGGAAGAAATCGACGTCGACGGTGCGCGCGTTCGGAGGAGGAGGAGGAAGAGTAGGAACGGAGAAGAGCACTACCGACAGACCAATGTCCGAGGTTTTAGAAAAACAGTACCAGAAGTTGAAAGAAATCCAAGAGAACGCGGGGACAACCCCGATGGAAAACGAGAACAACGAGAACAACAACACCGCGTGGGACGTCGTCGACGTCGGGAACCGTTTTCTCGAGGATGCAAAAACGCGAATTTCGGAAATGCACGTGCCTACTTTTTTGCCTTCATCCGCGAACTTTGACGCGTCCCCGAACGAATTCGTGGAAAGCGCGAAACGGTGGGAAGTAGAGCAGAGCGCGAAGATATGGGACGCGGTGGATGCTTTGATCGAGCTCGGGAAACGCGCTTTGTTTGGAGGAGAGAAGATAGAGTTTAGTTATGCGACGGAGAAAGCGACGAGCGCGGTGAACGCGTTGGCGGAAGTCGCCAGGGCGAACGTGCCAGCCGGGACGGATTTGACCAAGCTGGACGAGGCGTTGAAAGCAGTGACCTCGTCAACGTCTGAGTATGCTTTATACGCCGCGATGATTGCTTTCTTCGGCGTTGTTTTACTCGTGCTGAGTAACTCTGCCGATCCGAATAAAGGCATGGACGAGTGGGCGGCGTTGGCGGCGAAGGAAGGCGAAGAGGAGCCGGAGGCGTTGCAAACGTACGATCCGAAAGTCATTCGGGAGTACTTTTCGAAACGACCGGTGGTCTTATTGAAAAGAGCGGTGAAGTCCTTGGCGCTTTTGGGTAAATTTTCGGTCGGTTTGTGGATGGATAAGAAGATTTACGGGGAAGAGCCGAAGGAGGAGGTGAAGAATCGAGTGGATGCGAAACGGGCGGCGCAGTTGAAAGACGTTTTAATTTCACTTGGGCCGACGTACGTGAAATTGGGACAAGTGCTCTCCTCGAGACAGGATTTGATTCCAAAAGCGTACGTGAAAGAGTTGAGAGAGCTGCAAGATAACGTGCCGCCGTTTGATGACGAGCTCGCGAGACGAATCATCGAAAAAGAGTTAGGCTCCAACTCGGCGGACAAGACGAGAGTGGTTTTAAATCAAGGAAAACCAATCGCGAGCGCGAGTTTAGGCCAAGTATATAGAGCAAATTTAAAGACCGAAGGTGGCGAAAATATCGACGTGGCGGTTAAAGTCCAACGACCGGGCGCGTTAGTCGCCATCTCTTTAGATATTGGGATCATTCGATCGTTCGCGGAGCCGTGGAGGAAATTCAAAGGCTTGAACTCGGATTTAGAAGGCATCATCGACGAGTGGGGAAAAAGGTTCATCGCCGAACTCGATTACTTAGCCGAAGCGAGAAACGGGCAGTTGTTCCGCGAAGCGATGGAATCGAGACAGGATTTAGCGAACGTGGTCACCGCGGCGCCGGTGTATACATCAGCGACGACTCGAAAAGTGTTGACGACGGGGTGGATCAACGGTGCTCGATTGGACGAGTCGAAAGAAGGTGACATTCCGAAATTATGTGCGGTAGCGTTGACAGCGTATTTATCAATGTTGCTGGATTTAGGTTTCTTACACGCGGATCCGCACCCGGGAAATTTGTTCAGACAGAACGACGGGAAGTTAGTCATTTTAGATTGGGGGTTGGTCACTCCGGTGTCGAAAGAGTTATCTGCGTCGATTTTACAGTTCATCTCGCACTTAGTCTCGGAAGATTTCGAAGAGGTACCTTCGGATCTCGACCGGTTAGGATTTATTCCCAGCGGTAAACGAGAAGCCATGGAAGACGCCGGCGTAGCTAGAGCGATCGGTTTGCTCTTTTCCGCGTTGGCCAGAGGTGGCGGCGCGAGCGGTTTCCGGTCCGAACTCGGTTTACCGGACGAAGAGAAATTGAAAGAGGTTCGAAAAGAGTTACGAGGTATCAAGGATCCGAAGAAGCGACGGGACGCGTTCATTGAAATCTCTGGCGGCGCGGATTCAAAAGTTGCGAAACTTACGAAAGATTTAGAAGGCGTCCAGGAAAAGTACGGCAACATTTTCCAAATTCCGAGTTATTTTGGGTACATTTTGCGTTCGTTTTCCGTGCTCGAAGGCATCGGGTTAGCCTCGGACCCAGATTATTCCATCGCGAACGAGTGCTACCCGTACGTCGCGCGAAGATTATTAACGGATAATTCGCCAACGTCTCGTCGAGCTCTTGAACACATGTTATATGGTAAAGATGGTGCCAAGAGTGGTCGATTGAGCGTGAAACGAGTCAAACAACTTTCGAATGCGTTCAGATCCTACTCTTCGATAACGGATAACGAAAAGATTGGCGAAACGGAGGTAGTCACGAAAGAGGTGGCAGAAAAGAAAGAAGATGGTGAACGCACTGCTACTGTTTCTGCGCTTCCGAAGGGCGCGAAGCAAATTTTGGAGCTCGCGCTTTCGCCCGAAGGTGGTCCGGCGCAAGACATCGCGCTTCGCGAGTTTGGTCGCTTTCTCATCGCCTCTGCGGCAGGCTCTGTGTCCTCCGTATTCTCCGCGCCTTTACGAGCGCTCGAAGAAGTCGAGAAATCCGTGCCAAAAGAAATCATGACACCGTTAGCACCGGCGCATTTGGCATTGAAATCGCTTTCCGATGTCTCTCGAGTGAGTAGCAAAGATGCAGAGACGTTGGAAATCGCTCGAGAGTTGACATCTTTGATCGCCGAACAAAATTCTTCCTCCGCGACGACGACGACGACAACGACGACGACGAAACCGGCAAACTCCGAACAAAAGAAAGACGACAGCTCGTCTCAACTGCAATTCCCACCCGTCTCCCTCTCGCCACCGTCTGAAAACGATGTAAAAATTGCCATGGAACTTCTCGAAATGGCGCCGAGACTCGCGCCGGGCGCCTCCGCCCTGGCGCTTCGCTTCGCCTCCGCCTTGAGCACCGAAGTCGCCGAGCGAATCGGTGAAACCTCCTCTTCCTCCAGGAAAAAGTAGGAAATAGAGAACGTAGGAGAACGTAACTTTGTAAATAGCATACTACGCTTAAATATAAATCCGCGAATGATTACTATGTTTTCGCAGACAGATTTGTACATATGCGCTTCCGCTTTTCTACTTCTTTCCTTTGCATACGTTGTTGCTTTGTGCTTTGTTTGTTTTCTGACTGACGATTTGAGCTCAAAACGCGCGATTTCGTCCTCACAAAAAAAAAGAAACAAAATGGCGAATAAAAGCGACGAGTTAGCGACGAAAGAGATGCCGTTCAGGTGCTACGTGGGGTACGATTCCCACGAGGACATCACGTTCGAGGTGAGTTTGAGAGTTTTCGTTTCGTGTTCCGTTTCGTTTTTTGCTTCTCTCGGAGGAGGAGGAGGAGGAGGAGGAGGAGTCGCGCGAAGCGTCGTCATCCCACCAATCGGTTGCCTCTCTCGAAAATGATCTCTCTCGCTCTCTTTGTAATCATCTTTTAACAACGCGCGCACTTGACTGACTTTTTCCCTCTTCTTCTTTTACTTTGAACACTACTCTCGTCGCACTCTGATGTGTGTCTCAAAAGGTGGCGAAATATTCCATGGAAAAGCACTCCTCGGTGCCCATCCAAGTCATTCCTCTCAAGAGAGAAGAGATGCGCAAGCAAGGCATTTACACGAGAACCCAAGATCCGAAGCAATCCACCGAGTTTACGTATTGCCGCTTTTTTGTGCCGTATTTGCAAAACTACAAAGGATGGGCGATGTTTGTGGACGACGATTTCTTGTGGTTGGGGGATATTAAGGAGTTGATCGATCAAATCGACGACAAGTACGCCATCATGTGCGTGCAACACGATTACAAACCGACGGTGGATGTGAAATTAGCCGGTAAAGCGCAAGAGGCGTACCCGAGGAAGAACTGGTCGTCGATGGTTTTGTACAACTGTGGACACCCGGCGAACCAAGGAGTGAATTTGAGCATGATCAACTCCCAACCGGGCTCGTTCTTGCACAGATTTTCGTGGATTACGGACGACTCGTTGATTGGTAAAATTGATTACGAGTGGAATTTCTTGGTCGAGTGGTACAAGCCGTACGAGGGGGAGAGAAAGCCAAAGGCGATTCATTACACGGAAGGCGGACCGTGGTTCCCGGATTACAGAGAGACGGATTACGCGAAGGAGTGGTTCGATCACATGAAGGAGTACGAGGCGACGTTGCCGAAGCCGAGGTTGCTGTGCCCGTTTGAGAGGTTTACGTGTAAAGGAACGAAGTTTCTTGAAGGATATGCGAACTCCGACGATCCATGGACTTGGGTCGACCACGAATAAACTTACTAGACGAGAGCAAATTGATACTACCACCGCCACCACCACAACAACAACAGCAACAACAATAACAATAACAAGGATTACGACAACTTATACTACTACCCATTAAACTAGAACAAGAGAGAGAGAAAGAAAGAGATACATCAAAATGATGAGATACAAAAGAAAGACACATATATTTTTCCTTTCAATAAATTTCAGTCTAAAGCTTCTAAATTTTCTCTACTATTTATTCCTTAGTCGTCCTCTTCGTCGTCGTCGTCCATGGAATCATCATCGCTATCTTCTTCATCGTCGTCGTCCGAATCGTCTTCGACGATGTGATCCAATCGATGCATGACCACCCCATTTTTCGCACCGGCGTCTCTTCCCCACCTCCCGAGTCTCGGCTCTTGCCCGACGCCGGCTAACAAAAACTTCCCAGACGAAGCAATGGCTAATCCATTCACGAAGCCTCTTTGTGGCAAAGAGTGTTTCGGTTCCAACGCGGTATCTTTCGCCCCTGGCGTTGCTTTCCACAAACGAATCGTACCATCGCCGGCACCTGTCGCACACAAGTTTGTCCCTCTGCCCACCGCGGCGGAGACCACCGAACTCGCTAAATATCCACACCCGCCTCTATTTCTATCCTCCACGGAGAGGTTCAAAAATTCTTGCGTGGCCATTCGATCGGCTAAAACAATTTCTCCGTCCTCTTCTTCCCAGTTTTTCGGTAACCCGATGGGTTCGTCGTATCCGTGCACGTTTGAAAAAGTCGACAGCGGCTTCTTCTTACTCGCGCTCCACAATGATACGGCGCCATCTCTGGCGCCAGTAATCCAGTGGTCATGCGACACCGAGGCCACGCACTCCATGGCGTAATCTGTCCTCTTCTCGTCATTTATGGACGGTCTGAACACCAACTGCGAATCTTCGGCTACTTTCCACGCTCGCAACGTTCGATCCGAACTGACCGTCGCGCATCGCTCTCTCTTGTGCGCGTCGATCCCGTTCAACTCGCTTTGATGTCCAAACAACGTATCCACGTACGCCATATCGTCCACGGACCAGATTTTCACCGTTCTATCTTCCGAACACGAAAACATTTGCCCTGTACCGTGCCTAAACGTCAAACCAGTCACCGCGCCTCGATGGCCGGCGAACGTCGTGACGAACTTTTTCATCCTAGTATCAAACACGTGAATTCGTTTATCGTTACCACCTACCGCGACGATATTCTTCTCGCTCGCACATGCTACGGTTAACAAAATCCCAGCGCCACTTCTCGGCGGCGCCATCGGTCCACCCCCACCTTTCGTCCGCATCTCTTCCTGCGTAACCACCGGACATCTCGGATACTTGGTCCGCTTCCCGGTTTCCACGTCCCACTCCACAATCGCCCCGTCTTTACTCACGCTATACGCCGTTCGGTCGTCGGAACTCAAACATACCCCAGTCACGCTTTGTTTGTGCGCTTTTCTAGAAAAGTACGTCCCCAATACCGGCGTTTTCGTCGGTTTCACACCGTCGGCGATTTCCCGAAAGTGTCTCCCCGCCGCTTCCGCCGCCTCGTTGGCGAGTTTATTCGCCAACCGGTCGTGGCTGTCTAAATCTCTCCGCTTCTTTCTCACGGACGGATCCACGTCCTCGTCCTCGTTTACATCCGACTCCTCGTCGTCGCCTTCTAACGCCGCTTCTCTCCGTAACTTCTCTAAATATAAGCGCGCTAAACGCGTTCGTTTTTCCTCCGCCGTCTCTCTCTTTTCAGGAGGATGGTTCTCCTCGTGCGCCAATTGCTCAGCCTCGTCCTCTCTTTTTCTCTTCTCTTTCTTGGTGAGCACGTCGTCCTCGCTCTCGTAAAAGAGATCCTTGGCGTCCCCGTCCCCGTCGTCGTCGTTATCTCTCACGTGATCCGGCGGTAGCTTCCCGTCGTCGAAGTAATCTAAATCTCGCTCGTCGAGGCGGCGGTCGCTTTTTCTCTTCTTTCCCTTGGACGACATTCTCTCCTATCCGAACGATACGCGTCACAACGCGAGAGAGAGAAACAAAGAGAGAGAGAGAGAGAGAGCGCACCGGATAATTCCTCCTCCTCCTTCCCCAAACGACGAAAGAAAAGACTCTCTCTCTCTCTCCGTCTCTCTCTCGTTCTCTAATGTGTACTACTAAGAAAGAAAGAGAGCAGAGAAAAAGTGGAGAGAAAAAGTGTGAAAAAGTGAGAGAACGGCTTTTTTTTCTCGAGAGAAAAAAGAACACATCTTCCCTCACGAGGAAACGACGAATAATACTGGGAAGAAGAAGTTCTCTCTCCGGCAACGCGCAGAAGAGGAAGAAGAAAAAGAAGAGACGATCGAGAAGAGGCTGTGGCGGATATGGAGCGTTTGAAGCTCGGGCCGACGAAGTTGTGGACGGGATTGGTGTTGCATCATAAGGATGTGTTTGTCTCGCATGTGATTCCGAAATTGAACGAGACGGATCGGATGTTCTTTTCAAAGGTGAATAGTGCGAGTTTGGATGTGCTTAAGTATGCCGGGGTAAACGTATGCGAATTAAAATGGGTTATGTGGGAATGTACATCTATTTCGACGCTGGAATGGGCGTGGAATCACATGTGCTGGGGACAGAAATTAGAAGATGGAACGGTGATGGATCAAGCCTGCTTTTGCGAGAATGTTGCTACAACGAACAAACTCGAGTTTCTCAAGTGGGCGAGAGAAGTGAAACATTGCGAGTGGGATGAATGGTCGATTAATCAGGCAGCATTTAAAGGTAATCTCGAGATGTTGAAGTACTGCTTCTCTAACGAGTGCCCGTGTGATGAAGAAGAGTCGTGTAGACAAGCTGCTATGGCAGGACACCTCGACTGTCTTCGATTTCTTTTCGACCAAGTGGAACCTTCGCGAGAGACGGAGAAAAACGCGGCACTACTAGCGGCAGTATATGGTCACATAAACATCTTGAAATATCTTGTTGAAGAAAGAAAGATATCTGAGGAGGTAAAGAGCGAGTGCGTGTACACCGCTGCAAAGTATGGCGAACTCGATTGCCTCAAATACTTAGTCGAAGAGGCGAAAGCGCCTCTTAACGACTGGAGAGACATCGCTTTCGCTCGTTACCACGAGCACCCCGATTGCGAAAACTACTTGCTCGAAAAAGGGTGCCCAGAACCGACGGACGAACAATACGCTGAATTTGTCGAGAGTCTGAGAAGATTGAGAGATCATTGAGAGAGAGAGAGAGAGAGAGAGAGAGAGAGAGAGAAAGAGAGACACACACTACTATTTTAAAACACACACACACGCACATCTCGAAAAAGTAAAAAAAAAAGTTTCAGAAGAAGAAGAAGAAGACGAAAGACTTTTCGGACTGCTCTCTCGAAATATTTATAAAACGATCGGCCATTTTTCTCTCGCGTCAAACTCTCCTCACACGAGTAGCATCAAAAACTTTTTCCTGCGCGGTCTCTCTCCTTTAATCAGACAGACAGACACGCAGAGAGGGAGAGAGAGAGATTCTTGACGTCGACTCGATATACACATAAGAGAGAGTATTATTTTTTTACGCATCATCGGGGGCTCGGGGTCGTTTTTCCAAAGAGAGACTTGTAGTAAATAACCAATCGCGGAAATATACACTGACGGGTATAATACGAAAAAAATGAACGCGCGCTTAGGTTTAGAGGAATACCCAACCTACGACTCGATGATTGAGACGTTGTTGAAGCACCAGTTCTTGCCGGAAGCGGACGTGTTGCGCTTGTGCGATCGCGCGCGAGCGTTAATCAGCGAAGAATCGAACGTCACGAACGTTCGCTCGCCGGTGACTGTTGTCGGGGATATTCACGGGCAGTTTCACGATATGATGGAGATGTTTAAGATGGGTGGGTACGCGCCGGATACGAATTACTTGTTTTTGGGCGATTACGTCGATCGTGGGTATTATTCGGTGGAAACGGTCACGTTAGTGGTGGCGTTGAAAGTCCGATTTCCCGATCGGGTGACCATAATCAGAGGAAACCACGAGAGTCGACAGATTACGCAAGTGTATGGATTTTACGACGAGTGCATGAGAAAATACGGCCACGCGGGGATTTGGAAAGCGTTTACGGATTTGTTTGATTTCATGCCGTTATCCGCGTGCATCGAGAATCAGATTTTCTGCCCGCACGGCGGGTTAAGTCCGAGCATCGATACGCTCGACCAGGTGAGAAAGATTGATCGATTCGCGGAGGTTCCGCACGAAGGACCGGTGTGTGATTTAGTGTGGTCGGACCCTGACGATAGAACTGGGTGGGGGATGAGCCCGAGAGGGGCGGGGTATACTTTTGGGCAAGATATTACCGAGCAGTTTAATCACAACAACGGGTTGACGTTAATCGCGCGCGCGCATCAGTTGGTCATGGAAGGGTTTTTATGGCATCACGACAAGGCGTTGGTGACGATATTTAGCGCGCCGAATTATTGCTATCGATGCGGAAATCAAGCGGCGATTATGGAGGTAAGCGAGACGATGGAGACGAATTTCTTACAGTTTGATCCGGCGCCGAGAAGAGGCGAGGAGCAACAAGCGCAAAAGCGATGTCCGGATTACTTTCTCTAAAAAAAAGAATGAGAAGTCACGAGAGAGAGAGAAAGAGAGAGAATGCAGCAGCAGAAGCGGCAGAAGCAGAAGCAGCGCGATTTATAATACATCCCGCGCGCATCGCCTATTCGCTTATATATAGTAGTTCCTATTAGGTAAAATAGTATCACATTAGAGAGAGGAAGAAGAAGAAGAAGAAGAAGAAGAAGAAGAAGAAGAAGAAGTCGTACTTTCGTGTTTCTTCCTCCAACGCGTGTTCTTGCAGCTGCTTACGCTGTTCTTCGTTCAACGCTTTGCACTCGAAATCCACGCGAATCACTCCGAGGTTTATTTCTAACCGCCTTCGATGGGTATTCGCTTCTACGTCATTCTTTACCACTCTTCCTACGTTGGTTGTTTTCCTCTTTTTGCTCATAAAATGAAGAAAAACTCATATGAAAAGCACAAACACTAGTCATCATCATAGTCACTAGTATTTATTCTCGAATACGCCCTCGAATACATCAACGACGCAGACATACACACACGCGCACACACGCACACACACGCATCATGAATAGCTTCTTCGGCAGTTTGTTCTCTCCTGCTCCTCAGCAACCGGGAGAGAAGCGAGTAAATAAAAACGTAGCACAAAAGAGTTGAAAAGAAATCGTAAAAAGATAAAAACGTCAGACTTTTCTCGCACTTCGTCTCTCTTTCCCGCTCTTTAAAGAAGAATGACGGTCGATTTCCTCGCGCGAAAGCAATCGAAAAAGAACGCCAAACGTCTCGCCTCTCTGAACAAGAAAGGCGAAAACGAGCGCAGAAACCGCGCGAAGCGAGGGAGAAACCGAAACACCGTCGGCATGTGCAATTTCGCGCCTCCGTTGCCGCCGGCGTTGGCGGAGGAGGACGAACAGAACGAGGCGGAGAAAAAAATGAAGAAGAGGAAGATGGAGAGGGAAAGGTTGGCGAGGAAAGCGATGAGGAAGAAAGTGAAGATGGAGATGGAGAAGAACGTGATGGGAGAAAGAGGAGGAAAAGGAGAGGAAACGGGTGGCGGCTCGGACGATGAAGAATCAGAGAAGTCGGAAAGCGAAGAGGAGGAAGATAAAGAACAAAATCAAAACAATAACGTCCCGGAGTATTTCATCGACGCGATGAAAACAATCGGTCATCGACGGATAGCGCCGATACAGAAATCGTCCTGGGCGGCTTTGTGTAGTAACTCGTCGGATTGTTTATCCGTGGCGCCGCCGGGGAGCGGGAAGACGTTGGCGTTTTTGTTGCCGGCGTTCGACGTGGTGATTAAGAGGGTGGCGGAGTTTATGAGTAGTACGAACGGTAATAAAAACGGCAGTAACAACGCTATCAGTAGGAAGAATGTGATCGATGGTCTCATCGTCGCGCCGACGAGAGAATTGGCGCAGCAGATTGCGAGCGTCGGGAATAAGTTGAAACGAGCGGCGCCGGTGAAATTAGTATGCGTGGTTGGCGGGACGAATCAGCAAGAGCAAGAGGAGAGCTTGTTAGCGCCGACAAAGTTAGGGGTTTTAGTGGTTGGAACGCCGGGGAGATTGTGTGCGACGGTATGTTTTAACGCCGGTGGGACCAAGAAAAGCGACGACGGGTCGGGGAAATCCGTAGTCGTTCCGGCGAGCGAGAATCGATTAGGCGATTGTAAGATTTTCATTTTAGACGAAGCCGATAGAATGTTAGCGCTTGGTTTTGAACCTCAGTTGGAGCAACTGTACGAGAATCTACCGAAAGAAAGACAAACGGCTTTATTTTCGGCGACCTTTCCGGCGAAAGTGAAACAGATTGCCAGAAAGTGGTTGAAGAAAGACTACGAGAAGGTGACTTTGAGTGCAAACGCGGTCGACATATCGGCGCAAAACGCCGAGAAAGGGAAGGAAGAACTCGTACAACGCGCCTCGAAAGTTATTCAAACCGTTCACGTGTGCGCTGAGCACAAGAAATCGCGAAAGTTGATGAAATATGTCGATAACTTACGGAAAGAGGACGGTCGCGCTCGGTCGCGCGTGCTCGTGTTTACCAATCGCATCAAAACGGTAAAGTTTGTGAAAGATTTGTTGGTCAAACACGGCGAAAAAGTGTCCACGTTACACGGTGAAATGCGTCAAGATAAGAGAGAGTTGGCCTTGAAAGATTTCAAGGCTGGAAAAACGCCAATCTTAGTCGCTACGGACGTCGCCGGTCGAGGCTTGGACGTCGCCGGTTTAGAGTGCGTGGTCAATTGGGATTTCCCGGGAAGCATCGAGCAGTATCAACACAGAATCGGCCGAGCTGGAAGAAACGAGAAAGTTGGGAGCGCTCTGAGTTTTTTCACGAGGAAGTTTGCCCCTTTGGCAAAAGATTTAATCGAATTGTTAGCCAACGCGAAACAGTTTGTCGATCCGAATTTGAAGATTTTAGCGAAAGCTGCCGAGGCGTTGCCGGAATTAGAAAACAAGTTTCGAGACAAATTTGGTAACGGCGACGAACCAATCGATGAGCGCGGTGAAGACGACGACGACGACGACGACGATGAAAAACAAGGAGGAGGAGATGTCGAAGAAGAAAAAGAAAAAGAGAAGAATGGAAAGAAATCGAATATGAAGAAAAAGAAAAGAGAAGAAAAAGATGAAGATGGAGGCGCCGACGAGTTTACCGTGCCAAAAGATAAACCGTCCATTGGCGACGGCACTAAAAGGAAGACCCAACCGAGTTGGTGGGAGGCTGATGGTTCACATGGAAGTACATCGGCGCACCTGTTCGGAAAGAAGAAGCGAGAAGAGATGAAAAATCCTGCCATGCGAAACACGTTGCGATGCGGACCCAACGAACAAGAGATAAAAGTCAACGCTGCCATGTCGTCCAAGCGCAAAAAAAATCATCAAAAGAAACGAAAGTAGTAGACGAATTCCACCTATATAATATATTTGTAGTATACACTAAAGTATCTAGATCTTTGCGCGCTTAAAAGTATCATTATTAAGATGATCTTTCTCCGTCAAGCGCTCCGTTGCTTCGTCGCTTCCGCGTGGTCTCCGCTGATCTCCTCTGCGGTCTGCTTTATCGGTTTCTCCCAGCTATTCGGCACCGCGCACGCGAACGCCGGCGCGTTATCCTTAAACTGTGATTCGTAAAACGCATCCACCACGCTCGCTACTTCCGCTCCAATCATCCCGCTCATGATCACAATCTTCGTCTGCACCCCGGCGACTGAAAACACTTTTTCGTCCTCCTCCCGTTGTGTCACCCCCATGCACTCTCGCAAACTCATAGTTTCGTACATCTCTTTCGTGCACGTGATCAAATCGATGAAATCCGCGCCCATATCGTTCAGCATTTCTCGAACAGTTGTTCTTTCGGTCGGGGTAAACCCTATTAAAAGAATCGCGTCCGGACCGAACCGGCCGTTTGCGGTTTCGCCCGGCGAATTTTGCGACTCATAATCGATTGGAACGAACTTTTCGTCTGATGATGATGATGATTCAACCGCCGATAAAGGTCTTCTCCTCCCGTCGTTCGCGCCGACGAAACTTCCAATATTGTTAACAACAGCTCGTCGTCGCGTTTTAGCCTTTGAACAACGTAACGACGTCGCGAACGACGTCGAGGCGACCGCGCTCGAGCGACTGCTCATCATCATCAAGTGCTTTTGGAGTGATGCATTTCGCCACAAAACACTTCGCGATATAAGAACAACACGAATGGGGGCAATCATCACGAAGCGACGAAAACGCCTCCTCGTTCTCGTCGGCGCGATTTTTGGTCTCTACTACTACACCAGCGAGAATTTTGAGAGGAGGAATGCTGCTGCTCCTGTTCACCAACAGCACCACCGTCGTCGAGGGGAAAATCATCATCAGCTTCGAGGAGGAAACTTCGCGCACTTCTTCGGCCGTTCGAACTCGAACCTTTCGTTTCGAGAGAAACAATTGACGCACTTACTCGGCGTGGAAAACGAGTGGCAACCTGGATTTTCGTTCGTGGGTACGGGAAACGCGGAAGAGCGCGGTCGGTTTTTGAATATGAGCAAAGATGATGGGGACGGAACGTACGATGGAATAGGAATAGGATTAGGAGGAGAAACCAACGCGGGGGCGCACAATCCGGCGCACGAGAATTCAGATAAAACGTTCGGGGTGAAATCTATCGGCGTGTTCCACGTGTTTCGGAAACCTCCCTGGGGTGGTGGGAATCAATTTTTAATGGCGTTGGTGAAGGAGTTTCGGAGGAGGAAGATTAAAGTCGTGGAGAACGCCATCGTGCCGGGGGTGAAAATTTACATGGCCAACGCGGTGACGTTTAAAGTGGACCCGTTTCGAGAGGCGTTTTTGAAGAGCGGGAAGAAGTTAAAGTTGGTGCACAGATTAGATGGGCCATATTATTCCGCGAGGTATAACAAAGATCCAAGGAAGGAGGCGAATTTGCCGTATCGAGCGAGGGAGGACGATCGAGTGTATTGGATTAACAACGAGTTCGCCTGCGCGTCTATTTTTCAGAGTAAATGGTCGTACGATATGAATAAGATGTTAGGGTACGATCCGAAAGGGTATTTACAAATCGTAAATAACGCGGTGGACGATACGATTTTCCACAATCGAGGAAGACAGCCGTTTTCGAGATTACGCAAGACGAAAATTATGGCCAGCTCGTGGTCCAGCGGCGAACGAAAAGGATTTAAAACGTTTAAATGGTTGGACGATAACTTGGACTTTACCAAGTACGAGTTTTTCTTCAGCGGGAACGTTCCAGACGGGATGGTGTTTAAGAACATCAAAACCTTACCGCCGGTGACGAGCGAAAAACTCGCGCCGATGTTGAGAGAACACGACATCTTTCTCGCGGCTTCGTATTTAGAGCCGTGTTCCAACGCGCTCGTGGAAGCGTTAGCGAGCGGCATGCCGACAGTTTACCAATCCGGAAGTGGTCACGCGGAGTTAGTCAAAGCCGGAGGACGAAGTTACCGAAGACCAGAGGAAATCCCGGCGATGTTAGACGAAGTCGTTTTGAGATTCGAGGAGTACCAAAACAACATTCGCGTCACGACGGTGAGCGAAGCCGCCGACGGATACTTACAAGTCTACGCAGCCTGTTTGTCGTGAATGAATTAAAGAGAGAAAGTCAGATAGAGAGAGATTTAATAATAATATGCCGTACCGTAGTAGTATAATAATAAGGAGAGTTGTTTATAGAAGAGAACGAACGTTTTAAAAGTCACCACCACGTAGTACGTAGCACTTCTTCTATTCTTTTCAGAAGAATTTTTGACTCAATAGCACCCCAAATAGAGAAGACCGCAGCCAAGAAAAAGACGGGCCAAATTAGTCGGCATTAAAATAGTCTTAGACATCACTTAAAACAAAAATGGCATTCGCGTTGCGATCCTCCGCGTTAGTCGGGACGAGTGTTCCGACCGCGTCGACGAACAGCAGAGGTGCGCATATAATTCGCATCGCGCGAGCGTCGTCTCGTTTACGATTTTTTTTTCTTCTTCTTTCAGCGCGCGATTTTCTCCTTTGAGCGCGAAAATTTAGTTTCGCGCAAAAACGCGGGCGACGACGACGCGTGCGTTCGGTTCACGCGAGAGGCGAGCGCGCGCGCGACGGTTTTGGACGACACAGTGCGCGTTGATTATGTTTTTCTCGAAACGTCGAGGGTGCGCGGGTCGCATCGGTCCAATCTTTCCGCGCGTGGAGGGGTGAACGCCGAAGAAAATCGAGGGTGACGGCCCCCAAAACCTGAAGCAGCAGGGGGCAGCTTTATCCAAAAAGCAAAGAGATTTTCATCGATCCTTTTCGAGAGCGTCGACTGTCTCGCAATTGCCCTTTCCCACATCACGCGCTCACCTCTTATTACTCTCTCTCATCCATTTTCCTTCCACGCAAACAGTTCAACAAAAAATCTCCCGCACCACCGTCTCCGCCACGCCCTCTTCCATCAACCAAATCGGTTTCCAAACCCCCCCATCGACTGGCGAAAAGCCAGCCTGGGACGCCATCATCGAAGTCGGCGGCTCCCAACAATTCGTCTCCGAAGGCAGATACTACGAGTGCCACTCCTTACCGGGTTTGGAACCAGGCTCCAAAGTGGCTTTTGAGAGAGTCTTAGCGACGAGAGACACGGATAAACCGACGTTTGGGCAACCGTACGTGAAAGGCGCGAGAGTAGAAGCGACGGTGTTAGAGAACTACAAAGACGAGAAAGTCATCGTGTTCAAATACAGACCGAAAAAGCACTACCGACGTAAAAACGGTCACAGACAACACATGACGAGATTCTTAGTTACCAAAGTCATCAAGGCTTAATATAAGTATTGTTTTTAAATCAAAGTTTTGGTTGTATGTAAATAAAAATCGAAGAGAGTTACTCTGTAGGAGATATCAAATATCAACACACAGTCGTCTGTCCCACCTTTCCTTCTTCTTCACAAGAACAACCATCTTCTTCTTACCTTTTTTTGTATCATCATGCTGGCTGGAACTTCATCCATCGCGCGGCATCAATTCCTCGTCGGCGTTTCTCCGTTCCCTTCTTCCTCTGATTCTTCTTCTCCCTCTTCTTCCTCCTCGGCGAGAACGCCGCCAACGAGAACTCCTGTGTTTCTCGTCCAAGCGAATGCGGGATACAACTTTGCAACATCATCATCTTCTTCTTCTTCTCCTTCTGCCGCCATCCTCGACCGACACGTCCAAATCGACCGGTACTACGATAATTTACGCCAAATACACCAATCTCCGGATATATTTGTCATCGATGACTATTTAACCTCTGGAGAGTGTGAGAGTATCATACAGGCGGCGAAAGATTCCAACGAACTAAAACGGTCTCCGATTGCGTACGCGGGATGGACGAACGATTTCAAGACGTCTGTCGAGTTAGCCGCGCGAGGCCCGGCGTTCTGGTTTGCCGTGGTGAACATTTTGTACGGGTCGTCCGTTTTGAACGAGTTTGGATTGCCTATTCTTTTGAGAGGTGTTGGCGCGTACGCGTTCGCGTTGGGCGTCGCCGTGGCGCTTTCGTTGCTCGAGAAACAGAAGAAAGAGAAAGAGTTGCAAGAAATGCGAACGTCGAGCAGTTGCGTGTTGGGAGGACAGTCCGATGGGGAAAAGACGTTGATTAGAAATACGAGAAAGTTGTTAGCGGGAGCAAATCCGAACACGTTCGAGGCGCCGACGTGTATTCGGTACGAACCCGGGCAACGGTTAGCGGCGCACTTTGACGCCAACAGAGGGGCGCAAATAGAAGACGCAGAGAGAGGCGGCCAAACGTTAGCGACGTTGTTAGTGTATTTGAACGATCAGTCGGAAAGTTCCGGGGGCGAAACGGTGTTCAATCGTTTGAATATAAAAGTGGTGCCGAGGAAAGGGAGCGCTTTGTTGTTTTTTCCGGCGACTGAATCCGGGGAGTTCGACGAACGCGTCGAACACGAAGGCTTGGAAGTATTAGGTCCGGAAGATAAGTGGATCGTGAGGATATGGAAGCACGAGAAGTTAGTGAAGGAGCCGTTCGGATTGAACGCGTTAGTATTAGAAGAGGTTTTTGTTTAGTGTAAATTTATGTAGCGTGTGTATGTATAAAAGCTTTATATAAAAATCTCTCTTACTGGTATATTTTATTCTTTTTATACTTGTTGTTGTTATTGATGTCGATGTAGTTAATGCGGGCGTTTGTATGTAGGTTATATAGTTTATCTGGCCGGAGCAGCCATGGCCTCGGTGTCTAATTTCTTTATCGTCGGGGTCGGCTTGTAGCCGACCAGCGCGCTCGAGTAGTCAAACACCGCTTGCGCTTTTTCCATGTCTCTGCCTTCCTTACTCGGCTTGTTGTTGAACGCAATCTCTCTGTTTCCGGAATCCCAGTAGTTATCCATCAACTGATCGCCGCCACCCTTCCACGACCAGTACGCGCCTTGCTCGGTGTATTGCGGGTCGATAACCAACGACGCCAAACGCAAACCAGCTTCGGTTTCCGAAACGTAACCTTTGGTGACGTTCTTTTGAATCACCGGAAACAACCATTGGAAAAACGGCGTGTGGTTGCGGAACAAGTTGGACTCGGCGATGCAACCCGGGTACATGGTGGAGAATTGCACCCCAGTGTCCGCGTATCGTCGGGCAAACTCTTTGATGTCCAACATGTTGCACAATTTGGAATCTTTGTACGCTTTGGCGCCGATGAATCGTTCGCCGTCAATCATCGCGTTTTGGTTTCTATCGCCGCCGCGAAAGCCGGTTTTCAAGCCTTCCATGTCTCCTAAATTCGCCCTCGGCGGGACTTGGCCAGCCAACGTGTTCGTGTTTCCAGTGACGGAACCGACGATGATTAACCTCTTTTGCTCGGCTTTCGCGTTAACGCTGAGTTTATCCAACAACAACAACGCCAACAAGTGGTGCGCCAAGTGGTTCACGCCGACGCACTCCTCGAAACCTTGCTTCGTAAACGACGGGACCGTCGCGTTCGGCAAATACAACGCCGCGTTACAGATCAACGCCGAAAAGTTTTGGACGTATCTCGACGCCAAGAACTTCTTCGCGAACGATCGCACCGAATCCAAATCCGCCAACTCGCACTCCATCACGTGATAGGCATCCGCCGGGAAACCAAACTCTTTCGCTTTTTCCTCCGCTTTCGCCGGGTTACGGACCGCCATGACGACGCAATACTCCCCGGTTTCCACCAAAGCTTTGGTGGTGTACAAACCCAAACCAGAGGACGCGCCGGTAATGACGACCACTTTCTTTTGATTAGCCGGCTTTTGCGCAAAGTTGAACAACGATCGAGTTATTATAGTTGATTGACGGCTTTGACGTCGTGGTGATGATGATTTTTGTTGTTGTTGATTTTTAGATCGGAGGATCGAAACATTGCTTTGAACAACACACTGTTTTTGTTGTAACGCCAACATTGTTCTTTGTTTGTTCTGTATTAATCTCACGCGATGCGATGATAGAATAGAATAAGAATAGAAGTGAGGAAGGTTTGATCCCAATTTGATTTCTTATAGGAAAAAGCTGCTTTATCTTCTTTTTCCGGAACAAAGAGATGAGATCTTTTTCTAGGGTTTAGGGTTTACGGTCTTTTTTGCTAGGGTCTTGAAGGGTTTATCATGGTTCTATTCTTAAATCTTATTTTGTGTCAAAAAGCTAGTTCTACTCAATAAGAAGAGAACCGCTGAGACCGGGGTTCGAGTCCCCGACGAATCGAAAAATTCAGGATTCGTTAGTATAGGTGGTTAGTATGTACGTTCTATTTCTCCTCTTCAGTGCTGTTTGCTGACTTTCCCTTCCTCACAGACGGCGCTGTCAAACAATTGTCATGCTTTCTTTTTTTGCCGTTTCGTTTTGCGTTTTTTTCTCATCACTTCATTTTCAAAAGCATATTATACGAGTAAAAGGAGAAGAAAGAGAACCATGTTGTTTATAAAAAAAAAAGCTCTTTCGCTCACACGATGATGATGATAAAACGATTATGATGATGATGATGATGAAAAGGACGACGACCACACGAAAAGATGATGATGATGTTTGACCACTGCTGATAATGTTAAATTGAAAACCGACGACGGACGATTTTGCTGATAATGATGCCAAAGAAGAATCCAACAAAGAAGAAAAAGAAAGACATATTACTCGTCCTCGATTTGAACGGCGTGTTATTTGATCGACGCCGACGGACCAGAAACAGCAATAAGACTAGTAAACCAGAAGAAGAAAAAGAAGAGTTGTCAACGATATTGGGAAATTTTCAAGTGTACAATCGCCCACACCTGGATGGTTTTATAGACTTTTTGTTGGAAAATTTCACATGCGCGGTGTGGTCGAGCGTGCAAAAGCACAATCTGGAAATGCTCGTCGATCACGCCTGGGGAAAGGAGAGGAGGAAGAAGTTGTTGTTCGTGTGGGGACAGGATAAGTGCACGAGCGTCGGGTTTTTCGGCGACGGGTTGAAACCGGTGTTTTTGAAAGAGACGAGGCGGCGAATCTTTTGGACGCACACCAAGATTTTACTCGTGGACGATTCGCCGTATAAAGCTTTGAAGAATCCGCAGTTTACATCCATTCACCCTCGAGAATGGATCGCGTTTGGTGATGGTGACGAAACAAGGAAAAGTGGATATGAAGACGACGATCTCTCTGAAAACGGGAAACTTCGCAGATATTTGGAGAAAGTAGTAGAGGCGAACGATGCGAACGTATCGCTGCCTCGCTTCATACAACAGACGCCGTATAAAAATGAAAACAAAGAAGACGAAGAAGAGGCTGAAAAGTTGGCTCACGTCATGCGTTTATTAAGCGTTGTTTAATTAGAACTTCTCAGAATCGAACAACCTTCTCAACCTTCTTTATTTTTTTCTTCTTCTTCCTTTTCTTGTCTTCTTCTTCTTCTTCTTCTTCTTCTTCTTCGTCCCCATTGCCGTCATCTAAATCGTCCTCGTCGCCGAGTAAGAACTGCTCTTCGTCGTCTAAATCGTCTCCACCTTTCCTCTTTTTAACTTCATTAGTATTGTCGTCGTTTTCTTTCGATTTCTTCTTCCGTTTGTCGCCTTTACTCTTTTTATTCGGACACTCTTTCGAGAGATGTCCTTCCTCGCCGCATCGCAAACACGCGCCTTGTTTCGGACAATCTCTCGCTAAATGGTCCACGCCTTTACAAATTCGACACTGTCCACCGTTGACGTACAACCCGCTCTTATTCTCCGGACAATTCCGCGACAAGTGTCCGACTTTATCGCAGACGAAACACTTGGCAAACGCAAAGTTCGAATTCGGCTCCGTGCAATCTCGCAACGCGTGCTCGCTGCTGCCGCAGTTGTAACAAATCTTCTGCCCTCGGCTGCTGTTCGCATCGCCGCCGTTGTGGTAGCGACAGTCTCGCAACGAGTGCCCGGTTCGTCGGCATCCGAAACAGACCAACTTATTCTTGAATATGCCGCCATCCGCCGCCGCCGGCTTTGCATTTCTTTTGTTCGTATATCCGCCACCGCCGCCGCGAGAATAAGATGCGTTGTTGTTGTTGTTGTTGTTGCCACTAGCGCTCTTCCTGCCGTACTTCTCTCGCTTTTCTCTCGCTCGCGACGACATTCTCAGTGAGACGAGGAGCAAAAGCACGTTTTTATATGTGTTTTAATACTGTGAAACTGTGAAGACGGTTCGAGCTTTTAAGGAGAAAATGCAAAAATAAACACGCGGTGTCTCTCTGTATTACAAGTGCTTTAATTGTATTTGTGTAATCACGAGAGTGATTATGATGATGATGACGATGACGATGATGACGACGATTCTAATTCGTATATAACGCTCCATCTTCGTATCGCCAACCATATGGTAATGGACAGTCGTTGTCGAGGAGGTATTGTAAACACTCGGTTTGGTTGTTCTCGTGAGCGAATCGAACAGCCCGAGAGTCCCACGGCGCTTTGGCGGTTTCGCGCAAGTACTTCAAACAGTCTAAGTGGCCGTACTCGGCCGCACGCTCACACGCCAAATTGTAATATTTATTATATTTACGCTCAACAAGGTATTCGAGTATGTGGAGGTGACCATTTCGAGCCGCAGAATAGGCAGTTGTCCAAATCCAAGGCGCTTTGGCTTCTTCGCGTAAGTATTTGAGTACCTCGAGATGACCGTTTTCGGCAGCATTTTCACACGCACTCTCATTCATAGGACACTCATTTGCAACGCAATACTTCACCGTTTCCAGGTTACCTATGAATGCGGCCACTTCAATCGTACTTTTATTCCACTCACACTTTTTCTCCTCTCGCGCCCACTTGAGCAACTCGAGTTTATTCGTTTCAGCAACTTTTACGCAGAAATCTTTTTCGCTCAACCATCTCGGCCACAACGATTTATTCTCCCACACAAACTCCAACGTCGATATCGACGACATCTCTTTCACTTTAAACCCCTTTTTCAAGTCATCCGCGCGAGTTGATCTCTTCACCAACTTTCTCGTCTCACTATTCACCTCGTACAAGAATTTCACATCATTCGCATTCAATCTCGGAAGAATGTGTTGGAAACAAATATCGTCGTTCTTCACGATCAAACTCCACACATCTCTCTCCCCGATCCGCCTTTTCTGCTTTCTCGTCGTCACTCCAGAAGTCATGACGTTTGTCTCGCGACACCAACTTCTCCTCTTCTTCTTCTTCTTTCTCTCAAAGTCTCTTTTTACTACAATGGCGAGATGATTTGTTTTTCGTCAAAGAAGAAAAATTGCCGTTTTTTGATTCCTCGAGAGAGAAAAAGAAGAGAAAAGACAGACGTCTTTTACGTCAAAACAACAAACGTTCCCTCCAAAAACCGTTAGTGCTTTCTCTTCTTTCGCCCGTCGTCCGGGCACCCGCGGTGGTTCGGCGAAACGCTGCTCTTTTTCCTGACGTGGCGGCCGACAAACAACACGCGGCCGGCGATTAATTGGAGGGCGAGAATCGAGAGACGTCGGTGACTGCGCGCTGTGAAAGAAAATCATGCTCGAAACGAACGGGAAAACCGAAGACGAGAGAAAGAAGAAGAAGAAGAAGAAGAAGAAGAAGAGTTTTGAACAACTCTTATTCGAGGATTGTCCGAACGGATGCGGTGAAGAAAAAGAAGACGAAGATCAGAACAACAGGTATTGCTCAGACGGAGACGAGATGGACGCGAACGCGATCGAGCGGCTTTTCAGAGCGTGCGAGAGAGTGTGTTCTTCGTCCACGTCTGCTAACGTGACGACAGCCTCGACGACGACTTCTTTCGCGGCGAGAAGACAAACGCAGCGCGAACGAACGAGGGAGATTTACGAACGGTTAAAACCGCACTTGGAACGCGTGACGGCCAGAGAAGTTGGGCTGCTGAGGTGGAGAGAAGATTTCGTCGAGACGGAGGAGGAAGAGGATACGACGAGCGGTGACGATACGGAAGAGGAAGAAGAGTTTGCGCGGGACCCGCTGAAATCGCTCTTCGCGAGCATGTTTAAGAGGGCGAAGAAGAAGAAGATGAAGATGAAGAAATCCTCGTCCGTTTCCGCTCAGGCTTTTAACTTTCTACTAGGAGGGAGCAAAGAGGGAGGGAAGCCGCCCGCAGTGTACAGTCAGAGGATTTACGGCGGCGAAGACTTTCAGATATGCACGTTTATCATTCCCAAAGGCATGGAAATCCCTTTGCACAATCACCCGGAAATGACGGTGTTGTCGAAATGTTTATACGGCTCGGCGAGGGTGCAAAAGTATAAATGGGCGGATGGTAAGTACGAAGATACGACAGCGTGTAAACCGAGAGGGTGTCATTTGGTGTCGGATGATGTGATAGTTGCATCGGGCGGTGGGATTCAGGTATGTTCACCGGAAGAGAACATACACAGGATAGTCGCGATTACGGACGTGGCGATATTGGACGTGTTCGTGCCGCCTTACGACGTGAATGGCGATAGAGATTGCACGTATTACGATTTGGACGGAACAGAGAACGAAGAAGCTGAAACTGAAACTGAAACTGAGGAGGAGCTAGAAATAACAGAAATAACACCGGAGAGTTTGTTCATGCTCGTAGAAATTGAGAATTCGCCGTTTGAATGCTTGGCGATGGAGTACAGAGGACTTAAAATCTCCTCCGTGAATAAGTAGTTACATAAAGCACACATAGAAGTCATACGCATAGAAGTCGTCATTGCGCGTTGTACAATAAGATAGAGAAAAACACCTCAAAGAGATACAAACAATAGTAACTAATTTTTTTATTGCATCAAGTCTACGCTATACTCATCCGCTATGATAACAATCGGCACTTGCACCAATGGAACCTCCTCGGGCATGCCTTCTGACGGCGTCCAAGATGAAAATGTCGTCAAGAATTTGGTCAAGAAAATCACGTTCATGGTCGTCGCTAAGTTAATCCCCGGACACTGATGTTGACCCATTCCGCCTGGGAAGAAACGGTCTTCGCTCTTGGAAGCTTCGAGGAACCGCGAAGGATTGAACGCTTTCGGATCGGAGAAGGCGGATTCGTCGAGGAACGCGATGCGCGGGTCCGCGGTTAACACGTAACCGGCAGGAATGTCGTACCCGCAAAACGTCCTATCCGTTGGGTTTACTCTCAACCCACCCGCGGTTTGTGGGTGAAATCTCAACGTTTCCTTGGACACCGCTAACAAATATTTCCCTTTTTGCGCCAACGTGGAGAGCGTCTGTTCTTCTTCTTCTCGCAACGCCCGCGCTTCTTCTTTCGCTTTTTTCAAAACATCCGCGTTTTCTTTATCGCCTAGAATACGTATCGAGTGTCCCATTAACGCAGCTGCCTCGATGTACGAACCCCAAACCATCAAAACGACCGTCACGGCGACACGTTCGTCCGAAAATGTATCGCCAAACTCATCCGTCGCCTCGGAGTACTGTTTTAGAAAGAAATGTTCAGGTGCGTTCAACTTTGCCTCGTCTTTTTTAATTTCCAGATAGTATTCGAGCACGTATTGCGTCAGTTTCTCCAACGCGCTTTCCCCTTTCTTAAACGTCGGGTCAAACTTTCCCAACGACAACAATCCGGCGTTGTACAAATACATTTCCTCTATAATACTATCCTCGGGCACTTTACCCAAAAACAGATAAAACAACGTCTTCAACGCGAACCGCTTGATATCTTTCCCAAGAAACAAGGGCACTTTCCTTTGCTTCAACTTATTTACGAATTCCTCCGTTCGCATCGCGATTTCCGGCACGTACGCTTCCAAAGCCTCTCTTCCCAACACTCTCGAAAAGTTCTTCCGAGTCGCTTTGTGCTTCGCGCCGCTTTGTTTCAACGCGCCGTACTCCGTGTGTAGCTCCCTGAACGTCTCCGGCAACGCCTCATCCGCCGGTAAACTCGCCTCGAACGATTTAAACTCATCCACGGCTTCTTTCGACCCGAACGCGATCGTCGGTTTGAAGAAAAAAGCCGTCTTGAAAATTGGTCCGTATTTCTTCACTCTCGTTTCCACGAAAGCGTTCGAGTCCATCAGATATTCGAGCGTTTCTCGAACGCCAAACAAACCGACTCTCCCGGGAGGCATTTTGGCTTCTCTCCCCGTCTCCTTTCGTAACTTCACCCCTAACTTGTGCAAGAAATCTTCATCACGAGCATTCGCGTCGTCTTTCACCGCCGCGAACGACGGGACTCCACGGGAAGAATACTTTTTCGGATGATGATGATGATGATGATGATGATGATGCGTTTGGTGATTTTGATGACGACGACGAGGACACGGATGATGGAGGTTGAATCTTCTTCTTTTCCCGAACAACGAAAAGGAAGAAGAAGAAGAAGAAGAAGAAGAAGAAGAAGAAGAAGAAAACACCACCACAGAATCTCCTCGTCTGAGAGTAGTCGCGCTTTTGGGTATCATCTCTGTTCTTCTTCCGCGCGGTGATGCGTAAAATCGTGCGCAAGCTGTGTGTGTAAGTGTGTATCTAAAAGCGCTTGTTTTTTGTGTGGGTTGTTAAAAAGTGCTCAAATTTTGAATAAATGCGAGAGAAAAAGAAAAAAGAAAGAAGAAAAAAAAAGAAGATATTTGGCGGCACTTTTTTCTCTTCTTTCATTTTCTTTCGTCACAAAAACCAAACGCTCATCGAACAACAGTCGCCCCCATGTCGTCGACGACGACGACGAGAGAACAAAGAAGAGAAGACGTGGAACAATTCGTCCACGAATTTCTGCGCTCGAAATCCGTCGACGAGGAAGTTTTAGAATACGTGAAAGATTTACTCTTGGACCTCATCTTCGAAGAAGAAGAAGAAAACGAAACTCCGGACGTGGAATCGATTTCGGAGAATGTTGGAGACATGTTGGAGGCGTTCGTGACGGAAGAGGAGGTGAGGGATATGTGCGCGAACGCGTTGGTGCGGGCGAAGATGCGTGGTCGTGCGGAGGAAGATGCGAGGCGAAACGAAGGAGAGGAAAACGGTGAAACGGAAACGAAGAAGCAGAAAACATTTTTGGTGGATTTGCAAAATATAATACTCGGGTTCGGGGCGAAGATTCTGTTGAAACCGACCGCGTTACGACTTGAGAAGATGAAGAGATACGGCATTGTTGGTCAGAATGGCGCCGGGAAGACGACGCTGATGAATCGAATCGCGGCGAAAGATATTTTGGGTTTTCCGGAGGACGTGAACGTGGTGTTCGTGAGACACGAGATTTTGAGTTTATCGAACGCGACGGTGAGTGAGTTTGCGAGGGAGAAGGAAGAAGAGAGCGGTGGTCGTGGCGACGAAACCGCGTCGTCTTCCGAGGCGTGCTTGAAAGAGGTTGGGTTTGACAATAAGATGATGGGAAAGAGAGTGAACGAATTGTCCGGTGGATGGAGGATGAGATTAGCAATCGCGGCGGCCATGACGCAACAGGCGGATTTGTTATTACTTGACGAGCCTACGAACCATTTAGACGTGGACGCGGTCGAATGGTTGGCTAACTTTTTGATTGCATCGAATTCTACCGTCTTGGTTGTTTCGCACGATTACGACTTTTTAGCCAAAGTGTGCACGGACATCGTGCATTTTGAAAACCAAAAGCTCACGGTGTTCGACGGCGGGTTCCCGGGCTTTCGCGCCAAGAAGCCGAATTTAGTCTTGCCGAGGATGAAGAAAGAAACTTTGGATGCTATTTCGAAACACGCGGAGGAGAATGGGTTAGACGTGGACGATGGGTCGAACGATGGTATGAGAGGAGATGCGTCGTCGCTGGATAAATCGAAAGAACTCGCACGTCGCGAAGCTTTAGGATTGGAGAATACGGCTGGACTCGTTTCCGCGATGAACAAAGGCGCGATGACTATAGGCGGAAGCAACGGTGTCGGTAAAAATGAAATAAACGGAGGCATTCGAGGCTCGAGCGAAAAGCCTTTGCTCGTTTTCCCAGATCCAGGCGTTTTAGACGGTATTAAAAATCGCGGCCAAGTCGTTATGAGACTCGATGACGTCACTTTCAAATACGACGGCGGCGAGAAGAACATCTTAGAACAAGTGTGCGTGCGCGCGTACTTGGGTTCCCGAGTTGCTATTGTAGGTGCGAACGGCGCTGGTAAAACCACGTTGATGAAGAATATCGTTGGCGAGATTGAACCGCAATCGGGAACTATTTGGAAACACCATAATTTGAGGATAGCGTACGTCTCGCAGCACAGCATGCACCATTTAGAATCCAATCTGCATTTGACGCCGAAAGAGTACATTCAAACGCGTTTCTTCCTAGGAAGAGACAAAGAGCTCGCGGCGATGAAAACTATGAAACTAACTGAGGAAGAAGAATCCGCGCGATTACAGCGCGGGAACGTGAACGAAATTCTAGGAAGAGCAGTCAAAGGCGGCGAGTTGTGTTACGAAGTGAGAAAAAACGGCGACCGACCGGGCGTGACCAAGTGGGAGCCCGCAAAGTTTTTACACCGCGACAGTTACTGTAAGAAAATGTGTCTCAATTTCGACGAGACGTACAAAGCGATGCAATCTGGTTTAGATGTGCGACCGCTGACGTCGACGGAGGTGTATAAACACTTGGCGGATTTCGGCATATCAACCGAACTCGGGGATGGGAACATTCGAAGAATGTCCGGAGGCCAAAAATCGCGCTTAGTTCTGGCGGCGGCAATGTGGAATAAACCGCACGTCATTTGTTTGGACGAACCTACCAACTACCTCGATAACGAAACGTTGAAAGCTTTAATTTTCGCGCTGAAAAAGTTCAGAGGTGGTGTTCTAACCATTTCGCACAATGCCGCGTTCGTCGGTGAGGTGTGCTCGGACACGTGGCGCGTCTTCCAAGGCAAAGTGGCGAGTTCGGAAGACGAACGACGAGGCGTAGGGAGTGCAAAAGTCGGTGGATCCAGACGCAAACGACTCGAACGCGAGAAAAGAAACGATGAATCACCTGGCACTGCTAACGATGGGAATGAAGATAACAGCGAGACGATATCCGAGGAAGATGACGACGACGATGTTGATCGAACGGTGACGGGCGTATTGGCGTCTCGCGAAACGGCGCTCGATGTTAAAATCGAACGGTTTTCTATGCAAGTCAACGGACAAGAGCTGATTTCTGAGTGCAACTTAGAACTAAACCACGGGCGTAGGTACGGTTTAATCGGTCAAAACGGATGCGGGAAATCCAATTTACTTTCTGCTATTGCCAAGAGGGAGATTCCTATTCCGGAGCACGTTGACATTTATCACCTTCGTGAAGAAGCCGCGCCTTCAGACCGAACCGCGCTGGAATCGGTCGTCGACCACGTCAAGTTAGAGATTGAGAAATTGAGAAAGAAGGAGGAAGATTTGATGGCAAATTACGGTCCCGGCGACGAGCGTTTACAACTCATTTACGAACGTTTAGAAGAGCTCGATCCGTCCATGTTTGAAACGAAGGCGGCTGAGTTATTATTCGGTCTAGGCTTTGATAAAGATATGATGCAACGCTCGACGAAAGACATGTCTGGGGGATGGAGAATGCGAGTATCGTTAGCGCGCGCTCTTTTTGCGGCTCCTGCGTTACTTTTACTCGATGAGCCTACGAATCATTTGGATTTATCCGCCGTAGTTTGGTTGGAAAACTATCTCGCGAAATACGACAAGTGTTTAGTCGTAGTCAGTCACTCGCAAGATTTTCTCGACGGTGTCTGTACGCACATTATTCGACTCACAAATACGAAACTCACGTATTATAACGGTGATTACGAAACGTTCCAGCGAACACGAGCGAGCGAAGATTTAGTCAACCAGCGCAAATACGACAAAGAGCAAGCGGAAGTCAAAGCGATTAAAGAGTTCATCGCCAAAGCCGGTACTTTTGAGGATAAAATGAAACTCGCGAATTCGCGTCAAAAAGTGCTCGATAAGATGATCGCGGCAGGGTTGACTCCCGAACCGAGCGAGGAGAGGAACTCGTTCCGTTTTAAATTCCCGGATTGCGGGGCAAAAATCGCGCCTCCGGTTTTGCCGTTCAAAGACGTCACGTTCCGGTATCCGGGAACCGAAATAGACATTTTGAAAAACGTAGATTTTGGCATCGATATGGATAGCCGCGTGGCGTTGGTTGGTCCAAACGGCGCCGGTAAGTCTACGTTGTTGAAATTGCTCGCCCAGGATTTACAACCGACAACTGGCGTCGTCGAAAGACGAAACGGCGTCATCGTTGGTAGATACACGCAACATTCGTTTGAATCTCTCGATCCGCGCTCGACGCCGTTGGAATTTTTTTCCGGGACATTTCAAGACATGAAAAAGCTGGACGATTATTGGCGTTCGTATTTAGGAACATACGGAATTTCCGGCAAGACGCAAACGAAACCTATCGCGCTCTTATCCGCGGGGCAGCAATCGCGTCTCGTCTTTGCGATGATATGTTTGTCCAAACCTAACATTTTGTTATTAGACGAACCTACGAATCACTTGGACATAGACGCCATCGACGGGTTAGCGGATGCGATAAATGAGTACAGCGGCGGATTAGTTTTAGTATCGCACGATTTCCGCTTAATCGAGAAAGTGGCAAAAGAGATTTGGCTTTGCGAAAATCAACAAGTGACGAAGATGACTAAATCCATTCGCGACTACAAAAAGAGTTTAGCGAAGAGAAAGCTATCGAAGTAAATTTTGAAACAGTAGATGTAGTTTAGAGATAGATAGTCGTAGTATTAAAAGATGGTAAATTTAGCCGCCGCAATTGTTGTAATAGTTTAGTATTATGATCACAAAATTGTACCGAGGTATATCACGGGCCCTCTTATTATTATTCAGATTTATTAATTACGACTGAAAAGCCCTGCGTGTTTATTTGTTTCTCTTCTCTCTCTTCTCTTCTCTTATCGTCTCGACGCGAACATCGCTCCTAACACCGCCACACCGGCCACAACGCCCGTTATTCCAATAATCCCATCCCTGGCCAAATATTCCTCGCACGCCTGCCTCAAATTTTGCGCTTGGACGCACGTCGGATCTACGCTCAAACACGTAAACGCGTTGTCTCTGCACGACAAATAGTCGTTACGATTGTAATACAATACCGCCTTCAAATAATACCTATCTCTATGCGTCAAAACGTCGTCCCACTCTAACGTCTCGTCCATCAAAATATTCTCCGCGTGTCTCAAATGTTCCTCCCGTCTGCTGTGCGACAACGCCCACGCCAATCGAAACCTCGCCTCGTCCAACTCTTTTTTATATTTTTCCGCCTCCTCCGGGGCTTGCGACTGCGCACACAACCTCGCAAACTCGCTCTCGGCCATAATCACGTCCTCGGCGGAGCTCACCGGTAATCCTAAACTCGACGCGGACGGTAAAAACAATCGCTCCGCTTCCATTTTCGCGTTTCGGGTGAACGTGGAGATCTTATCGCTGACCGACGTGAAATCCATCATCGTTCGTTTCTTTCCAAAGCGCGATGATGATTTGGTTTTGAAGAGAAGTTATTTTGCAGCAAAAGCGCTTTACTAGAAAAATAAAACTCTCCTCGAGATCGCTTCTTCTGTTTCTCTCTCGTCGGTTCCAAGTTTCCCCGTTCGTCTCTCTCTCTCTATATATCTTCACACCACGCGCAGTGGTAGCAATAAAAGAGAAGGATGAGAGAGAGAGAGAAGACACACCACGACGCGCTTTTGGAGAAGAAGCGTTAACGCACGTTTCGAGATGTAAAGTGCGGTAAAAAATGAGGAAAGTAGAAGGTCACGTCAAAAAAAAAAAAGAGGAGCCCCTTCTCGACCTTTTTTTGTGTTCCTCTTTGTGTGTTGTTGTTATCTGCATTCACCGCTTCCTCCCCGCACAACAACAACAACAACAAGATTACCACATTTTATCTAATACTACTACCACTACTAAAATGCCGGCAACGACTCGACGACAGGCATCGTCTTTATCTCCTCGGGTGGTGCGAGAGATGACCCCGTCGCCTCGGTACAAAGGCGTTTTGAAAAACTCTGGATTTAACTTTTTACCCGATGGGAAAAGTTTTCACGTTTTCGGGATGATGTCGAGAGAGTTGGAACTCATCGTTTGCTGTGTGGGCGTGTTCGTGTCGTTTAGCTTATTCGCGGTGATGCAAGAGGACGTGTACGAAGCGCAAGGAGAAAACGGAGGGGAGAGGTTTTCGATGACGTTTTTTGCGCTCGTGTTCGAGCGAGCGGTGAACGCGTTGTGCGCGTTGTTGGCTATTTTTGTCTTTGGTGGGAGTGGGTATAAACTGCCTCTGAAGGAAATTTTTCACAGCGGGTCGTCGCAGATGTTAGCGATGGCGGCGTCGAACGAGGCGTTGAGGTACGTCAGTTACCCGACGCAGGTTTTAGGGAAGAGTTGTAAGATGGTTCCCGTCATGCTCGGTGGGTTGGTTTTAGGAGGGAGGAAGTTTTCGAGGTTTCAATATCTCTCGGTCGCGTTTGTTACGTTTGGCGTATTTTTGTTCAACTACGGCAAAGCGTCGTCGTCGAGCGGGAAGTCTGCGAGTGTGACGGAAAACTCCACGTACGGTTTGAGTTTGATTTTCTTGTCCTTGGTGTTCGACGCCATTACCGGCGGGTTGCAAGATAAAGTTAAAACGAGCACGAAAGTTTTAAATCCGAGTCACCGAAAAACGGCGAAACCGAGCGCGCACGAGAGCATGTTGTATACGAACTTATCCGGAGCCATCGTCGCGTTGGTCTTTGCCATATTGACGGGTCAAATCACCAGCGGTTTCGCGTTTTGCGCGAAATACCCGAAAGTTTTGAAAGCGATCGTGTGTTATTCCTTAGCCTCCGCGGTTGGCCAAAATTTCATCTACCACACCATCACGAGCTTTGACGTTTTAGTCCTCACCACGGTCACGACGACGAGAAAGATTTTTAGCACCGTCTATTCGGTATTTAGAAACCCAAACCAAACGTTAACGAACATCCAATGGACCGGGTGTTTCATCGTGTTTGCGTTTTTAGGAATGGAAACCGCGGAGAAGGTCCACAGGAGCAGGAATATAAACGCCGCGCGAGGCCGAGCGAAGCTCGTGTGAAGCAGCGCGCGTATAATAGTCAAAGAGAGAGAGAGAGATCGCGAAAGAATAATACTACTCACGACAATAATGATAATACTAATACCGCGTGCGGGATAAAAAAATGATCGAGTAAAACGTTCTTCTGAGATGATGATAGTATCTTCGCGTCGTCAAAGTCTCGTTTTTTTCCTCCTCGCTTGGATGCATCGTTTTCGAAAGCTTCTCGATTGCTTTTTTTCTCTTTTAAAAAAGCAGTTGAAAGAGATAAGAAGCAAGTGTCTGCATCGCGTCACACTTCGTTTGCTCTTTCGCGCGGTTGTAGTATCAGAATTCCCCCCCCGTAGTATTCTCGCACACACCACCGAGCGCGACACCGCTACAGCGCTCTAGCATACACACACACGCACGCGCACGCGCGAAAAAGAGCAGATCTCTCTCTCTCTTAAACGCGCTGATATCCAAATCTCATCTGCATTCCAGTAAAAGGTATATTCTTTAGCACAGATGACGACGACGATGTCGTCGATATCGATACCGACGATGCACGGCGCTTCTTTTCACGCTTCGCGTTCTTCGTCTTTGAAGACGAGCGCGAGGAAGGGTTGTTCTTTTTCGAACGACGCTTTGTTGAAGAAGAGAGGCCGGAAGAGTTTCGCGCGGAGCAGGAGCACGTCGTCGTCGCGCGATGGCGTCGTCGTCACGCACGCCTCGTCGTCATCACCATCGTCATCGTTCGCAAAGTCTAAGACTTTGTTTTGGCCGGGGTCGCGGCGGCAGGGGAGAGGACGACGGACGATGACGACGACAGCAATACTAAGAACAACGGAAACAACGAAAACAGAGGCGATAGGACGTAACGAGAGTAGGAGTAGCAGTAATAGTAGGAGTAGGAGTAGGAGTAGGAGAAGAATAAGAAGAAACAAGGCGATATTCGACTCTCGGGACGAGGATAAAGAAAGCGCGACGAAAGCAGCGACGACGGCGGCGGCGGTAGATTCTTCTCCCGAGAACCAAGGGAACAGAAATAGTAGTAGTAGCACTTCTTCGCCGACGGAGTTACTCAAAACTTTAGGCGCGAAAGATATCGTGGACGCTTCTCGAGATTCCATAGACGACGAGCGAGACGAGACGAATTCAAAGACGACGCTCGTCGCGTTTGGATGCGTTCTGTTGGGGATATTGGCGTCTTCGGTATACTTTAGAGAACCAATCACGGAGGCTTTATTCGGATACGCTTCGTATTTGGACTCGCTCGGTCCCGTGAACGGGCCGTTGTTGTTCGGGTTCGGGTATTTCGTTTTGGAAATGTTCGCGGTGCCGGCGTTTCCGTTGACGATGTCTGCAGGGGCGTTGTTTGGCGCGTTTGAAGGGACTCTGGTTGTGGTGAGTTCCGCGACGGTGGCAGCGGTAGCGGCGTTTCTTGTTTCTAGGTACGTGGCCAGAGACTCGGTGAAAAAATTGGCGAGCGAAAAGTTCGGCGAGCAGTACAGGAAAATCGACGAGGCGATTGGAGAGAACGGATTCGGCGTGGTTTTCATGTTACGCTTGAGCCCACTTTTACCGTTTTCCGTGTCCAACTACCTCTACGGCTTGACATCCGTCTCGGTGTTGGAGTACGCTCCGGCGTCCTTCTTGGGCATGATACCGGGGACGGCGGCGTACGTCGCGAGCGGCGACGTCGCGCGAACCATTTCCGCCGGCGGAGGCGCCACCGTCCAACAAATCGGTCCCGCGCTGTTGGCGCTCGGCTTATCCGCGCTCTCCGCGTGGTACGTCGGTAAAATCGCCTCCAACGCGCTCTGCGAAGACGATGAAAACTTCTGCGATACCGATACCTCTGCGACGAGTTTCGACAAAGAAGAAAAGAAGTGAATTCAAACGTAATAAATACTAAACACAAAAGAGAGAGAGAGAGAAGAGATGTTGTAATACGAGAGAGAAAAAAGAGAAAAACACACACAAAAACTATTTAGGGTATCAGAAAAAAAAAAGGCGCAAAAATCGAATCGTTCCCTCTGTTTGCTCTTCGCGTCATTATTCCTCTGCACCGCGCGCGCTTTACATACACGCACGCAAACACACACTCAAACACACACACACACAAACAAAGGCACTTTTCGTTGCCCGCGGATAAACATCTCGTAAAAAAAAAACAAAGGAAGTTGTCTCTCTTCTTTGCTTTTTGTCTACAAAAATGACTTCCTCCTCCCCCGCTGCCCGAGGAGGACGAGGACCACCTCCTCCTGGAGCGTTGATGAACGGAGGAGGCTACGCGACATTCGCACCTCCAGACGACTCTCATCGGCGATACGACGAGGAGGAAGGACTGAAGAGAAAGAAAATGTCGTGGCGCGTGATCCTCTCGGCCATCTTTGCCGTGCTCTTCGCGACAACGTTCGTCGCCTCGTCTGGTGGCTCGATGACGGGGAAAAGCCGCGTCAAACCGAGTGAATTGGACATCGCGTTTGCGCGCTACGGGAGCGAAGAGCCATCTTTGGTGAACGATCGAAAATATAAAATCGAAGACGATTACGAAGAGTACGAGTACGATCACAACAGCGGGCGCAAAGCGGACGCGATATTCCGCGGCGCGAGAAGTACGGCGAGTCATAAAAAGAATAAGAGTACCATTCACGGATCTCCTTCTCCCTTGGAAAGGTTGAACGCGAAACTCGGCGGGATGGTATGGCCGTTCGATGGACCAAAACCGAGCGGTGGTAAAGAAACAGTGAAAGGATCGGTGCCATTTAAATTGAGCAAGTTAGGTGCGGACGACGGGACGGGTACGTCCACTGCTACTGGGGTAGATCCCGGAACGGCGAACGACTTGACCGAAGACTCCGAAGCCGAAGTAAGCGCCGAAGAAGCGGACGAGCAAAAGAAAATGGAGAAACAAATCGAACACGAAGAAGAGGTAAACGCGACCGGTTTAACTGCACCAGCTATAGACGATGACGTAGATATTTACGATCCGGCTTTCCACAATCCGCAGAAGGAGTTTTTATCCGCGGAGGGTAGAAAGCGATTGGAGGCGTTTAGGAACCCACCAAATTTGAACGAAACGACTTTAGATACCGGTAGGTTGCGTAGGTTAGGTAGAACTTTATACTTAGACGGGAAACCATGGTTAATGCGCGCTGTGTGTTATTCTCCAGTGCCAGTAGGAGCCGACCCGGATTGGTTTGAACCGTATGGGGATTATTTCACGTCCAACTACGCCGGGATTTTTGAACGAGATATTCCTCTCCTAGCCGATGCCGGTGTGAACGCGATTCGTATTTATACGTTGAAATATTCTCACAGACACACGCAGTTCTTTGATTTGTGTCACCAGTATGGGATTGTTATTATTGTTGGTTACGATTTCGAAGACGGAACCAAGTCGTTCTTCAACGACGAGGAGTCCATGACGAAAGTCCAAAGAAAACTTAGATCGCAAGTTAGAGCCGCAAAGCACCCAGCCATTGGCGCTTGGATTGTAGGAAATGAGTTGAATGGACCGTGGAATTTGTTCGTTTGCGATAAAGATTTAGCGGAGAACTTTGGCATCAGCGGGTGTCAATTCGAAGATTCCATCGAAAAGTTGATGAAATCCGTCAACTTGTTGTGCTCGGTCGTGCGTTCCGAAGGTGTCTTGTGCGGAACCGCTTTAGCGAACGTGAACTTACCGAGGACAAAACAACACGTCGTTGGGATGCAAATGTGGGGGGCACTAGCGTGGATTCGTTATTCAGACGTGTGGATGGACCAGCTCGACTTCTGGGCGGTGAACATGTACACGCGGAGATTTTGGTCGCCGCTCACTTTGTTCAAAAAGTATCATTTAGTTTCCAAAAAGCCGTTCATAGTTTCTGAATACGGCGTAGATGCGTATAAATTAGCTCCACAACACGAAGGATGGAACGGCTACGATACTATGGGCGAAGAAGACCAAATTGCCCAAGCCGATTGGACGACGTCGATGATTGAAGATTTAGAAAAACATGCCACGACGTGCGCGAGTGGCTGTGGCACGCGATTCGTTACCGGTGGATCTATTATGGCGTGGGTGGACGAGTATTGGAAGGGAAAGGCAGTCACCGCTGTGCCGACCACGGATGAAAGAATTCCAATCATCGAAAAAGTCTGCCCGAGTTTGAAAGAAAAGTTACACTCTCCGTGCGGCTACATGTCGCCGACGCAGCCAGATTTATACACGTCTGAGGAGTATTTCGGGATGATGGCGGTAGAAAAAAGGTGCAAAGTGAATCACGTTGATTTACTTCGACCGAGAGCGGTTTACTTCATGTTAAAACTCCTCTGGAAAAAAGGCGGCACGTGTACGCCGTTTTACGGCGGTGAGGAACTTCAAGCGTACGATCCACTCAAATTTCCAAAGTGTGGGGAAGCAATCAACGATGCGCACAACGCTTCCGTGCACGCGTTTGCACACACGGAAGCCGAAGCGTGGCATCAAATTAAATTGAAGCCGGGACAGTTGGTGCCGCAGTTTGCGTTTTTCGAGAACTTTTCGGCCATTCTGTCGCATCCGCCGGGGCTCATTAACCCGACAGCCGTGTCGTTGCAGTCGCCGTACTTGTCTTGCCACCACCAAATGTTGGTGCACCAAAAGTCACCAACTGTGTGTCCGGCACCGCCGACTTTCGCGCTCGACGTCGAAGGTTTTATTGCAAAAGAAAACTCGACGTGGACGCAGCCCGGGGATACCTCCTGCCCGGGGACCGACGGATACGATTTGAACATGCTTGATCTTAAGTTTCAAACGTGGCTCAAACTTATCTTTATTGGTTACATCATCATTGCTCTTGGTTTGAAGCGAAAACAGTTGGGCAGAATTTGGAGAGATGCATTTCACGCGCTGGTGAGAGCGAAGACGCCGGTGTTCTCGTGGTTTTCGAAATCGCACGAACCAGAAGAAATTGAGCTCACCAAAAAGGCGGCGCAATCGACGAAAAGTCCTCCTTCTTCGCAAAGGTTCGCCGCCGATTTGGCTTCTGAACCAGCCACGACGAGTGGGCAAGATTTAGAAGAATTAGAAGGCGAAGACTTGACGCGCCGCGGTCCGGAGCCAACCGGAAAGTCTGAAATTGAACGCGCCGTGACGAAATGGCGGAACAAAATCTTGCCTATCGCGCAAGAACTAGCGTCAGTCTTTGGTTTCCAAAGCGCCGGAGACGATAACGTTGGTGCTACGGTTGAAAACGTCGCGGATCGATTAGCTGGTCAACTTTGGAACATTGGCTCGACCGAGGAATCCAAAGGCAAGGGTGAAGATTTTATCATCGAAAAGAGATATGCGAAGTCGTTTCGAAACTACGTTCGATGGCGTAACTTTGTTGGTGATTTAGGCATTATGCACTCTGGATCGTTAGAGTCACAAATGGGGCAGAACAAGCTGAGATCGCTCGTGCTCTTTGAGTGCATCGCGGACGAAGCCGCAAACTGCCGCGGCATGCCTGAAATGATTGCATTTCTTTTTCACGTGTGTTCCAACGCTATCACTGCAAACGGGAAGCCAGTGAACTCAAAGGTCATGAAGTTTGAGAAGGGAGACTTTGTTGAGTCTATCATTATGCCCGTGACGGAATTCCTCGCCACGCAAATTCGTTCGGATTTGCGCGTGTACCGTAGACTTGGCTACGACGATATCAACGAGTGCTACTTGATCCCAAGTAAGTTAAAGCGAATGACAACGAACGATACTGGGGATGGAACGACGGTGTCTTACGTGAACTACAGAAACTACATGCGCCGGGCACGCATTGCAGCGGAAATCGATCAGACGCTCGGCGCAGTTTTCGAAAAGACGCACAACGAATTTCTTGGATGGACCATGGTCCTTTTGAATTTCCACAGAATGTTCACGTTCATGACGTGTGCCTTTGCATTTATGACTATTTACTTGTTCGCAGGTTTACAGTGGCAATATTACTCGTTCCTGGCAGGCGTCGCGGCTGGATGTGACTTTTTCGTTGAGTTGCAAGTCCTCCTCGTGCACCGTCGAGAACTCTACAAGAGCAAGACTATGAGCATTGCAAAACTTGCAATCGCTTCTGCGGCGTTGATTGTAACTGGTTTGACTGCTTGCGGTCTCTTTTCTTTGACCGTGTTTGCTCCAATTGGATACGCGTACATCGCGATCAGTTTAATTGATTTTAGTGGACTCGTTCCGATGGGTGGCCAAAAAGAATATTTAGGCACGAAAGAAGATGTGAGCACGGATAGAAGCGACAGCTTCCGGTATCGTCTCTTCTGGATCGTCGTATTGGCGGCTAAGTTCTTATTTGACTTCGTATTCATCCTCTCGCCGCTTGAAAAACCAACCAGAGCTATTTTACAGCTCGATTTGTACTGCTGGGGGTACGACTTTGCCGGCGAAGACTGCGATCAGTACGATTACAGCGATATGTTACCAGAGTTTATGATCCACATCGTCCGCATTTTCCGACGACACACGTACAAGTACCTTGTCGTCATTCAAAGATGGCTTCCGAGCACTCTCTTGTACTACGCGGATACCTTCTTCTGGTACCTCATCGGCTTGGGTATCGCCTCAGCTTTTGATCGTTTGCGTTGGAAAGGCGTGGAAGACGGATGGTCGAAAGTTGTTCGCGAGCTTCCGCTCAAGATTGCCGCTTTTGGGGAGAAGATTATATCCACTCAGCAGCTCAAGCCAATGCCGGCATCGTCGCCTTCGACACATTTATGCGCGGAAGCTGCTTCGGAGCAGTGGAGAGAATTTGCGCGTGCCTGGAACGCGGTGATTAAATCTTTGCGCAAGCGTGATTTATTGAGCGACGAAGAGCGCAGCGCGCTTTCGTTTGCACCACTGAATGGAAAAACTGTGAAGAGTTTCCTCGGTGGTGATTCTGATACGTACGTGTTATTCCCTACAATGTTAACCGCGCCGGTATTTTCGAAAGTTGGCGCAGAGCGTAACGCGAGCATGAAATACGCCTTGTTGGGATCAGTCATGTCGCAAATGATTGATGTCTCGGCGTTCATGTTTGTTTGTATTTTAGGCGTCGTAGATTCGAGCAAACGCGCAGAGTTTTGCACGTTGTTGAAGTCAGCGACGGATCTGATGGGCGTCGTCGTTCGCCGAGAGTCGACGCGCGCGCCGAAATGGCTCATCGATATTCGCACGCTGGTCCACGACGGTATCAAGTTGATTCGCAAAGCACGCGACGATGAAGAGGACGCCTCCGGCAACTCACTCGTTGAGGCGTGTAAAGTTTTCAAGCAAAACATTGAAAAGTCGATTGAATTGATCAAGAACGATATCGTCGCGGATGACAACGAAAAGTTATCGGCAGCGCACAAAGAAACCAACGTCGTGTTGGGCCAGGTTTGCGATTCGTTGTTGAAGGTGCTCTCGGATTCGACTAAATTAGAAGACGCGTCGCACGTACGATCGCGAGTGAAGCCTGCTCTGTTGACCGCTCCAGGTAGGCGCGTTGTCGACGTTCTTCACAGAACGTTCTCCACTGCGAATCCTACGGGGGAACCAGATTGCGCGGAAGCTCGGGAAATTTTAAGATTTTTCTTGGAATCTCTCACCGACCCGCAATTGCAGAAAGCCAGAAGTGTCTTACAAACGCCGGCCTTATCCACGCTCACTCCCATGTACGTCGAAGAAGTTGAATTGACGACGGACGATTTGAGGGAGCAAATCGATGGGGAGAACGTCTCCACGTTTCGATTTTTGACTACCATGCTTCCGCGCGAATGGGCAAACGTGCTTGAACGAACAAATTTACGTTTGCCACACCAAAACTACGAAGCGTTCTTGGATGAACTCGCAGGGAGACGCGAGACGAACGCGGAAACGGCAGAGGATGTCGCAGTTCTTGCGACAATCTCGCGTTGGGCGTCAGACCGTACGCAGACGCTCTCACGCACGGTGAAAGGCTTCTCCTCTTACGCAGATGCGTCGAGAATATTGGCGAGACTGGAAGGCATAAAAGAAGAAGAGATTGAAGCGCTCGTTCGCTTGAAGTACGAGCACGTGTTATCTTGCCAAATGTACGGCGTTAAAGGCTGGGAAGCCAAGGATAAACAAATTGTTGAGATGTGCAAGGCACATCCACACACCGTACTCACGCACTACGAGCAGCCCGATTTGGCGGCGAAGAGTATGGAAGACGCGGGGAGCTATTATTACCTGTGCCGATCTCGAATCGATTACGAAGAAGATCCTGCCGGCATTATGAAGCTCACGCATAGAATTCGCTTACCTGGAAATCCGATCGTCGGTGAAGGTAAGCCAGAGAACCAGAATCTCGGGATTGTTTACGCCAGAGGGAATTACATGCAAACAATCGATATGAATCAAGACGCGCAATTATCTGAAGGTTTGAAAGTGCGAAATCTTATCCGTACTTTCGAGGATGATGATGATACTGTCATCGTTGGTTTCCCCGAGCAAATGATCACCGAACAGAACGGTTCAGTCGCGCAATTTTCCGCTTTGTCTGAGCAAGTGTTCGGTACAATGGTTCAGCGGTACATGGCGAAGCCGCTGTGCGTGAGGTTCCACTACGGTCACCCGGACGTTTGGGATTTGGCGTGGGTCCGATCGAATGGTGGTGTCTCGAAAGCTACTAAATCTTTGCACTTATCTGAAGATATCTTTGGTGGTATGAATGTCATATTAAGAGGAGGGAAAGTGCGATACGTAGGTTTCAAGATGGTTGGTAAAGCCAGAGAAGTTTCCTTTGACGGCGCGAACCAGTTTCACGCGAAGATTGCTACCGGTAACGGTATGCAGCTCATTTCGCGTGATTTCCACAGATTATCAAAGTCCTTCGATTTCTTAAGAGGTCTGTCGTTTTTTCAATCCTCCGCGGGCATAATGTTCACGGAATTTGTATTATTCGCGTCACTTCTTGCGTTCGTAGTGACCAAACTTATCATAGTTATGGTGCACGTCGAAACGTACTTCAAATCTGGAGATGCGTTCGATAACATTGGTTTCCACGAGGAAGTCGGTACGCACAATATATATCCATCGCACTGGTTTATTCAAGCGTCCTTTGTTATGGCTTGGCCAGTCATGTTAGAAGGCTGGCTCGACGGCGGCTTTGTGAATATGTTTTCCAAGCTGTATCACCACACGATTACCGGAAGCTTTATTTTCAATATGTTCATCGCTAAAATGAGAGGTTTTTCATTGGACAGCTCAATCAATACCGGTGAAGCGGCTTACATGAAGACTAAGCGTGGCATGACCATGCGCGCTGGTTTCGTCAGCTTGTACTCTAAGTACGCCGAAAGTCACATCAAACCGGCTATAGAAATGGCATGGGTGGCGGGGGCTATCATGTCGCTCTCTTCGCTCGGTCCTTTACACGAATTCTTCTCGAGCACTTGGCACGTCTGGTTTGCAATTTGGAACTTAACTATGGCACCCTGGTTATTCCATCCGCAAACGTTCAAGAGTGGCATGATCAAGTTTGGTATGGCTGAGTGGGTCTGCTGGTTGGACTCTATCCCTCGAGGAGACGACGAGCGCACGGCGAAGGAGAAAGTCAATGCCAGACGCGGTTTGGGGAATAAACCAACGTGGTGGACTTGGCGCGCAGATACGATGCGTAACTGGAGAAAACTTCCAATGTCTGTAAAGTTTTGGCACGTGTCTTTGAGACTCGTTCCTGGACCTATAATTGTTTCCTTGGCCGCGGCTGCAGCGCTGAACGTCGGAGATGCCTCGTCTACCACTGCGCTGCGTCCAATTATTATCTTGACTTCTGGTGTTGCCGCTGGATTATTAGCGGCGGTGTATTACTTTGCCTTATCGCCGCAGTTCTTGTGGCCACACAGATTAGTGTCTCTCGCGAAGCGATTTGCTGGCAAAGGTACGTTATCTGAAGTTACGAAGCAATCCATTGTCTTGATTTACGGCTACTTTTTCAAAATCGTGTGCGTGGTTTTGCATCACTTCCTCTGTCAAAGATTGTTTTCGGCGCAAATGAATCAATGGGATTTCCTTAATGCCGTTGTCTTCGCAATATCTGGCTACGTGTTCATCAGCTGCACTTCAGCAGTCTTTGGTCTCATCTCGGATCAGCCTCCAAGAGCGTTCCGAGGGCTCATGTTGTCCTTTCGCTCCTATGGTGACTTCATGGCAAGAGAAATCGATATCATCAATGGTACGATTTTGCACATCGTCTTGCTCGTTATTGGTTTGTTTCCAATATCGTTCATACACGCTAGAGCGTTGTTCAACCGCGCGTATGCGGCCGTGTTGACGGTTGAAATGCGCAGACGAGAGATGATTGCGTCCATCAACCGATCGGACGTGTCCTCGAGAGCGCGTCAAAAACTCTCTGGATTTAAACTCTTCTTCAGAAAAGTTATCGGCTTGCACGTGAAGTCCATGAAATATAAACGTCCGGCACCGACGGTCTTGCCAGATGTGCCTCGCGATATGACCGTTCCAGGTTCTGGGTCGGCCATTAATCCGAGATGCGAAGATATCAAGAAACGCTTGATGCCATTATTCGAACAGCAAGCTACTCTTTTTGGATTCCAAAAGACGTGCCCTGATTCGAGCTTCTCGGAAACACCAGTTGAAGTGAAATCGAACATGCACAATGCACTTGAGAACATGTCGCGATGGGTTGAAAACACCATTGCCACGTATTCCGACGAAGCTGGTATCTCCGAAGACGGTTTGAGTGAGGCGCAGTGGGCGGAAGCGATCAACCACTTACACGGCCACATGTTCTTAAACTTCAAACACTGGGTGGATTACACCGGTATGCTTGATCAAGCACAGACAAACGCGGACGTGCAGGCATTCGAAATCGACAACAGTGGTTCGGAAGAGAAGAAATCCCCGATTCTTGCGCTCTTCATGGCACAGCGCAAAAGTAACGAAGTCTTCTTCAACAACGTCAATCGGGAAGAGTTCTTGAAGGTGGAAACGAACGCGAAAGCCCATCATTTGGCGATTTGGTTTTTGCTTTACGGTGAATCCGCTAATTTACGCCACATGTCTGAAGTACTCTGTTATCTCTTTCATTGCGCATTATGCGCAGTTACGCTCGAAAACCGTTCAGAAAGAGATCCCGAGACCAACGCGGAACTCATTTTGGCGCAACCAGTAAAGGGGTCTGAAATGCCATACAAGGAGTGCGATTATCTCAACAACGTTGTCACTCCGATGTACTTATTCATGCGCCGCGAGTTGAAGGAACGCGCGAAAGCGCCAATTGTTGATCGGGTCATGTACGATGACGTCAACGAGTTCTTTTGGGAGTACAATAGGTTCAAGGAAGTCATGCCTCCAGTGGACGGCCATGCGAACGAGGACGTCGAGAAACGCGAAGCTGAAATGCCAGAAGAGGAAAAGCAGAACCGACAACCTGAATTTATTGGTGTACCTATGGAAATGCGCGACAACCCACTTGATCAACGCATGTACGCACATTTCAGAGCGTACATGATGAACAAGGCGAAGCATCCGCTTGGTGCCGGCGAGGGGTTGTCGAAGACATTTTTCAAGACGCATCGCGAAGTTGCTGGATGGTTCAGTCTTTACGTCAACTTTAACACGGTCATCGTATTTCATGCGGTGTGCTTCCACATTTCGTGCGTGTGCGCATTTGCTGATGGTTTCGATTGGGGATATGTGTGCACTGCCGCAGTTACGCACGCAGTTTTGAAGCTTATTTGCGAGTTTGCCACCCTCTCCTTTCGCAACTTGAAACAGGAATCCTTCGAAGATTGGTTCGTTATCGTCACGCGATCGCTCGCGTTTATCATGATTCCTTTATTTTATGGGTTGGAAAAGTCTTTCCACCCGGATAGTAAAACACCATACTTCCAAGCTCTGGCTGCTGTTTACGCCTTAGCCATGTGTGGCGTCATGACATCGGTGATCAAGAGAGAGCCCTACATGGGCGGCAGTGCGCAGTTCGCAACACCGTTCCGCGAACGCTGCATTTACTCCATTTTCTGGATATTCGTGTTGGCCACAAAGTTGGCATTTGGTCACTATCTTCTTATTCCTCCCTTGCGCGAGTCTGTGAATGCATTGCAACATCCAGATTTGTGCTGGAACAAGGAGTCTGATACGTACACCTCGTGCATCAACTTGGACGGCGACGCGTTGAAAAATGCTTTGCACTTTGAGGCGAGAGAAAAGTACTTCTTGCAAGATATCACTAAAGAGGAAGAATTGTTGGCTGAGCAGTTAGACCCGCTCGATTACGACGACGACTACGAGGAAGATAAAACTATGCGTCGTCGTACTTTATTATCTGGTGCCGATTCGGGAAGTTTTGATCTCTCGGGAAATATCGGCAAGCTTGCCGCCATCTTGGGTGGGGGCGATAACATCACGCCTCTCGCCTCATTGGGCTACATTGGTGAAGAAATTGAAGGTGAAATCCCGTCGAGTTACTACGATGTGCACGCGAGTACCGTTTTGATGTACCTCATGACAGTAATGCGCGTTTTACCGGCGTTGGTAACGTACTTTTGTGATACCTTTGTTTGGTACACCGTGTACGCGACTGCCTTTACAATTGCGCTTCAGTGGTGGGGTAAAATTTCGCACGCGCAAAACTGGAGCTTCTTCTTGCGAAGCTTCTCGACTATCCCGTATCTCTTCTGCGACAAGTGCTTGAACAGAAAATGGCCGAAGCCAGAGTTTGTCGTGCGTTCTGGCGAAGGGAGCCAGAAGATGGCAGAGTCGGATTCAGAAGACGACATGGAGAACCCGAGCAATAAAATGCTAGGTATGGCGAAAGGTTTGAGCGATAAGCGAACAGGTAAATCTGGTGGTGGTTACAGTGCGCACATCGATGAGATGGACGATGATTCAAGAGCTGGCAGAGATTCTTTGCTTACAATCACGGAGAAAATCGACGAAACGGACCCAAATGCATACGAAACCAACCCGGCGGACTTCTGCGCCGATGCGCTTGACATAAAGTGGCAACACTTTGGAAGAGCGTGGAATGCAATAGCGAAGAATTTGCGCGATCGTGACCTTCTCAGTGACGCTGAATATCACGACTTGTGCTTTACTTTTTTGTCTGGCCGTGACATGTCGCAGATTTTCCATGCCCCGGAGTATGTTATCCTGCCGGCGATGATGACCTCCACTGTCTTTTCAACCGTGTCTTTCCAAACTGGCACTATGAAGGCATATCCTGCATTTTATCGCACTATGGTACAAACGAAAGATTTGCTTGCGGTCTTGTTTACCGATGCCTTGCGTTTAGTCGCTCCAAGAGACTTGGAGGACTTCATGAAGATCATCGTAGAAATCGCGCAAGTAGAAAACGAGCAAATGCACCACCGCAAAACTGGAGATATCGAGAGCTACATGGTTTTACGAGACGCTATCATTCGTTTGCTCCAGGAGTTGAAAGCGTGCGGTGTTGATGTCGAAGCCGAAGGTGAAACGCCCGATAGTGACTTTGACTCGGAATCAGATAACGATGACGACGATGAGGACAAGATTGAAAGGCTCACAGCGGCTGGCGAATTGGAAGAAGCTGAGCGCATCAAAAAGGCATTGGCGAGGAAAAGGTACAACCGCCAAAAACGCGAACTTCGTGAAAAAGAACTCGCCAGACAAGAGCAAATGCTCGAAGCGATGAACCTTGAGTTAAAGTATGGATGCACCGGATTCTTTAGCAAGAAAACGAGGAAGAAGATGCGCGAAAAAGGCGGCAGGTTTGCATGCTTTGTGATTGAAGAGAACATCGAACTCACCGAAGCTGAAAAAGCGGCGTATGAAGAGATGAAACAAAATGACGAAGAGCGCGAAGCTGAGCTCGCAGGTTCAAGCAAAAAGGCTCGAAAGACAAAGCGAAAGGAAGCGAAAAGGTATAAAAACATCACGCTTCCAGAGAATTCAGACACGCGAGGTGAGCGTGTAGCGGAGGCTTTACATGATGTCTTGCTCGCGGTCAGGAAGATTTGCGCATTTGCCATGGAGCGCGACTCTGGGAAATGGTCGGCTCACGCCAATCAATACAAATACAAAGTTTCGCAATTGTATTCAAAGTTACTCGATATGATTCAATCCGATTTGTTGAGAGACAAGAACCACGTACAGGTTGTTGCAGCTTCGGCAGCGTCGCCGGAGATGCACGATATCATCGACGCTCTCTTGCGTTCGATGAATTCCAGTAACCCAGGTGGTCAGCCAAGATCGGCTGAAGGGCAAAGACAACTTATGTTTTTTGCAAACTCTTTACGTTTCACAGCTTTAAGAACACCATCTGATATTCGAACGATGCGTGGCTTCTCGGCGTTCACGCCTTATTATGCGGAGGATGTTGCGTTTCAACGCCATGAACTCACTGCGCACTTGGAGGATGAAAAGACGCTCTTTTCGCTCATCGTCGCAACGTTTCCGGACGATTACGAAAACTTTAAAGAACGCGTGAAAGCTTTGCACAAAGACGACGAGACTATTCTTGACGAGCACTGGGACGAGGCACAAAGGTGGGCATCTGATCGTTCGCAGACGTTGGGAAGGTGCATTCGAGGTGTGTGCTTGTACGGGGATGCTTTGCGTTTGCAAGCGCGCGCAGAAGGGATACCAGAAGAATCCATCGAACGGTTAGTTTCACATAAGTTCGAATACGTCGTTACGTGTCAGGTGTTCGGGCGCATGCGTCAGGCTGCACCCGGAACGATGGATCGGGCGAAAGCGACGGAGATTGAACGATTGATCAAATCCCATCGCGACTTGAAGGTGTGCTTCGTAGACATGCCGCGCCAAAACGCTCAAGAAGATGAGAAAAACTTCAACGGCTTTGCTTCGTGCTTAGTGGGTATAGACGAAGAAAACCAGGGTAACTTGCAACTCACGTATAAAGTCAGACTGCCCGGTGACCCGATTATCGGAGAAGGTAAACCGGAGAACCAGAACCATGCGATTATCTTCACGCGAGGTTCCTACTTGCAAACTTTGGATATGAACCAAGATAACTACATGGGTGAATCTTTCAAGATTCGTAACTTGATGGATGTTTTTCGCGACGACGTCGTCTTGGTCGGGTTTCCTGAGGTAATCTTCTCAGAAACGCATGGTGCCGTGGCGCAATTCGCCGCAATTTCTGAGTTCATTTTCCAAACCTTTCAGCGGTTCATGACGTGGCCGTTGATGGTACGCTTTCACTACGGTCACCCTGACGTTTGGGACAAAGCATTCGCGTGCACCAACGGAGGCGTCTCGAAAGCTTCAAAGATGATTCACGTCGCCGAGGATTTCTTCGGCGGTGTTAATGCCATCGCCCGAGGCGGTAAGGTATTGTTTGAGGAATTCATCGAGTGCGGCAAAGGACGAGATATGGGTTTTACCTCTGTTAACGGTTTCGAACAAAAGATTTCCGGTTCCGCCGGTACAATTTCCATGTCGAGAGATTTGTTCAGACTTCATCGCGGGCTAGATTTCTTCAGAATTTTTTCATTGTACTTCTCCGGACCTGGTTTCTACGTCTCAGTCATGCAAACTGCGTGGGCGGTTTACTTCTTTGCCTTGACGCACGCGAGTTTAGCCATTGCGGATTTGGAATTGTACCGTGTCTATCGTTACTTTAAAATGACAGAGACGCAAACTACCTTATCTCTTTCAAAGGAAGAGGGCGGTTATTACAACTCAATCTACGCGTTACAGATTGGTTTGCTCACGCTTCTTCCGTTACTGATGAAAATGATCATGGATCGAGGCTTCCGCGCCGGCGTGGAGTACACTCTAGAAACGCAGCTCGCCGGATCGTGGGCGTTCAACGTTTTCACCATGGCTACGAAAGGGTACAACTACATGAGATCGTTGATCTTTGGTCAGGCTATGTATATCGGTACCGAACGGGGTTACGTTTTATCGAACGCCTCCATGGTTGTCTTGTACGGTTTGTACGCCAAATCGCACTTGTACCTCGGTTTCGAGGTTCTCTTTTATCTCCTCTTGTTCCACGCGAACACGTCGGTGAAGAGTTCAATTTTGTACGCCTGGTCGGTGTGGCCGTTTGCTATTTGTCTCATCATTGCCCCGTGGTGGTTCTCTCCGCAAAGTTTGAATCTCTATTGGATGCAACGTTCGTGGTTAGATTGGAGAAAATGGTTAGACGGTACGTTTGATCAACCAAAAGTGTCGAGTGGTTCGTGGAACAAATGGCACGCGGGCATGTTGGAGAACTACCGCGAAATGCTTTCTGTTTGGTACAAGTTCGGCGTCGTGTGCTTCTCTGCACTCGGCCGTTTTGTCTTGATCTTTGTTCTCATTGGTGCCTACCACGGTACCGAGCTCATTGAAGGCTTCACGCAAGATGAACAGTTTTCCTTGAACTGCATCACCATCGCCATGGCGTCTGCTATCATGGGCGTCTTGATGATGCTCCAAAAATTCTTGTTCTCCACGCGATTGATGGACCGAGAACATCGTAAGATGCAACCGGACGAACTTTGGAAAATATCAGTTATTCGCGGCGGCGTTCGATTCGCGTTTGTCATCTTGTGGATCGGTTTGTACGGCGCACTGTTATACGAACACGTGCCAAACTTGTGGGTATTCCGCCAACTCTTTTACGCCACGGTCGCAGCGATTTGCGTCAACTCGGTCATCATCGAGTCCTTCATTTTGATCGGTAACTACCAAATTGAGAACTCGCTAGACTTTTTGTTGAAAACGGGCCTCGACGCGGAGGGTAACCCTATTCAACAGTCTGGATGGAAACCTCGCGTGGCGTACGGGTATCGTAACTCGTTGCAAGTGTGCAGAGACTACGGCGATTTCTGGTACAAAGAAATGGACAAGTTTTTGGGCGGGTGCATTTTCGGCTTTTTGTTCTTCTTGAGTTTGCTCCCAGTGGCGTGGTTACAAACCACGCTCATTTGGAACTCGTGCTTCTCAGACGTCATGGCGACGAGAAACCGAGCGCAAGAGTTGACTACGGACACAACTGAATAGTTTTTCATTGATACATTTTTGAGAAGGCGCGAAGCGCGAAGAACCATATAAATCTGGTGATTTGGAAGCGCTCTTTGTTATAAATATGAATATCACGCAAAATATTGTACTTTTTAAACGCACAACAGAATCTATACTACTCTCTTTTCATCGCCGGTGACGAACCATCTTCTCTCAACGCGGAAATCACGTACATCACCAACACAACTTGCACGCTCAATATAGCGAACAACCCGCTACACGTCGTCGGGTTCTCGAGAAACTCCGTGCCGTACTTCTCGTACAAATACGGAACAAACCTCGTCATGGACAGGTTATACGTCACCAACGGCGTCACAATCATCGCCGCGCTGTAATAAATCAGTTTCGCTAAAGCCTTCGCCGTCGTCGGTTCCGAAGCGAGCTCTTCGATGCGCTTCGCCGCCGCGCTTCTTCGCTGCGCAGAAGCCATTTTTTCCTACAGATGGTGTGTGTGCGCCCACAAAACGAGTCCAAAAATCACCGCCGCGACTGCGCAAATCGCCACGAACGCTTCGCTCGTCGCTTTTCGAGTTTCGATGTACCTTTCTCGCTGTCGTTTCCGTCGTTTGTGGTCGTCTGTTTTTGATTTTGAAGTTCCCGTTCGAACAGAGAGAGAAAAGAGAATCCATTTGTGTGAGTAAACAAAAGCGGTTACAGAATGGGATGATGCATGCAAAGAAAGACTACTACTAATAATAAGAAGAAGAATAGAAGCAAACGCGAACCTTGACTTCCCAAAAACGACTCCTCGTCGTCCCGTTCGTCTGCTCTGTCGATCCCGAGAAGTTCGCGGTTCAACTTTCGCCGTCTCGCGCCCATTCAGTGTGAGAGAAGTGGCGAATGCATCCAAAACTCCTCAGAGTTTTCAACGCGTTTAAACATGACTTTCGAAGAAGGAGACAACGAGAAAGAAGAGGATAACGATGAGAACATCAACAAAGAGAAGCGACGACTTTATCTGGAGCAGATTCTTTCGCAGAAAGATTTCGTCATGGACGCGTCGGTTATTGAAACCTTGAGAGAGTACGTGCACCCAACGTTGTCCGGCGGGGAACCGAACAGGGCGGTGGAATTGCTCGGAGGCAATTACCGAGGGTACGCGCAAATGACGAGTTTAGTGTGCGATTGGCTGAAAATTACGAGACCACCGAGAGTGAGCGCGACGACGAGCCCGGGACCGAAAGTCAGCTTTGCAAAGTTTGGCAACGCAGGCGGCGAGAAGGAGGAGGAGAACGAAGGGAAAATGGGACTGAATGAGAAGCGAAACGAAGGGCAGGACGGGGGAGGCGTCCGGGGAGCGAAAGGAACGAACGAACAGACGCCGACGGGAGGAGTGAATAATAATCCCTCGTTACTATTGAGCGCGGATGGTGAGAAAGGTGCGGTGATGCGAGACGGGACGAAGACCGCGGCGGATTTAAAAGTAGTCGGCGCCGGGACGACCGCGGCGGCGCACCACCACCACCACCACCACGCGATGATGTTCAATAACGAAGTAGGTTTAGCAGACGGAACCATGGACGAAATTGGTTTGTTAGAGCGGTTGATCGAACGCACTTTTGACGCGTCGAAAGCGGACGCGGTGTTTGATAAGTTTAAAGGGAAACCGCCGGCATGGTTGGAGAAGATTTTTCGATCGGAAAGAGGGAGAGCGTTGTTGTTTAAATTGGCAGATAGGCACCAGAATTGTTTGTTGATCGATTTAGCGATTCAACACGCGTGGAGAGCGGGGTTGAGAAGAGAAGTGCGAGCGTTAGGGTCGGCGGCGAGCGCGTATTTTGGGGTCTTTCACGAGTTGATGGCGGACCATTTTACGAGCTTGTGCGAGAACGTGTTGGCGGCGGCTTCGTCGAAGAGTAGTGTTAATAATAATACCGCGCCGGGCGAGTTAGAGGAAAAGATTAGAAAAGACACGATCGCGATCACGGATATGTGCACGAGAACGGTCGGAGCGTACATGTTTGCGCAGATTTTGCTTTCGGATATCATCAACGGCGATGAATTTTCTTCCTCCAAATCTTCGTTCAACTCAGTCATCCAAGACGTCGCGAAACGGTTCTCTCAAGATTTAGAAATAGCTGCAGCGGAGAAACACGGTGCAGCGGCGGTGAGGAGGATAGCTACGGCGTTGAGTGTGACGAGTGAGGATGCGGACGTCGCTTCGGCGATTTCGGATTTGTTACAAGCAGCCGGGAAACCGATCGGTGGTCTCGCGTTAGGTTCGTCCTCGTTCGCGAGTCGCAAAAGGTTGCGCAGTGGTGTTGGGAGTAGTGATAGTGGCGGTTTCAACGTCGGTGCAGGCGGTGGTTCAGCGGTCTTAGCTGCCGCGGTGGCGGCTTCGGCGGGTGGCGGGCACGGCAAACGCGCGCTCGCCACGTGGGACTTGAAGAAGATTTTAGGAAAATACAAAGCAGGAGAAAATGACAAAGAGAACGACAACGGAGGACGTCAGAAACCGTCGGCGGCACCGTTGCGTCGTCCAGATGCGTTGCGCGCACTTTTTGAGGAAGCATTTCAGTACGAAGCTAACCTCCATCAACTCGTGACTGCGTTGACGTCGGGCGAATCGGAGAATTCTCCCAAAGCTTTGTGCGTGGAGATTTTAGCGCTCGCGACGGCGAACGATTGCTACGTGCAAGAAGACGTCAACGCCTCGCGCAAGGATTTACTTTCGGCTCTACAAATATGCAATCAAGCGTCGAAAACGTTCGATAATTCTACCACTTTGACCAACGACGACAGGAAAAATGGATCCGGGGTGAACGAAAAGTTGTCGCCGAGCGAGTTTCTCGAAAAGTGCGCTGAACTCAAAACACTTTCATCGTCGCTCCCTGCCACAGCTGCCGTCCTCACATGGATCGAATCTGCCATTCGACGCGACCCAGAAAAGTCACACAAAGTTGCGTTTGCTTTGCTCGAGACGTGCGTCCAATCACAACCGACGTTGCGTTTGCGCGCTTTAGAGTGTGTCTCGACGGCGATTGAAGTCGCCGGCCGCGGCTGCGGCGACGACATCCCTAAAGCCGCTATCGACGTCATCTTATCGTTATTTGAAGACGAGAAAATAAGCTCTTTGGAAAACTACGAGGAATTTATCACCGACGCGCTCGACGAGTGCGTCGAAGTCTGGACGCCGAACCGCATCGATCAATCTCACGTGAAACGCTTCCTCTCTGAGTTTCTCGAGTTCGCGCAGCCGCCGTACAGTCGAGCATTCGCCGTGCGCGTGTTATCCTGCCTCAACGCCTGTCGCGCTAAAAAAGGATTTTCGCAAAGCATAGACGTGTTTTTAGAGGAAGTGCGAGTGAAGAAAAGAGAGTTCAGGCCGAGTTTAGGCCGAGAAGCGATGGACATGTTGGAAGCGGCGTGCGCGGGTGCGGATATAAACAACAACAACGGCCCCGGAAAAGTCAGAAGAGGCGTGACTTTTTAACACGCGAAGTTGATGCCGAAACCAGAACTCGAGACGACTTTTGAACAGTAGTACTATGATGTGTATGTGTATACTTAGAACTACAAATGAGCTAATGTTGAGTACGCGTGTGGTACCTTAAACTTTGAGCGGAACGATACCTCTTCTTGCACACATCACACTCGTACGGTTTCTCGTTCGTATGAATACGCATGTGGATTTTTAAAGTACCAGATTCACGAAAGCACTTCTCGCACACATCGCATTCGTACGGTTTCTCGTTCGTGTGAATACGCATGTGAACTTTCAAATTACCAGCCGTAGTACAACGCTTCTCGCACACATCACATTCATACGGTTTCTCGTTCGTGTGAATACGCTTGTGTATAGTCAATGCAGATGGTGTTACAAACACCTTCTCGCAAAAATCGCACTCGTGCCCTCTCTTTCTCTTCGCTCCTTTCCTAACAGTTATTTCTTCTTCTTCTTCTTCTTCTTCTTCTTCTCCCTCTTCTTCTTTTTGTATCTGATGATGATTCGCCTCGAGATCATCCTCCTCGTCAGGAATCCTCAAACACAACACCGGTTCGTCTTCTTCCACTTCTTCTTCCTCTCTCCTACCCTTCACCACCTTAAAAACCGTCCTCGCGTTCACCGCTCTTTTCGGATGTGGATTCTTTCGTCTCATTGGTGTACTATTCTTGCGCGTTTAAAAATACGAGTAGTAAAGTATATTAGTTTAAATCACATGTGAGATCTTTTTTGTGCGAGAAACATAAATTCCGTTTTTCATTTTTTGAACCGAAGTGTTTAGGGTTGCATTTTGATTTTTAAAGTCGTCCCGCGGGAAAAGAGAGACACCCGCCCACACAAAGAACCGCTCTCTCTACGTAGTAAACAAAGCGTTTCGAAGAGAAGAGAATGAGGTCGTCGTGTAGGCGGCGGCAGTCTTCCGTGATCTCGAAAAGGATGACACTCGCGATGACGATGATGATAGTCGCGTTGTTTTTGAGTCTGGGTGTGTTCTCCGCGGACGCGATTAAACACCAACACTCGACTTTGAAGAGGAGTGCCGGGGAAGCGTCGCCAACGCCGGTCGAGATGGAGGAAACGACGACGACGAAAGAACATCTCCTGGACCCAGCGCTGAACACGGACGAAGTCCGCGACGCGGCCAAGCAAGTTGGACACATCACGGATATGGACGCGTATTTAGCCGCGATTGAACACAAAATGGACGTGTTGGCGGAACATCCCGCGCATAACGTACGTTTCACATCATCGTCAGAGATATAAAATTGGGACCGCGGGGGGCTTTCGTGACCTCCGTGTTGGCGTTTTTTCTCTCCTCCTCTTTCGGTCGTCTTTTTTCAGAACGACGCGAGTGTCTCTTTCTGTTCGCGCGCACGGGATTATCATTCTTCGTTTTTTATCCATCGTTTGTCGTTTACGTCGCTCGTTCGATGATCTTTCGCGCGTTTACTGATGATGATGATGATGATGATGGGGCGCTCTCTTGCTTTCTCCCAAGAGATCGAAATGTTACGAAAATACTGACCGTTTCCGCCGACTTTTAAAACATCAAAACAAACACAGGTTGAGGACTATCCCGAAACCGAGCAGTTAGTCATGCACTACCAAGCGATGCATCCGGACCGAGAGCTGACGACGGAGCAATTGAAGGACCGGACGCTGCACCCGGGGAAGTACCACTTGCAAGAGGACCAGAAGAAGGAAATCGAGAAGGAAAAGTTAAGGGAGGAGAAGCGAGTGCGGATGAAGATTGAAAAAGCGAAAGCGAAGATTCGGAATCAAAAGATGAGCAAAGAGGAGATTGAGCTGCTGAAATCGGTTGGGATTGATCCGAAAGATGCGCAGAACGTCGCCATCGCGGAGGTTTCAAAGAAGATGAACAAAGAGGCGGCGGAGAAATCTGGCGATTTGAAAGACGACGAGTTGTACAAGAAGTTTGAAGCGCAGAGGTTACAGTACATGCACAAGATAGCCACGAGTGGTACCGCGGATTGGGACGATCAATTGAAAGCGTACCAAGAGATGATGGGTGAGAAGATGAAGAATCCTGAGGCGTACGACGTCATCGCGAACGAAGGTAAATCGACGACGATGGACGCGACCTGGATCGAGCCGACGCCAGGGACGGATGAGTACAAAAAATGGGTGCGTGACGGACGACCGAGACCGAATGAGGTGAGTTTGATCGACGCAAACGGAGGCGTGGCGAAAGCTGATCCGAAGGTGATGAAGGTCAACCCAAAAACGGGGATGACGTACGAAGAGGAGAAGCTTTTCAAGGAGATGCAACAAGAAGCGAAGAGTTTCAAACCAACCGTTGCAGAATACGAGAAGCAAAAGTACGTGCCAAAGTGGACAAAGTTGCACGATTACTCCAACTTCACGGACAAAATGCGTCGAGGGAACTTGAACACGGATGAAAACGGCATGCAGCTCGAGGAGTACTCGAGCGGCTTCACGGCGACGACCGATGGGGACGAAGACGAGAGCGAATTGGCCGGACCTAGACCGTTTCCAGTGTACAAAGGCGTGAAGAAGAACGTGAAAACGATCAAAACGGTTGCCGAGTTCTATCAAAAGATCCAAGTGTGTTTGCAAGAGGCGCCGGTGAACGGCAAGTGCTTCAAATTTTCGCAGCGCACGGGAGAAGGGACCATCGATCAGTGGGATGTTTCCAAAATCACCGACATGCGCAACGCTTTCGTCAACCGCGAACAGTTCAACGGCGACTTGTCCAACTGGAACACAACCGCGGTGACTTCCATGCAAGGTATGTTCAAAGGCGCGAAGAGCTTCAACTCGCCGTTGACGTACTGGATCACCACGAACGTGAAGGATATGGACAGAATGTTTGACGGCGCATGGGATTTCGATCAACCTATGGACTTTTTGGACACTAGAAACGTCAAATACATGAACTACATGTTCAGAGACACGTTTATGTTCAACCAAAACATCAACTCTTGGGACATGCGCGGCGTCGTTTCCACCGAGTACATGTTTTACAACGCCACGAGTTTCAACTCGCCGTTGGACAAATGGGATGTCTCGAACAATAAAGTCATGGCACACCAATTTGAAAACAGCAGAGTGTTCAATCAAGACATCTCCAAGTGGAAAGTTGGCGCGGTAACGACCATGGAACGCATCTTTTGCGACGCCCCGAATTTCAACCAAGACATTCGCGGTTGGTTCGACATCATCTCGAAGAAAGCGAACACGAAAGACATTATCAACAACGGGACAAAAGCGTTCGTCAAACATTACAGCTGCGACGACACGAGCGATTTGTCCTCGTGCGTACCCATTGTCAGCCACTTGGAAGAATCCGATGGTTTTTTCGGCATCCCGAGATACGATCCTCGCACTTTGCAAGGTTTCGACGACTTGGAGTTTGGTGTAAACGACAACTACACGATGATGTTAGTTGGACAATCGCTTCCCGGCGTTGCCGTTGCCGTTTTTGTTTTGTTCTTCTCTTTCGTCTTCTGGCATCGACGACACTGGTTTGAATCTTGCTTTGGCCGAAACGCGTGTAACTGGACGCCGTTCTCCGGAACTGGTTTGTTCTTTGCGCGCGCGCAGTTGATTTTATTTGCCTTGATTGCCTGTCTCGGTTGCTTTCTCGTTTGGAACAAAGGTATGGCGTTGCAACAGGATATTCAAGTTATCGCGGACAGTATTTCCAACTCCACCGCGGAAATGAACGCGCAAAGCGTGCGAATTATCCAAGCTTTGGACGACGCGAAAATGTTCACCTACGAGGCGGAAACCGAAGCCTTGGCTTTGGCAGACACCATCGCGAACATTTCCGAAATCGACGGGAAGATGGAAGAGTACACGGAAGTTGGATTAGTCACCGCAGATGTCGCTTTGATTTTAGCCGCGGTGATGGGCTTGAGTGGCATTATTCTCGCGCTTACCTCTCTCGTCGGCAAATGGCGATGGTTTACGTACTTGACTGGATTTCTCACGCTTTCGCTCGTCGGTTCGTGGTTGTTCTGGGGTGTACTCACCGGTACGACGACGTTCTTGGCAGACTTTCAGTACGCTTCGGCAGACTACTCCGCCTCGCAAAAATTTGGTTACACCTTCGATTCGGATTTAGAAAACGCGTTGCCTTGCATGGATGGTAAAGACGTAGTTCAACTCATGAACACCGCGCGCATGTCCATCGCCGCTGGCGTATATCTGTACAACGATTTCATTCAAATGTACGATCCGAGGAAAACCTTACCGCTCATCGATCAAGAATACGATGGCGACGCAGAAGCCGCTTCCAAGTATTGCGCGTTTGATAGACCCGGGGATGATTATTACACCGCATTTTGCGACGCTTATCGCCGCGCGTTGATCCCGTCTGACACGAAGACGTACATCAAGACGCAAAGAGGTTATTTTAACGAAACTGCAGGAAGGAACCATAAGGTGAAGATTAACGAAGTTGGCACTATGTATTCTCGATGCCAATACGACTCAACGCAAGTTGCGTTGGTTGAGCAGTGCGGTAAGGAAGAACCGGCGCAAATTCCGGCCAACCTATTCGACGCTATGGTGAAGAACTCGGAAGTGATAATCACTTTGAAGGATCAAGAGTCGGACATCATGGCGTTAGCGACGTGTAAGATGGTTGCAGATGCTTTGGAAAAGTTAGAAGACTCCGTGGACGATGCGTTGGAGTCTATGAGCATAGTTTGGGGTGGGTGGCTCATCGCGGCGTGCGCCTTTTTGTTATTGTGGGGGTCCTCTTTGATCGTGATTGTCCGGTTACAAAACGGCAACACGGGAATTGATTCTATTCTCGATAGCGAGAAGGATGCCCTCTTTTCGGTGGCTGTACCGAAATTCAATAGCTATGGAACGGGATCAAAGTCTATGACGGAGAGTATAATTAGCGGTCAACAAGTGGTGTCGGAATCGGCGACGGACGCCAAATATAAGTATAAATTCCAAGCGAAACGGTGAGTTTCGTTGGAACAACGACGAGAATACTAATAGATAACCTTTAAAGTTTAGCAACGAAACAAATTTGTATTAACAAAAGTATTTATTCAAAGAACATTTATTTCCTTGTATTCTCTCTCTCTCTCTCTCTCTCTTTATACTCTTCTTCTGCGCTCACATGAATTCATGGAACGTGCGACTGATTACCTCGTCCTGGTGTGCTTTTGAGAGTTTGATGAACTTCACCGCATACCCGGACACTCGAATCGTTAAATTTGGATACTTTTCCGGATGAATCTGCGCATCCTTCAACGTTTCGCGCGACAAAACGTTCACGTTCAAGTGCATTGCTCCTTTCTCGAAGTATCCGGCCAAAAGCGAACCCAGATTTTTGGTGCGACTCGCGTCGTCTTTGCCCAAACTACCTTTGGTTATTGAAAAAGTATTCGAGATACCGTCCAAACACGCGCCGTACGGCACTTTCGCGACTGAATTAAGCGAGTTTAACGCACCGGTATTGTCGCGACCGTGCATAGGATTTGCGCCCGGAGCAAATGCTTCACCCAATCTTCGACCATCTGGCGTTGCCCCGGTGTTCGATCCGTACATGACGTTCGACGTGATGGTGAGAATCGACAGCGTATGCTTGGCGTTTTTGAACGCGGGCGTCTTGCGAAGCTTTTCGATGAATGTTTGCACAACCCACTTCGCGAGTTCATCCGCATCGTCCGAGTCGTTGCCGTACTTTGGAAAATCGCCTTTGATGTCAAACGATGTAATTATCCCTTTCATTTCCTTTTCATCGGAGAATATCGGACGAACTTTTGCGTATTTTATCGCCGAAAGTGAATCAACCAACACGGATAAGCCCGCGATGCCGAAAGCCATGTTGTATTCAGGTTCAGAATCCATCAGAGCGTACAACAAGCTTTCGTACGCGTATTTTTCGTGCGAAAAATGAATGACGTTCATGGTTGACACGTATAACTCGGCGATCCAATCCATGTATGTCTCGAAACGTTTCTTCACGTCCTCGTAATCGAGATGGATAAAATTTTCGTCCGTTTGGGCTTTCTCGGCGAGCGAGTCAAACAGCTGCGCGAGTTCTACGGGCGCGATTTGTTTACCAGAGATTTCATCTTTACCGTCATTGAGAGCGTACAAGAGAATCTTGGGTAAGTTGCATCGAGCGCCGAAAAATTGGGCGTCTTTACCGAGTCGCATACCACTGACGCAGCACGAAACGGTCGTATCGCAACTCCAGTTTTCGCGAAGGAGTTTGTCGTTGATGTATTGAACGCTACTACTCGCGATTGAGATATCCGTCGCAAACTTCTTAAACGGCTCGGGTAAACACTCGTCAAATAGAACCGTCATGTTCGGTTCCGGCGCGGCGCCTAAATTTACAAGCGTTTGCAAGAAACGATAGGAAGTTTTGGTCACCATGTGCTTCTTCGAGCCGCTAGCGTCGACTAAAACGCCGGCGATGGCGTTTGTCGCCCAAATCGGGTCGCCCGCAAAAATCTCATCGTACGCCTTTGGGCGCAGGTGTCTAACCAATCTCAGCTTGAGCACCAAGTTATCGATGATTTCTTGCGCTTCGTCTTCGCTCGCGAGCACCCCGGTGCGTAAATCGCGCTCAAAGTAAATATCTAAAAACGCATCGACTCTTCCGAAAGATATCGCCGCTCCATCGTTCGATTTCACCACCGCCAAGTACGCGAAATAGATCGCCTGCGCCGCTTCTTTAGCCGTCGTCGCCGGTTTCGAGATATTTTTCCCGTATAGTTTCGCCAACCCGTCCAACAAATGCAAAGCTCTGATTTGCATCGAAATTTTATCCTTCTTCTCCATGTTCGCCTCGTTCGCGTTCGAGATATCCAACCTCGCCGCGTCTCTCTGCTTCTCCTCGATCAACCGGTCTACCCCGTACAACGCGACTCTTCGATAGTCTCCGATGAGGCGACCGCGTCCGTAGCTATCCGGCAAACCCGTCAGCGCGTGACTCGATCGTACCAACCTCATCTCAGGCGTGTACAAATCAAACACGCACTCGTTGTGCGTTCGCACGTTTTGCTCAAACACCTTCTTCGTGAACGGATCCATGCGTACGCCTTGCTCTGTCAACGCTTTCTCGACAATTCGAATGCCTCCTTTCATCTTCATCGTCCTTTCCAGCATTTTCGTCGTTTGCAGGCCGACGATGACGGAATCGAGCAAACAATCGTCCGCGATGTACCCAACCCCGTGTGCTAAAATCGTCGAAGGCGTTTTCGAATCGCAACACAGAACGCCTCCAGACGCGATTTCTTTGTTTTGTTTCCTCTCCACTTCTTCTAACAAAGTTCTCGTTTTCTCTGTCGCCGAGGAAGGCACGAAAGTGCCGTCGAACGGGTCGTAGTTTTTCGCGATCCAATTCGCGACTCCGTCTCCGACGGGTACAGCATCAGGCGAAGTTGGGATCTCTCGAGGGAGCTTTTTCGTCGGATCGTCGAACCCCATTCCGCGCGCGCTTTTAAAGGTTTTTAGTGAGGAATATTTTGTATCTTGAAATGCTTCTCAAAAATACACGAAGGAAACTACTGAGATATAAACAAATAATAATGGAAAGCACAACTTTGATGATGAAAGAAGAAGAAGACAAAGACGAAGAGGATAGTCTGTTGTTGTCGCCACCGACGACGCAAACTCAACAACTGCTGGCGTTGAAAGGCGGCGCGAAACATTCCAGAGGCAACGTTCCTTGTTCGCACGGTGAACACTTTTCTTGCCATCTCCCAGACATCGAAGATGTGACGTTAAAGAACGAGTGGGACGAGACGGAAACGAGCGTAGACTTCTCTCCGAAGAATTGGGGTTGGATTCATTCCATCGACAGCATGACGAGCGTGGACGGACCAGGGCTGAGAGCGATGATTTTTTTCCAAGGGTGTCAAAAGAGATGCGCGTTTTGTTGCAACCCAGATTCGTTGGAGGAAAACGTTGGAAAGAAGATGGCAACAGAAGAAGTTTTCTCTGCTTTGGAAACGAAAATGACGTACTATCGAAAATCAGGAGGCGGAATCACCATGTCAGGAGGGGAATGCATGTTACAGTATCGTTTTGTAGTAGCGTTGGCGCGAGAAGCGCGCGCGAGAGGTTTGACTTCCATCATCGATACGGCCGCCGCCGGAAACGATATGATTTGGGACTTTGTCTTGCCGCACATCGACATGGTGCTCTTGTGTTGTAAAAGTTCTCACCCCGTTCGATACGGAAAGATAACAGGACGTCCAGAAAACTTCGGCGTCATGCTCGCGTTTTTGGCGAAACTGGAAGAATATAAAGTGCCCACTTGGTTGAGATTTGTCTTGATGTCTTCTGATGACGAAAAATTTCAAGATATCGTTACCGACGGCGAAGAAGAGTTACTCGGCGTGGCTGCTCTCGCAAAGATGCACAAAAGGTGCGTCAAAGGAGTCGAGATCTTACCGTACCATAACTTTGGCGCGTTCAAGTACAAAGAGATGAATATAGCTTATAAGTTGGAGCAGATGAAACCGCCATCTGATGAGGTCATCAGACGCGCGAAAAGAGTCATCGAAGGCGAAGGCGTAAAGGTCCTCTTGTGAATTTCTTTCATTGATTATCATCAAATTTGTTAGATTAAGGTGTTTTCATTAAAAATGCTTTCTTCTTTTACATACACGCACACACACACACACGGGCACACGCGCGATTCGCACTACTCCACGTACCTCTGCATCTCTGTTCACTCTTTCTTTGTATAGCTTCTCAATATTTATCTGTTTTTATCTTTTTCTTTTTGAAAACTTAACGACCCATTCTCTTTCGCAAAAAGCTTGGGATGGCCGATCGCCCACCTTCCGGCTGCTGTTGCGGCGGCGCTTGCTGATTCCCCCATCCAGAGGGCTCTTGTTCTTGTCGCGGTTCTTCTCTTCGTTGTTGTTGTTGTTGTTGTCTTTGTTGCGGCGGCGGCATTTGTGGTGGCGGCGGCGCGGCGGCTCTCGGGACTCTTTGTTCGCCCGCGTTCGATTGCGAAAACGGCGAAAATCCCGTCGCAATCAACGTGATAGCAACCTCCCCGTCCGCTAATTGCATGGTCGGGTTCACCACCGCCCCAAAGATAATCAGCGCGGAGTCGTCGACTAAATCGTAAATCACCTCCGCCGCCTCGTTGACTTCGTGCAACGTCAAATCCTTCCCGCCGGAAATGTTCCACACAATGCCAGTCGCTCGATCGATGCCCAAATCCAACAACGGTGACGAAATCGCAGCCGCTGCCGCATCTCTCGCTCTGTTCTTACCAGTCGCTCGACCAATACCCATCAAAGACGACCCGGCATCCGCCATCACCGCTCTCACATCCGCAAAATCGACGTTGATCAAACCCGGTAACACGATGATATCACAAATACCTCTCACTCCTTGTCTCAAAATATCATCCGCCAACAAAAACGCATCTTGCAACGGTAACGCGCCGTCCACCGTGGACAACAATCGGTCGTTTGGAATCACAATCAACGTATCCACGTTCTGTCTCAACCTCTCCACCGCCTCCATCGCTTGATTATACCTCTGTCTCCCTTCAAACTTAAACGGCATGGTCACAATCCCAACCGTCAAAATCCCCGCCGTCTTCGCGACATTCGCAACCACCGGCGCCGCTCCAGACCCGGTACCACCACCCATCCCGGCCGTCACGAATACCATATCCGAACCTTGCAACGCGTCCTCGATCGACTTCCTCGACTCTTCCGCCGCTTTCTGTCCAATCTCCGGGTTCGACCCGGCGCCGAGACCTCTCGTCAACGTCTCGCCAATTTGAATCGTGTTCGATTTCGGAACCGTGGACGACGTCAACGCTTGCGCGTCCGTGTTCACCACCCAAAACTCCACGCCTTGGATATCCGTTTCCACCATTCTGTTCACCGCGTTCGAGCCGCCGCCGCCGACTCCGATGACCTATATTTTTTTAATAAGAGCAGCGAGAGAAACAGTGAGCAAAAGTTTTTCAGAATAATATTTTCCTTCTCTTTTTGCCGAAAAGCACAAAAGCATACGCACGAAAAAGCGCTTATGCTGCCTACACAAAAAATCACGACGTTCGTCGGACTTTTGTCGTCCGACTGGTGTTGAATATCGCGAGAGGAGTAAAGAGAGAGAGACACGATCTCCCCCGAGAGAGAGAGGCAAAAAAAAAGAACGATTTTGATCGAGAAAAACAGAAAAAACAAAACTTTTCCAATCGAATACGTTCGTGTACCTTGATGGAAGCGGCGTTGGACGGGACCAATTTCGGCGCCGCGGAAGCAGCAGGCGTCGTCGTCGACGCGGAATCGCCCTCGTTCTCCGCGCGCGGAGTGATGCTAATTCTTCTGTGAATACTAATCAGAGAATAAAAGAGAGAGAGAAAATTTGCACCATCAGTGAGTCTATTGGCGGGAAAACGAGAAGAGAAAGAAAAAGAGAAAATATCAAACCTCGACAAAATCTTTTGTGCGTACCTTTTCGTCGTCTTTATGCCGCTCTTTCGGTGAAAAGGACGACGCGAACACACCGCGGTCGTCGATGCGCAGGAGGAGGAGGACACCAACGCGGATGTCATTTTGTGTGTGTGTGTGCGTATAATAAAACGCGCGCTTTAAAAGTGCTGGTGATGAGACGATGGATGAAAGCAAAAGAGAGAGAGCGCAAAAACGCTTATTAGGGTTTAAGACCCTAAACGTTTTTCTCGGTTCCCTTCAGAAAAACGAAAGAAAAAAGCCGTTAGAGAAGAAGAAGAGGAAAAGACAATGTCGACGAAGAGAACGACGCAGACGACGAGAACGACGACTCTCGATGACGATACGAACGAGAACAACAACAACAGCGAGGGTGAAAAAGATGATGAGAATAACAATGATGATGTTTTGTTCGAAGTGGACGCGATAAACTTGGAAATCACGAGGTGCGAGTTAGCGTTGTTGCGACACGAAAGATATGGAAAACGACGCGACGATGAACGAAGAAGACCAAAACAACGACGCTGGATGAACTCGAACGCGACGGTGTACCGAAAACCAAACGAGCGAGGAGAGAGAGAAGTGGTGCTGGACGAGAAGAAGTGCGCGTTTTCGGACGTACATCCTGTGAATAATAATGATATAAGACGACGACAAAGACCACGCGTTTTGGGGAACGAGATGACCACCAAAACCAACAGACACTCGCTGGAGGAGATACTGAGAAAAGCGGTGGAAGAGAAACAATCGACGTGTACGTTTCGTCCGGAAACGATCGCGAAAGCATTCACGGAGGAAGATGTGGAACGGAGAAAAGCGAGGCGGGAGCGGTTGCTCCAATCGAGATTGGATATCGTGCGCGCGAGAGAAGCGGCGAAGAGAGAGGCGGAGAAGGCGGCGTTTGAGAAGGAGTGCACGTTTCGACCGAAAATTTTAGGAATGAAGAATAAGAAAGAAGAAGTAAAAGATACGGATGATGTGGTGAGCGTGAGCGATCGGTTGTATGTGGAAGCGCGTGTGCGAGAGGAACGTTTACGAGAGCGTCGCGAACGCGCGGAAGAAGAAGTTCAAGAAGAGTTTCGACGCGCTTCAGCGAGGAAAGCGACGAGTTCTGCCTCTTCTCCTTCTCCAGGGATGCCAATGCACGAGCGATTGAAAGAGTTGTCCGAGAAACGAGAACGCGTGATGCGCGAGGCGGCAAAGAAAGCCGACGAGGCGTTTCGAGAGGCGCACACATTCAAGCCGTCAAAGATGCGAAGCACGAGTGAAAGATTAGCCGCGCTCGCGAATCGACGAAAGAAAGAGGACGATACGGGAACGCTGAAACCGAAAGCGACGAGAACAAGCGTTGATATCGAAAGCGAGGAAAGATACGAAAACGGCGGGAAATTCTTCATCTCTGCAAACTCGGAAAAAATTATGCGCAAAAACATTCAAAACGGTAAAATAGGCGAAGGCTTCCTGGAGCGACAATACGAATTCGCCTCGAGAATTCGCGCGAAGCGAGCGGATAAAAATGCGTTAGACGAACAACTGTTTGAAAACGAATGCACGTTTTCTCCAAAGATACACTCGTCGTCGACATCGTCAGAGAAATACCACCAACACTACTACGAGACGCAAAGTGAACGCGCCCGCCGACTGGCGATTACCGAGGCGCAAAACATGCACGAACGCGCTGAAAATATGCGCCGAGAACGCGACGAACAATTCACGTTCGTACCAACAATAAACAATAAATCGAACTTCATAGCAAACGCGACGAATCTAGACGAACTCGCGAGTTCCAAATCTAGAGATTTGGAGAGAGAAGCCTCAAAGCGAGTACACGAAATGGAGACGTTGAAGGAGTGCACGTTTAGCCCGCACGTGAACCAGAAAACAGACGACGCGGATTTTCTTCTCGCCGTGAGTAAGAAATCCGGCAGTTACGGTAAATACGACGCAGATACAATCACGAACCGAGTGAAATCAGAAAAAGAAACGCGCGAGTATTACTTGGAACGAGCCAGACGCGAACACGCGTTTGAAGAGCGCAAGACGTGCACGTTTTCACCACAGATCAAAGCCGAAATCGGCATTACGAATCCACACGTCCCCGCGGAAGAGATCGTCAAAGGCATCGATAAGTATTACGATAACGTCGAAAAAGCGACGAAAATGAAAGCTGAGAAAGAGAGCAGGAGGCAAAAAGTCTTCTTAGAAAACGTCTCGCAAATAGACGTGCGACATAAAATCACGAAACCGAAAGAGTTCAACTTTGCTCGAAACCAGACGCAAAGATTGAGAGAGAAGGCGGAAAAGTTGGAAAGGGAAAAAATGAAAAGAGAAATGAAAGAGTGCACGTTCCGACCGAAAATTAACGATTATTATCGTCCGACGAGAAAGAAGAATGACTTGGTTGCGGCAACAATACCTTCTTAAGTCGACAAATGTAGTAATAACGTCAAGGAAACGCGGCGATGAGCGGCTTCAATTCTACTATTCTAGAGCTATTTTGACTATTGACTATTTTTTCCAACTTCCTAACGTTCTCCGAAGTGCTTCCGAGCGAATTTTTGGTCGTCTCCACGCACAACGCGGCGACTTTCGAGCCAAACGCAGCGGCGTCGACGTTTTCTTTGAAATTGAATTTGACCTTTGACGAGGAGGCGAGTTTGAATACCACACCGGCTACAAAAGCGTCTCCGGCGCCAACCACGGAGTAAGTGCTTGTGCCGTTCACTCTCTCCGCTTTCACGTGCGCGTATCTCGTCTTACCGCTCTCGCCACAGCTAGACGATACAATCGAGCCTAGTTCGCCGAGCGTCAAAAAGACAACCTTCACGCCGTGCGAGTGCAAAATTTGCAAATCTCCAGCTAACACGTTTAAAGCCTCCTGCGCTGAAGCGAACTTTAAATGTGGATTAAACGGACAAGGCGACGGTGGCGAGCCGGGCGCCAACGATCTTCTTAAAGCGTTTGCCATCTCGCGAAGCTCTTTCGCGTTCGGCGATGTCGCGTCCACCACGTTCACTATAGATGCAATCTTTACCGACTTAGTCACGCTCGTAGGTTCGAAAAATACATGCTCGTTTTGTTCATCCTTACCACTCACGACGTTCCTTAGGGATTCCTCGGACAGATTCGCATCGCACACCACGAAGCGACTTTGGCCCTCGCCGATTCGAGACGACGACCGAACTCTCCCGATAGGTATCTCCACATCCGCCACGTCTGCCACGCACGCGAACAGCTCCCTCTCTCCATCCTGGTCGTCTAACAGAGCCACCACCGTGGACGTTCTCGAACTAGAATCCATCTTCACGTCTTTCACGTCCACGCGTAACTCCCGCTGTAACTGTTCGACCATTTTTCTCCCAACGTCATCCTCCCCTATTTGAGAGTGCATGTGGACACTCAACCTGTTCTTGTTCCTTCCCGCGGAAGAAGACATCCATATTGAAACTAAAGCGCCAACCGTTTCGCATATGTTCCTCCCAACGCCTCCTGGAGTGTGCACGCACGACCCTTTCACCGAAGTTCCTCTTTGCATTGCTGTCGCGTTCGTCTTTGTATTCCTTTCGCTTTGACATTGGATATCCATAACAATCGCTCCAAACACGTGTATCGCGGATGATTCTGACGACGAGGACGAATTCGATGATGAACTCGCCGCCGCGGTTAGATTCATAAACGCGCGAGAGAAATGCTCGATGCGTCGTCGTGAAGATAACGATGCAATATCATCATCGAGTCGCTCTCGTCGCATGATGGTGGGGTCGTAGGACTCTTTTTTGTGAAGGACTTTAGGGGTTGGAATAACTCAATGAATAAATACTGAATGGTATGTCTGTGTACATTAAAAGGTGTATCGGTCGTTACTAGGCATGCATGAGTGCGTGTTCTTGTTGCAATCGGTGTTTTCATAAGCAGAGAGAAGCATTAATAGTTTCTTATGCACGGGTCTCTGCATTGCATGTGGACGTCGTCAATCGCGCGTAAAGTCTCTTCGCTCAACGTAACGCGTCCCGGTTCGAAGGCGTCGATGTCCTCCTTCAACTGTTCCATGGTGGTCGCGCCGATGATGGTGCTTCCGACGTACTGACGCGTCGCGCACCAGGCCAAAGACATGGCAGTTAATGACACTCCGGCTTTTTCGGCAATCTCGGCGTATTTCTTCGTGGCGATTTGTGAAGCTTCGTTGATGTATCGATCTTGAAACGTAGGGAATTCGGTAAAGCGCGCTTTTTTCGGTTTCGCGCCGTTTAAATACTTGCCACTCAAAGCGCCACCAGCTAACGGCGTCCACGGCAACAAAGAAATATTGTGATGACTCGGCGCGCACGTCTCCGCTAACTCCGTCTCGTACGATCTGTGCAACAAACAAAACGAGTTTTGAATGCTCACCGGTCTCGGCACGCCGAGCTTATCGGCGACTCGCACGAATTCGCACACGCCGTAACTCGTTTCATTCGACAACCCGTAACTCTTAATCTTCCCGGCATCTAATAACTCTTTCAACGCTAACACCGTCTCCTCGAACGCGACCGGCGCAAACTTCCCGTCCCTCTCTTTCCTTCTGTCGTACTCGCACGACCCGAACAAAGGGATGTATCTATCCGGCCAGTGTAACTGGTAGACGTCTATGTAATCCGTTTTCAACCTTCGTAAAGAAGCATCGCACGCGCTCAAAATGCTCTCTCTGTCCAACCTCGTGCTCATCTTTTCCTTTCCAGCAGGTTCTGTCCTCATTTTCGGAATATCGCTCGCCTCTATAAACCCAGCCACTTTCGTCGCCACGATCAATTCTTTCCTCAACTCTTTATTCCGTTCGATCCATTTCCCGATGATTTTCTCCGTGTTCCCAGCCACCCACAACGCAGAGCTCGACGGCACCGGATACAACTCCGCCGTATCGATAAAGTTCACCCCGCGAACTTTTATCGCGTAATCGAGCTGTTCGAACGCTTCTTCCTCGGTATTCTGCACGCCCCACGTCATCGTCCCGAGGCACACGTTCGTGACTTCGATGGTAGAGTTCCCGAGCGTGATTCGAGGTAACGCGGTTTTCGGGATTTGAGTCTCCGTCGTTTTTGTCATGATGATGATGATGATTACGTCGTGTGCGCTTCGTGAAACGCGCTTCACTTCTCTCTCTCGACGATGATGTGATGCGCTACTCGCAACAGCTCGTCGCTTTTTTCGCGCGTGTGATGAGTGCGTTCTCTTCTGAAGAAGTGCTGCTCGTCGTGTTTCTATCAGAAACGAGACAAAGGCGGAGAAAGTGACGTCAAACCACCACACGTTCCGCACAAATACGCGCACACCTAAAAGCGCTTTTAAACGCTCTTTGTTTCCCGCACCGAGAGCACGAGAGGACGATACACTCGATATACGTCTGCGCTTCCTCTTCCCGGTCTTCCTCTTCCTGGTATTCCTCCTCCTCGCGAGAACGAAGAAGAAGGAAAATCATCATCGTCGAGACGACGGAGATGACGGCGACGACCGAGATGGAAAAATCAAATCGAGAAACCGCCTCGCTGTTCTCCCGGGTGACGTTTACCTGGGTGAGACCGTTTCTGAAACGAGCGCACGAAAAAACAAGGTTGGAACACGAGGATTTAGTGCCATTGCCGGAAAACTTGTCGTGCGTGACAAACGCGGAACGGTTTGAGTTTGAGTTGAGAGATTGTTTAGAGAAGGAGGAACGAGAGGAAGGAACAACAAGTAGTTTGGGAGCGACGAGAGGAGAGGAGGAGAAGGAAGAAGAAGGCGCCGGAAAATCGAGAAAGAAGAAGAAGAAGAAGTTCTTACCAACCATCACGAAACCGATATGGTCGTGCTTCGGGAACATGATTTTAACCGGCGCGATGTTTAAACTCGCCAACGACGCGATGCAGTTTTTACCGCCCGTCATCTTGAGCGGCTATTTGAAGTACGTGGCGGGAGGGGAGGATAATTTTTTACGACAAACGTTCACGACGGAACAGATTGGCGACACGGAGTTGGGGATTTTGTATTGCGCGCTGATGTTGTGCGTGCAAGTGGGGAGAACTTTGTGCGAACAGCAATACTTTTATCACATGCAAGCGAGCGGGATTGTGATTAAAGGCGCGTTAGGGACGGCGGTGTATAGAAAGACGATTCGATTGAACGCGAGTGGGAGGAGCGGATCGACGACGGGGGAGGTTTTGAACCACATGCAATTAGATGCGCAAAGAGTTGGGGATTTGATGTTGTTTATTCACGTCGTTTGGAGCGGGTTGTTTCAAATTATCGGGTACATCGCGTTATTGTACATGTACATCGGATGGTCCGTGTTTGGCGGGTTGTTTTTGTTAATCGCGCTGATACCATTGCAAAAGTTTTTTTACACGTTAACGTATAAGTTACGAAGCGTGCAGACAAAATTCACGGATAAGCGAGTGAAATTAGAAAACGAAGGTTTGTCCGGAGTGAAAATATTAAAGTTGAACGCGTGGGAGGATTCCTTGGAAGACGAAGTGAAAGCGTCGAGGAAAGAGGAGATAATTTACGCGACGAAAACCGCCAACGTGGCGGCGGCGAATACGAGCATCATGATGGCAGGTCCAGTCATTGTGTCGGTGATTGTGTTCATGTTATACTCTGGTGTGATGAAAGGCGAGATGCGTCCGGATATTATATTCCCGGCGTTGACGTTGTTCTCGCTCATTCGGTTCCCGATTTTGTTTTACCCGAGGTGTTTGGCGTTGTCCGCGGATGCTATTGTTAGTTTGGATCGGTTACAGAAATATTTCTTACTTTCGGAATCGAAACCGACGACGACGACAATAAAGTTAGAGGAGTTAAACGAAGAGGATAATGGCGAAGATGTGAAGACGAAAGAAATGTACAAGAAGAAGGGCGACGTGGTTGCGAAAATCAAGAAAGGCGCGTCGTTTCGATGGAGCCGCAACAACAGCAACAAAGATGCAGAAAAGAAAGATGACGCGTCTCCTCAAGGCGTTGACGGCGTCACCGCCGGAGCCGGATTTACGTTAAACAAATGCGATTTTGAAATCAAACGAGGCGAGCTCGTGTGCGTTGTCGGCGCGGTTGGTTCGGGGAAGACCGCCATCGTCTCGGCGCTTCTCGGCGATATGGTTCCCGAAAGTAGCGGCGATGAAAAACAAGATTCAGATGAAGTCATCTCCATAGATGGTACCGTCGCGTATTGTTCTCAGTCCGCGTGGGTCCAATCTGCTTCCGTGAAAGAGAATATCTTGTTCGGTAAACTGCACTCGGAGAGGAAATACCACGACGCTTTAGACGCCGCGTGTATGTTGACTGATCTCAAACTCCTCCCAGATGCCGATCAAACGCAAATCGGCGAAAAAGGTATCACTTTGAGTGGCGGCCAAAAGCAAAGATGCGCCATCGCGCGCGCGGTGTATGCCGATGCCGATTTCGTCATTATGGATGACCCTCTTTCTGCCTTGGACGCGCACGTCGCCAAGGACGTGTTCAACAAATGCGTAAGGGGCGTATTTCGAGAAAAGGCGGTCTTACTCGTCACGCACCAGTTGCATTTCGTCGAGCGCGCGGATAAAATCTTAGTCATGAAGGACGGAGAAGTCGTCGAGCGTGGAAGTTATAAGGAACTCATCGAAAACGCAGAGTACTTCAGGCAAATGATGGAGTCTTATCGCGGAACGCAAGAGAAAGAAACGGCAAAGGCGGAAGAACAAGACGCCTGGGCGTTTGCTTTGTCGGAAACGGACAGAAATCAGATGAAACGCGTAGTTTCGGAACAGAAACTCAGTACAAAAACAGCGCAAAAAGAAGAACACCGTGAACAAGGCGCGGTAAAGAAGAATGTCTACGCGACGTACTTTCTGGCGTTGGGTGGCACACTACCATGCATGTTTCTCATGTTCATCACCATCATTGAACGGATGATTTCTGTGTTCACGCCAATGTGGCTTGCATTTTGGACCGAGTACAAGTACGGCTTGAACGATGCGGAATACATGAGCACGTACGCAGCCATTGGCGTTATATCTGCTTTACTTTCGTGGTGGCGCACGTTCGCGTGGTTAGTCGCGTCTTTGCGCGCGGCGACGACCTTGCACTTGAAACTATTCCACTCGGTGTTGAATACGCGACAAGCTTTTTTTGATACGACTCCTCTCGGACGTATCATTCAGCGATTCGCAAAAGACACGAACGTTTTAGATAACCTTCTCGGACAATCCGTCAGTTCATTGACGTCTTTTGGTTTATGGTTGTTGGGTACGATGATTGCGATGGTTACGATTATCCCAATTCTCGGCCCTTTTTTGGTTCCAGTCTTTGCGTGCTACTTTTACGTGCAGTACTTCTTCCGTCCCGGCTATCGCGAAGCGAAACGGTTAGACGGCACGTCCGGGTCGCCAATTTTCGAACACTTTGGTGAAACCATTTCTGGCATCTCCACCATTCGCGCGTTTGGACACCAAGCGCGCTTCATTCACGAAAATGAGAAGCGCATCGCGTATAACCAGCGCGCGGATTACACGCAAAAGTGCGCGTGCGATCGATGGCTACCAGTTCGTTTAGAAGTTATCGGTATTTCAATTTCCATCATCGTCGCCGGTTTAGGCGTTTACCAACGCAAAACCACCAGCAGTGGCTTGATTGGCGTGACGTTATCGTACGCCATCGACATCACTGGCGTGTTGTCTTGGTTGATTCGCTTATTCTCTGAACTCGAATCGCAAATGGTTTCCGTCGAGCGCGTTGAGGAGTACGCGCAGTTGCCTTCCGAGGAAGACACGGCGAACGATTCCATGGACAGCGAGAACGACGGTAAGCAAATAGTCGCCATCGGCAAGGTTGAACCCGACCCGTCGTGGCCGCAAAGTGGTGGCATCGTTTTTCAAGACGTCGAAATGCGCTACCGTAAGGAACTCCCGTTGGTACTGAGCGGTGTTTCGTTCGAAATCGATGCTGGTTCGTCGGTTGGTATTTGCGGACGTACCGGCAGCGGTAAGAGTTCCTTAATCGTCGCCTTGTGGCGACTCGTGGAGCCTTCGCGAGGTAAAATTCTCATCGACGGCGTTGACATTTCTTCAATGCCGTTGAAATCGTTACGATCTAGAGTCACGTGCATCCCGCAAGATCCAATCTTGTTTTCAGGAACGGTTCGCGATAACCTCGACCCGTTTCTAACGCACAACGATGAAGATTTATGGTTTGCGTTGGAACACGTTCAATTGAAAAAGTTTGTCTCGACGCACGAAGACGGTTTAGGCTTGATGACCCCGGTCAAGGAGTACGGCTCCAACTTTTCCGCCGGTCAACGTCAAATGTTGTGCTTAGCCCGAGCGTTATTGCGCGAAACCAAAATCGTCTGCCTCGACGAAGCTACCGCCTCGGTCGATAACGAAAGCGACTTGATGATGCAAAAAGTAATCTCGCAAGAGTTCAAGGACAAAACAGTGATGACCATCGCGCACAGAATCAACACCATCATCGAATCGAACAGAGTGCTGTGCATGGCCAGCGGGAAGGTTTTGTCCTACGATACACCGTCCAAGTTATTGGAAGATTCGTCGAGCATATTTGCGCAGCTCGTGTTGGAAACCGGCGAGGCGTCGGCGAAGAATTTGAAACAACGCGCCAACGAGTTGGAGAAACAACGACGATAGTAATAATTAGTTAGTTAGGGGATTCTAATACAAATAGCTACACTATATACTTCAACTACGACTACTTCATTTTACCTTTACTCTCCTCGTCCATAATCTTCTGTCTCTGCTCCATAAATTTATCCAAAGCCACATCTACAGCCTCGCGTCCACTGAGAATCAATCGATTCACCATCTCCGGATCTCGCTCGTGTTTGCCTTGTTCGAACTCTTTCCTCGCGCTTTCCCGGATGACATCTTTCCAAACGTGGCCTTTACTATCTTTCCAAACGAATAAAACAGACGCTCGAATGACCGCACGATAGAGCGAGAGTGCTTCTTTTCGGGTGGTGAGTAACGCGGACTCGACGTACGCGTCGTTTTGTTTCATCGCTTCGCCTCGCTTTCGGTCCTGCGTAAAAACGTGAAGGAAGAGAGAGAAGGAGAGAGAAAGGCGGGTGGTGAGTGAGACAATATTGAACAATAAAACGCGCGATGAAAGGCAAAGAACAACACCGAGAGGCAAAGAAACGAACGCTGTGCGTTGTAACGCGTCGTCGTACCAAATTTTCCTCTATGATTTCCTCGGTTAACCCTCGTCCGTCTCGATCTTCGATGAGCTGCACCGTTCTCGTCGCGTGCATTCCCCTAACTGAAGAAGGCGCATCATTTGTTCTCGATGAAGAAGAAGACGATGAAGAAGAAGATTCTCTCCCGCTCTGCAACCGTCGGAACATTTCGAGCATATGAGCGCTTTTTGACTCTCTAAATAATAACGCGCGATGGTTACAGAGGGATTGAATGAGAGTGCGTTGATGACGAGTCCTCATTTTTGGTGAGTGGAGAACAAAAGCAGAGTGTGAAAAAGCGATGTTCACCTAATAAGGAGTGTGAAAAGTCCGGCGTTTTGAGCCGAAAAAGAGATACAAAAAAACTAAAAATAAAAACGGCAAAATTTGTTTTTTTACGAAAAACAATTTACACAGCTTTGACCGCATCTTTGAAGCCGTCCGTGAGAAGAAGAACCAACATGTCGAAGGAGGAGGAGGAAAAGGAGGCGAAAAAACAGCGAGAAGATATAGTCGATCGTCTCGAGGACGTTCGGGAGGAGTTACGTCGCGTGCTCGTCGAGAACGCGCAACAAACGCACCCTCGAGCAAAAGTCAAAGCGAAAGGGACGGACGTTTTGGTGGTCGATAAAGAAAGGTTTGAGAAGTTGGAGAGACAATCGAAGGAGGAGGTGGCAAAGGCGAAGAGGAAGGTTTCGGAGAAGATTGAGCGGTTAGAGAGAGAAGCGGAGGAGATTAAGAGAGAATGTTTCGATGGCATGGAGACGAGGAGGTGCGCGGTGACCACGTTCGCGTGCGAGGAGAGGGATGAAATTTTTCGAGATCCAGTGGCGGTGACGAATTTTGGTATACCAAAGAGGAAGAGTGATGATGATTGGGAGGTTAATGGCGTGGGTAAAATGCAGTTTTTAAGCGAGGTTGGTTTGATGGCATCGTCAGAATCGGATGTTTTGGAGAAGAGCGCTTTGAATAATGAGGGACTCGCGTCGACGAAAGACTCCGCCGGCGAAGACGAAGAGCGACAAATCGATCGACTTTTGTACGACGTACACTTCCAGCTTCAATGCACCACGCCAGAGCGAATGAAAATGCATCACGCGATGTTGTTACGGTCGGCGAGAATTAAAAAGAAAAAGTTTAACGCGTTATTTGACGACGTCGTCTTCGAGAAGAGTCGCGTGGTGGATCGCGCCAAAACGGCGTGGAAGAAAGCGAAGAGTATAGCGCGAGGTGCGTTGAAAGAAACGCCGGCGACACAGTTCGAAGGCATTCGCACGGACTCGTTTTACAAGATAGAGAGTAGGTTTGAATACGGCAACGCGTGGGATATCGTCGCGCGATTGAACGCGTTGGCGAATACGCGTCCGATGCATTGGTTGGAAGAGGAAGGAAAAATTTTTGACGTGCGCGAATCGGAAATGTCGAGCAGATTTCTCGACGAGAGTGAAGACGGAAACGATGATCTTGATGACGATGGAAACATAAAGATGAATGACATCAATAACGACACCGAAAAATCAAACAACAATGCCGTGAGTATGAAGAACGCTTTGAAATCAATGTTTGCGAGAAGCAGCGCGGAAAACGAGGACGATTCGGACGGCGAAGAGGGAGACGAGGACGACGACGACGAAGGCAACGACGATGCCGACGTGAGCGATCCATCCGATGATGATGACGACGAAGACGGGATTGACACGAATATAAACATGTACGAAGATGAAGCACCGTTTGAGAGAAACTTGCGCCTCCGCGCGAAAGTGGAACGATTCGAACAGAAGAAGAACAAGAAGATACGCGAGGCGAAAAAAATCGCCTTTCAACGCCTTCTCGATATCCAAGACGATACCGTGAAAAATCGCGTGCGATTGAACCATCGAGTACTCGAGCTCGAACAAACAAAACACAAAGTCGAAGTCGAAGTGCTATCGTTGGAATATCGTGCGGCGAGAGTGTTCGAACGGTTAAGCCGAATTGAAATTTTGGACGACGAGGACGAAACGATGTCGCGACCGGACGAGACGCTCGAACGATTACAGCGCGAGGCGCGCGAGGCCAAAACGGCGTTCGAGAACCACGGACCTGAGCTCGCGAACGCTAAGATGCGATTAGAAGCAACGTCAGACCAATTAAAGATGAACGAACGACAATTTAGACGAGAGACGAGGGATTCACCGGCGGCGGCTATTCACGCCGATACTTTGTTGGTGTTGTATCGACAAGACGGTCCAGTTTTGCGCAAGAAGAATACTTCTTCTTCCTCCGCTTCTTCTTCTTCGAATATTAACACTGGACATAATGCGACGTCTACCGAAGCTTCTTCTTTAGCAGCCGAACGAACGAAGCTCCGCCGCGAATCCGTTTTCTCTCCGGCGTCGATGATGCAAACGCGAAGTAAATCGATAGTCGCGTTAACTTCATCCGGAGGAGATGTCTTGGCCGAGAAAGGAGCGACGACTGCAGCAACAGTGGCGACGGCGACACTCGCTACTCATAACAGCAAACCAGCGACGTACTTTCCACTCTCACTGGACGAAACCTGGTTTGAAAAGCTAAACGCTCACCGCACGCAGAGACAAAATTTGGAAAAAGTAAAGGCGCAACAGAAAGCGACGCGAGAGACGTGCGAGGTGACGCTCAAAGTTTTAGAGCAGACGCTCGACGAAGCGACGAAGAGAGTCACCGAAAGACAGACGTATTTGAAGAAACAATTCAACGAACGGTTCGAACGCGCGAACGATTGCGACGTGACGATGAAATTACCGTGCGGATTAGTCGAAACACTTTTCCTCGACGAGGACGATAGCGGCGGTGACGATGGTGATATTTTGTACCTTCCGCGAAACATCGTCGAAGAGTTGAACACAGCTGCGAATTCGCGTCGAGAAACGATGATAAATTTGAGAATTGCCAACAAGAAACTGTCTACGAGCATCGAGTGCTCGAAATGGTGCATCGAATATGCGAAACGACGAAATTCGGAACACATCGAACGGGCGAGGGAGTTGGCGCTGTTGCGTTCGTCCAAGAGTTTACAGCTGTTTATAAAAAGCGGGGGGTACAGCAAGAACAGTTTAGAAGAAAACAATAACAAGAAGAAAAGGAACAGTACGAATGAACACGGCGACGGTGACGACGAAGACGACATCGACGAGAAAGAGATTGGCGACGCGGCAAACGCCAAGGCGAGGTTTCGGCACAACGACGCCTTGCACGAGAAGGAGCGTAAAATGTGCGAGGAACGTCTGAACGAGTTGGAGAAGAAGAAGGCGAAATTGAGAAAGACGATTGCGAGTTTACTGATTGAAGGCGAACGTGAGCATTTGCGATCACCAGCAATGGCCCCGCACGGTACATCATCCATATCCAATGAAAGAAGAAGAAGAAGAAGAAACGACGAGAAGGCGTTTGTAATCTCAGTCCAGTGAATAAATAATTAGAGTAGTTAGTTTTTCAATCCGAGTTGTTCGCTGACGCCGTAACTTCTCGCTGCCCCTTCTAACGTGTTTTGCAACAAAATCGCAATCGTCATCGGCCCTACACCACCTGGGACCGGCGTCATCTTCCCGGCAACTTTCTTGCAACTCTCGAAATCGCAATCGCCGACTAATCGGTATCCTAACTTCTTCGTCGCGTCGTCTTTAGCGTTGATGCCGACATCAATTACCGCCGCGCCGGGTTTCAACCACGAACCTTGGACGTACTCCGTCACTCCACACGCAGCAATCACAATATCTGCCTCTCTAATCGCCTCCTCCGGGTTCTTCGTGCGCGAATGCACTACAGTTACCGTGGCGTCGTTTCTTTGCAACAACAACGCCGCCGGCGTACCGACGACGTTCGAACGGCCCACGACGACTGCTTTCTTCCCTTTCATTTCTACGTTGGAGCGTTTCAACAACTCGATGCATCCTCTTGGCGTGCACGGCACAAACCTCGGCTCTTCTCTACCTCGTTGACTCAGCGCGCCGATGTTCAACGGGTGGAACCCGTCTACGTCCTTCTCGTACGAAACCTCCTTCAACACTCGCTCTTCGTTGATGTGTTTCGGCATCGGCAACTGCACTAAAATCCCGTGAATATTCGGGTCCGCATTATACGCTCTCACAACTTTCAAAACCTCCTCTTCCGTCGCGTCTTCGGGTAAATCCGTCCCTTCCGATCGAATCCCCACTTCCGCGCACATCTTCTTCTTCGAACGCACGTAACTCTGCGAGTCCTTCCTCTCGCCAACTAAAACCACCGCCAAACCCGGCGTGTTCCCGTTCGCGATCGTTTTCATCCGCTCCACTTTCTCTTTAATCTCCTGGCGAATCTCTTGCGCGATTTGCTTCCCGTCGATGAGTTCGCATCCCGGGGAGAATTCCCGCTTTAACACGGACGCCGCCGTGAACGCGACGCCGCCATACAGGACTTGCTCGAACGTCGTCAAAGCATTCGACGAATTCAAAGCAGGTGGTGGTGTCGCTTTCTTGTTCGACGACAGTTGGACACACTCATTCTTATTCCTCGGCGGCGATAACTCGTGATGATGCTGTTGATTGCTGCTGCTGCTGTTGCCGCGCGCGAGTGCCATCGTCATCATCATCCCCCGGCGGCGATGGTGTTGTAAAACAACAGAAGAACTTCGACCCCTAACGGTGATCATTTTTGTATCAAAACCAATGATGCTGCGACCAGAACGAGGAGCAGTCAATCCGACGGCCATTTCTCTTTTCCTTCTTCTCTCTTCTCTCTAACGAAAAGCTCTCCGCGATGATGGTGATGCGATGATGGTGATAACGATGAAGGTATGCGGGTTAGATTTGTGGAAAATTTTCAAAAACTCAAGTGTTAAAACTGTTGGGTAGTAGTAAAATGTTAGCGTCGCTGTTGTTGTTGTTGTTCAATTTGCGCTATTTTTGTGAGCACGTATTCCGAGAGCACAGAGCAGTTATCGTCGTTGATGTTGGATGCATAGAGGCCTTCGATTTCGCACTTGCGTCCGAGCGCGTGCATTTGCTCGAGTTCGCTTTTGAAAGTGGAGTAAAGAGGCCCGCGTTTTCTCCGTAACGCGTTGGCGATATCTCGAGACTCTTTCTTCGTGTGCTTGGACGTGAGCACTTTACCAGCGGCGAGTATGTCCTCGTGCGAGACTCCGAGGAACACGGCGTTACGAAGCGCGTACTTTGTCGATTCGTTGACATTCGAAGCACCTCCCGTGACGTATGTGGAATAGATCCATAAGCCGCTCGGATTCCAATCGACCAAGACGTAGATCTTACACGTGCGTTGTACGCCGGTTGAGGCCAACCGATTTAAGAACGCGCGCGTCGGCAAATCCGGAAAGCCTTTTGCAGTAACAACTGCGCACGGATACCTCTCCCAAATTCGTTCTTGTACGAGTTTGTTAAACACGGCGTCCTTCTCCACGACGAGAATGAATGCGCACATCGAGGCGTCGATGGATAAACTCTCGATCGTTTTTAAATCACCCGGGATCGTGAAGCCCGAACCATCGAGATTTGAACAATCAACGAACGTTTGAGTCACATCGTTTCGGAGAGATACTAAACCGACAACTAAACCTTTCGATGCGCTCGTGATATTCAACGCGCCTCGATCGATGCGCAGCAAACCTGCGATATCTTTGATCGCGTTCAACACGTGAACGACTTTAGAGAACAACAACGGTTCTTTCGCGGAAGCGCAATAATACATCTCCCTTTGCGTGACTGTCTTCCCTTGACGTACGTTCGTGTGAATCAAGTTCAACATCGCGATGACTCTTGCAAACGTAATCGTGTTCAATCGTATCGATCTCGTTTTCTCGCTTTCAACAAAAGTTTTCTCGTTTTCAGACCACTCGTGCAAAGGCACGTGCAGGTCGTAATACTCGACTGGAAACGCCTCGTCTCGACAAATCTCCGACGCGAGACTGGACATCAATCGATGCACCACGCGCTCGATTTGAAAACACACCTGATCCGCTTCATCCACGATGTCTATGCGAGGAGGAGAACGAGGAGGAGGAGAAAGAGAACGAGGAGGAGAAGGTTTTGGCGCCGGACTGTCTTCCTCCTCGTGTTCAAAGTCGTCGTCGTCGTTGTTGTTGTTATTAATATCTTCGTTCATTTCCGGCGGTGATTCCAAGAACAATAACTTTTCGTCGTCGTCGTCGTTATTCTCGTCTCGGTCTTCGTCCTCTCGTCGTCGTCGTCTGGTTACGGTGGAAGCCGCAAAGAAGCCGGACATGATGATTTGATTCGACGCGTCGAGTATTTTAAAATCTGACGACGAAAATCCTTCACTTCTTTCTCTCTCTCTCATCGAATAATGTCTCTCAACGGCGGGAAAAACAAGAACAAAGGCTTCGCGAACGCAAAGCTTCAGAGAAAACTCCCTCAGCCTCGCACGTTTTTCCAACTCAATTGCAACGGTTTGTTCGAACATCCGAGATTTTGTCGAAATTCTCGGTACGACTTTACGACGAAGACGATTTCGACGAGGCGAAGCGGCGAAGGCGAATGCGGATGTTGCCCGCCGGATTCGTATTACGAGGCTGAGTTGAAAAAGGTTTTTGAATACGTGCGAAAAAATCAGTTCCACGTGTGCTATTTCAGCGAGACGTGGGTGTACGGAGAAGACGCGAAAGGCACGCAGCCGGTGACGGAACATCCTCTCTCGTGTGGTGGCCCTGGTGGTGCTCAGAATGGTGGAAGAGAGGAGGAAACGTGGCTTCATAAATACGGGTTGAGCGAGACGTACAGAGCGTATTTTTCGCTGCAACACCGTAACTACTTCGGGAGTCGAGATACCGCGTGGGCCGGGAACGTCGTTTTCGTGCACAAAGACGTGCAACCGCCGGTGAAAATTCTAAGACACGCGGATATCGGCTTGACGCAAGGCAACGCTCAGTACCAAGGTCGGTATCTCGAGTTTGAGTTTCCGGATGGGTTTCACGTTTTGACAACATACATGCCGTTTAGTGGGTTTAATGATAACAGATCGAGGACGAAGAAAAAGATTGCTTTGAGGAAAACGTTGGACTTAGCGGTGAGAGAAAGGTTAGTGCAGTTGCGCGAGAAGGAGTTTGTTTGGATGGGCGATTTGAACGTTTCTCCCGGCCCGTTGGATCATTTTTTAGGAGAGCCGGGGAGAGAGGATGAGTACGCGATGTCGATGCAAGAGAAACAAGACGGGACGCACATAGAAGATATAGACGACAGAGGGGAGTGCGGTTACACGCCCAACTTGAAGAAACGGTTCCACGAAACCGTGCGATTGGCGGATGGCGTGGACGCCTTTCGACACTTGTCTCCTTACACACGGATTTACACGCAACCACACCCCGCACCGGGAATAACGAGGTGGGATCATTATATCGTGAGTAAGAAAATAATCGAGGAAAATCGATTAGAGGAGTGCGAAATATATCCGGACAAATGTTTTAGCAGCGACCATTGCGTGGTAACGATGAAGTTGCGTTCGGCGAGCGAGGCGGCGACGAACTCGTCCAAGAAGAAGAAAGTTTTTGAAGAAAACGACGACGACAGCAAAAATAGCAAAAACATGTCGATGCTCGAACAGCTGCGCGCGACAAGCATCGACATGCAACAGCTGCGCGCGAAAAGGCTGAAAAGATTCGCGAATCAATAGGTTGGTATTAAATTGAGGCCAGTTTTGAATTTTTTGTACCACCCAATCGCGGTTTTGAGAAAAACCGCGACAAGGAGAGAAACACTACTTTACTAGTTCTAACGAATAAAAAAAAAGACATATAAACACATGTTTACGTTGCATATATATTAATTATGAGTCTGACGCTCTCCCAACTGAGCTATCGCGGCTTATGATTTTATATGTTTCGATTTTATATCGAATGGTGTGTGCCTGCCACAATTGGGTTTCGATCCCAAGGCCTAAGTGTCGTCATGTGAAATACAACTTTCTGTGAAATAATGTAATCTGTACCTCCAGATAAACCTTGGGTTGTAGGGTTTAGTATAAAAAATATGAAAAATTAACATTTTTGTATTTTTTTCTTCTTTTGTTTTTTCCTCTTTCGACTGCTTCACAACAGAAAGAACAAAAATTCGATCGAATTTTCGATCATCACGCGCTGTACCAAACCGATGATGTTGCACTCGTCCTCGTCGTCCTCGTCGGTGACGACGACGAATAATACTAACAGTAACAACAACAGATGCGCAATGAGCGCGAAAAGTTGTTATTTTTTGAAGAATCAACGACAACAACAACAACAACAACAACAAATCAGACGACGCCAACGACGGGTAAAATTCGTTCCTCACGCCGCCGGCAAGAATGCATCGTCTTCAACGAACAAAAACGAGAAAGGAGAGGACCTTTCAGGACCAGAAATCTCCGAAGAAGAAGCGAAATCGAAAAACCAACTCTTCGGCCAAGAAGTTTTAAACGTGGACGAACTCGACGAGGAGGTGAAATCTCTCGCCGTGTCCAGCGAAGAGACGCAAGTGCTCAATCGAGAGCACCACATCGAAGGGTTCGTGGCGATATCGGACAGCGGAAGGTCGGGCGCGAGGAAAGTTTTATTGACGCACCCATCCGGAGCGACGTGCGAGATTTACACGAAAGGTGCGTCGGTCGCGTCGTGGACGTTACCGAACGGAGGGGAAGTTTTGTTCACGCCAGACTTTTCAGACTTTAAGAACGAAGCGCCGAGAGACGCCGGGTTGAGCTATAACTTCCCGCACTGGGACGGGTTCGATTTGCATTCGATGAAGAAAAAAGGAGAAGAAGAAAACGAAGAAGAAGAAAACAAAGGAGATGCAAACGAAATCGACTCGAAAGAAGATTTTAACATTCGACAGATGAACTTTGATATTTTGGATACCGGGATAAGAGAGTTGTGGAATCCGGAAGACAACACGTACACGGCGAACCCGTACGTGACGATTTATACGACGGACGACGACCAATCGAGGAAGAAGTGGAACGACAACGCGTTTCAAGTCACTCTTACTTTTACTCTCGAGTTTGACGCGTTGAATATATCTCACTCGGTTGAGAACAAGAATAATAACATAGATAATGGAGAGAGCAGCAGCACTAGTAGCAACAACAACAACAACGTAGACGAATCATCATCAAATCTCGATTTCGAGTACGCGAGCGGGTATCGAGGCCACGTGAGAGTGGCAGATTTAACCGCGGTTCCACCGCGAGCGTATTATTTAGGCTTAGACGATTGCGTGTATTTCGACATGACCGACACCGAGAAAACTGGAGGAGATCCGCAGGTTAAGTTTACAAAAGATTTGGACGAGTACGACGAAAAGTGTTTCACTCTGAAAGAGAAAACGGAAAGAGTGTACGCCAACGTGAAGAGAGACTCGACGATGTTGGAAATAGGAACGGGCTCATCCATCGTCATCGAAGATTACGATAGATTTGCCATTGGATACGACTTTCCGGACGAAGAAACTGCGATGAAGCAAACGGGAAACTGGCACGATCGCGCGGTATTTTCGTACTGGAAAAGTAAAGAGAAGAAGAACGACGAGTCGTACCGATGGTTCTCCGGTCTCGGGTTTGGGAACATCACAAAGTTGGTCAAATTAAAAGCTGGGCAAACGCAAACGCACACGGCGCGATTAGTCGTTCGGGATGCAACGTTGTCTGAAAACATCATCAAAGAGCGGGACGCAAAACGATCGTACGAAGCAGTGGAGAGAGAATTTTCCAAGAGAGAAGGTTACAACATGGAAGGCTCGGAGCTACCGCAAGACTTTCAATAATATTATATAACTAATAATAAGAATACATTATGTGTGCTATACGTAAAAGCATCGTCGTCATCGTTCGTGATAAACCCAACCGCGCTCTGATGCTAAACTCTTTCTTCTAAACGCTACTTTTCTCTTCGCCACTCAACCCGTTCTCCGAGAAGGTCTCTGAAGTTCCATCCCACTCAGGCGCTTGCAATATCGGCCAATCGCCTCGACATCCCATCCTGGTATACAAACTCTTCTTGCCGGCAAAATGTTCGTCGTTATCGACCAAAGCTTTCACGCCTTCCAACACCGCCCGAACCGTCTTCCCCTTTTCCTCTTCGTTCAACTCCTTTCCTTTCAAAACCACCCGAATATCCGCCAACTCGTACGCCTCCCGCTGCGGAAACCTCTCCGGGTTCTCTTCGCTCAATTTCGCCGACTCTTCGTCGTCCACCCATATGGTAATCATCCCGAATATCCACGCCCAACAGTCGCCTCTGGCTAACGCCCCGACACCGTTCGCACCGCACGTCGCCAACGAAACTCTCAGAAACTGTGACAGTTGTTCGTGCACGGAATTCTCCACCATCAGCGCCTCCGCGTCGCCTTCCAAACGAGCGATATCTTCCCTCGATTTCCCGTCCGATATCCCTCGAATCAACTCTGGCACCGACATCGGAGAATACGCCAACAATGGCGCCAACAACTCGCTCAACTGATGATTCGCTTTTTCATTTTCGCCAACTGCGACGACGTTGACCCCTCGCAAGAGTTTTGCCACCGTATTCGCGAGCTTTTGGACCTCGAACTCCTCCGGAATACTTTCGCCTTTCTTTCGTCCGTGCGCTCGTAATGCGGTTTTTGATGATGATGTTGATGATGATGAGTATCGACGGGGTTTATTATTCAACGAAGAAGAGGAAGAACAAGAAACACAAGAAGACGAGCGTCTCCTCGAGGACAGCACGAATACTCGAGCGTCTGTTATTTGCGCTCGAGAAGGAGAGACGCAGCACGTTCTCATGATGATGATTTTGTGTGAGGGAAAAATGAAGTAAAAGACGAGATAAAAAATATAAACAGAACTCGACGAGTCTGCATCTTCATTAAAAATATTAGCACACCACGAGCACACCACGAGCATACTTTCTTGAATAATCTTTTCCTCGCGGCGATTTCCAAAGTCGAACTCCTCATTGGTGGACAAGTCATTGACGAACAAACATCTAAATTCTCGCAATACACGGCACCAACTGTCTTTAGGAATTGTTAATATTGACTGAGGCACCACCACCCACACTCGCGTCGTAAAAAAAAAAAAACCGGTGCTTAAGTTGTCGCGATTCTTCCGTATATATAATAACACGAGACGAACGTAAGCACATAAGTACATAACGAGAGACCGACCGCGACAGGTAGTAATGAGCGATCACTATGCAGGAGTGATACTCGAGAATCAAGTACGTTTCTTTTCCACGCGCGCGCGCGTCGTTTTTTTTTCGAATCCCGTACAAATCTCTCTCTCTGACTCGACATTTGAAAAGTACGGGTGTTTTTTTTGAGACGTGAGTATAATAAGCATGTGTGTGTATTTTTTGAGTGCTCAAAATATATTTTCTTTTCAACAGAGCTACGTCGCCTATTTATGGGAGAAATCGAGTTGGACGGTGCCGTTGTTTCACCAGCAGCACGTCATGAATTTGATTCAGCGGTTGCTCTTCGTGACCTTTTCGATCGTCGCTAATGTGGGCATTCTGTATTACCATTGGACGACGCCGCCGCATCCGAAGTTTACCGTTTTACGAAAGTCGAGAATATGCATTCGCGCGCATCTTCTCAGCGGAACGATTAACGTCTGCTTGCCAATAGCAGCGTTTTGTACTGTAAACAAAGACATTTCGACAACGATTATGTGGATCACGGTCTTCTTTGATATCATTCACTTGATTACGGTACTCATTCAGACACCAGACGTGAATGGGCAAAGAGTTTTGACCGTTCCCGCTTACCAATTTATATCACTCGTTAAAATTGTGAGCGTTTCCGGTTTAATTTCTGCCCTTCTGGATTCTTCGCTTTATCAACTCGAACGACTCGAATGGTTGTGGTCCGTTTGGGCTAACCATCAAACGTACGCCTGGGTAAGAGTATGGATTAACGCTTTGTATTTCCTTCAAGCTTGCGGAGAAAGTCGATACACTGTCTCGGTCATCATAGCAGGAACAATTGGTGCTGGACAGGCGTACGGTTTCACCATCATGATCGGATTAATTTTGTGGCTCGTCGCTTTCAATATAATTCTTCGTCGAATGACGTACTTACTCGTCGCGAAATTTTCTGTGAAGAAGACTTATTCGGAAAAAGAACAGCAGGAGTTGAACTTGGAAATGAGCGCCATGCTTCAGTTTTTCCACGAATCACATCATTCGCTATACCATGATTCTCGATATAGAACGCGTGTCACTGTCGTTCAAAAGATCTTATTCGACCTTGAATACGTGAAAACCATCGTCGACTCCACCGGAAACGAAATATCGCAACAGTTTGCACCGATACGGACCATACCTGACGAGGTCCAGGCGCGATGCGTCTTCGAATCGATTGACTTCGATGGGAGTGGAGGTCTCGATATTTTAGAGCTCGGGCAGGTAATACACTTTTAAAAAGTTTCTTAATGGCTCGTTTTTTTCTTTTAAGAAAGATTTCTTTTTTTTTGTTCTTTTTCTTCTTCTTACCATCATCTTTCCATTATTGCCTGCAGGTCTTTCTCACGAATGGCGTCTCAATTGCTGTCACACAAAAGATGTGCAAAAAAGCTTTTGGTTCGTTTGATTTGAACAACGATGGTTTGATCGACTTGAAGGAGTTCACTACCGCTTTCAAGCCGTATTGGTCGTACCAATTTAACGCGGTATACGATCTCTTGAAAGACGCTCCGCATTTGCTAAAGAATGTCATTAACGTGCCTCTGCAAAACGCAGCGGGCGGATGCCCGTTCAGCGCGGCGCATTCCATTCCGCTCGATTTCGATTCATCAGTAATCGATTGGGTGAAATTGATTCGAGGCGAGAACGTATCAAATCTCGACCACGCTTTAAAACGCGTGAAAAAAAGACTGGACAGGCTCAAAGTTTAATGGGAGGAGCTTATTATCACATGTATATACACCTTAAGTGAGTGAAAACTCGACAGAATGTGAACACAAAAATAATATAAGATAATAACAGTATAATACCGGCACGACAAAATATAATATTATATGACCGACGACTTAATACCAAACCTATGGAAATTCCAGGTTTACATACACGCAGATCAAGAATTAACGCGCGTGCCGAGAACGACAAAGTTTTAATATGTATTCAATAATAAGATCACAAAAAAACACGAGCCTTATATTGTTTATACTGTATTCTCTCTACGTAGTGTGTATGTATATATATAAAACTTATCCCGAATTCGAAGAACGAACAACTCGTTGTTATTGTCGTTGTTGTTGTTCTCAGAGATCGTATCTTTCTTAACGAGACTCAACCGCCGCCGACGCTCTCGGCGTGTACAACTCTCTCCTTTTGGTCTTTCTCGACGTCGCGGCGGCTCTCTCGACGGCGTCGACGACGCACACGAATTGCTTCTTCCCCGCGCCTTTCTTAAACAAGATTTCCCCGTCTCTCAACGCGAACAAAGTGAAATCCTTCCCGGTTCCAACCCCTGGCCCGGCGTGGAACTTGTTCCCTAACTGTCGGACGATGATGTTCCCCGCGCGACATTTTTCTTGGCCGTAGAGTTTCACCCCTCGGTATTTCGGGTTCGAATCGCGACCGTTTTTGACCGACCCGGTCCCTTTTTTGTGCGCGGCTTCGACCGTGAAGGAGAATTTCGAGGATGTGCTCTGTTGTTTGTAATAAAAGAAAGAATATAAAGAGAGAAAGAGGTGTTATTCGTGTTCGTTTTGTAAGAAAGAGCGCGAAACTGATGGCAAAGTCCTCGTCATCAATCGCCCATTTTATCCTCTCTCTAGGGTTGAAAATCGAGAAGAATTGGAGGAAAACCTGAAAATGTATACACGAATAAACGATCACTCACAGTAGTAGTACTCGTCGTCGTCGTCGCGACGGCGGAGGAAGAGCCGGTCACGTTTCGCGCGAAAGACAAACTCGTCGCACTCGCTGCTAAGAAAGAAGACGCGAGGCAAGACATTATTAGTAGTATTAGATGACGATGGTGAGATGATAACCTTTCTTGTGTCGTCGTCTGTGTGTTGAAAGGAGAGAGATCGAAGCAGTTTTATTTAGGGTGTTATTTATTTAGGGTGTAAGAGTTGTTTTCAATAAATTTTCTCTCATGCATCATCATCATGACACGACGAGAAGCGCTCGTTCGCACGCGAACGCTAACGGGTTCGCGCCTTTACCGCCGCACGCGTCGAGAACTTCACTCTCTTTACCCGCGAGTTGTTCTCTAAAACCTCGGAGTAATCTCTCGATGCGTTTATTCAAACGAGCGTCGGCACCGGTTTGGTCGGAAAGTTCCATGGCTTTTAAGACGCACGAGCGCGCGCACAAGACGGTGATTTCAGACGCTTTTTCTCTCGCCACCGTGACGAACTGTTTCATTTCCGAAGCGCCGGCGTCTAAGCTGGCGGCGAGTTCAACCGCGGCGGCTTCGGCCGTTTGCGCGCGCGTCGCTTCGTGCATCAAACCATCGGCGAGGAAACGTTCGGCAGCTTGACCAGCCGCTTCGGCTTCGCGCTCGGCGTCGTGGACGCGGTGAAGGATGCGCCGGGTGCGCTCTAACGCGTGCTCTTCTTCCGCGGTGGCGTGTTCGAGGACGTAGCCGCACGTGTCGGAATACAAGACTGGGTTTTCCGCGTATTTCATGCCCGCCCATTCGGCGACAAAGGCGATGTCGCACAACTTCGCGCAAATAGTTCGATCGACAGCAATTTTCGCGTTTTGCGAGCCTTCCCAAACGTTCACTATGGCTTCCAACAACTCCCTCGCTTTCGTGGAGGAATGGTCGATGAGTTTTCGAAGCAAAATGTCGTATCGAGTCAACAACGTGTCCAAGTGTGTGATGCATTTTTGTCCGTGCACTAAGATGGCCGTCGCGACGCAAGCCAAGCACTGTTCGGCGGTTAAGCCGCCCGAGGACTCTTTCAACCACTGTTCGAGCTCGTCCGATGGTGTTTTCGCTTTTAACATTTCTCTAATCGTATCGATGGCGTTGTTCGTTTGCGCGTTGACTGAATCGACGTACGCCTGGTTAATCGTTTTCGCTTCTTTCGGTAACAAGTCATAAATAGCCTCTGGAATGGACTCCTTGACATTTTTCGGGTACGAGAGATCGCACAATTTACGCAACAACGTCCTCACAAACTCTCTTTGCGGCGATCCGTCTGGTTGTTCGCTGACGTGAACCCACGATTTCCACGGCCACACTAAATCGAAACACGATAAATGGTGCGCCATCCACGTCGCTAAACGTTCGCGCAATTCTTCATCTAATCGGTCCATCGCGCGGAAAAGCTCACCGACGGTTTTTGCCATCTTTGGTGGAAAGGAGGGGATCGCTTTACACAAATCTTGAATGACGACGTGGTAAAAGACCGGCTCGAATCGCGGCCGCGGCAAATTTAACAATTCTCCGAAACACGTCTCCGCGACCAAGTATTGACACCTTTCCGGATGATCTGCGGGTAATGGCAACGTCGCCAGCTGTTCGGTGGCTGGATGTAACGCCGCTCTGCGAAATCCAGGTTCAAACGCCCACAAAGTATCCACGACGTGTTCTTCAGCGACAAACCTCTCCAGAGGCTGCCAATCGTTCTTCTCCCATCCGCCTTCCGTTTGCGCTCGATTGATCACTCTCAATCGAGGTCTGGAGGGAAACTTTGTCAACGCTGTCGCCGCGGAATCCGAATTTAAATACTCCTCGTAATCTGGAATTGTAATTTTCGGCGCCTCCACGGTGGAAAACGAAAACAACTCTTGCTCGAACGGTTCTTGGACGCCGACGATGCCGGCGACCGCCCACCCTTTCAAGCCTCTCTTATCTGCCTCGTTTACGCGTCCCCAAAGCTCCTCTAACGCATCCGGTTCATGACTATTATTTTTATTTTCTTCTTCTTCTTTGCTACTATCTGTTTTTGCTAATAAAACCCTGGCGCACTTATCAAACGTCGGGTCTCTCGCGCCCATATACTCCTCCATCGTCCTCGCGAACTCCTTGTACATTCCTTGCACAACCTCATCCGTCCCTTTCGCGAACGACCCGTTCGACCACGGCAACGCGGACAACACCACCGTCGCTAAAAAATCCGCTCTCGGCTGCCACGCTTTCGGATTCAACTGATTCTTACACGCCTTGGTCTTACTCATCGCCACGCACTTCTCGGCGAACCTCGTCAACACGTCCACCGCGGACGCCTGACTCACCAGATTCGTCACCGACGCGCACACGATAAATCGCACCAACAACTTCACCCTCGTTCGCGCGTCTTTATCCTCGTCCAATCGCATCAAATCGTGTTCCAACGCCTCCCCAACTCTCGATAAAAATTTCTCCGAAAACTCCAAGCCAAACTCCTCGGAGTTGCTTTTTATCAAAGCGATCAGTAAAGCGTACACGGGCGTTTTCACCGGTAACTCCGAGACGCACTCCAACGTAAATCGCGTCACGTCGTCGCCGATTTGTTGTATGTCCGGAGCGATGTCCAAGGAGAGATTCTTCACGTTCTGTTCCGAGCCGTCCAAATGGATTATGGCTTCGCGCAATTCTCTCATCGGCTAATATACGCGCGCGCGGTAAAAACACACATCATCACATCAAATCACCACCAAGTAGTCAAAGAGTTAAAATGAATTTGGAAAAAAGAAATTTTTGTTAGTAAACCACAACACGCGCATCAACACCGAAGACAGAGAGAGAGAGAAACGAGGCTCAGAGGAACCTTTCAGAAGAGAACGACTTCTTTCTGCGCGTCAAGAAGTCGTCGTCCTTTTCTGAGGAGCATCGCGACTGCGAGCGAGCGAGAGAATTCTCACTCTCATTCATACACACATCGGGCGGCTCGATCACAATCCAAAATTATATGTCTCTCCCTTTCTCTCTCTGTTTCGTTTTAGAAAAGCAAAGAGAGAAAGTGATGAGAGAAAAAGAGAACGCGATAAAAAGCGAGATGATCATCTAAACGCGTTTTGAACGCGCGTTCTGGGATGCGCGCTGTTTGCCGTGCGTGAGAGAGAGTTCAACTTACGTCGCCGAGCTGTCCTGGCCTCATCCTTTTTTTTTCTAATCGCCCCTACTTGAAAGTAATGGTGTACAGCTTTGCGTCGACTCGAGTGCGTTTTGCGTCAGAGAAAAAACGAAACCCTAAATTAAAAGCTTAAATAAAAAGAGAAGAAAGAGAGGAAAGACGACCGCACAATACACCAAAGTCTAAAGCGAGATGATGACGACGACGACTTTTATGAGAAGAAGAGCTTTAACGGCAATTTCAGGAGCAAGAGCAGCGAGAGGAGGAGGAGGATTTGGAGGATGTGAAATCCCGTCGACTTCGGGAAGGATTTTTACGACGAAGATGATGGGTTTTTTATCAGACGCGAATGGGAGCAACGCCACGACGGACGACAACGATTACGTTGGAAACGGAAAGAAATCGATATTAAAGCAGCAGCGAGGACAAAACTACACGCAGATGCGAGCGTACGCGAACGATCCAACCATCGACAAAGGTCTCTTCCCATCCGCTCGGAAAAAACACGAGCGAGAACTCAACGCAGAGAGGAAGAAATGGCGAGAAGAGTTCGAGCTCGAGGCGGAGAAACGAAGGGAAAAGAAGGAGAAAGAGGACGAAACGAAACACCGAGAAAGAGAGGAACGAAGACGACTCAAAGCCACCGCGTTTAAAAACACGACGGGCGAGAGAGAAGCACTGAAGAAAGAAAACGACAAAAGAAGAGAGGAGAAGAGAGCGAAAACAGAGCGCATATTGAAGCAAAAACTCGCCGCGACGGAACGTAGGAGTCGGTGGCGAAACGTCGAGTTGTACGCCGAAGCGACGAAGTGGATCACGCGGGAGGACCTGGAAAAGAGGATCGAGAAAGCATTGAATCGTCCGGAGAGGATGTACTAGAAAGAGAAAGATAGAGAGAGGTGAACGTTGTGAGTGAGAGTGAGTAGTAAAACCACGTGTAATAGTACCTTACCGCAGACTTGTCTGATCCGTTTTTCTCTCTCCTCCACTCGAAAATTCGCCACTTTTTCCACAGCACAAGCCGGAGTATTCTACACACAGATCGCGTTCTTTTCGCTCGCACTTGCCCCCCAATCCCGAGCGTAGTACCAGTAAACGACTAATCCCGGCAGACTTTTGGGCTTTTTTTCTCTTTTCTTTAAACGAAAGACGGCTCGTGGAGGATGACGACGATGCAGACCACGGGAAGAGGACGAAGAAATTGCGAAGATCGGAAACGCGCGATGAAAGAAGGAAAGTTGAGTGAGAGGAGACGAGCATCGTTAAACGCTCTCTTAATATCCTTCGTGATTGGCTCTTTATCGTTACTCCTTTTCTTCAGTTATTCTTCCTCTCCGTTTGTTTTCGCGGACGAACTGTTAGCGCAAGAAGCCGAGATGGAAAAACGAGTCACGTGCGGATCCGCCATCAAATTGACCCACACCGCGACGAAGGCGAAGTTACACTCGCACGGCATCGGGTACGGGTCAGGGTCCGGTCAACAATCCGTGACTGGTTTTCCGGAGTCGAACGACCCCGGGGGGTATTGGCAAGTGTTTGGAACGCGAGAGGAGCCGTGCGAACGAGGAGAGGACATCGCTGACGGTCGCGTGATTCGGTTGCTGCACGTGCAGACGAGGAAGTGGTTACACTCGCACGCGGCGCATAGGAGTCCGTTGACGAATAATCAAGAAGTGAGCGCGCACGGGGACGACGAGAATTCAGATGCCGGAGACGAGTGGAAGTTTGAAGTCGCGGATGGGAATAAAGGCGATAAGGCTGGGCCAGTTTGGAAGAAGGATCAGAAGGTGAGATTGCAACATCGACAGACGAAAGCGTTTTTGAGTTGCTCGAATACAAAATTTCAAAGGCCGATTAGCGGGCAAAACGAAGTGTGCGGGACGAGCAGGTCGGATGCGAATAGCGTGTGGAAAGCCGATCAAGGCGTGTATTTCCCGAAAGTAGAGTTGTAATGATGATGATGAGGAGGAGGAGGAGGATGAGAACTCGCGTTGAGGAGTTCATTTTTTATTTCAAAATAGTAGTTTGAGAGTTTGAGTACACAACGCGACTTGACGAAATAGGATCTCTTTTTTTATCATCGAGCGGAGCCCGGCGGTAAGCCTTTCTTGGACGCATCTCGTGCGTCCGCATCCGTCGCACCTTTCTTCCAATCGTTTTCAGTCCTATTATTGTTGTTGTTATTATTTTGACTCGCTGCATTTACATTCTCTCCTTTTACGTTGAATATGATCGGCGTCGCTTGCGGTTGTTCTCTCGCTTTTTGATTGAACCACGATTTCACGCCCGACCACGCTTTCTTTCCGGCTTTTTCAAAATCCTCTTTACTCTTTGCATCTTTTAACTCCCCCCACGCGTTCGTAAGCGTGCTCTTCAAATCAATCGGTCTCAATATCGCCAAATACGCGCTCGTCATCATCCACAAAATGACGACTCGTATCAACATCCTCGTAATCTTACTCGCCGCCGCAACCGCGTCGGACGCTCGCACCCACTTCGTCATCCAAAAGAAACCAAACAATACGCCCGCTTTCATCAAAACCTTCCTATCCATCCCTAACACCCTCTGCTTATTAAATGTCAAATCCATCCCCACGTTCTTCTCTTCCATCTTTAATTGCACTTCGCCTAAAATCTTATCGCTCGCGGCGGCTACAGCGGTAAAAAATCCAACCGAAGACAACAGAAACGGCCAAAAGTTAAATCCACCAAACATGACACAAAACGGGACAAACATGACGAAATAATTCTGCCTGTAGTACACCAGATTCGATTTCAATCGTTCCACACCTTCTTCTTTCGTTTGCGGGAAATTTAAGGACGGACTTTCGATTTCGTTCGCGTTTACGGTTTGTTTCTCGTTGTCCACGTTCAAGACATATCCGGCTGGTCGCATGCCCCAAAACTCTTTCCAAGGTTTCGGTAACGCGTCCCACGGTTGTTTCTTTAACGATTGGAAATAATTGGAAAAGTCGTCGTCGTTTTCAGTCCTATTGTTGTTGTTATATGCGGAGGAGGAGGAGGAGGAGGAAGAGGCTGTTCGACGCAACGCTTCTCGCCGTCGTCGTCTAAAGACCGGTAAAACTTTGGCATTCGTATTCGTCAAAAACGCATCCGCACAAAAAGAAGTCGTCCTAAAACGCACCGTTTCCGTCCGCTTTGTCGTTCTCACCTTCCTCGTCTTCTTCTGCTCTTCGGAGGAGGAGGAGGCGTTAAAAAAGGTGGTTTTGATGGTGCCACTCCTCGAAGAAATCATCGTCGTCATCGGTGTATCTCTGCTCGTACTCGTTAGGGGTTCGTGTGTTTCACAGAAATGAAGAAAAACTTTTGAGAAAAAAATTCAAAAAAAAGAGAAATTTTACTTGACTTTTTTCTTTGGGCATTCCACACATATAAAAAGTTCTCACTAGAAAAGAGAGGTAAAAGAGAGTTGTCTATATATACATATATATATATATATATGTATAAGAGAGAGAGAGAGGAGGGAAGCAGTTTCAGCGTTAGCAGCGGCGAGAGAAGTTGTCGTTGTTCTCGTCGTCGAGCGAAATCTCTTTTCTCTCGTCCGTTTCTTTTTTGTGGTGTGCTTTGTTGACGAGAGAATTTCCATTTTTTTTTCTACTCTGAAATTAATAAGAAAAACATTTAGGACGACGATGCGGGAAGAAGAAGAAGAAGAAGAAGAAGAAGAACGAACGATGCGCGCAACGACGACGAATACGGCACACGAATTACGCGTGATCGTGCGAGACGCGAGAGGGATGCGCGAAGAAGCACCGCTGAGAGTGCACGCGAAATTTGACGACGAGGAAAAGATGACCGTAAGTGTAACAGAGTGTATCTCTCTCTTTTTTTGTTGTTTGTGTGCACTCTCGAGAGAAAATGTGTTGACCAAAGAATGGAGTTGACCACCGCTGACGCACCATTTTCTTTCCTATATTTAAAAATGAAAACAGAAAGCGGCGAGACCGTCGACGAACCCGAAATGGAACCAGCAGTTAGTGTTCTCGCGAACGCCTTCGGAGATGAAGAAGATATTGCAACGCGGCGGCGCTTCGTTGAAGTTGACCGTACAGACGGCGAATATGGCGGAGGAAGAAGAGGAAGAAGAACTTTCGCGGTTGACGAGCGGTGGGAGTTCTTCAACGAAGAATAAACACGGGTGGATAATCGTTGAACCGAGGACGTTGCGAGCGAACGCGACGGCGATTAAAGCGGCGGGGATTGATTGGAAAACGACGAGAGGGATGCAGATGGTGGGCGAGTGGACCGCGCTGGCGGCGGCGAAGTATCGATTGGCGAAATCGAGGGAAGTGCCTGAATTGAGAGCGTTTGCGTTCGTGAGAGAAGTGTTGGTTGGAGAAGAGGGAGATGAAGATGGAGGCGAAGAGGTTGGGTACGAAGAACGAGTGAGATACGGACACGGTGGCGTGCAGTTAGAGTTATTCGACGACGAGGACGAAATAGACGACGAAATAGATACGGTGTTGAAAAATTTATCGGTTGATGAAGAAGAAATGAGCAATCGCGCTTCCACGAGCGATGAAGACGACGACGACGAAGAAGAAGAAGAAGAAGGCAGCGAAGACGAAGAGAGCGACGTCATAGAAAAGAAACACGTATCGGCGAATCGTGAAAATGCAAAACCGTTCTCGCTTCGAGTTCGACTCGCCTCGAGCGGTGGCGTCCTGGTTACGTTTCGACTCCCGAACGTTTTCGAGAATTCAATATTCAACGTGACTTCCTCGTATAGCAACGACGAAGAAAACAAGAAAAAGTATAAGAAATCAAGAAATGCGAATAGAATAGGAAAAGGCGTCGACGATGCGATAACGTTCAAGTTTTGGGCCAATCCGTCGAGTTTAGCCGAAGCGTTGTCCTCGCCGGACGCGCTTTTGAAGGTGCACACATCGTCTTCCGTGTCTTCGGTCTCGATGTCGGGATTGTTACAGAAGCCAACCGTGAAAGAGTCTCTCGTGATTCGCGAAGAACAGGAGAAAGTGCGTCTCGAACTCACGCTTTCGGATTTATCTTCCTCGTTTTCTTCGCCTCACTTTGTCGAAGAGGACGAAGAGCAGGAAAACTTTGAACCGAAGCCGAGACCGCCTTTGGCTGCGCGCAACCCGAAACCGACAGATTTTCACGACCGCATTCGCCGAACGCGAGCGAATATTCTTCTTCAACAACAACAATATAAGAACAAGCAACATCGGCAGTCGCAGCCGTCGCAGCAGCAGCTACAACAACCGACTTTGTCTATGTATAGCTTCCCATCCGAAGACGACGTTCGAAACACTCAGGAATACAACGCCGCTTTCGCGCTCGAGAGCTGGAAGCGCGAACGCATGCTTGCCTGGGAGAGCAAGTTCACCGAGGAAGCTACCAAACGCATGCAATCGCTCGAGGAAGCCTGGAAGCAACGCGAAATTCAAAGGAACAAAGAATTCGAACTCTCGTCTCGTCGTGCGAAAGACGCGGAAAACAAATTGAAAGAACTCACACGAATGTTGGAAAATCGGGAACGGGAAGTCGTTCGAGCGGAAGAAACTATTGAACGACGCAAGAAAGAACTCGAACGAGCGCACATCTCAAAAACAGAACAATTAAAGCGCGAGTACGCTACGAAGGAAGAAACGTTAGAGAAGAAAGTTGAAAACGCCATCCGAGACCAGAAAACGTCCAAGAAGGAGCGCGACGACGCGACGAAGAAAGCGGCTAAGCTTGAAAAGCAAAAGCGCGAGATTGAAGACATGTTTTCCGAGTACAAGAAGAGCTATTTCCAAAGTGATGTGGCTAAATTGAACAGCGAGATTGCGACGTTACGGCCGCGATTAGAATCGGCGGAAAGTGCGCTGGAAGACGCGAGTTCGAGTCGAGACCGCTTTCGAGTCCAAATGCGAAAAATGGCTGCGCAGATTGTTGCGTTAGAGCGCGAGAAGGCGCAGCTACGAGACGCGTTGGAGAAAACCGGAGGTGTTTTCCCGAACCGCGCGCACGTGGCGCCAGATTCGTCATCGCTCATGATGGATGTGAGCAGCGCTTTCCGAGGAAGTGAAAGTGAGTACCGCGGCTTTGGCGGCGGCGACGACGTCGGGAACATTTCTTTTGCGGGTAAGAGTAAAAATACCAAGAAAGCTTCTTCTTCTATTTCGGGAGGAGTCGACGCTCGCTTAGACGCGCTTCTCGCATCTGAGAGAATGTCATCGTCCACGTTCAAAAAGGACGAGGATATTGAAATTCCACGGGCGAATCACCATCCAATGTCGATGGTTGAAAAGCGAGCGTTGGAAAAAGAAGTTCGACGTTTGGTCAACGAAAGAGGTGATTTGATGCGCACGGGGGCGTATTCTTCGAACGACCGAGCGATATCGTTAATAGACGAACGAATCGAGGAGCTCTCGATGCAAATTAGCGCTTAGTAAAGATTAGTCGATAGCAAACGATATACTACGTACGCGTGTACTGCTGGTATTTAAAATTACAGTTTAATTACAATTTTACCGCTCGTTTTGCCGCTTTGAAACGCTTCCAACGCTTTCGGTAACTCCTCCCAAGAGAATTCCATCCCAACTCTTGGAGGCGGCAATTGCAAATTTTCTAACTCTGATAACAAAGATAAGAGCAAGTCACTCTTATCAAACATCCATATCAAGTTAAAGCCGGCTATGGTCTTATTCTCCCCCGGAAGTTCCATCGCGTCAATTTTTGGTCTCGTGAGGAACTTTTTAATCAATACCAACCAGTTCCAAAGATTATACCACTTAACGCCTCCGCGAGGCGTCATATCCGCCGCGCCGTAAACAACGTACACACCTCTACCTTTTGACAAGTTGTTCCACCCACCTTCGAAAAAATCACCTAACGTCGCATCGAGGACGATATCGACTTCAGACCGGTCGTAGCTGCGCTGCGCGGCTTCTCTCACCTGGTCTCCAAAAGTTTTTCTATCTCTCACGATAATCGCGCTCGCCGGTAACGAACCTCCGTGTTTCTTCTCCAAAAACCCTTTCTTACTCTCATCGCCGATAACCGCAATCGCTTTCGCTCCAACCTTGTCGCAAATTTGCAACGCTTGCGATCCGCACCCACCGCTCGCGCTATGAATCAAACACACGTCGCCCTCGCGTATCCTCCCGAGCGCGGATAATCCGTAATACACCGTGAGCGATTGCACGATGAACGCAGCACCTTCCGAGAAACTCCACGCGTCTGGAATCACGCGAACTTGATGTCTGGGAACGTCCACGACCGTGGCGAACGCACCGAATCGAGTCACCCCCATCACTCTCTTTCCGATTAAACTTGTCTCTCCTTCTTTTCCTCCTTTTCCTTCCTCCACGCACACACCTGCGAATTCTAAGCCAGGAATAAACGTCTCGTGTTTCGGCGTCGCGCCGTACAAACCGAGCACGGTAAACACGTCCGCGAAGTTCAACCCGATATGTTTCACTTCCACGCGAACTTTGTCTTCGTCTTCTAACGCAGTTAAAGGGACGTCTTTGCGTAGTTCTAACGCGGATAAACTTCCCGGTTTGGAGACTTCCCAAACCTCTCTTTTCTTCGTCATCGATGATGATGATGATGCCACGACGACTGGGGGTGTTCTTCTTCCTTTTCGCGAGAAAAACGACGACACAGACGGGTAAAAAAGGTTGTTGTAGTTTTGAACGACTTTGATGAACGAGGACATTCCCTCTCTCTGTATCTCTCTCTTTCCGCGTCAACTCGCGGGCGGCTTTTTGTGTCGCGTATCTGTCGATTTCCATTTTGAAAATCCCCCCACAAAGAAAGTTCTGATGACATCATCGTCGTCACCTTCCGCGCTTCGACGAAAGTTGCGTAAAATACTCGATGAGAACGCGTCGAACGAATCCGTTCGAGACGCCGGTTTGCACTCTCTCGCGAACGCACTCGAGGAAAACGAATGTATGCGAATGGAAATTGGAAAGTTACGAGCAGACGCGCGACTGTATAAAAAGAAAGACGCGGAGAACAAAAAGGAGATTGACGCGTTGCAAAAACTCTCGGAACCGAACGAGTGGAGTGAACAAAGGCTGAAGTTATACGAGAAGCAGTTTCGTAAGGTTTTAGAAATGCACGCGGAGACGCGCGACAAACTTAGGAAAACAGAGGCACGAATGCTTCTGCAAAGGTGGAGGTTTCTGAACGCCTTGGCGAAAGCGAGAAGGAACGACGCGAGCGAAGGAGACGTGGTGGAGAAATTAGAAGAGAAAATAGAACAGTTAGAAGGAGAAAACGCGGAGCTACGGATTGATTTCGTGACCGCGGAAAAGGCGCTGAAGAGGTTGCAGTTAGATGTTAAGCACACCATGTTGCTTCGAGCGAAAGAAAAATGGGACGCGGACGATGAAGACGACACGGATATCTCGGAATGAAACGAAGAGAAGCTCAACAACTCTAAAGCACGACGCGAGAGCTGATAACTCACGCGTTTTGTAAATACTACTGGCATGTGCTATGCTATTATGTAATACTAAAGCGCTACACGAAATAGTGAATGAACTACTTCCATATCTCGTTGATGCGCATCCGAAAACTTTCGTACGAATCGAAGCCTTTCTTACCGAACACTTCCATCCAGCGTTCTTCTAATCGCTTCTGCACGGATTCCGGGAGCTTTTTCTTCCCGTCGCCAATCTTACCGCCCGTCTCCCTGACTTTCCCCACGGAAAACTCCGGCGCATCGTCCGGTATTCCCATCTGTTTCTTCACCTTATTCCTCACGAAATGGTCGTCGAATTTCGTCTTGTGTTTTCGCATGTACTCGAACGACCCGCGACGACACATCTCCTTTAAATCCGCTCTCGCGATGAAGTCTTCCCCCATGAGCTTCGCTACTTTTCTAATCACACCCGCTAAATCTTCTTTCATATCCTCAAAGCACACCATCAACACTCTCTCTGGATGTTTCTCAGCAAACTGGAACCAATCCATGTTCCATTCCCAATATTGCCCGCTGTGCGAAGCTCCGGCGAATATGGCGTCGCAAAACGTCTCCGCGCGAATCTCCTCCGGGTCAATCCCGCAATACGCCGGTAAAAACTGATGAAAACTATGAAAAACATCCTCTGGGTTCCTACACACGATCACGTATCTCGCCATCGTCTCATTTCCCTTCCTCTTCGCGATCGCCTCGACGCTTTCGTGCGACTTGAACAGCCTCAACCCATGCTTCGGGTCTGTTTTGCTCTGCCCGGCTCGTAAATCCTGCGCGCCACCAATCGTCCCTATTGACCGGCAATCTTCCGCTAATATATCCCAGGGCACTTTCTCCGTGATTTCGTTAAAGTTCATCGCTTTCGCCTCGTCTAGGAATTCGTTTTCGATGACCAAACGCACGTTGTGTGAGAGAAATTGCATCCACGTCGTCCCGCTCTTCGGGTACGTGGAGACGAACACATCGTTCTCGCGGACGGGGAAATTGCGTCCGTTTTCGACCGATTTTCGCGAGTGCATTCGAGCATTGCGTTCGAGCATTAGTTTTAATGACAACGCTTCTCTGTCGTCCTCGTCTTCGCGCTTGCTCATCATCCTTTCTTATGAGGTGAAATGTCTTCCATTTTATCCACTTTTGGACAATTTCCCCTACTTTTACTCCCCTATAAGAGCGCACATTAAGGGCAAAGAAACGGCGAGACACGCGATAACAACTACAGAGGAGGATGTTCTCGTCGTCTGCAGCGTTTGTTTTACAACCACCATCAGTATGCGCACGAAGACGGCTGAATACGAATACTACTCACGGAAGACGATGCGTTGCAAAGCGTCTCGTAAAAAGGGGATGCGATGCGTCGAAAACGTCGTCGTTTACGTCCTCGTCGACGCGCATCGAGGACGAGGGCAACGACGAGAGCAAAAACAATGTCGCAATTAATGGTGTTGTTTCCTCCTTCGCGATATCGCTCGCGCTTTTAAGTGTTCTTTCAACGCCTTCATCATCTTTTGCGTTCGATTCGAAAACCTCCCAGTCGCTCTCCGATACCGCGAAAGAGTACAAAGTCGAGTTGACATCCTCCGAGAAGGTCTCCGGTTCCGTGAAAATCACATCGAAACTAAACCGAAGTTTACAAGAAACGGTGACGTTTGATTTTTCCTCCGTCGATGGGTTAGCGCCGAACACCAAGCACGGCGTGAACATTCACGACGATAACGGCAAGAGTTGGAATCCAGAGGTAAGATGATGATGATATCAATTAGTAGTACTCGATCGAGGATGATATAACAACGCTTTACGTTGTTGGTTTAAGAATAACGCTGACATCTGTTCTTCTTTTTCTTCTTTTTCATCTTAATCTTCTTCTTTCGCAAAAACAGTTGCGCCCGCACGGCGCTCCGGACTCGGTGAAGAAATTCGGGGCGAGCGCGTGTCATTTCGTCGGCGACGGGTGCGTGTTGAATCGACACTACGGAGATTTAGGGAACATTTCCGTCGATAACGAAGGGAAGATTGCAAACGTGAAGGATATTTACGTCAGTTTGAACGAGAAGAAGGATAACTTTATAGGCGGGAAGGAGTTTGTGATTCGCGAGAATAGGGATGATTTTACGACGGAAAGAGACGACGGAGACGCCGGGAAAATCATCGCGAAAGGTGAAATCGTCGCGGTAAACTAAAATGTAAAATAACACTTCTCACTCACACGGCGTGTGTGTGTGTTTTAATACGTACATAAGCGCAGTGCACTAGTACATCTTCTCGAATATTCGAACGCGTCCTCCTAATCACAACTCGAAGCTTCACAAATTCACTCCCTTTTTACAATGAGGACAAAAGAAGCGGACGACGACGCCTTCTCGACGTCGAAGAAACGCCCGTTGAGAAAACGCGCGAAGGCTGTGCCGTCGTTTGCTGCGTTCTCGTCGTTTTTCTCCTTTCTCCTTCTCGTCGTCGTCTTTGTTCTTCCCTTCTTTTTAGGGGAAAATGTCACCGTTCGCGCGGAGGAAGAAGGAAGCTTTGAGAGGACGTCGACGGCGCAAAAGTCATCGTTTACGTCGTCGTCTGAATCATCATTCACCTTACCACTTTCCGTCGACGTCCTTTTGCTCGGATTAGACGACACGCTCGGGAACGATCCGTATTTACAGGTGGACAAATCTGGTTTGCTTTTGCACTTAAACGAAGCGTTTCAGAAGTTTTCAGTGTTACACAACGATATGAAAGAGAAAAATGTCATCGTCCCGATGAAGAGCAAAGTGCGTTTTACCATCCAATGGACGGTGAAACACGGCTCGGTATCGCTCTACGAGGAAAAGTTAGGGAAATTAAGACGGGATTACGAAGACGCGGTTGGTACGTTAAAATCGAGGCGTACGCACCGTCCTCGATTTATCGTCGACGCGAAAGCGTTGGAACCGGTCGTGGAGCGAGTGATTCGAGGGAACAACGACGAGGAAATCGATTCGGATGGGAAGTTTACGGTCGTCATCTGCTTGCCATCCGCGACGAGGATTATTTATAACTCGAACGGGACCTCCGATATGGACACGAAAGAGTTTTCGTACACGTACGGGTACGATTTGAAAAACGTAGATATGCACGAAGAGTTGAGGGCGCCGAAGAAGAGGCACAGGGAGTACGCGACGTCGAACGCGTGGGTCGGGAGTGGAAAGTACGCCGTGGTCGATTTAAGAGCGGAAGGACCGCCAGTCAAGAAAGGCCAGAAGAAGAGCACGTGGGTGTTTCCGACGAGACATAGCATCGTAGAGCCGTTTAAGGAGTTTTTGAACACGGAGGAAGGTGTTTTTGAGAGCGTACGGAGGAATTTTGACGCGCACGTGTACGGAGAATTAGGGAAGACAATATTTGATGGCGTGAGGAGTTTGCACGCGCCAGATATCGCGTTCGAGACGATGAATTTCGCGAAGCGAGTGTTGGTGCCGATTATTGCGCTGAGAGATCACGCGGCGTTCGATCCTCTCGACCCGGAGTTGCATTACGAACACGCCGATTTTAAGAATAAAGATGTCGTCGATGAAACCGCCAACGAGGCGAGCGTGGATTTACAAGCGATTGAGCGAGAAGTGAGAAAGTTCTTGCTCCCCGGTCAGGAACTCGTTTTGGTGTCTGGGACGCACGAGTTACATTTACATCATCACATTGCCTCTGCCATAGCGCGTGCGAAGAGACACAGCGTCGTGAACAGAGAGGAGCGATTCGTCAAGTTTTCGAAACGCCACGTGTTGGAAGAGCTTCGCGTTTCCAGCGACGTGCTTGGACATGGTTTGAGTGAACACGTCGAAAGAGCATCGTCTTTGTTGTACTCTAGATACGGGCCGAAAGCAGCCGAGCACGCCGCGCACGCGATGCTGTTAGATACGCATTTGAAGGAAGACGTAAACGTCGGGCATTTGCATTCGAAACGCGGCGATGTCGGGGGATCGCAGTTCTTGGCCAACAATCGAACGAATACGGTAAAGCTATTCGGTACCAGAGTGGTTCCAGTGTACCTTTTATCGCTTGCATCGTACGGTAAAGGCGTTACGTTAGATGATGACGACGGTTTAGACGTGAGTGAGAACGGTGATATCAAGGATGACGATGACGACGATTACATACGAAACGACGTCGCTTCCGATGAAAGCTTGGTGGTTGTTTTACAAGACGCCTCGGAGATTGCTTCGCAAGATGCAGCAATGGATGGAAGCGGTAATTCTGCACCATCGCGTAAGGGGATTCCAAATCCAAACCCGACGCGCGATATCATCGCCGGTCTCGCGAAAACGCTCGGTGCGTTGCCGTTACCGTTTGAAGCGAGGAAACACAAAGGCCGAGATTTTGAGCCGTTGCTGTGGGCGGTGGGCTGTCACCCGTTTGGCGGAGACCTTTCAAACACGGAAGATGTTTCCGAGGTCATTGCAAACGCCGGGAGAAGAAATCACATTGTCTCTCGTTTGGACTCTGCCATACACATCGTGGAAGCGGCGACGGAGACGTACAACGCCTTTGCGAGCGAATACGTCAACGAGAGCGATGACTACGAAAAGTATCACGACACGCTGCCGCACTCTTTACCAAAACGCATTGCCAAGGAAATGCGAGAAAATCTGCGAGACATGAATGACGCGTTTGAAGAGTTAGCGAAAACTTTATCTTCGTTTGAAGAGAACGAAGACGCTGTGCACGAACAATCCGATTTCGTCTTGAGCAAAGCTATGGAATTCGCAGAACGGTCGAGATTGACGATTGAGAACGCGAGGATTAAATTAGCGCGGTGCAGATTACGTCGCGAAAAAATGAGCGTTACCAATTCGATATTGATGCTCCCGGTCTTTCTCGAAAACGTGTTTAGTGGTGAACACGTGTTCTTCGCGTTGGCGATTTTGGCGATTGTCATCTTCGCGATTAGCACCGGGAAAAGAAAAGGAAGGAAATATCCTCGTCATCAACAACAAAATTTCGGACACGTGAATCGCGCCGCCATAAACAGAGCACAAGTTACTAGCTTCTAGTCCATCGTAGTACCTTATTTTTATTTAAATAGATATTCTAGCAATTTCGCGACGACGTGTACGGAAATGCCGTTCCCTATGAGTTTATACTGTTGTCGCATTGATAACGACGGAGGGAAAACGAAATCATCTTTAATCCCGTGTAAACGACAAAGCTCAGTAGGAGAGAAATAACGGACAGACTTTGAAACTCTCTTTGCGAAATCTTCATCGCTTTCGTTATCATCATCCTTCACCAATCGATACGCGTTGTTTGCATTCACATCCCTCTTTGCGATATCGCCGTTTTTCAGAATAAAACTCCCGCTAAACACCGTTTTCCCGTACCCGGACGTAAACGTCGACGCCACGTTGTCGGTGTTGTTCTTCGATGACGACGACGATACGTTCACAACATCGAAAAATTTCCAATACTTAATCTTCTTCTCCTCTACGTCTAAACCTACATCTACTTCTTTATCTAAATACTGAGCTATATCTTCTACCGCCGTGGTTACATTTTGCGACTTCATCCAAGGCGGATCATCACCGTCGATATCAAAACTCCTAAACAACTCTTTCCTTCTCGCCAACAAGTAATACCTGGGCCGTTTCACCGGAACGCCTAACATCGTCTCCGGGGACAAACCAACGAACTCTTTCACGTGATATTCATTCTTCTTCAACGCTTCAATAAACCTCTCCCGTTCCGTACCGAGCTCAAATCCGACGACGTTTTCCAACAAGATCCTCTTCGGCAACGCCGTTGTTCGAGTACCAACGCTTTCCTCCTTCTCCTCTCCGGCGTCTTCAAAAATATCGATTATCCTCGCCAACGCCGTCGACCGCGCATCTTTCTCCCCTCGATTCTTCCCTTTCCTCGTGTACGGTTGACACGGTGGCGATAAAGTCAATATCTCGCACCCATCAACCGAAGATGCGAGCAGGCGCTCGACGTCGAAACTCTCGATGTTGCCCTCCAGCACTCGAGTCTCAGAGGAAAGATTCATAAAGTTTGCTTTGTACACCGCGTTCGCGTTGCAATTGTTATCGATGGCGGTAAAATGCACTTCACTTTTATTAAACACGTTCGCGCGTTCCAAAGCTAACCGCATCCCGCCGATGCCAGAGAACAGTTCGACCACCTCGAAGACCCCGCGTTGTTCTTCTTCTCTAACGGTTTCGTCGCCGTTCTTCGTTTCCCCTAAATTCACATTCGCACAGCGCGGTAAAAGCGCTCTGTCGTTACCCCGACGACGACAAATAAGAGTATCGCGAGATAAAACGCTTCTTTTCTCTTGTACGTTTTGCGTCGTTAAGAGAAAACGGGGATAGCATTTCGAGGATGCAGACGCTCTTTCGAGCAGAAGCATGTGGATTGGAAAGCGAGGAAAGACTGATTGCAGAAAAAAAAGACGTTTGAGAGCAAAGCAAAAGGAATAAAAACAAACGGAAAATTCCCCCACTTTGTTTCTTCACTTTTCTCTCTCTTTCTCTCGAAATGAAGTACGACGTGACCGTACCCGTAGGCATTGGCGAGTTCACAACCACCACCAACGTTACGTCGTCGTCTAATGCGCAGAAAAAGAAAGGGAGATTCGATGCGGTTTTGGAACGAGAATCATCCTCAGAGGAAGAAGCGGGGGAAGGGAAAAACTCGTTGTTGATTGGAAACGTGCGCGTCGACGTGCGCGATATAAACGAAGGAAAGAAGAAGAAAAACGAGGTGTATTGGAAGTACGATGATTCAGACGACGATGGTATGGATGATGACGAGGAAGACATTGAGTCGTATTCGTCCACCTCTTCTTCCTCTGATGATGGAGAAGACAACATGGAAGAGGAACAACTCTCGGATTCGGCGGAATACGAGCGGCAGTTGAAAGCAATCGCGGGGATGGCGTTGGATGGAGGGTACGGAGGAGGGTACTTGGTTCCAAGCCCGGGGTCGTCGTTTGGCGAGAGCAGCAGTTCAGGCGAAGAGGATGATTGGACGTCGAAAAAAGGACGACAAAAAGCGTTGGCGAAGAAGCGCAGGGCGAAGCGAGCGGCGCAGGAACAGTTGATGGAAGAGGAGGAGCTCGAAACGTACGTAGAATCGGTGTTGGAAACGTTGATGTATTTAGGCGAAGGAAGTTATATAGGATTACCGGCTGGGATGACGAAAATGAAATTAGAGTGCGTGAGGGATATCGTACATCAAAGAAGCGGCGGATCGTCCGGCGGTTTCGTGTTTGAAACTTTGGGAGGCGGTAAGAGAATCCACGCCGTTATAAGGTTTCAGGGAAACTCGTCCGGGGCGAACAGAAGCGTGTCAACGCATTACGGTAAAGAGATCAAAGATAAAAATAGAAATAGACGAAATAGACAACAAAGAGGGAGTAATGGTACCAGAAAAAACGCGACGCCGGTGTCGTTTATCAAAGCGGGCGAGGCGGCAGACTTGACCAAAGTAGAGTCCGAAGACGACGATGACAACGACGACGATATCGATGACAACGATGGTGAAAGAAAGATGTACGCGAATAGGGGATTACGACGAGCCGCTGAAGCCGAGGCGAAGGCAAAAGCTTTGAGACGGGCGAGAAAGAAAGCGTCAAAAGGCGTTCCGATTGACGCCGGGAGAAACTACGCCGAGTTTGAACAACATTCGAACGCTATTGGAAGTAAATTGATGGAAAAAATGGGCTTTACGCACGGCACTGGACTCGGTGCGAAGAGAGACGGGAAAGCAGAGCCAGTTGAGGCGGTGATGCGAAAGAAACGTGCCGGACTAGGCACTTGAGTAATGCAGTAGTACGAGGTAAGGGTTTTGCTTTTTTGTTTCTCCTCTGTTTCTTTTCTCACTTCGTTCGCGTGCGCAGTGATGTTCAATTTAGCTTAATCTTTTCTGACTATCCAACGTGAAGATACCAATGACAAATTTACTGAGCGCTTGCATTCGTTTCATTCTTTTGATGTTTTCTGTTCTATCCGACTGGCGTAGCATCTGACGACTTCCCTCTTTTATCTCTCCGTTGAATAAAGAATGATAGTACTTGTGTATCAAAAATGTAAACTAAAATGTAATACTACAACAGTATCGCTACAAATCCATCGCTTCAAATGCCTCTTCCTGCGCGGTTTCGTACGACGGGTTTCGCGTCATGTTCTCTTCCTCTCTTTTCACAAAGTCCTCCTCTTTCGTATTCGGGTCGTCGCCGGCGTCGGAAGTGTCGTCGCCCGTATCCTCCGTATCGTCGCCGCTTTCCGCCGGTTTCGCCGCTCGCCCGCATATATACGCAGAATGTTTCTCCAGTTCCTGCATCACTTCCTCTTTCGGACGCGTTATGAGATCGGATATGCGCCAAAATTGGCACGTGGACGCGACATTTGCGCCCGATCCCGAGCTCACTACCGTCCACGGATCGTGAGGGTTCCACTGAAAATCCGTGATAGGGTTCCTGTGCCCCGAGTGCGTGAAGAGAAGTTCATCCGGCGGAGCTTCGCCGAAACGAGACTTCTTCGGTTTGTTCGTATTTCCATCATCACCTTCGCCGCTGTCGTTTTCGGCACCAGCGGTGGCGCCGTCAGTATTAGGTTTGTCGTTGTCGTTTGCCGTCGTGGTTGCTTCTTCGTCGCTACTATTCGTTCCTTTCTTCCGAGATAAGTCCCACACGTTCAAACACCCGTCGTCCGAGGCAGACGCAAAGACATTTTCATCGTGCGGCGACCAACTCGCGCGAAGAATTTCGCCTTCGTGCGAGTGACTCATAATCACCATATCTTTTTCCGACGCGGTTTCTCCTTCTTGTTGTTTTTTGCCGCCTTTCCTCGGCGAGGAAAATTCCCCAATCTTTCTCCAATCCCAAACTTTTACAATCTTATCTTTACCACCAGTCACGATTAAATTCGTATTCAGCGCGTTCCAATCGACCACGTGGACGTCGACTTCGCTCGCTTTCACCGCGTTCACCGGTTTCCCGTGATCGCACCGCGAGTCCCAAAACAATAACCTAGTGTCGTCCGATACCGAACACAAAATGTTCGAATCCGTCGGATGAAACGCCACGTCTTCCACCGTATCCGTGTGCCCTTTGAATGTGTATTGCGCGTTAAGTCGAACACCTTCTACGCCGCTCTCATTCGTCGTCACTTTCCCATTTCTATTACTACTATCCACCGCCGCGTTGGCGCTAAAATCCGGCAAATGCCAAACCAAAACGTTCGTATCTCTCCCGCCACTCGCCACTTTGTACTCCTTCGCGTGACAGTCCAACGCAAACTCGGCAAACTCAGTGTGACCGCTTAAAATCAAATCCGGCGTGCTCGGTTTATAGTTCGGATCGTCGTTCCTCACGCGACACTCTTTAAACGACCTCCCCGGCTGTCTTTTCACGTCCCACACGTACAACTCCTCCGAATCCGTGTGCGTCACCAACACGTCCGGATTCAAACTCCCAAACGAGCGCATGTTATTCACTTCCCCGGGATGTATAATCGCGTGCACTTTCTTAAAGAACCCGAGGTTAATGTTCGACACTCTCGGCCCGCCGCCTCCCGCGTTCTCTCCTCCGTTCGCTATACCGTTCGCACCAGCCGAAGCGAACCCGCCGCCGTCCGTGCCGTCGTCAAACAGCATGTGTTCCGCCGCCGCCACTCTCGGTTTCGTCACGTCCACGTTGTAGCTTAAAATCGTATTCGCGTCCGCGCCTGGGTGCGCTCCGGTTTGTTCCGTGATGTACACTCTCTGCGAAAACTTGTACTGTTTATCTTCCAGGACTGATCCCCATCGAACGGCTAACGACGGCCACGGGACGTTGAAGTTATTGAACCAGTCGTACACGAACGGGACTAACGTTTTCCATCGCTGGTAGGATTCGTCCGTGGGAACGTACATTATTCTCGCTTTTTTGAGAGGGTAAACCTACTACTCTCTCAAAATACTACCACTACTAACGCGTTAAACAATGCGTTCCCTAATAAGAAAGAACTCTAGAATTGGATTTGGAATTGGAAAGCAGAGTGTTTGAATGCATACAGAAAGCGCCCCGGCAAAACTTGAAAAACCCGAAAGCTTTTACTGCAACTGTTGTTTACACAGTTATAAACTTGTGAGTGCTGCTCTCTCTCCAGTTTTTGCTTAGTATGTGCTTAGTATGTGCTTAGTATGTGTGTGTTTTGAAGTGAAGAATTTATTCAGAGGGCTGTTTGGTTGGTTGCTTCATAACTAATCTACTCTTCGTTCTGTTATACCTAACACGACAACACTTTTACACTTACGCACTACTCAGAAGAGAAAGAGAGAAAGAACTAAGAGAGAGAGAAAGAAAGCCACGATGTCTCGTGCTTCTTTGTCTCCTTCTTCCTCGTTTTTGTTCTCGTTTATGTCGTTTACGATGAGAGCAGTTTTGACGACGCTTTCCCCGTTGGGTTTACTCACGTTCAGCATCGTGGCGAGCACAACATCATCGAATATCTTCTTTACCGTTCGAGCGGAAGGCGAGCTGAAAGTCAGAGACGAAGGGCAACTGATCGCGTCGCAACACTTTCCCGTTTTCGGGTTTATTCCTCTGGAGAGTGTCATCCCACCGCTGGAATCAGCAGGAGAGGTGAAAATCACGTTAACCATATCTGGCGGGTCTGGAAAGCAGAAAGTGAGGACGACGCCGAAGAAAGACGGGACGTTTTGTTTACTCGACGTGCCTCCGGGAGATCACGAGCTACAAATAGTCGCGATTGGGTTTTCGTTTCCACCGATCGTCGTCTCCGTGGACGGGGAGAACGACGGGGAAGTTGTCGCGCGATACAGCGAAGACATGTCGACGATATTGCCGAAAGTGAAGATGCCGGAGAAAACGACGATTCAGACGACGAAGAAGAATGATGAGGAGAACGCGAAAATGGTCGACCGCGTCGTCATCGCGCCGGTATCAAAAGTAGACTACTTTGAACCTTCGAATCGAGTGACTTTGCTCGGGTTGTTGAAAAATCCGATGGTTTTGATGGTGTTGATGACGGTGGTTATGGCGGTGGCGGTGCCTTCGTTGATTAGAAACATGGATCCGGAAGCGCTCGAAGAATTAAAGAAGGAGATGGGTAAGGGTAACGTGTTTCAACAGATGGCAGCCGCGAATAAGGCGATGGATGCGAGCGTCGAGAAACAGGTAAATAGCAAATTTGGCGCGAAGGAGGAAAAAAATAGTGGCGAGAATGGCGGTAGTGCAAAGAAATAGTTGTTGTTATTGTTTTACACCAGACTAAAACTATATTTTCTAAACGCGCTACATTTATGCCTATCCTATCCTTGCAATTTATTACTTTGCCGCCGCTTCGTCGTCAAACATGGATTGCATTTGCTTCGTTTTTGCTTTCAATCCTTCTTTGGCGTCATCCGATGCCGTCGGGTGCGTTTCGCGCAACCGCTTCTTCGTGCCCTCTTCTTCTTCTACTACTTCTTTGTCCTCGTCTCCCTCCGTCCGCGCTCGTTTATTCGCCGCTCTTTTCGCCTCATCTTCGCCGTCCGTTTTTGTATCGTCGCTCATTTTCTTCTCCTCGGTGGTAGTCACCTTCCTCTTTGGCAATTTGCTAATCTCCGTCGGCGCCGGAGCGGTGTTGAAGTACGCGTGCTTCAACGCCTCTTGACACGAAATTCGTTTCTCTGGATCGTATTTCAAAAGCTGTTCCAACAAATCAATCGCTTCCAGGTTCGCGCTGCTCGACTTCCCCCCTACTCCGCTCTTCCCGCCAACTTCCACGCCGAAAATCTTCCTCAAATCCATCTTCTCTTTCCTCGGAAAACTCATCCAATCCGGCAGCGCCGCGCACCCTTCCCACTCCTCCTCCGTCGGCGTCCCTAAAACGTGGTAAATCTTCGTCAACTGATCTATATCCGAATTTCCCGCGCAAAACGGTTTCCTTAGCATCAACTCCGCGAATACCATCCCAACCGCCCACGAATCTACCTTCGGCCCGTACCTTTTGGCGCCCAACAAAAGCTCCGGCGCTCGGTACCATCTCGCAAACACCGCGCGAGTATACTCCCTCCCATTCTCCCGTTCTGGACTCCCAAAAGCTCTCGCTAAGCCAAAATCTGCCAACTTCAGCGCCCCGCTCTCGTGCACTAACAAGTTGTTCGGTTTCACGTCTCGATGTAAGATCCAATTTTGGTGACAAAACGCAATCGCCTCCAAACTCATCCTCAAATACGACTTCACGTCCGCGATGGACAAATCGATGCTCGAATCTTTAATAATCATCTCCAAATCCCCACCCGAGGCGAATTCAAACACCAAGTGTAAGTTCCTCTTCTTGCTAAACACGTCCACCAAAGGAACGACGTGTGGGTGGTGCAGCTCTCTGAGAAGTTTAATCTCCCGAATGGCGGTGAAGTTGATGCCTTCTTTCGCTTTCCCGAGACGAATTTTCTTAATCGCCACGAACTGCTGAGAATACGATTCATCGTTAGCATCATTCGTCATCGAGGCTTTGTAAACGATCCCGAACGTGCCTTCCCCGAGCGTTTCTAGCTTCGTGTATCGGTTTTTTGTCGTCGTCATCTCTCTCTTTAAACTCGCACGAGTTTGGGTGCTTTTTTTTCTCGCGAGACAGTCGAAATGGAGAAAATTTTGAAACATTTTCGACACAAAAAGAACCAAAGATGTCTCCTCCTCCTCCTCCTTCGGATTCGTCTGTATTAAACGCGGAGGCGAAACTGTTCGTTCCTGGCGTCGGGATGGTCACGCCGCCTCCGAAAGAGAAGAAGAAGAAAGTTGGTAAAGTCGAGGAAAAGGGAGGAGAAGAAATTTCCCCGTTGAATTGGGAGTTGAACGCGCGAAACGAGCGACTTCAATCGCCGTTTACGACGCCGCCGGTTTCGACGATTTCGACGAGCGCTGGTGGCGAAAAAGAAGCGACGAGGGGAGGAGGCATGACAACAAAAGCGATCGCGTTTACGCCGGCGACGGTGAAAGAACGAAAGGACGATCCGTTCGATAAGGAGATTTACTTGCAAAAAGCGGTGACTTTAGTCAAAGAGGAGTTTACTAAAGCTGCTGCTTCCTTGTTGCACGAAAAGGAGGAAACGACGACGACTCGGACGACGGAAATGGCACTCCACGTGGAAGTGGTTCCGGCGGCGTCCTCGGAGGACGAAGAACCGACCCCGAGGGAAAGCAAAATGCTTTCGAAACCGCTTTTATTTAACGAACGACAACACAACGGCGACGACGACGAATGCGGAGGAACTACGAGTGGCGGTGTTCTCGTGGTGAAGGAATACGGGACGCATCAACCGCAAAATGTGGAGACTTTGTTTCCGGAGGAGTCGCGCGTTCCGCTTTTAGCGGTTTCGGCGGAGAAGAAAAGAGAAGAGCAATACGGCGCGAACGAGGAGGACATTCCGGACGAGTTGTTATGGACGAAAGAAACGTTAGCGCCGCTGTTAGGGGGTGGTTTGAATAGCATTAAGACAGTAAATACACGAACAGGAGAAGACGATAAGGAGGAGGAGTTAGCTACGAGCGTAAAATTGACGTTTACCAACTACGGCGCCGACGACGAGAACGTAGTCGCCGATTGGGGCGACGCGAAAGTGCCTCTGTTGTCCGCATCGGCTGGGAATACGCCGAGGTATCTAGACGGGGGTGGAGGGCTGTTGTCTCGGCAAGGCCCGTTTTCGTATGGGACCGCCGCGACTGATGAAGTCGAAGAACGCGTCGCGACTTCTTCCTCGTCGGGAGGCTACTCGTCGGGGTCGGAGTCGGAGTCTTCATCGGGCGATGATGATGAGGAGGAAGAAGATGATGACGGCAAAGAGAATCGACAGCATTCGGCAAAGTTATTGTTGGAGCAGTTCCTCATGAGCGAAAAAAAACAAAAGAAACATCCTATTGGTATGGGTTATAAGCAGAACAAAACAAATGACATATCATCAACGAGAGCGAGAGAAACGACGGCGCATTCCATTCAGTTCAAACCGCTTCTCAAAACGCCTCCGCGACTGAAGAAAGTCGCTCATCATCTACACGAACAACCGCCGCAACAAAGATCACAAACGACGCAGACTGAAAGAGAATCGAGAAGACGAAGCACTTCATCACCATACACACTGCTCACGACACACACCGCCGAACTACGAAGAAATGCCTTGCGAGATGATCTGTGTTGCGTATTCCACGCCGTTCTCGTCTCGCGACCGGAGATTTTAGAGAAGCATTTGGCGCTTTCCTCGGCATCACCGTCGTCTTCTTTGCGAAATCGGGTCGCGTCTCTCGAACCGAGGAGATCAACCAGACGTCGTCTCGACCGATTTGAAGCGAACGTGGAAAGTTTTATGGTGTTCGCGTTGGGCGAAGAGGATGATAAAGGGCACCAGCAGCTTGTATCGTTTGACGCGTTCGCTCGCGCGATGCGAGTCGCGGCGACAGCGGCGGCGAGAATGACCACGCTTGAAGGCGTTCGCGATGCGGTGAACATTTTGAGTGACTTTGAGTCGTTGTTCACTCAAGATTGCGTGTACTCTTCCACAGTTCGCGAATGTTTAACTTCTGCCACAAATACGGATCAGATGTATCGCCACAGATGTTCGCGACGACTCCGAGCGTACAAATCCATCGTCTCCATCTTGAACAAAATCAAACGGTACGACCAGATGCGCGCTCAAGAATCCAACATCACCGTCGACCGCGTCTGTTTACTCTTGGCCGCCATAGACAGCACGGACACCGAATCCGAATCGCAAGAAGAATATTCTACGACAACGACGTCGCGGGACGGGGAAAATGACGCCGACGCTCGATACGTCTATCACCTCGTCTCTTCCGCGAAGCGCAAACTTTCAGCCGAAGTCGAGAGCGGCAATACTTACCAACGCGTCCAAGAGAATAACGGATACAACAAAATTAGTAGCAGTATACACAATAGCAATAGTAGCATACAAAGCATGTCTCTCTCTGAAGTCATCGCGCGACGAAGACAGATGGTCGACGCGTGGTTCGAGACGCAACGGTTTTAATTAATACTTAAAGTGCAGAGAGTTCTAAGAATATCTCGAAGTGAAACGTCATTCAATTTCACCCGCGCGAGCATAAATTCAATCACACTTCAATCATCAATGTCGCGCGCGATTTCCACCACATCGTTTGCGTCTAAACCAACATCATTGAGGCGAACCATGTCGTCGTCGTCGTCATCTCGACGCGCAGCGCGCGGTAAACATCAAATCAAAGCTGGTATTTTCGAAGACGTGTTGGATTCGTTGTTACCGAAACCAATGTCCGATGCGCGGAAACAGATGGAATATTTCGACGGCCCTGGGGGAATGCTGGCGAAAATCAACCCGCTCGCGAAGAAACCGACAATGAAAGCTCCGGAAGTGATGAGCACATCCTCCGCGCAAGTTTTGTTTGATTTTGCGAGCATGAGTCAACAGACTTTTGAAAGTGAGTTCGGTGCTTTGAATGACAACGTCATGGGAGGGCGTTCGGATGCGACGGCCATTCTCGAGAATGGAAAATTTGCGGTGTTGAAAGGGATGACGGAAGACCAGTTTGGTGGTTTTGCGTCTATGAAGAGCAGAGATTTCGATAAGGCGATTAATCTGAAAGAATTTGACGGCATTTCGGTGAGATGCAAAGGCGACGGGCAGCGATACAAGTTGATTTTATACGACACGGACGACTCGTTCAACGTGGCGTTTCATCAGACGTTTGAGTGTCCAAAAGGTGGCGGCAAGTTTGAAGACGTGAAGTTGTACTTTAAAGACTTCAAGCCAGTGCAGAGGGGGAGGTTAGTGAAGGAGAACGAGAGCGAGTATCGTTTGTGCGACGGGTCGAAAGTCATGGCGGTGCAGTTGATGTTGAGCAAGTTTTCGTACGGCATGGACGATAAAAACACTAATTACAAACCAGGGACGTTTGATATTGAAGTCGAACGCATGGAAGCGTTTAAGGATTAAAAAACGTGTTGTGGTGTGTGCGTGTCTTTGTATATCTGTAAACTCTAATTCAACTTAGCGCTGCTTTATTTTGCTACATCAGAAAATTAGAATCTGTATCTCCGTGTCTCTGTATCTCTACTTCTTCAAACGCGCCTGTTTTCTATCTATAGGCGCTACCACTTGCTTTGCTTTCTTTGTTTTCTTCGAGCTCCCGTCGGCTCTTTGAACCACCGGTTTTAAATTTGACTTTCGTTTTAAGAACCGGTTCTTTCCTTGCGACGGCAGCGTCTTTGCACACTTTCGCGGTGAGGAAGAAGGAATATGAGCACCTAACCTTTCGCGTTCTCCCCTATGCATCCTATGCACCAACTCGTGATCCTTCCGATTCTCTTCTTGTACCGATAGACAACACTCAGGGCACGTGTACGTATCCTTATTATTCAAATCAAAGTAAACGCCCTGATTCGCGTGAGGAAGATCGCTAGCATTCGCCGCTTTCGGGACGTTGAGCCTTTGATCTTCCGTGATATTTTCAAGCTCCTCGCCTATAAAGCAGGACACTCTCACGCCAAGTCTTCGAACGTCCAAGGGTTTTGTATCCCCATCAAACTCGTGGTATAACTTGTCGAACAAATCTTTGACTGTAGGAATCCAATCTTTGTAGCTTTGCGACGCGCGCGGCAACCTTCTTTGCCTCGTCACTTGCTGGAAGTTGTGTTGGAACTTCGCGGTAATCATGATCTGTCGAGGTATGAAATTCAGGCGTTTCACCTCTTTGGAGACACCTTGTGCAAAACTTTCGAGAATTTTGAACAAGTATTCGTATTTGCTAATCCCTGGGTACCACGAGCGGTTCATGGAAACACCTCGTCTTCCAGGCGCACCATCTTGTATCGGCGGTGGTACGGTTTCCATCCCGACGCCCATGGCGACTGAGAATAAAAACGTATACGCCGTCGCGTGACACACTTTCGCGAGTTTGGCTTTGTGTGTGATGATATCTCCGCACGTTTTCACATCAAACGCGTTTAAATAGCGCTCCATGGAAGCTCCAATCCCTCCAATCTTCCTAATCGAAAGGGTGTTCAAGAACTTTAAAATGTCTTCGCTGGTAAACGTCAAGATTTTCTGGCCGTTTGGTTTGTTCACGTCTGAACAAATTTTCGCCAAGCGCATGGACGGGCCACCACCGCCGGATACCGTCAGCTTTGCCTTTTCAAAAACTTCTTCTCGTATTTTCTTCATCGTTTTCTCCATTTCGTCGGACTTTTCTTCCGGGGTCATCTCTCGTTCGTCAAACTTGAAATACTCGGTCATGTTCAAATACACCTCGTCGCTCGACGGCGCGAGGAAGTCTGGATCGTATTTCCTGTACACTTCATGACCAAGTTTGGCGATTTCCGCGTACCGATCAAAATCAACGTCCGTCACTAACAGTTCCTCAAACTCAAACGCTTTATCGTAACGTTTATCACCCAACTCTTCGCGTCTCGCCGTTTCCCACGCTTTCCTCTCTTCGTCGTCGTCTGGAAATCGTTCCCTTAAACCTTCCAGGTACGCCTGCTTCGCCGCTTTCCTCGTCTGTTTATTCACGTGATGTTTATACAACTTCATCGCCGTGTGTGTTGGCATGCCACTTCGAATCCCAAATTGCCTCGCCACGTACGACGCCGTCGTGCACACCGGTGCGCCGACAACAAATGGCATGTCCCTCAACACCGGGTTATCCACAATCGCCGCTTGCGCGTAAAACATGTCGTAATCGAAATGGAACCACACGTGCGTCAAGTCCCTTTTCTGTTCCATCAACCTCAAAGTTTCCTCGCACGATTCTTCCAGCTCTTCAATCTCTTTCGCGCTCGTTCGCTTCCATCTCTCCAGGTTCGGAACGATCTGTTTCGTTTTTTGCTTTTCAATTTTCGAGCGTTCGGCGACGCCGGCGGGTGTTTTTTCCGTCAACTTTGCGATGACTTCTTGAACAACCTCGGTGCACGCGACGCCACTTTTTGCGCCGGTAAAGGCCCCTCCAGTCCGACCATCGCGAGGTTCTTGGTTTTCTTGTTTTTGTTCTTCTCGTTCTCGCTCGTCTGGAGGAGCGGTAGTAAAAGGTTCTTCTTCTTCTTCTTCTGGGTCTTCTTCTTCTTCTGGGTGCTCACATTCAAATTTTCGCATCAATCGTCGAATCTCTCGCTCTCGATTCGTCCCGTCGACGAGATGCATCTCGTAATTCTCCGCCAGCTTGAACTCCCCGTGTTCCCCGACAATCATCTCTTCGTCGTCGTCTGAATCGTCTTCGTCTTCTTCGTGTAATCCTTCTCTCTCCTCTCGACGATGACGATGATCTTCGCTCCTCCAAGTCTCCTCCTCCTCCATTCGCGCTCTCGTTTTCTTCCTTCTCTTCATCACCGCTGCTGCTGATGATGATGATTCGTTCGTGTGAGTATTCCAACAATCGGATCCGTTCCCGAATTTGTGCATCATCGAATGTCCTCCTCCTACTCCTCCGTCTCCGTCTCGTTCGATGTCAGAAGCCTGGCGCAGCCAATCCGGCGACGGCGACGGCATCTTTTTCCTTCTTAATTTTGTATCTGTCTTTCTTTGTGCGTTTTTTTAATGAACAGACTGACGAACATTTTCGCCACTTTTTACTAAAAAATGGGAGCAGAAGCAGCGTCAGTATCGCGGAGAAGAAGAAGAGAAGAAGAAGAAGAAGAAGAAGAGAGAGGAGAAACAGACGAGGATTTAGAGGAAGATGGTAACGGAAGTCTTCTCTCGGAAGGAGTCGTCGTCGGTGCAGATCCGCCAAAGGTGGGATCCTCGCACGAGGTGAAACTCGTTTCTCTGAATTCTGCGATGAAAAACAATCACAACGACGGAATGGTAACGGTGTTGGAGAAGGAGGAAGAGGACGATGGGAAGAAGACGAAGAAGACAAAGTCGGTGAAGATGATGATGATGGCGCTGAGATACACGCACGAGCGAGCGCCAGCCGCGGACGCGAGGAAGCCCGTTCGAATGGTGAGGAGGAAAAATAATACTACTACTAACAACAACGAGCGCGGCGTGGTTGAAATCGAGTTTAGGAACAAAGATGAAGAGAAGAGCGGGATTCGGTATCGAGGGGTGACGAGTACGAGCGGTGGTGGTGGTGGTGGTGGTGGTCGCGCGACTACGAAGACGAAGAAGAAAAAGAAGAAGAGCGATGGAAAAGAAGAGGAAGAAAAGGAAACCGCCGACGATGCGGATGAAGACGAAGATGAAGACGACGAAGACGTCGAAGACGATGATAACGTGGAATGTGCAATCTTATTTGATGGAAAAACCATCGAGTTTCGCGTGCTGGACGAAACCGTCGCCGGTTTAAGAGTGCAGCGGAAACGAGAGGACGAAGAGGAGAGCGGGATTGTCTCGAAACGATTGGATATTGGAAACGCCGCGGACGTGAAGAATAAGAGGAAGAAAGTGAATTTGTGATGATGATTTCGCGTAGTATTTTAGAAGATGTATAGAAGTTTATAGGGGCATTATGAAGTAGTATTTAGCGGGTATTTGAAAGAAGAAGAGAGTAAAACGTCGTGCGCTTGCTCGCGTTTTGTAACAACAGCAAATACGAATATTGCATTTACTCTCTCTACTATTAATAACGATAATAATAATAATAATAATAATAATACAACGATACCTAAAACTACTGCTCTACTGCAATTCTCTCTCTCTTTTCATCGTCACGAATTCGTCGGTGGTGCCATCCCCGCCGCCGCCTCCGCGTCTCTCTGATTATGCGGCTTCGGTCCGTTCGCGATTTGTTTCTTCAATTTCTTAAACCTTTTCGTCTTGGTGTGATTCTTCAACGCCAACGCGCTTTCGAAGTGCCTCCCGGTCACTTTGCAATAAAACTTCCCCATCCCCGGCACGTCCTCGTTTAACTCGGTTCGGTTCACCGTCCCAGGTTTCTCCGGTTCGTGATACTCGTCGTATAAAACGTCCACGTGCGTGGATAAAAACGTCGCTCGGAGTTTCTGTTTGTGCAGGTACTTGTGGCCGTGATTGCCTTTGTGCTTGTGTTGTTTCGTTTTGCTTTTCGGCATTATTCTTATTCTTAATAGTACAACACACACACTCTCTCTCTCTCTCTCTCTCTCTCTCTCTCTCTCTAGTACCAGTAGTCGTGTGTTTATTATTACGTGCGTGAAACAGTTCTTCTTCTCTTCTTCTTCTCTTTGTGCTGTTAAGGTGTTCTTCCCCCAACAACAACAAGGGGCTGCTCTTTTGCTGTTTTTTTGTTTCGACCAATTAAGTTTGAAAAAATTCAAACGTTTCTCTCTCTCTTTTCGCTCGTCAAACATCATCAGAATAAAGAGAGTATATACTTTCAAGCGCGCGCGTGAGAGAGACGCGCAAATACTATACACACACACACACACACACACGTGCCCGTATATATTGATTTCACGAATCCCCACGCGTTAGAGGAGGAGACGGAGGAGAGTAAAGAGAGAGAGAGCGAATACTAAAAGTAATACATAAAAATAAAAGATGAGTTCCGGAGTGATTCCAAACGACGACTGCAAACCGGCGTTCGATAAAGTCCGTCTCGGGAAAGTGAAATACGTGACGTATAAAATCGACGACAAAGCGGAGAAGACGGAAGTGTGCGCGATTGGAGAGACCAAGGTATGATGTTATTATTCGATATGGTTTTGTTTTTGTAGCAGCTGCGCGCCGATCATCGTTATTCTTCTTCGTACTCGCGAGCCGCGATCTCTCTTTCAGCAATCTGACACCAAACGTCTCTCTTATTTATTCTTTTCACAACTTTTGTTTACGAACGCGTACAGGCGGAGTTCAAATTTGAAAAATTCCTCTCGTTACTCCCGGAAACGGAGTCTCGATACGCGGTTCTCGATTGGGACGTGACCACGGACGACGGCAGGCAGTTTAGTAAGTTATTTTTTATCAGTTGGGTTCCGGACTCGTGTAAAGCGAAGGAGAAGATGTTGTACGCTTCGTCGAAGCAGAGTTTACGAAACGCCTTGAGCGGGGTGCACTTGGATCATCAAGCGGCGGATATGGACGACGTGACGGAAGAGATTTTCACCTTGAAAGCGCTTGGGAAGTAGGCAGAGAAAGAGAGAGAGAGAGAGAGAGCACCTATATAGCACAACACATATATAAAAAGATGGCGAACGAGACTATGAGAGTATTCATATTTGCGCAGACGAGAGAGAAAGAGAGCGCGCGAGAGAGAGAGACCTTACCCATATACATACAACAAAACCCGATATTTTTAATAAGTAATAGTACGTAGAACAGTAAAAGTGAAGAGAGAAAGAGAGAGAGAGACGCTGCGCAAACATTGGTCGTTGGAATACGTTCACATTCTTACGCCTTGAATTCAAGCGATGCTTCACAACTTCGTCAACAAAGCGCAAACCATCATGATTTAAAACGCAGAGTATATATCGAAAAAGAAATCGAACAAAATGACATCCTCCTCTCACACTGACTCTTCCTCTCCGTTAAACCCGCGTCGTCGCGCTCTCTATCACTCTCACGTCCTCCGACGTCTCCCGAAATTCGCCTCCGCGTTTGCGTACGGCGCGAGCATTTTAACGCCAAACATCCCATCGCAAATGCTCGACTACATCATCGTCGTCGACGACGCTCGCGAATGGCACGAAGTAAACATGCGTTTGAATCCCTCGCACTATTCGAGAGTTTTACGTCTCTTCGGAGCGAGTGCTGTCGATGCGGTGTCGAACACTATCGGCGTTGGGGTACATTTCAACGCGTACGTGGACATTGAAACTCCGAATTTGGAGGCGTTCAAGCAGACGAGATATAAATACGGCGTCGTCGAGCGGAGGACGATTGAAAGGGACGTGGAAGGATGGGATAATTTGTTTTTAGCTGGTAGGATGCAAAAACCGTACGAGCGGGTGATGGGTGTAAGAGAAGAAGAAGAAGATGATGATGATAATGATGATGATAACGGTCTCGCGTTAGATGCGTTGAACGGTAAGAAGAACAAGAGAGCGGCGTTGGCATACGCTTTGTTAGTTTCGAGAGGAAGTGGGAAAAGTAAAGGGACGACGACGGTCGAAGAACGGGATTTGTACGAAACTATTGCGAATTTGAGTTACGATGGTGATATAAGACATGTTTTTGGTGCGGAAGATGCGCAGAAAGCGAGGAGGATTGTGGACGGGTCGTTCGAGAAGATGCGAGAGTGGTACGAAGAGAGTTTTCGAGATTTTCGAGACTCGTTGGACGTGATTGATTACGACGTGGATTTGGATTCGAACTCGTTGTCGTCGTCGTCGTCGTCATCGTCACCATCACAGAAACCACGAGTACTCACTCACGATCATTCTCCGCAAGCGACGAGAAAGCTCCTCGCGATGCTCCCTCCGCCTTTTTTGGAAACCATGGTCGCCGGTGACTTGAGAAAGTTGGATATGGTTTCCCGAGAGGCAAACGCGGAGACCATCGCGCGTTCTATCCGAGAAACTTCACGAGATATCGTTCGTAAAAGTTCGCTCAGACAATCCATCTCTGCGGCACTGACGACAGATGTAGTCAAAGTAGTAACGTACGCGTACCAAAAGTTTAGCAAATACAGAATAGAGTAGTTTAGAAAAAAGTAGTAGTTTTAGATAGATAAGTGTGAATTTGATGTGTGTACTGTATGTATAAGCGTGTGGTAATTATATATAATTTAAACCATTTCTAATTCTCTCCTCTCTCTCCTGCTCTCGCCCTCTCTCTGCTCTGTCTCCGTTTCTCTCTCTCTCTCTACTCTCTCTCTCTTCCTCTCTTACTCTCTTTCTCCAAATTGTGTCGTTTTGTTCGCGTTTATTTTTCTATTTCCTGCTAAAATTTTTCTTCTCAATTTAAAAATTTTACTGGACAAACACGTTGGAGAGTTGTCTGACTTGCCCTTTGACGGACATGTCGATGAAACCAGAACCGTCCTTACCGTATTGCACGACGAAACCACCCAACAAAGACTCATCAACTTCCGGCTTTAACTTGATGTTCTTCGCCCCGGTCATTTCTTGCAACTTCTTCGCAATCATGAATTGCTGCTCGTTTTCGAGCTTCACCGCGCTCGTCACCGTCGCAACTTGCGTGTCCGTAGCCTCGCAAAACAACGTCTCAAATTCCTCGATGATCGCGGACAATTGGTTCATGCGCTTCTTGTCGACCAACAATTGCATAAAGTTGGTCGTGAACGCGTGGAACGACGCTTCCCCGGCTAATTTTTGCAAGATTTCTTTCTTCTTCTCTTCGCCTACAACCGGGTTGGCCAAAAACGCGGCGGTCCCTTCGTTGGCAGCCAAATAACCCGCGACGGTTTCCAAGTCGTCGTGCACGGCTTCCAAGGCGCCGGCGGATTTGCAGGCGTCAACCAAAGCGGCAGCGTACCCACCAGCGACCGGAGAGGAGGCCTAGAATAGAATAATTTCGTAAGTACGAGTTCATCGGAGGAATACGAATACGCGCGCGAGCAAATTATTATCTTCTTCCGCTTAAAAAAAAAGAGATATCCTAATCCAGAGGAGAGTAATCGAGAGGAAAAGATCTTTCCAGCCGCGAAAAATGATTGTCCGAAACGCGCTGAGAAGAGAACACAGACGACGTCTTTCGCCCGAGAAAACGATTACATCGGATGCAGAAAAGTGCAAAGAAACTTTTGCACGACGATTGAAGTCTCACGAAGACTCGCAAACCGTCGTCTTCGTCCATCGTTCTCCCAATCAAGATGCATTTCAGTCCCTCCCTTGCACGCTTTCTTCTCCCTCTGTGTGTCCCTCTGAACGGCCCAGACACAACAAGAAAAACAAAAAAAAAACTAATCGCCGATTTTTAAGCGTACCTTAGCTTGCGCTTGCGTGTTCACGATGCGTCTCGGCGCGACGTTTTTTCGTCGCAAAGAACTCGTGGAACCGGCGGTAGATCTCGCGAAGGAGATGGATTGCATAGAAGCGGCCATATTTAGTTAGAATATGTGTGTTTTGTTAAGAGTGTTTTTATGATGATGATTTGGATTTTTCCGCGTTTATCCCTTTTCTTCTCTAGAAAAGAGATTTTTCACCTGACCTCGAGGATGAGCATTTCTAGGGTGTCAAAATTTAAAAAACGTAGCAGAAAAACAACGATTTCCACCTCATCACGTCCAAAACAAGCGCTGTTGTTGGTGTCGTTGTTGTTGGTATTGTTTGCGGTGGTGAGAGACAGAGAGTAGCGATAGTTTATTCATTAGCAGCGGGAGGAGCGACTGCGACAGCAGCGACGACGTTAACGATTCAGACGGCGACGACGGTTTCTTTTACTTCTTCTTCTTCTTCAATCCGTTGTTGTTTCGGTTTTAGGAGTAGTTATACTGAGAAGAAGAGGAAGAATACTAATTCGGGAAGGACGAACGCGAGGGCGGCGAGAGAAACCACCAAGAATCAGAAACAAACCAACGAGGAGGATAACAACATGGCGGCTGCCGCGAAATCACTCTCTCGCGGCGCCTTCATCCTCTTCGAAGGCGTGGATCGGTGCGGGAAAACCACCCAAGCGAGTAAACTCGTGGAAAGCTTGAACCAATCGGGAGTGGCGAGCGAGTTGTGGAGATACCCGGACCGAACGACGACGATTGGAAAAATGATCGACGATTACTTGCAGTGTAAAGCAGATAGCGACGACGCGTCCATGCACTTGTTATTCGCGGCCAACAGGTGGGAGAAGAAAAAAATGATGGAGGAAAAGTTGCGAGCGGGCGTGACGCTCGTCGTGGACCGGTACGGGTACTCCGGCGTCGCGTTTACTTCGGCGAAGAAATTACCAGGTTTAGACCAACAGTGGTGCAAACACAGCGAAACTGGCTTGGTGAAACCAGATTGTTTGATGTACATGGAAATCAGCGAAGATGCGGCGAAAAAGCGAGGTGGATTCGGCGAGGAAAGATACGAAACGACCGAGATGCAAAAAAACGTTCGAGAAGTTTTCGCGGATTTGCGAGAGGATTGGTGGAACGTCGTCGACGCGGACAGGACGATTGAAGAGGTCCAGAAAGACGTGCAAACAATTGCCAAAGATGCCGTGGAGAGGTGTAAACGAGGGAAAGAGTTGGAACATTTCGAGCCTGGATGGTAAAGAGAGAGAGTTTATGCGTTTTTTTAGTTTTGATCGTATTTATACATTTTCCATAGCACACTCTGCCCCCACACTTCGTAACAAGCAAAACATGGCACAGAACCCGCCTCCGACAAAGCATCATCGAAGAGTCGTCGATTACTGCTCCGACGAGGAGGAGGAGGACGAGGAGTTTGTGATCGAAGAAGAACTGAACAAGCTCTCCGCGCTCATCGAAACGTCTCTCGCGAACGCGTTCGGTTTCGCGTGTTGCGACGAATTGGCCGTCGACGAGAATTTGGAAACGAAACGGTTAAGCGCACACTTGAGGTTGATTTTAACACCACTCTCATCGTCGAAGAAAGAAGAGATGAAAAATGCCTGCGAAGAGTGCTTGACGACGCTGTGGCGTGTTTTGAGGGACGAAAGCTGTGGGTGGGATAAACCGACGTATCGAGAGTGCTTCGTTCTGAGTTCGTTACGGCTTTCACTGTGTACACTACTCGAGGGAAACTTACAGGAAGCGATGGAGTGTTTAGATACGGCGTTAATATTAGGTTGCCCTGGAGAAATGGCAAGACCGTTCGTAAGGTTGTTGGAGAAGTTACTGCGTCGATCGGCGGGCGGCGGAAATAGAGCGAGTAGTAATAGTTTAGTAAAGAAGCAAAAGGTGGCGGCGCGAGAGAAAGCTTTGGTGGTTGACAATGTTCTGCCCTCTTCTTCGTCACTAGTCCCGAAAATTCTCCACCCGTTGGAAAGAATGAACGATAACGCGACGTGGGAAGAATTTAAGGTGATGTATTTTAATAAGGATATGCCAGTGCAATTGCCGTCGGATAAAAGCATGCCGTGCGTCGAGAAATGGCGAGACTTGGCGTACTTCAAGGAAAGATTCGGGAAGCGGCTAATACCGTTGGAAGTTGGGAAATACGACGACGTGGAAAATTGGAAAGAAGAAATTGTGCCCTTGGAGGTGTTCATTGACGAACACTTGGCGCCGGACATTTTGAAGAAAGGAGACAAGAATAGTTTCGTTTCGTATTTAGCGCAACACCAACTTTTTGAACAAATACCGCAGCTGGCGATGGACTTTGAGATTCCGACATGGTGTAACGCGGGACAATTTGAGCGATGTAACATCTGGCTCGGCACATCGAATACTATCACTCCTTGCCATTTTGACTCCTACGACAATATTTTCGGCCAAGTTTTCGGGTACAAGTTTGTTCGATTATACTTGGAGAGCGATTCGCAGTTCATGTATAAATCCGGCGGCGATTGGGAAACGACTCGGTCTTGGAACGTGAAAGATAACGACGATAGAGACGCCGACGACAATAGCGAGAAAAAGGAGACCAAAAAGAAGTTCCGCAACGCGCAAGGCAATATCTCGCGCGTGGACGTGGAAGCTCCGGATTTAGAAAAATTCCCCGAGTTCGCTAAAGCTACGCCTATGGATGTCATATTAGGCCCGGGAGATTTCATATACATCCCGTCTCGAACGTGGCATTACGTCAGAAGTCTCACCGTTTCGTGTAGCTTGAACTTTTTGTTCTGAGCAATATTATAGATGGATAGATAGAGATAATATGTAGAGGAGAGCCTTCCGACTTTTGTAACTTGCAACGAAAACCTCAAAGCACAGAAGATACACAACTTAAAATAGCGTTATAACGAACTTTATCCAAAGAAATTGACAATCACAACACAAACACGCACAAACACACGCACGCGCATCCGCACACGAAGACAATCGATCAACCACTGCTCGCAACAAAACTATGTTCACCGCGCAACAACTCCAAGCCGCGCCGTATTCCCAGGACATCCAAAAATGGTTTCTCATGTGGTCCGCATCTTTCTTGTTTCTGAGAAATGTGCTTTTCCGTTCCAAAACCGCCGACTTTAGCAACCGCTTCGTGAGCATCGTCCACGCGTTGATCGCGATTTACTTGAGCTACGAGTCCTTTGAATCCATCGATTCGAGTATGTTTGATAAGGTTGGGACGAAAAATACCCCCGCGCAGACGTATTGCATGGCGGTGTCGTTGTCGTATTTCATATACGACTGTTTGTATTGCATCGTGACGTTCGAGTTCGACGCGGTCGTGCACCATATTTTTACCATCGGCGGGTTAACCAGCGGCGTGGTGAACCAGAAGTCCGGGGTGGAGTTGGTTGGTTGTTTGTTCTTAATGGAAGTATCCAACCCGAGCTTACACTTGCGGTCGTTACTTCGCGAGATGCGAATGAAAGACTCCATGTTTTCCACGTTGAACGACTTGCTCTTCGCCGGTCTGTTTCTCGTCTGTCGATTGGTTCTAGGCCCGCCGTTGGTGTATAAAACGTTGACGTGTAAAAACAGCGATTTGCTGGTAAAAATCGGTGCGTTTGGAATTTTAGCGGTGAGCGTGTTGTGGGGTTGGAAGATCATAAAGATGTTCATCAGCAAGGCGAAGAAGTTGTTAGGGATAGAGACGAGGAAGAGGAAGAGAGCGTAAAATAAAGTTCTCTCTCGAAGAGTCTTTTCTCCTCGAGGAGGGAGAATACGCGCGCGAAACGTTCGTTCACTCGAGAAAACAACAACACCAAGGAGAAAGAAAGGAGAGGACTTTGTGCTCCGCTCTCCTCAACGAGAGGCCAGATGCCGACCGTCTTATTTATTCAAGCGTATTTAACAACATTTAAGTATTTTTCACCCAAGCTAAAAATAAATGCACACACATCCAACACATGCGTTGACCACCCGCGTCGTCGTCCCGCAAAATGTCCACATCGCACGTTTCCTCCTGGTCGCGACTCCTGCACGACGAAAGAGACCCCGAGAACGTTTCAAAAGAACAGAGAAACGCGCCGGCATCGATGAGCTCGAGCGACGACGACGATTCAGACGACCAACCTCGACTGGCTTCCCCGGAGACCTTTTTTGCCATTTCGCAGCAAAGTCGTCCGTCGACGTCGAGCCGAGCGTTGAAAACCTTCGGACAAGCAAACAACAACAACCACCTAAAAGATCAGGCGCCGAGGAGTACCGACGACGAGAGCGTCGTCGTCCCCGAAAAACCTTTAGTATTATTAGGTCGTCTTAAAACGCGAACCACCGGGAAGAAGAAGAAGAAAAAGACAAAAGTGCTCAAAAACGAAAAGTGCTCAGAAGAAGAAGAAGAGGAAAATTTCAAGCTCCGCGCGATTGTGATTCGATCACCGGAACCACACGTAAAGAAGAAGAAAGATCTAAAGTTTGCAAAAGCGTCGAATGATGAAGTGCACGCGAAAGTACGCGACGGGTCCGCGCTGTTTCGAAGAGCTAAAGAACGGGAGGAAAAGAAGACTTTTAGGAACGACGACGACATCGCGCTCGTACCGGAGGAGAAACTTGAGCACTTATTGCGAATCTGTCGAGAGGCACCGGACGGCGAAAACTGGCGCGATAAAGTGAACGCGTTGGAGCGATTGAGCGAAATCTCACACGCGTATTCAATCTCTAGATCGTCGTCGATGTTTATCAGAGCCATCGAAGACGGAGGTAAACACGCGCAAGATTTACGCGCTTGTTTAGCCAAGGCGGCGTTGAAATTTCTACGCGCGGTGTGCGAGCACTGCGATGCTCCGCATTGCGTTTCAAATAGTAGCAACGCTTTGACGGTTTTAGGTAAGTGTATGTTGAAAAGAGCTAGCGATGGAAGCGCATTTTTGAAACAGGACGCGTTGGATGCTTTGAGACTTCTTCGCGAACGAATCGGTCCGAATGCATTTCTGAAAATTATACTCGCGCAGCCGTCCAACGTCAATCCGAGAGTGCGACGGACGATGGCTTTGTGTTTGAGCGAGGTGAGCAATAAAGAAAGGAAAATAGACAGACAAACTATCGAGCGAGTTTTATTAGTGAAAGATGTAATGGTCAAAGATGGTGACGCTGAAACGCGAGCGTACGCGAGGAAAATCTTTTCATCGTCCGGAAAGAATGTTTGAAATGTAATTCGTGTATTATTATTAAACCACGCACAAACTGCTATACTGTCTCCCCTTACTTACTTTCGCTTCTCTATGACAAAAAAATCTCTCGCTCTAATCATCGCTCTTCCCCGCCGCGTTTTCGTCCGTTCTGTATTGTTCCTTCCACTTGTCCCCTTTGTTCAACTTCGGCGCTCCTTTGTCCACCTCCGTGCTCGACAAGTTCAACGTCGATCCCAACGCGTTGTCGTCAAACTTCGTCACGTCCACGTCGTAATTTTCCACGGTCATGTTATCCTTTAACGTTTGCGTGACTGGTTGCGCTAACAAAGAATCTCTCCCCTTGGAATCGGCATCCGCTTCGTCACTCTTCGACTTGGCGTTCGCCATACCAATCGCGCTCGCCGCCAACTCCGCGCGTAACTTCTCTCTCGCCGCTTTCTCTTCTGGCGTTTCTTTCGCCAACTCTTCCTCTCTCTTCTTCAAATCGGCCATTTGTTCAGCCAACGGCGAGTTCGGGTCGACTTTCCCGGAAATGTTCGCCACGCGTTCCGTCGCGTTCTTCCCTCTCGAGTCTTCGCCGTATTTTTCGTACGTTCTCTCCTTGGTCAACATCTCGAGCACTTTCGCCGGTTCATACGAGCCTTCGTTGAAAATATCCGCCAATCTTGGGTACAACGAGCCGAACCCGAGCGGCAACACCAACCACGAGACGCCTTCCAAAGCGCCCAAAAAGGTCCCCGGCAACCCGTGCCCGGTGAAGGTTTTCGAGAGCAACGACAAGCCGACGATTGGCACCGTCGCCGCGGAAACGATCGGCGGAATCTTGTTCGTGATCTCGTCGTACTTTTTCATGAGCTCGTCCGCGTCAAACCCGTCCGCCGCCGCTCGAACTTTCACCGAAGAACGTTGTTGTTGTCCTCGTCTCGGAACGAAAAACTTATTCGATCGCAATTTGGATCCCGAAACGGACGATTGGTGTTTCGCCGAAACCAGCTTTGCGGAATACGTGTTGGTCATCATCATCATCGCAGACATCAAAATCAAGTGTGCAGAGTTACAAACAAAAACGAGTCGTTTGTGTCGCGTCGCAGGTTTGAGAGAATGCGATAATATAAACTCTTCGTCGTGTGTTAAGTGAAGCGTGATGAGATGGTTTTTTCTTTCCACAGATACTCGTCGTTTTATCCATCAACAACCCAAAAGAAAGATCTTTTTTTCATGCAAGAGAGCACAAAAAAAAAGCTACAGCCAATTAAATTCCTTCTTTTTCCAGCAGGAGGCACACCGAGACAGAACAAAAGAAAAGAAGGAAAAACTCTTCATTAAAAACTAGTTATGGAGGATGTGATGAGGAAGTTTTAGTAAAGGAGGAGGAGGAGGAGCTTTACTGCGCGAACCTGACGGGGAAAGATATGTCGTCTCTGGAGAACGGTTTTTTTGACGAGGAGAAAGAGTTTGAGAGGAAGAAGCGCAAGAAGTTTCGACATCTGATGAATCATCCCGAGCACTTCCTCCTCGGAAACGCGCTGGAAGAAACAACATTCGAGGAGGACGTGCGGGGGTGGCAGAAGAACCAGCACCAAAAAAGCGACAAAAACGAGAGCGGGAAATTGGCCCCGAGGGATTTTGTGCGCGAACTGTTCGCGGGACCTCGCACAGATAAAAAAATGGTCGAGGTGCAACTGTCTAACAAGAAGAAGAATGCGTCGGTATCTTTTTCGGGGTCGACGTACGACCGAAAGTCGACACGGATGGACATCGACGATTTCCTGCGTCACCGTGTACCACCCGACAGTAGTGGCGTGAACTTTTTGGGAGAAGGGCAACACTCGTTGTATCTCGCGCAGGAAGACGTGCCCGAGGCGATGGCGAAACATTTAGATTCGTTTAAACCGTACGCCGAAGGTCTCAAGCGATACGTATATAAGAGATGGAACGTAAGACTCAGTGCGAACATCCAAAGACGCGTGTGGATGAACCATGAACGCGTGGAAACGACGCCACATTACGACGATTACGATAACGTGTTATTCGTGTGGACGGGGAGGAAGACTGTACATTTGAAAGCGTTTCGTGGGGATGGATTTCATTTTTGCGTTGCGAATACTGAGGTTGCGAATCACGCCCATCCGGAAGCTTTACCAGATCCTGAGAGTTACGAGTATACGTTTGTTGTGAATGCTGGGGAAGCGGTTTTTATTCCGATGGGATGGATTCACCGCGTCGAATCGGATGAGGGAACGATTGCTATCGCGCACGAAATACAAGACGCTCTGAGTATTGAGTTCATACATAACACGGTCTCGCGTTTGGACTACCCTTGGGATGAAAGCTTATACCTGGTGCGAAGAAAAATTGAAAGCAAAATCGACTGGAAGTTTACTTCGCTCGTAGCTGAGTTGATAGATTCAAAGAACGAAGAGATAAAAACGCGAGCGAAGATTACTCACGAAAACGTCGCGTACATAAAGAGTAAATGCGAGGAAGGAAAAGAGGTCGAGTTTGAAATTAATAATCCCGAACAGCTCATGGAGAACGTTTCGCAATCTTGCGCTATACTCGTAGACGGAGGAAAAGAAGAAGGAATAGACGACGAAATCCCAAAGTATCGAAAAGATGTGCTCGCAATGAACCCTTTGCAAGCCAAACTGCACACGTTGCAACTCTCTTTACTCAAAGACTATCTAGGCGAGAGTAAGTTTGAAAAGTGGATCGGCGACTGCTCTCTCAAATACGCCGAATCGCGAGGTCCAGAGTGGAAACGCGAGGACACGTGCAAGTCCATCTTGTGCGAAAAGGTGTACGAATACGATTTCCATCTAGCGTGCGAAGCCGTCGTGGAACTCGCTAGGCGTCGTAGTAGAAACAAAGAGCACGACGTTAAAAAAGAAGTCGACGACTGCCCGGGGTCGTCGTCGTCGTCCGTCGTGGAAGAATACAAGTCGTTGAGCTGGGATTATAAGCTCATCGGCGGATGGCCGAGGGGTAGCATCAGGAAGCCGTTCGATCCGCACGTCGCCGCGTTTGGTCTCCTTTAGTATTTAGTATTAATAGTAGTAGTTTAGAAGAGCTTTGTAAAATATTTAATACGTTGTGAGAACCATCGGGCACGATTTCGATGGAACGCCCGATGAACGCGTGCGTTGCTTTCGCATCTTCACTTTGGTAACTCGCGTATTACACAACTTAACTTTTCCAATGGCATCAACGCTTTTGGTCGCCGCACCAACCTTACGCACTTCAAAGCACAACGAAACAAAGATCAACAAAGAAGTTCAGCGTTTCTTTTCATCGTCTGCTTTTTCGAGGAACGAGAAGCGTCGGTTGAGGACGTCTCTGTTATGCGCGTCGTCGTCGTCATCTGCCGACGACGACGAAACGTCGTCGTCCAAATCCTCCTCTGCGCTTCCTCGTACTCCGGGAACCTCCGTGGACGCGTTAGATGCGGTCATGATGAGCCCCGAGACAGAGATCACGACGAAAACGACGAACCCGGATATTAAAACGTTCTCTGAGGACGTCCTCGCTGTCTGCTCGAAAGGCTATGATTTCGCGTTGCAATCGCTCGATAAAAAGTTAGACTTGGCCATAAAGCTCGATCCGGCGACGGGCGAGTTACTCTCGGACGACAACGAACAGTCGGTAAATTTGAGACAACAAAAAGGATTAGAGGAGGAGAAGTTTGCGATCGACGTGCTGGAGTGTTTAGCTTCTTCGTCTGGTAATGGTGGTGGCGAGGACAACAAACAACGCATTCGAGCGTTTGCGAGAGGACAACAAGTGCCGAAACGCTCGTACGCGTTGGCGGAGTTAAAGTTGAACGATATCGATCCTTCCAAGTTGTTAGCGCCGACGGAGAACACGATTACTGAGATTAAGAAGAAATTGGGCGTCGCGGTTGGAGCGTTGGTCATTGTGGGTGCGATTGTGACGAGTGGGGAAGACGTGGGCGCGGCGCCGTTTCAGGCCATCAAGACGTTTGTGTTTTTGAGTTTTTTATTAGCGTACGACGCGGTGGCGTTAAACGCGGGGGCGCAGAATTTGGTTTTGGATTTCGTCGCGAATTTGACGTCGGAGGAGTACAAGACTCGGTTGAGAAGACACGAGGCTGGGCATTTCTTGGTCGCGTATTTAACCGGCGTGTTGCCGAAAGGGTACACGTTGAGTTCGCTGGACGCGTTTAAACGGTTTGGACGATTGAACGTTCAAGCGGGGACGTTGTTTTGCGACGGACAGTTTCAAAACGAAGTGAAGAGAGGGAAGATTACGAGCACGTCGGTTGGGAGATTTGCGTGCGTGGCTTTAGCTGGAGTGTGCGCGGAATACGCGAAGTATGGCAACTCGGAAGGCGGCGCGGCGGATATTCAGCAGTTGGATCAACTGTTCAACGCGTTACAGTTTTCGCAAAAGAAATCGGACGACGAAGTCAGATGGGCGACGTTGAATACGATGGCAATCGTGAGGAGACACGAAGGTTTAGTGGACGAGTTGGCGAGAATGATGGGAACCGGAGAGAGCACGGCGAAGTTGATTTCAATCATAGAAGCGCGTTTAGCAAACGTAGCAGAAAAAGACATTTAGTCGAGTATATAATTTATTTGAGTCGCTTGCATGCTAAAAAGAATGTTTATTTACACGTCGTTTTTGTGTATGTACCAATGTATGTGTGCACCTAGGTACGTGTGCTAATCTCTCACGGCTTTCGCGCTTTCCAGAACAAGTAGTCCTTCTCTCGTAAAATCGTCACATCCGAGAACCCGATTGATTGTAACTGGTCCCGTAAATCCGCCGAGTTCCAAAATCGTAACCCGTTCGTCCCAGGTCTGCTCGCAGATAAGTCTCTCGATAACGTGCTCAACAATCTGTTCTGGTCGTCGTCCAAAAATGGCACGTTTGGCGTCGCAAACGTCGTCCCCGTGAATATTCTCCCTGGTTTCAACACGCGGAAGATTTCAGCGCACGCGCTCTGGACGTCCGGCCAGCAATGAATCGCCGCCGAGGCAGAGACACCACCAATGCTATCGTTCGCAAACGGCAATCGTCCAACATCCGCTCTTACGAATGCAATCTTATCCGCCGGTACGCTCGTATCTTTTTGTGCGCGCTCCATCGCTTCTTTTATCATACTCTCGCTAAAATCCAAAGCGACGATGCCGTCGTACTTGCCGCTCCTCGCAAACTCTCTCGTGAACAACCCTGAGCCACAGGAGCAGTCAATAATCACATCACCAACTGCATCTTCACCGAGTGCCTCCATTGCATTTTCCTTCTCGACTTCTACGCCCGGAAACCCGCTTCTCTTAAAATTATCTCTCCACCCTCTCTCGTACGCGAACGAGACCAACGGACTCTCAAACAACGCCTCGCCCGGTAAGTTCGATGTCGGTATTAAACGTTTAAACGGTTCCGGACTTAAGTCCCTGATCAACTTATCCAACGAAGGCACGTCGTTCTTCGCGACCAAGTCGAAGTACCCGTCTTCGTTCATCGGATACTTTCGTCGGTCTTTCTCCGTTTCTAAACGCTCGAACGTTATCGGAGAGGCCAACCGGTATTTTTCGTATGGGCTTTTCACCCCCGCGTTCATGTTGTTAGCGGTGGTGGTGGCCTCCTCCTCCTTTGAATCCGTAAACTCCGCCGGGATGGTCGTGTTTCTCATCGTCGCGTCTTCTTCACCGCTTTTGTCGTCGTCGTCGCCGCCGCCGCCGGTGGTATTCGTAGACGCTTTCGGAGCGTGACGTAATCTTTTTTTCCCGGGAACTCTTGGACTTTGAGCGCGGCGTGATGAGTACTTCACGGCCACGGAGAAAGAAGAAGAAGAAGAAGAGACAGGGCGCGGCGACATTTTCGTTGTCGTCGTCGTCGTCGTCATCGCGTGGGAGAAGGGCATCATTGAAATCTTCTTGCGCGCGCACTTGATGTGGCGAATGTGTAAATTTGGGTGCCGAGTTTTGAAGTGGAGGGACCTTTACTACGTTTGATGTGACGCTAATACGGGGGTACCTCTCTTCGAATTAAATGTTTCTCTCTCTCTCTCTCTCTCTCTCTCTCTCTATTAATACAAAACTCTCTCTCTCTTCTTCTTCTTCTTCGAAAATTCTCTCTCTCTCTCTCTCTCTCTCTCTCTCGGCTATTAAGTAGTATAAATTTATATTCTCGGAATAGTGCGCAGAGCGTAAATCTCTCTCTCTCTCGAATCGTTTCGAATCGTTTACGCGATGCTCTTCTCGTACGCCGCGGCGTCCATCAACGAACCCGGCACGTCGGAAACCTTGACCTTCATCAACCACCCGCCTTCAAACGGCGAGTCGTTCACCGTACCCGGCGAATCGTTCAACGCTTCGTTGATTTCGATGACGGTGCCGGAAATCGGCGAGTACACGTCCGAAGCCGCCTTTACGGATTCGACGACGCCGAAAGACTTGGTCGCTTCCATCGCGGAGCCAACTTCTGGGAGTTCCACGTAGACGATGTCGCCTAATTCCGCTTGCGCGTGGTCGGTGATCCCAACCGTGGCGACGTCGCCGTCAATCTTCGCCCTGTCGTTTGAAGGAAAAAGAAAGAGAAAATATGTATTTTATCAGACACGTGTTGTTGCGAGAACGAAAAAAAGAAAATCCTGCAAAGAGGATGAGCGTTTTTGAACCGAAAACTCTCTCTCGGACGAATAATCCATCCATCTCTTTCTTTCGTTTGGGTCATCTCTCATCGCGATGAGGAGTGAACTTTGCGCGCGTTCTCTCGCTTTTCTCTCTCTCTTTCTCTCTCTCTCTTCCAGCGTCCAAACTCGTCTCCTTCACTCTCGTTTACGCGATGTGCACATGAAACGTACACGTCACAAAGGGATAAGAAAACAGAAGAGAGAGAAAGAAAACAAAAAAATGTGTTCCCGAACACCACAAGAGGAGGTACACCGAAGCGAAAGTTCACAGAGATTGGGAGAACGAGTTTGTACGAACGTACCACTCGTGCGAGCTCGCGTATTTCAACCCCTCGATGACGGTGCTGTACATTTGCACACCGCTCGCTCGGCTTAATAAAGGCGCGAACGCGGTCGTTTTGGAGGTGAACTGTTTCAAGGTTTGTCTGAGTGCCATGATGAAATCGTGTGTTGTTGTGCGTGTGAAGTGTGATGACCAGAGCGTTCCTCCTCTCCTTCATCTCTCTCTCTCGGAGGGGAGGATCGCTCGTTCTCGCCTTTTTCGCCTGTTTTTTTGTGTTTTTTAAGGGTGAACGACGCGCTCGCGAGAGAACACGTCGCTCGATTTTTTTTTTTTTGGATTTCTTCTCTCTTTGGCAGGAACCAAGGAGAAGAAGAACAGAGGGAGTTTTTTTGTGTTTTCTTTCTCTCTCTCTCTCTCTTTCTCTTTCGAGAGAGAACGAAAAAAGAACAACTCTCTTTGACGCTTTATTTCTATTTCCTCATCTGTGAAACACACACTTACACACACAACGCGTCGTAGAGTATTCGTCGCTATTTATAGTTTTTATTACATCCAGTAGTAAAAGAATAAACCGTAATTATTGAGAGAAGAGAGGATGGTGGCAGCAGGAGCAGCCAGCGCCGAAACGATTGAGAACAACAACACGAATAACGATTCGTTGTATTCGGAAAAGCAACCCTATTACCAATCGCGCATCCAATTGTTCGAGAAGTACTTCACTCGCGAGCAAGAAAAGATCGCGCAGGCGAAAACGGACGACCGAGAAATCTCGGTCGCACTTCCGGATGGGAAAGAAATTAAAGCGGTGGCAAACGCGACGACACCGTGGGATATAGCCATGGGGATTTCGAAAAAGTTAGCGCAAGCGTCGTTGGTAGCGCACGTGGATGGGAACGATTGGGACATGAAGAGGCCACTGGAATCGAATTGTAAACTGCGGTTGTTTTCGTTCGACGATAAGGAAGGGAAGGAGTTGTATTGGCACTCGAGCGCGCACGTGTTGGGAGAAGCGTTGGAGTTGGAATACGGCGCGGATTTAACGATTGGCCCCGCCATCGAGGAAGGGTTCTATTACGATTGTTACTTAGGCGAGAAGACGTTGACGCCGGACAACGTGGAGGAAATCGAAAAGCGAATGAAGGCGATCATCGGAGAGAAACAGCCGTTTCAGAGAATCGTGGTCAGCCGAGACGAGGCGTTGGAAATGTTCGCGGAGAATAAATTTAAAGTGGAGTTGATTTCGAATTTACCGGAAGATGCGACGATTTCGTGTTATCGATGCGGACCCATGGTCGATTTGTGTCGAGGGCCTCACTTGCCGGATACCGCGTGGATCAAGAGTTTAAAAGTGACGCAGTGTTCTCGGGCGCATTGGAGAGCGGACGTGACGAAAGATCCACTGGTGAGAGTGTACGCGGTGACGTTTCCGAACGATAAGTTGATGAAAGAATACACGAGACGGATTGAAGAGGCGAAGCAAAGAGACCACAGATTGATCGGGATGAACCAAGAGTTGTTTTTTTTCAACGCTCTCAGTCCGGGGTCCTGCTTTTTCCAAAAAGACGGCGCGAAGATTTACAACACTCTGATTGAGTTTATTCGAGAGAAATATTGGGAATACGAGTACGACGAAGTCGTGACGCCGAACATTTATAACTTTGATTTGTGGAAAACCAGTGGCCACGCCGCGCACTATAAAGAAAACATGTTTGGTTTCGACGTCGAGAAGCAGGAATTCGGAATGAAACCGATGAATTGCCCGGGGCATTGCGTGATGTTTAGCCACCGTAAACGATCGTTTCGAGAGCTTCCGATGCGAGTCGCCGACTTTGGCGTGTTGCATCGAAACGAATTTAGCGGCGCTTTGCACGGTTTGACTCGCGTTCGTAGATTTCAGCAAGACGACGCGCACATCTTTTGTCGCCAAGACCAAATGGAGGAAGAGTTGACAGGTTTCTTGAAGTTTTTGGACGAGTGTTACGAGGTGTTTGGTCTGGATTACGAGATGAAATTATCCACGCGACCGGAAGGATACTTAGGCGAACTTGAAACGTGGAATAAAGCGGAAATGGCGTTAGAAGGCGCGTTAAAAGCGAGCGGGAAAGAGTGGGAACTCAACCCGGGAGACGGCGCGTTTTACGGTCCGAAAATTGACATCGCCGTCTTTGACGCCTTGCGAAGACGTTTCCAATGTGCCACGGTTCAACTCGATTTCCAACTCCCAATCCGATTTGACCTCGCGTATCAAAACGAACACAACGAAGACGAACGACCGATTATTATCCACAGAGCTGTGTTAGGTTCCGTCGAAAGAATGTTTGCCATCCTCACCGAACACTACGCCGGCAAGTGGCCGTATTGGCTTTCGCCGAGACAAGTGATGATTGTCCCAATCTCCGAACTTTCGTTAGAATACGCCAAAGACGTCCGCAGACGCATTCGCAAAGCCGGTCACCACGTAGAAGTGGACGCCTCGGACCGTAAAATGCAAAAGAAAGTTCGAGAGGCGCAGTTGGAGCAATTCAACTACATCTTAGTCGTCGGCGAACAAGAGAAAACGAACGACACCGTCAACGTGAGAACGAGAGATAATCAAGTTCACGGCGAGCGCAAGTTGGAAGATTTAATCCTCGTTTTGAACGAAGAGAAAAAAACACGAAGTTTAGAGTGCATGTTTGAAAAGGAGAAGAGAGAGAAAGCCGCCGCTGCCGAGGCCGAAAAGGTGGCGGCTCCCGAAGCGTAACATTTTTTAGAGTTGAATTTGGAATCATCATCAAGTAAACGCAATAATACTCCTGCACTTTTAAGGCCGGTAAAAGTATCATCATCATCATCGTCATCGCGAGGTTTCCATCATGCCAACGACACCATCAATACGAATAACGGCTTCCTCTTCCTCCTCGTCTTCTCCTGTTCCCGCGATGGTCACCATCAAACGCGAGCCACCGAACAAGTCGCGTCCGAATCTCACTCGCTTGGTCGCTTTTTTCCCAAGAGAAGAAGAAGAAGACAAAGATGAAGAAGTCGCGCGTTGCGTCGTGTGGAGAAAGAAAAAGACCGGAAAAACGCTGTTCGTCTCGAGTCTCGAGGTGAGCGAAAAGTTTCGCAGGCGAGGTATCGCGTCGAAACTTTTAGACGAAGTCGAACGGCTCGTGAAAGAATCGGACGCTTTGGAGACTGTTGAGCTCACGGTGAACGCGTGGAACGCGAACGCCATCGCGTTGTACGAGAAGAGAGGATTTAAAGCGTTGGAGGAAGCAGAGGGAGATGTGGTGAAAAAAATGATAGAGTTGGCGAAAGATCCTCTGAAGATGGTGCAGAAACGAATGACGATGGACGTTGTGAAGATGTGATGTACAGATGTATATTTCTCGCGAATAAATGAACAGCCTCCTCGCGAGTGTGTGTGTGTGTGTGTGTGTGTGGTTCTCTCACTTCTTCGGCGTGGACGGGTGGTGTAACCTCTTAATCGCCATAGAGGCGAGTCTAGATGCCGGCGAATGAATGATACCGTTTGGTTGCTTCCCCTCGACGTCGTCTTTCGACGGCGGAAGGACGTTGCGAGGGAAGGAAAGTTTGAACACCGGCAACGAGTGCTTCTCCGAATCGCAGACGATGTGGTCGCCAATTTTCACGCATCGCTCGTCGATGACCACGAACGCGAGGACGTGAACGCGCGGAGAGATTTCATTGGTAAATTCCTCCCCGTTCCGTGGCGGCGAGGCGATCACACCGTGGGTTGGGTGAGCCGATGCGGAGGAACCGCCGCACACTTCCACCGAGGAAACGCGACAAATCGCCCGCGTCAAGGCGTAATTAATATCCTTCGTAAACCTGTATAAATAAACAATAGAAATAGAGAAAAGAGTGTAATAATATTAGCCACTACGCAGTAAAAGCAAAAGCAAGAACGAAAGCATGAGCATATACAAAACGCACCAATCGCCGCTCGACGACACTCTCAATTTGGGATTCATACCATTTTGCATGATATCCTCCGTCGCTTTACACCCCGTGCCGTGGAAGAGCAAAGAAAAGCTCTTATCGCTCGCTCTTTTCAAACTGCTTTCGAAAACTTTGTACAGCTTCTCCCCGTGCATGCTTTGCTCGACCATATCAATCTCGTAGTTTCTCGTATCCAAATACGTTTTTCCGCATCGATACGGCTGCGTTTCCGAAAGCGGTTTCTCTTTGAGTAACTGTTCGACGCCGAGTCGTCGAGTGGAGAAGAGCACATCATCGCGCTCTTTCTTCTTCTTCGCGGCGAGCTGCTGCTGCTTTCGCGTGCGCACGCCAACTCGCTCTTCCTCTTCTTCTTCTTTCACCTCTTCTTCTTCTTCTTCTTCTTCTTCACCTTCGTCGTCGTCGTCTTCCGCTTCAGCAACGCGCGAGGAAGCGCTCTTCACGGTTTTCGCCGCCGCTGCGGCGCGACGGCGCGCGTACAGATTCAACGGGAAGCACGGCACCACCACCGAAGCGGAAGCGTTGCTCCCACCACTCGCCGCGCCCTTGATTTTACTGTCGTCTTGTGCGCTCATTGCGTGCTTAAAGTGCAACAGCGCGCGCTTATTTTGGGAAAAAAGTTTACTCGTTAGATACGTCATCGCGTATTTTTTTCACATCACTAATAAACTAACAACTCTAATAAAATCTAAATCAGCTTTAATCTACACGCGAAAGTAAAGCTCTCGCACGCATTACCTTCTGCCTCCTGCGCTGTTCGTAGTGTTGAACCTCTGCTCTCTTTCCTGGTCTAATTTTTGGACGACTTTTCTGCGCAACTGCGCGATTTTCCCGCTTCGAAAATTCCTCAGCGCAAACGCTCTTTCCATGACTTCTTCGGCGTCGTCGCTGCGTTCCAACTGCGCGCGAATGCACCCGGCGACTTCTGGCAACGATTGACACTTGAGGATTTCCTTTTCGCACTTGAGGATTTGGGAGACGGCGACGCGGTGCCAGACTTTGAAGCCGTTGGCGAATAAGGAGTCGAATATGCGCGCGACGGTTTCGGACGGGAAGGATTCGAGAAAGACGCATACGAGCCATCTGGGTTCGCAACAGGCGAAATCGACGCCGATGTCATCGAGGTAGCGACTGAGTCGTTTGTTACGCCAGGTAAGGATGGAGTGAAGGACTCCAAATTCGCGGACGGTGCCACGTAAATCTCGGGCGTGTATTTCGCGGCACAACGCGTGGCCGTCTAAAGCGGCGGTGAAGATCCAGAAGGCAGTTTTCTCAATCGCTTCCTCGTCTTTTTTGTCGTCGTCATCTGCTTCGCTTCTACTATTATTACTGCTACTGCTACTCGCGTTGAACGAATCTGAATTCCTTACCGCCAGCCATATGAACGCGGCGATATAGTTCATCCCCTGGCAGTACCCAGTTTTTGGATTCCTCCTGGAATACGCTCTTAAAATTCTTCTCAGCGCCTCCTTCCCGTGCGTCCGAAAAATGTCATTCTCGGGAAACGTTCGATCGACGTCTAAATCGATTTGCATCGCCCACTCCTCTTTCGCGCGTTTCTTCTCAGACTTAGATCTCTCAGAACCGTCGCGGTGGACATTGATCGTCGTGTCGTCGTCGTCGTCGTCGTCATCATCATCATCATCATCCTCGTCGCTCTTCGTCGTCTTCCTCCCGTTCTTCTTCTTCTGTTTCGAACCGCCGCGAAACGAGGACGACGACGCCTTTGACGCCGAAAGCATTTCTCTCCCATCTTCCTCCTCCGCGCGTTCCACTAACCTCTCGTAACTCTCTTTCGCCATATCCGCAAACTGTCTCGCCCCGCTGAGTTCGTACCAAATCTCTCCTCTCTTTTCTTTCGGCGCGCCGAACGTTCTCACCGTTTTTTCCAACAGTTTTCCTTTTCTCGCTTTGACTGCTTTCTTCCATCGCTTGCCGTAGAGAAAGTCGTCGTCGTCTGATGCCGCTGCTTCGGACGCAAAAGTGGCGATAGAAATATCGCGCGCGCATCGCGCGAGCTCGTTCGTCTCCCAGCACGCGTTGAGATGATCTCGCTCTTTCGTTCTCTCGGTCGTCTTCTTTTCTTCGTCGTCGTCTTTCACGGGCGCGAACCGGAAATCGTGCCGACGAAATCCGTAAAAATCTTTCGAATCATCATCATCATCTTTAAGAAGAGGTCGTCGCGCTCGTTTCACCGGCGTCGGCGGTAACGGTTTGACGAGCACCGAAGAGGAGGACGATGCTACCACCGGGTGCGAGCGAAGCGTCGTCGTCTGAATCGTCGTCCCTTTGTTAGTATCACTCGTCTTCGTTCGTGGTGTCGGTTGCTTTTCGTCTCTCATTTTTTTTTTCTGAGGAATTTTATTTGACGAGACTTTTCCAGCGTGTGTTTGTGTCTCTAATCTCTCTTTCAATCTCTCTGCGTGTGTGCGCGTGTAAAGCTGAAACGAATACTTAGTATCATCGCGCCGCGTCTCCCCCGCGAAGGCAAAAACGCGCGAAAGTGTGTTGTGCCGTTCGTTTTTGTTTGTGTTTGCGTGTTGTTGTCTCGTTCGTCGCGCGTAGAGGTTGTTCGTTCTTCTTTCTTTGATCTCGTCGTGCTCTCATCACACATGCGAGACATTTGAGCACCCCCAGAACGACGAAAAACACAGACGTGTCCTATTCTCCACTTCTATTATCCACACGAGAGACATCATGCAAGCGTACCAATCATCATCCATCACCGCGCGCAGTTTATGCGCACTGTCTGCGGCCAAGAAACACCAAATGAAGAAGCAAAGAATCTCAACAACGGTCAAGGCGCAAGAGTTTATCGCGACGGATAAAGCGCCCGCCGCGGCTGGGCCGTACTCGCAAGGCATCAAGGTACGCATAAAAAGATTGGATTGATGATTTCTTCAGTCGCGAGGATTTGATTGGTTTTTTTCTCCTCTCTTTCTTACTCACTCTTTTCATCTCTCTCTTTCCTAGTCTGGCGGCCTCCTCTACACGTGCGGATGCGTCGCGTTCGTCCCGGAAACCATGGAAATCGTCGAAGGTGGCATCGAAGCAGAAACGAGACAAGCGTTGACGAACATGGGCGAGATTTTGAAAGCCGGCGGTTCTGACTTTTCCAAGGTTGTCAAGACGACCATCTTCATCACGAACATGGCGGATTTCCCCAAAGTGAACGCTATTTACAGCGAATTCTTCAACACCCCGGGACCGGCGAGATCTACGGTTGGCGTCGCGTCTTTGCCAAAAGGTGGTTTAATTGAAATCGATGCCATCGCGGAGTGCTAAACGAGACGAGACTAAGAACAGAGAACGACGAGATTCGCGCGACTGAGAGATTCTTTCTTCGGACGAGAAGAAGTAAAGGAGGTTTGAGGAAATCGTAAAAAGACGGACGACGACGGCAAAATCAACAATTTAACATTAACATAGCAAATACTTAGTAGATGTGGACTTTCTGTGTGATTACGAATCGAATAATTCGTTATTTATTCTTCGTCCTATTCTTGTTCTTATTTACGTACTTTTCTGTTTTCTGCCCTCTGTGAGCGATTTTCTCAAAAACACAAAAAAGAGCTCTCGAGTGCTTTAACGAGAAAATTCTCAATTCGTTTAACAAATCAAATCATCATAAAAGTTCGCGTGCAAAACACACCGGCGCGAGCGTAGTAGTATATTTTCAGCGACTAAATCACACGAAGAAAATGCCGAGAACACCCATGGGTAGAGGCGGTGGCCGAGGTACGCGTCGCGTCGAGTGATGCGCGCTTTTTTTTCGCGCTGATTTTGTTGCCGCTTTCGTCTCGAATCGGCGGCGTGCAAATTTTGGTCGTTAATTTGGAAAACGATTCGCTCCGAGAGAGGACGCGCGCGAAGCGTCGATGCTCTTTTCGATGAGTACAATGGATGGCGCGCATGTGGATTGATACGATTTGATCTTTAGATTGATCGTGCGCTCGGTCGGTGATGATCCGCGCGCGCGTTTTACGACGGGGGCATTTGTTTTTTTAATTCTCTCTCCTCTCGTGCTCTCCTTCCTCTCGTTGGCCGTTTCCTCTCGTTCTTTGGTGGAGACTAACAAATATCTTCTCTTCTCTTTTTTAACCCTACGCAATGATAAAACACAGGTGGCGGAGGCAGAGGTGGCAGAGATGGCGGCAGAGGTGGCGGCAGAGGACGGGGCGGTCCGGGCGGCCGCGGCGGAGGCAGAGGCGGCAGAGATGGCGGCAGAGGTGGTCGCGGCGGAGGTCGCGGCGGCGGCAGAGGCGGCGGCAGAGGCGGCGGCGGCATGAAGGGTGGCGCCAAAGTGGTCGTCGAGAAGCATCGCCACGAAGGAATTTTCGTCGCCAGAGGGAAAGAAGACGCGTTGGTGACGAAGAACTTGGTCCCGGGCGATTCCGTGTACGGCGAGAAACGAATTTCCGTGGACGAAGCGGACGGAGGCAAAACCGAATACAGAGTGTGGAACCCGTTTCGCTCGAAAGTCGCCGCGGGTATTCTTGGCGGTTTGGATAACGTGCACATCAAACCAGGGACGAAATTATTGTATTTAGGTGGTGCATCCGGGACGACCGTTTCGCACTGTTCCGATATCGTCGGTCCGAACGGTTTGGTCTACGCGGTTGAGTTTTCTCACCGTTCAGGGAGAGATTTAGTGAACATGGCGAAGAAGAGGACCAACGTGATTCCAATTATTGAAGATGCCAGACATCCGCAAAAGTACCGCATGTTAGTTGGTATGGTTGATACTATCTTTGCAGATGTTGCACAACCAGATCAAGCGAGAATCGTCGCTTTAAATGCCCAATACTTTTTGAAACAAGGCGGTAACTTCATCGTCAGTATCAAATCGAGTTGCATCGATTCCACGGCGGCGCCGGAAGCCGTGTTCGCCAGAGAAGTCAAAAAGTTGCAAGAAGATGGATTTAAACCGAAAGAACAGTTGACTTTGGAACCGTACGAAAGAGATCACGCGATTGTTGTTGGTGCCTACCGCGTTTCGAAGGACAAAAAGTAAAAGATATGTGTTTTTGATGAGCGTAATAAAAACAACATTAACAACAATAAACTTTAGTAGAGAATAAAGAGAGAAAGGAGAGCGACGCGAGAGAAGGCGCGAAAAGAGAGAGAGAAAGAGAGAGATTATATAGTAGTTTACCTGTAAGATACAAATTAATATAAAACACATAACACAAACTTCACTGCCGTCGTTTTTTTCTTCTTCTTCTCTGTCTGTCTGTTGCTTGTTTGTTCTCTTCCCTTCAAACTTCTCCAATTTAATTTGTCCTCCTCCCCTTTGTAATCGTCAAATCAATTCGCCAAACAGCAAAACTGCTGACAAAAACACGCACAAAAAGAAGAAGAAGAACGAGGATAAGAAGGAAATATGGTCGTCCTCGATGTCCCTCTCATGCAGCGCTTCCAGCCCGGTCGTTTTTACAAAGACTCGACGTCCATCAACGGCCTCGATTTTCACGAATCGGAACCGATTTTAGTCTCCACATCGGACGACGATTCGATACACGTGTACAACACGGAAACCGGTCAACGGACGAAAACTTTATACAGTAAGAAATACGGGTGTTCCGGGGTTAGATTTACGCACAGTAGCGAAGCGATTTTGTACGCGAGTAAACCGAAAGGAGGAAGCGGAGATGAAAAAAAGGCGGCAGATGCCTTGGTGAACGACCACGCGGTGAGGTATCACTGCATACACGACAACACGTACTTGAGATATTTTCGAGGTCACACCGATCAAGTGGTAGATATTAGCGTCTCTCCGAGAACCGATCAGTTTTTAACGTCCAGCGTGGACGGGACGACGCGAATGTGGGATTTACGGTCGCCGTCGTGCGCGGCTATTATAAAAATCCCAACCGGAGTCCCGAGAGCGCAATTCGATCATCAAGGTTTGATTTTTGCCGCGACCGCATCGGTGAACGAGGTTGTGTTATATGATGTTAGGAACTACGAGCAAGGACCGTTCGTCTCGTTTACGGTAGATCCGGTGTTGAGTAAGTCGGGGGATCTGCCGACATACGGCGTGTCGACGATGAAGTTTTCCATGGACGGAGAGAGTATTTTGGTCATGTGCGGGGGTGTGATTCATGTGATCGATGCGTTCAACGGAGAGAAAAAGTTGAAACTGAAAGTTCCGGGAGCGGAGTCATCGTTGGTACCGTTAGAACCGACGTGGACGCCGGATGGTCAGTTCATTTTGTGCGCCGGCGGTGGGGATCAAAAGATTCACGTGTGGTCGGCTGGCACAGGAGTGGAATTAGAGCCGTGGAGAAATAGACACGCCGGTGCGGTTGCGTGTATGAAATGGTCGCCGAATACGGCGCTAGTAGCGAGTGGGTGCACAGAAGGAGGTTTAGCGATGTACGTGCCGAGTAACGCGAAACGATAGAAAAATAAAAGGAGAGTTTTCTACTTGCGCAACGATTCGCAAATAATTTTTGCGCGTACTCGTTGTAATCGGTCGGTCACTCTATACTTCCCTAGGTAGCTGATGATGTTTAGTTCTTATCATTATCATTATTATTATTACACTGAGCACATGGTCGCACGAGAGATGACTCACATCTCCCGTCGTCGTCGTTCTGCGCTTTTTCACTTCCCGAACAACCCGCCGAACAACCCGCCGCCTTTGTTCTTCTTCTTCTTCAACTTTTGCTTCTCCTTCTCGAGATCTTTCTCGTCGACCCAGCCTTCCTCAGCATACGGCCCGCGTAAATCGAACCGTTCTCCGCCGTCAAACTCCGGCATTCCAAACGATGCCATTGGAAACGGAATCCCTCCTTTCACCGCCTCTTTCGACAACGCGTTCGCCGCTTTCGTATTTTCCGTCTTGATCTCATCCATCTCTTTCTTGCTCAACGTTTTCTTCATGAATCCACTCACTTTCGCGCGTCTTTTGTTCGCCTCTTCGTCGATTCGGCCGCCTTTTCTTCTTTTGGCGAGAATCTCTTGTTGTCGTTTGAACGTTTCGTCGCGTCCGTCGACGTCTTTGTTGTTTTGGAACCATCCTCCTGCGTTTAACGTGCTCCCATCATCATCGCATCTTCGCCTCTTCAAGAGGACGTGATTTTGATGGAAAATGAATCGATTCCTCTTCGTAGTATTCTTCGCGCTGCTCGTGTTGCTTTTGGAAACGCCTCCTGCTCCTCCTCCTCGCGCACAACAATAACTGCTCATCATCATCATCATCATCGTCGTAATACTACTACTACTCCTGATGACAAGAGACAAAGTAACGCGTCGCAAGAGTGAAGATATTTTTCCTCCCCTGGAAAGAATGAGCGTCTTTATGTATAATGTTTGTGTACTTGTATTGATGCGTATGTTGTCTACTATTACTACTACTCCTCCTACTACTCCTCCTACTACTACCTGCTGAACTCTACATCGACTCCCGAGGAGTCGTTTTTTTCCGATGAACGGCGGACAGACTTTTCAAGACGGACACGATGGCGACCGGGGAGACGTTCAGTCTGCACAATTCAATCACTCGGTCGCACATTTCCGAGGAGAAAAAATCCACGCCGGCGAGAGAGGCGAGCGCGCGCAAGCTTTCGTTGACTGTTTGATTCGTTTTCGTTGTTGTTCCGCGAGAGCAGAGGTTTAATAATACGAAAGCGCGGTGGAAGAAGAGAGAGAGAGAGAGAGAGAAAGAGAGTTAGTTGTTGTTCCCGAAAATTCAAAATTAGAAAGAAGAGAGAGAAGAAAGAGAGAACAAAAGAACAACACCATCATCGAGAGAAAAAAACGAGAAATAAAGACGACAAACGCGAGCTCTCTTCTCACCTCGAGCTTTCGACGGCGTCTCTCTCTCTTCCTCTTCTTCTTCTTCGCGCATCATCATCTTTACAAAAGTAAGTAAGTACTTTCGTGTGAAATGATGTTGAACGAAAGAAGGGACAAAAGAGAAGGAAAAAAAACGTTTAGGGTTTACTAAAACCCTAAAAAGAAACGGCACGCAAAAAAAAGGGCTCGAGAAAACAAAAGAGAGAATACAGCACACGTAACTACACGCGCACACGCATCCAAGATGGCCGACGCTGAAGCTAAACCGGTGGTTGAATTCACCAAGGTACTGTTATCACACATAACAACAACCAGATTCTTTTTTTTTAAAGATGCCTTGAGATGCTTTTGTTTTTTCTCTCTTCTCTCTCGCGTGTGTGATGATGAGGCGGCGACTTTGACGAGAAGATGATGATCGTGTTTTTCTCTCTCTCGTCCTCGTCGTCAACTTCATCGGAATGAAAGACTCACCACACGTATTCTTCTTCTGTCTTCTTCGATGATGACAACAACAATAATAATAACACTTCAAACGAACAGGATTTCCCGAAAAAAGACGCCGCCATCGCGGCCGGGTTCAAAGAAAAAGACGTCGCCAAAGTGTTCAAAGAGGGCGGTAAAAAAGGCGTCGAAATCGAAGGCGCCGCCGACATGTCCGGATTGACGTGCTTTTGCACGCGCATCCAAAACGCCAAAGGGGAGGTGAAACTCCTCGAAGTCGCCATGGAAGGGATGAACGCGATTCCAGACCCATCCGACGAGGAGGAAAGAAAAGGGTGCTCCGGGAAGATCTCCAAAATTATAATCTCCGAAAGCGAAGAGAAAGGACAAATCGCGATGGTGGCGTACGTCGCCGAAGAGACGAAGGACAAGCTGAACGCGAAGGATTGGTTGCAAGGCGTGTGCGATTCGGATTTGGGTGGTGGCGTCGGGGGAACCGTGGACGAAGGCGCGACGGATACCTGGGCGACGGTCACGTGCAAGGAAGATAAGGAGAAATTTTTCTTTTTGAAGATGAAGGATAACTGCTTGGGCGCGGCGATTGCGTATTTGAGAGAGAGAGATTTGTTCCAAGACGATTCGTCCTCGGAGGAGGGCGATAACCCGGCGGCGGACTTTGAGTGGTAAAGAATTTAACAATATGCGAGAGAGAGAGAAAGAAAGAGAGAGACTTTTACGCTCGTAGTAGTAAAATCTTTAGTTTTGTTATTTCATCACAACAACAGAAACGTATCATATATTCGAGAACGAATCTTCTTTCTTTCATCAAACTCCGTTGTTTTAATTCACAAATGCTTCACTCCAAATACCGACGATACTACGAAAGAACACACTCCTAAATGCCGCCACCTCCAACGCTCCAACTCGGTTCGTCCGAACGCGCTACTTTCGGGTTATCTTCTGAAACTGTTTCGGATGAAGTCTCGTTGCCGTACATCGACGCCGTTTCCGCGCACGAATTGAAAGCGGCGGAAACGATGGTCCAAGAAGAGGTAATCACAGACTCCTTCGTTTTATGACGTATTACGACGCGTGAGATACTAGGAAACGCTCGTTTGTTCTCGTTCTCTCTCGCTGACTTCGTTCTATTCTTCTTCTTCTTTATTATGTTCTTATTATTAAACACAACAGATGCGCCGGATGCCGAAACGCGAGAAGGACTACTTGGCGGATGTGCGAGCTTCAACCTCGTCTCGATTCAACGAAAAAGAATTCGCGCATTTAACGCCCGCCATGATAGAGGAGTACACGCGACGGTTCGAGAAGAACGAACCGAAGTTGAACCCAGATACGAGTCGGTACGAAGTTCCTCCGCCTTCGGTGAAACACAAGACGAACGCGAGCAAATGGGAAGAGAGCGTCGCCAACGCGAAGAGTCAGTTGGAACACACGGCGTTGAGGATGCAAAACTTAGAGTTGATGCAAAAATACGCCGCGAACGCGTGGAGGAAACACTTAGAGGAGTTGGAAGAGGTGGTGAAGGAGTACGAAGGTTTAGTTCGAAAGGTGGACGATCAGTTAGAAATGGTGAATTCGAAGAGGAGGTTGTCCCAAGAGGAAGCGCAGGGACATTTGAGAGAATTGAACGACGAGTGGATTTCGATGACGAGGAAGTGCGCTTTGATAGAGGAGAAGTTGAGGCAAATGGAGAAAGACGAAGAGATTGGAATGCAATGATTCACCAATTTAGCACACATATATCTAGAAATACTATTTTGACTACAAATCTATTACCTGCTTTTTAACCCTTTTTAAAAACCTCTGTTAGAACTGAGCTCGATATCTGGGACACACGTGAAATACTGAATTCGAAGCACGCCGTCGTTGTTGTTGTTCTTGTTATCTCCTCCTTTTTCATCTTCTTCTTCTCCGCAAAACGCAAAAACGACGTTCTTCCTGGCCGCGTGCGCCATCCTCGTCACGGACGAACAACTTAACGGCGTCATCTTCTCCCCTCTCTCCAACACTCTCACCGTGAAATACGCGTGAAATAACATCGGATCTCCCGGATACGCCAAGTAATCACCACCAAACTTTGCCGCCGAGGTCATCGTAAACCCTTTCTCGTGTAAATCCTTGAACACCGCGCATTTATACCGATCAATTTTCGACATCTTCCTCCAAACTCTCCCCTTGTACGCCTCCTCCTCCTCCTCGGGCGGCGCGTCGTCCAACTTTCGCGCGTCGTCGTCCATCTCGCTCGTGGTTAACGGCAACACCACCGAGCTCGATCTCCCTAAAACTTGCTCCCAGTCTACAATTCTATCCCTATTATTGCTGCTTTTCTTCTTCGTTTCTTCTTCTTTATCGTTCTTCTTCTTGGGTACTACTTTCTGTTTCTTCTTCGCCGCTCCGCCCCACTGGCTTTTCTTGCTCGCTTTCATCGCTCTCAATTGATTCCTCGTCGTCGTAATCTGAGGCTGCAACAAAAGCTCCCGTTCTTCCGCCTCCTCGTTAAAATCACTCGAATTCCGTTTCCTCTTTTTCGTTTTGAACCGCATCCTCGCCCACGCGTTCTCTTTCAGCACGTACACCTCCTCTTTGCTCAACAACACCGGTAACCCGCGAGTGGAATCTTGTTGCCGGTAGCCGGGTAAAGAACCGAGCAAAGAACCAATGATGCGATACTTTTGCCGAACGATTTTGTATTCTCGGGCGGTCCAGAGTAACGCCTGCCCTGTGGTTTGAGCATCCTCGTCCTCGAGGTGGATTTCTACTCTCGCTTTTGCCTCTGAGTCCTCGTCGTCCTTTTCCTCCATGTTGCGTTTGGATTTTGACGCGTTTTGGCGGCATAATACAGAGCACTCGTTTATTGTTGTTTTGCGAACGACGCGAGAAAAAGACAGAGAATGTTCTTGTTCGGCGGGAAAAAGAACGAAGAGAAGAAGTCAAAATCATCGTCAACGTCTGCTTTCTCGATCACGAAAGCGGCGACGCCGGAACACACCAAAAACGGCGCGCAATTTCTCGTCTCGAAACGACCTGCGCAACCGATTTCGCAGAAAGATTTAGAGGAATACCAACGCGAAGAAAAAGAAGGGAGAGAGGCGAAAGTGGTGCAACTCGTCGGGAACGCGTTGATTGTGATTTCGTTCATCGTGAATTGGTTCAAGAAGAAGAGAGACGCGCGCAAAAAGGAGGAGAAGAAGAGAGAAGAAGAAGAAGAACTTAATTCGCCGACGATTGAGGAGCAATAAGAACTGTTTTGTTTCGATAGTAACATTCATCATCTCATGGCGGCTTTAAATGGCAACAACGCATTGAAAAACGCGCCTTTGTACGACCAGACGGTGACGTTTACGCACGGTGGTTTAGGACTCGGATTTGGTTTCACCGGCGGTGGGAGTAGTAACGGTGGCGGCGGCAACGGCGGCTTCGAAGTGGAGAGTCAAACGACGCGAATAGGCGGCGAGAAAAGACGGGTGGAGAGTTTGAACGTCGAGCGGGCGACTGGGTTAGGCGGCGATTTCATCGACGTGGAGGAGGAGGAGTACGAGGACGAGGATAAAGAACAGCATTTGATGACGATGAAGAAACGCGAGGAGAACGAGAGAGAGGAGGAGAAGAGGAAAGAGCGAGATTTGTTGGCCGGGAAGAGAGAAGGGAACGTCGGAAATGATAACGACGACAGAAATAACGATAGAAATAAGAATGATAATAGCAGTGGCGAGGATCCGCTCTGGTCGCCGAGAGGTACCGCGCAAAGGTTGAGGAATTTGAAATCACCTTTAGTGCGATTGCACGGAGAAATTGTGGATTTTTGTCGGTTTTTAGAACCAACGGAAGAGGAGGAGAAATCGCGGCTGGCGGCGGTAGAACGCGTGAGAGAGGCGGTGATGACGATATGGCCGAGCAGTAGGTTCGAGGTGCACGGCTCATTCGCGACGAAGATGTATTTGCCGTCGTCAGACGTGGATGCGGTCATCTTAGACTCGGGGGCAAAATCACCTGCGGTGTGTTTGAAAGCGTTAGCCTTGTACCTCGCCAGAAGAGGCGAGGCTACGAATATCCAGTTGATTAGTAAAGCAAGAGTGCCGATCGTAAAGTTCGAAGAGACGAAATCGGGCGTTCAATTCGACGTGTCGTTTGATGTGGCCAACGGACCGGCGTCGGCGGAAATCGTGAAGAGAAATACGAGACGGTTTCCAGCTTTGAGGCCTTTAACGACTGTTTTGAAATGTTTTTTATCGCAAAGAGGGTTGAATGAAGTCTATTCCGGAGGTATCGGATCGTACGCTTTGTTATGTATGATCATGACGTTTTTACAACTCCGAGAATCCATCGAAGCGTCTGAATGGGCCGGCGAACGCGGTCGAGAAGACGCATCGGAAGGGTGTTTAGGTACTCTTCTGATTGATTTCTTCGAATTGTACGGTCGAAAGCTCAACGCGGAAGAGATTGGCATTTCATGCGGCGACGCGGATAAAACAACCTCCACCAATCGATTCTTCGTCAAGAGCGAGAAGAACTTTTACGACGAACGACGACCGTTCTTACTCTCCATTCAAGACCCGCAAGACCCGGAAAATGATTTAGGACGCAACTCCTACGCCTGGCGAAGCGTCAAAGCGGCGTTTGAACACGCGTTTACGGTCATCACGGCCCCAGTGGGCGCGTCCAAGGAAATCTTCTTACTCGGCAGAATCGTAAAGATGGACACGGAGATGATGAAACACCGCGCGGCGCCGAAGGAAACCGGAGCCATCAGAGGCGTGTTTTCGGACTTTCAAAACTTCGTCGAGGCGAACAAAGAGCGAAGAGCCGGCGTCACGCCTCGTCAAAATGCGAGCAAGAAGAAAAAGCAAGGAGGAGTAGCGAAAGCGCAACCTAAAACGAAAGATGTCGCCGCGGAAGACCCGACGAACGAGAAAAAACGAGGCCGATGGGAAAAGAACGACTCTTCCTCTTCAGAGGAGGAAGAAGGCGCGTTAGAAATGAAAGGAACGATGATAGCGAACAAGAAGAGAAAGAGCAGCAAAGACCCGAACGCGCCGTTATTCGAAGTCATCAGCGTCGACTCTTCTTCATCCTCGTCTTCGTCAGAGGAGGAAGAAAAGAATCTCGAAGACGCCGTGAACGCCTACTCGGAAGACGCCGAGGAGGAGGAGGAGGACGACGACGACGACCGCGGCGGCGCGAATCCTCCTCGAAAGCAACAACAACCTAAAAAACGAAAATACGCGAAAAAGAAGAGCACCACAAAAAGCAGAGGACGAGGCAGTGGCGGAAGAGGAGGAGGAAGAGGAGGAAGAGGAGGAAGAGGGGGTTACTTTAGCAACAAGCGCACATCGTCGTGAGAATTTTTATTAAGAAACTTTTGAATTTTCTCATTGAAGTCTTCAAAAAAAATACGCGTAAGCATAAAATACTACTCGTAAACGCGTAAAGTCTTTGTCGTCGTCTTTGTCGTCGTCGTTCTCTTCGATGCGCGACGAGAACTCCTTTGACGATTATAACGACGATGCAACGCCGTCGTCGTCTTCGCGATATTCTCGTCGCAAACATCGGTATCGGAACGTATCGTCGTCGAGAGTAGAGGAGACGAACACCACCGAGAGTTTCTTCCGGGGCGGTGCGCAGCCGTACGAACAACATCCGCCGCCGCGAATCGCGGAGGAGGAAATCTCTCTTTTGTCGCCGCCTCTCCTAAACTCGTCGTCGTCGTCGAAACCGGTGACGGTGACGATAACGACGACGACGAGGAAAAAACAAACCCAACAACGGTCGAGGAAGAAAGCGAGTCCGCAAAGCGAAGAGAACAAAAAGAAGCGGATGAAAGTTTTTGATCCGGCGGAGACTTTGAACAGCGATGCGCAGAAAGACCTGGAGGAAATACACTTTTCGACGATGATGGTGACGACACCAAAGAAGAAGAAGACGATTCAGACGATTCAGACGACGAACGGCCAGTTAAGCCGCGGTTTTGTCGCGAAGAAGCACGGCGCCTCGCCGAGGAAAACGCCGAGAAAGAAGAAGAAGAACAGAAGAAGCGACGACCCGGAAGCGTCGACTTTAGAGGCGATGATAGAGTCCTTTCAGAGCGTGTCTATGTCTTGGCACGATATCAGAAGCGTCGATCTGAGAATGTTGAGGACGCGAAGACGATAGAGAAGTAATTCCAGATGCAATATACACACACAAGCACACATTTTTTTTACAGAATGATTTAACTACTCGCGCTTTCGCGCGTCCAACTACAAAACATCTCTCTCTCCCTCTCTTACCATCTCTTAGACTCTCTCTCCTGGGTCTCACTCGATCGTCTTCCTCGCCAACCGTCTCACCCTCTTATTATACTCCTTTTCCTCCTCGACCAACATCTTCGCCGCTTGCGGGTTGGCCGGACTATTCACGTTCGGGTCGCACAACAAACTCCTCACCGACGTCAACAAACTCGCCACCGAATGCACCGGACTCCACTGCTCTTGAATCGTATCCATGCACAACGTCCCATCCGAATATATGTTCGGATGGAACATCTCCGAGACGAACCGGACTCTCGGCGCGGAGGCTGGGTAGGAGTCCGAAAACGTCAAACGTAAGGAGAATATGCCGCCTTCCCAAGGTGAGTCTTGTGGGCCACAAATCGTCGCCGACCAGACGAACAAGTTATCGTCCGAGTGTGGGGACGCCGAACAGCCCTGCGTGGTATCGAGAAAAGAGGTACAGCGTGTCAGCGAAACGCGCATAAAACGAAGAACAAAACACGAACGAAAGCGTTTGTCAGACAACAACGAGATAAACATCTCACGTATTTATACCTCGGGCGGTTCGATCCGTATCGAACGCAAATCGGACTGTAATCTCAAACACGCCGACGCGGAGCTCGGACTGGATCCCAGAATGTTCACCTGCGGCTGAGACATCGAGGGAGAACTACTCGACGCCAGTATTCGTCTCCCGCTCATCTCTCTTTTAAATGAAGATTTTTCCCGAAAGAAGCGTCAGACGTTTCGTCGATTTTACGCGCGAAGAAGGTAAGAAGAAGAAGAAGAAGATACCACCACATTCTTCTTAAAGCAGAGCGCGAGGAAAACGAATCGAGGACGGAGCGTTTATCATGTCGCGAGCGCAGCTCCAAAGCGCGTACCCGAAACTGACGGAACTTTTTAGTAACAGTAGGAGTGATGACAACGGGAAGTTGAAGCCGACGCTCGAACGTCTGGTGGCGTCGTTTTCGTTTCCGTTTTCGTCCTCTGAGGAGGCAAAGGAGTGCGCGAAGAGTGGTGGTGGTCGTTTTCTTCTCACAGCAGACGGAGCACTGCTCGTGAGCTCGGTGTGCTTTGGCGCGTGCGCGTTAGTTTTAAGCGTCTCGATCCTGACCAGTCGGCCTTTATTGGTCCGGAAATCGGTGGTGAATTCGGAAAAACGAGTCGTTTCGGTGGATTACCAGAAAGCGGTGAGAGGCGATTTTGCGTTTGGTCTAGGGTTAATGTGGGTATCCGCGGTTTTGTTCATCTCTGGAATGGCGTTTTCGACGACTGTATCGTTCGTGACGGAAAGTTTACGCGAGGAGTTGTTGGCGTGCGTGTATTCGTTCGCGGCCAACGCCGGATTTTGTTTCTTGTGCGGGAATATCGCGCGGTTAGGGATAATAGACGATCGAGAGGAGAGGACGAATTTGGTCATTTTAGGGACAGTGATGACGACGTTGATGTTAATCAGTCATTTATTTCCGAAAATTTCCGAAGGAAGTGGTAAAGCTGGGTGGTTTTGCGAGATTTGGTCTTTCGCGTGGTGCGCGTTGGCGTTGGCGGCGAATTTGGGATTAAACTGCGCGGTGGAGTTTCGCGGTGGATTCACAAGTTGGGACGCTTTTTATGGATTAACGTCCGGGAGTGGTGCTGGATTGATGTATTTCGCGATGGCATCGCCGTTATGGTTGGGGAAGTGTTTCGGTACGGCGTTGTTTTTGATTGGTTTCGCGTGTCATGTTTTAGGCGCCGCGACGAGGCACTGGGTCACTCGATATTCGACAACCGCAAAGGAGGAAGGCGAGGAAGAGGATAAATCCGTGGCGATGGCGAAGAAAACCGAGTAAAGTAGAGTAGCCGGTCGTCGCCTTCGGTTCGCGAAACTAGTATTTTAGGACGTGTTGAATAGTGATACCATAATAGTGTTGTCAGTTTTTAAATACTTCTTTTTTTTCATCGACCTACTTCTTTTTCAAAAACGCGCGTTCCGCTAAATCGATGCTTCGTCCAAGCGCGGCAGATTTGTTCACCGTTTCTTGGTACTCGCTCTCTGGATTTGAATCCGCGACGATACCAGCTCCGGCTTGGACGTGGATCGTCCACTCGTCTCCTTTCTTTTGTTTCGTCGGAACGACCATCGTTCGCAGCGCCAACGCGATATCCATCTCGCCTGCGAAACCGACGTAGCCAATGCCGCCGCCGTACGGTCCACGCTTGGATACTTCCAAATCGTCTATGATTTGCATCGCTCGAACTTTCGGTGCACCAGAAACGGTACCGACGGGTAAAGCTGCGCGCAACACATCCCAAGGATTCAAGTCTTCGATCAGCTTTCCAGTCACCGTGGACGAAATATGCATGACGTGTGAATATCGTTCAATTTCCATGAGCTTTTCAACTTTAACGGTGCCCATTTGCGAGACTCTTCCGACGTCGTTCCGTCCTAAATCCACGAGCATGACGTGTTCCGCTCTTTCCTTCTCGTCCGCCAACAAATCTTCTTCTAATGCGAGATCTTCGGCTTGCGTTTTACCTCTCGCTCGAGTCCCGGCTAAAGGTCTGTTCACCACCGTTCGCGAATCGTCCACGCGACACAAAATCTCCGGCGACGATGCGATCAATATGCAATCTTTACCTTGGTAATAAATCATATACGGCGACGGATTCACCACTCTCAACGCCCTGTACACTTCAAACGGATCAACTTTCGTTTTTCTCTCGAACCTATGGGACAACACCAACTGAAAAATATCGCCGGCTTTGATGTGTTCCTTCGTCGTCGCCACGGCGTCTAAAAAGCTCTCTTTGCTCATGTTTGAATCCTTCATTGGCTCTGGTTTCCCACTTAAACGCATGTCCACACTTCCAAACGGAATCGTGCCCATCGTTTCTGGCTGCAACTCTTTCATTAAATCGTCTAATCCTTTGATGCCTTCGCTATACGCTTTCTCGGCGTCGACGGTGCCGTCTTTGCTGGTGTAATCTTCCAGCATCACCCATTTTACTCCATACACTTGCTTCGTCGCGTGATCAAAAACGATGACTTCTTCGTACAAACCCATGTGCACGTCTGGTAAATCTCGATCGTCTTGTTCTCGAACGTTATCGAACGGCAACTTATTGATGTATTGATACCTGACCGTGTCGTAGCCGGCGAACCCTACCCAACCGCCGGCGAACGCGTCCGGTAAATCTGGATGTTTCGCCGGTTTCCAGTGTTCCCCAAGTTTTGCCATAACCGTCATCGGGTCCTCTTCGAAATAGTCCTCCTTATTCTCCTCCGGTTTCGCGTGGTTCATAATCCTAACTCGATTTTCGCTCGCCAACACTTCAACTTTCGGCCGGCGACCGAGAAACGAGTACCGCCCAATTTGCGTCCCACCGACGACGGATTCGAACAAAAACGACGGCGCTTCCCTCGCGTCGTCTTTCACGAGCAGCCGATACGCTAAAATCGGCGTCAGTTGGTCGTCGAAAATTCTCCTAAACACCGGAACCACGTTCGCTTTGTCTTTTTCCACCGCAGAGAGAAACGTATTTTTACGGTCGAGTTCGAACGCGTCGTCGTCATTGGAAGAGGCGTTGTTCGTCTGCTCTTTTTGCGCGGCGGCGGCAGCAGCAGCGTTGACAGACGTTCTTCTCGAAGAGAGATGATTTCTCGTCACAAACCGCCCGCCTCTTCCTCCTCCTCCTCTCGCTCGGACATCACCTCGACTTTGGTGATTCTGAAGTGAAGATTGATTTTTATGCGAGTACGACGACGACGAAACGTTTTTCGACGCCGTCTCGAATCGTCTCGCCGCGTTGTTTAACAGCGTCGACGACGACGCGCTGCTCAATGCTTCCATTCGTAGTATATTTGTTGCCTCTCGCAACGAGTCGGCCGTTGTGCGCGCGTAAATATGAAGCGAGGAAACGACTCTATCCAAAATCGGAGCCCCCTTATTTAGGGTTTATTATGCTACCCTAAATTGAAAGAACGATTGGATTTTCTCACATGACTTTCTCCTCATTAAGCAATCACATCTCGGCTGTTTTTGTCGTCGTCGTCGTCGTCGCTTTGAAAGAAAGGAACGTCTAAAGTCTCTCTCTCTCTCTTCCGTCGAAGAACTCTTTTTTTGCGTTCTCTTGTTGCGCTTTATACACGTTTTGAAGGAGAAAGAGGAAACAACATGTCGTCAAAAAGTCTGCGACAGAGAAGCGTCTTTAACAAGAAGGCAGCTTCGAAGACGAAGAAAGAGACGAGAAAAGTGACGGAAGAAACAGAGGAAGAAGAAGAGGATGAAAAGAAGTTCTTCGAAGAAACCGTGGTCACGTCGACGTTGTTCCACTCCGCGAAGTTCGAAGGGAAGGAAAAGTTACGATTCGTTCGAGAACTGTTCAATCGAATCGCGAGGAATTACGACTTCATGAACCTTTGGATTTCGTTAGGTGGCACCTCGTATTGGCGCTTGCGAGCGCTGAGGAAGTTGAACTTACGATTACACGGGAAAGTGTTAGACGTCGGGTGCGGGTCTGGAATTTCCACTCGACGGGTTTTGAAAAGGTATTCCGGGATATGCGTGGCGTGCGAAGGTTTAGATCCGTCGAAAGAGATGATTCGCGTGGCGAACGCGAAGAATCGAGACGCGAGGGCGACGTATACGGTCGGGAACATTGAGAATTGCGACGAGATGTACAAAAAAGACACGTTTGATTGCGTGGTGACGGTGTACACGTTGCGGAATTTCGCGGACTCGCAGTTGGCGATTTGGCAGATGATGCGGGTGTTGAAACCGGGAGGGAAATTGGTCGTCGTGGACGCGTTTCCTCCCAAAATCCGGCTCGCGAAGATGATTTTAAAGTTTTGGTTGGAATATATCATGCCGATCGTAGCTTTGATTTTCATACGGGAGAAAAAAGATAGGAAGGCGTACAAGTATCTCTCCAAGTCTATTCAAAACGCAAAGTATACTCCGGAGACGTTCGTGCACGCATTAGGGAACATGGGCGGCGTGAATATGAAGGTGAAGAAGTACATGTTCGGCGCGTGTTGTCGCATCGAGTGCGAAAAGAATTTCGTGAAAAGAGACGAACACGATCCTTTGAAAAGGTATAAACGAGACGAGAAAGATTTGTTACCATATTACGAACCGGTGGAGTGGATGGATATGGTTTTACCTGTAATAATTTGCGTCGCGTTGAGCGTCGTGTTTTCGAACTGGTTAATGGGATTAGACTTGAAGATTTGAAACGTTTAACCGGTCCACTTTAAAACTAAGAAGACTAAATCCACGCAGTGTTGGCTCCAGACGCATAATGCGGCGTTTGTGGCGTTGTTGTTTGTGGCGGGCTATTTGGTTTGTTTCTATTATTGTTATTAGTGTTGCGTTGATTCTCTTTTGTTCGTCGCCGTCTTCGATCGACGCTTTCGGCGAAGAGCCAGATGTTTGTAAAGATTTCTTCCGGTCCTTCGCCCGATGTGGTACTTTTTCCCACGAATATTTTTAGTCGGTTGAACTTCTCTCGCACCTTTCTAGCTAGCTCGTCTACGATTTCCTGTTCTTTCGCGACATCGCACAGGTGTTCTAAGCGTTCCTTCTTTAAATTCACCACGTTTTTCCGAAACGATTCATATCGGCTTTCTAGTTCGCCTCGGGCGAAGCGCATGGCGCGTTCGCAGTGTTTCAGATTTTCGCGCAACGAATACGTGTCATTTTGCTTATCCTCAATAGTATCACTGTCATCTGCGACATCGACGACAACTTCCAACAAATTTTCCGGTGGCCGTATCAATGTCGGCGTGTCCGTATTTTTATTCGTCGTAGTCTTAACATTCGCAAACAACAACAAAGATTCCAAGGCGAAACCGTTCGCGTCGCCACGGATTGTCCCCTCGTTTAATACGTTACCGCAATATAAAGCGTGTTTCAAAATATTGCGTAAATCGTTTGAGCTTAACACCTCGTCGCAAGCGTTTTCTACCACTTCAAAGCAAGAGCGTAAGTCGCGAGCGAGCTCGCTAAACTGCCGCGCAAACATGAGCGCTCGAAGGCGATGCTCCAAGTTTGGTATCGTGCACATCTTTCGGAGAAATTGTTCTGGTTGAGATAACGGATTTTCGATATTTTCATCGTCGTTAGCGTTGTACTCCTTAAACAATAAAAGCTCCTCTTCGTTCGGCACGCACTGGATGAGTATTTGTAACTTGTCGATGTCGAGCTCTGACGACGCGCATTGAATCATATCGACGATAGATTGCGGGTCTTGCGCTGCTTTCCATCTACTCAGAACGATGGAAATATTGTTCGCTCGCTTCAATGGAATCAGTTTCGGCATGCCACGTTCCTGTTTTTTCGCACTATTTTCCTCATCGAGTGGTTTTTGTTGCTTCGTTGGTTTCGCATCAAACGCTTCATATACTTTCTTCCGTATCTTTTCTCGCTTCTTCTCGTCGATATCGCCGCTGGCAGTAAACCACGTGTCAATAGTGACCGGTAACTTCTCCCAAAAGATTTTTCGGAGCGTGTTTGTCACAGGTTTCTTCTTTAAAAGTGTCGGTGTTGGCACCTGAGTATTCCGAAGACTGAGTTTTCTGCCGGGCGGCGCGGGAGGCGGCGGCGGTATTGCTCCCGCTTTGTTCTTTGGTACTGGTGGCGCCGGGGGTGCTCGCGGTGGTGCTGGCGGTGGCGGTGGCGGTGGCGGTGGCGGTGGCAGAGGGGCTCCTTTTGATGCAACTTTAGAGACTGCCGCCGGCGGCGGTGGTGGCGGTGGTGGTGGTGGTGGTGGTGTCGAAGGGAGAATCGATTTTTGCTGCTGGGACGATATCGATGGCACCTTTGGAGGAGGAGAGAAAGGCGGCGGCGGAGGAGGAGGAGGAGGAGGAGAGTCGATGAGTATCGTCACGTCTAAGAAGAAATTCTTCGGTAAAAGCGCGGACATGTTCGCGCCACTATCACCCGTCCCGCAGTGGTCGATATCATTTAGATGAAATCGCGTGACGCCGTGTTTCGCCATCGCCACCGCGTGCGACCAGGCGAGGCAAATTGGACGTTTTTCATCAAATTCTCTATTTCCCGTCCAGTGATACACGCATACGAAGAAATCAGACGTGAGACGCACGCCTTTCTTATACACGGTTTCGGTGTATTCGCCGTTTTTATTCAAACACGAGCCTTCATAATCTCTCGCTGCGGTGTTTTCCGATCGTAACTCGACGCTTTTCGGCGTTTGAAACATCTCGAAAGGAATAGGGGAGCCGTTCGCGCTGGAATGAAAGTCTGGACCGAACTGTGTCGCGGAGAACAAACTTCTCCCAATTTCTCTGTTGCGCCCATCTCTCACCACGCAATATAATCGTGACCCGCCTTTGCCGTCGCAGGAAATCCCGCCGGAAATGACGACACGTTTTAACGTTATTTTCTCACCATCGTTACTACTCATTAAAATCGCATCTTCGAAACCGCTTTCAATTCTCCTCGCTCGCGTTTGCAACCACTGGCCAATTCTCCTTTGCGTGTTTGTCAAAGTAAACGCACGCTTATCTCGAAATCTCTTCGTGCTCTCCTTTGCGGACATCGGCGGCGGCGCGATTTCGCAATAAGCATTTTCTATTGATACGTCGCCTTTCCCGGAAGCCACGATGGACGCGCACGCGATGAATCGCAAGACGTTTATCGCCAAGGACCGCTTCCTAATCCGTTCATTTTTCCTTTCCTCTTTTGCAGACGCCGTGGCCGCGTAATAATTCTCTTTCGTCGCCACGTCGTATCTTACCCCACCTTTTCGATACAAATCTTCTTGTCGCGTCGTCGCGTCGTCGATAGCGAAATGAAGCGCGACTACCGGCTCGCTCGAAATCGCCATCCACTTCTCGATCGTGCTCGCGATGGACACCAACGTATCCAACTCGACGACGTTCGCGAACGGGATGCACTCGTCCACGATAAACTCAACTATAGGCGCGTCTCGAAACGCGTCGTACAACGACTCGTCTTCATCTTCTTCATCCTCTCGTTCCGAACGAGATATCTTCGACAGCGCGTGTTGCCGCTCGCAAAACGCTCGAGAGGCGAGGTTGACCAACACGACGTCCGTTGACGACGACGACGCGTCACCCCGTCTCTCGCTTTCCATGTCACCATTTTCCATCGACGTCGCAAATAAACCTTTCCGTTCCATCCACGCTCTCGCGCTCGCGAACTCGTTCTTTTTCTTCTTTTTCTTCTTCTTCCTCCTCCCGTTCCTCTCCGCGTTCTCTCCTTCTTCCTCTTCTTCAAAGTCGCCTCTGGTTGCAAAGGCAACCACGTGGTTATTCAAACGAAACGGTTCGGCTACGAACGCACCTCCTCTTTCCTCCTCTCCGTCCTCCTCCTCGTCGTCGCTACCCCTTCCTCCGCTGGATGTTAAAGACATCCTTCCGAACGGACTGACCATGCTGATGCGCGCTGGTGTTAGTGTTCTTCTTTTCGCATCATCATCGTTCGGCTTCCAAGTCCTCCGCGTATTTTTTTCTTCAAAATCGTCGTCTTTCTCGTCGTCTGAATCGTTTTCGTCGCTTCTCCTCCTCGAAGACGAAAAATTCCTCTCCTTTTCTTCCTCCTCCTGGACGTCTTCTTCGTCTGGTTTCGAAGGTCCGCTGCCCATTATTCGTATTATTCGTATTATATTCTTTCTCGATTATAAATTGTGTCGTTTTTGCGTTTTTTTTCTTTCTTCTCTCTTTTGACTGAAAACAGTTGACATTTTTCTTTTTCCTTTCTGTGTACAAGCAAAGAGACGCCAAAAAACACAACTCTCTCTCTCTCTCTCTCTCTCTCTTTCTCTCTCTCTCTCTCTCGTACATGCGCGTTGCTGCTACAGGACGCGTCGCCTCTCTCTCAGCGATGACGATGAATTCAAACGATACTGCGAACGAAAATAAAAAGATGACGAGCACGAAGAAAAGAAGAGTGTGCGCGTTACACGGCCGAGGCGGGAGCGCGAATTCCTTCTCCAATTTCCTCCAAAAGATAGTCGAGGAAACGGAAGACACGGTAGAGTGGACGTTTTTAGACGGCCCGATCGACGAAGGGAAAATGCACAAGTTTACCGGGAACGCGAACGGGAAAGCGTTGGCGTGGTGGGTGTTGCCGGCGAACACGAGAACGTACTCGGCGGAAGTGTTGGACGGCATCGAAATGAGTTGCGAACGAGTGACACGAGAAGGGCCTTTTGATTGTTTGATTGGTTTTTCGCAAGGCGCGACGCTGAGCTCGGTGTTGTGCGCGAGGAAGTGCGGGTGCGACGAGGAGAGGAAACAATTCGAGAGCGTGGTGTTAGTCTCTGGAGCGAGACCTGGGGTTGGAAAGGAGTGGGAGCGAGTGCAAAAAGAGGCGAGATTTGGCGCGAAGAAGAGTTTGCACGTCATCGGGGAAACCGACGCCATCAATCCGAAAGCGTTGGGGTTCGAGTTGGCGGAGTGTTTTGGAGGGGAGGAGTTTGGGAGCGAAATCGTGACGCACGAGAGAGGGCACATTGTTCCAATAGACGAGGAGAGGATCGTGAAGAAGATCATAGAGACGTTGACGGGTTCGTAGAGTAGTCGAGTAAACAATTGTATTTCTAGTCGCGGATGGATTCTATCATCGTTATTCTATATCAAATAATTTGTGTATGGTCATCATCTTAAAGTCTAGCGTGCGAAACTTCCGGAGGCGGTTTCCACATGCGTTTCCTAGTGAAACTTTCAAATCCGTCTCGTTTAGCCTCCGAAAGTTCTTCTTGGGTCATTCGCCCGGTTCCGTCTTTGGTCATTTTTTCAATCACGTTGGCGGCTATCTTCGCAGTCACGTCTTCAATCTCCGTAAAGTCTGGAAATAAATACCCTCGGTCGATGTCATCGTTCGAAGCTAACGAAGCTAACGTTTCTGCGGCGACTAAGAAGTGGTCGTCCGTAATTTCTTTACAATCCGCGACGACCGAAGCTAATCCAACCGCCGGGAATACGTACGCGTTGTTCGCTTGCGCCGGGAAGATTTCCACTCCATCTTCCCGTCTCACGACGCTCGGGAACGGACTTCCACTCGCAAAAATCACCTTGTCGTTACTGTATTTCATCGCGTCTTCAAACGTACACTCGGCTTTACTCGTTGGATTACTCAACGGGAAAATAATCGGTCGTTCGTTCAAAGCGCTCATGGTTTCGATGACTTCCTTATCGAACGCGTTGTGTATCGTCGAAACGCCAATCAATGCCGTCGGTTTGAGCTTCGTAATGGCAGTTTTCAAATCTTTTACCGGTTCGTACTCGTGCGCGAACGGTATTTTGTGCGGTTGTAACTCGTGTAACCTCGATTTTACGACCAATCCTTTCGAGTCCATGAAAAAACACCTTCTCTTGGCCTCTTCGTGCGACAATCCGCCGCTCTTCTCCAAAGCTCTCACGACTAACTCACCAATCCCAACCCCGGCTTCACCTGCACCGTAGAACAGAACCGTTATATCCTTCAACGCTTTTTTCTGCTCTCTCAACGCCGCCTCTAACGCGGCTAACGTCACGCACGCCGTCCCTTGAATGTCGTCGTTAAAACACGGTTGCACGCGTCGGTGATTCTCCAACACCCGGAACGCGTTCGCGTTTCCGAAATCCTCAAACTGTATCAAACACGACGGTTTTTGCATCCTCATCTCTCTCATGAACTCGTCCACTAACTCATCGTACATCTCCCCTCTTATTCTATTCTCTCTCAATCCTCTGTACTCTTCGTGCGCTCGCAACGCTTCGTTCTCCGTCCCTACGTCGATGCACACCGACATCACTTTCCTCGGGTCCACCCCGCCAAACACGGTGTATAACATCGACTTCCCCTCGCAAATACCCATCCCGTTCGCGCCTAAATCGCCTAAACCTAAAATCCGTTCCCCGTCCGTCACCACCGCGACTTTCACGTCCTCCTTATCTTTCTCCTCGATGAACTTTCTCAATTTCGCGCCAACTTTACCCACGTCTCCCTTGTTAATGAATAACCCAAAACTCGTTTTCGTCGCCGGCAACACGTGGTACTTCTCGCACGCCTCCCCCACCGTCGGTGTGTACACGAACGGTAAGCATTCCATCGCGTTCGCGGCTAAAACGCGATACAACGTTAACGGTTCCGCGCTTTGTAAATGGCGAAGGAACGAGTACTTTTCAATCGGGAGGAGTTTCGAGCGGAAGGTTTTCAACGCCGAGGCAGAGGCTGCCATGATGATTTTACTTTGGTTTTTCGCGCTCTCTCGTTGCTCTCTCTCCCTCTCTCTCTCTCTCTCTCTCTCTCTCTCTCTCGCTCTCCCTTACTCTCTCGTCGTCCTTGTTCTCGTTCTTCTTGAGTTTCGCGGATATCCGCGAATGGATAAAAAAAGTGACGACGACGGCTTCACTTTTCCTCCGTTTCTGTTTATGAATAACGCGCACGTACACACACACAAAAACGAGGAGGCACGACTCAAAAGTCATCATAAATGAGCGAATGCGCCGATGCTTTGCAGAAAAGCAACAAAAAGTCCGTATCCATATCCGGGTGGCACGTGCATTCGACGAAAAGCAACTCCATAATGGGCCAAAGGGAAATCACATCGGTCGAGGAAACCGTCCGCACGAAACACGTTCCGGAGATGATGTTCAACTCAGAGTTGCGTTTAAAACACGCGCAAAGCGAGGTCGAGTTCACGTTCAACGCGACCGAGGCTTTAAAAGAGTGGATGTTAGCGAAGAACGAAGTCATCAAGGTGAAGAATAGCGAACGGTGGATGCAGTTGCACTTGGAGAGATACGGAGGAAAGAAGACGGAGGAGGAGGAGAACAAAAGGGAGGAAGGGAAGGAAAAGAACGAAGAGACGCAAAGCGAGAGGACGACGACGGTGTTAGATATAGACGAGTTAGCGAAAGAGGGAAGCAGTTACGATTGGACGTTCACGACGCCGTATCGAGGGACGACGACGGTGCGCGGCGAGGACATTGGAGGAGGAGAAGGAGGAGGAGAAGGAGTGAACAGTAGCGAATTAAATTCCAATACCAACATTCGGTGGAAACCAACCGAGGAACATTTAGATATGGCGTTGCTCACTCGAAGAGACCCGATTGAACTGTTCGACGAGATTTCGCTGTACGAGTCCGAGTTGGACGACCACGGCGTGTCTTCGCTCTCGGTGAAAATCAGAGTCACCGAAAGCTGCTGGTTCTTGCTGCTCCGTTTTTGGTTGTGCGTGGACGGCGTTCTCATTCGTTCTCGAGAAACGCGTTTATGTTGCGACTTGAGACGGCGTCGCGATGCAACCACCGCAAAAGCCGGTGCCGTCGTCCTCCGAGAAACGCGCCTGCGCGAGGAAACCTGGTCGCAGCTGAAAGACCGAGGCGCCTCGACCGACGCGAAGCAGTACAAGGACGCCGAAGCGGCGGCGTCGGTGTTGCTCGCCGGCGGAGGACCCGTCCGCGTCGTCAACGAAAAGCTGGAAATATATTAGTGTAATAATCGAAATAGATAGCGCGCCGCCATATGATAACAAAACGCATTGCACTAACTGCACACATTCAGGTCGTCCTCGCTCCTTCTTCTTCTGGTACTAAACTAAAGAGTTTGGAACGTATACTTAACTCCGTAGTAGGACGTTAAACTACTCTCTCTGAGTCAGAAAAATTTTTGTCCAAAGAATCAAAATCTCCGAAAAACAAGGCGGAGGACGGACCTCTGGAAAAGAGATAAACTCGAGAAATTCATCATCGGCTCTCTCTCTCGTTTCCTCATATATCGCACTCTACATACACATATTTACGAATTATGTCTGCTTTATCCATGACGACCGCCGTGACGGCGAAAGTTGCCATCGCCGGAAAATCGGTCGTTTCCAAGAGAAACGTCGCCGCGGCGCCGAGCAAGAGAGGGCAATTGGTACGCGCGCGCTCATTTAGTTTTTTACTCGCATTTTCGGCACGTCGTAGACGAGGGGCGATCCTTTTTCTAGCGGCTCTCTGTGGTATCTTTTCGAAGAAGATTCTCGCGCATACGTTGTTTTGCGCTTTTACGCGGAACGAGTGCACACATCTCTGCGCGCACATCGTTCGTGGATGCGTTTCTGTCGCGAAAGAGTCCTTTTCGTGGTCGCGTTCGCGCGCGCGGATGCGTTTTTCGCGCACAAGGCTCGTTATCGATTAATCTCTCCCTTTTCTCCCTCTTCGGCGGTGAGAGAGAGAAAAAAGGAAGATTTTTAAAGGAGCGCGTTGGTGGGAAAAGATTACTCCCCGACGACGACGGGCGCTTCGAGAGGCGCGCCTTTATGTAACGAAAAGACGAAGATTACGCGCGCTCCTGCCTTTCGATGTGGTCTTTATCATCGATTCTTCTCGGAAAGAAAGCACAAGAAGCCTCTTAAGAATTTGCTCACCACCCTTTTTTCCCTATCTTTTTCTCCACAGGTTATCCAAAATGCCTCCCAAAAGGAGATGCGCGATCGCATCGCCTCGGTCGGCTCCACGAAGAAAATCACCGATGCGATGAAACTCGTCGCCGCCGCGAAGGTGAGAAAAGCGCAAGATGCCGTCATCAACGCGCGTCCGTTCTCTGAACAACTCGTCAAGGTTTTGTTTGCCATCAACGGCAAGTTGCAAGGCGAAGACGTCGACGCGCCGTTGTGCGCCGTCAGACCGGTCAAGACGTGCTTGATCATGTTGTGCACCGGTGACCGTGGTTTGTGCGGTGGCTACAATAACTTTGCCATCAAGAAGTGCGAAACTCGTGTTCAAGAGTTGGAAGAGCAAGGCGTCAAGTGCAAGTTGATTTTGGTTGGTAAGAAGGCGAACACGTACTTCAAGAGACGCCCGCAATACACCGTCGTGAAGGGCTTCAACATGGGCCAATCGCCGACGACGCAAGAAGCGCAAGCGGTTGCGGATGAAATCTACTCTGAGTTTGTTGGTGAAGAAGTCGACAAAGTCGAATTGGTCTACTCGAAGTTTGTCTCTTTGATCGCGTCCGAGCCGATCATCCAAACTTTGTTGCCGTTGTCCAAGGAGGGTGAAGTTTGCAACTCTGAGGGACAATGCATTGACGCGAAGAACGATGAAATCTTCCGATTGACCTCCGAAGATGGCCAATTGGTCGCGAAGAGCGAAAAGGTTGAGACGGAAACCGCGCAGTTCGAAGGTGTGATGCAATTCGAACAAGAACCGAACCAAATCTTGGACTCCATCATGCCGTTATACATGAACGGTATCGTCTTGAGAGCGTTGCAAGAATCTTTGGCGTCTGAGTTGGCGGCGCGAATGAACGCGATGGCGAACGCCTCTGACAATGCCAAGGATTTGAAGAACAGATTGAACAAGGAGTACAACCAAAAGCGTCAAGCCAAGATTACCTCGGAGATTATTGAATTGGTTGCGGGTGCCTCCGCGCTCTAAATTTCTTCTCCGGGCGAAGTAAGAGAGAAAATAAATAAATAAATAAATTGCAGAGGAAATAGTAGAGAGAAAATTGGGAGATGATTTATGACGGAGCGAGAGCGAGATAGTCATAATATATATATATATATAAAAGGAGAAGGGAGGTGTTAGTCACTACGATACAACATTAGAATTTGAGTTTTAAAAGAACCACGTACACGCGTATATTTTAAATTGTACTTGTATTGATGCGTTGCACTTATCGTGTGTCTCTCTTGTTATTTCAATCTTCTTCTCCTTCTAGTTTCACAGTAGCAGTAGTAGTAGCAGCAGTAGTAGTAGTAGTAGCAGGTAAGTTATATCGTTGTTCAGAGCGCTCTCTCGTTAGACGCCTTCGACGACTCCGTCGACGACGTGAACGACGCCATTTGAAGCCATGACATCCGTGGCGATGACTTTAGCGCCTCCGATGTACAAGTCATCTCCCTTTTTCTCAGCAACAACTTTTGCACCAAGCGTATCGAGTTCAATTGGTCCATCCGCCACCGCGGCCAACGCGTCCTTTGCCAACAGCCTGGTCCCGAGAACATGTCTCTTGAGAATGTCTGGGAGCGTTGGCGACGCTAACGCTTCCTCCGCGCTCAAATTATTCTCTTCTAACCAATTTTCAAACGCAGAATTTACCGGCGCAAAAATTGTAAACGGGCCATCTCCTTGAATCAACTCCACGATGTCCGGTTGCGTGGAGACTGCTGCGTTGAGCAGGGTAAAGTCCGGATTCGAACTCGCGATTTCCAGCAAAGACGGTAAATCTTCGGAGACTGGCATCGGTTCGAGCGGCGGCATCGCTTCCTTCTCCATATCGTCGCCACTTGCCACCACTTCTTCTCTTTCCTTCATTTTCTCCTCGTACTCTTTACATGTCTCCGCATTGGCTGGTTTCTGTGTATATTTAAAGAGAGAAAGTATTCGTAAGTTCGCCGGAAATATTCGCTCGTAGTTCGCGTATCTTATCCTCTCGGAAAGAGAACAGCGCGACAGAAATTTTTGCGCGCTTTGCGCGAATCAAAACAGACGACGAGAAAACGAATCGTCGGCACTCACGTCGCAGAACCATTCCACCCACTCTTTCCTCCAAGTGTCGATGTTTTCTTCCACGTAATCTAACCATTGATCCGGAAATCGCATGCGAGGTGAAATCATGCGATAACAAGATAATCTTCTTGCACGACGAGTTATTGAATCCACGTGGTTGTGAATGCCTTCAATGTGCGACATGACGTGATCGTGAACCATCGCGTGATGGTCGGCATGTCTCGATTCTTGCGCGTGGACGAAGGAAACGAGGAAAATGGCGGCGACGAGCGCGCGTGCGAGGCGATGTTGGAACATAGCGTGTTGTTGTTATATTCTCGGATCGAGTATTTTTATGACGTTGTCGATGTCACATGTTTCTCTCTGCGACGTGTCACGTTTAAACGAGAGGCTAAGAACTACTCTAATATATTCTCTCGGAATGCGCTAATCTATGTTATTCTTTTTCTCTAGGGATACCCGTAATTTGGTAAAGATGTAGGCGAGTGGCACCGTTTCCTTCCCAACTCAATCGCGCCCTTCTTGCGACTCCCTTTACTAATTTTCACCTCGAACACGCGTCTCCATTGTTTCCCGGTGACGAAAATGCGGTCGCGTCGTTCGTCGTACGCGATTCCGTTCATGACACTTCCAACGTTGTCTTGCAGTTTCTTCAACCCGGTAAAATCGATCCAACCGAGAACTTTTCCGGTGCGTTCATCGATTCGCGCCACGCACTCTTTTTCTAAAATGTTTGCCCAAATTTCACCTCTGACCGCTTCGAGTTCGTTCGGGAACCTCTGTTCGACGCCGTTATCGTGAACTGTGATAAAGCCTATGGATTCACCTTTGTTCATATCGAATAACGTCAAATGCGCGGTGCCGTTCGAAATGACTATGACCCCTTCTCTTTTCGACGAAGTTACGCCCCATCCGTCGCGTAAATCCGTGTTGAACATCTTTTGTTCGCCGCTTTCCTCTTGGAACAACAACGCGTTGTTCTTCTCCTCTACTTTTCCTCCGATGTCCTTAATCTCGTGAGTAAACGCTCTCGAACTCTTCCACACTAACTGAATTAAACTATTCTTCTTCGCCCTTTTCGTCTCCTCTCTCATAAAAACTAACCCTTCTCCAAACGCCGATTCCGGTATCGTCTTCAATTCCAACACTTCGCCCGTCTCGATATCCGCGCGTCTCACATCCGATAACTTCCCGTGAGGCACGGACCCAGTGGACTCGAAAAAACTCCCACTCGCAGAGTGATACAAAAACCCTTGCGTGAACGCGTTCGTGTCGTGCGGGTACGAGTTCACGATTGAATACGTGTGATATTCGATATCCGACGAAATTTCTTTCTCTTCCTCGAACGCCTCTCGTAAAAACTGGTTCGTCACGTGGTCGTCCTCCTTTTCCTCTTCCGATGATGATAACGATGATACCGCAGAACGCTCTTCTCGACGAAAAGCGAGGAGGAGTACAAACGTCGCGACTAAGAGCGAAAGAACCGCAAAAGTCGTTTTAAAAACGCCCCCACGTCGCTTCGAAATCGTCGTCCGGATTGATGATTTTTTCCCCATGATGGATTCGTTTCAAGCGTCAAGAAGTCAGGAAGAAGAAGAAGAAGTCCGTCCCTTCTCGCGGTTGTTCACGCTCAGAAACAACTCCTCCTCCTCCTCCTCCTCCTCATCGTCGTTAAAAACGAGAGAGTTTAGAGTTCTTTAATGTTGTTTCTCTGGCGACAAAAAGTGACGCGAGCGTCATAAAAAACGCGCGGAGAAGTAATCTCACACACGCACACTCTCTCTCGTTTTCTGTCCTAAAGACAAAAACATGTTCGTGCTGCAGGAAGATCTTTGCGCGTGCCCGGACATCGCGTGCCCACCGTGCGTGCGAAAAGTCGTCTATAAACACGTCCCGGCGTTGACGAAAACATTCCTTCACGACTTTCCGAGATTTGAAAGATTTCTCGTCGATTTAAAATTGGACGAGTTGACGAGGATGGATTTTGTTCTGGTCGCGATGAGCGCGTTTCTCGCGTACGCGGTGTACCAATCCATCGAGAATTACTTCTTCGTCCCGTCGATCGCAGTTGGGTTGACCGACGAGGAAAGGAAAGGGAAAACGGGGAAGAAATGGGTACCAAACTCGCCTTTTCCTGAAAAATCTGTGCCGTGTTACGACCCAGGGTCGCTGGACGTTTTAGGTCCGGACGTACCGGCGATGACGAGAGAAGAGGTGAAAGAGAAGATTCAGCTGGCATCAAAGGCGCAAAAGGAGTGGGCGAAATCGTCGTGGAAGCAACGGAAGTTTTTGTTGAAGATTATCCGTAAATTCGTCGTCGAGAACCAGGACGATATTTGCGTGGTGAGCGCGAGAGATTCCGGGAAGCCGCTGGTCGACGCCGCGTTCGGGGAAGTCATCACGACGTTAGAGAAGATTCGATGGTTGTTGCGAGAAGGAGTGTATTGGTTGAAGCCGGAGAGAAGAAGTTCCGGGGCGATGATGTTTTACAAAAAGGCTACGTTGGAGTTTCATCCAGTCGGGGTGATGGGCGCGATCGTGCCGTGGAACTACCCGTTTCATAACGTCTTTAATCCGTTGGTGGCGAACGTATTTGCCGGGAACGCGTTGGTGGTGAAAGTTTCCGAACACGCGAGTTGGTCCAGTCAGTATTATGGTCGGGCGATTAAGGCGTGTTTGAAAGCGGCGGGCGCGCCAGAGGATTTGGTTCAAATCGTCACGGGGTACGGCGAAGCCGGAGAAGCGATCGTCAACGGCGGATGTCAAAAAGTTGTCTTTGTCGGGTCAACGACTGTGGGGAGGTTGGTCATGAAATCTGCCGCGAAAACGTTAACGCCGGTTGTTTTAGAGTTGGGCGGTAAAGACGCGTTTATCGTTTGCGAGGACGCGAACTTGAACCAGTGCGTGCCGATGGCCTTGAGAGGGGCGTTTCAATCGTGCGGTCAAAACTGCGCCGGCGCGGAGAGGTTTTACGTCCACGAGAAAGTCTACGATGAGTTTGTTTCCCGAGTGGTTCAAACTGCGAAAGAGTTGAGACAAGGCCACGCGTTGAAAAACCCTTTGATGACTGATTGCGGCGCCATGTGCATGCCGAACCAAGCGAAAGCAGTGCACGCGTTGATTGAAGACGCGAGGTCGAAAGGCGCTACCGTAGCCGTTGGCGGTTACTTACCGAAAATCATGGTCAACGTCGACGACGTCGACGAAGATTCCGAAGAGTTTGGGAACTGGTTCGAAGAAAACATCGTCGAACCGGTAAAAGGCCAAATCGAACATATCACGGGGTCGCCGTTAACTCGAGACTCCATGAAAAAAGAGCGCCAACAACAAAAAGCCAACGTCGTGAAACCGCCGCCACCGGGTGCCACCAAAGAGATCTTGACAGGTCAATTCTACCCGCCAACCGTCCTCTTAAATGTCACGCACGACATGAAAATCATGAAGGAAGAAGTCTTCGGCCCGGTGTTATCTATTTGCAAAGTCAAATCCGACGAAGAAGCCGTTCGATTAGCGAACGATTGCGACTTTGGTTTAGGTTCAAACGTTTTCGCCGGGAGCAAAAAACGCGCAGAACAGCTCGGACAACAGTTAGAAGCCGGCATGACCTCAATTAACGATTTCTGCTCCACGTACATGGCCCAATCGCTTCCGTTCGGCGGCGTCAAAGAATCTGGCTTTGACCGATTCGCCGGCGTCGAAGGTTTACGCGGATGCTGCGTCCCCAAGTCCGTCGTCGTGGATCGATTCCCTCTCATCAAAACCGACATCCCACCTCCCCTGCAATACCCAGTCAAACCCAACGCGTTTGCGTTTTGCAAATCCTTATGTCGAATGTTCTTCGGCGGAAGCGTTTTCGAAAACGTTCGAGGCTTGATGCAACTCATCGGGTGCTTCGTTTTCGCGCAGAAGAATCCAGTTTTGAGCGGGAAGAAAGGACGGGGAGGACACTGATTCCACAAAACACACGCATATACATATTTATTTATTTAGAGAGCGAGAGCGAGAGCGAGAGAGTACATCGTTTTAATTAAGTATGCGTACCGAGCGGGTTATTTTAATCAGGATTGGCGCAGCGTCGGCGAGGTTGCGAGGATTTTTTCTTTCAGTTACTCAACTTTCTTTTGCGTAAATTCACCACTTTTCAACGCACAAGACATTCAAAACAAACAAACGTCAGGAGTGAGAAATGGTCGTCACCACCCCGAAGGGATTCAAAAAATCCCCTCGCAAGCAATATATGTTCGTCTTTTTCGTCTTCGCGTCTGGTTTGAGCATGTATCTCTTCATACTTTCGATCGCCAATCGCGACAGTCGAGACGTCGGTCCCGGGGACGAACTTCCCGGCGATTTTCTCAGTCGAGAGACGTTTGAACAAAACCAACACCACGGGATGGGCGGGATGGACAACGATAAAAGTGATTTTGATGGGAGGAATTTAGACGCGTACCACAGAGAATTAGAAGTCGAACGCGCGCGGAAACGCGAAAAGGAAAAAGAAGAGTTGAAGCGACTCAGAGAGAAAGTTCAGGAGGAAAAAGTTCTCAGAGAAGTAGCGGAGAGGAAGTTACGCGAGAAGGAAGCAGAAGCTTTCAGTAGCAGTAGCAGTAGCAACGGTGATGAGGATACGAGCGAACATGAGAAGGAGCTGTTCGAGGGCGGTTTTTACGAGAAGCCGGGATTGTCCGTCGAGCGATGGCGGCAAACGAGAGACGGCGAGACGAAGGAACGCTACGCCGAGTGTCACATGATTGAAAACTCGGAATATTGGGGTCCAACGCCCGTGAGTGGAGATTTGTCCGCGGAGAATGGTGCGAGAAATAGAAAAGAGACGTGGCAAGAGTGCTGCGAGTCGTGTAAAGAGCACTCGAAGGAGTGCAACACGTGGAGATACGACCCGAGGAATAAAAACTGTTGGTTGGCGAAGAACAAAAACGTGTGGCAACCGCCGACGTATGGGAAAGGCGACGCGATTCCGTATACGAGTGGGATGTTGCATCCAGAACCAGTACAATACGATCCCGTGGAAGAAGATGCGTCGCCGCCAACGTGCATTACGACTATGATTACCAGTAATGGTGGTAGGTACATGAATTGGCAAACTCGATTGGTTTACGCTTCGTGGAAAAACGTGGCGATGAAACACGACAAAGCTGGAATCATGGCGAGATTCATTCGCATTTTACACAGAACGAAAGACGATGAACTCGTAGATATCGTTCCAACTTGGAGAGCGGATCCATGGCATCCAGACTGCGACAATTCGTGCAGCTATTCGGTCAAAGATCGCGCGAGAGCGATTTACGATTGGAGCTTAACGGAAGACGCGAAAAAGTGTTCGCACGTGTTGATGGCGGAGGCGGATTATATTTTCGTCAAAGCCCCGCCGCCGTCGGTTATGTTACAACCAGGGCACAGCTATGGGTTTTTATTCGGTTACATAATTCCAAGTCACGCAGACGCGATGCCAGCCTCGAAAGTGTTTCACGAAGGGTACGAAGACAAAGTGCCGTACGCCGACGTGGCGCAAACGGGGAACGCGCCGCAAATAATGTACGCGAAAGATTTAACTCGAGTCGCCAAAAGATGGAAAGAGTTAATGGTTGTGTCTGAAGAATCCGCAGTCATACAAAAAGTTTTTGGTTGGGTGAGAGATATGTACGCGTTTAGCTTTGCCGCGGCACAGATTGAACCGCCGCTTCAGTTTCGTTTACCGCCCGTGCCTTTCGCGGATACCATGGTACAAATTCCAGCGGACGTCCAGTTGGGTAAAGCGATCGCCATGCATTATACGTGGGGACCTGAAATCAAAATAGGCCCTAAACCGAGCCATGATGTCGTGTGGCAGTTTGATAAGAGACGATGGGGCGGTGCCGGCGGCGTGGGACGTAAGTTTGAGAAAATCCCAATGACTCCGACGTGGGACAAGTCGAAGGACTATCGCTTAAACGCGGACGAGGTGTTACAAGAGACGCAATTGGAAGTGTTGAGGATATTCGCGGAATACTTCAACGACGCGGTGGAGATGGCCAATCAGGAGAAGGATATCGTAAAATCAACCTCTTAAAATGATATGTATAGCGAAGAAGCATGAAAGCGTAGCAGTAAAAGTGTATTAAAGTAGCAGTTTTTAGGAGTAAATAGGCAAGCCGTTTGATATTTCAAACAAAGGTTTCATCTACATTCGGTTTCATTAATGAATCCGTATATTTCTCTCTCTCTCTCTCTCTCATTCTAAATCTAAAATTGTGTTCCAGTATTATTAGTACAGTATTCAACACTCCATTCATCTCTCTTTACACACACACACACTCTCTGTTTTCGTTTTCTTCTCTTTTTGTAGTCCTTTTACATCTATTATATTTAATAGCCGCCGCCGCCGCCACCCCCGTCTTTGTTCGACGTGGCAATGTTAACTCTCAAAACTCTCCCGTCAACGTCTTGACCGTTCAATTGCGCAACGACATCTTCCGCTTCTTTTTCCGAACTCATGGTCACGAAACCGAAGCCTCTGGATCTCCCGGTTTCGCGGTCGGTGATCAGTCTCGACTCGTCGACGTTACCAAACTCAGCGCACAAGTCTTGCAAGTCTAAGTGGTCCATCCCCCAAGACAAGTTACCGAAGTAAACTTTTCTTCCGTCCGCGTCCCAGTTCCTTTTCGGTCTTTGCTCTCTCGCCGGTCTTTCCTCCGGCGGTAAAGAAATGACGACTCTCATTTGTCTCCCGAACTGGTCCGAATCGTTCAACGCAGCAATCGCGCTGTCCGCCATCTCTTGCGACGGCACCGTGGCAAAACCAAACCCGCGGGATCTCCCGGTGTTTCGGTCCGTCACAATCACGCAATCGCTCGCTTGGTATTGCGAGAATAAATCGTTCAACGCTTGATCGTCCATGTCCCAGGAGAGATTGCCGATGTACAATTTCACTTCGCCGCCACTGGATTCCGATTCCGCCGCCGGAGATTCCGCGTCGTACGCTTCCGTGGACATCAACAAACCTCGCTGGTTAAACGCATTCACGTTCATAAAAGAACGCTGCGCGGAACCGACGAATGATTTGGACAACGTCGCGTTCGCAACGGTTCGCACCGAGCGCATTTGCATCGAAGACGACGACGCGAAAATTGGCGTCGCGATTTTACTCATTCTCGACGAGGACGACGCGCGAGTTGACGTCGGCGCGACGATTTTGGTTAAAGCAGACTGGATTAATGATGCCATTCTTTTGCTGGGCATGAGTTAACGGGTAGAATAAACCGGGTTTGAGGAACTTTTGGTGTGGGTATCAAAGGTTTTACGTACGTCGGTAAGTAAGCGTTCGAGATTGTTAGTGACGCCAATCGCCTTTTGGCGGCCGGACAAGGTTTTGGTTTCTGGTGCGAAACCCAAACGTTTCTTTTTCGTTGAAAGAAAAAAAAGGCAAAACCGAACGAATATGCGAGTATTACGATATAGTTTATATATAGTTTATATATATATATAGCAAAGGCAATTAAACTAGATGTGGTGTGTTCTCTCTCCTCTCATGATGTCAACGATATAAATAGCGCCAAAGCTCGTCGTAAAAAAGATATCATGCGCCTTCTTAAACGCTTGAAAGAAACTTTTCAGTTTCCGTTCGCACGTTTTGAAGGTGAGTGTATTCTCTCTCTTGCGTTTTTACTAAGCTTTGTTTGAAAAGGCCATGAAACCGCGGAGGTTACCGGCAAAGGTTGATTTACCTTCCTTTTCGAGAACTTGTGACAAAGGCGAGACGTCCGCATTTTTCCCACTACTTTCGCAAGCCCCCGTTTGTGGTAGCTCCCACCACGTTGTCGGTCGATTTACGTTTCTTCGATGCCGATCGCGTGGCTCTGACGCCGACTTCAGCTTGCGGCTTAAACCAGGAACTCAATCGCGCCGCTTTCGGCTTCTCAACGACTGGAGGTGCGTTGTTCACCTCCATGCGTTCATGGTCCACATTTGATGCTTCTAATACCATCGACATGGGCGGCGGAACACCCGAGCGACGGGACGAGCCTTTATGCGCAGTGGACATCGGTGGCGAAACGCCTCCAAAGTGCAAACGCGTCGGCGCCAAGTCAGCTCCGACGCTCGCGACAGAGTTCTTACGTCCTCTGACCTTTCTACCCCCCGCGAGCGCGGCAGTTACCTTCGTGTTGTTGTTATTGTTGTTGTTATTGTTTGCCGCGGTGTCCTTCTTCGTGCTATTCTTGTTGCCACGCGTCGTGGTCGTCGTCGCTCCATTCACATTCGTTCGAGCCGGGACGCCCATCGTATCCTTCGCGAACGAGACTTCTTTATCGCCGACTCTGTGCGAAGCAACGACTGATTTCTCGCGAAACGGTAATTGCCTTTTAGATGCCGTCGTTACTCTCGCGCCGTTGGCGGCGTTGGTATTGTACATAGAACTTCGCTGCGAAAACATTTTGCCGTGCGTCGTGTTCAACGCGGCGGTCGGAGACGTTTGCTTGAACGCGGAGCCAAGAGAACCAATCGACGGTAGCGTCGGCAAGTTCTTCATCGTCGACGCGGTTGGAGGTTTCAAGTTGGCCGCTGGCGTGTTTCCAAATCGCATGGAAGCTGCGTGAGCGTTGTTCTTTCCGTTGCTCTTTTTCATCGTCGCCGTATTCTTCGCTGCTTTTCTACTCCCGTTCTTCGCCGTCGTGAGGTTTGGATTTGTGCGTAAGAACGCATCCGTTGGCGAGACCAACATCGCTGATCCCCCAGGCGGCGTGCACATGGCCGGTAAGTCCGCGGTACTGATAAATTCCCCGTCGACGGTGAAACCTTTCATCAACGTCGAATCGCCGCCTAAGGTATTTTGCAGTTGTTGATCCGGCGGCGTTCCCATGCTCAGAATAGCCGCGGCGGCAGCGCGTTCTTGCTGATGCGCATACGCAGCCGCGTTGATTTGCCCGTACATGTTGTTCATCACGTTGGATGGTGGCGTGCCGCCAGCGTTTCCGGGACTTCCGTTATTGCCATTCGTCGCCGGCGTTTGCAACGCGTTCAACTCGTTCAAGTTGAACCCAGCAATGTGGGCGACGGATATGGGCATCTGATCCGATAAACGTCGGAGGCCACCCGCAGATGAGGGCGGGAAGCGGCCCGAGGCGAGCGGCGAAAAAATGCTGCTGACGTTGTTCGCGGCGTTCATGGCGTCTCCCGATTGCGACGGGACGAAATACGGTTGGTACATTTGCATCGCGGCAATATGTTCCGCTTGCGACAAGTTGCGCTTTTGCTGGAGTCCACTCAACTTGCCCTTCTTTGCCATTGGCCCTTGTCCTCCTCCTGCTCCTCCTGTTGCTGTACCATTCTTTCGTTTTCCCGTCGTTTTCCCGTTTGCGCCAAGCGCGGCGGTGACCGCGGCGGCTTGCTTCGCAGCCTTTGCGCGTTCCTTCTCGAGTTCTTTCGCCGCTTTCAGAAGCATCTTTTGTTTCTTCTTCTCTTCCGCGACTTCCTTCGCGAGCAAAGTCTTGGCGTTCTTTTCTTCTTTTGATTTCGTCGTTTTCGTTGTGGTCGTGCTTGTTTTCATTTTTTTCGGTTTCTTTTCTTCTTTACCGCCGGCGTGCTTCTCCGGCGGCAAATCGGCAAACGCCTCTTTCAACGCCTCTTCCGTCGCGTGCGACGCTTGCTTCCAGCCAATCCAGCTCGATTGCAGCGAACACCTCACCTGCATCGCCGCCGCGCCTTTGGGGACGTCGTTATTCGCGTACACGCGAATCGGCGTCGAAAATCCACTTCCGATAAACTTTGCCTCGCTCAACTTGACGTTTGGAATTGCGTGTCCGTTCGCGTCGCTTTCTACCTCGAAAATCGTAAACAACAGCCGAAACGCCTTCACTTTGTTCGGACCGAACGGTCTGACGTGGTTCGACGCTTCGTCGATGGAAATGAACAAGTTCTTCGAGTTCTTCCAGTTTGATTTATCGCCTAAATCTTGTTGCGTCGTCGTCGTCGTCGTCGTCGCCGAAGAAGAGTTTGGTTGCGTCCTCCCTTGCTTCCCAAACCTTTGAATGGCGCTTAAAATAGGCCCTTCGCAGCTCTTATTGCACCTCTCTCTCGTCACCGGTAACCACATCTTCCCTTCGCCGTGGACGATGAGTTCGCTCGTCGGTCTTTTCAGCGTTTCCTTCCCCGTCTCTCCCATCGGTTCCGCGTAGACGAGATAAATCACGCACCTCGCTCTCGTCCCGTTCGTGAGGCGTAACTCGTACTCTAAGGCGGAGTTCGCTAAATCTCGAGGAATATCGTTACCAATTGGTCGTTCGTGCGCTTCGAATATTTGTAAAATATCTTTCTCGTCGGCGTTCTTGTTCAACGCTTTCGCAATCGTCAATTCCACTTGGTTGTACGATCGTTTCTTTTTCCCCAACTTATACGCTCTCTGTGAATAATGTTGGATAAAAGGAGTAAAGCGGTACGGTGAGTACATAAAAAGGTAAAAGAACAACACTCTTTCGTCTTTTCTCGGTTTGATTTTCTTCGCGCGTCTTTCTCGTCTCTCTCTTCTTCGTAATCGTCTCTCTGATTTAAACGCATTCAAAGGACGAAACAACGGCTCCATCGATTCAAATCACTTCGATTGACGAGAAAAGATGCGCGCGAGAGAGAGAGAAAGAGATGCGAAGACGAAGACGCGAGAACTCGATGTAACGCGCATTTCTCTCTCTCTCTCTTTATTCTATTCTCGGAAAGACGAAGGGAAGAGCAAAACCAGAAGAAGTGCGCTCTTCTCATCATTCGAGAGACGATCAAATCGAGACGTTGGGGAAAACCATTAAAAAACATGAAACGTACCACTTCCGCGTTTTGCCCCGCCGCTGTGTTATTCTTTTCAACAAAAGAAACCATATCCTTCGTCGCGATTGGTATGGGACGTAACGCGCGAGGATCGTCGTCCTGGTCGTTGTTCGCCGCCGTTCGGAGGTTTCCGACCGGCATTTGATGAGAGTAGTGCGTAGAATTAGTGATTTACACGTGCGTTTGAATTGTGAAGAGCGGCTGCTGCTCTCTCGCACGAAAAAAAAATGAGCAATCGCGAATTTTTTTTTTCTTTTTTTTCACAAGTGTTTTGCTAAATTTTTTTTACGCAAGTGGCGAAACTCACCGCCAAACACGGATCAGTATATGATAATTTCGGTTATTCCGTTGCTATCAGCGACGGTACCATCGTCGTCGGAGCAATTTGGGACGACGATAAAGGGTCAAGTTCTGGTTCCGCGTACGTCTTCGAGAAGAGCGATTCTTCCGACGCGACCTCGTGGACGCAAGTGAAGAAACTCACCGCCGACGACGGAGCATACGGTGATTATTTCGGTAGAACCGTTGCTATTAGCGACGGTACCATCGTCGTCGGAGCATACTTTGACGACGATAAAGGGTCAAATTCTGGTTCCGCGTACGTCTTCGAGATGAGCGATTCTTCCGACGCGACCTCGTGGACGCAAGCGGCGAAACTCACCGCCGACGACGGAGCATACTATGATGTTTTCGGTAGAACCGTTGCTATTAGCGACGGTACCATCGTCGTCGGAGCATATGATGACGACGATAAAGGGTCAAGTTCTGGTTCCGCGTACGTATTTGACGTGAAAACTGAACCATCTCCTCCTCCTCCGAGTCCGAGTCCGCCACCGTCTCCTCCTCCTCCTCCTCCGAGTCCGCCACCGTCTCCTCCTCCTTACGAAGAGTATCCCATCAAACTCTTGAAGACAATCTACGCGAACGGTACGATCACCGAGGAAGTCGTCGAATCTTCCGCGGCGGCGCGTCTCGGCGCCGCGTTGATGCCGTCTTCCTCATCCGACGCGTTCGTCGCCGCCGTCGCGTGTGTCGCCCTTCTCGCAGTCGTCGCGACCAGGAGAGCGAGAAAAACGAGTTTTGTCAACGGCGAAGAAGCCGACGGTCTGTTGAATGCAAACACATACGGCGCAATTTATAACGCCTAATCGACGACAGCGGTGGTAAAAGTGATGATGGCGACTCCTATATATATAGTTTTCATCACTCTGATGGTATTTTTTTTACTCACTCGCGTTCAGATCTGTGAACTCCAAACGTAGATGTAGTAGACTTCGCGAGTGTAACGTACCAGTATTTGTACATACACATCCATGAAATGTTTTATCCCTCTCTTCATGTGTATCGTCTTTATATCCTCGTCATCGGTTGCTCGGCACGTACCATCTCGCTTTCGCATCATCGTCGGTTTCCAACGCGCTCGTCTTTTTTCCCGAAGACGACGACGACGCAGAACCACGACTGCTGGTGCTGCTGTTTTTGCGCAACGCGCACGAAAAGTACACCGTCGCCGCAAAAAACGCGAAAACGACCGCTTTCCCGTCGATCGCGCCCGGTGGTTTCCGCGCGCTCATCGCGTCTCGTCCTTCCTTAAACAACGCCATTGTAGATATGTGCGTTCGAGCGTCACAAGTGTGACGCACCGGAGACGAAAAGATATAAAGATGTCCTCCTCCTGCGCCTCCTCGAGTGCGCTCTCTCCCTTTTCCTCTCTGAAGAAGAAGAAGACGAATCGGGAGAGCGTTGCGTCTCGTCGTTCTTCGCGCGGCGTTCGATCGTCCTTAGATCCGTCCCCGTCCGTGGTTGGTCTTCCGAACGAGGACGACTCGATGATGATGATTTCACCGGCGTCGTCGCCGACGTCACCGAGGATGATGAAAGAAGAAGATACAGAAGAAAGGCGCGTTGTTGTGGTCGTGTTTACGAACTTCAACGAAAACTCGTACTTAAAGTACCCGAAATCGTTACCAAGGTACAGCGAAGACAAGAAACCCGCCGGGGAAGTGTCGTGGAAGGAGGTGTGGGAACACATGCGTTTGCGCTTAAAATGGTCCAACGAGACGTTCGAGACTGTTCTCGTGGACTGCGCGGATGCGGAGACGGTATCGAAAGCGAAAGAGGCGTGTTCAAAAGCGACGGCATTTATTGCGTGCGAAGTCGGGGAAAGCGAGAGTATTGCGGAGAAGATTCGCGAGTTGACCGTAACGGTTCCAACCGGCGTGGTTTGCGGGAAGAGTTCGGCGACGTTGCGGGATCTGCAAAAGTTACAGTTCATGCCGATGCGCGACGCCGGGCACAACGATTTCTTCGAGTTGCCGTTTGAAACGAGAAGAGAGAAGGATAAGAAGAAGTTTTTACAGATGAAAACGTTGTTTGATAGGAAGAATCACTTAGACTTACTGTTTATGAGTTTAGTTTTGATCGACGCGTGCGAGGTTCCCGGGATCGTCGTCCCGGAAGTCGCCATCAATCAAGAGATTAACATCGGCAACGTCTGGTGCATAGCCTCCAACTGCGGGTCCAAATTGTTAGACTGTTATAAAAACCCGCAGTGCAGGAAAAGCTTAGACTGCGTCGACGCGTGTGGAATGAACGATCAAGTGTGTACGTACACGTGCATTCGCTCGTATCAAAATCGAGAGTTTGAATATCTGGCCAGATGCATGTTGCATTCGCATAATTGCTTAGGGAACGACGCGAAACGACCGGAATTTCCCATCGTGAAACCGATGAAAACGTTCCGAGGCGAAGCGTTGACGCACGAAGTCGCCGAGCAAATCATGCAAGGACATTTAGGAACCGAGAGAGACGGGAAGAAAATCGAGTACTCGTGGCTCGCAGTGGCGGGACAAAACCCGGCGTACGATCATTTTCCAGCGCAATACCAAATCTGGTACGCCGGTAAAGCGCGAAACTCGTTCTGGTACAATCCAGTTTTCAAAGTGAACACGTTAGACGGAAAATCTGTCTGGCGTCGATCCGACTACCGATGCAAACGCGAAGACACTCCCGGCACGTTTACGTTTACGTTCATGGACAACGGCGTCACGTCGAAAGAATACTGGCGCATCGTCGACGCCGCGGACGATTTATCCTGGGCGTTATATTACTACGCCGGCGCGGCCAAATCTGCCGGTCAAATGTACGTCGGCGCGGTATTAGCGTCGCCGGACGGGTTATGGCCACCAACTCGCGAAATGGAACGCGTCGAAAAGGCGCTTTGGGAAGGGTGCGGGTGCAAGATGTGGGAGATGATGGAAGTCGATAACCGACCGGATGTTATCGCAAACGCGCCGTTACAGCCGTTACACGACGTCGTCTTGAAACCGTCTCTCATTCTTCCGTGAGTGAGACAAAAAAAGCAGTTTTAATAGAAGTAGTAGTAGTAAAGTAGCACCATCGTCAAAAACATCTTTTCCCGCTCTTCACTCTTTTGTTGTCTTCTCGTTTCGCTGAAATGCGCAACGTCACGGCTGTACGAAACAAACCTCTCATGGCATCCTCTCATTCGAGCCGTCGTAAACAACAACTAAAAACGAAACCGATAAACCCTTTCCTCCGCTTCTCCGTCATCCTGCTGACGTTTCTCTCTTTACTCTCCATCGCTCTGTATTCCAATCGAACGAGAACACGAAACGAACGCGAAGCGGTGGCGTATTCGTTGTGGTTGGAACCACCTACTACGGATGATTTATCCTCGAGAGTTGAAAACTTTATCGTTGAAAACGCGAAAAACGACGTCGCGTTCAAACCGCACGTGACGTTGTTAGGCCCAATCTACGACGAAAACGAACGCGCGATGGTTGCGAAAACCGAGAATTTAGTTCGAGAGATTCGAGAGAAGATGATGAAGAAGACGACGACGACGTTTAACATCCGGTTCCCGAAAGGCGCACAGGTTGGGCAAACGTACTTCCAATGCGTGTATTTAGAAGCGGAATTGACGTCAAACTTGTTACACGCGCGAGAGAAGGCGATCGAACTGTTCGATATCCGGGACGCTCGAAGATATACGCCGCACATGTCTTTAGCGTACGGCGACGACTCGCAAGGCGAGCGGTTACGGTTGAAGCTGAAAGCGGACGAAGTGTTCAAAAAAGCCTTCTCGCTCTCAAACACGGACGAAGAAAACGAAGACGAGACCTACGAAGAATCGTTCAACGCGACCAGCGTGAGTTTGTGGAAGACAGACGTGGAAGATAAGAGTTGCAAGTCTTGGAGGAAAGTGAAAGAGTTTCCTTTGTTTCCGTAGCGTCGTTCGTCGTAGCAAAATATTCGCGCATAGAGATAGAAAGAACAGAGGATCACATTTGAAACTACTCTTCTCATCATAACGGTCACAACGCGTCTCTCTCTTCTACTAAAGGCTATTTTTTCGTGTCTAATCGAATCTCTCGTCATCGCGTCTGTGTCTTCGGTTGTCGTCTCTGTTGTGAAGTCGTTCGTTGCCAATGAAAGTGCGGCAAATCGATCGGTTTCCTTAAACTCTCCAAGACTAACGCGTCCTCCCCTTGTCCGTGATGTAAATACGGATCTAATTTCCTGTATAAAACTTCTTCCGCATCTTCTAATCGATCTAACAAAGACCCATCGTGCGCGTGTGGATGTTTCCGCATCGGTTGCATTTGCACCTCGTTGGAATCGGATTGAAACTCTTTCAAAAGAATCAAACAACAGGACGCGAGTAAAGCGAGGAAACAAAATACGGCCAGTTTTGCTACGCGTCGGTGTCTTCTCAACGTTTTCGGATTGTTGCTCAGAAGATGTTGAGAGTGGTTTTGCGACATTTTTTATCTCATCATACAAGTGAAGAAAATTCGATTCCAAATTCCCCGCAGAGTAAAAATGGGTCAAGGCGCTTCGTCTTTGCAACAACAAAGGAACAGGAAGAAAAACAGATGCGTCACCGACGATAACGAGTTCATCGATGTCTTCAACGCGAGCTTCTCGTCCTTTCAAAACACCACCGCTGAAAAGGAGGACGACGACGATAACAACAAAGAAGAAGAAGAAAATACATCCGACGACAACGAGAATTGGAATTTCGCGCGCAGGACGAGGAAACGATTGAACGAGTTGAGAGAACTCGCACCGTCCACGGCGAAACCGATGCTCGTTTCAAACGCACTCTCAGACGAAGAAGACGAGGACACGACGTCAAAATCGAAGAAAAAGAACGGAAGCAATGACAGGAGGAGTTGGCAGAAAGTGTTCGATGTGCTCGACGCGTACGAACGACACCAAGAGGATGGTGATGGAGACAAATATTCGTCAAAGAGCGAATTGATTGCGAAGCTGCGCGAAGTCGCGAAAGCGATTCGATTGGCCGCCAAAAACACCACGGAAGAAGAGGACGACGACGACTTTTACGAAGCGCAACACACATCCGAAGGAAAACCGACGCCCCCGAGTAGGCTTCTCTCGTCCCCGATATCCAAAACGCCCCCGCCGGTAAAGCCGCGAAAGCTTCGGGCGAAGAATCGGAAAAAGAACGACGACGACGATGCGAAAGACGACGGCGAGAACGACGACGACGAAAACGGTTCAGACGACGACGAAAACGCGACAGGTGGTGTGTACAGCGAGTACGTCCGGAACACGGACGATTTGCTCGTCGTCGCCGAGAAACTTTCTTCGCTCCTTTAGAAGAAATACGTAAAAGAAGAACAAAGAAGAACAAAGAGTATAGTTTGTAATAAAAGCGTCCTCCTCTCGCCACCTCTGGTTGTTCACAAAGGAAAAGGGCTTGAGTAGAAAGAGGAGAATTGTAGCGGCGAAAGAGCGAAAGAGCACCGTAGCCTCGCCTTGCGTAGTGCGAAAAGCAGCGTTAGCGTGTAGTAGTAGTAGTAGTAGTAGTAGTCCTCTCTTGGGCAAAAAATTCTTCTTTGGTTTGCAAAGAAAATTTCGCCTTTTAAAAATGTGGCTAAAAAGCATCTCACATCAAGGCACTTTTTTTCAGTCTTCCCCTTTAGTCTTCTTCGTCTTAGGTTAATTTAGTATCTAAACGCTCCTCACATCTCTCACAAACGAGAAGAAGAGGAAGAGGAAAGAATTTAAATTTACTCACACACTTTGCGCGTTTGCGTTTGAACGAGCGCGGAGTTTTGCCCGCGTTGTAAATACTGGTGCGTTTATTTTCGTCGTCGTCGTTTCGGCGCGCGAGCATCATCTCACAACATCGCGCTTTGTTTTTGTAACTGTTTGAATTTCCCTTTTTTCTTCTTTCTCTCTTTGCGCGCGCTTTTCGTAGGAGTAGTATAGTCTCGCGCGTATCGTCGCAACTGTTGCTGACGCGCGCAAACTCTGCTCTTTCTGTTTTCCTTCACGAACAACGACGACGCACTTTCTGCCCTGTGCGTTTTAGGTTTCGAGCGAGAGAGTCATCAAACAGTCTTTAAAACGCAGAGGAGCGTGTGTGGTGGCGGCCAACAGAAAGAACGAAAGAGAAGGATTATGAAAAATACCAACAACGCGTCGCGTTCGGCGTCGTTCGAGATGGAGGACATCGAAGGCGGCAAAATCGAAGACGCGTACAGGAAATCATTTTTACCGATGGACGACGAGAGCAACGGCTCTGAGGATAAGGGATTAAGGAACGACGGAGGAGACATTGAGTTTAGCCCGTATTTCGGCGACGAAGGTTTGGCGATGAAGAACGACGAGCAAGATAACGAGATGATGGGGTTCTTTAAGAGAAGCGTGGCGAGTCGCGCGCGGTCGGCGTCTGGGAGGTCCAGTCCCCCGAGCAGTGGTGGAAGGAAATCTCTCAACAACAACAGCAACAGCAAGGCGGCGAGCTCGAAGAAACAACAGTCGAACCAAAACAACAACAACAACAACACCGCGAGGCAAAATCTCACCGGTAAAAAACGAAAAGCAGCTACAGGACATCATCGTCATCATGCACACGCGAGAGACGATCCGAGATTATCACTGTACGATTACGCGCACGATTTAGTCGACGATCCGAGTAAAGGAAGTTCCGAGGATAACGGAGGAAATACAAACAGCGGAGATAACGCGAGTAACGAGAATACCAACGGAGGCACGTCTTCCAGACGACGAACGAATCGAAGCAGCTCGTCGAACTCATCGAGAGAGGAGCTCTTTCAACTCGGCGCTGGGATGGGAACAACAGCGACAACTTCGACGAAGAGGGGTCAATCTACGTCGTCAGCGCCTTTGAGTAAGAGGAAAGCGCCGACGACGAGTACGAAGAAATCGACATCGTTAACCAAACCGAAAGCAAAGAAAGAAACAAAGAAACCGACAAAGACGACGACCGCGACAAAATCAGGTAAACCGAAGAAGAAATTAGGACGACCTCGGAAAGAGGATAACTCACTGGGGACGTTGTTTGCTCCGGCGACGAAGATCGCTCGCGGTAAACGAACGACCGTTTCGCGCAAAGCGAAAGCCAACGTGTCTGCTTCGGTCCTGCTTAAAGGCATCGGGTCTAACGAATCGATATCCATCGAAGGAGAGATTCCAGCGATTGAGATAGAGATCGAAACAACGAAAAATGTTGACAGTATAGATCAGTCGCCGAAGCATATGCAAGCAAAACAGACCAGAGTCTCACAAAACGACGAAACTATCAACCCCGGAGGCGCCGCGTCCGAGTTTCTCTTTCGAAATCAGAATACTACCGCCAACGCCACCACGGCCTCCAAAAATATCGACAAAAACCAAACCATGTCGAATTTACTGTATATTCAAAGTCAGGAACAACAAATGTTGATGCAGCAGCAACTCGAGGAGCGACAACGGTTGACATCCTCCATTAACGATGCGGCGGCGGCAGAGAATAAGAACGGCGCTACCGCCGCGGCTACGAAGAAGAACATCAAACAAAGGAAAAAACGAGAGGCACAGAAAGAAGAGCAAAATGCCATGGTATTCGATCGATCTCACGCCCCAGGCGGCGACGAGCGACCCGCGGTGTTAGCTCGATACCTCGAAAAGAGAAAATCGAGGAAGTTTGCCAAGAAAATTCACTACGAGAGTCGAAAGGTGAGAGCTGACAACCGCGTGCGCGTAAAAGGCCGATTCGCGAGCGGGAGCGTAAACATCGTCGAGAAACATCCTCACGACGAGGAAAAGACTTCTGGGCAAGCGCAACTCACGCACGCGCAAAAACAGACTCAGGAAATAATGCGAGCCGTCGGTTCTGCCGGCGCCAGTTTAGCCGCCGAGAAGGAGATGATGCGTGGTAAAGAAACGAATGCGGAAAAAGCAGTCCTTCAGCGCGCGCCTCCACCTCCATCGCCGACGTCGCTGGCGCTTACGACGAACACATAATAATAACCATCTGTATATATACATTGATAAAAAAATTGTTGTAATTACATACTATTCTGTACCATTTACCTACTATAAACCGCTACCTCAGTCCCTTCTATTTGCTAAACAAACGCGTCTCTAAAACTCTCTCTTCACCCGAATCATCACCTCCACAACACATTCCTTTTCACTTTGCTTCTTTCGGAACTTCCCACGTCTCCTTATCCGGGTCCGCGCTTTTCAGCTTCGTCTCAAAATTCCCTCTCTCGTTCATTTTCCCTTGCAAAACGTTCGTCGTTAAGAACATTTCCGCCTCCTTCCCTTCTTTGATTCGTTTTCTAATTTCCTCCTCGTTTGCGATATCTTTGTGTTGGTCAAAGTGCGAACGAATTTCAATCGCGGACGCCTGTAAGGCTTTCTCGTCGCCGTGAAAGAGCGCGAGTCGAGCACGGAGGAGTCCGCGGAGGAGTCTTCTTGCCTCGTGTCCTAAAAGCGACGACGATGATGACAGAGACATATAACTACGTGTGATTTGAAAGCGTTAAAAGTGCTTCTTTTTGTGTTGTTTTTGTTTTCCCCAAGAGGGAAATTTTTTTGTATCTAAAACGCCAATTCGTTTTGCGCATGTCAAAAAAAAATACGCGCGCGCTTTTGTTAACAAGAACGAGCACACACATACATTACACATTCAACAACAAAAATGTCATCCTCCTCCCAAAACGATGGCATCGTTAACGTTTTAATAGCGCTCGGTCCGTTGTCGCAAGACGACGTGAACTGTTCCATAATCGAGTATTTCTCACGCCATTTGGCATCTCCCAAAGTCAAGGCGTTCGTGTTTTCGTACTGTCCTCAAAGCCCGCACACCGCGAACGAGAAAGAAGAACTCTCTCTCGATGCGGAGACGAAACGTAAAGGATGCAGGAAAGCACCCGTGAGCGTTTTGGACGACGCGCGTTTGAAGAAAAAAGTCGTGGACGTTCCCGGCGCGTCGCTGGAGAAGACGCTCGTTCCAGAGTTTATGCCCTTGGGTGGGAAGCTGAGAGCGAGTTTGTTCGCGCTGGAGTCGGGGGCGAACGTGAACGCGATTGAAGTCTTCGAGGTGGATCCGGAAAGCGGATTTCCGCACGCCGCGGCGGCGATTCAGGGCATATGCGACGGCGCGTTTGCAAAGAAATCGAGCGCTTTGCCTGGAGAGCGAAAGGAGGAACCAGAGCCGGCGTTTTTCGTACCGAGACCGGATTACGTGTTGATGGGAACGCACGGGAAGAGTTTACTGGAACGTTTCGTGGTCGGGAGCGTCGCAACCAACGTGTTGCACAACGTCGACGTGCCGAGCATCTTTTACCGTCAGAACGTGGAGTTTAAGGAGAAACCGGTTGCTGGCGTAAAAACAGAAGGGGAGGCGTATCAAAAGTACGCGGTCGAGACGCCTCCTAAGGGAGAAGGCGAGGAAGGCGAGAAACGCGAGGCCGATCAACAACAACAACAACAAAGAAACGTTGTATTGTTGGGGATCTGTGGTACGCAATCGTCGATCGATGTGGTTAAATTCTACGTCAAAAAGCTCGCGCGCGAAAACGACGACGTCATCTTAGCGCACGTTCCGATGAAAGAACAAACCATGCGCTCGAAACACGTCACGCAATCAGACGTCACTCTTAACCTCGAGACGTGTAAGAAACTCGTCGAAGTGTTCGTGAAAGACAACAAGTGCGAAGAAACGTTTCGTTTACGCGACGTCATCAACCTCGGCACCAAAACGAACAAAACTTCGCCGCGAGTCCTCGATCCGAGAGAACAGCTCGTCGAAGCCGCGAAAGGTTTCGGCGCGACCATGTTACTCGTCGGTCGATCCGCGTTCGGGGACCAAAACTTATTCGGGAAGATGTTCTACGTCGGCACGTTGCCTTTGTTTTGCACGCAATACAGCCCGTGCCCGGTGTGCGTGTATAATCCTCCCAGGGAGGAACGCAAGGCGAAAAGTTACCAGTCATTTTAGAGAGACTTTTTCCTCCATTCCACCAATTAAAGAGAGACATTCGAATTCTTCACAAAGTCATCTCATGCGCGCTGTTGTTCACACTTCGAGGAGCATCCTTTCTTTTTCCACGACTTCGAGAATACGCGTGAACACAAAAATGACCTCCTCCTTATTATCGTTTCGAACGATGTGCGTTTCGCCGAAAACGGTATTCTTAAGAAACAACGCAAAATCGAATAAGAGGAAAAAATTGTGCGCAAAACCGACCGCCGCCAACGCGGTTTCGCCCCCCGATTCTTCTTCGTCTTCGTCGTCTTCGAGTTCTTCTTCCGGGAAGAAAGTCTCAAAAAACGCGCTAAAGAAGCAAGGGAAGTGGCAAAAAGGAGGAGAGAATAATCGAGGGGGTAATGGTGGTGGTAATAACACCAACAAGAACAAGAACGGCCCCGGGGGTGGATCCAAAGCTGGGTTTGAGATTCAAGGGAAGTTGACCCAGTGTTATTCCTTGGACGAAGTGTTCCAAGTGGTGAGGAACGAAGTCGATCAGTTTGATTCCATAAACGCGTCGACGGCGTTACATCGCATCGCGAGTAAAGGGACGCGAGAGTTTGATGTTTCTTCTTCATCTTCTTCTGTGAACGGGAGAGGAGCGTCGACGAGCGTGGCGAGAGCCGGGAGGAGGACGACGGGAAGTCGCGACGGCGGCGACGGACATCCGTACGAACGGATAATAAAGAACTCGGATTTTGAAAACTTGATGGGTGTGGTGGAGAGTAACTTAGCAAACATGGACCAGTTTGGTCTCGCAAACGTCGCGTGGTCGTTGGCTCGGTTGAGAGTGTTTGAAGACGATAACGGGGAGAATAAAGAAATGAACGAGAAAGGCGCGGAAATGTTGGATACGATTGCGAGAAATTTCGCCAACTGCGTCAAAAGACAAGGCGGGTCGAGCGTTAGACCGCAAGCGTTTAGTAATTTGCTTTGGGCGTTCGGGAGTTTTAAATATAAAATTAGCGACCAGGATGGAGTTTTGAGTAAAATCTACGACCAGTGCGAAACGTCGTGGGTGGAAAACGCGGACGCTTGGAAGCCGCAAGAAATGGCGAATTTATTAGTCGGCGTGGCGCACGGAGACAACGCGACCGACCGATGGTCGTTTTACGAAAAGATGCAAAATTGTGCGCTTCACAATTTGAAAGCGTACCCGATGGATGATCGAAACGCAGACCCGAGGTTTGTGTTTACCTCCAGGGATATATCAAATTTTTTGTGGGGGTTGAGCAAGTCGCTGAAATCTCAAAAGTTCAACGCGCAATCGATCGATCCGGAATTGATTTCGCTGATGTTGCAACGATTGGTGGCAGATAATTTCGGTGGTAAACAAAGCGTTTTGAACGTCTCCATGACTGTATGGGCGCTCGCGAATTGCAAGTGTCAAGTTCCGGCTCCGTTTATGAATGCGTTGAATCAAGAGATTCCGCGAATGACGAAAAGACTCTCCGCATCTCAGCTCGATGCCATTGCGTGGTCTATCGGCGAGGCGAGATTTACGTTGAAATACGACGACGATGCAATCGATGCCGTCGCGGAAGCCATCGCAGATAACAGAGAAAGCGTGTTTAACGAATCTGATCCGGAACTCGTGGCAAAAATCTTCTGGGCGCTGTCTCGTCGAGGACGCATTCCTGCGGATGGTTCGATAATCGATAAACTCGTTCGAAAAGTCGAAAAGTGCGTGGATGACTTAGAACGCTCGGATAAGCTGTTAATCTTACACGCCTGGGGCGTGTTACGAATCTCGCCTGGCGAGAACGTCGTCAACAAGCTCGTCCGAGCGTTTTTGGATGAAGACGAATACGAAGAGTTGGAACCGGACGAGTGCGCGAAGCTGCTCTGCGCATACGGCCGCATCAACCATCGACCTTCGTCATCTTCAGAAGCTGGAAGTAAGTTTGAAGCACACCTCACGCATCTCGCACAAACGCTCGCGGACTCCGCCCAAGCCTCCAGACTCAACCCTGGCACCCTCGCGCTCGGCTTGTGGGGCTGCGCGCTCTTAAAACTCGACTTGGACGAAGACGTCTTAGACGTCTTAGCGAGAGACGCCATCCGCCAAACCGATTCGTTGCGTCCAAACGCGTTCGCCAAGTGCATCTGGGCATTATCTACGTTAAGGTACGACCCAACCCAAGACGATTTGGCCAAACTCACCAAGAAAGCGCAAGCGACGATTTTATCCCCCAGCGAGACCAACGACGCCAGTCAAAGCACCAGAGAGGAGGTGGAAATTGCCCTGAAGAAGTTAGGCGGCGATTCTTTACATTAATTAATCTGTATATATATATCGCGTTGTCGTCGCTCGTGTTGTAATCATACATATATAATATATAAAAGTCTTCCGTATGCGCCGCCCCGGCTTTTGTGGCTTTTTGTTGTCCTTCTCAAGCTTCTGTTCAAAACATAAAAATATCTTCCTGCTGCTTTGGAAAAAAGCGTCATAAGGAGGTTATACGATGCTCACGCAGACGACATCATCCTCGCTCGTTCACAGAGCACCAGCGACGAGACAATCGTTCTTCGCGCGACAGGAATTCCAACGCAGAATTTATGGCGTTATCACAGATCATCGAGCCGTTCGAATATCGGCCAAATCGGCGAACGACGAAGCGCGATCCGAATCCGCAACATCACCAACGAACTCTTCGTTACGATCTTCTTCCGATGAATCCTCGTCGTCAGCAACGAACTCTTCGTTAATCCAAACGGAACGTTTGGACGTCACGGAATCCCCGTATTACCGCGAACTTTCCAAAGACGTCGACGCGATCGATGCGACGAGGTTTTTGAAAGCACCGTCGGACTTTTTTGAGCTTTTAGATTTAGATTTGGACGACGCGGACGTTTGGGCGTCGCGAGACGAAGCGATGGTACAATCGATCGTACAAACCGCGTTCAAGAAAAAGTTGAAGATTTCGCATCCGGATGTTTTAACGTCGAAGTACGCAGACATTTCCGAAGAGGAAACGAACGGATTCGCGGTCATTTTAAACGCGGCGTATAAGACGTTATCCGATCGACAAACGCGAGAACCGTACCTTCTCGCTGTGATTGATTTTCGGAAACATTTCTTCTTGAGCGAAGAGACGAAGTTTGACGGCACGCCGGTATCCAAATGGAGCGGCGAGGAAGGCGAGACGAGAGCGGTTTTTGTGGACGAAAGCGAGTGCATCGGGTGCGGAAATTGTGCACAATATGCAGCAAAGACATTCAGCATGGACGTAGATAAAGATTACGGCAGAGCGAGAGTAATTAACCAATGGGCGGACGATAGCGAGACGATCGAGATCGCCATCGATATGTGTCCAGTAGATTGTATTTGGTTCGTGAAAAGGAATCAACTCGCGGCGTTAGAACATTGCATGAAATTCTGTCCTCGCGAAGATCCTGGGATTATGGGCAGAAGAAGAGGAGGTAATTTCGGTTCGCAAAGAGCAAAGCACAATCCATTCAGCGCCGCAGAAAGCTTCTTAAAACGCTTCGACGAAAACGGTGAACTGTTTGGTGGTAAAAATCCGGCTGGCCTATCGTTCTCGTGGCACGATGAACGGCTAGCGTCGACCATTGCCAAAGCGTGGTTGTCGTTGCCAGCGGAAGTGAGACGACAAGGTTGGTCAGAGTTCAAACATAAATTCAACACCTCCGGTGTCGGCGGCGACTACTCCGTCGAAGATCGCACGTTCTTGAAGACTCGGTAAAAAATTGATTGTATAAATGTTTTACAACGTGTTTCTCTCTGTCTCTCTCTCTTTCTGCGCGAGTGAGCGTGCGTGTAGTATATTTTAGCGTGTACGTGTATTAATAACTAAAGCACTTCATCTTCATCACTGCTGCTGTCGAACAAAACTCTCGAGTTCACCGCGTTCGTTTCGATTTTCCCTCCTCGATAGACTCGCCTCTTCTTCTCCTTGTTCTTTTCGTGCGCGAACTGTTTCCCTTGCTTTTGAACAAACTTCTGCTCCGCTTTGTACCCGAGATTCTTCCTATAGTTTCCAACCCCGTGCGCGTTTCGGAACTTATTGTCGCCTTTCTTGTTCTTCTCGTTGAGCCATTCCTCGTCGTTTACTCGATTAAACGGTCGCGCTGATCTGCTCTTCGACATGTCATTTCCCTTTTGTTCCTTAGAATTAAAAAAGTTGAATCCAAGCTCGATGGTGTTCTTCCGCGCCGAGGACGGTGGTGGTGGTTTCTGGCCTGCCGTCGCGAGAGACGGGTAGCACGACGTCGTCGCTTTGTTTTCTCGAGCGTCGTCGTCGGTGATCATGGTTGGTTCGAGCGCTGAGACGAGAGCCAAGGGAGAAATTATTGGGGAAAATTCAAAAATACGCGAGAAAGAACAACACACTGTTTCCGATACAAAAAGGACATGACAAAGAACGTTGTCGTCGCCTCCAATAACGGGTGGCGATTAGTCGCGTTTAGTTTGATCGCGTACTGGATATCTCTCGTGTTGATTTTGAAAACGAGGCGAGATGCAGTCGTCTCGTTTTCGTCTTCTTCTTTATCTTCTTCTTCTTCTTCTGTTGAAGCTCGGGGAAGAGAGATAAGGCTCGCGGTGGTGACTCCGACGTATCACCGGGAGAAAAACAGAAACATCCAGACTATTCAGTTAATCGCACTACAAAATACGCTCTGTTCGACGTGTTTGGGAATGATATGGATCCTCGTCGAAAGTGAGAGCGATTGGAGAAAGAGTTCGCTGGTTGAGAGATACGAACGAGAAGAGAGGCCTGCGTACTGTGAACGCGTGCTCGTGAAGGCGTTGAGAGTGAAGGTAGAACGATCGAAGCACAGAGGAGTTGCGCAACGAAATAAAGCTTTAGACTGGTTGGAACAACAGATTTCGTACGTTGAACAGGATCCGGTCGTTCTGTTCGTGGACGATGATAACGCGTACGCCGCTGAACATTTTGTGAGAGCGACTAAGATAGGAAAGGTAGGAGTTTGGCCTGTTGGATTTCCGAGCACTAAGAGTAAGTTTGAAGCGCCCGTGGTTAAAACGCAACGTCAAAGTGACGCATTGCGATCTTCTTCGTCTTCTTCTTCTCCAAAAGTCGTAGGCTTTCGTTCGTTTTGGTGCGGAGATTTAAAAAACTTTAAACCTCGCGTATTTAACGTCGATATGTCTGGGTTCGGCGTTCGTTTACACGCCCTTGAGAAAGTACGATTCGACGAGAATGTGCGATCTGGCTATTTAGAAGACGCGTTCCTGCAGGCAATCACACGTAGCGTTCTCAGAAGAGATAATAAAACCAGCGAAAACGAAAACGAAGGGAACCCGTCGCACTTACTGAACGCTCTCGAAACCACACACGTGTCCGAGATATTTGTATGGCACTTATACCACACGGTTCTTTCTGGCGAGACACCGGCCGCATTGGTTGTCTCGAAAGTACCGAAGGGAGATAGTTTCCTCTGTCCATGAGTAGAATTCTCTTTAACATTCCGAAAGAACGCGCTCGCGTAAGCGGTGTGAAGAGTATCCTTTTGTCTTTTCTCGTTTTTCTCAATTTCTCTGCTCTTTTTTATTCCTTTCTTTCAAGCGTCGTGAAATCTTCTTCACAACTTGACGCGCAAAGGCGGTGCATTCATACGCACAAAATGCGCCATCTTTATCTCGCATCCGTGCTTTACGTTTTTCTGTTCCTTTTGGAGCGCACATCTGCCGCGTATTTGCGTTTCGCGCGTCGTCCACCGCGTCTGTCTCTTCGCGATGATGTTTCCCGAGATAGAGATAACGGTATCTTCTCCTCCCCGTCCTCCTCGTGCCAAAACGAAGGCACGAAAACGCACGACGGATGCGACGACCCGATGTATACGAAAGAAATGAACGGGGACGAATCCGATCGGTTCGATATGTTTGAACTCGCGCGCTCGTGGACGCCTGGATTTTGCGCTTCGTTCGACTCTTCTTCTTTGGGAAAAGGAAAGAAAAAGACGGAGTGCCAGAAGGCATACTTAAAGAACGAGTTGACCGTGCACGGATTGTGGCCAAGTTATTCCGAGCCTTTGAGCGACCCCGCGGTGGTATTGAGAAGTATTAAAGACAAGAAGAAATGCTACTGGCCTCAAAATTGTCGCATACCGCCGGGGTACCCGAGAAACGAAAGCTTTCGTTACGACGAGAAGGCGTTGCCGAAGGGCGAAGAGTTTGAGAGATTAGCGCCGGCTTGGTATTACGACGGTTTAGCCGAACACGAGTGGGAGAAGCACGGGACGTGCGCGATGTGGCCTGCGAAGGATGATGCCACCAGTATTGGTAGCACAGGAAAGAACGTAGTGAACCCGCTTACGCAGAAAGATTTTTACGCCGGGATGTTTCACTTGGCGAAAGATTTAGGCACGCCGGAGAAACTCTCTCGAAGCGCGGGAAAGAAAGTGTCTTTGGACGAACTCAAAAGTGCGTTTTCGGAGATAAGTCCTAACCTCGCCGCATTCGGGTGCGATTCGAGATGTAACTTTGTCCAAGTCGTCCAATGTTTCCGACGACCTTCTTCTTCCTCAGCGCTCGTCTCGAGGAGTAGTACTAGAAATAGCAGCAGTAGCGATAGCGATTTCATCGGCCACCCGATGGATTGTCCGTGCGTCGGCGTTCGCGATTCTCGCTACGACAACTCCTGCGAGAGTCACTGCGCCGATGGCGTGTACATCGTCGACGCCGCCGCCCCTTGATGATATACTATCTTTTTTTAGCGTTCGTTGTGTTATGATTATGAATATTTGCACCTCACATTGAAACTTCACAAAAGTTCTCCTCTGCGTACGTACGAGAAAACAAGAGTACGAAAGAGTATAAAAAATCATCGAGCCCAATGGAAGCGTGGTGGACGGCTAACGTCGTCCAACCGTTCGAGGAGCTCTTACATTCCTACAACACCTCCTCGAACCGTCAATCCGCGGATGCGGTGAAAAAACGCATCAAGTTAGCGCAAACGACAGGCTTGTGTAACTTGGAAAGGAATCTGAATTGGACGCGCTTCCCGGATTTCATATTCGACGTCGTCGGTGCGAACAAGTGCAAAGTTGTCGACGTTTCCGAGAACCAACTCGAGGAGATTCCAGAGAAAGTGAACTTGTTGCAGAAATGCACGAAGTTAATCGTCGCGAATAATATGCTTTTAAGACTACCGGACTCTTTACACATGAAGAGTTTAAAAGTACTCAATTTGAGTCGAAACCGATTGAGGAAACTCTGCGCTTTGGATCTGCCGAATCTCGTGGAACTTATCGTAGATAACAACGAATTGACGGAGTTACCGGAGAGTTCGTTTGGGACGATGAAAAAGTTGGAGATTTTCAGTTGCTCGGAGAATAGGATACGGGACGTGACGTGCGTGTCGGTGTGCGCCTCGTTGACGGACGCGAGGTGCGAGAGAAATCAAATCGAAAAAATACCGGATGAGTTTGCGTTTTTGAGGAAGCTGAGACGGTTGAGAATGGATGGGAACGAAAATATACGCACAGTTCCGTCGGATGTGTTTAAGCATTGCGAAGGGTTGGAGGAACTCTCGTTGAAAGATACCAAAGTGACCGCGGAAGATTTGCGAGAGGTGGAAGGTTGGGAATCGTACGAACTGCGCAGACAAAAGAAGGTTGAAAAGAAAATCGATGGGAATGTCATGCTGCTGAATGGAATGGATGACGGTTTGGAGCGGAAAATGTAGCGCAATAGTAGTAGTTTAGCTTTAGTAGTTTAGCAATTAATAAATAGTATATGAATAAAGTTATTTACAACTCGGAGTCTAAATTAGGTAAGCAGCAAAACTATAGAAGCAAAAAATACAAATCAACGTGGTAGCGTGCGCTCACACTCCACCCATTTTTATATTCACTCATCAGGAACAACGCTTTCACTCATTCCAGTCGGTGGAAGTGGTTGGCTAAAATCTTGTTGCTGCTGTTGTCCGTGATGCTGCGGTATCGGAATCATTCCGCTCGGATCCATACCGTCCGGCCCCATCATTCCGGGTTGTCCGAACATGGCCGCGTTTCCGGGAGGGAAACCCATCCCATACGGCGCACCGTACATATTCGGATACTCTTTCCCGTCTAGACTAGCTCCTCCCGACATACCCCCTGCGTTCATATTTGCGTTCAAACTACTCATATCCACCCCTCCAATGTTGCTAATGCTAGTGTTCCCATCGTCTCCCGATTTCATGTTTTCTCCGCCGATTAACCCCCCTTCGTTTTGCTGCTGCATGGCGGCAAAATGAGGAGGCGGAATCATCATTCCGTTCGGTGCGTACATGATTGGATTACCCATCGCATCAAACTGAGGAGGCATCCCCCCTGCCGCCATCATTTGTTGCATCATCGCCTGTTGCTGATGTTGATGATGCCGCGAGCCTCTCGGCGGCATGCCGTAACTCATCTGAGATATGTGTCGAGACGCGTAGTTTACATCAATCGTTCGGTTTTGAAACTGTAAGTTGCGTAAATCTTTTACCGCAGCGGCAATCTCTGGGTGTGCAAACTCAACGAACCCGTATCGTTTGGATGCGCCGGTTTCTTTATCGTAAATCAAACGCACTCGAGCGACTGGACCGTATTGCGAAAAGAACCATCCAACTTCCTCCTCCGTAGCGGTTTTCGGCAAGCCGCCGACGAACACTTGCGAGGAGTATTGCGGGTATCCACCTCCCATGCCTCCCATGTTATTGTTATTATTATTATACCGCCTGGATGATGTCGACGGCGACGCGCCTCCAACCCCGCGGTCTTGTTCGCTTCCTTGCTCTTCCGCAGGTAACGGAAATCCATTTTCGTCCAACAAAGGAATGGTTTCGTTATTACCACCAATCGCGGCTACGTTCTTCGCATTTCCGTTCGCGTCGTCAGAATCTTCTTCGTCCGGGTTATTCACGATCCCATCGTTCCCGTCGGATTGTGACGGACCGTTCACGCCGTCGCCGTTTAATCCGTTCACGTTCCCAGATTGATTGAATTGGGCCGGGTACGTGCCTCTTCTTTGGCCCATGAACCCTCCGCCTCGGCCACCAGAGAATCGTCTCGGTCTCGGTTGTCCAAACATCCCTTGGTTCGCACCAACACCACCTGTGCCCATGTTGTTTGGATTAAAATACGGATCCACGACCATCATGTTCCCGTCCGGGCCCATGACGATGTTCGGTTGATGATACCCGTGCGTTTGGCCGTAATGGTTCGCGTGTCTCCCTCCTCTCCCACCTCTTCCACCATGAAAGCCACCAAAATCGCCTCTTCCTCCACCTCCCATGAATCCTCGTCCGCCTCCTCCTCCGCCTCCCATCATCATCTGGTTCGGATAGCCTTGTTGCGTAAAACCGCCGCCGACGCCTCTCTGATATTGATGGTTGTTGTTATAAAAGCCGTTCCCGCCCGCGTTCATCATCATCATCATCACGTTATTGTTGTTATTATTATGACTATTCACGTGATTCGGATCGTACCTCGGCGAATCTTTATTCGCCGCTTTCACGTCGATCGTCTTCCCGTCGATCTCCACTTTCCCTCGTTCCAAAAATCGCTCCGCGGATTCCTGGGTTTTAAATTTCACAAACCCGTAGCCTTTGTGGCATCCTTTCCTCAGGTCCGGGATTAACTTCGTCGTCACCTCTTCCTCGTGTTCGTTCTTAAAAAACCGAGTGACTCGTTCCTCGTCGATTTCGTACGGCGGGATCCCACCGATAAAGATCGTGCGTTTTGAATCGCCAACGTCTTTTTTCTGTTCCTCTTCCTCCTCGAAATTCGTCGTTTCCTCTTCCTCGTTCTTCGCGGTATTCGAATTGTCGGATTGGAGGTCGACTTTCTTCGCATCATCATCATCATCGTCTCCTTCTTTATTCCTCTCGTCGTCGTCGTCGTCGCGAGTGCTGATCTCGCGCACTCGTTCCGTCAAGTGCGACACCATCTCGTCGACGTTGACGTCGTTTGCCACTAAAGCGGCGTCGTTGGCAGGCGTTGCTCGAGTGGTGTCGTTCTTCTCGTCTGAGCTCATAATTAAAAAAGGATCCGATGTGTTTTGAGAGATTTGAGGCGAAAAGGAGAGACTTATTAGAGCAGTGGATCTCTTTTTCGTGCGTGCGTTTTATGCGTGTGTATAAAACGTAAAGCGCGTGTGTTGAGTGCGAAGAAGAAGATCGCGCGAAACCACCGGGAGGGAACGCTCGCGTCTGTTTTTCTGTTGTTGTTGTTGTCGTGTGCGTGCGTTACACCAATTTGACGCAACCGCGGCGGGAATGAATTTGAAACAATTTAATTTTTATTCCACGAGACGAGTGAATTTGTCTTTTGGTCGAAAAAAGACAGCCTGGCTTGGTCGCAAACGCCTCCAAAAAAGAAGAGAAAAAGAGAAAAAAAGAAATGAGAGAGGCGGATATTTTGTGACACAAGTGCACGCTAACAAAAATGTTCCTTCGCCGCGTCGACGAATCGTCGTCCAGAAGAAGAAGCGAGACAAAGTTTTACAGAGAGAGAGAGAGAAAACTTTTTTATTCTTTTACGACGCAGAAAAGGGGAAAAGGAAGACAAAAGAGAGAGCGCGTGTCCGTTTCCTTTTCTCTTTTTAGAGAGAGAGAGAGAGAGGAGAGGGATTCTTTCGTCGTCGTCGTCTCGTTGACGTCGTTTACGTCGTCGTCGCCGGGGCACCACCCATGACGACGACGTCGAGAGAAGTGCTCACTCGGTTGCGACTGATTGTCGTGCCACGGCGGCGGATTTTTCCATCATCAACAACAACATCAACAACGTCTCTGAAGAGTTTAGCTGAAAAAGGAGGCAGAGGTAAAGACGGTGGAGAAGATGCGTCGACGTCGTTATCATCATCATCATCAACAGCAACGACACAAAAGAGCGACGAAAATATTTTCTTCTTCATACACGCTTCGGCGATTCGAGAACCAAATCCGAGTCGATACGAGCGAGCCGTTCGCGTCGTGCGAGAAAACGAAGAGAAAGATGCATTGAAACGGTTCACGCCGCTGTTCGTGAATAGCTTGAAAGAGAAAGCGTCCGCGTACGCCTCGAGAACCTGGCAAACGTGGGAGAAGAGCGAGAAAGGGTTTGGACGGAAAGTCTATGATATCGCGCAGAAGTTGTTAGAGCGAGTGGATCCGGACGAAGACGTGTTGAAAGCGATACCGTCGAAGGCGCTCGGTGCGACGCTTTCCTCCTGCGAAATCGTGTACCCAAAGTCGTTGATGCACGCGGATGACGTGCGCGTAGCCATACGAGACCTGCTGAAGAGAGGGAAGAAGAAAGCGAGACGAGCGAAGTATTTCAACTTGGCGTGCGCGCCGTTTACGCTCCCGTTGTTTCTTTCACCGGTGTCAAACTTTCCCATTTATTGGTTCTTATATCGAGCGAGAGAAGCTTGGATTGGATGCAAAGGCGCGGAATCCGCGAAAGAGATACTACAAAGACGGTTAGAACAACCAGAGTTGATTGGCGAGGACGATAGAGAGATTCAAAAGTTAACGGAGTTTGAGTGTACGCGTTCTAGCGATAACGAAGATGATGGTAATAAAAGTACCGAAGCGTGTTGTCGAATCGCGGCGCACGACGAATCGAACTGCGCCGTGACGTTTGCGCCGTGCAATAAACTAGACGAAGTGTTCGGTTCTTTCTCTTCATCCTTTGCGAGCGACGAAAAAAAACTGAACTTTTGGCGTCGGCTGACGGCTGTTCAGTTAGACTCGACGGAAATCGAAGATAATTATGAGATGAACTTTGTGCGCGCTTTAGGAGAGATTGAAAAACTCACCGGAGCGAATGACATGGTTTCGTTACATAAAAGATACGAAAGGTTCCGAGCTTTGAACGCGAAATAAACTCAGATATAGAAGTCACCGATGCGCGGCGGGACGTGTATTTTATTTATATAGAAGTAGCAGATAGATCGAAAGAGCGTAAGCGTGTAAAATTAGATGCAACCAATACAGTAGCAAATCTTTATCGTGTAACAACAAAACTAAATCTTGTTAATATTTTCTAAGCGGCAGTTCGCGCTTCTCCGTCATCTCATTTTTGCGACAAAAGAAACGATAGAAAAGACTCTTTCGGTCCTCAACTTCTCGGTCTCCCTTTTTTATTGGGAAACAAAAAACATCTCGCGATATCACTCTCCAATCACGCAAACGTACCAAACCCCCATTTACTTATTTCTAAAAACGAGTCATCGTCGTTTACTTGTTTTCGTAAACGTACGTCAAGCCGCACTTACCGCAGTAGTGTCTGTCAAAGTGGTTCGCCATGAACACGCCCGCGCCGCACTCCGGCGCCGGGCACTCCTTCCGTAACCTCGTCACTTTACCGGCGTCGTCAACCTTGTACAACTTCAAAAACCCCAACTTATTCTTCTTGTGCACGTGCTTGATCTTCTTTGGTTTCGTGTACGTCTTCTTCTTTCTCTTCTTACCGCCGCCTCGCAAACGCAACACCAAGTGCAAGGTTGATTCTTTTTGGATGTTGTAATCCGCGAGAGTTCTCCCGTCTTCTAACTGTTTACCGGCGAAAATCAATCGCTGCTGGTCCGGCGGAATGCCCTCCTTGTCTTGAATTTTCGCTTTCACGTTGTCGATCGTGTCCGAGGACTCGACTTCGAGCGTGATGGTTTTCCCAGTCAAAGTTTTACTGTTTAGTGAGAGGAAAGAGAGAAACACCAACACCAGGTCAGAACACAGATACAAACATCAACACGCGCGCGCTTTGAAAATAAAACGAAAAACAGCGGGCGAAACGAAAACGCCGTTCTTCCTCTTTCAAGAGCGCGTTGTTCAAGCCGATTCATCGGCGCGAAAACGAGACGAGAGAAACTTCTCATCATCATCATCATCATCACCATCAAAAGCCCCAAAAAAGGGAGAGAGGATTTACGCGCAGAAAGAAGACAAACGTCCCGAACGCAAAACAACACCGAGACGCGACGTTTGAAACGTAAAAAAAACGACACATAAACGTACACGAAGATTTGCATGATGGAGAAATGCGATTAATATCTAATAAAACGTAATCTTCTCGTCGTCCGCTCGTGCACGTGAGGGAGAGTCTTCGAATGAATTTGTTTTTTGTGAGGAGGAAGGAGGGAGGAGAGAGAGCGAGAGAAAAACTCTAAACCCTACATTTAGGGTTTCATGAAAGAAGAAGAGAAGATTTTCAAAAACCTTCCTTTCTTTCAGTCCTCAGAAGGAAAAGAAGAGAGCACTTGACCTCCCCCTTTCTCGCGCTTTCGCGCGGAGGAGGAGAGAAGTTTCAAACAGCATTCAGAGACTGATGACGACCCCGTTTGAATTGACGACGATTGAGACGATGAAGATGACGACGACGAAATCGCAAAGCGCTTTGTCTTCTTCTACTTTTAAAATGGCAAAAGGACATTTTCGAATTGGAAAAAAAAGAGTGCGAAGAAGAAATGCCAGAGGAGTTTTCCGGGCTTCTGCGTCGGTGGATTTTGGATTCGAGCTCGCGCGGGACATGGGCGTAGGAGCGGCGTGTTATTGGATCTCCGACGAGCTCGCGCAACGGGTGAGCGAGACGAAGGCGGAAGAAGAAGGCGAGGAAACGTACACGAGAGACGACAGGAGACGAGGACGGTACGTGACCTTTGGAAGTTTCGATGGTTTGACGTCGTACTTATGGTACACCTTGGTGGATAAGGTGATACCGAGTCCGAGCGGATCGAGTTTTTCCGCCGACGCGGTTTCCATCTCCGCGTTGACGGCATCGACGACGTACGACGACGAGTTAACCGGCGACTTGGCCAACGCGGCGTACGCCATGGCTTCCGCGCAAGGCTTCGCTTCGGAGAATATAGAGTTGACCAAATCGAATGTAATCGAGTGGTTTTTTAGCAACCCGGAACACGTGGTGTTGACGAAGAAGGTGGTTTTTGACGCGCTCGTGTATAACCCAGTTTGGGCGTGTGGTTTCATAGTCATCATGGCGTTGTTGCGGAGCGAATCGAAAGAGGAAATCAAAGCCGAACTCAAACGCGATTGGGGAGATTTGTACATCTCCAACATCGTTTTTTGGGTACCACTCAACTTTGTCGTCTACGGCGTCATTCCTCTCGATTACCGCGTCGCCAGCGTGTACGGATTTACCATCTTATACGTCTCTGGTTTGTCCTTGTGGGAGGAAAATAGAAACAAAAAGTTGCAAGCGTTGGCGGCGAAAAGCCGCGAAAACGAAAACGACGTTGCCCAAAACGAGCAGCTGAATTTAGTCGAAAACGAAGTCTTCGATGCCGTGAGAGAGTACATGGATAAGTAGTAAAACGCAGCAAAGAGGAACGACGATTCAGACGACGACGTAGGGAGGAGAAAGTATTAGTAATAAAATTAATGATCATCACACAAAGTTGTAAACGAATAATATTTAAAAGTAATATCCGCAGCAAACTAAAAAGATACTCGAAACGAAAATACAAAACAGAACGCGCGTTTGTTTTCATCGTCATGCCACCGCTCACGCGCGCGAAAACAAAGCAAACGATCGCCTCGCTCGCGTCTCGCGCTTTAGCTCTGTTCCGCGCGAAACTCTGTTCCATTTCGACGCGGAAAAAGAAACGACGAAAGAGGAAGAAAAAGCGAGAAAGAGAGCGAGAGACGCTCGGAGTCGTTTTGGACGCGTTTTCGAGCGAACGAACGTATCGCGCGTTTACGACGCAGGCGGTGAGCGGTAAAATAATAAGCAGAAGGAAATCGGAAAGAGAATACGAAGCGAAGAAAGAAGAGGAAGGGAAATCAGAGAGCGAGGAGGATTTGTTGGACGATTGGGTAAACGTGTTGAAAGAAGAAGAACAAGAACAAGAGGAGGAGGAGGAAGCGTTGGAAGTGGCGGTGGTGCACGTGTTGACGAGCGCGTACGCGAAGATCACGCGACGAGAGGAAGAAGACGATGAGATCGTCACGACAGAGAGAGAATTTTTCGAGGCGTTTAACGAGGCGTTGAAGAGAGGGAGCCAGGAAGACAATGTCGCAAATGAGTCGTTCGAGAAACATTGGAAACGGTTGACGTTTGTTCGCAACGTCTGTAGCGCGACGGCGGCGATGCAGCATCGAGTGACGAGAAAGGCGGCGAAAGTGGTCTATAAAAGTGTCTTCACGTGGTGTTTTCGAGTTTAGAAGTATTCCAAGATGCTTTGTTGCTTGCGTTAATGTACACGGTAGTCTTATATACAACATATTTTTGTGCTCTCGCCGCGCGATCGTCTTCGTCTTCGTCTACGTTTGCTGCTTCTAATCTACTTCTAATTTCCACTACGTATAAAATTATAAAAAGTCACTCTATTTTTGCCAGTTTACGTCTATACGTAAACCGGCGATGTCTTCGCACGCTCGCGCTCCCTTCGCCGATAAACGATTTGAGGATAAACTCAAGCGAGCGATGCTCACGTTGGTGGCTAAGAAATTCGCCAATCGCATCCCTCCTTCGTCTTCGATATCGTTCCTCGCCAAATCTAAAATCGACAGTCTCGTCGCGAGATTTGAAGAGAGATTTTCTGCTAAATCAACCGCTGCACGATCGTCCAACCGGTTGGAATCGAGAGAGATATCCAACAGCGTTGAATTTTCCGAGAGACAATCGGCGAGGTAAAACGCGCCGTCGCTGGTGATATCATTCCCTCTCGCGTCAAAGTGCGTCACCGTGAAATTCGTCTTTAAGTGTCTCGCTAAAATCTTCAAACCAGCATCTTTGATGCCGTTGTTGGAAAGATTCAAACTTCTGGTACCATCGAGACACTTTGTGAGCGCACACGCACCTTCAAAAGCAACCGAATTACACCGAAAATCCAACTCTCTTCGAAACGAGCGCAACGAGCGCATGCCGGAAGATTGCGAACACATGGCCTCGGCGAGCGCCGTCGCTCCTTGTTCGAAAATACCGTTGAAAGAGACGTCTAACTTCTCTGAAACCTCGTCTGGGAACGCTCGAAACATGTTTGCTAATGCCAACGCCCCATTATTTCCAATACTATCGTGCGACACATTCAAAATTTTCAAACCTTCCGGACGCTTCCCGAATTGGTCAATTGCTCTCCGCCTCCTTTTCACCATACCTTCGCACACGGCTCGCACGCCTCTTTCGCCTAAATAGTTTTGCGACAAGTCTAAAACTTTCACGCTTTGCAAGTTCTCGATGGCATTCATCAGAGCCTCGCACGCGTCGATATCTTCCGCCACTTTATTCGCCGATAACTTCAAAACTTCTAAATGCTTCAAAGTATGCGTCACGTGCGCGAACCGCGTGATGAAAGCTTTCCCCAAGTTTGTCCCGACCGCTGAGAACTCTCTCAGCATCGGTAGATTCGCCATCGAGGATGCTAAATCTCTGCCAAACCCAATCGCTTTATCTCTGCACCCGCTCACGTGTAACGCGATTAACCGCCTCGCTCTCGCGCTCGCCATCGGCCTCGAGGACAAACGAAACAGTTTATCCAACGATACGCAGTTCAAAACGTCTGTTTGTAACCGAACCACGGAACACGCCCAGAGACTCTCCTCGTCTCTTTCGTGCACGTCTCGAATCGCACGATCGATCTCGTCCCAAACTTCGTCTTCGTTCGCGTATTTGGACATGTCCGCGCGAATTTTTACCATCATCTTCGTATTTCCTTTACCGACGGTTTTCTCCTCGTTCGCGTCGTTCGGGAGGTTGAGACCACCACCACCACCCGCGTTGTTGTTGTTCCTCCTCCCTTCGGTGAACCCGAAACTCTCATCACCACCTTTCGTCAGCATCAGTCGCATTTTCGCCATCCCAGTCGCTATTTCCCCGACTCGGCGTTTCGCCTTTCGTTCTTTGTCTTCTTCTTCGTCTTCATCATCCGCGACATCACCGATATCCATCGTCCCATCGTGTCTCTCTCGTTTGAACTTCGACTTTGAGTTGCTCGAGTTCGATAGAATCCTCCCGCCGGACATCGTACGTACCCCGTCCACTGATTCCACGTGCACAATCGTCGCCCCGTTCACGGAGCGCGCGGACAACACGTCCCCGTGCATTATTAGTATTACTATAGTAGTAGTAGTAATAGTATTCGAAAGAGTGCAGAGTTCTCCCTTTTTTGTATCTGCGTTTTAAGGAAAACTCCGCTCTGAAAACGCTCTACAAAATTCACTCTTTTCTGCTCCTTGTACACACATCACACTCCTTTTACAGATATACGCGAAGGGACGCGCGACGAAGACGAACATTCGGAAAATGCAAACGATCGCGAGACGCAGAGGGTACCGGGTGACCCGGTCCCGATCCATGGTACGCGAGAAGCGCGTTTCTGTGTTTACTCTTCTCTCTCTCTCTTTTTTTCTCTCTCTCTAATCATCATCTTCGGGAAAAACGAACCATTTTACCGAACTTTTCTTTTCTCTCAAAGTGTGTTGTTCTTCTTCTTCTTGTTCTCATCATCGCGCATCGATCGAACCGGCTTTGAAGGCAAAATTCACTTCGTTTCGTTTTTGCGATGAAGAGAACGACGACGACGACGATGATTTGGCGGCGGTGCGCGCGAACAAAGCGTCGTGTTCTTCTTCGCGCGCGAATGATGATATACATTGGTGTCTCTCGATGTGCTTTTTTATGCGTTGTGACTGATTCTCTCTCTCTCTCTCTTCTCTCACAAAAATCTTAAAAGTCGCGCGACGAGGAAGAGGAAGATGCGTGGGATTTTGCCGCGGAAAGAGTAGGCGGAGGCGTTGGAGTAAACTTCCGGAAAGTCGTGCCTCAAGTGCGCACCACGGTGGCGCGAGGAGGAGGAGGAGGAGACGATGCCGCCGGCGCGGAGACGACGACGCAAGGCGGCTCTCCGAACGGCCCCGCGAAGAAGCTCGCCCGAAATATATCGAACAAGTGGAGTTCGTTTCGCGCGCGCACCGCGTCGGGGTTGATTTTAGGTGCCGGCGGGTTGATCGTTTTGTTCCACGGGGCCATGTCGACGATGGTGATGATTTTTGCGGTGCAGACGTTGATGACGAAAGAGCTGTTCGATTTGAGCGAGTCGCAGGAGAAGGCAAAGTTGGAATCCGCCGGGATACGTTTTCGATTACAAAAGTGGTACTTTTATTTTTGTGCGGCGTTTACGTTATACGGGAGGATGGGAAGGCATTTTTACTTGACCTCGTTGGCAGAGAAAGGACACTTTTTCATGGACGAGACGACCACGTTTGCGAAAGTAGTTACCTGGGTGATGTTGCATCACTCGTTCATCAGTTATTCGTTATACATGGGCGGCTTCGTCGCTTTCGTTTTGTTGTTGAGAAAAGGATTATTCAAGTACCAATTCTCGCAGTTCGCGTGGACGCACATTACGATTGCTATAATCTTTTTGCAATCCTCGGCGACTATTTCGAACATATTTGAAGGCATCATATGGTTCTTGTTCCCGTTTCTGTTGGTGGTCGTGAACGACGTGATGGCGTACGTCTGTGGAAAAGCGTTTGGTCGAACGCCGCTCATCGCGCTTTCGCCGAAGAAAACTTGGGAGGGCTTTATCGGCGCCATGTTTTGCACCGTCGTCATGGCACCGATTTTATCCACGTTTCTCGGGAAATTCAAGTTTCTAACGTGTCCACCTATGCGTAAAACGATTTGGAAAACGAGCGAGAAGTTCGGTTTGATCACCAAGTTTGATAAATACTTCTCGCGAGAAGCCGTGTGTCAGTTGAAACACCCGTTCATACCGATGAAGTTTAACATCGACGACGTCCCGATGGTCCCTTTTGGAATGAAAATGTTCTTGAGGCTCATATTGAGGTTCGCGTACAATCGAGACTACTTAGTTCTCACCTGGTTCGACGTCCACGCTGGATTTTTGGCTCTTTTTGCCTCCATAGTCGCACCCTTTGGAGGCTTCTTCGCGTCTGGGTTTAAGCGCGCGTTCAAAATCGACGATTTCGGCCACACCATCCCTGGTCACGGCGGTTTCGTCGACCGAATGGACGTCCAAACCATAATGGCCGCGTTCGTATACTTTTACATTAGAAATTTTGTCGAATTGAGCACAAGTTTAGGCACTGGAAGGTTGTTAGGTAAAATCGAGTTGATGAACGACGAAGATTTAGTTACGGTGTTAACCGGCATTAAACGTTTAGCGGGAGAGAGAGGGTTAGATATCATGGAGTTGCTCATGCACAACGGGGCACCGAACTTGTAGTAATCAATAATAAAGTACACCGCAAATAGATCAATACAAGAGAATAAAAGAGAGTCATCAAAGTCGACGCAAACGTCATCGACGACTTCGCCTCCTAAAACAACTTCCCTCGTTTTCTTCTTCTTCTTTACATTCTTCGGTTTCGATGATGGTACAAAAGCGTGTGTTATATATATAACAAATCACAAAAAACAAAGCTACATCTAACATCCTACTCTCATCACAATCACTCGTCCGCTATGCTCGCCAGGTACATCAAATTCTGTTGCAGACGATTTTGATACCTCGCGCACTCCGCCAGCCTCCCGACGTTTTGGTTCTCCAGAATAGCCAAGATCAGATTTTGATTTTCGTCCAAGTATTTTTGAATCAATTCCGTGGAGATGTCTTTGTGGTCGTGGTTCAAGTCCGGGTGTCCGGTTCGTGGTGGGGGTAACGTTTGTGGGCCGTTTGTCGGCGCGTTGTGATTTTGTTGTTGTTGTTGATTTTGTTGAATGCGTTGTTGTTGGTGCATCTGTTGCGTCGCCAAAGCAGCGGATGGGGTTGCGAACGTTTGGGGAACGTGTTGCGGATGTGATTGATGATGATGTTGTTGGTGTTGCCGCTGGACGTACGGCCGGACGACTTGCGCTTGGTGAAACTCCTCCTCCTCGGCGGTTAAAGGAGGGCGAACAATCGCCGGTTGCTTCGGTTCCATCGTCGTCGTTGTTGCAGGTGGTGGATGATACTCCTGTTGTTGTTGTTGTTGCTGTTGCTGTTGCTCCATCACGGACTGATTGAAAAGTGAAGCATTCGGTACACACGTAATACATACATAAAAACAAATTTTGTCTACTTTATACTTTCTATCTACGTTTCGCTAGATAGTACTACGTGCTTCAGCATTGCTTTTGTCGCTCGTGTTCTTGGAGAAAAGCATCGTCGGCTCTTTTTATTCCTTCATACTACCGTTACGCCGCGACGGCTTTTCTCGCGTACCTTTACACGGAACCGCGCGAATACATCCTCCTCCGAGCTCCGAGAGCGCATCAAAGCTTCGAGAAAGCAACAAACACTTCTCGGCGACTCTGTATGTGAGAGGCTTGTTTTAATCGCCGATCGATGATGACAAAACGAGACTACTCAGAGAACAGACGCGGAGAGAGAGAGAGAGAGAGAGAGAAAACAAAACATTTCACATGCGTCTCGTTTGACCGCCTACTCTAGTAACTACATTTTCATCGCTCCGACGCTTTTCTTTTCTCGCGTTCCGCGAGAGCTTTAATCATCGTCAACCCGCCGACGAGAAACGATTTGAATCCGTTTTTCACTTTGTCTTCCTCCGAATCCTCGACCGAATACGTGACCAAAGCGGTCACACAGTGCGCGGGGAAAACGACATTCACACAAAGCCATCTCGCTTGCGCTTCGTTTTCCTGCGTCACCGCGCCTATTCTGGACCAGTCCCCGGACCATCCGCAATCGAGTAACGCGAGTATCGCGAGCACGACCACACCTTCGAGTAACGCGTACGGAGTGCTCGAGGTGATTGCATGCGCGGTGTTGACGAGTGATGATTCATCACCGTTATTCGTATTATCCTCTACACTCGCAACAACAGTCCTCCTCCGCAAACACCTTTTCTTCCCTCCTCCTCGCGAGAAAGACGAAGGCGCGCTGTTAAAGCTGCTGCGACTCATTCTTCTCCTCGTCGTCGTCGTCGCTCTCGTCGTCGTCGTCGACGGTGGAAGAGATACAGAGACGGACATCGAACGACTGCGCATTCAATTCCCTTCATACAAATGACGCATTCTTCCCGAGAGATGAAAAGACGAAGAGAATCGAGTTTAAGACTCCGTCGACACCATCGCGACCAAAGACGACGCGAAGGAGCTCCTTTTTGTCCTCCTCCTCTCTTGTTTTTGTTGTTGTTCGTCCTACAAACGTCGTCGTTAAAGTCGTTCTTCGTGTCCTCGTGCGTGCCGACGATTCGTTGCCCGAACGACGGGGAAGATGTCGTAACCACCACCACTATCAGAACGTGTCGCGCGGAATGGCAGTGCACGTGGTCCGCGATCGCACCGAAAACGAACGGTCCGAAACGGTTTTCGTTACTCCGCGGTCTCACGGATATTTTGAACGAGAACAACAACGATTCAGAAGCGCTTCAAAGAAGTGCGTTTAACATGACAAACGTGAAAGGGCACTCTGTGGTGCACTATTCGATGACGATTCAACCTTCGTGTTCGCGAGTCGGATGCGACGTGACGAAGACTTCGATAACGTTACAAACGCCAGACGCGAGCGATAGTTTTACGAGCAAAGATTGTCTCGTGGAAGAGACGGCGAAAAAATGCGGCCCGTTTGACGCGCCTTCGAATAGAAACGACCGAGAGGTGTTTAGCGAAGCGACGGCGACGTTGAAGTGTCAGAACAACGTGAAGCCGTGTTCGGGGAGCTCTGTTTTAGTGAGCGTAGATTTTGAAGCCGAAATAGCGGCTCCGCCGAGACCACCGGTACCACCAGGTTTACCGAACAGTCCACCGTCGCCGCCTGCACCGTTTGCACCGCCGATGCCACCAGCTGCGTTCGCGCCCGGCGGGCAAGGTCGAAAATTTTTTCAAATGTTTCTCGTTCTCGTCGCCGTGTATTGCTCCGTCGGGTACGCGCTCGCCTTAGCAATCACCCGAGGCCGCTGGTCTGGATTCACAGAAGCGTGCATCAGAGACGGTAAGGGAAGAAATTCGTGCGGATTACTGTTTTTCTGGTGGTGGCCTCGGTTTTGGACCGAGGAAGACGAAAGGTGTTTAGACGCGTTTTACGACGAGGAGGAAAGAGGAGAGAGGCGATTGTTAGACGGTAGCAGCACTTCAGAAGGAGAAGAAGAAGAAGAAAGCGAAAGCGAAAGCGAAGACGAGTCTTCGTCTGAAGAGGAGGAGGAGGAAGACTGAGGCGTTCGCGAATGATTCCGATTAGATTAGATTGTACACGAAAGATACGTAAAAATGCCAGATTCCCCTAAAATCGTCACAACTGAACATGTCAACTCCTGAACACCATCAGCACAAACGGAAAAGAGATCACGACGACGACGAGAAAGAAGAGAAAGAAGAGAAGGAAGAGCGGGGAAGAGTGGTGGAGGAAAACAGCAACAACAACTCTTTGCTCGCGCAGTTACACAGGGAACGAAACCAGCGTCGGCCGCCGATTGAACGAGCGACTTTGACGAGTTCGAGTTCGACGACGATGATGTCTAAAAACGCGAAAGTGGCGTCGTCGCTCGTCGCCAAAGCGACGACGACGACGACGACGAGAAACACAAGCGCGTGGGCAAACGTCGGTCGGTTGAGCTCGATCGCGAAGAGTGATCGAAACAATAAAAAGCAGGCGGTGAACAACAGTCACAGCGACGAGGTGGAGAGAGTTTTAGAACGAGCGAAACAGTTGGAAAGGAAACAGAAGACGACGAAAGCTTCTGTGACGACGACGAGACTACTACCGAAAATCGAGACGAAAACGGTCGAGATGCCAACGAGAGGACGGAAGTGGACGGAAGAACCTGCCATTCCCGATCGCACGGCGAACAACGAGGAGGAAGTAAGGATTCTCTCGTATAACATTTGGTTCGATAACCAAGCGGCGCAGATGGCGAGGACGGAGTATTTAGGACGAGTGATAGAAAGTTGCGATCCGGACGTGTTATGTTTGCAAGAGGTGACGCTGCCGATTCTTTTTGTTTTGCAAGGGCAAGCGTGGTTTGAGAAGTACAGTTTATGCGCGCAACCGAGCGAGATGGAGTTGCAGTGCGGGTATTTTTGCGTCGTGATGGTGAAGAAGAAAGAGACGGTGAGGAAGACGAGAATCGAGAAGGACGGGAACATCGCGAGAGACGACGAGAAGTGCGAAACGAGCACAGAACTGGGAGGCTTCGCACAAGGCTCGTGGAAAGCGCATAAATCGACGTTCGCGTCGTCAATTATGGGGAGGAACTTACAATACGCGTACGATTTGGGTTTTCCTCGGTTATGCGTGGCAACGTCGCATCTGGAATCTTGGATCATGGAAAACCCTCAGTTAATGGCGGAAAAACGGGAGCAACAGTTGAAACAAAGTTTAGAACATTTAGGAGGCAGGTTTGAGGATGTTATTTTTATAGGTGATATGAATTGGAACGACTCAAAGGATGGATTGTGTCCGATTGAACAGCCGTGGGAAGACGCGTGGTTGAAACTTCGACCGGAGTCAGACGGGTACAGCTACGACGCAAAAAGGAACACGATGTTGCGTGGAAACTTGTACGCGCGGTTCGATCGAGCGTTCGCAAAGTTGAAAAACTTCGAATTGCAATCGATTCAAATGGTGGGTACAAATCCAGAGGTGAACGGACAAACGTATGAGAAGCCGTACATAGAAAAAGGTGAACAAAAGAAAATCAAAGTCGATGTATTACCGAGCGACCATTACGGGCTGCTGTTAATTTTGAAAAAGAAGAGCTTGTTTGACGACGACGACGATAACGGACGCGATGGAATTATTGATTTAACTTAGAAGCTTTTCAGTTTGTGTATTGTATTAATCGCGTGCGTATTGCTAATTGTATTGTAATTTTTAATATCACGACGTCTTGAGTGTTTCCTCCGCGACGTCGGCGTAACGTTCCCACAGAGGTCGAATATCTTCATCGTCCTCTCCTCCGCCTTCGTGACTATTGCTATGGCTACCACTCTTTCTGTGATTCGGGATTTCTTCCGTCGATGACACGTGTTCAACGTGGTGAACGTTGTTGTGTCCGTCTACTCCCGGATGTGGTTCGAGTGGTTCGCGGTGTTCCGGATCACCTCCTACAACAGGTTCTTCGTGATGATGATTGTTCGGGTCCGAGCTTTCGTAATAGAATTCCTTGTGCTCCAAGTTATGCTTCTTCGAAACCGCTTCGAACGCTCTCTTTAGCTCCTCGTATTCCTCGTCCGTGTGTTCGTGCAACACCCCGTCGCTATCGATAACCGCGTTATACCCTTCGTCCATGACGCCCAAATCCGCCTCGTGCTTCACGCTCGCGTCGTGCTTCTCCAACTCGTGATGTTTCTTCAACGTCGCGAGTTCATCCTTCGCGCTCTCAGCCTCGTCTTTCCACTTGTTCATCTCGATGACCAAATTTTCTTTTTCGTGCCTCAAACTCTCCAACTGTTCCTTCAACTGTGACTTTTCGTTCCCGCTCAACTTCTTCTCCTCGTGATGTCCCGATAACTTCAACTCGCACGCGTTGAACTTATGCGTGGCGTCCTCGGTGTCCTTCTCTTTGCTATGCACCGTCGCGCGCAACTCTCCCATTTCCCTCTCGCGATCTTCTAACGTTTCCAAACACCGTCTCTCTCGACTCCCGGAGAGTTCTTTGAACCGCCTCATGCTCCCGTCCGCGTTCGATTTAAACAGGTCGAACTTTTTCGAAACCTGCGACCATCGAAAATACGAAAACGCAAATAAGAGGAAGAAAATCACCGCGAACGGATTCACTCGTTGTTGTTGTCCTTCATGTTGTGGTGTTTTCATCGATTGCGTCGATGTCGATTTAAAGTGCCTCGACAAAACCGTCCCAGCGTTTCTGATGAAATTTCCTCCCATCATCGTTCCTTTAATAAATCCCCTAGATCGTTTCTTCTTCTCGTTCTCGTCGTCGTCGAGTAAGTTATAGTTGTGTTGCGGGGAGAGGTACGCCGATGCTTGGTTGTGGTGGTTGTTGTGATAATACGCATCGTTATTCATATTCGGGGGAGAGATTGGATGCGCTGAAGGAGGACTTCCTCCTCCTTGATGTTGGTGTTGTTGGTGGTGCGCGAAAGACTCCCGGTTCGGGTCGATCGGACGTCTTTGCATTGTACCCTTCTCGTTGCTTTGAGAATTATATCCGGATGGGTTTTGCGCGTGTCTATTGTTCGTCTATTGTGTGTCTATTTATACGCGAGCGTACAAAATGTGAAGAAGTGAGATCTTTCTCTTTTTTTCCCGCACAAAGAGACAAACACCCGATGAGCAGTGTAACTTCGTTCTCGTTCGTCACCAGCGCGAGACTGACACCAGTATCACGACGTAAGCGGTGTTTTTATTACCAACAGCACGTGGGAGGAGAAATTCTATCGCGAGGAGGAGGAGGAGGAGGAGGAGCAGAATTGCGCGGTGGTAGTATTGTTGTTCGTCGTTGCAAAGAAAACAACGACCTAGAGAGAGATGCAATCGCGGGGACGAGCGGGCGAGAAAGACGACGCGAGGATGATGATGATGATGATGATGAAATACTCGGTACGCGTACTACTCATTACGAGTATCGAAGCAGAAGAAGACGGAGCGTGATGCTGAGCAGCGTAACGACGATGCTGTTGGGGATGAATGCAACAAAGAACAAGATAGCGTTTGCCGCAGACTTTGACGCTGAACGACCACCTTCGGACGGAGGAGGAGACAGAGGAGAATCATCAACCGCGATGGTCGTCGCGGAGGAGGAGGAGAGAGTGCCACCACCACCGCCACCGGAGAAGCCAGTAAAGATAAAGAAAAAGACCACTCGGGAACGGATCGAAGAGCTCGAACGACTCGAAGAGCAACAGTTGGAAAGAGAGGAAGCGATTCAGGAGCAAAACAGGGAAATCCAACAACAAGACAGCACCATCGACGGTTTACAACGTCAGTTAGAGTTGAAGAACGAACTGATCGCGCTTTTGAAACGAGAGCGAGACGAGGCGAAAGAGGCGGCGAAATTAGCGCAAGGGTTGTGCGCGCAAAGTGCGGCTATATTTTAATAAGATATAAGTGTTGTTGTAAACGAGAGTATGTGTTGTATCGCATGTCACATGTCTTTTTTGATCTCTAAAAAAAGTATTTGTTCCTCTTCTCCTTCATTATTCGTGCGCGCGCGCTCATCGAAACCACGGAAACAAACGCATCATACTTTCTTCTTTGAGAGCGAGCGCAAGGTTTCCGTCTGATCATCTCGAACATCATCATGGGCAAATCATCAGTTGACTCCCAAATTCGCGAAGGCGAAGAAGAGGAGGAAGATACACAGACGAAGAAGAAGGAAAAAAATATCAGAGATGAAGAACAAGAACAAGAGTCGAAAGCGCCGAAGCTGGTCGAACACTTTGCGAGCGCGAGAAAGCATTTGTTGTCGATAGACATAGAGAAGTATTTCGAGTTGAATCCACCGCATCCACCGGGTTCGCCACCGCGCAATAGGGGGGAAGGTGTGACTGTTTTGCATCCAGATTCGATTAAGAAGATTGAAAACGTAGTGACGTTGGAAGAAACGATGACGGTGAAACAAGCGTTGTCCGTGTTGAGAAGATATGGGATATCATCCGCGCCTGTGGTGAACAGTAGCAGCGCGTTGTTTATCGGGTTTCAAGACGTTCGAGACTTCATGGTGTTGTTTTTCGAGAAAGCGCTCGTTTCGCATTTGACTCGCCGGGAAGTTTTGCAAAGGATGATTGAGTTGTTGAACGAAACAGTGCGAGAGTGTCGGAGAGATTCCCATCCCGACGACGATGCGAGATTCGTATATCGTGGTTCGAGAAAGACGACGCTTCTTGAAATCGTTCGAGGTGGATTTCTGCAGCGCATCGATGTACGCACCCACGGCGAGGAGATTTGTGGGATCAAACCGACGACGCATGGAAAACGATTTCAAAGAGTCCATCGCGTCGCGGTATATTCGTTACACTATGACACTCTCACTAAAGATGAAGCGATGACAATCGACGCTGTCATATCGCAAACGGATGTCATAGAGTTTCTGCTCGATTGTTATTTGGAAAAGGACGAAGACGAGGATCCGTTCAAGAAAATAACCGTCTCAGAAGCGTTTGCGGACTATATCGAAAGAAAGAAAGAGGACCTTCTCGCTTTACCGAGTTTTACAAAAGCTATCGATGTTTTTGCAGGTTTGACGAGACAAAATGCAAACTGTGTCGCAATTGTTGACGATAAAACTGGTATGCTGGTCGACTCAGTCGCGGCGAACGATTTCGCGTATTTCATGGAGGAGTTTGACGAGAACCTCGATCTCACAATCGTCGATTTCATGCGCAAAATCAGAACCGTGCACATCCAGCAACAAAGCGCGGTACCGTCTGCCATTGGCGCTCCTCAATACGAATCAGACACGACGACCACCACGACCTTGACGGACGAAGAGAAAGAACAAAAGCTCAAAAAATTCATCGTGTCAAACAACCTCGGCAAACCGAATCTCCGCGCCGCCTTCCTGAACTCCTCCTTGCGAGAAGCCATGGAGCTCATGCGTCCAGCTAACGCTCTTCTCAAACGCGCTCCGTCTACCACAGATCGTCTTTCAGACGTGCACCACGTTTTCATCATTGACGATACTACCGGGAAACCTCTATTCGAGCTCACCCCGGGTTGCGTTCTCGAGCTCGTCGTGCTCCCGGCTCGCGAGCGCGTGTTTTGGAGAGTCGAGCCGTGCGAGCTCCACTCGATTTATCGAAACAGAAAACTCCCGACTTTTTAATAATACATACGAACAGAATAAGAGTCTTGTTCTTAGGAATGAGGGAACCAAGCGAGAGAGAGAGAGAGAGAGAGAGAGAGAGAGAGAGAGAGAGAGAGAGAGAGAGAGAGGTTTTGTCATACGAAAAACAATGCGAAAATCACACTTCTTTCTCCTTTTTTTGATTCGTCACAAAAATTTTTCTCAAAAGCTCGTTGAAACGACATCAGATCACACAACACAATGAATAACTTGATGCGGATGGGAATGGGCCAAGCGCCGCAAACCGGCCCCCCACCGGACACGCCGCAGGTGGACACCGCGGAGCAAGTGCAAATCAGTTCGCTCGCTTTGTTGAAGATGTTGAAACACGGTGCGTTTACTATTTCAAAGATTCGTTTCCGTCGCGTCGTTTCCGTGACGATGATTGCGCTTTCTGACTTTAATGTTTTCTCTCTTTCTCGCAAACAACACACAACCATTCACAAAACAGGTCGCGCGGGAGTTCCAATGGAAGTCATGGGTCTCATGCTTGGACAATTCGTGGACGATTACACGGTTAAAGTCGTCGACGTGTTCGCGATGCCGCAATCTGGTACCGGCGTTTCCGTTGAAGCCGTGGACCCGGTGTTTCAGACGAAAATGTTGGACATGTTGAAACAAACGGGCAGGGAAGAAATGGTCGTTGGTTGGTACCACTCGCACCCTGGATTCGGGTGTTGGCTTTCTGGCGTCGATATCAACACGCAGCAAAGTTTTGAGCAGTTAAATCCGAGGTTAGTGGCTGTCGTTATCGATCCGATTCAGTCGGTGAAAGGGAAGGTGGTCATCGACGCGTTTCGATTGATTAATCCGCAGACGATCATGTTAGGGCAAGAGCCGAGGCAAACGACGTCGAATTTAGGACATTTAAATAAACCTTCAATCGCGGCGTTGATTCACGGGTTGAATAGGCACTACTATTCCATCAATATTGGCTATAGAAAGAATGAATTAGAGGAGAAGATGTTGTTGAATTTGGACAAGCCGAGATGGAGCGACGGTTTGAAAGTTAGGAATTTTACCGAGAATAGGAAAGGGAACGAGAAGGTGGTTGGAGAGATGCGAGATTTAGCGGATAAGTATCAGAAAGCGGTGCAAGAAGAAGCGGAGTTGACGAAGAGGGAGTTGGTCGTTAAAGCTGCGGGGAGAACGGACGCGAAGAAGAGGTTGTCGGAAAACGCGAGCGATTTGATGGCGAAGAACATCACGCAGCAGCTCGGGGCGATGTTAGATACCGTGTGCTTTTAATCGTAGAGTTTCTTGTTACACCCTTTTGCGGTGCATTATGGTATACTTCTTTTTCTGTGCGCATTACAATTTTGCCGCTGCTATCCTATGTCGCGCTACGTCTAAGTTCTTATTGCTTACAAAACTTTCTTTTTTTTACGGAGCTTGCGGCTCGACAAACTTCTTCCCAACGTCCGTCCAATCCGTGCTCAACACGGTCCCGTTCGATTCTACGAAACTCTTCATCATCGCACGCCTCTGATCGTCGTCCGCGTCCTTATACAAATCCTGAAACATTTTGTTCAACCCGTCCTCGCCGTCCAACGTTTCCAACTCCTCTTCCATCTCCCCTAAAAATTCCAACCGCGTCCATTTATCCGCCGGCGGTTTATCAAGCGACGTCGTTTTTCCCTCATCACCAACTCCGTCTAAACTCGTCGTTGGAGTGGTTGAACTCGTCGTGTTCCGCGTTTCGTTCCCAATTTTGTGCTTCTCTTCCGAAACGCTCGACGACAACCGTCGCTCCTTTTCTTCTTCTTCTCTCTTCTGATTCTTCTTTTTCATCAGTTTGACTTCAATCTTCTTCTTCCCACATCTCACGCGGACGAATTCCGGATCCGTTCGAACCGGGTGGTGCTTTCGCAAATCAAACGTAAACTTCTCTTCTTCGCGCCCTGCTTTAATTTCAATTCCGACTGGATCGCGTGATCCTTCGGAATCGAAGATGAACCTGTGCGACACCTCCTCCTTTTCCATCGCGACGTCCTCCTCGGTAAAAAAAATCTCAATCGTCGTCGCGTCTAAAGACGAGTACAGCTCCGTTTTTTTCACCTTCGATACACTTCTCTCCTTTCTGCCTTCCTCCTCTTCTTCTTCTCCTTTCTTCTCCTCAAACTCTTCTTCTTTTTTCGTCGTCGTCGTCATCGCGCGTTCTCGTTGATGATTATGATGATGATGATGATGGTGGTTACTCTCTTTGAGTTTCTTTTGCGTTTTTCACAAAAAAAGCCATTGCAAAAAAGAGAGACGGAAATTAATTGTGCGAAAAAGGTTGACCCCTTTGTTTGTCTCTTTGTCGTTATTCAACTCGTGAAAAAAGAGGGGAAAAGGTGCCTCTGTCTCTTCACTTTACTCGTAAAAGAATAAAAACAGACACAAGACACACGCGTATAAGTATGAATCCAGAATAGTACGTTTTTAGATCTCTCTCGAGCGAAAGAAGCGAAAGAAGCGCGGCGTCGGTGGTGTTGTCGAAGTCTTTTCTTTGGTGGCTTCTTTTCGTTGGTTTTGGTGTTTTCGTTGGTGTCTCTCGTTGGTGTTCTTCTTCGAGTCGCGCGGCGATCTTCTCACTGAGAAAGAATTGGTGTCTCTCTTCTCCCCCCGAGACACGAAACGAATGCACTGACAAATCTCTCTCTCTCTCTCTCTCAACAACAACAACAGCGATTACTTGTTCAAGCTCTTGGTGCGTCTAAAGCTTTAACAAAGCTTTTTTGTTTCTTCTCTTCTTCTTCTTCTTTATTAACTTCTTTTAAAGAGAGAAGAGTTTTTCTTTAATGAGATCCGCTCTTAAAATCTCTCTTTCTCTCTCTCTCTCTCTCTAATGTTTTTTTAGACGAAGAAACTGACGAAACGATGTTCCCTCTCACTCTCACTCTTTTGAAATTTGTGTGCACGAATAGCTGATTGGCGATTCCGGCGTCGGTAAATCCTGCCTCCTCTTCCGTTTCGCGGACGACACGTACCAAGAGTCGTACATCAGCACCATCGGCGTGGACTTTAAAATCAGGACGGTTGAACTCGAAGGGAAAACGATAAAATTACAAATCTGGGATACCGCCGGGCAAGAACGGTTTCGAACGATTACGAGCTCGTATTATCGCGGCGCGCACGGGATTATCGTGGTGTACGATGTGACGGATCAGGAAAGTTTTAACAACGTGAAGACGTGGTTGAGCGAAATCGATAGGTACGCGAATGAAAACGTGAACAAACTTTTGGTCGGGAACAAATCAGATTTGACGAGTAAGAAAGTGGTGGATTACGCGACCGCGAAGGCGTTCGCGGATGAGATTGGGATTCCCTTCATGGAGACGTCGGCGAAGAACGCGACAAATGTTGAACAGGCGTTTGTGACAATGGCGAATGAGATTAAAACGAGGATGGCGAGTCAACCGCAAGCGGCGAGCGGCGCGAGTCGAGGAGCGACGATTAGGCCGGGGGAGGGGAGACCGGTGAATGCGAAGAGCTCTTGCTGCTAAATATCAACGAAAAGTGAGAGTTTCATATATATATAAATAAATAGTTTTGTGGACGACGGCGTGAGAGGGAGGAATATAAAAAAGAGAGTTGCGATTGCGAGCAACACATTAGGTAATTTTAAAACATAAAGTTTGAAGGCGTCGACGAACGAGAGGAAAATGTGCATTCGAAAGTTGTAATCTTGATTGCGTTTGAACGTAGTGTTTGTCTATCTATTAGCTGTTATTACATGCGTTTTTTATGTGTGTGTTTTTTATCTCTCTCTTTTTGTACTTGTGTATGTTTATTTCTGCGTCTCTCTTTTCATTTAAAGTGTTGCGCGCGGGTACGCTTGTACTATAATCGGGTTCCCAATAGCGGCGAAACAGCGGAAAACGTCTTGGTGAAAAACGACGATAATTCTCTCATCTTATGTTTGTCGTTTGCGGTTGTGTTCGCGTCCGTTGCGATTGTTTCGTTTACATTTTCGTTTCCTCGTGGTTGTTCTTCGAGTCGAGCGACTTCGATGGAAAAGACGACTTCTTTCTTCAATTCTTCTTCTTCTCGATTCTCGTCTTCGAGTGGCGTTAACGGCGTCTTCTGGGCACACTCTTTCGGGTACCGAGAAAACGTGTTCTCGGTACTCGCGTTCGTCGCTTCTTGTTCTTGTTCTTCTCCTTCTCCTTCTGTCTTTTTCTTCTTATTCAAACGGTTCTTACTCGAATATCTCGTTCTCGGTACGAATTCATACGTTTTATCTGTCACCATCTTTCTCTTAAACACTGCTTTCAACCACTCCTTATTATTCGAACTCGTTAGCTTACCATCAAACACGAGCGGGAAACACGTTCTTAACTCTCCAAACGTCGCACTTTCGATGGTTTCCACAATCACCTCGTTCGAAGGGGAGTCCTCCTTGTTCGCGATAACTTTCGCTAAAGCGCTTTCGTCCTTCTTCTTCTTCTTGTTGGTATTTTTCGTATTTGTCGTCGTAGCAGCGGTAGTACTCGTAGTCTTCATCTTTGTCTTCTTCTCCTGCTTTCCTTTCGCTTTCTGCAAAGCGTGAATCTTCGCGACCGCGCGTCGCGTGTTCGGCGTCGGATCGGATGTCCTGTTTTTGTAGAGGAGGAATTTTTCAATAAAACGTCTCCTCGTTTGAGGCATAAATCGCGGAGAAAAAAAAAACAAAGAGAGAAGAGAGATACCTCATCCTCGCGAGCGCAGTCGCACAAATCCCGGTCCGAGGCGTCAGCTTCATCAGCGATAGGTTCGAGGAAGAACTCGTCGTCGCAAAGTTCGATCCAAACGACGACGACATCGAACTTCTTCTTCTTCTCTTAGGAGGAGGAGGAGGAGGCGAAAAGAGAAAAAAGGCGTTGTTCGCGTTCTCTTCTTCTTCGCGTCGTTGAACACCGCCAACACCACCCATATCGATGGAGGAGGAACGGAATGGATGCGGTAAAGATACGGCGTGCGGGAGGAACGGAGTGTTTGGATGCATTATATATGTTACTCAATCTGCGCAAGTTTCTCGTATTCGAAAAGTGAGGAGCATGTGATTTCAAACTTTTTTTGTTTAAAAACTCTAAGAGCGGCAGCGCAAAATTTTTCCTCGAACAAACGCCATTTTTTCTAAAACCACCCGTATCGTCGCGAGGTCATTCGCGGGTGGTAATGGTGGTGGTGGTGGTAATGGTGGTGATGGTAATGGTGGTAAACGCGACGCGAGGACAATTAATTGCGCGGTATTTCGAGCGCTTTTTGCGAGTTCTCGATGGCCGACGCCGAGAAATTCTGACCAAAAGTACACGCGCGAGAGGTACACGCCGAGTCGAATCGGAAGCGGCGCTCGGATTGGCATCATATTGCTCGCTTCAATTTTTGCGATGGCTTCTAAGGCGACGCACATCGCGAGGCACGTCGCGAGTTCTTCGCTAGTTCGCTCTCTTTTCGGCGGCGTCGACGGCGTAGGCGTTTCGGCGCCTTCCTCTTCTTCTTCTTCTTCGAACAACTTTTTGCTGACTGGACTTTCCAACAACATCGATCGCGTCTCTTTGCCGAGAAAGAAGGCACCGAAACCGACGCACTTCTCCAGAAACTTCTGCATTTTCGGTGCCACCTTTCTCTCCTTTTCCGCGGATTTCAACACAATCACCTCCTTCTCCAATTTTTCCACCGAAGCGCAAAGCTTCGCGCCCATCTCTTCCATCCTGACCACGTGCTCTTTCTCCACGTTCGTGCGCTCAATCAATACCGCGCTCACGATCGATTGCTCCCTCACCTCATCTTCCATTTTCTCCTGTTTCTTCGTCAACACCTCTACTTTCTGCTTCTGTCTCTCCACTAACTTTTGCAACGGCAACGACTCTTGCAACAAAACGTCTTTAAACGCGTCTCGTTGCCCGGCGAGATACGACTTTGACGTCTGTCTCTTGGCGTCATCGCAGCGCGGCGTCATCGCCATTCCAACTCTTTCTACCTTAACATTTTTCTCCTCTTCTTTTTCGTCGTCCAAAAAATCGAACCGAAACTTGCCGCATTCGCTGCTCGCGGTGGTCGATTGTTCCTCCGCGTCGCTTTCGCACCCGCGCTCGAAAAAATCTCTCGCAAAGTGAAACGGCGTGGACGGCGTGGGTGGTGGTCTTGCGACTAAATTCTTCTTCTTTGAATTCTTCTTCTCCGTGGTGGTGGTCAAGTCAAAATTCCACGCGTCTTCTTCCTCGCTCAACCTTTCTTCCTCTTCTTCTTTTTCCTCCTTTTCGTCGGCAAAGTTTACGTGGTTTCCGAGCGGCGTTTTCTGTATCTGCTTGTTCTCATCATCGGGATGACCCGCAGGGGAAAAAATCAATCGATTTCTATTCTCCTCCTCCTCTTCTTTCACGCGATGATGCGACGCGTACCTACTGTTTCCGGATTTTTTCAGAGCAGATTTCAGTTTCGATTTCGGCGTTTGGTACGAGCAGACGATGTGTTTCTTTTTGAGAAGTTTACGCGGCGAGCGCGTCGTCTTTCCCATGAGAGATGTGTGATATCTAAAACGTGAGTTGTGGTGTGTAAGAGTTTTCTCTCTCTTTTTTTCTTGTTCCCCCCTCTTTTTTGTACCAACACCCTAAACATTTTCTAACTGTCTCCTCTTGGAACTTTTGACCTCTTCGTATTATATAACATAACACCAACACACAACGAAGTATACACACACGTAATGTCCTCTCCACTGTTTGAGGACGACGACGATTTCAACAACAACAACAATCAAAACTCGCGATGGCAGCGTTTATACGAGCACAAATTGGAAACTTTGTTGAAAGAACCGTCGGTGGATTACCGACATTCCGCGGAGAAACTTTCCATTTTAGTCAAAAGCGGTTTATTAGAGTTTACCGATTTGACGAGAAATCCCGAGCGGTTTTTCCTCGCCCATCGATTACTCGTGCGCAAAGGGTTCGAGCAAGGTCCTGGGTTTAGCATACGGTTCACCGTGGAGTATAACTTATTCGGTGGGACAGTTTTGGAACTCGGGAACGACCGGCAGAGGATGAGTTTACAAGCGATGAGAGAACGAGGTGAACTCGGGTGTTTCGCGTTAACCGAAAAGTTAGCGGGGGTGAATAGCGGGTTAATCGTACAAACGACGTGCACGTGGTCGCAACGGGAGAAACGGTTCACGTTGCAAACGCCGTCGGAAAGCGCGAGAAAGATATGGATTTCGCAAGGGTTGGTGGCAACCCGAGCGGTGGTGATTGCGGAGTTGATCGTAAGAGGGAGGAACCACGGTCCGCACGCGTTTTTGGTGAACATGAGGAAACAAAGGTTGGGACCGTTGATTCCGAACATTAAAGTAGGCGACATGGGAGATAAAACAACCGGAAATGATTTAGATAACGCGTGGATTGAGTTTAATTCAGTCAAACTCCCATATTCAGCTTTGTTAGATAGACACGACGGGATCGACGTGAGAACCGGCGCCTACGTACAGAAGAGCGCGGGAACGAACAACGAAAGACATTTGACGAACATGGATAGGATTGGACAGAGATTATACACCGGGAGAGTCGCCGTGGCGCAAGGCGCGCACGAGTTCCGGAAACGTTTGTTCCATAAGACGAAAGCGTTTGCCGATCAGAAAGAGACGTGGGGATTTTCCGAAAAGAACAACGGGGCGAGAGAGAACGCCGCGGATATAGCGTCGTCGTCGTCGGCGGCGGCGGCGAGTGCAACGAACAAACGTTTCGGCGCACGGAGAAGGAGTAAATACGAGCCTATCGCAGCAGTGACGGCGATGCACGAAAGAGGGCCACCGTTATCGCAAGTCCCGCAGCTTCGTCAGCTGTTTATCGTCGCCAAGGAACAGGAAATGAAGATGGATGCGTTTCTGGTAAACGTGGAGAGGAAACTGTGCGCTTCGTTGAGGAAAAAAGAACGAGCATCGAAAGCGCTCGTAGAAGCGATTGCTGCAGCAAAAATCTTAGCGGTGGAGGATGCCATCGATTTGACGCACAGATTGAGACAGGAAACCGGCTCCTACGCGTTAATGGCGCACACTGGATTTGAACACTCCGATTTCCTCATTTGTTGTAAATTCGCCGAAGGCGATTCGAGAATATTAGAGTTGAAGCTAGCCAGAGACAGAGTGAAAACGCCAAACGTCAACGAACGCGAGTCCGAACGCGTGGCGAGAGAAAAACTCGTGGAAGGTTTGCGCGCGGATCAAACGCAAGGCATGACGATTCAAAAAGCGTGGAGACGCAGATGGAGAGAAGCGTACGATTTAGCCGAGATTGCGGCGAGAGCCATCGTGGATGATTGGAACGAGCAATCAGACGCCGAACACAACGCCGGTCAAATCCTATCAAGGTTATAATTCATTAAATACACGTGTAGTCATTTTTTTAACGCAGTACTGTAGTAGTAGAGTTTTGAATACAAGGTACTAGATTACGCGGACAACAAACAACACAATTTTTATGAGTTATAATCAAAACGGATTGCCGAAGCGCTGCATTAAGCTCGGAATATCCTGGGTCAAAACCTCCTCTATGGACGACAACGCCTTCTTGTCCACTCGAGGGAACTTGTGGAGTTGCATCGGCTCTAAAATTGCCGCGAATCGTTCCGGGTTTGGTAAATCCCCGGGCGGCAAATTGTTTTCCATCGTCGTCTTCCGAAATTCGTCGTGGATGTTGGCCAATAATTTCTTCTGTTTCTTTTCGTGACCAAACGCCGTGGGCATTTGTTTCCACAAGTCTCCTATAATCATCATGTGCGTTCTCAGCGCTCTCGTTCGTTTCACGAACTCGTTCACTTTTCTATCGCACGACTTTGCCGGAATGTTCATCAAATCCGCCATCAACGCCTCGTGTTCCATTTGAAAAATGTCGTGCATTTTATTCACGTCCGTTTTAATCGGTTCCGTATTGAAAGACCCAACGTACACTTTGCACACTTCCGGCGTCATAAACACTTTACCTAAACTCCACATCAGAGCGCCGTACACTCTCAACAATTGCTGTTCGCTCACTTGATCGGCTTTGTTCAACACGACTCGCACTTTATCATCGTGGCCTCTCAACGCGTTGATGACCGATTTGAATTCATCGGAAATATCCAACTTGTACGGATCAAAGAGTAACAAAATAATATCGCTTCTCGCGGCAAACCAGTTGCAAATTTGCGGAAACGAGTACCCGCGATCGATCCTTTGCTTCTCGCCGGAAAGTACCCCGGGCGTGTCGATGAGGGAAACCGAATTCAACAACTCGGCGTCGCACTGAGAACCCTCAAACTTGGATAAAAATCCAGTCCCAAAGGACTGTAAACCAGTGTATGGTAAGGCAGAATTGACCGCCATTGTATTCCCCGGCGTCGTTCGATCGTCCAACCCGTGCGTCAAAACCACGAACCTATCCGTGGTTGGTTCCGGCCCGATGTGCGCGCCCGGATACGGTCTCTTCAACAAGTGCTGAATAAACGTCGTCTTCCCGGTCGAATACTGCCCCAACAACAAAACGTTCGGTTTCCCGTCGAAATCACCATCCGTTAACAGCGGTCCATAAAACGAACCAAACTTATACGCCTCTTCTAAAGGTTTAATCTTCGTCTTGTACAACAACTTCAACCCGTCGACGATGCCGGTCACCGTCTTCGCGTCCACCTTCGCCTGCCGCTTCTTCTCTTTCTTCGTCTGCGCGCCGCCTCCCAACATGTTCGACGCTTTATTCCTCCCATCTTTGATCTTTTCCCCCGGCGATGCCATGAACGGATTGGACGTGAAATCATCGTCGTCTTCTTTCCGTCCGCTCGTTTCGTCCAAACCTTCCATCTTCGCCAAAGGCATCTCGCCTTGCCTTCTCTCCAACTCCGTTTGCAAATTCGCCACCGACGGCGACACGCCAATTTGCGCCAACGCGATCACTCGCATCGCTCGAATGAATCCATCTTTATCGAGATACCCTTGTCGGTTCAAATCCGCGCACCCCCAAACTTTCGCCAACGCTTGCTGATTGAGAGAAGACTTCGAGAAAAAAACAACCGCATCGTTCCCGGTGATTCGTCCGTCGTTGTCCGTGTCGCACAACGGAAACCACTGGCGGTAGAGTTTCTCGTCCGCAAAAGGAGAAGCCATTTAAATCTAGATCGATCAACAAAAAACGAACGCGAATTTGTCTGACGCAAAAGATGTGATCGCGCACGCTTTCTCTTTCACGCGTAGTGGTCCTCTTCTTCTTCTTCTTCTTTGTCTTCTTCGTCGGGCGAATATTCCAATGTTCAACTGTTTTTGTGGTGTCTTTTGACAAGACTTTTTTATGATTTTGCATTAGATACGTCGCGTTATGTTCTATGTATACATGCAATCACAACAAACTTTCTGCTTTGCTTTTGTTTTACTCGTTTTTACTACGTTTTCTTCTGCTGCTATCTTTTTTAAATCTCCTCCTTCCTATATATATAGTAGTATTGACGATGATTTGTTTTCTTCGCGGCGCGCTCTCTACTAACAACATTTCCCAACCGAACCGTACGTCCCGGCGGCTCGTTCTTTTTCCATCTCCTCTATGGTGACCGACCCGCTCCGAGATTCGCCCTCTCGAGATTGGTCGTGGTGGTGATGGTGTCTTCCACCAGGCATGTACCCTATTTTTACCCCGTTGGTTTCATTCGTCGGGTCTAAGTACCCTTCTTCGATTTTGTTACAGATTACGCGCGCGGTTTCGATGAACGCGCCGTCGACGTTGGCAGAAGTCATCGCGCTCGTTTCGACAAATAAAAGACCGTTTTCTCTTGCAAACCGTAACCCTTCCTCTTCGCTGACTTGTCTTTGCGCCGCAGCGCCGTCGGCTTTGTTTCCTACCAGAGTAATCGTCACGTACTCGTTCGCGTGGCGCCGACAATCCTCCAGCCAAGCGTTTAAGTTTTCAAACGTTTCCCTGCGCGAAACGTCGTACACGAGCAACGCGCCCGCGGCGCCTCGGTAATACGATCGCGTTATCGACCGAAACGATTCTTGTCCAGCCTGTTTCATGCGATGAAAAGTTTAGATTAGTATTAGTATTACGTAAAAACGTACCGTGTCCCAGATTTGCAACTTGACTTGTTGATTATTGATGGTCACCATTCTCGACCCGAACTCTACGCCGATGGTTAAATCGTGCACGCGTTGGAACCTTTTATCGGTGAACTGTAACAACAGGCACGATTTTCCCACGCCTGAAGTTTCGTTTAAGCAGGACGAGAGAGAGAGAGAGAGAGAGAGAAAGAGTCAGACGAGCGTTTTTTATGATTTCGAGGAACCCGCTCTTGGTATAAGTAACGGTAAAGAATAACAGAATGTGTTTACCCGTATCGCCGATGATTATGTATTTAAACAAGTACGCGTAACTCATTCTTCTGTACTAGATTTCGATCTCCTTCTCCTCCTCGGCGTTTCGCGTGTAAAGAGAGAAAGAGAGAAAGAGAGAAAGAGAGAAAGAGAGAGTACTCTGCTCTTATATTAATGGGGAAAAAGGAAGAATTCTCAAGTTGTTTACTATGAAACGTAATAGTAGTTATAGTATTACACATCTCTCTCTCTCTCTCTCTCTCTCTCTCTCTCTCTCTCTTTACTTTGCAACAGGAGGAGGAGAAGTAGCAGCTGCTCGTCGTCGAAGGGCTTCCTCCATCGGGTCTCTGTTTTTCGAATGTCGTGGTAATGATGAGAATAATAAGCGTTGATAATAAGCGATGATGATGATGATGATGACGACGCACAAGAAAAAAGCGGCAACAACAACGAGACGATGACGAACGACTCCGAACAACGACTTACTCGGCGACGCTATCTTTATACAACCGAAGACAAAACGCAGACGAAGGGAGGAGGACGACCAAAGCCGCCGCGACTCTCGCGTACGACACGTCGACTTTTTTCAGGAGGAAAGATGAGGACGACATCGGAGATGTGAAGAAGTTGAAGGTGTGCACTTTTAACTGAAAAGACTCTATAGAAGAAAAAAATTATTCAAACGTGGACGCGTCGATGACGTATCGCTTCGTGGAGTCGTTCCCTTTCTCTAACAATTGCAGGACGTTTGGAATGTCGCGGACGGAGATGATATTCACGTCCGGGAAGATTTTATGTTTCCAACAGAAATCAACCGTTTCTTTGGTTTGTTTCACGCCGCCGATTAAGGAACCGTGTAAAGAGATGTCGTTCCAGATGAATTTAGTTCCGGTGATTGCGACTGGTTTCGTGTTTAAACCGATCAAGACGTAATGTCCGTGCGTTGCGAGCGCGTCTGCGGCGACGTCGTAAAACTCTTGCGGCGAAGGAGTTTTATCGCGTTTATCCTCTCTGGAAGTCGGGCTGCCTCCTTCCGGAGTAGACGGGGACGCGTCTTCCTCCGAAGGAAGAGCGCCTACGGTATCCAGAATTATGTCGAGCGCGTGATCTCGTTTTAATTTGTTCATGGCGGTGACGGAAGAGGACAAGACGAAATGGTTCGCGCCGATTCTTTTCGCTTCCTCTTCTTTCTTTGGACTGTGCGAGATGGCGAACACCTCGACGTTCATCGTCGATAAAATCTTGATACCCATTTGTCCAAGTCCTCCGAGTCCTCTCACGCCTACTTTCACGGGCGTTTCTCGAGTTTTTCTCACCATATCGATGTACTTTTTACACGGCGAATACATCGTAATCCCGGCGCAAAGCAACGGCGCGCACTTTGCTAAAACCTCGTTGAACTCGCCTTCGCTTTCGAAATCCTCCTTCGCGAAGGGGAACTTCACGGCGAATCGATGGTCCACGACGAACTTATCCGAGTAACCACCTATAGTTTGAACTTGATTCTTACCGTGTAATGAGTGTCGCGTATCAGCACCGTACGTCCAAGTCGGCGTATTTTTACAATACTGCTCTTCGTCGTTCGCGCACGCCGAGCACGACAGACACGACTCGACCATACAGCCGACGCCGACGATATCGCCGATTTTAAAATCGGTCGCTTTCGAACCGACTTTTATCACCACGCCGATGATTTCATGACCCGGTACTAACGGGTACGAGTGCTGCCCGACGTCGTGCGCGATGAAATGCAAATCTGTGTGGCATATCTGGTTGTCGTAAAGAGAGAAGAAGAAGAAGAAGAAGAAGAAGAAGAAGAAGTTTTTTTTGTCAGTGGCTTCCAAGAGTCCTCGTTGTAGATACAAAAAAAAATATTTATCGCTTGCACGAACGCCGCGCGTTTGATCTCTCTCGTCCGCGCGCGTTACGCGCGCCCGGCTCAGAATACGAATTTCTTCGTCAAAGTCTCGCCTCAACTGCGAGTTTCAGCGGCCTATTGCAAAAGTTTTTGGTCATCATCGCCGGAAAGAACTCGCGAGAGAGGCAGAAGAGAAGAGATACAAAAAAACAACGAGAGAAAAACCTCTCTCTCTCGAGAGAGCGTTTTTAAAAAACACCAACACGATTTATGATATAAAGTACGCCGCAATATTTCACGTCCAAAACGACGTGCGAGTCCAGCACTTCTCTTTCCATCGTCATCTGATGCATGTTTTGCGTCGACCTGGTCGTCGCCGCGAACACTTTACATTTCATTTTTTCTCTTTCAACGTGTACTTGTGTCTTTTAATTATGTGTTTTTTATGAGTAGTTTGTTCTTCTTTCCTGTTCTTTCGCGTATTTTTTACAAGAACGAGGACGAAAAATCAAATCAAAAGATATCTCGAGACGAGCGCACGAGCGAATCAAAAAGCGCAGAAAGAGGAGGACTTTTTCCTCCAAAGAGACTTTGGATGGATTAAAAAAATGCTTCATACAAGCACACCGCTTTCGACGTAAATCTCGATCGCAAACAAAAATAAAAACTCTTCTTCTGCTCGAGAGAGAGAGAGAGAGGATTTGAAGGCGAGGATGACGCGTTAGGTTGAATTCCTCCGTCGTCGAGTGAGAGTCAGAGAGAGAGAGAGAGAGATTCATTTGTCTCATCGAAGGAATTCAAATCCACCTGTCCCGAATCGGCGGCAACCCGTCTCCCACTTTTTTCGAAAAAAAAAAGGCAATCAATCGGCTTGCGCGCGCGCGCGGAGAAGAAGGAAGAGAGACGCGAACGAGGGATTCGAAAAGCGAACGCAGAATTGAGTGAAGCGTATATTTACGAGTGAGAGTAAGTATTTGTTGAAGAGATTTAGCGTTCGGTAGTTTCCTTGTTGTGCGTGCGCAGGTGTTTAATCCGCGTAACTCGCATCGGAATTTGCGTATCTTTTTGGTGAAGGAGAGAACGCCTTTTTTTTCTGCCCAAAGAAAAAAGGTTGAATTTTTCAGATCAATAAAAAAAAAAGCGCAACACGCATCGATGTCCGGAGGCGATGCTGCTGGTGTCGAGAATACGGCGCATAAACCGCCGCCGCGGACGACGCCAGCTGGAACGAACGACGCGCAGAAGCAGCAGAAACAGAACACGAAGAAGAACAACGCAGGACTCCCGACGGCGTATCGACACAACGATATGAACGACGCGACGTCCGACGCGAAGACGTTCTCAGCCACTGAACAACAACAAATGCACATGCAGCAGCAACAACAACAACAGTACGCGCAAGCGGCGGTGGTGCAGCAGTACGCGCAGGCGTATTATTATCAGATGGCAATGGCACAGAGCATGGCGGGTGGGCCGCAAATGCAGCAGAGAACGCCGAGAGCGAGCGCTGGGGAGGAGCACATGCAGCAGATGATGATGATGCAACAGCAGCAGCAGCAACAGCAGCAACAACAACAACAACGGCAAACGGGCGAATCGAATCAGCAACAACCGGGAGGGGGTATGTTTAACATGCCCAACGCGAACTCGTACATGCAGATGGCAATGATGAACCCGCAATTTGCAGTGGCGTTTCAACAACAGCAACAACAAACGTCGACGGCAGGAGGAGGAGCGGCGTTTGCAAACGGTCAGGTTGGGTATAACTACCCGCCCGGGTACTACCAACAGCCTCAGCAATACATCACTCCGATAAAGCCAAACGAAATGAACAACGCGAACGCGAACAAAGGAAGTGCGAGTGGGAAAACGAACGGGACGCGAACGTCTCGGAAACGGAAAACAGACGCAGAAAGAGCGGCGAGAGTTTGCGTTAATTGTCAGTGCACAGATTCTCCGTTTTGGCGGAAAGAGAAGAACGGCGAGGGGAGTTTGTGTAACGCGTGCGGTTTGTATTTTGCTAAAAACAACGCGCCGCGACCGGTTGGGCTTTGGAAACGTGAGAGAAATGCGAATACGCTCGTTTTGAAACAGCAGAGGCTTCAGCAACAACAGGAGCTGGCTGCTCAAAAGCTAGAACAACGTAACGGTGAAAGAGGCGCTCCATCGACTTCTCCAAATAATCATACCTCTGAAGAAGAAGGTGGATATCAACAGCAGCAAAACGATTCCGGATCTGGTCGTCAAAACCAGAAAACTGCATCGAACGAGGCAGGCAGCGACGGCGCCAAGACGGAATCCGTGGAAAAGGCGAATCAATCCGGCGGAAACTCCTCTGACGAGAACAACGAAAAAAAAGGAGGAGGGTCTGAGGAGAACACCGACGACGACGAAAATGAAAACGAAAACAAACTGGAATGGAAGAGAGCGAAAGTCGTATTGGAGACGACGGGTGAGAGAATATTAGTAAGAGTCAGCGAGAGTGTAGAGAGAGGTGGGAGTAACGAGAGAGAGAGAGAGAGAGAGAGTGAAGAAAAGTGAGTGAGTGAGAGAGAGAGAGAGAGAGAGAGAGAGAGAATAATATACAAAAATTGTACCAGGTAGCATAATACCTACGTAATATCGTGTTGTAAATACAAGAGATATCTCATAAAGAGAATTATCTTTGAAAGAAACGAGACGGGTACGTAAGCCCTGCTCCTATTCCATGCCGAGTTTTTTCTTTGCTTTCGCGATTATGCTTCTTCGTCGATCCTTCGCGCTCGTTTGCTTCTCTTTCGATCTCGACGCTTGCAACGCTTTTTTCACGCCTCTTTCGCCCGCCTCTCTCGCTTTCTTCGCCATCTCCTCGCGTTTTGCTTTCATCTCCAACCGCTCGCGTTTCCCCGGTTTGCCTTTTTTCTTCGCTACTACTACTTTCGCAGGCTCTTCTTCTTTACTATTCTTCTCATCGTCCTTTCCTTTTTTCTCCGTCTTTGTCTTCTTCTTCTTCTTTGTCGTCTTCTCTTTCCCGCTATCGCTCAAAGGCGCTTTCTTTTCGCCCCCGTCACCGCTATTACTCGTATCTTTAATTCTCATTCCCGCTTTCTGTCTTCGAATTGACTGCATCTGCCTCCGACCGACTTTCTCCTTCGTCTTCTTTTTCGTTTTATTCCGCGCCTCCTTCTCCTCCTCTTCATCCTCGTCTGCGTTTCCGTCTTCGTTCGCTTCCTTCCTCCTCTCTCTCTCCTCTTCCTCTCTCGCCTCCTCTTCTTCTCTCCTCTTCCGTTTCATACGTATTCTCGCTAACCGTTCTGAATGCGTTTCCGTTTCCTCCTCTTTTGTCCCGAACGTGCGTTTGCTCGACGCCGGTATGAAATACACGTTGTCTTTTTTCCTCTCGTCTTCGAGTGGTAACGAAGCCACTCGTTTCTCATGTCTCTTTGACCGCTCGTGTTCTCGTTTCGCTTTCTCGGACAAGACGAGACCGTGTCTTTCGCAGACGGTGCATTTCAACGCCACGAATGACGATGACTTCCTTTTGAGCTTCTCTTTTTCCGTCTCTTTGTCTTCTTCTGACTCGTCCTTGTCGTCCTTCTCGTCGTCCGAATGCATCCTCCTCCCGGCGGCGTTGGTGTCGTCTGATTCTGATTCCGAGGATGAATCCAAATCAACCATCCCGCCGATGCTTTCCATGCTTCCATCGCTATCGCTATCGTCATCTGAAGAACTGCTTTTATTCTCTTCTCCTTTGGGTCTCAACCCGTCGCCGTAGAGGTAGTTCCAGTCGCGTCTTTTAAACATCTTTCTTCTGTTATTTAATGAAGAGAAAGAGTTGACCGCTGTAGGGAAAATCAAATCTCCTCAGATGTGAACGCGCGCGCGTACGTGTTGCGCTTACGTGTGACGGAATAAAATGCTTTCAGCGAGAGCTTCGATACGTTTTGGAGGGGAACGCGAGGCTTTATTTGTTTTGTCGTCTAGGAGCGGGAGGAGCTCGTCGTCATCGTCAACAACATCATCGTCGTTCTGCTTCTCTGCGCGGGGAAAAGAATCGGATTGGATAAAGAGAAGAAGAAGAAGAAGAAGAAGAAGCGTCGACGGAGGAAAAGGAAAAGGAGGAAAAGGAGCGACAGTTGCGAGTGGTGCTTTAACATCGATGGTATCATCGATGGACCCGACGACGCAGAGCTTTATGATGACACACGCGGTCGTTCGAGATGTCGTGGCAACTGTGCTCACCATATCTGGGTCGTTGCTTTGGGTGAAACTGTTCGACGAACTCGCGAGAAGAGAGATTTTAGAGGCGAAACTCTCGCGCAAACTCGTCCACGTCACATCCGGGACATTTTTTGCAATGACGTGGTGTTTATTCGGCGACCAGTGGTATTCGAAGGCGTTTGCGACTCTGGTGCCGAGTTTACAGGCGTTTAGGTTGTTCGCCATCGGGAGCGGGTTGATCGAGAATAAAAACGCGGTGCGAGCGGTGAGTCGAGGAGGCGGGAAAGAGGAGTTGTTATACGGGCCGTTTTATTACACGATTGTTTTGATGGTGACGACATTACTGTTTTGGAGAGAATCGCCGGTTGGGTTTTTAGTCGTGTCGCTCATGTGCGGCGGCGACGGCGTCGCGGATATCGTCGGCAGACGGTTGGGGAAAACCGGTAAAAAATGGCCGAAACCGTTCGACGAGCGTAAATCCTTCGCCGGGAGCGCGGCGATGGTTATCACTGGATTTCTATTCACGGTCTCTTTAACCCATCTGTTCGGTGTGATGGGTTTTTTCCCGAACAATCGCGTTTTTGGCGGTCCGGACGATATAGGATACTACGCAGTTATCTTGCTCGCCTGCCTCTCTTGCGCCGTCGTCGAAGCGTTGCCGGCGAGTAAAGTCGACGATAACATTAGCGTCGCCGCCGTAGCTGCCTTGTTAGGATCGTTAGCCTTCTTATGATGATATTATGAGAGAGCGAAATAGATAAGAGATGCTTTTATAATGTGTACGTAGTAATAATAATACATCCGTCTTTGTGTTGTTTCGCATATTTCTAAATCGCTTATTTTTGTGTTTGTAACGAACTCTTCTTCACTTCAAAAACGCGTCAAAATCATCATGCGCGACGACGACGAGAAAGACGACGTAAGCGATGCGAAACTAAAATCAAAGAAGAACAAAATGTTACTCCATCGCGTCGGTTCCGGTTTACTTGACGTCGCGACGACCACGAGCGGTTTAACCGCCTCGGCTGTTTCCACGCTCGTTCCAAATCCCGGCGGTGCCATCGACGTGCTCGTCGTTGAAAATCGCTCGACGAAGTCGTTGCGGTGCACGCCATTTTTCGTTCGATTCGGAAACGCGAAATCATTCTTCAGCAAGAAACTTTTGAGCGCAGATGCGACGTACGTGAGTTTCCACGTGAACGGTAAAGCGTTCGAACAGTTTCGGATGAAATTGAGCCGAAACGGCACGTGCCAGTTCGCGCACGAAAACTGCGCACAGGATGCCTTGTTTTTCGACGGGTGGGACGAGACGACGAAAACGGTCGAGACGACGGCATCGACATCGATGGTGAAAACGAGAATGGACGGCGAGAATGCAAACGCGAACGGGAATTACGGTAGTTTATTAAACGAGACGGAAAGCATCGCGATCGAGGAAGCCGAAGAGGCTGGGAGAAGCTCCGAGGACGACGAAGAAGAGGACGGAGAAGAAGAGGAAGCGCCAAAGGCGCCTTTAACTTCTTCGGAAGCCACGACGACGAAGACAACAACGACAACAACGGCGAATGCGGCGTCTTCTGGAAAATACACGAGAGCAAAGAAGTGGCTGAAAACGAAAGTTGGAGGATTGAGCGGGAATCATAGTAGTGGAGGTAGTAAACATAGTAATAGCGCTGATAAGAATAATAATAACAACAACAACAACAACGGGAAGGAGAAGAAGGAGGCGAAAGCGGCGAAACCTCCTCGAAAACGGAGGAACACCCGCTTGACATCGGAGGAACTTAAGATGCTAGATTTAAAGCCAGGGTTAAATACGGTCACGTATTCGTACAAATCGAGAGTTTTCGGGACGCAAACTTTAGAATGTAACTTGTTTTTGTGGGACTCCGGGGATAAAGTGGTCGTTTCAGATATCGACGGAACCATAACAAAGTCAGACGTTCTCGGACACATTTATACAATGGTTGGAAAAGATTACGCGCATCCAGGCATCGCTTCTTTGTATCGGAAGATTGTACGCAACGGGTATAAAATTCTCTTCGTGACCAGTCGGGCGATTAGTCAAAGCAACTCCACGAGAGCGTATTTGCGAACGTTAACGCAAAACGGCGAGACGTTGCCGATCGGGCCAGTCATGTGCGCACCAGATCCAATATCCACCGCGTTATACCGCGAAGTTGTGGCGCGAAAACCAGAAGTGTTTAAAATCCGATGCCTCACTCGAGTGCGTCGCTTATTCGACGTGGACATCAACAAAACTCGAATGTTTGCCGGTTTCGGCAATCGCTCCTCCGACGCGCTCGCCTATAAAACGTGCGGCATAGAGCTGGATAAAATATATACCATCGATCCAAAATCGCGCTTACGAAGCGAAAAAACCGGCGAAACGTTCGAAATTCAACACTTGATGGACAAAGTCGACCAAGCGTTCCCACGGATTGAAGGTCGAATTCAAAACGACAACGAGGAAGAAGAAGAAGTAGAAGTCGCCGCGCGATGGCGAATAACCGCAGAAGATAAAGAACGCAAAAAAGGTGAAGAAAGTCGCGTGAAATGTTTGTTCACGGTCGAAGAGAAGAGTCAAGCCGTGCATTGCTCGCTCTTTATCGAGTAAACGAAGAGGAGAGGAGAAGCGCGTGATAGGTATCGTTCGCCGCAGAAAAAGCGGCAAACGAAATGTTCAAAGTTCATGAAAATCAACAGAAAAAATATATACAACACAGAAACATACTAGTATACAGTAAACACATGTGTGTCTATTTCGGCGAACACGTCGATGGCGGTCCATTGACGCCGATCACTCCTCCCTCGGTGACTACTTTTTTCCGATTCCGATTTCAATTCTTCTACAACTTTCTGAATAAACATTTTCAGTAGGCTCGCACGTCGATGGCGGTCCGTCATTGCTGTCCTCACAATCAAACGTTATCTTGAAGCAGTCTGCGTCATCAAACATATCCGTCGTGACCGCGCCCTCCGGAAGCACCCAGTTACTTATATCGTGGTCGAAAGACGACGCCCCGTTGAACATATCTTTTAAATCTGTGACTTGCGTGACGTCCCACGCGCCTATGTTTTGGTTAAAAGCAGCTGCGTTTTCAAACATCGAATACATGTTGATAGTCGATCGCGTATCCCATTCGCTTAAATCTTGATTAAATGTCGTCTTATCCTTGAATGCGTTCTGCATGTATAGTATTCCTGAAGTGTTCCATTGCGAAATAGGTACGCCTGAGCCACCACATGCTGTTGTTGCACATTTGCACTTTCCATCGCTCGATTCAACGAAACATTGAGTGAGTGCCTCGCTGAATTGAACGTTTGTATCAAAAGGTTTGGCGTAACATTCGCTCGGCGGTCCATTAGAACCACCAGGACAAACGAGTATCGAAGCTAAAGTCGTTTGACCAAACATAGCAATTGTATTCGTGTCTGATCTTACAATCCATTTCCGAATGCCCGCGTCCCGAAAGTTAGTTGCGCAGAAGAACATATATGACATATCTGTTACCGAGCTAATATCCCAATTCCAATTCGAGATTTCTTGATTGAATGGCGAAGATGCCCAACCGCAACTAGCTTGTTTGTAACCTCCAAACATCAAGCGCATATTTCGCACATTGCTTATATTCCAATTCGCAATAGATGGGTTGTTGAAACCTGCCCTTAAGGTAAGGCCTTCACTCGAGAACATTCCAAGCATGGAAGTCACAGCGCCAGTATTCCATGTTGATAAATTACCGTTGAACTTCATAGCCGTATTAGCGTGAATATTTCCGTTAAACATTCTCTCAAAATTTTTAACTTTGCTCACATCCCATCCCGCGATGCTCGCATTAAACTTACAAGCATTTTGAAACATATTAGACATATCGGTAACGCTTCCAGTATTCCAGTATTCGAGAGACTGGTTAAATGCACCACAACCTTTAAACATAGATTTCATATCCGTCACCGAGCTCGTGTCCCACTTCGAGATATTTGCGGTGAAACTTCCTTTACCGTCAAACAGACTGATCATCTCCGTAACTTCAGATACGTCCCAGTCATTCATAGAACTTTTATCGGTGATATATCCGCAAGGAGAATCGTATGTACATTCACACTCGCCGGCTGCGCTTTTTGCAAAACATTCCTTAAGTGCTACTCGGAGTAACTCGTTCGCACCTAGTGCATTCGGCGGCGGCGGCGGCGGAGAAAACGGCGGCGGCGACGGCGGTATTGTATATGGCGGCGGCGCTACATACGGCGGCGGCGGAGATGGCGGCGGCGGAGATGGCGGCGGACTCGGAGGAATATCACAATTCCTTCCACTCCAATGCTCCACACACACGCAAAAAAAGTGCGTGCCATTATGTTGTAACCTGTCTCCTCCAGGGGCCATACATTTCGGTGGCATCAAATCGATATCGTTCAACATCAACACATTCGTGTGTAATTTCATCACGTCTGCTCGCACGTGCACTTCGCCTCCGTCGTTTTGTACGCCAACCGTTCCATTCTGAAACCTCACGATTGGCCAACCGTTTGCATCGACATCGTTCGCACCGAGCGATCCGAACGCTATTGCAAAAAACAACAGACACCAGAGGGACATTCTTTCTTATTTAAAGAATAGGGTGATCTCTCTTTCTCTGTGTACGCGATCTTCTGCGAAATGAACGCGCGGGTTAGAAAAAAAACGCGCAGCACACGAATGAATACCACAAAACGCGCGACTCCTCCGCTGTACCGACGAGAGAGGGTACTTTAGACGCGCGAGAGAGATCCCTTCTTATGGCGAATACAATTGTTCTTTTTTTAATTATGCACGAACCCCCTTGATGCACAATTAAATGCGGAAAAAAATCGCCAGCACAGAAGAGAAAAAACAAACAAAAAAGAAAAAACAAAACGCTGCCACTTTGCGCGATGACGACATCCTCTGCTGCTCGTGATGCCGTCAATACATCCGAAGGAACATCCACCTCCCCCTCGTTGCCGTCTTTATGTCTCTCTTTGCTCTACCCGAACGCACCGGTACGCGTCGAACTTTCCGTTTTGAACGAGGAGGACTTTGAGGACGACGGGGAAAAAAATACGCGAAGAAGAGGAGAGAAATCGACGACGACGACGACGACGAAGGTTTCCTCCTCCTCCTCCTTCGACGATCAGTTCGCGCTCGGCTTGTTGACGTTCGCCTCGACCGCGGCGGATGCGTTTCGCGCGATCGTCGATCGTGGTGGCGGGAAGAAGGAAAAGAAGAAGAAGAAGAAGACAAAGAAGAGAGAAGAACAACTTCGGTTGGTGGCGGTGCGTGTATTCGTCCGAGAAGAGGAAGAAGAAGAACATCCTCCGAACACGAGGACGAAAGGCGGCGGCGGCGTTCTTCGCCGAGGCGCGCGAACGTGGCACCATCCCGGGGAAAAGCTTCCTCCGACGTCCTCTTCGTCTTTCTTCTCTTTCGTCGACGACGACGATATAGACGGCATCCGCCGCGGCCAGAAGATTCGTCGTTCGCTCACCCCTTTACCTCTCTCGCAAAGAAGAACGAGATCTCCTCCTCCTCCTTCTCCTCCTTCACTCGACGCGTCGTTCTCCGTGTGGAGACTCTCCGACGATAAAGATCTCAACGAAATACACGATGAATACGAGGACGAGTTTCGCGAAGAGAAGAGACACGTGAAAAGAAAACAGTCGTTCACGCCGAGTTTCGTCAAAGAGAGGAAGGCGGACGACGACTCCTGAAGTCTTCGACGGAGCGCGCCGCGCGAAGAAGAGATCGGAATACAACAGTCAAAAGTCGTGCAACGCCGACGGGAAATCACGATAGTATTCATTCCAATAGTAGCAGCGCGCGAACAGAGACTCGGAAAATCATCCGAACGTGCGAAAGACGCCGTTCAAAGGTGCAAAGAGCGCAGAAAGAGCGTTTTACGGGAGAGAGAGAGACTGCCACGTCTCGCAATAAAGTTTCCTCATTAGTAAACACACACTTCTTCTGAACAATACACACACATAAACACACACAAACACGCGAGACTAAGATGAACTTAACGCGTCGATTATCCGCGGCGAAAGACGCGTTCAACGAGAACGACGTCGCGGCGTCTCGAGCGGCGCACGAATCCAAAGCGAATGCGTCGACTGTTACACCGCGCGCGAGAAATTCGACTCCCGGGAACACCACCAACAACACGAACGATGGTGAGATCAAATACGACGCGGAGGAAGCGCACGCCGGCGCGGGAGGAAAATACGTGAAAAGTTTAGTCTTTGGGGGTCTGGATGGGATCATCACGACGTTTGCAGTCGTCGCGGCGAGTAAAGGTGGGAGTTTGAGCACGGAGATTGTCTTGCTGATGGGCTTTGCCAATCTCTTCGCGGACGGTTTGTCCATGGGATTCGGGGATTTCTTATCGAGTAAAGCGGAGCACGAATACGCGACGACGGAGAAAAAACGGGAGAAGTGGGAGTTTGATAACTTTCCGGAAGGCGAGAAGCGAGAGATGGTGGAGATTTACATGCAAAGAGGGATGAAAGAGGAAGACGCGACGATAATCATCGAGACGATGTCAAAGTACGAAGACATATTCGTGGACGTGATGATGGTGGAGGAGTTAGGGTTGATGCCTCCGGAGGAAGAGTCGAGTTTTATGAATGGGTTGGTAACTTTTGTAGCGTTTTCTTTGTTTGGTTTCGTGCCTTTGATGCCGTATTTGATCGGAAGGTTGGCAAAGAGCGGGTCAGAAGACGCGTTGTTCGTGAGCGCGTGCGCTCTGACCGCGTTTACGCTATTTTCGTTAGGGGCAGCGAAGGCGAAGTTTACAAATCAAGCGCAAGTAAAGAGTGGTTTCTTTATGTTAATGAACGGTGGCTTAGCAGCGATTTGCGCGTATTTAGTCAGTTGGGGGATTTCTGAGGGGTTAGGCGTTAAAAGCCCATAAAATAAAAGTTGTTATTAATTTGTATCAAAAAGCATTATAAGAAGTTTCTCTCCTTATCTATCTATCTATCTATCTATCTATCTATCTATCTATCTATCTATCTATCTATCTACGCTCGCGAATATTAGTAGTTTGCCGCTACGGTTTGTTGCTGTTGCTGTTGCTGTTTCTTCAAAATAAAGTTGCCTATGTTTTCGTTTGCACCGCAGTTCGATTTCACGAATCGAAAGAATGCCATCTTGGCGCTCGCGTCGCTCGGAGATATGTCGTAACACGCGCAAATATTGGTCAACGCTACTATACCCACATCTTCATTTTTCGTCGATAAATAATGCGACGGGTGATTCGCCAACGCATCCAACATGCCTTTCAGCGCGATTTTCGGTTGCGCTTTGAGAACGAGTAACGCGCATTCGCAAATCTTTTTCGCGCACGCAGCGGCATCGTCGACGCCTTCACCCCCTTGCAACAACAAACGAAGCGCATTTTCGTATTCACCCGAAGCCGTCGATAACAAAACCCTGTTCATCAACATTGCATCCCTACCTATACTCGCTTCATCGATTGTTTCCAACATAGCGTGCGCCTTCCCGACGTCTCCGGAGGCGACGAGTATCCTCAGCGCCGTCGACCTCGCCGCGTGTTCCGTTCGCGCGTCGCCCTCCACACCGTTCGTCGCGCAAATTCGTCCGCATACGCTCAACGCGGCTCTATATTCGTTTCTTTTCGCGCGCGCGTTCACAATCGCAAACAATACCTCGTTCCGCCTTTGTTTCCATATACTCGTTGAAGCAGAAGCAGAAGCAGAAGAATTTCCCAATTGCACCTCGCACTTCCTCGCCAACCGCGTCAGCTTCTCCACCATCCCGAGCTCCTCCTCCTCCTCCAACAACAAAATCATGTAAAACTCTAACTTAAACGGCATCTCCCGGCCAAACGCGTCCACCGGTCCCAACATTTCCGCGCATCGTCTCGCTTTCTTTTTCCCGTCGAAATCTTCTTTCATCAATCTTTCCAAGTACTCCCCAGCCTTTTCCGCATCTTCGCGCTCTTTCAACGCGGCGAGATTATCATCATCGTCATCAATAAAGTCTCCTCCTTTTACTGCTAACGGTGGGAGTGGACGGGAGGATTCCACGCAGCGTTCGAACGCTCGTTTCAACGCTTCTTCCTCCATGTGATTTTTGCTCTAAAATAACGAACTTTTTTCTTCATTCTTTCTTTTGTTTTGCTTGGAAAAATAAAAACCCTAAATAATTGTTTTTTTGTTTGATCTCAAGACACAGGAGAAAGGAGGAGGTGGAGGAGGTTCTCTGCCAAATCTGCACTATTATTATACACGCACAAAGAAGTAAAAGAATATGTTTGCCATCCAAGCGTCTTCCAACGCGGTTTCCACCGCGCGCCCGACATTCACGAAATCCGTGAGAACGGCGAAAGCGTCCGTGTCGAACGCTTTACCGTTCGCACCGTTGAGGTATGGGGTAGATTTCGTAGCGTAGATTTCATTTTTTTGGATTACGTCAGAGCGTCCCGTTTTCTCTCTCATATCTCGTTGTGTTGTTGTCTTTGAAAAGGAGGAAAAAATGGCAATCGCGCGCGCTAAACGTTTTGTGGTGGGAATATCCAATCGGGGAAGGCGAATAGTGTCGTCGAATCGTGCGCACGCGGATATGTTTTCGTCGTAAATGTTCCGATATTCCTCGAAATCTGTTCGCGAGTGGTAGCTTCTGCGTCGTTTTCGGAAACGCGGGGGGATGTGTGATTTTTGATTCTCGGGGAAAAGAGATGATGATAGAACGTCACCATCGAGAGGCCTCGATCCTCTTTGCCTCGATTGTGATTCGTTTTCTCTTTTTACTCCTCCGAGGATATCCTCCGATCATCGGGAAACTGACTGACCGTCTGAATTTTTCTTCGTTACTCTTACACCAACAACAGCATCAAATCCACCAAGTCGTCTCGCTCCTTGGTCATCTCCAACTCGGTCACCAAAAAGCCGGACTTGTCCGACCCGGTGTTGAGAGCCAAGCTCGCGAAGGGTATGGGCCACAACTACTACGGTGAACCGGCGTGGCCGAACGATTTGTTGTACATTTTCCCGGTTGTTATCTTGGGTACCATCGCGTTGTCCATCTCCTTGGCGGTTATGGAACCGACGGCGTTGGGCGAGCCGGCAGATCCGTTCGCCACGCCGTTGGAAATCTTGCCGGAGTGGTACTTTTTCCCGACTTTCAACGCGTTGAGAGTCATCCCGAACAAATTGTTGGGCGTTTTGTCCATGGCTGCCGTCCCGGTTGGCTTGATCACCGTTCCGTTTTTGGAATCTATCAACAAGTTCCAAAACCCGTTCAGAAGACCGGTCGCGACCACCGTCTTTTTGATCGGTACCTTCTACGCGATTTGGATGGGTATCGGCGCCACCATGCCGATCGACAAGGCCATCTCCCTCGGCGTCTTCTAAATTTGTGAATACTACTGCAAAAGAAATATTTTATCATTAGATTAGAAGAAAGCACAGAAAGAAAGAGAGAGAGAGAAAGAAAGAGAAGAACATCGGAGATGAGGAGAAAGAAGAATGGAGAGAAGAAGAAAACTAAATAGGTTGCTCGAGAGAGAGTCTATGCGAGACTTTTAGCAACCGACCAGCGCACAGAACGAAAAAGAACATACATAGAGTGTACCGCTTCCTCGTCGTCGACGACGACGAGAGAGGCGTTTTTCAAACCGTATAGCTTGTAATAAACCAAAATAACACATCGTAAAGAGTTAATTTATACCACCGATCATCATCCATAGTAGTATCGTTTCGCTTCGCCTCGAACTCGTCGTACGTAGAAAAGTCAAATTTTGTATCTCTTCTCTCCACACTTTGAAAACCGCACAACAGACATACCATGTGCCTCTTCTCCTCCTGCTGCGCGACTGAGGACGACATCGACGAAACCGATTGCGGCGAGTGTTCCCAACAGTGCGAATTTATCGAAGAAATCGCGCACTTTTGTTCCTCTTCCGTTTCTTCTTCTTCTTCCTCTTTGCGAGAGACGTCGTACGTTTTTTTCTCTCTAAACTGTCAACTCCTGCGAGGCGTCTGTCGAGGCCAGGGCGGAAGGCCATCGTACCTTCTCTTACGCGCGGCGTGCTTGGCGAATCGATTGGCATCGATCGAGGAATTCGTGGACGCGATCGCCTTGCAAGAGTGTTTCGATGAAGAGAGCACTTCGCTTTTGATCAGAAAGCTCTCCGCGTATTTTCCTCACGTGATTCGAGGAAAAGCGAAGAGCGGGTTGGTGATTTTGAGCAAACTTCCGGTGAGACACAGCGTTTTCCACGAATTTAAAACGTCCTCAGGAGGCGAGAGATTGTTTTTTAACAAAGGCGTGCTCGGAGTCGCGCTGAGCGATCCGGACGAGGACACGACCGTGTGCATGTTTAACGCGCATCTTCAGTCTGACTTCTGGCGCGAGTCGAGGGAAACCCGAGAGGAGCAAGCGAAGGAAATGAAGACGTTCGTTCAGAAATCGATACACTCGCGAGTATTCGTTGGATCAGCATCGAGCGATGTTATTGATGCGGCGGTGGTATGTGGTGACTTGAATTGCATCGCAGGGAGCGCAGAGTATGAGAAAATAATGGAAGTGCTCGGCGGCGAAAAACAAACGTTTCGCGATACGCTTCCGATCGGGGACGACGACGACGAGTCTTTACAGACGTTTCCAGAGTGCATGTATTCTCTAAAAAAAGGGAGATACGTCGTCGTGGATGAAACGACGAAGAAGAAAAGATTGGACTATATTTTCGAGATCAGCGAAGAAGGAGAGGTGAAGATGTCGAGGAGAAGAAAAACCAAAGCTCGGGTCGTTCGCGCGCTTCGGGACGATAACAACGTCCCGTTATCGGATCATCGCGGCATCATAGCCGCTATCGAACGCGTGTATAATTAATTGACTGAAATGTATTACAGAGCAAATAATTATCGTTTTATGGTATGTTACATAAAGAATGTTTTGTTTTTTCAACCTCTCTCTTCCTGGACAGTTTCGATTTCTCTCGGGCTCGTCGGCGCGAGATTTGAATCGGGAGATGTTCTCAACTCCTTTTCGCGATTCTCATACCCGATCGAAATCGACCCGTCCATGGTATTGCTAATATTGTTGTTATTTGAATTATTGTCCGTTGCTCCTCCTGATCTGGACGCGCCGCTCGAATTAAGCATCTTATCTCTCGCGCTCGCAGAGTTTGAGAGTCTCGAGCGCGAAGAAGATCGCGACAGAGTATTCAGTTTGTCTGCGCCGATATTGGCGGTAACGTTCGCGATATTCCCAGGACTATTCGGCGACGACTTCTGCATTTCTTGCTTCTTCGGCGTATCGATTGGACTGAAATAGTCCTGATCGTCCACTGCGGCGGGAGCTTTCGGTTTGCTGCTTTCACCTCTAGTATTAGTATTATGATTTGATGATGTGCGTCCTCTATTAATATTAGTGCCACTTCTTGTTGTTGCTGTTGTTGCCGTGTCTGCTGTTGTTGCTGCTGCTGCTACTACTACTGCTGCTGCTGGTGTGCGCGATGGTGCGCTATTTCTGTCATCCTTACTTTTCTTTTTCGACGACGACGAAGATTTTCTGCTTTTCCTTTGCTCCGGCGACCGTGGCGCGACTTCGACCCAATCCCCGGGCGCGTCTCTTCTCCCGTTTATGAATCGCGAATCGAGAACCGAGCCTGAAGCCGCGTGCATGTGTATAAAGCGCTCATTTTTCAGGAGTTCGCCGCATAAATCTTGCACCGACGTGTCATTGTTCATGTGCATCGTCGTCGTCGTCGTCGTGTCACTACTGCTTGAGCGCTCGAGAAGATTTCGTTTCTGTTGTTCTTCCTCCGTGGCTGGCGCGACGCCGGAAAAGAGCGCGCCAAACACGTTGCTCAAAGAGTCTTGCAGAGATGATGGATCTGGATCTGTACTGGTCGCTGTTGTTGCCGCGAGCGTCTTCTGTTTCTTATTCTCCTTCCCACTCTTACTCTTCAAGCTCTTCCTCTCCTTCTCCAACGCGCTCGAAATCTTTCCGCTCGTCGCTCTCAAAACGTCCGCCTTCCCTCTCACCACGTCCCGTTCTCTCTCTAAAAGCGTCACCATGATGTACCGATCAATCTCACTGTTCAAATCCACGTCATCTCTCTTCATCGCGGACGACGAGGAATGAGTCGTCGCAAAATTTGCACACTCAAAACTACTCTCGCCTGCGTCTCTCCTCAAAACGCTCAGCGACTTTGGCGGCGGCACGCCTAAATACTGCGGCATACTCCCAGACGGATTCATCGAGCTGTGCTGATGTTGCGCTCGCGCCAACGACGGTGCCGGTGACGTGCTACTTGCCCGCGACGTCGACGCATCTCTTTTCTTTTTTTTCCCTTTCTGTTGTTGTTTCGTGTTTTTGGGCGCGACTGCGTTTCGCGCGTTTACCGAATGTTGTCTCTCGTACTCCTCCTCGCGTATGATCTGATCCGCGCTCGATAACGTAAAAACGTTCGCATTCGTCATCGGTTCGTTCCAACGAGGCATTTTGACGTCGTCCTCTGCATCGTTTTTTCTCGTAGAATTTTTCCTCGCCTCCTCCTCCCGAGCGAAACCACCGATTTTGATGGCTTCTTGTCCTTTCGAGCCACCACTCGTGTTTTTTTTGGTCTCTTCGACACCAAAATTTTCGGATGATTTTCGATCGCTCGTACTCGTGGTGGTGTTTGGGACGACGTACATCGCCGGGTGTTTCGACGACGTGCACCCCATGATGCTGTTGATTTCTCCGTATCAAACGATGATGGTGATCGCGTCGGCCATGACTTGCTTCTGTTTCTTCTTAAGCTTCTTCTTCTTTAACTTCTTCTCTCTGATGATGATGAAAACGATGATGATATTGTCTTTGTAACCGCTTTCCCGGAAACGCCACCCCAAAAATTAATATTCTCTCTCCCTCGCCTTTCTTTTACGCTCTTCCGACGACCAAAACGAGAGGAAAGAAGCGCAGATCAGAGACGACGCGAACGCTACTCCACCGCGTTCTTCTGCGTCTTCTTCTTCGTCGTCGTCTGAAGAGAGAGAGAAAGAGAGAGAACTGGGTCTGATGAGATTTTTGTGGATGCGTGTTTTTGTGATGATGTCGAAGAGTCACAAAACAACAAACGAGAGAGAGAGAGAGAAAAAAAGGCAAACAAAAAAGAGAAAAAAAAGCAGATGGAAACGCTCGCCTCAAAAGCCACACGAACAGACAACTGGTGAAAGAGTTCATCTCAGTTTTTGAGAAGTTTTTGCACTTTTTTCCTTCTCTGCGTTTGATGTGAATGTTGTTTGGGAAAAACAGGCGTCTCTCGGTGTGCGCTTTGTGTTGGCAGGAAACAGTTAAATACACACAACTACAACACACACGCGCGCGTGGTATATATATATATACATTCTCACGCGATGGAGACCAACGAAAACGCGAAGAAGACACACAGAGACGACGAGGAAGATAGTAAAGAAGACTTTAGAGAAAAAGCGGGAGTATATGCATCATCATCAGCAGCACAACAACAACAACAACAACAGAATCAAGAGCGAACGTTTACTCACGTGTTCGACTTAGCGGACAAGTACGCGCAGACGCGAATAGCGCACGAAGAAAAGACAAGAGAGGCGATGATGTCGATCGCGCGGGCGAGATATTCGCTCGGCGCGGTAGGATGGGAAGCGGTGGCGAACGACGTGGAAGCAAAGAAAACATCGGCGAAGTGCTGCGTCGCAAAAGTGACTTCTTCTTCGAGTGATGATGACGACGAGCGCGACGCGTTTCGAGCGGTGTTCATCACGGACGACGACGACGAGGAGGAAAAAAAGGAGGGAGAAGAAGAAGATGAGCAAACGACGAAAAGGAGTAATAATAAAAGTTTTGGAAGAAGAAGAAGAAGACAGAAAGCGGTATACCAGGCGAGAGCGGTGATTGAAAAGTTTCGCGAGTTGACGAAAGCGTCCGCGGAGGTGCTCTCGCTGAAAAGCGCTTTGGGAAGGGAAGTGGAGAGGTACGAGAGACAGTATTTAACAGCAGCAGCAGCAGCAGCAACAGCGCGGTAGAAGTAAGAATATAATACGGGTGATGGGCAATAATAGATTTATTTTTTTAAGCAACTAATATTACAAACGCGTCGTGTTTTCTATTTAACGTCGTCGTCAACATCATCACTTCTTTCCAGAGTCGACGACGACTTCCTCCCTTTCCTCGTTACTTACTTTCCTGTCGGTATAATCGCAACCATCTCCCATGATTTTACTCAAATCTTTAGACGTACCCCCACCTCTGATCATTGAACTCGCGATGCCGATGACGAACAACACCGGCATCAACACGCCCAACGCCCACGCCGGTAAATCGATATCAAACGCGTCCAATATCATATCCAAACCGACGAAAATTAACGTTAAACCGACGGAATATTTCACGTCTGGAAATAAATTCACCGCGTTCCCGACGACTGGATAACACGTTCTCACAAACACCGCCGCCGTGATGTCCCCCATAATCGCCGCTCGCAATCGGTAATGGTCCAACTCGTAAATCGTCGCCACGCCGTCGATGCAAAAGATAATATCGCACAACTCGATGACGAGGAGACAAACCAACGCGGGCGTCACCATACATCTTCTCGCAGACGAAACGACCCCTCCCTTTTCATCCTCCACCAACTCGTCTCCCCCCGTGACCCACAAGGCGCTTCCGTGGTACTTCCTCGTGACCCACCCGAAGGAGTGACACGTTCTTCTCACGTACGCGGTGACTCCTTGCGCTTGCTCGTCTATGCTATCCTCGTCCTCGTCCTCGTCCTCGTCCTCGTCTTCTTCCATCATCGTCTGGTACCCTTGGTACGCTAAATATAAACCAATAACGATAAACGCCGGCCAAAACTTGGACAACATCCCTCTTAACACCAAAAACAACGCCAACCGTACGCCAATCATAATCGGTACACCCAACAGTAAAATACTCGGTCGTCTCGAGTTTGGCACTTTCAAACTCTCGAAGATTTGGTGAAACACGACGATGTTATCTAAACTCAAAACGGTCTCTAATATCACCGCTTCGCCGTAATACGGTAATATCGACCAATCGTCTCTCAACGACTCAAAGACGCCTAAGAGGACAATAAAAACTAAAGAACCCACCATGGCTTGCAACGGTTGTCGACGAACCCAGTCGTTGTATTTCGCTAAAACACCTGGGTCGATCGGGCCGCCCGGCACGTTCCACTGGTCTCTTCTTGCCTCCTTCTTGCCTAACGATCCTCCTTTTTGTTGAGAAGGATCGTTGTTCGCATTCGCATTCGCGCCGTACCGAGACGTCGCAGACATGTCTAAAATCTAATCTCTCTTTCTCTCTCTCTCTTTCTCTCTGCAAATGATCCGCGCGCGCGTTGTAAAACTTCGTCCTACTTAAATCTGGCAAATTGTTCTCTCTCTCTCTCTTTACTATGAATACCGCGCGTTCGTTGTGTCCTAAAGCGCGCAAAGCGAGATGAGATGTTTTGTATGTCAAAGATATACTAATGGAGGGAGACGCGGCTCTTTTCTTTTGAGTGAGACAGGAGAGAAAAAAGAATTGAATTACTTTTTGTTTTGAAAAAAATGCAGATTCTTCGTTAAGGGAAGAAAAGAAGAACATCGTACCACACTCGTAAAGCGAGACGAGAGTGAGAGAAAGGAGGAGGAAGAGAGAGAGAGAGTTTATGGCGATTTTGAGATGATTTCCTCCAAACGATCATCGTTCTCCTTTTTAAACTTCTTTCCAAAAGCTTTGTTTTTGTTTTTGTTTTCGCTCGCGCTTTCTGAGTCGTTTTTTACATCGGACGCGCAACTCGGGATTTCGGTGATGAGTTCCAACTCTGGCGTCACGCCGGTTATAGAAAAAACGTACGAACCGGACGAGAAGAACGTGAACGGTCTCATCCAAGCCGGGTTCCCGAAGGAAAAAGCGGAAAAAGTGTTGCGAGCGATTGGGAACGAAAACTGCTGCGGCCCTCAGATCAAGTGGTTGTTCGCGCACGATTTAGAGAGGAACAAAGCGAGAAACGAGTTGAAGAAACACGAGTCGTGTTTTACGAGCGAACACACCGATTACGACGGCTACGCCAACGTTTGGGGGAACCAAAATAAACAGCCAGACGCCGGCCGGTGTTGTCAATCGTGCAAAGACTACGTTCCGAAAGCGCCGAATTATTATCCGTGCAACGTTTGGGTGTATTGTCCGAAAGAACAGGGCTGTTTCGCGCCGGCGGCTGGGGAGTTTAAATACCAAGACTGTTGGTTGAAATATCAACACGATCCTATTCACGTTCACGTGAACATGAAAGGCGAATATTCCGCTGAATATCGCATCTCGCATCCGACCGCGCCGGAAATGGTCGATTGGACCGCCGGGGTGGTGTTAACCGAGGAAGAGTTTCATCGAAGCGAGGGCGATTTAAATCACACGTGGTCCGCTCGCTCGCACTGGAGAAAGCTGTTAGCCGATAACAACAGATAATAGTCGTTAGATAAATAATTATTAGGAGGTAGTGGATGAGTTAGAACAGACGTTAAAAAGAGAGAGAGAAAACGCGCGCGTATTATCGCATGTCATCTCGAAATTTCGTCACATACTTCGCGCAACATCATAAAGCAATCCTACTAATGCGCGCGGCGTTCCTCGTCGTTCTCTCTTTCCTTTTGCACCCGTTGAAAGTGTTGTTTACGAAAACGACCACCAACAATACCACCAACAATTCTCGTCGGGGTTTTCGACGTCGTCGTTTTCTGCGCGCATCTTTTTCTCGCGAAACTGAAACAACTCCACCGTCCCGTCAATGTCATCGTCTGAGCAGAGACGAAACGATGTGGTTGTTTCCGCACCGAATCGATCCGATGTTTGAAGACGACGACGAAGAGAACACTAAATATAACAACATAAGATCGGGTCGATCGGAGCGAAGCTGTCACGTCTGGTTCGAGAACGGGTACGTTTGATGCAGATGATATTCATGATCACAGAGAGAAATTGTTTTTCGTCTTTTTGTCTCTTTAGGCGTTTTATCCAGTTGTCTTGTCTCTGTCTTGTCATACTCACGCGCATATATGTTTGCTTTTATATCACACTCATTTCTCCTCTCATCACATCAAAACAGGACGAACGAGAACGTTCGAATGCTGTGGATTGATTACGATGGCAACCACCAACCGTATAAGCTGTTAAAACCTGGGCAAAGACATCGACAGCAGACGTATTTGACGCACCCTTGGACGTTTAAAACGGCGTCTTCGAGAGAAGAAGAACATTCGGACGACGGGGAGGACGAGGAGGTAGGAGGAAGAGGAAGAGGAGAAGAAGAAGAAGAAGGAGAAAGAAGAGAGCTACCAGAAAGGTTGGTGATTCGGGATAGTCCGGTGTTTTATCCACCACCGGAAACGATGGATTCGGAAGAAGATTCTGGCGACGACGAAGGGGACATGGCGCCTTCGTCTGGAGGAAGATCGAGCGCGGAGGTGTTTTCAATCACGTACCCGAAGACTGTGACGAATTGGAGTCCGAGAACGAACAAAACTTTGAAATGTTACCAGAGCAACGCGTTCCAGTCGGCTGTTAGGGAAACTCTGCGCGTGTGGACTTTCGCGCACGCGAAACGAGAAGAAGAGGAAGAAAAAGAGGAAGAAGAAGACAAAAAAGCAACGAACGAACAACAAACGGAGGCATCGATGTATTCGTCGCCGCCAGCTTCCGCGAGTGTTACTGCTTGTATCACAACCTTGAGCGATATTCCAAAAGACGTGTTGGTGAACGAAATCATTCGTCGATTCGCGCCAGAACCGCCGTATTATAACTTAATGCTGTGCACGTGAGGAAATATTTGTACCACCACCAATGTTAAAGCAAGAGAGAGAGAGAGACACACACACACATAAAAACAGACAAACACTGAGAAAGAAAGACACAGCGAGTATCTATATTTTAAATAATAAGACATATATCATTAACAAACTATTAAGCTTCTAATCGTTCTAATTTTACATTCTACCCGTGTCCACTCCTGCTAATCGTTTCAATAACTCGTACGTCGCGTACGTGATCGAAACGCCCGGTACTACTTTCGCAAACTCCGGGTAGATGCCGCGATACAAACCGACAAAACCTTCTTTCCGGATGACTCTTTTGAAGACGGCTAAGAAAGTATCTCCTCTCGTCGCATCGCGCATTTGCATGCGTCTACGCACTAAATCTAAAGGGAACGTCGCCGACGCCGAAACGACCGCCGAGGCTGACCCGCACGCTAAACTGATAAACATCGGATTCTCTTTTCCAAACTCGCCGGTGTTGTTGCCGAAATAGTTCCGCAAAGTTTCGTACGCGGCAAAGTTTATCGCCAAGTTCGGCCCGACGCCGACTAATGTCGGCGGTAAGCCGCGATACAAACCTCTCGCGCCTTCTTCGCTGACAATCGTTCTCATGCTCCTTAAAATCCCTTTATAGTGTGGATGTTGTTGCCCACCGTTTATTGTTGTCGTCGACGCGACACCTCCTCCGCTCGCGCTCGTCTCCGCCATCGTCGGCGTCACTTGCGCGGCTAACCTCGTCCTCACCAAATCTAAAGGATACGTCATCGTGCACGAAAAACACCCGGCAAACGCCCCGGCCGCCAACCTTTTCGTCACCTCCCACGCCTGATACTCTTTCACGTTCCACCTCCCCTCGACTTCGTTTTCGATAAAGTCGAGCGTGTTTTCGTACGTGTAAAAATTAATCGCGGAATACGGTAATCTGTGCGCAATCGTCACTCCGTTCCCTTTCCACAACGCCCGAACGCCTTCCGTGTTCACGATGTGCCTGAGACTCTTCACGATTCCTAAATCTTGCTTGGCGACGACGCTGTTCGACCACCCCGGCACCGCGTTCGTGCCTTGCAACTGTCTTAAAATGGTTAACCGAGCGAGAGGTGCCGTGCACGATTTACTAAACGCGCCGGCGACGCCGCCGGAAACGAGCATTTTCGTCGTATCCGACGTCGTCCTCGTCTTCATCGTTTCGTCTATTTCTTCGTCTTCTTTCGTCTTTATCTCTTTCAACATCAAATCGTCGTCCTCTTTATTGATGATTTTTGAATCACGTTTCCCCGGGGAACCATCATCGTTTCCATTCCACCAAGTGTATCTCCGACTCCTTTTCCCCGTCGCTTTACGTTGTTCTCGTCCTCCTCGATGATGTCTCTTCTCTTTCTTCGCGCTTTCGTCCAACTCCTCCACGAACCTCGGCGGCGAGGACGCGTCTTGACCCATACCTTGCGGCATCTTTTCTTCTTCTTCGCGTTCTTCTACCCGTTTTTGTGCAGGACATTGGATTCGAAACTTCACTCTTTCGAGCGCAAGAAGAATAACAACAACAACAACAAAGAGCGCGACTCTTCACACTACTTTAGCAGAGAGAGAGAAAGAGAGAGTTTAAGAGGAAGAGTAGGTAGATACAAAAAAGTACCACGAATAATGGGCGTGATAACGGACCAACCCGAGTACCCGGTGACGGACAAACATCCATCCATCTCGAAATGCATCGCAAACTTCAACACGCAAGATTGGGCGACCGCGATCGCGTTTCCAATAGCGTCGTACCCGTTCGGCATGTGGGCAGGGGCGAAAACAATCAACACCAGTTCATATTGCCTGAAAAAACCAACCGCGATCACGGCGATGATTTGTGGAGGGATGTGCGGGATGTTCTTAGCGGTGGAGAATAGCGCGGGGAGGTTGATGGGGTTCCGGAAATAATAAGAGAGAGACTCTTGTTATCACCACTGTACTAAGATTTGGAATTAGAGCGAATAACGTCATCAAACCGATGATTCGACAACGAAGATCGAAGACGTTCAATTATTCGCTCCGATTATTAGGAAACGTTTTGGGAGAGAGAGAAGAGAGAGAGCAGCCGACCGATTTAGAAGACCTTTAAGAGAGAGAGAGAATTAATTGTTCGATTACGATTTTGCTATATTTACGCATACGAAACGATGCACGGCTACTGTCTGTGTGTGCCATCATCACACAACAACAACAACAACACAAAAAGTGAGAAGACAGAGACAAGAAAAAGAATAAGAGAGTATTCAAAGTTTGTTTTGCCTCTTTTTGTCTCGAGTGTTCTATGTATATCGCTTAACCAACATCTCACATTTTTCTATATCGAGAGATAACATCACAAATTGACACACAAACACATCATCATGAGAGACGATTGTCCTCCTCCGGTAGTCCCCGCGCGAGCGTCCACGTTCGCCCTCGCGCGAATGACTGTTGCACTTTTGGGACGAGGGAGTTTAAGTCAAACGCAAAATGATCTTTTGGCCATGGTTTTTGTGCACTCGTTCCTTTTAGCCAACGGATGGGTTCTCGTTAGGGAAACGAATCAGATTGTGGACGACGACGTGGACGTTTTGTTGCCGCCGTGGGCGAGCAGCAAAAGCGGTGATATTAGCAGTGAGAGTAGCGCTACGTACCGATTCGATTTTTCCGATGATGGAGAATTGAGCACTCTCGTCGACGTGCGCTCGACGAGAGTGGGTAAACACACTTTGAGTGTTACGTTTGCGTTTGAAACAGAAAGAGATATAGAAGAAGAAGAAGAAGACGAGATAAAGACGCTGTTGGTGACCATCAAAGAAGAATCCGTTCGAAAGCTCGGGGAGGATATCGTGAATCAAATGGTAAAGGAGAAGATATTAAACCACCGCGGGATGGTCGAGCCTGCGAAAGAGAAGGAGTGTTTGAAGTGCAAGGAGTGGGAACGCTTGGACCTCGAACGACGACGACTTCAAGAACAACAACGACAAAACGAAATACTCGGAGGAGGGTATCCGGACAGAAACGATCCGTTTAGCAGCAGAGGGCCGCCGTCGTTTCCGAGGCAGCCGTTACATCCGGGGATGGGACCGAGGATCGATTACATCGGGCCGCCAGATATTCCGGATTTCGGAAGAAACTTTTGAGCAGCGCGAATAGATTTGAGAGAAAGAGAGAGAAAGACTTTAAAGCGCGAAAGAAAACGCTTTCGCAATGTATATCAAAAAAGCTGTTGTAATTTGTACCTGTAATTAAACGCTGACATATTCCTAAAAACCACTACATATACTATCTCTAAAACGCGGCGTAAAACTCTTTCTTCATCACGACATGTGCTGCCAATGTCGCAACGGAATCGCGGCGAACAAAATCAACAACAATACAATCGATATCGATACCACGTTTTTCCTCGTTTTCCTCGACTCTCCGAAACACCACGGAATATCTAACGCTTTCGAACACGCTCGAACAATCGCGTTGCTACTACTACTGCTACCGTCTTCTCTCCGTCGTCCGCCGCCGTCCGAGAATTCGTTGAATCGCGAATCGTTCGTCCTCTCGCCGACTCCTCCGTTCCCGCTTTCCTCGTCTAACCGGGAAATTAACCCATCCATACTCGTCGCGCTTATCGACCGGTTGTGCACGTGGTACACGTCGCTCTCGTTATTGTCTTTTTCGTTTCTGTTTTGATGATGATTATACTGCTGCTGGTGATTATTGTTGTACAAGAAATTAGTATTGTTCTTCTTCGTCGGAGACGACGCATTGATGTTGTTTCTCAACTCTGAAATCGTATCTCTCGATTCGTTCGCAATTAAAGTCGTCGGCGACGAGTCGTTGCTGCCAAAACCACCATTACCACCATTACCACCACTCGCGACGTTTGTTTTTGCCGAAACTCCTCCTCGTTCTTCCGAAGTTAAGCCGTTTACGTCGTTTGCAGCAGTCGCATCATCAGATCCCGTTTTTATTTTAAACGTCGTCATTGGCGTCGCGAATGTTTCTTCTTCTTCTTTTTCGTTCACGTCGTCGTTCCTTTTGGTTCCAGGAGGAGGAGGAAAAGGAGACGCTTCTTCTTCTAAATCCTCCTCCTCTTCGAAAGAGTCGTTCAGGGACACCGCTTTAAAACCTACTCCTCCTTTTTTCTTCATCATCTGTTCTCTCAATTTGTGTTGCCTCTCTCTGCTGTTTCAACGACGTTGAAACTCGTAAAACAATGAGGTAAAAATGGAGCAAATCGTGAGTAAGACGTGCAGACGTACGAGTAAGAAATAAGCACTTACAGAGTCAAATTTGAGTAAGAGTTACGGACTTATGAGTACGTAATTCTTACTCAAATTATAAACCCTAAATATTGGTTTTTTTTTTTATTTTCCTCCTTGGATAAAAAATCCCAGACAAAACAACAACTCTTGAGAGACTTTGTTTGCCTCTCTCTCGTTTAAGAAGAAGAAGAAGAAGAAGAAAAAGCGGAGACATAGAATCTCTCGCTGCTCTCTGATATACGATAAGCTCTTTCTTTTTTTGTGCGCGAAAAGATGGCGACGAAAACGACGACAAAGAAGAAGTTAAAGAAGAAGATTTCCGCCGATGAAAATGAAAGCTTTTCCCTACAAGCGCTCGCTTTGGTTGTTGTCGGCGCGGCGTGGTGGGTGCTCAAAAAGAAGAAAGATGGAACAGGGAAGGAAAAGAAGAAAACGACGAAGAAGAAAGGTGGACCCGCGTTCAACGTAGAGAACATTACTAAGAGATCCGTGAATTCATCAACGAAGAATTCGACGAACGTGTTACCTCGAAACAAGCAACAATCGAACAAAAAATCGAAAGCGAGACGCGACGCGTCCAAGGCGAAGAAAGAACAGAAAGCAGAACAGTTGAAACGAGACATAGAGCAGGCGAAGAAAAGTTCTTCCAAAGGAGGAGGAAACCAGGTACCGAAAAGTAACGACATGATGGGCGGGGAAGCCGGGAAGACGTTCACGACGACGAGTCACGTGAAAGTTCCTGTTTGGTACGCCGAACATCGCGACAGGACCGGTAAGAAGGACATGTGATACATGAGATAAAGAAGAAGAGCAAATCCGCGTCGTCGAAAGAGGAGGGGGAGGATCGACACATCGCTGGTAAGAAAAGCCGCCTTTTGACGAAATAACAACGCTCATCGGGGACTTTAACATAGTCTATATAATAGTTTAGGAGTAGAGGAGTTTTTGATGATAAAGTTGTTTTTGGATAAAACCGCCGCACAAAAAATCAAAATGACGCTCTCACTAAACAACTTCTGTCGCGCGTTTCCTTCGCTTCAAAACAATTCGACGAGCACGTCTTTCAGCAGCAGTGCTTCTTCTTTTTCTGACTCGAGAGGAGGGTTCATCGTCAGAGCGAGTCTTGGGACGAAGAAGAAGAAGAAGAATCATCTCGTTGCACATTTCCACCGGGAAAAAACCCATCGTCAACAAAGTCATCACCATCGTCGTCGTCGTCGCGGAGTCGGTGTCGCCGCTGAGCAACAAGAGAATAACAATGAAAAGAATTTCCAAACTGGCGAAAGATTGGACGAAAAAGTGTCCTTGTTCGGCATCACGCACACGCAAAAGGAGTACGAAGCGGCGGAATATATCATGAAATCGAAACCGAAGTTCGTGGTGTGCGAAACCGCCGTCTCGGCGGGCCACGGCGAGCAACACGGGAACATGGTCACGTTCGAGCAAGGCGTGCAACAGATGATGATAGATCCGACGTTGGACGAAGCGTTAACGTTTGTGACTCGATTGGCCGGGGAGATGAAATCAGAAGTGGATAAGGACGCGTTGGTGGGAGATTTTTGGATGTCCATGCGAGAACAGTTGCCGGCGGAACCGCTGGTATACGCCGCGGCGATGTACGTGGACGCGAAGATTGTCTTTGCGGATAGACCGAAAAGAAGCACGTACGGGAGGTTAGTCACTGAACCAACGTTAGAGGAGTTGGACGAGGCGTTTAGCAAACAGTCGGAGAGAAATTATAGGTTGTTGTTGCCGGAAAGTGATAAGCTGAGACAGGAGTGCGATTCGATTATAACCGAGAACGACGCGTTCCAAAAGTACATCATCGACGAACGCGATCAAATCATGACCTCGTGCATTCGTAAGTGCGTGTCTAGTGAGGACGGACAGAGCGCGAATTCTGTGGTTGTCGTGGTCGGTGCGGATCATTTCGAAGGGATTAAAAAGTGTTATAAAGACGTGTTTGGTGCGAGCGAGGTGGAAGCGAAAGTGCCGGAACTGTTGGAATGTAAAGACGTGTCCTCTGTAGATAGTCCAGGTTTAAGATTAGCCATCGCGTTACGAATGCTCGGTTTGCGATGCTCGCCAGATTTAATAGACGATATCATGCGTTCTTTAGAGAAAGACGTCGCGGGATTAGACAACGCGGAAAAGGAAAAGTTTGAATTGAATTCGGAGGCGTTTGGGTCGACTCGCATGTTGTTGGCGTTGGTGGACGACCGCGAAGTGTTCGACGCCACGGTCGCCGGCCTGGGTAAGAGCGACTTTTGGGAAAAGTTGGCAAAATTCCGAAACATGCGACCGAAATACGGCGGAAGTGGTATGGATGAAGCGAACATTAACGAGCTGCGTTTAGCGAGCATGGTTGGTTTCTAATTTTTATTCTTACACTAGCACTCGCACAAAAACGAGAAATGATGCAACTACTTAAGTTCTACGCGACTACTACTCATCCGTTTCATTCCGCTGCCGCTTTGCGTCTCTCGACGACTAAAACAACCTCGTAGTCACCGGCTTTACTGTTACTCTGTATAGCTTTCAAACACGTCTCGAATTCCACATCTATCAACCGTAACAGCCTTTCTTCGTCTTCCTCTTCTTCTTCTTCTTCGCGAATCTCCAACGCCGAGCGCACGGTACACATGACTCTTTTAAACCCAGGTCTGCCATTACCGCCTAGTAGTAAGTTCCCTTGCCCATACTTCATCGTCGGTATCATCCCTGAAACTGCTCTGATTATGTCGTTCGCTCGAAACGGCGACGACGCGTCCGTCACTTCGGTTATTTTCACCCCGTCTCGAGTCGGTTCTACAATCACTCCGAGCGGAGGATATTGAGAGTAATGCACGACTCGAGAGGATGCCGAGTCCACTCGGACGGACACGTTTATCGCCGTCTCTTCGTCCAAATTGACCGTAATATCCCTAACCACCACCACCGGTTTCGTCGTCATCGGTTTCTTCTTCTCTGCGCTTTGCTCGTCCTCGTTCTCGTCAGACGAAGAAGTAGACATAGTCGCTTCCTCTCCTCGTCCTCGCAAAAGCATATCCAGCGCGTTCAACTCATCATCACCACCTCGACTCTTCGCTCTTCGTCCTCGTTCTCCATTCGTTTTCCCCGTTAAAGTTCGACCAAAGAAGATATTACTTCTCGACGACGACGACGGGAAAGAACGACGACAAGAACAACACGATGACGACGACAAAAAACGAACCTGTGTCGGAGGAGACAGAGGAGGAGGAGAAGGAGCCTTCAAAGAAGCCGCCATTAAAGGCATTTATTTGATCGACCGAGAGAGAAAGAGGAAGAGAGAAAGTGAAGTCACATTCGCCCCTAAAACCTCATTTGAACACACGCAATTCCAATTCATTTACCTACGAACAATATGGATAAACTGATGAAAAACATCGCCATCTTCTCCTCCGCGTTTATCGTCGTACCCGCCGGGAGAGATATTGTCGCACCTTTATACGGTTTACCTCTTTTAGACGACGGAAAGATGTTACAACTGATGAACCCGCAAGGGAAGGATGCACAAACTATGATGTGGGGATTGTGGGGGATCAACCACGTGTTCGTGTCGATTTTGAAAGTCATCGCGGTTCGTGAAAACAATCAGAGACTGATGAAAATGCTCCTGTGTACGGTCGTGCCGACGCTGTATTTCCTGGTCGCGGGTAATGCTGGGATGAAAAAAGCCGGGGGCGATATGACTGGGTTCGTGATTATCATCGCTTTGCAATTGGTCAGTTTAACGTACTTGGCGTTTAAAAGCGACGGAAGAAGAAGAAGCTCGAGGAAAACGAGATAGATTTTGAGTATCTAAAAGTCTACTCATCACGACATTCCTTGTCGGCATATATATATTATTACACGAAGCGCCGCCGCGCGGTTGATGCGGAACACGATATACCGAAAATGCTCCTCACGAATATTACGTTTTGAGTGAGAAACCAGTTAAGCGCTTTTACATTCATTTGTTGTACATAAAATACATTCATCTCTCTCTCTCTCTTCTTTTTCTATCCCTCTGGGGAGAAGATACAGAGAAGAGAAACTACTATGTATATAAACTAATAATAAGGCTTCTCCTTGAATACTTTACTTCTTCGAAGCACCCTTCTTGGCGCCGTTAGTCTTCTTCTTCTCCTTTTCTGCTCGTTCGTTACTTTCGGCAAGCTTCGCGGCGTCGAGTAGGTTTTGATAACTCGACGTCGGTCGAAAAGGCACGAAGCCGCGAGGACTGGCGCCGTCTTTGCTCGCTCCGTTTTGCGGCACGCCGCCGCCAGCCATGAGACCGGCGGCGTTGGAAGCCATCTGCGCGGCGATGGCAGCTTGTTGTTGCTCGAAATTCGCCAACGCCTCGGAAGATATCGTTCGTTTGACTAAGTCGCCGACAGATGAAACTCTCGGCATGGACGGAACGCGAAGCATACCATCGCCTACGTCGGCTAAGTTCACGTTACTCGGCCCAGCGGACATGAGGAAGTTGCTAATACTACCGGAACTTTGTTTTGGCATGAACGTGTTCGCCCCGGCGGCTACGGCTGCAGCAATAGCGGCGGCGTTTCCAGCCGAATTGTTTGCTAAGTTCTCTGCGCTTGCACTTTCACGCATGCTTGTCACGAGCATCGCGTTGACGTCCACACCTTTCTTCGTCAGCTCTTTCTTCAGGACAGAGTTTTCGCGAAACACTGTTTCTCTGGCTTCTTCGCTTTGGCGATATCTTTCGAGTAACAGCGCTTGTTCTCGTTGTAAACTCGCGATTTGACCTTCTAATTGCGCCACGTGATCTAACTTACGTCTTCTCGAACGTCTCGCAGACTCTCTGTTCGACAACATACGTCTTTGTCGGCGGATTTCCGCCATCTCCGGGTCGTCGTCCTCTTCGTTTTCACCCAGTTGCACGTGGCTGTTTTTCTTCACGAGCTCCGCGGTGTTATCTTCCTCAGACCCGGTATCTTTATCTTTGCTAGTTTTACTCTTCTTGTTGCTGCTATCGTCCTCTTTCTTTGGACTCGTTTCATTTTTTCCTGAAGTTGTCGCGCCCGGCGCCGCTCTTTTGTTGTTTGTAGCATCTGCTCCTTTTTTACTATTCTTCGCATCCGAGGCCGCGGTTGCCATCGCCAACGCTTCTAAACCGTCGTTCGTTTTCATCGAACCTCTCTTAGAGTTTTGCTTTTGTACAGCTCCTTTTGCCGCCGATTTTAATGCAGCTGTCGTCGACGCGTTGCCGTTCTTAGTCGACCCTCTCGGTCTCCCCGGCTTGCCGGTCCTGGTCGTCGGCGCACCCCCGTTCGCCGCTCCACCCACGCCCGGTGGCGTAAACCCTGTCGTCGTGTTGGCCATATTTTGCATAAACTGCTGCCCCAAATTCGCTAAATTCGGGTTACTCCCCCCGTATGGATTTTGCATCAACCCGAGCATGTTCCCTGGCGTCATCCCGGGAACGCCCGTGGTTCCGCCATTCGCCATACCGGATTGGAAAAACATCGTCCTCAACATATCCAACGACGCGACTTTCGGGATCCCTTTCGGCGGTTGTTCCGCGGACCCCCCAACGTTCGTATTATTCGTATTCATCATCATCTCCGTCGGGCTCAAGTTTGTAAAATCTTGCCCGGATCCACTTTGTGTCATCCCGCCCCCGCCACCAGAGGGTGTTTTGTTCCCTTGCGCCATCATCGCTTGCGCTTGCGCCTGAGCGTGCGCTTGAAAAAACTGCTCAAACTCCGCTTGACTCGGCGTCTTTGCGATCGAGTTATTGCTGTTACTGTTGAACATGACCGATGGGGACTGTCGAACGAGCTGCGCGACGAGATCTTCGTGAGACGCTGTCGGTGTTATTTTGTTATTATTTGTAGTATTTGTAGTATTCGTCGCCGGGGTAGTTCCTCCTCCTCCTCCTCCTCGATGATGTTTCTGATGCGAGGACGACGACGGGTCGTTCATGGCCACGTATTTCCCGTCGTTTAGAATAAGATAATTTTAATAAACAATAATCGGATTGCTCACTCCTGTGCGACTTTTTGATCCTCGATGTGCGCGTCGTTTTACGTGAACGAGATAAAACTAAACGCGATTAGTATTAAGTAGGACGAGTTGGAGGAGAGCGTCGCAAGCAAGGCCAACAACACTCGCGCGCGCGTCGACACAAAATGTGCGGTGGTTGTCTTTTGTACAGAAAAAAGTGCAGAAAATGATGACGAATTTCCTTTATTTTGAGTCACAGAAAAAACGAAATGAGACGAGAGAGATGAAGGAAAGAGACTGAATGGATTAATTGTGTATTACCAAGGGATCTCATCGCCTTTATAATCGTACCAGCGCCCATTCAAAGATCCGTATTTACCTTCCATGGCTTTAATCAGACCTTTAGCACACTCTGGAGTTTCAATCAGACCTCTCTTTTCGGTCATGTCCGTTTGCACCCACCCGGGATGCAATAACATACACGTCACGTCGAATTCTTCTTTCAAGTCGATGGACATGCTCTTGTTGATTATGTTCAGCGCCGCCTTGGACGCTCGGTAGGCGTACCCTTTCCCGGACCCGTTATCGTCGACGCTGCCTACTTTTGAAGTCACGTTTGCAATCAACGCTGGGCGGTTCAAAATTTTATGTTTCAACAGTTGTTGCGACACCAGGAGAGGGCCAACAGAGTTCACCTTGAAGACTTCCATCATCTCGTTCTGATCGACGAGGTCCCACGTCCATTTTTTATACCCGGGTTCGGTACCGATAATCCCGGCGTTGTTTATCACCACGTCCAATTTGATCTTCTCCAAGGCTAACTGACTCGCCCACGCCTTAATACTGTTTTCATTCCCGACATCAAGCTCGGTTATTTTTACTTTTCCTTCGCCGTATTTCTTTTGCAACTCCAACAAATCCTTCGCTTTCGATACATCTCGCGCGGTGGTTATAACCGTGTTGTCATTTTCGAGCAACTCTTTCGCCAATTGTAACCCGATCCCGCGGTTGGAACCGGTCACGCACACGGTCACGTTCGTCAGCGCGTCCCCTGGCGCGTATTTATTATTGTTACTACTACTACTCATCGCGGCAGCAGCAGCTGCTTTTGTTGTTGTTATTGTTGTTGTTGTTCTTCTTCTTCTCGTTGTCTTTGCACCGACGATGTCTCCGATGACGATGCGTTGCGTCCCGAATCCCTTCCTCCTCGTCGTCGTCGCAGTATTGAAATTGAGAGAACTTCTTTTCCCAAAACCACCAAAACCAAAACTCCTCTTAATGAAGGCGCTGCTTTTCAAAGAAGAAAAGGAAGACAAAGAAGCCGCTTTCGTCGTCAAAGTCGTCGCCTGGCGCATATCTTTTTGTGCGTCTTCTCAGCCTTTTAGGCAATCCGAAGACCAAAAAAACGTTTAGGGTGTCCAAACCTAACAAAAAAATAGAGACGTTTGGTCGGATTTTTATCTCTTTCGTCTGTACTTTCTTGACGCTTGGGAGGAAAAGAGCAGCGAAGAGAGGAGACGAGATCTCTTTGATCTCTCTCTCTCTTTCTCTCTTTCTTTCTCTCGCGGAGGATGGAAAGGCACAACAACAACGAATCAGCTGCACCCAGAGTATTATTACTACTGCTACTGCTTTCCTCTTCGTCCACTTCTTCGCCGTGTTTTCCACTTGTTTCACGCATCAAAACACGTAACGCTCGTGATCTCTACGATCTCCGCTAGGGTAAGATCTCGACGATTATTCTATTCCATTTCGAAGACTGACGAACAACTCTCTCATAATATCACGCAGGGTAGAACACCAGATATATTATCACGCGCATGTACGCTCGCTTCATTCTTATACGAGAGAGATCTATTCGTACCCAAAAAGAGAAGAAGTTAAAGGAAGGAAGAATTGCCCGCGTTTTCTATCGATTTCGTGAAAAACGACTGTACCCGCAGAAGTACGCGCTCGAATGAAAACGAATGAAAATGAATCCAGAAGAAATCCGAAAAAGATGTTTACGCGCGCGCAAGAAGACAAATATACGACGATTATTATTACGTACACGACGAGACGATACGCGCTGTATTCGCCACGCGCGGCTTCGATACGTGACATCCCCCCGATGAGATTTTCCAGATGAACCATTCCCTGCCTGCATCGACAACAACAACAGTACGCTTGTACGCTTTGACGCATTTACACACGCACACACCCTATTACGCTATTAGAAATAGAAGTGAGATGTTTGATTTATCACGTTCGTTCTTAGCACAGATTGCAGCGGAGCAGAAAAAGGTTTGGTTTCTGTACGGATTTTCAGTTATGTTTATAGGAGGAATATATCGTATTAAAAGGAATTGGAAGGACACAACGACCAAAAACGGAAGCTTTATTATCTATTGATTACATGGAGGAAAAGTGAGAATTACACATTCAAACTGTATTTGTTTTCTACAGCAGCAGGAAGGATAAAAAGCTCTCTTACGGAGGATTCAAAATATACATACAGGAACGCAAGGACAGGCGCCAAAAGCTGGACACAGGATTTTTTTTACCCCAGAGTAACGTCGTAACTCGATCGTCAACTGACACAACACAAATCTTTACAGGTGGAGCAGCAATCTCATCATCAGAAAACGAGAAGATTCCGGATAAAGATACGTTCTATGCGCTTTACATTGTCTTTTATATCCGTTTGCCCACTCAACGAATTATTATGTTCGATCGTCGTCGACAATCGCTCTGCAGATTTTCCGTTCTCAAAAATTGGATGCTATTATATAGAATATTTTACACACTTGGTTTGCATTATTGGTTTTTTCTTTGTTTGATTTCGTTCAATGCCCATGGGATTAGAAAAGTACACGACAACAACAACACACATAGATACGCCTCACAGGAAACAACAACACACGTTATTATTACGCTTTATGCGCTTGATTTATAGTATTAGTACTATCGGGTATTGCTTTAGAATTTTATCTTGGATGAAGTGGTGTTTAGTAAAGGTTTCGAAACAACAAATGATGGTTGGAATAAAGAGAGAAAGAAATAATGTTGTGGGGTGAATTAACAACAGACCGTGAGGATGGGTATCCACGGAAGTATTATGAATTGACAATCGGTAAAAGCTTGACGTTTTACGTCTCATTTTATGGTTTTTTAGGAACAATACACAACGCAAGACAAAAAGAAGCGAGAAAAAGAGGGAGGAAAAAAGAAAAGAGGAGACTCTGGAAAGGAGAAAAGAGAAGATTAACGAAATTATCGTATGCGACAACGCTGCGCTCGTAAGTTCTGTTTTTGACAAAAAGATCCCGCTTGACAACGCCCGATGACAATCACTCGCGATTTGAGGGCAAACATTTCATCACCGTTCTCGTAGATTTACGCTCGTAGTAGTTGTCCCAGTGACAATCACTCGCGATTCGAGGGAGTTCCTGACAAAAAACTTTACAAAATGTCCCCGATGACGACTTGCGAAATGCAGTCAGAGGGGCTTTCTACATCTGAAATGGTTGCGACGGGAAAAATTTCCTTCGTCGCTGAGTTTCGAGTACTCATCGGATGCCAAAATACAAACACTACGTACAACGTATAAAATAACACGACATTTATTTCTACTAGGTGCTAGACTATTTTATCACTACTACTTCTACGCCTGTATCATCTTCTGTCCTTCTTCTCCGTCACCGCCGCCGTCGTCGCCTTCTTCTTCTTCTTCTTGTTCGACTTCGTTTAAGAATCCAATCGCCGCGAGCGGCAACAGCGTGGTGAAATTACATATGGCGACCAACTCGAACAAGTTGTCGAAATTATCAGCGGTAACGCCTAACTTTTCAGTCAAACCAGCGCCGAGAAATTGCGAGGTTACGCCACCAAAGTTGAACAACGACATCAACGATGCAAATAAAGTCGCTTCGACGCCTTTCGGACAGATTTTCGCGGCTAAAACCAAAACCGGCAAAAACGAAATCTCGCCGAGCACGGTCAAGACGGCGCTGTCCGTTAACGCAAAGAGCTCGTCGCTAATCCCAAGCTCGCGGTTATACCCCGAGACCAGCAAAAGTTGCGTCGATCCCAGCGCCGTCGCTAAAATCGCAGAGTACGTAAACATCTTCTTTAATGGCACGTATTTGAAGTAGGCGTTGTACAACCCGACGCCGCCTAAAGCCGCTAACGAACGCGCGAAGGAGACTCGGCCTAAAAACTCCGGGCTGAAGTGTAACTCGTTCGTCGAAAAGTAAAACATGGCCGATCCAGGGGACGGCGTCGCTTGCCATAAATACATGAACAACGCCGGTCCCCATATTTGTTTCTGTTTCACCACAGACCATAACGTTGAAAGCGTTTCCTTCCCAGCTTCAACCACGCTTCCGTTCTTCTCTTCCTCTCTCTCACCACCCGAGACGACGACGTTCGCAACCATCTCACTACTCGTCGAAAAATCCTTTCTCTCTTCCTTGACCAAAAATGCCGCACCGGCAATCAGCAGTGGAAATACCGCCGTGCACGCAAACACGAACGCGCTTCCTTTCTCCTCCACCAACTCGCCGCTAAAATAGCTACTCGCTATGCCGCCAAACGCAACCATTCCCCAACACAAACTTTGCAACGACCCAGTCGTTGAATTATCCTCTGACTCTCTCGCTCTCTCCACGACGATCGAATCAATCAATACGTCCGAAAAAGCAATGCTCAAAGACCCGACTGCGAATAGAAAACTAGCCGTCCATCGATTATCGACCACCGAAACGCCTTGACTCAACGTCGACCACGCGACGCATCCGACGACGCCCATCAAACACAAATACGATTTCCGTTTATACCCAAACAAAGGCACGGTATCCGAAATAAACCCCCACAAAGGTTTCACCAGCCACGGTAAAGACGATATGCTCATCACCACCGCCGCTTCCGCCGGCGACAAGTGTAACTCGTCCTTCAAGAAAAAACTCTTCGCCAACGAGGCGAGACCGATGACGCCTTGGACGAAATACACGAGCGCGATGGCGGAGGTTTCCGGAGTCATCGGAACCCCGAACAGAGTTTTTACGGTGACTTTTTTGTCGTCGTCGTCGTCTGAATCATCGTCATCGCGAGAAGAAGAAGAAGAAGAAGAAGAAGAAGAAGAAGAAGAAGAAGAAGAAGAAGAAGAGAGCAGTTCTTCCTTCACCGCTTTTAAAAGTTGTTTTGCTCGTCGTCTTCGCGTTTTGTTGACGAGTGGTGAAACATCATCCAATCTTTTCGACGCCTTCGCGCGAAGGACGAAACAAAGCAAAGCTTTCCTCCTCCTCCTCCTCGGGGTGATGGTGGTCGTCGTCCTCCTCGAAAAAGTTCTCCTCCTCCTCGTCGAACTCGAAATCGAACAACAGCACCCTCTCACACCTCCTCCTCTTAGTATTTCAGAATTCGTTGTCGTCGTCATCATCGCTCGACCACCCCGAATGGCACAAAGAAAACTTTTGTTCTCGAGAGTTAAGTGTTTTGTTCAAAACTAGGATTATTATCAACAGAACTTAACGTTCCAACACCATATCCTTCTTTAATCAGACTAATAAAACGATGCTCTCTCGCGTTTTCAAAGCGGAAGAGCGTTTGTTTCCTGTGTACTAAAAGATATATACCTTGTGAGAAATTTGGAGCATTTGAGGGGCGTACGTTTGATGTTTGAGAAAAAAAACTCAAAAAAAAAAAAAGAAAAGAAAGGAAAAAAGACGAGAGTGTTTTTTTGCTTTTGTTTTCTCCCCCCTCGCAAAAAAAAAAATTTGTTTCATTCACACAAAACACACAGACATCAAATATCAAATTCCTCTCGTCATTCATTTTTTGTCGCACGCGAAAGAAAACACACACACACATATATATTTATTTATTATTATCATATATAAATGAGTTTCGTGGTGCACAAATCGGTGTTACCACCCACCGGCGCGGACGCGTGCGTGTCGTGCTTTTTCACCCCCTCTTCGAATTCTAATAATAACGACTTTAAGGAGGCGTTTGAAAATGGTGATGAAAATGATGAAAACGATGATGAAAATGTCATCGTCGCCAGTGGCAACCGTTTGACGATCTACTCGGTGAAGAGACGACGACGAAAAGAAAGAGGGGAAGAATGCGACGACGAGGAAGAAAAAGAGGATTTAAACGAGGACGAGGAAATTGTCGTCGTCCGATTAGAAGTGATTTCCGAATTCGACGTCAACGGGACGATATCGGATTTGTGCGTGTTGAAACATCCGAAGCGATTTTTGATGGAGACCAATACTACTACGAATAATAACAATACCAACGTTTCGTCGAAAAAAGGAACAAAGACGCGGTATTTAGATGGCCTTTTAATAACTATTCGCGAGTCGAAAGCGGTGTGCGTGTGTTGGGACCCGGAGACGAGGAAATGCGTCTCGACCAGCTTACATTTTTGGGAGGACTTCGCCGGCAACGAAGGGAGCAGCGCGGCGACGACGAGCATAGACGGAACGAGTTCCGGGTTGAGGATTGGAAACGTGCCTATTATTGGGAGAGCAGATCCAGAGGGTAGATGCGCGGCGGTGTTGCTACGGAACGAGGAGAAGGCGAAAGTGAAGATTATGCCGGCGAGCGAAACTTCGACGAGTAGTAATTATATCAAAGAGAGTAGTAACGGTAGTAAGAAAATGACGACGAAGAAAGAGGGAGAAGGTACGGTATACGTACCGGCAACGATAGGAAGCTCGTTCGACTTAGACGTGAGGAAAATATTAGGCCCATCGGCGGCGTTTGTTCGCGATTGCTGTTTCTTACACGGATACGGCGAACCGGTGTTGATGATTTTATACGAATCGAATCCTCCGACGTGGAGCGGTAGATTGTCGTTAAGAATGGACACGTGCAAGTTAGTCGCGGTATCAATCGATTGCACGAAGAAGAAATACACAATCGTGTGGACGAGAGAGAAGTTGCCGTCGGCGGCGTATTCGTTATTCCCGGTGCCGAACCCGCTCGGCGGCGTCCTCGTGCTCTCCTCCGGTCACATTTTATACGAGTCGCAATCCTCCTCGGCGACGTATATTAGCGATTTCTTAGGCAAAGGAGGACCGCAAGAAGGAAACTTCGCGGAGGAAATTGCGCGGAACAACGGCGTTGAAGGTCAAGCCGCGCATGCGAATCCAGTACCTCACGTGAACTCAAACAAAAACGTGTCGAGTTACGAGACGACGCAGAACGAATTCCAAGTGCAACTCGACGCGGCGAAGATTGAAATGATCAGGGAGAACGTGGCGATTATCAGTTCAAAGACCGGTCAATTGATAACGGTTATTTTAGAAACCGTGGGTGGTGCTGCCTCGGTAGGAAGTAAAGTTGGTCGCAGGTGTAGACGCATACGCGTGCTAAAATCCGGGAATGCCGTTTTAAGTTCCGGCTTGGCGGCGGTTGGTAAAGATCTACTCTTCATCGGCTCGCGCGTCGGCGATTCGCTTTTAATCGGGTACGAACGAAAAGAGAAAGGAAAGATTGGAGATTTGAAAATGTTGCCGGCGAAGGAGAAACAGGGAACCGAAGAAGAAGAAGAAGAAGAAGAAGAAGAAGAAGAAGAAGAAGAAGAAGAAGATCCGTACGCGGACCCGGAAGAAAACGCGAGGAAGCGCAAAGCGTCGAAAGGGAAAGGCGGTGTTACGAAAATTGCTAAGAAGATGTCACCTCCACCCGCACCAGAACCAGCGACAGAGGAAGAGAAGGAAAAGAACGAAGACGAAGAGTTAGAAGCACTGCTGTACGGTACATCCGTAGAGGCTGCCGGCGGTGTCGGTTTGAACGAGTACGAAAGAGCAAATAAATCGACGACGACGACAGCCGGAGGCGAGTCGAAAACGTTCGCGTCTTACGTCGACCGCGACGACACGTTTGAATACAAGTTTTCCGTGAAAGATTCTTTGCTTTGCATCTCACCTGTTGTTGATTTAACTGTTGGTGCGAGCGCTCCAGTCGGAACGGACCTCGACCCGCGGACGGAACTCGTCGCGGCTTGCGGCCACGGTAAGAACGGCGCGTTAGCGATTTTAACCAGAGGCATCACCCCGGAGCTCGTCACCGAGGTCGAGTCTGGCGCTTTGCCTGGATTGCGAGCATGTTGGGCGACTCGGACCGAGGATGATAACGATGGCACCGTTCGACCGAAACGCAAAGACGAACTGTTTGACGAACACTTAATCTTGTCCTTATCTTCGACGAAAACGACGATGGTTTTAGAAACCGGAGAGGAGTTGAGAGAAGTTTCCAAGGAGGTTGATTTCATCGTCGACGAAGAGACGCTGGCGTGTGAGAGAATATTCAACGGAAGAGCGATCGCCCAAGTGACAAAAACGAAGATCAGGTTCACGAGGAAAGGGAAGAAGTTCGCGGTGGACGATATCGATTTAGCGTTTTTAAAAGGCGGCGAGGGGGCGCAGATAACTTTAGCGATTATTCAAAACGACGCGATTGCGTTGAGACTTTCGGATGGGTCGATCAGAATTATTCTTGGAGACTCGAAGACGAATACGTTTACACTACTAGAGAAGGTTGGGGAGTTGTTCGCATCCGACAATCACTCGAACACGGGGAGCGACGTGACGGCGTTTACATTGTACGACGATTCAGTAGCTTGCACGGACTCTTTCGGTGGTGGTGGTGGTGGTTTGAACAGAGCACCCGGTTGGCTCGAGCGAACCGCTTGTGGTGATCGCGAGGAAAAAGATGAGAGCAAGGAAAATAACAACGTCGTCTTTGCGACCATCTCTAGAGACGGTACTCTCGCTTTATACAGTCTTCCGTCTTTGAAGAAGCTTTGGTCCTCAGGCGGCGTCTCGGATGGTCGCGAAATACTCGCACCGAATTCTACCGGCATCGACAGCATTGATTTCAACGACGAGTGCGAAGTTGAAAAGTACACCGTCTCGGACATTCGACTCGACGCTTTCGCCAACGCGGCGTACGAACGACCACTTTTGACGTGTTTCCGCGCCGACGGCTCAGTCTTGGCGTACCAAGCGTTCAAGTCGCCTTCATCGAACGAACTCCGCTTCGCTCGCGTACCGATTGAAATCGAAACTGCAGGGAGTGAACTCACGAATAACGACGTTTCCGTCCAAGGTGGCTCGCGTTTGACAAGAATTGAAAACATCGGCGACGGAAGAGGTATCGCCGGCGTCTTCGTTTCCGGTTTGAATCCGATCTGGTTAATCGTGCGCAGAGGACGAGTTCTCGCGTTACCAACCCGAGGTGAAGGCGGCGCGCGAATCGCGTTTGCACCCTTCCACAACGTTAACTGTCCCAAAGGTTTCATCTTAGCCACGAACGAAGGTGGGATCCGCGTTTGTCGTCTTCCAGGTAAAATGCACATCGAAGCTCAGTGGCCGGTGCGTAAACTCGCGCTTCGATGTACGCCGCGGGCGATTACATACATGAACGATTTCAAGTTGTACGCCTTGGTGACTTCCGCGTCAGTCCCGTGGAAAGATTTCGAGATCGACGAAACAGACTCGCACGCGAGAGCGTTGTATCGATTTCGCAAGGAAAAAGCAAAGTCGGAAGGCAACGTTGTGCAACAATTCGCCATCCGTTTGTTAGTCCCGGGCACGCTCGAGACGGCGTGGCAGAAAGCAGTCGAACCTGGTGAACATATTTTGTGCGTGAAGAACGTACAAATTCGCGATCAATCTACGGGCGCGCTACTCTCTATGCTTGCTATTGGTACCGCCATGCCTGGTGGCGAAGATACTCCCTGTCGAGGACGAATCTTACTCTTTGCAATCATGTGGGAACGCGCTCGCGACGGCGGCGTTCGGTGGAGAGGCGAATTAAAATGCGAAAAACCATCAAAAATGGCCTGCTCGGCGATTGAATCCGTCGATGGAACGTTCATGGTTGCAATAGGAACAAAATTAACCGCGCACTCGTGGGATGGGAAACACTTAAATCCGATCGCGTTTTACGATACGCCTTTATATACGACCACCTTGTGTTGCGTCAAGAACTTCCTCTTGTGCGGCGACTTGCACAAATCTATCCGCTTCGTTCGATGGAAAGATTCTCAGGGCGAGAAGACCTTATCGCAGCTCGGGAAAGATTACGAAGTTCTCGACTGCATAGCCTCTGAGTTCATGATTGACGGTGGAACCTTATCCTTATTAGCCGCGGACGCCAACGGCAACGCGCACGTTTTTCAATACGCGCCGAAACTCGCCGAATCGTGGAAAGGCGACAAGCTTTTACCGAAATCGGCCTACCACGCGGGTAGTTTAATCCGCAAAATGGTTCGCTTTCAAATCGGTGTCGGGGAACAAAAACAAAACAGACACGCGGTTTTCTTCGGGAGCTCCGACGGTGGCTTAGGCATCTTCTCCCCGGTAGACGAACACACCTTCTTGAACTTGGAAAAGCTCCAAGACGCCATGCGTTCCAACATCGTCGCCTCTTCCAACTCCATCAACCCGCTCGGGTTGAACTCGAAGACCTACCGAGCGTTGAAATCTTCCGAAGGTTCCGTCGCGAGACAAACTCCGCCGAGAACGATCGTCGACGGTGGTTTGCTCTCCAAGTTTGAGCACTCGTTGTCGATAACGGCGCAAACGAGAGTGGCGGCTAAAGCCGGCTTAACTCGAGATCAAGCCTTATCCTTAGCGCGAACGATCATAGCCGAACAATCGTTCATGTAATATAGAATATATATAACTCTCTCTGGTTATTTGTTTTACTACTACTAGGTGGTAACAAACAATAGTATCTGTGTTTTGTATGCGCTCTCTTTTTATTCTGCGGGATTGTTTCGTGGTGGTTTCTGCGAACAGATAATTCTCACGTAATATTTTTGGGGCTGTCAATTCCAGTCAGACACAGCAAAGATATTTCCGAAGCGTTTCCTCATTAAAAATACACTTTGTAACACACGTCCAGTCGTCGTTTTGCGAAGTATCATTGCATCTGTTTACCGAATCGATCGAGTAAACGAACATCTATTCACAGCTTTCACTTTAAAGCTTTCACTTTTACACGCGTTCAAGCCACAAGCGCTTTATTGAGAGAATCATCAACCTCTCTGTTGTTTTTTGCCATACGCCGCAAAAACAAAAATCTCATCTACGGGAACATCAATCGCGGGAAGTACTACTCGTCGCGAACATACACACGGGAAATAAACTCAGTTATTGATTGAAGTGATACTTGTTTTACGCTTTAATCGTGCGTTTTGATTCATTACCTTGATTCATTGCATTTTATACTTGGTGATACATTTATAGAGACCACATTTACGGAAAAGAACCTCCGACAGACAAAACTCATTTTCAGTTTTATATTAAGAAGAAGAAGATTTATCAAGATGGAACTCGACGGTGGAAGCGATAGCGACAATAGCGATAATATATACGGTAAAACTAATTTCGTGGAAGAAAACTGCTCGTTTAACTTTGTCTCGGACATCCGATTTTGGGGAAGTTCAAGCCGAGCGGAAGGATTGAAACAATTTTTCGACGTGTTGACTGTGCGACGAAAGTGCGCCTGACATTCTTTACCTTTTTTGAATAAAAGAAGGAGTGAGCACATCGTCATCCTTCGTTAGAGAGCAGCAGCAGAAGCGTAAGAAACGCTAAGAGCCGCCGCTTACTGATTACGCCCGCGCGTCTGTGTGTGCGTATCATATTTTGTTGAGAAATACAAAGAAAACTTTTCAAGAATGCAGAGCGAACTTTACCCGTCGCCGCACTTTGAAGGGGTCGAGAAGCGCATCGAAATCAATTTTCGCGTTGCCGCTGACGACAACAAAAGTACTGGTGGAATTATTCCAGTCGCAGGTGGTCTTCGCTGCTTATCGCGCGCCGCGCTCGACGTGTGCATGACCGCCGCCGAATGCGAGATTGTTTCCGTACGATCGAACGAAAAGTTTGACGCGTACGTCTTGAGCGAATCGTCTTTGTTCGTCTTTGCGGACAAGATTGTGCTGAAGACGTGTGGGACGACCAAATTGCTCTCGGCTGTGGATCCTATTTTGGAACGCGCGGCTTCGATCGAACGTTTGAAATTGGTTCCGTCCTCGGTGAGATTTACGCGCTCCACGTATTTGTTTCCGGAAGAGCAGCGCGAGCACCACGTTTCTTTTACGGACGAGTGCGAATTTCTCGAGGGCAGGTTTGGCCACTTGGGGTCAAACTCGAGCTACGTCATGGGTTCAAACTTTGACGACGCGCAGTGGCACGTCTACGTCGCCGGAGATTTCGTCGAAGAAACGAAATCTGAGGCTTCGTTATCGGTGGAATGTTGCATGACCTCTTTGCATCGAGAGCACTCGCAACACTTCTTCCGCGAGAATTCACAAGAGGAAGGTCTAACGGCCGTTCCTTTCGTGAGTTCCGAGAAGACAACGCACGACTCTGGTATTCAAAGTATCTTTGAATCGTTTTCGATCGACGATTACGTCTTTGAACCGTGCGGGTACTCCATGAACGGCTTGAACGAAGAATATTCCGGCGAATACTCTACTATTCACATCACCCCGGAAGACGGATTCAGTTACGCCTCCGTGGAGCATTCTAACGTCGATTTGAACGCGAACAGTGCCTTCTCCGTGTCAAACTTTGTCGAGAAGTGCGCGAACGTGTTCCAACCGGGCAAGATGACTTTCGCGGTGACTTGCCACGGCGGCCGGGAAACGACCAACGCGTTCTTTTCTTCCTTGACGAGTACGAACAAGGATTTGTTTTGCGTGGGAGAAACGTACTCGAGACCGTCCATGTGCTTTCAGCAGTTGCCGAAGGACCAAGGCTTTGTCGCGTATTTGACGTTTGTCAAGACTTGCGACGAGGAAGGTCCTGGCCGTGATAAAGGACTCAACATCGGCAGCGTCGTCGTTTCGGAATCCGTTAACGTTGGTAAAAAAGTTGCCTACGATCCTCGCAGCGAAACGCCAATGTGCATTTTAGACGCCGCCATGAGTTCAGGCGACTCCTCTGAAACCGACGATTCTTTGAGAGACTCGTCCACGGATGAGTTTGTGTCGTACGACCAACACGACGAACTCGCCGGACAACTTTTACAACGACAACAAAGATCGTCGTTCGTTTAAACAACGCGATGATGATGATGCATCATACGTCTTCGCGAATGTGAAAGAGAGAGAGAGAAAGAGAGAGAGAGAGAGACTAAAATCAATCCTACAAGCGATTGTATTAAATCCAACGAAAGTAATCACTGTCTCCTAGTTTTTTATCAAAAGTGTGTGTTTTTATTATTAATGAATTATTACCGAAAACTTCTCGAAAGAGTAACACCCTAAACACTTCTCAAGAAAAGAAAGGGCGCGTCTCAGGGGAAAATTTCTCGTCAGAATTGGAATTTACACCAGACTCTCCGACTCTCTCTTCGCGCGCGCGCAAATCAGTATTCCACACGTATTGTTGAATACCTCTCTCGTACGGACGAAAACAGAGCAGCGAAAGAAAGGAGCTTTTTTTGAGTACTACTACTCATAATAATGGTGCTTGTAGTAAAAAACGACATGGAATCCCAGTCGCTGTTGAACGACCAAAATCACCACGCGGCAAATGACATTACGGAAGGAAACAAAAAGAAATCCACGCGAGGCTTCGTGAACTCGTTCCTCCACCAATCTCGCATCGCGACGAGCGGGTTCGTCATGTTTGCCATCTTATCCTCCCTGATTCTCGTCAGTTTCAACCAAGGGTACGGGTCTGTCAAAACGGACGGAGAAAGCATTTTGGCCGCCTTGGGGAAGAAGAAATCTTCATCTGGTTTAGGCCACAAATCGCACTCGCATACCAACGCGCACGTCATCGACGTCCCGTTCGCGGACGACAGCGACAAGCACAACAACAAAGCATCGCACAACAAGAAAAACGGTGCATCATCGAAAAAGAAAAAACAAGAGGAAAACTGCGACCCAGCCGAGGCGGATATGGCGAAAGGTATCTTCGCGTACCCGGATCCGGCGTGTATGAACGGCGAAACCGCCGGGTGTTCGGGAGATCCAACCAGCGGGAACCCGAGCACGTGCCGCTTTTGCAACACGTTGATGGCGCAAGTGAAAACGCCGACCTGGGCGACGTGTCCGCAATCTGTCTGTAAGAAGCACGGGGTCATGGGGTGCGAAGGAGACTCGGTCGAGGACTTGGAGTGGAAGTCGTACGTGGACGATATTCGCAAACACAACGCGCGCGTGGAACAAATTGGCATCACGAGCGCGTGCGAAGGGACGCCAGCCGATCGAGAGTTGGGGAGGTTCATGTTCCACGACGGTAAGTGTGGAGAGAAGTTGTTACCGGCGTGCGACGGAAACCAAGTGACGCAATGCCGATTTTGCTCGGCGGCGAAGAAAGCGAGCGCGGCGAGCATGACGTGGCCGACGTGCCCGGACGTGGTCTGCGCCAGATGGGGTATCAAAATGGATCACTGCGAAATGCCGCTGGCGATGTACCAGTTGCCGACGAAAAGAACGGAAAAGAATAGAAAGACGAACGAGTTCCCGGAACCGAGGGTGGACAACGTGAAAACGGAAAAGCTGCACAAAAAGACTTGGAAAGACGCCGAGGATTTGATCAGCAGCGAAGACGCGAACTCGTCGAACCGAGATCACATGCCGAGACCGTGGCGCATGGGAGACGATTACGCCGACATGCAACGCGTGGCGAAGAACTTCATCACGAAGAATTAATAATGAATAAAAAAAAACAAATCACTCGTCAAAACTTTGTATTTAAAGCTAAACTAAGTAGTACCTGTGTTGTACTTCTCCTTCTTTAATTTCTTCTTTGATCAAGCAAAGAGCGGGTTGTTGATGACCAAGTTAGCCACGATTTCCGGTTTCTTTTCGCCAAATTTACCAGTTAAAACGACCAAAACTTGGTCCGCGGGCCTGATGCGCATAGGGAGCGCGCCGACGGCATCCTTCGAGATTATTTTTTCCGTCGAATCACTACTTAGCGCCATCAAAACGCGTTCTTCTTCCAATCTCGTGAGATTTAAAAACGCACCACTCAGTCCTCTCGCTTTTTTGAGCAACTTTGTTCGCTCAATCCACGAGACGCTGTTTTGTTTACCTTCTTCTTCGTTTTCCGTTTCGTCTTCGTCGGCGTGCTTGTCTTTCTCGCTACCATTTTCTCCAAGTTCGATCAACTTTTGCGCCGCTTCGTTTGCGGATTCAGACGACGCTTCAAACTCGATCGATACCATAGTCGGATTATGCGTCCCTGCTGATTGTTTTGTCGTCAAGTGACGCTTATTTCCGATTTCAACCTTCACTTCAAAACCAAACTCTGGTAAAAAACACGCTAAATGTTTCCTTCCGACGATGCGCGCGATAGCCAGCGTAACCGTTGGGTTCCTCGCGAGATGGTAACAAAAATACACGAACGAGTGTTCGTCTTGCGCGACCTTTGCAGATGCCTTCTTTATATTGCACTGAGTCGCAATTTGAATGCACGAAGATGTCGATGTGGGAAGTAAATAGTCCACCAACTTGTTGCTCTTCTTGACGACGACATCATCCGAAGACTTCTTCTTCGAAAAGAAAGACATCATCTTATTTTTCTGCTTCTTCTTATTCTTCTCTTGTTCTTCCACGACTAAACTCGCACGGAGTAAACGGTGAACGAGAATATCCGGATACCTTCGAATCGGTGACGTGAAGTGCGTGTACCTGTCGAACGCTAACGCGTAGTGGCGCCAACTTTCTTCCTCCGGGAGTTGTCCCGTGCAAAAATATTGCGCCAACTGCATCGGCTTCGTCGCTAATAAGTTGATGATTTCGTAAATGGCGTTGACACCACCATTATTCATCGTTTCATCTGTTCTTCTCACGGTCTCGCGTAAGCGCTCTAAGCTTCGATGTAACGCTCCACTCGTGCTGCAATCGAAATCGTTCAATCCGTTCGCTTGAGCAAACTCGCGCAGCTCGAACATTTTCTTTTCGTTCGGCGGCGGATGTAAACGCAACAAAGCGACGTTCGGGAAATAGTCCGCGATTCGTTTCGCCACGCGTCTATTCGCGAGCAACATTAAATCTTCAATCACTCGATTCGATTCGCGAAGTTCGTATTGAAACGCGCGTTTCGGTAACTTGGTCTCTTGATCGATTTCAAAACCAATTTTCGCTTGATCTAAACGGACCGAGCCGTTCTCGACTCGGTTTTCGCGCAACGTTTTCGCCACAGATCGAAGTAAACGCACGGACTTTACAACTTCAAGGAGAACGTTGTCTTTTGAGGATTGTTCTATTTTTCCTTCTCCGCTGACCTTCTCCTTTTCGACGTTCACAATCGCTTCGTCTGTCATGGATGCATCAAACGCGTCCAACATTCTTTGCGCGTCGCCGTAGGACAATTTCGCTCTGCTTCGCATGACGCTTCGTCCGAACCATTCCTCCAAGATTTTGCCATCAGATTCTCGAATGATCCACTCGCAGGACATCGCGTACCTATCCACGCCTGGATTTAAAGAACACGCGATTTCGCTCAACAGTCTCGGTAACATAGGCACGACTCTATCGCACAAATAATTCGACGTCGCTCGAATCAAAGCTTCTTCGTCCAACGCCGTGTTTGGTTGCACGAAATGCGAGACATCCGCGATGTGTACGCAGACACGAATGGTATTTTTATCGATTCTCGTGGCGAACAAAGAATCGTCCAAATCGCGCGCAGTTTCTGGGTCTATCGTGCAAGTGCCTATGTCGCTCCTAAAATCTTTCCTCGCGGGTTCTTTTTCGTCTTCATTTTCTAACTCGATGCCGTTGTCGTCGTTCCACTCTTTCGGCAAACACGCGAGTACCTCGTCCGTAAACGGTTCGTCTTTGATGTCGTTCTCTAAGATTATTTTCGCGGTGTGCGTTTCGATGCTATCACTTGGACCGATGATGCGCTCAACCGAGCACGCGCGCGACAAAGCGCCTTTTGCGGTTCCATCCGTGTCTATCATGGACGCAAACACGATGACATTTTCAGGCACGTTTTCTAAATCTTTTAATTCGGAAAGCGAGGCGTCTATATCGCACGTCGGCATTCGCGAATCCGTCGGTTTTAATCGAAAGCTTTTCTTCGATTTATTTTTACTATTAGTATTACTATTCGTATTATTCCTTTTTTCATCTACGATGTAGCCAACTAACCTCGTCCGTTTTGGCGACGGCTCGATGATTTTCACCACCGTACCGATTGGTCGCAAGAGCTCGATTTCCTCAATCCCGTCGCCGTTGTTTTTGTTACTACCACTGCCGTTACTATTACTACTATTACTACTAAAAAACCGACACGCTCCCTCGTATGCTTTTTGCACCTCTTCCTCGGTTCCACGCACGCAACTTTTGTACAAGTTCTCGAACCGTTTCACGCTTTCTTCGCTCCCGCGAATCGAGCATTTTTCCATCATCTCGACTAACGAAGTCGTACCGCTCGTCGTACCGCGCCGCTGCTGTCTCCCACTCGTACTCCCAGGACGTCTCTCTCGTCTGCTCTTCGCTTCGCTCTTCTCTCGTAACTCCTGTCTTAACCACTCGATCGGTGATTCCAAGGTAAACAGAATCTTGTCCTGGTCCACCGCGAAAATTTTCTTCTTCTTTTTAACGTCTTCGTCTTGGTGGTCGTCGTTGTTGTCATGAAAGAGTCGAAATTTCACATCCACCGGTAAGAACGACACGGAGACGTACGCCTCGGATGGATCGTGAGGGTTCACTCGAAGCACACCTTCGAATAATGATTTTACTAACGATTTCATCGACGCGTCGTCGTCGTTATTCTTGGCGGTAAGAAGAGCATCATCATCGTCATCTTCTTTTCCCATCACATTCATCATTTCACAGAAGAATATCCAAATTATTAGAAGAAGAAGAAGAAAAAGAAGCGCGCATTTCTTTTCTCCCAGTCGGTTTCTCTCGAGCCTTCGTTTTTTCGAAAGAGAATTTTAAAGAGTAAAGAGATATATATATATAGCGCTGTTGTTCTTTTTGACGTTTTCTCTTTCGTCTTCTTCTTCTTCTTCTTCTGAAGAAGAAGAGAGATGAAGAAGCGCTTTTCTTATTAATATTATTATTCCTCTTTTAACGAGAAAGAAAGAAAGAAAGAAAGAAAGAAAGAAAAGAGAAGAATTTTTTTTACGTGTTGCCCCCCTTTTCCTTTTTTTTTCCCGCCAAAATTGTTTTTTCAGTCAGTGCAATTGTCTCTCTTCTTTTTCAGAAGCACTTAAAAGAAACACAACAAAAACGACATCTAGAGAACAACACAACGAAAAGAACAACCACACTCTGAACATTAACTTAACAAAAACTACTTCTCACGCACTACTCTACTACTCACACGCATCATCAAACGGCAAAAGCGGTGTAAAGAGAGAGAGAAATGAGGCGCGCTGCTGCCAAAGCAGCGGCAAAAACAGCGGCTTTATCAGCTGTATCGGTGCATCGTTTGGCGGCAGATGTCTCGACATCATCATCCTCTGTCGTCGTCGGGAGGAGGATCTTCTGTCGTCAAAGAACAGCATCATCGACGGCGCGACAAAGCAGACGACATCATCTTTTTGCTGCTTCGGCGATGGTCGGGGATGATGATCGTGATACTAATAACAGCAACAGAGGAGGATTTGCGAGCAGTTCTTCTTCTTCGAAGGATGCCTCCTCGGCGCTCGTTCGTCGGTTTATGCGCGAAAGTTGTTCATTTTCATCATCATCATCCAGGAACGACACGCTGTTTGATGAGAGACGAAAGAGGTACTACAGTTCTTCTTCTTCATCATCATCAACAGCAACAGCAACAGCAATCAAAACTATCATCGACGACGAGAACAACGCGGTAATAACGAAGAAGACAAAGAAAAAAGAAGGACAACAAAAAACAGATTCTGAAATCGATTTGAAAATCCTGAAAACGTTAGGCAGTCACTTATGGCCGGCGGATTCCGTGGAGAACAAGGCGAGAGTGGTCACCGCGGTATCCTTTTTAGTCCTTTCAAAGTTAGCCAACGTTTCGGTACCGTTTATGTTTAAACACGCGATCGATGGGTTAGCGGCTTCGACGAGCGCGGACGGCGCGATTACCGGAGCGACTGCGCTTTCGACGATAGATTTAGCCGCTATTGGTCTCGGGACGCCGGCGACGATGTTGGTCGGGTATGGCGTCGCTCGAGCGACGGCGAGCTTAGCGAGCGAACTTCGGAACGCGACGTTTGCAAAAGTATCGCAAGGCGCGATTCGATCTTTAGCTAGAGACGTGTTCAAACACTTGCACGATTTAGATTTGACGTTTCACTTGAATCGACAAACGGGGGCGTTGAATCGAGCAATCGATCGAGGCCAACGCGGAATTTCGTTTTTATGCAACTCGATGGTCTTCAACGTGTTCCCGACGGCGTTGGAAATTGGTTTAGTTTCCGCGATTTTATATTCCAAATGCGGGCCCGAGTTTGCGTTGTTGTCGACGGGCACGATTGGTGCGTACACGGCGTTCACGTTTGGCGTGACGAAATGGAGAACAAAGTTCCGCAAAAAAATGAACGCGTTGGAAAACGAAGGCAACAACAAAGCAGTCGATTCTTTGTTAAACTACGAAACCGTGAAATATTTCAACAAGGAGAAACACGAGGTGAATAGATTCGACGAAAGTTTAAAAGGCGTGGAACAAGCCAACTTGAAGATTGCCACGAGTTTAGCCGGATTGAACTTTGGACAAAACGCTATTTTCTCAGCCGCGTTGTCCACGGCGATGTTATTAGCGGCGAGTAAAGTCACGACTGGAGAATTAACCGTCGGTGATTTAGTCATGGTAAACGGCTTACTCTTTCAACTCTCCGTCCCTTTGAACTTTTTAGGTACCGTATATCGTGAAGCGAAACAATCGATGGTGGATATGACGACGATGTTTAAATTATTAGAAGAGCAATCGCAAGTGCGAGAGGCGGTGAATGGTTTAGAGTTGCCGACGAGTAAAGAGGCGTTGGAGAAAGGATTTAGCGTAGAATTCAGAAACGTGTCGTTCGGATACGATCAAACTGGCGAAGAAAACGAGTTTGATACTATTACTAGTGAGGGAGGTGCGGCGGAGGAGTCGTCGAGTTCGGCCCCGGGTAACAACAACGCGTTGATTGTGGACGATTTGAGTTTTAAAATTGAAGCCGGAAAATCCTTAGCCATCGTTGGCGCTTCCGGGAGTGGTAAATCGACCATTTTGCGCCTGTTGTATCGCTTATACGACGTGAACTATAACTGCGAACACAACAATCACGACAGCACGCAGTGCGGCGTATACATCGACGGTAAAAACGTGAAGGATTTGAAGCTCGATTCGCTTCGAGAAAATATCGCCATTGTCCCGCAAGATGTCGTGTTATTCAACGACACGTTGCGATACAACATCGCGTACGGTAAATCGCAAAGATTTGTTGATAGTGAGCACCAATCGCTTGGGGAAGAACTCGCGACGGATGCGGAAATTCGCGAAGTTGTTCGTCGCGCTCGACTCACGGAAACCGTCGCGAGTTTGCCGAAAGGTTTCAGCACTCAAGTCGGCGAACGAGGGTTGAAACTCTCCGGAGGCGAAAAGCAACGCGTCGCGATCGCGCGCGCGCTTCTTAAAAACAGTCCAATTGTACTTCTCGACGAAGCCACGTCCGCGTTAGACGCGTACACCGAACGCGAAATCGTCCGCGAGATTGACTTTCTAACCAAAGGCAAAACCACCGTCGTCGTCGCGCACAGATTATCCACCGCGCGACGATGCGATAACATCGCCGTCATTCACAACGGTAAAATTGTCGAATACGGTTCGCACGACGAGTTACTCTCCATCGAAAACGGTCGATACGCGAAATCTTGGGCACAGCAAACGCAAAAAAGGAGCGACGTTTTCGATTCAGACGACGATACTTCTTCAGGAGGGAACGAAGAACGACCACTCGCTCCAACTGCATCGGACGTAAACGACGAAAACGCAGTCAGAGAAGCAAAGCTGACGATGAACGACGACGACGACAAAGACAATAATAAAATCCACGACCCGAACACGCCTTTAGACGAGCTGTTGCGTCGGCACGCGCCAAAGAAGAGAGGTGGTGAAGTCAGCATCAGAGAAAGGCAGCAGAGAAAGTCCTCCGTTGTCATGGATAAGAAGAGATGTTGTTAATAGGAGCGCAGATAGATTGTTGTTAGAGTTGTTCTTTCGTGATGCGTGTAAGAGAAAATGCATCACAAAATATATCCACATTTGCTGTTTGTGCTTATTTATTAGTAGTAGTATAAAAGATATATAATAATGTCACCCACCGCTTTTGCTGCGATATCATCTTCTCAAAAGCTATCTTCATCTTCATCGTCTGTTCTTTGTTCTCGTTATCTTCTCCGCCGACGGGGAAAGACTTCGTTGGAATCATCTTCATCCTCAAAATCATCTTCGTCGGTGAAGAAGAAGAAGCAGACGATGGACGTTTCTGCCGCGTCCTCGACTTCAACATTATTCGCGCTCGACTTTGACGGCGTCGTCTGCGACTCGGTCGGGGAATCCTCGCTATCCGCGTGGAAACACGGCGTTGAATTGTGGCCGGAGTTGTTCGAGTGCGAACGAGCGAATGAGAAAAAGGATGAAGTTTTAGATAAACTGCGAGCGGTACGACCAGTCGTGGAAACGGGATACGAGAACACGATTTTAGCGAGAGCGCTTCTGGAAAATCTCGACGGGTACGACGTGGAATCTATCTTGAAAGACTGGCCTATATTGAGCGAAACGCTGATGCAAAAATGGCAGTTAGATCGGAAAACGATGGTGTTGGAGTTTGGTAAAATACGAGACGATTGGATCCGTACGGATTTTAAATCTTGGTTGCAACCGAACGCGCTGTACGAAGACGTACCGGAAGCGTTGAGATTTTGCACGGAGAGAAGAGACGCAAAAGTAACGATTGTGACGACGAAACAAGCTCGGTTCGCGGACGCTATTTTGGTCGATATGGGTGGAGTGAAGATTCCCGAGGAGGATTTGATTAGCACGACGGTGAGCGGAGAACCGAAAGCGGACGTGTTGGTGCGGTTGGAGGAAACGTTTAACAAGGACGGCGCGTCGAGGATGATTTTCGTGGAAGATAAGTTATCGACTCTCATTAAAGTCGCAAACGATAAACGATTAAGCAAATGGGACTTGTTTTTCGTGGATTGGGGGTATAACACCGAAGACGAGCGACAAGTGGCGAAACACGATTACAGGATGAAGCTGATTGGTAAAGAGGAGTTTTGCGGCTTGCTGCGAGAAGGATAGAAAGAAAAAGAAAAAGAAGAGAAAGAGTTTTATGTATACACGTGTAACAAGAAAGATTATGACCATTATTGCGCATGAGATTTAAATTTATGTGCAACCAACTCTGAAGATTTTACGCCGACGATCGTCCGGAGTCGTAAGAAGACCCTTCATCTCGCTTTCCTTCTTCGCGTTGTTTTAAAAGTTCTTCGCCTCGAAAATTTTCTTCAACCCGAGAGCGAACGCGCCGTATCTCCAGATCGCCGCGGGCACATAGAACGGAAACCCAGCAAACGCAGACGCGGCCGTATACGCGAGAGATGAATACAACATCATCCCCGGCGCTTGCCCCGGGTCCGCGTTCACGGCGTGCATCAACCCAAGCATAGCAACGAATACTGGAGTGTATTCACTTTCATTCAGTTGCGTTCCGTGTTCGCGAGCGTACGCCTCGTTGGTGTTGTTCACGAGTTCTGGAACGAGTTTCCAATCCGCCACGCTATGTTTTATGTGTGTGTGAGAGAGAGTGTGTGTGTGTGAGTGAGATGATGAACATGAAAATGAATTGGAATACAAATGTGTCCACCTCCAATTCAATGATTCAAAGGCGGCAGGAACGAAGAAGAGTTTAATAAGAAGAGACGCACGCGGAGACAGGTTTACCCAATTTTTTGTTCGTGTGAAGCACTCTCCATTTAATAGTCATCCACATTTTAGACGCCAAGTTTAAGGAGAGTAAGCCGACGCACGCGTCTTTGATCGAGAGGATTGGAAGCATTTTGTGTACTCGCTTATGACGTAATTTGAGAGTAAGGCACCTCTTAATTATTGTGGAGAATTTTCGTTCAGCAGAAATATAAAATATTAGAACTATAGTACAACGCGGAGGAAACTTCTTCTTCTTCCATCATCACCTCGCGAAAAGGAGAGAGCGTGGTGGCATTTTTCACGACCACTTTTCATCCACTCGTCGTTCGCAAAATGCAGAGCGGCGGCGATTATTATTATTATTATTATTCGCCGCCAGCAGCCGAAGCCAAGTTTTTGCCGGATTGGCTCAGCGCTAACTTCTTGATCGAGCTGTTTTTCTTCATGTCGTAATAGAGTTCGTAATACGCGTCTCGATTCCCGCTCAATCGATTGAAGTTGACCATGTATATTCCGGGGACGATTTCGTATTTTTCGACGACGATTTGGACCGCGGAGGCGTTGTGTCGTAATCGAATAGGTTTACCGGGCGTGGCTTTGACTTCGCATCCGGCTTTTTTCGCGGTAGAAACGACGGCTTTTTCGATTTCTGTGACGCTCGAGGACGAGATGAATCGAGTCGTGGAGTTGGAAACGTTGGAGTAGTCGTCGAACATGTGCGTGCAGTCGAACGTGGTTAAATTCATAAGTTCGAACGCGTTGATTTTCCGGATAACTTCTTGGCTCGAGCCTCGGTCGAAGTTGGACATCGTCGACTGTTGGCGTTGTAAAGAAGAGAATATGCCTCTCTTTCCTCCTCCTCCTCCTTTGGGAGACCCGGCGGTGGGATTTTGCGAATTCTCTCTCGAGAGCGTGTGATCGGTATCGTTGTCTTCGTCCCAGACGTCGTCGCCTTCGTTGCTAAAATCAGAAAAGTCCGACCCGTCGCTTTGGTTGTTCAATTCTCGTTCCACGACGGAATCGGAGACGCCTTTTTCCAAGGAAACATCCACCACCGACCGCGAACTGGTTTGTAACTTTTTAATCTTCACCGGTTTGAACCCATTTTGTCGAAACCAAGATTTCTTGAAAATTTGCGGCCAAGTCGCTCGTTTCTTCGGGTCTTTGACCAAGATAATCTCGAGCACCTTGATGGCTTTTCTCGCGATAACTTCCGCGTTATAATACGGCTCAACTTTTTGCACTTGCGTTTGTAACTCGACAAAGTTCGCGCCGTAAAACGGACAATCTCCAGTTAACATGAAATACAAAATGCACCCGCACGACCAAATATCCGCGATTTTCCCATCGTATCCTTCCGCTTTCGCTTTCGTGTATTCATCCTCGAACGCTTTCAGCTTTTTCAACCGTCTCGACCCCGCCATGACTTCCGGCGCCGCGTAATTCGGCGTCCCGCAAATAGTTCGTAAAGACCCATCCGTGTTCACTTTTTGCGCCGCTAAGCCGAAATCTCCGACTTTACACGTCTTCTTCTCGTGATCTAAGAATATATTCTCCGGTTTCAAGTCTCTGTGGAACACCCCTCTGGAGTGGCAAAACCTTACTCCTTGACAAATCTGTTGAAAATAGACTCGCGCGCAATCTTCCTCCAACTTGCCTCTTTGCTTCACCAAATCGTACAGTTCTCCGCCGCTTAAAAACTCCAAAACTAAATACACCTCCTCTTGTCCCGATAAAACTTCGAATAAGTTTACCACGTACGGGTGGAAAACTTCCGCCATGGTTTTTATTTCTTGTAAGAGCATTTCTTTCTCGTCCACTCTTTGCAACATCTGCCGGTTTAAGATTTTAATCGCGTACGGGTCTTTCGCTTGTTTCATGGTCGCGAATTTCACTTTCCCGTACGCGCCTTCACCCAACGTGCGAGAGACGGAATATTGGCCTATCTTTTGCTTCATTTTGTTGTTTAATTCTTCTGTGTGTTTCAAAGCGGTATTATAAAGACAATTTTTATGACGAAATTCCACAGAAAAATGACTTCTCACGCTTCTCGATATCACGTTTCCGAAAGCCTTTTTACCAGCAGCATCAGAAAAGACAGAAGACAGAGCGTGGCTTTTGCGAGCGGAAATACGTGTTGGAGGAGGAAAAGGAGCTTTTTAACATCTTCGACGAGTAGTAGTAGTAATAGTAGTAGTTTTACCACACCAGAACCCCCAATTGGAAATGGAAAATGCGAGAACGAAGTAAACGAGTTGGAGAACGAACGAGTGCGAGAACAAATATCACAGCTCCCGATTAAAGACGTCATCGAAGACTGCTTGCGAGTTCTTTTTGAAAACGAAAACAATGATTTGATTTTACAAGCCCCACCGGGTGCTGGGAAGACGACTGCACTCCCTTTAGCGATGATGTGTTCTCGACGCGGGAAACGTTGGTTTTCGTCTGCTTCAGAAGGAGGGAAAATTTTAGTTTTAGAACCGAGACGGGTTGCGGCGCGCGCGGCTGCCACACGCATGGCGTCGATTTTAAACGAAAGAGTTGGGGAGACGGTTGGGTATCAAGTACGATTTGAAAGACTGGTATCGTCAAAGACACAAATTGAGGTGGTTACGGAAGGCGTGTTGAAAAATAGATTGGCGAAAGATCCGAGTCTGAAGGGCGTTTCGTGCGTCGTGTTCGACGAGTTTCACGAGAGGAATTTAGATGCGGATTTGAGTTTAGCGTTAGTTTTGAGAGCGAAGAGTAAGTTTGGGAGAGGGAAGGACTTGAAGGTGTGCGTGATGTCGGCGACGTTAGGGGACGTGGCGGTCAGGTGCCAAGAGTTGATGAGGAAGACGTTACGAAGAAAAGAAGGCGAAGAAGAGTATTTTTATTACGACGCGCCAATCGTGCAATCGGAAGGCAAATCGTTCTCGGTGGAAACGATATACGTGGGAGGCGGAGGAATAAATGGTGCGTATAACGACACAGAAGAAGTTGCCGTAAAAACCATTCAAAAAGCTCTCAGCGATACGCCGAACGGTGGGAATATTTTAGTCTTCCTCCCCGGCGCGGCTGAGATTCGAAGGGTCGTGAAGTCTCTGAAAGATCGATTAGGGGATTCACATTTTGAGATTTTGCCTTTGTACGGAGCGTTGCCGACGAACGAGCAGAATTACGCGTTGATGCCTTCAAATACACCCGCGAAACGAAGAGTCGTCGTCTCGACGCCGATAGCAGAGTCTTCTCTGACGGTTCCCGGAGTGACCATCGTCGTCGACTCGGGATTACGAAGAGCGCCAAAGTACGACCACAGTAAAGGCATGACTCGATTAACGACTGAACGAGTTTCGATTTCGAGCGCGGACCAGAGACGAGGTCGAGCCGGTCGCATAGCGGAAGGAATGTGTTACCGAATGTGGAGCGAAAACAGTATGGCGACATCTTTCCAGAAAGAAACGACGCCGGAGATTTTGACCGCCGATTTGACGAGTTGCATGTTGACCATCGCCAACGCGCTCGGTGGAGAATTGTCGACCAAGGATATTTTTTCATCGCCATCTTCATCTTCTTCCGAGAAAGAAGTGAAGGAGGGTTCGATATCGTCTTCGTCACCAGCTTTGGCTTTTTTAGATCCACCTCCGGCTGGACCGGGCAAAAACGCGCTCAAACTTCTCGAAAAACTCCGCGCGATTGAAGTCGTCGAAGAAGACCGGGAGTCCTCGAACGTCACGTACTTTGTTTCCGAGAAAGGTAAAGCGATGAACGGTTTACCGTGTCATCCTCGTATAGGTGCGATGTTATTATTCGCGAGTCAAAGAGGTGCGGCGAGTACGCGATTAGCGTGTCAGCTCGCGGCGGGCGTCGATAGTGATAAGAGTCTTTTGCGAGGTAGAGACGCGCCGCTGGACGCGAGAAGTTACGCCAGAGCGATTCAAGGACGAGATGTCATCATAGCTGATATTGGTAGTAGGAGCTCGATGAATAGTGACGATGACAACAGCGATGATGAGTACCGTAAAAAGCTCGGCAAGAAAGTCGGCGAACGTGGGATTGATGTTATACGCGTTCCGGTAGACGCGAAACTGCCGAGCTCAAGCAAACGCTCGAAGAATATGAAAAAGGCACCAAAAGGCAAAAAAACGAGCGCAAAATCTGCAATCATCGACGCGCTTTCGAAATCGTACAACAGTGAGAGCAGTGGTGGTGCAGGTACCGGTAGCAATTCTTCGTATTTGGACTTTGATGTCGATCCGTTTGCGGTTTCCGAGGCGCGAAAATCGTCGCAACAGTTGGCGAGGAACATTCGGAGTCTCGCCAACGACGCGCCAGCGGCGGATATTCTTAGAATTGCAAAGTCGGTTTCAACGGATATCGATTTGGATGGATTAAACGCGAACGAACCAGTATACGAAGAAATCTTTTGCGGCGCGAAGCAGTTCGAAGCGTCCGTTTTGCTCGCGGCTGCTTTTCCAGATCGAATCGCTATGAAATCCAGCGGTAAAGGATCGAACACGTTCAAACTGAGCGGCGGAGGCGCAGCTTCTATTTCCGCCGACAACAGGGACGACCCGATTGCAAAAGCCGAAGCGTTAGTTATTTGTGAAATGTTTGGAGGAAACGACGGGAACGGCGGTAAGAACGACATCATCAAACTCGCGTCGCCTTTAACGAAAGGTATTCTCGCGACTGCCGCGGCGACGGATGAAAACCTGAAATTTTGTTTGAACGTATCAACAAAGCGCGAAATTACGTGGGCGGAAAGCTCGAACAAAGTTGTCTCGAGAAAAGTTACGAGAATTGGTGACGTTGTTTTGGACGAAAAAGTAGTCGAAGCGACAGAAAGCGAAATGTCGGAGGCTATCGTCGAAAGAGCGAAAAAGGTTGGCGTGTTTACATTCTTCAACGTGAGCGGGGATAAAAATCTTAACGCGTGGATAAAGCGATGCGTGTTCGCGCACAGTTGCAATCCTGAATCGTTCCCGGACTTTCGCGATAAGTCGATAACTAAAACTGTCGCCGAGTGGCTTCCGCAATGGGTCGTCGGATGCGCCTCGAAACAAGACATCTTGAAAAAAACAAACTTGAGACAGATTCTGGAAACTACCATGCTCTCGCACGAGGACAAACGAGTACTGGACAAAAGTGTTCCCGAATCAATTCGTTTACCTTCAGGCACCCAAAAGAAAATTAATTACGAAAACGTAAGCGAAAACAACGCCCCAGTCATCGAGTGTCGATTGCAAGAGCTGTTCGGGTTACCCGACACGCCCACCATAGCCGGTAAAAAAGCCGAGTTGCACTTACTCTCGCCTGCGAGTCGACCGGTACAAGTGACCACTGATTTGAAGTCCTTCTGGGAAGTGGAATACGAAAACGTAAGGAAAGAGTTGAAAGGCCGCTACCCTCGACACTATTGGCCGGAGAACCCTTTGGAGGCTGAACCGACTGCTCGCGCGAAGCCTCGCAACAAATAAATAGATAGAAAACGTTGTATACCAGAAATAAATAGAAATTAGTTAGTACTATATTACAAACGGTGGTGATTACATTACAGACTTCCTTTGCACGGGCGCGATGTGCTCCAACGCTTCCATCGATAAAACGCTCGCGCCTCTCACGACGACCATCCCGAGCGGCGTTTTCTCCGCCGTCGAGTCGTTCACGCACTCGTCCAAGACTAAATTTAAAAACTGATCGAACCCGCGTAAAATACCAATCACGCCTCTGTTCCCGTTCAGTTTCAGTTTCAGTTTTTTGTCCATGTATCTGTTATTTAAAAGATGATGATGATGATGATGATGATGATGATGATGAGAAGAGCGTTTTGCTTCGTCAGATGGTGTTTCGTTGGGAGCGAGGAAAAGTAGAGAGAGATCGTCATCGGAAGCCGAATCGCATCGCGACGGCGCCGAAGACAACGAAAAGAAGAATTTCCCTAAATAAAAGCAGGAAGAGTAAAGAAGACAAAGAAGAAGAAGAGAGAACGATGAAATGAAACGACTGCAGTACGCACTGTTTCAATTCCGGCACTTGCACGCCCATGACGGATGATGATTACTATGTGGGATGATTGTATTGAATAGAACACGCAGCAGTTATGAGGAATTTGAAACAAAAATTGAAAGACGAGAGGGAAACCGTTTTGGGTCTGTGCTACTGCTATTAGTACTACCGCTACTACTACTACTACTCTCCGAATCAACGCACTGATGACTATTATCTAACACGCGACGACCACTCGTTGATGCCACCCTCTTAAAACTCTCCTCGCTATCGTGCGGTAGCCCATTTCGGTGGCTAACCGCTCTCTCCACGAGTTGAACACTCGAACGCGCCACGCCGAGAGGACTTTTTGCGAGAGAGAGACTCGGCGAAAAGTATCGGCTATTTGCTCGTTGATTTCACATTCGCGAGCGTTTTCGAGCTCGTCTCGCTTGGATGAAGAGGTTTTCAATTTCCAGGCGAGGAATGCGTTGAGTTTGAGAGACACGTCGCGGAACTGCGTGGCTTGGACGTACTCGTCGCGCATTTTTTTTGCCTCTTTGGCGTTTTTCAGCCAAACGCGTAAAACGTCTCGTTTCGTTTGGATGTTTTCCGTGTCGTACGGTTCGTTTCGTTTCTCGTCCCAGGCGCGTTCGCAGTTGGTGAACACGCGGAATAATAGTTTTTTGTTGTATATTTTGATTTTCCACCGTTTCAATGCAAAGTACAAAGAGTCTCTCGCGATGGGTTTCACGGAGATTTCGAGAACTTTCTTTCGATCTTGTCTCCACTTCCTGTGCCAGTACAAAGCCGAGAAGACTTTCGCTTTCACCATTACCGTTCTCTTTTCAATGAAATTTTCGATTTGAATCTCGCGATCGGCGCGTGTTATCAACCCTTTTCGAGCTTGTTCTCGCCACGAGGTGAAGAATAACTCGAGTCTATCGCGCTGGAGAATCTCAATCGCGCTTTGCCATTTCTCTAAAAAGCGTTTGGCGACGTTCCTGTTGGCGAAAACCACCGCGATTTCCCGCGAAGTCGTCTTCGTTCGAGGCTGGTTTTTTTCTAGCTCACCACCATCGGTCGGCGGGATATAACCATCGGTGCTACGTATCAAACGAACGCGCTCGTACTTCTCCGCCATTTTTTCCGCCTCTTTAGCTTTTCTCACTTTTCTCACCGCTTCTGCCGAAGCCTTCTCGCACTCGACCGATAAGAGCGTAAATTTTCCGTACATCTTCTCCGCGTGTATCAAAGCGTTCGATAAGTGAGTCTGACTGACATTTTTACCTTGTTGAAACATCACGAGAAGAAAATCAGACGCGTTTTCCGCGTCTTCGGCGACATTTCGGGCAAACTCGCACTCTTCTTTCAGTTCGTCGGCTCTTTGAATCGATTCTTTCGCTTCTCGAAGTAACGCCTCAACCTTGGACTCTTCGACGACTTTTTTTACGTTCTTTGATGTCGTCCTTTCGTCGTCGGCGGCGGCGGCCTCGTCGGTATTGGTTGGCGATGCTGCAAACGTATCCCAGGGCGAGTGTAACGTAGCCAACGGTAATAAAGTTGTTACGTAATTCGTCGCTGCGTAGTATTGACCTTTCAATCGCTCCAACTTTTTCCTCGCCGCGGATCCTTCGCTGCGAAAATACAGAGACATTCGTTCACTTTCAGCTTTACTTTTTCGAGCGTCCACGAAAGCGACGAGTTCACTTTCGTCATCGCCACGCAACTTCCGTCTCGCAACTTCGACTTTGAACGCGGACTCATCTCTCGCCATTCGCCACGCGACGAATGCCTTTTTCAAAACAAACGCCCGAACGAGTTTCTTCTCCGCTTTACTCTTTGCGCTTTTCGCCAGCGCCAACTCCCAACGCGCGAACGCGATTGATAGCGTTTTCTTATCCGCATCTATCGTTTTCATCGTCGCCACGTGCATCGCTCGGTTTGAAAGTTTAGCGAATTTACGCCAACGATTGAAAATGTCGCGCACGTGTCGTTGCTTCGCGTTCAATTCCAAAGCTTCCAAAGCTACTCTTCTCGGTTGTAAAGACGCGGAAACATCGCGCCAGTGATCAAAACTTCGCCGCAAAGCGACGGCACGTATCGCGTTGAGTTTTGTCGTCACTACTTCCCTCTTTTCTTTTTCTTTCTCTGTCCGTATTTTCCACGCGTTGAACATAATCGCTTTCGTTTCGACTTCAAATTCCGTCTCGACGAGTTTTGAGATGATCTTCTTTCGAAACTGCGTCGTCGTCTGAATCGTCGTTTTGTTACCAAAACCTTCGCCGCCACCGTACGCGTATTTCTGTTCCAACTTGGACTTTACTTTCCGCAAATTCACGAACGCGTCGTTCATTTTCTTCCTTCGAAGCGCAATCTCCTCGGATTTCTCGATGTTCGCTTGTATTTTCAACCGTAAGTTTTTTAACATCTGCGCCTGTCGTTGCGAAACCGACGCTACCGGTTGTTGTTCAAACATTTGCGTTCGATCTCTGAACGTGGGCGATCGAGGCGACCTTTGCGGCGACCGAGGAATATTGGACAAAAATGCGGGCGTCGTCGTCGTCACCGATTGCGGTGCAGACCGTTGTCGAATCAACGCCGATGCCGTTTGAAACTCTTCCTTCTTCTCTTCTTCTTCTTCTCGTTCTTTGCGATACGGCGTGTACTTTGGCAACGGCGTCGCGACCACCTTCTTCACCTTTGTCTTCTTTGTCTTCGCATCATCCTCCTCCGCAGATTCAAAGCTCGGCGTTAACTGCCTCGGCGTCGTTTCCATCGCGCCTACTTTCGACGTCAGCGACGTCTGTTGTTGTTGTTGTTGTTGTTGTTGCACCATTCCGCTCGTCATCAACGGTGGCGACGGTTTCTTCGCATCGGTCATTCGTTGCATCATTTGAATTCGTTCCTTCACGGAAAGGTTTACCGCGGGAGAGGTCTTGGACGAATCATACGTATCATCGTCGTTATCATCGTTGGGTTCCATCACCGGCGGCGACGGAGGTGGCAGTCTTCTTCTTCGCGAAGAAGAATCAGAATCAGAATCAGAATCAGACGACGCCATGATGATGTCTTTCGAATTTTTTCAAATCTCTCTCTTCATTTTTGCTCCTCGTTATTCTCTCGCGATGATGATAGTCTCATCGCGAGGAGCGTTTACGAACGTCTCTCTTCATCTCTCGCTGATAATGTTGTTGTTTTTATTATTATTACTATTATTATTGCGAGGAAAGTGAGAGAGTTTGTGTGTATTCTTCTGCAAAGTGTATCAAACGAGGTTTTCGCTTTATTAGGTATTCTTTTGACTAATATGGGAATTTTTTGTTTGAACTGCTCTTCAAAAATTAAAAATTAAAAATCATCATTTCACAACAACAACAACAACAACAACAACAACAACAACAGAAAAAAGAAAAAGAAAGAAGAGAATTATTATTGAGAGAATTGTTAAGGTTGGTTTCTTTTATATACACAAAACTTGCGCCAACAGACGACTGACGCACAAATAGTACATGATCTTTAAAACTTTGTATTCGACGACTTTACATTCGCCTTTTGCGGGTTTGGCGACATCATCTCGACGACGACAACAACAACAACAACAACAACAAAATCGCACTTCCTTTACTGCGAGAAGAATGATGATGATGACGAGGAAACGAACGTTTGGGAAGAATTTGACGATTTTAGAAGACGCCGCGAAATGGAGGAGTTTTTGTTGCAGTAGTTACGGTCGCGCGAACAGTAGTAACGATGCGTCGTGGTGTCGTCAGTGTTGCTCTTCTTTATTAAGCGGCGGAAGAACTGGCGGATTGCAAAATCATCATCGTTATCGAGAAAGGAGGAGCGCGTTGAATACGAATACTAATTATTGTTCGCAAAATTGGAGGAGCAAAAGTAATAAAAACGAACAACGACGGAGGAATCAGTATTCTTCGGGGTACCACCAAACGAGACGAACGACCCACGACGCGAGTTCTTCACCGTTCGCATTGCACGCTTTGTCATACGACGACGACACGTCGTCGTCGCCCTCAGGAAAAGAAGGTGAAGAAGAAGAAGACGATTCTGACGACGACGACGAAAAGGGCGGGTATTACAAAACGAAACATTGGAATCCTACGAAGCACGCGAGCAATGGTTTGAGCAACGATGATAGCAGTAGCGGTGATGATAGTGAACACGCAGAGCTTAAGATGGAAAAAGAGGGTGGCGTCGCGCAGCGACGAACACCGGGAGCGTTAGAATCGATTGAAGGGAACGTCTTTCGCGACCGCGAGCGTTTAAAATCGGACAAAGATTTCGACCGCGTGAAGAAAACGGGAAGAACGTTGAATTATTCTTGCATACGAATAAAAGCGGCGCCGAACGATGGCGTACCCGGCGCAACTGGATGTCACCGAATTGGCATCGTCGTCCCGAAGAAACAGTTAAAACGCGCCGTCGATAGGAACCTGTGCAAACGACGCGTTCGAGCCATCTTTCGAACGAACAAAGATAAATGGCCGAAAACCGAGAGCGGTTCACATTTAGATTTCGTCGTTTTCGTGAAACAAGAAGCGTTAGAGGGCGGTTTCAAGCAGTTGGAGAAAGAAATGTTCTTATTCGCGAGCGATTACACCGAGAGGGAGATGAAATCAAAGACGAGCAAATCCAGGAACGCGGCGAAAGTTGTCCGAAATACTAACGCGAACGTTACTCGAACCGCACAAGCGAGTAACGAGAACGAGAACGTAAGGGCGAAGAAAGAAAACGGCCCGACAAACAACATTGCTCGATGATCCGTTCGCGTGTGCAACAGAATTTAGAATAGAATGTAAATAGAATCATCATTAGTCGCGTGTTAGTAAGACATCAGCCGATGAAAAAATGTGCATCTTCGCGATACAAAACGCCAACAACATCTCTTTCCGAAGGCGAGAGAGAGAAGGGTTTCACCTCAACGCTTTTCTTCATTCTCGAGACGCGAATACGAATACAAATAATGTTGCGTAAAGTCGTTTTGTCAAACCTCGCGCGCGTTGCTTTATTGCACCGCACGCGCACGAACGCAATCGCCTCCACCTCTTCTTCTTCTTCTTCTTCTTCTTCTTCTTCTATTCAGTTGTTTCGATCGTCCTCCTCGTTCATGAATACGAATAAGAACAACAACAAACAGATTTCAACCTCGTCGTCGAACGCGTTCGCGGAAGAACAACAACAACAACAAGAAAACGATAAAATGGGAGAAGACAAAACGCGATACAACAAATCATCTGGCCCAGTCGCGAAACTGCTCCACTTGATTTTCAAGAACCAACCGATCGATTCTCAGAAACTGTACACGTTAGCCGTGGAAAACGCGGTTGAAATCCACAGTCGCAGACACATGAAAATTTTGCTCCAATCGATAAAAAGTCGAAAACAGTTCACTGCGAGCGAAAACAACAACAACAACACGAACAAAAATAAAAAGAAGAAGAAACGATTCGATGGTTTTATAAAAGCGGCGAGACCGTTGGACGCGTCCGGGAAAACGACGAAAGTGACGTACACGTTTAGCGTAGAAGAGAGAGGGAGGAAACACTTAGAAAAGTTGGGATTGATTGAGGCGCGAGCGGAAGAAGAGGGGAATAATAATAACAGCGAGTAGTTTTAAAGTAGTATAAAGTCAAAGAGAGTTTTAATTTTTAAGTGTACACGCTACTTTCTACGCTTGGACAAACCGCTCTGGCTCCTTTTCATTCGCGACCGGGTTCGGAAGAGTGTTAGCATCTTTCTCGTCGCTGGTATAGTTTTTCATCGTCTCCGCTTCGGCGCATAAGCTCTCGACCAACGCCGCCGCCTGTCTCGCCTCCGCTTCGGCGTCTGCGGCTTCTCTTTCCGCCAGTTCCGCTTCATTTGCAGCTAACTCGGCTTGTTCGAACGCCTCTCGAGCTTCGCTCGCGGCTTGCTCCGCGGTTAAGTACCGTCCGTCGTAATAAAATACCGGCGGCAACTTTTCCAACTCTTCTTCGATTTTCTTGCGTTGCGTAGCTTTGGACATTTGCTTTGACTGACCGTTCTTAGCGCGCCGTTTTCGCCGTCGTTTCTTCGTGGATCCGCTATCTATCCCGTTTTCATTGCTATTCGTACCTCCTCCTTGTTTTGTATTCTCTCCATCTTCTTGCGAGACCGCGTCTTCCTCCTCCCCTTCTTCTTCTTCTTCTTCTTCTTCGTCTTCCGAGGACTCTTCTTCCGATTCGCTCTCGTCCTCGTCCACGTACTCATCTTCCTCGGTATCTTCCCTGTTCCTATTCGTGATATTTTTAATCGCTTTCCCGTTTACATCCACCAAAGCCACGTACTTCATGTGTAACCTTCCACTCGTATCTCCGGGAACAGTCACTCGATCTCTCCTCACCTTACCTTCCTTCCCGAGTTCCGTCAACCTTTGCGGCACTCTTTGCTCCCTCGCGCCTTTACACACCTCGAACAAACCGCCGAACCGATACTTTCCAATCAACCCGTCCTCCTCCTCCTCTCGAAACTTCTCGATGCAATAATTGGCCACTTGATCGATGGTCTTTCCGTCCCTCTCTTCCAACGCGTCTTCGTGCGCGTCGTACTCTAAATTCAAACACTCCAATATATACCGGTCCAGCGCTTGCGACAACGCGTTCGTAAACGGTTTCAACTGGTACTCTTTTTCTCGCATCTCGTTTTCTTTCTTGTTCGAATCGTACGAGTGTCGAAACCGAGGCGCGCGAAACAGTTCGTTCTTCTTCACGATTTCATTTTTGATCTTCTTCGAATCCTTCTCGCGAGATAATTTCTCCCAGTGGTTCTTCAACTTTGCTTTGACCGTTTTCATCTTTTCACTCGTTGTCACTATCTTTTTACCACCATTAGTATTACCACCACCACCGCTCTTCCTCGACGACACTAACGAAGGAAGTTTTTCCCGTCCTCCCTTCCGTTGCTGTTGCTCTTTCTCCCGCTCTCGAACGTCTCGCGAAAGTCGATGATGCCAGGAATATCGCGAATCGTTGCTCATTTTCTTCCACTTTCCAACGCCGTATTTCCGTATCGCCGCGAAGAATTCTCTCTCCGTTTCCGGGTTTTCTAAAGAGAAGAAGTCTAAGGAGGACTTTTCGTCCTCCTCCACATCGGAGGACAACGAATCGTCGTCGTCGTCGTCGTCGTCATCAATCATCATCATCATCATCATCTTCACCCGTCAAACAAAAATCCTCCTTTTCCTCCTCCCCTGAGTTCTTGTGTTTTTTTTTGTCTTCTTGTCAAAATTTTGAAGCAAAAAAAAAAAAAAAAAAATTCATCAAAAATACGCGCGCGCAAAAGAAGAGACATGTCTGCGCACGGGTACCCTCGCTTTTTTCTCGAGGGGCATTTCATCTCGATGATGGATTCGAATGCGACGACGAAACGGAAACGAGAGGAGGAAGAAGAAGAGGAGGAGGAAAAGGAAGAACTCACGAACGCGCCGTTGTATGCTTTTATCAAACGATACGCAGATATCGTGGAGAGGTTTGTGTTTCCTCTTTTGACGAGCACGGAGTTACGATTACTCTCTCGAGTGAATAAAGAGATGGAAAGTGTGGTGAAGAATGGGCGAGTTTGGACGTCGAAGAACCGGTTGTCGGATCGCAAGTTTAGCACGCAGTTGAGAGCGAGAGATATACAGACGAGAGAGATGTTGAAATACGCGTGCGAGAGGAACGAGTTACAACCCTGTCATCGACTGGTTGGCTTTTTTAGTGGCCGTGGGCAGTTGGAGTGCGTGAAATATCTCTTGGAGGAGGTTTTTCGATGCACGTGGGGGGCTGTGGATCGAAGAAACGCGTATGGGACAATCGCGGCGGCGCAGAATGGCCACTTTAAGTGTTTGAGATATTTAGTGGAAGAAGGCGGGTGTTACTTGAACGAGAGAGTGTGTTCGGAGGCGTGCGGGATTGGTTCGTTGAAAATGTTGAGGTACTGTCGAAACCATTTCGCGCCGTGGAATCACAGGTGTTTGGAACGCGCCGCGTTAGGTGGGCACAAAGATATAGTCATGTTTCTTTTGAAACACGATATCGATCGAAGGTTAATTCAATCCGCAAATCCTGCTATTTTCGCCGCCGAAGGAGGTCACTTGGACCTCGTTCAGATTTTCTTCGACCGCGGCGTCGTTTTTGACGAGCGCGTCGCGGAACAAGCTTCGGAGATGGGGTACCTCGAAATTTTGCGGTTCGTCGTCGAAAAGGATTTGCCGTGGCACCCGGTTAGCTGCATGCAAGCGTGCTCACGACCGTCCGAATACGTACGAGACGAGTATTACGACCAAATCGAGGAGATTAAAGAACGACACGCGGGATGTCGAGAATTTATTCTCAGTATCTTTCCGATGATGCCGATCATGGAAGACGGCATCAACGGTATCGACGACGACGAGGAGGAAGACATAATGGACGAAGAGGACGACGGAGAAGATGTCGATGATCCTATCCTTTGAAAGATAGAAAGAAAGAGAGAGAGAAAGAGAGAGAAAACAAAAAAAAGCCATATCAGTATCTCACAAATATAAATACATATACATCGCACATTCGTCATAAAAATCACTTTTTATTTCTTTTACCACCACCACTATTACCCTTCTTATTACTATCGTTCATGTCCCTCTCCGCTTTCTCCATCTGTAAGAATAATTCGTCGTCTGGACCCGATGCCAACTCTTCGTACACTCTCTCAATCGCAGCCTCGACGATTTCGTCCGGCTCTTCCATCACAGCCTCCTGTCTCAAACCGTTACTTTCAATTTCTTTTGTTACAATCAACACGGGATTTAACGGCGCATAGACTAAATACCGACACCCAGTCGCGTCGCTGTCGAAAGTTACCAACTCCGTCGCTTCTTGTGGCGCCTCGTCTCGCCCTTGATCCAACTCTAAACAATCGTCGTAATCCGCGCGAATCGGTCCTCTCACCGTAAAGCACAACGCCGACCGCTGCAACAACAACCCTTTCTTCGCCAACGCTAATTGCATATCCGGTAAAATCTCGTTCAACTCCTTATCGTCGATGTCCGATAAGTCCTCGTCCTCGCTGTTCGCTTCGCCTCGCAAGACATCGATCGGAGCGTCCAACGGTAACACTACGCAACGAATATTCCCACTTTTATCCGTCACCCGAGCTCTCAACATGCATTGCAAAATTCGCGTGCCGCTGTTGGACTCTTCAACGACGTCGATTAAAGGCATCGCGGGCGTTTTCAATCGCTCGTCGCCGTACGCGTTCTCAGAATCCACCACTCGAGCGCGCATTTTGAGTGTCTCTTCTCCTCTTTTCTTATTATTATCAGCGCGATGATGATGTTGAAAACTTCTGACGGCGCGACAACTGAATTCTGTTCGTCTCGTTCCCCGCTTGGAGGAGGAGGATTTTGAGAAGGTAGTACATCCCGCGAATGAGGACGATGATAATACTAACACTAACGACGACGAAGGCATGATATTGATGGCTTTTTTCTTCTGTGCGCGTACTACAAAGCGGGAGTGTTTGAGGACGAATGGAGTGAAGAGAAGGGGAAAAAAGAGGAGAACTTTTTCTCTGCTTGATGGGGGACCGTCTGGTTTTCAGAGAAACGCTTTAAACGCTTCTTTTTGGCACGCACATGTCGTCAAAAATAGTTTTGCGTCGCATGAGAAGACACCAATAATAATAATAATACGAGGTTATCATCATCGCCAGATAAAAGAATTGTTATGACAGCAACGGGCGGAAACATCACGGCGCCGTGTCACTTTCAAGAACAAGATCAACTTTTGGCGTCTTTGCAACACACGTGCGACAATTGTGGCGGACGAGATCATCTGATGAAATGCAGCCGGTGTCACACGGCGTTTTTCTGTTCGGTGAAGTGTCAAAAGACGTACTGGCCGTTTCACAAGGCGTTTTGTCGGAAGAACGACTTCGCGGATGCGACGGAAGGGACGGAACCGAAGTTCGCGAGGTGGATGCGAAGTCACGGGAAGCAAGCGGTTTTGAAAGATGGTGAGTAAGCATTTTGAACTTTTCGTTTTAGAAATTTACCGCAGGAGCAGCTCTTTCGCAATAATAATAATACTAAACATTTTTCTTCTCTCCTTCCCAACAACACGCATGAAACAGACGAGGTGGACCGTTTAGAGCGTAAGGTCGTCAACATGGAAGACATGTATGGTCGCGCGAACCCGAAACCAGAACCGCCGAAATTCGATGCGGAAGACATGAAGAACATGCGAGAGGCGGAGGAAACGAGATTATTAAAGGCGAGGGAATCGAGCAAGAACGAGTTGTATTGGCAAGAGATTGAAGTTGAGAAGTGTTTAGGTTTGGAGACGGAAACGATTAAATGGAAACAAAATCAAACGTACGTGGAAATCTTCGTACGGTTGGACGGTTATGCGGGTGGAATGAGCGCGCACGAATCCGCGAAAAGTGAGGACGTTCAAGTGGACATGTCTCGATCGAGATTGAGCGTTCGCTATAAAGACGACGTTATCATCGATGATAAGAAGTTGTACAAGGACATTAAAGTTGAATTGTCCACCTGGGTGATTGTCGACAACGTTTTGGAAATTTGTCTGTTGAAATTCTGCAGACGAGGTGCGGGATACGCGGGAGGGAAATCCAACGCGGATACCTTTTGGCGCTCGCTCTTTTCGGACGAGTATTTGAACGCTTTGCGAGTGGAAGATTCTAAAGTCCATTTGGATTCAACGTCGTCCCTAACCGAAGACGACGTGAAGAAATCGATACCAGAACGATACTACGAAACCGAATTTGACGAGAACTACGGCGTTCGCGTCGGGAACAAAGCGAGACACTCCTCGAATCGACCGATGGTAGCCCAGAACAAAAACAGACGATGATTATTTTATCGCGGGTGTGAATGCAATATTGAGCGCGGCATTCTCGGTTTCTAAAATACTACTGTTACATGCTAAAATTACTAAAGTTCGCCAGCATCTGATATCTGTATCTGTTCTTTGCAATGTTCTAATCTCACTCTGTTCCTTCCTCCAATCCTTCTCATCGTCGCCTCTCGCTCGCCTTCGGTTAACGTATGCCAATTTTCAATGCGTTTCAACGTGCAATCCGATTGCACTATTACCGGTCCTAACTCGTCCAGTTTAACGGTTTCTCCAAATTTAATTTTCCTTGCTGGAATGTTTTCATTATCGATGTTGTTGCTTTCGGTTGAAAGCGACGGAATACTGTTGTCCTTGTTCATGTTCTCGTTGTTCTCCTTGGTCGCCGCGTCGTTCTCGTCTTCACACATCACCCCTAACAACATCAACAACATTCCGAGAAGAGAGAACGCGAAAAGAAGATGAAAACGTTTGTACTTCGTGCAACGAGAATATAAAACGCTACAGCGAGTCATGACCATTCTCTTCGTATCACTCTTTTTCTAGAAAATTCCTCAAGCACGTCTCGATTGAACCGCTCGCCTCTTTTAACAAACGAGTCGCAACCTTCTTCTCGACTTCTAAAACGCGTTGGATTTCCGAAACCGAATTCGATTCAACTTTAATCAAAGAGAGCTTTTGCGCGCATGCGGCTTCGGCTTCCAGCTCTCGGTTTCTTCTGGCGATGAAGAGGAGTTCTTTCCTTTGCTGCGAAAAGGACGGATGGCTTTTGCTTTGAATAGAAGGCGGTGTTTGGGTGGAGGACATGTAGAGCGCACCAGCGAATTTATTAGGGGTGTGTGCTATTTATGACGAAAGATACAGGTACATACAACTTTATTATAAAACGACCGATTGCACGGACGGATCGAACAAGTCTCCCAAGAAACATCGCATCCCCGCCAAGCACTGTTCACAATCCCCGTTCTCTGTGGGTTCAAACATTTGGCGTTCGCCGCAAGCGCACGCGGCGTCTTTGCCTCTCGAGACGGTGATATCGTCAAACCACGCTTCGCCTTCTTTACCTCTCAACATGCCGTACACTTGGATAGATTTGATGGGCTTGTCTTTGGTGATGAATGCGGCGGCGCGTTCCCAACCGTGCGTTCCAGGGTTAAAAGGAACGTTGAACCCCCAATCGTTGGAACCGTCAGAGTACCAGATGTCGACATATAAGGAGTACCCGGCATCTTTGGTAGTACCGGAAACGTCTTTGGACTTTGACCACATTTTTACCAACAGCGGTTCTGATTTAATTTGGTTGATTTCGATGAGTTGCGTGAAGCCCGAGGAGGCGTCGTCGTTGTCGTTTTCGACGTGCGCGCACGGTTGCGGTCCAGAACCGGAGCGGGATAACGACTGTGCTAAGTTATACCCAGATCCAAACGGGTTCCAATAATCTTTTTGAGCGTTAAAGTTGCCATTTTTAGCTAAATTGAATTCACCTTTATTCGGTAACGGCTCGGACGGATCGCCGCACGGGTTGGTAGTGGCTATTTGCAACAGCGCGTTCATGCGTTGCATTTGCTCGGCAACTAACGAAGAGAGTTCGTGAGATTGCTCGGATTTTAGAAGTTTCCCAGCCAACGTTCCTTCGTTGATATCGTGCATTTCTTTTTCAGATTTCCAATACGTGGGTGTCGCTTCGACCAAATGCGCGGACACAACTTTTGGATCGCCCAAGACTTTTTGCTCCAATCTGTGCTTTACCAATAAAATCTCGTTGAAATACGCGTCCCGGAAGGCGCCGTTGATGGCTTTCACCGCCTCTGGATACTCCTCCAACGCTTCGTGTAAAAGCGCCAATCGATAATACATTTGCCATTTGTATCGTTTTTCCGAGGTTGTTAAATTCAACGCGATTTTCAAATCATCGATGGCTTCTTCGTATTCCATTTTCTTCGTCCTTCGCAACGCTCTCCAAAAGTACGGCATTGGCTGTAATGGAAACTGTTGCATTTTCTTCTCCAACGCTTTTAACGTGTCTTCGTGCATGTTTTCAATCGTTTCGTGGTCGTGAAGTAGTTGCACCGGTTCGTATAATTCAACGTGGTTCGTTCGAACCATCGCTTTCGTTTGCTCTAAATACGCCGCAAACATCTTTTTGCGCATGGAAGTGCCTTTATGATGGCGATAGTAAAACGTAATTTCCGGTACAAACCGGACGATTGGGTTAAATTTCGCCGCGTTCAACCAAAAGTTCCAATCTTCCAAACCCCACGGGATACCTGGATCGTACCCGCCAACTTTTCTCATCAAATCAGCTTTCATTAAAACCGAGGCGTGAAATTTGTTCCAGTGCGAAACGCCGACGATGGAGAAGCCTTCAGGAAAACACCAATCAGACGAGACCGCGTCAAAGTTGCGCATGCACCCGGGGATAATGTCCACACCTCCAGTTCCAATGTGTCCTCCCGAAATAGTTGTTGCGATATCACCTCCGTTTCCGTGCTCTTCCTCCACGAGCTCTGCCGCTCGACTCAAATAATCTCTCGCTAACAAATCGTCCGAATCCAACATGCACAACCAATCGCCTCTCGCGTATCGCATCCCGACGTTTCTAGCATCCGCCAACCCCCCGTTGCGTTTGTTAATCAATCGGATTCTTCTCTTTCCATACTTATCCATCAAATTTGAGGCTTTTGCCCACGAATCATCCGAGCTACCGTCGTTAACGATGATCAATTCCCACCGCTCGTACGATTGCGCAGCGACTGATTTCACCGTCTCGTCGATGTACGCGCCTTGATTATACGCCGCCATGACAATGGAAAAGAACGGTCTCGAATCTAAAGCGACGTCTCTGTTCGCCGACGGCGTTGATTTAATCTCAATCGGTTGCCCAGTCGTCTCGTAATTCCACACCAACAACCCGCCTCCTATTCCTCCATTATTATTACTACTACCACCGTAATGCGTCTCGACGTTTCCGGATTGTTGCAAGTTATTCTTTTTGTTACTACTACTGCTACTACTACCACCACTCATACCTTTCGCCTGAAAATCCCTCAGCTGCATTTGCATCACTTGGCTCTCTTCTTTCATCGTCAACATCTGCCTTTTCGCTTCATCGAGCTCCAATCGCAACTTCGTCGTCAATAAACTCCTATCCTGTTCATCCTCATCCTCCTCGGAGGAAAGTAAATCGTACCGCGACGGCGTTTGTTGGTTGGTCTCGCTCTTCCCGTCGTTCCCATCCAACGCATCGACGTTATCACTTCCTCCACTTTTCATCTTGTTGTAATAATACGCGCTCGAACACACGTGCACGAAAACAAACAGAGTGGCACTCATCGCTTTCCATCCATTCGTAGTACGTTTCGCTTTCGAATTCTTTCTCTTCAATCCCTTCTGGTACTTCTCCCCGGACGTGGCGTGTAACGGTAAACCACTCCCAACACCTCCTCCTCCTCCACCGAGAGGATGCGTTTCCACGTGGTGTAAACTTTTTAAATGCGCGCTTCGCGAGCGCGGTAAGCTTCCGTTGTTGTTCGCATTGCCAGAAGCGCTTTCGCGAAGCATTTTTTTACTTACTATTTTAGAAGAACATTTTGAAGCGAAATTGAGTCCATTTTAACAAGAAGCTTTTACCTAATTAAAAGAGATATACACTCAATATGATTGATGACGATGCTCTCGGGACGGTGTCGTCAGAGCCAGCGAAATCAGCCGTGAAGAAGAACAGTAAGAGGAAACGAAGCGAGGACGATGAGAAGGAGGCGCCTAAACTCGATCGTACCGTTGAGTCTTTGGAGAGGAAGAGCGAGGAGGAGAATGATGATGATGATGATGACAACAACAGTTGTGGAGACAAACGCGGCGTGTTGTCGGTGAATGCAGAGAACGAGGAGAAGAAGGAGAAGAAGACAAAGAAGATAAAGAAATCAGTAAACTTCTCTTTGAATCATTTAGAAGACGTAGCCGGAGTCGCGGACGATATAGACAGAGAAGCGTGGGAGTTACCGAGAACGTGCGATGGATGCGGTTTGTACATATTAGGCGAACGATGGTCGTGCGGGAAATGTGTAGAGGAAACGGAGGAGGAGTTTGATTTTTGTAAAGCGTGCTTCGTGGCATTTATGGAGGTAGAAAGTAAAGGTGGTGGTGATACTAGTGTTGGTAGTAAGAGTCATAATACCAATAATAATGATCCGTGGAGTACTATCGATGGCGGCGGTGCCGTTCAATTGACGAGCGCGGATTTACATAAACACGATCCGAACTCTTTTCTCAAGTTCGACGAGGAAAACGAAGAAAGCATCGCCAACGTAGAGATGAAGAAAGCAGTGGAGCAGTAGATTATATTTAGTTCTTTATATACCAAGTACCTTTCAACACTTCTCATCAAAGCTCTTCGTTTCGTATGTCTATGCTCGCTAAGGCGTCTACGATTCGGGACCACAATTTTTCATCCACGTCTCGAGGTCTCGAGCTCGTGTCGATGACGCCAGTTTCTCGGGTAACTTCCGCCGCGTTGTATAACTTCATCAACGTTTTTGTCTCGGCTAAGACGACAAAGTGTAACGCCTGTCTCGAGTGCTCTAGTTTATTTCTCAAGTCGCGCTCTTTGATTTTCATCTTGTTCTCTTTCGCTTGCACGTCCACTTCGAGGCGAGCTCTCGTTTCGACTTCTTCGTTGACTTTGACTAACGCGTTGGCAGCATCCAACTCAGCCGCTTTCACGCGGTCTTCGCACCGCTCCAACTGTCTCTCTAAACTTTGCACTTGCATTTTCATCGCTCGGTTTTCTGAGATTGCCGCCGACTCTTTCCGCTTCAACGCCATCTCCGCGTCTGTTTTCGCGTTGCGAACGGCTCTCTCGGCTTGAAATTTCTCCTCTTCGGCTGATTTCAACGCCTCTCTCGCCGCTCTGTGCGTTTTTTCCAACATTTCCAAGTGTAAATCTGCCGCTTGTAACTTTTCTTCCGTGAATTCGTGCTCTCTTTTGAGTTTATCGAACGCATAAGATATGTTTTTGTTCTCATCGCGAAGCGCGTTGGCGTCTCGAATCTCCTTTTCGAGTTCTTTTTGGAGGGTCCATCGAGTAGCGTCTAATCGTTTCAATTCCTCCGAACGCTCGTACTCTTCTTGTTTCCGCTCGGCTTGTTCGTACCGTGTTTGCATTTCTGTCTTCACGCCACCTTGATGGTGATGTGTGTTCTCTTCGTCATGGTTGTAGCATCCATCGTCTTCTTCGTCTTCCTCGTCCAGCGGGTCGTTCAATAAAACCGATTGTTGTTTTCGCTGTTGTTGCTTCTTCGCAGCGACGTTCATAGACGAAGGGGAGGAAGAAGTAGAAGCATTCTTCGATCTCGCATTGGCCAACTCCAATCGCAAACTCGCAATCTTTTCCGTCTTACTCTTCAACTCATCCTCGAACGAACAAATCAACTCCGTCACGTCTTTTCGTTCGGCTTCCAGCTTTCTCTCCGCCTCGTCCGCTTTTCGTTCGGCTTCGTGCGTCGCCTTTGCCAACGCTTCTTTGAAATCAACTCTTTGTTTCATCGATGAATTCGACGCGATCGATCGTGCCTCGTCTAAAACGACCAGCTTCTTGTCCTCTAAAGCGCTGTACAACAAATCGTTCTCCTTCCTCTTGTTTTCTATTTGTTCGGTTAAATCTTCCACTTCGCTCGATAACTTTACGTTTTCCTCCTTTGTCCGTTCATTTTCCACTTTCAGTTTCGAACAACTCACGACAGCTTCCTCGTGCGCTTTCGACAACGCCACGCACCTCGCCTGCGTCGCTGCCAACTCCTTTGCCCCTCTTTCCGCTTCAATCAACGCCACGTCTCTCTCGCGCGACATCAACATTTCTCGGCCTTGACTCCTAGACAGCGACTGCTCCAAATCTTCCACGTGTAACGTTTTATTCTTCACCTCTTCCTCTAAATCCTCGAGTTCTCGCGTTTCTTTATTCCTCAACCGGTCGTTCTCAATCGTCAAACGTTGAATATCCTCTTTTGTTTCGTTCCGTATCGACGCCAATTTTTCATCCAAATTCGCAACCTCCTCGTCCGCCAACCTTCGCTCTCGCTCGATAACTCTCAGCTGTTTATACACTTTCTGCGCTTCCACTAAATCTTTCTGCAATCGATTGCTGTACGCGTCTTGTTCCTTGATGTGCTCGTTCGCGTCGATAAGCTTTGCCTGTTTGAAAGTGTGATTGAAAAGGAAAATCATCGTTTTAAAATGTCAATTTAAAGCGCTCATCACGTTTACGTCGTCGCGCGCGAAAGAAAGATTGAAAACAGTGACGAGTTCGAGAAGAAGAGGAAGACATTTGAGACGAAGAATTGTACGCACCTCGAGCGTGTCCACTCTCCTGTTTAATATCAGCACCTTATCCATCGCCGTCGCTTTAAAACGAGCACTGCTCGGAGAATTTCCTCCTCCGCACGATACTCCGTGTTCTTTGTTCCATTTTCTTCGCACCGTCATCGGTGAGTCTTTCTCTCGAACTCTTTGTTCGTCCTCTTCGTCGTCGTCGTTGATTTCCCCGAGCGGCGTTCGATGGTGATATCTTTTGTGAGAAAATGACGACGATATTTTTTTCTTCGCGAGGACAGTTGTGACTCCCCCTCGCGATGATTTCCTCATCTCTCTCTCTCTCTCTCTCTCTTTCGGTACCACGCGTCGCGGTGAATAATACTCTGTATTCTTTCTTGTAACGCGTAGTAATAGCCAGCAGTGTTCTTTTGTATCTAAAAATGAAGAGAGAGTTGAGAATTTTTCTTTCGTTTGTCTTCCCCCTTTTTTCATCCAAATGTGTTTGCATTGGACTTCCTTGAAAATGCAGAAAAACAAAAACAACTTTGAAAAGTTTTTCTTTTTACCGCAAAAACAGAAGAGATATGTGCAAGAAATAAAGACACCTAAAACCTCTTCGAAACGAGAGAGATATTTTTGAGAGGGAAAAGAGAGAGAGAGAGAGAACACACGCGCGCGCGGCAACGGGCCATTTTTATTAAAACGAAAAGAAGAAAAGAAAAACGATATGTGATATGATGAGGAGTAAAACGAATTTATAGCTGCAAAATGGATTCGACGAATTTCGATAAAATGTTTAACCGGAAAGCTGCGGAGTATTTGAACGCGAACGGAAAGAAGGACGATGATTTAATGGAACGAGAGGTGAGGATACCGGAACACATGTTACCCAAGAAAATCGTTTTGGATGATGATGATGCGAAGAAAGAAAAGAAGATGGTGGAGGAAAACGAGGAGGAGTTGGGAAAGACGATCCCGGAACAGATTCTAGAGGCGTACAAGAACCAAAATTACTTCAAAGCTTTAGCGGTTGCGGAACCGACGGCGGACGATATCGGCGACCCGATTTGGCCTGTCACCGTCGCGGAATTATCCAAAGCGTTTCGTAAGAGAAGTTTACTCACGCACCCGGATAAGAATCCGGGCGATAAGAAAGCTCGAGAGGCGTTCGATGTGTTGTCCGAGTGTCATCAAAAGTTGAAGAACGAAGAGACGAAACGAGAGGCGTTGAACGCGTTCGCGAAGAAGGCGTTCGAGAGGATGTGTGCGGACGATCCCGAGTTACGCGCGAGAGCGACGAAAATGAGGGAGAGAAAAGAGGCTGGAGATTTTCAGACGGAGATTAAGCGGCAAAGAGAGGAAGGGATGGAGAAGAGGAAAAGAAAGGAGGAGATGAAGATGAAGAGTAAAAACAGACGAGGCAAGGAAGAGGACGAAGACGAAGAGGCGAGGAAGAGGCGAGCGCTGTTAGAGGACGAAGAAGAAGAAGAAGAAAAGAAGAACGACGACGACGAGGACAAGAACGCGGTAGAGCGAGTCCAAGCTGCTTTGCTCAAGAAGAAGAAGAAGAAGAAGTCTTTCCTGTTTTGATTCGTTAGAGCGATAGAAAATAAAGCATAGCATAGTTTCTCGGTTTTTAAGAATAAAATCATAGTAGTAGTACACTTATTGAATAAAACTTAGCATCTTCTCCCGCCGCCCTCCAACACTAGACGAATCCAATCATTACTTCTCGTGCATCCCTTTCACTTTCGAATGCCCTCCAACACTAGACGAACATAATTATTACTTCTCGTGCATCCCTTTCACTTTCGAATACACGCTCTTATACATCTCCTCAAACTCCTTTTCGTCATCCTTCCCCATTTTCGTCGACCCTTTCACCGCTTTCGGTAACACTAACATCACACTCGTCGGTCGTTTCGTCATCCCAGCTGCGCCCAACTGCTCCTTCGAGTGCACGTACACGTATTGCACGCCCGCTTCTTCGCACAACATCGGCACGTGCGTGATGACATCGATTGGCGATATGTCCCCCGCGATGACGCACAATCCTTCTTTCGTCGTTTTGAGTTGCTTGACGACCTCTTTGACCCCTCGCCGGACTTGTTTGAATTTAGACGCTGTTTTTCAGTTATTGTTAAAAGAGGAGGAGTTTAATAAGAAGAGAAAGAAGTGTGTGAGTTATTGTTATTGTTGTTGTTATTGAGAGAGAGAGAGAGACAATTTTAGGAGGGAGAATTCAACAACGAATACTACCACCACCGAACAACGAGAAGAGAATGTGAAGAAGAAGAAGAAGAAGAAGAAGAACGAGAGAAACAAAACGACGGGGATGTCGTTCTTCTTCTTCTTCTGATATCACCACGCCGCTCTTATTCATTTGCTTACCTTTCTTGACAACTTTCAATAATTTCTTGGTCAATTTCCCATCGGCCAACGGCGAAGCAATCGCGCACACCGGATTCTGTTTTTCATCATCGTCCCCTTCTCCTCCTTTACTCGCGGACGACGGCACAGGCAACCCATCCCGATCGCGTTTCTTCGAAGACTTTGGGGTGTCTTTCTTCTCTTTCTTGGCTTTCTTCGCGCTCTTTTCGCCGCTTGAACCCATTTTTAATTTTGCTTGTGTTTGATGTGAGAGCCGCCAAATGAAGAAGAAAAAAAGAAGAAAAAAAAGTTGGTTGTGTGACTGACTGATGAGAAAAAAACGAGACTTGACTACTTTAACTGCTCTAATTATATATACTAGCAGTTATGCATTATTACATTCGACCAACCATGTTCCCTCTCCGATGTACCATGCGGACGACGCGTCTGGGAGGGATAAAGTCGCTTCGATTCAGATGGTGGTTTCCTCCTCGAGCGCTTCCACCGTGGTGGTATGAAAGACCGCCGCCGTCCCAATCGTCGAACTCGTTGTTTGGAAATCTTAGCATGAGCTCCTCTCTGCTCGGCATCACTCCGAGCGCTTTTCGCGCGCTGATTTCTCTTTGCATGCGGGAGACCACGCACGGGGCGCAACATAACGCCGTCGCTAAGTCGGTTTTATCGAATATCCCGAGTCGATGCTCTGCCACCGCGTTGGAGCTGTGGATGCACGAACCGGTGGCGAAGCATCCCATCGGGAAACATAAGTTATTCAGCAACAAATTTCCCATGGATATGCTCAACGCGGTCGGAAAACACTCGCCTTGCGCGGTATCTCTGGCGTATTCGCCGACGCCCCAAGGAACGCACAAGAAGTTCTTGAGAAAGTTCAGCGGGTCCAAAGCGCAATCGAACAAACCGGTCGAATAACTTTGCAACTCCACAAAGTTTCGAGAAGAAGATTGAGGCGATGCACTCGAGCTTGGATCTTCCAACAAAACCGAAACGTCTTGGTTTCCTTCGCTCTCCGCCAACGCTCTCGCGTAATCTCTCGTCGTCCTCTCGTGCCCTCCTCCTCCTCCTCCTCCTCGTTCGTACGCGTTGAAATCAATCGATCCGTCCGCTAAAACCGGCACACCGACCGCACAATTCTCGTTCTCTCCATCGCCGTCTTCCAAAACGTTCGGATAAATATGCCGCGTCGCGCTGATTGATGATGATGCGGTTTGGTTTTGGTGGTGGTCGCGACGAAGATTATGATGATCGTCTTCCTTCTTTTCTTCGTCGTCGTCTTCTTCTTCTCTTCGATGGGAAGTGCTCAACAAACCCGTACTTTCATCGTCATCATCGTCTTCTTCCTCTTCTTCTTCGTCTCGTTTTATCGAATTATACGCTTTGTCCTCCTCCTCGTTTGTATCCTCTGACTTCGTCTTCTTCTCGGCCTCGGCCTTGTCTTCTTCTTCTCGCATGAGCAATTTTTTATGAAGAAATGTAAGGGAAAAAGGTGCCTTCCTCGAAGGCGTGTGAGAAAAATTTTAAGTGAATACGAGAGGATAACAACACCGCGCGCGTCAATTTTACTCGCATAATATATATATTCTAAATATTCTATTCTAAAGACGACGAGGAATTTATCCCACCGGTGATTGTGGTGGTGGTTTCACGAGTGAGCCGTTGACTGGTTTCCCGTTTAACCACTCGCCTTCGAAGTATCCTCCTCGCGAGAACGAGAGCTTGCCTTTTCCGTCGGGTTTGCCTTGCGCGAACCTTCCTTCGTACCAATCGCCAGAGGCGAAGCGCATGATGCCAGAGCCTTCGGCTTTGGTTGTTTTTTCGAGGACTTCGCCTTCGTAGACGCACATGTTGGCGTATTCGACGCGAAGGATGGGTCGCGTGCGCGCTTCGCGGTCGGATTCGAGCACACCAAAGGCTCTCGAGCGTACTTTGGAGGAGGAGGAGGAAGAGGAGGAGGAGTCGTTTTTGCTCGAAAACGGACGCCAGCCGAGCAAGGAGAATTTGCTATTGCTATTGCTCTTTTCGTTTTGAGTATCGATGTCGTTGTCGTCGACGTCGGCTTTGTCGTAATCGTTGACGGAGTCTACCGCGCGATATCCGACGACGTTACCGCTCGCGTCTTCTTTCGGGCGCAACACTCGAACCGGCGTCAAGACGACGCTTCCCGTAAGTTCTCCAGGTACCGTAATGCGCGCCGCGTCGTTGTTGGCGGTGGTTACCGCGCTAGATTCTGTCGTCTTCTGCTTCTCTTCTGTATCGCTAGAGGGAGGAGGAGGAGGAGGAGGAGGAACTTCTAAGTCCTCGTCTTCCAAGACGACAAAGTTCTCGCTTTCCAAATCAAACTCTTCGTCCGTGGTTACGAACGGGTTGATTTCCGGCGCATCTTCCATCGTTCCGTCCTCGCTAATGTTTGCTAGCATGTCACCCGCTCGAAGCAACGACTCGTTGGATTCGTCGACAGACATTAATGCCTCGTCGAAGATGGAATCGACGGATTTTCCGTCCGAAGCGGTTTGAGGAGAAGAACGCTTTGGTGGCGGAGACGTGAATTTGTTTTCGTTGCTCTCGTCGACGAAATCATCCACCGAAGACCAATCCAAACGTTTCTTCCTCGGTTCTAAATTATTTATCATCTGCTCGGGTAAGTTTCTATCTTTGAGCTTTCTCAACGCAATCTGCGATTGACGCAACGTAAATCTTTCCGCGATGGTTTCAAAATTCGCCACGGCGTATAAGGAAATCTCGATGCATCCGACGGTATTTTCAGCCGGCGCTTTACATATAGTCACGCCGCATTTCAGCGGGTCCACGTACGCAGCTAAGCTGGAGGTTATAGATTTCCTCGCTAACGGTCCAAGCGTACCTCGAGGCGTGGAGATTTGGCACACGAGATGTACGCATTTCTCGCCGAGGGCTTGCGTCGGGTCGAGAAACGGCGAATCTTCCGCCGCTTCCTTCACCGCGGAAACAATCGCCGCAGAAATCTGTTCGTCTTCCGTGCCGTACGTTTTCAATTCCTCCACCGCACACCCGACGACGGCGATGCCACAACCCCCACTTGCACTTTTCGATAAGTTTTGGCTATTAATCTCTCGTAAAGTTTTCGAGGAAATGGCATCTTTAAACGCGTTTTGTTCGTCTAATATCCCACACCGTTCGTTTTCTCCGTTCACGCGCGCGTCCCAAAACGTCGAGTTTCGCCTCAAGTCTTTCGCGACGTTCAAGACGCTCCAACGACAAAAATCGTTCGCCAACGCCGATGCGGCTTCTAAAGTCATCGGTTCTCCTTCCAGCGCCTGCGCGTCTCTTTGCGAAACGACAACCACAGAATCCGCACCTTTCTTCCTCGAACACATATCCAAAAACGCCAACCCTTCGTCTCGTTTCCGTCGTCCTTCGAAATCGAAGGGTGCGACCGCGTGAATAGATACGGTACTCCCGCTCGGAGTTTCGACGCCGCCCCATATGCCCGGGAATCGAGTTTTTTTCTCGCTCGCGATGTTTTTCGATTTGAACAGCTCTTTCGCGAATAACATCCCCGCTTCTCCGCCAGCTTCTCCCGAAGAGCAGACGACGCATATGTGCACTTTCTCGTCCAACTCTTTTTGTTTCTCTTGTTTACTTTTCTTTTTATCGTCGTCGTCGTCTCCTCCCGAAGAGAAGGCTTCCAAACTCATGCTCTCCGCGGCGAACAACACCGACTGCGCGGCGCTCGTCGCGTTATCAATCACCGCCGATTGCGGAATATCGCTCGTCGCCGGCGGTAATCGCCATCTGTTCGTCGATTTTGTCCTCGTTAATATCCCAACATCCGACGATATCGACCAGAATTGTGCTTTCGGTAAGCAGGCGCCTTCTTGCAACTCGTCTATGATGGTCACGCCTCTCGTTCCTAATCCAACGACGATGATATTTTCGCCTTTGTTGTTTTTAGAAGACGACGACGAGGACGGTGATACTTTCTTAAGAGAAGAAGAGGAAGACGACGAGGAAGCGTTCGCGCGCAGCACTCCTCGACATCTCGCGCTTAAGCTCGTTGTCTTTTTCCTCGCGTTTTTGCTCGCGCTTGTCTTCGCGCGTTGACGATGAAAAACTCCTCGGCCTTCTCTGCAACTTCCCAAAGAAGGGCGATGGCTGTTCCTCATCTCTCGCGTACTACGACAAACGCGATTAATACTAAAAATCCCAACACCAACGTTTAAGGTCGTTTCAGCGCGTCGTTCGTTCCTTCTCGCTCTCTGTCTCTCTGTCTTTGTCTTTGCGCGTGAGAGTGAGAGCGATGCAGAGCGCGGGAGAGAGTAGTAGAAAAAGTTGAAATATGCTTTCGTTCGTGTAAAAATAATAATGAAGAGAGAGTCGTGTGTCGGAACAACCAAAATCTCTCTCTAGAAATTTCCCTCCTTTTGCCGCCAAATCTGACCACAAAAAAAAAATTATCCTCGCTCGCTCAATTCTCGTCAATTCATATTGTGCCTCATTCTCTCCGTTATCCTGTGCAAATTAGTATTAAACAAAAGAAGAAGCAGAACTGATGACGACGACGACGACGACGAGCAGCGTCAGCGTTTTGAGCAACAACCTCCTTCTCGCCAGACAACAACAACAACGACGGCGAAATGGTGTCATCATCACGAGGAGAAGGAAATGTAATTCCGGAGTGAGGATTCAATCTGCACTCTTCAGTGGTGGAGGACAAGGATTGAAGAAAACGCCCGAGCAAAAGAACAAACTGAAACGATTGGAAAAGTTAAACCCTGGTAATAACGAGCAAGAGGAGGAGTTCTGGCCGGAGGATTTGAAGCAGTTAAGAACGCCCATCATGGCGGGAAACTGGAAATGTAATCCGAAGACTTTGGAGGAGGCGAGGACGCTGGCCTCGTTAGTCGCCGCGAACACGGCGGAGGATAGGAGAGACGCAGATTTTTTCAACAACAACAACGAGAGAGGAGGAGGAGGAAGGAGTGGATTTAATCTCTTCAATAAGAGGAACTCTAATAATAACAGAGGAGGAGGAAGAGGAGATAATAAGAACGTGGAGGTTTTGATATGCCCGCCGGCGGCGTTTTTATCGGAAGTCTCTCAGTTGGTACGTTTCCTAATATATCGATTTTTTTCTTGCTCGGCTCGACGCAAAAGGTAACAGAGAAAAGGGCGAGAGTGAAGATACTAGTTCCATTGTTGAGAATTGAAGCCGGGAGTAATTACCTGCTGCTTTTGAAACGATACTTTTCATGTCATAGTTACTCTGACTCGCTTCTGCTGTAAATGTTCGGGAGAGAGAGAGAGAGAGAGAAAACAAACAGATACTGACCATATGACCTCTTCTTCTTCTTCTTCTTCTTCTTCTTCTTTTATACTATTACAGATTGAAGGCTCGGGTGTCTACCTCGGCGCGCAAAACGTGACGTTTGAGAACGGCGGCGCGTTTACCGGTGAAATGTCGTGCACGATGGCAGATTCTTTGGGCGTCACGCACGTTATTATCGGTCACAGCGAACGCCGTTCGCTCTATTACGAAACGGACGAGGACATTAACAAGAAAATTAAGAAAGTCATCGAGAATGACATGACGCCGGTGTTCTGCGTCGGCGAGACGAAAGAAGAGTACGAGAGAGGCGACGTGTACGACGTTTTATCGTGGCAATTAGCGGGTGGTTTAGACGGCGTATCGGCGAAAGATGTGGAAAATATGATCATCGCGTACGAGCCAGTTTGGGCGATCGGTACCGGGTTGACTGCCACGCCGGCCATCGCGCAAAGCGTACACAAACTAATTCGAAACTGGATTGCAGAAAAGTATTCCAAATCTGTCGCCGACAGGGTGCGCATTCAATACGGAGGGTCGGTCAAACCAGACTCAGTGGACGAGCTCATGCAATGCCCGGATATCGACGGGTGCCTTGTTGGGGGTGCGTCGTTATCCTCGGACGATTTCGCGCGCATCTGTTCGTTTCATCAAGGCACGAAGCCGGGAACGCCGCGCGTGTTGTACGCGGAAGAGTGCTTGGAAACGCAAATGGAACTTGGCGAATCTCCAGTTTGGTCGCAAAAAGACCAAAAGTTATACTGGGTGGATGCACCGAGAGGCACTTTGTACAGTTGGGACTTGCTCGAGGAGTTTCCGGACATGAAAGAATCCTTTGGGGAAACCTTAGGGTGCTGCGCTTTGATGTCTAACGGCGATTTGATTTTAGGCTTGGCCTCGGGATTGTACCAGTTTGACCCGAGAAGTAAAACGGTGAAAACGAGATTGACTGACTTCGAACCCGGTTTAAATACCAGACCAAACGATGGTCGCGTCGATCGCTCGGGTAATTTTATCATTGGTAGTTACAACAACGACCACCGCGTTGATGCGAGCGCCATCGGAGGTTTGTGGCGCTTAGACGCGAACAACAATCGACAGTTGGAAGAAGTCTTGGATTATAAACACAGATGTTCCAACTGCATTTGCTTCTCCCCGGACGGGCGCAAGATGTATTTTACGGATACTCCTCGACGCGAAGTCTTTGAGTTTGATTACGATCCAAACAGAGGGCCTTTGAATAGACGGTTGTTTTATTCGTTACCGTCAGATATGGCTGGTGGCCCTGACGGCGCGCAAGTTGACGCGGTTGGTAACTTGTGGATTGCCATTTCCGGCGCTGGAAAGTGCATTCGCGTCGATAAGAACACAAACATGGTCGATTTAGAGGTTCGTTTACCGGTCTCTTCGCCCACTTCGTTGACGTTCTGCGGGAACGATTGCAAAACCTTAGTCATCACGACGAGAAAGAAAGAGAACAGAAAAGACGCGGGGTCGTTATTCTCGGTGCGAATACCCGATATCGGAGGGTTACCAGAACCAGAGTATGGCAGCTCTCCAATTATCGATCGACTCGGGTTCCAACGAGGCGGAAGGAACGAATATAGCAACTACTCGAATAACAACAACAACAACCAAGACGCGTTTATGAGCAACGTCAATGGCTACGCCGCCAACGGCATCAACAACGTCGGCAGTAAGCTCAACGGCGTCAACGTTGAGCGACGATTCAATGCGAATAATACCGCCAACCAACACGAGTTGCACGAACCCGAATTTGTCCCGCGCATCAACACCGCCACCGCCGCTCGATCTTCAGTAGGCGTCGCCAAGTTTTGTGAACGGTGCGGCTGTCAATTTTCCAGCGCAGCTTCCAACTTTTGCAGCCAGTGTGGCACTCCGCGCGCTTCTTAGTTATTATTGTTATCAATATCATTTGAATATATCATTATTATCATCCTTGGTGGTTATGGGAACAAAGCGAAAACGATATCTTTACATTCTTATTAGTTGAAAAACACAAAAAATTGTCGATTGAAATCTCTTCTATTTTTGTCCTCCTTTTTGCTCTTCTTCTTCAAAACTTTTTATTTAAAGCAGAGACCCCCACTTTTGGAACACTCTGTCCTCGCGCTCTTTACTCTCGGAATACTCCCGCTGCCCTTTCTCTCTCGGGCGGGCGGTGAGAAAAAGAGGAGAAGGAAGGTATTGGTTCATTACTTTCAGACGAGCGAGTTTCGAGACGCGCGCAAAGCGGGGAACAGAAGGAGACAAAAAACACGATTTGAATTGTGCCGTTGAATTACGCATTGCTGCGCGCTCCTTCTCTGCTGTGTTATCGCCCACCTGAGAGTGTGGTGAATCGTTATTAATTTGTGCGTTGAGGACAGTGAGAGTGAGAGAGGTGCTCGATAAAAGTACAATCATCGCGCGGGGAGAATGAGCTCTTACCCGCGCGGCCAAGCGCCGGCGATGAATGATGACGACGAGGGCGACGATGATTGGTCCTCCTCCGCGGAGGGAAGACGAGAATCAGGGACGAGCGCGACCGCCGCAGAGGCGGCGAACGAAGATATCGAGCTCGCCGCCGACGGACAATCTCAACAACAACAACAACAACAACAACAAATACGGAAACGACTCCACACGAATGATGCCAGAGGGGCTTTTCATCGCACTGGATCGAGTTTAAATCCGGTACCGGAGGCCGGCATCGGTTCCTTCTTTACGAACATCGCCGAGCTGACGAAAGACGTGTTAGATATGCGCGATGCGTCGAATAAAACCGACGCGGAAACCACGAACACGGAGAGTTTTATAGTGTCCTTGTTTAAAAGTAAATCGCTGAAGGGAATGAAGGGCAGAGGGTCGACGGAGATGAGATATGCAGAGACGAAGAGGATCGGGGCGAGGCAGGAGGAGAAAAAACGAATGGAAAGGACGTGGGGTGAGCGAGTTATGGAAGGAGTGGAGGAAGAAGACCCGAAAGCCGGTATGCATAACAGTAATAGTAAGAATGATAGCTCAACATTGATGGGGGCGAGTTCCGGAAGAACCTTGAGTTCACGAATACGCGCAGAGTGCGATGAAAACAACGACACGAACTCGTTTTACGCGAGGAAGCAAGGCGTCTTCGTGCTTTCGCCGTTAGGGTCGTTCATGCGCAAATGGGATTTCCTCATCATATGCGCGTTGTTGTGGACAGCAGTGGTCACTCCAGCTGAAGTTGCATTTTCTAGACCGAATTTGAACGCGTTGTTCGTGTTGAATAGAATCGTCGATTTGTTCTTCATTACCGATCTTTTCATCAACTTTTTCTTGGCCGTTCCGGAACCTAAAACTGGACACATTATATACGATCGGAGATATATTGCAATTTCCTATCTCAGAAGCTGGTTCATTATCGATTTTCTATCCGTCATACCGACGGATTTGATTACGATAATGGTAGAGGATGCGTACCCGAACGCAAACATTGAAAATTTGACCGTCTTGAGGGCGTTGAGATTATTTCGATTAGCGAAACTTTTGCGCATTCTGCGAACGATGCGATTATTTAAGAGATTGGAAATGAGGTATACCATCGATTATTCCATGCTCGCATTGAGTAAGTTTGCGATTGTTACGGTCATTTTCGCGCATTGGATGGCGTGCGCGTTTGGATTCGTCCACGACCTCGGGGCAAGCGCTGGACACGATACGTGGATGATGAATACATATTTCGGTGATTTCACCGTAAACAACTCGTGTTACGATCCCACAGATCCTTTGGCATGCGTGCCTGGGTTTGATAAGTACATCGCTGCGCTGTATTGGAGTTCGATGACCATCACAACCATCGGTTACGGGGACATTTCGCCGAAAACAAACGAGGAGCGTATTTTTGTCATCATAGCGATGTTAGCTGGCGCATTTCAATACGGTTACGTCGTCGGTGCCGTTGGTAACGTCATTTCGACGAAGAATTCTCGAACGAGCGGGTTAAAGAACTCGTTGACGGATTTGAACGAGTTATTTGCGGATTTGCCGTTGACGCCGCAAGAGATGCGAGTGAAACTGAGAGAGTTCTTCAAGTACAAACACGGTGATGCGAAGTTAGACTTAGAAAGAACGACGGCGTTGATGTCAGAAATGTCACCGCGACTACGAGCAGAGCTCGTGGTTTTGCGAAACAATTGGATGAGAGACGTGAAATTCTTCCACGACTTTCCAGAGTCTTTGGTGTTGGCGTTGTCCTTGAAGATGAAACAGCAAACGTATCCGCCGAAAGAGTTGATTTTAGAAAAAGGAGATTACATGGACAACTTTTTGATGATTCGTAAAGGTGTGCTCGTCGCAAATGGTAGAATAATCACCGCTGGACAAGTTTTTGGTCAGGACTATGTGTTGGAACCTGGGCGATCGCCTCAGTTTCTGCAAACGATTACGTTTTCAGACGTCTACTCGCTTTCGTACCAAGACTTGGAAGAGGAAGTGAAGCACTATCCAGACGTACAAGTTATGCTGAAGAAGAAACGAATGCAAGCATTATTCAGAAGAGAAATGGTGGCGTATTCTAAAGCGTACAACGCTTTGATGTTATACGGCATAAAATCAGACGTGTATAAATGGTACGACGAACGTCCTCAATTTTACTTGAACAAGTTGAAAACAATAAATGGCGCCGACGGCGCGTTTTTGATTAATCCCGATTCTGAAGATGCGCAAAAACGCATGCGCGCGGTTTTACTCATCCAAAGTTGCTACCGTTCGAAGCAAACGAGGGAGAAGTTCAAAAACATTTCTGCGCGAGCGAGTGTGACTCCGGTGCTTTCCTCGACGTTGCGATTAACCAACCCTGATTTATACAGCTCGCACGCCATAGACATTTTGCACCACAGAACGCTGGCGTCGTTACGGATGTTGCATCATAAAATAGATTCTATCATGCCGTCACCCCCACCTACGAAAATGATGTCGAACGACCAAGTGAAAGTGAAATTGACGCAAGATTTTGAGGAGCAAAAAGGAGAGTTCTGGACGACACCAATGCCGAAAGAAACTTAGTATAACACGAATCATCGTCTAGAAGAACACGTACGAAAACAAACAGCAAAAAAGGAAGCACGCGTGGGCGAGCTTGCAGCGTTGATTCCTTTGTAATATTTAATAACAAACCATAACACAACCACATAAATAAATCTACTAATACAATCTAAAGCATACTAATGCAGGAGTCGTCGTCGTCGTCGTTCTCAAACCCGCTCCAAAGATTCAATCATCCGTTGCGCGCGTTCGTTTGTCAAACCGATTTCAGATTTCGTTTTCACGAACCTGTTCGCCCACGCGTGTCCTTTACTCACCACTTCCTTATCGTCCACGATGACAAACTTGGGATACTTCTCCTCCCCGACAAATCTCGCGTCTAAATAACTCTTAATTTCCTGAATTCTATTCGTAGACACGTGTAAATCGTGATGCACGGAATCCGCCAAGTGAGGCTTTCCCTCCGTCCTTCCAACCACCTCTATTTCCAAACAGTCGTGTCGCATAAAAATATATCCAATGTACTCTTCAAAGTGTCTCCAGTACGTCGTCAAAACGACTTCCGCCCCCGTTGACGCGCATATCTCGTTCAAAATCTCGACTTTATCTCTCTCCACGATGAGTTGAGGTGCCGTTGCCGTTCGGTTTAAAACGCCATCCACGTCTAAAAAAATTATCGGTCGCTTTTCCATCTTCGTTAAACTCTCGCTGAATGAAGACGCGTTGAAATTTCTCGTTTTTATTGTTTCTGTTCTTCTTCTTGTAGTTGTCGTTCTCGTTGTTGTTGCGCGTCTTCTTTTGTTGTTTCCGAGTGATACTACTAATGTCGGTGATGATGGTTGGTCAGACAGACACCGATGAGAGGAACTCATTCGTTTACGTTTACGTCGTCGTCTTTTTTTGTGTGTGTGTTTTTATGAGGACTTTGCGCACAAACTTTTCCCTAAATCGCTAGAAGAGAAAACGGCAACTACGCGCGCGTGATGTTGTTCTCGTCGTCGTTAAAAGAGTGGTGGCGAGGGTGGTGGCAGTCAAAGAAAAAGAAAGGAACAGAGCGCGGCGAAAAAAGAAGGAATCCACTGAGCGCGATTGCGTATTATCTCGTCGTTTTGATAGGGTACCTGTTGGCTTTGGATTTCTTCAGCGACTTATTAGGTGATGACATTAGTAAGAACAACAACATAAACATCAACAACAACAATCAAAAGAAGAAGAAGGAAGTAATAAAGCTTTTCTGGTTCACGCTGCACGCGATAGTTGGCATTATCTCGCACTTGCTCGTGCTAAAGTCCGATCCAGGAATAGTCACGGAGAAGAATCACAAGGTGTGTTATAAAATGTTCCCGTTCGATGATTTACTCTACGAGGAAGGCAAATCCTGTCGAACGCTGAATATCGACATCCCGGCGAGGAGCAAGTGGGACGCGGTGACCAATCGAAGAGTGTGTAAGTTTGATCATTACTGCGCGGTGGTGAACCAAGCGATTGGTTTGAGAAATTTGCGTTGGTTTTTGTTGTTCTTGATCGTGAACGGCGCGTTGTGCGTACACGGAGGTCTCGTCTGTTGGAACCGGGTGATGACGCGGATACCGAAGCATTGGCACTCGGTGAAAGAAAAAGATTTTTTCGGCCTGTTTTTGCCGGCGTTGATGTATCATCACACGCGAAGTATGTTCTCGATGTTTGTTTTATTTTCGGTTGGGTTTGGCGTTTTGGTTTTTGCCTTGTACCACATCTATTTAGTCTCGATGAACGTGACGACGAACGAGACGTATAAATACGCGCACATGCGACGAGTGAATAAAAGGTTGCCCAAGAGCGAACGAGTGGACGTGGTGAACATTTGGAACCGCGGAATAGTTTTGAACGTGAAGGAAGTTTTATTCCCAATGCGCGTGTATTAGTTTTGATCGTTTTTAGACAGATTAGATTTATTAGGCGCGATAGATAGTTTTTATAAATTGCTGCGAAATTAGTAAAATAACTTACAAACGCGCGTTGCTATTCTTTTCCATCAACCGTTCGTCGAAGAATTTCTTCACTTTCTCGCCTAACTCGTTCGATGGAAACACTTTCGGTATCACGTGCCCTTTTTCGTGTTCGACTAACACCGCCTTCTCGCCAAACTCTTTATGCATTAACTTTGTCAGCATCGGGGGTATCGCCCGGTCTTGTTGGCCGACTACGTGCAAAGTCGGGATAGACGCACCTATTGTTTTCTCGATACTGTTACTATTACTATTATTACCACGCATTTGTTCCCTCAATTTCTCGTCCGCTCTGCTCGGCATGCCTGATATCAACACCGCGAATCGTAAACTCTTCATCCGCATCGCTTCCTCTTCTCCTTCCGGGGCGTCTGCGGTATCGGACGAAGACCTTTTCAACATCTCCCCAATTAACGTCGCGCCTTGACTAAATCCTAACAACCCATCGATTCCTTCTCGCTGCACAATCTCGTCCACGAATTTCGCGGACTCTTCGATCCCTCTGTATTCCATCTTCCCCGTGTCCGCGTTTCGTTCCGCGTCGTACCACTGAAAACTGCCCATGTTTGGAAACGCTGATTTCACATCTTCCGGAGGTTCTCCCGTTGCTTTAAATATCCCGTTTATTGCGATAAACTCCGCGGAATCCTGTAAATGTTTATCCCACCCGCCCATGGCGAGTTGTAACTTCACGATATCCGCGGACGTTCGGAACGAGTGAAGACACAAAACTTTCAATTTCTTATTATTAGTGTTGTTGTAAGAAGTCCCCGTCGTCGTCTGAATCGTCGGATTAGTATTATTACTCGTAGTATTCTCACACGACGCGACGACGTCCGGTAAGCTCGACCAGGACGTTCTCGGTAACGAACGCATTACTCTCTAACTCTCTTTCTGTGTATATAGTGTATATAAATAGAGTATAAAGTGAATAAAAAGGGTGTCTGATCCCTCTTTGTTCTGATGTGATTTTATGCGTTTTTTCCCTAAAAGGTCTGTCTTTAAAAACAACAGTCCTCTTCACTTTATATTCGCATACATGCTAAACTCGACGAACACGACGAATACGAAGACTATTAGTAAAAACAACGCATTAGCAGGAAGATCTAGAGGACTTTTCGCACTTTTCTTGACCGTTTCCTTGGTCTCGTCCGGGATATACTACGTCCACTGGGAGCAAAAAGACGAGAAAGAAAAGTTACGCGAAGGCGTTCGAAGGGACAAGATTCGATTGGAAAAGAAACTGTTAGAACAACAACAACGAGAACAAGAGAAGAAGAAGTAGTGAACGAAGATGTCGTCGGTGAGACAACGAACAAGCAGTCCAAACGCTGCTCAGAGAAGGAAGGCGACGACGAACGACGACGAGAAAGAGTTCGTCATCCCTCGAGAAATACTCGAAGTTATTGAAAAAAATCGCACCAGAGATGTTCTTAAAATGACTGCGTTTTGTTTACTCCCGACCTCAATAATTATTTTCGCGAAAGGGTTCGTGAGCGAAGATATGAGTGGAGTGAGTGTATATAACATGGATCAAGGCGCGCTGAAAATCTTACTTTTAGCTGCGTTCACGTCCGTGTTGGCGTACGCGACAACCGCGCGTTTAATACCAATCGTCGCTCGACGCACGCTCGGGAAGCGAAACATGTTTGGTTTAGATATTAACAAAAAAGGAACGAAAATGGGCGAGATTGCTATTCCAGAGGCGTTGGGTTTAGCGAGTGGGTGTGCGGTGCTTGTGTCCTTGGTTATCGGGAGGACTTTACACACGGCGTTCATTTTGGACAACAGCGGAGAGAGCGAACACAACGCAGCGTTGGCGACGATTGGGTTCATGTTGTTTCTTGGATTCGTAGACGACGTGTTAGATTTGCCGTGGAGAGCGAAGATGATTTTACCCGGGTTTGCCGCGACGATGTTGGCGCAAAGTTACCAAGGATCGACGTCTATCGTCGTCCCTCGCATGTTTCGCGAAAATATGCGTTCGGTTTTAGGCGCGCTCGATTCGGTCCCTATTGTGCGGGATATCGTAACGATGAAAGTGGACATGAAGAGTGGATTGATGGACGTTGGGTACATTTATATCGCGTTTATCTGGTTGCTCGCAGTTTTTTTATCGAATGCGATTAACATCCACGCCGGTTTGAATGGATTAGAGTGCGGCCAATCGTTAGTCATCGCCGGCGGGATTATCGTTCTGAACGTTTGGAGTCTTTTGACAGATCCAACGTCGAATGTAGTCGTTGGACCGCACGTATTTTCGTTGTTGTTAATCGCGCCTTTCTTTGCTGCCACGGTGAGTTTGTTGGAGCAAAACTGGTACCCGAGCGCGGTGTTTGTGGGCGATTCGTACACGTACTTCGCCGGGATGACTTTAGCCGTGGCTGGCATTTTAGGCCACTTCTCCGAAACGTTGCTGTTGTTTTGTTTACCCCAAGTGGTGAATTTTTTGTACTCTATTCCGCAATTGTTTAAAATTGTGCCGTGTCCTCGACACCGATTACCGAGGTTTGAGACGCAAACCGGTTTATTGAGTCCGTCCAAGGCGACGGAGACGCGATACAACATGAATCTGGTGACGTTGTTTTTACGCGTTTTCGGGAAAACTACGGAAAGGAAATTGTGTTTGCGATTGTTAGCATTTCAAGTCGCGTGTGTAGTATTTACGTTCGCGGCGAGATACGTGTTCATCGCTTTCGTCCATTGGAAATAATTCTAATAACTAATAACTATAATAACTACCATAATACTACTAGTAATATTTTTGCGACATCATCGTCGTTGCTACGCCGCAGTCGGTTATTCGCGCTCAATGAATTAGCTAAAAATAATACGCCGCTTCCTTACTCTCTTTATCTATTTTTTACTCGGTAACTTTGCGGCTCTGATGTCGTGCAGCTCCTTTGCCAAAGATTCCGCGCGGATTTTTTCTTTCGCGCAGTTGTTGTTGTCTCCATCGCCACCACTTGTGACGTAAGTGCTCATAATCTCAATCCGCTCCTTTGGCATGACGAAGATCCCGCTTTTCGTCGTCTCCAGCTTTTGTAACTCGTCCAACACTTCAAATCCACTAATCAACTCCCCAAATTGGCAATATTGCCCGTCTAAATGCGGCGCGTCGCCTAATAAAATCGAAAACGACGTCGTCCCGCTGTCTGGATCGTTGAACCGTGCCATCGAAAGCGTTCCTTTCCTGTGTTTGATGGTTTGCCCGACGTGCTCGCCTCGTATTTTCTTCCTCGCGTGTTCGTTCTGCTCGAAAGTCAAACCAACTCTTCGACTCGTCATGCAATCCGCGATTTGCGCGACAAAGTTTTTATCCACTCGAAACACGTGATTGGTGTCGTACAAGCCGAGTTTAAACGCTTTCAATATGTGGTCCGCCGTGTTTGAAGCTTCGTCTTTATAAAATCCGAGCTCTACGTTCCCGTAGGACAGTTGCATCGTGACGGTTTCTTTTCTGAGTTCTCTTTGAGGCGTTTGCACGTCGCCGTCGACAAAAACAAAAGACGAAAAGAAGAACAATAACGAAAAGAAGAACAAGCGCGTCGTCATCGTCGCAAACAAAGAGCAGCTTAAAGTGTGCTTAAAAATATACACGACATAACATCATCATCAAAATCATCATTTTGTGCAGCAGAGAGTCCCGAGAAAAATGAGGCGAGAAGCAGATGTTTCGTTTTTTTCGAAAGAAACGCAAAAAACGAGAAAAAAAGATCGACGCGAAAAAAGAAGCTTCACGAGAGGAATGCTTCTTCATTCGTAAAGAAAAATTACACACACACAACACACTTGCTGCGTTTAATACTCTACTATATAAGTAAACGCGCACAACTTACGACTGCTTTTCTGCCGCTATTTTTGCGCGATACGTTACGGTGTTCGCACGAATCTGCGTTTTTGAGGCGTTTTATTCGTTCGCGATATATACTACTCTCTGTACTGATTCTTCTTCTCGAAGAAGGCGCGCAATTTTGGCAAAAATCAAGCGGTGTCGTGTGACGGACAATTATTAAGAGAGAAGAAAAAAAGAACGATGAGTTTTCGAGGCGATGGAGACGTCATGGTGGACGCGTTAATCAAAGCGTCCGAAGATCAAAAGTGCGCATCCGCGGCACCTTTACCTGGGGCGGGGAGAGATTTAGTGCCTTTTGACTTCGAGGCGCATAATCAAAACACGACGAGTAATTATAACAGTTCGACGCCTTTGTTAGTAGGAGTAGATCCGAGGCTGCGAGCGCACCAGGTGTGCGCGCCGCAGGTGCCGACGGGAGGGCACGCGGCGGCGGCGGCGAAACTCTCCAACTCGGCGCCGTTAGAAACGACCACGAATAACGGACACCACACGAAAGGAAACAACAACAACAAAGGAAAGAGCAACAAGAACAACAACAACAATAGCACCAGAAACGATTATAACGAGCCGAAATACGCAGGCGCGAGTTTCACAAACTCGCCCGATCCAGATGTCGTGCCGTTGCCGAGCTTTTTGAAAACGATACCGGGAGCCCAAGCGGCGATGGCGAGAAGAAATTCTTCGCAGAACTCGTTGTCGTCCTCGGCGGGGAGTTCTCCGCCGACGACGACGGCGAGCGCGAACAGCTTGATGCAGAATTTACTCTCCCGCTCGCCGCCTCCACAACAACATCAGCGGCCGCCGATGAGTGGCCAAGCTTTACTTGGAAGTTTGCTCGGTGGCGGCATGCCCACGCCGCCGCAACACCATCAACATCAAGCACCGACACCGACAAAAAGCGTATTGAACGATCTGTTCGGCGGCGATAGAAATGGAGGAGGGAACGGGGGAATACAACTCCAACCGTACAGAGGTCCAGACGGATCGCAACAATACCCCAACATTCCGGAACCTGCGAATCATGATTTTCAAATGATGATGGCAAAACTTTCCGGTTCGCATCGGTAATGGATAATTGAAGAAGAAACCACGCGAAGCGTAAAGTCAAAACGAGTTTTTTTAACCCGGCTCGATTTGAAGTCTTCGGTGGATGCTGCTGTACCAACATAGAGATTATTTTTAGGCAAACAGAAAGAGCTATACATTTGCGGTGTTGTTCTTTTTCTCTCTCTCTCTCTTCGAACGCCGCGCCGCCGCGAGATATATTATGTATAACGTATACAACAACGGAGAGAGAAAGAGATGAGGAACAATCAACCCATAGATAGCCAAACATTGGTTCGCGACGCGATTGACTCTGCGGCGTTTTTTTACAGTCGTATGCAGTCATTAGCAACCGTTTACGACCGCGACATCAATTCAAAAAAACACGTTTAATGACTTCTTCTTTCTTCGAGAAGAACGAAGACGAAGTAAACTACAACACAAAAAAACATGCTACGCGCGCGGGAAGAGCGCGCGTAGGAAGAAAGTGAGATGAATGCGCTTCTTATGGCGCTCTCAGCACTCTCTCCTGAAACACATCAAGAACGCAGGTCGATTCCGTCGAATCTACGTATACTACGCAACACACACACACACACACACACACACACACGCATCAGAAAGACAAAAGTTATATACCTAGTTGTAATATTTTAACTAATAACACTCTCTTTTGTGTAATTCTTAAACTCTCTCTGAGTCTTCTTTCCTTCACTTTTTACCTGTACCTCAACAACAACAATAAAATGGCAACGACTACTCCTAAAGACTTCACGCACCTTTCCGCTGCATCGATCCAAACGATCGCGGAGGCGTTCGGGTTCGTTATTTCCGACGACGTCGCCAAAGCGTTCGCGCCAGACGTCGAGTATCGCTTGAGAGATATCATTCAAGAGGCGTTGAAATGTACGAAACGATCGAGACGAAATGTGTTAACGACAGAGGTATGCTTCTTTATGTTTCTCTCTCTCTCTTTCTCACGCGCGCGTTTTTGTCGAATATAGTCGAATATATTTTGTGTTCAACTCTCGATGACGACGATGGTTATAACGCTTCCGTCGTTCGTCCAAAAAGAAATACTCACACACATTCCTTTCTCTCTTTCCAATTCAAATCTCTTACTCTCTTTTGTGTAAACAGGACATAAACGCAGCGTTACGCATACGAATGTGCGAACCATTATACGGCTTCCCATCGAACATGCCATCGCAAGAGTTCGTCAAAGTGAAAGGCACGAACGATGTTTTTTACACCTACGACGAAGAGTTGGACGTGAATAAACTCTTGTCGGAACCGTTACCACCGCCTTCGATCGCCATCAACGTCGTTCCGCACTGGTTAGCCATCGACGGGGTGCAACCGTTGATTCCGGAAAATCCGAGCTTGGATTCGCAAATATATTATCAAGAGCGAGCGAAAGAAAGAGAGGAGACGTTGGCAAAAGCGAAAGCGAAGAAACCGACGGTAACTGGACCACCGCCGCTGCCGAGTGCCACGGAAGGAGGAGAGAAAGGAGGCGATGAAGCAGGAGAGAAGAAGGAGGGCGACGCGCAGCAACATTTGCAACAGCAACAACAAAAAGAGCAAGGGAAATTCGCGCCGGTCGTGCAACACGTCTTATCGAGAGAATTGCAAGTGTACTTCGATAGAATTACGGCTTTGTTGAGAGGCGGTGGAGGGGCGAACGACGAAGAGCGAGGCTTGTTGAACGCGGCGATTGGAACTTTACAAACCGACGCCGGGTTGGCGAATTTGATTCCGTACTTTGCCAAGTTTATAAGCACGGAAGTTCAAACGAATTTAAGAAACTTGCGCAAACTTCTGGCGATGATGCGCGCGATCGAGGCGTTGGTGCAAAACCCAACCGCGAATTTAGAGTTGTACTTACACCAACTGATGCCTTCCGTGCTGACGTGCATCGTAGCGAAGCGATTATCAGAAAATCCGGAGAAGGATAATCACTGGCAGTTGCGAGTGTTGGCGTCGAAAACGGTCGCGGAAATTTGCGAGTGTTACGGTGAGGAGTACGCGACGTTACAACCTCGAGTGACGGCAACTTTACAGAAGGGTTTGAAGGCGACGCAATCGCCGTTACCGACTATTTTCGGCGCTTTAGTCGGTTTGAGTTCGTTAGGCCCGCGAGTGATTGAAACGGTCGTTTGCCCTGAACTCGATCGCATCGTCCAACGCGCGGAGGATATCCTTAGCAATACGGAAAAAAGTATCTTAGCCCTAGGAAATAAAAACGAGCAAAACTTAACCGAGGAGGAGAGAACGAGTCGAGAAGAGAAGATGTACGAACGCTTGTGCGCGGAGAAAGTATTGGAAGCCGTGGAGTTAGCGACGGACGTGTTGCACGAGAGAGAATTGGCCGACCAAAGAGAAGAGGCGAAACGAAGCGCGTTGCAGAACAGAGTCGAGAGAATGTTGGCACGAGTGCGAGAGACGAAACGTGCCGAGGCGGAACAGGCGACGCGGAGACCATCTGCGGGTGCGTTGCCGCCGATCATCAAAGAGGCGTTGAAAGACGAGGCGAAAGAGACGACGAAAAGAATGTTGGAGGCTGCGGTGAAAAAGGAAGAAGAAGAAGAAAAAGAAGAAGACATACAAGAAGGAGAACCAGTGTTAGAGAAGGCGACGAAAGCGCGCGGTGCGAAATCTTCAACCGCGGCGGAGAAAAAGAAAAAAGAAGCGGAAGAAGATAAAAAGAAAGCCGAAGCCGAAGCCGCGACGGCGGCTTCGAAGAAACGTAAAGCAAAGTCGAAATCGCCGACGCCGCCGCCGCCTAAAGCGGGTGGTCGATCGTCCAGAAGAGCCGTCTCGAAACCTCCGGAAGAGGAAGTGAAACCGCCGCCGGCGAAAAGATCTCGCAGAGGAGGTCGATGATAGTTTAGTTGTTCTCTTTTGTATTTGAAAATAGTCATATTCCACACAATAAAAGAACCAACGCTTTTGACAAAATCATAAAAATCATCTCTCAAGCACCTTTAGAAGAAAGAGAGAGAGAGAGAGATTTTATCGTAAAAGAAGATGAAGGTTTCGACATCGCTCAGTAACGATCATCTTTTCTTTACTTCGGGGTTTGTGATGAGAAGCAATAATACTAGCATTCATTTTGACCGAAGAAGCGAGACTCATGGAAAAGGATTTTGGGGAACGAGGACACCCCTAAGAGCAAAAAAAACGGTATCGAACGAAGAAGAAGACGACAGCATCTACGGCGTGGACGTGGAAGATTTGGTCGTCAAATACGCAAATAATACTTCCTCGTTTGAGGATGCAGAGAATAATGCCGCGTTGCGAGGGGTCACGCTTAAAATCCCTCGCGGTGCGTTGTTCATGATTCTTGGACCGAACGGGTCTGGCAAGAGCACTTTATTGAGAACGTTGGCCGGATTGACGAATACGGAAGAAATTAAGAGCGGGTATGCGCGAGTGAACGAACCGAGAGCGTTTGTGTTTCAAAATCCAGATCATCAAGTTATTATGCCCACGGTCGCGCACGATGTCGCGTTTGGTTTAAGACGGAAACAAAATAAGAGAGGAGGAACGTCGTCGTCGCCTCGGTTATCGAACGAAGAGATTGAAAAGAAAGTGAGAGAGACGTTGAAGATGGTGAACATGTTGAAGGTTGATTTAGACAACGAAGAGGACGATGAAAATGAAGACGTCGATGATAGCAATGAAAGGTACGAGAACGCGTTGAATAGACAAGTTTCCACCTTATCCGGAGGACAAAAACAAAGAGTCGCCATCGCCGGCGCGTTGGTCGAGGACCCAAAGACGTTGTTGTTAGATGAGTTGACGACTTTTTTGGACGAAGCTGATCAACGAAGCGTATTGAAAGCAGTCAAGAACGTTTTGAAAACGAGCAATGAAAAAGGAAAGGATGCAAAGGATAAAGTGACCGCGGTGTGGGTGACGCACAGATTGGAGGAGTTGAAAGAGGCGGATTTGGCGGCGTACATCGAGAACGGGCAGGTTGTCGCGTTCGGAGGGCCGGATGTTATTCAAAAGTGCATCGCGGAGAAGCAAGCGAACCGAAGACGAGAAGAGGCTAGAATACGGCGTGGTAATATTAGCAGTTAGAGATGTAGTTCTTAGTTTTATAGAGTAGTAGCTTTATCATAGAGAAGTATTTATTCTGTCCAAAGAGTATCGTATCGTATCGTTTCGAAGAAATGAAAGTCTTCTTCATCTCAGTCGTCGTTGTCCTCCTCATCAATTTCCACCCGTCGTCGTTTCTCGAAAGATCCGTCGCTTCTTTCTCCCTCTTCCTCTCTCTTCGCACGTCTCTCGTCGATGCACCGAAACACCTCCACGCGAAAATTGCACTCCGTGAGATCCTTGAAAAAACCGTTACCCGTATCGCGGCCGAATCCAACGGCTTTTAACTTCCGTTTGCCTTTTCTCGGCACGGCACTCATCCACGCCTCCAGTAATGAAGATGAAGACCTTTTCTCCTCACAAGCGACAACGGGAGGAAGTTTCGCGACGATTTCCCACCTTTGATCTCGCTGCTCGAGTTCTTCGTCTTCGCACTGCAAAGACGACTCTGAGTCGTCTGAAGTCAAAAACTCGTCCTCTTTTTCTTCTTCTTCTTCTTTGTCTTCTTCTTCTTCTTCACATTCATCCTCGAAAGTTGGCGTTATCACGCTCTCTTCTCCCTCTTCTGCTCTTTCTTTAGCTTCGTACTCAATATTCTCGACGAGTACCGCGCACCAGCGCGTCTTCTTCTTCTGTGTCCTCTGTGTATTTTTTCTCGTTCTCGAACTCAAAACGAACAACGAAACGACGAAGAGAAAAAACAAACTCTCTGCGAGGAGTTTGTTCTTCTCGTTATGCGAAACAAAATCGAGGGAGGAACTTCGTCTTTTAACACGTGGTCTCGCGATTACCACGCCGCCTTTTCCGCCTTCAAAGCCGAAAGGATGAAGGGTTGAGAAGAGCGCCTGGGATAAGAGTTTTGAGAGGAGGACAAAACCAGTACTCGTAGAGATGATGTTCATTTTTTTTGACGAAAAAGGACAGTTGTTTTGTTGTTGTTGTTTAAAATGTGTTTCTCTTCATTTTTATCACACGCATCTAATGCCACTAATACAGGCGGTTTGACTCAACAAGTTCGCGTTGACCAACTCAGAACTCATGAGCGGGTTGTGCCACTTCAACTCACCCAACGGTTTCATCAAAGCGTTCCTCCAGACTTTCGAGGCGAGGACGCGCAAAAGCGTACGCTCGGCTTCGGCGTTGTGTCGAGCGTCCCAACCTCGAAAATGGTCGTCTTTGAAATACTCTAAATCTTTCATGTCTTCTTTGTTCATGGTGCCGACGCCGATGCCGTAGACGTCGACGGATTCGCATTCGGTTAACGCTAAGACTAAACAGTATAAACCAGTCGTCGGGACGCCGTTTTCTTCGCCGACGCCTTCTTGTAAGGTGTAGAGTAACTCCTCGGCGAGTTTTTGGACGGAAGGTTTCATGTTTCTGATTTTCTTGTCTTTGGTGCGTTCGATGCACAAACCGCCTTGGGAGCGTTCAATGCACGGTTTCTCCGAGTCGCCGGTTTTCGCGTCTTTTCCCGGGACGTCGCCGACGACTAACACTCGTTCCGGTATGTTGCCGTTATCGGTGACCCATCGCCCGTGACTCGTACCGCCGCCGCCGCTAAAACTACTACTACTGCTGCTGCTTCTATACCCTCCGATCCCATCCATCTTCTTCTCCATATCCGATAACTCTTTCCTTAAACCTCTCCTCATCTTCTCTGGATTGACGCACATGGTGTGCGTGTTCGCCCCGACGTCCACTTCAAACATCTTCAAAGGCGCAAAATTCATGCGATAAATAGCTTGCGCGCGTTCAATCTCAACACCTAACTTGGCGTTGCGCATGGACGAGTCGTTCCCGATCACCGAACATTTTTTAAACTTACGATACTCCCTCGCTTCCACGTCGTGAATTAAAGTGTCCCGTAAAGTCTTCGGTATAATTCTCGGTCGCGCGAGCGTTCCCACGTCTTCGCCGTTGTTGTTGTTCATAAAATTATTCTCCCCAGCGTTGTCGTTCGTCAACTCGCTCAGACTTTGTCCAGAGCTGTGCATCAGATTCTTATTCTGTTCTCGTTCCATTTTATATTTCAACGTCCCAGACGCTCTCTCTTTCTCCATTTGCAATCGCAAGAACTCATCGTTGTTGTTGTTGTTGCTGTTTGAAGAAGTTCTTCCTCTTCCTCTTCCACCGAAGACGTGATTAAACGACGACAAACTCGCAAGAATCGCGTCCGCATTCAAAACGTTTTTCCCGTGCGAGTGTAACTGTGATTCGTTTCTGATTGAACTTTGTTTCGGTACGAACGCGTTTATGAACAGAACTGTCGCGAAAAACCAGCACAAAACGAGCACGCGTTGACGACGCAAACGTCTAGAAGAGATCTTTTGTGTTTGCAGAGAGAGAGAAGAGGACAAAGGGCTTCGAAGCCCCACCATTAGTATCAGTGAGATGTTGTGTTAATATTCTTGTGTGGTTGGTTTTACTATTATTCAAAAGAGAGAAAAATGGCGTTTGAAGACACTTAAATCCACCTACAAAATGGTGCTTATCGTCCGTACAAAATAAAAAAGGGAGAGATTAGGGGAATCCATCATCACAAGAGGAGATGTGAATAGTACCTAACAACAACATAAAGATGCAAAAACTGTTTCAACGATACCGGGAACAACAACAGAGTTTGGAATCACACGCTTCGACGAGGATCAAAGACGTATTAAAAGAGATTCAAAAGGAAGAAGAATTTGGAGACGAGGAGGAGGAGGATGTTTTGGAGGCGATTTTACTCGACCACGTGGCGTTTCGAACGTTTAAAGGGTTACATCACGACGGGGACGAGAAACATCATCAATTTGTGAACGTGAAACAAATGCTGATGGAAAAACTTCGCTATCGCGAAAGCGGAGAGACTTTGGTATTTCCAAAGAAGAAACTGAAAGCGACGTGGTTGAAACCACCGACGCCGCTGATGCCGCGAGTGTTTTTGAGCGAAATTGATATCGAGGCTTTCGAGGACGAGCGGATGTCGGCTATCGTTCGGAAAGCGATATCGTCGAGAGAAGGAGGAAAAGGAAAAGGCGCGGTCTTGGAGGATGATTTTTGGGAGCAAAAACGGGACAGGTTTTCTTTGTGTGAGAACGTATCGAAGGACGAGTACGAGTACATCGCCGAGAAGAGCGAATATGCAGCTTGGTTGCTAATAAACGGGCCGGAATTTGTGAACCATTTCGCGTTGGCGATGCATCGATGTCGCTCGGAGGCGTTTCGCGTTTCATCCGGAGAGGAGATGTCGAGAAAAATAGTCGAGAGGATTGCAAAGATTGCGAAACTGAACGGAGAAGAGGAGAATAGAGTGATGAATGTATCCGAGGATAGGAAACTGTGGCAGTTTTCGACGGTATCAGATGAATTAATAGCGGTAAATGGAACGGGTGAAAAACTGAAAGGCTGCGGCGCGTACATCGAATTCGCCTATCGAGAGTACATTTCGACGGGTGAAGGCATTGAAATAGAGAGTAGGAAAAACTTAGAAGAGGACGAATCAAAAAGACGAGATGGATTTGAAGTCGCCAACGCGGATGCCATCTTCGAAAGCACAAAGGTGTAATGCTGAAAATAAGAACAACAGCTGTAAATGAAGCGCTTTATTTTTATTACAAAATTAACCATCTTCCCCCGCTCTCTCTCTCACTTCTTCATTTTGCTGGCCAAGTTGCCTAACAAAGTGAAAAATCGATACCGCTTACTCTTCTTCCACGGTTGCGCCTCAGGAAACGGCAAGCCGGCACCAACCGCGTAAAATAACCCAAACACCCCACCGAGACCGCCGGTATTACCTAACGTTCTGTCCATCACGACGCCAACTGTAATCTTCGTCACCTCGCCTTTCTCGTTGAACGTCAGCGACAACGCTTGCGGCGGACACTCGACTTTCTTCCCTGTCGGTTGAATGTTCCCCGCCAAAACCCCTGTGTGCGTCCCAACCGTTCTATTCTGAAACCACACCCGGTTCGTTTCAAACGGATCGACTCTGAAATGATGAAACTGCGACTTCATGTCTGGGAAACCTTCCGCGAGCTCAAAACCAGCCACGGCGTTCACAAAAGTCTCTTTGGATAACGGACCGACAACAGGGCCGATGAATTCGAAATCTTCGCTTAAATCGATATTGGCGAACCCTTTTCGCAAGTTCTCTTTCGTGAGTTCAATGAGCTCGTTCGGTTTAATCGGGAACGTCGATTCGCTCAACATCTTTTCCTCGTCCACGACGTCGTACAACGATGGATTCGGGTGCGCCGCTGCTCGCACGATGCGATGATTAGTCGAAGCAACAGAAGAAGAAGATGATGAAGAAGCAAACGAGCTCGGTAAAACGGATTGCAACGCGGAACGGATCATCATCTTGCTGCGTTTCAGTGAATGCGTATATGTGCGTGTGTGTGTGCGTGTATATGAGTGTATCAAGTATCAACTCCTTTTGGATTAGTTGTGACGTCGATTCGACTTTTTTGCAGGCGGTAAAAAGTGCTCAGATTTTCAAAACTATCGTCGCTCGTCAGATTTTCAAAACTATCATCGCTCGTTACGGGTGTCCTTTTCGCTCCTACGATTGGTCCGTCTCGTGACTTTCCTCTGCCAAAACCACGCTCTCAGTTTGAAATACACACCTGGCTCACTTCGCCTGTGACTGTCTTTTCTCAAGTAATTCTCGACGACGCCGGGGAAAGGGACGTTCTCTCCCAACGCTCGAAAGATGCCCATTACACCGCTGTATCCGTGCGTATTCCCGCACGATCTATCCGCCACGAACTGCGTGTATTTCGAAACCTTTCCTTCCTCGGTGAACGTTAATGAAACGATTTGTGGTGGTAAGTCTAATTGCTTATACGTGGGCTTAATTTTGTTCATCAACATCCCCGTGTGCGTGCCTTGCCATCTCGCGTTGAACCACACGCGGTTAAATTCCATCGGATCGACTCGATACCCAAACGTATTCATTTTCCGATCCGGAAACGCATCGGTCAAATTCATTTTCAAATACTCAATAAAGCTCTTCTTATTGATTGGGCCGACGGCGAACGACCAGTATTGAAAATCTTCCGACAGTGCAGGCCCGCATTTTAAGTGCGCTTCAGGGCACAACAGGTTGTCGTTGAGTACGCGTTTCGTTAACGCGATTAAATCATCCGGTTTAATTGGAAACGGCGACTGTTTCAGCAGCGTTTCTTCGTCCAGTTCGTCTAACGATCCTTGTCCGTGGAAATATGTTATTCTCCCACCGTTGTGCGGTTGGGTTTCTGTCGTCGTCGTCGTCGTCCTCGTCATGTTTTCCGACATTCTTCTACGAATCGTATACTGTTACACTTTCAAAAACGTGAGTGAACAAATGTTTTTATTTCTCTCTCAATGCGATGGTATTTTCTTTCAACAACAAACAATAAACACAGCAAGAATAGCAGATGATGATGATGATGATGATGATGATGTCCAAAAGAAAGCGTGTCGTGTGCTTGCTGAAAGAGCAAAAGGAGAGAAATTTCTGGGGACGTTTTTACGAGTCCACAGTAACAAGATTTTCATGCAGCAGGTTGTTTGAAAACAGAAAAAATGTTGTGAACGCGAACAGGGTTTGGCAAAGAGCTCTTTTTCTTTCAAATAATAAAAATAACAAGTCTATGTATTATGCGCTACCGCTAGTACCAGGAATACTCCTCTCACCATCTTTCCTTCGTATTTTCAACCTACCCATGGCAGCCTGTATCCGTTGTCCTCTTCGTTTCAGCTCCGCTTTGTTCAATCGACCTAAAGTTTGTTTCGTGAACCAGCCAAAGTAGCCTTTAAAAACGAAGTAAAACACCATGCTGGCGCAGCTGAAGGCGACAAAAATGGCCGGGAAGACGTCCTTGCGAAACATAACTCCGATGTTTTGTAAGTGGTCGGCGTTGACCGAGAGCATTTTAATCGCGGAGGTATCTTTGGCGTAACTCGCAAACGCTCGTGAACAGAATTGGGCCACCGCCATAGAACAGAGCATGATTAAGCCGGTATTGAAGAGCAAACCCGTCATTGTTGTCGCGCCGAGTTTCATTCTGTACGCATTAAAAACGAATAAGAACTTTAAACCGAGCTTCTCGTTGCCTTTCACCACGCAGGAGATTAAGTAGAAGCAATATATGGCAAACATCGCCGTGCCGAACAAGTTGAAGACGCTATCCAGAGCCTCAAACATCGAGTTCAAAAACGGATGCACCGGGTTTTTTGCTAAGATGTATAACCCGACGTGCAATATCCACGTTATGGAGAGAATAAAGGCTAAGATACCGTAGAATAAGGACCACCAGTACCCCCAGACGGTGAAGGTCCACGACGTCGCCCTGTTTTCGCCTCTCGGGTAGAGCTTTTGCAACTCTCTCTCCTCGTCTTCTATATCTTCCAACTCCATGCTTAAATTCTTCAACTCGCTTCGGATCTTTCGACTTCTACCGTTACTTCTTTCTTCGTTTCGTACTGCTTTGACCTTTTCGTGAATTTCTAACGTCTTTATTGCGATTTGTTGAGCGCTTCGATCGTATTCGGATTTACCGATGGTTTTCCTCGGTCGTTGGATGAATCGCGTCACCGCATCGATTGGGTTTGCAGCCATGCCTATTCCCGCATACGGAGCGAATAAGAACCATCCGACGAAAGATGTCAACGCAGCAACGTACGCTGGAAACGAAACGTCTAAAGTCCACGATTTCGTGATGGCTTCGGAACTTCCCGAGTCGCACGCGTCCCCGCTTAAAGAGGGGGAACTCGTCCCGCCCGAAAAGTCCGTCGGTGAATACGTGTTACTCCCATCCGGGTATGGATTAGCCCGAATACACGAGTGCACTCCTTGCAATGTATCGAATTGCGAGAGCAACATCATCCCACTCTTTACAGACGTGATTGAGAAATCCGCGTATCCCGTGTAATACCAACACAAAAACAACACCAACGAGACGAATATGGCAGACATGACGACCCAAAATAAACTGTTGTACAGCTTTTGCGAAAGCGTGGCATCAAAATCTGACTCGTACCAGAACGTGGTGAACGGAATTAAAATCGCCACGTACACTAACGTGATGATATATATCGAATACCAAATCTCGTCCATCGGTAACGTCGTTTCGCACGCCGACAAAGATACGCTCGCGTCGCACGACGCCCTATTCGCTACATCTAACGGGAGCAATAATATCGCCCCCGAGGCTATCGTTAATCCACTGATGACGATTATTTTCGGAAACCACGCTTGGTTCCTGTCTTCCGGGTGTTGAAAATTAATCAGCACGTATAAGTTTGCGATGGCGACTAATATCGTCACGACTATAACCACCACGATGAGGAACCTGTTTTGTTTTTTTTCAGAAAGAAGAGGAAGATACAAAAGAAGAAGCGAGTGTGAGTTTCCGAGCGATACAAGGGAGCACCCGAGTGAAAAGAACACACCGAGTGAGAGAGAGAGAGAATCAACGCGACGTAAACGACGACGAAGAAGACAAAGACAAAGAAGAGGACGAAGAAGAGCTGTGCATTTATTTTTTGAATCGCGCGTGTGCCGTTGCGATTTTTGGAAAAACGAGAAGAGAGAAAGAAAAACGATTCAGACGACGCACCAGTTCATCTTATTATTAGTATTCGTGTCGCGTGCGTGTGATGATACTACGACGACGACGGAAGCGCGCTGGTCTTTTTCTCTCTCTCGCTTTAGTCTCTAAAGAGAGAAAGAGAGAGAGAGAGAGAGAGAGAGAGTTTATTATACTCTCAAGTAGAGAGGAGTGAGGAGTTTTTTTTTGCCGGTTTCTGAAACAAAGGCACGCAACGAACGGTCTTCAATCGAAAGTAATTCCCATCATCGTGTGTTCAAAAATCACACCTCTCTTCGTTTCAAATACTCCTTTTCTTCTTCTGGTCATCAAAAAATTGTTTAATTTCACAAATTCTTCTACCATTCAATTCTTCAAAACCCCTTCAAAGTCTTCTTCGTCTGAATCGTCAAGTCTCGCGTGGTGCGCGAAGAAGCTCTTCTTCTGCCTCCTCATTCGCAGAGAGAGAGAGAGAACGAGAGAGAGAGAACGTTGTTGGAAAATTTGTTGAAGAAAAGAGATTCACACTGAACGCCGCCGCCGCCAAAACTACTAAATTGGAATTAGGGAATCTCTCTTTTTGTCTGTTGACCCATCATCATTTCACCCAACATCATCTCTCTCAAACCCAAAAACGTAGGGGGAGAAGATGACGAAAGAGGATCCTCCTCCTCCACCTCCTCAGCGCGAACCGTCTCCCGCGTTAGCGCGAATGCATTCTATGGGAGTGAGCACGACGAGTGAAGGCGTCGATAATTTTGCTCGAGTGAGCGGGTCGTTCATGAGGTCTACGACGAAAAACCCGTTGTTGAACAACGACAATACCAATACCAATTTTGAAGAGAGAAAACAACAACAACCGAGTAAGGACTACCACCAAGACGAGGAACAAGAACCGTCGAGATTTTACCAACGAGAACAGAGTTTGGCGAGGAAATTGAAACATCATGAACACGACAACGCTTTAGGAAAATCGTTCGGTCGATTCCTCACTTTTTCATCGGCGAAGAAAAAGAACCAGGAAGAGCGTTCGCTAGAGGAGAAAAAAGCGGTAAGGAGACAATCGAAAGTCGCTTCGGCTATTCAGCGCGTTCGAACGGTCAGGGAAGCTGCCAGTGCGGCGAAGAGGACGCGTCCAAAGAAAGGCTTTGCGAAGGGGTTTCGTCAAGTTGTCGATTTTAAAGCGCTCGGGAGCGACTTGATTACGAATTTCAACGTTAAGTTTCGACGGGTGTTTGAAATTTTGAGATGCGTGGACCCGGACGAAGATAACGAGGCTTTGAGCAGGTACTCGTTGTTGCATCCGAAATCGCCTCTTTATATCCTCTGGAAACGAATGATCAACTGTTTGGTGATGATGGTTTGCTTCGTTTTACCGGCGTTGATTGCGTTTAATTATTCGGACATGCCGGCGTTGCGATTCGAGCAAGATTTGAGAGTGGTAAAGAACATAGATTTACAAAAAAAAGAGCAATTGGGAACGGCTTTGGACGGATTACTCCTTTTTGTGGATATATGTTTCTGCTTTGACGTGCTTGGAAACTTTTTCGCGCCGTTTTTTGAGGAGGAGGAGTTGGAATCGAAATTAGTGGACGATCCGTGGGTGGTTTCGTACACATATTTGACCGGATGGTTTCTCGTAGATTTTTTAGGATCGTTTCCGTTTGACACGGCGCTCTCGCCTTTAGTAGACGCGGATGGTGTGAGATTTTTAGAGTTGCTTGGATTGTTTCGGCTGTTGAGATTGTACCACGTGCGAAAGGCGTGGGGGTTTGTGGAGAGAGATCCGCACGTATCCGTCACGAGGATTTCCTTCATCAAGTACTCAGCCATTCTTCTCTTAGCCGGTCACTGGTCCGGGTGCTTGCTCTGGTACTTAGCAAAAGCGGAAGAATTTGATGAGACGACGTGGGTTTATGCAGTTGATCCGGAGTTACGATTGCAAAGCATTTTTAGACAGTACAATACCGCCTTGTACTGGGCTCTGGTCACGTTGACGACGGTAGGTTACGGTGATATATCGCCGCGGAATCCGACGGAAAGATCGTTTACCATGGTAATAATGTTGATGAACATGTGCATATCCGCATACGTCATTGGCACCATGACGACGCTAATTACGAAAGGCGACCAAAAGCTCTCTCGATTTAGAGACAACATGGCCAATCTCATTCGGTTCATGAGAAGGCACGAAGTTCCATTGCACATTCAACAACACGCCATGGCTCACGTTCATTTAAGTTTTCGAAAAGCGAAAGAAGACGACTCCGACGCTCTGGAACACTGTCCAGAACATCTGATCTCTCACGTTCGATCGGCGATGTATTTAGACCGATTGAAAAATTCGAGATTGTTCATGGGATGCTCTCGCGATTTCATGCTTGGCTTGATGAAACTCTGTCAGTGGGAGTATTTCAATCCCGCGTCTTTGATTATGACGCGTAAATACAAGTCGACGCGATTGTTTTGCATCGTTGAAGGCGAAGCGATTGTTTTGAGCGACCGATTTACGGTAATGGACTATTTGAAAGAAGGCGATTGGATTGGCGTCGAATCGTTTCTGATTCAAAAAGAAGCGCAGTGGAGCGTCTCAAGCGCGAGCTTAATCAAATGCATCGCCATCGATTGCGCGAAGTTACACACCTTACTAAGCGAAAACATGACAGATTGGTCGACGGTGTTATTCAATCTGAGCAACATAATTTCTCAGAGAATCGAGGAATCTCTGCCCTCGGCGGAAGGAAACGCGAAAGAAGGAGAAGTTTACCCATTCCAGGGGAGTGATACCTCTTCCGAAAACGACGGGTCTTTGGATGCTGGAAGCCATATATCCGTGCGCGATAGAATCGGCCACTATGAACAGACTACGTACTTGAGAATAATACGCTCGGTAAATGCGGGCTTGACCATTGCGATGACCAAACTCGTTTCTGAAATCAACACGAAAATATTCTCGGCGGCGAGAGACGGAGACATCCGATCGATTAAAGTTATGATTGCAACGAAAGAGTTTGACATCAACTATCAAAATCCATCGGACGGTCGGTCGATTTTACACGTCGGTGCGTACTACGGACACCGAACGTTGTGCGAATTCCTCCTCAATGCTGGAGCAAATCACGCGCTTTTAGATAATCTTGGTTTCTCGGCGCTTGGTCTCGCTGTGATTTCCGGTCACGTGGACACTATCAAAGTGCTCGCTAGAACGTCTTCACTGATTGCAATCGGTCAACCATTAGGAGCAAAATTGTGCGAATTGGTTCAAAATTTGAATTATAGCGTGTTGCAGAACTTCTTAAGTGCCGGAACAAATCCGAACGAACGAAATACGAGCTTTGATACGCCGCTTCACGTCGCGTGTCGCATAGGTAATATTGAAGCTGTCCAATTACTCTTGAAGTTTGGTGCGAACGCATCACTCACAAATAGACTCGATAGAACAGCTATAGATGAAGCGACAGCAAATAAGTACCCCGATATAGTAAGGAATATTGAAGACGCGCAACGATCGCGGTTGGGTTCTTCGAGCAAACGCGTCAGCGAATCCTTGGGTCAGACTGTGTTTGAACGCGAGGAGACGATTCGCGCCCATTCTCAGATTATCATCGCGAAATGGTGGAGAGGGTATCACTGTCGAGCCGCGCTTCGCGATCGTTTGCAACACGTCTTTATAGCAGGTTCGGGTGGATACGTACGCAACTAAGTTGTTTGTTGAAATACATTAATAACACACTTTGCGCAAGCTGAGTGGGAATTGTACTTATAAAATAATAATAATATCAATAATATCAATAAATCACAAAACTAAATAGCCATTAATAATGCACTTCCTGCAATTCCCATTCCTATGAACCACGCTACTCCGAAATACGCGTGTAAACTCAACAATCTATTGTTTGCATTTGGAACGCACGCTACTTTTAAATCGTTTGTGAGCATAAAAATTCTCTGCGAAATGCCCACGTAAATCGCCGTGCAAAGCATGAAGTTTAACACCGGATACTCTTCTGGAAACAATCCTAACAACATCCCGGGTTGCCCATTCGGTACCGACGACGATAACCAAATGTGAAACTGAGAAATGTACGTTTCTAAGGTGATTTTCCCACATTCACAAAAAATGTGAATAAAATAACTTCGCATCGTCAGGCTGAAGTTTCTAAAAATGATGAATATCGTAATCGGTATCCACGACGTGTACGGATGCACGACGTTGTATTCCAACTTTGGTAAAACATAATACGTTGTGTACCACCAGTATGCCGCTATTGTGTTGACGGTTAAAATTAACCCTTGGATGACTGTTTTCTCCTTTGTCGGTTTCTCGTCTACCCATCTCACAAACGCTTCGTACTTTGGGTGTACGAATGCGCACACCATGCCATAAATCCAAACGTACCTGTCTAGACCAGAGCGAAAGAACCATTCGTGCATTGGATTGACGTCTGGTCTTTTCGGGTCGGTATAAGATAGCAACCACTCGAACGGTTTGAACAAGACGGTGAATACGCCCGGCACTTCCCAAATGACGTACACCAGTACGATCAAAATTACCATTTTAGCCACTATCATGTTCGTCGATGTGTTGTGTTCCTTGAAAACCAACAGCGAAAAGTACACGAAGAGCGTGAACAGCGTGTGCATGGGACAAATATAGTATAAAACGTAATCGTTCCTCAATGCGATACACACGAACAAGACGAAGAAGTTCAAACGCCACATCATTTGCGAAAATCTCCCCACCGAAAAATCTTTGCGAACGTGATAGTAGGAGAAATTCCCAAATCCAGTCATCCAGACGTACGCAGCGATAAAGATACGAATCGCGTTATAAATCTCTGAAGCTTTGAAGTAGTGATAGAGCAAAAATAAGACTTGCATCCATCCCTTCCACTCCTCGGTTTGCTCTCTGTTTAGCGGTGCACTCGTCTTGCTTTGTCGCAACGTCTGATAACAGCCGTACGCCGCCAACGTAACAAAGATGGCGATGAAAAAGTCTCTAGAATACGACTTTGTCCTCTCGGGAAACGTATTCGTTCGATCGCACACGTAAAACACGAACAGGATAAAGAATAGTTCCGCCCAAGAGCGCAAAATCAATCTCGCCCTCTCGATGGCATCCGCGTCGCCTTGGAGTATCCGCATGGCTCCAATGTTCGTGAACTTTACGTTGCCGTTGTCCCCGGTAGATGGAGAAGCACCGACGGCATCGCTCATGTTCCCGCTCTGTGAATTTTGTCGTCCAAAGCTGTCCGTGAAATTCGCAAACGAGCGTTTCTTATCCTCGTCGCTCATATCTTGCATGGAGTTAGAAATCATCGATCCGTCTGGAGTATTTCCTCCTCCTCCTCCTCCTCCTCCACCTCCTTCCAATAAAACATCAAACTTCTTCGTTCCAGCCATTCGCATCTCGATCGAGTCTTCCGCTAATCCTTTATTATACCCACCGTTGTGCATTCGTTTCATTCTCACGTGGTGTAAAAACTCCGCGTATACGTATAAGGCGACGATGAATACGCCGGAGAGGAATAAACCGAGTTGAAATCGTCCGTATTCGAGAACGGATGATGGTTCAACCTCTTCATCTCCTTCAAAAGAGGAAGAAGTTAAAGAAGAAGAGAAGTCCAACAGCGTTCTTCGCTTGGCGACGTCCTGCCAACTCAAGTAACGATGATCCATCCTTCTCTCGTCGTCGTGAATGGATTTTGTAAAAAGACTATGTAGAGTGAGAAGTCTCGGACGACGAGGAAGAGTAAATGAAGTAAAAATTCTATCTGCTTTTTGTGTCATTTTCTTGTTCTCATTCGGAGGAAAAAGGTCACTTAAAAACTTTAACTGCTATTCCTACTCATAACACATCATCATCATCAATCGAACGGGATTTGATTTCCATCGTAAATGGCCGTCAGTCCCTCTTTGTACGAGGGAAAGAGGAGCGATGAAGAGGAGGATGAAGAGGATGCGAACGCGCGTTTGAGCTTTACGTTCTTGACTCGCTTTTCGCTCTTGTCGGGGAGGAGGATGTCTTTTTCGCCACTCTTCTCATTGCCTTCGTTATTTATTTCGGAACTCAGAAGAGTTGCCGCGAAATCGACGGCTTCGTCTCGAGATGAAGGATAATCGTCGACGACGTTGTATATGGCGACGCGATTATCGTCGTCGATACAAACGGTATCTTCTTCTTCGTCGCTTACTTCTTTTTCGATGCACCGAACGAGCGCGTTGGCGACATCCGCCACGTGGATCCGAGACGTGTACATCTTCTTCCTCCGAGATATTTGCGTCGGCGTTAACGATCTCGTATTAGCGTTATCGCTATTTCTAATGCTATAAGTATTGCTATTATCCTCACTCTGTGCCTCTACTTCTTTCCTCCGAGTCTTCTCTTGGAATTGTCGCTCTCTTTCGCGTTTCGAGGCGATATCGAGAGCGCTTCTTCCAGGGCCGTAAATGCCACCCAATCGAAATATTCGCAACGAAGACTTTACATTATTTCTTTTGTTACCATTGACTATCCACTCTGTCCACGCCTTTTCGGCGTTTAACCTTCTTTGAGCGACTATCGAATCTGGATTCGGTTCCGTCGTTTCGTCCACCCACTCGCCGAGATGGCCTCCGTACACGCCCGTCGAACTCAAATAGATAAACATCTGTCGCTTCTTCGCGTTCTCCAAGATTTCTCTGACTGCTTTCGTTGATAATATCGGGTCTAAATCTAAATCACCATTCGGTGGCGTCGAAATTAAAATAACGTCCGCTTTCTTCAACCACCGCGCGCACTCCTCTTGTAACGGTTCCCCGTCGTCTGATTTCCACGTGAACACTTCTTCGCACCACGTGCCGTTCGAGCGAAGATTCAAAGCCTCCGCTTTCTCTCGCGATCGAGTCGTGCCCACTACAATCCACTCAAAATCTTCCTCTTTTTCTCCTAAAATCTCGTTATTATTATTACTCTTCTTCTTTGTCTTCTTGAGCAGTTGGTTGGCGACGCCGATGGCGCAATACCCGAAACCAAACGCAAAGAAAATTTTTTTTCCTTGTTCTTCTTCTTCTTGTTGTTCTTTATGTGAAGAAGAAGAAGAAGAAGAAGGAGGAGGAAAAGAACTAAGACGGCGACGACGAGAACAACGGAAGGAGGAAAAAGAGGAAAACGAGGAGGAAGAAACGGTGGGAAGAGTGGTGGAGGTGCGCATCTTTTCGTTTAATTTAATGATGTGTTTTTTGTTGTTTTTCAATTTTCAAAATTTATTAATAAAATTGGTGTTTTGTTCGTTCTTTTTTCATACACAGAGTCTCTTCTCTCTCTTCTCTCTCTCTTTTTCCTAAAAACCTTCCTCCTCACTTTTTAATTCTTCTTATTATAGCACACAAAAAATTACTCAAAGTCACTGTCGAAATCATCCTCCTCGTCCTCGTCGTCGTCAAAATCGCTCTCCTCTTCGTCGTCGCTGGAATCGTCGACTTTGTAGGATTTACGTTGGACATTTCTCCCCGCGCGCGCCGCCGGTTTCGCAGCGACTTCCGCGACGACATCCTCCGCGTCGTCGTCGTCGTCGTCACCAAACGAAACGTCCGAGTCCGAATCCTCGGCTTTCTTCTTCTTCTTTGCCGGAGCGGGTTTCTTCGCAGCAGCGGCTGATTTCTTTGCCGGAGTGGCTTTTTTCGTCGCAGCTGGCTTATCTGCCGACGCAGTCGCTGGTTTCTCGTTGGCGACTTCGTTGACCATCTTTGAAACGGCGTCAAAGTTAAACGAGTCTTGACGCTTGGCTTGTACGGAACCGGAGGAGGCCTTTTGTAACAATCGCTCCGCCAATGATAACTGAGGAACGTCGTCGTCGTCGGAATCCGCAGCAGGAGCAACCACCGGCGCAGGGGCGGCAGCGCGAACTGGAACTGCTTTCGGTGCGGCGGCAACGGGAGCCGCTTTCGGTTTCGCCGGCGCTCGTTTCTTCGGCTTGGTGACTTCAAAGTCGTCGTCCGAGAAATCCTCGTCGATCTCAGAATCCGAAGCGTCCGAGTCAAAGTCCATGGCTTTCTTCTTGATCGCTTTCTTTTTCTTCGCGAGCGCTTTTTGTCCAGCCTTGGTGTTGTTTCTTGCCGCCGCGCGCACTTGCTTTTGCATCTCTTCCTCAGCCGCGACGTCGTCGTCTTCGAGTTGATCCAAATTCTCCTCTAACGCGTCCAAATCCGTAAACCACAAGTCCTTATCCGTCGTTCCTCTCAAAAGCGCGACTTCGGCTTCTTTCTCTTCCTTTTCCGTGACCAAATCTTCAACCTTCTCCAAAGTTAAGTTCCACAAAGGCATGGAAAGCAAGTAATCGTAGGACGCGTTGGCGTCGTCGGATTCATCCGCCGCGATGTCGTTCTCGTCCGTTTGAACGATAGCCGCCGCCGCAGACGCAGACGTCTTCGTCTTTGGTAACTTATCGTACATCATCATCTCGAGCTCTTCGACCAACTCAGCCTTCTTCTTTCTGTTGACCACCAAGGAGCCTTCGACAACCGCCAAGATGAAACGCGTCTTGTTCGCCAAACGCTTGAGTTCCGACTCGGCAACTTTGATGAGCATTTGACGTCTCTCTTCGTACGCCTTCAATCGCAAAGGAACGAACGATTTCATGATATCCTCTGCGGACTCGTATTTGGTGATGATCGAGTGCTCGTTGAACGCGTGCATGTTGGAGCACGAAATTTTCGACGCCAACTTGAACTTCTTCACGATGCCTTCTTCTTCAGCCTTGGCCAAGTTCGCCGGAGGCATGGTGATGACAAAATGCACCGATGTATCCGTGTGATACTCCTTGTAATCGGTAATGAACGGAGCTTTCTTGTCCTTTGGCGCAATGAGTTCTTCCAAGAACTCCTTGTAGTCTTGCGTCCACGTGCGCAACGGTAACTCGGTGATTTCCAACGTGCACTCGTCTCGGATGTGATACGAGCCAGTGGCGATGAATCTTCGCTCGCCCTTGAAGATTTCCTCGGTGATTTCACCCTTGAAGTGTCTGTACCACGGCATCATTTGCGTTGGCTCTTCTTCGTTCAAAATCGCGCGAACGTTGCTGATGACGTCTCTCGCGTTGTAGTTTGGAATCGAAGTAGACCATCCCGTTCCGATACCTTCGGCGCCGTTAATCAAAACAGTTGGAATAACCGGCATGTAATACGTCGGTTCAATCTTTTGACCGTCTTCGTCGTTGTAGTTCAACAACGCGTCGTCGCATTCCGGGAATACAACTCTGGCCAACTGCGCCAAACGCGTAAAAATGTAACGCGGCGACGCGTGGTCCTTCCCGCCTTGCAAACGCGTACCAAACTGACCGCTCGGGACTAACAAGTTGATGTTGTTCGTCCCAACGAAATCTTGAGCGAGATTAACGATTGTCGACGCAAGAGACGCTTCGCCGTGGTGATAGGCGGAGTGTTCCGAGACGTAACCGCTCAATTGCGCGACTTTGATGTCCGACTTCAACTTTCTCTTGAAGCACGAAAACATAACTTTTCGTTGCGAAGGCTTGAAACCATCAATGGCGGATGGAATAGAACGCATTAAATCCGCCAAGGAGAAGAGAATCAACTCTTTGTTGATAAACTCATCGTACCGAACGGTCTCGCCGCTTTGGTCCAAGAACGTTCCTTCTTCGTACGCGGACAACCACCTTTTACGATCTTCGACTCTCTTCTTGGAGAAGGACATGTCGATCAAATCTCCGTCGCCGTCGGATTCCCAGCAAAAAGTCTTGCGGTGCAACTCAATCGCAGCGAAATACTCCTTCGCTTCTTTTGCCGTGGACGTACCGAGACCTTTGTAGTACTTGATGGCCCAGCCTTTACCGTCGTTGTTGACGAGCTTCCAGTTTTCGTATTCCGGCAACGTGTAAAATACGCGCGTTTGTTGGCCCTTCGTCGCCTTGATGATGGGCGTGATGAACTCCAACAAGAAACCCGGAATTTTCAACAAAGACGGGAAGTGCGCGTGCAGAAAGTTGATTAACAAACCTTTGATGTGCGAACCATCGTGATCTTGATCCGTCATGATCATCAACTTCCCGTATCGCAACGTCTTGATGGAATCTTCGTCGTACGTTTTGCCGTGTTGCAAGCCCAAAATCTGTTTGATGTGGGTGATTTCCACATTGTTCTTTACTTGATCAAACGAAGCGTCGCGAACGTTCAATAACTTCCCTCTCAACGGAAACACCCCGTAGTTGTCTCTTCCGACGATGGACAAACCGGAAACCGCCAACGCTTTGGCAGAATCCCCCTCGGTTAAAATCAGCGTGCAGTCTTTCGAGTTGCGTCCGCCGGCGTTGTTCGCATCGTCCAACTTCGGAATACCAGTCAATCGCAATCGCTTGACACCATCGGTCTTCTTCAAGTCCTTGGATTGTTTGAACTGAGCCCACGACATGATGTTCTCAACCAACGGCGTGGCCATCAACTGCTTGATGAGTTTGTCGGAAACGGAGAACTTGGAGCCAAAGTTCGAAGCTTTCGTGATGAGCGTCTCTTTCGTTTGCGAATCAAACGCCGGATTCTCGATTTGCGCGTTCACGAACACCCACAAGTGGTTCTTCACTTGAAACGACTTCAAGTTCTTGCACGACTTTTCCTTCTTTTGAATCTTCTTCAACAACTCGCCCGCAATGCCGTCGGCGATGTTGGCGACGTGCGTCCCACCCTTCATGGTGCAAATACCATTCACGAACGAGCACTGCTGGAACTGCTGCGTGTTCGACACCGTCACGCACACTTGCCAACGATCGCCTTGCGCTTCGTAAACTTTCGGCGCGTTCTCCGTGTCTTGCAAATACATATCGACGTATTCCGAGAAGCTCTTGACTTTGATCTGTTCGCCGTTCAAAAAGATCTTCGTGTTCTTCCCGATGATACCTGCGGAATCGTACACTCTCTTCGACATCAACGCGATGGAATCGTCTTCCAATTCAGTCATCCCGAACTTCTCAAAGTCTGGTTTAAACGTAATTCGGGTCCAGTTGTCGGATTTCTTACACTTGGTAATTATCGGTTCCCCTTTCTCGCTCATGTTGTTCTTAAACACTTGCTTGTATTGTCTCTCGCGACTACCATCGCACGTTTCCACGATGAACTCGTGCGAGAAAATGTTCGCCAACTTTGCGCCGTAACCGTTACGACCGCCGGTGACTTTCTTTTCGTTGTCGTTATAGTTGGACGACGTCAAAAGATGTCCAAAAATAAGCTCCGGGACGTACACGCCTTCCTCTTTGTGCATCTCCACCGGGATCCCTTTCCCGCCATTCATGACCGAAATCGTCCCTTTCTCCTTGTCGATATCCACTCGCAACTCTTTCATCGTCGGATCTCTGACTTTATTATCTGTCGCGTTGACCAAAATCTCGTCGAAGATTTTATACAAACCCGGCGTAAACGCGACGGTTTTCTGCACCAACTTGTTCTCAGCGGCGTCGTACACCCACGCCGTCTCTTCCGCTTTTTCGCACGACCCGACGTACGTGTCCGGTCTCAACAAGATGTGTTCCAATTGTGTTTTCTTTTGGTAAATGTCCTCGATGGCAACTTTTTTAGTCGTCTTACCACCACCACCGGCGGTAACGTTGCCGTCCGCCAACGGCGCTTTCTTCGCCACAGCAGCTTTCTTCCCCTATTTTTTGTTTGTTTGAAGGGAGAGAAATTATTTAAATATGTGAGTAAAAAGTACACGTGCGCGCTGACTCGTCGTCAAATGATGCATCGAAAAAGAACCGCTAAACATTGAAAGAGTGAAAAATCAAGAAGACATCACGAACGGAGAAGAGTACAACACAATGTTTCGATGATAGGAAAGGAAGTGCGCGCGTGGTGTTCAAAATCTTTCTGTTGTATTTGGGGGGAAAGAAAGAAATTTTCCAAAATTTCATATCTCATCAGCTTCGTCGTTAGACACACACGACGACGAAAACGTACCACCCACCAACTTTTTGGTGGTGGTGTTCAACGTTCAATACGAATAGACTGACGTACCTTTGCCACTGGCATTGGGCTGTTTTCGTTCTCGGAATACTCCGAGTAGTCCATCGAAGTATCCGCCATCTTTTTCTTTTTCTGATGATGTGATGAAAGTTTTTTGTGGGGGGTGAAATCAAAAAGGTTTCGAGACAGAACAAAAAGACGAAAAAGTGTCTGTTGTTGTTGTTTTGGTCACCCCTTTCTTCACAAAGAAACTTCTTTCTTGAAAACCAACCCACGACAACAACACACAACAACACACAACAACAACAACAACAACATTAAACTTGAGTAAGTACTTACTTTTAAAGACGATGAGCGACTCAAACACAAAAGTTGGATTTATTGGATCGGGAATGATGGCAGAAGCTCTCGGTGGAGGCTTCTCCAATTCTGGAATCGTCCCGTGGGAAAATATGTATTGCACGGACCCGTGGCAACCGAGATTGGATTTATTCACCTCGTTCGGCTGCAACGCGTGTAAAGATAACCGCGAACTGACGAGAAACTCGGACGTGATATTCATCGCGGTGAAACCGTACGCAGCGGCGACAGTTATGAAAGAAATCTCAAAGGAGCTGACGGAAGATAAAATTGTCATTTCCATCTGCGCAGGAGTAACGTTAGAAACGCTGGAAAACGCAATAAGTGATGGGAAAAGTGTGCCCGTGGTGAGAGTGATGCCGAATACGCCGTGTTTAGTCGGCGCGTGCGCGGCGGCTCTGGCGAGAGGCAAGTTCGTGACGGATGAACAAGCAGATTTGGCGCTAAAGCTCATGCAATCTGTTGGAGTGTGCGTTGTGGTGCAAGAGAAGTTGTTAGATGCGGTGACTGGAGTGAGTGGGTCGGGACCGGCGTATATCTACCAAGTCATCGAAGCTATGAGCGACGGCGGCGTGTTGTGCGGGTTGCCCAGAGACGTTTCCACGAAATTAGCCGCGCAAACCGTCATGGGTGCGGCGAAGATGGTTTTGGAGAAAGGGACGCATCCAGGCCAGTTGAAGGATAACGTGACGTCGCCAGGCGGGACGACGATTGCGGCGGTGCACGAATTAGAGAAAGGGGGCGTGCGAAATTCGTTCATCAACGCCGTGAAAGCCGCCGCGGAAAGAAGCAAAGAGTTGAGCAAAGAATAATAATAATAATAATAATATTAAAGTGCTTTAATAGATTTTTAGCGAATGAGAGAAAAGTTGCAACGAATACTAATAATGTCCATCTACTATCTATCATAGTTTTATTAAAACTTCGATTCCTTGAATACTTTCACCACGGCTTTAGCCCAACTGGCGTTATCGCGCGTTTTGATTTTTGCGAATTCGCCTTGGACTTTCCTACCAACCACGCCAGCTAAATTTTCACAGAAAGAACACGTTTCAGCGTTGGATTTCGCGAGAAGTGCGGTGACCGCTTTCTCTTTCGCCGATGTAACGCTCGATTCGTCCACTAAATCGAAAGTCGCCTTTATAATTTCCTCTTTTTCCTTCTTTTTCGAATTTGAAGGCGCTTCTTTTTCTTCCTCTTCCTCTTGTTTCATTTCCACGTCTTCCTCGGCGACCGCCGGGAGCGGAGACGAAGATCTCTGCCGCTTCCGGCCCGTCGTCTTTTGGTCCTCCTCGGACCTTTCTACTTCGCCCAAACGACGCTTCGCAATCGCAACGCACCGTTCAATCACTCGATTATCCAATTGTTGACACATTTCCGTGATGGTATCTTCCAACGCGTACGCTCGACTGACAAACTGGCGTCCTTTGGAATCTTCACAATCCTCTCCCCAATACTGTACGGCTGCGACGACAATCAAGTGCACATCTTTCAGAAACGACTCTATGGTTAAATAAGCGCTCGAATCAATTCTCCAAAGCAAAGTGGATAAATCCATCGGAGATTGCACAGTCTTGGAGTACCCGTCGAGCTCGGCGTCGGTAATAGGCGCCGCTAATTTGGACCACTGCTTCTTAAAGAGTAAACGCGTCACAATGTCCCGCAAGAACATGCGCTGCTTTCTTAACATCTGCTCTTCAGCTTGAATGACTTCTGGACTCACTTCCACGGCCTCGTCTTTGTTTGCGGCAGTGGTGGCGTTCGCCCCGGCGTTGACATCTTTCGCTTTTTCCAAGACTTCCAGCTTTTCTTCCACCGCGGCGGCGGCGACGTTCTTCAATCCAGTTTTTGCGGAAGCCACGGTTTTGCCGTCGTTCTTCTTCATTTGCTCGTCTCGTTTCCGCGCCGCATTCAGTGCCGCCGAAACGATAGCTTCAAAATATTCCTTTCTTTCTGCATCCTTTGGCTTCGTCAACGCGTACGAGCGCTGCTCGCCCGCAAAAGCTTCGGCCAACTCTTCATCCAACTCATTTCTCTCGCAATCCGCTGTCGCTAAGAGCATGACGGGTAAATTTGGAGGGATATCGTCTAATAAAGTCAATAACGTCGCGCGCAACGTCGCGTTGGCACTTTCCCACCATAAGCGAATGTGTGGAAGGTACAAAATTGAAGGCGCCGCTCTTCGCGCCTCGGTCACCGCGGCGACTAAAGCTTCTTCCGGTAATCTACCGCCATCCGATAAGAGCGCGGGCAAGGATATTGCGTGCACCGCAAACTGCTCGAGCGCATGTAAGAGCGCTGGAGCAATGTGCGCCTGTCCAGAACCAGGCTCACCGCAGACGAGCAATCGTGGATTTTGTGAAGGCGGCGAGCGAATAAATTCAGAAGCTGCGATTTTCAACGTATTTTTCTTCGTTTTACCTCTGATCTCGTCGTCGTCGTAGTCGTCCTTATCACCCGCGGTAGATGCTTCGGCGAGAAGGAGGTTGTTGCCCTCATCGTCGGAGTCGTCGTAGTACGCGATTTCTAACTGGTCAGTCGTCGATTTCATGATATCGTTGTTCGCCTCTTCATCGTTCAAAGACGCATCACTAGCAATGTACGCCGCTGGTGGGTACACGTCTCCAACGATTTCTAGAATTTCCTTCAGCGTGTTACCCAGAAGCGGACGGATTAGTGCAGACAGCGGAGCAGAATACGTCTTTGCGCTTCGATGCGCGGCAGGAACAATTTGCTTCAACGCTGTTTCAAAATCTACTCTTCCCGGAACGACTTGCGAAGGATCGAGATTTAATCGATCGTCCGTGGCGTAAATTTGCGGGTATCGTCTTCGCAAAGCTGCAATAGCGGACTCCGTACAGAGCGCTTTCAAATCGGCGCCGCAGTAACCGACGCATTTTTGTGCCAAATGATTGATTAAAGTCGTCGACGGAGGCTTTTTCCAACCTCGAGTATGAATTTTCAAAATTTCAGCGCGCGCCGATAAGCCTGGTAACGGAAACGCGAGCTCTCTGTCAAATCTCCCCGGTCTTCTGAGCGCACCATCGATGGAGTCTACTCTATTTGTCGCTCCTAAAACAACAACGCGACCGCGATTATCCAAACCGTCCATGAGCGCTAAAAGCGTCGCGACGAGCGAATTGTGAATCTGGTCTGACTTAGAACTTCTCACTGGAGCTAAACCGTCGATTTCGTCGAAGAAAATAATCGACGGTTGGCGTTTGGAAGCTTCTTCGAACAACAATCGCAACTGTCTCTCGGATTCACCGACCCATTTTGAAAGCACATCGGCTCCTTTTCTCATGAAGAACGAAACTTCGCTCCCAGCGCGAGAACACGATGCGGCTAAAGCTCTCGCGATTAACGTCTTACCAGTTCCTGGAGCGCCGTATAAGAGCACTCCGCGCGGCGGCGTCATTTTAAACCGTTCGAAGATTTCCGGATAGAGCAACGGGAGGAACACCATCTCTTTCAGAGCGTCAACGTATTTATCCAGGCCTCCTACGGCGTTGAACGTCAACGAAGGATCCACCGTCAGTGGAGTAATTTCTGCATCCTTGGCTTCGCCAATCTTCTTCGGTCCGCCCCCGTCGGCGGTATATCCTGGAGCGCCTAACAAAGCGTCGAATCGAGAGATGTCGATGTTATTCGTATTCCCAATACCTCTTTGAGGAGCGGCACTCTGGTGCAACGCGTCGAAACCGTCCGCGTCAGAATCGTCGGTATCATCGAGCCATCGACCTGACTGTCTTCTGCCATTCTTCGGCGCCGACGGTGGCGTTCCCGCGCTAAAGAACGCGCCTTTCTTCTTCCCATTGTCACCGCCGTCGCCGTCTTTTCGCGGACGACCCCTGTTGTCCTTCTTTTTCTTCTTTTCCTCGTCGTCGACGATGAAATCATCGAAATCATCGTCGTTAGCGTCTTCGTTGTAGTTTATTCCGTTGTTACCACCATTCGCGCCATTCGCATCTTCCCCGCGTCGTCTTCGTTTCATCGCTTCGACTCTCCCTGGACTCAACCGTTGTACTTTTTGTCTGTCTCTCGTGCTCCTTCGAATATTCGCGAACTCGCCGTCGTCTGACTCCAACTCTTCTTCTTCGGAGGAGATGAAATCGTCGTCGTCGTCTTCCTCCTCTTCGTCTTCGTTGACGACGAATTCGTCGTCGTCTTTATCTTCTTCTTCTTTGTACGAGACTTTTTTCTTCTCCCTACTTGTTGTTCGTCGTTTTCCTCCCTTCTTTTCTTCATCCATCATGTCGTCGTCGTCTGAGTCTGAATCTTCTTCGCCTAATCGAATTCTTCTCCCTCTCGTGCTTCGTTGCGGACGAGTGGGTCCTCCTCCTCGCGTGAGCTCTTCCTCCTCGTCTTCTTCTTCTTCTCTAAGGTCGTCGGGGTCGTTTGATGATCGTCGTTTTGATCGACCAAAACCCATTTTTATTCTCTCTCGCGTTTACGACGAGCAAAAGATGTTTTTCAAAAGCAACACAACGAATGAAGAGAAGAAGACGCGAAGAAGAGTTTTTGAATTTTTTTAACTCGTCGTCGTAAATTTGACATCATCATCCTTTTTGTTGTTTAGGGTATTTTTTCTAAACCCTAATACGTAAAAAAAGAGAGAGAGAGAAGAGAAAAATTTTCCACATGCAGGACTTTAAAAAGTGATTTCGAAACGTTTTTTGTTTTTGGTGGTGTTTGTTGGTCTTCCTTTCGTTCTTTTTGGTTAGGTGGAGCAACGGGAACCACAGAAGACAGGAAGAAGGTCGTTATTATATTTCGAGCTTGTCTCTTTCTTGCGCGCGCGAGAAAAAACGCCAACTCTATCGACGACGCGAGGATTAATTCACCTCGAACCGACAGTCACGTGTTGAAATATATATTCATTCGGACGAAAGCATGGAGGAAGAGAAGAACGTCAAGTCAGCGTGGACCATCGAGGTGCGTTTAAGAGCTCATTCTTTTTGTTGTTAGCTCTCTCTACAACCGTCGGTCTTTCTGTGTGTGGAAGGATTGGACGAATTTTTGCAACATCATTCGCGCGCTCGTTAGGCGTCGCGCGAAGTGAGTTTCGCCGAACGAGTTTCATTTTCGCGCGGATGAAAGATTCAGGCGGGATATTTTCGAGCGCGATGTAGATTTTGTCGCTCGCAAAAGACCTGTATCGCGCGCGTGAAATTCGCACGCGGGGGAGCGTAACTGTTTCAAAATTTTCCTTCTCTTCGGCCTTATCGTTTTTGTTATCTTCTCTCGAGTTTCTTTCTTCGAGAAAAAAGAGAGAAAAAAAATTATGACTAACACAAAAAATGAATTGTTTTACTATCCTCTTTATCAACAACACAGGAGGACACGTTACTGCGCGAACAAATCCAACGATTAGGAGGACCTGGAAACTGGACGGCAATTGCCGAACGATTACCAGGAAGAAGCTCGAAATCGTGTCGTTTGCGATGGTGTAACCAGTTGAATCCAACCGTGAAGCGAGGACCGTTCACTCCCGAGGAAGACGCGCAGATATTGGCAGCGCACGCCGTTCATGGAAATAAATGGGCGGTGATTTCGCGCTCGATGCCTGGAAGAACCGATAATCAAGTGAAAAATCGATTTAACTCAACGTTACGAAGAACCTTAGCTCAAAATGGGAAAGCGCCGCCGGCATCCTCACCACCAAAGAAAGCGTCGAGTCCAGTCGCCGCGGCGCAACACTTATCTTCGCCCATGGGATCGAGAAAGCAGTCGTCGAATCAGTTGGCAAAGCAAGCAAATTTGAAAAGGGTGGCGAGCCAAATTTTAGAAACTATGAGCTGCGACGAATCCATGGAGTCTTCGCAAGATAACAAGGACAAGAGAAATAATAATAATAACAACAACATGACTAACAACACCGGAAAAGAAACGACGAGCAAAAATGCGATGAAACGACCGAGAAAGTCTCCAACGAAAACGAAACTTGGCAAAAGCGTGCGCGGACCGAGTCGTGGCCCAAGTCAAGATCGAGAAGATTCGGGAGGTTCCGAATCAGTTGGTTTGGAAACGCTCATTCAAGCGAGTTTAATGGAATTACAAAGAATCAAGAGCGGTAAGAGCGCGAGCGGTTTCGAGAAGGAATACTACACGATGAACAACGACCAAACGAGCGCGCATGGCGGATTCGGCACTAGCACTAACAACAACAACAACAATAACAACAATAATAATAATATCAATAATAATAATCCGACGCAGAACAACGCCACCATGAGCAACATGAGTGACCGCACTATGAACGACTCCAGAGGAATGGTGTCGTCCATGAGCATGGAAAATTTGAACAGAGCAGCGAGAGGTGGATTTTCCATGCCCGGGATCCCAAACGATTCTTACGATTGGCGTGCGAACTCTCCCGTAATTGGCCTTCCTGCGTTCCATAGTTTGAATAATCAACTCGTTCGTCGTCCGTCGATGCTGAATATTGCGAGCCAAAGCGTTATGGTGAACAACGCGAATCCTGGTGGAGGAGGAGAACAACAACAGAATGCAAACGAGTTGAACGACCCCCGCGCGGGTACGAGCGCGCTCTCGACTCCAGTCACCATCACGCCGAACCTCGCTTCTTCCTGGTACGGGAGAATGCTTGAGAATTTGGGATGGCGAAACCACTTTCCGCTGGACGTTCTTCCCATGCAAGAGCAAGAAGACATACACCAAAAAGACGCCAAAGAAGCACACGAAAAATTTCAACCGATTGAAAACGGCGAAGACGAAGAATGCGCTCCGAAAGAAGCTGCCACCGCCGCCACCACGAAAACCACCGCTGCTACCGACGCCGCTTTGATTGTAAAAACAGAAGAAGACAATGTCAAAACGCAAGACGAATTGCCGTCGCCGCTTTCTGACAACACGATGAAGAACGATATGAACGGGACGACTGGTACCGCTGTCAACGAAGCGGTGGCGTGTTGATCTCTCTGTACATTAATATTAATCAATCAATACTATTATCGAATTGCAATTATTCTCGTTATACCAACGTTAGTTATACCCTTCTCTACTTTTCGTTGCATCATCATCGTATATATGATGATCTGTTCCTACTTCTCTTTCGTTATGTGGCAGTGTTAGATTTGTCTCATCAGCAAAATCGTCAGAAATGAAGGGAACAGACGACGCTCTCGACGACGACAACGACGACGAAAAGATTATGTTCTCTTCACGAGGAAGACGACATACGCGAAAATGTCTCCAACTCCTTCTCGTCTGTGCGTTCGCTCTCGCATATTTGATGAAAACATCGTCGTCATCATCGAACAATCATTTTGATGACAGAGGAGAGAAGAGCGCTCCTTTGTTGGCGGCATCGGCGTCGTCGTCGTTTTCAACCGCATCAGCATCAGCATCAGCATCATCATCATCATCTTCTTCAAAAGACTACTCGAACCGAGTTTGGATATTCACCTCCGTGGCTGCCGATTACGACGGCGCCGTCTTGTTGAAACAATTCGTCCACCATTACACCGATTTAGGAATTAAACCGGAGAACTTCTTAGTCGTGATTAACTCTAAATCTGGATTTCGAACCGCAGAGTTTGACGAGTGCGCGAAGATTTTAGACAATCTGGGTATCCCATACCACGAGTGGTTGACGCAATACTCGAGCGAAGTGATGTATAAGCATCGGATGCAGTTGTTAGAAAAAGTCCCACCGACAGATTGGATTGTCCACGCGGATAACGACGAGTTTCACTCGTACGGCGGGAAATCAGTCATCGACTTCTTGAAAGAGATGGACAAGAAAGGGTACAACGAAGTGAGAGGGACGTACGTCGATCGAGTCTCCAAGAGCGGCGAGTTGAGCAAGTTGAAAGAAGAACCCGGAATGTTTCAGCAATTTCCTTTGCGGTGTTCGGTGATTAAAACTGTCGCTGGTGGTAGAGATTTTAAGACTATGGCGTATAAAGGGTACTGGAGAACGGACAGAGGGAACCATCAGGTGTTGCGCGCGGCGAGAGCGAAGGCGTATTTAAGCGGGCCGGGGAGAGGCGACGGCGATTTAGAAGACGTCTATCATTTGACGCCGTACGCAAAGTATCCGGGAAAATACAAGTACCAGTGCGCTGCGCACGATAACTTATCTTTTCTCCCAGCCGGGTCGCAGTGTTCCACACCGAACGATAGTCACGAAAGTACCACCAAGTTATGGTCTCAATCGCGCTTTAGCGATGCGAAGGTTGCCGTGCACCACTTCAAGTGGCACGCGGGCGTGATTAACAACATTAAAGACCGATTGGCGTTTTACAAGGGCGACGTTGGCGCGGATGGGAAACCCAGGTTTGCATGGTATACAGATAGCGAAAAATTGATGAACGGGATAGTCACGACTGGGAAAATAGACACGAAGAAGACCAAGTGTAAAGTAGCCTAAAATTGTTTAGTAGCGTGTTGTGTATGTAGTAGTACTCGTTTAGTATCTCTGAAAAAAAATCGTACGCGCATTTAAACTTTTGGGTATTGTGGTTGTGGTTGCTGCTGTTGCTGTGGTTGCTGAGGCGGCGCCGCACCATACATTCCCGGTTGTGTTTCGTATGCCGCCATTCGTTGGACTTGCGGAGCTTGGAACACTTGTTGCTGCGGCGTCATGCTCTCGTTCCTAAAGTCAATTTGCGCCTCTTGTTGCGTTTGCATGCACGCGCACACAGAGCAATACGTCATATCGGAGATGCAATCCAATATGTCCGCAGCTTGCTCGATGGAATCGTCGTTGGACACCATTGCTGCCACTCTGAAGATGCACGCGAGTTGGTTCATCAATAACATGAATCCGATGATGCCGTTATCGCACTGCGTGTTCATCACTCGCTGTTCGTCCTGAATTAAGAATCTGGTCGTCGCAACGCTACTCGGAAAACACCAGAACACTTCGCACGCTAAACATAACTCCGGATTGTTCTGCTCGCCACACCGACCGGAAATGCAGCTTCCTCCGTTACAGCACGTGTACCCTTGCAACGACCCGTACATCTGTTTCTTCCTCTGTTGCCAGGCAACGCACGGCGAACAGAGCGAAGCGTAGAGACAAAATCCAGGTCTCGCACACGGTGCTTTCATCAACTCTACCGCCCAGGAATTCGCGTAGAGCTTGCGCATTTCCGCCTCGCGAATGCGCTTCTTGTCCTGAGGGTTTTGCCCGCCGCCTCCTCCATAGCCTTGATTCATTTTAAAAGCGTCGTGGTCTTTCTTTGTCGTTTTGAATTGGTTTTGTTGACTTTTTTTTATGTTTTGGTGTTCGTTTGCTCAAAAAGAAAACTCTCGCGATGAAGGAAGAAGCAATCAAGCACCACACTTCAACTCTCCTCAGAAAAAAAAATAGAAAAAGTAGTTCTCCAATACTCACACAATCATCATGTTAGGCTTAACCATGCGAACGGCATCCTTAGTTGGAACCTCGGTTTCTTCCACGTCTACGAACAACAGAGGTAATTAATATCGTCGCGTCGCGTTTTTATCATATTTGGCGGGGAGAGTGCGCGTGAATTTACGCGAATTTTTTAGTCGTCGTCTCCCCTCACAAAAGAGGGAGGCAGAAAGAGATTTTGCCTCTCTCGCGTTCACTGTGTGGAGCGGAGTGAGAGCAGGAAGCGGTTTTTGAGTGCAAGAGTCCTCAGAAATGGTATTTGTGCATCCGGGAATGACTGTATATCGACGATTCCGTGGTCGCGTGTGAGGTTGCACGCGCAAAACGTGGGAATTTGGGAGGCGTAAAAACCTCAACATTCTATCCTCGTCGTCGTCCTCCTCCTCCTCTCGTCCTTTTCGTTTCAAGATGAAAGAAGAGCAAAAGCTCTCTTTTTTAACCTTTCGGCGGAACGAGACATTCACCTCTCTTTCTCTCTCTCTCTCTAAACTTTACAGTTGCGCAACAACCGAAACAAAAATCGGCTCCAGGCGTTGCTTTTGCGTTCAAAGGCGCGTTCCAAACAGAAATCAACGTCGGCGAAGGTGAAAACGGAGAGGCTGCGTTGAGACGTTTTCGCAAACAAGTCATGAACTCTGGTCACATCAACGAGGTCAGAAGACGACGATACTTTGAGAACAAACAAGACATTTTGAAGCGAAAACAATCCACGCCGAGAAAGTTGAAAGGGCCAAAGCCGAGAACCGCGGCGCAGGCGATAGCGGATAAAGAGGCGGGGCGAGAGGAAGGACAAAGACCGCAGAGACGATTCAACCGCCCGGGCGACGATAAACAACAACAGTAAGTTTGAGTTTTATGCGTCGAGTACTCTGTTGATTTGAAGAGACAGTTTCGTCTTCTTCTTCTGAATCATTCATCTGTTTAAAATTGAGTTGTAATAAACATACCTTTTAGTTCTTATATATATTTTTACACACACGCGTTCACGCGAGACCTCCAACCTCCCACAACAAGGAGCAATTTACACGCACTGTTTCTTCATTTTTTCAACTTTCATTATTATTATTGTTAGTATTATGAATACTATGCTCTCGTTCGTCCCAACAAGAGGAGAGAGTATCATGCGAACAGGTGAAGGTGGGGGTGGTCGTGGTAGTCGTCGTCGCCACTTTTGCTTCTCTTCCTCCTCCTCTTCTTCTTCGAGGAAGTCAACAACGAGAACATTATTTAAAATCAAAGAGAAAAGGACGACGACGACGACGGCTATGAAAGGAGGCGGCATATTTCTAGACGATAGTGGGAGAGGAAAATGCATCGCGAATAATAAAAGTGGTAATAGCAGCAACAGCAGCAGCAGAGACGCGCTTCTCGGCGAGTTTGATGGAGGAGGAGGAAATGTTTTTGGTGGAAGCTCAGGCGGAAGCGGTTGGAACAACAACAACAACAACAACAACAACAACAACAACGAGAACGAGAACGAGAACGAAGACGAACGGCATAGCTCGTCGATGGCGACGCGATTTCTGCTTTATGCGATGGCCACGTCTGCACTCACCGTCGTGCCTCTCGCGAACGCGAAGGGCTCGACGAACGCCGCCGCGAATAGAATGAAAGCACAAACTGAAAAGGCGTTTCAGTCGTTACCGTCGAAAGCGAAAGACTTCTTCGTGTCCATGTTGTACGGTTTCGTCATTTTCTTTGGCGTTAAAATGGCGTTAAAAAGTTTCTTCGCTCCAGTCGCGTTGTTTTCTTTCACAATGTTCGTTTTGCACAAGATGAAAGTCCTGTCGTTTGGACCGATGGACATGTATGAGAGTTGGGTGCGACCGTACTTACCGAGAGAGTTTCAAAAAGACAGTTTCACTTTCCTCCGCGGCGCGGATACGATGTCCGAAAAATACACCAAGGCGTTCTGGTCTGCCGCGCACAGAATCTTGCCGGCGTGTAATTCTTCCCACGGCGAGAAGGCTTTGATTCTGGGCATGCTTGTGGCCGGTTTAGTTTAAGCAGTAGTAGATGTAGTAGTAAAAACAGGATTTCTTTCTTTCAACAAGTGTCTGTTTCTGTTGTTCACTTTTTACCTCAAATTTTTCTCCTCCATTCCTCAGTGTCAGTGCAGAGGCCTGCACACGCATCAACTAGATGTCAAAGAAGAAGTCAAAGAAGAATAAAAGTTCCCAAACACAACAACAAACAGATAACACAAACAACCAGCGACAAAATCAGCCTCTCTCAGCATCGTTATTGGGTAAACCTGCGAGTGGGAACGTGGAGAAGAACAAGAAGAATAAAGGGAAAATGAATTACAACAACAACAATAATAATTACTACGGAGGAGGTGGTGGCGGTGGTGGAAACTACGGAGGAGGATACGGAGGAGGATACGGAGGAGGATACGGAGGAGGATACGGAGGAGGATACGGGGGAGGATACGGAGGAGGATACGGAGGAAGAGGAGGATACGGGAGAGGTGGATATGGCGGCAGAGGATTTGGAGGTGGTGGCGGCCGTGGAGGTGGCTTTTTCGGCCAAAAGCAGAAAAAAGTAAAAGTGATACCGGAGAAGAAAATAGCGTACGGGAAGCAAATACGACGAGAGATGGACACGGGGCAGATCTCCCAAGCGTTCGTGTGGTTTGCAAAGTACACCACGGAGAAAATTAAACCGAAAATGGGGAACATTTTGCAAACCGCCAAATCTGGAACGGTGGACGAGGAGACGCACACAAAGTTGATTTTGAGATTGTTACAGGCGAATCACGCGAAACACGCGGCGTTTGTCGCCGAGAGCATGTCAAACGATAACTTCAAAATGTCGTTGAAGAAATTCTGCGAGATTTTAATGTCTGTGCCGTGTAGGTGCGATGTGGAAGACGCGAAGAAGCTCGTCAACGCCTTGTGTCCTTTGACGAAAGTCGTCGAGCACTCGGACGCCGCGACGGCGGGGTATTTCACGAAAAACGCGCGCTTGTTGTTGACAGAATTTTGTGAGGAGTCTACGCAAATTTTAGAGAGGATAGCGAAAAGGCCGCCGGCTGCGACTGATCTCGTCGCCACGGCGTCGACGTGGAAAGGTGGAAGGTTGTGTCTGTCGACGAAGCCGCAGGTTGGGCCGGACGGTGTCACGAAGATTCCAACGCCAATGTCGTGTTTACAAGGCCAAATAAATTTGGACGGGAAGCGCATTTTATCCGGCGGGGATTCCGTGCTGGTTCGCAAATACGTGTCACCGCCGAAAGCTATACCCCAAGTGCGGTCGTTCGAATCCTTGCCGGATTTATCCCCAGAAGCGGCGGATATGTATAAAGAGACGAAAACGATGGGTGATGGTATTACTTTAGCTGAGAAGCAGCCACCAACACCGCCGCCTGCGCCGGACTCGTCGCTCAAAGCGTCTGCGACGGCGTTTGTTCCGAAGGCACCACCATTACCAGTCGCGCCGAGACCGCTCGATGCGCCTGAGGTTGAATTCGAAGAGTTTGAAGGCATCATTGAATTTGTAAATTACGAACAAACAGAAATTCACATCAACTTGGACCACGGCGAGGTGAAAGATATCATCGGTGAAGGATGGAGCGTCGACAAGTTAGCGAACAGAGTTTCGTTTTCAAGACAGGTTGGAGCGATGCGAGATTTGCTCGAAATCGTCGATCCGACGAAGAAAGCAAAGTGCACGACGAACCCGGCGTTTCGAAAAATTTTAACCGCTGGATTCCAATACTCTGAACACGCGGAACCGGACGAAATCGATGCAAACAAAGGAGGCGTGACGCATTTAAACGAAATGAAACGCAGTTCATCTTTTGCGGAAGGTTTAGAGTCCATCGAAGAAGAGGAAGTGGCAAACCTTTGCGCGGAGGTAAACGGCGGAAGATACGAACACGTCGTACGAAACGTCACCAGACAATTCAACTTGAACGAGTCGCAACAACGGGCGGTATCGGCGACTTTAGAGCGCCGATTAAGTTTAATACAAGGACCTCCGGGTACTGGGAAAACGCACACGTCTGTTGCCATCGTTCGCGGACTGATAGATATAGGCAGAGGACCAGTACTGTGTACTTCTGATAGTAACACCGCGGTGGACAACTTAGTGGAAGGCTTGGCGCGCGCGGGCGTACGCGTCGTTCGAATCGGTCGTACCGAAGCCGTTCGTCAAGATCTTGCGATGTATCAAATTGAGAATATGGTTCCACCTGGATGTACAAAGCACGAAGCGTACGAAGCACAAATCAGAGCCGTAAGATACGCGCAAGCCGTGTGTTGCACGTGCGCTGGTTCCGGTAGCGACTTCTTGGATCGGATTAGTTTCTCCGCGGTGATGTTAGACGAAGCCTCTCAAGTCACGGAGCCGATGAGTTTAGTGCCAATCTCGAGAGGATGTCAACAGCTTGTTTTAGTTGGAGACCATAAGCAGTTACCGCCGACTATTTTATCTCGAGAAGCCGAGCTTGGTGGATTAACGCTTTCCATGTTCGATCGACTCGTGTCCTTAGGGGTTGTGCCGTACATGCTCGACACGCAGTTTCGCATGCACCCGGCTTTGGGTAAATTTCCATCGGACGCGTTCTACGATAAACAATTGAAAAACGGAACGCCTCGAGCGATGCGACCAACACCAATTGGTTTCAATTGGCCACAGCCAAATGTTCCTATTTGTTACATCCCAACGCACCCGACAAACGCGATGGAAAACAACGACTCGAATTCGTATTCCAACAGAGCGGAAGCAGAGTTAGTATTGGCGTATTTGCGTGGTTTCTTATCCGCGCAAGAGTTACGACCGAAAGATATTGGGATTGTTACCCCGTACGCTGCACAAGTTCGTTTGCTTCGGCAAATGATTCGCCGCGCCGGGATTCAAACCGGTGTCGATAGGAATACCGGCGAGTGCGGTATCGAAGTCTCCTCCGTCGATGGGTTTCAAGGACGCGAGAAAGAACTCATGATAGTTTCCACGGTTCGAGCAAATACGAACAGAAGTTTAGGTTTCGTTTCCGACCCGAGACGATGTAACGTGACGCTCACGCGAGCGAGAAGAGGGTTGGTTGTCATCGGGCATGAGAACACGTTGCGTTGCGACCGAAAGGTTTGGGGACCGTACGTCCAATGGATGATTGAAAGCGGTCTAGCTTTGGGCATACGAGGACGACAAGAAAAAATAGCGGAAGTGAACGCCATCGAATGTGATTTAGACGCCGTTTCGCGACCTTTCGCGTTGTGATATAGAATCCATTATTAATTACTATACGTTTGTGAAACAGAAACGTTTCTTCTTTTACTAATGTACACTTCTTTCTATCGTTGCATCTCTCTAATCTAAACACTGCTAAAGCTAAAAGTAAGCTCTCTTTTCACTATCTCGAGCATCTACTTCTGGTCGTCGTTTTGAGCTTCTTCTTCTTCTTCTTATTCGTCGTCGTCTCCTTCGTCTTCCTGTTGTGTTTGTTCTTTTTTCTTGGCTTTCTTTTGTTCCTCCCATTTCTTTCTCGCCCTTACCTCGTCTTCCTTCAACGCGGCGAACCAGTCGGCTTCGGCATCACCGGACCAGTTATCGATCAAGTCGTTCTTATACTCTCTCTGCGTGTTCATGTGCGTCTTCAACTCTTGCAACAGTAACCCCTCGTAGAATTTCTTCCTCACGTCCACCGTGGTCTCCGTCGAAGGAAGATCCTTCGCCGGATTCATCTTCTTCAAAACTCTTCTTTTTTTTTTGTTTGTTTGTTTGTTTGTGGGGACAAAACCACCAATTTGATAAAAACAAAAAACTTTTGCTGCATGTTTATTCATCAGAGTCATCTAAAATCTGTTCACGACATATACACAGTGAGTAAAAAGAAAGTGGTTTGCGAGATGATGACTGCTTTTGGGAGCATCGTCATCGCGACGACGACGACGACGACGACATCAAAACCATTTTACCCACTCCAACACCACGGGAGAAGAGGAGGAGGAGGAGGATCATCATCGACGAATTCATCAAGAAAATTTATCCACTTGGTGTCTGTTAGAAAAGAACAACAACAACAACAACAACAACGACGACGACATCGAGAACGTGCGCTAGAAACGAGATCGTCATCAGACAACCAGAATACAGTCACAAATACGAAAGGGAAAATGTTGAAATGGTCGGACATAGACGAGAAAACGAAGGAGTTACCGGACGCGTCCGTGGCGAAGAAGATGCAAATAACTGGTGTGCACCACGTGGCGATTATCGTCAAAGATATGCAACGAACGATGGATTTCTACCAAGGCATATTAGGATTAGCGATTAATCCTGCGAGGCCGAAAGATAAGTTACCGTACGATGGGGCCTGGTTATGGATTGGAGACGAGATGATTCACATAATGGAACTACCAAACCCAGATCCGGACGACATCGAGTCTCGACCAACGCACGGCGGCAGAGATCGACACTTTTGCATCGGATGCATGGACATACAGCCGCTGATGGATGCTTTAGATGCGAATAAGATTGAATACACGAAAAGTAAATCGGGCAGACCGGCGATATTCTTCCGAGATCCCGATTCAAACACGTTAGAAGTTGTCGAGGGGTTGGAATGGCGCGTTTAATAAAATCAATCGCACGACGATAATACGTAAATGATAAAGCAAGTCATATTTTTCACAATCTATACAAACGCGTTTGTACTTTACCGCACGCTTTCCCGCTCCGATCGATAGTACATGATTCTAAACTTATATCGTAACCTCTCACGTGTTCAGTACTCTTTGCCATGCTAATGCGCCCTTTAATGCCCAACGCAGTGATGTTATCTAAGACGACCGGCTCGGGAAAATGTAACGCCGTTTGAACCCAGTGCGTTTTCGGTTCTTTCGGAGATGTGGAAAGGACGACGGGATTTTCTCGACAGAACCGGCTCGAAAATTCTGTATCGAACCACAAGGCGATGCCATAAATCGTTTGAGGTTCGTCTTTCGTCGCGTTCTCGAGCGCGTCGAGTTTGAATTCCGCGCTAAACTCGGTATCTTTTGCCGAACACTTACACAAATCGAGTCGTAAAATTTCCGTCTCGGTCGTTCCGATGTGTTTGCCTTCGATGTGTTTTACGACCGCCGTTGCCAACGCGTGATCTAATTGCTGAACGGCAACTTCTTTCATAGAAAATCCATACACGTCGTTCCAGAAATCGAAATCCACTGTCGCCTGTTTCGTAAATCCGGCGATTTTAATGCAACACACGTCCGGTAACAACGCGCCGTCCGGTTTTAAATACTTATCTCTGGCGTATAACACGGTATCCAACATGGACTCGAAGAATAAACCGTAACCCATCCATTCCGAGACAATAACGTCGAACGGTGCACCGCGTATAGAATCCATATCCTCGAGTTTCCCTTCGATGATTTCGACTCTTTCTCGTAAGTCGTTCGCCCCTACGTTCATTCGTGCAACGTCCGCAATCCTGTACGAACCGTCTACGCCGACGACATTTCTCGCGCCACCGTCTCGTGCGGCAAACATTGATAAGATACCCGTGCCGCATCCGACGTCGAGAACATCTGCGTCGTTCATCAGAGTTGGATTCTTGGTGAGCGCATCTCTGTACGCATCCGTCCGCGTTTTATCGCTCAACATGTCTTTATGGATTTCAAAGTACGAGTACGAGTTGAAGTAAGAATCGTCTGAATCCCTCACTCTAGCGTCTGCCTCGTCTTCGTCTTTCTCTTGTTGAGTTCTTTTATCGAATCGATCGCTATCATCATTTGCATACCTTCTACTCGCGCAGTCGTCGTTCATGTTACGTGTCGGCGCCGACGATACGACGATTTTTTCGCCGACGTTCGCCACCGGCGCGAGCTTTTGCTTCTCTTCTTCTTCGCTAATCATCCCTAATTTTTCCATCATCTCGAATACTTTCAACTTGAGTGCCTCGTTCTCGCTTCGCAACGAAGATATCATCAACGACGATGCCGAATGTTCGTTTTGAGACGTAGAATCTCGTTCATCTTTGTTTGCTTTTTCCTCCTTCGTCGCCGCCGGCGCTCTTTCTTCGTCGTCGTCGATGCCGTAGACGTAGGATTCCCACTCGTACGTCAACGGGTCCGACCCACTCGCATCGACGGGCATCAGATACACGTCGTCTTTCCACGCTCCATCGTTGACTCTTGCAATCACTCGTTTTGCCAATTCCTTCTCGTCGTATTCTTTTTCATCTGATTCTTTGTTCTTGTTGTTGTTGTTCTTGCTGTTGTTTTTCGTTTCTTCCAAAACCATTTTACGCACAAAGTTAATCACTTTAATGACGTCGTAAAACTCCAATTCATTTTCATCGTCTTCTTCTTCTTCTTCGCGGCCACTCCTCGATGGTTTCTCTCCTTCTTCTTCCTCTTCTTTACTTTTTATGAAAGTATTCTTCTTATTCAACGAAACGACTCGTCGTAAATCAAATCCAAAGTCAGTGGCGGCTCTCGTTAACGCCTCGTGTGCGTTCGAATACACTCTCTGAGAGAATAAACATTTTGTTTTCCGTTGCTCGGAGATTTCCACGAGAGACTCTTCGTCTTCTATCCACTCTCCAAAGTCTCCCTCTTCTCCTTCTTCTTCGTCTAAATCGTCGTCGTCGTTTTGCATGGTGGTGGTGGTGGTGGTGGTGGTTTGGTGGTTCTTCGCTTTTGTTGTTAAAAAAAGTGTCGATTTTTGACGACGAGAGTCCTTTCTCTTCAGTTGTGACTTTTGCGCCTCTCGTTCTATCAACACGCAGGAAAACACACAACACACACACACAGAAAGAGAGAGAAAGAGAGCACGCACGAATAATATAGCAGTAATAAAATAGTAATTTCCAATACACATCATGTCTTCTTCCGGGGGGCGTTCTTCGGTTTTACCGACGACGACGACGTCGACCAAGCGCGCGAAAACAACCAACAACAACAACGAAAACGAAAACGAAAACGACGAGAACGAAAATCGTCACCTTCCTCGACAAAGAATAAATGTCATCGCGCAACTCGTGGATACGGATGGGAACACCGCCGGTCCTCAGCTGGATTTGCCGCACGATTGTACCTCGAAACAGTTGGAAGAGTTGCTGAACACGTTATTGAATAACACGGAAGAGAAAGGGGAGAAACTCCCGTACGAGTTTTACATTAAAGACGAAACGTTGACGACGGATTTAGGGGACCACTTGGAGAAAGTGAACGCGAGCATGGAACAGGTGTTGAAAATCGTGTACGCCCCACAGGCGTTGTTTCGAGTGAGACCGGTGACTCGATGTTCGTCCGCGATACCAGGTCACGCGGAAGCTATATTATCGGTATCGTTTTCTCCGGACGGGAAACATTTAGCGAGCGGGTCCGGCGATACCACGGTGCGTTTATGGAACCACGAAAGCGAGGCGCCAAAGACGACGTGTAAAGGACACACAAATTGGGTCTTATGCGTGGCGTGGTCGCCAGATGCGCAGTTAGTAGCGAGTGGAGGGATGGATAACATGGTTCGGTTGTGGGACCCAGTCACGGGTGAATCGAAAGGGATTCTGAAAGGACATAAGAAACACATCGTAGGATTGAGCTGGGAGCCGACGCACGCGTTGAAATCACCAAACGACGTTCGATTCGTTTCCGCCTCTGCAGATGGGACGGCAAAAGTATGGAACGTGAATAAGAAAATACCTCTATTTTCGCTTTCTGCGCATTCTAGGGCGCTCTCTTCCGTGAAATGGGGCGGAGAAGGCTTGATTTATACCGCGTCGAGAGACACCACTGTGTACGCCTGGGACGCTAAAGACGGGAAAATTGTTCGACAGTTAAAAGGGCACGCGCATTGGGTAAATACGCTCGCGTTATCATCCGAATTCGCGTTAAGAACGGGTGCATTTGATGAAACCGGGAAACGAGAAGAGTCATTCGAGAAATCAAAAGAACGCGCGCTCGAACGATACAAAAAATTAACGAGAAACAAACCGGAACGTTTAATCAGCGGTTCTGACGATTTTACCATGTTTCTTTGGGAACCGTCGCAATCAAAAACGGCTTTGAAGCGATTGACTGGACACGTGCAACTGATTAATCACGTCATGTTCTCGCCGGATGGTAAGTACTTTGCCTCGGCGTCATTTGATAAAGCGGTAAAATTATGGAACGGCGATACCGGTGATTTCGTGTGTACGTTTAGAGGACACGTCGGTGCGGTGTACCAAATAGCTTGGAGCGCGGATTCGCGATTCGTGTTATCCGCATCCAAAGACTCGACGTTAAAAGTATGGAGCGTGCGTTTAAAGAAACTCGAACTCGACTTACCCGGTCACTCCGATGAGATTTACGCGTGCGATTGGTCGCCGCTAGGAACGAAAGGCGCGAGCGGCGGGAAAGATAAAATGTTGCGACTTTGGAAACATTAATATTTTGTTGCGCGTTTCACGTCGTCAGCGGCTAATAATTATATTAAAAAGAATTATAGAACTAGTAGTTAGTAGTAGGGAGGGAGCTAATTTATCAAATGATCTTTCAATACGTCTTGCAAATGTGCTCTGGCACGCTCCGCGGCTTCTTCTTGCAAGACTTTATCTAAATCAGACGAGTCCTTTGCGCTGGTTATGAACGCTTCCGCTCGAGCGTGCTGAGCAATAGTCGCTTCCGCGCGCAGTTCTTCGATGTGCTTTTGCTTCGCTTTTCTCCAAATATTTTGATGCACTTCGTCCCATCGATTAAAGCCTTTCGGTAAGTCCACGTCGTATACTTGCTTCTCCTCTTCTCCTGGAGCCAACGGCGGTGGCGGAGACGTTTTCAATGCCAACAAATTGTTCTTATTCAGCTCGAGCAAAGGACGTTGTTTCAAAACGTGTCCTTCGGTATCTACTCCTAACCCCGCTAACTCTGTGGGGTGCATGTACGATTTCAACTCGTCAAAGTGCCTGAAATCGGACGATGGCATGATTCTGATCGGTGTGCCTCGCGTTTTTGGGACTCCGTTCTCTCCGAACCGAAATCTTCTCGGGAGCAAGTCCGACGGTCTCATTCTCAGCGCTCCTCCGTTCGAGATGTTCCCGTCTTCTCCAGCAGCAGCTGCGAAGAAGAAAGAGTTCAACCCCGAGGCGAGTAACCAAAAAAGGGCGGTCAAAATGGCTAAAGTTGTCAACGGGTACTCCGATGCGCCCGACTGTCTATAAATGTATTGCACTCGCGTGTATACGGCGTTGGCGGAACAGTTCCCACCTTCGGAAAACGCCGCGAAGGTTGACGATGATGATGATGATGATGATGAAGCTTCTTCTCCTCCGCTCTTTTCTTTTGCATTCGTTTCTTTTTGCGTCGTTGTATCGTTTTTGTCCTTATCGTCGTCGTCGTCGTCGTCGTCTATGCCTAATTCCATCCTCCGGAACTTTTGTTCCTCTCGATGACTCGGCATTGTTCTCCGATGATGATGATAATGATGATTAAACGACGAGCGCTGTTCTCTTCGAAGTTGTGTGAAATGGTGTAATTTGTGGATTACTTTTGTTGATTATTTATTTATGTTTGTGAGAGGAGAGAGAAGTCAGAAGTGAGAAGAAAACAACAAGAAATAGTAAGCACTCTGAAGAATGAAGAAGATATCAACATTGGCGGCGTCTCTCTTTCTTTCTCTCTCTTTCGCGTGTGTGTATGTGTGTGGTATTACAATTACATGCTTGATTCTAATTTATCTTTGGCATGTATCCCGGAGGTGCGTCGCTGTCGACAGATTGACTCACCGCCGCCGACGACGGCGCCTTTCCTGGCATTGGAATAAATCCTTCGCCTTCGTCGGTGGTGCCATTAATCTCGTTCGTTCGTAATGCCATCGGTATGAAAACGGAGCGTGCCGTCGCGAGATCCATTCCAGCAAACTTTTCGTACCCCAACGAAGATTGCACGGCGATGTTCACGCCGTTTCTGCACTTTCCTCCGATGCACCTTCCAGCGGATGTTTCGCAGGGCCAATTTGAAGGCAGGTCATTCTTCAGGCTCTCGGCGATGGCGTATGCGCCGTTCCTACGGCAGTATTTCCCCGTGCACACTTCCAAAGTAGCGACCGGGATGATGCCTTCACCTAGGACAAGCGGTGAAAGTAAAGGACAGGCCCCTAACGACGCCAATCCAGCTGGTTCTTCAACTTCGTTGTCCGGAATGTTCGCACCCTCGGCGATTGCAGCTTGCGAAATCGTCGTTTTACCTCTCTTGTTCTTTTTCTTCTTTCCCATTCCGAGAGAAAGCATGGTGTTTTTCAATTTCTTCATGCCCTTTTTCTTCTTTCCGCCGCCGCCGCCGCCACCTTTTCGGCGTCCTGCTCGCTCGCACTCTGAATCCGAGGAGTCGCTACTACTGCTACTGCTACTACTACTGCTACTACTGCTGCTGCTGCTACTACTACTACTACTACTACTACTCGAAGATGAAGACGATGAACTCCCTCCTTTCTTCTTCTTTTTCATCTTATACTTCTTCCTCGCCTTCATTCCATCGCTCCCCGAGGCGTTCAAGATTAAATTTTCCAGACCTCGCATAGCTTTCTCTCTCGCTTTATCCTGCTTCTTTGCCTTCTTCTCGCTACTTTTACTTTCAGCTTTTCGAGCAAGCGAGGCTAGTGGATCTCGTCGTTTCCTTCTCGATGTTCCTTTTCCTTCATCGTCGTCGTCGTCGTCTGAGTCGCACACTTCTCCGTAGTGCACCACGTGGGAGTTGTCTTTGAAAATATTTTCACCTCCGACGAGAATGCCAGCTTCGTAAGAAGATCTCGTTTTCGTCGCCTGCGTCTTGGCATCTCTTCTCGTCGTTCGCTTAGCAGTGAATGCTGCGTTTCTTTCATCCTCTCCTCTCGGTTCTCTTTGTTCGAGCGTCCCATCTCGAGCACGTATAAATCTTCTTCTCGTACTCGTCAATTTTATGCCAGCTGGATCGGTCTTCGTTCTTCTTCCTCTTCTTGGAATGGTCGCGGTGGTGGTGGTTGCACTGGCAGTGCGTGAGACCATCGCCGTCGTCGTCGTCATCACTATTTCCCCTGCGCTTCTTTATTGTGTGTGTGTGTGTGTGTGTGTGTGTGTGTGTGTGTGTGTGTGTGTGTTTGCGTCTTTCGCACGCGCTCGTCGTCGCGCAAAGAAGTTATGAAGAGAAGATAAAACAAAGAAGGCACACGCCCTCCCCTCAAAATCCACTTTTTTTGATTTTTTTTTTCGAAAACTCTTTTCCAAAAAAAATGAATCTTCTTTTCACCTCTCGGTGTGATTTCACTCAGATTTATTTAGCTTCTGTTTTTCTTTATATACATCATCATCCGTGCTAAACGCGGTTATTAAAGGTGAGAAAAATGAAAAAGTCGCAGCGAGATGAGACGGAGAGGAAGAAATTTAGACCTCTGTGTTCGAAAGAGCACGCCTTGCGAGTATGGATGACGCAGTATTCTTATTTTTTCGACAGAAGCAACAGCAATCCCAACGAGGCGGAAGAGATTGAAAAAATTACAATGTTGGATTCGTACGACGACGCGAACTTTCTCTTTCACGTCTTCAACGACATTTTCAAGAGCAAAGACAAAAACGAAAACGAGAGTAAGAACAGACCAATAACAAAGTTCATCGTGAAGTTTCACAACGGCGTAGATTCGGTGGAACCAAACGCACGTTTATTGGACTGTCACGAGTTTGCCATGGATTGGCTTTCTGAAAAGAATATATGCACCTCTGCAGTCATGCTCACAAAGTCGGGAGCGACGCGTTTCGAGTGGACCGATGGTGATAGCACGAACAACGATAGTAATAACGATCACATAAACAATAGCGCAGAAAAGAACCAAATGAAACACGCCGTGAAAGTGTTGCGGTACGTTGAGGGTACTTTACTTATAGACGTAGTCAACGCCTTGGCGGAGAAACCGGAGGAACAGAAGGCGTTTTGGCGCAGAGTCGGCGAGTTTGTGGGTGAAATATCCGCGAGTTTCCTGCAATGGAATCCTGAAACGCCTTCGATTAAAGAAGATGGGAAAAGGCTTTATCGCACACTAGCAACGCGCGAGTCTTTGTGGGACGTGCGAAACTTTGAAGACGTCCGAATGTTTGTGGATGCGTTAAAAAGTAAAGGAGAAGGACTCATCAAGGACGAAAACGCCATCGAGCAAGTTTTCGAATGGTACGAAGAACGCGTCAATAGCATTCGAGACGATGCGAAGAAACTGCGAATGAGCGTCATACACAACGACTTGAATGAATCAAACATTCTTGTTACCGCGAGTGATTGGAAAGAGAGAGTAAAGAACGATAACATAGACGTGCTGAACGATTTCGCGTGCATCGATTTTGGCGATATTTGTGTATCGTGGACGGTTATTGAAATTGCGACGGCGATGGCGTATTGTGCTTTGGCTACGCCGAATGCGCCCATAGAAAGTTGCGAAAAAATGCTCGCGGGGTATGCCAAGACGTTTAGTTTGAACGAACACGAAATCAAAGTTCTTCCAGTATTATTGATGAGCCGAGTTGCTACTTCTCTCGTGATGGGACTTTACAGTCACCATTTCAAGTCGACGGAGGATGCTGGTTGTGGCGAGAATCAAGTAAAAAAGGAAGAAAAAGAAGGAGAGTTTCAAGACAACACGGCATACTTGTTGAAATCGCAAGAAACTGGTTGGAATATTCTCGAAGCGTTCATACGAGAGACTCCGGAAAAGTTGGCAAACGCGTATGCGGGAATATTTGCTCATCGTTTATAGATGTGATAATGTTATTGTTTTTAATTAAAAGAATCGTTTTCTCATCCCTCTCGCTCGCTCCCTCGCTCAAGCTCGCGCGTCTACGCGCCGAGCAGCTTGAGTAACTCTGCATCTTCGTTGATTGGATTCTTCGCTTCTAATTTGACCAGATCTAATGGCGTTTTACCGGTTCCATTTTTAGCCGTAACGTCGCTATTCATCTCGAGTAATTTTTTCACGGCGAAAATCTTACCGTAGCCGCACGCGTAATGAAGCGGCGTGTTTTGCTTTTCGTCTCTAGCGCTTAAATCAATAGAGTCCGCCTCGATGAGCAAGTCGAAAATCTCTTCGCCAGCGCTACCTTTCCCGAACGCAATCGCGTAGTGAATAGGCGTTCTTTGCGAAGAGTCTCTCGCGTTCACGTCTTTGCCGATGGCCAGAAAATCTTCAACAGCCTCGATGTCACCGTATCGCGCGGCATCGTGTAACGTCTCCACTTCGGGTGGTGGTGCCGGTGCTGCTGGTGGAGGTGCCGCACCTCCCGGCGGCACAGCTTCCGCTGGAATCGCCCCTCCCGCGGCTGCTCGAATGGCTTCTTCGCCGCCGAGTTTATCGTTGAGCTTTTTCAAAAACGCTTGATCGGTTGAATACTTCATCATAGCTCCGGGGCCGTTCGCTCGTAAATCGTCGAAGAAGTCTTTAAATTCCGGGTCGTCTTTTAACCCCGCGATTTTTCTCTGCATGTCTTCGTTTTGCACCATATTTTGCATCGCTTGCATTTGTTGCTGCACCATCGGGTTGCTCATCATCCCTTGCATTTGCTTCATCTGCTCTTGAAGTTTCTTTGCAGTTTCTGGATTCTTCATCGCCTCTTGATACGCCGCTTGCATCTCTTTCATCTTCTCCGGATCCATACCCGGCATGTTTGGCATCCCGCCCGGTGGAAGCATGTTTACTCTCGTTCTCTCTCCTCTTCTGTTGTTGTTGTTGATATTGTTGCTGCGCAGCGACGACGACCGATTCGGACGACGACTGCGACAGGAGGTTGTGGATGATGATTTCGCGACGCCGACGGCGGTCGACGAGGAAGCGGAGAATGCGAGCGCTTGCATTTTATGAATATAAGTATATATATAATGTGTGTGTGTGTGTGTGTGTAATAAAACTGTTGCGCTCGTTAAAAACGTGCGGGTGTTTATCTATTATGTGTTCGCGTTCTTTTTATAGAGAATTTTATCCATTCTGATGAAAGCTTCTTGGCTGTGCATTGGCTGTCCGAGGCAATAACCGACGAGGGAAGGGAATTCTCTTTCAAAAAAACGAGAACGAAAAACAATCTTCTCGGCATTTTTTATTAGAGAGCACGCACCACGACGTCGCCGCTTTCTCTCATCCGCGCTCTGCGAATCAAGAAGAAAGAAAAACTGCTGAAAAGAGCGTTAACGTTTACGTTTCCGCATTCTTCTTCTTTAACTTCTTCTTCTTGTTACTCCAGGAGTTTGCTCGATCATCGCGCTGTCGTTTTTTCAACAAAAACAGCCATCGAAAACGTCATCACCCCGCCACTCCCTTCTCGTAGTCTTCCTCAACAACAAAGGAGAAGTTTATCATCAATCAAACCGATCATCATGTCTTCCGCGTCATCCGTATCGATGAGATCCGGTTTACACGTTGCCGCGTTGAAGAGACGAAACGCTGTCAGCGCGCGCTCCGTAAACTACGCCAAAGCGCGTGCTTCCGTATCGTCGTCGTCATCGTCGAACAACAACAACAACAACAAGCCGATGCAAACGACAATGAGAAAGAGCCAAACTTCGGCTGCCATCGCTGCGGACAACGCTTCTGTGGAATCTATGGCGACAATGAGTGCGCCAAGCAACTTGCACGGCTTCGATCTCGTCAAAGAAGAGTTCGTTCCGGAATACAACGCGAAAGGATTCTTATTCAAGCACAAAAAGACGGGCGCTGAGGTGATGTCGCTCTCGAACGACGACGAGAATAAGTCTTTCGGTGTTACGTTTCGCACGCCACCTGCAAACTCGACCGGTATTCCGCACATCCTCGAGCACTCTGTGCTTTGTGGTAGCAGAAAGTATCCAATCAAAGAGCCTTTTGTTGAGTTGATCAAAGGAAGTTTGAACACGTTCTTAAACGCTATGACGTACCCGGATCGAACGTGCTATCCAGTCGCTTCGTGTAACCTCGCCGATTTCTACAACCTCGTTGACGTGTATTTAGACGCAGTATTCCACCCAAAGTGCATCGAGAACGAGAGAACGTTCGAGCAAGAAGGTTGGCACTACGAGTTGAACGACAAGGACGAAGACTTGACGTACAAAGGTGTCGTTTTCAACGAAATGAAAGGCGTGTACTCTTCTCCAGATTCCGTACTCGCGCGCGAATGTCAGCAAGCGTTATTCCCGGAAAATACGTACGGAGTCGATTCTGGCGGTTCGCCGGAAGTCATCCCTGAGTTGACTTTTGCCGAGTTCAAAGACTTTCACGGGAAATTCTATCACCCATCCAACGCGCGCCTTTGGTTCTACGGCGACGACGACGTTGAGAACCGTTTGAAGCTTTTGAGCGGATTTTTGGACGAGTTCGATGCCAAGGACGTCGACTCTTCCATTGCTTCGCAAGCTTTTTTCAAGGAACCAAAGCGAGTCGTGAAAACGTATGCCTCTGGTGAAGACGAGGAAGCGCAAAAATGTTTCGTCCAAATTAATTGGTTGCTGAACGACAAACCGTTCGATCAAGAGACTGCCTTAGCCGTGGGATTCTTAGACAACCTGTTGTTAGGCTCATCCGCTTCTCCATTGAGACTCGCTCTGGAGGAGTCTGGTTTAGGAGAAGCCATTGTTGGATTCGGTTTGGAAGATGAGTTGAGGCAACCGTCGTTTGCGATTGGGATGAAAGGGGTGGAGGAAGCTGATATCCCGAAAGTTGAAAAATTGATCTACGACACGATGGAAAAAATCGCCACGGAAGGATTCACCGATGATGCAATCGAAGCATCTATCAACTCCATCGAGTTTTCGCTCCGTGAGAACAACACCGGCCGATTCCCGAGAGGATTATCGATGATGCTACGATCCTTATCGGCGTGGTTGTACGAGGGCGATCCTTTCGAACCGTTACGTTACGAGGAACCGCTCAAACATTTGAAGTCACGCATTTCATCCTCTGAAGATGTTTTTAGACCGCTCATGCGAAGAATGTTCTTGGAAAACACGCACCGCGTTACGGTTGAATTGAAACCAGACCAAAAACTCGGCGAAATAGAAGCCAACGAGGAAAAGATGAAATTATCTGCCAAGAAAGCTTCGTTGTCCTCGGAAGAAATTGAACACGTCGTCGCGGAGACGGCTGCTTTGAAGCTGTTGCAAGAAACGCCAGATTCGCCAGAGGCGCTCAAGTGCATACCGGCTTTGGCTTTATCGGATATCCCTAAAACTGCCAAGGAAATTCCGAGTGATGTTGGGTCGATTGGATCCACGGAACTTTTGACCCACGATTTGTTCACGAACGACATCATTTATGCCGAGCATCTCCTCGATATGAAGACAATCCCGGAAGACTTGTTGCCGCTTGTACCTTTATGGACGCGCGCGCTAGGCAGAATGGGCACTTCGAAGAGAAATTTTATCGAATTCGACCAAATCATCAACGCGCAAACCGGCGGTATTTCTGTTTCGCCGTTTGTTTCGCCGATTCGAGGGGATCCAAACGCAATCTCCGCGTATATGGTTTTCAGAGGTAAAGCGACTTCGGATAAAGCAGGTATTATGTACGACTTGATGACAGAAATGTTGTTTGACTCGAAGCTCGACGATCAAAAAATCTTCAAGCAACTAGTTCTCGAAACGCGGTCTGGAATGGAAAGTAGAGTCCAGGGGGCGGGACATTCCATCGCGGCTTCGCGACTGGAAGCGCAGGACTCCGTCGCTGGGTGGGTCAACGAACAAATGGGTGGTTTGGACCAATTAGAATACTTACGAAAGTTGGCGAAGCGCGTGGATGAAGACTGGGATTCCGTGGTTGCGGATTTGGAGACGATCAGAAAGTGCGTGTCTTCGCGGAACAACAGCATAACCAACTTGACGGGAGACTCGAAAACGTTAGATTTGTCGCTCAGTAGTGCGGAGAAATTTTTAGGCTCGCTGAATCAAAGCGCTCCTGCTTCTTCGGCAAACGCGTGGAAGACTATAAACCCGGCTATAAACGAACTTCTGACTGTTCCAACCACGGTGAACTACGTCGGTAAAGCGGCCAATTTGTACAAAAGCGGATACGAATTGAACGGGTCTTCTTACGTAATCAACAAATTGCTCGGGACGACGTGGCTTTGGGACCGCGTTCGCGTTTCCGGTGGAGCTTATGGTGGGTTTTCCGACTTTGACTCGCACTCCGGGATGTTCACGTACTTATCTTACAGAGATCCAAACTTATTGAAGACTTTGGATAACTACGACGGTACAGTGGAGTTTTTGCGCAACTTACACGTGGACGAGGATGAATTAACGAAGTCCATCATCGGTACGATTGGTGAAATCGATTCGTATCAGTTACCAGACGCGAAAGGATACACTTCTCTCATGCGTCATCTGCTGAAAATTACCCCGGAGGAGCGTCAAGAGCGTCGCGAACAAATCTTAGGGACTACGAACAAGAGCTTCAACGACTTTGCAGGGGCGCTGGAAGCGGTGCGCGCACCGTCGGCCAAAGTGTCGGCGGTATGCTCCGCCGAAGCTGCTGAAAAAGCTAAAAGTGAACGCCCGGATTTAGACTTTCAAATTAAGCGCGTTATTTAATGTTACATGTAATGAAGATACCAAATAGTACATATCAAATCTAAAAGAAAAGCTAAGGAAAAGGGGGACGCCAAACTACCTCTAGCCGAGTCGAGCAGCTTCTCTACTTCCACAACCTCTTTGAAGTCGCCTTCACACTCATGCGATGCGTAGCTAGAGCCGTGACGCCTACGACCAACAAACTAATAATCAATAAACCGTATGAGAATTCCTCATCGAGCGCATCGAAAGATTGCGATGGGTGCAAACGGGTGTAAAATACATCCACGCCTCGGGCAAAACAAAGCACGGTACTCTCTAGCGCAGTGGGCGCCGTTACCACATCTTTCAAACGGGCTACGATATTCTTGTTTGTCACCCAAGACGAGGGTGATAGTGGTAAAACTTCCATATACGGGATTAACCCCTCATCGCGATCGAATGCAGATGGTTTCGTCGGTCTACGGGGATCGAGCCAGCGTCTATCCAGCGCAACCACTTGATCCGTATCTGTTCCAAGAAGAACTTGGTGTCCAGTAATGCCACGAGCCGATGCCGTGACTCGCATGAACTTTGTTCCCGGTCGAATAAAGTACGATTGACCCAGCACGCGAAGTGGTGGAGGCGTGAAGGATGACAAAACCGTTTCATCGTCATCCGTCACTTGGCGCACACCAGCCGCCGAAGATGATATATTCTTCTTTGTAGCAGAGCTTGTACTCCTCCCAAACAAAGATTTCAACACTAACTGGGACACTGCTTTGTTTTTGCGAGTTTCAGAATCATCGTAGACTTCTAGAACGCTGAGTGCGTGTCTTTGCGCGTCTGTGTCATAGTAAGAGTACGTGATCCAGTTTTCGCACAATGTGGCGTAAACCGGACCTTTCGCTTTCGCGTGATATACCCTGTAAATAATTCTTCCTGAAACACCCTCGACCAAATGCGCGTGAATACCGCGTCCATCATCCGTCGCGATGAAGAAAACGTTCGGATTGACGTATTTGAACATAGTAGAACGATCGCCTGGAACTTTCACCCACGCATGAACGGGTTCCGTTTGCGCAGCTTTCCGAGAAAACCCTACAATATTCCCAGACTCCGGCGGGAATTTAATAGTCCACGTATGTACTCCACTCGCACTTGTCCCTTTATCTGTCAAGGCGAAAGTGTATCCACGCACTTCGTTCCGCTCTTGATCCACAACATAGTACGAATTTCGCGATATCGCGCTTCTCACTGCGTTCAGCGTAGTGCTTTCTCGACTATCTGTTTCTGGTGGGTACACCGACGCTTCCCCCACGTCATCCACAAACAGAATCCGAGAAGCTTTTCCAGAAACTTCTAGTGGAACTAAACGCACGGCAGCAAAACCATAATACGTTGCGTCTGCTGCCTTAGTGCCATCTTCTTGATACACACACTGCACAATAGTCGTCGTTGCGTTCTTTGCTACTGTGAGCAAGGCCTCCTTCCCGTCAACCACCCACGGAACCAACGCCGTATACTTCCATTCATTCTTTGCGCATCCCAAGTGCGTGCGCCATACCACTCTACCATCGCCATTGTGCAGCGCAATGAGTGATCCAGTAGGTGTGAGAAAAAGTAATGAACGTCGAAATCCAATATCATCGCGAGTGGGGAGCAGCTTCGTACCTCTAGATCTGCGGAGTTTCGCCAATTCTGCGCGCATTTCAGCGTCGGCACGGTTCAAGCGCGCGGCAAGTGCTAAGTACTGCACACGAGCGGACTCTTTCAGGGAACTTTTAACAACAACTGCGTTGGCTTGTTCGCGAGCGTCCGTGTAGACCGCAATGGTTTCGGGTAAATACCCGAACATAGATTCACTCGCCGTGGCTATCGATTCTTCCCGGGTCCAGATTGGATTAGTTTTCGTTTTCTTATCCACGAAAGTTAGAAAGGCGTCTCTGTGTACAACGACTGCGTTCGTAGTCTTGGGATCTACGAATACGCTCTTGACGTGCGCGTATTTTTTCAAAAGATTGCTATCGTCACCAATGTGCCACTCCGCGACTTGCAGAGCGTCGTTACCGTTACCGATTAAAGCTTGCGCCGTCACTTTAAGAACCGGGGAGGACGAAGAAAGCTTAGAACTTTCCACGACAAATATCTCATCGTTGTGGAACGATACCGCTACTTTGTTCTTATCTGGAAACGAACGCACGGACGTTAACTGCTTCGATGTATCAAGAAAGCGAAGCAGGGTCATTTCTCCGGCGTCACTCGATAGTATCATGGCTCCAGCCAAGCGGGAGCTGCGATATGATTTCTCATCTCCAGCTGAAGCGACAGTGTTTAACTTGATGAAATTACGAGTATCCGTACTTCCATTGCCTCCTTTGTTGTAAGTATTGCTCGCATCATCGCTAATGCCGAGTTTCATAACCGAAACATCGGCGAATATGGAAGCGTCACCCCCTTTCTTCTCAAAAAAGGCCGATGCGTCAATCGTAACGACCGAGAAATTTTGCTTCTTCGACTTGGAAGTCCTTTTCAACGCGACGAAGACTTTATCACTGTTCGCTCCCGCGCAAAAGACGGAGTACTTACCGTCTTCGCCTACGATTCCGGAAAGTTTTGTCCCGCCCACAGCGGTATGAGTCACGTGCCCGTCAGAAACCCGAAGCGACGCTCCACAAATGCTCGAATCAATGGTCGAGACTCCCACCGCGTAGACGGCTTTCGAGCCCTCTTCCAAGCATACTCTCTGTAAATGACATTTTTCGTTTGTTTCCGTCGCGATAGCTTCGGCCACGTTCGCCTTCCACTGCGTCACGCCGTCGGCGAGAGATCGTAACGTCACCGTACCTTTTGCGAGCACTAAGAAATCGTGGACTGTATCACCATCGACATCTTTGCCAAGAGGTAAGATGTCGATACCCAAGTCTTTTGCTGACTCCAAGTATAACTCCTCAGAAGCTGCGGCTTCGGTGTATGCGATGGTCTCCCATATCATAGAGCCGTCCTCGATATCGAGCGCTCTGATGAACTTCCCACTCGATGACTGCACGAGCAAGAATTTTTGTTCGTCCCTCGTATGTGTTGTCGCGGAGACGAGCGAAGCGTAATCGACCGCATCGGACTCATCCAACGTAGCTCGCCACTCTATGGTACCATCTTTCTGATCGAGAGCGGCGATTATGTTCGAATCTTGCGTCGTGACCAAAACCTTATTCCGATCGTTTTCCCCGGTGAGAAACGAAACGAAACGAACGTCGCCGACGAATTTCAAGTGCCAGTCGTACGTGCCGAGTTGGTCTTCGCGCAAAGCGTTCGATGTGTTCACTAAGACTCCGCATAGGAATAAGACGACCGATGCGATGCTCATCGAAAAGTTGAGGCTTTTTTTGCGCTTGGCCGCCGATGCTTTTGCTCTCATATCAACGACGGAAAGTTATTGTGATGATGTGTCTTTCGCCTCCAGTGAGTGAGGAGTGAAATATTCTTGAGAAAGAAGAAGAAAAGAAAGAAAATCGACACGTGGTGTTGGTGTTGGTGTTTGAATTATTAGGGGATTTGCTGCTTCAAAGAAAAAAGCGTTGAAAAACATCATCATCACGCGACGTAATCACAATCAGCAAGGAAAGATCTTTCCTCTCTCTCTCTCTCTCACTTCTCTCTCGTTTCTCTCTTTACGTGTGTGTGCGTGCGTGTCGATAAAAAAAGAAGGCAATGGGAGGCACGTATTCCGAGGGGTTCTCTCAAACCGACGGGTGGAAATTGGGAGTGCTCTTTCTTCTCTTTGTCGTCATCTCGTACGCGTTCATCGAATTCAACACGAGGCTAGAGCATTATTTAAAAGAGAAGAAGCTGAGAGCGTTGCGGCACGTTTTGCATAAACTGCAGCACGAGATTATGCTTTTAGGATTCATATCTCTCTCGCTCATCGCGCTGCAGGAACCTCTACTGAAAATTTGCGTCAGTGGGGAAAGTTCGTCGGCGGAGCAATACACGCACGATTGCGGCGAAGGCAAGAAGCCATTCTGGTCGGCGACTACGATTCATCAGACGCACATTTTTATCTTCATTCTAGCGGTAACGCACGTGGCGTACATCTCACTATCTATGCTCGTCTGCATTCTTAAATTGAACTCGTGGAAGAAGTGGGAAACCGGCGACCACGATATCGTGCCGTTGAATCCCCACATCAATCCGAGACTGGTCATTGATGCGAATTTATTAGTGCTTATATGGAGAGCATTTTGGGCGCAATTTCGATTCTCGGTCAACCGAGAGGTGTATCTTTCGTTGCGAAGACTTTTTGTCGAACGCCTAGGCACGCCGGACGACTTTCATTTCCACGATTTTTTGGTAGAGGCAATGGAGGAAGATTTCGCGAGCATCATTGATACTAAAGTTTTCATGTGGGTTTTAGCCGCTTTATGGGTCACTGTACCAAGATATGTCTTCTTACCTGGAGGGATCGCCGCGTTAGCGATCATGCTTTTCGTGGGAACGATGTTAGAAGCCGTAAATATTAGATTAGCTCAAGCAGCCTACGAAAGATTCGTAGGCGAAGCTGCTCAAACGTCCAAAACTCTGCGCGAAAACGGAGAAGACGAAGGCGAGACCGAGTACACCGACGATAATAATTATACTCCAGCAGAGTTGAAGAATAAAAAGAAGAATGTAACAGATGCTGCAGAAAATGGGACGCAACTTTCGGGAGGCATGCGAACGATAGCGGAGGAAGAGGAGAAAACAGCAAAGCCTCAAACGTTGCCAAGCAAAAGTACTTTCAGCAGTCTCCGCGACAGAGCCGGTGATTTTTTCAAAGGTGTTAAAGATAAAGTCTCGATGCACGCAACTAAAGAGTTAACGAGTGAAGAACGCTCGAAGAAACGGCGAGCGTTGCGGGCAGAAATTGATTCGAAAAATTATTTTTGGCGCGGAAGACCTCAGATTTTACTCACAATCTTCCAATATGTTTTGTTTGAAAACGCCATGTCGCTTGCAATGTTAGTTTTCTCGGCTTGGCAGGATCCGGATTGGTTATCACAGAATGCAAATGTGCAAGCGAATGCGTCTATTTTGCTTTTCATAGTCGATATTATTGTTCTTTTGCATTCCGCGTATTTCATCTTGCCGGTGTATGCGATATCCTCGGTAGTCGGAACGCACTGTTCGATGTCTTTGGTTGAATATGCTAAAAAAATGGGCATTTCGAACGAGCGCGCCGTGGAAGCGTACCGTCGTCGGGCTGACTTTAAGAAAGATGACGCCGATAACTATATGTACGACTCCTCTGGAACGCAAACACCAGATTTTGATGATGTTTTAAAAGCAGCGTCATCGATGTCATCGCCGCAATCGCAGACGAAAACGAAATCGCAGAAAGCTCCGGAATTTTTATCGCATTTTGTTGGTGTTCCAACGGATAAATCTTTGGCGAGACGTAACGAAGTTCCAGTCGCTCCGTTTGATCATTCACTGGATAACGAGCGGTCAATGACGGCTTTGCTCGGTGCGATTCTAACGAAACAAATGCGTGAAATTCGTGCGAAAGAAGCTGCGCGTGCGGCGCAGAAGCATAAACCGAGACCACATTCCAATTCACCTTTAGCTGCACTTAAACGTACAATGTCTGGAAGAACGCTGAATTTAGGACTAGAAGAGATGACAGATTCACAGCAACTGCCAAGCAGCAGTCGATTTCGAGGCGAACCGCTCGCTTCTCCGACGTGGTCGGTTTCCGAGCGAGCAAAGCAAAAAGAAAAGGACGAACAAGAGGAAGTAGCATCCCCAGAATCAAAGGAGACGCCATCGACTGCGCCAAAAGGTCGCATGGTATCCTCAATGCGAGCAGTGCCATCTTTGAAAGACGTGTTCCGATTCACAGAGCAGCAGCCATCGCGTACGCGTACGAGTTTTAGCGAAGAGACTAGGGATGAACAACATCCACAACAAGAAGTAAAGACAGAGCTGGAGGAAGTCGTCGTTGAACAACAGCAAAAGCGGAAAATTAGTTTGGACATTATGAGAAAGACAAGTATCGATGAAGAAAGGGAGACTACGAAGAACCTGGACGACGATGGTGACGAAGAAGAAACCAGTAAACGATCAATCAAGGATATATTTCCAATGTAATTTAGTTCTCATAGAGTTACTGTATGTATTTGATGATATTAAAAAGTAGTGTCTGTGTGTGCGTTTGATGTACAAAAAAGATGCGCGTCTCTCTTCTTTCTCTTTTCTCGCCGCGTGCCGGATCGTTGACCACCTCCCTCAGTTTTCGTCATCCGCAGCGTACGCACGTTTGGCTTTCAATGCAAGCTCCCCACCGCACAATTCTAAAACTTCGCGCCACAATGGCTTCGGGAGGGCTATGACAGGTTTGAGCGCGATTTGTCTAGAGCATGCAACTGGGTACCACACGCCGCGGGCACACTCGTCTTCGAGTTGGCCAGGAGCCCATCCACAGTAGCGAGCAAAGAATTTGAACTCGCGCGGGTCCTTCTTCCCTTCCTTCACGAGCCTCCCGGCATCGTTGAATCCACCAATGAAGACACCTGGGGAGACTTCCTCGGCGTCCGCAACATCGGGGGAACCGTGCAGGAACGATACCGTGCCATCCCCTACGTCGCCTCCGAAATACAACGCGTTTTCGCTAAACGGTCCGTTTTCGTCGTTGACAACGTCTGCCATTTTGTACATCGTCGGTCTGTTCAGTATGACGCCCATTGATCCGTCTTTAGAGTGTTCCAGCAATAAAATGACGCATTGGTTAAAATATTGCTGCGAAGTTACGAAATCGTCCGTGGCGGCAACTATCAACGAACCTTTCTCCGGCTTGGCGATGACGTGCGCCCAAGCTTTGTCTTTAGCGAGTCCCGGGTTTTGTGTTTTAAGTAACTCCAAATTCGCCTCCGTCGCTTCTCTTTCGCGTCTATCGCGTTCTTCCTGGCTTTCAATTTTAGCGTTATCAATCGCATCATCGATGATACCGGATCCAGATTTCGTCGTTTTGCGTTTCTCTTTTTCTTGGTTGTTCGTCCCTCCTTCTCCTCCTGCTTGCATCTGCTGTTGCAACTGTTCCACGTCGATTTGTTCGTCCGGAAGTTCCGCCGTAGCTTGCGAAGCGACGAGCTTTGCCCGAAACTCTCTCCAATCACCATCTAACGCAGGTGCCACGTCGTCCTTTATAAAAACAGAGTTATGATGGTAATGTGAAATATGAAAGGTCAGTTTCAAGAAGAGAGAGAAAAGATACGCCGTTTGAGGAAAAAATATCAACGACCCGCCCCACGCACGAAAAGAGAAGACGAAGAAGAGAGGAAACGAAATTTTTCGATGAAGAAAGATTGATTGAGACTCTCGCCGAGAATACGATCTTCTACACCGTCGCTCTGTCGTCGATGACGAGAAACGAAGGTGAAATCGCACAGGTTTTGGATTCTCACCTCAAATTCAGGAAGTTTACTGTTCTCGTCGTTCTTCTCGTCGTCGTCTCGTTTTGCTCGTAATCTTGTTCGTTGGTATTTTTGGTGACGTCCAAGATTTTTGTTTTGAACAGAAGAAGAAGAGGAGACGATGCAGCAGCGCAGCGTCGATAAAGACGCCATTCTTTCTATCTTGACTTTTGGAAAGGTGTGATAGAATTGAGCGCGTCCGTGTGTGCGTGATGTGCGCGCGTGTATATTTAGATGAGCGCGTGCTTTCTTTATTCTTTTTGTGGGATTTCGAAAGGAAAGATTATTTTTTTCTTCGTGCGCTCAGAAATACGCGCTTCACATCACGTGTTTCATTGTGCATTAATTCTGTGTCTACATTATCTACATTATCTATAGCTATTCTTATTGTTGTTGTTATTGTTCTTGTTGTTGCTGTTGTTGTTGTTGCTGTTGTTGTCCAGCAAGAGGAGCAGTAGCAACACTAGCAGCAGTAGCAGTAGCAGCAGCAGTAGCAGTAGCAGCAGCAGTAGCAGCTTCCTGTATCTTTGCCATTTGCGTTGTGATTTTAGTTTCCATTTCTGTGTACCGCTCAATCGTTTCTTTGTGCTTCGAAGCCGCGAGCGCAAAAATTTCAATTTCTGATTCGGCTTCTTTTCTCGCGTTACCCATCATGTCTTTTTCCCGATGAAACGCATCTTCGAGTAGTCGATACTGATGCATTTTAATGAGACATTTCTTGATTCTATTCTCAGCAATCGAAGAACTTAATCTCTCTATTTCAATCTCTTCGTTTATCGCTGCGTTTTTTATCGCAAGAATAGCCGCCGTGAACAAAGCGTTTGCAGACTCAACAAATTCCCGGTCATTGATTTCATCCTCTTCGTTCACTTTGTTTTCAAGCAGTTTCAGCATGGCTTCTCGAGCGGCAACGGCGGCAATTCTGGGTGAAAACATTGTACTTAAAAACGAAATTCGAGCCAGAACTGGATTACACAACTTCTCGTCGAAGCTTTCAGCGCAAAAATCGTATTGTTTTGCATCTCTGGCATGATCGACTGCAACACCGCGCGGAATAATTGTTCGTTTTTGTAAATCATTCAAAACCTCATCTTGAATGGGTAAGGCCACAAAAGCTCGAATGCAATCTTCTGCCGTTCGAGATTGAACGAAATCAGCAACTTCTTTCCAATTTCCGATGCCGTAGTTTTCTAAAGCTTCCAATAAAGCGAGCAGCTCTGTTTCGTTCCAATCCTCGAAACCAATCTGAATTAGATTTTCATCGTCATCGGCATCGTTGTTGATGCTATCACCTTTCGATGAGACTCTATCACCCTGCTTTGATTCACCGGTAGCTTTATCGCTCACTGTGGATTTCACTTCGACGCGATCAAATTTGTCCGCTTGCAAACCTTCCGGAAAACGCGCGCTCGAGAAGCAGCCTTCGCACAAATCGCAATCGAAACCGTCCAAGAGATGATAATAGTACTTCTTCTTCGCGTCTTCGCTGCTCCCAGAAATATCTTCGTTCAAAGAAACATCGCACGAGCTGCATTTCATCTCACTTATTATCTTCAATTTTAACATTTGCCTTTGCGAGCACGTGGATGAGTTGCGTTTCGCGTCTAAAGACTTAGAATCCACCAAAACAAACGGATCGTGCTCAAACGCGGGACACGATTCTAGATGTTTGACCCTTTCAAGAAAGTCAGAAGAGACGAGAGCAACTGCAGTGGCGGGGAAGGAGTTCACGCGAGGAACGTTTCGTGTCGCTCCTTTCGACCAAGGCCAATTAATCACATTCCATCTCTCGAGAAATGAAAATACTCTTTGCACTTTCATTTCGTTCTTTTCTACGGCAGCGCACGTTTCCAACGCTTCTTGAAGCATAAGCGCAACGCCAGGTTTCAAAGCTTTATACGCGTTTATAATCGCATTGCGCAAAGTGATGTACTTCTGCTCGTTGCTATCATTGCTTTTCGCCCTCTTCTTCTTTTCATTGCTTTTGGTCGCGATGAACAATTCTGGAAGAGATCGCTTCTCCACTTCACTCGTTGAGGACCAATCAAACCAAATCGAGCTGTGTACAGGGATTCTGTATGCTCCCACATTCTCTTTAGTACTACTCATGACAAGTGCACTTGCAACGTTTTGCTCATCCGCACTGGCATTTGCTACGCTCGGAAAAGCAGCGCTCGGAAGCTGACCGTGCGTCAAGTTTTCCAAACATATTTTCTTCTTCAATTGGATCAAGCGCTTATTTGCCTCGATTTTAGAGTCGTCAGTCGGGTCAGCACCCGCCACACCGCTCGATTTATCCACATCGAAATCAGCAGATGCTATAACAAATGGATGCTGATCAACGACGTATTGACGAGTTACCCTAAAATCTAGACGTTCCGTCGCGCGAGAACTCAAGTTCTCCTTCCCGAGCGCGTCGTTCAATTCTCTTTCTTTTCTTTTTTTCTCTTCACTCGCACCAGCATTTTGTTGTTGTTCCTCTTCCTGTTGTTGTTGCTGCTGCTGCTGATTACACGAGTCGTCCTCAACATTAGCGCGATAGTCTAGCTCATTCATCCATTCGTTGAAAGAAGCCGAGTCCAATAACCACAGCGGATTTACCACCCAAGCTTTCCCGTTTTTTGGCACGGCCTCTGACATGTCCATGTACCGTGGAGCTTGTCCACTCGAGTTTGGAACCCAACAATCGTACGAATCTGGGTGATACGAGTAATGTACGAGCGTCTCAGAACGATCAACGCGAACAGTGCGAGTGAATTCGCTTCCCCGCGTACTCAACGAAGAGAGCACGTCTTGTCCTCTCGGAATTTCTATACAGTGGGTGACACCCGGGTCTGTCGGCTTATCGGCTACGGCAATGCGCGTTGCCTTGACGGCATTTTTCAAGTACTTCCTCAGCGAAGGAGGTATGTACACTTTCTTGTGCTTCAAAAAGCCGTGCGTTTTCAGCTCTCGCTCGGCTCTTTTAAACACGTCCTCGATGAGTTCGTTTCTTCGTTGCTCGGATACCCAAGAAAAGTTCCTCCAGTTGTGTGACATTTTCGCTTCAAACGCGCACAACAAAATTCTGAATAAAGAGCCAGCCGGTTTTAAATCGCCGAACACGTGCGTTGGTAGTTTCATCAGCCGTCTGACCTTTGGATCCATCGGCGTTTTAAAACCAAGACACTCCTCGTTTCCTTGTAAAAGTTCGAGAATAGATTCGACGACTGCTTTTGCGTCCAATCTGTCCGCATGCGCCGTCGATGCGAAAGAATCTTCTACGTATATGCGAGCGAGAATACTCTCCAAACGCGCTAAACCCGCATAATTTTCAAAGTCTCTCGCTTGCACATACGGTTTCCGCTTCGTTTTTGGAGCGGTGTATGGATTTTTAAGCGTCGTTGTCTTCGCCTCCTCTTCCCCTTCTTCGGGAGAAGTCGGAAGAGGCTCATCCGTTGCCATCGTTCGTGTGCTTCGAATTTGTTTTTTTTTGTGGAGAATCCTCAAAGTCAAGTTTGATTTTCAAATCGAAAAATCCGTACTTTTTATAACAACAACGCAACTCGAGGACAAAGCTCCAACCAACTCCTTTATCACGCGTTTAAGTAAATCTCATTCCACGGTCTTGCGCCGTTGCTGCGTTATTGTTTTCAATTTCTGATATGCTCTGAATGCTATGGACTTCTTAGAGCGCGCTGCTAAAACTTCAATTCAAAGGCTTGAACAGTTAGATAGAGAAATCAACGCTCAACAACAACAACAACAACAACAACAGCAACAACAAAGCAATCGCGATGCTCGTGAGGATTCTGCGAAAAGAGTGCTTCCAGATGAGCAGCTGTTTTTGAGGACAAATGAGTTATTAGAGATACGAGAGGCGCAAAAGAGGGATTTAGAACGCATACTGTCGAAAACATTATTAACAAACGATAGCGCAGTGCGACAAACCGAACGTATCGATCGATTAAATGTACAAATATCTCACGAACGTGCTCTGAGAGCATCTATAGAAGCGAGAACAGCAGGAAATTTTGATGATGATGAAACAAGCACATCCGGTGACATCAATGTGGTCCAAGCGCTCGTTCACGCTCAGAAAGAGCTCTCGATGGAAACGAGATTGAGAGATGAACGTTTAGAGTCCTTACTCGCTGTAGAGCTGAATCGAGATGACGCAAAACAGAAGTTAGAAAGGCTGGATGGACAGATAAGCAAGGAAATTGGGACGATATCTGGTGCGAACAATCGTAATTACGAAGCAGCAATGCCGAATCCCACGCAAGAAGAATTAGAACACGTGCGAGAGAAAGTTCGAACACGAAGACAAACACTGAGTGAACAGACCCGCACGAATACAAACAGGGTTGGTTCTTCGATTCAAGAAGTAGAGTTGGAGGCTTCATTGAACGCAAAAGCAGATGAACTCATCCAAGCGCAGATTGCAATCGAACGCCACACTAGTGAAATAGCCACCTTAGCGATGCGACGCGACGCCGCCGCTTCGACTTATTCCAAAACATCGACGTACGACGCTTCGATCGATCCAGCTACGAGCGCTCGCAACTTGCTGCATTTCGATGAGCAGAGAAATGTGTTTGAACATTTTCGAATGCACATCGCTAAGTTCATTGGGCATCGAAGAGCAGGGAAAGTTGTTTTCCTTTTTACTGAGCTCGATCGCGCGACGTTATACTTTGCTCGCATGGCGAGTGGTAATGGCAAATGGCGCATGCTTGGATTTGTGTATATTATAGTAGTACTTAGTTATGCGTTTGTACGCATGTTGTATTGATAAATAACAATTATCTATGCTAGCATCCGCCGACATTCATTTGTCCTTCGAGATCCAGCGTAGGGTTCTTACACAACTCTCGCGCGTCCGACGACGACAACAAAGCGCCTTCGAAGTTTGCACCTTTCATATTCGCCCACTCTCCGTTGTACTTTCCAAACGACGCACCGGATAAGATGACGTTTTCAAAATTTGCATTTTCCATATTACTCCCATCGAAACGAGTTGAGTACGCGTTCGTATCTTTAAAATTTACGCCTTTGAAATTCGACCCGCGAGCATCTGTTCGCGACATTTCCGTGTGCGTCAGCTGTGAGTTCTCGAAATTAGCATTCCGAGCGATCAATCCAGACAGCACTTTCGCGTCCAAATCAATGTTTGAGTAGTCGCACTTATCTAAATCTAAAATGGCTTCGGGCAAAGCGCCGGTCGAAGCTTCCATGGAAAATTTTGCTCTGACATCTTTAAACAAATCTAACTTGTCTGGAGTACAACCTCCAAGCATATTCCTCACGAATTTCTTATCGTCGTCATCGCCAGCAATTGCACTACCCACAGGTGACATTGTCGATAAAACCACAGCCAGTGCGGTAGCAGCAAGCAAAGTCTTGGACGAGGATACTGTGGACGATGTGGATGTGGAGGGCTCATTTTTTTCTTCTCGTTGATGATGGGGAATCGCAGCTTGAGTTTTTGGGAACTTTGTTCTTATCCGCCTCGAGGCATCTCTGATGGTATAATGACGCGTAGCTTTGAGCATTTTAGTTGCTGGTGGTTTAGTTGGTGTTGTCGTCGTTGTCGTTGTCGTTGTTGTTGTGAACATGTTTTTTTACGGCAGAGGCAAAAATAGTAACGAACAGACAATTTTTCTTGAAGAAAAGGAAGAAGAAAGAAACCGCCGCCGGCGACACAAATTCATTCACTCGCTCGCCTGTATTCTTTTCAAATCACACACACACACACATACATACATACATACAACAACAACAAACATCAAAATTGATGACGGCTGAAGTCCTAACCGTAGACGAGAAGGATACTTCGTTTCTGTAAGTCTATCTATATCTCCTCGTTTTTGTTTGTTGTTTCCATTCTTCTTCTTCTTCTTCTTCTTCTTCTTCTTCTTCTTCTTCTTCTTCTTCTGTCTTCCCGTTCATCACATATCGCTATCGTTATAAGCATTCTTTCCTGCGTTGTTATTACGACTGACCGACCATCTCGCGTGCAGTGATATTGTGGACGAACGCGTTCGGGCTATTTACGAGAAGAAGTACGAGCACATCGCGGAACCATCCACGAGCGTTGGAAAAGAGGACGAAGGGAAAGGCGAGTTATGGCTCGTAAAGTTACCGCCGGGTTCTTTGCTGGAGGATTTCGATGGCGTGACCGTCAGAATACACAGCGATGCGGATAGAAAGAAATCAGATGAGAATAACGAAAAAAGTTTAAACGTGGACTGCGAGTTTGCAATCGCTCCGAACGAAATCGGTCGCTTCGAAGCGAACAAAGCGAACGGCGTCGACGACGAGGATGAAGACGACGACGACGACGATGCCAGTATCAATCGACGGTATAGAATCGTACAAAGCGAAGATGACGGTGTCAAGGCACTTCGAGCGGTATACGTCCGAGAAGGCGACACGAAGGAGGCGTTCAAAAACGCGGAGAGGATTACAAAGCGAGTGCATTTATTACGAGCGGGCTTTAAACGCGGCAATCTAGAAAAAGCAGACGTTGTAGAAGCAGGCGAAGACGAAGAAGACGAAGGGGACAAAAAGAAGAGAAAGAAGGAGACAAAGTCGAAGAAAGCTCCGGCGTCGACGATGAAGGCGACGACGAAGAAAAGTAGAAAGAAATGAGAACGGATAGCACATGTATCATTAATTAAAGTAAGAACGCGTAGCTTTAAAATTTTGCAGCAATATCAACTCCCCTAATTTTTCCTCTTGCGCTTCAGAACAAAATCACCTCCAGTCAAGGCTCAAGACGCGAAGACATATGAAGCCAACATCAGCGCACTCCTCATCCTCTTCAGACTCTGAGAGTGACGATGACGACGACGAAATAAACAAGTTCTGCTTAAACTGTCGAACGAGAGGTGACTTCTTAAAAGTCTGCGCGAGATGTAAATCGGTTTATTTTTGCAACAGCGAGTGTCAACGAGAAGCGCACAAAGAACATTCGAAAGTGTGCGTGAGTAAGGCACCGGCGCCGCTCAACTTACCCAAAGGCATGCCAGCGCCGAAAACGGAGGAGGAGAAAAAGAACGAAATCGAAATCGAAACGAAACGAATAGAAACAAAGTTACTACCAAGCGTTCTGAATAATAATAGCAGCAGCAGCAGCGCGAACAAGACGAATTTTGGTGTAGGAAACCCACCGGAGGAAGCGCTCGTGGACGAGTTTGAAGACGCGCTCGTGTTTGCGATTACGAACGAGAACGAAAGTTTAGAACGGAAATGTAGAATTGGTTTAGCGCACGTGTACTTATATTCCAGTCGCGCGAAAGAAGGTCTGCATTATCTCGAGCCAGTCGTAGAATACTACAAAAGAGAAGGAACAGTTGAAGCGGTGGAACCTCACGTGTTAGCCGCCGAGTGTTGCGTGAAGTTATCATCGTTATTAGGGGACGAAGATGAACAGAAAGAGAAATTTAAAGAACGATGTAAAGTAGAGCTCGCTGCCGCACTCGATGCAGCTACAGAATACACGCAAAAAGATGAAACAAAGCAGGCAGAGATTCTGTTACGTTGTGGTATTTGTCTTTTGGATGGAAAGTTATTCGACAAAGCAATTGGCGTCTTCATCCAAGCTTCGGCGTGCGCGGAAAAATTGAATGCTCATGGCATCGCCGCGCGCGCAAAAAACAGAGTTGGACACGCGCTGATACAAATGAAGAGACCCAGCGATGCAATCGTTGCTTGGAAAGATGAGCTCGAATCTCTTGAGAAGTTCAAAAACAACGACGACGTTAAAAACGAAAGCGACAAAGCGCTGGATGTAAAAAAAGCCGCGTTTCTCAAATCAATGTGTCACGGGAATATTTTCGCTGCGTATGCATTCTTAGGCGCAGTTGATGATGCTCGAGTCCATTCAAATCTAGCAATCATAAACGCTAAGGAAAGTGGAGACGCGAACGAGTTAAAGCGAACACTGGTACAACAAAAAGCGACTTGGGACGCTTTGAACAGAGACGATATGCGTGCGGAGCTAGAAAAGGTTAGCGTTGAGTAGGAGTAGGAGTAGCAATTGGTTTAGTCCTGCAGTACTGTAGTAAACTCAAATCAATGGTATCGTGACAAAAAAATGTGCGCTAAGTATTATTATTGTTATATATTTATTGTTTCTGTTTTTCTCTTGACGTGTTCGTTTATTTATTACCGGTCGACGGGTTTGTTACAGTTTACCTTGAAGTGCGCCAACATACGATCGACGGTAGGAAATTCCATTTTACGATAGTAGTATCCAATCGGTCTGACTTCGACGTACTCGTGATGGACGTTGCCGCTCGCAGACATGATGTACGAAATGCAAAGATATCCGTGATGTTTATCTGAAACCGATAACGCATACGGGCGCTGATTTCGGTTCTTTCGGAAGCACTCTTGCAAATGTTCATCAACCTCGTGGTCTCTGCCACCCAAAAATTTTCTGTGCATAACAGCGTCGCGCAAAAATCCAGCCACAGGTTCAATATGGCGAGCAACTGCTTCGTCCAAATCTTCATATTTTTCTTTCGAAGTATCGATCATGAGTGGTGTACCCAATCTCAAGTTTGCAGTGCCACCAGTTCCAGGCTTCTTGCCTTCTCTGATGTCCATGTGCCAGTACACGTCGTCAAACATTTTTATGGTGCACGACAAATTCTTAACGCCTTTAGAGGAAGGACGAATGACGAAATCACCCACGTCGCCGTCGGCAAGCTCAGCGGTTGCTTCAACGTGCGAACAATTCTTGAACAAAGGATGATCAATTGTACGCGCGATATAAGACTTTTCGTGCTTGACTTGGTTCGGTTTCTTCTTCGGTTTCGAGGCTCGCGCAGCCGCTATAGTTTTCTCTCCCGGTAAAGGATCCAAGGAATAATAGGGAGTCGTCGTCGCGAGAACGTGCTCTTCCCATCTTCGCGACTCATCCTCAGAAAGATGCGAGCCACGACACGTTAGCCATACCTTGAGATTTTCAAGATCGATTCCTTTAACTTGTTGTCCATACGCAGTCGTTTCGGGAGCTTTTACTCGAGCAGTAATGACTTGTCCTACGTGAACTTTGTCATCGAGACGATCGAAAGGCGAATCCGAAACGTCTTGTCTTTCAATAACACCGGTGACTCCGGAATCGAGCTGTACAATCACACAGTTAGCACGAGCATCGATTCTCTTCACCGTACACGTGATGAGCTTACCAGCTTGCAACGTGTGCACGGTCTCGCCGGTAACGGCGGTGAAGATCTCGTCGCTCGAGAGACGAGTCCACTCTGAGCGGACATCCTCAAACGGCTTGCGCATTTCCATGCGGATGTCTCTGAGAATTTCCAAAGCGTTCACACCACCACCTTCAGGAGTGCTGAGATAATTTGCGTAATCTTCAAGCATCAAAACGCTAAGCTTCGGCCACTCGCGCGGATCGAAACATCTTTCGAGAGCGCGTTCGCGTCCAACGCCGGATTCGTCAATTTGAATGTCGAGCGCGTTGGAGGCAATTGCAATAGCTTTGTCATAATGCTTCGGATGAATGCGGGAGCCATCGAGAACGTTCCCATCGGTGATATTGATAGCCGACGCGGCATTTTCGTACACGCGTTCCTCGACGGCATGCAATTCCGTCAAAATTTCTTCTCTGTTATCGAGCGCGCCGCCGTCAACTTTTCGAATCGCCGTCAAAAATGGAACCAATTTACGCGGACCTAACCCAGCGACGTGTTCTAAAGACCTAGCGATCCATTGATGCGACATTGCCGCGTTAACGTCCACACCAGTTTGGTTAATGCAGCAGCGAAGAGCTCTTTCAATGCAGCTCACCCTTTCTTCGCGACTCAACGCGGCATCTTGAAATGGACAGAGAGAAATAGTCGCGGCTTCATGAGAACCGCCGCTCGGTTGCAGTAAGTTCGCCACAACCGCCGCCGGATCGCGAGCAAACCTACCCAACGCAACAGCATGTCGAATAGTGGCTTGCAATTCTCCCATCTCTTTCACCGGGGCCGATGCTGTTTCGTAGAGCGAAGCAACCGAGTCGTTAATAAACTCAACCTCAATCGCACTCACTTCTTCAGGAATCGATTTGACAAAACCATCCTTCTCAAGGAAACCACCAGTCACGCGATCGAGCTCTTCTTTCAACGTTTTGGCATTTTTCCCCGAAGCCGCGACTGCAACTAAGTGCGGTCGATGGTTCGATATGAACTCTGCGACTTTTCTCTGTTCTTCTTGCTGCGTACCGTACGAACCGCCTCTTCCGCTCTTACCGAAAGACGTCAGCTCTAAAAAGTCAACAAGTTGCCCGGAACCATCCAACGAGACGAGCGTGGTCGGCGTTTCTTGATCTGAGGCAGGAACTGCGGAAATAATGCGTACTTCCAAGTGCTTCAACGTAGAATGCACATCTTCTTCCTTCACGCCAATCAACTGCGGCGTCCAAGACTTCTTATTCAACATTCTCCACGCTCCTTTGAACGCGGCGATGACCATCGACCTTTTCGATTCCAATACGAGTTGCGCAGTTGTCTCTCGTGCAATTTGCGGAACAAGCTTTTTCTTAATAGCATCTTCAACAACTTTTCGACGAATTGTGTTCCATTGCTCGGCTTTCTCGGAAACATTTTCAGAGCAGTATGCGTTTGAAAGGTTTTGCACGAGTCTCTCAACTTCTTGTTCCGGTAAAAATGCGTCGAATTCAAGCAATCCTTTCCGAACTCCTTCGGCGATCATTGAGAACTCGATGTCGGTGAAATGACATAATGGTTTGTTGAGGGTTCTTTTCACCGCTGCTAAAGGATGAAATGTATCAATTTGCTCGTTGCCGAGTAACGTGGGTTTCGTCGTCGACTGCGCATACTGACGATAATGAAATCGAACCCACTGACGAATACCAGGATCGTTCGCGAGTTCAGTAGCGGAAACTTCAATCAATGCTTTAATGACATCCTCTTCATCTTCGTAGCCTTGATCGAGATAATGTTTTGCGAGTTCTTCCGGCGACGCGTCTGGTAAAATTTCAGTCATAGCGTCGTCTTCCACGTCGTAAACGCCCTCAGCCTCTCCCCACGCGAACGTGGTATCCAATGCCATCGCAACCTTCTCGGGTGCAGGTGAAGAAATTTTGAACAACTCTAACACATCTCTACTGACGTGCATATCATACGCCGTTCGTCGACGTGGGCGGCGACTTCCTCCAGTGCTGTTCGCATCCAAGGCTGCCGCTCCGTCTTTCAACAACAGCTGCATTTTCGACTCCACGTCTTGAACGTTTTCGTCGTACTTCGAACTCGCGATAAGTTTTTGCAATCGCATTAGCGTAGCCACGCTCTGTTGATCGTTGCTGTGTGCTTCCAACTCTTTATTCAAAGTTTCGATCGCTTTTTGCTTTCTGTTTTGCAACTTCACATACGCAATATCCCAATCGTATACCGCTTGCAAGACGTCAAAGGAACGAGTCTTTCTTTGGATGATGACTTGATCGCCGACGAGCGGTGGGCGAGCTTCTTCTGGTTTGCCACGCAAAAGAGGATGCAAGTCATCGCGCATATTTGTCGCCAGGTACTCCAATTCATAACCTTGCGTGCGAACCATCTTCAAAAACCATTCGATGCATATCAACACGTTCTGCCTCTCCGTGTCCGGCAGCTGACCTCCCCATTCGTTTTGAAGTTGATATAAACGCATTTCCATAACTTCGTCGGACTCGTAATCCATCTTTCCGCGCAATAAAAGCTCGCCGGCTTCAGTCGGGATACCTCGAATTGAGCCAACTCCCATGACGCGATCGTAAATCCACGTAGCTTCTTCCGCAAAATCGCGAGGCGTGTTCAAGTTTGGTACTTGGACGTTTTCAATTGAAAGTCTTTCCGGCCAATCGGCATTTCTGATTTCATCATCGGTTGCGGTAAGCATTTGTGCTTTGATCACGGACGGTTCAAAAGCAAATTCCGCCCAAGACTTGGTTGGAGTTACTCCCGCCGTTCGCTTCTTGAACTTGCGAACTTTACGCATCTTCTTTTCGCGGGGTGGTCTTTCTCCTCCTTCCTCGTCATCGACGATAAAATCGTCCACATCTTCATCGTCGGTTTCGTATTCACTTTGACTTTCTTCTTCCAAGACGTCCTCTGGTAAACTCTCTCCACCCAAGTAGCCTTCGTCTCCCGGTCGCTTCCGGTTGGCGAACAGTTTTTGTAAGTCTGAAATGTCTCCGAAAATGTCGGCAGCCTCACGAACTTGGTCGTACCTAGCTCCACCTCTCTCGCGTTGTGCACGATTATACGCTTTCCTTCGAGCGCGTTCTTCGTCCGTTTCGCGTTCTTCACCTTCATCGCGCACGATGAAATCTGCCATCTCTTCTTCGGAGTCCTCGTCGTCTGAATCGACGAATCGTCGTTCGGCGGCAGCTGCTCTTCTCTTTTCTTCTTCGGCGTCATCTTGCTGTTGTTGTTGTTCTTTCTCGCCACCTGCCTCTTCGTCTGCACCGGCGACTTCATCTTTTTTTGTATCTTTTTCTTTTTCTTCTTGTTCTTGTTCTTTCTTCTGCTGATCTTCCTTCTCGTCGTCGTCATCGTCGTCGTCTTCTCCGACTGCGGCAGCGGATTTCTTTTGCAATCGTTTCTTCTTTTCCTTGCGTTTAAATCCTGTGACTTGATTGTCTTCGAGCAAGTCGTAGTCGTCCTCGTCGAGCTCTAACGCGCGACGTTTCCTTCTTCTGCGAGCAATCTGAGCCCCGCCCTCGGAATCAGATTCGTCTCCTTTGTCATCGTCCTCGTCCTTGTCCTCGGGTTCCTCCTCTCCATTTCGTTTTTCTTCTTCTTCTTCTTCGATCGGGAGCCGCACTTCCTCCAATTCGTCGATCTTCTCTTCTTCTACTACTTTTGGGGGAGAGACGTCCTCTGCGGCTGGGGCTGCCGCCACCGCGGTTCCGTTCTCATCCTCGCCATCATTCGCAGTTGGAGTTGGTTCAGACATCCTGACCTCTGTTCTAAACTTACTCCTATGCGGACAGAGAGAAGAGAAAAGAGACGCGAAATGTGAGGCGATGATTTTGATTACTCGCACGAAACGTACGTTCACGTCGCTTTGTTTTTGCTTTTTTTTAAACACACAGCAATACAAACACGAAAAAGAAGGAGCAGCGAGAGTCGAAGTATTCTTTTCAGCACAAAGAACGCATCCATTATCATCCCTACATCCTGAACTAACAACAATTAAACTATTTTATTACAACTACTGCACGGCACATACCAGTACGCATCTATTTGTTACTACTAAACCTATCGCTACTATTTGCTAAATCGTCAGCGAAGACGTGTCCGTCTTAGGCATATTAGAGCCCTCCGGAAGGATTTCAAACTTGCGCTCGTTAAGATACGTCCGCAAACGAGAAATGACAGGAACCGCGTCCGGATCGCGCGCACTTTCTAATTTCGGGATCCATTGCTGCGCAATTACTAACAAGAGCTTCACGCCTTGGTTTCTATACGTTTTCACGAACTCGTAACCTGCGTGTTTTAGGAAACTTTCCAAAGCAACCGCTGTTTGTCGATTGGGAGGGCACTTGTTCAACAGGCGAGAAAACCAAGCCCAGGCTTGGTCGATGCTGTGCGGATGATTCTGCACAACTACCGGAGAAACTTGCACGTACGCTCCATACAAGAGCATGTATCCGGAAATGCGATTAGCGTACGAATCAGAACTTTCAAACGCGTTCGCGTCGTCCTCGCTCGGCGCGTATCCACATATTTTGAAATATTCTTTTTCTTCCGCATACTTACTCTTTAGGAATGGATAATATTTCGGCACCGCGAGGGGACACGCGTCGCGGAGCAACGCAACAAAAATCTCCGAGAGTTCGGGAATGTGCGCCGCACATCTCGCGAGCACTTCTGCCAACGCGAACGCGTAACGATTGAGCTTTGCAACTTGAACGTCGCACTGGGCTAAAATTTTCTTGGAGAGCGTAATCATCGCGTACGTCCGAATGTGCTCAGGTGTTGCCGGCGTTAAGAACTCACGGATGATATCGTCCGCTTTCTTCACGACTTGGTCTTTCGTACACGCCACTTGCTGAACGTGTATGGTCAAACGTTGAATAATTGTGCGTCGTTCTCTTTTTGCCTCTGGAGAGGCTGAATACGCGGCGACGCGTTCGCGAGCCGCGTGCAGTACTTGAAGCGATCTCTTTTCCGCTTCTAAAGCTTCTGCAGTGACGTATACCGCGGGGATTTTCTCAGCTTCTCGCTGCTTTGCTTCTGCCAACGCTCGCGCCTCTTCCTCCTGTTTCATTTTCTCTTTTTGTTTTTGAATCTCCTTGTCGCGTTTCTCTTCTTCGAGTTTCTTCTCGGCTTCAATTTTTTTCTGCTTCTCCTTTTCCTCGCGCTGTTTCTGCGCCATGGTTTTCGCATCCTGTACTAATTGTGAAATATTTTCGAGATTCTCTTTGCGTTCCTTTTCGACGCGATTCAATCGAGCTTCGGTCGCTTTATTCGTGACGCTCGCATCTGAAACGTCTCGCAGCGAGAGCGCGTTTTGAAACGATGCTATTTTCAGCATTGCACCGTCGCGAGAGGCTGATTCTTCGACTAGAGTCAACCGTAACTCTTCCTCTAAGCGTTGCATGCGACGTTGCGCGGCGAGTTGCACTCGACTTTTCCGCAAGCGCGCCCTTTCCTCTGTTTCTATTTTTGCGTTTTCAACCGCTTGCAAGGATGTATTTTTTTCGAATTCTTCTCGCAACGCATCGATTCCTGGCGTTGGCGATATCGTTTCGACGAGTCGTTTAAACTTGGAAAGCTCGAGGTCAAAATCATCGTCAATGCTCGGTGCCGATAGCACGACTGAACCTCCTCTTTTCCTGATTGGAGTCGATGAGTGTTCTGCTGTGCCTTCTTCTTCTTCTTCTTCTTTTTCTTGTTCAAAAACCAACGACGAAGATTTTCCTTTTCCTCTCGTTGGTCGATATCCGACTAAAACGAAATCTTCTTCTTCTTCTTCTTCTTCTTCTTCTTCTTCTTCTTCCTCTTCTTCTTCTTCGGTTTCTTCGTCATAGCGCGAATGAAATGCCTCATCGTCACGCGTCGATTGGCGCAGCACCATCTTATTATATACAAGAAGAGAGCAGAGAGAGAGTTATGTTATAATTTTGTTCCGAGTTGGTCTGTTCTTAGCTGTCTGTTGTTTTTGTGACCTCGTTGGTTGAAGAGACGAGGAGTTCAAAACTTCTTCAGAATTTTCTCCACCCAGGACAGCTGGACAGGAACCACCGCTTGCGCGGGAAGAGGCAGTACACGTGGAGATGACGACGACGCTCGCTGGTTCAACGCGCGTTGTATCAGGGCACGAACGCCCCAACGCATCGCATCGTCGATGGCGAGTGCAAAGCAAAAGAAACGCGGTAAAAGCATCGCGCTGTTCTGTCGAACAACAAAAAAGGAATAATAACCATAACCGACGACAACAACAACAACAACAACAACAGCTTGGAGAAGCCATACATTCTTCTTCCTCGAGCAACTACTATCGACGCCAATTAATCGCAAAGAACAGACGACACGTCCAAAGACTGTCTGCGGTCGCGCCTCAGCACGAGTTCAGAGCATCCACAGAAACGTCCACTGATTTCGAGGCTCAGGAAAGACAGATTTTATTCCTCGTTCCCTATCGAGAGAGGCTTTTACTAGAGCCCACTTTGGAAGGAAAAATAGATATCGTAGACGCGTCTGAGACCGTTCAAGCGTTTATGAACTCTAAAACAGATCTCGTGGAAAAAGTTATGCCTAGTCTATCAAAAACAGAGCAGTACTTGATAAAAGTCACGGTCCTTTGCGGGCAACAACACGTGTTTTCCAGGTTTGCTGCTCAAAATCCAGAAAGCGAAGCTTCGCTGAGTAAACTTTTGACTACTTTAGGGAAAGTTGAAGTGTTTTACGATATGATTGGTGGCATTGTCGGGTATCAAACCGTTGCTTTAGAGCTCATGCACGAATCCTTCGGTGGCCCTCCTGCTGCGATACATGCTGATAAAGACTGCCACGGATTAGACTGCGTTCCGAGTTACGAAGACAACGACGAGGATAAAAATGTTTCAAAAAGTTGCGACGATTCTGAATGTGACATGTCGTTGCACGTTCCTTCAGGCCCGGATTTAAGAGAAGGTGATGGCGAGTTTGCTCGAAAAGCTGCGCGAAAAGGAATAGAGGCGCTCCCGGAGATGTGCGAAATATACCCTCTGGGCGGCGCGGGCGACCGGCTAGGTCTCCTCGATCCCGAGAATGGTGAAGCGTTACCCGCGGCGTTTCTCCCGTATAACGGGAGGCCGTTGCTCGAGGGCCTCATTCGCGACGTGAGAGCGAGGGAGTGGTTGTATTATAAAATAAAAGCTAGTTCTCCGGATGTATTCGACGACGAGGAGATAGAGAAGGCGAGCAAGTTAGTCACACCGATCGCGATAATGACGTCGATGGCAAAAGGTAACCACCGTCGAATATCAAAGTTTATGAACGATTCAAATTGGTTTGGACGAGGAAGTGATAATTTTCGTTTATTTGAGCAGCCTTTAGTGCCGGTGTTGACGACTCGAGGCGGTGAGTGGATTAGCGCATCTTCGAGTGAGGATAAAGGCGAAAACTACTCGTGCGACATTGCGCTGAAACCAGGCGGACACGGCGCGTTATGGAAACTAATGTACGACGAAGGTGTTTTTGATTGGCTGGAGCAACAAAAGAGAACTGGAGGTGTTGTTCGACAAATCACCAATCCTATGGCCGGGACGGATACGACCCTTTTAGCGCTTTCCGGGTTGGGAAGACAAGACAACAAAGCGCTTGGGTTCGTCTCTTGCGAGCGCGCCGTCGGCGCTTCGGAAGGGATTAATGTTTTGGTTGAGAAGACGAATCAAGTCACGAAAGAGCGATGGTATGGCATTTCGAACGTTGAGTACACAGAATTAGATAAACTAGGCATCTCGGATGAGCCGGCTGAAAACTCCGGTGCCGAAGAATCCGCGTATCCAGCGAACACAAACGTTTTATACGTCGGTTTAAAGCACATTCGAGATACGTTGACGTCCTCTCCGCGAGCTGCGTTTCCAGGAATGTTGATTAATTTATCAAAAGCTGTAAAGAAAGACGGAACGAAAGGTGGTCGATTAGAATGCTCGATGCAAAACATCGCGGATGCACTCATGCGTAAATCTCCCGGGAAGTTGACGAAAAAAGATTGGATGAATCTCCCAACTTTTGTACTTTTCACTTTACGGCGAAGAGTTACGAGTAGTGCAAAACGCCAAAGAAAACTTGACGATAAGTCTCTCGCGCAAACACCGGACGGTTCGTTTCTCGATTTACTTTTGAACGCCTCCGATATGTTGTCGAAATGTTCGATCGAGCATCCTCCGCCGGATGATGGCTCTGCAGAGCGATACTTGAACACCGGGCCTGGCTTTATTTTCGCCATCCATCCGGCGATGGGTCCTTTATGGGACATCATCGCGCAAAAACTTCGCGGCGGATCTATAGCTCGAAAATCGGAAGTGAAGTTAGAAATAGCGGAACTGAATTGGGAAAACGTGCGCGTTGACGGATCTTTACTGATTACGTGTACTAACGTGACTGGAGAAGGTACAATGAGTGATATAGATTGCGGAAGGGCTCGAATAGTAGACGTCGACGTACTGAATGCGGGGATAGATTGGGAAAATGAAGGAAACGTGTATTGGAGCGCGACGTACTCCAGAGACGAAAGTGCGGAAATTGTTCTTCACGGTAACGCTGAAATCGATATCGAAGGCTGTGCATTGCACGGCAACTGTGCGTACGAAGTACCGAATGGAAAGCGACTAGTTATTAGAAGTGTGAATGGTGATGCGGGTTGTTTAAGTGAAACGTATGAAGATATCGTTCCCGGGGTGCCGTCGTGGCGATGGAAGTACGCGTTTGGAGGCAAAGATGACATCCAATCTGATTTAGTGCAGCTGCATTTGTAATATATTTCTTAAATACAACCCTACTTAAATCCCCTAATCCGGAACTCCCCTAAATTTTCACTGAAAAGAAAATGCCAAAAACATCCATGAAATCCTCATCAATCGCGAATGTACGAACGAAAAACTCGTACAAAGACGCAAAATCATGTATTTCACGCCTCCTTGGTGTCTATTTGGGCTGAATCGCGCGTGCGCGCGAGAAAACGGATCTTCCCGTTATTTAGGGTGTTCAACCCTTGTGTAGTTTTGCAATCTCATCGGGTGATAACTTTAGGCGGGTGTAGGGTAATTTTTTGGGCGGTGTAGGGTAATAAATGCTAAATGGGAGGTGTGCGGTTATTTTCGCGGCGGTGTGCGGTTATTTTCGCGGCGGTATGCGGTAATTTTTGCGACTAGTGCGGTTTTGTTATATCATGTGAGCGGTAGTATTTTTTGCTTTTTGCTTTTTGCTTTTACACTTTTTGCGTTTATTTTTCCACCTGTCTCAGTTTATTATTTTTTTTAATTCGGGTAAGCGGTTTGCGGATTCGGGTAAGTCCTATTTTTGTTTTTTGAAATTCATGAAACCCTACGACACCCCTAGCAAAAAAACAGAAATCCCTAAAAATCCCCTAACAAATTAGTAATCATCAATGTAATCCACCACGAAAATCAAGGATATACAAACTAAAAACTTGAGTATTGATGTGTATTTATGTATTACACGCCTCCATGGTGTCTATTTGGTCTGATTCGAGCGCAGACGAAAGAAAACGAATCTTCCCGTTATTTAGGGTGTCCAACCCTACATTTAGGTGTTTTAGGGGTTCGGGTTCAGGGTTCACGGTTTAGCGCTACATGTGTCAATTTGGATGGCAATATAGGTGTCAATGTTTAGGGTTTAGGGTTTAGGGTTTAGGGTTTAGGGTTTAGGGTTTAGGGTTTAGGGTTTTGGGTTTAGGGTTTAGGGTTTAGGGTTTAGGGTTTAGGGTTTAGGGTTTAGGGTTTAGGGTTTAGGGTTTAGGGTTTAGGGTTTAGGGTTTAGGGTTTAGGGTTTAGGGTTTAGGGTTTAGGGTTTCTAAATTACGAACCGTTTGGGAAGAAGGGCGCGATTGTCGCGCATTGCGCGCCGCCGTACGCGCACGAGTACGAAAATCAAACCGACGAAGAGATTGTAGAAACCGTGTGTAAAGTCATGCAAACTATGTTTCGAGTGAAACCAGAGATGATGCCAAAACCAGTCGATTATCTCGTCACGCGATGGCTTCAAGATGGCTCGGGTCGAGTTAGT